AATTGGATCAACAATTCTCAAATTATTATGTTGGTAAATACTCGAATAATCATACTTTTAAAATATTATTATCAATCAGATATTAACTCTGTATTTTTGAATATTTAAATTGATCAGTCATCAAGATGATCGAAATAATCATGATCTATTTAAATCAAATGGTGAAATTAAGATTTCAGAATGCAGATATTCAAAACAATTGATTCATCGATTGTTGGATCAAATACCAAAGAATAGAGAATCATTGAATCAATTATTAAACCAATATATTGAAACCACTTTGTAGTATAAGAATAGAGAAAAACAAAGTTAGTCAAGATAAACCATTATGTATGGTGTTCGACTATTGCATTTTGGTCATACCAATTACGCAATTGTGCTCTTCTTGTGACAAGTAGGATACGCGTGTTGCAACAGTAGAGACAAATTGCTAAAAGTATTCGTGTCCATTCATAGGAGGATGGGTTAAGAATCAAATTTATCTGGACGGCAACAACAACAAGAAAAAAGATTAATTGGGAAGAAGAATAAGAAGACGAAGATGAAAACGATTTAGTTCAACCACAACTAGATAAATCATTGAATACCAAAAAGTTTGATTTTAAATAATAAATGATATTAACTATTTATTCAGCATTTGATAATATAGTAAAGTTAATTATTAATAAATCAAATAACCTCATTCTTTTGCTAATATTAGCTCTCTCTATTGGTAAAATAGTTAAATTGCTAATGGTTCTATCTTTGATTATGTAATAATTCAGATTTTATTAGATAAGATAGATTTTGTAGTCCACATGAATCGACTGATCTTTAATCGAATTTCTTTACAAATTCATAACTACTGAACTTCCTTTTTACTTTAATAAATTATGCTAACAAATTTTAATTTTATTTAATTTAATTTTTAATTTTTTTTTTCAAAACGAGTCAAGCGTTTTTACTCTATACGCTTTTTCTATTTTATATATCTATCTATTTATATTTATTATTTAAAAGATATGAATTTAGATTTTAAATGTTCAGAACATCAAAGATCATTCGAGAATATATGTTTTAAATGTAATCTGTTGTTATGTTCAAGATGTATATCGATTCATAATAAAACTAATGATCATTATAATTGTTGTGAACATATCGATGATATCAAAACAACCATAAACAATCATATAATATCTGAATATTTATCATATAGTACTAATTTAGGATTCGATAATAATAATAATAATAACTATCAACAACAAACTCTTTTTAAAAAAACAAAAAATAGATAATAATAATAGTTTCATTAACAATAGAATCAAAGATATATGGACAACAATCAAATCATCATCAACACACTATCAGAAATTATCAAAAACAGAGAATGATATTTCACGATTCTTTAAAGAGTTGCATGACTACCTCATTGAAAAAGAAAGATCATTAACAAAAGAGATAATCAATGATAAACAAATAATTATCAATCAAATCGAATCAAATATCAATGAATTGAAACAAATATCAAATATCTTCAAAATAAATAATAGAATACAGAATATTAATAATAATCATATTAAAAGTACAGATCCACCAAGTAATCAAGAAGATACAACAACAAGATATTCAACAAGATCAATCATTGAATCAATCAATCAATGTTCAACATTAATATCATTCATTCAATCGAATTCAGACACAATATTCAATCAATACACTTTAGATATCAATCATGATAATCATTACGATCTCAAAGATATTCTCTCACAACAATATAATAATGATACAGATTCAATGTTATTAGATTCAATTTATAAGATAAATAACAACATTAACAACTCAACGAAATCAATAATCAATTTCAAACAACAATCAATCAGTGATTATTATTTTAAATCACTTTCAAAAGATAAATTAGAAAATGATTTATATAAATTCTTTAAATCTTCAATAGATCTTCACACTTTACCATTTGAACAACCACAACTCATTTTTAATAACAAAATAAACAACACCAAACACACCTATATCTTTTCAACACATTCTGATAATGGAGCAACACTGTTTGACATCACCAACAACTCAACAGAACCAAGTGTAATCCATAAAATTAAACACTCTCATTTCGATTTTCAAGATTCACCAGTTATTCAAGTTGGCGATACCATCTATTCATTCAATATCGAGAAGAGAATATATTTCACATACTCGATTACCACAAAACAAATGAAAATCAGTGAAATGGATTACGATCATGATATTTCGAATATCACTCTATCCTATGATGGTAAAGATCATATCTATTTAATGTGTGTCAACAAATATATTATTGGATTCAACATTCATACTCTCATGTTCCAAAATTTCTTCATTGGTTATTTAACAAACAATCTTCATTGGGAAGATTATGATGAAGGTGTTTTTATCCCATCCATCCTCTCATTCTGGTACAAAAGTAAACTCTATACTTTTTCGGAATCAGATAACTATATGTCAATTTATGATCCAACCAAAGACGAGATAGAAGACATCGATATGCCTAGTGAGATGGAATATTATTGTGCATGCACCGATGGCAATGGAAATGTCTATTTCTACACAAATAACAAAACTTTTCATCGTTTCAATGTCGACACCTTGAAAATGGTCGATCTGAAATCTAATCATCAATTTCCTAATTCTTTGTTGTATCACAAGTTTTCAGATGAACAATCATATATTTATGTTCTTCGTGGAAATCAATATAACAAAGAAAATCAAAGATATTCAATCGAGAATGATCAATGGGAGATCATTTTTACAAACGATGATTATTGTAGGATGAGTGGTGCTATTTTCGAAATAAATTCTCAATAAAAAAAAAAATTATATTTCTATTATCTTCCTCTATAAATATATAGATATAAATTTAGAAAAATAGTTTTAATATAGATACATCTATAGATTCATTTTGTTTATTGTATTCTTATTATTGTTTGTTAGTTTTTATATAATTCGATATGTCTCTGAGTGTTTATTATAAGATCTTTCATTCAATGACCTGTGTAATTTCATTTTTACTAAACAACAACCTAAAAATGAATAACACAGATCTAGATCTATGAACGGTCTTTTAGTACTTTAACTGACTCTTTTGAACAACTAGCAGGTTTAAAAAAGTTTATTTTAAAGCAGTTCTAGACTTGTAAGTTAGTATTGTTAGAGATAATGTGATTTCAACATTGCTAACCAAAATGCTATCATATATGATACGGATGACATGGACCAATCAAATAGGAATGATAGTTCTTACCATTAAAAAGAGATCAAGATTACAATAGAATGACACAAACAACTATAGTTGGATAAAAGATGCTTGATTTAGATCATAGATATCAGAGAAATCGAAAGAAACTTTGGTGAAGTCAATAGTTCGAATCATTACCATCTTTCAGTATTGACGATTGTCAAGCAAGAGATCTACTAGTAGATCTTTTGATCGGTTTGTACGACAAGAATGGATCTGGTAAAAGAACGTAGATTGCGAGATTGGATCATTTCTAAGACAGAAATCGAACCATTATTAAAAGATAAATTCAATCAGTTAGTTAGTTAGATACTGTAATTGTTTATTCTATTGATACAACTCACTCTTCAAGTTTTCTTACTCATTTTTCTTCGTTCTATACTCATATAAAGATTAAAAATGGAAAGTACATCATGAGAAACACGTCTATTTCGAGAAAACAAACATCACCAAGCAACAATAATCAACAAAAGATCCACCAACCAACCAAACTTGAAACCAACAAGAGAAACTATTAAAAGAAGATCGATCGCTCGACAAGTATAACAATGACAATATTTATCATAGTTTGAGAGATATTCTATTGTATCATAGATAATTGTAGAACACACAAAAGTGATTAACTAACAGGTGTTTGATTGGTAGTAAATATATGTGCTTAGAATTTAATCATAACATCTCTACATCAGTGCTCGTGGTGACCGGTTTTAAAAGAGTTACATCAGCTTTGATCATGTACAGCTTGACACCTATCGAGGAAATCAATGTACAACAGCTCAGTAACAGTTGAGAAAGGAAGATCGATCGAGTAGTCTAGATATCAAGACTAGGAAATAGAAAGTACAACAAATAATCACGTCTATTTAGAGAAAACAAAGACATTAATCAGCAGTATCAGCAAAAACAACAATAAAACAAAGAGATTATTGCTGGTAGAAGAAGTAAAGAGGTAGAACGTTGTAAAATAAACATTATAATAAATAAATAAGTATAGTCATATATACCGCAAGTTTGCATCACCACAGATATTACCTAACTTTTAGTTATTCCAAAAAAAAACGTTACACCTAAGCAAAGACTAGTTCTTCGACGGCGCTGGTTCGATATATATCCTTCGACCGAACAAACAAAGCGATACAATCTCTCTATCTGTGTTAGTGCTAGTATAATCGGTTCCAATCTATTAGAGAAATAAGATATTCAATCAGCATTATCAGAAACAATAACTAACAATTACAACAAAAGATGATTGCTTGAAGAATAACTAAGGAGAAGAACTATGAGATCAACACAACCATCAACAACTCAAATACCAACAGAATATCAAACAAATCGACAACTTCAACAAACACTGGAACACCTGCAAACTTCTCACCTCTAAGTTACCTGTTTTCCTAGAAAGAACATCACTCTTAAAGACCATTCTGATTATATATAATAAATGAAAGATTGGCAAGGTAGGTATCTTGGAATGATAATTTATTGGTTGTATCAATATATTCTTCTCCAATTTATACGAGAAGAATATGTAATAAACGGTTGGAAGTCTTTCAATTTGGATAATATAGTGATAAAAATGATACTAATTGGATAGTATGTTTATTGTTGTCTGATTGGTTGTTATAGGAAGGGCTGCGAGAGACATTCTCTGAATTAGGTGTACAACTAAACAGTTGGAATTTTATAAAGTGATCCTGGTTGGATAGAAAATTTATTGTTGTTTGACAGGTTGTTGTAAAATGAGCTGCGAGAAGTGAGTTATTTAGCTGAGTGGGAGCTGCGAGGAGGATCAACTGACGAACTAGGGCAATGGTGCTGGCAACTCAATCAACAATGCATACTGGGTGACTTTCTTCACTTGCTTGGATATCTTGGAAGCTTTCTTCATCTTCTCGGTGAGATAATTCTGTTCTCTGAATGTGTCGTACCGATCTTTAGGAAGGACGAAATACAAGTCTACTTGTGCCACTCCCGTTCCGAGTTGATCGATGATATCGGACAGTTTGTTCATCACTGGTGGATGCTCATTCGAGGTGGTGACCTGAAACAGCTGGTTGGGTTTGATCAAACTATCGATCGCAGGAAAGTTGTCAAAGTTAGGGAGTAGATACTTACCTGTGTGACATTTGGGTATAAAATTGGTCTTACGTGATCAAGTTCGGATTTGCACCAAGGTGGCATATACCAGCGGGTCGTGCCAACGTTATTCAGAAAATGTTTGTTGATCCTCGGATCAGGCGATGAAACAATGATCGTTTTAGCTGCGACATTTGTCTCCTCTTTGCTGTCTACCAAAAAGAAAGTTGATCTGAGACTAAGGAGAGTGATAAAATCACTCTTGGGTCCACGTCTGACAACTGGAATGCCACCAACGTAAGTGTAGAGATAGTATGAATCGGCATTCTTGGCGTGAATCGAGTGAACAACCATAGTTCCCTTGACCCGTGCGATGAGATACATAATGTAGAAGAGGAAACAGGACTTACCAGTTCCTGGATTGCCAGTGATAACGAATCCATTCATAGAGTCTGTGGTTGGGGTTGAAGTTGAATTAACTTCATATTGATCAAATTCTGCATAGATTTGATCTTTCAGCTCAACATAGCAATCTCTCACGTAGATTGATGATCTCTTGACACTATTCCCCATGAAGTACACGCCCACTGGGAGGGAAAGGATATTGACTGCGGGATCAATCGAGGCACTGTGCAACGTCCTCCAAAACTCGAGCTCTGAAGCAACTGTATTGACAATTAAGAAGTGGAATAAGTTTGTCAGTATCATTAAGGTTGTTGGTTTGTGTAGATGTACATACCTTCTGGTGTTGATGTTTGAGGAGCTGTTGTGTATGAAGTATGATGAGAAGAAGAGTGAGTGTATATGAATAGGTTGTAGGAAACGATTGAAGTCATATGATTGGTAGAGTAATGAGCGGTGTGAGAGTTGTGAACAAGGAGAGGGAGAAGAAAGTAAATAATAGGTTAGTCATTGTATGCAAATGCATTATAATGATGTTCATGCTGATATTACCATTAACTTGGTCAAAAGGCTTTGAATCATTGGTTGAAGTAGTGGTAGAGGAAGATGCTTCATTGCCAGACATGGTTTCACACTAAAGAAATATAGATTGATGTGCTGAATAATAGAATAATGAGAAATAGAAATGTTGAAGAAATGAATAAAGAGATAATATGTAATTGAAAGAACAAAGAATTGTTACTTGTTGTTGAAGTTAGAAAAATGTGAATGGTAGAGAGTTGTTGTTGTTGTTGTTGTTGAGGAGAGCTTATATACGTTTGTGTGAAGTACAAACAAATTTTAAAAAAAATAATTAATAAAAATATTAAAAAAACTATTGATATTAAAAAGTTAAAACCTACCTACCGACAAAGAATCTGTTGATAAAACTAGAGTCGGTAAGTATACTATACTACTAGTTTTTTTATATTTTTATTAATACTATACTTACCTACTCTAGTTTTATCAACAGATTCTTTGGCAGCTTTTCGATCTTTAAAAGGGATGTGTACCAATAAACAGTGATTGCATTGGAGAACTTTGTAATAATATAACTTCAGTAAATCGTTTGAAATTGTTTGTCCACAATGTAAACACTCCCATCTACCTATTTTATTATTCTCTATAAAGAATGAAAGTGTTTATATTAGTATTAATGAACTGTTTTAATTTGAAAAATAACCAAAAGTTTACTACTTACTTGATTTCTTTCGGGTTTCGGATGATTGTCTTTGTCTTCATCGCTATCGATAGACTTCTTGTCAGTCTTCTTGGACTTCTTGTCGGTCTTCTTGGACTTCTTTTTTGTTTGAAGATCCGGTAGTGAGGGAATGGGTGGTGTCACCTTCGCACTTTATTTTTCATTGGTAAACTCACTTTCAACCTCGAAATATTAAGAATGTAAATGCAAATTTTTTTTTTTTAAAAAACAAAACTGGCTCCCAACAACTTTCACATGCGCATTAATTTTAAAAAAAATGTAAAAATTAAAAATTAGTGGGATTAATGTGATCAAAGTGGTTTTTTTATTTTATTCGATTTATGGTTACAAGCAAGAGCCAATTTTGTTTTGAGTAGTAAAAATTGATTTACTAAGTTTTATATTTGGATGGTGTAAACCATCAAATTTTCTTTTTTTTTTTTCGGTAGAAAAAGAAGTGATAGAAGGTAATATGTTAGTTAGATAGTACGGAAGGATATTTAGGTTGATTGGTAATAGTGTATTGTGATGAAGATATTACTACTATATACCTGATGATGTGGTAGTTGTTGATGTGGGGAGGTTTGATCATCCCTTCAAGGTAGGATTTCAGATTATCTTCACCATCGGCTTCATATGATTGACCACTTGAGAAAACAAATTCATTACTGAATTGCATCTTTGAACTATTTGATTTTAGTTCTTTATATGATTACATATTTGAAGTACGTCATTTACTTCTCTATGAATTGTAAATTGAACTTCGAAAACTTTTAAAAAAAATTGTTTTTTTTTTATTTTTTGATATTATTGGAACAAAAAAAGATTTTTTCGACCTTGACATAAGACATGTCTTATCTTTTGTTTTGAGTTTCAAAATTTTTTTTTTATTTTATTACAGCAATTATACTTATTTAATATTTATATATATTTAAACGATGAAAGAATGTGTTGAACATGATAAAGATCTGGACGTTTTATGTTCAGATTGCAATGTTGTAATGTGTTATCGTTGTCACATTGCATATCATAATCGACATTGTGCATTTCACACAGATGACATTAAAAAATCACTTTTAAATGTAGATTATTCAGTTGTTGCTTATGATCATATTAATAGTAATCATAATCATAAAGAAAAAGAAGAAGAAATTAATAAAGATAATAATATTAATAATAACAAAGATGGCAGTGATCATATTAATGAAAAAGAGATGAATGAAGTGATTAGTAATAAAGATGATCGTAATAATAAGAATAATAGCAATAAACAGAATGATAATAATATTATTCAAAATAGAATACAAATTTTATGGAATAAATCAAAAGAATCAGTCAATCATATTCAAAAACTTAGCGAAATCGAGAATCAAATCAGTGATCATTTCAAACAATATTATGAAATGTTAATGAAAGAAGAGAGTAAATTAAAACAACCAATCATTGATGAAATCGACCAAACCAAACAACAACTCGATCAAATCATCAAAGAAATACAATCATTACACAATATCATTCAATCGATCACTCCAACTCTGAAACCAGATGAAAAGAGCAATAATCATGATCATGATATACCAAATAATAATAATGAATATGATATTCTACCAGATATTACAATCAATTATTCACTTCCAACATTGATTGAATCAATTCGACAAACTAAAACATTCGATCAATTCATTCATAATAATAGTAATACAATATTTAATCTTGAAAACAAAAAACAAACCAACAATGAAATCATTGAATATCTAAAAGATAACAATGAAACCAACAAGAATAAGAGACATAAGAATAATGATAACAACAAGACAAGTAATAATAATATTTATAATTCAATATTAGGAATCATTCGCAATCATTTCAATCAACATAATATCGATCAAATTGTCTACAAGAATAATATTTCAATCGACAAGAATGAGAATCATCAGAGTTATTTTAATGGAGTCATAAATCTCATTCGAAATTCTCTCAACCTCAAACTTGATGCTGACAAAACAACCAATAATATCAAACATATTATAACTATGGATGATGACAATATAGTATCATTATACAAATGGGATTACAAATCAGGAAATCAAATGGAATTAATGGAGAATGAATCAAAAGAATTGACAGATTTAATTAGAACCAAACTGGATACCGATCAAATTTTCTTTGTATCATCAAACTCAACCATCTATGTATTCCCAAAGGAAGATAACATATTCATTGCCTACTCGATCATTGACAACAAATTCAGACTATCTTCGTTTTACCCATTATTTCATCCTACATTCATTGGTCAGCCTTGTTTTTTCTCAGACGAACTATGCTACTTGTATCTCTATTGCAAATCCAACGAAGATTTTGAGGACAATACATTAATCATTCGATTCAATACCATATTGGAGGAGTTTGAATTATTTCATTATCATAATAATTCAAAAGACAGCATCCCAGTGGCATTGATTGATAATCATCACTCAATACCATATACATTCAATATATACTACGATTCTTCTTTAAGAGTGATCTTTCTTGCTAGATACAATGAATTAATAACAGATGTTGAAGAAGTCCATCCGATTATCAGTAAAATAGAACCGACATTCATCACCTCTTGTTTTGCTGGTAAAACTGGTTATCTTTATTATGGCGATGAAAATCAAGACTATTTCATTAAAATAGAATCTATTTATGACTACAAGATCACAAATCTTGCCACAATTGAAGGACGTGCAACCATAGAAGTAAGAGAAAATCAAGTGTTGATCGTAACACCAATGGTTTACAACTGCGACCAGGATGGAAATATCTATCTTTTCACAGATGATAAAAACTATTTCTATTCACTTAAAGACAATCAATGGAAAGAATCTCATTTTAATATTTCAAACATAAAATTGATAACCAATACAACATCCAGATCATTTTTACAAACGACGACTATTTAAGAGTTGGTGGTGTTACTATTTTCGAATTAAATACCCAATAAAACAATATTTTATTTCAATTATCCAATCTTTATTCGAGTCGTTTTAAAAATAAATTTATCTTCTAATCAAAAGATAAATTTATCTTCTAATCAAAAAATAGATTTAATATGGTTACATATTTTATTTATTATATTCATATTATTTTGATAATTTTTATATAATTCGATTTGTCTAGTGTTTAAAAATTATTCTATAGGATCATTCAATGACCTATTTAATTTCTTTTTAAAAAACAACCCAACCTAAAAAATGAAATAACACATATTATGTTTTCAGATCTATGAACAGTCTTTTAGTACTTTTAACACTTTTGAACAACAAGCAATCTCAGAAAAGTTTATTCAAGTGTAAGATATAACCAAAATATTTAGCATTGTTAGAGATAATGTGTGATTTATTTATAACAGAGTTGTAAATTATGTGTATCAATAGATTGGTTAAATTCAACAACAATAAGTCGATTCGATTACAATCTTGTATTCAAACAAGAGATTGAGAGATATGATGACTGTTTGGTTGCTCTCTACTGACATCTATATTTGAAGCAACAAGAAGGAATGTCATCACCAGTAAATAAGTACATAGTGTATTCCTAGGTTGGTGATTGATATGTTGTTGCTGTTTTTCCATACTTGTAAGATATCAACAACAACATTTAGAACAGTTAAAGAAAGATATCATCGCAGAATACACAATAGTACTTAGCTCTTAGATCGTTGATTTATTGGTTAATGAACATGTCCATAGAATCTAATGATAACATCTCTACTACATTCAGTGTATGCTTGATGTTGGTTTGAACAGAGATACCTCAGCAACATCAAGCCATGTACGATTGCTTTGAAATAGTAGAGACAGAAAAGATCGATCGGGAACGTGTCGATAGATCACAGTGGAATTAGGTCAGGTTAATCTCGATTGGAACCAGAGAAGGCAGCGATTTAAACAAAGTCGACCCAACCGAAGACTATAGATCCAGTTCTTTGAAGCAAAGTGATACACCTACAGAAGTGATATGGAAAGAACCTTGAGTTCGAATCGTAACCATCTTTCAGAATTGATCATTGAGCAAGAGGTCGACTAAACTGTAGACCTATTGTTCGGTTTGTACCACGAGAATCTGATAAAATGAACAGAGATGACTAGATTAGATCACAATGTTTGTTTCTACAAACCATCATTATAAGATAATTCAAATGCAATTAGTTAGGTATTCTAAATGTTTATTATATTGCTGCACTCACTCATCAAGATTTCATACTCATTTATTTATTTTCATTCTATACTCATAACAAGATTAGAAATGGAATAGTACAACATGATAATCACGTGAAACAAATCAATAAAACAGTACCCAACAACAATAATCAACAAAAGATATTAATAGAATACAGAATATTAATAATAATCATATTAAAAGTACAGATCCACCAAGTAATCAAGAAGATACAACAACAAGATATTCAACAAGATCAATCATTGAATCAATCAATCAATGTTCAACATTAATATCATTCATTCAATCGAATTCAGACACAATATTCAATCAATACACTTTAGATATCAATCATGATAATCATTACGATATCAAAGATATTCTTTCACAACAATATAATAATGATACAGATTCAATGTTATTAGATTCAATTTATAAGATAAATAACAACATCAACAACACAACGAAATCAATAATCAAACAACAATCATTTAATGATTATTATTTTAGGGAATCTTCATATTCCTTAAAAGGTCAACAGAAATTAGAAAATCTCTTTAAATCTTCAGTAGATCTTTTCACTTTACCATTTGAACAACCACAACTTATTATCAATGACAAACAAAACACCAAACACACCTATATCTTTTCAACACATTCTGATAATGGAGCAACATTGTTTGACATCACCAACAACTCAACAGAACCAACTGGAATCCATCAATTGAGAAACACTAATTTCAAATTTAGATATTGTCCAGTTATTCAAGTTGGTGATACCATCTATTCATTCAATATCCGGGAGAATAATTATTTCACATACTCGATTACCACAAAACAAATGAAAATCCGTGATATCGATTATGATGATGAAATTATTAATTGCACATTATCCTATGATGGTAAAGATCATATCTATTTGATGGGTTTGAACAAATATATTGTCTGATTCAACATTCATTCTCACGAAATCGATGACATCTTCGATAGTTATTTAAGAGATAACTACTATGGAGATGATGAAGAGGAAGATGATGATAATGATTCTCCTTTCCTCCCATCCACAATTTCGTTCTGGTACAAAAGCAAACTCTATACTTTTTCCGATTTCAATATTTATATGTCAATTTATGATCCAACCAAAGACGAGATAGAAGACATCGATATGCCTAGTGAGATGGAATATTATTGTGCATGCACCGATGGCAATGGAAATGTCTATTTCTACACAAATAACAAAACTTTTCATCGTTTCAATGTCGACACCTTGAAAATGGTCGATCTGAAATCTAATCAACAATTTCCTAATTCTTTGTTGTATCACAAGTTTTCAGATGAACAATCATATATTTATGTTCTTCGTGGAAATCAATATAACAAAGAAAATCAAAGATATTCAATCGAGAATGATCAATGGGAGATCATTTTTACAAAAGATGATTATTGTAGATCTTGTTGTAAAGGTGCTATTTTCGAATTAAATATGTAATAAAATTTATTATATTTCTATTATCTTCCTCTATATAATTAATAAATAAGAAATAATTTAATTTTATCTTTATCTTCCCAATATCCATTTTTTATAGTGTTTTTAAATGGCTAATCTTAGAGCTGCTGAACTGATTTTTATAAACTGAACATCGAACGTTCAATATTGCAGTATTCAACCTCTAATACTCGAGTAAAAACCCAAATATTTATCACCCCCATTAACTCGTTAATGTATATCTATTAGTGAAAATGCAAAATATTAGAATATCGACTAAATATTCTAGTTTTTAAACATTTTCAATATATTTAGAACGTATTAATATATATCTGTTTGTAAGCATGGCTGCAATCATCCAAACCTTATGATGTTTAGATGTGCTATCGATTTTACATGAAAAAAAGGGAAAACAAACTGAGGTTGCATTGCATTTTCTCATTCTTCCAATTGAGTTTTCTACTACTATTCGTACTTGCTTTATCCTATTATCAAATGTCTTTAGTTTTTCTTCTGAGAGATCAGGAGGTTCACTTCCTTCACAGAAAGGAACAGGTTTTGAGACCCAAAGATAAACATTTGGCAGAAGCAATTTTCAGGAAAGAAAAAGTATCATACATATACCAAGCTTGTTTATTTTGACCCCAAGGGAAAGATCCTCCACTTAGGTGAAAGTAACTTTGGTAGTATTGGTGATATTACATTATTGTACGATGATCGGCTATGGTTGAATGTTAACTTTGATCCTTTACTGTAATGCATTTCTCATTGCCATTTGGATCTACAATGGTTTCCCCTGACCTCATTCTAATATCTATATCTGGAGGAATGACATCCTTTCTTGCTATTTCCGAAAGTCTAATTCCATTGTTTACACAATTTGATATCCAGCACTTTCCACGAGTAAATAATAAAGATAAAACTGAATATGGAATAAAAATGACTAAGCCAAATTAAGAAGATATAGTTCTTCTTCAGTTAATTTGGTTTCTTTTTATAAATCGTCGAATGAACTCATATCCACACCAATCAAACTTGTGTGAAACATTGTGGGTTTTAAGAGAGACCAAATTACAGTATCTGTAATTTTGAATAGTTTATTACACTGTATTAATTTTGATTTGAGAAACGACAATGAAATATTAATTGTTATTATTTCTTTTACCTCTGGTGATGCGTTTAGTTTGTTCTTCTCTCGCTGGTGATTTAGCAGTTGCAGCTTTAGCTGGTGATTTAGCAGTTGCAGCTTTGGTGATCTTTTGTCTTTTTGATATTTGAACTTCCTCCACGGCCGTGTCTTGTTCTTCCGGTTCCTCATGTTCCACTGGTTCCTCATACTCCTCCAGATCCTCATGCTCCTCCAGATCCTCATGTTCCTCCTCTTCTTCAATAACCTTAGCTCTTTTGGTAGTGGCCTTAGACTTGGTGATCTCTGTTGCCTTTGTCTTGGTTGATGTTTTAGATTTTGAATTGTGTGACTTTGGAGACTTTGGAGTTAATCCGTCAACATTAGCTTTATCAATTAATAAAAAGAATTAGTAATTATAAGGAATAGTTATGATATTAAAATAAACATACGTATATTCTCTTTTACCCAGCTCTCATACCATTTATGACTATAGGATTTCCTGTGCTCAAAGAATTTAATTAAACAAGTAGGATTACAAAAATATAAGAAAACTCCCGAAATAGTTGATGGACCTTTAATACTAAAATAAGTAGAGCAGACCATATGACAAGATGTACAACTGACTCCTTTAGGATATTTAATTGAGATAGTTGTATCATATAGCTTATTCATCTGTATTCGAATAATCTCTGAACATTGGGGATCGTAAAAGTGAGCAGTTCTACAAATATTGCGAACCTTCAATCCAATGAATACAACAACCTTTTTGATATGTGATGAAGGTTTTTTACAAGAGTAGGCTATTACTTGGTTACAAAGACATGCAGCTGGTTTGTCGACTTCATAGCCAGGTATGGTTGGCTCCTCCTTAATCTTAATTTGTGATGGTAATGGTGATGAAAGAGGTTCATTATGGGACTTGTGTGTGCTATTGTTGTTCCTAATATTTTTGTTGCTATTATTGTTGTTGCTAAAATTGTTGTTGCTATCACTGTTGTTCTTGTATTTATCAGAATTGATTTCATCTAAATATAATTCATAATGTGGTCGTTTATATGATGATCGATATTGATTTAGATTGTTGTAATTGAAACTCGAGTCTATATTTGAATTGTGAAAAGATGGGTTATATGAAATGTTTGATTGATGATTGATAGTAAGATGATTGTTTGGTGAATATCCAATTAATTGAGATTGTTTATTGTTATCCTGCTTTACAATATGTGGGTATGTATCTCGTAATATTGATTTAATCTTTGAATATCGAAACTTGCTCTTTAAAATCTCTATGGATGACTTAGGGAAGATAATAATTGCAATTAAGATGCATTTTACTGTAGTATTATATTATTGCAATTAATAAACAGATATATATCATCCCAAGTTTTAACAGACATACAATACTTACAAACATGTTTAATTAAAATGTGATGATTTAACTTCTTATGACATAAAGGGCATACCTTTCCTTCTGCTTTAAAGTTTTCCTCTATTAAACTACGTCTTTTCGTTAAGGTGTTATCAATATAATTATCCATCTTATATATATATAAGCGCCATATATTGAAATATGCTAAATTTTTTTCAATGATAGTGGTTGTGGCTGTTTTTCACAATTTTTTTTTCTAAGTTTTTGCAATAGAGATTAATATTAAAAAAAATAAAATAAAATATCAAACCTTGTTAGATTTTAATAAAAATTAGATAAATAGAAAGCACTTTTATAGTAGATTTAGAATATAAAGTTTGTTTTATTCTTTAAAAAAAATTGAAAGAGTTTGGCCTCTGTTTTTCGATGGGTAAAATGAGTTTTCCAATCTGCATCGGAGTTCGGAGCAAGCTACAACGAACCCGAGAGATCAAAGAATACAGGAACAGACATATTTATCAATGTTATGAAAGATTCAATCAATTTCTCAAAGATCTTCAATCAAAAATTGGTGTTCAAAAAATAGTTATTGTAATATGGGAAATAGATATTTAACAATGATTAAATATGGAATATTTGGTTTTTTTTTTTTGCAGTTGGCTCTAAATCGAATAAAATAAAAAAACCACGCAGATCACATTAATCCCACTAATTTAAGAGAGCATGATAGTTTCATCCTTGGTTACTATGTAATCCTTGTTGTATTGATCTTCTCTTATCAAACATTGGAATAGCGGTTTAGGTAGTGGATTAACATGAATAGGATGCTCTCTTATCAGTGTATTGAATATCTCTTTGTAACGCTTAATATAATTGAATTTGATCAAGACACCAGGAAAGCAACCAAGATCATACCAATTACATCTTGGATTACGAAAATCCTTTACATATTGAAAGATCTTTTGATTCAAAACTACTGAACGAAGTATTTTCTTTAGCAAATGATAATCATTATCATTTGTATTATTTTCTAAATTTACTATTCACATGTTATGAATGAATTATTCTTATGATCAAACATGTTTTTAAATCTGCAAATGGGAATATCGGTTTTTTTGAATTTTAATTTAATTTTTTTAATTATTTTAATTTAAATTCCGATGAAAAAAAAATAAAACGAAAAATTATTTGAAATTAAATATTATTCTTTTTTGAGAAGATCATTTAGAATATTTATCATATTTATATATTAAATTGTTTTAAAGTATTATATTATATATTATATATTGATAGTTATATAAAGATGAATTTAAATCAAGTAAATTGGTTCCCATCAGAAAAACCAATCTATGATATCAACAAGAGTTGGGAGGAGAACTTGGAGAAAGGACCATTCGTTAGCGATAAATACAAGGTTTTAGAGCGTAATTGGAAGTCAAAGGATCAGTGGATCGATTTTTTGGGTCATAAAGTCGCTTCACCTCTCGGTGTGCCAGCGGGTCCACTTTTGAATTCGGCATGGATCAAGTTTGCTGCGGAGGCAGGTTTCGATGTCGTCACCTACAAGACTATTCGTTCGAATCCATACTCTGGACATCCAGTACCGAATGTACTCTATATCGATGTTCCACAGGGTCAGTTGAACAAGTCAGAGAGTGGCGGTACTCTTCACGCCACCACACAGATGCCCGGCGACATCGAGCAGCTGGCCATCACCAACTCGTTCGGTATGCCATCGAAAGACCGTGCATACCTCTTGGAAGACATAAAGAAAGCACAATCGTACTTGGCCGATGGACAACTGATGATCGTTTCCATCACCGGAACTGCAGCGAACGCCAGTGACTTTATCCAAGACTTTTTGGATGTTGCCAACATCGCGTTGGATGCCGGTGCCAAAGTCATCGAGGTCAACTACAGTTGTCCCAATGTATGTACAGGCGAAGGACAAATCTACAACAACCCAGACGAAGTCTACAAGATCTCAAAGGCATTGGTCGATATCCTCCAGCCAAAGGGTGTACCATTGATCATCAAGGTCGGTGTCATGGAAGACCGTGAACTGATGACAAAGCTATTCCGTCGTGCTGAAGAGGCTGGTGTCGCCGCTATCGCCGGTATCAACACCATGTCGATGAAGATCACCGACAGCAAGACAGGTGCTCCATCGCTCGGTGAGAACAGACTCACCAGTGGTGTATGTGGTGCACCGATTCGTTCGGCAGCACTCGACTGGGTAAGAAACGCAAGATCGATCGTCAACGACAACAAACTCAACCTCAAACTTCTCGGATGCGGTGGAGTAGTTTTACCAGAGCATTTCGATGATTTCCTCGAACAAGGTGTAGATATTGCTATGTCTGCCACCGGTTTAATGTGGGATCCATACATTGCAATGAAATGGCATAACAAACTTTAAATATCTTAACATATAAATAAAACTAAAAACTAAAAACCAATAATAATAATATTTATTATAATATATTTGATTTTTTTATTCGATTGTTTGTTTGTTTGTATTTAATTAATCGGCAATTGATTTGTCAATCATTTGTTCGAATGAAAGGTTCTGCATTTCATCCATGGTCAATGTGTCAACGATATCGAATCTGGCACCTTGTGAAGTGAGATAGTCATCCAATCCCTTGAGGAAAGTGGTTGCACTACGGTCTCTACCGATTTGAATAAAGGAGATCGAAAGATCTTCATCTCTTGTGAGTCTGTTTGCTGTTGCGATTATTAATTTCTTTACATCCGATTCATTGTTTGGAATACCATCGGTAATGACCAAGATAGTCTCTGGTTTATTTCCTTTGATGAAATGATCATCGATAGCTTGTTTCAATACACCATGTAAATCAGTTGTACCACTAAATTAAATAAAGATATAATTATTAATAAATTTGATTTGATTTGATTTGAACTACTATGTTCAATAGCTAAAGATATAACTATCATTCTTACCTTGGTTTCTCACGTTGGAATAATCCCATTACCATATTTCCATCACGAATGTTCTCGTATTTTGGATGTCTTGGCGATGGACTGGAGAAGAAGTAAACTGTAATTCCATCTGGATCGGCTTGGCAAGCGAATGGTGCAATCTTGGCAACGGCAGCCGATGCTTGGTTCCAGAGTGAACCTGACATACTACCTGATTTATCGATGATCAATGTGTAGTCTCTTGCATATCTGTGTTTGACGTGATCAAAGAACTTCACTAAACTGACACCTCCTCCTGCTGCTGGTGCTGGTGCAGCGGGTGGAGCACCGTATTGACCTGGAGCTGCTGGTTGTCCGTATTGTCCTGGTGGTGGATAAGCACCTGGTTGTGGTTGACCGTATTGTCCTGGAGCTTGTGGTTGTCCGTATTGTCCTGGAGGTGGGTAGGCACCTGGTTGTTGTTGTCCGTATTGTCCTGGAGGTGGATAAGCACCTGGCTGTGGCTGTCCATATTGTCCTGGAGGTGGGTAGGCACCTGGCTGTGGTTGTCCGTATTGTCCTGGAGCTGGTGCACCTGCTGGTGGCTTACCGTATTGTCCTGGAGCTGCTGGTTGTCCTGGAGTTGGGTATGGTTGTCCGTATTGACCTGGAGCTTGTGGCTGTCCATATTGACCTGGAGCTTGTGGATGTCCGTATTGTCCTGGTGGTGGATAAGCACCTGGTTGTGGTTGTCCATATTGACCTGGAGCTTGTGGTTGTCCGTATTGTCCTGGTGGTGGATAAGCACCTGGCTGTGGTTGTCCATATTGACCTGGTTGTGGTTGACCGTATTGACCTGGTTGTGGCTGACCATATTGTCCTGGTTGTTGTCCATATTGTCCGGGAGCTGGTGGTTGTCCGTATTGACCTGGAGCTGGTGGTTGTCCGTATTGTCCTGGAGGTGGATATGCACCTGGTTGTGGTTGTCCATATTGTCCTGGTGGTGGATAAGCACCTGGTTGTGGCTGTCCATATTGTCCTGGAGCTGGTGCACCTGGTTGATTTGGAGCTTTACTCATTCTCTATGTAAATTATACAAAAAAACTAACAAAACTAAAAATAATATTCTAAACTAACAAATATAATACAAACTATAGATAAAAGTATCTTTTTAAGATATATATAATAAAAATACAAAAAAAAAAGCTGAACTGAAAAGAAAAAGAATTAATTAAAAAAAGAAAAAGTAAATAGGTGTTTTAATTTTTAGTAAAAATAACAAAAAAAAAAAAAAAATTCAATTTTTTTTTTAAAAAATGTGTGGCTTAAAATAGTCTGCCTGAAGAGCTAACCATATAAAAATCTTACTCTTAAAGTCTTAAAACCTAGCAATTCCAACACCTTGTTTTAAGACCATGTCTCTAAACACGTTGTTTCAAACATTTGCATATTATGTTTTTTTAGATAAAAAGAAATGAATGAACATCTGAAAACTCTTACAATCCTTATTATTATGATAATAAGATTAATCAAACTAAATAATTTATTTAACCATCAATAATTAAAGATTTAAGAATATATCCAGATTAAAAATTTAAATAACAATAGTTTTATTTTAATTTATTTTTATTTATATTTATATTGTTGCTTTACATTGTATTGGTTTAAAAATACAAAAGATAAATAAAATATTATTGTGGGGAGATGTTTCTAATAAAACAATTACGTTCAAGAAATAATCTAGATTTTATTTCTTGCAACCAAAAGCAGCATAGTTTTTTTTTTTTATGTTTTTATTTTTTTTCAGCCATTTTTCGTTTTTGGCAAAGATTCCATCAGTTTTACAGTTAAATTTTCCTAAAAATATCTTTTTTGATGATGTTAAAAATAAAAAATAAAACTTTGAAGATTATCTTTTAAGACTGACTGGACTTAAGCATCAAATAAATCATAAATGAATAGTTATAAATATTTATTTCAATTACTTTTAATATTATTATTATTTTGTAAGTTAGTTTTTAATTAATTATAAATATCTGTAATGTTTAAATAAACTAATAAATCTGAATAAAATAAATTTATATATATTCGTATTCAAAAAAAAAGGTTTTGGGACAATTCATTCAGTAAATACAAGAGATGTTAGTGTTCTCTCAGAATTCAATCCCCTGTTTGTCGATGGAAATTCTGAATGTGCTTTCGATGTTTACATCTCTGTAAACGATACTACTCAGGTGAAATTGATTACATTGTCAAGTGGATCTGGAAATGTTATCAACATAACTTCGACGCGGATACCTTTTATGACTCTAGAGAATCAGATGTTTCTCTTGAACGTACTTGCCAATCCTGGTGCGGTAAACCTGACGATCGAGATGGACGACGGAAACAACTACTTTTTGGGAACGACAACATGTTCCGAACAAACTGCTAGAATCACTGTTAAGGACACCAAATTCATTCGAGCGAACGACGGTAGCTATTATGGTGTCATTTTCATCGAAAAAGACAATGTCCTCGCCAGCTCAAATACACTGCAACAAAATATCCTCTATCTACTGGATGGATACGCCAGACCTTTGGCCAATCAAACGGGAACCATCACTGTTTTAAATAGAGATGCTACTCAACTAGGTTTCAAGTTTGCAATCAGTCAACCATACGCTTCGTTAAACTCTGATTTTTATATAACATTATCTATCTTTGGTGATGTTAAGTCAAAATTTATTGTTCGCAATCCATTCGATATAGGTAACTACACTGTAAATTCTAGAATATCTTTGTTTATTTAAATTCAACCAGAGGAATAATTCTTTTATATTCAACTTTTTTTACTAATCTAACATGTTACAAAAACAAACCAAAATATAGTTTATAGTGTTTTTATGAACGGAAGCACAAATTTTCCAATTCAAAATGCTATTATAAATGAAAATCCAACAACCATTCAGGATACATTTCCTCAATTTGCTCAAATAGAGACATTTAATCAATCAAAAGGATTCTTGAGCACTGGAGTCATGCCTGTCAGAGATTGGGATAATCAAACTACCTATCTCAGTCCATTGTCTTCCGATTTATACTATATGCAAGCTGTCTCTATTGAGTTGAACATCTATTCTCTAACTATAAATAGGGCTGTCGGTAAGTGAAGTGTAAACAAAGTATTTGTTTTTTCAGCTAAAATTGCATAACTAATAACTCTATCTAATATGGTTTATAGATGTCTTTCCAAATTTTAATGTTACAGCTGGAAGCTATCCAAATGCTGGTTGCTATATATATAGTGTAAATCTATGGGCAAATAAAATATACATGAATAATATCACGAGTAATGGATTCACCACTACCATCAGACACCCAAACGGATTTGAATCAGGCAGATACAAATACTCGTTTACTTTTCCATGGCCATTTAGTGTCTTTTCATCGATTGTAAATTTTCAGGTACCTCCACTGGTGGTTAATCTCGCCACCACCTTGTCTGCTGTTCTCCCAGCACCAAGTAAGTTAAATACACAAAAACTATTGTTATTTGGAAACAAAATCAACTAATATATTTATAACTTTTTTTCGAAAAAAGGTCCTAATATTTTTATAGAGAAAATTAATATCAGATATTTTGATGGTATTGCAAATATTAGAGTTCAATTCATTTCAGTTTATCCGATAAGAAGTATTAGGTTCTCTTATTTGGAGATGACTCAATCAAATTTGGTGTCTGGAAGTACTACTGCTGGTGTTCTAGAGGCAAACATCGAAGGAAACAACATGCTGCTGATGAAAAATGAATATATGATAGTCTCTGACCAATCGAATTACCAAATGGGATTGTCAAACTTGTTCTATACCAACATAACAACCAATACATCCTTCCAAATCGAAGATATCACCTATTTCGAGTTTGGAGTAAACAACATGGAACTAAAAAGTGGTATTGATGTAAAGAATACTCTTTTCTTAAAAGTTAGAAGCCCAATACCTTATTTTACACCATCTCTCAGTTTCCCAAATACTGGAAAATCATTTTCTGGTGTATTTGTTCCAGAACTTCAATTATATTATATCAATTTTGATGTTATCTCGTCACAAATAGCTGGAAATATGACATATACTCTATCAAATGGAATCGATACTTTCTCGAATAGTTATCTTGAGCTAGTAGGAATTAAAAATGCTACTTTAACAATTACAAAATCAAGTATGTATTTTATATCAATTATTAATTAGATTTTAAAACTAATACCAATCCAAATTAAGTTGGTGATATATTACAACCTAACTTATTAGACATTACTGCAATTCCCGCTCTCAAAGTTCTTGTCCCAAGCGATTCGAATCGCACAATTGGTTGGTCCGTTGCAATTAGAGATCAACCAAATGGATTTGAGTATGGTTTGGCTCGTGTAATATCATCTGCCAATACTGTTCCCATCGAAATATATTTTAATGGCGCCACTCGTACATATGGCAATGCGAATGATGGACTATATAATATATATTTAAACATTTCTGGAAATTGTGCGACACAAACCTATAGATTGATGAATTTGTATCTTTTTGATAAGAGTAATGTTATTCAATTCGATGCTCTATTATCGATGATTGGACGAAGGGATGATCAATTATCAATAACTGCCAATTGTCAAGGTAAATATATATTTAATTATTTCAATCAAATCAAATTGACTAATTACTTATTATTATTTTATTATTTAGATCCAATTGATATAGATCCACCAGAATTAGTTTCTTTAGTGGCAAATGAATTTGTTGACGTTGGATCTAATCAAAGAACGTTGGTTTTTACTCTTTTTGGAGCTGATTCTGGAAGTGGAATGTCAAAGTCTGTTACACCAGTGATTAAACTTATTCCACAATATCCTTATGAAGTTTTAACAATACCAACAGTTGTAAATGGCTCAAATGCCAAAGGAGTTACCTATAGAGCAACAATAGATCTTCCTTATGGTTATGGTTGTGGTGATAGTTTCATATTTTCAGTCTATGGGTTGGTTGATAATCATATGAATTTCATTTCCTATACCTCGATTGACTTAGAGAAAAATGGTAAGCCATACTTTGTAAAGAGATACTTTAATATTACAACACCTGTTCTCCAATCAACATCAACTGTCACCCGAAATCAAAATAGTTTCTATGTCCATGGTAAGGGATTTGGTTTGAACGTCATGCCACCTGCAATCACAGCATATATAAACTATGGAAATGGATATCAAATTACTTCATTTGAATACATCTCACAAACATTATTGAAATTTAATATTCAACCTAGTATCGGACCATTGAAGATCTTTGTTACTGTCAATTCAAAGTCCTCGAATGAATTGGTTGTCCTAGTATCTAACCCATCTCCTTGGGTTGGTTTAATTCCAATTCCAACTGTGACACCAACCTCATCACCATCTCCAAGTTGTCCAGGAAATTGTAACAATCGAGGACAGTGTACTTTCGACGGTTGTCGTTGTAACTTACCATACTATGGTCCATCTTGTTCTTCTGGTAAATATTATAACTAAATATCTTATATTAATATTAACATACTAATTTTAACTCTTAAAAAAAACAATATTAACAGAGGCAATCAATGTCACACCTCCAGCTCCACAAACAACACCAGTCACTTCAAACAATATCACTATAAATGACAATGTCGATTTTGAAACATCAATGAAAGTCACAACGATTAAGGAACTCGATGCAGAATTGAAGGAAATCAAAACATATACTCCAACAAACTGGAAACTAGATGACCAAAGCACTGACAATCAGACTGTTTATCTTTATTATTCAAAGTTGGAAGGAAGAGATACATTCGTCAATGTAACAATTGAATATTTCAAGGTTCAAACAAATATTACATTTGGTGATAAACAAATAGTACTTTCACCTTCTTCCATAAAATTTACGGTGGCACTATCTTCATTTAGCTTTACAGATAAACTTTCTAGTCTACAAGTTGAAATGGATATTTCTATTGGTAGTAATTCTGATGATGCTTGTATTTCAAATTCTGTAGGTTTGGACAATAGCGATAATGTACAATGGCTAAAAATGAATATCGATAAACAATCTCTTTATAGTAGATTTGTACCCTATGCTTTGATTGACGATAGACCTTTACTAATTCGTCAAAGACTCTTGGAACAATCAAACGAAACAAAATCAACCACCAACAAAGTCGGAATAATTATACCATTTTATTTTAATCAAGGTAATTAACAAAAACATTTTAAGAACTTCAAACATCTATATTAACTAAATATATTTTTAAATTATTTTAGTTTTGATTGATCCAGATTTTTCTCATTTGGTTGATATTGATGATAGTCCCAGTGCATGTGAAGGTAAAGATGACTCTAAAATAACAACAAAAATAATTATCGGTGTTGTGGTTGGTGTAGTGGGTCTAGCTATTCTTATATCATTGTCAGTATTTATAATCAAAAAAATTGGTAAACATAATCTTAAAATCAAAATTATCAAGCTAAAGAGATTAGGTCAAGATACCACCAAATAAATGTATATAAAAGTAGCTATCGATATCTTTACTTCAAAAATAAATGTAATTTGTTGTTTTACCAGCAGCAAGAAATCTGAATATAAATATATAAAGATTGTTTTAATATCTATTGATCTAATATAAAATTCTAAATCAACAATACAATCTAATATAAAATTAGTATAGATATTTAAGAATATAATTATCTTTTTATTTTGTTGGGAAGATAACTGGAATAAGAGTTTTGTTTTCTTGTTTCTCTGTGATTTCATATGATGATTGTACAGCTCCACTCCTAATAATATTATTAAAATGATAAGTATGAATTCTAGAATTTTTATTCTATTATTTTTAATAAATATTCTTACCATTTTGGATCAGCCAAAGCAGCTCTTCTTGCTTTAGTTCTGTCTTCAAAGTTATCATATGACCATAATGATACAACTGTATTTAATTTTCCAATCTCAGAGTAGAACAATCCACTTGGTGATGAATATTGCTTTCTTGCTTCAATACCATTTGAAATTAAATCCTCCCCTAATAAATTAAAACGTATATTAATATACTTATTTATTTTTAAATATTATCTTAGAAATAGTATTCTATACTTACATTTTGGTACTTGTCCTGCTTTAATTTGATAGGTTCTAAGTTCCCAAACTTTCTTTGAATCTAAATTCTCTGGTAAAGAGAGCTTTCCCCATGGGAACTCCTTTAAAACAATGTTTTCTTGTTTCAATACCATTGGTTTCATTTTTGCCATATATTTTTCATTCCAATCCTTATCGAAACGAAGATTGCTTCTAACTTGAGCACGATGATCAAGTGATGAATATTCCCAAAGATGAACAACTTCATTGATACCACCTAACTCTGACATCTAAATATATAAATCTATTAATATAAAATAATATATAATAATAATAAATGATTACTTTACCCAATATCCACATAGTTTTGAATGTTTAGCTCTCATATGCATATGCTCTTGAGTAAGTGAAATAAAATTGGCAAAATTCTCTAAAGAAATGCTATAAGTTCTTAATTCCTTTTTATTTTTTAAATGTATAATACACGGTTTAGAGTTAATAAAGAAACAGTAATAGATTAATATATTTTACTTACATAGACTCTATTTTCAACATCTTTTGGAATGTTTGTTGAGAATGTACGCTTTGATAAAGCTTGTGAAAGATTCTTAAAGAGAATTGTAGAGGTATTAAATTTGTTCATCTTTTGAAATTTAGATAGAATGATTAAATTCAATTGTAAGATGAAAAGAGTAATAAAATAAAGACGACTCATCAAACATGCATGCCTCGTCCAAAAAAAGATTTTTTGAAAAAAAAAATTAATAAAAAAATTAAAAAATTTGATCTTACAAAAAATATCTTGGAACCAGTGATCAGAAATATACAAAATAAATAAATTTAGTTTTAAAATACAAATTTTTATTATTATTATTATCTATTTTTTGATAGTAATATCTAACAACATTTGGTGTGACCACCATCGACAAACTTCTTTAGTGATTTGCTCATAAAGTATGGACGCTCTGGAGATCCATCGTTACGCTCACTATCCTCACAGAAACATAGCAACATGGTATCGATAGCCATGTCATAGACAGACATAAATCCACCTGAAATAAAGAATGCAATGAAACCGATAATCTAAATATTAATTGTGATAAGATAATATATGTTAGAAATGATTATTATTATGGTAATTTTGTTTTTTACATAACACTTACAATTACTGGTACAACATAGAAACCATCCTCTGCAATTCTCTGTAGAAGAATGAAGGAAATACCGATGGTAATAACGGTAATCAAAAGACGTCCCAAAAATATGAGGAATGCACTGATAACACTGACTGCTGCCACTCTTAGAACATTGCTTACAATCAGCGAGAATCCTCTTCTTGCACCTTTACAGAATGAATATCCATAGATTGCAACCTAAATAAAGATAATTAATTAATTAGTAAAAAGATAAAATGATTATATATGTTATGTTATTATAATTACCATGATATAAGCATTCTTATCAATAAACTTGATGAATCTTTCGAAACAACCGAATAGACAATTCAAACAACGAATTACAAATCTTGCGAGGAATGCTTCTTTTCCTTTGAATTTCTTCTCCAAGAATCTGAGTATCCATCGAATGAATTGGACGACCGCCAGAATGAGTGAACCGAATGCCAATGAACCAAGATGGTATCTAATGACTCTAAAGAATGATTTCCAAACCGGGAAGTAAGGTGTGTCTTTCTTATCCATTACCCAATACCACAATGCAATGGCACCTGCTAAAGTACATTGATTTATCGCCAGAATGAATGCATACGTCCAGAGTAAACCGAAAAAGTGATAGATTTGCATATATCTCAGTACTTTTGATGCTTCATATCCAATAAATACATCGTTTTCATCGTATGTTGGTGTACCTGCTGTACCAAGATAACTATAATAATAAATAATAAAAACATTAATAAATAGTTTATATTTATAATATAACTAATTAAATAGTTATTAAAAAAACCATACGCAGCAATAAACAGCCCAATAAGCCAAGAATGCACAAAGAGCAACGAAAATAAAAACAGGGAAGAAAAAGATAGATGGCATTGTTCCAATTGCTTTACTTGACTCCTTGATAATACCAATGGCCAATCTAATTCTCGAGAACATTGCCAAGATAATCAATGCCAATATACCTGTTATCACACACAATATAATGAATATAACTTTCAATGCTAAAACATTATCTTTTTGAGTTGGTAATCTTTGATTTGGTGGAATACTATCATATACATCAATTGCTTTTTGCCCTATTATTTAATAATACATATAAATATTAATTAATTATTACTATTTCTTTTACAAAAATTAATATTATAATAGATATATTTACATTGATAATAAACTTGTACACAAAGTAATGCTAAACAACCTATAACACCCATTACGGTTGCCCACGTAATTAGACCGGCAAAGAATCGAAGGAGGAAGATATAGACAAGTCCCAAACCCATTGCAATCAACGCACCATAGATAAGATACTTCCAGTTCTCGACGGTGTCTGAAAACACCTTGGTCGATGTATCGCCAAAGTTCTCGCTGATCACCTGGAAGAGCTTGTCGATGATGCTCTCAGTGGCATCAGTGATCTTCGAGGGTACACAACGATTGAGAACCGGTGTACTGGCGATACTACCCATACATGTACCCTGTGGGAATGTCTCGTTCAACGCCGGCGTCGTGTTGTAAGCACAGATCAACTGTGAGGGATCGTCCGGTGTCAAGTAGGTTTCATTCGGGCAGGAACTTACACAGATCGTTCTATACGATGCCAAACTCGGATAGTAGATAAAGTATACATATTTCTCATGGGTGAAATCTCGTGAGTGATTCGCTGGCAGTTTTCCAGCAGCGATATTATCGACACCACATGTATTACCTTCATAATCTGTTCCATATAACAATCTAATGATTTATGATTTATTTATTTATAAATAATATATTTGGTAAATTAATAAAAAATACAATTTTCAAAAAAAAAACAAAACTGATCATTGATATTTACCTTTTTGGATCACCCTCTTTAATTCCATAGTGAGCTACAACAGCCATACCAGCCCAGAATGCTAAAAATAATATTAAAAATAGACAGTCATGGCATTTTCTTTTCGAATAAACACCTTTATTTTTAATGACCTCTGTAGACTTTTTAATATGACTCTCTTTTTTATGAGTCATTTTTAAATTATATTCTCTGTTTTATTTATTTCTTTCTTGATAATAATAGTACAAATTTATAGTAATATAGATATAGATATAATAATTAGTTAATTTTAATCTGTACTACTCCCCATGAACAAGTATAGTAAATGAGTGTGTGTTGATCAATTCCGTTTGTATTTATTTAAAGTTTGATGTGTTTCACAAAAAATTAAAAGTTGAAAATATATTTAAAAATACTCAACTGAAATCAAATTTCGATCTAGATCGTTACTTGTTTTATGCAAAAAAAAATTGTTATTAATAGTTTATTTTTTATTATTATTTTTTGATCGATCAAAAAATCTGAATTTTGATAGTTTTTTTGTGCAAATCCTTGAATTCTTTAGAAATTGAGAAACCCTTTTTTTTTTTTTTGTGCCAACACAATTGTTAAACAAGTTTATAAAAAAGATCAAGTTTGGAACTCAATTAAAAAAGGTAAAATAAATCTAATAAAGTAAATTTTAAAGATGATAGATTAATTGATTGGTTGGGTGAGAAATTTAGATAAATGATACTAAACTTCTAAAAATGAATTTATTGTTGGTGTTTATTGACCACCACGGAGACGAAGAACTAAATGGAGGGTTGACTCCTTTTGGATGTTGTAATCGGAAAGAGTACGACCGTCTTCCAATTGCTTACCGGCGAAAATGAGACGTTGTTGATCGGGTGGGATACCTTCCTTGTCTTGAATCTTGGTCTTGACGTTTTCGATGGTATCAGAACCTTCGACCTCAAGGGTAATAGTCTTACCAGTCAAGGTTTTAACGAAGATTTGCATACCACCACGGAGTCTAAGTACCAAATGGAGAGTGGATTCCTTTTGGATGTTGTAATCGGAAAGGGTACGTCCGTCTTCCAATTGCTTACCGGCAAAGATGAGACGTTGTTGGTCGGGTGGGATACCTTCCTTGTCTTGAATCTTGGTCTTGACATTCTCGATGGTATCAGAACCTTCTACTTCGAGAGTGATGGTCTTTCCAGTCAAGGTCTTGACGAAGATTTGCATACCACCACGGAGACGGAGTACTAAGTGAAGAGTTGACTCCTTTTGGATGTTGTAGTCTGAGAGAGTACGACCATCCTCCAATTGCTTACCGGCAAAGATGAGACGTTGTTGATCGGGTGGAATACCTTCCTTGTCTTGAATCTTGGTCTTGACATTTTCGATGGTGTCGGAACCTTCGACTTCGAGGGTAATAGTCTTACCAGTCAAGGTCTTAACGAAGATTTGCATACCACCACGGAGTCTAAGTACTAAGTGAAGAGTGGATTCCTTTTGGATGTTGTAATCGGAAAGGGTTCGTCCGTCTTCCAATTGCTTTCCGGCAAAGATGAGACGTTGTTGATCGGGTGGGATACCTTCCTTGTCTTGGATCTTGGTCTTGACGTTTTCGATGGTATCAGAACCTTCGACTTCGAGGGTAATAGTCTTACCAGTCAAAGTCTTGACGAAGATTTGCATACCACCACGGAGTCTAAGTACTAAGTGAAGAGTTGACTCCTTTTGGATGTTGTAGTCTGAGAGAGTACGACCATCCTCCAATTGCTTACCGGCAAAGATGAGACGTTGTTGATCGGGTGGGATACCTTCCTTGTCTTGAATCTTGAGTCTTGACATTCTCGATGGTATCAGAACCTTCGACTTGCGAGGGTAATAGTCTTACCAGTCAAAGTCTTGACGAAGATTTGCATACCACCACGGAGACGGAGTACTAAATGGAGAGTTGATTCCTTTTGGATGTTGTAGTCTGAGAGGGTACGACCGTCTTCCAATTGCTTACCAGCAAAGATGAGACGTTGTTGATCGGGTGGAATACCTTCCTTGTCTTGAATCTTGGTCTTGACATTCTCGATGGTATCAGAACCCTCAACCTCTAAGGTGATGGTCTTACCAGTTAAGGTCTTTACAAAAATTTGCATGATTTAAATTTAAATATAATAACAGATAGATTGTTTGTAAATAAATATATTTATAGTAATAATAATAATAAAACAAGTAGTAGGTATTTAAGAAATATTTATTTATTTATATATATACAAAAGAGATAATTAGAAACTATTTGTTGTTGTTTTTGATGTTGAAATAAAAATAATAATGAGGAAGATCTTGTACACAATATATAAAATAGAAAAACTCAATAACCAACAACCCAAAAAAATAAATTAAAAAAAAAATAAATTAAAAATTTAATAATTAAATTTATTGTTTGCATAAATCGCTAAAAAAAGAATATTTTGCAAAAAAGTATATATGACACACTGTGAGTCAATAGGTTTAATTTACAAAAGTTTTTTTTTTTTCTATTTTTCCTTTTTTTTTAATTTTTGAACATTCTTAAGCCAACTTCTCAATTCTTTCTACCCAACAAAAAAAGAAAAAATTAGATTGTGTGTAGATGTGAACAGTTGTAATTTTGGATGACAAAAATACAATAAAAATAATATCAGATTTTTTTAATTATTTTTTTATTTTTTTATTTTTTATTTTTGATCAATTATTATTATTAAATTTTTTTTTTTTTATATGTTTTTAATTAATAATAAATTAGTATTAGTTATTTTCACATCACAAAATAAATTAATTTTTTTTTTTTTTTTAAGATGATTTTAAGTTCAGATTAATTTATGTTCCTTTATATATGTTGTTGAATGATTTATTTTACTGAATAAGATTTACAGTTTGTTCAACTAATTGATAAGACGAAAGTTAGAAGTATCTAGTTAGCTTCAGGTTCTGAAGGAGATCTAAGTTTCTTTTTTATTGAAGAAGATGCATTATAAAACTTAAGAGCAACTAAAGAGTTTCCAGTGTAATAAGAGGTTACTCTCTCTGGAGATAATGAATGCATCTGAAGCTCTAAACTGTCACTTCTACGATCCATACTCTCAAGTATCAAGGAAGGAAAGAAAGTATAAATGAAATGTTAATTAAATAAAAAAAAAATAATAAATTAAAAAAAACCTTTTTTATTTTTGTTTTATTCCAGAGTAATAAAAAATTGAGAAGTTCAATCAAACAAATGTGTTTTTCACAAAATTTTTTGAATCGCCAAAACAACTATCATTGAAAAATTGAATAAATAACCAAATTTGAATAATTTTGATGCGTTTTTGTTTTTTTCAAATTTCCCAAAAATCGGAATCGCAATTTCATTTTATTTTATTTTTTACAATGATTGTAAAATTATGACGGTTTATTATATAATGTAAAGTAGTGATTAAGTTAGTTTCTATTATTATTACAATATAAATAATAAATAATATTTAAAAAGTTAAAATAAAACAACAAATCACGTGATGGTTATCATTTGTAAAACAATTCAAACATTGAGAGATGAGATTAAATTGAAAAAGAAAACGATTAGAGCGTCGACCGGTAAGGATGAACCGACTGTCGGATTCGTTCCGACAATGGGATACTTGCATCGCGGACACATTTCGTTGGTCGAGCAAGCGAGAGCAGCCAACGATATAGTAGTAGCATCGATCTTTGTCAATCCAACACAGTTTGCGCCACACGAAGATCTGGCGAGCTATCCCGTCGACATCGAGTCGGATGTGCGTCTTCTGACCGCTGCCAACGCCGACATTCTATTCCTGCCATCAGTTGCCGAGATGTACGGAACCGACGCATCCACTTTTGTCGAGGTGACATCGATGGCACCGGTACTGGAGAGCGTTGCACGACCCGGACACTTCCGTGGTGTCGCCACTGTCGTCACCAAGCTGCTCAACATCGTTTCGCCCGACGTCATGTACATCGGTCAGAAAGACGCAATGCAATGCGTTTGTCTGAGAAAGATGGTACGCGATCTCGCTTTCAATACGCTGGTTGTCGTTGGCGACACCGTTAGAGAATCGAACGGCTTGGCAATGTCAAGTAGAAACAGCTATCTCACACCGGAGGAACGTGAAGAAGCAGCACTCATCTATCGTGAGATGACCAACATGAAACAACACTATCAGACCACCACCAGACAGGCGCTGGCCGACCTACTAAAAGACACACTGGAATCCGGTTGCTCAAAGATGAAAGTAGATTATATCAGTTTGGCAAACGGTGACACCGGTATAGAACTAGAGAACGACAGCGTCATACCAAACGGTGCCATCTTATCATTAGCTGTATTCTTCCACGGTGCAAATAGAAAAACAAGATTAATCGATGTAATCATATTAAATTAAAAATTAAATTAAATTATTAAAAAAAAAAAAAAAAGAATTCTACATCTTTTCAGTAATTCTTCTGTGTAATAAACATCTTGTCCAGTTTTTTAGTTTTCACCCAAATTTCGTTGGATTTTTAAAAAAATTTTGATGAGATTTTAGTTTTTCCAGAATTCATGTTTTTTTTTTAACAACTTGGATAGAAAATCAGTTAATATAAATACAACTGATCAGTTAGACAGTCAATGTAAATCATTCTACAAATAAAATTAAGATACAATTAAATTAAATTAATTATCCATTTTTATATATAAAATTATTATTATTATTATTTTTTTTTTTATTTTATACCAATAATTATAAACTATTTTAAAGAAACTTGCAAGATGTATATTTTAGAAGAACCAATTTATTATCAAAATAAAGTTAGACCAAACTATTACAATAGTAGAGAAAGACAACCACAAAGTTATGATGAATTTTTATTTGGACAACCACAACCAGCACTCTATGTTGAAATTCCAGTTTCAAGATTGAATCAATTCTATGGAGGTGATTCTTCTGATGAGGAAGATGAATATATGGATGAGGATGACTATGAACAAGAGAGAATAAATCATCTTAGAGAAAAACAATATTACCAACAATTAAGACAAGAAGAGCAGAGAAAGAAACAACAGCAATTTCAACAATTTCAACAATATCAACAGAGAAAACAAAGAGAACAACAGGAACTATTGGAGAGAGAGAAATTGAGAAAATTAGAAGATGAACAAAGACAACAACAAATACTATTGGAGAGACAAAGAAAACAGAAATATCAACAAGAGTTATTACAGCAAAGACAAAGAGAGCAACAACAAGAATATTTAGAGAAACAGAGAAAACAAAGACAACAACAATTTTTGGAGCAACAAAGAAAACACCAACAACAACAACAAGAACAACAACAAAGACAGCAAATTCAATTTGAAGAAAGACAAAGACAATTAAGAGAGTATCTTGAGAGACAAAAGGAAGAGAAATTGAAAGTTGAAAAGAAATTTATTCCCAAATATCAAATTTCTGATTCTGTTGATGGTTCAGTGTTGATTTCAGTTGAACTTGCAGGCTTCAAGAAAGAAGATATCAATATATCTGTAAATGGCTTACTTTTAACTGTTTCTGGTACAAAGAGTGAAGATACAATCAATTCTAAAGAGGATTCTCCATATTTCGAAGAGATTGATGACCAAGAGATCGATTTTATCAACTCTACCGACTCGCCTATTCCACTACGAAATCCATGGGCTAGTAAACAAACAACTCTTGTAAAACCAAAGCAAAATGATAGTTTCAGTTTACCATTTGAACTTTCAAAGAATCTTGATTTGACAACAATCAATGCCAAGCATACTAATGGAATGTTGAATATTAAAATCAATAGAAAACCAACTCAAAAATCATTCAGTGTTAATATCTTGTAATTAAATAAAAACAATAAATAAATTGTACAATATATAATTAAATAATAGATATTAAATTTAAGTAAAATATATATTTATTTTACATTTTTATCTGTGTTTTTTTATTTATATTAATTTCTATTTCGGTATGATTCTAATATTACGCTTATATATTTGTTTGTTTTATAAATAATATTTCAAGTTGTTTTGTTTTTTCTTCATCTTTTTAAAGTTGTAATTTAAAAGATTACTTCAATTTCATCACTCTCATCACTATTATAGTAATATGGGTTGTTGTATTCTTCTCTTTTATATTTTTGAAATTTATTATTTTGAAGTTGTTGATGATAAATAGGTGAAGATGAAGTTGATCTTATGTTGTTGGTTGGACTTGGTGGTTGTGGTTTTATTGTTCTAAATGAAGAGGATTTAAGCGCTTTGTTGTCAACTTTTTCAATTTTAAAGCTTAGAGCACAATATTCATATGGATCTTGTATTGGTGTTTGTAACGGTGGTGAAGCTCTACTACTATTGTAGTTGTTACTCGAAGGTACATTACTAGGAGTTCTTCTCTTTCTATATCTAATATCTTTACTCTCCATTCTTTTTCTAAGTAAAATCATTAAATAGTTATAATATTGTGGAGATGATAAATCTCTTTCAACTTCAATTTCTGACATTTTAATATATTATATAAATTATTAATAATTAAATTTCTTAAATTTCTTAAAGTATAAATAATAATAATAATAAATAAATAAGTTTTAAAGAAGATTATTTAGAGAATAAATAAAGAGAGAGTCCAAATAATTAAGTCTATATTTAAAATGATAATAGATTGATTGATTTCATTTCATTCACATTTCACCCCGAACTTAAATTAATAAACAAAATTGGAACCAGCCATCTTCAACATCACCACCTATCCAAGCAACTCCCTGCATGCCATCTACCAGAATTTTGATATATTAAAAATAATATGTGTGTTTAATTTTATATATAATTTTTTAAAAGACATTTTTAATTAAAATGTTTCAATGACAATACACACAATCACACACTCTAAAAACACACTACACACACCAATTAATTTAACCAAAAAAACATCAAAAACTTATTGGAATCATAAACTGTAAAGATGGATGGATTAAAAAAAAACAAAAAATTTTTTAAGTTCTAAACACACACATATTCTATTACCAATCCTTTTTTTTTTTTTAAATTTTAAAAGGATTTGTGTGTTCTGATCCTTTTTATGATACCACCAGACCACACCACTTAAAAAAAGGTATATCAAAAATTAAAATTCGTTGGTTGGATACAAACAACAAACTTCCATTTATGTAGATGGTTCAACAGATGCCACTTTTCTTTTTAAAATTGAATTGGTTAGTGGAATCGGAATTTGATTACTAACAAAGAATGCTCATTACTACTAATGTAAATATAGGTTGAAGACAAACCAAAAATTTATAACCACATTCTTTTTTTTTGTTGGTCGTCTTCCCTTAAAAACTAACCAAATTTCTTAAAATTGAATTTAAAGTCATATGAATAAAAGAATATCTGGTCCACCCACCAAACACTCAACAAGAATACTGATAAACAATTAAAAATTACTCTCAGATATATATTGCTAAAAATAACAACAGTTTTTACCACAAACACACAACACAATCACACATCTAAAACTTCAACTTAAAACTACCACTATGTACAATGTTGTCATAATTAAAACATAAATTTTAAGGATATACTTTTTTATATTTGGTAACTTCTTGAATCAATCTTTTTGTTTTCTAAACAATTTGCAATTTTCATAGATTTAAACTAAATTTGGATGAAATGAACCATGATTATTTATTTATAAATTCTAAATTTTCATCAATTCATTGATTCTGAAATTACATTAAACAAATCAATTGAAATGTTCAATCCAAACCATATATATCTCAATACATCTCAAACCAAAAAAAAACAAAACAACTAAAAATGAGGGTTGATAAAGTTGGTTAAATATTTGTTTGTTTTACTTTATAATAATAAAATTGTTTTTTTTTTATTTTATTGGTGATCAAGTGATTGATCGTCCTTTTCTTGTGTGGGTGGTGGTTTACTGAAATTCAATTTCTTGGTGGAAGTTAAATAAACGTCGAATCGGGTGTCTCTAGAACGGTAGGAAGTGTCGATACCCACCACTGGCAATACACGTTTTGGTTTCTTCCAAACGATTCGCTGTTGTGCAATACGCTTTGACAAGGCAAATAAGAGTTTCGACTCACGGTCACCACCAACCAACTTTCTTATCGCTCTGATATCCTTCTTGGAGAGTGCTGCTTTCTCGTCGTCCTCGCGCGACTGATACATTGGATCCATGTAGATGGCATCGGGTTGCAGTTCTGGCTCACGATTGATTACCGACACCAGATACTCGATGGAATCCGACTTTACCAGGGTGATACGCTCAGCTATCTCGCGAGTATTCTCATCGAGTTTCGCTTTCTCCAGTGCTTGGCTAACGAGATAGTGGAGAATTGGATTACGTTCGACCATTGTCACAGCGCTGCCAAATGACGCAATAATCCAGCTGTCTTTTCCAAGTCCACCGGTGACGTCGAGCACCGTCTTGGGCATCGATCCGCCACTCAGCCGCAGTGCACGAATCATCGGTGATTTCGCGTATGTCTTGTGTTCAGTTTTGAATTGCAGTTGACCAGCAGTGAAATCCACTGATACCTCACACTTTAGTTTCCGCTTGATCTTTCCACTCTTTGCTTCAAACATCTCAGTGTCGTTCAACGTGGTGGCGCTCGGTGTGACACACAACACCAGTTGGTAACCAAAGAATTGCTCTGGCAACGACTCAACCTGATTCAACGGTAAATAGTCAAGTCCGAGTTCCGTTGCCAGTCGCTTTGCATTTTCCACCTCGGAATCACCGGTTGTCGATGAAACCACGGTCTGTTGCTTGTTTATCTTTGAGAGCGAAGGATTCACTGCGATGCCCGGTGCAATCTCACGGTAGTATGCAGGATCCTTCGTATCTCTTCTCTCTTGCTCACTACTGCCAGCAAACTGTTGTGGTCTGTTACCACGTGGTACACGATCAACCTCCAAACTTTCCATCATATCACTATTATCAACTCTTTTGAATTCAATCTTTTCTCTTTGTTGCTGTTGTTGCTGTAATTTATTTGTATTGGTCATCTTTTTCTTTGGTCTACCTGTTTCCATATCATCATTGAAACTACCACTATTATTTCCAATCAGCTGATTGATTTCACTATCATTATTTTTCAAATCCTTCAATACTTTATTTAAATGTAAATTCTGTTTCTTTTTATTCTTTTCTAAATTCCATTGATTTTTTGCAAATTCTAAATCTTCTTCTATATTATTATTATTATTACTATTACTACTACTATAATTCCTACTATTACTAATACCTATACTAGATGTATATGATATTGATTTATATATATTTATGTTTTTTAAATAAGATCTATTTGATATAAATGATAAAGATTTTGATAAAGATAACATTGTTTTGTTTTTATATATATATGAGTATATCTTTGATCAAATGATGACAATTTAAACCAAATTAGACAAAAAAATGACGAAACAATTATATTTTTATTCGTTTTTCAAAAATTGATTTTTTTTAATTATATTTTTTTGTCTCCAGTGGTTGGTGGTCACATGTGAACTCACCTTAGATAGGTTAAATCAATCAATGTTTAATTTAACTTTTATGTGTTATTTTTCATTAATGTATTATCAGTAGTTTTTTTTGTATATAATTTCTATATTTTTATTTATTTATTTTTAGAATAAACAATAATTTAAATTTAGATAAATAATAATTATTAGTTATAAATAAGTAATAATAATTAGTTAGTTAATTTAATTAGTTAGTAAAAAAAACTATGTCTAAATTATTTTCATTTATAAAGAGAAATAAATTGCCTTTGGCAATTGGTACCGGTGCAGTATGGTTTGCGCATGCAAACAATATGTTCTCACCGTATCCAAGAGAGTCGTATTCCGATAGACACGATCGTATCAACCGATCGGCCTACTTTGAGATGGAACCGGATAAATTGCTGACGGCACCATTCCCAAGCCGTCAACAACAACTCGCCAAACTCGAAGAGTATGCAACTAAGCCAATCGATGTCATAGTTATCGGTGGTGGTGCAACTGGTTCCGGTGTTGCACTAGACTCTCAGACACGTGGACTCTCCACGGCTCTCTTTGAACGCGGTGATTTCTCATCTGGAACATCATCACGTTCCACCAAATTAATTCATGGTAAGCAAACAAGCAAACAAGCAAACAAAAAAATAGATAAAATTAGAAAATGCAAACAAATGCAATTAGCTAATATTTGTTCTCAAATATTGCTGTACAGGTGGAATTAGATATTTGGAATCGGCTATTATGAATTTAGATTATCAGGATTTGAAATTGGTGAAGGAAGCGTTGAATGAGAGATCGAATTTGCTGAATAATGCACCACATCTTTCTCATGCTCTGCCACTGGCGATTCCAATTTACAGTTGGATCGACTTGCCAAAGATGATGATTGGAACGAAGCTATACGATTTTTTCTATCCTGGAAACGATATTCCCGGTGCCTACTATCTGTCGAAAGCGAAAACAATGGAGAAGTTCCCGCATTTGAAAGACGGTTGTTTGGGATCGGTTATCTACTACGACGGACAACACAACGATGCGCGAATGAACCTGTCGATTGTCATGTCGGCGCGCGCCAACGGTGCACTCACCATGAACTACATGCAGGTGGCGTCACTCCTGAAGGAACAGCAAAAAGTGGTTGGTGTCGTTGTGGAGGATCGACTCACCGGAAAACAATATAATGTTCGTGCGAAATCGGTTGTCAATGCAACCGGTCCGTTTGCCGACGGCATTCGTAAGATGGACGACCCGAACGCCGCACCAATGGTAATTGGCGCATCGGGAACACATTTGATCCTCCCGCGTAAATATTGTCCTGACGACATGGGATTCCTCAATCCCAAGACAAAAGACGGTCGTGTCTTGTTTATCTTGCCATTCGAGGGCAGAACCATCGCTGGAACCACCGACCAGGCTGCGGACGTCACCTTCACACCAAAGCCAACACACGAAGAGATCCAATTCATCTTGGAAACGGTGTCAGAGTATTACAAAGACAATCTGACAGACAAAGACGTACTGGCATCGTGGACTGGAATTCGTCCACTAATTAAATCGTCGCCAAACACACCTACCTCAAAGATCAACCGCCATCACACACTCATAACCAGTCCATCCGGTTTGATAACGATTAGCGGTGGCAAATGGACAACCTACAGAGAGATGGCAGAGGAAACCGTCGATAAAGTCGTCGAACAAACACGTATCTTCACACCCAAAGAATCACATACCGTCACCATGAAACTATTTGGTGGTGATAAATATTATAAAGATACAGATAAATATTTAATTAAACGTAAAGTATTATTATTATTGTTATTGTTATTTGTCCAAACTAGTTACTAATTCTTTGTTAATTTGATTTCGTTCTAGATTTCAATATTGAACCAGAGATTGCCAATCATTTAGCACATACCTATGGTGATCAAGCTGTTAGTGTTTGTAAATTGGCAAAGGAAAGAGGATTGTTTAATCGTTTGGTACAGGGATATCCTTATATTGAAGCAGAAGCTGTCTATGCCGTACAGGAATACGCTTGTAACGCTGAGGATGTCATCGCTAGACGTACTAGACTTGCATTTTTAGACAATCAGAAATCAAGAGAAGCACTTCCACGTATCGTCGATCTGATGGCAACCGAATTAAAATGGAGTAAATCCACCAAAGAAAATCAATTAAAGGAAGCAAATAAATTCCTTGATACAATGAATTATTAAATAAACAAAACAAAATAAATTAAATAAACGCGTTTATCTAACTAACTATTCAACAATCATGATAATTCTCAATCAAATTAAATAAGTAATAATAATAAAAAAAAGGTAGTTTGTTTAAACTTGTTATGTTACATAAAAATATAATAATAAATTGTGTGTGTTATGTTACAATAAAAATATAATAATAAATTGTGTGTATGTATACATTTATTAGTTATTACTATTATTAACCATTATTGTAAAAAAAATAAAATTGATAAATGAAAAAAAAAAATTTTTTTTTTTATTTTTGTCTTTCTTTGTTGTTCACACAACAAAATTCCTTACAAAAAATAAAAAAAAAAAAAAAATCAAAAAAATTGCAAATATCTTCTTATTGTTATTAACTATTGACCATCATATCAGCATATTATTCAATCCATACTTTAATCCATCTGTCAAATCAAATAGAGAGAGTTTTTGTTTTATTTTAAATAAATTTATTTATTTATTTATTTATATTTATAGCAACATTTTAAATTTATTTAGGTATATATAATAATAATAATTGTAATTTAAACAACCACCACCACCATTTACAAATCAATATCATATCATATGAATTTTGACTGTTGTTGTCATTGTCATTGCTATTGTCAATTTGAATTTATAACCTTTTAAAGTAAAATAATAAAACAACCAAACAAATAAATAAACAAACAAAAAAAAAAAAAAGATAAATATAAATAAAATAAAAATAGAAATATCCAAAGAATGGATCAAAGTTTAATCAAATGGGTGAGTAGTTCTATTCTATTCTATACACAAAATACGAAACATATTTGCTCATTTATCATTACTTTTTATTATTATTATAAAATTTAGATTAATTCATTTGACAATCTATCAGAGAAATGTGATAATATAGAGGATTTAACAGATGGTATCATACTTTATGATATTTGTAAAGAAATGTAAGATATCTTTATTAGTTAGTTAGTTAGTTTATATGATGTTGTTAAATAGAAAGTAGTAGTAGTAGTTATTAATTATTTTTTTATTTTAATATTAAGATCACCTAAACATTTTGATACAACATTGGTATCTAGACAGGATGCAAAGGATAATTGGGTATTGCGATCAGAGAATGTAAAGAATTTGTTGAGTTCACTCGATAGCTGGTTCAGTTCAGAGTTGGGTTTGACAGAGCAGACCGTCGCTATCGATGCTGACACCGTAGCAAAGGATATGGATCCACAAGAGACAATAAAGTTGGTCGAGCTGATACTGGGTGTCGTTGTGGAGTGCGAAAACAAAGGTGAATACATCGGTAGAATGCAGAGTCTCGATCCAAAAGTACAAGGTGATCTCATGTTGATCATCGAGAAGATCATGACATCACATCAAGAGTTGATGTCCACTGCCGACCACTCAAGAACCTCATTCGATGGTGAAGATCAAAGGTAACTAGCTAACAACTTACTTATATATATATATATATATATATAGATAGACTTTAACTAACATTTGATTCACATTATTGTTATGATTTGTTAGTGAGGATAGTATAGATAGACAGAATCATCATTCACCGATTGACGATAGCGGTGTAAAGGAGAGATTGGCACAGTTTGAGACACAGATCGATGGTTTACAACGTGACAAATCGAATCTACAGAATGAGTTGGAAGAGATGACATTGACTTGTAATCAGTTGCAACGTGACCAGAAGGGTTGGGATCAGGAGAAGGAAAATCTGCTGGAGGTATGCTCTAATTTACAGCAATCACTTGAATCCGCCCAGAAGCGACTGGACGAGCAGAAACAACAGGCATCGCTCAACGTCATGAGTGACATCCGTATCAAAGATGAAATCAATACACTTCAACAGCAAATCGATGATAAAGAGAAACAAATTCAAGAGTTAAAGAGAAAGGTAAGAAGATTATCATTTATCTATTTAAACTATTTCAATAAGTTATTAATACTGTTTCTCTATGCATTTCAGATCGATGAAGGAAATAAACAGATAAATGAAAACAGAGAGTTACGAGATGAGATCGATATTCTAAGAGAGAAGGTTACAAATGCAGAGTTGGCAGAGGAGAAACTGAAGAAGTATCAACAAAAGATCGAGGAGATTGCAGAGCTAAAGAAACAAACAAAGACACTGGAGGAGAACAACGATAACTATTTGAATCAGATTCTCGATTTAGAGGAACAAGTCAAGAAGAGTAACACTTTCAAGACTCAACTCGAGTCTAGCAAGCAACAGGTACTGACATTGAAGATCGACAATACCAAGTTGGAGATGTCACTAAAGTCGATCAGCGAAGATCGTGATCGTCTACAATCGACCATCTCTCAAATGGAGTTGGATCATCAATCGTTAACCGGTCAACTCGATAGTCAAACCATTAAATTACAACAATTGGAACATGATTCAGAATCAAAATGTAAGTAACTAAACCACTTTTAATAATATCCATATTATTGACTATTAACATGTTACTATTTGTTATTATTATTATTATAGTGTTGGAATCATCACAGTCATCTTCATTTGTAGGTGGATTGGATCAAGTTTTAGATTCCTCGACCAAAGAAAGACTTGCAAGATTGGAAAGAGAGAATAAACGTCTAAAGGAATCGGTTGAGAGATTGGAGGAACTTGAAAGTCAGCTTGAGGAAGCAAACAGTTACAAGGAGATAATGATGAAGGAGATGGCAACACTCCAACAGCAACAACAACAAACAAGTCCAAGCCAATCATCGCCATCGGAGCAACAGATGCAACAACAACAACAACAATTGCAACAACAGATACAACAACAGCAACAGCAATCGGTTGTCATTCAAGAGTTGAATGGTAAGATCTTGGAGATGAACAATAAGAATCTACAACTGCAATCAGAGATTGAAAAGATGAAGCAATCGGTCGAGTCTGTCAATACGACATTGTCATCGAAGAACCAACAACTGGAAGACGCCACCAAGCAAATCGACGATCTCAGAAAACAACAACTCGACTTGCTGTCCAAACAACAAGTTGAATCGACCACCGCCGACTCCGAAGATAAGGGTAAGGTTGCAGAGTACAGATCTGAAATCGAAAAACTCGAAGGTTATCTTAGAGCTGCTAGAAAGGTAATTTAGACTATATTTATATTAATAATAGAGATAATAGTTATAGTTTTTATTAATAATAATATTATTTTCATATATACACAGATGATCAAAGCACACAGAGAAAAAGAAAAAGAATTTGAAGCTAAAGAAGCAAAGATCACAGCTCAAGAAGAGTACATTGCTAACGTTGAAAAGAAACTCAAGCAAAAGGACGAGAGAGTCGACAGCCTGGCCAAGCAGATCAAGGAAGGAAAGGAAGCTCAACAAAGAGAGTTGAATCTAATGTTAACTGCTTTTTTGAATATTGGTGTAGAGTTTGAGAGATTAAAGAACAGTGATATCATGAGCAAAGATCCAAGATCCTATTTAAACAAAAAGAGAACTGATTGGAATAATTAATTTAATTAAATCTAAAGAACCATAAAAAAAGATCAACTTTTATATATATTATAAATAATAATAATTACCATCATCACATCGCACCCAAAAAGCTCACAAATAATAATACTATTACATTTATCATTTTTTTAAAAAAAAAATAATACAATAAAAAAACTATAAACAATCATTCATAATATTCTTAATTTAGACTTTTTCAAAATAAATAATGAATGATTTACAGATGATTGTTGCTATCTGTTAATAGAAACTTAAAAATTTAATTAAAAGCATTGTTTTTTTTTTTTTGTTGTTTTTTGATCACTATTTTAATTAAAATTTTAATTTTTTTCGATATTCTCACAATATTTGTGTAATAATAAGTAAATAAATTGAAAGTAATTAATAATGACCAATAAATGTTTAGTTCATCAAAGATCACACGAATTCATTTGTTATCAATGTAATAGTTTGATATGTTCAAGGTGTATCACCGGTCATAATAAAGATCATCCTGATCATTCCGATCAATGTGAACATATCGATGACATCAAACATTCATTGATTACATTAAAGTTAGATGATATTACTGACATCACCATAACAACAACCAATAATCATATTAATAATGACAGAACTGATAATAATAATAATAATCTTTATAATAGTATTAATTTTCATTCACAAATCAATAATAAACTTAAATCTCTGTGGGGATCATTAAGATCATCGACATCCAGATATCAAAGATTATCAACAACAGAGAATGATATCAAACAACACTTTGAACAATTACATCAATATCTAATCATTGAAGAACATAAACTACAAAGAGATATTATCAATGATAAACATACAATCACAAATCAAATCGATAATAATATAAATCATTTAAAATATTTATTAAATATAATTAATGTATTTAATAAATTAAATAGTAATAACAGTAATAATAATGATAATAGTAGTTGTGATGATCAATCAGATATTGAAGATGCAACATCATTATATTCAACAACAACAATAATGGAATCAATAACAACAAGTTCATCATTACAATCATTCATCAATCATAATAATCAAACATTATTCAATGAACATAATTTTAAATATAATAATTATTTCAATATTGATGAACTTCTCAAACAAAATTCCTCAGATTCGACATCATTATTATTAGATATCATTCATAAATACAACAATCAATTTCAATGAATCAACAACAAAAACAGACAATAATAACTTAAGATTATCATCATATAAATTATCAATCAAACAACCTGATTTCAATCAATTGAATTCAATCATTGAACAATCAATCAAACTTGATAATAAACACTCATATATATTCACAACAAACCAATCAAAAGGAGCAACACTGATCAACACATCAAACAACAATTCAATTGAAGAATTAAAGTTTGATTATCAATTTGATGGTACGCACTCCTCTATTGTTTCAATTGGTGAATATATCTATATATTCGGTGGATATACCAATGAAAACAAATGGATTAAAATATCAATGAAATCGAAGTCAATTGAACATATTGGTGATATCGAAGGAATCAAAGGTGATCAATTAATATCAGTTTGTTATGATGGTCAAGATCATATCTATTTAGTGAATGGTTGGAAAATAAATAATAGAATTGATCGATTCAACATCAAGACAATGAAATTTGATCGATATCATCAATTACCTGATCGATATGATCGTCAAGCATCATCAATGATCTTCAAAGGTTCATTATATTCAATATCATACAATAAAAATAAGCTATTTCAATTCGATTTAACAAACAGAACGATAACAGAACATCAAATTGACATTATACCATGGTCAGCATGTCATGATAACAATGGAAATTTCTTCATATTAGATAAGAGAAACAGTCAATTCATATTTAATATATTAAGCAAACGATTCATCAAATACAATGTTGAAACCAAACAAACAACCAATCTCAATGCAGGTCATCTCGCGAATGCACATTTTACATCTTTAATGTATCATCGAGAATCATCAACATCAAGTTATATCTATTCATTTGGTAATTATAATGATTGTAATTTCAAATATTCAATTGAAACCAATCAATGTGAAGCAACTTTTAGAAATATTTCCAATCACAAAAGAGCAGAGTGTGCATCTACATCAAATACGTTTTAATAAATTTGTTTTTAAACCATTTCAATTAACAACTTAAAAGTTAATAAATACCATTTTACTATAAAATGGTTGTTAATATTACATTACATTACAATATTTCTTTTAATTAGTTTATTGGTGAAGTCAGAGAAGTGATGAGAAGTGAACACCAACCTCAACGATAACGGTTGGAAATGGATCGTTCACTGGATTGGATGGTAAGAGCGGGATGATAGATTGTCCACCTCTACCTATTGGAATAACGCAATCGTCTGGTAGGTATCGAATGTTGGGTGCAACATCGATCATTCTTCCTTGTTGACTGAGTAAGTGTAACCTACGATTCTCAGTGATATCACTACTGACCCAAGAAGAAATCTCCATGAACTGCAGATGGATAAAGCTGTGTGATATAAACTCTACCATTATCGTATTGGAGTCTGACCTTTGGATCTCTACCTTCCGATAGTTTATATATTTTTTCAATTGTACATTCTCCTCGAGGACAAATCGATAGGGTAGACTAGATAAATCTTCTTCTAAGGTTGTTTACAATTGGAAGGTAATACTAGAGTTTGAAAAAAACAAGAATTAGAATATTATTTCATAAACTCATATGAGAACAGTTTGTGTTTATTGTAATAACTAATAAATAATAAACAACTGATTGTATTGTATTAACATTATATAAATTATTAACATACTCATAACTTCTGCTGTCTCTATCTCATTATTAATTTTGTTTCATTTTTATCCTTGTCGTTACGATCTCTTTCTCTTTCCGTTGATCTATGAATGATTCTTAATGATCGACAAATGCCTTTGATGTAGGGACTTTTGGTGTTGGTAGTGGTTGATATACATCGTTCTTTCTCTTTACTACTTCCACTAAAAATGACTTTTGTTGTATGTTGGTTATTGTTGCTGATACTTCTGATTGAATGTCTATTTCCTAATCGATTGCTATGAGCAAACAACTATAAATAATTATAATGATATTCTTGCAAACTTAGTGTGTCAGTCGCGCAAAATAATAAAACTATCTAATTGAATTAATTAAATATTCAAATTCATTACTTTATTTAATATTCTTAATTAATTAGAAACGTTACACATTTTTTTATCGACTAGTCATTACAATAAAAATCTGATTGTTTTTTTTTGACCTGCATAATTGAATCATTTTCACCTCTAATTTTACTTTTTTTATTAAAATAAATGCGCAGAGGTCCGGAAGGGTTGTGAGTTAGTTTCTTTTTGGTTTGCATCCTTTTCTATTTACCAACATTAATAGGATATTAAAAGTTAATAATGACAGTTAAATGTTTGAATCATCAAAGATCACTCGAATTCATTTGTTATCAATGTAATAGTTTGATGTGTTCAAGGTGTATCACCGGTCATAATAAAGATCATCCTGATCATGCCAATCAATGTGAACATATCGATGACATCAAGGATTCATTGAGTACATTGAAATTAGATGATATTATTTACAGCAACACAACAACAATCAATAATCATATTAATAATGATAGTACTAATAATGACAGTGTTAAAAATAGTAATAATAATAATAATTCTCATTCATATATCAATAATAAACTTAAATCTCTATGGGAATCATTAAGATCATCGACAACAAGATATCAATCATTATCAACAACAGAGAATGATATCAAACAACACTTTGAACAATTACATCAATATCTAATCAGAGAAGAACATAAACTACAAAGAGATATTATCAATGATAAACAAACAATCACAAATCAAATCGATAATAATATCATAAATTTGAAATATTTATTAAATATAATAATGTTATTTAATAAATTAAATAATAATAATAACAATAATAATAGTAATGAAGATACGTCAGTAATTGAAGATACAACAACATTATATTCAACAACAATAATGGAATCAATAACAACAAGTTCATCATTACAATCATTCATCAATCATAATAATCAAACATTATTCAATGAACATAATTTTAAATATAATAATTATTTCAATATAGATGAGCTTCTCAAACAACACGATAATGATTTGACATCATTATTATTAGATATCATTCATAAATACAACAATCAATTCAATGAATCAACAACAAACACAGACAATAATAACTTAACATTATCATCATATAAATTATCAATCAAACAGCCTGATTTCAACCAATTGGATTCAATCATTGAACAATCAATCAAACTTGATAGGATAGAATCAACTGAATCAATAAATACAACAACAAAAAACAACAATGATAATAAACAATCTTATATTTTCACAACACACCAATCAAGAGGAGCAACACTGATCAACACATCAAACAACTATTCAATTGAAGAATTGGAGTTTGATTATCAATTTACTTATACCACCTCCTCTATTATTTCAATTGGTGAATATATCTATGTATTCGGTGGAATAGAAAATGAATGGAAATGGATTAAATTTTCAATTCGATCGAAATCAATTGAACATATTGGTGATATCGAAGGAATCAAAGGTGATTATTTGATATCAGTTTGTTATGATGGTCAAGATCATATCTATTTAGTGAATGGTTATCATATTAAGAATAGGATTGATCGATTCAACATCAAAACAATGAAATTTGAATCATATCATCAATTACCTGTTGGATATGGTATGCAAGTATCATCAATGATCTTCAAAGGTTCATTATATTCAGTATCGCACAATCAAAATAAGATGTTTCAATTCGATTTAACAAACAGAACGATAACAGATCATCAAATTGACATTAAACCATCATCAGCATGTCATGATAACAATGGAAATTTCTTCATATTTGATATGGCAAGCAAACGATTCATCAAATACAATGTTGAAACCAAACAAACAAACAATCTCAATTCTATTCCTCTCAAAAATGGACAGTTTCCATTTGTGATATTTCATAGAGAATCACCAACATCAAGTTATATCTATTCATTTGGTACCACTAATGATTGTAATTTCAAATATTCAATTGAATCCAATCAATGTGAACCATTCTTTAGAGATATTAATAATCACCAAAGAGGGTTGTGTGCATCTACATCAATTATTTTTTAATAAAGAGATCACATTAGACGTGGTGCATCTACATCAATTACATTATAAATTTATAATAATATTTGATAAACTTAGCATTTAATGACACTACCAAAACATTTTTATAAAAAATAATCAAAATTCAAATCCATATAAATTACAAATTATCTTTATTTCTCTTTATTTTGTTTTAATATAACAAATGAGACGATTTTGGTTGAATGAATTTTAATAAGAACTTGTCTATTTTCTGTGTTTCCTCTATCAAATTTCTGATTGTTATCAAATCTATAGAGGGAGGAAAACCATGAGGAACGACAGGAGGAGGAGGAACTCTATTAAATACATTCGCACTATGTAGTTTGAGTATATATTGAAAACCGGAGGGAATAACTGCGAGTACATACGGATTGATTGTAATCGGTTGTTTATTGCCAAGTATTGATGCTTGACTCACACCTAGTTGAAGAATCTGTTCCATTGTTTGACCAATGTCGAAGGTCTCGTATCAAACGAAACAACTTGTGTTGGAATGGTCGGATTATGTCCAGGTGGTCCATCTCTGCTTTAAAAGAGCTAATGCACAAAATGTTGTTGTACTTGGAGGTCCACCTTCAAAGTTCTGATTTGGATAGCGAAGAAACAGATTCAACATATCATATATTGGATATCAGTGGTCTCTCCAAGATATTTGGCAGCTCGTCGATTGAGTCGGAGAAGTGAACACCAAACTCTATGATAACGGTTGGAAATGGATCGTTCACTGGATTGGATGGTAATAGCTGGATGTTTGCTTGTTTCATTTACCTCTTGGAATTACACTATTGTCAGGTCTATCGAATTTTGGGTACATCATCGATCATTCTTCCTTGTTGACTGATTTAGTGTAACCTACGATTCTCAATGGTATCACAACAGACAAAAGAAGAAATCTCTCCTTGAACCATAGATGGATAAAGCTGTGAGATAAACAGTTGCATTATCATTGAATCAGAAGAGGTATCGAAGAAGGTATTGGTTGATGTTGTTACTGTCTGTTATTAATTTTATTACTATTATTGTTAATATTAGATGCATTTAATCAATAAAAATGATTAATAAACAACTGATTGTATTGATTAACATTATATAAATTATTATCTTACTCATCACTTCTGTTGTCTCTATCTCATTATTACTTTTGTTTAGCTTCTTTCATTGACATCCTTGTCGTTACGATCTCTTTATCTTTCAATTGATAAATGAAGGAATCTTAATGATCGATCAAATAACTTTGATGTAGGGGGCTATTGGTGGAAGTGGTTCATCTACATAGTTCTTTCAATTTTCTTTCAACTAAAAATCTCTTTTCTTGTATGTTGCTATAACTCTTGATTATGTATTGTATACTCTAAATAGGATAGATTATCTTTAGTGGTAGCGAGTTGTCAAAGATCTTCAAAGGATCAATTTATTCAATGTCTTACAATCAAAATAAGATATTTCAATTGAAAAAATAGAACAATAAAGGATCATCAAATTGAGAGAATTATTATAAATGATTATTACAAAGATTATATAAAGGTGAAAGAATTTGAAGAAAAGTTAATTAAGGTATAGATAATGAGAATATTCACCTATAGATGGACATGTATGTTTTCAATAAAATAAGCATAATTAAGTTCAAACATTAATGTTACTTATTATTTTATGTAAATATCATAGCAGATACAAGAAAGTGCCCCAATTTCATTTTGTGTGAAGTTAATTTATTCTTATTAATGAATGTAATGAGAATTGTTTATGTTATTCTTTATTTTATCAATCACACTCTTAGCACTCAGAAATTTTTTTAGATGGTAAGATATAGCTGGTAAGAATTTGTTGTTTCAAGAGTGCATACGTTTCACTTAAAATAAAAATATTGTTATTAACAGGATTGGATAATCAATAAGCTGTTATTTTTTAAATGAAATTTGGATCTAAATTAGATCTCCTACCAATATCAGATTGTTATCATAATAATATATAAATAAAATCATCAAATACAGGCAAAAAAAAGTGTTAATTTTACAAACAATATAAAAAGTGGTTATATTTAATAAGTGTTAATTCATATATATATATGTTTAAACTTAAATATTAAAGTTTAAAAAGTATATATATTGCGATATTATCTTTTCAAATTAAATCCTTAAATTCTTTTATTTTATTGTGCACAATACTAACTTTAAATATTAATTTAAAAAAATTAACAAAAAAGAAAATAAGAATAATGGATAACTCGGAAATCATTAAAAACCTAAGAAATTTCTGTTCCTCCAAAGGAATTTCTACAAATGGAGTACTTGTTATAACAATACAAAATAACTGGACTACATCATTTAGTTCATTAATTGTAGATTTCAATTCCAACGAATTGCTTCCAAATTATCCAGCGGAATTATTAACAAATTACAATGAAAAAAGGTTAGGAGATCTTTTAATTTGTTATAAATCCGATCTACCAAGACCAGTATATTCAGATACTCCAGTAGTTTCCACTCCAGAAAACCTTCCTTTTTGTTGTCCTGATAAACTAATTCCATACAAACCAATTCGTACAGAAAAGGATATAGCATTTTCAGATTTTCTAAAATCTTTAGGAGCCTATCCAAATTATATATTTGAAGTAAAGAAACAAGTAAATAATGGTCAACTTCTATCTACCAAGTATTATTCCTTGAATGGAGGAGTGATTAAAGAAGTGTTTGGTAAATATAATCAAAAACTTCACTCCTTCAAGAACTATCTATGCAAGTCACACAATCTATTCTATGGAGTAGATCTATACTTAAGAAATGAATCAGCCGGTGCAAACCACCATCACATGAGACTCAATCCTTTTCAAAAGATAGAGGAATCTATTTTATCTTCATTGTTCTCGCAATAATGGAGATTTCCCTCAAACTCTTTTCAAAAACATTAATGTTTATTGCAATTAAAAAAAACTAAATATACTTACTTAATAAATTAATAAATAATTTTGAAAAAAAACTGTATTTATTATTCATAACGATATTTAAGAAAAATATCTTTTTTTCATCTATTCTTTAACAACAATATCTGTAAAATAAAAGATCAATATACAACACTGAAATTTCAATTGATATTTTAATTTCTAAAGATGATATGTTTGAAAATATTAAATTTTATATCAGAAAGCTACTCAATGGTTTATGTTCGATCATCAAAAGAATATTAACATGTGTCGAGAGTTATATTTTCTTGATGTTACTATATTTTTATCATTACTTTTATCTTGATCTTCATTGTTTAATGAATCTTGTGGTTCTACTGTTTTAGGCAACCAACATCAATTCGGCCTTTTATTCTATGTATAGATGTATCTCTTCTCTAGTCTCTACTTCTGTGTGTGCTTTCATTGTTAGCTCTTGTCGCTCGATCTCTTTCTTTTCTGTGATCGGTAAGAATGAATCTATAGCACAACACCATGATTTAAATCCTGACTCGAATCAATTAAATCTTCTAACTCACTACTTTATTAATTTCTTTATTAATTAGTCGATCAATGTGAACCAAACTTTTTATACAGTCAAAATTATATTAGTTTTTTATTAGTCGACTAATAAAGCAACGTTACATTTTTTGGGAATATGGTGATTTTTTTTTTTTTTTTTTTGCACAAATACTTTTTTATTTTTGTAACATTTATAAAATATTAAAAGTAATAATGACAATTAAATGGTTTAAATCATCAAAGATCACACGAATTCATTTGTTATCAATGTAATAGTTTGATGTGTTCAAAATGTATCAGTACACATAACAAAGATCATCCTGATCATGCCGATCAATGGGAACATATCGATGACATCAAGCATTCATTGAGTACATTGAAATTAGATGATATTATTGACACCACCACAATAACAAACAATAATCATAATAGTGGTAGTAATAATAGTAGTAATACTAATAATAGTAATAATTTGAATTCACAAATCAATAATAAACTTAAATCTTTATGGGAATCATTAAGATCATCGACATCCAGATATCAAAGATTATCAACAACAGAGTATTCAATAAAACAATACTTTGAACAATTACATCAATATCTAATCAGAGAAGAACATAAACTACAAAGAGATATTATCAATGATAAACAAACAATCACAAATCAAATCGATAATAATATTAATCATTTAAAATATTTATTAAATATTATCAATATATTTAATAAATTAAATCGTAATAATGATAATAGTAGTAATGATAGTATTAACAGTAGTTGTGATGATCAATCGATTATTCCAGATACAACGACATTATATTCAACAACAACAATAATGGAATCAATAACAACAAGTTCATCATTACAATCATTCATCAATCATAATAATCAAACATTATTCAATGAACACAATTATAATAATTATTTCGATATTGATACACTACTTAAACAACATTCCTCAGATTCATCATCATTATTATTAGATATCATTCATAAATACAACAATCAATTCAATGAATCCACTACAATCACAGACAATAATAACTTAACATTATCATCATATAAATTATCAATCAAACAACCTGATTTCAATCAATTGAATTCAATCATTGAACAATCAATCAAACGAGAAGATTGAATCAAAATCAACTGAATCAATAAAAAAAACAAAAAACAACAATGATAACAAAGAATCTTATATTTTCGCGACACATAAATCAAATGGAGCAACACTTATAAACACAAACAACTACTCAACTGAAGAATTAAAGTTTAATTATCAGTTTTGGGGTACGCACTCCTCTATTGTTTCAATTGGTGAATATATCTATATATTCGGTGGATATTACAATCGAAACAAATGGATTATAATATCAATGAAATCGAAATCAATTGAATATATTGGTGATTTCAAAGGAATAAAAGGTGATTACCATATATCAGTTTGTTATGATGGTCAAGATCATATCTATTTAGTGAATGGTTATAATATAAAGAATAGAATTGATCGATTCAACATCAAGACAATGAAATTTGAATCATACTATCAATTAGAAATTGGATATAATATGCAAGTATCATCAATGATCTTCAAAGGTTCATTATATTCAGTATCATACGATCAAAATAAGCTATTTCAATTCGATTTAACAAACAGAACGATAACAGATCACCAAATTGATATTTCACCATGGTCAGCATGTCATGATAAGAATGGAAATTTCTTCATATTAGATTCAACAAACAATCAATTCATCAAATACAATGTTGAAACCAAACAAACAATCAATCTCAATGCAATTCCTCTAACAAATTTACAGTTTTCTAATTTGATGTATCATCGAGAATCACCAACATCAAGTTATATCTATTCATTCGGTGAATTTAATGAATGTAATTTCAAATATTCAATCGAATCCAATCAATGTGAACCATTCTTTAGAGATATTATTAAAAAAAATAGAGAGTGGTGTGCATCTACATCAATTACCATCTAAACAATTTTTTCTATACATGTATACACTCATTCCAAAACCACCATTACAATAAATAATCATAGTAATAAAAATCAAAAATTAACTATATTTATCTTTTAAACAAATATTTTACGAAAATTATAGTCAAAATTTTATTTAAATAAAAGAAAGTAATATTATTATAATGGCAAAAGAAATTGAGAAATTAATATTTAATTTAATACCATATGATGCTCCCACTAAATAAAAACAATAAGAATAGTTAGTTAATGAAAAAACTACTATTTAAGTGTGAGTGTTATACTTACAAATATAATCATCAGCAATATATTGATTTCCAACAGTAATGTTCAAGTAAATTTTATCAGGTGTTCCAATCGATCTGTCGAACGTACAATAAATCTGAGAGAATGAATCTACATAGGGATTGGTACACGTGATCATAGTGGAGTTGATAGTTGCCACTACTGAAAGAGGGTAGTTAAAGTTGGTACCATTGATAGTCAAGTTGTTCTCGTTGATTCCAACATCTTGGACAGTGGGTGCTTGATAGCTAAAGAACAATTTATCGGAAGCTGGATTTGTCACACCATTATTATAGACCAGAAGAACTGGCAGATTGGAACCAGTTCCATTTCCAACGGTACAAACCAATTGGTTGTATCCTTGTGTGTAGGTATTCGAACATGGGATATCACCGAATGTCAAGTTTTTAATACTGGTCTTGCTTTGTTGTAGGGAAGAAACCGTGGAATACCAAATCACATCCACTCACTGGACAGGGTACATTACCACTTGTAATGTTATCGAGAGATGGTTGGATGGGAGATTGGAATGTTCTGAATAATTGTTGCACCAGCACCAATGTTTAATGTCATAGTGGTATTACCGATAGTAGCATCCCATGGTAACGAGAAAGATACACCCTGCTCTGATGGAGAGGTATATGGATTGAAATCACTTTCCTCGCTTTGAATCAATACTTTTCCAGCTTTTGTCAAGGGAACATTGGTTAAAAGGTATCCTTTATCATGAATTTGATAATATCCTAGAACTTGTATTTCTATTTTAAAAATAAATATATTAATAAATACTATTACTTATTTGATATAAACTAACTATACATACGTATTGTTAAAGTATAGATTTTATCGATAACATTTCCATTTACTGGTTAAATTAAGATAACGAGTTCCAGATGAAGAAAAGAATTGGATTATCACTATAGAGAATTGTTATGGCAGTGTTGGTTATACTAGAAATGGTTATTTTTGTCTGGTCTGTATACAATTGAACTAATGAAGCATTGGTACCTAAGTTAACACCGTTCAATACTATTCCAGTGTTAATATATGATTCACCGGTGATGTTTGGTTTATCAAAGGAGAACAAAACGGTCTGATTCAATCCTCTTACAGTCAGAGTAAGTGGGATATTAACACCAGAGTAAAGAATGGCAACACTCGGTGTCAGTGTGAAATAGGCAACCTTTGAAAGCGATGAACTCTGGTACTCTTGGATTACTTTGCCATGTGGGAATGTTATTGTCGATTTGTTTGCATCTGCTTCATTGCCAGACGATAGATAGCTACCACTCACTGTGATTGTACCACCAGAGATCGGAGCGGTACTGACAGAGCTGACAACAGGCAATGGATTCCAATCGGCTTGGACTCCACTCGGTTCCAACTGAATGGTACCTCTTACACCGACAGCAGATGGAATCGTAAATTGCAATGCACCACCATTGGCTGTGAAGTCAGAGATTTGAATGGTTGCAGGACTACCCTCGATACTAACTAAAACATTTATTTTCGTTGTGCTACCAATGTCTATTCCACTAATGGTAGTAACATTCCCATTAAATGTTATACTTGTAATATTTGCAGCATCTATAAAATCAAAAAATAAAGATTTAAATTATTAATTATTTAATCACTTTATTTTATTTAATTTTTTTTTGTAAATCTTACACGATATATAAATATTATAAAAAATTAAAAATAATAAAATATTTTTAATCATTTTTCGTGTTTGTTTTTTTTTGTGTGAAAAATAAAATAGAAATAGAGAAACAATTATAATAATTACAAAGATATAAATAATTTATAGATAGATAAATAAGGATTTATTTAAAATAGTTTGTTTATTTGTGTGTTTCTTCTTTTTATGTTTTTTTTTTTAATTTAGGATTTTATTCTGTATTTTAAATTATATAATAATAAAAAACTTCTCTCTCTTTTCACAGATTGATTTAAACAGTTAAGGGTTGAACTAAATCCACCATTTTAATGGTTGGTTGATTAGATAGTTTGTTTAAGTTGTTGTAATCATTGTTTTTATGTATGTGTATGAGCGTGGTTTGTTTAAAAGTTGATCAAAATTATATAATTCACACATAACAATATTTTTTTAAGATCAGACGGTGGGTGAGATCATATTCAACAACAATTTCATTGTGAGTGTGTGTTTAATATAATTTTAATTGTGATTAGAACCAGTGTTTGAAAAAGTTATAGGTGGTTGTTAAATATATGTTCTATTAATGACTTTTAACAAAAAAATCAAACTCTATATATATTCATACCTGAGTATTGTATTATTATATCATTAATACTATGTTGTTGGGGGATGTCTTTTTACTTTTCTCTAAAGATGAAAAAATTGTACTTGATTATCAGAGTTTATTACTTTATTCCACATTTAATGTACAAGGTCAGATGATCAGAATTCCTATTTCTTTTTTTTTTTTTTTTTTTTTTTTTGATCAAATTTTTAAATTATATTTTTAATTTATTTGTTTAAAAATAATATATTTATTTAATTATTAATATTTGATTCTATTTCTATAGAGATAGCAGTTTCTTCATCATTTTCATATTCAGAGTCTTCGAATGCAGAGTCATCAAAATATTCTTCATAATCTTCATCATTATTTCTTGAGTAATCTGAATCATTGTCATCATCCGAATCTAGATAGCTATATTCGCTGTTTGGACAACCCAAAATGATCCAATACTTTTGCATTTCATTACTGAGACGTATTTCAATCTTCTGATTTGCTGATTCTCTTCCAACTCTAAGTTGCTCGACAAACTCCAAATAGTCAAGTGCAAAGAAATAGTTTTTAGATTTTGTGTGATTGCTGTCTGCATTGATCTGATTGAAGTCGTCTCTCCTCTCTTCCATTGAATCACAAATCACCAAATGATCGATATAACTGAATTCATTGATAGCTACTTGAACTTGATGTTCTATCTCTTGTTTTGCAAGAAGAGATTGTTCTTCAGTTCTACTGTATCTTTTAATTTCCATTAAAGTGTATCGATAACGTCCTTCTAAACTTTCAATTGTAAAATGCCCAACAGACATCTCTATACCAACAAATAGATATTGAATGTTCCTTTGAATCTTGGGTATCTCATTTGACAACATCGACAATGCTTTTATTCTCTGAACGACACAATCTTGACTGAATAGATATTCCAATAGCTGGTATTGTTGAAGATTTAAAACTTCAATGTTGTAAGCCAAACCAAACGAAAACTCTGTGATCTGTTTGTGAGCTTTCAAATGATTGATGATCTGATCATTCCATTCAGGTTCACCATCACCAAATCCAACCCCCCGTATTGATTCGGCTATTCCGATAATCTCCAAACTCTTTAGTTTCTTTAGAGATTTGATGTTCCAAAAAAATAATCCACTTTCCTTGCTGAGCAATCGTTCGAATATTCCTGATTGAAAGCTTAGATGTTGCAATTGTTTACACTTTCTTAATCCTTGAAGAAAATATTCGATTTGCATTGAATCTGAAGGTAGACTATCCATATCATCAGAAGCTAAGATGGTTAATCTCTTCAAACTTCGTGGTAGTTTAAAGCGACCTAAATCTTCACTCTCAAAATCGGCATACAAACCGAATTCACTGATGTATTTTGCAACTCTATTTTTCTTCAAAACCCATTTGATTTCACTTGAATATCCATCACAATGAAGCATCCTAACTTTAATCCGTGGTAGATGTTGAAGTTTATTCTTTTGGTTCCATTCTGTCCATTGAGCACTCTTGAGAAGTTTGGCCAAGCTGTCGATGATAAATTTCTCTCCACCGTAGTCAGCTCCATGATACACAGTCAATTCTCTAAGTTTAGAATAGAGAAAAAATTGACTCTTGTATATCTTATCTTCAATGATAGCATTGCAAAAATTATTGAAAATAATTTCATCTTCATGACTTCCACTTGAAAGCATAATATTTGATGATATACCAAAATCGAATCTAATGCTTGAACCTATTATTTCTTTTACGATTTTAAAGAAATGTTTGCAAACCAAAGATATCTCCACTATCCACACATCACCTTTTTCACATAGATATTTAATTATTTTACTTTGTATTAAAGGAGGTATGGACATTTCTAATACATAAAAAAATAAATATTAATGCTTTTAATTGCACTAAGGTATTTGTAGAAATAAAAGTCAAATAAACCAGAATTTAAGTGCAAAAAAAACCGACTTTTTTCGCGAAAAAAACGTTACTGGTAACAAAAATTTTTTTTTAATTTCAGGAGTTAAAAAACAAAGATTGAAGTCAATGAAATAATTTAAAAAAATATAAATAAATAACTTTATCATTAAACATAATTAAATAAATAAAAATTACCAAAACATTTCAAATTTTTAATTTTTTATCTATTTATATTTTTTTTTTAAAAAAAAAAAATTATTTTAATTATTTATATTTGATTCTATCTTAACTGAAATAAAAGATTCTTCATCATCTTTTTCATATTCAGAGTCTTCGAATGCAGAGTCATCAAAATAGTCTTCATAATCTTCATCATCATTTCTCGAGTAATCTGAATCATATTCATCATTATCAGAATCATTGTCATCACTGTCGCAGATATTGTCTTTTTCAGCAATGTCTTTTGATTGATCTTGATCCACCTCTTTATTAGAAATTATATTGTCATTAATTGTATCTTTATTATCTCCAATTTTCGTGTTTTCTTCTTTTTCTTCTACTTTGACATTCTCTGATTTTTCATTATCTTCTTCCTCTTCATCTTTTGAATATAGGTACTTATATTCAGTGTTTGGACAACCCAAAACGATCCAATACTTTTGCATTTCATTACTGAGATGGATATCAAACTTCTGATTTGCTGATTCTCTAGTAACTCTAAGTTGTTCGACAAACTCCAAATAGTCAAGTGCATAGAAATAGTTTTTAGATTTTGTGTGATTGCTGTCTGCATTGATCTGATTGAAGTCGTCTCTACCCTCTTGCATTGAATCACAAATCACCAAATGATCGATATGACTGAATTCATTGATGGCCACTTTCACTTGTTGTTGTATCTCTTGTTTTGCAAGAAGAGATTGTTCTTCTGTTCTACTGTATATTTTACCTTCAATTGTAAAATGTCCAACAGACATCTCGATTCCAACAAATAGATATGAAATGTTTCTATGAATCTTTGGTATTTCATTTGACAACATTGACGATGCTCTTATTCTCTGAACGACACAATCTTGACTGAATAGATATTCCAATAGCTGGTTTTGTTGGAGAATTAAAAGTGCACTCTTGAAAGCCAAACAAAATGAAAACTCTGTGATCTGTTTGTGATCTTTCAAATGATTGATGATCTGATCATTCCATTCTGGAAATCCATCACCATATTCCAAAGTTGCATTTTTTATTCCTTTTACCTCCAAACTCTTTAGATTGTCAAGAGATTTGATGTAATGAAATAACATTGCACTATATTGACTGAGATATCGTACGAGAACATCCGATTGAAAGCTAAAATGTTCCAATTGTTTACACTTTTTTAACCTTTCAAGAAACAATTCGATTTGGGTGACATCTGAAGGTAGAGATTCCAAATCATCTTCAGTACTAACAATCAATCTCTTCAAATTTGGTGGTAGTTTAATGTAACCCAACTCCTCTAGTTCAAAGTTAACATACAAACTGAATTCACTAATGTACTGTGTAGCTTTATCGTTCTGCAAAAACGAACTGATTTCACTTGAAAATCCTTCATAGTGAAGCATCTTTACTTCTATTGGTAGTTCTTTGGTTTTGTTCCATTCTTCCCACTGATCGCTACTGAGAAGTCTGTCCAAGTCATTGATGATATCTTCTTCTGAACAATAAATTTGTTCATAGTTCACAGTCAATTCTTCTAGTTGAGAATAGAGAAAGTATTGACTCTTGTATATCCTACCATCGACGATGGCCTTACAAAAATTATTGAAAATATCTGTATCTTCATACCTGGCCGATAGACTACCGTTTGATAGTTGAATATATGAACTAAATCCAAAATCGAATCTAATGCTTGAACCTACTATTTCTTTTACGATTTTAAAGAAATGTTTGCTTACCAAAGATACCTCCATTGGCCACATATCACCATTTTCATATAGATGTTTAATTATTTTACTTTGTAATAATAGTGGTAAATACATTTTGATTTGTATCTAAATTTTTTTTTAGTTATTATTTTTGTAGATCCGATGAGATCAAAAAACGAAATTAAAAAAATTAAAAGGCTTTTTTGCTGTTTCGATTTCAAAAAAGAAATGATCATTTTAAAAGAAAAAACTATTATTTGTAATTTTTTTTTTTTTATTTTAATAAATTTTTTTATTTATAAAATCATATAAATCATGATATTTTTTTTTATCTTTAAATTTTAATTTTTTTTTATTTTGTAAGATCATGGTTGTCCATACTAATCACCAATATATCATTAATTAGTTTAATTATAATATTCATAAATAATAGTTAGAGTTAATAATGACGACATGTTTAAATCATCAAAGATCACACGAATTCATTTGTTATCAATGTAATAGTTTGATGTGTTCAAAATGTATAAGTTTTCATAACAAAGATCATCCCAATCATTCCGAATGGGAACATATCGATGACATCAAGGATTCATTGAGTACATTGAAATTAGATGATATTATTGACACCACCACAACAACAACAAATAATAATAATCATATTAATAATGATAGTACTAATAATAGTAATAATTATAATATAAACTCACAAATCATTATTAAACTTAAGGCTCTATGGGAATCATTAAGATCATCGACATCTCTTTATCAAACATTAACAGCAACAGAGAATGAAATAAAACAACATTTTGAACAATTACATCAATATCTAATCAGAGAAGAACATAAACTACAAAGAGATATCATCAATGATAAACATACAATCGAAAATCAAATCGATGATAATATCATAAATTTGAAATACTTATTAAATGTTATAAATGTATTTAATAAATTAAATAATAACGATATTAGTAATAACAGTAGTAATAATAGTGGTGATGATAGTAATGAAATTAATAATAGTTACGAGAATCAATCAGATATTGAAGATGCAACATCATTATATTCAACCACAACAATAATGGAATCTATAACAACAAGTTCATCATTACAATCATTTATCAATGATAATAGTCAAACATTATTCAATGATTATCTAGATATATTTAATATTGAAGAACTTCTTAAACAACACTCCAATGATTCTACATCATTATTATTAGATATCATTCATAAATACAATAAATCAACAGCAATCACTAACAATAATGACAATTCGTTATCATCATATAAATTAACAATCAAACAACTTGATTACGATCAATTGGATTCAATCATTGAACGATCAATCAGACTTGATAGAATTGAATCACCAATAAGTACAACAACAAACAACAATGAAAATAAACAATTATATATTTTCACAACACACAAATCAAAAGGAGCAACACTGATCAACACATCAAACAACTATTCATTTGAAGAGCTACAGTTTGATTATCAATTTTTTGGTACGTACACCTCAAGTGTTTCAGTTGGTGAATATATCTATATATTCGGTGGAGATACCAACGATAGCAAATGGATTAGAATATCAGCAAAATCGAAATCAATTGAACATATTGGTGATATCAGAGGAATCAATGGTGATGTTAATATGTCAGCCTGTTATGATGGTCGAAATCATATATATTTAGTGAATGGCTCAAATAAGAATAGAATTAATCGATTCAACATCAAGACAATGAAATTTCAATCGTATTATCAATTACTTGATGAATATGGTCAACAAGTATCATCAATGATCTTCAAAGGTTCATTATATTCAATGTCATACAATAAAAATAAGATATTCCAATTAGATTTGATAGATAGAACGATAACAGATCATCAAATTGACTTTAAACCATCATCAGCATGTCATGATAACAATGGAAATTTCTATATGTTGGACATATTAAGCAAACGATTCATCAAATACAATGTTGAAACCAAACAAACAACCAATCTCAATGGTGTTCCTGACACAAGTGGATATCAGACATTCGTGATGTATCATCGAGAATCACCAACATCAAGTTTTATCTATTCATTTGGATATTCGCGAGTTTGTAATTTCAAATATTCAATTGAATCCGACCAATGCGAACCATTCTTGAGAGATATTAAAAATACCAATAGATCGTGGTGCGCATGTGCATCTACATCAATTTCATTATAACAAATTAATAATAAAAAGTTCATTTCTATCTTTTACTCAAAAAAAATCTGCACAATTAATAATAAATGTAGAAAATAAATATTTAATAAATTTTTCTTAAGAAAACTTGGGGTTATGATTAATGAAGATTTACATTAGAAAGTTTTGTATTTTTGAGGCTTAAATTTATCATTTTGACAAACAAAATAAAATCTTTGTTTAATTATTTTTTTTCTGTTATTTATAATCATTATCATTCATTTAAAATGATTATACTAAAAATTCTAAATTGTTAAAGTTAATAAGTTAAAAATGGAAACAACAAGAACAACAAACAACAATGATAATAAACAATCATATATATATTGCAATAAAATATAAGATTGTTATACTATTTTTAAATGATACATACTGGTTGAAATATGAAATAATTCTATTGATGAATGGATCTAAAAATTGTTTTTAATAAATATTATTAAACTATATAGAATATATTAATAATTACCGTTACTCTTAAATTCCTGATTGCACTAGCAACATCAAGTTCTGAGGTAGGGCCCGGCAATGTGAAAAACACTCTATTCGGATCGATCTAATCTTCCTCGTCTATTCATAATTCTAACCATTTTTTATTTGTTACTATCACATAATCTCTTACAGATTTCAATTAGATACAAATAGATCCCACAATTATATAAGTTTTCTTTCTTTTCTAGATTGCAAATGATATATAATGGTATTTCGACAATTCGTCAACTTGATAAACTCATCGTATCCGTACCCAAGTCTGTCTACTAGATCGGCCACGAATCATCCTTATGGTTGAGGTAAAGTACAATCACTGTGACTTTGTACGTTCAGCTTCTTTCTGATTAGATCAACCATCAACCATCAACTAAATATATTAAGATGTTTATCAGAAACAATCAGTTATCTTTATTAAGACTAATCAGTTATAACAACATAATGATTAAGGAAGTCAAGCTTCTTCTTAGAATCGATGTTACGCACATCTTGTAATGCAGTCAAATAGAGAGCAGCAACTGGTTGGATGATGTTGCGGGTTTTCAACACAAGCGTCGCGAATGTGTGATTAAATGATTTCATTTGGTTTGGTGGATAACTGAAAGATGGTGTCCATTGGTCGATTGAATCGGCAATATCACTATTGGTATCTGCCTTGTATTTGGACGGTCTCTGAAAGAAGAGAACTAATATTACAAGTATTCTGATGAGTACCCAAACATATATCCTTTCGTAGACCTTCTAAGAACTTCCTTTGGAGTCCTGCTGTATTGAGTTCGCAACAATAGATCTCCAAGTTGTTGAACGCTGTCATATACTCCACTACTGACATGTTTCCTTGAACGAGATTCTCAAAGTCTTTCTTGTATTCAATGAGAGGTTTGCTTGTGCACTTGTGACGGATGGCAGTACATAGTTCCTTCAAGGTCATTCCCTCACGGTTGTTCAGATTTAGCCCTTTGTGGTACTCAGCTGGGAAGATTCTACGTGCCAACAGGTATATATAAAAAGGACTTGTCGGGTATTGTGATGTCTGGATGTATGTCTTTATGTTGGTGATAAAGACATCGACATCAGGCATCTTTGGATCAAACTTTAGAAAATCCTTTTCGAAGATTAGATTTCTATGTTCCTTTCTAAAGTCTCCATGAACTGCTTGTAGATCGTCCAACCTATCGATGTGTTGTTGGTCTTTTAGAACCCTGTCAGTATCCATAATGTTTCGGAGATTCCCCTTGTAGACCCTACTATGATCAATTGGTGTATCTTACTGTTGTTGTACTGTGCTACTACTAGACTGATTATCCATCTCCTGATATACATGTATCACCAACAAATCTGGAGGGGAGCACAACTTTTGAGTAGAAATAGTGTTGGAAGTCGATCAGGATATTGACCACGATGTGAGGTGATACTGAATAGACAATGTGCTTAATGTGAAACAGATTGGTTGAGACAGGACGGACTGCGAGAGAATAGATCTAACTGAAATAACTCTGTGAATGGGTATCCTCGTGGTCCATTCTGTATCGAGTGTGGAGAAGCTGGAGCGCTCGAAGGCCAAAAGCTTCACGACGGTCATCATCATCCAAGTCTTCAAATGAAGCAATGTCATCCTTTGGAGAAGGATTGACTGAGGAAAAGGTGAAGAGTTTCGGTTGGACGTCACAAACTTTGAATCCAGTATTGTTGCTGTAATCACCACCGAGCCATCCAGATTTGAATTCACCAAGATACTCTTGAATGAATGATCTGGCTTGAGCATTGTTGAGAGAAGCATGCGACAATTCTAGTGGGTGACTCCACCATGAGAAGTACCATGCTTCGTTGAGATCGGTAAGCAAATGAATGACGGGATGAGACGTAGTGTGAATTGACGCTGCAATGAGTTGAGCCCATCCTTGATAGAAGCTGTTGTCCACGAGGTTCTCTGGCTTTTTGAGTTCGATGCACACATATATCTGAGATTTGAGAAGAGCACGATGGCGTTGTGGAGGCGCAATGATGATATCTGTTGTTCCCTTGAGAGAGAAAGGTAGGCAGTCTGCATAGCTGGAAACCAACAAAAAAGATCGATCGTTGCTCACATTGTGATAGGCAAAGTGTTTTTGGTCGATTGGAATGTGTCTTTCTAGCCATTCCATGACGCTCAATTGCTCTTCCTCTTCGTCATTATCCACGGCAGCTTCTTCGTCGAACTCGATATGTTGTGTTTCGCCAACGCCTTTCAACCACTGATAGTTGACTGCGGTTGCACCTTTCTTCACCTTCACTGTGATCTTGGAATCTCTGAGCTTCAACCTTGCAGAGTCTGAAATCTCTGTCCACTTGACTCCTGATATCTTGGACATGGAGTAGGAAGCCTTTGATGATTTTGACATCTTTTCCAAAAGAAATAACGCTCGATCAATCTTTTCCTCTACAAGGTGGAATAGGTTAGTAAGCAGTTCTTAAGAGATAGTTTGATTGTGTTAATGCGATTTGTAGATGTGTACATACCTTGTTGCTGAGGTGCTGCTGTATTTGAAGAAAGATAAGAAGAAGAGACAGAAGGAATGTGTATGAATGGGTAGTAGGTAATCGTGAAGTAATAATATGTTTGGTAGAGTAATGAAAGAAGGGATGAGCGAGAGAGAGAATGTGAGAAGCCAGAAGAGGAGAAGTGTATGAAGAAAGATAAGTAGAAGAAGAAAGTAATATTTGTAAGAATATGTAGTGGATAAGCGTGAGAGGGTGTGTATGAATAGGTTGTAAGAAACGATTGAAGTAATATGATTGGTAGAGAGTAATGAGAGGTGTGAGAGTTGTGAACAAGGAGAGGGAGAAGAAAAGAGAGAGGTGTAAAGACAAGAACATGAGAAATAGGTAATGCAGTAGAGTAATGAGGGGAGTGAGAGGCGAGAAGAAAGAGAAAGAGAAGAAGAAAGTGTAAATATAATACAAGACAAGATAAGAAGAGAGTGAAAGATAAAAAGAAAAAAGAGAATGAAAAGATAGAAAAAGAAGTGATAGAAGGTAATATGTTAGTTAGAATATTTAGGTTGGATGGGTAATAGTGTTTTTGTGATGTAGATATATACCTTGTGATGGAGGTGCAGGGGCCTTGTACGATTGAAGATTGTCGTATAATTCACTGCCAGACTTGGACTTCTCTTTGAAGGTCTCCTTGTTCATTGTTGACAACATAGCACCAGCATATCTTCTGAAAGGTGCTGTGTCCTCCACAGGAACCCCCGAGAGTCACTGACTGGTCGAGCCATTCAATCACTTGAGTATTCGTCCACTGATTGGAAGGCGTGGTATCGAAGACCATACCTTGTGTTGTTGGATGTGCATTCTCGGCATCCGTGATCATCTTATTGAGGTATTTGTCAAGGCGATCAGGAGTACGAGCATCAGCTGGGCCGTAGGCATTGATGATGTATATTGCTTCATCCTTTGACTTCTTGAGGATGTCTATGCACTTGTCCTTCAAATCTATCGAGAGGCGAGAGGCTTCGATGGTAGCGAGAGCAACTTTGGTGTTATCATCAGCCATGTTGGTATGATGCACACTAATGTTTGGTTGTGAGTGTAAATGTTGTCTTGTATTGTATATATCTAAATGTGAGAAATGATGTAATAGGTAAGTTGGTGAAGGGATATGAGAGGAAGTTTATAGGTATTTGTTTGAATAATGGGAGGAAGTGAAATAAATGGTGAAAAAGTATGGTTGTTGAAAGAAATAGTTGGAGATTGATGTTACTAGTAAATGTATATTTGTATGAATAAGAGAATGAAATAAATGAATGAATTTTGTGTGTGGTTACTTATTCTTGGTAAAATTTGGGGGAAAAATAAAAAAAATAAAAAATACACCAAAATCCAAACTCATAACTAAATTTGGGATAAATTGTCAATCCTATATTTTTATAACAATTGGCTAAATCTTTCGAAAAAAACTAATAAATGGAATAAAATAGAATATTAAATACTTTTTGATTCATTTTCGTGAATAAAACACCTTTCTTGTAAGATACAGTAGCACTTATTCATGATCGTAAGATTTTAACATTTAATTCCAAAGATTAAATAAATGATATCGAACTTCTCGTATCAAAAACTACTTCCTAAGACTGAATAGAATTATTCCACAATAATTTTATTCAACAACAACAATAACTAATAATATACTACTCTTCTCAACAATTAGTAATAATGTCAGAATCTAATCAGTCTTTTTTCCTTGCGAACATAATTAACGAAGATCACACCCAGAGTGAAAATTAAAACCATTAATTTCATCCATTGTTGGTTGAAATATAAATTTATTGTTGCTGTTGTACCTGTTGTTGTAGCTTAAACATCGATATCCAGGATCATATGCTAAACTGAATCAAAAAGTCAATTACTATATACTATCCTCTCCTATCTTTAACAACCACAATATCCATGCAAAGGTGAAGAATGTCCATTCGTCGATGAATATAAATGTTTAATGGAAGGTGGTGTTTACGAACCAGCCACGCCACCAGAAGTATGCTGTGCCAACTGTAACTTTACCAATCCATGTCAAACCAACATCAAATGTCCACCAGTCGATCCAAACAAATGTAAGGAACAACAAGGTACTTTCACTTTACCAGATCCAGCAAATGGAGTGTGCTGTGCAAACTGTACTTTCCCATGCAAAGATATTCAATATCCACCTTGTTGATTTGATTCATCTGCCTTTGATCTTCTTTTCTTATTTTCATTATCCTCGCTAAGTGCACTTAATTATCATGATGGTGTATCAATAATCTAAAATAGTAATAATAATATTAAAACAAATTATTTAGTAACTGTTATTTATAATATGTTTCTTCTGACTTTTCATTAATTTATAACTAACTTACCTTATGTGCAAGTTCTTCGAAAGCTTGTTGAATTCCAATCTTTGTCTTTGCACTACATTCGATGAAAAACATTTATTTGCTCTTGGCAAACTCTAAACCTTCTTCTCTGGAGTTTGCTCGGATCTCAAGGAACTTGGTGAATGGAGAAGTGAACAAGATGGAGCAATAATCAATCTATCCTTAGCAATCTTTGCGAGAACCGACGAAATAATTTGTAATTTCTTTTTATAATCTGATTTCCAAATATTTCTACCATCAATTAAACCTATTTAATTAAAAATTGAATTAATAAAATCTCTCTGTTTTCTTAATCAATCTTATTTCCTACAAGTAATTTACTGCTGCTCTGTTTGAGAGGGTATCTATTGAAACAAAATAAATAAATAAATAAATAACTAAATAAGAAGAGTGGGAGCTGTGCCATTCATTGCACCTGAAGATACATTGTTTGTTGCTTTTGATTTGGTGTTTTTCAGTTGGTTAGGCATTTCCCACGTGTACACCAAGTATATTATTATTTCCACCATCTTATTAATGTCTTGTGATGATATGAAATTGGACCTCTAAGTTCACACATTTCTATATTTGTAAAATTTATAACCTGAAGATTTAAAATCCACACATTCAGGTGTAGGACTCTTATTAATCCATCTTTTTTTATATTTTCCAACGCTTGTGACTTTGTCTATGTATGTAATAAATAGGTACAGTTGGTTATAAATATAGAAATGTGTTAGTTTGAACACAAGCACCTAAGATTTTTATTTTTATTTTATTTTGCTTTTTTTTTTTTTTTTTTTGACTTCAAAATTTACTTCCAATTCCACAGCTGTCACACTTCTATATCTTTATTTTTCATTTCACATGTTACTGTTGTTTGTTTAGTTATTTATTTGAGGTTGTTGTTCTTGCGCAATCATTACAACAGAACAACAACCAAACCAGTACAAGCGACACACCATCCTCATCAACAGATGTGAACCAAACCAGTAACCCTTCATGTGACTGCAGTTAACAAACATAAACTAATAATTCTAAACTGGTCAGTGGTAATAGAATGAATAATAATTAAATAAACATTTCACTGTTATAAGTGTATTTATATCATTTACATTATCTTTAATTTTTTATTAGTTTTTATTATTTTTATTGTTGTTGTTAATGATTATTAAGCGCTTAATTCAAAATAAATAAGAAAATCACACTGTGATAAAGATAAACACATAAAGTTTAAAAAAAAGAAAGTAAAATTTGGCCACCATCTGGTCCAACACAAACAACTAAGAGTTAGCACTCAAATACCAACAGAATATCAAACAAATCGACAACTTCAACAAACACTGGAACAACTGCAAACTTCTCACCACTAAGTTACCTGCTTTCCTAGAACATCTGTATTCTAGACCATTCTGATTATATATAATAAATGAAAGATTGGCAAGGTAGGTATCTTGGAATGATAATTTATTGGTTGTATCAATATATTCTTCTCCAATTTGTACGAGAAGAATATGTGCTAAACGTTGGAAGTCGCTCAAGATGATAAATAGAGTGATAATTAATATTGATTTAATAGTATATTTATTGTTGTTGGATTGGTTAGTGTAGAGTGAGCTGCGAGAAATTAATAAAATATGAATTATATTGTCTAATTTACAAATTGGTCTTTATGATGTCTATGTACATCATAAATTGAAAGGTTATCATATTTAGTGAAATAGCTGTATGACTTTGACGTTGGAATGTTGGTCTATTGTGAATTTTGTTACTCTTCAAAAAGGCTCAAGGAAAGACCTGAATGGTTTAGAGAAATAGTTGAAGTATTCCTTGGACACGATTATGATATTGTTATAATCCTTGATTGCAGTAATACTATCGCTTAGTCTTTTGTTTGTTGAGATGAAGACAATGTAACCAAAAGGCACATCAGAACTTGGTTGATTGGGGCCCTCAGAACTCTTAGGGACCAAGTTCTTATGGGCTTCTTCGCATTTCTTCAAGACTGGCTTGACCACTGAATTGAAATCCAAGATTTTGTCGTCACTTGTAAACTTGGCGTCTCCCAGTATCCATATCCAAGTCCAATTGTTGTTGATCCAGATCTTTCTGCGAAGAACAAAGTCAACCAAGGCTCCTTTTGAATTAGACATAGAACATCCTTCTTCCAAATGATTCTTGAATGTATTCTTTTCCCACTCTTCGCAACTCTCTGGATACATCTTATCAGCAAAGATATGTGCTCCAGCTGTAAAGAATATAGGTTAGAATTGTTAGCTTGTTGAGTTGCAGCGGGTACTTACAATTGATGCATTTCATACGACATTCCTTTAAAGTCCTGTTGGAGAAGTAGGCATTGGAGTAGTATTGATCGATGGTTGGAACTACCCCAATATATCCAAAGCAAACACCTCTAACGAAGTCATACAAGGCGACAAACGTCTCCCACTTCTCGTCGTGGCGCATATCAATGATGAAGTTTGTAAGCTGAACGAGACTTTTAAAGTTGGTGCGAGTGGCGTAGACATGGATGAAGATGAAAGGTAGCCGCACTGTGTTGCCTTCGAGGAGTAGGACTCCATCGCTTTGCAAGTTTAAGTATGAAGGCGCATCATCAAGCGGACATTGAGCTAATATTGGATGTTCAGTGATTGCATGTGACAATATAATATCGAAATAGGGTTTATTGGTTAGCTTTGGATATGTTCGATCGAACTCTGTGACAGTAGCTTCGAACAGCTTTCGAACTGGGGCGTCCATTGTTGTCCAATTGATCTCGTGTCGAGTGTTTGGCTTGTCAATGTCTGCAGGATTGGTAACAAGAGTTCTCAAGAACAGTTCAATGGGTCTTGGCCAACCCCCAGTTGTATCCAGTGTTGTGAAGAATGATGGAGGTATTGGAATTCTACCAGAATTAGTGTTGCCCATAGAGGACTTTGAGAGGAAGTCAAAGAGAATGATACGAGATTCCTCCCTTGTCAAGAGAGGAAGCGAGATGAATGTGTATAGTAATCCAAAATCCTTGCTGATGATATGGTCAATGGGTTCAAGAATGGTACCAGCCGTCATGATATAGACAAAAGTACCTTTCTCCAACAGAGCAGATGGTGTTGAGATCCCAGTTGTTGTTGTGTCTTGCTTGTTTCCACTTAATGACAACAATTCCAGTATAACGTTCTTGAGGTATGACCTCCTGATATGATGATCATCTGATTCAATGAGTGCTTTCTGAAATTCGTCCAAAGCTATCAAGACCATTATCTGTTGTTGTTTTTGCCAGTTTGCCAATTGTTCCTTGTCATTGACAATGTCAATGTCCGGTGAGATTGTTAATCTGTAGTGCTCGACAATGATAGACAATGCCAAAGATGGAGTGAGATCTCTCAACACGAACTTGGTTTCGAGTTGGCGAATAAAGTTATTGAAGTTGACACCGAGTTCTCCAATAAAGTAACTGTACAGCATTCGTGTGGATATGGCGACTCCAGCAGACATCTCTGTAGACCATAAAGGTGTAGCATTGCTGAAGGAGATAGCAACCGTGATCTGATGTTTCGGTAGCTCAGAAGCTGATATCAAGTGCCGAGGGACTTCTTGTAGGATACGACTCTTTCCAATTCCAGGGGGACCAGCAATCACCACCATGCTCTGGTCACTCTTTATGTTTGATGTCATGGTCTTAAATCGCATACAAACTGCATTTATGATTTGATTAATATTATTTTGTCGGCCAATAAATTGAGTAAAGTTATAGGTGAACTAAATGAAATGTAAGTTAGATGTTATAGTGCGCATCGTACGATGATGTCAGAGCATACCTTGTCCGTGGACTTTTGATCCCCATATGTCTTTAGTAAATGTTCACTGATGTTTAACGTTGGTGGTATGCCTATTTAAATTTAAAGTGAGAATGTATGAATTGGTATGAAGGAAGAATGAAGGTGATATGTATTAGAAGACGTGTTGTTATTGATTGGCACGCAATATATGAATATGTGGAGGGAAGAGTGAAGTAAAGGCAGAAGAAGAAAGTAAATATTTGTAAGAATATGTAGTGGATAAGCGTGAGAGGGTGTATGAATAGGTTGTAAGAAACGATTGAAGTAATATGATTGGTAGAGAGTAATGAGAGGTGTGAGAGTTGTGAACAAGGAGAGGGAGAAGAAAAGAGAGAGGTGTAAAGACAAGAACATGAGAAATAGGTAATGCAGTATAGTAATGAGGGGAGTGAGAGGCGAGAAGAAAGAGAAGGAGAAGAAGAAAGTGTAAATATAATACAAGACAAGATAAGAAGAGAGTGAAAGATAAAAAGAAAAAAGAGAATGAAAAGATAGAAAAAGAAGTGATAGAAGGTAATATGTTAGTTAGAATATTTAGGTTGGATGGGTAATAGTGTTTTTGTGATGTAGATATATACCTTGTGATGGAGGTGCAGGAGCCTTGTACGATTGAAGATTGCCGTATAATTCACTGCCAGACTTGGACTTCTCTTTGAAGTTCTCCTTGGTCATTGTTGACAACATAGCACCAGTATATCCTCTGAAAGGTGCTGTGTCCTCCACATGAACCCCGAGAGTCACTGACTGGTCGAGCCATTCAATCACTTGAGTATTCGTCCACTGATTGGAAGGCGTGGTATCGAAGACCATATGATGTTGTAATGGATGAGTGTATGATGGATATAAATAATTATTTAAAGGAATTAATATATGTATTATATTGTTGAAGAGAAGGGAAAAATGTATAGATATCTATAAATTGTGTATTTGTATGAATAATGGGAAGAAACAAATAAATGAATTTTGTGTGAAGTTTATAGAGATAAATGGGGTAGGTAACTTTTACAATTCTTAATTTTTATTTTATTACTAGTAAAATTATATCACTAATAAATATTTATATTTAACTTCATTTTTTTAATTAGTTTATTTGTCTTAGTCTCTTTTTATTAATTATATTTAGTTGTACCTCATCTCTGCAAGAAAGAACAGGTTCTTTGAGGTTGTTTCTTTAATTAATTAAATTTTGGTGTGGTGTATAAAATAAAAAATTTGAATAAAAATTTGACTGGACACTTATGTGGGGGATTCCTAATTCGGAGTTTCTAACTAATGTTAGCACCAATTTCCCTGCATTTTATATAGTGTTCCATATAAAATCTTAGGAAAAGGTTAGGAACAAATTTTTTTGATACATCTTTTTCAAACTTGAAGCTAATCAAATTTTATTTTTTGAATAATGATCATCATAACTGTTAAAATGTTTTTATTTTTTCCTAACATAATTTAGAAACTTTCAAAAAACAACTTCCAAATAATTTATAAAGATAACTATTAACCGTGTAAATTAAAATTAAAAGTATCTAATGATTATATAAAAAAAACAAACAATAAAGTATTTTCTTAAATAAAAGTAAAAATTCAAGATAAATAAATATTAGAAGTATGAGTAGCTTTACAATTATTTTGAAAACAATTTTTGTTTTTTTCTTCATTTTGTTGACTAGTTACATAGTATTACCATTAATTATTGTTTAATTTATTATCTAATTCATTAAATTAAATATTTCTTTTTTATAGATCGACAAATATTTAAATAATTTAAATATTTATTTACCACATATTAATCACAAAAAATTAGAAGCCTTTTTGATTCTTTTTTTTTCAAGATTTTTTTTTATGGTTTATTAAAAATTTTTCTCTATGCAAAACAAAATGATCACACAAAAACACCACTCAGATATTCATTGTTTTTAATCATTGCTTATTTATTAATTGATTTCAAAAAAAACAAAAATAAACACAGATACAACACAACTCTGATTTATTTATTATAATAATTAAGATTTGATAGTTAGATAGTTTATTTATTATAGATTAAATTGATTAGTTAGATAGATTGTTTGATTAGTTAGTTAGTTTATATAAATATAAATATATAGTCATGAATCATTCATCTATAAATTATATAGATGAATTGGTTAAGGAGTATCTGGTGTTTCGAGGCTTTACACAGACGAATCATTACTTTAACTTAGAGAAGAAGGCAGATAAGCTCAAAGGATTTCAAGTCGATAAGATTCTAGAGCAGATCAACTATTATATAACGACGTACGATATCGTACACCTAGTGGAACTATGGAACTTCCTTGACTCTACGTTCTTCAATCGCATCGACTACACTACGCACTATGGCTTCAAATCATCAGTGACATCAACACACAAACAAGACTTTTCCACCACCGTCAAGAAACTTGCCAACTCTCTAAAGAAGTTCTACCTAATAACAGCAGTCAACAACGGTAAACTAGAAAAAGTTAGAGAGTTTTTCGATTATTACAGTAGTGAACTAGTAAAAGATCCAGATTGGAAACATTGGTTTGGTATGTATATATATATATGATATTTACAATAGTTATTATTATCATCATCATCATTACAGTTTACCTAACTATTACTACTATTATTATCAATTTATTATTATCTTTAGCATTACCATATATAAGATCACCACAATCAGATCCTTTGTTTGAAGTTTACTTTAATAAAGCATGGTCAGAAGCATTCTCATCGTCATTAAGAAACTTTTTATCAACTATTTTTAAGAATATACGTAAGTTTTAATTTTAAATTAATATATATATATGTTAAAGATCTAACTATTTACTTATTATAAATTTATTGTTTATTTTGTATTGTTATAGCATTACCAAAGATATTACAATTCAATTTAGAAAGACAGAATAGAAAGAGATTGGAAACTCAGTTGGAGAACTTGATCAATCAAAACGAAGAATTGAGATCACAAGTAGATAAATTAGAGTATCAAATCAAACGTGAAATGAATACAGGTAGTAGCAGCAGCAGTACCAACAGCAGTAATGATAAAGATTCAACAACAAATAATAATAATAATAATAACATACAGGGATTCTCAAGAGTCAGCAGAAGAACAACTGATTCAAAAGAACGTGATTTAAAACAATCAACTTTAAATAGTAATAGTACAACAACAGGTAAATAATAATTATAATTTACTTTTTTACAATATTGTTACACTTATAATTATATTAATAGCTGGTTATATAATGATTACTAATATATTATTATCATTCATCATATATATATATATATATATAGATGAAGAAGAGAAAGAAAAAGTTGTAATAGGATCGGTAAGATCAAGGAAATCAATACAGAATACATTGACTGCATCGTTTGAGATGACAGAGATGGATGAGATTGGAAAGAAACAGACAAACAGCTCTGTGAAATCACCGAATATCTCTGATCCATCGTATATTGTAGAGTCACAGGAAGTTTGTACTTCACATACCTCGCCAGTGACCAGATGTAAATTCTCGTCGAATGGCTCAAAGATTGCCAGTAGCTCGGTGGATGGTACCGTTAGAGTTTGGAACGTCGATGGTTTCTCAAGACACACCACCATCTACTGTCTATCAGAAGTGATATCATTAGAATGGGAGAACAAAACAAAACTTGTAACTGATCTATTAGAATACATATTTTAAGTAAACTTAAATAACATACTAACCAATCAATATTTAAATATCATCATCCATATTTATAATAGCTACTCTGTGGTACAACAGATTCAAAGATTAAACTATGGAATTCTACAACTGATAAAGCAATTGGCGATATAAATACATCTCAAGAATATCCTAGGTAAACTATAGTTTTATAATATTTTCTTATTTTTGTTGTAAATCGAATATATTGCTAATAACTTTAATTTATTGTAGAGTTGAAGATTTAGTTTGTAATCCAAATGGTAATTCATTTGCGAGTTCATCGACAAATAATGGTAGAACCGATGGTATTGTCTATACTTGGAATTTTAGAACACTCAAAACAGAAGATAGACTATCTTCATCGAATGCAATTATCAATTCGATGTGTTATAATAACAACGGTACTCTATTGGCTACTGGTTGTGTAGATGGAACCATTAGAATATTCGGTATGATGTTCAAGAATATGATCTAATAATTATTAGATTAGATGATTCGAATCTATTAGTTTATTAATAATAATAATAATAATTTTTATTTATTACTTATGTTACTTTTAGATATAAAGAGTTGTCAAGCAATTGGAGGTTGGCAAGCACATTCCAGTGAGATCTTGGCTGTTCAATTCTATAATGACGATAATAAGATATTTTCATTGGGTAAAGACGGTCGTTTGAATCAGTGGAACATTCACACAATGGGAAAACCAGAGAAGGAGTACGAATACCCTGGATTCCCAATCGATACGCATAGAACCACAAAGATATCGTTCAACTCTGACGGTACTTCCTTTGTTGTTGGTTCAAATAATAAATATGCACTCATATATAATGTAAGTACTATTAAAGATTATTATTAATATCATTCCTTTTAGTTATTTAATTATTAATTATTATCAATTAATATTAGGTTGAAAACAATAGTCCAGTTGCAAAGATTGGTGGACATTCAGGTCCGGTCGTAACAGTAGATTGGCATCCGACGATGAGTTCCTGTGTAACTGGATCACTCGATCAAACTGTACGACTTTCAAAACTATCGAAGAATACACAATTTTCATAATATAATATAATATAATATAATTAAAATCAATTTTGATTTGATTTTGATTTACTACACACAACTACATTTAAAATAATATCATAAAATCTTGTAAGAATAAATATTTAATTACCCATTGTATCTTTATATTAATAATAATAATAATTATTGTTTTATTAGAAAATAATAATATCAAAGAAGATAATATAAATTTGAATATATATTTATAACTAGGTTGAGGTAAATGAATTGTTGTTTTTTTTATCCACCTCTCCAGTGACCACCACCTCTACCACCTCTCCAGTGTCCGCCTCTACCTCTCCAATGTCCACCTCTTCCACCTCTCCAGTTATCACCACCTCTCCAATCTTCACCAGCTGTTTGGGTTAAGCTTTCAACAGATTCCGAGCCAGTCGATGAAGAGACTGCTGCTGAAGTCATACTTTCAAGTGGCTGTCCAATTTTTTGGAGATTCTCTATTACAATTTAAAAAGAAAGAAAGTGATAATTAGTTTCTTGTTAAAAACAATATTTTTTTATATAATTTCTATCCCTTACCTAAAATTGTCATTTTTTATTAATATTATTTGTATTCAAATATTGAATTGAATTGAATTGAATGAATAATACAATTTAAAGATCACAAGTATTTATAGGTGTTTAGCAGAATTTAATTGTGAAACAAAATAAAAACTTTGAAATTTGACACTTTCCCAAACGAATTTATTTAGTGAGAATGTCACTTGTCTTGGAAATAATTAATTATCATAATGATTTAATCTTGAAATATAATATTTTAATGGTCTTGTTGGTTACTTTTTAATTGAATAAAGAGATTCATTCACTTTTCTTAAGGACAAAGTGTCTAACATTAGTTTTTTAGTCGCTGACTACACTATACTATTCCATGTGAATTTCAAAGCATCAAAATATGGCATCGGTTATATCTTTTTTCAATTAGATAAGCATGGTCTCCAAAGAATTTGTCTTAAGGTTCACTAAAGCTCATTCAGTAACATGCATTGAAAGTTAATTTTAATAAGTGTGTGTAATTGGAATTATTCTAAACAAGTTTACAATTGCAATATATTTTATTTTTATTTACAAGAAAATAGAGATGTTTTTGATTACAACACACCAGACTATGTGATTTGTTTGATGTTGTTAACTAGTTGTTCAGAAGAACTTACAAATCCACCTCTTCCACGGTTAAGACAAAGGAATGTATTATCATTGATTCTGCGAGCTGTAAATGTATTGACTAAAAACTTCTGTACCGCCAATGGTATGTCGTCGAGTGAATTATTTTTAAAATAAGATAGATCCAAATGAATTTCCAATCTGGTTTCAACGGTTTCCGAAGGCATGATTGCTTCTGGATATAAAACCGATTTCTTTACATTGAAATGCGAAATGGTCGGTGGTAGAATATTCTCCTCGAGATCGACATTGATCGGACTGTTCCAAACGAATTTCTTCAAGCGCGGTGGCAGCACTTCGTGTTCCAACTGATGTTTATACAAGAAACCCAAGTAGAGAATCTCAATGGATTCCGGCAGCATGTTTGGTTCGATCTTGCAGGCATTCGAGTAGTGTAGTATCTCAACTGAATCTGGAATGGAGCCAGCTACCAATGGTTTGCCATTTCTATGATCGCTTGCAATAGTCAGTCGCTTTACACCGTGTGGAACGATTCCCTCTTCTAATACATGGTGATATTTTCCGAGATTCAATTCTAAAACGCCAGACGGTATACTTCCGACGGTCAATTTGTAGTTGGTCAGATTCGATAAATCCAGTTCTTTGACTGCTGGTGGGAATGTGTTGGGTTCGATAGTCTGACCATTCAAATCGTACATCATAAACGTTAGAGTTGTAACTGAATCCGGTAGATGCTGGACGTAATCGAAACTTATACTATCGACACTCACAAGCTTGTTGAATCGTTTCAGCCCAGAAAGTTCAAGATCCCTCTCCGGAAGCATGGAAGTATAGGAAAATGACATTGACTCCAGATTGGCAGTTGGTATATATTGTATGTTCTCTTGAAGCAACTGGAAATCAAGAGTCAATCGCTTTAGGGTGGGAGGTAGTGAACCCTCTTCAAATTTACATTTACATTCCTCTGGCAACGTTAGTTCCTCCAAAGTCGGTGGCAATATATAGGGTTTGAACGTCACGTTGTTACCGTTGCCAAGCACCAATGATTTTAAACTCTCGGGAAACACTCCATGCTCCAAAGAATCTCCCAGCTTTGCACAGATTGTCAAATATTTCAATGTTTTCGGTAAGCTATTTGGCTCCAGCTGCAACTTATCACCTCTAATAAACATAGTTATAGCATTGGATTCCGAAACCTTTGATGGTAAACTAGTACAACCATTACAAATTATAGCTAGAAATACAACGTTTGGTGGTATAGCTACTTCACTATTCTCATCTAAAAATATAATAAATAAATATTTTTTAGTTGGCGATCTACATATTTATTTCGTTTTTTCCTTTTTCTTTTTTCTACAAAACCAACTTACCATAATACTCTATATAATCATAGGTCGAAAAGATATCTGCACTAACTTCTTGTTTCTCTCTAAACAAGATCATTCTCTGACATTGACTGTCCGATAGTCTTGAATCGATCATCTGTTGGTATTGATGTGAATACGATTTCATAGAGGCGGTATCTCTCACTCTTTCGATGAATTTTAGTGGATAGTACTTGTAGTTGAACACCAAGTAGCGATCTCTGTTCATATAGAATCGCTTACAAGTCAGACTGAAACAGATGCCATCTAGAATCTCTAATTCATTCTCTACGTGAAATATTCTATCTTTCAATATATGATATGGTAAATCTAAAATACTTTTATTGTACTTGTTATCTAACATTTATTATATGAAAAATATCTTTTTTATTTTATGAATAATTTATTTTGTTTTTCAATTCATTGATTACTTTTTCAAAACATTGCTTCACACAAAAAAAAGTGGAGGTCAACAATTTTCAAACCCAGAAAAAATAATTTAATAAAAAAAATACACCTTGACCATATTGACCCCTATTTTTAATTTTACTTTTTTTTTTTTTGTAGTTTTCATCTATCGAGTTGGTTTATTCATTTTTAGATAATTTAGATCTAATTTTCAAACTATTAAATGAATGTGTTCAGAATCTCATAAATTAAAATTTATTTGCTTTGAGTGCAATGAACTGATGTGTTCGGTTTGCACACTTGATCATTGCAAACAACAACCAAAACACTTGATTCATTGTCATCATGTCACAAAAATAAAGCAATCATTAAATAATATCTTTAAAACAGAGTATGCGAATAAAAATAATCATAACCATGAAGAGAGTATTAGTAATAATGATGATGAATCTGTGTTCTCGAAAACAATGCTATCGATATGGGAATCATTAAGATCATCGACATACAGATATCAAAGATTATCAACAACAGAGAATGAAATCAAACAACATTTTGAACAATTACATCAATATCTAATCAGAGAAGAACATAAACTACAAAGAGATATTATCAATGATAAACATACAATCACAAATCAAATCGATTATAATATAAATCATTTAAAAAATTTATTAAATATTATAAATATATTTAATAAATTAAATAGTAATAATGATAATAATAGTAGTTATGATAATCAGTCAATAATATCAGATACAACAACATTATATTCAACAACAATAATGGAATCAATAACAACAAGTTCATCATTACAATCATTCATCAATCATAATAATCAAACATTGTTTAATGATCATCATGATGTATTCAATATTGATGAACTTCTCAAACAACATAATAACGACTCGACATCATTATTATTAGATATCATTCATAAATACAACAATCAATTCAATGAATCAACAACTAAAATCACAGACAATAATAACTTAACATTATCATCATATAAATTATCAATCAAACAACCTGATTTCAATCAATTGAATTCAATCATTGAACAATCAATCAAACTTGATAACATTGAATCAACTGAATCAATAAATACAACATCAATAACAAACAACAATGATAACAAACAATCTTATATTTTCACAACACACACTTCAAAAGGAGCAACACTGATCATCACAAACAACAATTCAAACTCAAAATCGAAATCAATTGAACATATTGGTGATATCAAAGTAATCAAAGGTGATTCTAATATGTCAGTTTGTTATGATGGTCAAGATCATATCTATTTAGTGAATGGTTTATATATAAGCAATAGAATTGATAGATTCAACATCAAGACAATGAAATTTGAAAGATATCATCGATTAATTGGTGGATATGGTATGCAAGTATCATCAATGATCTTCAAAGGTTCATTATATTCAGTATCATACAAAGTGTTGGAATCGTAATTCCAAGTGTCAGTCAACCATAAGCTTTCTTGGGTAGTACCTAGAGTTATGTCTGTTGTCAACAATTTGCTCTAAAGTTCCACCAGACACGTTACACATGATCATGTCCATTGTTAAGACTGTTTTTAAACCGATACTACTGCTATGTGCACGTGTGACACCAATGAAACCTTACGAAAAGACATCGAAGACTTCCGCAAGTGAAGGCCATAACATGGCAGCCGATATTAAAAAGTACTGTGACGATTGCATCGTGTGTAGACGCGCCAGCGACCATGCACGTAAGAGAATTGGCCACTTGATTCCACTTCCCACTCCGATCAAGTGCTTCCAACGTATCAATGTTGATTTCATTCCTAATCTGCCGGTTGAAGAATACATGGGTAGGAGGTTCGATGCCATCATGGTTGTCGGGATGCTCTATCCAAGATGACTAGATTAATTCCTTTAAGTTCCGATTACACCAGCAAAGATGTTATCAGTCTATTCCATAAATAGATTTTTAAGCTCCACGGTATTCCAATTGAAATTGTTTCCGACAATGATTCCAAGTTGACTTCTAAGCTGTTCAAACTAACGAAAGCATATGGCATTCATCATTCTACCTCCGTAGTATCTAACCAACAAGCCAACGGACAAGCCGAAAGAATCATTAGCGCAGTCAAGAACGCGATAAGAAAGCTTATGGTTGACTGACACCTTGAAATTACGATTCCAACACAAACCAAACAAACAATCAATCTCAATGCTATACCTGAGGAAAAAGCAAATGTTTATTTAATTTATCATCGAGAATCACCAACATCAAGCTATATCTGTTCACTTGGTTCATGTGATTATGGGAAATTCAAATATTCAATTGAAACCAATCAATTTGAAACTTTCTTTGAAGAAGATACATTCGATAGAACTTGGTGTGTATATGCATCAATAAAATATTAGAATAAATTTAAATAAACTTTTTATTAAACGACTTTTAAATTTAATAAGTCATTCATCAATAGGTACACTAATGATAAATTTAAATTGTATAATTTATTCATTTTAATTTTTTAATATATTTTTATATAATGAAATATTATTCTTAGTTTTCTCGCTATAAAAAGATACAATTCATTTTTACTCACTATAGATACTCTAAAATGGTTTTATTAATACCAAAGACAAGAATGTAAATAATATAATTTATTTATTTCTGTATTATTACCTTCTGTAAAGATCTTCAAACTACTTTTAAAGAAAATAGAGTTGATATTGATAGCTACTCACTCCCTCGAAGAGATAACGAATCATTTGTTCAAGGTTTCGACTGAGATTCCGGTTTTCTATATTGATTGGAACGATCTAGGTCTCCAGCTTAGAGTAAATGATCAACATTGAATCTTTAAAACAAGTATTTAGAAATGATATTCTTGAAAGAGTTGGAATGGTTTCATAAAATACTTCCCAAATGTTTTTGTTTGAAACATATCCAGAATTATCTTCCTGTATGAATGATATTTTAAAGAATTTAGGTTGGTCAAGACATCAAAACAATTTGCCTGATATTGGAGATTTTTTTTATCAGTAAATCAGAGACACCACTTCCTTGGTAAATGAGCACTACTCTCATTATTTTAACTATTAAATAAAAAATAGCGTTGTCTAATAACTATCAGAGCTATATTAAAAAAATTTAAGAAAACTCACTTTCACGTTTAAATATCTATCTGAAATTAGTAAATGTAAATGAAAATCAAAACTTATTGAATATTTATTTATAAAAAAGAGTATGTCCTCTGAAGAATTTGATTGTTCGATGATTGAATGTAAATATTGACTTGAATGATTTATCTAAAGGTTATCAAAGTCGATGATCGACTGTTGTTGAATCCAGAGTAACAGTATCACCTATCATAGTGTAGATCAACTACAACTACAAGCAATAGTAATACAATCATCACCGCTGACGCTTGAGGAACTAGAAAAGCAATTATCTTTATCTTTGAAGGCAAAGATAAATACCTATAAAAAAATGTATTAAATATGATAGATGAATAAATATATATTAGATTCATTAAAGGTTGAATGATATGTTCTTTTAGAGTCTAAAATGTTATAGTATCTTTTAATTCGACATTCGATGCTATTAATTTGTAAAAAAAACTATCTAAAGTATAAAGTTACTATATCTTAAGAAATAGATAAATAAGTTAAATTTTGTTAATTCATTAATAGCATTTATATGAAGAAAAGGTAATTTAATTCTTTGACAAAGAATTAATGATCTTTTGGAGTAACAATTAAACAATTACAATTAGATTATCTATCGCTTCTTCATCAATTGGTACATTCGAATCTAATTTAATAGGTGTAGATAATGATTCAAATGATAAGAGTAACAATAGAGGTATGATATCGAATACCTATCTTAAGAGAGAGGAGACATCGCGTAACTATCATCTACTTCTATTAATTAATATGCTATCCTATCATATCCTATCATATCCTATCCAATCTAAATCATATTTTCAACTTGCTAATCAAATTTATACATAGTGTTGTCTATGAAATCTATCTGTTATATTATCTTTATGTGTATATATTGCTGAATTTAAAGCACATAAGTTCACATAACGTTATGCGATCAAAAAAATTGGTTTTTTTTTTTGTAAAAACGTAGCGCCCAGTTTTGTTTTTTTTTCTTTTACTTTTTCGTTTGCTAGATTGAATGAATCCACATAAAAATCGAGTTGTTGATTGAATTGAACGAGTGAGATTTGGTTGAGAGGTCTCAAGAACGACGACCACACCACCACTACCAAACGGTTTGAATAAATACTGCTTTCTCTGTGAGTCATCGAAATCCCAATTTTAGTTGTAATGGGGTGGAATGTATTTTAAATAGGATATCCTCTGTCCTGTTGTCGACATGAATATCGCTATTGATGTTGCAACCAACACCCATATTCCAATAACCTGTTGTTGTTTCTGTAACCTGTTGTTGCTTTTGTTTATTTGTTTTTTTTTGATATTTATTTCTTGCTCTGTTCTAAACATAAATGATTTATAACCTATCTGTACCAATAACCTGTTTAATTTTATATCCAATCCTGTAGTCTTGATGATGAATGAATTAAATCCCAATAATTAAAACAAGTTTGATTAAAATCTGTTGAAATGAGTTGAATTAGGTTGAAATTAAAATTATTTGAATCCAATATATTATATTTAATTGTTTCCAACAAACTGATATCCATATCTTCCTTCCTTTCTTCTTTCACCTAAATATTTCATAACTAAACAACACTATAACACTTTTTTTCACATCTGTCTGACATCCTCTACAATCCTTCCACCAACATAACATATAGCAACTCCACTAGTTCACCTTCTAAATAATTGTATAAACTAAAATTAACTAGTTACAATGATACCCGTAAATAAATTTACAGATACAATGCTAAAACCAAAAGAGAATGGATAACCATTGTTTTTGGTGATAGGTATACAACTCAAAGAGGATCCTAGTTTGGTTACAAGAATAACTATCTGATGTATGGATACTCTCTAGAGCGAGGTGTGCATACAACAGATAGTTACTCAAGTAAGACAATAACATCAACACTATAAAATAAAGATAAATAGAAAACAAACAAATAAGTCAAACAATAATCAATTCTCTTTTATTCTTTCAAATAAAAAAATATTGAAAATTGTTTGACAAACTTGTTAGTATTCTATCTATCTTTATCTGTTGATGTTATTGCTATCCTGAGTTTAAACGAATGATTGAATTTTTTTGTTTTCCAAAAATCGAAACAACCAAAGGAAAGAGGTCTCAATCAACAAAAAAAAAAAAAAAATAGAAAAAAAATAAAATTTTTTTGTGACTCACCAGTTTTTTTTTTTTTGATCATGATTGTTCTTCTTTTAGATAGATGATCACTTGTTCAAATTTGGAATGATTTGCAGTACTTATCTAAGAATAAAATCTACTTTTTAAACTACAACAACAACAAACGACTGTAAGTTTAGTTGTCAGAGGTCAGATTCCAAGCTTGTGTTTTTTCAAATAAGACAAATAGTTTAATTATTCAATTTGATCAATTTGGGATGTTGGTGGTGTCATTCTGCAGAAGATTTAGCAAACTATTCATTTCCCCAAAATAAAATTTATATTCATAAAAGTAGGTATTACAATCAATATACACCTATCTCTCACACAACAACCCTTGTTATTTATCTTTGCAATCGAAACAACATTTCAAGAAATGACTTTTTGTTTTACAGCTTGCTTTTATTAAAATTTTAAACGATGGTTATGGAAATGAGAATGCTGCAAACAAAAAGAAAAGATACTAATAAGCAAAAAACATAAATTATTAATATTGATAATGATCTAGAGAGATGTAATCAAAATAGAAAGCAACAAATCGTGTTGGCACAGATCAGTTTTATTGGGGGAGTTAAAGTTAAATTGGCACCCATTTATTAGTTCATGAAAATAACCCCAATTTTCAAAGTTTGTGAAACCAGTCAGTCTGAACATTAATAGTAGTGGCTAGAACAAAGCAAATTTGTGGAGATTGCTTCAACTTTCCTTTGGTCTAATCCTAATGTTTGTGTGTGTTGTGAAATTCCAATTCAAATTTGATAAACATCATTCTTTCTCTATTTACAAAATCAGTAAAAAAATAATACTGGTAAAAGTCAACCGAGTGGAAGATATTATCTTATTGCCAGTGGCTATAAAAGGATGGAGTAAGTTCAAACAATTTCAATTCATTTTCGAAACTCTACTTATTTGTTTTTCAAAAACTTATATATATATAAAAACTATAGAATAAAAGATGGTTGTTGCTGCTAATCTTGGTTACCCACGTATGGGAGAACATCGTGAATTGAAAAAGTTAGTAGAGTCCTACTGGGAAGGTAAACTCCAAGACACTGAATTGGTAAAGGAAGCTGCTCAGCTTCGTGTACACCACTGGAAGGTCCAGGCAGATAGCGGTATCCAATCGATTCCATCGAACGACTTTTCTTTCTACGACCAAATCCTCGACCACATCTTGTTGTTCGGTGTCATCCCCCCACGTTACCAAGAGGTCGTTGTCTCTGAGAAAGAATATGCCACTCAAGTCCAAGGATTGCGTACCTATTTCGCCATGGGTCGTGGTTTCCAAACATCGACCGCTGCCACTGCCGCCTCAGAGTCCACCACAGACACTGCCTTTGGATCTGCACAAGCCATCACACAAAAGATCGACGTCAGCTCGCTCGAGATGAAGAAATGGTTCGATACCAACTACCATTACATGGTGCCAGAGTTTGCCGACAGCCAAACATTCCAGTTGTCCGCCAATCCAAAGCCAGTCGTCGAGTATCTTGAAGCCAAAGCTGCCGGATTCGAAACCAGACCAGTCTTGGTTGGTCCATTGACATTCTTGTTGCTCGGAAAGTCAGGTAACCAAGCCAAGCCATATACCAACCGTGTCGATTCATTGGTTCACCTCGAAGGATTGCTCCCACACTACATTGAGTTGGTCAACCAATTGGGAAAGGCCGGTGTCACTTCAATCCAATTCGATGAGCCAATCCTATGTTACGATCTCATCAAGGAGAATGAAGAGATCAGAGTACGTCTCCAAGAGGCATTAAAGAAGATCTACGAATCCATCCACACTGCCCAGCCATCCATTGCCATTCATATCACCACCTACTTTGGTGAAATCCGTGAGAACTTCCAACTCTTAAAATCACTACCAATCAACTCACTTCACATTGACTGTGTACGTTGTTCAGAACAAGAAATCAATACAATTGTAAACGAATTACCATCCAATTGGTCATTATCATTAGGTAAGTTAAAATTATTAATAATTTTAGAAATTCCAAAGAAATATTTTATTAATTCAATTTTTAATTAAATAGGTTTAATTGATGGTAGAAATATTTGGAAATCAGATTATAAAAAGAAATTACAAATTATTTCGTCGGTTCTCGCAAAGATTGCTAAGGATAGATTGATTATTGCTCCATCTTGTTCACTTCTCCATTCACCAAGTTCCTTGAGATCCGAGCAAGGTTTCGTTAAGCCAGAGGTTCTCGATTGGTTGGCATTCGCTGCTGAGAAACTCCACGAAATTAAATTCTTGGCCAATGCTACCGTTGCCGGTTTCGACTTGAGCTTGCCAGCTCACAAGGTGTTCGCCGACGAGAAATTACAGGCTGCCTACACTGCCAATCAAACATCGATCGAAGCCCGTTCCGTTTCCAAGTTGATTCACAACGACGCCGTCAAGACCAGAATTGCCGCTATCACTCCAGAGATGTTCCACCGTACCTCGCCATATCCAAAGCGTGCCGCTGCCCAACGTGCCAAGTTGGCCATCCCAGAGTTGTTCCCAACTACCACCATCGGTTCGTTCCCACAAACTCGTGAAGTTCGTTCCGCTCGTCTCCAAATGAAATCCGGAAAGATCACTGCCGAGCAATACGACCAGTTCATCAAGAAGGAAATCCAAGAGTGGATCACCTTCCAAGAGGAGTGCGACCTCGATATTTTGGTACACGGTGAATTCGAGAGAACCGACATGGTAGAGTATTTCGGTGAGTTGCTCGAAGGTTTCATTTTCACAAAGAACGGTTGGGTTCAATCGTATGGTTCACGTTGTGTCAAGCCACCCGTTATTTTCGGTGATGTCTCACGTGCCAATCCAATGACCACCTACTGGTCCAAGTATGCACAATCATTGACAAAGAAGCCAATGAAGGGTATGTTGACTGGTCCAGTCACTATTTTGCAATGGTCGTTCGTACGTGATGACCAACCACGTTCCGACACCTGCTATCAAATCGCCTTGGCAATTCGTGATGAAGTTTTGGATTTGGAGAGAGAAGGTATCTCTGTTATCCAAGTCGATGAAGCTGCCATCAGAGAAGGTTTGCCACTCCGTATCTCCGATTGGGATCAATATTTGAAGTGGGCAATCGATTCTTTCTTGTTGGCAAGCACAGGTGTACGTGACGAAACCCAAATTCACTCGCATATGTGTTACAGTGATTTCAACGATATTTTCACGTCGATCCAAAGAATGGATACCGATGTACTCACCATTGAAAACAGTAAATCCGATTTGAAGTTGTTGCGTGCCTTTGAGAAGTATGGATACCAAAGCGAGATTGGTCCAGGTCTCTATGATATTCACTCACCACGTATCCCAACCGTCCAGGAAATGGTTGACCGTCTCGAACAGATTGTCAAATACCTCAACATCAACCAAGTATGGGGAAATCCAGATTGTGGTTGCAAGACCAGACACGCCAAAGAAACAAAGGCTGCATTGATCAACGTTGTTAAAGCTGCCAAACTATGTAGAGAGAAATATTCCAAAAAACAATAAATTATAATTTTAAATTAATAACTATTTTTATTTTTAGATGATTTGATAAATTTATCAAATTTTTTTTTTGGAGGTTGTCAATATCTTTTTTAAAGTGAAACAGTGAGTATTCCATCTGGTTCCAATTCGACTTCACAATATGGTGGGAACTTTTCCAAAAAAACAATATATTTTAGTTAAAAATGATTCAATTTTCTTTCACATAAATTAGTTTACTTACATCGAGAACAGAATAATGGATACAGAGATGAGAGTTAATCGTTGGACAATATCCGAAATGGGTGGTGTTGTAGGTACCAGTATTAAATTGGAGAACAAGACTTTCTGATTTGATTTGACCTAAACAATAACAATCTTCACAATCAAATATACAATGATAAAAAATTAATAACGTAAGTATATTTTTTTGAAAAATAAATCTTTTAAAATCTATTAAATTAGAATTCTTACAATCATCAAATATAGGGATATTAAAAATACCTTCTTGATAGGGTTGGATAGTGTATATTGGTGAAATTGGGTAGTGATTATCAAATGTTGAAATTCTTATCTTAGTTGGTGAATCGATATGCTTAGTAAATATAACAATTTCACTTCCAAAGAAAGATTGGAATTCGGTTTTACTATTGGGATTTTCAACAATAACCCATGATTCACCGGTGTACAAAGTTTCATTAGAATCGAAAACATTATTTGAGTTTGAATCAACAAAGAATCTTAATGAAACATTTTGAAAAACCAAAGAGCTTTCAGGTTCTTCAAAATAAGTAAAAACTTCTCAAGTAAGATTGAAGTATGCAACAAATAAATCTTCATTTTGAAAGTAAACTAATTGAAAACTTTCAAAATACTGTGTAAGATTAATAGTATAGTTACTCTGGGACATTTCATAGGAAATGACATTTGATACATTACTGGTTTTTCTGATTTCAGGTTGATAATAAAAGGTTGCCATTGTGTTTATACTAAGGGAAATCTTAGCATAAACATCTGGCATTCCAATAACCATAATAGATACCTGAATACTAGGATTGAAAAGAGTCATATTGAATTCATTCATACTTTTGTGGAAAGTGTCAAGGATTACCCAAGTGGATACGGGGGAGATAATAATTTCAACTTGATGATCTGGAATTTTACTAAAGTATGGGATAATTTCTAGTAAATCCGGATCTGAAGTTGTTAAATTGATGGTTGCAAATGAATCTAAAAAAAGAAAAGTTAGAAATAATCTATTTTCAATATCCATATATTTTTACCTTTTAGAATAATGTATGGAGAAATATATTCATAATAAATTGAATTTACAAAAGAACCATGAGTGAAAATTGCTACTCCATCTGAATATTGATATACATTTTCATTTAATACCTGAGGAGAATACAAAGTAGGAATATTTTCTCTCTCCTCAATGTAGAAAGTACCATTTAACCCAATTGTGTAATATAATCTTGTATCTATTATTCCTGAAAATAAATAACCTCTTGAATTTAATTTAATTGAAAGATCATCAATTAAAGAAAAAGTTTTTCTTGAAAGAATAGAGAGTAAAACTATTAATTTTATTAGTAAAACAAAAATATATTTAAAATTATTTAAGTACTTACTTGGAACAACTTCTTGATTCAAATTTTTCTATAATAAACAATAAGTAATATGTTTTCAAATGAATATATTTTTAAAATTTTTTGGAACATACTTTAATTTCATTATTAATTTCATTATTGACTTCTAATAGCCCAATTTCCAAGACTTATTTTACAAATGGACAAGTTCCATAAGTATGTCCTGATCCGATTACATCAATAGTTACATGTCTGGTTATAAATCGAACTGATGAATTCAATTGATGGTGTTTCACTTGAGAAATCCATATTAAAATTGGTGACAAAGTTTGGACCTTCTACAAAGAATCTCTATAATTTCCATCTATTTCAATTTTTTCTACTTTTGAAATAGTACCTGGAATAACCTATCATAATATTAAAAAAGATGTTTTTAAAAAAATATTATTTTTTGAAATATATTACTCTTGAATTAACAATATTTAATATGAAATCTGAAGTTAAAGAAACAAAAAGACCAGATTCTACATTCTTTGCTTTGGAGAAAATAATATAAGTAAAAAGTAATAATAAAAATAAAATTATCTTCATTTTTTTTGTTTTTTATAATTAAACAAATTGTTTAATAGAGGTGGATATGAAGTAAAAAAAGACTTTGACTACGTCCACAATCACAAAATGAAAAAAAAATAAAAATCTAATTTAAAATAAATCAATCAAAATGAAAAATCCACATATGTTATGATTTTTCTCTCTTTCACCCTCATCCAATGATCTCCGTTAAAGATATCAAAAACTAGTAGTCGGATGTTGTTTTATGTTCAACATTTTTAAAATAAATTTTCTTTTTGTTTTTAATTCTGACTACTTTATTTTTTAAAATTCAATCAAATACCAAAATTTTTTTATTTCAAAGACTCTAAATTGGTGATTTTTATTTTGGAGAGAATTATCCAAAACTAAAATATTAATTTCTTAAATTTTATTAATTTCTTTTTTTTTTTAATGTGAAACAGTGAGTATTCCATCTGGGTTCAATTCGACATCACAATATGGTGGGAACTTTTCGAAAAACAAAAAAATATAAATTAGTTAAAAATGATTCATATTTCAAATAAATTAGTTTACTTACATCGAGAACAGAATAATGGATACAGAGATGAGAGTTAATCGTTGGACAATATCCAAAATGAGAGGTGTTGTAGGTACCAGTATTAAATTGGAGAACAAGACTTTCTGATTTGATTTGACCAAAACAAAAACAATCTTCACAATCAACTAGTTTAAATTAAAAATAAATTAATATTTTGTTTTTGTTTCTTTCTAAAAAATAATTAATATACTTACAATCATCAAATATTGGGATATAGATGACACCTGTTTGTAATGGTTCGATTGTGAAAATAGGTGAAATTGGGTAGTGATTATCAAATGTTGAAATCATCACTTTGCGAGACCATGGATAATCATCATTATTTCTAATAACAATTTCACTTCCAAAATAAGATTTGAAATCTGTTATATTATTAGAATAAGAATCTTGAACTGAAACCCATGAGTGACCGGTGTACAATTTTTCATTGGAATCGAAAACATTATTAGCATTTGAATCAACAAAGAATCGAATTGTTAGGTTTTTTGTGATTTCATGATATTGATTTCTAATACGAAGAGCATCTGGATATAGTTGGAAGTTGGCTATAACGATTTCTTCAGAGGGATCGTACCATACCATAATATTTTTTAAGATATCAGGAAGATCTTCAATAATATATTTATTCGACAAACCAAAAGAGAGGATATTAGTGACATCGGTCCAATTCTCTAAACTAAATCCTTGAGGAGCTTCCTGTAACAAAGAATTAGTATTGAATTGTATTTTTAATATAAATTTTACTTACTATGATAGTGGTATCAAAATTGGTGTTATCAAAGTTGACCTTAACTTTATTATCTTCAATATCAATGTTAATGATAGCCATGGTATCGATACTTAATGAAATATTGGCATAAACTTGTGGCATATCATATACCATAAAAGACACAAGAATAATTGGATTTGAAATATACATTACGAATTCGTTGCCAGAAGATGAAACTCTATTGATATCCCAATTTGAAAAAGGAGTAATGACTACATCAACTTGGTGATCAGGAATATGAACGAAGAATGGGATGATTGCTTGTAAATCTGGATCTGAAGTACTTAAATTTATTGAAGCAAAATGATCTAGATATTTAAAAATTAGTAAATTAAAAAAATATTTCAATTGGATATAAGTTTACCTTGAATGATATACTCTGGAGAAAGAAATTCAAAATAGATAGCATTTAAAAAAGAATTAACTGCACCTTGAGTGAAAATGGCTACACCATCAGTAGGAATAAATGACATTGAGCTGAAAACCTGTGGAGTATATAAAGCTGGAATATTTTCTCTCTCTTTTGTGAAAAATGTACCATTCATTCCAATTGTGTAATACAATAAATTATCCACTAGGCCTGAAAATAAATAACCTCTGTTATCTATTTGAATAGAAAACTTTTTGGTAAGATGAACTGTATTGGTAGACAATAAGCTTAGTATCCCTATTAATGTATGATTAGTATTAATGTTAATAAAGGTATTGAAAGTACTTACTTGGAGCTATCTCTTTATTCAATTCATTCTAAAATAAAGAATTAGTAAATGTTTTTGAATAAATTTTAATTAAATTAGTTTTTGGGACTTACATTAATGTCATCATTAATTTTTTTAAGGTTTTTATGTAGTCCAATTTCGATAACTTTTTTTACACCTGCACAAGTTCCACAAGTATGTCCTGATCCAATGATATCAATAGTTGCACATGTCAGGTTACACATTGAACTGGTGAATTCAATTGATGGTGTTTCACTTGAGAAATCCATATTAAAATTAGTGACAAAGTTTGGACCTTCTACAATAGTAACTATAGGTACATTAGAAGTGACGCAAGAGTAACTGTTATAAAGACGAAATCCATATGTCATCGTGGTTCCTGCTTTATCCCAAGTATCCAATTGAGAAAGTACTTCAAGTCCAGTAAAACTATTTACAATTTTAATATTCAATCTTTAAAAATTAAAATAAAATAAAATTACTTACAATCCAAGAGTAAATTGAGGTGAATTAGTCTGTAAGACTGGATTTGAAAATGGAGTATCCTTATTGAGAGACAATTTGATATCATAGAATTTATATGTCATTCCCAAATCACTAAATTCCTGATCAGGAATCTTCATGTTATCGACTACATAAGCAATACCTGGAATAAGCTATAATCAACATTAAAATAGTAAATAATTTAAGTTTTTAAAAATTTTGAAAGAATATTCTTACATTCGTTGTTATTTGATCCACAATAAATTCATGATTCAAAGAAAGAAATATTCCTTCTTCAAGACTTTGACTATTGGAGAAAAAGGAAAATGTTGACAATAATAATAAAATAGTAACAAATAATTTCATTTTTTAATAGTTACAATTAGCAAGTTTTTTAAAATAAAAATCAAATTTTATTTCTATTTATACTTTTTATTTCAACAAACCATTTCTCCCTCTATTCTTATTTATCTTTGTACTTGATTTCACCGAATGTCTACGTAGACACTCTAGAAAAAAAGAAGATATTATTTTTACTAAGTTTTTTAAAATTTTATTGGTGTAATTTCATTTTATCCCTCCAAAAAAAATGAATAAATTTTGCAGCTTTTGTGTGGAATTTGCGATAATAATGATTTCCAAAAAAAAAAACCTAATCTTTAAAATCAAATTTCTAGAAAAATACCTTAGTTGATAGGTAGAGATCTAATTGTTTCAAAAGAGATTCCATCAACCTATCAAAATCAAAAAAAAATAGAATATCGGCTGAACCAAAGTCGATGATCAAAATCAGAATGCAACGTTGGTATACAATTTTTTTTTGCCCAATAACAAGCCTCAAAATTTCTTTAAAATGAGTATTTTGACCAAAATTATCCTCATGATGTTAATGAAACGCCTTCATACTAGGGTCCAAAAAAAATATCATCTAAATGAATTCGGATTTAAAATACATCAAAAAAATCTATTTTATGAATTCAATGCCACAATTTAGAGTTGGGTTGAAGGAACTTTCCGAAAATAGTAAAAACATAGGTAACTTGCTTTTCAAGATATTTTGTATTTTTGCCAAAAAAAAAAAAAGTCAAATAATGCAACGTGGTATTTGAATAAATATCACTCATTTATATCTAACAAAAAGTACAATCAAATAACATAATCAAATACTTAAAGATATGAATTTTTATCACATATCAGAAATCTTTTCGTTTTTTGTGTTTGCACAAATAGTTTTGTTCGATCTATTCATGTTATCACATTATTGTTAACTTCACAAGAGTCAATAGAAAAAATGGTAATATTAATATATACTATAATGACATAAGGCATTGTTCAATTTATACTAATTCAATAAAATGAAATAAAAACAATAAAGGTCAATACCAAAACTTAATTCATATAGACGGAATGAGTATGTTATAACTTGAATAGTGAAATTATTGTCAGTGCAACACACATAGCGAATGACAAACATGAAGATATCACTATAATTGAGATTGATTACAATAGCAAAAAGAATGTACTAAATTGCTTGTTTCTAAATTCACTTACAAACTACACAATTGTTGGACATCTTAGTTTGAATGCTAAAAAGACTATCTATTCTGTAAGTAAACAACCATAATCAATAGATATCATTATAATCTGTTTTTAAAATTAACTTTTTTTTTTAATATATACTAGACTCTCCCTCCGTACAACAAAAACAAATTGATTCCGGTAGGTGCCGGAAAATCATCTATTTGCATGTCATCTACACTGGACAGTCAAAATTATTTCTTTAATATAGATCTTACCCAGTCCCCTGCTAAAGTTACAGTTATCAACAATCAAAACACACCCTATTATGTGAATCTTGTGGTAGAGTAACTCTATCACTTGTAAAATATTGTTTTCGGGTTCTGGTAGATAAAAAAAAACTAACAGTAGTTCTTTACAATTCGAAACTAGATATTGATTATAACCCAAAATTAATAAAATAAAACAACTTATTATATAAATTAACCATTATTTTAAAATTATAATTGAACAACGTTTGATTATTTCATTGATGAAAGATTGTAATGATGAACTTGATAACATATGAAAAAAGAGGTAAGAGATGCATTCCTACTATAATAGAATAACCTGTATGCACGCGTTGAATGTCATCCAATCTCCATCTCTGCTCGTACTTGTAATCGGATGTTTGACCAGAGACATTGTTGGCCTCATTTTATAAGAATCTAAAATGAACAAATCAAAAAAAAATTAATTTGGTCAATTAAATTTTTAAGTTTCCGGAAACGTAAATAGACTTAAAAAAGGTTAGCTATTGTCAACACCTAACATTACTATTGCAATACGCCAGAGTTGATCAAAAGGAAGTGGTATAGCGAACCGTCATTTTGTTTGATTAAATGCGCAATTTTTAAGATTATTTGATACAATTGATTATTTATTTATTTAATTATTATTTTAAATAAGTAGATTTAGATTACAGAAACAAACAATATGATTTAAATTTTAGTGAAAATAAAAGAGAAGAACGATTAATTTAATTCTTAAAACAAAGCGAACCATAATGGAATTCAGAGTAATGAGAAAGTAGTAATACTTTGGTGTTTTCAATCTTGGTTGGAATGATTTCAATAAAGAAGTGGCTGGTGCTCTCCACCGATGAGATGATACTGATTTTTGCTTTGTAGATTTCGGCAGCTGCCAAAAGAGTGAGATGGTCACCCCATATACCGCTCTTGGCCATCTCATTGCAGTAGTCATCCCAACTGCCGTTGACAAACTGACAGAGAGTGGCACCGTTCGGGAAGAGGAAATCTTTGTTCTTTCTCAGCCAATCGACTATCGTTTTTCTAATCTCTTGGCTGTGAGTCAAGTCACCGTGCAACTGGTCGGACAACGCATGCATCTGACAGTTACCGTCACCCGGAATCTCCTTGCTGTTCTTGAGCATGTAGAGATCGAGACGGTCGTTCAAACGCTTCTTGGCAGCCTCTGCCTCTTTTGCCTCTTTCGGTTGAGTCATACTGAGCAAGATCACCGAGGAAATCAAGAGTGCGTCGTTATTCATATTCTTTGGTGAGTAACCGTCACAGATAAGACTTTGTTTGATCTCTTGATACTGATCGGCAGCACTCGGTATAATTTCAAACTGATCGGCAATCGCCAGGTTTTGCAACTGCTTCATTGCTTCCTCCTGTTGCTGAATCAACAACATCTGTTGTTCTCTCTCAACGCGTTGTTGTTCCATCTTTGCCTGTTCTTCCTTGACTCTTCTGACCTCTTCCAACTCGACCGACTGCATAATCTCCTTGTACCATGACTTTGTATGATAAGGCTCCACGTCTTGATCGGAAGCAACAATCTTTGCCAACTTTATTCTATCGAATGCATTATTAATATATAATTGTATCCAACTTTGTGCTTTCTCCTCTATATCCAATAAACAACATGTCTTTGCATATATAAACCAATAATCTATAGATGAATTAATAATAAAGTTAGTTAGTTACTATTGTTTAATGAATGACACATCATCTGATTGTCATTAATATTTACCTGTTGTTTGACTTGGTTGTTTCTCCATTTCAATCAAGAAAGATTTGTTTGATTCTTTGAGAAGAGAATGCATTTTGGAGTAGACGTGTAAATCGATGGTTCTATCTCTTGGTTGGTTAAAGAAACGAATTGCACTGATTTGGTGTGCATTCTGGTGAAGTTTGAAGTAGGAGTAGCAGAATGTGCCGAGTGAGTAGACGTACTCAGAGTGCTCCGGGTAGAGTTGACAGATGTGACGAAGGAATGAATAGATGATTCCGGTGTTATTGAGTTTTTCGATGGCGTTCAGTGAGACGCTCCAATAGCTGCTGTGAAGTAATGCAAAGAGATACGATGCATAGATGTACTTGAGACGCTGGTCGTTCTCCTGGCCGTCGTAGCTGTAGGCATAGAGTAACTTGAGATTCTCGAGAACCTGCTTGAAGTAGCTGATGAGCGGGTTGCCCGATGCCGACGTGGTTGGCGACGACGATGTAGGCAGTGTCGGGTTGGCCAAGCACAGCTGTGAGACGATGCTGATCATCAGCGAACACTTGGAGAGATACATCTTTATCGATTTGTCGAAACGGTCGTGTTTCGTATCGAGTGTCTTGGCGACGATCAGCGACGCCACACCATCCATGTAGTATTGCAACGCATCGAATATCGAGAGATCCGGTGAGATCTGATTGAGAATCTGTCCATTGCGTGGCAGTGCAAAAGGAATGAGACCAGTGGTGATATGCTCACCATAGTGTATATTAACAGTGGCGTTGGAATACGATTTCTTTGTTATGGGAAGACGTCTAAACACTGAAATCTCATCGCCAATATATCTTTGTTGAAATTCCAAGAATCTAAAATGAAGTTGTTCTAAAATCAAATCCATTCTATGGAATTGTTGTTGTGGTGGTGGTTGTTGTTGTTGCTGTGGTTGTGTTATCGATGCCATTCTAATAATAACAAACAACTATGTATATCTATTTTTTCTTTTTTTCTTTTTTTTTACTGTTTTTGACTAAAAATTTGCACCCTAATCTAAATCTAATGATACAACTTCTTCGTAATATTATTGTGTTGTTGTTTGTTGTAGTGTTTGTCGTTTCGTTGCCAATAACTAAATCTATCTGCAATCTAATTAAAAATAGTAAACTAATATTAATGATACTACTAAAATTAATATAATATTGATAAATAAAATAAAATAAAATAATAAGTTCAATCTCTAGGTGTTTGTTGACACAAAACAAATATTTTTTTTTGTGAAATAAATTAAAAATTTAATTAATTATGATTAAAAAAAAAATATGAGAGATTGTGTGTTGGTAGTTTGTTTTTTTTTTTTTTTTAATAATCTATTTTTTGTTTATTTTTATTTTTATTTTATTTTATTTTATTTTATTTATTTTTCTAAATCAATCACATAGATATAATACAAATGAATAAAAAATAAAACAAACCTTTAATTAACCATACCTATAAAAATAAATAAAAGATAAACGAAAACTAAAAAACAAAAAAAAAAAAAACAAAACTAACGATTTTTGAATATATTTGCTGTTTTCTTCTTTTCTTCTATTTATATTTTTAATTAATTTTTAGAAAATTCGTGAATATTTAATTGAAAATCAAAGTTTAACTTTTTTAATATTGTCTTTGTTAATTAATAAAGTACTCAGACTTTTGAGTCACTCTCTCAATAATATTTTATCTTTTTGATTTATGATATTGAATCACTATGAATCAGTTGCTATGATAATCTAAAAAAAAAAAATATTTTTTTTGAATATTCAAAATATAACACCAGTTATTGATATAGTCATAGTAATACTATTTGTTTAGTATATAGTTATCCCTTTGTTTGACACCCAAGTTTTAAAGACATTTTTTTCAAACACCTTGAGTTTCCAAGATTACTTTTATTATAAAATCTTATGCAGTCAACGGTTGCAACCTCAAGTTTATAGTTAATTTAATTTAATTTTTTGCAATTTTAATATTAAATGAATTTATAATTGTGATTAAACTAAAGTTACATTTATTTATCAGATTATTAGATTAGTTTTTTTAATATTAATAAATAATCATTTTTGTACATATTTTAATCATAAATAAATAATAAATAATATTGTAAAATCAAAAAAAAAAAAGAATAAGAAATACACATTAAATAGATTTATACAAGTTACTATAAAGAATGACAAAGTTCACTGCTGCTAATATGTATGTGTTGAATGATATGATTGAATGTTTTGTTAATTAAAATCTGTTTTAATATACTAATATTGGATTGTTTGTATATGATGATTGATGTTGTTTTAATATTTTCTTTAGGAGCATGCTCATAAAGTTGGCAAATTCAAGATTGTTGTTACACAAAAATAAGAATTTAGAACAGAGCAATGTACATAAACGTGAGATTGCAGAGCTGCTTTCTCTGGGCAAAGAGGAACAAGCTCGTGTCAAGACAGTCTCTGTCATCAATGAAGACTATCAAACAGAGGTACTTGGTATTCTCTTGATCTACTGTGAAACCTTGGGAAATAGAATTAGAGCATTAGAAGGTATAAAGTATGTATCACCAACAATATATAGTATAACAATAACAAATTTCAAATCTAATACATGATCATTCTATAGAGTATGTCCACAAGATCTAAAGGAAGCTGTTTGTAGTATCATTTTTGCATCTCCATATCTAGAGAAACAAGTTGAACTCTACAAGATAAGAAAGAGATTGATTGAAAAGTTTGGTAAGAAATTCCCAGAGGAATGTATTGATTGTTGTTGTATAAATCCAAAGGTAAATCATAGAACTCTTATTACATACAAATAGCTATAAGCAATAAGAATATTAACAAATTACTAATTGTTTTTATAATTATTATAGATTCTTCATAGATTATCAAATAAACCACCTGAAGATTCACTTATCAACTATTATCTTAGTAATATTGCCAAGAAACATAATATTGCATGGGAAACACCTGTATGTTCATTCTGCAAAAATATTATTATGTATAGATATAGATATTGATATTAACCAATTATTGGTATTGTTTAGACATTACCACCATTAGTAGATTTACAACAGAGTATACCAGATTTTACAATGAATGCATTGGCTGAACAATTACCTTCACCACCAACAGCAACAACAGCAGTTGTAAGTCAGGAGGCTATTCTTGATTTCCCTTCGGTTCCTGCTACAGAAGCGAAGCTGGAGTTTCCATCGGTTCCACAATTTCCATCGGTTCCAACTGTTGTCGTTGAGGAGAAGAAGATTTGTGATGCCAAGATGGTACAGTGTTTTGGTCCAGGTTTGACAAGTGGAACGGTTGGACAAGATTCGCTGTTCACTATTCAGTCGTATGACGCCAAGGGTCAGAAGATAACGGTTGGCGGTGACAAGTTCAATGTGTTGATTCAAGGTGAACACGGTGATCAGATCTATGGAAAAGTACAAGATCTTGGCACCGGTGCATACAGTGCAAGTTTCGTACCACAGAAAGTCGGTGGTTACGCTATTGCTGTGTATCTTGGAAATCAGCCAGTTGCCAAGTCACCGTTCATTGCCAGCGTTACCGCCGCGGCATCAGTAACAGACGCGTCCAAGGTAACTTGTATTGGCGACGGTCTGACTAAAGGTGTGCCAAAGAAGACATCGACATTCACCATTCAGGCACGTGATGCCAGCGGTGCTCTCATGACAAAGGGTGGCGATACTTTCTATGTATTCGTACAGGGTCCCCCAGGAATACAGATCTACGGTACCGTCAAGGATAATAACAATGGAACTTACACAGCTACCTATGTTCCACCTATTGCCGGTGGCTATGCAGTGGCCGTCTATCTCGATCGTGAGCAATGTTCAAACAGCCCTTGGCAATTGTTTATCTTGGAGGAGTCGGCAGGCGAAGTGGAGAAATCCGAGGAGGATGAACTCGAGAAACTCTGGAAGGAAACAAGTAAGCTTACTTTTGATAAAACACCTTCCACCGCCGTTATTGAAAGTTCCGTTGGAAGTATGGGCTCAGACATTCCTGCGCCACCATCGTATGCCGAATTCCAAAAGGCATCGAAAGTCAGATTGTCAAACGTTGAAATACTGCAATCGATCACTGAAAAGACATTGGTCATTGACAATGGAAGTGGTGTTGTTAAAGCTGGTTTCGCAGGTGAGGAACAACCACGTTGTGTATTCCCATCGATCATCGGTTATCCATTGTTCAACAATGTCATGCGTGGAATGGGTAAAGACAAATATGTAGGTGACGAAGCACAAGCGAAGCGTGGTGTGCTCTCGATAAAGTATCCAATTGAACATGGTATTGTTACCAACTGGACCGACATGGAAACACTCTGGGAATACACATTCATGAATGAGCTGCGAGTGGATCCAAGTAAGCATCCTGTATTGCTTACTGAAGCACCACTCAATCCCAAAGGAAATCGTGAGAAGATGTTGGAGATCATGTTTGAGAGTTTCCAAGTGCCAGCACTCTATATTGCTATTCAGGCGGTGCTCTCACTCTATGCCAGTGGCAGAACCACTGGAACCGTATTGGATTGTGGTGATGGTGTATGTCATACCGTTCCCATCTACGAAGGTTTCTGTATTTCACACAATGTAAAGCGTCTTGACATTGGTGGTCGTGACATCACCGAGTATTTGACACGTCTCTTGACCGAGCGTGGCTATGCATTCACCACCACAGCCGAGCGTGAAATCGTTCGTGACATCAAGGAAAAGACATCGTTTGTATCGTTAGATCCAAGCGAGAGTGGAAAGAACGAGAGCGGTCTGCTCATGGACTACACGATGCCCGACAAACAGGTGCTACAAATTGGAAATGAGCGATATCGATGCTACGAAGCATTGTTTGAGCCAAGCTTGCTTGGAACCGATGTCGGTGGTATCCAACACCTGCTCAACGATACTATCATGGGATGCGATATCGACATCCGTAAAGACCTGTACAGTAACATTGTGTTGTCCGGTGGAACCACCAATTCACCGGGTTTCGAAAAGCGTTTGGAGAAGGAGTTGCAACACCTCTCACCGATGCCCGTCAAGATAACTGCACCTGCAAAACGTGAGTACAGTGTGTGGTGTGGAGGATCGGTACTCGGTGACCTCAAGAGTTTCGCAGATCAATGGATCACTCAACAAGAATACGCAGAATACGGAAAAGGAATTGTACACAGAAAATGTTTTTAAAAATAATAGTAATAATAATATAAATAAATTAATTAAATTTTATTAACAATTAAACATTCCAAAGATGATTAGATAGCAATATCTTTGTTTAATGTAATTGTTTAAACAAAAGGGTGAAGAGGAGGGAATTGTTTTTGAAGTTATAAATCTATAATAATTTAGGTAAAGTAGGTTTTGTTGTTGTTGGAAATTCTATTGATATTTTTATAATTATATATATAAAGAAATATCAATAGATAATAATAATATTAATTAGTTGATGATGTTGTTTGATATAATTATTGTTTGTTTTGTTGTTTGTTGTCATTGTCAATATTATTTAAATTATATAATCTTGTTTGCTATGGTCATTCTCTAAAATTGGTAAAGTTTCTGGATTTGCAAATTTCTCTCTTAATAGACGCAGTGAAGATCGTTGACACATGATCAACAATAAGAATGACATTGGTAGAATCTCCAAGAATGTATAATATAGGATATCTTTGTACCATGAAGCAATCGATACGAATGTTGTCACTGCCGTCAGCACTGCTCTCGCCATAAAGCTGAGGAACGAGAATGGAAATATAATAGCAAACATCTTTCTAACAGTTGCATATTCACTTGATTTATTTGCTGCTATAATTTCTCTATAGTTCTTAATATAATGATTATATCTAAAAGGTAAATGTTAAAATTAGTTTTATACCGAAATTAATTGAATTAATATGACATGAACTTACAAAATAAATACAAATAAAAGTGAACCCCAGAAATACATAAATGCAGCAAACAATTGAATGATGATACCGGTGATGGTTGTTGGTAAATTTACAGAGTAATTCGATGGAGGATCTATAGTGAAGTCAAAAATATATAGAATGATGACAACACCATACATTGCCAGGTTTCCATAAAATATAAGAGAAACCATTTTTTTAATATCGGTTTGAGCTGTTTTTGGTAAATGTTCTTCTTGAATAATAGTTCTATAGAATATAATTTATAAATGTTAACATCTATTTTGATCTAATTAAATATAATAGTTGTTAAGCATCTTACCCTAAAATCAATGCAACAGAATAAACTGTAAAGAAGAAAAATGTTGGTAGTGTGTTGAATACATCGATCATTTTTTCATTGACAGTTATGATGTCCTCTACCGCCAGCGGAAATATAATGAATAAGGTCGCTCTAAATATTGCACCAAGTATTAATAATACATGGAATGATATACTATATAAATTTGCTAATTGGATATTAATTAATATGCTAAAGTATCGTCTCGATTAATGATGATGGGTTGTTTGATCTTACAATAACCTTTGGTTCCAGCAAATGAAATGATAGCACATAAAATTAAAACTATATAGAATGATGACAGAACTATATGAGAGACATCAAAGTTCCAATAATGAAATGTTTGATCATTCATTTGTAAGAGAATGCCTTTCTGCAAAAAAGGTCATATGAGCGATGATTATTGTGTGCTTTTCTAACTGGATCTATCTAACTAACTAATTGAACAATAGAGATCTTTCTTTTGAATCTAAAATACTCTTACACTTCACTTGAGATCTAAATTAATTTAAATTCTAATTCTATTTGAATGTTCCGAATCGTATCTATCCAATCAATAACAACTCTTGTATTTTCTGTAATATTTAAATTTCTAAATAATAAAAAAAAGAAAAGTAAGTATAATAAGTACTACGAACTATAAATTTGGTAAATAAATAGTAAACAAAATTGAAGGTGATGTATTGTTCAATCAGCTTTGGAATTGGTGTGTTGTGTGTGGAGAGGGTGTCACCAATACTTTTATTAATAAAATTTGTTGGTTATTTTTATTAGATGTTTTTAAAAATGATGTAGAAATATGATGGGTGAGTGAGTTTTGTTGAGCGAACTTGGGGTGAGGGGTATGAGGGAGAAGAGAAGCACAAATTTAGTAACAAAAGATAAATAAAAAAAAACAGCTAGTTTAACATAGGTATAACTACATATTCTTATATCTTAAATCTTTTTTTTATTTATTTAAATTATAATTCTTATGATATTTTTGTATCATTTGAAATACTATTTTAGTAATAAATAAAAACTGATTGATAGTTCCAGTTACTTTTCAATTTTTTGATTAACTAACTAACTAAATATATCGACTATAATGTAACCTTCATTGTAACAAACATTTAAAAATGACACTATATATTAATTAATTTTACCTTTATATATAAAAATAGTGTAGTGAACTGAACTGATTGATTGTTTTTTTTTGATTTGGGGTTATTTATATTTCTCGAGTAACTAAATGAAAATAACTAACTGATTAATCTTTTGTTTATAGGAATCAATTATATTAAATGAAGCTGCAAGTAATTACTCCGACAAATATATAAATAAATAGTTATAATGTTGTTAAAAAAAATGGTGGCTAGATTTTTTTGCAAAAAAACAAAACAGAATTTTCGCTGCTTAAATCAAAAAAAACAATTCAACTTTTTATTTATTTTTTTTCCAAAGAAAAACTTTTTTTTTAGATTTGATTAATTTTGGGAAATGATATGTTTGATTTGTTCAATTCTTTTCTTTTTTTTTTTAAAACAAATAATATAATTTTAAAGATAAATGAAGAAAATACATATTTTTTTAATTTTTTGAATGTAAATAATATTTAATAAAATAAAAACAAATCTTTTTTTTTTTTTTTTTTTTTTTTTTTTGATTTTTTTTTTTTTTTAGTAATGCTGAAGATTTTTATTTTCATTTTTTTGATGGTATCGGAGTTATGTGCATGATCAAAAAAAAACATTCAGATTAAATTAAAACATTGTTTTTTTTTTTTTTAAAAAATACAAAAGATAGTTATTGATATAGATATAGATAAATATTATATTTATTAAAGAGGGAAAGAGAGAGTAGAAAAATGAGATTAGTAATTCAAGAGACATCTGAAAAAGTTGGTGAGTTCATCGCAAACTACATTCGAGAAAAGATTGTCAATTTCAAACCAACCGAAGAGAAGAAACACTATGTTTTGGGATTACCAACTGGTTCGTCACCACTTCCAATCTATAAGAGATTGGTTGCCATGCACAAAGAAGGTAAACTCTCGTTCAAAAATGTGATTACCTTCAATATGGATGAGTACGTAGGATTGTCTCCAGAGCATCCATTCAGCTACCATTACTTTATGCACGAGAATCTCTTCAAGTACATCGATATCGAGCGTCAGAACATCCATATTCTCAGCGGTGTCGCTGCCGATGCCGAAGCAGAGTGCGAAGCATACGAAGCGGCTATCAAGCGTGCTGGTGGTATCGATTTGTTCCTCGGAGGAATTGGTGTAGATGGACACATCGCTTTCAACGAGCCGGGTTCATCGTTGGCCAGTCGCACACGTCTCAAGACACTGACTCGCGACACCATCATCGTAAACTCACGTTTCTTTGAGAGTGTCTCACAGGTGCCAACCAAGGCATTGACCGTCGGTGTCGGAACGATTATGGATGCCAAAGAAGTAGTTCTCATTGTCACTGGACACAACAAGGCAATGGCACTCTACAAGACCGTAGAAGAAGGTATCAGTCATATGTGGACTGCCTCTGCACTCCAAATGCACAGACATTCAATGATCGTATGCGATGAAGATGCAACCGATGAACTCAAAGTTAAAACTGTTAAATATTTCAAAGATGTAGAAAGTTCAAATAGATTATAAATAAATAAAAATATAAATATTCTTGATGCTTTTTCAATGTATTAGGAGCTTGGTTGGATTGCAAGTAGTCTTGTCGATAATAGAAATTTGACGGTCTTTGATTTTGATAAATGTTATATATCATTCCTAAATTTAGTTCATTCATCACTGAAGCAGATTTTTTTAGAGTTTAGAAAGAAATAAAATATAATAAACCAGATCTAAAGATACACCAATCTCTAAGAAAAATATAATGTATAGAAGTTTATATTAGATTAATTTCACTTTCCAAAACAAAATTACTTTTCTACACTCATCTTAGATATGCATAAAAGTAACTTTTATAAAGTAGAGAATTAATTTTTTATTTTATTTTATTTATTTTCAAAAAAATGTATCTGTTAATTTTTCTTTTCTAAAACTTCAGATGCAATATCTCCAGAGAACAGAGTAACATTGAGTCTAGGAGATCAGTTACAATCCCATCTAATATTTCTTTACTCTCTTCCACCATATTTGATAATACCTTGATAAAGTATATATCTAAGATATCTTCATCTCTAGAATATTAATGAAATCTATAAAATTCATTAGTTTAATACATATTGGGATTATATATAATTATTTTTTATTCTTCTTCACATCACAAAAAAAACCTCCACTTCTATGAGGGCCAGCGTTGAGTTTGGTTGTTTTTGGTTTCAACATTGTATTTAATGAATCGTTTGTTAATTCTGAATAAGATTCAGAAATCTCCATTGTTATCATGACATGATGAGAATGTTTTAATATCAATTTGATGATTTGTTATCGTTCTATTTTTCCAATGGAATTGTAATATTAAATTTTGATTGAGTGGTACTGAATATAACGAGTAGATCATTGATGATGATTGCAGACCATATCCTTCAGGTAATCCATGACAAGAATGAAATTTCATTGTATTGATGTTGAATCGATCAATTCTATTATATTTCTCTATTTATCATCAAAGTCTGTCCATCACCAAGTATGCCCATCTCCTATGGTGGTATGTGTTGTCCAGTCTGTACGTTGAGTTACCTACCGATATTGATACAGTTGTCATAGAAAGGATGATCAAAAGGTTGTTTCCATTGTTCCTACCTCTTTTTCCAAAGTCACATTGGTTCAGGTTTTACATAAAACTTACAATCTTAAAAGACAAGAACTAATGTTTCCTAATGATTTGGTGTATATACTTAACGATATTTATTTATAAGAGATAATAATGATTTTATTATATAATAACGATTGATATTTCTATTTACTTATTCTATTGGTTCTATTTGTATACTCTTAATATTTTTTCGTTAGACTGATTTGAAAATTGATTTTGAATCGCCTTAAACTATTGATGTTTTGGAGCGAGAAGCTTGACTATGGTTGATCGCAATCCATTTCCTGATTTGGATTCGGAAGGTTGGTTGAATATTGTTGAGGATGTTTTGTAGATATTATATTTAGAGGTAAAAGAATCCAAGTGTTCTCTTCCTCTCTGGAATCACACAATCTTGAGTAACAACATTGGAGTAAACTTCTCTAAACTTGGTGGCTAAATCTTTCTTAAAAGACCTTAAAAACCCTTCCTTAATGTTGAATGCTCTTACTATCATTCGATCTATCAGTGTTTCAAAACTTAAGCTTAACCCACTCCAAATTAAAATATGATTTTATTTAAACATCACACTTTACACTTTAAGAGCTAAAGAAAAAATTATTTCTATTGAACCGATTCCAATATTTATAAATAATACTTTTATATTAGTATTTTCAATCATCATTTAAAATAGAGAAAAAAGATAAATTTTTATGTTTTCTTTCAAATAAAAATATTAAATGAATAAATTTCAATTTATTTTTTCTGAATTGTCTATTTTGATTTGGATGGTCATTTCTACCAAAAAGATAAAAAGTGGTTAAAAATATTATTTCATTTTAATACTATTTATTTTTAAGCTTTATTAAATTATTTCATTTTAATATTAAATTACTAAAGAAAATTGCTTTTAAAAATGTCTTCAAAATTAATTTTATTTTATTTATTTTTATTAATAGTTATTATTTTTGGTAAATATTAATTAATTATCAAACAACATTTAAAGTTCGCAAACCATTTTTATTAAAAATCAATAAAAATTTAGCAAATGATATGTGTGATACTCGTTGTGATTGTGATGAAGTAGAGAGAAATTGTCCCGCACCTCTAAGTTGTAGGAAAGCAAATCCAAACAATTGTTCAACTTATTGGCAATGTGATGCTAGTGGAAAACTCTTTGAAAAGTCATGTCCTAACAGTTTATATTGGAATGACAATTTACTTACTTGTGAAAAGCTTGATGACAGTACATGTCCTTTTAAACTTGTAGGTTTAGAAGTAAGGGAAGATATTGGCATATGATTTAACATATTCTTAATAAAGTAACGTTACAATTAACATTTAAATAAAATTTTTTAATGCTCTATTCTTTACCTTTCTTTTTTCAGAATATTTTGTATTTTTAATCGGTGGATTTTAAGCAAAACGAAACTGGGCAGAGTTTTTTTATTTATTTAATTTAGGGATACAGGCAAGAGATAGTTTTGTTTTAGAACTTCTAGTTCCAATAATAAAAATTCTTTATTGTCAATTGTATTAAGAATCAATCAAGGTTATGTTTTTTGAAATTGAAAGAAAAATACTCTACAGAAACAGGCTAAATATTCATTTTAAATATATTTAAAAAAAATTCAAATTGTTACTATCATCCCAACAATACACAATTTTTTATTCAATATCATATTAATAAGAAAGAGTTTAAAATACAACACTATATTTTTATACAATGATTATAAAAGAGCTAAAAACCTTGAAATAAACTTATTTTAATCATAGTTAAAATATTGTTAATTCCAAAAACCAATAAAAATAGACTTTTCAATTTAACTATTTTATACTTTCATGGCATCTATTATTTTATTTTTATTTATTCTTTTAGAAAATAACAATTGTTTAGGAATAACATATTTATTAAAATTTAATTGATGTAGATGCACACCAATGTCTATCGTGATCAATAATATCTCTAAAGAATGGCTCACATTGATTGGATTCAATTGAGTATTTGAAATTACATTCTTTAGTTCGACCAAATGAATAGATATAACTTGATGTTGGTGATTCTCGATGATACACCACACATAGGTTATTCTCATAAGGAATAGCATTGAGATTGGTTGTTTGTTTGGTTTCAACATTGTATTTGATGAATCGTTTGTTGAATTAAATATGAAGAAATTTCCATTGTTATCATGACATCCTGATGTTGATATAATGTCAATTTGATGATCTGTTATCGTTCTATTTGTTAAATCGAATTGAAATATCTTATTTTGACTCCATGGTATTGAATATAATGAACCTTTGAAGATCATTGAAGATATTTGATACATATATCCATCAGGTAATTGGTGATATGATTCAAATTTCATTGTCTTGATGTTGAATCGATCAATTCTATTCGTTTGATGACCATTCACTAAATAGATATGATCTTGACCATCATAACAAACTGATATACAATTATCACCATTGATTCCTTCGATATCACCAATATGTTCAATTGATTTCGATTTCATTGATATTTTAATCCATTTGTTTGGATTATGATATCCACCGAATATATAGATATATTCACCAATTGAAACAATCGAGGAGTATGTATTTATAAATTGATAATCAAACTTTAGCTCTTCAATCGGATAGTTGTTTGATGTGTTGATCCTTTTAATTGGTGTGTTATGAAAATATAAGATTGTTTATTATCATTGTTGTTTGTTGTTGTATTAATTGATTCAGTTGATTCAATGTTATCAAGTTTGATTGATTGTTCAATGATTGAATTCAATTGATTGAAATCAGGTTGTTTGATTGATAATTTATATGATGATAATGTTAAGTTATTATTGTCTGTGATTGTTGTTGATTTATTGAATTGATTGTTGTATTTATGAATGATATCTAATAATAATGATGTCGAATCATTGGAGTGTTGTTTGAGAAGTTCTTCGATATTGAATAAATCAAGATATTCATTGAATAATGTTTGATTATTATGATTGATGAATGATTGTAATGATGAATTTGATCGAATTGATTCCATTATTGTTGTTGTTGAATATAATGATGCTTTATCTGATATTATCGACTGATCATCACAAATATTATCAGTATTATTACTATTTATCATTGATTTATTGTCAGTGTTAACTTTATTATTATTATTATCATTATCATTAATATTTAATTTGTTGAATATCATTATAATATTAACAATATATTTCAAATTCAATATATTATTATCGATTTGATTTGTGATTGTATGTTTATCATTGATAATATCTCTTTGTAGTTTATGTTCTTCTCTGATTAGATATTGATGTAATTGTTCAAAGTGTTGTTTGATTTCATTCTCTGTTGTTGATAATCTTTGATATCTGGATGCCGATGATCTTAATGATTCCCATAGAGATTTAAGTTTATTATTGATTTGTGAAATACTATTATTATTACTATTAGTACTGTCATTACTAATATCATTGTTAGTTGTTGTATTGGTGGTATCAATAATATCATCTAATTTCAATGTACTCAATGAATCTTTGATGTCATCGATATGTTCCCATTTATCTGAATGATCAGGATGTTCTTTGTTGTGAATGCTAATACATCTTGAACACATCAAACTATTGCATTGATAACAAATAAATTTAGATGTTTTTTTATGATTTAAACATGTAATTGTCATTATTAACTTTTACTATTTTGAATAATAAATTAAATATAAAGTAAAGTAATGAATTTTACTGATTATCAAAGTTCAAAAAAAAAAAAGCCAAAATCAAATTAAATTTTTAAGTTCAACAGAATTTTACACAAACTTCTTTTTATTGCAGCGATTCTCATGGGCGATATGAACAGCTTTTTCATAAATTCTATTTTTAAAAGTAAACATTTAAGTTTGTTGTGGATTTTTGATAAAAAATTTGCTTAAGAAAATAAAAGATGTTTAAAACTTTATTTTTTTGTTAAGTTTAATTAAATAATAAAAATATTTTTTATCTTTTTTTTTATCAATTTTTCTTATTAGAAAATATGAATCAAGAAACAGATTTAAAGAATGTACTAAAGAGGAATAGATAGAAGAAATCCATTTTTACATATAAAACGTAATGATTATTTTTTAACATTCCCACCTATTCATCTGTGACTCAAAAGTAAATTTATTTCAAAATAATTAAATTTCATTTTAATTTCACGGAAAATTAGTGGTAGTGAGGGAACAAAATAAATGATTAATAGTCGGAAAATCAATATTTTTTTTTTCATTTTATATCGTATCATTTACAATTAATATTAATATTTACGGATAAAAAAGCTTATTTTTTTATAGTTAATTTTTACCTCAAAAACCAAAGTTAAATGGATTTCGTACATTTAGGGGCACATTGTGGTATTAAACATTGCAATCAAATAGGTAATTATTAATAGATAGATACATAAATAAATGTTTTTTTTTTTAGTAGTTGATCGGTTAATAATTAACCTTTTTTCGAAAAATCATCAATTTTTATTATTATTATTATTTTAATTAAAACAACACAGATTATTTACCATTTGAATGTGAATTTTGTCATATAAAGTTTTGTGTTGAACATAAAGATCCAAAGCTACACGAATGTACAAAATACGTTTATAAAGAGAGAAGAGTACATCCTTGTCCAGAGTGCAATGAATTGCTCGTAGTCGGTAAAGACGATGATGTTGACACTGTCATCGTGAGACACTTGGATAGAGACTGCGGCAAGAAGTCAAACAAACCAAAGAGCTACCCATGTACACTCAAAGGTTGTAAAGCAAAGGAATTCGTTGCAGTTATATGCGATCAATGTAAAGAAAACTATTGTTTCAAGTATGTATTCAAATCATATCATTTTCACCCCATCTTAACTTTATCTAACTCTTTGTTTCGTTATTCTAAAAACATAGACATAGATTCCCAACAAGTCATAAATGTGTTCCTCTACCAAAGCCATCATATTCACCAACTTCACTATTTAAATATTTTGTGGGAAGTGGAAGTAGCAGCACAGCTACAACTACAACTACAACTACTCGTAATAATACATCATCACCAAAACCAGTAACATCACCAACTTCCACTAGACCAGTAAACAATGTTATGGCAGAACAAAAGAGACAACAAGAAGAGTTAAGAGCAATAAGAGCAAAGCAACAAGAACAATATAGAGATACACAAGCGTATGTTATTATATTATAGTCTATTTAAATATTTATATATATTTAGATTTGATTTACTTACCTACTTTACTCGTTTTACCGATTATTAGTGAGATTAATGTTTTACTTACAAACGGTGAAGTGATTACAGGAAAGTTTAATTATAATGATTCATTCCGTCAGATTCAACAGTTTATCAATCAGAATAGAACAGATGGAAAGTCACCGTATGCCATTATTTCAGAGAGTAACCCAACACCGTTTTCCTCGTACGATCTTGATCTAACTCTTCAAGAATTGAAATTGGCACCAAGTTCAACATTGGTTTTGGTGGTAAGTTAGACAAATTGAATGTAGAGATTGTACTGAATTGTGAGGTGTTGGAAGTGTATAAACAATAATAATAATAATAATAACAATAATAAACAAATCAATCAATCAATCAATCAACCAACAAACCCAACAACTAAAAGAAAATAACAAATAACAAACAACAGTGATATGAAATATAATAATGAATATCAATTTCAAATAATAATAATAATAATAAAATAATAATAATAACAAAACAAATGTATATATTATTAACTTAACAATGTTTTAATAAAAATAAAAATAAAATTTTATTATTGTTTTTATATGTATATTATAAATCTTTATCTATCTCTTGGTGTATATATATATATTACAGGAACTAGAAATAGGTGACAATAGAATTGAAGATCATAATATGAATGAGAGTAGAGACAATTCAAAGTCCAATTTCTCCTATTTCAATCCATTTTCATGGTTCGGTAACTAATGATAATAATTTTTATAGAATAAAAGAAATAAGAATATGATTAAAAATTATTTTGTTGAAGATATTTTAATTCACCAAGTTCGGGGCAATATTTTTTTGAGAACCATTTGAATCAGTGACCCGAAACTCTTCTCTCATTTTGAATATTCAAACAAACTTTCAGAGTCTGTTTCATTTTTTTGTTTTTTAATCAAAAATAATAATGAGTATTTTAAAATTATTCAAATTATTTATTATATAATTTATATTTATTATTTATATTTATTTCAAATAATTTAAGTCAGACATCTCTTAATATAGATAAAAAGAAGAGTAAATAAAGTAAGTATAAAACAACCTAAATCTACTTAATATCCAACCACTTTTTTTTTTAGGGTTGTTCGTTATTTGGTTGGTTGTTGTTAAAGTTTTGTGTTATATAGATACCAACAACAATAACACTAAATAATAAAAAAAAATAAAAAAACAAGTTTGATTTCGCAACAAATAATTTAAATATTCAATTTTTATTAGTATATATTTAAAACAATAAAAATAAAATAAAATCTTGTTTTGTGGTAATTGTTTATTTGTTTGTTTGTTTGTTTGTTGGTGGTAACACTCTTGATGTAAACAATTGTTTAATTTAGGTAAATCTTATTTTATTAAAAATTCTGTTTATTTTCAAATCCCTGTTTTAGAATTCTTTTTATTTTTATTTGCAACTTTTTTTCACCAGCAAGCAAAACAAAGATTTAAGAAAAATATTTGTCTTGAAGAATCAAAAAAAATCTGTTGTTTTTTTGTTTTGACTTTTGGAGCATTTTGCTGAAATAACACATCAGCAATAATAAATTTGTTTTTGTTTTTCACCTGATACAGATCTTTCTTTTCATTTCCTTTATTACTATTTATCAAACCTATTTATTAATTCGAAATTATATACTACATATTATAACTTAAAAATATAGAATAGTAGAGTAGATTAGATAAGAATAGAAAAGAAAAGAAAAGAATGGGGAATGAAGAGAGTAAAACAATGACTGTTAGAAATGTTGGAATCAATGATTTGAATATTAGTAATAACGGTAGTAATAGTAATAGCAATAGCAATAGTAATAATAGAACATTGAGATCTAAATCAGTACCTGCTCAACCAGCACATAATATTAAACAGCAACAAAATGCAAACACTGGTAATTCATTCGTAAAATATCCAATGTCATCTTCGTCGTCGAACAACTCTTCATATACAAACCACTCTTCTATCTCATCGATTGGCGATAATGAACCAGACATCTCTGAAGACTACAGCTATAACAGTAACAATTCATCATGTAACGATCTATCACAACTAGCTAGTCAATCAAACGAACAACAGCAACAACAACAAAGTATAAATAAACCAAAGATTAATAGCTATAGTAATGAAGGAAATAATAGTAGTCAACAGAAAAATAATAACAATAGCAGTAGTAGTAATAATAATAATAATAATAGTAATAACAATAATAATGATTATACAAATACATCAATTAGTAATACAATAGATTATAATAGTGAGGAATCCAGTGTTATTCTAAAGAGTTTGAAATTGATCGATAAGAATAGATATAGTTCGTCAGTAAAGTGTGCGATTCTCGGTACCAACAGTGTCGGTAAGACATCGTTCATGCGTAGATTCTCATCGGGTGAATTCGACCCAACTGAAACAACGACGATCGGTGCCATCAGAACACTACATACAATCCACTACAATTCACTATCGCTCAATCTCGAGATTTGGGATACTGGCGGTCACGATCGTCTCAAAGGACTACTACCTTTCTACCTGAAGAACTGCAACTGCATCATAGTGATGTTTGACATCAGTTCACTCGATTCCTACAACCGCTCACTCGACATCCTCTCTAGAACCAAAAAGATGGTACCGGAAGGTTCGATTTTCATTTTAGTTGCAAACAAAGGTAATGATTACAAAACAAAACTAAAATGAATAACATAACTAAACACTGTTGATCTGAAAACTAACAAATCAACATCATTATTATTTATAGTGGATATAAGTAATAGAGTTGTCTCTCAGGTTGAAATTGCAAAGGCATGTTCAGAGTCTGAGATTGGTAGAATCAGTTGGTGTGAGATCTCAGCTAGAACCGGTTATCATATACATGAACCGTTTCATATGATTTCACAGCATTTCACAACGATGATCGATGCACTGAGGACCAATCACAGAATCGAGAAGATTCACAACAAGTTGCAATCTCCACACGGTGGAAGTAACAGTAGCAGTGGATCGTCGAATTCGCTTTTCAGTTTTGTAGAGTTTGAAGGCAATGATGAGAGTGGTCAACATTCACTGCCGATTACCAAGACCGACCTCGCGATGATCCGCAACAACATGTATACTTGCACGGAGCGGTCGTTCCGCACGGTCGACCCGATGGTGATCGTACTTAAACTGGATGTACTAAAGATCATCATTGAATCGACTGGCGGTCTTTTCACCAAGCTATTCAAACGATCGTTCCTTTTCAAAGAGGTAGCGGCAACCAGTACAACATCGAACAACGGTGAATCAACAACACAGTCCAATTCAAATTCCGATGACTTTCAACATAGCGGTGAATATAAAGGTTCATTTTGTTTGGTGGTCGATAAGTATCATCCTAAGCGTATTGAGATTCGCAAGTTCTACTCGCCAAACACCACATCGAGTCCCGTCTCTGACAAACATGAAATCGTGCTGCTCTGTGACTACAGAGATCATCTTGTAAAAACTTTTAAATCGATCTGCTCCGTTTCCATTCCAATCAGTGAAGGTGTAAAAGGTGGAGATCGCAACGACTTTTGCTACAGCTACAAAGAGTATCTCAAAGTCTATTCAAAGGAAGCCGACTCCAACATTGAATATCAAATATTGAACCCATCCAATCAGCCATTTAATAATTTAGATCTCAGTAGAATATTAAGAGATGATAAACATGTAAATATCTAACCAAAATTGGTATTCTAAAATATAATAATTGGATTAACTAACACATTTAACTATTACAGATTTTTGCAATTTCAAAATCGATCGAATGGAATGCATCACTCACTACTCTGGATCTTTCATACAATGCACTCGATAATATCGATCCAAAAGCAATTGCCGAACTATTCAATACAATTTCAAACTCTGTATCCATTGTCAACTTGGATCTTACATGTAATAATCTTGGATGTTCAAGACTTAGAAATATTTTAATTGGTAAGTTTATATAACAAGAAAAACAAAATAGAAATGGAAATATAGGATAAACTAACAAGTTATTATTATTATTATTATAAATTACAGAATTTATTAAACCATCATTGAAACTAAAATCATTGATATTGAATAACAATGATCTATGTAGTAATACCAATTTAATTTCACAATCACTTTCGTCCAACAGTCATTTGGTGACACTGGGTCTGGCAAACAACAACATTGTCAATGACAATGCACAAACAATATCACAGATGTTGCAGTGTAACACCACACTGGAGGTACTCGACCTCTCAAGCAATCTAATCGAAGAAGAAGGTGCTCTATTTTTAAGAAAAGCATTCGACCGATCATCTCCCAAACCCAACAAAACACTCCACAAACTGCACCTCGCCAACAACAAAGTATCTCAAAACAGTCTACAACTCTTACAAGCATTATTAACCACAAAAAATTAATTGCTCAGAAAACCAAACAAACCTTTATTGGACTATTTTCTTTGATTAAAAATCCAAATAAAATTTAAACCAAAAAAAAAAAAAAAAACAAAACAAAACAATATAGAGCTCGGTACCTAAATAATAATAATTTAATCCTACTTCTTCCAATCCAAATCGATTTGATCAAACCAATTTATTTTAATTTAATTTAATTGAAAAAGACATGTTAGAAATGACAAGTCATTATAATGAATTATGATCGTTCACTTTGCAAAAAAAAAAAAAAAAACAATAATTTTGTTTATCATTTATTTTTTTTTTCATTGAAATTATTGGGTGATTAAAATCTACTCCAAAAAAAACCCATTTTTGATTATTTTAATAATAATTTTTTTTCAAAATATTTGTTTTTTTTTTTTTTTGAATTTTGGTTTTTTTTTTACAGTCAGGTGAATGTTGGTTTGATGATCAAAAAGTGATTTTATTTATAATTTTTTTTTATTTTTGTAAACAAAAACAAACAACAACAACATATATTATTTAAGAAATGGCAGATACTAATTATCACTTTGGTTTGGATGCTGATTTGGCCGCCAAGAGAGAAGCTCTCTACGACTCTAATCTCGAGAGAGATTCAAGAGCTTTCATCGAGCAAACCCTCGGAGAACCATTCCCAGCCGGAAAGTCATTTGCTGAAGCTTTGAAATCTGGTGTACTTCTTTGCAAGTAAGTTTGTTTTTACAAATAAACAAAAAAGTGTAGTATAGAAAATTGAAAAATCTAACTTTTATTATTGTCATTGGTGTTATTATTATTATTATAATTGTTTACTACTTTTTTTTATTTGTTTTTTAGGTTTGCCAATAAGATTAAACCAGGATCAGCTAAATCATCACCATCTGCTGCACCATTCGTACAAATGGAGAACATCAACAACTACTTGAACTTCTGTAAATCAATGGGTGTCGCTACCACTGATTTGTTCATGACCGTCGATCTCTTCGAGGCCAAGAACTTGAACCAAGTCATTCAAAACATTCAAGCCGTCAAGAGAATCGTCTCTGGTGGTAAACCAAGCGCTGTCCCAACAAAGAACCCGTATGATGTCCGCTATGAGTAAATCTACTATAAATAATGACCCTCTAAAACAAACAAAAACAAACAACAATAACAACAACTTTTATGTATATATTTAATAATAATTAATAATTAATTAACTCTAATAATGGACAAATGGATAGATGGATGGATGGATGAATGGAAGTGAGGTGTTTGTGGTTGGTGGTTGATAGTTGGAAGAGAGAAGAGAAGAGAGTGAGAGTTGGCCGGTGATCTGGATTTTTAACTTCATATTATCTCCAGTTTCTATTTTTTTTTCTTTTTCATATTTTAATATCAAATCAAATCAACTATAAATATAATCATAATCAATCAATCAATAAATCAAATACAACACATTATTGGAAATAAATGTAATAACAAAATAAAAATATATAAATCAAAAAAAAAATACTAGAAAAGAAAAAAGAGGCATTAAAATAGTAGTTTTACAATAATATATGATAATAATATTGGACTAATACTTACCATCTTTATTTTTATTTTCAAACAAATAATAGAGCACCAGTTGCAACTTCAGCCGGAGCTTCATTCTGTGGAAACTGTGGTGTCAAGGCTGCCGGTGGTGCCAAGTTCTGTGGTAGTTGTGGTAACTCATTGTAAACTAAACTTTAATAAATATATTATATAATTATAAACCAAAAAAAAACAAAAAATCATTGCAAAGATCCAGATTTATAAATTGAAAAACTGATATTTTATATATTCTAATATTTTTATCTGGATTTTATTAAATATCCCTATAAAATTTAGTTGATCTTTTTCAAATATTAATAATATCAATATATTTATTTCATAATATCATAATATTATCACCGTAGCGGTGGCGAAGAAATGAAATGAAATATTTATTGGTGTAGGAACAGACATTTCTCATAGAAACACATTTATCATATTAAACAATTTTGTTTTCGACCAGAAAATTATTATTCCTGGATATTTGAATAATTAAAAAAAAAAAACAAAAAAATCAATGCAAATTTTGACCTCTGGTTTTTTTTTCATTCTGCAATAACATTATTAATCAATTTATCGTTTGTTGCGTGATGTAGATGTAGTTGACAACAATAATCAATCAAAAATAACAACGAACAAAAAAGCAAATCAGATTCATATATATATATATATATAAACAATATATACATAATTATAATTGAAAGTTAATTTTTGAATGAAAGTATAAACTTTAAACAAACTTTATTTACAAACTTAATTAATTTTGGTATGTACATTTACATATAAAGTAGTTTAACACAGCACACAACACACATAATAATATACATATATTATATATATGTATGAACATAAAAAGTAGTGATTTGTGATTTTCATTTTAGGTGTGCGAAAACAAAAGATAAATAAAGAGAATTAATTTGGGTTGTCAATATTGATGTTTAATGATAATATATAATTATATAATATTGAGGTTTATGTTCACATTTATATTCATTTCAATTACTTTACGAATTTATAAAATTTAAAGTTTATTCATTCTAATTAATTTATATTTTTAATTTACCTTTAAAATCTAATTCCAATAGTATAGTCAACAAACAATTAGTAATTGGTTTAGTGAATTGGTAGTACCAGTAGTAATAGAAGTAGAAGTAGAATCTAAATCTAAATCTAAAGCTAAAGCTAAAGCTTAGGTCAAAAAGCTACAACAAACAAACTAATAAAATCATGATTGCATATTATTTTGTTTGTTTAGCATTCCCTTTTGCTTTACTTGTTGGTAATGTATCTTAAGACTTAATAATTTATAACACCATTTTTCTCATTCAATGGTTATTGACATTTTTCATTTCTCATTTTTTATAGCAAGTGTACTGAGAGCAAGTATTATATCATATGCTTATTTTCTGACGTTTTTACTCTCAGTATTGTTATTACCACATAAACACTTTAAAAAACAAAGTAAGTAACCAATTCCATTCTGTCAATATACATTACATAAATGAATGAATTAAAAATAGCTAATTAACTTTAAATCAAACAATCACACAAAACAGATGTTATATCTTCTATATTGCCGAGTATTACGACAATGCTGTCGGTGGTTAGTTTGGTGATGATCACTATTGTCAACTTGGTATCGAAATTCAATGGTAACTTTACATTGAATCAACTTGGTTTCATAAAGTTTACCTATGTCACAGAGGGTTTGCTCAATGTGCTGCCAGATCTGATAGCTTTGGTCATCTCTATCATCACTGCATCACTGTGGTATCGTAAGCGTATACAATCCGAATTCGAACAAGAAGGAATCAACATGACAAATAACCTAAACATTGAAGAACAATCAAGAAAGTCAACAATGAGTATGTATTCACCATGTAATTACAATAGCAATTAGTTAATTGATATCAAACACAACTAAAAACTTAATAATATTTATTAAAAAGTTAATTATTCTATCAATTCAGATGTACCTTTATTATCACAACAACAACAACAACAAGTAACTAATGTACAAACTACAACAACAACAACAACAACTACAACACCATTGACATCGACAAGAAAGAGAAAAGAAAGAGATCCGGTATTTTATAATCCACCACCATCGAAAGCATTGAGTTTCTTTGCATTCTTGATGTTGTGTCTCTCCGCTATATCGTTTCCTTCGGTCATCAATGCATTCTATTTTATATTTGCGATTGGATTCATCTTGTGTTTGTCGGCGAGAATCTCTGTGCATCGTATCATGACGCGCATCTATCCGTTCTTCTTGACGCTGTCGTTCTTCCAGCTACTGTTTATCTATCTAGTACAGATACCCATTGTAAACACCAACTACCAACAAAACATAGCGGATTGGTACGGTGTTAGAAACTACAATGTTTGGGATGTCTCTATCTGGCCACTCGTCATCGGGTACGTCACTATCCTATTCCTCTACATCTCGGTTTGTTTGATTCTGAGACAGAAACTACTCTACAACATGACCAAACAACACTACAAACTGATGCTCCAAAAAGATAAAAAACTAAACAAAGATCAGCAAGATGATAACAATCCCAATAGATTCACAAAGATTGCAATGCTATTTGCTAATCATGGTTGGACTGTATGTTATATTAATTAACTATTCATTATTATCATAACTAATAATCCGATTCATCTTTAATCAAATTGATTTAGATATGTTGTGTTGAAATCAATGTTATTTGTTTGTTTTTAAAACCGAGTATTTACACTAGTATTCTTTTGGCAACTGGTTCGATTGTTTCTTTGGTTCCATTGCGTGCATTCAAGACGTTTTCAAAGCTGGTATTGTGTTATATATTGATTTTCATTACACTGCAATATTGTTTCAATATTCCATTGAATTCATGGAGTGAAACATCGGCGACACGGCTAATTGGTTTCTTTATTTGGCCAACTACCAGTATATGGCTGTACATTGGTGTTCAGCTGATACTTGCCATTACATTCGGTCTCTATTGTTTCTACAGTTATATGGATATGAATCTCTATCACAAGACACCGACTCTCAAGTTGAAGATGGACGATCCAGTAGTACAGTCAAATATTACATCAATAACAAATAGTGTAACAATGACACAACAACAACAACAACAACAACAACAACAACAACAACAACAACAACAACAGCAACAACAACAACTACAAAAGAGAGATTTGTTGGTGATGATTGATGATACAACAAGTGAAGATGGTAGTAATAATAATAATAATATGATGTCAACGACAACATCGTCTCCAAGACCAACAGGACTTCCAGATGGTAGATCCACTTTGAAACAGCGACCTGTTCTTAAGAGAGGTGGTATGGGTTCACCACCATTACGTTCGAATCTCAAGAAGGGTGTTAGTTTCCAAGTTCCATCGGCAGGTCGTTCGGTGTCGCCTGCACCTTCTTCGGTCGACTTTTCACGTTCCTCTTACGAAGCTCGTATTCGTCCTTATACTTCGATGATCTCTGATGGTTGGAAAGTCTTTTATCAGCAATTCATAGCTAATCATGGTGAGAAGCTTACCAGAGCACAAGAGATCACCAAGGCAATATTCACTGGTACGTTCTTGACCATTTTCAGTCAGTCGTACCGACTTGCACTGGCCGGTCTCTTTGTTTGTGGATTGACTCAGATCTCTTTGTTGAATGCTGGCTACATGATATTCTTTATCCTGTTTATCATAAGTGAGCGACTGGCTACCAGGTTCTGGATTCTCTTGGTTATATACGCACAGGTTGTCTACACGCTGTGTTACACATGGCAGATCAATGCAACCGTTGATATTGAGAGTGAAACAACTGAGCTTATTGGACTGGTACACTATCGTGTTGTTTGGTTTGGTTTGTTGTGGAAGTGGATCATTGTTTTGTTCACTCTCACCCAGTGGAATGTCAACAAGGTATTCCGAGATACAAAACTTCCGCCGATTGTCCAAACCGTTGGTAATCTCATCTACAATGTATCACAACACTATGCACTGCCATTGTGTTATCTTGTGATCGTAATGGTCGGTGTGTTTAGCAAGGTGTCGATCATCTCTATTCTCTACATGGCAACAGTGTTCCTCTGTCTGGCAATTCATCATGTCTCTGCCAATGGAAGTGCTCACATTCGTAGATTCTGGGTGTTGATTGTCATGAGTCAAGCTGCAGTATTGGTAGCGAGATACGTCTATCAATTCCCTCAGGTGAATCAATGGCTTATCAGCATTTTCCCGACCAACAAGTATATAACACTGGATGACATCGGTCTGACAGTGTACCACTCGGAATACTTTATTGAACTGTTGGGTAATGTTGCTATTCTCATTGTCTGTGTATTCCAACTGGGTTGTTTCTTCAACAAGCCGTCGGATTCCAACACCAGACACGCAATAGAACAACAGCTACAACAACATCCGCGCTTCCTCAGCTTGGTTTACTGGCTCAATAGATTCGCGTATCTCCACGGCTCCAAGCTTGTACTATGGGCTGTCTTCCTCATTGCTTTGTCACCGCCATCCTTCTTCAATGCCATTTACCTGGTGATGGTACTTACAGCCATGGTTTTCAGAAAGGGAACCTATAGAATTGGATTCTACATCTTGATTTACTCACAATTGTTGGTACTTTTCCAAATGGCATTCCTCTTCCCCGAAGCATCGCGGGTGATCGGTCACGACGATTTGATACGTTGGCTTGGTATGCCATCGTCTTCTCACTCTACAAACTGGGATGTTATTAAACTCAACTTGACAATTATCCTATTGGTGTCGGTACAGCAATGGGCATACTGGTGGAACAAAGCATATCAACATCTCAAGCAGCCTGCCTCTGAGAGAAAAGATCTCGATCCTTACAACTGCACAGTTGGACAACGTTTATTCTGGTACATCTCACACTTTTATGAGTTGTATGGTGTCGAAGTTGTGTTTGTTACACTCTCTATATCGTTGTGTTGGCGTGTCAATATATTGGGTATCATCTATCTCTGTGTCATTGGATTGGGGCTGAATATATCGAATCAAAAGATTCACCGGTTGTTCTATCTCTCTATATTGATGGTGCCTATCATAATGGCGCAATACATATTCCTGTTGGGAGTGCCGAGTGGACACACTCCTCCATGGTCACTATCGAACGATCTTCTCAGTAATCTTTTACTACTGGAATCGCCAAGTATCTATATTCTAACGGTTGATTTCGCAGTTCTTTTCTTCTCAATGTTGCTTTTCAAGCTGCCAAAGAAAAACCCTCTCGAACCACTGCCATTCCCAAAGAACTTTTTGAATTTCGATATGGACTATCGTAATTTCACTTGTGAACCACGTCCTTGGTACTCAGAGATTAGATACATCATCGTTCGTTTCTCTTCCCAGGTCACTTTGATCACCATTTTCATTGCTGGCACGGCAGAGTGTGATTTAATCTCCACTGGATATGTTTTCTTCTCTGTGTATGTGCTGTTCAGTGGCGAGGATCGCTCGTGGAGCCGACTCTGGAAAGCAATGGCATTCTACAATTGGTTCGTACTGATGACTCAAATCCTATTCCAATTCGTATTTGTTGCGTATGGCGATGATAACAGTGCAGCCGATCGCGTTGCCGACATTCTTGGATTCACCATTGTCAGTTCCTCACGTTTCAACACCGTCAGTGAAACCGTTAGTGATGTGATCATCATGATTCTGATGGCCTACCAAAAGAACATCTATGAATCCAGTGATTTCGCAACACTCGAAAAACATCTCCAAGAGAATAGAAACAGTGCCTACGAAATCGCATTGGAATTCTACAAGAATCGACGTGAGAATAGAATCAAACAATTAAACTCTGTTCAAACCATCATTCAGCAGCGTCGTGAACGATTACAATCTCTAAAGGAACAAAGACAACATAGACACAGACAATTCTATTTGGAACAATTCAATTCTAGACCATCTGGACAACTTACATCATCACCTCATTCAAATGAGAATCAAGATAATAACATTGATAACAATGATAACAATCAAGATAATAATAATATTGGTATTGATAATGATAAAAATAATACAGATATTCAATTGGATCCAATTATTATAAATAGTTCCAAGGTTGTTACAACAGATCCAACAACAACATCTGTTACAAAGTCTCCACCTGTTGAATCATCACATATCGATGAAGATGAAGAGAAACCTAGTGTTCCAATTGCAGTTAGAATCAAAAATCTATTCAAAGCATTCTTGAATTGGTTGGACCCAATTGAAGAAGGTGAAGTTGATGTCAATGATCCACTTCCATCGTCACTCACTACCTCTCATCGTAACAGTACATTCATCTCTTCCGAACAGATGAAACTATCCTATCAGTACTACCAACAACATCAAAAGGAAATGAGTGAATTGCCAACTTCAAGTAATGACCCAACCTCGTCCTCGTCCTCGTCATCGACATCTCCTCCTCCACCTCCACCCTACAAGGATGATGCTTTCAAGCGTATCGTTCGTGGTATCAGCAGGATTGCCAGAGACGAAAGTAAATGGATTGCTTTTATGTGTTGTATTTGTAATGCTGTGTTCTATGCCAATGTAATATCACTTGTCTATGTATTCGCTGTATTCCTCTTTGGTAGACTCTATGAGAGTCCGAGACCTTCTAAACCATTCTGGCGATTCCTCATTGGTTATAGTAGTATAGTTATCTGTTTGAAATACATATTCCAAATCGATATATTCTGTGTTATAAGTGGAGTTAACGGTTATTACTATGCTAGTTTCGAGACTTGCTGGGATACCAAGCAATACAACGATGACTTATCGAAGCGATATCTCTCACTTCCCTACATGATAGGTATCAATGACATCCAAGGACCATTCTTGGCTGGTTCATGGTGGGATCTAGCTATCTTTTTGGCTTGTCTATGGCACCGACATGTCTATCAATCCAAAGGTTTATGGAGTTTCGACGAGACATCGGTCAGTCAGGACATCGATCCTAAACCACCAATGCCAGGCACCGTAGAATCGTTGGAGCAAATCCAAAAGGAGAATATCAAACAATTCCTAAAGGTAGAATCGGAAACACTACATGAAGAGGAAGAGGAGGAGGACGAAGAAGAGGAGGAAGAGATTATCGAATATGTTGTCACTCGTGTAACACGTAAAGGAAAGAAAAAGAGTGGAAGTGGTTCAAAGACTACCACTACACTAAAAACTATTACTTCCCAAGATGACAAACAAATTGATTCCCCACATCAAAGTATCCTTCATTCTGACTTGGCTCTGAGTGGTAGTGGTGAAACTATTACACATCACTATAGCACCAGTGATGGTGGAGAAGTTCATGAAACCAAAACAACAACTACTTCAACCACTACAACTAGATCTGGTATTCGAACAAGTGGAAGTAAGATTTCTAAAAAACAAAGTTCAGCAATAATAACAAATGTTAGTAGTGGTGGTAATGGTGATGGTGATGATGATGAATGATGACCATGATAACAACAACAACAATAATAATAACAATAATAACAATAACAACAATAATAATAATAATGATGACAATAATAATAATGATCAAGTTGAAATGGATGTTCATGATCCAAATTATGAAGAGGAGTATGAATATGAAATGGAAGGAACATCATCACAACAACCCGAAGATTGGATCATTTCAGCAGAAGCTTTACATCAATCTATTGAGCAACAACAACCAAAATACCTCCACCACCTTTGGCAGTTCAATGGTTTGACAGTTACTTTAAGAATATATTCGATACCTCTGAAAAAACCGGTAGAGATTACTATATCCCAATATTCTTTACCGATTTCGTATGTCTTTTGTTCTTGGTGGTGTTCCCACAGAACTTCACAGCGATTCCATCGTCTGACATCACCCAATTCCTCGAACAAAACGTCATCCCCAGACAATACATTGCTATTTTACTCTCACAATTCGGTATTATCATTCTTGATAGAATTATCTATCTGTATCGATCGGTTAAAGCTAAATTTGCATTCCAAGTGGTGCTTACTGTACTATATCATGTGTTCCTGTTCTTCTACTTCCCCGATCTCATTCAGAAACCATTCGATATAAGATACACTTGGACACTGGTGATATTCTACGTTCTCAAATGTGTTTATCTCTATTATTCCGCACTTCAGATTTGCTATGGATATCCTATTCTTGCCGAGAACCGTTTCCTTATGGACGGCTACTCCAACTTCCACAATATTGGATTCTCAATCTATCGTGCCATTCCATTTGTTTTCGAAATGAGAACACTCCTCGATTGGATTGCCACCGATACCACTCTGTTGTTCTACGACTGGCTCAAGTTTGAAGATCTCTATGCCACCATCTTCAGTGTGCACTGTCGACAGGAATGGATCAAACGTCAAGGCAGAAAGAAAGGTCAGAAACAACCAATCTTTGAAAAGTTTACAACTGGTGTTGCATTCTTTATTGGTATTGTTCTGATTCTTTGGTTCCCACTTATCATTTTGTCATCCGGTTTGCCAGGTTCCAACATCGAGCCTGTCACCTCTGTCAATATCCAAGTGTCTATCATGGGATTGAATCCATTCCTTAGCATCAGCCAAGATCTTTCTGTTGCCAATTTGGACGGTATTCCCGATTGGAAGAGTACATTTGTCAACAATACCTACTTTTCCAAGCTTAGGTCGGCAGAGACGTTCATCACCACCGACGACCAGGCCGGAACTCAATTGATAAGCATCAACACATTCTCAGAAGTCAATTGGAATCTATCGCCACCGGCACGTTCACAACTCCAACAATATCTTATCAATAATGAACTGTCTATCAAGGTGGATTACACCCTCAGTAGAAGTGGAAACATCAATATCAACATCGATGGAAGTAATGTTGTACTTTTGAATCGTACTCAACAAGAGGATTTCGCTGCCATTGTCAATGGTACTTCGGCAAACAACACTTTTACCACATCCGGTTTATTCTATAAATTCATTCGTCTGCCTGGTGTCAGTGGAAATCTGCTTTATCCATCCAATCCTGGAAAACCTGCATCTATGATCGATGTAATGTTCACAATGGTTTCAGTTAACAACACCTATCCACCTCAGCAGTATTGGATGATGTCTCAAACCGATGGAACTCCTCTCAACTTTATCACCATTTCCTCGCGACTTCCAAATGGACTGGCTAGCACACTGGTGAGTGCCGGTATCATTGGTCTGTACGTTGGTGTTGTACTCTCTGTCGGTCGTTTCCTTCGTATGTATGTAACCGGTATGGCACTACGCATTACTCTCGAGAACATCCAGGTATGCGATGAAATCGAAAAGATGCTCGAAGACGTATTGATTGCTAGACAATATGGTGATCTAATTCTTGAAGAAGAACTCTATAATGAATTGATTCAAGTTTTCAGAAATGCCAATCTACTTTATGAAATGACAAAGAAACAAACATAACCAAAACTATATTTATCCACAATTAATATCTAAAAAAAACAAATCAAACTATATCTCAAATTCTAATAAAATATATATATATCATATATATTAACATATAATCAAATAATCAAAAATTCGTAATTTATAAATAGATATGGACTTTAAAAAAGAAAAATAATCAAATTAAATTTTAAAAGTAGAAAAACAACTATGATCAATCTTTTATTTATAGAAACAGAGTTGATTTTTTACTTTGAGATCTTTAAATTGATTAAATTAATTCTCCTGATCAGTCTCTTGTTTTTTCAGAAGAAAAAGCTTCTTATCACTGTTCTTTAATCTTCTCTCAAACTCTACACCAGTATTCGAAAAAGCAGTTAAAATAAGATTCAACTCTCTTTCCTGAGCTTCCTTTCCTTCTTTGATCTGCTTAGCCAGGCTGTCGACTCTCTCGTCCTTTTCTGCGAGTCTCATTTCAAGCTTGACAATGTATTCTTCCTGAACTGCAATCTTTTCCTCTTTAGCTTCAAATTCTTTTTCTTTTTCTCTGTGACATTTGATCATCTGTATAAATTTATAAATATAATATGAAAAAAATAAACTATTGACTATTATTACTATTAATATAAATTTCTAATTACCTTTCTAGCAGCTCTTAGATAACCTTCAAGTTTATCGATTTCAGATAAGTACTTTGTAATATCGGTCTCGACAGTGGTCGATTCCAATTGTTGTTTAATCAATAAGTTGGGTGTTGTGAAAATATAAGATTGTTTATTATCATTGTTGCTTGTTGTTGTTTTTGTATCTATTGATTCATTTGATCCAATCTTATCAAGTTTGATTGATTGTTCAATGATTGAATTCAATTGATTGAAATCAGGTTGTTTGATTGATAATTTATATGATGATAATGTTAAGTTATTATTGTCTGTGTTTGTTGTTGATTCATTGAATTCATTGTTGTATTTATAAATGATATCTAATAATAATGATGTTGATGAATTGGAATGTTGTTCGAGAAGTTCATCGATATTGAAATAATTATTATTTTTATCATAAAACAATGTTTGATTGTTATCATTGACAAATGATTGTAATGATGAACTTGATCGAATTGATTCCATAATTGTTGTTATTGAATATAATGTTGTTGTATCTGCAATTATTGATTGATCATAGCAACTAAGACTTATACTATTATTTTTATCATCATTATTAGTGTCATTACTAATATTACTATTTAATTTATAAAATATATTTATAATATTTAATGCATATTTCAAGTGATTTATATTATTATCGATTTGATTTGTGATTGTATGTTTATCATTGATAATATCTCTTTGTAGTTTATGTTCTTCTCTGATTAGATATTGATGTAATTGTTCAAAGTGTTCTTTGATTTCATTCTCTGTTGTTGATAATCTTTGATATCTGGATGTCGATGATCCTTAATGATTCCCATAAAGATTTAAATTTATTATTGATTTGTGAATAAAAATCATTACTATTTTTACAATTACTTTCTGTATTAGTTGTTGTTGTTGTGGTGGTGTCAATAATATCATCTAATTTCAATGTACTCAATGAATCCTTGATGTCATCGATATGTTCAAATTGATCGGAATGATCAGGATGATCTTTGCTGTGATTGGTGATACATTTTGAACACATCAAACTATTACATTGATAACAAATGAATTCGTGTGATCTTTGATGATTTAAACATTGATTAGTCATTATTAACTTTTGATATAACTTTATTATTATGAAAAAAAAAATTTATTATAATAATTCTATTTTTAATATTTATAGCTATTAGATTTCTTGATTAATATAAAATTTGAACATTCAGAACTAAAAAAAATTAATTAAATTTTTAAGTTTAATCAAAAACAACTGACTTAGAACAATTCACTAATCAGAATTTTAATATCTATGGTAAACTAGTTAAATGTTTAGTAAATATAAATATGTAATCAGTTTAACTTCATTGTTAACATAACTATCCAATCAATTAAATACCAATAACATCGAAATTTCCAATGAGTGGAGATGAAAGGCAAAGACCATTGCAAACAAAAAAACCCATTTTTAAATATGGTTCAAACTTTTCTAGTGATGAAAAAAATCTTTTATTTTTTTCTTTTTCTGAATACCTTAAAAAAAATAAATCATATGATCATTTTTTGGTTATTAATAAATAAAGATATATAAACAATAATAATAAAATGGTAAAAATTATATAAATAGCAATGTTTTCTATCAAACTAACAGTGATGATATCATATTGTAAATCGATCTATCAAATCAATCGTTATTTTAGGCAACCTGTGAAATCGATGCTGATGTTCTTCAAGTCTTCAAGAAGTTCAAGATGGCCAAAGATCCAAAGCCATCTGCTTTGATCTGTATGTATTAATATATAATATAGTAGATAGATAGATTATATTTATTAATTTATTGTTATTAAAAAATATTTATATTAACTTTTATTATTATTATTATTTAAATACTTTTAGTTAGAATCGATAAAGATGCACATAGATTCGTCATTGCTGATGAGATCATTGATATTTCATTGGAGAAATTACAAGAGGAGTTGTCCACTTCAACACCAAGATATATTGTTTATGTGTAGGTTAGTTGTTGTTTGATTATAGAATGCATCGATTATTGATTATAATTGCAATTATAATTATTGCTTTTTATTTCTTTTAGAACCAAATACACTCATCAAGATGGTCGTATTTCATATCCAATCGTATTCATTTACTACATGCCAAAGGGTATCTCACCAGCTTTGGCCATGACCTACTCTGCCAACAAGGAGAAGCTCTTCCGTGCATTGGAGTTGGGTAAGTCGTTCGACGCTGAGACTCCAAGCACTTTGACCGAAGAGTGGTTGAGAGAGAAGTTGGCTTTCTTCAAATAAACAGAGAGATTAACCATAGATGTCAAAATAACAATAACAATAACAAACACACAGCACACACCACCTCATCTCATCCGTTATTAAAATCAACAAACAACAAAAAAATTTGGTTTGATTGATCGATTGATAACTATTTTTGTATTAGTAAAGGTACACCTTGGATAAGTTATATTTGGAAACAATAAAAACAAATAAATGATATACTTATTTATTTATATGAATGTTATAGCAATGTTATGTTATAGCTATGTTATGTTTTGTTATGTTGTACTTTTTTGACTAACTAACCTAACACTACCAAGTTCGAACTGAAGTTGGTTATAACAAAGTGTTGGTTGTTGTTGTTGTTGTTGATTATTGTTGTTTTGTTGTTTTGTTGTTTGTAAGATTCTTCTTCTTTCTATTTTTCTTGTTCTTTTTCTTGTTCTTCTTTACCAAGTTGTTCGGATGCATAGTTTGAACAACAGAAAAAGTCGTTTTGAAGTCTAGGGTGCTCCGGTACAAACTTACAGATACGCATGTTGGCGAATAGCCGTTGAATGTGTGGCCATTGAATACGACCTGTTAAAACGAGTAGTTTGGTGTTGGCATGTGACAGTGCATTGATGCTGAGTGCCACCTTCTCCATACACTCTTGACTGAGGAATGGTGGATCGAAACAGATGTAATCGAACGACGCTTTGTATTTCTTTGGGAATCCTAGGGGATCACGATAATCGTAAACTCTGAAACGCTCGCCAAACACCTGGAATCGCTTATCATACTCGAACAAGTGGAAATCCAACTGACTAGCCAACTGCTCATCTTGATAGACCGCTTTGAAAATCGATGGAGTCGAGAGAAACAACACACGTTTCTTACCTTCGATTTCCTTTGCTATTGTTTCCGCTACGAATTTAGATGTAGATGGTTCATACTATTATAAATACATAATAACAAATTAAATTAAAATAACCATTAAATATATATATATTAGTATATATATTTACCCAGAATTGTGATAGATTCCAATCTTCGGAGACATCAACCGACGGTTTCTCAGTTTCTTCTTGATCACGTATTTGCTGTTCCTTTAGAAACTCTTGTAACGCTGCTAATGAATCTGGTCTAAGTGATATTTCATCATCGCTATCCATTGTTTTATTCTATATTTATAAAAATAGATAACCAGTCTAGTGTCAACAGTTACACTGGTGTTTTTCGCTCAGACCAGTATCCGACCGAAAAAACAGAAAATTTAAAAAAAATTCAAAAAAATTCAACAATCATTCTTTTTCATGCTAAAATTGTACAATTGCATTGAATCGATTAATAAAGTGTAGTGTTGTTTGTTGTTTAAGAAGAAGAAGAAGAAGAAGTACGTAGTTATAGAAAGATGGCGGAATATAAAGGTGGATCAGGTGATGGAATGAGGATTAGGATGATGGAGAAACAGCGAGAGAATGAACAGAGAGAGTTGAATAAACTGAAGGAAAAGATTAAAGAGGACAATAAGACATCGGTTGTCAATATCAATCAAAAGTTTGAATCTGCAAACGATACATCGAATGCCTTTAAGAATGTAGGTCTAGTTTCAATGTCTGAATTTACAAGCAATCTTAAAGGCAATGATCTACAACAACAACAGCAGCAACTTCAAGATGATAATAAGAAACGTTCATCATCAAGCAACAGTACAATTCAATCAAAGAAGAAAAAACAAAAAAAAGTTACAAAAAATAAACTATCTTTTGATGTAGAAGATGATGAAGAAGATCAAGAACAAGATAAAGAAGACAACAAAAATAATGATAAGAATAATAATGATGATGATAACTCAGTTTCAAATGTAAATAATAATAGTAGTAATAAAAATAATAATAAATTTAAACTTGGTAAAGATCCAACAGTTAATACAGAATTTCTACCGGATAAGGAACGTGAGGAACAAGAAAGAATGGAAAGAGAGAAACTTGCTAAACAGTGGATTGAAGATCAAGATAAGATAAAGGCAGAGGTCGTTGAGATTACATACAGTTATTGGGATGGTAGTGGACATCGTAGAGTATTGCAATGTACCAAAGGCACCACAATCGACAAGTTCCTAGAGATGGCAAGACAAGAATTCAAAGAACTTCGTGGTGTCTCTGTAGATCATTTATTATTTATTAAAGAAGATTTAATTATACCACATGTAAGTGAATAGCAACAACAAACAAACAAACATGTTGTAAACAACTAAATGAACTTATTAATTAATTAACATTAATGAAAAAAAAAACAAAATAGAATTATTCATTCTATGATTTAATTATAGAGAAGGCAAGAGGAAAGTCTGGTCCTCTCTTTAAATTCGATGTACATGATGATGTTAGATTGGTCAGTGATGCAACCGTTGAGAAAGATGAGGTAACTATTCAATAACAATATTTATTTAAATTTAAATTAATTTTATAAACTAAAATCTTCTTCTTCTCTTCTCTCAAAAAATAAACAGACTCATGCAGGTAAAGTAGTTGAAAAGTCGTGGTATGAAAAGAATAAACATATATTTCCAGCATCGAGATGGGAAGTCTACGATCCAACCGTAGCAAGAGATAAATACACTATTTCAGATAAACTTTCAAAACATTGAAATAAAAATTGGAAACAAATGATCGATCGATCATAAACTACACTTTAACGATTCCTAATCAATGCTTATTTCTACTTTAATATGATAAACTGCAAACAACACTCCCAAACGTGGCAACCTTGCTAATATGTCACCACACAATCTCTTCTTTTTAAAAAAATTTGAACCAAAAAAACAAAAAAAAAAAAAGAATATAATGAATTATTGTTTTTTCCAAATTTAATTAAATTTAAAATTTGTTGTTGTTACTGCTTACTATCTTTATTTATTCTTTATCTATTTATCAAAATTATATATAAATTGTATTGAATGTTTTGATGATATTAATAATATTCGTATAATAGTAGTAATAGATATGTTAAAGAAAAATGTTGTACTTGCTGTTTTTACAGCAGTGTTTCTCATTGGTTCAATTACTATATTAAGTTTCGATAGTTCTAAACCAATGAGAGAACCACCTTCTGTATCTATTAAATGGAAGAATGTATTGGTAATTATTATTAACATATATAATAAAAATATAAAACATATATTATCTATTAGTTTTATTAATTAAGTAAATATATATAACAATAACAATAGGTTAGTAATATTACAAATAAAGTGAAAACAACAAAGAAACCAGATATATATAAACCAGGTGATTTCATACCAAAGGATTCAAAGACACCATCGACAACGGGTGACGCTGCAAACAATGGCGTTCCTCTGATTAACGATGAACAAAAGAAGGGTGGTGGTCATGAGATGAACAGAGCATCGCCATTCGATAAGACAAAGTTGGCGTACGAAGCGAATAGAGAGAAGAATATCGAGCGTGCATCGGCTGTGCGTAATGCAATGAAATTCGCATGGGATAGATATGTGGAGTTTGCATGGGGTGACGACGAACTTACACCCCTCCAGAAGAAAGGAAAGAACTGGTTCCACTTGGGACTGTCGATTGTCGATGGTATGGATACTCTCTACTTTATGGGGCTGGAAGAGGAGTTTGCCACGGCGCGTGAATGGGTCGCCACAAAGCTGGATCACCGCAAGGACACTGGCGAGGGATTGTCAGTGTTCGAGGTCACCATTAGAATGCTCGGCGCCTATCTAGCGATGTACGAGCAGACTGGCGATCAAATGTTTTTGGAGAAGGCAGAGGATATCGGTAATATCCTCTTGATGGCATTCCCCAGTGATTCGCCATTCCCCAAGACCTATTTGAACTTTGCCAAGGGAACCGCCAAGATTCCTAGCTGGTCAGGCAATTGCTTGATTATGGCAGACGTCGGAACGTTGTTCATTGAATTCACTCATCTCTCAAAGCTGACCGGTAAGAGTGTTTGGGCCGACAAGGCAGCGGCCATTCTCGACAAGCTCGACGCCATGCCAAAGACTACGAAGGGTTTGATCCCAATCTATGTGCGACCCGATGGAAGTGGTCCGTGTGGAAGCACATTGTCCATGGGATCAATGGCCGACTCCTACTATGAATATCTACTAAAGATGTGGCTCTACACACCAGAGACACATCCACAACACAACCAATACCGCAGAATGTACTTGGAGGCAGTGGAGGCAATGCACGAAACACTCTACACTGTCTCTCCAAAAGGCGAGGGATACCTCTCCATTATCTATGGACGTGAGAACTCTCACACGATGGAGCATCTTGCTTGTATGGCAGGTGGTATGTTTGCTCTGGGAGTTGCCGCCAACATCACTCAGGACGACAAACTCAACAAGAAACACTTTGAGATGGCGGAGCAAGTCACCAAGACCTGTGTCAACTCTTATTTCAATTCGAAATCGGGACTCGGTCCCGAGCAAATCTATTTCGATCCACGTACTGGCGAGCAAAACATCTACGGTTCACACGGAAAGTCGGAATTCATTCTGCGACCAGAAGCAATCGAGTCGGTCTTTTACATGTGGAGACTCACCGGTGACCCCAAATACCAAGATTGGGGATGGAAGATGTTTGAAGCACTCGAAAAGCATTGTAGAACACCCAATGGTTTCGTCGGTATCCGTGATGTCAACAAACCCGAAGGCGCCAAAGACGACATCCAACAGAGTTTCTTCTTGGCGGAAACAATCAAGTATTTCTATTTATTATTTGCAGATCCTTCGATTATCCCATTGGATAAATATGTATTTAACACTGAAGCACATCCAATTCCAATACAAAGAGAACTTAAATATTAAATATTAAGAAATAGTAAATAATAATAAATAATCGTTTTTTTGTTAATTTTTTAAGTAATTTTATTGTTTATCATTATTATTATTTATAATCTAATAATCATCATCTTCTTCTTCTTCATCTTCATCATCATATTTGTTTTGTTTGTGAATGGATGATGATGTTGATTTCTTATCACTAAGAGAATGTTCCCAGCGTTGTTGTGATTTGATAGGACTCGGTATAATGTCGTAACTCGCCAGTAGCATTTCTAAATCTTCTTTAACAAAGTTTTTCTCCAACTCCATAGTGATTGGAATGAACGAAACCAATAGTTTACCACCGATATATACAAGCAGAGTTGGTAATGCTTCGTCGTGATAGTCTGCCTTTGCATCAGTCGATAGAATCTTTAGGAATTTAATATGACTATATTTCACAGCCATTTGTGAGAGTTGTTGATTCAATAAAATACATTCCGGTATATACTAATAATAATAATAATAAACATATTATTATAATTATATTGTTATATTATTATTAATTACATTTGATTGATTAATAATAAAGTTAGATATATGTGTGTATATATATTTACATTTTGATAAAGATGTATGATTACAAAAACATTGGGTGGTTCATTATCTATTTCCTCTACGTATTCACGTTGTGATATTTGCTTGAGGTAACCAAATGTCTTTAGTTTCGGTAGAGACGATGTCTTTGAGTTTGATTTAAGCTGTGCTAATCTCTTCTCTCTTAATCTCTTTAGATCTTCATCTTCCTCTTCCTCTTCGTCTTTTGGTTTCTGTGGTTTATCTTTGATGGTGACACACATCTTCTCTAGCATCTGTCGATTCATCTCTTGTTTCGCCAGATACTCTTGTCTCTGATTCTCTTTGAACTCTGCATAGTCTGCCAACACACCTTTCACACCGGTATTACCACCGCCAGCTCTCTTAAACGACTGTGGTTGTGGCATCATACTCATATCCTTAAAATAAAACAACAACAACAACATTATTAATATTAATAATAGCTATATATTTCACTAATATCATCTAGTTAATTATACATACACCACCTGCAGCAGCTGAGGGTGGTACGCAATCTTCACAATCGCTAGTGTCTTCTTCTGGATCACCATTGTCTTTTTCATCGCCACTGTCATTTTGTCTTGTATCATCTTTATCGGGTGTGTCACCAAAAAACATTGCCAACTCATTCTTATATACTGATTCATTACTCATTTTTTTTATTCTATCACTTCAACTTGATGTTATATATATTATATTTAAACAAAAGTGTTTGTTTTAATTTATTTATTTTCTATTATCTAGATATTTGTTTTTTTTATTTTTTTTTGTTTTTTTTTTATTTTACTTTTTTTGGTTGTGTTGCAATCTTAATTTAAAATCTCTTTGGGATCAATAGTTAGCAACCAACTTTTAAATCAATTTGTTAGTTATGATGTAATTGTTACAAACTAGTCGTTTGAGATTGATATCTCCTCACTAAGCATATAGATAACTTTTTTTAAAGTATTAATGTAAAATACACACAATTAATAAGAAAGAACTCTAATTTAAAAACACAAGACTGCAGACGCGGAAGAGCCTTACAGCATAAACATCATTAGATTTCATTAAATCGTTCCATAACTAATGCTTGCTACAAACGATAGAAATTAACTTTTTTAAATTAATAGGTCATCGAAAAGATATTAAAAGACAAAAAAAAAGTAATTATATCATTAAATCAAAGAACATTTACAATAAACTATTGATGAATTCTGTTTGAGATTAATCAAAACTGTTGATGCTTTTCATCTATTTTATGTGTTTTTTTATTGATTTCTTTGACCTTTTGGAAGGAAGGGCTTAAAAGTTGCAAAAATTCTGTTTTTTTTTTATAGATCTGGATCGAATTCAATTTATATTAATTTGTAATCATCAAAGAAATCTAATAGCAATAAATATTAAAAATAGAATTATTATAATAAATAGTATTTAAAATATAGAAAGTGAAAGTTATTAATAATGACAATTACATGTTTGAATCATCAAAGATCACACGAATTCATTTGTTATCAATGTAATAGTTTGATGTGTTCAAAATGTATCAGTGGTCACAGCAAAGATCATCCTGATCATTCCGATCAATTTGAACATATCGATGACATCAAGGATTCATTGAGTACATTGAAATTAGATGATATTATTGACACAACAGTTAAAAATGAAAATGATTACAGTAAAAATAATAGTGATAGCAATAGTAATAACTTTTCACAAATCAATAATAAACTTAAATCTCTATGGGAATCATTAAGATCATCGACATCCAGATATCAAAGATTATCAACAACAGAGAATGAAATCAAAGAACACTTTGAACAATTACATCAATATCTAATCAGAGAAGAACATAAACTACAAAGAGATATTATCAATGATAAACATACAATCACAAATCAAATCGATAATAATATAAATCACTTGAAATATTTAATAAATATTATAATGTTATTTAATAAATTCAATAGTAGTAATGATAGTAATAATGATGATAAAAATAAAGATAGTTATAGTTCTAACAGTGTGTCAACGATTGAAGATACAACATCATTATATTCAACAACAACAATAATGGAATCAATTCAATCAAGTTCATCATTACAATCATTCATCAATCATAGCAACCAAACATTATTCAATGAACATCTTGATGCATTTAATATTGAAGAACTTCTCGAACAACATTCAAATGATACAACATCATTATTATTAGATATCATTCATAAATACAACAATCAATTCAATAAATTGGCTGATGCAATCACAGAAAATAATAACTTAACATTATCATCATATAAATTAACAATCAAACAACCTGATTTCAATCAATTGAATTCAATCATTGAACAATCAATTAAACTTGATATCATTGAATCAACTGAATCAATGAACACAAAAAAACAATAACAAACAATGATAATAATCAATCATTTATTTTCACAACGCATAAATTAAAAGGAGCAACACTGATCAACACATCAAACAACTATTCAATTGAAGAATTGGAGTTTGATTATCAATTTTCTCATACATACCCGTCGATTGTTTCAATTGGTGAATATATCTATATATTCGGTGGTTCTACCAACGAAAGTAAATGGATTAAAATATCAATGAAATCGAAATCAATTGAACATATTGGTGATATCGAAGGAATCAAAGGAGATACTAATATATCAGTTTGTTATGATGGTCAAGATCATATCTATTTAGTGAATGGTATCATCTCAAATAATAGAATTGATCGATTCAACATCAAGACAATGAAATTTGAATCATATCATCAATTACTTGGGTATAGTTTGCAAGTATCATCGATGATCTTCAAAGGTTCATTATATTCAGTATCATTCGGTGAAAATAAGATATTTCAATTCGACTTGACCAATAAAACGATAACAGATCATCAAATTGATACTAAACCATTATCAGCATGTCATGATAACAATGGAAATTTCTTTATTTTAGAAATATCAAGCAAAAGATTCATCAAATACAATGTTGAAACCAAACAATCAATCAATCTCAATGATATTCCCATCACTAATGGACAGTATTTATTTGTTATGTATCATCGAGAATCACCAACATCAAGTTATATCTATACATTTGGTGCCTCACCGGACTGTAATTTCAAATATTCAATCGAATCCAATCAATGCGAACCATTCTTTAGAAATATTAATCAAAATAGAGGATGGACTGCATCTACCTCAATTACTTTATAATAAATAATTTTTATTCCTAAACAATTGTTAATAGAATAAAATAATCTTAAAAAATATTAAATTAAAGATGAATAACCTTTTACGATCATTTTATTCATTTTAATAATATTTTGAATAATAATTTAATCAAACATTATTGCAAAAAGTCCCATTTCTATTTTGAAAAGTAAATGAAGCAAATCGAAATCGAATTATATCTTTGAAATATAGCAGAAAACATTGAGTTCATGTTAGTTATTGTCAACCCATTCTCTTATAAAAAAGATAATTTTCCTTGATCTTTGATAATTAATTATAGAACTTTTGAAAACAAGTTTCTCAAAGATTGTTTTTATTTAATATCTTGTAAACGAGTTAAAATTTAAATATTTTATGTCAGGACATTAATAATTTAATTGAAATTGCATAAATTCTCTGGTCAATAAGATAAAGAGTGTCTGATAATTTTTCTTCTTTCACTACAAAACCATATAATATTTTAATGGTCTTTAAAATTAAAGTGTAAAAAGAATAATTTTTACAAAAAATTTAGATATTTCACGAGATACTTTGCAAAATCAATAAAAATCTTGGTTTTTTACACAAAATTTTAAGTAAAATTAGTTTTTTTTTTTTAGTATCCAGACCATTACCATCCTTTAAAAAGCAATTCGAAAAACACTAATCAAATCATTAGTTATTTTAACTTTTCGTACAAACACACATTGTTGAAAGAAATGAATAAAACTATTATTTCATTATGTATTTTACTGTTGGTTGTTGGAACCGTTCAATCGGTTACCTACTTGGAGATGACACCATATTCACAAGCTGATTGTTCGGGCCAGAGTGAGGGAATTGGGTTCAGTTTGGTTGTGGGACAGTGCTTTGCCATCGATCAGACCTTCTACACTGTGGAGTTGAGCAGCGATCACTCGAATGCCACCATGTACCAATACTCTGACACCGCGTGTAAGGACCGTGTTTCGTATAGCGACCGTGATTTCGTATCGAACTACTGCTATCAGGCACCAAACTTGGTCTGGAACAACTGGGTCGAAGCCAACAACTACGTGAAGATCAGCGTCGTCGTCAATCCACCCTACATTCCAGAGTATGGACACAGACAGACCACCTATGCACCGGGTGACCAGAATTGCTTCGGTAATCCACAGTTCTACTGGTATGCCACCAACAACACCAAGATCTACTACGACAACCAAGTCGCAGTATTCAATTGCTACCACGGCCAATCCTATGAGATTAAATGTACACCGGGTTGTGCAACCTACAACATGATGTTATCATGTACCAATTTCTATGGTAATAAATATGGTAATATTGTAGAGTCATGTTAGATCTATCAAAATCGATTCAACCTTTTTTTCATCGTTGTCATAAAAAAATAAAAATAAAAATCAAATATTTCATAATAAATCTTTAAATTTTCTCGAATTTAACAAATCACACCTCTTTATTGAACAAACAACATCAAAACCATTTGTTTTTTTCACAATCATTATCATCTCATAGATATATATTATATTTATAATATATAAATAGATAAACAAAAAAGTCAAATTTCTAATTGGAAATTTCAATCATTTCAATGAGTAAACTTCAAGAAATTACATTATCATTATTAAATCAATTGAATAATAATAACAACGAAAATGGAGAATTAATCATATCGAATCTAACTGAATTGCTTTTATTATCTAAAGAATTAAGCTCAAGGTAACTAAATAAACAAATAATATATTTATATATAAATTTAACAATATAGATATTAATTATTTTTATTTAAAGAGAATATATTGGAAATGAAACAAATACTATAAATTTGTTGATAAAGAGTTTGATGATAGATGTTGATGGTGTTGTTTCAAATAAACAAAAGCTACTATCACTTAGATTACTAAGAAATCTATGTGCGCATCTACCCTTGAATCAAGAGCGTATTCTCAGCGATGATAACACTGCACAATGGTTGTTGGCACAACTACAAGCAACGACCGACAATGAAAATGACATCGTTTTCATAGCCATCATGCAACTCCTAATCAATACAATCGCCTCCAATCAAAACACCCAAACAACACTCTGGAGAAATCTATTCAAAGTTAATGTAATAGAGTAAGTTAATGATTAATGTGTGTGTTTTTGAAAAGCGGTAGTAGTTACTAACTTTAAAGTTATGTATGTGTGTAGCTTGCTATTAAAGAATAATAAGGATAATGCAAATAGATTACAATTGGTTCATATGTTGATTTATAATTTGATTTTGAATTCAACAGAGAGAATCGATGACTTGGTGGTGGTGAATAGCGCACTTGGAAAGTCTGTTTTAGAAGAAGTGCTTTGCACGATAGAGAGATTCGATCAGGACACTGATGAACACGACCAGCTATTCCACTGGAGTTATCTCATCTTCAAGTGTCTCTATCAAGCAGAGAAGTTCGTAGATCTCTACAAACTGTTCGGTGACGAGAACTTTGCCATTACCACACCACAACTCAAAGACATTCGTAATCATCCAATATTCCAAGGTCAAATATCATCCAATGACAATGAGAATGATACGAATAACAACAACAACAACAATGATGATGATGACAATCCAATAGGAAGTAATGATCGTGATGAAGAAGAAGAACCAGATCATTTAGAGGGAAGGTAATGTTGTTGTTTCTTTAGTGAGCAATATCAAAAAGAAAAAAAAAGGAATGTAACTAACTAACTTATTAAACAATATATATATATATATATATATATATATGTATATAGATCAAATAAGTATCAAATTAGTTTGTTGAATTTACTTGATGCTATGGTTAACAAGCAAAAGAATGTAAAGGACTTTGTACCGGACTGTGATGCCGTCATCAGTGTGAAGTGTTGTGAATACTTGGTGTCGGAGCTGTCCATTCTCTATAATATCGACTTTAAGAAAAAGTCAGAGTTGACCTCGACGATGACCAGATTGAACGAGCATGACTTTGGTGCGATCTACTTTATCTTTAAGATATTCGCAAATGTCACTTGCTACACCGATGAGATGCTTCAGATAGTGCCGCAGCTACATGCATTCAAGCAGGAAGACCTGAACACTATGCTCCGAAAGAAGGGTCTCATTGCCATCTGCGTTGGTACTCTCCACAGCAACCCGGAGATCGATCACAGTCTGAGATCACAGACATCCGATCCCGACACCAAGTCGAAAGACAAAGGTTTCAAAGTAGAGATTATCAAGATCCTTGGAAATCTTGCATTCAGAAACAAGAGAAATCAAGATGAGGTATGTTTTAATAACAAACAAAAAGATAACAATAACAATAACAATTAGTTATTATTATTTATTTACTACAATCAAACAAACAAACAAAACAAAAAACACATTAATTATGATTCATTCTCCGATGTTTTATAATTAATTTGTTGACAAATCAACAACAACAACAAACAAAAACAACATACTAAAACAAATATCTTTTTCTTCTCTTTTTCTTTTCTTTTCTCTATTATTATAAAATTTCCGTTTGTAAATCAAGATTCGTGAATTAAGTGGAATCCAATTGATCCTAAATCACTGCAAAATAGACCCAAAGAATATGTGTAAGTTAGACTATCCAACAACTCTCTCTATTCTCTTAAATCTTTCATTTGCAAAGAGTTCACGATTTTTTTTTTTTAGTATTTTGTGTTTTTTTTTGTTTTTTTATTTTTTTATTTTTTTTGATTGTCAGATTTTTATGATAAAACAAACCAAAATATCTAATCACCATCACTCATCTCCTGTTCTCGATATCCAATAATGGATTCACCAAACTATCATACTTTCGCAAAAACAATTCAAGATAGTCAACATTTAATATCATGATGATAGAGATTCAATTTTCAATTCATAGTTACTCACCACCATTGAATTGTGTTGAAATGAATTGAATCAATATATAAAAAAATAATGTTGATGTTCAAATCTATTTTAATTTATTAAATTATTTATATTTATTAAATATTAATTTTAATTCTAATTTATTTTTTATAGATATTAAAGAATGGTCAGTTTTTGCAATTCGTAATCTGTGTGAAGAGAATGAAGAAAATCAAGGAGTCATTGAACAACTTCGAATGCAAGGTGTTGCCAACAACGATGAGCTCGACAAACTTGGTATAAAAATTGATGTGGCCGAGGGCGGTGCACTGAAATTCTCAACAACAAAGAAACAGCAAGATGCTGATGGTGACGATTTTATGTAGGCATCGTCAAAATATTGTTTTATTTTCTCACAGCAACACACATAACCCATGTGAGAAACACTTACTCTCTTTGTCATCGTTGTGGTTATATGACACTTCATCTGCAAAACAAAAAATCAAGGAAATAAAAATATCTTTTCATCTTTGATTTAAATTGTGATGTGATTTTTTCATTGTTTTTCAAAAAAGCTTTTTTTAACTATATGAAACCCATTATCATCACATTATTTTAATTTTTGGTTTCTTTTTTTGTTTTTTTTTGTTTTTGTTGTTTTTTTTTATTTTTTGATTTTAATTATATTTTTTTTCAACAATAAAAATCATTAATCATAATTTAAAAAATAAATTTCACACGATTTATTGATCAAAAAAGGGCGACCATTAATTTGTTTGTTGTAAAAAAAAAAGCAAAAAATAACCAAATACAGTTTTGCAATAAGTTTTTTTAAAAAAAAAAAAAAGTGTTTGGTTTTTTTAGGACCTCTCATCTCAAACTCCACTCCCACCTCAAATAAATAACACAAACACACACACACGACACTTTTTTTTTTATTTTTTATATATCTTAAAGAGTTACCCAATCCAAATCAATTATTTAGTTCAGTTCAGTTTTGGTTAATTATTCATTTCTTGAGAGTGTGGATTGATTGGTGAAAACACCACACAACAACAAATAGTATTGGTATTAGTAGTACAGTATCATCAGCAATAGCAATAGCAAACAAAAAAACGATTGGCTGGTTTTTGATTCTTTAGCTTTCCCTTTCTTATATACCCATCAATCATCAGTCAGTCACAACACAACAACAGAACACAAACCAAGCAGGCAGCCATCTTATCAAAACTGACATCTTTTGACAGTTCCATCTATACTCAATCAATCAATCAATCAATTTAGTATCAAATCATTCAATAACTCAATCAATCATTTCAGTTTTAAATCAGTACCTCAACAAACAAGTAATGATAACAATATATATTGATAGAAGTTTAGATTTATATAATATTATAGTTTAAATATTATATAGTTTAAATAATCTAGAATAATAGTAGTAATAATAATAAATCAATCAGTAATAACATAATAATAATAATAACAAAAGAGTAATAGTAATAACACATTTTTAGTAATATAGTATAATAGTAGTTTTTTTTTTTTGTAAAAAAAGAAAGGAAATAATTGAGAACTTATTCTTTTTCTTTAATTTCGTTTCTCTATTCTTTTTATTTCATAAACAACTAGTTTAGTTTAGTTTAGTTAGTTTTTTATTTTTGAATCTTCAAATTACATTTCCATAAATATTTAAACATTTAAAGTAAAAGATTCTTTAAGTTTTTACATCATCATCACCAGCAAAACACACACTTTCTCAATTGTTAAAGATTCTCATTATTTTGAATCATCATCTTGCATCCCAAAAAAAAAAAAACAAAATCACTAAAACACCTTTTGTTTTTTTTTTTAATTTATTTTTGGAATTGATCAATTTCCACTTTAGCCCAATTATTTAAGTTTTTTTTTAGTCCGATCATTTGCTGAAAAACAAAAAAAAAAACAAAACCACCACCAGTAAAGTAACAGCGATATAAATAGTCATCATCAGTTTTTATCCAATCATCTAGTTTTAGCATTTATTATTAGAATAATAATAATAATAATAATTATAGGAGTAGAATTATAAATATAAATAATAATAATAATAAAATAATATATACAAAGAAAATAATTATATAAAAATGAGGATTATGATAGAGTTAGTTACAAAGACTCAACCCGATGAGTCCAATGCAATATTGGTTGTAAGTGAATCGAAAAAGAAAGCATTTATAGAGGTACGGCCAAATCAATCGATCTGGATGTTGAAAACCTTGATATTTGGCGAATTTCTAGTTCCACCTTCAAAACAACAGTTATTTATTAAAGTTAGAGATGAAAATGCACCAAAAGCAACTGCAAATGTAAATATAAATATATTATATATATTGATTGTTTATATACAATTATTAACATTGTTATTATTATTTATTTATTTATTTAGTTGTATTCACAAGCACTTAGAAGTTATAAATTAATTAAAGACTATCCAATCGAAGAGCTGTCAGAGGTTCAGCTGGAGGTTCTAGAGAAAGAGAATCCCATTGAGTTTCTAGTGATGAACAGCAAGAATCCGAGTGTGTCGAAAAAGATAAATCCAGAGATTTGCTTTGCCATTGGCAAAGGCTTGTACAGAGGAATCTGTGGGATGAAATACAAGATCAAGCTATACAGAGTGGGACCGAACGGTGCACTGATCAACTCCACCTCCAGTCTACCGTTCCAAATCGATATTACCAAGCTAAAGTCGACTGTGGACACTCGAAAGATGCCATATATCTACGAGCAGCGAAAATCAGATTACTCAATGCTCACACTCTCACCAATGTCATCTGGTGAATATTCTATCAGCATCAGAATTGAAGATAATCATATTTGTGGATCACCTTTTCCATGTATAATTATTGATGGTAAAGTCGAATGAATGTTTAGTAGTTTTTTTTCAATCACACTTTACTAATTGCTTTTTGTTTGTTTAGAATTGAATCCGAAATTAAAGGAATTAGCATTTTCAAATGAATGGATAGAGGAGACTGTAGAGTTGATAACAATGATTTCAAAGAAAGATTCGACGTTGGATCATCTGTTTGCATTCGGAATTGAGAATCTCATTAATTTGATGTTCTATCCGGATCCGACCATTCAGGTACATATAACAGGCGTGCTAGCGAGGCTGTTGGAGTTGGACAAGAACAAGGAGCGAGTGTTACGAGAGTATGGAATCGAGTTTTTCTTCAAGATTGTTTCACTCGACAATTGGACATCGTTTATGGAGCTGCGTAGATTCATCTCGAGTTCACTGAGTATCTTGATCTCAAACAAGGCGTTTCTCAGTCGATTCTACGAGGAATGTAGCATCGGTCTCATATCGATGCTCTCGCAATCGGAGCATCCCGATTGCATCAGATCTTGCTCCATTGTGCTGTGTCAGCTTTCTGAGAATCTAAATAACGATCTAGATCGATTCTCAGTGGAAGACATCAAAGAGATATTGATAACCATGCTACAATCAAAAGATAACATCACAAAGAAATGTGCAGTCAGAGCTGTATCTAATCTTTCATCATCCTGTAAGTTGCATATTATATTTATTGTTAACAAATGAATCGTCCAATATTAATAATTGTAATTTCAATTAGTTGATACAAAGAAAGAATCAAGTATAAAGTTAATAACATGTTTATTGGATCTCTTGAAATCAGCAACTTCAGATCTTTCTCTTAAAGTTTTAATTTATAAATCATTTTCTAATTTTTGTAGAAATGGTAAGTAAAATAATCAATTTTTAAAGTAACACTATAATATCAATATTAATAATATTATTGTTTTTAGAACAAATCTGTATATATTTATTTAATAATGGATTCTTGGATTTAATTGCACCATCAGATCCATGTCAGCTGTTAGAGGTTCCCATGTTTTATCAGTGGGAATCGAATATCCATTCGTTTTTCCAGTCCGATCAATCGATTGACTATTCATTTTCCTACTCACAGATATTTTCGGAGGAATCCGACCACACATTCTACTTGTCTCTGACGATTTCCAATATGTTGTATACTACCTCATCACTCAAGATTCACGAACGATTCAGTATGGGCAATGGCTTGGCGCTCATCAAACAATTTGTGCTGTGCCACAACTGCTCGACCCGCGTCGAGTCGTTCCGTTCGATCATGTTAATCACACAGTCCCCGAACGATACCTGTAAAAAGAATTTAATTATGAATGGCGTTATCAATTTTCTGATGTCTGCCATCTACGATAGTTCGAGCGTGGAGATACCGTTCATCATCAACAGCATCTCCAATCTCTGTGAGTACGACCGCTCCTGTGTGGAGTCGATCGGTTCCGATGGTATCGATAAACTACTACAGCTGCTACACCAACAACAGCAACAGTTGATCTCGCTGAATGGCAGTGGCGCCAACGGTAAGACATGTTCCAGTAACACCTCGTCGATATGCAGCATTCTCGGACACATCGCTAGTAATAGCGATAAGTACAACACCAAGATTGTCAATGGCGGTGGAAAGATATTCCTCAGACATCTGCTTGAGAATGCAAAGAGTCGAAAGATATCGATTATCAAACCGATCGCTTATCAGGAGGTGAGTTTCGGTTCGGAACTTGGACACGGTGTTTCCGGAACCGTTTGGAAAGGAACTTGGAATGGCCATGTTGTGGCAATCAAGTATTACAATGAGGATAATCTTGCTTTTGACGAGCGTGAGTATCACACGGAAGGAACTTTGCTCACCGTTCTTCAACACCCGAATATACTTCATTGTATCGGTGGAAGTCCGCAACACAGCAAGATGTTTATCGTCTGTGACTACTTGTCGCGTGGATCACTCAATCATTTGATACACTCAAAGGAAGTACCACTCTCAAACTACAAGATCGTTCACTTTGCAATTCAGGCGGCAGCCGGCATGGAATATCTACACTCTCTGGGAATCATTCATCGTGATCTAAAGTCAGGTAATCTCCTGATTGACGACGATTGGAATGTGAGAGTATGCGACTTTGGGCTGTGTAGAATAGTCGATCCGCGACGTATGACAAAAGGAGCGGGTACTGCCTGCTACATGGCAGTGGAAGTGCTGAAAGGTTCAACGGAATACTCACAGAAAGCCGATGTCTTTTCGTTTGGTATGTTGTTGTGGGAGTGTTTTGCACGTGAGATACCCTATCACGATAAACAACAGATCGAATGGGTCAATATGGTTCTCGAGGAAGCGTATCGTCTGCCGATTCCAGACAATTGTCCGCCGGAACTCGCCAGTATTATCAAGCGTTGTTGGGATAGCAACCCCGATTCCAGACCAACATTTACAGAGATTCACCAGGAACTCACACAAATAAGAGATCGGATGAAAGCCGATGGTATTTTTGAGGTTTTTGAAGCGGCTTCCCCTACCGCTTCCAATGTTCCGGCGACATCTTCGAGCATGTCACCACCAGTTACCGCAGCTTTATCACTTACCAGTAGTATGATAATACAACCTCCAGATCTAAACAACAATAACAATGATTCGGAATCCGATTCCAAGTCGAACACCGATGAGGAGATTAGTAGTTCTCTCTCGAGTGGAACTGGGTCGCCCATTGGAACGACTTCGCCAACTCCTTCACCCTCATGGAGAAAATGGGAAATGTCAGCACCGGATCGTCAGAAAACAAAGAGAATATCTGCATTCCGTGTAAACACTTATTCGGCTCCGCCATCGAGTGCCACTTCACCGAAAGATCTCGAGACCGAACCGATTCCCATTACCACCGCTGCTAGTGCCAGCACCAGCCCAACCACAGAGGAGAACACAGGCAAGACCGTAACCAATACATTCTCAACGCTCTCAACTGACACTTCGGGCATTCCATTCTCACTCTCATCGAACGAAGAGGAGTTTAGTGATACCTCTTCCTATATGAGCAGTGCCGCCGTCTCTGCACTGAGTTCACGCTCCAACTCAACACTCAGCATGAACGACAACTTTCATCCGAATTTTAACCCGTCAGAACTCGACGGACTTCTCAAGAAATCAGTATCGGAACATCAACTCCGCAGCTCGACAACCAACTCTCACCACCATCACCACTATTTCAACAACACCATCAAGCCTATTCCCAACAGACTGAAACAAAGTATTACGGCGCCACTCATGGGCACAACCCGAATCACCAGTATCAACAAGATTGACAATCAACCAACTTCACCACCAGGACAACAATCTTGTATTTCACCACCAAAATCAGAACCAATTAATACTTCACCAAGTAATTTTAGTAAAAATAATAATAATGACAATAATAATAATAATAATAACAATAATAATAAGACAACTTCTTTTTCACCACCAACATCCTACAAAAAGATCCAGCCAATTGTAAAGCTTCCAGCAACTTCTGGAAGTAAAAATATTACAAACCAATAAAATTATTTAAGGTTTTTTTTTTTTTGATACTAATTGTAATCTTGCAGAACAAATTGTTCCAACATTTTGTATCAAACAAATTTTAAATAAATTACAAGAAATAGAACTTTAATAGTTATTATCGGTAGACAATAACATCTATTCTTTTAAAGTCAAGCTATAAATATTTTTTACTTATAATGTTCATGTGAAATTTTCTAATTCATTGAAACTTAAACATGAATGAAAGCAGTTCAACAATATTATTATATCAAATGGATATTTGTTCCATTAAATTAAGTGATAGCACCAACCAAACTGACAGATGACTACTTGTATACTAGGTATACAGATAGATCGAATCATAGCAGCAACTGAGTGGTAGAAATGAGATGTATGAACGATCTTTTGATAGACTTTGAACCACCTGGTCAGGAGTAATCTCCATTCCTCTGACCTGTAAGTACTCAAGCTATAGAAAATAATATATAAACATGGGAAGCAGATATTACCACAAGATGGCTCCGAGTGACAAATGTCAGAGCTTCGTCAGTTTTTATCGATCTCCATCTATTAACAAACATGATTTCGCGTTACATCATATAATAATTTTTCTAATGATTTTTTTTGTTTTAACTCAACTTTTAATAATCAAATCGTTACCAAAATGACCAAGCTAGAGCCTTCATGGAGAATGTTTGTAAATTAAATAAATAAAAAATAAGAATTATATTTTATTTATTCTCTTGCTTTTTGAAGCAGTTGTCTTCTCGTCATTTGTTCACCATTTGGAAGTGTAATCGTTTGTTTGTTGTTCAACAAAGTTAGTCCAATCAATTTGTAAACCATTCTTTGTCTATGACCTATTCTTAGTGATTCCAATAATAGTTGTTGTTTTGTCATTGATTGTCCGTTATTAAGAATGATTGATTCACCACTTGAAAGTGTAATTAAAAGTTTATAATATGAACAGGAATTGGTTGGATCACATTCTATTGCTTTCAAGTATAATTGTTGTTTTGTCATTGATTGTCCAATATTAAGTGTGATTGATTCACCACTTGAAAGTGTCGTTGCAAGGTTATGATATGAATTTGAATTGGTTGGATCACATTCTATTGCTTTCAAGTATAATTGTTGTTGTGTCATTGATTGTCCATTATTAAGTGTGATTGATTCACCTCTTGAAAGTGAATTTGCAAGATTATAATATGAATCGTATTTATTTGGATTGCATTCTATTGATTTCAAGAATAATTGTTGTGCAGTCATTGATTGTCCATTATTAAGTGTGATTAATTCATCTCTTGAAAGTGTCGTTGTAAGGTTATAATATGAATCGGAATCAGTTGGATCACATTCTATTGCTTTCAAGTATAATTGTTGTTCTGTCATTGATTGTCCATTATTAAGTGTGATTGATTCACCATTTGAAAGTGTAATTGCAAGGTTATAATATGACCGATAATATGTTGGATCATATTCTATTGATTTCAAGTATAATTGTTGTGCAGTCATTGATTGTCCATTATTAAGTGTGATTGATTCACCTATTGAAAGTGTCGTTGCAAGGTTATGATATGAATATGAATTGGTTGGATCACATTCTATTGATTTTAAGTATAGTTGTTGTTTTGTCATTGATTGTCCATTATTAAGTGTGATTGATTCACCTATTGAAAGTGTTCTTGCAAGGTTATGATAATATTGTGAATTGTTTGGATAATGCTCGATTGCTTTTAAGAATAATTGTTGTTCTGTCATAGATAGACCTGATGTAAGAATGATTGATGATCGATTTTCAGCTTTAAGTATTAATGCCAAATGGTAATAAGTATTAGCATAGCTTGGATAAAGATCGATTACTTTTAATAAAAGTTGTTCTTTCGTTGTTGATTCGCCTGATGGTAGCACAATTGTTTGTTGATCCCTATTAACATGATCAAATGCCATTACAAATTGGCGAAGCACATCATTATCAACATTTGAACTGATATTATACTGATCATGTTTTCTTTTCATTGTTTTTTAATATATGAATAATCTTTTGATATCAATTATCTAAATATCGATAAATCAAGAAAAATATTTAAAGTGTGGTAATTGTTAAAAACATATCAAAACTAAACTGTCCAATTAAAAAATTAAAAATTAGAGGGGTTACAAGTGCAAAAAAAAAAAAATTAAAGCCTTGTGATATTTATTTTATTAAAATAGTAGTCAAATTAGTATCTTTATCATATTTTATTATCTTCTATTTTTCTTACTCTTTCATTTTTGGTACCAATATAAGATTTGCAAATTCACTAAATAATAAAGTTTCCATAATTATAAAAATGAATAAGTATAATTATACTAGATAATACAAAATGATGTTATAACAAGTATATAGTTATGTTTGTAAGATGATTGTAAAATATAATCAATTGTTTATTTAATTTATTGCGCTTTTAAATAGTTTGTGTTAATTGATCGGTTAGCAGTTGTCAGTTGATTGACATCTTGGAATTACGATTCCAACAAAAGGTATTAATATTAGAAATGAGGATACGTCAATTATATCGGATACAACAACATTATATTCAACAACAACAATAATGGAATCAATAACAACAAGTTCATCATTACAATCATTCATCAACCATAATCACACATTATTCAATGAACATAATTTTAAATATAATAATTATTTCAATATTGATTAACTTCTCAAACAACACTCCTCAGATTCATCATCAATATTATTAGATATCATTCATAAATACAACAATCAATTCAATGAATCAACAGCAATCACAGACAATAATAACTTAAGATTATCATCATATAAGTTAACAATCAAACAACCTGATTTCAATCAATTGAATTCAATCATTGAACAATCAATCAAAACTTGAAGCAAACAACAATGATAATATATATCATTATAACAAATTAATAAAAAGTTCATTTCTATCTTTTACTCAAGAAAAATTTATTAAATATTTATTTATTACTTTTATTATTACCAATTGTACAGATTTTTTTTAAAGAAAAACTTGGGGTTATGATTAATGCACATTTTTCAATTCATCCAATTGTACATATGGTTGTTTTTCATATGAAAAACAATTTTTTGTCACTGATTGCAGTTGTTGTTGTTGTTGCTGTTGTTGAGTTTCGGCGAATCCTTCTTAAGTATTCAGTATATCTGTGTGAATTCATTTTAAAGATTGAATAATCATGAATACTGCCAAAGTTATTCTCGCTAACAAACAAACAATAGTGCGACTGTTGCAATCACCAAACACTCTTTTTTTCTAGCATAGATACAGTTCTTTCCATCCCATAGTTGTTTAGCCTCAGCAAAGTTACCCATTGGACCACAAACTTGGATTGATGTTGAGTCCATTAAGAGTGCAACCTTCTTTAGTTCATTAGGTATTTGGTTGTCCAATGGTCTTGGTCTGATTCAAACCATTTCTTCTTTAAAGATGGAAGTAACGCAATAGCAGCACGACGGATGGCTTTATTGAAAGTACTACTATTTTGTTTAACAATAGCTGCCAAAAATTCGATTGTTTAACCACCTTTGAATAAGCAGAGTAAAAATAGATCGAGTCCATCCAAGAGATTTTTGGTAACGGTCCTCTTTTCTATAAGAGTAATGGAATCAAGTCATCATTACAATCATTCATCAACCAAACATTCTTTTATTATCATATATATAATAATTTTTTCAATATTGACGAACGTCTCAAACGACATGAAACTATTCATCATCAGCAGTTGTTGTCATCATGTCATGATAACAATAGAAATTTCATATATGATAGAATTAATAAACGGTTCAAATACAATGTTGAAACCAAACCAACAATCAATCTCAATCTTATTCCTGACAGAAATCAACAGTACATAATTTGATTTATCATCGAGAATCACCAACATCAAGTTATAAATTTTCATTAGGTTCATATAATAATGATTATAATTTTAAATATTCAATCGAATCCGATCAATGCGAACCATTCTTGAGAGATTTTAATCATCATATATATTGGTGTGCATCTACATCAATTTCATTTTAATAAATAAGTTTTAATAAACATAGCTTTTAAACGAATAAACAAAAAGAAATAAATTCAATAAAAAATTAATTCTCACTGAAATAAAAATATTTGATTGTCTTATCTTTTTTGATCTGGTAATAATAGATCGAATGTCTTGAAACATTCACATGCGACCATTCAATACTTATTAAATTAGTTTTGATCATTCAATAAAATCAACTCTTTGATTTCTTATTTTTATTGTTCTTATTTTTCTCTGTTTTTGTTGGTTTTTCAATGTTGTTATCTTTTGTTTTCTTTTTCTTATTACTACTTTCAATATTAACAATTGGTTGAGTTTGTGGTAATACAATCAATGATTCATCGGTGCACCATTGAATATATTGATTCCATTTCTCACAGGGACAAGATTCCAAAGTTTGTTTATTACCAACAATGATCATACCTCTTTTCGCCCTGGTGAGTGAAACGTTTAATCGACGCCAGTCATTCAAGAATCCAACTCTTCCACCCAAGTTTGACCGTACCGTAGAGACCAATATGATTTCTTTTTCTCTTCCTTGAAAAGAATCAACGGTTGCAACAGTAGGAAGTTTTCTGAAATCCGGTCTCAAAAGATTGCATATCAACTTTGCCTGTGAGGAGTATGGTGTTATTATTCCAAAACTGTCCGTTGTCAAATCCTGATTCTCTTTGACCATGGCTTTCAAAATCCTAACAATCTCTTTTGCCTCTGGCATGTTCATATAAGAGTAATTATTGATATCCTCCTTTCCAACAACATTTACAAAAGCAATAGGACATTGTTCACGTGGCCAATCGAAGCCTCTTGGTATCTGTCTATCTTTATCGTCTATTCCAGTCTTCAATTTACCATCATAAATATATTTATTTGGAAATTCCAACAATTTCGAATGCATTCTATATTGTTCTTCCAAAAGGAATGGAGTAATATCATTTGCCAATCTTTGGAATAAACCAATTGATAATCCACCATCTTCAGCTTCTTTTGTAAATATCTAAAAGATTTATTATTAATTATCAAATTCTAATAAATTACTATTATGAAATAAACTTACGGTTGGAGATAATTGATTTTGATCACCAAATAAAAATAGTTGTTCTGATTGTTTTAAAAGTGGAACTAAAATAGCTGGTTCTGTTGCCTGAGATGCTTCGTCTACAATTACAATGGAGAATCGTTCATTCGTTAGAATTGGATGTCCTGATGCTATGCATGTCGTACAAATAACATTGACTTGACTGAGTAGTTTCGATTTGGTATCACGTTCGATGTTGGCGATGTTTGCTGGGTTGTAGTTGGGTGATTTCTCATACTGTTTGATTGCTTCTGATAGATGGTGATCGAGTGTCGCATTGAGAAGATCCGGTCTTACACTAGAGGTATGTCCAAGTCGCAGCACCTTAACATTGTACTTCAACAGTCCATCCAAGAGATTATCGACACCGGTATTCGTGTAGGAGGTCACCAATATCTTTTGGCTGGCGGCTACTCCACCGGGGTCGTTTGCCGATAGCTTCTCTTTGATGTGGCAGAGTAGACGCACCAAATTTATGGCGGTAGCAGACTTCCCGGTGCCTGGCGGACCTTGTATCAAACTGACACGTCTCTTCACACTTGACAATATAGCGTTTCGCTGTGAACTATTCATTCGCCACTCATTGAAATCCGGTGGAATCGACACATCTGCATCGGAATCTGAATTCGGTTTGAATACATTTATATACTGAGAGCATGCTTGTTCTATTGTCTTGCCTTTCAGATGATTCAGTATGATATCATATAGTTTCGTCTTGTAGAGAACTTGACTAGAGTTGATCGATTGCAGTGCTTCCATCATTCGTTGTGCAGTCACTCTATTCATACCGTAATCTAATCTCCAAGGTTTAGTATTCCTAAAGATAGATGTATTATCTTTCTGTTGTTGTAGTTGCTGTTGTTGTGGTGGTAGTTTAATAGATACTTTTATAGCAGAACCACTGACCTCTAACAATATTCCCTCGAAAACAACATCGTCATACAAAGGATTATGTCTACTTATAATAACAGGATCACCTATATTGATTTTTAACAATGGTGTTGATGTCGATGTTGTAGATGTCGCTGTTTCACCATTCTTTGTTGATTTACTAGTTGTTGTTGTAGTTGTTGTTGCTGTATCACCATCAAACGATGTATTTAATATATTTTTAGAATTAAATCTAACTATTATTTCATCAAAGAGACGACCGTCTAGATGTGCAGTTAAATTCGATACCGCCAGACCGTTCGCAACCAAATAGTTGATTCCACATTTCATCAGACGACGTTCAATCTGTGTCTTGTCAGCAGTCATCTCTTTCATTAATAGTGTATTAAACTTATCGAAATACTCTTGTTTCTTCTTATTGAATACACCACCCATTACCACTGGTAACTGATTCTGTTGTTGTTGTTGTTTTTGTTGCTGCTGTTGTCTCTGTGCTTCAGAACTAGTATTATTTGATAGTACTGATAAAGTCAACGATCTATATGTATAACATTTAGATAAAAAACAGTTTGTTTGTTAATCAATCAATTAACTATTCATCTCATCTCTCTCTTTCTCTTTAAAGCATAGTTATTATTTCCAAGATCATAAAATACATACTTCCAACCTTTACCAAAATTCATCTTTATATCTTTTTCATTTAAATCTTTAGTTGTAGATGTTGCAGAAGCTGTAGAAGATGTTGTTGTTGTTGTTGTTGATGTATTGGTGGTAGTTGTTGCTACATCTTCGACATCCCTCTTTCTCTTTTTCAAATCAGTATCTGTATTATCATTATTATCATTGTCATTATCATTATCATCATTTATCTTGAATAAATCTTCATCATCTACTTCTGTTGTTGTTATACTATTCATTACTTTAAATGTAATTAATTAATTTAGGTAAAATGAAAAACTGAAATGTTTATTAATAAATTCATTTCAATGAACGAAAGTCAAAAATATGTTTTTTTATTTCCAAGAAACTAAATTAAATCTTCAGGTCGAAACACTTTATTTTATTTCTCTATAATATGGGACATCTTACATTTAGCTCCATAGCCACAATAACCACTTATAAAAAACTTACAAGGTTTATGTTGGTTATTATTTTGATTATTATTGTTGTTGTTCTTACTTTGATTATTATTGTTATTCTTTTTGTTTTGATTATTGTTTTTATAAGTATTATTATTGTTGTTGTTGTTAATGTTTTTATAGGTATTATTATTAGGATTGTAAGATTTAGATCTCATAGGAGGATAACCTCTTAGTGGTGGTGTTGATTGATTTCGGTATGGATTGCCTTGATTTAAATTATAATCATAGTTGTAATAGAGTTCCTCATCTGTGTAAGCTGAATTGTTGTTGTTATTGCTGTTGTTTGGATAAATGTAACTATTATCATTTAGATTATCGTGGAAATTATCATTGTAGCTAGAGTTGTAGTTATTATAAACAGGTCGGTAATACTGTGGTGGTAATGACATTGAATTACCATAGACCAGACTATCTCTATAAGATAAAGGTGGTAGTTGCTGTTGTTGTTGTGGATAGTTATTATTGTTGTTATTGTAGTTGTTGTAAGTGATATAGGGTATTGGTGTTGAAGATGGTGATTGTGATGGTGACGGTGATGCAGATGGTGATGCAGAATGATGATGATTCGGTGATTTGGGTCTGGGTGGTAAGAGGAACGCTGCTGATGATGGTGATAAAAGTGGTGGTGTTATTGGTCTTGAAGGCAGTGGTGATAACAACATCGATGGATTCAGATGTGAAGAGTTGTTGTTGTTGTTGTTTCTTAGGTTGGACGATGACGATAGTGAAGATTGACTATAGCTATTGGAATCGGGTGGTGAAAAGATATTGAAATTATAGTAATCTTCGTCTTGTGACACCCTGTAGTTATTAGGTGGCGAATTATGATTTCTCAGGTTGGAAGGTGATCTCTTCATCTGTGGATGCTTTACAAACTCATTGGCACCACTCTCGGTTCTACGATGATAGTTCTTCGCCAGAGAATTACCAACCGATCTTCTCAACCATTCAATAAAATCAGATTCAGGTGGAAGAGTTAATCCAATCTTGGCAAAGAATTCACTTATTTTGAAGAAGAGATTAGTAGTTAGTTTTGGTTTACAATAACAATAATAATAATAATAACTTACTCCCATGTTGTTACTCTCATTATTTCTTTGACGGCTTTTTGAAGATTGTCCCTAATGAAAGGAGGTGGTTTACCGTAGAATCTGTTGTATTGGTCGTTGACGGTATCGAGTGTCGAGCCTTCAGGCCGTGCCAGATGTTGGAGGAAATAGACGTGGAATAGCAGTAGTCTAATGGAGACGTTCGAGGCATCCATAGCCATCTGAGGACGACGTGCATCAACTGTGTTATCTGGCTGTGTATTACCATAGGAAGGATGCTTCTTAATGATCCACATCACATTTCTGTCAAAGTTTTCCTCCAAATAAGCATTGGCAACTTCCGACCACTTATAATCCGATACTGTCAACAAAGGTAAGAATTCACCCAAAGCTGGTGTTTCCTAAATAAAGTACAAATACCATAATTATCATTAATATATATATATAAAGTATAACACCCTTATTAAATATTAATATTATTTTTTTTAGTAACTTACTTTTTTATGTCTTTTCGAAGGTATATGAATGAAATTATAGATCTCTTTGTTAATATCATTCAAGAGTGAAGGATATCTCTTTACAAACGCAACGAATAATTGATGGAATAAACAATATCCTTCCAATAGTTTAATGGATGCTAAATAATAAATAAATAATATATTAATAAAATAGTGAACTTTTTTATAGATGTTTTATAAGTTCTTATAAATATACATACCATGTAGTGTTTCATTCATAATCAATACACACATTGTATTCATTGCAATACAAAGGAACTTCTTGGCTAATTCCGGTTTGAATTGTTTTACATTAAACATTGTTGTTAATGACATTTCTAATGCACTCCATGCTCTTTCACCATGTTGATGATTTATATCTAATAATAATAATAATAATAGCCAATGAATTAATAAACAGTATACTTTAATAAAATTGTTTTAATTAAATAAACTTACATAAAGGTAACCAATGAGTGAATGATTCTTTCAAGATTGAACTTCTTACACCTTGATTGAATGCTTCTCTCGATAGCAAATCAAGAGATGTTCTAATTTCATCAATTTTTGTTGATTTCTCTTTTTTGCTTACGATGGTAATACCAATACCCAGAATGTCTTCTTGATAAGATACTCTGGTGTGATAGCAAACCAATTCCGGTTCGATCGATCTAATGTAATCTTCTTCGTCAGTCAACGTAGTATTGTTATTATCAGAGCTGAATGAATATTTGTTAAGACTTGGACTCTTGATAATACCGCTGTTACCAATAGAGCTAGTTTGACTGTATGAAGAAGAAGAAGAAATTGCTAATTGATTATTAGCGTTAGAGGTTAATCCACCACTCTCTGTAAGACTACTATTGTTATTATTGTTATTGTTATTTGAAGAGGAGAGTGATAAAGTTAATGGATTGTTTGAAGATGATGATGGCGATGACGATGAAGATAAAGATGAAGCGTTGTTGGAAGTAGTTGTGATGCTGTCATCTGGCAGTGCTGGCCATGGAATTTCAGGGGTGTGTTGACATTGATTGCATCTGAATGTCTTTGAGTTGGCGATGGCATCTGGGATCTTTACGAGATAGCCTTCGATTGGCATTGCCGAATCTTCGTCGTCAAACGTTATCAAGAATGTTTGGATTTGGAGAAGGATCGTTTGTACACTGTACGCAGATGACCAACCTGTTGTGGTGGTGGTTTCCTGTGGATGTCCAGCGAAATACGATTGGAAATCACTGAGGATATCAAGACAGATTCTACCACCGTCGTGTACGTGTGGATGTGGGAACGGAGTGAGTAGTACACCCGATGGTGGATTGGCAGGATAGGTAGGTGGGAATTTCAACTCCAAATGGAAGATGGCACCCTCAAAGAGTGAACCAACCGGTGCCATTATATTGGCGTGCCAAGTCAGTAGGTCGGAAGCATCGACAGGCTCGGCGGAAACCAATGGGAGTGGGTGTGTTTTAATGGCTTTGAGATCTGCCATTAAACATCTCTTGGTGGCTTGGCTAATGGTTTGCATTAGAGGAGTGCCACCCGAGGAAGAACTGCTGGCGCCACCGCTGTTTGTCGCAGAGATGTTGATCTCTTGGTGATTGGAACGCAACGATTCGATGGCACTTGACGATGTTTTGTTGAGTCCAAGCACCAGGTTTCTAATGGAGGAATGTGAGTTCTCGTTGAGATTACGAATCGATTCATCGGTGACACGCTTGCAACCGTAGAGGTTCAAACGTTTCAAATTGCAAAGTGTCATCAATTTGCTGACGGATGAATCACTGATATTCTCAGACATTGACAGATCGATGTCTCTCAAGAATGGACAACGAACTTGTAGACTCGATAGTTCTGAAATCAAAGGACACTTTTTCAAGTCGAGCACTGTGAGGTTAGGTAGATTGTTACTGATGGCACTGATTGCATTGTCCGTGAGAAGATGGCAACAAGACAGTAGCAATTTCGTGATTCCATGACATTGCGATACCATTGTTTCAATGGAGACATCGTTAACCGCTTTGCAATAGTTGAAATTTGCAATCGAGAGTTGTTTGCAATGAGTTCCGATCGTTTGGAAAATTGTGTTGTTCACTTCGATCTGCGCGAGATTCAAGTTGGTGAGCGAGGGTGAACGCGAAAGGATATCATTGAGATTGTCGAGATGAATGTTGATCGCTTGCATCTCGAGATGGTTCAGTAAAAGAGTGGTGGGCAATCCTTTGGTATGCAGCTGTTTGGCAGGTGTCAAAGGAGTCACTGGGAGAGGTGAAGGTGCAGAGTTTGATCGCTTCAACGGCTGTTCGTTTTGATTGCTATTGAAGAGTAGACGTGTCAGTCGTGGACAATGCGAGAGAACATCGAGGATGACGTCAACAGAGACTCCGGTGTTTGACAAATCGAGTGATTCCAACATGACGAACTGATGGATAACATTCTTGATTTGTTTCAACTTGCAATAGGACAGGTCGAGGTGTGTAATAATCGCTGGATCCACAGGTGGAACGGTGACGAAGCGACACTGTGAACAGGATAGTTCCTTGAGAAGTGGCATCGACTTGACCAACTGTTTGATAGCATCCTCTTGAAGATTCGGACAATTAGATATATTCAGTCTTTCAATCAGTCGAGATTGATATGGAAGTAGCTGAATATCTTGTTGATGAATCAGTGGACAGTTTGCGAGATTGACATGTCGCAACTTGGGTAGTACCATTGAGAGGTGTCCAATTGACTTTATCTCAGTGTCACTCAGTGAGATACATTGGAGATTGTACTCTTTGCGATCGGGTGAATTGAAAACACCAAAGTGACGATCGGATACCTTGCAACGATTGGCAACGAGTCGTGTTAGTGCACGTGATTGTTCAATCAGCATAACAATACCAATAGAGGTTGCAGATGTTTCCGAGATATTTACACTCTGAATATGCTTGGCGATAGAACATACAAACTCAATATCAGAATCGTCAATCTTGCTAAACTTACTCAAGTCAATCTTGATGAGCGAACTACCAATGTTTTTGATAACACTCTGTAGAATGACGCTATCGATTTCCAGTTGCTTCGGATACTTTCTCAATCCCAAGTAGCTGATTTGATTGGCGTAGGTTTTCGAGAGGAAAACGAGGAGGTCGGGGGTGAGCAGTTCCTTCTTGAAGATCTGCGTGTGAATGATGGGAGTTGCTGCGAGTTTAGGCAGCTGCAGAACGACTGCAGTCGATAAATTAAAGTTGTAGCTAACGGGTTCCAAGAAGAGCTGTGACCAGACTGCGATCTGCTCGTTTGGTCGCGTCACCAGAGATTCAGGCACCGGCAACTTTGTCCATAGTTGACCGTCGTTCAACACCAGCTTTATGGCATCCTTAAGATACTTACCGGCACGTAGAAACAGCTCCATATCATTGTTGTAGGTAGCTTTCGTCGTTAGCAGATTGGCGAGTCGGAACAACGCAAACACTTTGATATCGTCGCCAACCTGTGGGAGCGCAGTGGAGCGACGACTGATAATCTCCACCGACGTCTTCAACAGTGTGTTCTTGGTGTTCGATCCCCAACACGACACAGAAAGATAGCATTTCTCAGCCAAGATTGAAATGGCATCTTTCGAAGTGAGCAACTTGCCATCTTGGTTCAAGTAGAGTGTATGAAGCAAGTCACCCAACTGCAACAATGACAGATAGTTATTGGCCAACAAAAAATTTGAATACGATCGCTCCAAATAGTTTAAACAATCTTCTTTTCCAACGCTCAACGCCAACTTTTTCAAGACATTGGCATAGTCATTTAGAATATCCTTATTATCTGGAGTTGATCTGATTGCTTCTTCGAATTTGTTTGTTGCCAACTTGAAAAGTCTTTCACTACCTGCTTTACCTTCCCATCTTTATATAATTTTAATGTCAATAAAAAGATCGAATTATAATTATCTTTTATGTTTGTTTATACATACTTCATACATTGTAAAGATAAAGCATTACCCTCTGCCAAACTAATAATATTCATATGTTTGACTTTGACATCCATTGAAGTGATATCAGACAGAACAATTCTAAATGATTTAGTATCCTTTTTGAATTCAACCATTGATTCATCTGCCAATTTAATACCTGTCATGTTTTGAATTCTAGTAAATACACTGTAAAGATCAATTTGAGTTCTTAAATCAAATCCTGATTCTTTTTCTAAAACATTTCATAATTATAATGTTATTAGTATTGGTTTTTTTAGTTAATATTATTATTATTATTTCTTACCATGTGGAAATAGAGAATTATCAAATCTATGTAATATCTCTGGCTTCAATAGATGAAACCAAAGTCTTTCATGTTTCTGAATAGGATCACCAAGTACAATGTTGAAGAAATCCATTACTACTTGGATGTAGGAATCTGCTTCAATCGATTTCAATTCCTTCATCTTCTCACGAAGTTCGGCACGCATGATATTCTTAAAGACACGTGCAACAATCTCTGTGAGTAAGATCTTCTTGAGTTCCTGGTTGCTAACGAGTTGACGCAGCAATCCGAGGTATCGCACATTGATTCCCTCACGATGAATAAACTCTGTCAGCTGAGTGTACCACGAGATCGAAGTGGAGTGTGCATCCATCCACTCGGCCACCTTTGGTATCGTTACGTTGAAGAGATAGTCGGTGGCGTCGCGCACCTCCTGGTTGTTCGCCGACATCGAGAGTGGATCGACTTTGCCAAACGGCGAATACGCATCGGACGACAACGGAATGTGATAGGTCTGCACAAATTCCGGTCGGAACAATCGGTAGAGGAACGCTTCCTCCACGCGATGGTCTGCAACCGGCGGAAACACACGCGCAAAGTCCAACACATAGAACAGGTTGTCCTTGCCGATGTGACCCTCAATGTCGGTGGGACCATAGAGAAACTCCTGGTGGTCGCCAATCCCACACAAATGCCCCTTGATATTCAGTTTCTCCGCTGCCGACTTCATCTTTTCCGACACCTGACCCTCCATTGCGGAGACGTGTTTACCGCCGTCCGCGCTACCATAGACTATAGTTTTCTTTGGGACGATCGGCAAGATCGACATCGCTACCAGTCGGAATCCACGGTAGTCGAGCAACGCCATTAGCGGCACGTGTATGCCGTCACAACCATAGTACCGCATGCAGGCTTTCAGCTCGTGACCACCGGCTTTCATCGAGTATTCGTCGTTGCCATAGATATTGATCCAATCCGATGCAAACTTAAAGAGTATACCGTTGTAGATGTACTTTTCACCACCTGCTTGACCACCGAGACTCGGCACCGACTTTATCGTTTTGTAGACGGGATCGATGTAGGCTTCCTCGATGATGATCTTTCCATAGGTGGTGGCGGCATGCAAGAAATCCTTACTCAACGACGATATATGTTTGTACTTGAAGAACTTTGATTCTTCATCGTGCTCGGCCAGCAACAACAACGTCTGAAACATCTCATTCCATCCAATACCCAATCCAAATTGATTGTTATTCATAAAATCATTTGTAACATTTAATTTAATATTATTCTTTAAATTATTATGATTATTAGTAATACTAGTAAGTTGATTATTATTATTATTATTGTTTTTATTACTTGTATTACTATTACTATTATTGATTTTATTGTTACTATTGCTATTGTTATTTATTCTTTCAAATATATACATATCTTGACTTGATATTGGATTATTATAACTATATGTTGATGTTACATTATCATATCGATTACTATTACTATTACTATTTTGTTTATTAATAGTCATAGTATTGTTGTTATTGTTTGTTGTTGTCGTTGGTTTAGCAGATGATGATTGATGTTGATCATATCCAGCAGGTATTGGAGATGAGGCAGTTGATGTATATTCCTCATAGGGTGAAATGAAATGTATCTTGTTACCATTTAATGTTGGGTGTTGTTGTTGTTGCTGTTCTGTTTGACAACGATCATTGTCGGTAGATACTGTAGTCAATTCATTTAAATTTGTACAACTCGATGAAAGTAACTTTGATAACTCTCGATTCAAAATAGGTTGTTTCTTATTACTTTCATCATTGCTTTTACTATTATTACTATTATTACTATTATTACATTCTTGATTATTATTATTATTATTGCTTGTATTAATATCGTCACCACTTAAAGTTTCGATATTCTTCGACGATTCTATATTACTATTACTATTGTTATTGTCATTGCTATTATTATTATTATCATTGTTATTGTTTACATTATTATATGCACTGGTAATACTCTTGTTATCACTATTATTATTACTTTGAGTATTATTATTATTATTATTATTACTATAATTTGACTTCTTTGATTTCTTATTCTTTTTATAGTTTGATTTCTTTTGATTCTTATAATTATCATTATTGTTGTTACTGCTATTAATGTAGTTTGGTGATGAAGAATAAGGTGTTGTCGATGTCGATATTGATGTTGGCGTAGATGTTAATGATGTAGATGTTAGTGATGTATTTACATCGGTTATGTTTTTATCAATATTATCTATAGATTGATTACTATTACTATCTATATTATTATTATTATTATTATTATTATTATTATTATTATTATTATTATTACTATTGCTACTGTTATTGTTATTGTTAACGACAACTAGTACTTCTTTATGATCATAATTATCATTATAATTATAATAATCGTGATTCGATTCATAATCGAAATCCTCTAATGTACTGATAAAATAATGATATATCAGTTTAACATATCTAATGAATTTAAAATAGATAAATAATGCTTCGAAATACATATTTAAAAAATAAGTATATGTATATATATTTAAATTTGATTAATTAATCAAAAAAACAAAACAAAAAAAGTTATTTATATTTTTTGAATCAAAGAAACTTTGATCGATCTTGTTTTTTTGGTTTGTTTTTTTTAATATTTTACTTTTTATTTTTCACACAAAAAAAATAAAAGGCTATGAGATTTGGTTAGTATTGGATTGTTTATCTATGAAGAACTATTTTAATAATAATATAAAAAATACTCTATAGTATATCTTTGATAACAATGGATCCATTGATCAGTTGACCATATTGCTGTACAATTTTCTTCATGACATTTTTCTAGACATTTCTGCCTATAGATAAAATAAGAACAATTATTTGTTCAACACCAGAAATAATTTATATTTTGAAAAAAAACAATTAAATAAAGAATTAAGTTTGCTTTAATAAAAATATATCCATTATTTTATCTATTTCGAATTTTGTTTTTCCATCCTTTGTTTATTGGGTCAATTTTGGTTCCTATTTGTGATCAAAAGAATTCTTTTCCCAAAAAAAAATTTTAACTTAATTAAAAAAACTCTTGCAATTATTTTAACTATTTTCAAAAAAATATATATATATATATAGACTGCACAGAATTTAGCACATTGTTTTTTTTTATCCATATCATTCTTCGTTTCAGCCAATGATCCTACAACCAAGAACAGCAAAATTGTAAAAACTGCAAAAATAAACAACTTGTTCATGATTTAAAATATTTATAGATATATTTTATTGACAAGTTAGTAAAGGAAAAAAATAAATAAACTTTTGTTAAAATTTTAAATTTAAAGAATCCTACATATTTTTGAATTTAAATTTAAGAAAAATCGTCAGGATTAAATATTTAAAATTGTAAGAGATAAATTTTACTATAGTAAAATTATATATTTTGTTGTTATTCACACATATTCTTGTTTAAAAAACAATACACTATTTTCTGGTTGTGTCTAAAAAGAGGGTGGGAAGAAGAAATTTCTCTCAGAGGAACTTTTGAAAATTCATCTGTGTGATGCTTGTGGAACAGATCATGATTAGTTAACTTCCCTTTTGGAATAGCGGAAAACCCATTGGTTACAAAAATTCAATTTCAAAATTTTATACCAATAATAAAATTACTCTATTGTTGTTATTTATTTTCATAGGTTTAATAAATTTTTTTATTTGTAAAAGCTTAATAAAGATCAAAAGAATTAAAAGTATGACTCATAATTCATATTAATATTAAAAGCGACTACTTTTTAAATATTTAACGTTCATTTATTTTGTATAATTGTTAGTATTTGATTTTAAATATTTAAAAGCTATAATTTTAGTGGGTATATATTATTTATTTATTTTTTACTATTGACAACTGTTAATAAATGAAATGATCGATTCTGGAACTTCATTAGATTCAGATTTAATTGAACCCTTTGTGAAAGTGATATCGTTGGGAAGATGATCGAATTGGAATGTTTCACCCTCATTACCAAGGTAGATTTCACGTTGGTCACTGCCATCTTCATTACCCATCATCGATGGTGCCGATCCTCTTGTCTTTCTGATGTCATCCAATTCGCTCTCTAATGTCGATTGAATCTCTGCCTCTCCCAAACCATTCAAATCCGATTTATTACAGAACACTAAAATTGGTAACTTTCTTTCAAAAACATTGCTATCAACTAAAATATCATATAGATTCCTAATAATATTTGGATTTGTAAAATTTATCAATATTCTTTGTTCTTTTTCTATTTTCTATTTTCTTTTACTTACTGTGCTTCTTCGGCTGATTGATCAATAAAAGTTGAACTGTCAATCATATAAATAATACATAGTGAACTACCTAGATATTGTGGTAGAGTTGGTCTCATCTTGGCATGTCCCGGTACATCTACAATCGCTAACTTTTTACGACCATTCTTAAATGTTTAAGAGAGAGAGAGAGAGAGAAAGAAGATACAAGTTAAGTTAAGATTTATATGTTAATTAATGTTTGAATATGTATTGATATGATTGTCTAGACAATCAATAGTCGATAGTGCTGCACTTAGCTTACATTGAAATGACCTTTGTTTGGTAGGATAGAAGCATAGGTAGTGACATCTTTATCGACCAATTTCAAGAATAGAGTGGTCTTTCCAGAGTCTGGTAGACCGAGGATGGTGAGTTGATTGCCTCTCTTCTTTGAGGATGACGATGATGTCGATGTCGATGTCGATGCACTCGATTGACCGACCGTTGCTCTACCACCTCTACTCGACTTTGAACTACCGCCACCACCGAAAACCAATGAAAATATCAATATAACAACCAAAGCTAAAATCGAAAGCAAAAGCAGATCAGTTGATACCGGTAGATTATAAGGTGAAACGATTCTATCTAATTGATCATGTGCAACAGAATAATAAGGTTTTAAAACCTCTGGTATATATTTATCTATATTCAATCCACTCATTATTCTCTATTCGCTATTCTCTATTCTCTCTATCTATTTCTGATGATTCTATGCTAATTTACAAACAAATTTAAAAAAAACTATTAATCTAAAAAACTAATGTATATAAAATAAATTTAATTATTTTAAAAATGAAAAAAAGTTTTTTTGATCATCCAATAGTCAAAAAAAAGTCAAACACATAATAATTAAAAAAACAATATATATTTTAAACCACAGTGTCACAATTAATTTGACATTTGTGTTGTGTGTTGTTTTTAAAAACCACACTTTATGATATTTATATTTTATAATTAATGAATACCAAATATGTTTATCTCTTTTCCACCATTATCTAAGCTATGAGTATTGAGGTAACTTGTAAGTGGTAGGAGTTCATTGCGTATAAATTGTTCTGTTTCTTGTGTGACTGTGAGTGAACCTTCGAATTTTAAGGTCACTATAAAATATCGACACCATCTATTAACTAACCATTTCTTTAGTAACAAAAGTGTACGTATTGGTGGTACTTTCATATCTATTAATAAACAATCAACCTGTTGTTGTTGTAGTAGTTGTTGATTTGGTGAAAATAGTTCTGCATCTTGTTGTAATATTGTCATATTATTATTATTATTATTATTATTATTATTATTATTGTTATTGTTATTGTTATTGTTATTGTTATTGTTATTGTTATTGTTATTATTTTGATATTTTAATAATTGATCTGAATAGATATTTGATTTATCTATTGAAATAACTCGCATGTTTCTCTCTAAACAAAAGAATGACCAACCACCTGGTGATGAACCTAGGTCTACTGCTAGTTGGCCAGTGTGTAGCTGTCGCATAAAGTCAGGGAAGCGAAGTGTCATCTCGAACAACTTGAGATAGGAGCGTGACGGTAGTCTGTTCTTGATGAGCGATTCGAAAGAGTTGTCCAAGCCATCGAGTGGAATCTCTTGATGATGAGCAACGTAATGCTTCAAACTCTTTGCAAACTCTGGTATCGTTCCACCTGGATATCCACTCAACATCTTGCTATAATACTGTTGAAGCAGCGGTGTGCATATACTAATATAAAGTTTATCACTACTAATGAATAGTAATTGAACTAGAACTTCTTGATGTTTGACCGTAGTAGCAGCAGCTGCAGTTTCATTATTAACTTTGTTATTTAATAGGTTGTAGATTGTAGGTTGTTTAGATTGTATTGATTTCAACAGTTTAGAACGTAGTGAAGTTTGACGTTGTTGGTTCAATCCGATGATATGCAGAGTCCACCCTGCAGGCCAATGTTTGTTAGTTGCGCGGTATTGCTGCTCGAGTTGCAAGAGTGCGGCATCGACTGCTACCTTCTCTGAGGTGACATTCTCCACCAACACTGCATTCGGTATTACTTGAGCAGATAGACCAATGAAAGGTTGTGCTTGATTCAATCGATATTGATATTCAACTGCTGATGCTGCTGCTGCTGTTTCTTTATCATTGTTATCTATTTTTGTTTTGTCATTTTCATATTCTTTGCTGTTGTTGTTGATATCATTAACTCTATGTAATTGAGCAAACTTCTTGTATTGATCTACCGATACTTTACCAACAACATACTGTCCATTGAACTTTGACAGATTCCAACCAGCCGATTGATTTATTCTACTTTGAACCAACAATGATTTTGCCATATCTACAGGTTGTGAAGTCTTTGACTTTAACAAAACTACACCCGACAATGATTTGAATTGTTCGTAATTGATGTCATCATTGCCGATGTTGCTACTACTACTAACACTACAATAATAACTCCTAACCACTGTTGATCTATTATATATTAAACGACTATCATTTTTAAATAATGATAATATTGTTCGATTTTGATTCAAATTATACATTAATAATTTTATTCTTGGGTTAACAAATAAAAAATTAATAAAATAATCGATTCAGGTCTGAAATAATTTTATTTTTATTAATTAAATAATTATATAATGATAGGATTTGCTTCAATTGAGTTATTCATTTGTTTTTCACAAACAACATTATCAAACAAGCAAATTATTCCTAAATACATTTCAAATAAATAATAATAACAATAAATTCAAGAAAAATAAATAAGTTTTGCAATTAGTTTGATAGATGCTTATCATTCCACTACTATATGGTGATTCTGAAGTTGTCGGTAGTATTTTAGGTGATTGGTAGACCATACTCAATCCACTTACAGTTGAACTGATTCTGTTCAATTGAAGTTGCAAATAAGCGGATGTTCCACTTCCTTCTGATGCAATACAGGTCACACTGGTACTGTTCAATCTCGTTGCATTTGAACATGGAGAGTTAAGATTAGATTTGGTATCATAAATAATTACAGTGATATTCTCATTTCCTTGGATGTTGGAAGTCATATATTGACCACTGATTGTTACAACTCCACCTTGTGTTGGTGGTGATGTTATTGATGTGATGTATGGTTGAATTGTTATCTTAAATGGAACAATTGGTGATGTGTTGAATTTGGTCAGTGTGTTTCCATTGTATACTCCAGATGGTGTGTTTGTGGGAAATTTAAATGTTAACATCGAGTCGGAAACGGAGATCGGTGACATTGGAGTACTACCATTGAAATGTAATATTATTGATGTTTTATCATTACCATTTGATGAACCGATAATAATTGTATTTCCGTTATCTTGTGATACTTCTTGGACATTTGAAAGATCCTTTAAGTAATATGAATGTAATTGTGCATATAGGGAATAAATTCTAAGAGGTACAATTATCAGTGTGTTTCGAAAGATTGTTGAAGTAGAATTTTGTCCTTTGGGCGTTGGTACAAGTAATAAAAAAAACATAGGATGTGTTTTTACTTCATTTTGCAAGCAATCAATATTCAAGTTCGTCACGATGGAAATGGAAAATCAAAAAAAAAGATGTGGACCAAATAATCATAAACAAAACAACAATGATTTATTTGTTAGATATTTTGTTTATGTTTTTATTTTTTGTTTATGATTTTTATTTATTTCTTCAAAAATTGTTAAAAAATGGTATTGTATGTGGGTCAAATTTTACCAAAAGAAAAAAATATAAAGTGGTTATGGTTAAAAGGTTTGTTTTGTACTTCACACAAACGTATATAAGCTCTCCTCGATACATCAACAACAACAACAACAACAACAACAACTCTTCTACCATTCACATTTTTCTAACCTCAACAACAAGTAACAATTCTTTGTTCTTTCAATTACATATTATCTCTTTATTCATTTCTTCAACATTTTCTATTTCTCATTATTCTATTATTCAGCACAGCAATCTATATTTCTTTAGTGTGAAACCATGTCTGGCAATGAAGCATCTTCCTCTACCACTACTTCAACCAATGATTCAAAGCCTTTTGACCAAGTTAATGGTAATATCAGCATGAACATCATTATATTGCATTTGCATACAATGACTAACCTATTATTTACTTTACGTAGTCACCGCATGGTCAACCAAGCATTCCATCGAGTGGATAGATTTCAATAAAGCAAATACTCCATCTCCCAATGAAAAGACTGCCGATACATCAGAATATGAGATTAGAACAGGACAACAACTCCTGTACATTGCCAAGGACAAGGACGACTTCGCAGACTATTGCAGTGACAAACGATTTGGCAAAATTTTGTGGACCGATCTTCAAGAACGAATTCAAGACAAAAATAAAGGTAATCTACAAATCGCATTATCACAATCAAACTATCTTAAGAACGGCTTACTAACCTATTACTTTACTCTCTTCTTATCTTGTCTTGTATTATATTTACACTTTCTTCTTCTCCTTCTCTTTCTTCTCCTCTCACTCCCCTCATTACTATACTGCATTACCTATTTCTCATGTTCTTGTCTTTACACCTCTCTCTTTTCTTCTCCCTCTCCTTGTTCACAACTCTCACACCTCTCATTACTCTCTACCAATCATATTACTTCAATCGTTTCTTACAACCTATTCATACACACCCTCTCACGCTTATCCACTACATATTCTTACAAATATTACTTTCTTCTTCTACTTATCTTTCTTCATACACTTCTCCTCTTCTGGCTTCTCACATTCTCTCTCTCGCTCATCCCTTCTTTCATTACTCTACCAAACATATTATTACTTCACGATTACCTACTACCCATTCATACACATTCCTTCTGTCTCTTCTTCTTATCTTTCTTGAAATACAGCAGCACCTCAGCAACAAGGTATGTACACATCTACAAATCGCATTAACACAATCAAACTATCTCTTAAGAACTGCTTACTAACCTATTCCACCTTGTAGAGGCAAAGATTGATCGAGCGTTATTTCTTTTGGAAAAGATGTCAAAATCATCAAAGGCTTCCTACTCCATGTCCAAGATATCAGGAGTCAAGTGGACAGAGATTTCAGACTCTGCAAGGTTGAAGCTCAGAGATTCCAAGATCACAGTGAAGGTGAAGAAAGGTGCAACCGCAGTCAACTATCAGTGGTTGAAAGACGTTGGCGAAACACAACATATCGAGTTCGACGAAGAAGCTGCCGTGGATAATGACGAAGAGGAAGAGCAATTGAGCGTCATGGAATGGCTAGAAAGACACATTCCAATCGACCAAAAACACTTTGCCTATCACAATGTGAGCAACGATGGATCTTTTTTGTTGGTTTCCAGCTATGCAGACTGCCTACCTTTCTCTCTCAAGGGAACAACAGCTATCATCATTGCGCCTCCACAACGGCATCGTGCTCTTCTCAAATCTCAGATATATGTGTACATCGAACTCAAAAAGCCAGAGAACCTCGTGGACAACAGCTTCTATCAAGGATGGGCTCAACTCATTGCAGCATCAATTCACACTACGTCTCATCCCGTCATTCATTTGCTTACCGATCTCAACGAAGCATGGTACTTCTCATGGTGGAGTCACCCACTAGAATTGTCGCATGCTTCTCTCAACAATGCTCAAGCCAGATCATTCATTCAAGAGTATCTTGGTGAATTCAAATCTGGATGGCTCGGTGGTGGTGATTACAGCAACAATACTGGATTCAAAGTTTGTGACGTCCAACCGAAACTCTTCACCTTTTCCTCAGTCAATCCTTCTCCAAAGGATGACATTGCTTCATTTGAAGACTTGGATGATGATGACCGTCGTGAAGCTTTTGGCCTTCGAGCGCTCCAGCTTCTCCACACTCGATACAGAATGGACCACGAGGATACCCATTCACAGAGTTATTTCAGTTAGATCTATTCTCTCGCAGTCCGTCCTGTCTCAACCAATATACACTCACTCTTCTTCTCATCATACTTCATACACAACAGCTCCTCAAACACCAACACCAGAAGGTATGTACATCTACACAAACCAACAACCTTAATGATACTGACAAACTTATTCCACTTCTTAATTGTCAATACAGTTGCTTCAGAGCTCGAGTTTTGGAGGACGTTGCACAGTGCCACGATTGATCCCGCAGTCAATATCCTTTCCCTCCCAGTGGGCGTGCACTTCATGGGGCATAGTGTCAAGAGATCATCTATCTACGTGAGAGATTGCTATGTTGAGCTGAAAGATCAAATCTATGCAGAATTTGATCAATATGAAGTTAATTCAACTTCAACTCCAACCACAGACTCTAATAATGCATTCGTTATCACTGGCAATCCAGGAACTGGTAAGTCCTGTTTCCTCTTCTACATTATGTATCTCATCGCACGGGTCAAGGGAACTATGGTTGTTCACTCGATTCACGCCAAGAATGACGATTTATACTTTCTCTACACTTACGTTGGTGGCATTCCAGTTGTCAGACGTGGACCCAAGAGTGATTTTACCACTCACCTTGATCTCAGATCAACTTTCTTTTTGGTAGACAGCAAAGAGGAGATAAATGTCGCAGCTAAAACGATCATTGTTTCATCGCCTGATCCGAAGATCTACAAAGAGTTTCTGAAGAACGTTGGCACGGCCCGCAGGTATATGCCACCTTGGTGCAAATCCGAACTTGATCACGTAAGACCAATTTTATACCCAAATGTCACACAGGTAAGTAGGTCCACTGTCTGATTCCAAAGTTTCATACACTCATAAAAATTGTTTACATCTGCAGCAAATACTCGAATCTCTTTGGAACAAATGGGGAGGCATTCCTCGTTTTGTGCTCGAGAAAGCCCTTGTTGAGTCGGCCAATGTGAAATAGAGAATGCGATATCAACAATCAATCTGGACTTATGCGTCGAGAGCATTGGCAAGGAGGATCCGATTGCACCAGGCAGTCACAAAGTGATTCAAATTATCCCATACGAGCAGGCTGCTCTTCCAAAGTACGCCTCGATGAAGCTACAGTTCTCATCCAAGTACGTTGCTGAGCGAGTTGTCAAGGCTGTCGAGGCGGACGACATCAACTCGGTCGTCAAGCAACTTCATGTGCACAAGTTTTTGCACTCACCTCTGGGTGGATCATTCTTCGAGTCTTTTGCTCACAGACTATTGCAACAAGGAGGAGAGTTTGAAAGAAGAAACCTAACCACCACTGCAACAGACAAGATCACATTCACGCCAACAGTTTCTTCCACACTCCGCTCTATCGCAGATATTGGCTTATCACCACCAAACAAGTATCTACTCCCTAACTTTGACAACTTTCCTGCGATCGATAGTTTGATTAAACCCAACCAGCTGTTTCAGGTCACCACCTCGAATGAGCATCCACCAGTGATGAACAAACTGTCCGATATCATCGATCAACTCGGAACGGGAGTGGCACAAGTAGACTTGTATTTCGTCCTTCCTAAAGATCGGTACGACACATTCAGAGAACAGAATTATCTCACCGAGAAGAAGAAGAAAGCTTCCAAGATATCCAAGCAAGTGAAGAAAGTCACCCAGTATGCGTTGTTGATTGAGTTGCCAGCATCATTGCCCTAGTTCGTCAGTTGATCCTCCTCGCAGCTCCCACTCAGCTAAATAACTCACTTCTCGCAGCTCATTTTACAACAACCTGTCAAACAACAATAAATTTTCTATCCAACCAGGATCACTTTATAAAATTCCAACTGTTTAGTTGTACACCTAATTCAGAGAATGACTCTCGCAGCCCTTCCTATAACAACCAATCAGACAACAATAAACATACTATCCAATTAGTATCATTTTTTATCACTATATTATCCAAATTGAAAGACTTCCAACCGTTTATTACATATTCTTCTCGAATAAATTGGAGAAGAATATATTGATACAACCAATAAATTATCATTCCAAGATACCTACCTTGCCAATCTTTCATTTATTATATATAATCAGAATGGTTCCTGATGTTCTTTCTAGGAAAGCAGGTAACTTAGTGGTGAGAAGTTTGCAGTTGTTCCAGTGTTTGTTGAAGTTGTCGATTTGTTTGATATTCTGTTGGTATTTGAGTGCCAACTCTTAGTTGTTTGTGTTGGACCAGATGGTGGCCATTTCTATGGATTTCTCTCATACATCAACTTCCACCTTATATTGTCATTTAAAATTGTTTTTTTTTTTTTAAATTATCCTTGTACTACCATTAATGATTTTTTTTTTATGGTTTATTAAAAATTTTAATATTTATTATACTATTATGTTTATAGCTATGATAGATCTTCATTACAGTAATGGTGGTCTTATAGGTGGAGAAGGTTTTAATGGATGACAAGTCTACATGGTTGGTATGCGATTGTTCGTTGCATTGCACGGATCGTGGAATCGTCAACCATCGACCGGTTATCAAGTGGTACACATTGTCACCGATGTCAATCATTACCAAGTGAATGCAACTCTCACCAAGTTCTTTGGTGGTGTTCCAACTTCCACTGGTGACTCGTGGTCATTCCGTCCTGTTTCACTCGGTCGTTTAGCTCCATGCGGTGCTGGTGTTGCCGAATGTCTCTTGGTCTCTAATGATGGTTCCAATTCAATCGTTGCCATTCGTTACAACGGACCATAGACAGATAAATAGATAGATTAATTGTATAAAAAAATCGTTTTTTTTTTTCTCTTTTCTTTCTACAAAAAAAATAAATAAGTAAAAATATTCAAATTAATTGATCTAAATCAAATAACTTTTTTCATTGAAAATGGAAAGATGATTTAATAAAATCTTAGTGGGTGGTGATCTAATATTTAAATTGATTTATTCTCTTGAGAAACAAAAGTTAATTTTGTGCTTTTCATTTGTTTTTAAAAAAATTTCATTCTACTTTCATCTTCGGTGAGATCGATTCAATCATCCTCTGGGTTGTCCTTTTTGAATGGACACAATAAAGTTGGACGAGCTATACCTTTTAAATATGCTTCGGTAATAGTAACCATGTTCAAACAGGCATTGAAATCACGGTTGATGTAATACTTTGTCCCATCCAAATAGTATTTGATAACATAAGAATTAGGATCATCCGGAGGAGCTTTGACTTTGGCGGCTTTATACACTTCTTTTCTTTTGACATCTGACTTTTCTTGAACATAGATCTTTTCCATTTCCTTTAGCTTTGGTGGAAAAATCTATAATTTTATTTTGTAAAAAAAAATAAAATAAAAATAATTGTTAATAAATGAATGAATTTAAAAAAGCGCTTTATAGTATATTTACTTGATGTATTATATTCGTCGAAAAGGTAGGTCTTTACTCTGGCACCATATCGAGAATGAGAACGTCTTTCTAAGAAATCTATTTCCTTGAGAAGAGTTGGACTACATTGGACACCTTTTACATTTTGGACATAGTTTTTGGTACCTGACCTTAAACTAAACAAAAAAAAAAAATAATAAAAATAAAAAAATTAAGTTATTTATAGTAATGATATCAATATTGTTTTTTTACTTACAAAACCTTTGGTTTTTTTTACTTTTGATGTCGATATTGCTTTGTCCTTAAAGATTATGTATTTCCATCTTACTTGATGTGATGTCTCTGCTATATTTGACTCTGGATGGTGAATCAATGATTTCTTTCCATGTACAGTTGTATGGTATAGCTCTGGATTTGTTAAAAATCATTTAAAAACCCACACCTGACCAGACATAGCGAAAATAGTCACCAACTTACTTATTACATCATTTCTCACATTTAGATATATACAATACAAGACAACATTTACACTCACAACCAAACATTAGTGTGCATCATACCAACATGGCAGATGATAACACCAAAGTTGCTCTCGCTACCATCGAAGCCTCTCGCCTCTCGATAGATTTGAAGGACAAGTGCATAGACATCCTCAAGAAGTCAAAGGATGAAGCAACATACATCATCAATGCCTACGGCCCAGCTGATGCTCGTACTCCTGATCGCCTTGACAAATACCTCAATAAGATGATCACGGATGCCGAGAATGCACATCCAACAGCACAAGGTATTTATACATCTACACCAACAAACACTTATAAACAAATACATATCCAACCTAAATATCCTTCCGAACTCTCTAACTAACATATTACCTTCTATCACTTCTTTTTCTACCTTTTCATTCTCTTTTTTCTTTTTATCTTTCACTCTCTCTCTTCATCTCTCTCTCTCTCTTTATCTCTTTCACTACTTAAATCCTTCTATTCAACTCTTTTACATACCACATATTTCCTCTAATTTGTATTTGATTCCTCTTTTCATTCTCTCTTTCTCTTTCTCTCTCTCTCTACCTACATTTTACTTTTTTTTTTCATCATCATTCTCAAACATCTTTTCTTTATCCCTAACCTTCATCATCCATTCTTCAACTACTCTCTCTCATTCTATCTCCTTTTCCATCTTGCTCTAGGTAACTTCCTACAAAATACCGTCACATCTAAACATAGTGCTTTGGGACCCGAAGCGCGTAAGTCGTATGCCGAACAATTGAGAGACAAATTTGGAGATCCCAATCTCCACATTCGACTCATTGCCATCTGTCCTTGGTCTAGCGAGATCTACCTGAGGCCTATCTTTTACTCATTCCCAAAGAAGGGAACCAAGGAAGAACAAGACATGGAGAACTCCAAGACAACAAAAGAGAAGTTGAACGACGTCTATGCATTCGAGGATGAGAACAACATTGCTCAATACTTGATCGAAATCAAGCTCCCAGAGGCAACAGATGATTTGTATTCGGAAGAACCCAACTCCATCCATGGTGACTGATGATTATGGATTAGGTATGTTTGACGATTCCTTTTTAGATATAATTGAATGAATGTCGTCAACGTTGGTCTCTTGAGGATCACCAACTAGCAACTTGATGTCGGCTACATGGACTGTTCTAGACGACTTCCTTGAATTGTTGATCTTAATTGTGACTTTGATATCTGACTCGGCCGAGGTGATTTTGAAATGGTCCACACCATTGTTGATGGAGTTTCTTATTGTCGTTGTCGACTGTCCTTTGAGTATCTAGTCTGCATCTGTTGACAAGGATCCAATCGTCTACTTTGAATTTGACTGGTTTACGATCCTTATCATGTTGTTTGGCTTGATTGACTTGGGCATATCTCGCCGTCCACGCTACCCAATACTGCCACCAACAATAAATTTATAATTCCATTAATAATGTCTGACTCCTCATATTTATCTCAACTCTAATTAATTAGTATTTATTGATATTCTTTCCCTTAATCTCTTCTGGAGAATATAGATCAAATACTATACGTGGAGCACACGACCTACTATATGTTCGTCAGGTTGTAAGATACAGTAGCACTTATTCATGATCGTAAGTGGCCAAAGACAAATTATACATTGGTAGACCCTACAAAATAACATTGATTTTAACATTTAATTCCAAAGATAAATGATATATATTGATCTTTTTAAATATTGAAACAAGATTTCTTATTGAGGATTAAAAAATTAATAATTTAATTATTTAAAAAGTTTGCAAACCCAATATAAAACTTAATAAATCATTTTTTATATTTTTATTAATTATTTTTTGCAAATTTGTTTTGTACTTCACACAAACGTATATAAGCTCTCCTCAACAACAACAACAACAACAACAACTCTTCTACCATTCACATTTTTCTAACCTCAACAACAAGTAACAATTCTTTGTTCTTTCAATTACATATTATCTCTTTATTCATTTCTTCAACATTTTCTATTTCTCATTATTCTATTATTCAGCACATCAATCTATATTTCTTTAGTGTGAAACCATGTCTGGCAATGAAGCATCTTCCTCTACCACTACTTCAACCAATGATTCAAAGCCTTTTGACCAAGTTAATGGTAATATCAGCATGAACATCATTACGTTTCCTACACTCGTTTCCTACACACGTTTCCTACATACACACACACATACATACATACATACATACATACATACATACATCTACAAAACACTATTACCCATCAAACATCTTTCTTTATCCCTAACCTTCAACATCCATTAACATATTCATTCTTTCACTTCTATTTCTACTTTCCTTGTTCACCTAGCAGGTCAACAACGTAAGTTTAATCAGTGTATTTTAAATATTATCCCTTTTAGCTTATATTCCCTAAGCTCTTTCAATATATTGAAACACATAATATATCCTGCTTGATCGTTACTGACATTGTTGTTCGATTATCACAGTCGAATACGCATTTGATCAACTGTTCACACTTCCAATACCACCCACCAACTCAGTCTTTAGTCTTCCAGCAGGATGGTCCAAAGAGTTGTTGCAAGACCTCAACCCTGAAACAGCGATCTTCATCAGGGACAGCTATCTCAAGCTCATCGACCTCATCACACCTCAGTTGGATTTCTTTCGCATCCTTGTCACCGGCAATCCTGGTATTGGAAAGAGATTCCTTCTCATCTTCATATTGTTCTATCTTGCCAAGGGAACCAAACGAACGCTTGTGTTCCACTCTGCTCACAATCTCGGTGTATTGCTCTTTGAACATGATGCTGTATCGGACTCACGACGAGTTATCAAGTATTCACAGGCAAATGAGTTGCAACAACAGCTAATGGACCGTGATGCCATCTACCTCGTTGACTCTGTGAACTATGAACAACAAGTCAAATGCCAATGTAGTGTCTTTATGGTCTCGTCACCAAATCCAGAAAAGTACAAAGAGTACCTCAAGGTAAGGTAGTCCAAAATATTTTTGCTATCATATGCCACTGACATATTTTCACAGACTTACAGTGAACACAAAAAGTATTGGCTGAGTCCGTGGACATATGAAGAGATCAAATTCGCACACAAAGAAATATTCAACAAATTCGACCTCAAATGCATTGATCTCAACTTTGATCATTGGGGTGGAATACCACGATACGTCTTTTCCAACGACACAGATACGAAGGGGCTCGATGATGCCATTGCTCAATGTGACTTGCCATTGGTCTCGAAGTTTGTTGGAGAGTCTACCTTCTCAATGTCAATTTCACACAAGATTCTCCACACGTACGCGATAGACAATGGCTTCAGACACACAAGGATCGAGTTTGGATCAAAGTACATTGCAGATAGGATAACGACATTGTTGGTTCACGCCAATAAGAACGCAATCATTTCCTTCATTCAAGATGTATCACCACTTCAGCACAGTCTCGGTGGTTCATTCTTCGAGAAGATCTCTCACATGGCACTTTGCGACAATTCAAACTCCTTCACAGTTCGGCCTCTCTTTTCATCGACAGAGAAGTTGGAGCTGTTGGACAGCAGTAACGAAGTTGTTGGAACCACTTCAACCGATCATTTCCGTGGCTTCACTTTCTCCTCTCTGAAGAGTAAAGGACCTTTTACTATCAGGATCAAATCACACAACATCTCATCCAGAGATCACTTAGCAACCAAGGTCACTCAGAGAGCTTGGAAACTCGAATCAAACGTTCAACGCCTCAAGTGGGACACAATCACATTTGGCAACTTGAATCAAAGGTCTTTTGTTGGAGAAGAGCTCATCCAAACTGGCTTCTATTCTATTCCTATGTCCCCCACCTTCTCTTGTGTGCATTCGATTATCAAGAAGGATGCACCTGACCGTTCGATCTTTTTCCAAATGACTATCTCTGACGACCATCCCACAAACGAAGTAGAGTTCGCAAACTTGATCAACGATGGTGGCTTTGGTGCTGTTGATCTTTACTTCGTTGTGCCCACCTCAAAGTTTGACGTCTTTCGGTTTCAGAAGACCTATCAACATGCAACGGTGAATCAGTACGTATTGGACATGCCACTTTCCAAATATGAATGAGTTAGACAATGTTAGTTGAATCATAAATTTATTGTTGTAGAAAGGTATTGGAGTAGAGTGTACGGCGAGAGATAGTTATAATTAATTAATTACTTGGTTTCAGATTGTTTTATTTGGTTATATTCGATTTCTTGTGAAATAGTTCAGGGTTGTATCCCATGGTGTCTCAAACTCTGATTAATCAGTATTTAATGCTATTCTTTCCCTTTATCTGTTCTGGAAAATATTGATCAAATACTATGAATTGACCCTTATTGAATACCTACCTTACTGAATTCGTTCCATTATATCTGACATTTGTGAGCTCCGACAAATATGGAACAATGATGGAGTTCCTAATGAATCATTGTTTACTATTGAAATAGATAGTACAGTTGTGGATACTTGCAGGAATATTCTTCAACCGTGTGTCAAGTTTATCCGCTACCAATACAAAAATATTACAATATAACGATCTATGCTTTGAATGACTGATATATTGCATCATATATCTATTATAGAAGTAAAAGTAATATCTTTTATTATATAGATTATTAGTTTATTATATTAATTATTATTTTTTTACAGACGAAGTAGGAGGTATTTATTTTAGAAAAATGAGACCAACAGATATTTTATCTTTGTTGAATGGAATAAGAGAGTACCCCTAATGCTGGAGACCCAAATCAAATATTATATGATTTATCAATGGATAATTCGAGTTGGGCTGATATTTGTTTGGGTACTCATCAGAATACTTGTAATATTAGTTCTCTTCTTTCAGAGACCGTCCAAATACAAGGCAGATACCAATAGTGATATTGCCGATTCAATCGACCAATGGACACCATCTTTCAGTTATCCACCAAACCAAATGAAATCATTTAATCACACATTCGCGACGCTTGTGTTGAAAACCCGCAACATCATCCAACCAGTTGCTGCTCTCTATTTGACTGCATTACAAGATGTGCGTAACATCGATTCTAAGAAGAAGCTTGACTTCCTTAATCATTATGTTGTTATAACTGATTAGTCTTAATAAAGATGATCCGAACAACAACAACAACCAATAACCAATAACTCATCATCTTCTTCTTCTTCTTCTTCATCTTCAACAACCCTCGCTGTTGATCTCGCATATTGTTATGTCTTCTCATGATCTTAGTCATTGAATGAAATCGCTAGTTTCTTGTCATATCTAGTATGTAGAAGTTTCCATTGTTATCATGACATGCTGATTAAGCTCGAATGTCAAACTGATGACCTGTTATCTTTTTATTTGTAAAATCGAATTGAAATATCTTATTGTTTATCTATAAGATTTGTATATCGTTTAAATTTGACCGTTTAATTAAAATTAGATCTTGTGTGAAATTTGTTAAAATTCAATAACCCCGAACGCCAAATCTCTCAATTCTAGATATTGTGGTTATGGTTTAACACTGTAGAACAAGGTTAACTGAAAGTTTCCTAAAAGAACAAAGAGACCTTCTATGCACCTCATTGTTGCAATTATTCGATCTATAGGATTACTGTTGCCTGTCTTATGTATGGTGATAAATCATGAACTGTTAGTAAGATATTAGAATATTTATTACCAACACTCTAACACTACATTATTTACAACTATAAACTAACACAGCTGAACAATCTATCGCTAATGTTCTGACTAAATTTTCAATCAATAATTTAGTGATTACATCTGACCACCTGGCCATCAATATTGTGAAAAATTGTTTTATCTTTTTCTCACATCAAAATTTAATTATGATACAAAACTCTTTAGGTTGTCTAATAAAAAAATGATTGAAGAGATGATCAAACAAAATATATTAAAGATAATTTTATTTTTATTAAATAATTATATAATGATAGGATATGCTTCAATTGAGTTATTCATTTGTTTTTCACAAACAACATTATCAAGCAAGCAAATTATTTCAAATAAATAATAATAACAATAAATTAAGAAAAATAAATAAGTTTTGCAATTAGTTTGATAGATGCTTATCATTCCACTATTGTATGGTGATTCTGAAGTGGTCGATAGTATTTTAGGTAATTGGGAGACCATACTCAATCCACTCATTACAGTTGAACTGATACCATTCAATTGAAGTTGCAAATAAGCGGATGTTCCACTTCCTTCTGGTGCAATACAGGTAACACTGGTACTGTTCAATCTCGTTGCATTTGAACATGGAGTGTTAAGATTTGATTTGGTATCATAAATAATCACAGTGATATTCTCATTTCCTTGGATGTTGGAAGTCATATATTGACCACTGATTGTTACAATTCCACCTTTTGTTGGTGGTGATGTTATTGATGTGATGTATGGTTGAATTGTTATCTTAAATGGAACAGTTGGTGGTGTGTTGAATTTGGTCAGTGTGTTCCCCTTGTATACTCCAGATGGTGTGTTTGTTGGAAATTTAAATGTTAACATCGAGTCGGAAACGGAGATCGGTGACATTGGAGTACTACCATTGAAATGTAAGACAATTGATTTATTATCGTTGCCAAAAGATGAACCGATAATAATTGTATTTCCACTATCATGTGATACTTCTTGGACATTTGAAAGATCGGCAGAGAATAATATATCACTATTGGAATGCTTTCCATTAATGTTAACAACCACTGATAAATTATAATTCTTTGAATCATTTGGAATTTCTGGAATAGAACATTCAATAAATGAATTTGTTGGGTCATTCAGTGTCAATACTGTACATGTATAACCTCCAACAAGGATTGAAACTTGTGAAATAGTTGCATTTGGTTTGAAAAGATTCAATCTATATCCATAAATTTGAAATGGTTCCACCAGATGATGAAGTAGAGGTTACTGATGTTACAACTGGATCTAAACAATAATAATATGAATGATTAATAATTATTGAATAGAAAACATTATAATATAAGATATGTTTTTAATGAATACATACATAGTTCTTGAGTATAGGTTGCTGAATTTGGATTTGGAGAACCAACATTCAAAACATATTGGAAATGACCAGAGAATGAATAGTTTTGAGCATTCACATTAGAAACAATAACAGTATTATTAATTAAACGAGTTGGTTATAAATTTCCACCATTCGAAGTCAATGTTAATGGAAATCCATTTACACCGAAATTTGTTACAGTCATTGTAATTTGATTGGTATCTTTATTAAATTCCACCAATGAAATTGTTGGTGCTATTAAATTAATGTTTAAGTTACTTTAGATTTATTTTATATAAAATTTCCTGATATACTAAAGCAAATAACTTACTTTGGAATGAAAAATATTTTTGATTAAAAAAATAAAATCTCATAGTTATTGTTCGAAATCGACTTATTTGGAGATAAATTGGAATATTTTGACCAGAGATTAAAGAGATAATATTCTGATCGGCATTGAAATGTATTTCAGTTCCATCTGCATTAGTATCACTTTCATTTAGAGAATACCTGTTATGAAAATAGATCTTTGAACTTACTGGTGGTAATGATAGAAGTGATATACCTTTTACAGTAATGATACCTCCTTGAGTTGGGATAGAAGAAATATTGGCAATATATGGAGGATACGAAGTTAGAGGAAAGAAATTTCCACATTCTGGTGAGTCACATATTTGGAACATATCAACTTTGTTAATAATATCAGATGTATAGGGCACAATAGCTGTATTAGGGTTGAGAATTGTCATCGTTTTTTTTTACAGCACTGCTGTTAACCAAATAGAGGTAACTGCCATTACTAAATGATCCGCTTTTCAAAGTAAAAGTCACTCCGTCTTGTCCATTTTGCACTGACTCTAAATCAAATAGTCCTACAATATTATTTAATTAATATTTTTACTATTCCTAAACTGATTAAAAATCAACTATTTTTAATTACCATTTATTTTTCCAAAAAAAAATAAAATTATATAAAATATTAAAAAAAATTGTATCCTTTTATAATTAATCATTCTTTTATTTGATATATATATAGAAAAAGAAAAAATAAATTGAAAAATAATAATAATTTGTTTTTTAATTCTTAATAAACCCTTTTCTAAATTAAATTTCATCTTGTTATTTTATTTATAAAATTTCTTTTATTAATAAAAAAAAGTGAGAGGTCCTCAACAATCTATTTTCGATAAATTCTCTATTTTTTTGAAAGAATTTTAATTCATTCCCTAATTAAAAATTCGTTTATGACCAATTAAAAATAAAATTATAGTTTTGTATTTTCTAAAATGATGGGTGGTGGTAAAAACTCAATTTTTGAAAAAAAGAAAAAAAGTGAAAAAAATTACCTTGTTGTTTGAAAAATTGATTTTTTTTAATTTATTTTATTTGATTAAACACCATATACTTTGATGTCTTCATTTATAACAAGAGATATTAAATGAAATGCTTGCAGGTGAGTGGTTTTGTTTGATTTCCATGGAGTAGAAAAACACTTAAAATCTTTAAACCGATTGTTAACATTCTCAATGATGATTCTTTTCGAAGATAAGAAAGCATTGAATTCCCTTTCCAATGGAGTAAGTGTACCGCCACTTGGTTTCTTTATCATTGCCTTGAATGATTCTCTCTCACCTTGATAAGCTTTATCTCCAATGAATCTTTCATTTTTTTGTAGTATATCACTTGAAAGAATTCCCTCTTCGGATCGAGCTATTTCAATGTCTGCCTGGCTTCCTGGATATGGTCCAGCTGGATATCCTTCCTAACCATACATTAACACTAAAATTTGTTTCTCTTTGTTTGACTTCTATTGGCAAGTGCATCATATTCTCTGGTGCTATGTCCAATCGAACCCAACATTACACCTTCTCAAATGCCTCCTTGACTCAAAAACAACAAAACTGAAAAAACTATAATAAAATCAATAAATAGAATCTTATAAATAAGCAAATCTAGAGTAGTTGTGGACCAATAACAAACATTCTTTTTTTTTTAATATATAAATATTTGAATATTTCGAAGAAAAAGAGCTTTTCAAAAATATGTAAGTCGTTAATTTAAATTTTAACCAACAGAGATATATCTACCCAAGTAACTTGTAGATGATCAATCATTTAGTTGGCAAACTGATCCATCGATTTTCTTGCAAACTAAACAAGTTGTTCAGATTGTTGTTGTTGTTGTTGATTATTTAACTTCCAATTGATACCATCGCCTCTTGGTGCGCCAACAGGACAAATCCACTGCCTAAATGTATCACCGAAAACATCTTTAAAATAAAAAAAATAAGAATTTTGGTTAACGAGACTATTAAATATTTATTTTTATAATTTATTAAAGGATATTTAATCAGCTAGGAAGATATCAATAATTGACCAACTGGGATTACAAAAAAAAATAAAAGTTTTATTTTATCTAGATAGTGACTGAATTAATGATATTAAATTTTTATTAATTGCTAATTAGTTACTTAAAAAAAGGTCATTTATATTCTGTTTATCAAAACAAATTTATTCAAATGTATTGATGTAGATGCACACCAATGTCTACCATAATTTATAATATCTCCTAAGAATGGTTCACATTGATTGGATTCGATTGAATATTTGAAATTACAATCTCTAGATATTCCAAATGAATAGATATAACTTGATGTTGGTGATTCTCGATGATATATAACAAATGGATGAGTTTGCACATTTAATAGAGGAATGGCATTAAGATTGATTGTTTGTTTGTTTCAACGTTGTATTTTACGAATCGTTTGTTTGTCATATCTAGTATGTAGAAGTTTCCATTGTTATCATGACATGCAGATGAAGCTCGAATGTCAAACTGATCACCTGTTATTTTTTTATTTGTCAAATCGAATTGAAATATCTGATATTGAACGTATGGTACTGAATATAATGAACCTTTAAAGATCATTGATGATATTTGCAAACCAATTTCTTCAGGTAATTGATTATACAATTCAAATTTCATTGTCCTGATGTTGAATCGATCAATTCTATTGTTTATATTAGCACCATTCACTAAATAGATATGATCTTTACCATCATAACAAACAGTTATGTGAGAATCACCTTTGATTCCTTCGATATTACCAATATGTTCAATTGATTTCGATTTGGCTGATATTATAATCCATTTGTATTCATTGGTATTTCCACCGAATAAATAGATATATTCACCAATTGAAACCATCGAGGAGTACGTTCCAGCAAATTCATAATCAAACTGTAGCTCTTCAATTGAATAGTTGTTTGATGTGTTGATCAGTGTTGCTCCTTTTGCTGAATGTGTTGTGAAAATATAAGATTGTTTATTATCATTGTTGTTTGTTTTTGTTGTGTTTATTGGCTCAGTTGATTCAATGTTATCAAGTTTGATTGATTGTTCAATGATTGAATTCAATTGATCGAAATCAGGTTGTTTGATTGTTAATTTATATGATGATAATAAGCTATTATTGTCTGTGATTGTTGTTGATTCATTGAATTGATTGTTGTATTTATGAATGATATCTAATAATATTGATGTCGAATCATTGTAGTGTTGTTTGAGAAGTTCGTCAATATTGAATAGATCAAGATGTTCATTGAATAATGTTTTATTATTATGATTGATGAATGATTGTAATGATGAACTTGTTGTTATTGATTCCATTATTGTTGTTGTTGAATATAATGATGTGGTATCATCAGTTACTGATTTATTATCACTACTACCAATACTCCCTTCACAATTATATTTATCATTATTATTATTTAATTTATTAAATAACATTATAATATTTATTAAATATTTCAAACGATTTACTTTATTATCGATTTGATTTGTGATTGAATGTTTATCATTGATAATATCTCTTTGTAGTTTATGTTCTTCAATGATTAGATATTGATGTAATTGTTCAAAGTGTTCTTTGATTTCTTTCTCTGTTGTTGATAATCTTTGATATATGGATGTCGATGATCTTAATGATTCCCATAGAGATTTAAGTTTATTATTGATTTGTGAATGATAATTATTATTATTATCACTATCACTATTATTATTATTGTCATTATTAATATGATTATTTGTATATGTGGTGGTGTCAATAATATCATCTAATTTCAATGTACTCAATGAGTCCTTGATGTCATCGATATGTTCACATTTATCGGCATGATCAGGATGATCTTTACCATGAGTGATGATACATTTTGAACACATCAAACTATTACATTGATAACAAATGAATTCGTGTGATCTTTGATGATTCAAACATTTAATTGTCATTATTAACTTTTACTATTACTTCTAATTATATCTATTGGGTTTATATTAGAATTTGTGGTAGTAGTGGTTGTGGAACTGTGTAATTTCATTTTTTCCCTCCCCTAAAAAATTAAAAAATTTTGCAAAGCATTGCAAAAAAAATGTGAAAATAACAAAAAAGCTGTGCAAAAAAAACCCAAACTATAAAATATCACATGAAAAACAATCTATGACCAATTTTTTTGCTCCAAATGTGAAATGGTTTTTGTTAAATCAAAAATAGTTTGACCATTTTTTTATTTTTTTTTTCACTTTTTTTTTTAACATTACGATTTCACATTTGGAGAAAAAAAAAAATTGTTGTGTATTGAATCAAATCCTTTTAAAAGGTAATGATCATGCTTCGCAGACATTAAACTATATTTTTAAATATGAAATATTCAGATTTTTTAGGATTGACTCAAGAACAACAAAGAGTGGAGGCTGATAATCTATTTGGTAGATTCCCAATAGCTTCCAGAAATGAAGATATCAACAGACTAATTACAACTATTAGAAGAACAGTCTGTTGATATCTTCATTTCTGGAAGCTATTGGGAATCTACCAACTTCATTGATCAAGCTATCAAAATAATAGTTCAAACTTTTAATCATATTTTACAAACAATACATCGACACCACAATAAAACCTCACACTGACATATATAACCAATTTTATAGAATAGAGTAACAAAGAGATTTATTTATCAACCCAATTAACTTGTGGATGATTAATCATTTATTTTTAGTTGGCAAACCAAACCATCGATTTTCTTGCAAACTAAACAAGTTGTTCAGATTGTTGTTGTTGTTGATTATTTAACTTCCAATTGATACCATCGCCTCTTGGAGAACCAACTGGACAAATCCACTGCCTAAATGTATCACCGAAAACATCTTTAAAATTATTTCTTGGACCTCTATCATATCTCCATCTATATTCTTCTCCCTTCATTCATGAGATAAACAAAGCTTGTTAGTCATCTATTTGAATGGTTATAGAAAGAATTGAGTTGCTGTTACTACTTACAACACCATTTCTTTTAGCAATTTTATATTCTGATTTTCTTTCATATCGCTCGACACTCGTCAGATTACTAAAGATGAAACCCGATTGGAAGTAAAAGAGACCCGAGACACCTAGCAAAACAGGTATAATAGTTGAGAAGTTTAAAATATATAATACTGTAACCATTGGTCCTGATACTAGAAATTCAAGATCTTGATGTTGTTGTTGTTCTTCTGATGTTGATAATATGATATCTTTGTTGTTGTTGTTGTTGTTGTTGATTGTAACTGGTGTCGGATCTTCTGCATTCTGAATCGATACGTTCAGTACGTAGAATGCACTGAACACTAGAAACACCGTCGATATTGTACCTACTACGGTGGTGTAGAATAGAAACAGCAGGAATGGCTTTTGATTTTGATAGCCAACGCAATTCGCTATCCAAGGACAATGATGATCTTGCTTCAATATACATTTTTTACAGTGCCGACAATGATGCGTGCGTGGCGGTTTAAATATATTACAGGTTACACAATATCTTATGTGTGAAGGTGGTTTGAAATGATTGTTACTATTCTTGCGTTGCTCCATTATATTATCAACAATCTCATCTAATTCCTCTTTACTTTTACCTTCTGGATACTTATAAAGTAGCAAGTAGTAGTTAATATCAATTTTTAGTTATATATCGGTATCTGTGTAGACTACAACTACTCTACTTACCCAATTCTTCGAAGGATATCCAGGTGGCGTGACAATTGATTGCCAATAACTATAGATTAACATAAAGAACAATACATGATAGAATACTATATAGATTTGACCGAATATCGATGTTAAGAATCGTAGTGGATGAAACACCAGTATCCAATGACTGGTCAATGCAAACAAAATAAATAAATAAACAACTAAAACAAAATAGGATACCATGATATCTTTCTATCTATATCTATCTATCTATCTTTTATATATATGTATGTATCTATCTATCTAAATTAATCTCATAACTTTATACAAATAAAACTAGTCTTACAATGCAAAGAAAAAATAAATTAAATAAAAACAACAAAACGTTAATGCAAAAAATTAATTAATTAAAAATAAAAAAACACACTTCCAATCATTGAATAATCACAATTTATAAAAAAATGTTTTTGTTTTGTTATGTTTTATTATGTTTGTACATAGAGGAAAGTGATATTTAACAATATAACTAAATAATCAATCAATTTTCTTACTATTGATGATGATGATCAATGATGAGATTGTACATTGAATTGACATATCAGTTAAAGTTCTCCAATTTGATCTTAGTACGATATTCAAAATATAATTGTTTGTTGTTAGTAGCTAATTGAAGAGGTTATAATAGATTAATCTTTATATAATAAAAATCGGGATTATTAGATTTTTATTTTTTATTGTATTAAATGAAACTAGTTTAAAGTTTTATTTTTCTGATCTGATTTTTCATTTGGCATAGATCAAAAAACGAACGAATGCTATCGATAGGATTGTCTAGACAATCATCACATATTTATAATAATATTAATAGATTGGTATTGCCAAATAAAGTTATCAATCATGTTAGAATCATAGATAGAGCATTCAGTAGTAGTAATAACAGTGTTGTTGGTAATAATGTAAATAAACAAAATACAAGATACAATGTTACAAAACAATGGTTCGATATCGATGCACATTCAACTTATCATCAATTAAGATATCATGTCAATAAAATATTAGAACCATTAACAACATCGATATCAAATAACAATAACAATAGCAATGAAATAACAAATAACAATAATACATCTGGTTATCAACCATTGTTTACAGGTGTTACTGTACCAAAGATAAAAGCAGACTATTCAATTAGCAATACATTTCAATTGTCAAGACAACTGGGAGGTGATAATAAAAAGATTGTCGAACAAATGAGACAGTTGATTCAGAAGGATATCGATGAGAATCGCGATGGAATGTCACTCATCAAAGATGTCTCGGTGGAGAAGAACTTTGTCAATGTTTCGCTGTCGCAAGATTACTTGGAGCAATCGCTAGCTGTTTGGCTCAAGGGAGAAGCACCGCTCTACGAGCTGACAAAACAACATAAACAATCGCTACAACTACCTCTCGAGCCAAAAGAGGTGCTTGTTGATTTCGCATCGCCAAACATGTCGAAAGAGTTGCACGTCGGACATCTGCGATCGTTGGCACTGGGCGAATCGGTTTGTCGTATCCTAGAGTATCGTAATCACCGCGTTGAGCGTGTCAGTCATGCCGGTGATTTCGGCACGCCCATGGGAATGGTCATCTCCTATGCACTCGAGAACAAAGCGGAATTCCTCCGACACATCTGGGACAAGCAAAGCGGGCTGTCATCGATGCCATTCATCCCAACACCGAAACAACTCTCAACGATCTACTCTGACGCCAAGAAACTAACGAAAACCGACAGTGAATTTAGTAAGCGTGCACACCTCGCCGCTGCAGAACTACAAAAAGGACCGCCAACAACAACAAGCGGTGACAATAACAATGGCGGATCCGACCCCGATATCTATCGTGCTTGGTTGGATGTTTGTGAAGCATCGAGAGCGGGATTCAATGAGATATTCAAGCTGATGGATATCAATGTCAAGGAGAGAGGTGAGTCGTGGTATCGTGAGATGTTGGAGCCGGCCATTGAGGAGCTGCGTTCGCTCAATATGGTGTCAGAGAGTGAAGGTGCGGTGTGTGTCTTTCTCGAGGATCAGAAAACACCGGTGATTATCAAGAAGAGTGACGGCGCCTATCTCTACGCGACAACCGATATCGCCGCCATCAAAAACCGTTTGGTTACCAACAAGAAACAATGGGTGATTATCATCACCGACGACTCGCAGAAACAGCATTTCCAACAGGTGTTTACGATTGCCCAACTTGCGGGATGGTACCGTCCCGATACAGAGCATCGCGTCGATCATCTGTCGTTCGGCGTGGTGCGTGGCGAGAACGGATTGAAACTGTCGTCGCGTGAAGGCGATCCTCTTGCGCTGGAAGAGCTGCTACAAGAGGCGATTCAACGTGCTAAAGACGCAACTATTACCTCGCGATCTTTGACACGCGCAGAGAAGCTAGATCAAACTCATACCGCTCAGCAGCTGGACGGTGCAGATCGCGTGGAAGATCGCTTCGAACTCGACCAATACAACACCTGGGAACACTATCGTAAGATCGGTCTCGGTGCAATCAAATACTTTGATCTCTCACAACGTAGTAACTCTTACACATTCTCATTTGATCGAATGCTCTCATTCAAAGGTAACACCTCGATCTACATACTCTATTGCTACACAAGAATCTCAACTCTAATGAAACGTGCACAATTCGATATCAATGCAATCGATTTAAAGTAAGTAGATAGAAACAAGTAATAGTTTATAGATTGTTATAATTAATTGTTTTGTTTTATTTTAAAGTACATTTAAATTTAAGGAATTTAGTGAAAAAGAAAGAAAGCTGGTTTTAATGATATCTAAATTCCCAGATGTAATAAGAGCGACAGAGAGTACATTGAGACCAGCGGTGTTGTGTGATTACCTTTGGGATATATCGGATTGTTTCCATCATTTCTACGAAAGTGAGCGAGTCATCGGTTCAGATACAATGGTACAGAAACTATTGATTGCACATGTCATCCAAAATATTATCAACACTGGTTTCCATCTATTAGGTTTAGAAACTGTCGATAGATTATAATAACATAAACACAATCAATATTATATATATAATATATCTACATCGATCTCCAAAAGTTGTTTATTTGTATACAAAATTGTTAAATGTTGTCTTTTATTTTTTTTATTTAAAAAAAGTTAAGTAACATTATTAATGTTATTAGATTAGTGTTTGTTTAGTTATATTTAAGTATTGAAGTTGTTTGAATTATTAATATGATTGATATTATTATTGGTATTGGTATTGGTTGTAGTTATTGTATTGTTGTTGTTGTTTATCGATAATGATTAGTTAGATATCTCCTATCCAATAGTAGTATGATCATGCCAATACAATATATAAAAAGTTGTCGGGATGACTAAAGTAATCACCAAGCCATATCAAAGAGGAGTTTAAAGGTGGTTCTATTCCTTGTATAGAGTACCTGATTGACCCTGAATTTAAAACTTGTAAAAGTGTTGTTGAGTTTGTAGATGATGATGATAGTGTTGTTGTCGATTGTTGTGTTTCATTTGATGTATCTATATTATTATTATTATTACTATTATTATTACTATTATTATTATTATTATTATTGTTACTACTACTATTATTACTATTATTAAAAGCTATCTTTGAAAATAAAGATTCCAATGTTGTTTCTTGACCATTTTCATTTATTGGTGATATCAAATCCTGTAGAGGTGCCTTATTATTCTGAATGATACGATATGGTATATGCTTATATCCATTACCTGGATAGAACATCTTGTTTATCGACCAAAACTTTTCATAATCATCTATATGATTTTATTATAATCATTAATAAGTAAACAATCTAACTAACTAACTAACTATCTATCTAATATATTGACAGTAGTACATACGTAATTTAAGACCATCCCATAACTCATTGGTTTGGTTAATACTCAGATTATTCAATTTATTAATATCACCTTGTTTTATATAATTTGCCTATAAATATTATTGTTTATATAGTTGTTAGTTATCTATCTATCTATCTATAATAGATGTATATATTTGATCAAACTCTCTTACCTCTTTTAATACATTCTTATAATATGTTCTGATGGCATCTTCATTCGAACATCTAAGTAATACTTTTTCTGGAAATGATTGGAAATGTACAGTGATATTCCAGATTTGAGAGGCTGTTGTGTCGGGTGTTGCTACCAGCATGTCAAAGAGTACACCGATTGGAATGTGCCACTTGAGTGGTATGCCTTTGTACTCTAACCACAGTTCACTATCGGATATCACAAGTGTACTATAGGAGAAATGATCTTTTACAACACCCGTAATCAATGGGAAGTAACTATTTCTTGGAACAAACATCTTTTTTGTTTTTTGATTTGCAAATGTTAACATCATCATCATCATCATCATAACAATAACAAACTATATATCGACATCATCAACTAACTAATTAACAAACTTACACTTAATGAAGATGGTGGTATATGTGATGTCAAGTCATTGGGTGACAATGTAAACATTATAGGTATCTTTCCTTCCCATATTGATTTCTTTACATCTTCATCAAAGAATGACATTTCTTCTCTTTTAACTTTTCTTTTATTTTCTTTTATTTACTTTTATTTACTTTTATGGATATGATATACGCTTTACTTAATTATTTACTTTTAACTATTTACTTTACTTTACTATACAGTGTCTACTTGTCTTTTAGTATATGTCTTAATCTACTACAAATTGTTTTTGTTATTTTTAAAAATTTAAAAATTTTTTAGATTTTTGTTTTTTTTTGTTTTTTTAAAAAAACTAAATATAAAAAAAAACAAATAATAACCTTGATTAATTGAGTGACGTGATTGTTTTGATTTTGTACAAGATCAAAAAAAGATAAATTATATTTTAAAATTGAAAGTTTAAATAAAAAAAACTTTTATTTTTGATTTTTTTAAAAAATATATTTTTTTTTCAAAGTTTTTATTTTTTTTTCATTATTTTTTTATCTTTATGTTGTTGTTACATTGCGTGTGGTCGGTTTACAATTATTATTCCCTATCTCAATTGACATCTAACTTTCAATTGAAATTCAAATTCAAATAATAATAATAATAATAGTAATAATAAAATAGGAGAGAATAGAATTTATTTATATTTAGAACTTTTTTAATTTTTTGAAAAGAAAAAAAACTAAAAAATTTCAAAATTTTGTTGTTGTATTATTATTTCATTCAGACATCATATCATCTATCTATAGCTATTTTTAGCATAATCCAGTTTTAAATGGTTTACATATATCATTACTACTATCAACAATCAAAAAGTTAACAAAATTACAAAGTAACAATAACAATAACAATAATAAGATAGATATAAATAAGTAGAAGAAGAAAGAAAAGAAGAAAGAAAAGATAATTAAATTATGTATAGTTCAATTGTTAAAGCAGTTAGGAAAACTATATCTGCAGAGAAGAATAGGTTTGAAAATGAAAACTATGATTTGGATTTAACTTATATATGTGAAAGAGTGATAGGTATGCGAAATGAACATGAATGTTCATATTCATATTCAGACAATGTACAACAAACATACTAATTACACGTAATTTGATTTTGATTTGATTACAACTTATATCAAATTTGTATTATTATTATTATCATCATTCTTTAGCGATGTCATTCCCAGCGGATGGTGTTGAGAGTGCATATAGGAATTCGATATACGATGTAGCACAGATGTTGAATGAACACCACGAAAATCACTATAAGATCTTCAATTTGTCGGAGCGAAAGTACGATTACAATTTGTTTCATGGCAACGTCTACGATTGGTGTGGATTTCCCGATCATCATGCTCCGCCACTCGCACTGCTCTTTAAGATCGTCATCACGCTGTACAACTATCTCGCCGAGGATCCAAAGAACGTTGCGATCGTTCACTGCATGGCTGGCAAAGGTAGAACTGGCACTGTCATCTCGTGTCTCCTACTGTATGCCGGCTTGTTTGACAATGCAGAGGACGCCATGCGTTACTTTGCCGTGAAGCGATCGTCCAACACCTATGGCATAACCGGTCCCTCTCAGATCCGATACATCCAATACTTCTCGTCCATCTATCTCGGCAACCAAATACCGGCACAGAACACTCTATTCCTCAAAACCATAACTATGCACACCATTCCAAAGGTAAAGTATTGATTGAAAGAGTCGTCGGCAGCAGTAGCAGCAGGCATGCGCGCATCCAGAGTTTTTCGTTTACTAATGTTTCACCTTTTTCGATACTATATAGTTCTTCTTGGGACCGCTGAAACAAGGAGTTTGTCCGGTTTTAAATATATATTCAGCGACACAGAAAGGACTGAGAATATTCTCGTCGGCACCGATCGAGGGCGATACGAAAGAGACGCGAACCTATTTAGCAGGAACAGCGACATTGCAGTTTGAGGTGCGAAAGATTGTTAGAGGCGATATACTAGTGGTGTTTTCACATATTACACCGTTCTACCGAGTGGAGCAGATTGCGCGTTTCAACTTTCACACGGGAATGTTTCAGAAGAAACAACTCGTTCTCCACAAATCCGAGTGTGACGGATCGGATGGCGACCGTCGATTCGCCAACGACTTTCACTTTACGCTCGATTTCGACGAGCCTGTTGCACCACCTCCCAACAGTCAGATCACAATGTATCAAAAGGAGATAAAGAAGGAGGTCAAGTGGATCAACCACGAGGGCAAAAAGTCGTCAAAGAACGGTTCGATCTTGTTCTTCCCAAAGAACACCTCGGAGAAGATCAAGCAGGCAAAAGACATCGCCTCGAAGCAGGGTGGTGCCGGTCTGCACAGCGGCTATCTCATGAAGAAAGGACACAACTTTAAGAATTGGCGAAGAAGATGGTTCGTGCTCAAAGACAACATGCTATCCTACTACAAATCGCCGAAGGACACCGCGCCGGCTGGCCAATTCCAGTTGGCAGAGATTGTCGACATACAGGTGGTCGAGGAGCGCGAAGGCTACACACACTGCTTCCAGCTGGTCACCTTGAAATCGACCTACGAAATCGCCGCGGAGAATGAACGCGATCTCGAAGACTGGGTGGAAACCATAAGAAACGCTAAAAAGACCGTGCAGGAAGCCGGCCGACTCTTCATTGAGATTCTCGACGTAAAGTACGCGTTTGTCGGTCAGGAGGAGTCGTCGAGTGTCCCGATTAGCGATCGCAGCGACGTCGACCTCATTACGTATCTCACGTTGTCGATGGGCAAGAAGAAAGACAACACACCGCCACAATCTGTAAAATTCAATCCAAACTTCCAATACGCAGGCGAAGTCGTTGTCTACGATCAACCATCGGATCTAGTCATTGGATTGTGGTTCCGTTCCACCGCTTTACAAATCAAAGATACACTGGTCGCCGAACTCACATTCAGCTACGCCACACTGTTGGCAACACAAAACTTTAAAACCGAATACCGACCATTCAGTGTAGTATACACCGATTTCATAACTGATCCATTGATTAGAATTGGAATGTCATATAGAGCAACCGAAGATCTAAATCTTTAGTATGTACAGAACGAAGCGAAATGATAATATCAATAGTTGTATCGCGCGATTCATAACTAACCACAATTTTGCATAGCAGTGAAAAAGTAAATAATGCAGGATGGCAAGCTTCTCCAACTGAAAATCTACCGACTCGTAAATTCTCTGACCAACCCATTGGAAGCAGATCAAGAAGAAGTCCAAGTGGTAAGTGTTATAAAACTTGATATTTAGGTTGATAAGTAATCAATCTCTAACTTTATTTTATATTATTATTTTCGAAAAAAGCAGAATTAGAAAGTCCAACATTTAGTCATACAAGCACAGACAGTAATAATAACAATAACTATTATTATAGTAATATTAATTATAGTCAGCAACAACAACAACTACCACCACATCAATCATCACCTCCAAATCAACAGAATTTTATCACTCATAGTAACTATAATAATAATAATAATAACAATAACAATAATAATAATAATAATGGTAATAATGATAATGGTAATATCACTCTTTTAAAAAATAGTAATGAAAATAATAATAACAATAATAATAATACTCAACAACAACAACAACAACAAACACCTTTCGATACAACAGCTTTATTATCTCCAAATATATCGGATACTTTATTTTTAGAGACATTGCACCAACAGCTTGAGGATGACTACGATCTCAACGATGAAATAATGGACGAATTTGAGAGAAATCTAGTCACCCAAGATAGCATAGAATAACCAATAAATAACACTACATATATATATAATATATACATATAATATTCCATTCCAAAAATAATTCTAGAATTACAGATATCATTATTCTTGTTTTGATTGAGTTTTTACAATTATTATTATAACTATGCTGCAGAGAACCAACCAACCAACCAACCAACCGATCAACCATATTAAAATTTTTTGATGACAAAATGTGGTAAAACGTAGATACTAACAACATATATATTCTAGAATGATGGAGATACCAATTTCGATGTATCTTTCTCCAAGTCTTGTAATAGTACAAAGAATTTCGACATGAAATGAGTGTATTCGTCTAGAGTGAACTCCAATTCGGAGAATCTTGCTTTCTCGTAGGTATCGACATATAGCTTTGCCAGTGATTTGTTCATCTGTGGACATCGCTCCAGTAACAGATTGACATAGTCTCTGATACACATCTTTGGTTCACGCTTCAACTCTGGATCGAAATGAATTGCCGCGCGCTCCAAAATAATCCAAGATTTGGATATCGATGTTTTAAAGTGAACTTTTGCATACTCTGAACCTGGCGATCCCCATCCCAAATGACCGATAGGATGATCTCCAATCTGTGGTTTGATTTGTGCCTGTGTTTGTTTAGATTTCACAATTTCATTTAGAATCACTGTTCTTTGTTTCTGTGTGAGATAAAAAGTATTAGTTTAACAATGTACCTAATGTTATTATTATTATTATTATTATTATTGTTATCATTACATTTGATAAATCACCAGGTCTTAAGAATGGCATAATCTTTCTTGGTATTCTTTCAACCATATTATTCTTTAGTTTAATTCTAACTTGAATGATTGAGAATGAAAAGAACAACTAAATAATCAATTAATTCTTAAATTAGTAAAAGTTTAATAATATATAGTTATTATCATTGTTTGAAAACAACTTACCAATGCACCGAATACGACCAAGATAATTAAGAAATGTTTGAATGTAAATTTTGAATAGGTGATTGTTTGTGTTTCATTTGAAGCAGTTGTGAATAGTGGTTGAGCATCTAATATATTTTGTGAATATAACATAGATTGTAATGGTGATTGATCATATTCATTATTATTAACTATAATATTGTGTTGTTGTTGTTGTTGCTCTTGTTGCTCTTGTTGTTCTTTTGCCAAAGTACCTAAACGTGACAAATCTCCGAAAACAACAAAAACAACAGTTGAATACAATAAAATCAAACTTATAACATTGAATTTTAAATACATAGAAACAAAAACTAATAATATTTTACATGTAGTAAAAATATAGATATATAAAAAAAATAAATATGATTGCAAAAAATAACTGATTCAGTATGTGTGTAAAGAGGTGTTTAAATAAATTAAAATTGAATGTTTTGCAAAAAAATTTAAAAATAAAAAATTTTAGATTAATTCACAAAACAAGTCTTGCGTGAGTCATTAATAATCTATCATTGTTTTGTCATTCAAAAAAGCACACAATTGTTTTGTTTTATATTTATTTATTTATATATTTATTTATTTTGGAGACAGATAAAGAAATATAGAGAAAGAATGACGGAGAAAAATGAGAAAATAAATAGAGGTGTGTTGGAAGATGAATTGAAATACCCGTTGTTTTGTTGTGGCAGTGGTGGCAAGTCAAAGTTGGTGGCGGTCGGTGGTGGCGGTGGCAAGTCAAAGACCGGTGTTGCCAATGGCATTGCTCTGTATAGGTGGTGTGAGGATGGCATTCACGTCGAGCAAGTCGGTACCTACAAGGCCGACGATTGCGTCACCAACGTCGATATCCACCCAAAGAAAGATAACATTGCAATCATCGTATCACAACAATTTCTCATTCTAGATTTCAAAAAGGATAATACTTTTGTACTATTACATCAATTCGATTTGATTCCAGAGGAATCTAACAGCAATGACAGTGACAATAGCAGTAGCAACAGCAGCAGTGGTAAAGGAAAGAACAAGAAGAACTCTAAACAAGCTGGTGAAAAAGATGGTGATGCTGATGAAAAGTCTGTTGCAACCGATGCCGCTGCCGAACAAGATAGCGCGGCCAACAACAACAACAACAACAAGAAGAAACCGATCAAGTTTGAACAATTCAATTTGAGATACAGTCCGAACGGTGAGAGACTGATTACATCGGGTGCGGACGGCGTCGTTAGAATCTGGGACACTGCCAACTACCGGCTGGTCAATGAGTACAGTCATTGCCACATCGATGAGATCAACGCGATCGACACGAACAACGCCAACACCCACATGGTAACTAGCTCCAAGGACAGAACTTGCAAGGTGTGGAATCTGTTGTCGGGTCGTCTCGAGCACACGCTCAAATTCGAGCACGACGGCAAAGACCTAGAGTTTCGTGGCTGTCGATTCCTCACGGGCGGTCTCGAGCTGGTCACCGTCCAATTCCGTCCGAACACCAAGAAGGTGAAGGGATGCACGCACGTCACACGCTGGAGCACCACCACCGGCAAGAAAGAGTTCACCAAGCAGATTCACACCATGCACAACACCTGTGCCGAGCTGAGCAACGACGGACTCTCACTGGCCGTCGCCACATCGGACAACCTTGTCACCATCGTCGACACTGTCAGCTTCCGACGTCTAGACCGTTGGGAACCGCACGATTTCGTCATCACCGGACTCGCCTACTCACCCAACAACAAATCAGTCTTTTCCGCCTCTGCAAACTACTCTGTAAAATCACATCAAATCGGTACTGGAGCCAAAGGTAATTAATATAGATAAAACATCTCAAATATATGTATAATAGATAACAACAACAACTAACTTTTTAATCTTCATTTTCATTTTTTTATTATCATTTTCAGAATTAGATTATAAACTTATATTTTTATTGGCATTATTAATATTAATTGTTTCAATAATTTATAACTATCTAATTCAATAAATAAATATTATAAAATATCAATCAATCAGTATAGCAAAACAATAATCATTGAACCTAAAGTTAGTTAGTTATTGTATTGATATTCTAAATGAAGATACAAGACAAGATAAGACAAGATAAGATAAGACAAGATCTAAAAGCAAAATCGTTAGATTGTAGATTATCAATCTGTGCTATATGATAATTTAAAAATATTGTATTAGATTAGATTAAAGTCAAAGCTCTCTTTATCTTTTGATCATTATAATACAATATAATTATTTAATTAAAATAACAATAATAATATTAAGTTAATTTATTTTGATACTGCACAAATGTAACCACTTTAATATAATATATTATAATTTAATCAAAATTTAATTATTTTTATATATTTAAATTATTACATCACATATGTGTGTGTTATTTTCTGTTGTTATAATGTGTGTGGGTTAATAGTGATGAATATGATGACAATTTTAAAACGGTTGGTAGTATCTTACTCACTATTGCCAGTGTTGACCCATACTGAATAACCATAGACACATGTCGATTTTATTGTTTTAAATCATTGGGGTTATCCACATACACTCACTCACACACATTCTTAACTCTTATATCAACACATAAAACACATCAACAACAAACACCTCAAAATCATCTATATTAAATAATCATATCAATTTAAAAGAAAAAATAGAAAAAACAAACAAATTAATAAATATAATTGATTGATTGATTGATTAACAATTACTAATATTAATTTTTTAAAATTAACATAAATTATGATGTATTTTTAACAATAGTTAACCTGAAAGAATGAATGAAACGCATTGAAAAGAAAGAATTAAACCAAAATAAAATAAACACCTTCCTTCCTTGCTTGCTTACCATGATGTTTGAAATCGTTATTGATTGCTATACCCTTATCCATCTATACCCACCACTACCATTACCACAACTATAATAATTAATTACACATTTGGGTTGTACTCTCACTTCTATTTTACATATATGGTCATGGTTTTTGTTTTGCTTTTATTATACTCTAGTAGTTTTTAATGATTTGTTTGTATACATCCTATTCTATATTTTTCATACTTTCAAAACAAACAACAATACAATATTGGTTTTAAAAAAAAAATAATTAATACTAAAGTGGTACCATTCCATCCTAAGTAGCTTTTAATAATTAGTAATTGAAAAGAAAATAACAATAACAATAATAACATAATTGACATAATTTATTATTATATGTATTTTAGATTATATTTATAGGTTTTTTTTTTGTATTTATTTATTTATTTAGTAATTAGTATTTTATTTTATTTATTTAATTAAAAAAAATCAAATCCAATCAATTACAATTTAAAAAGAATTTTTATTGACCAAATTTGGAAAAAAACAAGTAGATCAGTGACCAAGCAAAAGAAAAGAAAAAAAAAGATATCTAAATTTTGGATATTTTGTTTTTGATCAAAAGGTAAGTTAAGAGAGAAATAATATTTGATTTGTTTGGGCGGGAACTTAATAAAATCTTTGGTCATCCTTCCACATGATAATAATCACACAGTCACTCTGTCATATGCACCAAATCAATCTTCACAATTAAAATTTTCATCACAAAGTTTTTTTATTTCAAATTATCTAGATATTTTTACATTTTCATCATGAAAAAAACAAAACAGCAAACGCAAATTCAAAGCAAAGCTTCATTGTGCAACAAATTTAAAACCGAAGGAATTTTTTTTTTTGGTTTTTTTGATCACAGTCAAAATCGGAAACAAACCTTGGCAATACCCATACCCCTCATACCACTATTTCAAAGACAAACTTCCACAACTCAACAAAAGAATGTCTCTTTTTCTAAACTTTTATGGGGTAATTCAGAATGGAACCTTGTCTTTTTATTTTTTTGTTTTTTTTGTTTTTAAAGAACATGCACCAACATTGCCAGCAATGTTTTTCATCGCATTGCAAATATTCAAAAAACTAATGCAAAACAACACATCTTCCTCAAATTTCATAAAACTTTTGTGTGGTCCACTTTGTTTTTTGTTTTTTTTATTTTGTGTTTTTTTGGAATTTTTATTCTTTCAATCTGATAAACCCAAAAACAAAAAAAAAACCCATATACTTTGGTTTTGATCATTCATCAAAAATACCAAAAATGTATTTTAGTGATCATTTAAGCAATCAGGAACCCACAGAACACAAATATTGGGCTAATTAGCAAACATCGTATTTATAAAAACAAAATTTTTCGTTTTCAAACAAAAATTTCATAAAAAAAAACAAAAAAAAGGCTCTTGAAAAAAAATATATCTTTATCACGATTTAACTTACACTGCTGTGGTTTGGTTTAATAGTTAGTTATTTAAAAAAAGAGTAATTAGTTTAGTTTTTTTTTTTTTTTTGTTTTTTTTTTTTTTATTTTTGATTTTGATTTTGATTTTTTTTGTTTCACTGTTAGTTTCGTCAGTTACATTGTTTCATTTGCTTGTTTGGTTTTTGTTGGTTTGGTTTGATGTTGTAACTTGCAATACTACACTTACACTACACTACACTACAATACTTTACTTTTTGATCGATTACAATCAACAAATAGAAATAATAATACTAATAATAATAGTAGCTATTCCACATGATATACTAGTAATCAATCAAATCAAAATCAAAATCAAATCAAATCAAATCAATCAATTAAATTATAATAAATAATGTATTAAAACAAAGAAACAATTTACAAACAGAAAGAAAAAAACAATTAACAGTAACATCAATAATAAGAAGTAGGTGAAGATATAATACAAACAAACAAATATTTTAAAACAGTTAATTAATCTAGTAGTCGATCTGATCAATCAATTGCAATCACATAATCAAACATAAATTGATCTCACACTAACACACACACACACACACACACACACCTACACAAATCGAATAGACACAATTCAATCACAACAAAAAACAATATTTAGTCAGTCAGGTCAGTCAGTCAGTTTTTTTGAATTATTTATATAAATAATTATATCAATTCAAAAAAAAAAAACACTTTTAATATTAAGTTGGCTAATCGACTTCACCATCCATCTTTAAAATTTTTTATTTTTTTAATTTGCTTAATCATCACTTTATTTTTATTTTTAATCAATTTTATTTTATTTTCCTCAATTGCTTAATTGCCAAATCCATCAACCATATGTTTAATTAATTTTCATTTTTTACATTTAAATTAACAATATTTCAATTTTATTTTAAATTTTAATAAACAAAATCAAAAAAGGTTCAAATCAGTTCAATTCAGTCAATCAATCAACAATCAACTTTTATAAATAAGTCAATCTCATTCATATCTTGAATTATATTCATTATAATAAAAAAGATAAAAAGGAATTAAAGTTATAAAACCCAAATAAAATAAAATGAATCTCTCAAAAGAACAAGTAAGTTTATAATATAAATATTTGAATAATCAATATTGGTTCGTTAACTAACATATAAATATATTTACATTTCTTCATTTCAGTTTGAGAAATTAAAGTTTGATATTCAATCTGATAAAGGTGTAGAAGTCAAAGATCGAAGATATATGCTTAGAACTTATAAGAGTTGTTTTGTAGGCTATGAAGCTGTCGATTGGATATTCTCATACGTCTCTGGAATGAAGACACGTGACGACGCTATAAATATATGTCAGAAACTTTTAGAAACTGTAAGTCATTCATGCATCAAAACACACAAACACACACTTTTTTTTTTTATTTTTTTTGTTTTTAAAACTTTCATCAAAAAAAACCACTTAATTTTTCACAAATCAAGATTTACAAAACACACTTACCAAATAAAAAACAAACAACAACAACAACAGGGTTTAATAGAAGATGTTTATCTACTGGAAAGTAATGGTAATTCAAGTGAGAATTTACAAAAACAACAACAGTTACAGCAGCAGCTACAACAACAAAGACAGCAACAACCATTAGTTTTTAAAGATGATTATTTATTTTATAGTTTTGTAAATAAATCACAGTTATCACCGAGATTGGTGGTGTTGGACTCTGAGAGTATTGCGGCGGCAACGGCAGCATTGGCCAATCAGTCACTGCCGCCACTCTCTTCAGAGACGACCACTCCCAACACACCGAATTCGCCATTGGCAATGGCATCGTTTATACCTCCACCACCAGCAGAACTTGTAAGTGCTGTTGCCTCGTCAACCACTGCTGCAGCGGCACCATCATCATTATCATCAACAACAGCTACAACCAACATCGGTTCAAACAACGCCAACACTAACAATAGCATTAACAACAACACCAACAACAACAGTAGTAATATTAGTATTGATTTGCCACCAACATCTACCAGAGCACGCTCACGTACCGCACATAATATTGCTGACTCAAATTCACATACACCACTTATCTATGTGAATAATACAAACGATAAAAGTTCTAAACGTGATTTCTCACTATTAAAAGATGAGGTAAAGTATATTTTCTTGTGGATAGGAAAATTAATTTCCAGTTTTTTTCATTTTTGAAAATGATGAGACTAATTTATTTATATGTGAATAACTATTAGTTATTCCAACTAGGATTAGATTTAATGCATAGCGAAAAAGGTATAAAATTACAAAAGAAGAAAAAGAATTTTCTGGGATCGCCTATCAATTGTTTTTCTGGTTCACAATTGATCGATTGGTTAATGACAAGGCTTGACATTGGCAGAAGAGAAGCTACCAAAGTCGGACAGAGACTCTTGAATTTAAATATATTCTTTGAGATTGGATTGAATCCAGTACATCAAGTAACATCAATATCAACGACATCACTACCTGTTAATCAACAATCCTCTTTATTATCAACATCAACATCATCATCATCATCAACAACACAAGCATCATCTTCACCATCACAACAAGCAACAACAACAACAACAGCAATTCAAGTAAATCTAAGTTCATCTTTACCAATTGAAAAATCAAATTTATCAAATTCAGCTTCAAGTGATACAATTTGTACAAATACCAATAATAATAATAGTAATAGTAATAGTAATAATAATAATAATAATGTAAAAGTATTAGAAGATAGTATAGAGTTTTTTATGAATTCTTGACAAAACCAGAAGCAATCATTTCACATGTGGCAATGAAGAAGCAAAATGAATTACATTTGGCACATAAATCAATGACTTCCATTCCACTTACAATTATAAATACATTAAATTATTTAAAGGTAAAAATATATAGTAGTATAATAATTCAAAAACGATTGTAGGAAATATTAATAATAGTTTTTAAATCATTTTTTAGATTCTGGATTTATCATACAATTCAATGGTTGAACATATAAGTTTGGAATCAGTTGCAACTTTGTATAATTTGGAATCACTCAATCTCTCACACAATTCACTATCGAATCTACCGAGTAGTTTCAACAAGTTGGAGCGTTTGGTAAAGTTGAATATCAATAACAATGCGTTTCTCACGCTTCCTCTGGTGGTGTTCCAGTTGAATTCTCTCGAGAAATTCTATGCTGCGTCCAATGCAATCTCGAGTATTCCCGAGTCGATAGGAAATGTAAAGACACTTGTACATCTAGATCTCAAGAATAATAAGCTTGTCAAGCTGCCAAAGGAGCTGGGACTGCTGCCGCGATTGCGATCGGTCGACATCTCTGGTTACAATCGGATCGTTGAGTTGCCAGCGTTCTTTGCATCGATAGAGACGCTGCAGTCACTGTCGTTCCCCGACACCGTTAAGGTACCACCAAAGTCAGTGACATCCAAAGGATTCTCATCGATAATGGGATATCTTCGTGATGTCATCGACGGTAGTGTTGCGCTTCCACACCTCAAGCTGATTGTCCTCGGAAACGAGAAGACTGGAAAGACATCGCTCGTTCGTTCGCTCACGAAATCACACACCAAAACACTCTCAAAGAACAGCTCAGTAGGCAGCGGTGCAAGTAATCGTCGTCAGAGTGGAACCATCTTGCCAGGTGCCACCGACATTGTCACTCCACATCAAGATCCAATTGAATATACCGAGTGGAAACTGGATCTTCCACACAACTACAATATTTCCAATAACAACAACAATAACAATAATCAACAACAAAACAACAACACTCATCCATCTGTACATAATACTTCATTATCTAGCGACAATCTATTATCATCACCAAAATCATCAAGAAAACTTACACTTTCACTTTCTAGCAGTGGTGGAAGTAGTAACAACAGCAGCAGCGGTAACAGCAACAGCAACAGCAGCAACAATCAAGACAAAAAGAAATCAATTAAATTGTTGGCTATGGACTTTAAATTCAACAGTCCCGATATCTACCATAACACTCACCAGTTCTTCCTTTCGGAGCGTGCATTCTATTTGATAACGTTCGATATCAACAAGGATCCGCTTGCCAGTGGTATCGACTTTTGGGTGAATAGCATCAAGGCGAAAGCACCGACGGCACCCATCTATATTGTAGCGACACACCTCGATGCAATTCACCATTCATCGGGCGGCGATGTAATCATGAAGGCACTTCACAATGTCGAGGCATTCCTGAATGCCAGATACCTCGAGGTGACCGGTGTCATCGGAGTCAGTTGCCACACCCAACGAAATATCGATCTCCTGAAACAGGAAATCCTGACCACCCTCATCCAACAACAGACTTGGATCAACGAGAAGATTCCTCTGACCTACGCTAGTCTGGAGACATCGCTGCTCGAAGAGGCAAAGAAGCGAATGCCACCCATTGTCTCGTGGAGTGAGTATTGCAACATTGCCAAGCTTGTCAACATCACATCGCAAGAGAAATTGGTGCGTGCCACTCAGACACTTCATCGTTGGGGATCGATCATGTGGTTCGACGATGAGAAATCCAGTCTCAAGGACATTGTTATCCTCAGTCCTCAGTGGCTAAGCGATTGTTTCGCGGCACTGGTACTTGCCAAGCATTCGTACATCTCCTCGGATTCCATATTGAATCTGAAGAAACTACGTTTGATTTGGAAGGCACCGATCGTTCCTGAGGAGATACACATCACCTTGATTAAGATCCTCGAGCGACTTCAGGTTCTCTACTCACTGAAAGACCAGAATCAAGCGGAATCATCGTCACCACCTTCATCGTTGACCAGCGAGACCAGAACTGTTTCCGCACCGATCGTGTCTGTTACCAATCCAATTGAATCGGCATCGCCATCCATCATCTCTTCATCTGCCACCTCGTCATTCTTACTCTCAACCATTCCAGAAAACAACAACAGCAACAACAATAACAGCAACACTGGAATTGGACATGCATCACCGACACAACTAAGAAATTCATTGAAATTACTAAAACCTACTCTCACCCCGTTCAAGAATTCAACCAAAGAAAAAGAGAATCTGAATAACTTTATTCGTGTAACAAAGATTATCTTGCCTTGTCTGCTACCCTATCAGAAACCATCGCATCTGGCCAGTCTATTTGATACATGGTCCGGTGTAGATGAGCTACAAATAGGAAGATACTACCAATTTACCAATGCACCAAAGAGTTGTTTCGAACGTTTGATGGTTCGATTCCTCTACTTGATGGAGCCGATCGTCTACTGGCGAACCGGTATTCTCTTTAGAAAACCACATAATCTCAAGGATTCCGTCAAGACCAACATGTCATCGTGTGGAACACTGGTGGAGTTTGACACTAGAAGTCAGCAGCTACAACTCAGAGTGAGAGGACACGACTTTGATTCCGTTGCCAAGCTGTTCCAAATCGTTCTGGAGAACATCGATACTCTCATCAAAGACCAAGGATTCAGTTCGAGCCAAGTGTTTATTCCTTGTGCCTGTACTGTCACTTGCCGTGACAATCCACATTTGTATCCAATTGAATCGGTTGAGTCGTCGTTTGACAAGGGTGAAGCGTACATCCATTGTCCGGCAACTAACAAGTTGATGTGCATCGAAAAGATTGCACCGGACATCACACTCTCATCGGTTCCATCGTCGACAAAGATCTCGTTCGAGGAGATAACCTCGATGGAGCAAATAGGTGTTGGTGCATCTGCCAAAGTATTCAAGGGATACTACCACGATCAATTGGTTGCAGTGAAACAGTTGAATTTGGAGCGTTTGGACCTCGGAAGTGAACTGCCAGCTATGATCAGCTGTAGCAGCAGTGGTAGTAATATTTCATCGGGATCATCTACTCCTCAGAACTATAACAGCAGCAACAGTAACAACAACAACAACAATAACAGTGCATTCCAGCGACAGTTATCGAGTAGTTCACTCTCCTCGACTTCCTCCTCTGAGGAATCGTCGTTGTATATTCAACCATCAAAGCTGTCGGCCATCAATGAATTTAGAAGAGAGGTTTGGTTGATGAGTGACCTTTCACATCCCAACATTGTTGTGATGAAAGGATTCTGTTTCGATCCATACTCGATCGTAATGGAATACATGGATCTTGGAAGTCTGTCACATCATCTCAGAAAGAAGAAGGAATGCAACGAAACATTGCCATGGGACATCATCTTGAAGATTGCAAAGGATGTCGCTTCAGGAATGTCGTTTTTACACAACATTTCACCTCCACTTGTACATAGAGATTTGAAATCACCAAAGTAAGTTTAAGTTTATTATTATCTTTAATAATTAAAAACTAATCATGATCATTATTATTATTTATTAGTATTCTATTGTCAACTCAAATGGAATCACCATATATTGTAGCAAAAGTATCTGATTTTGGATTGTCGAGAGCGGTCGTACAGGGATTCGTGTCAAAGGTAGTGGATAATCCTACATGGTTGGCACCAGAGGTTCTAAAGGGATTCGAATACAATGAGAAGGGTGATATCTATAGTTTCGGAATGATATTGTGGGAGTTGTATCATTTGGAGTTGCCATTCGAGGAGTACAACATTAAGTTTATGAGTACTCTTGAGGACAATATTCTCAATGGATTACGTCCAACCATCAATCCACTGTGTAACAAGATGTATGCATCACTTATTACTAAATGCTGGGTATGTAAATCTAAAAACAAAAAAACAAAAACAAAATATCGATCGATCAAACAACAAATCCTATCAACACCAAAACACACACACATTTATTATAAACAAATCTAAAATCATCATTATCATTATCATCCATATAAAGACAATTTTATTAATATTTATTTTTGAATTATAATAATTATAATAATATAGAATTCAGATCCACAATATAGACCATCCTTCCAAACTATTGTTAAAACATTGGATGATATTATATCATCTTTATAATTCTTTAATTAATAAAAAAAAATACAAAAAAAAAAAACAAATATTATTTATTAAGTATATTATATATTTTTTGTGTATATGTTAATTAATCAAATGTTACTGTTGTGTGAGTAGATAACACTATTTTTATCTTATTAAACAAAATACTACTATCGCCAAACACTAAATATTTTAAATTTTTTATTTTTACACTATGTTTAGTAATCAAATTGTTGTTGTCCCATTTGGTAGGGTACAATCAATGTATTGACGATTTCAATTGCCAATCAACCACTAAATCTAAAGTCTGTGTGTGTTTGTGTTGTGTGTGAATCTTGGGGAGTAAAGGGTTTTAGTAGATCGAAATATCCCATGTTATTTATTGTCAATATAAACCTGCACAACAAATTATAGTAATTCTACTCTTATAACTGTTGAGAATTTGAGAGAATCTAATTTTGGTTGATGGGCTGATTATTACAATTAAATTGCTAGATATTAAGAAATTAGCATTTTCTAAAGTCAACTGTTTCTATTTTAACTCAAATCGTCTATTTACAAACAATGTTTAACATTCTGCCAGACTGACTGTCAGTATTGCAGTGCACTATGAGGTGAAATAATACACACTACTTCTTGTATTAATAATTTTATAAACATTGGTTTAAAAAAATATTATATGTAAATTTTTTATGGAAATGTTCTTGTTTTGTTATCTATCAATCATAAATTAAACCATACACCATTGCTAATCCTTTTGTCCTACTTGGTTCCCCAAAGAGGAGATACAAAAATAGAAAGAAAAAAAAACAAAACAAAACAGAAATAGTTCATTTATAATTACTCATATTGACAGTTTTATGTTGACTAAATAGTTATTGTTTTTGGATTTCAATGTTGAGCAAACATAGTATGTATATTAATTTAAAGTATTCATAATACTAATTATAATAATTAAATATATCCTTTTTTATTCTAAATATAACAATACACAATCAATTTAAATTCTAAAGTATTGAATTCATTTTTCTATTTTTAAATATTTATTTGTTAAAAATGGATTGTGAAATGGATGCAATTAAAATTAAAGAAGTAGATACAATTGACTATGTTGTATCTCCTTTTCAAATGGTATTTAAAGATGTAGGCTACACAATTAATAAAACAAAAAAGAAAAAGGTTATATTGGAACATATATCTGGTTGTATAGAACCTGGAGAGTTTATTGGTGTAATTGGTCCTTCAGGTAAATAGATAAGATAAAATTTTTAAATTGTTTCGATATTTATTTTTTATTTTTCATTTAATAGGATCAGGAAAAACAACTTTATTAGATATTTTAACAAGCAGAAAAACACAAGGAAACATTACAGGAGAAATATTTATAAATGGAAAACCAATCACTAAGGAATTTAGAAAGAAATGTGGATATGTTACTCAGGAAGATATATTTTTGCCAACAATCACAGTAAAAGAAGCTCTGGAATTCTATGCCAACTTAAAATTAAGTGAATCAGTAAGTGAACAAGATAAAAATAATATGATAAAAAATGTGTTGAATACCATCGGATTGGCAGATAAAATAGATTGTAAGATTGGTGGTATACTTCCAGGTGGAAATGTTCTTCGAGGTTTATCTGGTGGAGAAAAAAAGCGATTAAATATCGGTTGTAGTTTGTGTACTGCACCTTCATTCTTAGTTTTAGATGAACCAACCAGTGGACTCGATGCTACAAGTGCTTTAGCAGTGGTTGAAACACTTCAAAAGTTATCAATAAAAGGAGTAACTATTATATGTTCCATCCATCAACCAAGAGTGGAAATTATTTCTCAGTTTTCAAAATCATGTCTAATCGTAAAAGGAAGACAATTATATTTTGGTCAAGATATGATTGGATTTTTTGAAACCAAAGGATTTTTCTGCTCTCTCGGAGCAAACTCTAATGATTTTATTAGTATTTATATTATAATTTATAATTTTTTGATAGATTTATTAATATTTATTTTTTCTAGTGGATACAATGGTGCATATTGAAAAACAAAATAAAACAATGTTTCAAGAGTTAACTCAAAGTTGGTATGAATACAGTATTACAGATATCAATGAGAAAATTGATAATTTTTCAAAGATGGACGAAATTTATATAGCTAGTGAAATAACTGGAAAGAGTTTTATAGATAATTCAGTATGTTCATATCTATTTAAAATAATTGGTATTTTTTCATTAATTTTTTTTTTTTAGGGAGATACATCAATGTTGAATCAAATTAAAGTCATTTTTAAAAGAACCGCATTCCATGCAATTAGAAATCCAGGAAATTTAGTTTTAAGATCAATCGTGGCAGTTATTGTTGGATTGTTGTTTGGTGCCTGTTTTGCAAGATTAGGTTGGAGTCAAAAGGAAATATTTCAAAGAGTTGCAATTATGTACTCTATTATTACCTCATTGCAAATTACTCCTTTTAAATGTATTTCTTTGTGTAAGTTAAATATAATACATTAAATATTTTTTAAATATAAAAACATTAATATTGTTTTAAAAAAGTTTTAGAATCAAGGTATCTTTATAACAAAGAAAGAGCAGCAAAGGTTCACTCAACTTTTTCATATTTTTTCAGTTTTATATTGGTTGAGATTATAATGTCACTAATAGTCTCAATCATTTTTGTTACTGTTATCTATTGGTTGTGTAATCTGAAGAATAGTGCAGAAGCATTTTTCTTTGCTGTTTTGATAAATTGTTTGGTTCATGTTTGGTCTATGCTTTTGATAGTCATTATTGCCAATATATCAGGAACATCAGATAATACTTTTTCAATAGGTTCAGCATTTACAATAATACTACAATTGTTTCTTGGTTATTTGGTACCTGTTAAAAGTCTTCCAAACTCATTCGAATGGGTCCATTATATTAATCCTTTATTCTACACTTTTAATGCTTGGATTGTTTCTGAATTTGAAGGAAAGGAGCTGTCTTGTGATCCTAATGAGATATGTTATTTTAAAAGTGGTCAGGATGTAATCAATTTTTATAATGCAACAGAATTTTCTAAAAATCAATGTGTTTTCATTCTTTTCGCTTTCGTCTTGGTTTTCTATGGATTGGCATATCTGTGCCTTAGATATTTTTCCAAAGAAAGAAGATAAATATTTTATTTTAATATTAAAAAAAAGTTTGAATTTATTTATAAATGATAATAAAATATTAAAAATAAACTATTAATCGTTAATAAAACATATTGAAATTGAGTAGAATTGAAAAATTTAAGCTTGTGGAGCTGGAAGGATGGGTCTGAAGATGAGTGCCTCAAGAATGAAGCTGTAATCTCCGGTATTGGCAAGCTTGATGGTATTTTTGGCAGGAGTATTGAAGTTGACTGAACCAATTTGAATTGTTTTATGACGGAAAGTCTCTTCAACTGAATACTTTTCAGAGGTAGCTGCTTGATTCTTGGTGACTGTAATCTCTGTTTTTTCATTGGATCCACTTACAACCTTGAAGAATTGAAGAAGTTTAAGAGAATTATTATTAGCCTTTTCCTTGGCTCTAGTCAAGTATACATCGAAATTCGGAGTAAGATCGGGACCATAGGTACCAGAGGTGACTCTGGCAAATACATCGTATTTAGTAATGTCATTTTGGATAGGGTCAAGATTAAATTCAAGGAAACCTCCTTTGTTAATGGTTACAGAGTTCCATCCAATAAATACATCATCAAAGTTAGTATATGTATGAGCTGTTGTTGTTTGTTGAAAATAACAAAGTATTAATAAAATATTTCAACATTAACTAGTAAATTGTCAATACAAACACTCTTTAGAATATTTAACTGGACCAATAACAGTTGCAGTTGATGAATAGAGTACATTAATACTATTTGCAAGTCTATCTACGATTCCGGAAAAGAGTGTATAAAAACCTATTTAATAAAAGTTAATAAAAGATAAACTATAATAACTTTGCTTCAATATTCTTTCTACCTACCACCAAGAAGACTAAGTCTAACAAGACCAACTTGGACCAATCTCTTTTCTTTCAATTCATCTTCTGTATAGCTCATGTTTATTTTCTTGGTGAAGAAAATTTCAGTACCGGTCATCTTGAGATCTCCAATTTGGAAAGATCCCTTACCAGAATCCATTCCAACTGTTACTGATGAATAAACAGTTCCTGCGACCAATGCCAAATCTTTTTGAGACTTTTCCTCTCCAGAAGCTAGAGTGAATTTCGATGTTGATTTTTGATAATCGTTCACACATTTAAAGTTAACGACCTCACCATCAGCATTTAATCCACCAACTATCTTAACTAATTTTCCAGCATAAGACAAGTTTCTTGTGTCACCTCTTATCTGCTTTAGAATATCAATAACTGGATTATAGGGGTTATTCGTATTTGGATTATACTCAACAGTATAGTAGACAACAGGATTATCAATCCAAACACCTAAAATTTTAATAATATTAGTCTATTAATAATGTTGTTATTAAAACAAACATGAGATAATTGAAATAGCTTACCCTTTGGAAAAAGATCTGGATCGGTAAAAATTAAAGAGTAAATACCATCAACACTTTCCAGTATTTTATTTCTTGTCTGGAAATATCCAACAATATCTGCGGTTTTATCAAATGCATTTAATTTATTTTGGTATTCAGCATGCAGATGTCTAGTTTCCAATATTTATGAAAAGAATTTATTAAATAAATGTTAGCCAATTTATACTTTTTTTGTTTTTATTTTAAATACTATACTGTTCATCTATTAACTTACTTGATATAAAGGAATTGTGTGATATCAACATGAAGACCTAAAGTATCTTTCACGAATTCTGGAGTCAATCCAAGTCTAGTTCTCAAACCAATCAATGACATGACTCTGCTCATGAAGATCAGAACTGCTTCTTTGAACATTGATAAAGTGTTTGTTCTCATTTCCGCTGATTGATTTATTATTTGATTGAACAAACTACTGATCTGTGCATAAAGAATATTGTATTGGGAGGTAAAGTTTGCAATATTCTGAGTACTACCCTTATTTGCTGCTAAATTGGCAGTTTTAACTTCCAATTGACCCAAAGCTGTTTTGACATCGTCAACTTTACCTAAAATGTATGAGTAGATAGAGATTCAAAATAAATACAATGAATAAGTAAAAATTATAATAGGTATTTACCTGAAGTCAAACCATTAAAGAATTCAACCAAAGCTTTCTTAATCTTATCCTCAACTGCTTCTTGAGGTTTTATTTTTTTATCATCTTTGATAAATTCAAAAGTTATACCAAATATTAAATCGAAAAAAGCAGATACTGCTGGTCCAATAACTGGAACAAACTACAAGCAATATTTAAGTTAATTTAATCTATACTACACGCAGCAGTTAAAAACTAAATAAAAAATACATACACATGCAGTGGCCGTTACAAAGTTTGCGATAGATCTAGAATTATCTTCCCATGTTCTAGCTTCACCTCTGATAGCCTTTTCCAAGTCTTCTTTTGAGTGCTCTAAGATCTTGGCAACGAAATGAACACCTCCTTTGGTTCCATACTTTTTAACCAAGTTCTCTGGTTGAAGGTGGAAATCTCTTGCAATGTATTTGTAGTCAACTATTAAAAAAAATATATTTAAAGAAATTTTAGTTTTGAGATAAAGTGGTTAGGTTTTAATAATTGTGGATATTTACTTCCATTGACGTCAAGTGGATATAAATTTGACATTTTTTATATTTGTTTGATAGAGCAGTTATAATTAAAACAAACAGTCACTAGTTTGGGCTTAAATAGATTTTTTTTTTTGATTGGAATTTGAAAAATTAAAAATTTTGAAATTTAATAAATCTATCCAAATTCTTTTGCCATACCATGCAGATATAATCTCTACCTCTTCTTTTGAGCTCAGATTGGTGACGCCCTCTCGATTGGGTTGATATTTCTATTGTCAAATTGTTTACTTTTGATAAAGACTAATGTGTTATTGTAAAGGTAATTAAATGGTTTTTTTTTTTCACAATCAAAAGAAAAATATTTTCTTGTTGGTTCACCATTTTGCAGAAATTCACCCTTTTTTTTTTTCATTACGCCTAAAAAATCCCAATTTTTTTTTTTTTTTTTTTTTCAAAAAAAATTGTGACATGTTGGTTGATCAAGTTAGTAAGAATCAAAGGAATGGGATATCTTTTTATTTCGTCGAACTTGTTAATCGAATCAATATCCAAACAGCCGATATCTATATTTATCAAAATCTAATAAGAACTTTCAATAAGCGTCTTTTATTCGTGGTGTTACAACTAAGCAAATCTGTTTTCCCTGAGTCGTTGCGAAATATGACTAGTCATATAACATTTAGTGTGATTAATCGTGTCTCCTTATTAACTTCTAACTTCTTACAGTAAATTTGGAAAGTGTTAAAAATTACAAATTTGCTCTTTATCCCAATTCTTTGACTCACCGCCCAGATATAATCTCGACGCCTTCATTTTGAGTGCAGATTGGTGACCCCTCTATCGGATTGATATTCGTATTGATCAAAATTGTTTACTTTATTAGACCTATTTATTGTGTGTTAATTTTGTACAAAACCAAACGTTTTTTTTTTTTTTTTTGAAGTAAAAAACATTTAAAAAGTAATTTGTCATTGGTTGATCATTTTTGCAAATGGGGGTGATCTCTTTTGGAATAAGTTTCGTCGAACTTGATATTCGAATCGATATCCCAAACCACTCTACCGATCTGTCTATCTATCAAAATTCAATAAAATGCATAAAAAACATCTTTAATTATGTCTTTTATTAGTTTTGCTGTGGGCGTTCACATCTTTCGAACAGGTTATTTTTACTAATAACAATAGTTATTTGCAACAAAATTGCAAAAGTGAAATATCTGTTGGTAAATGATTATTATAAAATGACTTGACCAGAAAAAAAGGTGGGTTACAATCTATTTTTTCAAATCTGTTTTCCGCTAGTCATCTTCACTCTTTTTAACAATAATCTCTTTTCTTTTTTGAAAATATAAATTTAAATTTTAATAGCTTTTGCACTAATACTTAGTGAGCGATAGCAGGTCAACCAACTACGAATATACCCAATATATTACACTATTAATGACTAAGTCATTAATAATGTGCTTTATCATCCTCTAACTTAAATTTGTTCTTTTTATTTTTATTTCTTTTTCTGTCATTTTTGTATACTAAAACACAGCAGTTATTCACAACTTTTATTTTAGATTAGTGTTATTTTTATAAAATTAACTTTTATACTTATGAAACTACAAAAGATACTAAATGACAATGTAATTAGTTTGTTATTTTGGTAAATGTAGAAAGTATCATTGTCTGTTTAGAGTTCTACAATTGATTGATTAAACGCTGTAATGAGGTAATCATGTAAACAGCGACCACAACAACAGCAGCAAAAACAGTTCCAATCAATAGATACTAGAGGAAGATATACAATTTTGATGCTAATCTCAAGAACAAAGAAAACTTTGATATATCAGTTGAACAGAAGATCTTCTCATTAAAAAGTTTACAATAAATATAATATGTTTATTTTACTAATCTAATAACATTGAATCAACTTCATCAGTGTCACTTGCGAAAACACCACTTTGTTTGGCATCTTTATACTCTTGAACTCTTTTAGCAATTAAAGAATTTACAGCATTTTTAAGTTCATCAACAGTTATATCTTTGATTACCTTTAATATATATATATATATTAAAAAAAATAAAATATAATATAAATATTTGTTAGTTAATTACTATCCTATTATATTTTAAATGGTCACTATCTAAACTTACTTGTACAGTATAAGACTTTTTAATTTCTTTTCTTACTAGATCTGTTGCTTTCTTAATATCTCTTAATTCAACCCATTCTGCTTTGGCAGCTTCCTTTGCTTTTCTCTGAGTGGTATCATCAATTACAATACCAAGTTTCTTTGCCATATCGATTTTTTCTTTCGCTTTCATATTTACCCATTCAATTGGTTTTGTCTATAGACAATTCATATGGTATTAGTAAAATAGATTGTTTATTAATGTTGTTATTGTTTTTTTTTAAAACTTATTTATACATACAGGTAATTGTTCAGCTGGTAATACATTTTCTAAAAAGTTCTTTTTTTCTTCTAACAACTCTTTTTCTTTTTGTTTGGCAGCCTTCTTGACATCGGACAATTGTTGAGCGACTTTCTTTTTTTCATCTGTGATCTCAGGGTGCCCTTTAATATATTGGCACACATCGAAACCAGAACATTGTTTTTCACAAATATCTTTATGACCAGCTTGTGCAATATCATGACAATCTTTACCTATAAAATATTATCATGAATAATAATAATAATAAAAAATTATTTAAAAATATAAATAAAGGTATTTATAATAATTGAAATATAAATGAAAAATACTTACATCTTTTACCCATAGATGTTTTGGTTAAGCTAGACTTGAAATCAGAATCTTGTTTGGAACTCAATGTTGGACTTGGTGCACTGCTTGTTGTTAAGGAATTCGATGCTTTAGCAGCAGAGCTAGGCGATGTAGTAGTAGATGCAGGTGGTGTTGTTGTTGTTGCTGTTGTTGTTTTTGATTTCGATTTTTTGGTTGCCTCTGGTGCTTTGGTTTTTTCAACTCTAAGGACCTCAGTCTCTTTGGTGGCGGCAGCAGTTTTCGCAGCAGCTTTGGCGGCAGCTTTTGCTTTAGGTTTGGCGGTTGGAACAACCGGAGTACTAGCAGAGGATCCTGCAGGTGATGATGGACTACTAGTAGTAGTTCCAGAATATTTATCCATATCTTTTTTAAGTTGATAAATAGCCATTCTTATTTTCTGAACAGTGTCCTTACTGGTATATAACTTTCCGACCATCTCATCACTGATACAACTGATCGCAATATAAGATGAAAATCCACCTTCAATGAGAACATCCATCTCACTTGGGTAAATATCGAAATCCATCATCCATGTTTTAAATTTATCCATTATTATTTTATAGAAAAATATATTTGTAAACCAATATTTCTACTATTATAATTATTATTATTTTTTTTGAAATAAACAAAAGTTGATGGAGGAATGATGATGAGGAAACTTTGAAAGAAAAAAAAAATAATGTTAAACTTTCAATAACAAATTTCTTTTGATTTTTATCAAAAAACTATTTTTTTTTGCCAATCATCAAGTTGCAGCACCCTTTTGATTTTTTTTTTTAAACATTTTTGATTGAACCAATTTTTTGAATCTTCCGATGATCAATAGATCTAAGTGAAAGAACATCACAATTATTAGGAAAAATTTTCAACTTGAGGGACAAATGGACCTTGTTTCTAAATAATAATATTTTTTTATATTTATTTATTTTTTTTATAATTTATTTATATAACATTTATTATTTATCTCTTGTTATAAGTAAGTTAGTTGTTCTATTGTATATACATATATATTAAGAATGATTAAGATTTAGCCATATTTGATATAAAAGAGCCAAAAAAAAAAGTATTTTATTATCTCTAACAATTTATAACACTACAGTCAAATATTCAAAAAGTTAACTTTTAGTTTTAGTTTTATTAAAATCAATATTATTATTTACTTAGATTAACTAGATTTCTTTAGTTTATAGGAATAAATAATTGATAAACCTATTTTTATTGGTTTCAAAGAGTTGAGAATAAAAATAAGATAAAAAAATAATCAATCAATTATTACCAAAAATAAAATTAAAATTAAAAAATCAAAAATTAAAGTTTTTTTTAAATAGTGTTACAATACGTGATCAATTATTTTTGCACGCAAATTTATTTATATCTTTTATTATATTTATTAATATTATTTTATTATTTGTACTATTACATTACAACTTTTAATAATCATTATTTTATTTTTTTAAGTTGTGTATATATATATATATATATGTTTTTAGGTTTATTTAATTGTTAGAATTAGTATTTTTTTTTTAGAATTTAGTGATCGATTATAATAATAAAGAAGAGATTCGATTCTAGTTTTTACTTGTTTGTTTATAACTATAAATAATAAATATATATTTATATTTAATAATACACAATAAATGGTAGAAGAAAAAAAAGAATATCTCTTAAAAGATATTGAACCTTATTTAGAATGTCTGTTTACGTGTTTTAAAAATAAATGTAAGCATAAATCAATAATATCGATAAAACACAAAACAAAACAATCAACTTACTTTTGGTTTATTTATTTTTATTTAGTTGCAAACGATAAAAATACATTCGAGTGGGATGATAGAAAGAATGATGTTATGTACCAACAGACGTTGAGTGCAATCGAGCATCTAATAGATAACAATCAACTCTCAAAGTTCAGAGACACCCTCAGAATCATGGAGAATCCACTGTCGTTCTCTTGTATTCTACTGGACCTGATAGCAATGACAGAGCCACTGGTTCCATACGAACAACGTTTGAAATGGATATTCTACTATCATGCCGAGAATAATCTTGAATTATTAAAGGATAGTAAGTTTGACAAGACAAACCAAACTACACATATTGACAAGTTTCATTCTAATACTCTAACCTTTCGTTTTTTAGTGATACCAATGTTACCAGATGTAAATAGAATTTTATTTGTAAAGTTATTTGATTTAATGTATCATATCGGTGTTGAGCAATCGAAAAGCAATCATTTCACACCCAAATCAATTGGTTTGGTATTTGGTGGGCTAGTAGTACGTCCACCTCTTAGTTATAGTTTACAACAAGGACAACAACAGCAACAACAACAACAGCAGCATAATCAAGATAGACAAAGTGTAGATATTAGTTTAATAGAAGATTCATGTATATCATCAAATATATTTGATAGTTCATTTGAATCTGATTATGGTGATGATTTAAATAGTAATTTAACAGATAACAACAACAATAATAACAATTACAATAACAGTAATAATAATATTATAAATATATCAGCTGATGCAGTTGCAGGTACTTCAATAACGATATTTTTAATAGAAAACTACAGTCAGATATTTCCAGAGATTATGAGTGAGATCAACGAGAAGGAAAAGAGGATAAAGGACAAGGCAGAGGAGACAAAGGAACTGCTGGAGAAGCGGTACAAAGAGTTGCGTGGAAAAGTACACGAGACCATTAGGAGAATCAAACCGAAACCCGAGGAATCGGCAAGAGATATCGTATCAAAGGTACTCGACGACAAGGAGTACAATGAATTCGTACAGAAACTACAACGCTACAAAGTACATCCAAACGGTCGCATCAGTATAAAGAAAGAATTACAAAAACGAACTTCTTTAAATCCATTCCTCTTTGACAAAGATTAACAATCAAATAAAACCAATTACAAACTTATTACTTTATCATACCTAACATACAGACAATCAACTATGATGTTATTGTTTTTTTTTTTCAAATACTTTGCAATTATTTGATAATGATACATAATCTTTAACAATAAGTCTGATGATACTAAAACAACTGTTGATAGGTATTTCAACTATTCAATTACGACAATAGAAAGGAAGGAATATTGTGAAATGAATATGTTTAGACTACTAAATTTCTTCTATTTTTTGTTTTTTTGTCTTTATATAAATTATTATTATTATTATTTTTCATAATATGCCATGATTGTATATGAAGCCATTACAACAGCCATACCAGAGATTGCAATAATACCACCATATGTAGTTCTCTCTCTTCTAATAACTTCGAAATAGTCAGCACCAGACTCCATCCACCAGAAATATAAACCAAACGGTACCAAGAACATTAGAATAGTGAAAATAATAAATTTAAGAAATACTTTCATATTTTCTTTACGACTATATTAATCACAATTGGCGATAATTTAGTTAGATCTTAATCTTATTATTATCATCGTAATAACAGTTATCAATAGCTATTAGCTTCTCTAATATTTACATTTGATCTAATTGTTTTTGAGTATATTTCTTTGCACCATATTTTATCTCTTTACCCTCTGTCGATGATGTTGTTGTAACATCGTTACTTGATGAAGAGGTAGTTGCAACATCGTCATCCTCTACTTTTTGTTTATTGTTAACAATCTTTTTCTTTTTCTCTACAACTTCGACATTCTCTTGTTGTTGAGCTACCAATTTAGCATTGTCTTTATCTTTCTTTTTATTTGTTGCAGAAGTTGTTTGTTGTTGTTGTTTTTGTTCAGTCTTTTTAACTGTTGTTGTTTTTCTTTTCTTTACATCTGACATTTTTAATATTTATTTGAATTATAATGATATCTCTAGATAGACTTCTTTTACTATATATAACTTCAATTTAATTAATTAAAAAATGATTTTTAATAGTTTGGGGTGAGTTCATTTTCACTTTTTTTTTTGTTTTTTTTTTGATATTGATAATACACTGCGCAGTTGTTTCATCCTGGTACTTTTAAAGATATAATATAATATAATAATCATGAAGTGAAACATACATTATTATTAATGTATTAATGTTTATTTAAATACTTCTTTGTTTTAAGATAGAATTTTGTTTATTCTATCTACTGTTTCATAACTAATACTGCTCTGAATCTAACCTTTCCGGATTCCATTTTCTGTAGAGCTTCAACTGCTTTCTCTAGAGGGAATGTTTCAGTCATTGCTTCTACACCGTTGTTTAGAGAGAATTTCATGGTGTCTTGACTGTCTCTGCTGTCACCGGATGGCCAACCGACAATCGATACCTTTTTAGAGAGTAGTGCAGTGCCATCGACAGAGAACGGCTCTGGCAGTGCCGCCAACAACAAGAGTTTGCCACCGACGTGAATAGTAGGGATGAGTGACTCCACTGCCTTCTTACTGGGTCCGGTGATTACGACCATCATCGGTGCCATCTTGGTGAGACGCTTGATGGCATCGGGTTGCGATCCATCTATGTAGTGCTTGGCACCGAGTTGGATAGCCAACGCCTCCTTATCGGCACCCGAAGAGAACGCCACCACTTCGTAACCGAGTCGCTTGGCGAATTGAATAGCCAGATGACCGAGTCCACCGATTCCCTGAATGCAAACGAGCGAGCCAGCTTTGACATGCTGGTTTCTTATTCCGTTGAAAACGGTTATACCGGCACAGAGCAACGGACCGGCTTTCTCAAATGACATTCCCTCTGGAATTCTTGCGAGTGCATCGTGTGGAGCGCAACAATACTCAGCATATCCACCATCGTAGCTACTTCCACATGCTTTTCCCTTGGCACAACATACCCAGTCGTCATCATCACATGCACTACACTGGTTATTTATTTATTAATTAAATAAGTAGTGATAAGTTAATTATTATAGTTCCGATCAATAATTATCATTTTCAGTTTAAATTATTATTGTAATTATTATTATTATTTAAAAAACTTAACTTCATGACAACAACCACCAAACCATCCAACACCAACTTTATCACCGACTTTGAAATTATCTACACCTTTTCCAATTTTGTCAATAATACCTGCAACTTCATGACCTGGAATACGTGGATAGCTTGTTGAATATCCATTCTGAATGAGTAAGTCGGAATGACAAACACCACATGCCATCACTTTTATTCTAACTTCACCATCTTTTGGTTCTGGAATTGGAACTGTTGTAATTTTAATTGCACCTCCTATAATTATAATTGATTAATATATTATCTAAATTATATATATATATATTTTTTTTTCTATTACCCTTTTCAGGAAAAACAGCACATTTCATAGACATTTTTGAAATTTAAAAGAATAACAAAATAGATATTTAGATTAAATAAGATAAATAAATAATAGATAGATATTTGTTAAATATGAAATTATATTTTGTAAAATTACATTTCGATAAGATATTAAAATATACCACATCATCATTGAAAATTTATCTAAAAATAGAAATAATATTGGGTGAACTTCACCGTTCAAATATAATTAAAATCGGAAGTACACAAACTTAATTGATTAATTTTTGAGAAAGAAAATTTACATATTGTATGTATTCTTTTTTTTTTTTTTGAAATTGTTCAATTATATAAATATATTTTATATTAAACAACTTTTAATTTATTTAAATTTATCTTTATAATAATTTAAATTTAGAATTAAACTTTTAAACAAACTTGAACTATTATAAAATAAAATTATTAATTTTTTTTTTCAAAAATTAATTTAAAGATTTGTTTTGATCCTCTTCCATACCATTACATTTATTTGATTTAAAAAAAAAAATACAAAAATATTAATAATTTTGTTGTTGCAAAAACACACACATATATATATTTGTGATTCAGATGATATAAATGCACATTTGTTTTTTTTGTAAAAGTATAACAGATTAGTATAATATCAATAAAGATTTATAAACAATCTATATAGAATAAACAAATAATAACAATAGATATATAGATAGATAAGATAGATATAGATAAGATTAAACAGAGATCTCTTTATTTTTGTGTTTTATTTTTGTGTTTTATTTTTCAAATAATCAATGGACAATGTAGCAGTGGCAACAACAGCAACAGCAACAGCAGCAACAACAACAACACATGGGTCTACACAACCTGTAGAACAAAATAATAGTATTAATGTTAGTAGTGAAAAAGTAGTAGTTACTCGTAGGCCATGGGGCAGACTTGTTTCGTGTCATCCCGATTCGAAATCACTCGATCTGATCGACGATGAAATACTCTTTGGTAGGAATCACAAGAAGTGCAACATAGTATTGATAGATCCAACCGTTAGTGGTATTCATTGCAAAGTTTCAAAATTAAATCCACATCAACAGCAACAACAACATAATAATAATAATCATCATCATAATAATCAAAAAATATTAAAGAATAGTAGTGAAAATATATGTAATAACGATGGTCCACAAACTATTTGGATTACGGATTTCAGTACGAACGGTACCTTTGTAAAAGGCAATCTGCTTGGCAAAGACAAGACCACCGTTCTACAGAATGGCGATATGCTATCGTTCACCTCATCGAAAATCAACAGTTCACTCTCATTCATATTTCAAGATCTGTTACTATCGAATCAAGATGCAGACGACGAAGAAATCAAAAAATACTATATATTACATGGTATTTTAGGAACGTATGTTATTATTATTATTATTATATAATATATTTAGTTATTTTTTTAGTTAATCTAATCTTATTATTATTGTTATTGTTATTGTTGTAATTATAATAGGGGAAACTTTAGTGTTGTTAAAAAATGTACAAAGAAAGACACTGGTGAATGTTATGCGGTAAAGATTATCGATAAGAAGAAATACTGGCATCTATCGAGTACAAGGAATCAAACAGAGAGTGAAATCAACATTCTCAAACAGATTAAACATCCAAATATTATATCGATCATGGAGATATTCAACACCGAACGATATCTCTATATTGTATTGGAATTAGCGACTGGTGGTGAACTTTTCGATAAAATAAGACAAAAAGTGTGTAACTAACTTTGCAAAGTTACATAGTAGTAAATAATCATCATTATTAACAAACCTTTGCATATGATATCTTATCTAGGGAAAATTTAGTGAACCAGAAGCAAAAGATGTTTTTAAACAGATATTGAATGCAGTCTCCTATTTACATCAATTGAATATTTCACATCGTGATTTGAAACCAGAGAACATTTTGTTTGGCAATCACAGTAGCGATTCACCTATAAAGATAACTGACTTTGGTTTAGCAAAGATCATTGGTGAGAAAGAGATCGCTACAACTCTTTGTGGTACTCCATTATATGTTGGTAAGTGTTTACTAGTGTAAATCAATTGAATGTTATTAGTAACCTTTTTGAATATATTATAACTAACTAACTAACTAACAAATTTGTTTGGTTTAGCACCTGAAATTATAAAGAGTTGTTTGAATACCGATGATAAGAAAGAGAATATCGGTTACGGAAAGGAGGTGGATGCTTGGTCGTTGGGTTGCATTTTGTATATACTGTTGTCGGGCAGACCACCGTTCGATGTTGACAATGCCGGTGTTGGATTCAAGCAGATCAACGAGGGAAACTACTCGTTTGAGTTTGTGGTGTGGCGCACCGTCTCTGAGCAAGCGAAAGATCTCATCACCAAGCTTCTCAACGTCGATCCACACCGCCGTATCACACCGAAAGATGCATTGAATCACGCGTGGTTCTCTGACGATCTCTATAGGAGTGGAACAACTTTAAATCAATCACCAATCAAACAGCAGCAACAACAACCAATTATACATCTTGCCAATATTAAATCACAAAACTCTGCAATCTCTTTGAATTTATCATTCCCAAAGAGTAGTACACCGTCAACAACAGCATCGACTACATCAACAACATCAACAACATCAACGACATCATCAACAACATCAACTACATCACCAACATTTTCAACACCATCTAAATCGAGTAGATCATCGTCATCATCTTCTTCATCATCATCATCATCATCAACATCTTCAACAACAAAAGGTAAACTTCAATTTCAAACACCTACTAAACCATCCAGTAGTAGGCAAATGAAACCGATGTCACCGGTACGAACAAGTTCAACAGCAGCAACACCGAAACGACAGAAATCACCATTGAAACCAAGCGAACCAATCACCATTAGCGACAATGAAAATGAAGAAGACAAAGTAGAAGATGAATCATCAGAGGCTCACGAAGAATCAAAGAAAAGAAAAGAATCACAAACATCACCATCACCATCATCATCACCATCGACAACTTCATCAACATCAACATCAACATCATCCGCCAGATCTTCATCTTCAAAGACCAATTCAAAAAGCACTTTGAAAAAACTTAAAAGTTAACTCTTAAACTTTTTTTTTTGACCATCACCAACAACAACAACAACAATTATTAATTAATTTAAATAATTGAATTTATATAAACAATTTTAATAAATAATCAAACGAAACGAAACTAAACGATACTAAACAAATGATAATATATTTAATTAAAGATAAATTAATAAATAAATGTTTTACATTATTTGAAGAGCGCCCAAAATTTCAAATTCAATACTTCACAAGTAAGTAAATCAAATATTTTTTTTTTTTTATTTATCATTATCTCTTATTTTAATTAATAACTAACGAATTGATTTCCATGGATTTATAGGTGTTCTCGCCACTACTCGAGCAAAACGAATATGAGTATAGCCAAGATAAATTATGTTATGATAAGGCCAAGTGTGTAAAGTATATTCCAGAGGCGCACTGGGATCCACAAAACAGAAAGGTGCCACTTTCCGAAAGTACTCTCCGTTACAACAGGAAAGCTTACCTGTTTAACGGAGGTTACTATTATATTAACAGAGACGTGAACGGAGCCAACAATATCTTGTCGGCTGGTTTACGTCTTATCAATCCATCTTTCGAAAAAGATGCGAGACATCAACTTCTTAAGAAGTTTCCACGGCTCCAGGAGGACGACGCTGTAGATTTGATCGATCAACGATAAAAAGTTGGTAAGTTGTCAGAGAAAAAAAATTATTTTTAAAAAAAAGCACACTTTACTAATTTTTTTCTGTTTGAAAAAAGAATTTGACATTTGAAGAGCGCCCAAAATTTTTTTTAAAAAATTTCAAGCAAAAAAAAACAATAAAAAAAATTCTATTTTAAAATAAACAATATTGTTAAGAAAAATCTTTATTTATATATAAATATTTAACCATCAAAATTAAAGAAAAGATTAATCAGTCACTGTAGTAGTTTGTTTAAGATCAAATTATAAATATAATATATTTTTTATACATATAAATAATAAAAAAATTTCAAAAAAAAAAATTTTGTTTTTCAAAAACTATTTATACAAGTGCTTTCATTTTTGTATTCTTTTTTTTTTTTTGTTTTATTATTATTATTAATTTTAATAGATAAGAATAGAAAGAACGATTTATATTAAATATTGTTTTTGTTATTTATTTATTTATTTTAATATAATATTAATAGAATATAGAATATATATATATATATAGATAGAAAGAGAGATAGATAGATAGATCCAATCTTGAAGTTATGGCATCATTAGATGATGAGTTAGATTCACTATTGAGCAGTATCTCTCATGATGAGACACCGATTGACTCTGAAAGATTGAGTTCTATCTCAAACTTTTTAACAACTGGTGCTCAGAATCAATCTCATACACAACAGCAGCAGCAGCAACAACCACAACCACAATCACAACAACAGCAACAGCATGGTCATCCACAACAACAGCAACAGCAACATGGTCATACACAACAACCAACTCAACAGCAATATGTTCAACAGCAAACACAACCAATTCAGAATATACAAAATAAACCACCACCACAAACTCAACAGCAGCAACAACAACATGGACATCCACAACAACAACAACAACAACAACATGGTCATCCAATTCCACAACAACAACAAGTTAGACAAACCTCTCCTTTACAGCAACAACAACAGAGAATGATGACACAACAAGGAGGTGTTGCACATCCTCAGCAAATGATGGGTGCTAAACCAATGGTACAACAACAAACGACATCACCACAATCGACTGCACCTACAACCTCTATGTATAGCATGGGAGCCAAACCAGCACCACAAATGACAATGCAACAACATATGAAACCACAAGCTACACAACCAATGAACAAACCACCTGGTCAACAACAACCGATGATGTCGACAAACCCACAACAACAGACAGCCACTGGACGTCCAGTCACCATTAACATCAATCAAGTCAACACTTCGACACCGACAGCAATCACATCGTCTACAACCATCGGACCAAATACAGGATATCAACAATCACAACAAGCATCACAGCAACAGCAACAGCAACAGAGACCTATGGTACAGCAACCCGGTGGTATGCCACAATATAAAACAGTGGCTGGACAGCAGCAACCACAACAGATGTCGATGCAAGGAGGACAGATGAAACCGATGCCAATGATGGGTGCTAAACCAATGGGACAGCAACAACAACAACAACCACCATCTCAACAGCAGAATTCGATGCAAGTACAACGACCAATGGTAACATCTCCAATGGGTCAAATTCATCATCAAAATATGGCACAGCAACAACAACCACAACCACAACAACAAAGTCAACCTCAACAAACTCAATTGCATACACAACAACAGACTACAATTCCACAACAACAACAACAACAACAGAATACTATGGTAACACAACAACCTCAGCAACAACAATCTCAACAACCAATGGCACAGATTCATCATCAGAATATGTCTCAGCAACATTCGCAACAGCAATCATCGCAACCTCAGCAACAACAATCAATTACACAACAAACTCAGCATACACAACAAGCTCAACATACACAACAAAGTCAACCTCAGCAGCAGCAGCAATCACAACAACCAAATCAACCACAACCACCACAAGCAAAATCAAATCATCTTCAAATTCAAAATCAAGTACAAAACCATTTCAATGCTTTGGCACTTGCCTATAGAAATCATGTATTGGCAAAGGATGTACTGATGCATCATTTGGTGTTACTGTTTGGCAAAGACAATGCAGAGACCTACAGCACCAAGATTGATAATATTGATCCAACCAAAGTACCGACTTTACCTCCAGATTTCAACATTACAACAATACTAGATAAAACTCCACACCTCGTTGAGATGACCAATCAATTCAAGAGAGCGTCACAAGCACAGAATACTCCACAGGGTGGAGCAGCTGGACAACACCCACAGCACCCGAATCAAGCAGGTGGACAACCGCATCCGAATCAACAGCAATCACAACAATCGCAGCAACACCAACAGCAACAACATCCACACCAACAAAATGCACAGTCAGCAAACAACAATCAGACACAATCGAATCAATCTTCATCAACATCATCACAAATCGGTACTCCACCAACAGTATCTACACCGCCAACTTCAATGTCAGGTGCATCCGGTAGCATTGCCAATCAATCGGCAACAACAGGATCGGCATCACAACAATCGGCTGCTTCGAAAGCATCGCTAAACTCTTTGAGAACACTCGGAGTGACACCAACCACCGTAACCAATGGAGTGCATCCAACACCACCCATTCAAAAGGAGAAGCCAAAGAAAACCACAGAGAAAAAGAAAAAAGACGAAGAAAAAGAAAAGAAGGAAAAGGAAAAGGAAAAAGAAAAAGAAGAAAAGATGGAGGATGACAAGCAGTCAATCAAAGAACTCAACGATGTCACAAGAATTGCAAACATCGATATGCGTAATGAGAGTGATCAATTCTTGCCAGAGGCTGGTGCAGACGAAGAGATCACCTATGTCACAGAGATCGAACCATTATTCTTAAATTCACAACCTCTGAAAAAGAAGATATCATCAATTGGTAATTATATATAAAATCATATATTATAATGACTTTTTTCCAATATTGGAAAATTACTAATATTAATTTCATTATCATTATTATTATTAGCATCTAAAGCAGGTATTAGAATTGTTGAAGAGGATATATATGAATATTTATCATTGGCAACTCAAGATTATATGAGAAATGTATTTGAATATCTTATCAAGGCGTCGCAACAGCGTGTTGAGATTCACAAGGAAGATCTACCATTCACAGTGACATCGGATCAAAAGAAAAAGCTGTTGCTCATCGAAAAGCGTGAGAGAGACGAAAAGATCAGAAGAGACAATGAGGAGACCGAGAGATTGTTGAAAGAGGCTAAGCAGCTGGAGGCTGCCATGAAGAAGAAACAAGACGACAAATCAACCGCTGCCATGAGAGAGAAGTTCAGTAGAGTGCGTCAGGAAGAGGAGGAAAAGATTCGTACCAATGCCGCCAACATGACTGCGTTGGCTGCCGTAGGAAATATCGGTAAGAAAAAGTCGGTCACTCCGATGATGGGTCGTTTGGGTGGGCTGACTCCACTGGCACCGGCATTGTCCGCGATTCAACTGGCTCAACTCACATCATATCAATCGCTATTGAAAGAAGGTCAGACACTGACACCAGACCAAAATGTCCAATATCAACATTTGCTCGATCAACAAGCAAAATTTGAGCAACGTTTGTCTCAACCTGCCGGATCACTTTTGACACCAACACCATTCCTTGGACAGTCGTCAGCATTGCCGACAACTCCTACCACGACTACTACTACCCCAACTCCAACGCCAACTTCAGCCCCAACCACTACTCCAACCCCTACTCCTGCAGTAGTACCAGCAACTCCAACCACTCCAACACAATCAACACCGACCACCAATGGTCCATCTCCAATGGAAGGTGTCACACCTACTACCCCAACAACAACAACAAGTTCTACAACAGAAAACTCAACAACCACAACTACAACTACTTCTACCACTGCTACCAATGCTTCAACAGATACTCCAATGACTCCAGTCAGTACAACAGAGACAAACACAACTGCAGTGGCCACAGAAGGAGCAACTACCACCATTTCATCTACCAACCCACCAACATTACAATCAGCAACATCCCTCGGTGCATTCCCTTCACTTGGTAGAAGTATAACTAGTTTCCTGCCACCATCAAGTTTGGAAACAACAAAGTCAAGACATACCAACAGAAAGATATGTAAAAAAGATTGTATATTTGCTTCCAAACTTATTGGATCGCATGTCATTCAGAAATATGAACTAAAGAGATTAAGAAAGAGACCATTTTTCCAATAAAAACTTTACGAATTTGTAACAACAAAAAAAAAATGATCGTTTTTATATTTCATATTCACCTACATAGATTATGTGATCATCGTTTGTGATACTTTTATTTTATCCCACAAACCACAAAAATCTGAAAAAAGAAAAGTGTTAATCAGTCCCAAGATATTTTTTAAAAGTGACACCAAATATTTTTGACAAGATATTTTTTTTAAAGGTCAAAATAAAACATCTTTTTAAAAAGATTTAATGAGCAAATCTTCTTTTTGTTATACTTAATTATCAAAAATGTTTAGTTTTAAAATATTATATTTATTACTTCTTTACTTGTATGTTGCTAATTCAACATTGGCAAGCAATGAATGTAAGTGATAATTCTCTAGTTATTACAAACATTGACTGACATTACTAAATAGTAAATAGTATCAGATTTTTAATTCAACAATATCAATTGGGAGTATTAAATTTGACTGCCACTGATTGCAATGGAATTCAAAATAATGCACCTTCTCCATTTATCCGGTGTATCATTGATTCAAACTCTTCTAAAGAATCAATTCAATCAATGTATGTATCTCTCCAATGTTACACCAAAAAATTTAAATCTTATTTTTTTATTGTAAAAATCAGGTCAATAAATAATAATGTACCTGTAAATCTAGGTGTCCCACAAAATTTAGCAGCTCTAACCTTTCCAAATCTACAATCACTAATAATTACATCAAACACCTCCATTGTTTTCGATACTACTATAGACATCCTAGGATTACTTGATATACCTACTAATGCCAACTTAAATTATATTTTGTAAATAATTATTTTTTTATTTTTTTAAACTTAACATTTATTTAACATTTTAAATTAGATTTGATTTCCCCCAACAATATAGTTTCACTAACTTTCCAAAAAATCTAAAGTTATCAACATTGTAAATATCCATATCATATCAAATTCCTTGAACATATTCAACTAATCAATTTTAAAGAAAACTCTTAAAAGCAACAGCACTTACCAATGTACCAGTTTCACTTTATTTATCACCAATGAAAGATATTTCGTTGCAATTACCAGAAACCTCTACTTTTATAAATTCTTTAGATTTTAATCCTGGACAAGACTTTTCAACTTTGGAATCTATGTATGTTTTCAAATATTATATCTAGAATTAATACTTATTTAAGCTCTATAGGTCTATAGGAAGTGTATCTTTTGGTTCTAAAACCATTGTAGATTTTAACCAATCTCAATTTCCAAAATTACAAACTTTAAGTATTACATCATCGAAATCACAAAATCAAGTTCAGCTAAATCTAAATTCTGAGAAATTAGCAATATTGTAAATTATAAAAAAATAAGTATTTTTTTTTAATTTTTATTAATATGACTCCAATATAGGTGGTTTCACGGTAATTTTAGTGTAAATTTAAATACAACCGGTTTATTGTCTATGTAGGTTAAGTGATAAGAAAAAACAATATAATATTAATTTATTTTTTTAAAGCACTTTAAACTTTACAAATTTTACTCCAACAGATCTATCTATATTTCCAAGTCTAAGCACGATGTAAATATTAATTTGAAGTACTTATTGATTTTCAATATTTTAATTTCAATAATTTTATTCCATCACAAAATTGTCTAGACGGTTATTAAATGTACAAACAGAAATAACAAATGCCTCCAATATAAGAAACTTGTATGTCATCTTTTTTTGGTATTTTTTAAAACATTGTTGTATCTAATTAAATCAATATAGGGAGATCAATTCCTCGAAACTAAGTAAATTTCCTCCTTACTCCTGGTTCTCTCCAAATTATTTTTATTAGTATGTTATTTTCAATCAAATAGCTTTTATTTTTTTAATATGTTAAATAGTAAAATCATAGATAACCAGCTAGATGGTAGTTTACCCAATTATCCAACCTATCCTTCTTATTTCTTTGTAGGTGAGAAAGGTATTACAGGAGTTGTACCTGAGGCGGCATGTAATTCTTATTATCTATACCTAACAGGAACCAGTGTAACTAGTGTTCCAGATTGTATTTATTGTTTTTGGAATTTCACCATATTGGGAATGCCAAATTCCATTCCACCGAAACCAAATGACTTTATTTGTAGTAAGTTTTTAATTAAAGGGAAAGGATATAATTAAATTTTATTTCTAATCAAAATTAAACATTTTTAGACTCTACAGTTTATAATCCCTTCATAGTTAGGAAGAGTATACACGATAATTTAATATACAATGGAAAGTATGTATTATTTTTAAGATTTTAATTTATTCATTTTTATTAATTTTAAATATAGGAATTTGGGTTATGGCTACCCTAACGATATAGATCCAAACTTAAATTTTGTTTTATATAATACAAAGTTCAAGTACAACAGTCAAAACAAAACTGGAAATTTACAAAACGTCCAATTCTCTAAATTGTTTCGTGTCTTTATGAATCTATCTTGGGTTACAGATGGTAAATATTAATTATTGGAAAAATTTTAATTTATTCACTCTAATCAACTACTATTTAGTTACTGAAGTTAAACAGGTATCAATTGTACAATTACCTTACAAATTAAATATAACTGTTTATGGTATTTTCGATCCTACTTATTCCTATGAAGTTTTAGTAAATGGAAATAATATTTGTAAAGTACAAAATATGTCAACATATATAAATTGCTTTATGATGGGCTCTTTTAACGATGAATCCAACTACTTAGTTGGAGCAAACTCATCTTATTTAATAGAAAGTATAAACACTTTTTATAAAAAAGGTATATTGTTTTAAAATTTTGCAAAATTTCTTTTATTAAAATTTGTTATTATTTTTAGATTATCCTATAGTTTCATCAGTTCTACCAATCCCAACTAGTGGTGGGAAGGTTGTTTTTTATGGAAACTTTGGTACTTTTGGTCAAACAAATCCATTGATTAAAATTAATAATCAGAATTGTATCATTATTAACAAATCCTCTACAGTTTTGGAATGCAATATTGGGCAGAGTTCAGAAGGTGTAGCTTCATTATTAATAAGTGTTGATGGATACACATTTAGTTCAAATACTTTATTAAAAATTTGTAAGTATTATTAATATTAATTTTAAACATTGAATATTAATTTATTTTAAAATATAAAATAAAAGATAAAGATGAAGAAGAAAGAATAAACTGTGGATATAAAAACAATTGCAATAGTAATGGAAATTGTACTAATGGTAGTTGTCAATGTAATTTGGGATTTTTAGGTCAATTTTGTGAGTTTAGTATGTAATATAAAAATTGAGCTATATTATTTAACTAATTGATTTTTCAAGGTGAAACATTTAATGGAACTATAAACATAAACACAACTTCACCTGTTCTAGGAATCAATGCCAAAGATCATCAATTCGAATTCTCTATGGTGGCAATACAGGAGGTTGATCAACTATCAAATGTTGTTGCTGAAGTTTTAACAGAAAATTGGAGATATAATCAAACTTTAGAAAACAAAATTACAACATTAAGCTATTTCTTGAATAGTACAAATACCACCATTCAAGTTAAAACAACTATTCAATATTCAGCTGAGCAATGGATAGCAGAGTTTGCTGGAATCAATACCACTATTTTACCCAATTCTTTAAAATTATCGTCATATCTCTCAGGATGGCAATACCAATCAAATTTAAATACGATTAGATTTGTGTTTACTACAACTCTTGGCGATTTCGATAGAGATTGTAATGGAGAATTCAGTCCAGTTGGATCTAATCAATTGGATCAATCAGTCGAGTACTTAAAAGTTATAAAAGATGGAATAACTTTTTATGGTAAATTTTTGGATAGATCTATATCAGATGGAAGAGTAGCATTCTCAAGAAATATAGTTATTAATCAAACAGAGAATGGAAATGTTTTTATAGCAGTAGAGATGCCACAATGTCAAACATGTGAAATCGATCCAAACTTTTCATTGTTGCTCAATCCTAATGTTGAAGGTTGCGATAGTAAATCAAAATTATGGTGGATCATTCTAGTATCATGTGTTTGTGGAGTAATCTTTATTGGATTGTCTATGATAGGAATATTTTATTTACGAAAAAAGAAACATACAATCAAACTTATAATGATGTCAAAATTGGATAAAATTAAGAGTTAATAATAATTCAAATTATGTATAATAAAATTTAAAAACAATATTGTTTCTTAATATATGTTATTTATTCGTATTTCTGAAGAACATCACCGATCGATGGTGATGATTGAATATCTATTGAAATTTCCTCTAATTTTGATGGAATTGTAGATGGATCTGGAGGAGGAGGTGGTTCAGCAGTCAACATTTCAAATTGTCTTCTTGATCTACGGTATGCCAAATGTATAGCGTGATTTATAATAAGGAAACCAATTGGACTTGTAATGATTCCAGAAAAAATAATGGTTTCATTTTCTTTCATAAATCCAACAATAAACATAATCACTGTTGTTAAAATTAAACTGATTCCAAAAAATGCCCATACAGTGTTCAATTTGGTAAAGTTGGAAAACAAGGAAACCCTCACTAGTTGTTGTTGTAGATTGGCTTCATTTTGATTGTCTGTTGTAGTTGTTGTCTCTTGGTTTTCTGTTGTTGTATTTTCATCATTGTTGTTGGTGTTTATTATTTCAGAGTTTGCTGGTGATGGTGGAAGTTGTTGTATAGAGGAGATGTTAATGTGAAAAGAGTTGGTTGAATCATTCAGGTTGATAAAGCTGTTTTGTGCGATTTGACGTTGAGTTGGGATCCTATAGTCAGAGTTATCGAAATCGTCCAGCGGTATAGATATCAGACTTGGTTGGTAGTGTATTGGTTTGTTATTTTCGAATGGATTTGGACTATTGATTGTATTGCTGTTGTTCGATGATGAAATCTGACCGACCAATATGGCAGATGGTGAGTTTTCTAAATTTAAACTTTGCTGACTTAATTTCTTTCCATTTGATAATGGTGATTTATTCAGCAAGATTCTAGGTGAAATAGGTGGTGTACTAATATATTTTTTTGATAAGACTATTGGTGAGTGTATTGGAGTTGATCCTCTGCTAATACTCTGAATGGCAACCGAGGAATCTTTATTTTCATTAGTTTCCATTCTTCGGACAAATTTACAAATACAAGAAAAACAATTGTAAAAAAACCAATGATATTTAATTACTATTGATTTGTATAAAAAGAATTTAAGAATAAATAAATAAAATAATAAATAATGTAAAGGAAATCAAAATGAAAAATGATATCTGTAGAGTAAACCACAATGATTTACATTGTTGTGTTGATGAGAGTTATATTTCTGATTGTGATCCTTATTATTCTCCACTATTTAAATCATTATAACCAAAAGGCAGTCAATAATGAAAATTAATGATTTGGAATAGATATTAATTTAACAGACAAGTCAGATATATAAACAAAAAATTAAAATTTGAAGAGGTGTATTGCTACCTGGTAAGTAGGAATGGGTGGTTTGAAAAATGAAATAATTAAATATATGATATTTATTATTTTATTATTATTATTATTATTGTGTTGTTATATTTTTAAAATATAAGTATAACAATGTTTTTTAATTATGTAGATGTGGTGTTGGTTGATATTAAATGATAGATAGATACATAGATAGACAGACAAAGATTCCTTTTTAAAAAAAACAAACAAAAAAAACAAACAACTTAAAATTAATCCATATGTAAAGAAAAATATTAAAAAATTATTCTATATATTATTTATTTTAAAAGAATATATTCCTGTGTGTGTTTGTTTTGAGTTGGTTTATTCTATTTAGTGGGGTATGAAATCTATTAAAAAGACTACTATTCAACCTCTTCTATCTGTAATTTATTTAAATAAATAAATTGAATACAACTAAACTGGAAATATTTAAACGAGTGGTTAATAAAAAACACATAATTATTATTACCATATTTATATAAAACACACATTAGTTTATCCAATTAACACACTCACGCTTAGTGTGAAAAATAAAATAAAACAAAAACAATTTTAATAAAATAAATATCATAATGACAATGACAATAATGACGATGATGATTGTGATGATAAAGAGTCTATAATAATCTAAACAAATTGTGATTTTAATTTTAATTTATTATTATTATTACTTTTATATTAAACAGTCAGTAATGTAGTGGTGATGATAGATAGAGTTAGAGTAACTTCTTGCTATCTTATAATTACTTTGATTAACAATAATAATAAAAATAAATATTCTCTGTTGGTTGACTGACAGATATGATATGATATGATTTGATTTGATTAACATTTTTTTTTAAAAGAGAAAGAGTGTTAATTATCATTATCAAACTCTGCTGGAAAATTCATGAACCTTGAAGGTCTATCCCAAATTAGATTGTTTTTATATTTATATGATTTGACACGGTGCAGAGGAATAGCACCCAATTCAAATTTAGAGAACGCCACTTCCATCAAACCAATAAATCTGTCTTCATATAAAATAGTGAAATCATCGACATCTGTATTCATTGAAGCTTCCCACTATAACAAATTAATGATTAGTAATACTGTTATTGTGATTAACCAAATTAAGTAAATTAATTGTGATTTACAATAAATCGTAGTATATCTTACTTTTATTCTATTGTATATCTCTTCTGACGAAGGTAACCTTGATTTCTTTTCATCCAAAACATTCTCATCCTCTGACTTGGGAGGTTTAACCTTTACTTTTTTCTCTTTTTTTGGACATTCTTCATCTATATCATAGTTTGATGAAGGTGAAGATGACATTATCTGTGCATTCGCTTTCGCCTGCTCTTCTTGCTCCATTTGTTCTCTATACAGATGATTCATATTAGATTCAAGGTTTGACATGCTTAATACTTTATTAATACTAAATAATTCTCTTTCCTAAACTAAATGAATAAATAAAAGGTATAACAAGATTAAAATGAAATAATAACAAGACATAATAAGTGTTTTATCTTTATAATTTAAAAAATTAAATCTGAATATTTTCTCAAATTCATTTAAATTATTTTTTTTACTGAACACCTTCTTTTTATCATATCTTTATTTGTACAAATATGATAACAATACTGTAGTTGATGTATTTGTTAACATTTGTACACTACGTAGTTAAAGTGTTAGTTATACAATGTAATCATTCTTTATTAAGAGTTATTAAGTACTTTAATTAGTTGATATGTTAGATCTTTTGTTATTTTTGCTTCTGATAGTTGTTGTTGTTGTTTTTTTGTTCTTCAAGCACTCTTTGTAAAGCATTTACATTTTGTTGCATTAATGTTGATGATTGTTGCTGTATCATTTGTCTTTGTTCTTCTATTCTATCATCAAACATCTTTCTTCTTTTAGATTCTCTGACATCTCTTACTATTGGTGGTGGAAATGAGGTTGATAGATGCTGTTCTTGTTGTTCTTGTTGCTCTTGTAGTTGTTCTTGTTGTTGCTCTTGTTGTTGTGGCCAGCCGGCTTGTTTATTTTAATCTTGTAACTATTTGTTGTAAATTGCTTTGATATTCTATTTACTTTGTGGAGATACTCTATACCAACAGCTGCGATGTTAACATCATTCAACAAAAAAAAAAAGTAATGATATAGTTAGTCGATTTATCTTCTTCCTAGAGGGAATGTGTAGTAACAATCGAACTTTAGTTGGATCAATGTCAAGACTCGGTTCTGCAGCCAAACCAGAGAAGCATTATGGTTGTCGGAGAGGCCGTCGCCCTTTACCAAGTATTCCAACCTGTTGCCAGTGCCGTAGGCACGATTCCTTTTAGATATAATTGAATGAATGTCGTCAAAGTTGGTCTCTTGAGGATCACCAACTATAGCAACTTGATATCTGCTACATGGACTGTTCTAGACGACTTCCTTGAATTGTTGATCTTAATTGTGACCTTGATATCTGACTCGGCTGAGGTGATTTTGAAATGGTCCACACCATTGTGATGGAGTTTCTTTTTGTCGTTGTCGACTGTCCTTTGAGTATCTAGTCTGCATCTGTTGACAAGGATCCAATCGTCTACTTTGAATTTGACTGGTTTACGATCCTTATCATGTTGTTTGGCTTGATTGACTTGGGCATCTCTCGCCGTCCACGCTACCCAACACTTCCACCAACAATAAATTTATAATTCAATTAATAATGTCTGACTACTCATATTTATCTCAACTCTAATTAATTAGTATTTATTGATATTCTTTCCCTTAATCTCTTCTGGTGAATATAGATCAAATACTATACGTGGAGCAAACGACCAATAGATCCACACTATATGTTCGTCAGGTTGTAAGATACAGTAGCACTTATTCATGATCGTAAGTGGCCAAAGACAAATAATACATTGGTAGACCCTACAAAATAACATTGATTTTAACATTTAATTCCAAAGATTAAAAAAATGATATCGAACTTCTTTCTCTCTTTGGTAACTGGATTGTTCACATGGACAATAAAACCGAGGAATCCACGCATGGCCATAGTATAGAACTGGGAACCAAGTTGGACTGATGATTGGTTGGGATCAATATTTTGTTTGAAATCGATGACAATAACAATTTCGTTGGATCGGACCTCTTTATTGAATCTGGCGCGAATGGTGTTCTTTAAGTGGACATGATACAAGTAGAATTTGTAATATTCCTTTTCCTCATCCGATCTATTGTTTTTGTTGGCCAATTTCTTTCCATCGCAGTAGTACTCACACATGTCGGTGAGTTGAGTGGCTCTTTTGACAAATGAAAAATTAAAAAAAAAGTAAGGTGGCGACGACGGAAGATCAGTTTCGCTATGTTTTGCGTTTGGGGGTTTATCTGAAATTTAATTATAGGTATATGATAGATAGATAGATAAAGGTATAATATGATTTAAATAGATATATGTAAGGTGTTATTCAATAATATTTCATAATATGGAACCATAGTAATTAATCCAACCGATACAATAAACAATGCTAAGAAGTCCCTGGTCATTCAGCTAATATCATTGTTCCAGCTACAATAATAATTACATAATAATTACATGTATGTCAACAAAACATCAACCATCAACTAAATATAATAAGATGTTTATCAAGAAACCATCAGTTATCTTTATTAAGACTAATCAGTTATAACAACATAATGATTAAGGAAGTCAAGCTTCTTCTTAGAATCGATGTTACGCACATCTTGTAATGCAGTCAAATAGAGAGCAGCAACTGGTTGGATGATGTTGCGGGTTTTCAACACAAGCGTCGCGAATGTGTGATTAAATGATTTCATTTGGTTTGGTGGATAACTGAAAGATGGTGTCCATTGGTCGATTGAATCGGCAATATCACTATTGGTATCTGCCTTGTATTTGGACGGTCTCTGAAAGAAGAGAACTAATATTACAAGTATTCTGATGAGTACCCAAACATTTATCCTTTCGTAGACCTTCTAAGAACTTCCTTTGGAGTCCTGCTGTATTGAGTTCGCAACAATAGATCTCCAAGTTGTTGAACGCTGTCATATACTCCACTACTGACATGTTTCCTTGAACGAGATTCTCAAAGTCTTTCTTGTATTCAATGAGAGGTTTGCTTGTGCACTTGTGACGGATGGCAGTACATAGTTCCTTCAAGGTCATTCCCTCACGGTTGTTCAGATTTAGCCCTTTGTGGTACTCAGCTGGGAAGATTCTACGTGCCAACAGGTATATATAAAAAGGACTTGTCGGGTATTGTGATGTCTGGATGTATGTCTTTATGTTGGTGATAAAGACATCGACATCAGGCATCTTTGGATCAAACTTTAGAAAATCCTTTTCGAAGATTAGATTTCTATGTTCCTTTCTAAAGTCTCCATGAACTGCTTGTAGATCGTCCAACCTATCGATGTGTTGTTGGTCTTTTAGAACCCTGTCAGTATCCATAATGTTTCGGAGATTCCCCTTTGTAGACCCTACTATGATCAATTGGTGTATCTTACTGTTGTTGTACTGTGCTACTACTAGACTGATTATCCATCTCCTGATATCTCTTTCACGCAGACCATGCTAATGAGATATATAATAAATGAAAGATTGACAAGACTGGTATCTTGTGATGATGATTTTTGGTTGTATCAATATATTCTTCTCCAATTTATAGATCTAACTGAAATAACTCTGTGAATGGGTATCCTCGTGGTCCATTCTGTATCGAGTGTGGAGAAGCTGGAGCGCTCGAAGGCCAAAAGCTTCACGACGGTCATCATCATCCAAGTCTTCAAATGAAGCAATGTCATCCTTTGGAGAAGGATTGACTGAGGAAAAGGTGAAGAGTTTCGGTTGGACGTCACAAACTTTGAATCCAGTATTGTTGCTGTAATCACCACCGAGCCATCCAGATTTGAATTCACCAAGATACTCTTGAATGAATGATCTGGCTTGAGCATTGTTGAGAGAAGCATGCGACAATTCTAGTGGGTGACTCCACCATGAGAAGTACCATGCTTCGTTGAGATCGGTAAGCAAATGAATGACGGGATGAGACGTAGTGTGAATTGATGCTGCAATGAGTTGAGCCCATCCTTGATAGAAGCTGTTGTCCACGAGGTTCTCTGGCTTTTTGAGTTCGATGCACACATATATCTGAGATTTGAGAAGAGCACGATGGCGTTGTGGAGGCGCAATGATGATAGCTGTTGTTCCCTTGAGAGAGAAAGGTAGGCAGTCTGCATAGCTGGAAACCAACAAAAAAGATCCATCGTTGCTCACATTGTGATAGGCAAAGTGTTTTTGGTCGATTGGAATGTGTCTTTCTAGCCATTCCATGACGCTCAATTGCTCTTCCTCTTCGTCATTATCCACGGCAGCTTCTTCGTCGAACTCGATATGTTGTGTTTCGCCAACGCCTTTCAACCACTGATAGTTGACTGCGGTTGCACCTTTCTTCACCTTCACTGTGATCTTGGAATCTCTGAGCTTCAACCTTGCAGAGTCTGAAATCTCTGTCCACTTGACTCCTGATATCTTGGACATGGAGTAGGAAGCCTTTGATGATTTTGACATCTTTTCCAAAAGAAATAACGCTCGATCAATCTTTGCCTCTACAAGGTGGAATAGGTTAGTAAGCAGTTCTTAAGAGATAGTTTGATTGTGTTAATGCCATTTGTAGATGTGTACATACCTTGTTGCTGAGGTGCTGCTGTATTTGAAGAAAGATAAGAAGAAGAGACAGAAGGAATGTGTATGAATGGGTAGTAGGTAATCGTGAAGTAATAATATGTTTGGTAGAGTAATGAAAGAAGGGATGAGCGAGAGAGAGAATGTGAGAAGGCAGAAGAGGAGAAGTGTATGAAGAAAGATAAGTAGAAGAAGAAAGTAATATTTGTAAGAATATGTAGTGGATAAGCGTGAGAGGGTGTGTATGAATAGGTTGTAAGAAATGATTGAAGTAATATGATTGGTAGAGAGTAATGAGAGGTGTGAGAGTTGTGAACAAGGAGAGGGAGAAGAAAAGAGAGAGGTGTAAAGACAAGAACATGAGAAATAGGTAATGCAGTATAGTAATGAGGGGAGTGAGAGGCGAGAAGAAAGAGAAGGAGAAGAAGAAAGTGTAAATATAATACAAGACAAGATAAGAAGAGAGTGAAAGATAAAAAGAAAAAAAAGAGAATGAAAAGGTAGAAAAAGAAGTGATAGAAGGTAATATGTTAGTTGGATTTCGGAAGGATATTTAGGTTGAAGGGTAATAGTGTTTTGTGATGTAGATGTATAACATACCTGGTGCTGTTTCGTTCGAGGTGTTCTTGAAGTATTCAATGAGACTTGTGATGTCTGCAGGGAGGAATGGAATCGGTTGAAGAATAAGAAGCATTGGGTATGCAATTGGATTGTTGACGGCAGCCTTGAGAGAATCAAGAGTCTTGTAGCCATTCAGAAGTAATGAGGCTGCTGTGATTGACGTACAACCAGCCTTGGAGAGCACCAAAGCAAGGGACTGCTCTGTTTGCTCCTCTGACATTGTTTGTAGCTCTAACTGTATAGATAAATTATTATTTGTTTGGAAAAGAGGAATTAAAAAAATGAATGAATTTTGTATGAGTTTACTCCCACTTTATATTTTTTTCTTGGTAAAATTTGACCCACCATTTTTTTAGCTATTTTTGAAGAAAATTTCTAAATTTGGTAAAATTAAAAAAATTGAAATAAATAAAAATCATAAACAAAAAATAAAAATCATAATCAAAAAAAATAACAAATAAATCATTGTTGTTTTGTTTATGATTATTTGGTCAACATCTTTTTTTTTTGTTTTTCCATTTCCACATCGTGACGAACTTGAATATAGATTGCTTGCAAAATGAAGTAAAAACACATCCTATGTTTTTTTTATTACTTGTACCAACGCCCAAAGGACAAAATTCTATTTCAACACTGATAATTGTACCTCTTAGAATTTATTCCCTATATGCACAATTACATTCATATTACTTATAGGATCTTTCAAATGTCCAAGAAGTATCACAAGATAACGGAAATACAATTATTATCGGTTCATCATTTGGTAATGATACAACATCAATAATATTACATTTCAATGGTAGTACTCCAATGTCACCGATCTCCGTTTCCGACTCGATGTTAACATTTAAATTTCCACAAACACACCAAATTCAACACATCACCAACTGTTCCATTTAAGATAACAATTCAACCATACATCACATCAATAACATCACCACCAACACAAGGTGGAGTTGTAACAATCAGTGGTCAATATATGACTTCCAACATCCAAGGAAATGAGAATATCACTGTAATTATTTATGATACCAAATCTAATCTTAACACTCCATGTTCAAATGCAACGAGATTGAACAGTACCAGTGTGACCTGTATTGCACCAGAAGGAAGTGGAACATCCGCTTATTTGCAACTTCAATTGAACGGAATCAGTTCAACTGTAATGAGCGATTGAGTATGGTCTACCAATCACCTAAAATAATATCGACTACTTCAGAATCACCATATAGTAGTGGAATGATAAGCATCTATCAAACTAATTGCAAAACTAATTTATTTTTCTTGATTTTTATTGTTATTATTATTTATTTGAAATGTATTTAGAAATAATTTGCTTGTTTAATTATCTTTCATATAAATAGAAAGATTACACTTGCTAAAAACTCCTTTGGACTCGATTTTCAGACCTGAATCCATTATTTTATTAATTTTTTATTTGTTAAAATATAAAATCATCATAGATCATGATTTATTTTGTGAATATATTTGTAAAAGTATTTAACTATATAGTTTGATTATTGTACTTTTTTTAATCGACCAGATCTCTCTAAAGTACCGTCTTTCAAATGATATGCAGGTAAATATTTACCAGTTGATACATCTAATAACGATGGGTTTGGAATGGTATCATTGACATGTCCTATCGAAGTATATGCTTCATCATACAAAACACAAAAAAGATATTTTAAATGTTCTAATAAACTTCAAAATATCTGAATAATTCCATTCTAAAATTGGACTAACTCTTATAAATTGTGGCCATGACTATTAATAATGATAAAAAGTAAATTAGTTGTTTATATTTTTATTTTATTTCTGTAATTGAATTCTTGATGTTAGAGAATAGAGAATAATGAGTGGATTGAATATAGATAAATATGTACCAGAGGTTTAAACCTTATTATTCTGTTGCACATGATCAATTAGATAGAATCGTTTCACCTTATTCAAAATTACATCTAAATAACATTTAAAATAGAGGTTTATAGTAATAATAAGGTAGTTATAGAACTCTACAATTTACCAGATAAAAAGTAGTCACTTTTAATATGAATTAAAAGTATGACGAGTACATTGACGGTAATGTGGTTGTTACAAAGAGCTTTTGTAATATGTATCATCTTATAAAATACTTAGTCGCTCTCTCTGCTAGAGGTAAGTTTATAAATGACTCTGCATCACCAAAGAAGAAGAGAAAGACAAAGAATGTCAGCAAAGATGATGATGGTGATGATGGTGAAGATGATGATGATGATGGAGAGAATGATGGTGATGGTGAAGATGATGATGAAAATAATAATAATAAGGGAAAGAAAAAATCAGCACCCAAAGCAACAACTAAATCAAGACGTGGAGGAAAAAAATACTAAATAATCGAATTTTTTACCAACACATTAATCATTCATTTAAATACCTTGTCATTTATTTTGCTCCTCAAGATTTACATAATTGTTGAGAATGCAAAGTAAAAGAGTAGCCTCACCTGCCTTAATTAATAGGATTGTTAATAAAACATAACAAAGGCGGTCATCAATATATACATACTTCGACTACATGAGATTTCCTGCATTACTATCATGTTACCAATTCTAATCTTACCAAAAGGAGATTTGGTAATCTTTTGGTTACAAACAACACAGTTTGTACCTCTGCATTGTTTGAAATCTAAAAGCTTATTCACTACATAATCAACTTTTATAGTGTTTGGAAGACTGATAGGGGAATAAGATGATGTTGGTGTTGTTGTTGTTGTTGTTTTTGCTTCTTTGGATTCAGAAGAAGAGTGTGTACTTTCTCCTTTACAAGTACTACATGTGCATAGTGTAGCAATCCCATTTTTTTGAGAAGATTCAAAATTAAGAAATCAATTAAATTTTAACATTTTAAGTTTTTAGTTGGTTTATTTGACTTTTAACAAATCAAAAAAAACAAATCAAATTCTTAGTTTTTAATTATCAAATTAAACAAATAAAACAAATACAAAAATGAAGTGCCAAAATACTGGTTGTGGACACTCAGGATGTGCCTGAAATTGTGCCTGGGTGTTGTCCGTCTAAGGACAATAAGGTAGCCACCAAGACAATATCAATACCTATCAATCAACATCAATAATAATCACCAGCCAACATATAGTATCAGTCAATTATAATTAATTAAATTAATTAAATCAACTAAATAAGTAATAGTTCAAAACAACAGTAAAAAGTATTCAACATTCATGACGGCGAATGTTGAAATAAGAAAAGTATTAAAAAATAAAGTTAAAAATTAGATTATTAGAAATAACTCTTGATTATTATTAATTACAAATCACATGAGAGATGGCAGATCCAAACGAACAATTAATAGAAACACCCACCACCACAACCACCTCAGATCCAACATCAACAACAACAACAACAACTAATACAAGCGACCTCACGATGAGTGATCTCGAGAACAATAACAATAATGATCAAATCCCATCAACCTCCACTTTGTTTCCTGACATCTTTCCTACCACCACGCGCCCAGACTCACTCCCGTCGGATATATTCCAAGCAACCCTGGCCGTATCCAAGACACCGATCTCTTCTACCATCGTTCCAGGTCAATCAGACAGTAAACATTGGGCAATCAAAGAGTAGCAAGGTCAAATCAACAAACTCACTCAACAAGTTACCAATCTCGAATCTACCAAGATAACCACCCAAACTGTTCAGGTTCCAGCCCATTCTCACAGTATTACCAATACTCAATTCACTGCTATTCCAGGATCACAAGTTACTCTTACCGTCACCTATCCGACCAAACTTGTTGCTTTTGTCAGTTTCCATTCGAAAGTAGGTATAAAGTCATGGTTATTTTTTTGAAATGATATTTATAGATTCTTGAAAGTAGGTATAAAGTGTTGTAAAATTTATGACCTGAAGATTTAATAAGAGTCCTACACCTGAAAGTGTGGATTTTAAATCCATCTTTTTTTATATTTTCCAACGCTTGCGACACACCATCCTCATCAACAGATGAGAACCAAACCAGTAACCCTTCATTGACTGCAGTTAACAAACATAAACTAATAATTCTAAACTGGTCAGTGGTAATAGAATGAATAATAATTAAATAAACATTTCACTTTTATAAGTGTATTTATATCATTTACATTATCTTTAATTTTTTATTAGTTTTTATTAATTTTATTGTTGTTGCTAATGATCATTCAGCACTTAATTCAAAATAAATAAGAAAATCACACTGTGATAAAAGAAAACACATAAAGTTTAAAAAAAAGAAAGTAAAATTTGGCCACCATCTGGTCCAACACAAACAACTAAGAGTTGGCACTCAAATACCAACAGAATATCAAACAAATCGACAACTTCAACAAACACTGGAACAACTGCAAACTTCTCACCACTAAGTTACCTGCTTTCCTAGAACATCACTCTTACAGACCATTCTGATTATATATAATAAATGAAAGATTGGCAAGGTAGGTATCTTGGAATGATAATTTATTGGTTGTATCAATATATTCTTCTCCAATTTATTCGAGAAGAATATGTGCTAAACGGTTGGAAGTCGCTCAAGATGATAAATAGAGTGATAATTAATATTGATTTAATAGTATATTTATTGTTGTTGGATTGGTTAGTGTAGAGTGAGCTGCGAGAAATTAATAAAATATGAATTATATTGTTTAATTTACAAATTGGTCTTTATGATGTCTATGTACATCATAAATTGAAAGGTTATCATATTTAGTGAAATAGCTGTATGACTTTGACGTTGGAATGTTGGTCTATTGTGAATTTTGTTACTCTTCAAGAGGCTCAAGGAAAGACCTGAATGGTTTAGAGAAATAGTTGAAGTATTCCTTGGACACGATTATGACATTGTCATAATCCTTGATTGCAGTGATACTATCGCTTAGTCTTTTGTTTGTTGGGATGAAGACAATGTAACCAAAAGGCACATCAGAACTTGGTTGATTGGGGCCCTCAGAACTCTTAGGGACCAAGTTCTTATGGGCTTCTTCGCATTTCTTCAAGACTGGCTTGACCACTGAATTGAAATCCAAGATTTTGTCGTCACTTGTAAACTTGGCGTCTCCCAGTATCCATATCCAAGTCCAATTGTTGTTGATCCAGATCTTTCTGCGAAGAACAAAGTCAACCAAGGCTCCTTTTGAATTAGACAGAGAATATCCTTCTTCCAATTGATCCTTGATGATATTCTTTTCCCACTCTTCGCAACTCTCTGGATACCTCTTAGGAGCAAAGATATGTGCTCCAGCTGTAAAGAATTTAGGTTAGAATTGTTAGCTTGTTGAGTTGCAGCGGGTACTTACAATTGATGCATTTCATACGACATCCCTTTAAAGTCCTGTTGGAGAGGTAGGCATTGGGGTAGTATTGATCGATGGTTGGAACTACCCCAATATATCCAAAGCAAACACCTCTAACGAAGTCATACAAGGCAACAAACGTCTCCCACTCCTCGTCGTGGCGCATATCAATGATGAAGTTTGTAAGCTGAACGAGACTTTTAAAGTTGGTGCGAATGGCGTAGACATGGATGAAGATGAAAGGTAGCCGCACTGTGTTGCCTTCGAGGAGTAGGAGTCCATCGCTTTGCAAGTTCATGTATGAAGGCGCATCATCAAGCGGACTTTGAGCTAATATTGGATGTTCAGTGATTGCATGTGACAATATAATATCGAAATAGGGTTTATAGGTTAGCTTTGGATATGTGCGATCGAACTCTGTGACAGTAGCTTCGAACAGCTTTCGAACTGGGGCGTCCATTGTTGTCCAATTGATCTCATGTCGAGTATTTGGCTTGTCAATGTCTGCAGGATTGGTAACAAGAGTTCTCAAGAACAGCTCAATGGGTCTTGGCCAACCCCCAGTTGTATCCAGTGTTGTGAGGAATGATGGAGGTATTGGAATTCTGCCAGAATTAGTGTTGCCCATAGAGGACTTTGAGAGGAAGTCAAAGAGAATGATACGAGATTCCTCCCTTGTCAAGAGAGGAAGCGAGATGAATGTGTATGGTAATCCAAAATCCTTGCTGATGATATGGTCAATGGGTTCAAGAATGGTACCAGCCGTCATGATATAGACAAAAGTACCTTTCTCCAACAGAGCAGATGGTGTTGAGATCCCAGTTGTTGTTGTGTCTTGCTTGCTTAATGACAACAATTCCAGTATAACGTTCTTGAGGTATGACCTCCTGATATGATGATCATCTGATTCAATGAGTGCTTTCTGAAATTCGTCCAAAGCTATCAAGACCATTATCTGTTGTTGTTTTTGCCAGTTTGCCAATTGTTCCTTGTCATTGACAATGTCAATGTCCGGTGAGATTGTTAATCTGTAGTGCTCGACAATGATAGACAATGCCAAAGATGGAGTGAGATCTCTCAACACGAACTTGGTTTCGAGTTGGCTAATAAAGTGTTTGAAGCTGACACCGAGTCCTCCAATAAAGTAACTGTACAGCATTCGTGTGGATATGGCGACTCCAGCAGACATCTCTGTAGACTCTAAAGGTGTACCATTGCTGAAGGAGATAGCAACCGTGATCTGATGTTTCGGTAGTTCAGCAGCTGATATCAAGTGCCGAGGGACTTCTTGTAGGATACGACTCTTTCCAATTCCAGGGGGACCAGCAATCACCACCATGCTTTGGTCACTCTTTATGTTTGATTTCATGGTCTTAAATCGCATACAAACTGCATATACGATTTGATTAATATTATTTTGTCGGCCTATAAATTGAGTAAAGTTATAGGTGAACTAAATGAAATGTAAGTTAGATGTTATAGTGCGCATCGTACGATGATGTCAGAGCATACCTTGTCCGTGGACTTTGGATCCCCATATGTCTTTTGTAAATGTTCACTGATGTTTGACAATGTTGGTGGTATGCCTATTTAAATTTAAAGTGAGAATATGTATGAATTGGTATGAGGGAAGAATGAAGGTGATATGTATAAGAAGATGTGTTGTTGGAAGTATGTGAATAAAGATTAGAAGAAAAGAGAAGACACAAGTGTTTGTTAGTCACAAACGTTGTTATTGATTGGCACGCAATATATGAAAAGAGGAATTATATACAAATTAGAGGAAATATGTGGTATGTAAAAGAGTTGAATAGAAGGATTTAAGTAGTGAAAGAGATAAAGAGAGAGAGAGATGAAGAGAGAGAGAGAGTGAAAGATAAAAAGAAAAAAAAAGAGAATGAAAAGGTAGAAAAAGAAGTGATAGAAGGTAATATGTTAGTTAGAGAGTTCGGAAGGATATTTAGGTTTGATGGGTAATAGTGTTTTGTATGTATGTATGTATGTATGTGTGTGTATGTAGGAAACGTGTGTAGGAAACGAGTGTAGGAAACGATTGAAGTAATATGATTGGTAGGGTAATGAGCGGTGTGAGAGGCGAGAAGAAAGAGAAGGAAAAGAAGATAGTGTAAATATAGTACAAGACAAGATAACAAAAGGGAGAAGGAGAATATGAGGAGTGGGCTGGTTAGTATCATAGGTGGTTGGTTTGTAGACTTGAAGGTAGATGTACTTGCCTTGCTGTGGTTGAGTGGTGGCGACATAGATTCGCTGAAGATTCCTATCGACTGGAGTCTCAACATCAAGTTGAATGGTCTTGGCTGCATCAGAGAACAAATCTATAGAACCGTCACCTACAGCGAGTTGTTTGGAACCTCTGATGACATGGATGAGACGATTATAGTTGGCGGTGTTCTCGAAGGTGAGTTCGTCTTTCTTGTTACTAAACTCTACCCAACAAGTGAACGGTGGGTGTTGTTGCGACATTATGAAAGCAGCAAAGAATAATAATAATACATCAATTATATTTTAATAAAAAGATCACATTAGACGTGGTGCATCTACATCAATTACAGTATAAATTTATAATAATCACAAAAACTTAGCATTTAATGACACTACCAAAACATTTTTATAAAAAAAAATCAAAATTCAAATCCTTATTAATTACAGTCTCCACATATAAATTACAAATTATCTTTATTTCTCTTTTATTTTGTTTTAATTTAACAAATATTATTTTATTTTTTAGAACTTTTGAGACGATTTTGGTTGAAAATTTTGATTATTATTATTTTAAATAGTTCATTTTAATAAGAACTTGTCTATTTTCTGTGTTTCCTCTATCAAATTTCTGATTGTTATCAAATCTATATCTATAGAGGGAGGAAAACCATGAGGAACGACAGGAGGAGGAACTCTATTAAATACATTCGCACTATGTAGTTTGAGTATATATTGAAAACAGGAGGGAATAACTGCGAGTACATACGGATTGATTGTAATCGGTTGTTTATTGCCAAGTATTGATGCTTGACTCACACCTAGTTGAAGAATCTGTTCCATTGTTTGACCAATGTCGAAGGGTCTCGTATCAAACGAAACAACTTGTGTTGAAATGGTCGGATTATGTCAGGTGGTCCATCTCTGCTTTAAAAGAGCTAATGCAGAAAATGTTGTTGTACTTGTCGGTCCACCTTCAAAGTTCTGATTTGGATAGCGAAGAAACATATCATATATTGGATATCAGTGGTCTCTCCAAGATAGTTGGCAGCTCGTCGATTGAGTCGGAGAAGTGAACACCAAACTCTATGATAACGATTGGAAATGGATAGTTCACTGGATTGGATGGTAATAGCTGGATGTTAGCTTGTTTCATTTACCTCTTGGAATTACACTATTGTCAGGTCTATCGAATTTTGGGTACAACATCGATCATTCTTCCTTGTTGAATGATTAAGTGTAACATATGATTCTCAATGGTATCACAACTGACAAAAGAAGAAATCTCTCCTTGAACTATAGATGGATAAAGCTGTGTGATAAACAGTTGCATTATCATTGAATTCAGAAGAGGTATCGAAGAAGGAATTGTTACTGTCTGTTAATAATATTATTACTATTGTTAATATTAGATACATTTAATTAATAAAAATGATTAATAAATAACTGATTGTATTGTATTAACATTCAATAAATTATTATCTTACTCATAACTTCTGTTGTCTCTATCTCATTATTACTTTAGTTTAGCTACTTTCATTGTCATCCTTGTCGTTACGATCTCTTTATCTTTCAATTGATTAATGAAGGTCTTAATGATCGATCAAATAACTTTATGTAGGGCTATTGGTGGAAGTGGTTCATCTACATGGTTCTTTCAATTTTCTTTCAACTAAAAATCTCTTTGTTGTATATTGCTATAGCTCTTGATTGTGTAGTGTATACTCTAAATAGGATATCTTGATGTATATTCATTCTTTCCTAATCATAATGAGAAAGCATAAAACTACAATCGTATATAAAGAAGAAAATGAGTATGTAACTTGAAGAGTTAGTTAACTGGCTTATGTTTTTTTAATTAATTCTCCTACCCAAAACCAAAGTTAAACGTTACACTTTTTTTTTATTTTTTATTTTTTTATTTTTTATTTTTTTTATTTTTTTTATTTTTTACATAAATACAATCAATTAAATCAATCATCAATGATCTTCAAAGGATCACTTTATTCAATGTCTTACAATCAAAATAAGATATTTCAATTGAAAAAATAGAACAAATTGACAGATAATTATTATAAATGATTAGTATTACAAAGATTTTATAAGAGTGAAAGAATAATTTGAAGTATAGATAATAGAATATTCACTTATATAATGATCGACATGTATGTTTCAATAAAATAAGCATAGTTAATTTATTCTTTTTAAGGAATGTAATAAGAATGGTTTAAGTTACTCCTTATTGCATCAATCACACTCAAAGCACTCTGATAATTTTTTTGGATTGTAGGATATAGCTGGTACGAATTTGTTGTTTCAAGAGTGCACACGTTTCACTTAAAATAAAAATATTGTTATTAACAGGATTGGATAATCAATAAGCTATTATTTTTAAAGGAAATTTGGATCTAAATTAGATCTCCTACCAATGTCAGATTGTTATCATAATAATAAATAAAATCAAATACAGGCAAAAAAAAAGTGTTAATTTTACAAACAATATAAAAAGTGGTTATATTTAATAAGTGTGAATTCGTATATGTTTAAACTTAAATATTAAAGTTTTAAAAGTATATATATTGCGTTATTTCAAATTAAATCCTCAAATTCTTTTATTTTATTGTGCACAATACTAATACTAAAATATTAATGCAAAAAAATTAACAAATAAAGAAAATTAAAGAAAAATGGACAACTCAGAAATCATTAAAAACCTAAGAAATTTCTGTTCCTCCAAAGGAATTTCTACTTGTTTTAACAATACAACATAACTGGACTACATCATTTAGTTCATTAATTGTAGATTTCAATTCCAACGAATTGCTTCCAAATTATCCAGCGGAAATATTAACAAATTACAATGAAAAAAGATTTGGAGATCTTTTAATTTGTTATAAATCCGATCTACCAAGACCAGTATATTCAGATATTCCTGTAGTTTCCACTCCAGAAAACCTTCCTTTTTGTTGTCCTGATAAACTAACCCCAAACAAACAAATACGTATAGAAAAGGAAATAGCATTTTCAGATTTTCTAAAATCTTCAGGAACCTATCCAAATTATATATTTGAAGTAAAGAAACAAATAGATAATGGTCTACTTCTATCTACCAAGTATTATTCCTTGAATGGAGGTGATTAAAGAAGAGTTTGGTAATTATAATCAAAAACTACACACCTACAAGAACTATACATGCAAGTCACACAATCTATACTATGGAGTAGATCTATACTTAAGAAATGAATCGGCCGGTGCAAACCACCATCACATGAGACTCAATCCTTTCCAAAAGATAGAGGAATCTATTTTATCTTCATTGTTCTCGAAATAATGGAGATTTCCCTTAAAACAAATCTCTTTCTCAAGTAAGTATATGTACATTCCTATTTAACAGATAAAAAAAATTAATTATTACTTTTAAAATGTTTTTATTTTTTCCTAACTTACTTTAGAAACTTTCAAAAAACAACTTCCAAATAATTTATAAAGATAACGATTAACTGTGTAAATTAAAATTAAAAGTATCTAATAATTATATAAAAAAAACAATAGTATTTCATTTTGTTTGATATCGTCACGCCACCGACTTGTTGGCAGAAATACTCTTGTTTTTTTTTCTTACTGAAATTTTTACATACCAAGCTACAGTTATCATTGAATTCTCAAATAAATATACCCATTTTCAGCCCAACCGGTACCACATGAATCTAAAGATATTAACAATTATTAATATGAATTATGGATATGAATGTAGATAAATAATATTATTAAAAATAAAAAATTATAAAATTTTTGGTGTTTTTGATAATTGTATGACTAGAGTCGTAACCCAAAATATTACAATAATCGTTGACTGGTTTAAATTTATATCGCCGCTAATGATTAATAATTAAATAATAATTTTATTTTATTTTTGGTGATTGTATTATATTAAATAATAACAATAAAGATTTGAATATATAGTTATACAATTTTGGTGTTTAATAATTAATATAACTAGATGCGTAACCTAAAATGTTACAGTTATCGTTGGCTGCCGTTAATTTTATATAGCCATCTATACCCCACCAAGTATTCCAGGAGTTCTTAATTAACCAGGAATCAGTTGCTTCATCATAACCGGTTAATGTTACTGCATGGTTGACAGAGGTATATTTAGTTGGACAATTATAGATACCGCTGCTGTAACTTTGAAAACCATCATCAGCTAGGAGTGAGATTGCAATTGGTCCAGTCTGTAAGGCAGCGATTAAAGCATCTTTGTTTTTGGCAGTCTGAGTGAAACCAGTAAAGGATACACGTGGAGTGGCTGTCTGAGTACAAGTAGTTTGAACACCAGTGTATTTGTTGGCAGACTCTGGTCCATAACCGGTGGTCTTGAAGGTATTGTACACAGTAGTTGGCCAACCACCGTTACAACCACCAGAGATACAGTTCAAACCTTCTTGCTCAGAGAAATCGACTGTTTCAGGGTTGGCACCAGTCTTGATAACATATCTAGCTTCAGAGTTGGCAAAGGCAGCAAAGATGTAACAACTTCCACATTGACCTTGATCTCTGACTGGAGTTGATTTTGATTGCCAATTGATGGTCTTTGATTTTGGAGATGTGGTTTGGGTTTGTGTTGGAGTTGGAGTTGGTTTGGTTGTTTGAGTTTGGGTTGGGGTTGGAGTTGGTTTGATGGTTTGTGTTTGAGTTGGAGTTGGAGTTGGGTTTGGAGTTGGAGTTGGGTATGGATTTACTCCCCTGTATGGTCCGACTGGATCAAAGTCACAGTAGAAACGATAGGTTGAACCACACCTGTTGACAGCACATGCAGCTGTCTTTCCTTTGGCAACGACAGTGTATTCGTGTAAGCAAGATTTTCCAGAGGCACATGATTTGGTGTGGAAATTATAATTGGCGGCAGTACCTCCAATGTAGTCCAAGATTACTTTGAGGTTCCAAGTTCCAGAGAAAGTTATAACGAATTCAGCTACTTTGGCTGTCTTTGAGAATGGTGAAAAACTGGTGGCACAAGTGTTCACATATTTCTGCAAATTGGTTTCATAAGCGGTATTCCAAGTCAATGTAGAAAGATGAGTGGTTGGAATTGGTAAAGCATTATCTCTCCATCCGTTAAAAGTATTGAGAATTAAGGTTTTCTCTGCAGCTGTTAGAGCAGCTTGGGTTCTGCCTGTTATTGTTAACAAAACAACTAATAAAATAAGGAATTTCATTTTTTTACAAAAATAAAATAAAATAAATAAATAAATAATATTACAACAAATTTACTTATTTTCTAAATACTGAATAAATATAAAATTGAAAACGTAAACAATTTGTTTAAATACTATTGAAAAAATTAATTTAACTAATTTGTTTAAGTTTTAAAAATAGATTTTATAGTAATTGGGTATGGATTTTTTATAACAGTTTAAATTCATTGGTCCAACTTTCTTAGTACTCTCAAAATCGGTGAATTGACTTTCCTACTATTAGTCAGTGTGTTTTTCAAAAGCCAAGCAAGCCATTTGTTATGGCATTTTGAATAAAAAAACGGGGATATTAAATTTTTTCTCTTCATCTTTGAAAAGAAAAATATCGAAATATAAATTAGATCATTTTAATTAAAGTGCACTTTCGATATTTTTTTTTGGGAGTTGATCATATAAAAGTGCATCATTAAATTAAACCATAATTGTTAAAGAAGGGGGTGTGTGGAAAAAAAAAAATGGCAAAAATAAAAATGGAAATGGGGTGCAAAAATATCTTTAAGATAGAAGTGCTAGCAAAAACAACTTTTTGACTTTTTTTATAGTTTATTGGGCTACTGTGACTACAATAAATAATATATCCGGTTAAACTTTTTGTGTGTAATGGGGATAGTTTCATTTTTACCAAGCCATCATTGTAAGTTTGGTTCTTTAAATTGGCTGCCATTCCGATATGCTTTGATATCGTCAATCGAATTAAAACGGTCACAATTAAACAAAAAAAACTTAAACCCTCCGTTGAGCCATTACAAATAATAATCTATGAAAATCGTGAACAAAAAAACCAAATAGTAAATAGTGATAGGACCAAAACAAAAGATTAAATCCATTCCAGATGGTTCCATATTTTTTGGCTACTTTTAACCAGGCATTTAATTATATTAAACAAAAACTCTAATAATAGATAACTATTGGGTTTATTTTCTAAAACAACATATATATATATACAGATATACTTTTCCAATCAATTCAATTTATTTTTATTTATTCATAATTTTATTTACTATATACTTAAAGAATGAAAGTCTTATTTTTTATTTGTTGCTTAACAACTTTATTGGCAATTGCAAACTCACAAGGTACTGAGTATGACTTTGAAACTGCTTTCAAAAACTATGTGGAAGCCTATGGAAAACAATATTTAAGTTCAGATTATCAAGCGGCATTCGATGCATTCAAGGAGAATCTTGTAAAGATCCAAAAGGCAAACGACAACTGGTCAGGATCAAATGTCCATATCGAAGTTCCAGATAGTTCCAACATGAGAGTTCTTTCTGCTGTAGACCCAATCATTTCATTCCCATCTGAAAGTTACCCAATGAGTAAGTAAATATAATTAATATATATATTTTTTTTAAAAACAAGAATAAATAAATTAATTTTCTCTCTATTTGTAGTGGAGTTAAATCAATTCAGTGATTTATCATTTGAACAATTCTCAGCAGTTTACACTGGTGTTGATGCATCATTGGCACCTGAAGCTGCCGCCGCTGCTGGACTTTCAACTGGAGCGATTGTTGGCATTGCCGTTGGTAGTGCTGCTGCCTTTGCAGTTTTTGCTGGAGCAACCGTTGCCGTTGTCAGATCACGTAGATCTGCATCAGCCGAGATTGAAACATCACCAAAGGAAGAAGTTCAAATGAAACATCAATCAAGAGGTATCGATATCTTCAAGTGGAGAAGATCAAAGCATCAATCAATTACTGCTCGTTCAGTTCCAATTGATAAACAATAATGATATTCATTAATCAGAATGTATTTCTAATATTTATTGAAAAACAAAACGAAAAAATACATAAACAAAAAATATATATTTATTTAATATTCATTAATTTATTTATTTATTTTTATTATTACAATAAATAAATCCTATTTCAAAATCTAAAGATAATTTCTTTTTTATTTATAAAGTTTTCCAGAAATAATTATATCAATATACAACTCTGAAATTATAATTTCAATTGCTATTTTCATTTCTAAGATGATAGTTTGAAAAATATTAAATTTTATTTTGACTGTTTCAAAAGTTTGGTTAATATTGATCGACTAATTAATAAAGAATATTTAATAAAGTAGTGAGTTAGAAGATTTAATTGATTCGAGTCAGGATTTAAATCATGGTGTGGTGCTATAGATTCATTCATACCGATCACAGAAAAAGAAAGAGATCTAGCGACAAGAGCTAACAATGAAAGCACACAGAAGTAGAGACTAGAGAAGAGATACATCTATACATAGAATAAAAGGCCGAATTGATATCAACTGGTTGCCTAAAACAGTCGACCCACAAGATTCTTTAAACAATGAATATCAATATAATAGTAATGATAAAAAATATAGTAAAATCAAGAAAATATCCTTTAACTCTAGACACTTGTTATTAATATTCTTTTGATCGAACAAAAAACCATTGAGTAGCTTTATGATATAAAAATACAAATGGATTAAAATATCAATGAAATCGAAATCAATTATAATGTAAAGAATAGAATTGATCGATTCAACATCAAGACAATGAAATTTGAATCATACTATCAATTAGCAATTGGATATCTTTAAAGGTTCATTATATTCAGTATCATACGATCAAAATAAGCTATTTCAATTCGATTTAACAAATAGAACGATAACAGATCACCAAATTGATATTTCACCATGGTCAGCATGTCATGATAACAATGGAAACTTCTTCATATTAGATTCAACAAACAAACGATTCATCAAATACAATGTTGAAACCAAACAAATAATCAATCTCAATGCAATTCCTTTAACAAATTTACAGTTTTCTAATTTGATGTATCATCGAGAATCTCCAACATCAAGTTATATCTATTCATTTGGTAAATCTAATGAATGTAATTTCAAATATTCAATCGAATCCAATCAATGTGAACCATTCTTTAGAGATATTATTAAAAAAAAATAGAGAGTGGTGTGCATCTACATCAATTACCATTCCAATCTCCATCCAACCATCACTCGATAACATTACAAGTGGTAATGTACCCTGTCCAGTGAGTGGATGTGATTTGGGTATTCCACGGTTTCTTCCTACAACAAAGCAAGACCAGTATTAAAAACTTGACATTCGAATACCTATACACCAAAGGATACAACCAAATTGGTTTGTACCGTTGGAAATGGAACTGGTTCCAATCTGCCAGTTCTTCTGGTCTATATTAATGGTGTGACAAATCCAGCTTCCGATAAATTGTTCTTTAGCTATCAAGCACCCACTGTCAAAGATGTTGGAATCAACGAGAACAACTTGACTATCAATGGTACCAACTTTAACTACCCTCTTTCAGTAGTGGCAACTATCAACTCCACTATGATCACTTGTACCAATCCCTTTGTAGATTCATTCTCTCAGATTTATTGTACGTTCGACAGATCGATTGGAACACCTGATAAAATTTACTTGAACATTACTGTTGGAAATCAATATATTACTGATGATTATATTTGTAAGTATAACACTCACACTTAAATAGTAGTTTTTTCATTAACTAACTCTTCTTATTGTTTTTATTTAGTGGGAGCATCATATGGTATTAAATTAAATATTAATTTCTCAATTTCTTTTGCCATTATAATAATATTACTTTTTATTTAAATAAAATTTTGACTATAATTTTCGTAATATTTGTTTAGAAGATATAAATATAGTTAATTTTTTATTATTGGTAATGTTCTGAATAATAGTTGCACCAGCACCAATGTTTAATGTCATAGTGGTATTACCGATAGTAGCATCCCATGGTAACGAGAAGGATACACCCTGTTCTGATGGAGAGGTATATGGATTGAAATCACTTTCCTCGCTTTGAATCAATACTTTTCCAGCTTTTGTCAAGGGAACATTGGTTAAAAGGTATCCTTTATCATGAATTTGATAATATCCTAGAACTTGTATTTCTATTTTAAAAATAAATATATTAATAAATACTATTACTTATTTGATATAAACTAACTATACATACGTATTGTTAAAGTATAGATTTTATCGATAACATTTCCATTTACTGTTAAATTAAGATAACGAGTTCCAGATGAAGAAAGAATTGGATTATCACTGTAGAGAATTGTAATGGCAGTGTTGGTTATACTAGAAATGGTTATTTTTGTCTGGTCTGTATACAATTGAACTAATGAAGCATTGGTACCAAAGTTAACACCGTTCAATACTATTCCAGTGTTAATATATGATTCACCGGTGATGTTTGGTTTATCAAAGGAGAACAAAACGGTCTGATTCAATCCTCTTACAGTCAGAGTAAGTGGGATATTAACACCAGAGTAAAGAATGGCAACACTCGGTGTCAGTGTGAAATAGGCAACCTTTGAAAGCGATGAACTCTGGTACTCTTGGATTACTTTGCCATGTGGGAATGTTATTGTCGATTTGTTTGCATCTGCTTCATTGCCAGACGATAGATAGCTACCACTCACTGTGATTGTACCACCAGAGATCGGAGCGGTACTGACAGAGCTGACAACAGGCAATGGATTCCAATCGGCTTGGACTCCACTCGGTTCCAACTGAATGGTACCTCTTACACCGACAGCAGATGGAATCGTAAATTGCAATGCACCACCATTGGCTGTGAAGTCAGATATTTGAATGGTTGCAGGACTACCCCTCGATACTAACTAAAACATTTATTTTCGTTGTGCTACCAATGTCTGTTCCACTAATGGTAGTAACATTCCCATTAAATGTTATACTTGTAATATTTGCCGCATCTATAAAATCAAAAAAAAAAGATTTAAATTATTAATTATTTAATCACTTTATTTTATTTAATTTTTTTTGTAAATCTTACACGATATATAAATATTATATAAAATTAAAAATAATAAAATATTTTTAATCATTTTATGTGTTTGTTTTTTTTTGTGTGAAAAATAAAAATAGAAATAGAGAAACAATTATAATAATTACAAAGATATAAATAATTTATAGATAGATAAATAAGGATTTATTTAAAATAGTTTGTTTATTGGTGTGTTTCTTCTTTTTATGTTTTTTTTTTTAATTTAGGATTTTATTCTGTATTTTAAATTATATAATAATAAAAAACTTCTCTCTCTTTTCACAGATTGATTTAAACAGTTAAGGGTTGAACTAAACCCACCATTTTAATAATTGGTTGATTAGATAGTTTGTTTAAGTTGTTGTAATCATTGTTTTTAACTTTTTTTATATATGTGTATGAGCGTGGTTTGTTTAAAAGTTGATCAAAATTATATAATTTCACACATAACAATATTTTTTTAAGATCAGACGGTGGGTGAGATCATATTCAACAACAATTTCATTGTGAGTGTGTGTTTAATATAATTTTTTTAATTGTGATTAGAACCAGTGTTTGAAAAAGTTATAGGTGGTTGTTAAATATATGTTCTATTAATGACTTTTAACAAAAAAAACAAACTCTATATATTCATACCTCAGTATTGTATTATTATATCATTAATACTATGTTGTTGGGGGATGTCTTTTTACTTTTCTCTAAAGATGAAATAATTGTACTTGATTATCAGAGTTTATTACTTTATTCCACATTTAATGTACAAGGTCAGATGATCAGAATTCCTATTTCTTTTTTTTTTTTTTTTTTTTTTTGATCAAATTTTTAAATTATATTTTTTAATTTATTTGTTTAAAAATAATATATTTATTTAATTATTAATATTTGATTCTATTTCTATAGAGATAGCAGTTTCTTCATCATTTTCATATTCAGAGTCTTCGAATGCAGAGTCATCAAAATATTCTTCATAATCTTCATCATTATTTCTTGAGTAATCTGAATCATTGTCATCATCCGAATCTAGATAGCTATATTCGCTGTTTGGACAACCCAAAATGATCCAATACTTTTGCATTTCATTACTGAGACGTATTTCAATCTTCTGATTTGCTGATTCTCTTCCAACTCTAAGTTGCTCGACAAACTCCAAATAGTCAAGTGCAAAGAAATAGTTTTTAGATTTTGTGTGATTGCTGTCTGCATTGATCTGATTGAAGTCGTCTCTCCTCTCTTCCATTGAATCACAAATCACCAAATGATCGATATAATTGAATTCATTGATAGCTACTTGAACTTGATGTTCTATCTCTTGTTTTGCAAGAAGAGATTGTTCTTCTGTTCTACTGTATCTTTTAATTTCCATTAAAGGGTATCGACAACGTCCTTCTAAACTTTCAATTGTAAAATGCCCAACAGACATCTCTATACCAACAAATAGATATTGAATGTTCCTTTGAATCTTTGGTATCTCATTTGACAACATCGACAATGCTTTTATTCTCTGAACGACACAGTCTTGACTGAATAGATATTCCAATAGCTGGTATTGTTGAAGATGTAAAACTTCAATGTTGTAAGCCAAACCAAACGAAAACTCTGTGATCTGTTTGTGAGCTTTCAAATGATTGATGATCTGATCATTCCATTCAGGTTCACCATCTCCAAATCCAACCCCCCGTATTGATTCGGCTATTCCGATAATCTCCAAACTCTTTAGTTTCTTTAGAGATATGATGTACCAAAAAAATAATCCACTTTCCTTGCTGAGTAATCGTTCGAATATTCCTGATTGAAAGCTTAGATGTTGCAATTGTTTACACTTTCTTAATCCTTGAAGAAAATATTCGATTTGCATTGAATCTGAAGGTAGACTATCCATATCATCAGAAGCTAAGATGGTTAATCTCTTCAAACTTCGTGGTAGTTTAAAGCGACCTAAATCTTCACACTCAAAATCGGCATACAAACTGAATTCACTGATGTATTTTGCAACTCTATTTTTCTTCAAAACCCATTTGATTTCACTTGAATATCCATCACAATGAAGCATCCTAACTTTAATCCGTGGTAGATGTTGAAGTTCTTTGGTTTTGTTCCATTCTGTCCATTGAGCACTCTTGAGAAGTTTGGCCAAGCTGTCGATGATAAATTTCTCTCCACCGTAGTCAGCTCCATGATACACAGTCAATTCTCTAAGTTTAGAATAGAGAAAAAATTGACTCTTGTATCTATAAATTGTGTATTTGTATGAATAATGGGAAGGGAAACAAATAAATGAATTTTGTGTGAGGTTTATAAAGTTTTTTTGGAATTAAATTTTAAAAATTGGGTGGGAAAAATAAATAAAATAAAAAATAAATAAACAAAATCCAAACACTAATTGTTTAATTAAATAGAACTTCCACCCATAGTAGAAGAAACCCCTGAATTCAAGATATGGCTACATAGATGACATCTTCCGTTCTCTCAACGTAGAACCATCTGCACCACCAACACTATCAGACAAAGACATGGATATGATAAGATCAATGATAGCATTGCAAAAATTATTGAAAATAATTTCATCTTCATGACTTCCACTTGAAAGCATATTATTTGATGATATACCAAAATCGAATCTAATGCTTGAACCTATTATTTCTTTTACGATTTTAAAGAAATGTTTGCTAACCAAAGATACTTCCACTATCCACACATCACCTTTTTCACATAGATATTTAATTATTTTACTTTGCATTAAAGGAGGTATAGACATTTCTAATAAATAAAAAAATAAATATTAATGCTTTTATTTGCACTAATGTATTTGTAGAAATGTTAAAAGTCAAATAAACCAGAATTTAAGTGCAAAAAAACCGACATAGCGAAAAAAACGTTACTGGTAACTAAAAAATTGTTTTAATGCAATTCAATTAAGAAATAATATATTTATCCTTTTCAGGAGTGAAAAAAAAAAAATTGAAGTAAATGATTTAATTAAAAAAATATAAATAAATAACTTTAAGTATTTAATTTATCATTAAACATGTTTAATTAAATAAATAAAAATATTTTGTAATTACCAACTAAAATTACCAAAACATTTCAAATTTTTAATTTTTTATCTATTTATATTTTTTTTAAAAAAAAATTATTTTAATTATTTATATTTGATTCTATCTTAACTGAAATAAAAGATTCTTCATCATCTTTTTCATATTCAGAGTCTTCGAATGCAGAGTCATCAAAATAGTCTTCATAATCTTCATCATCATTTCTCGAGTAATCTGAATCATTTTCATCATTATCAGAATCATTGTCATCACTGTCGCAGATATTGTCTTTTTCAGCAATGTCTTTTGATTGATCTTGATCCACCTCTTATTAGAAATTATATTGTCATTAATTGTTTCTTTATTATCTCCAATTTTCGTGTTTTCTTCTTTTTCTTCTACTTTGACATTCTCTGATTTTTCATTATCTTCTTCCTCTTAATCTTCTGAATATAGGTACTTATATTCAGTGTTTGGACAACCCAAAACGATCCAATACTTTTGCATTTCATTACTGAGATGGATATCAAACTTCTGATTTGCTGATTCTCTAGTAACTCTAAGTTGCTCGACAAACTCCAAATAGTCAAGTGCAAAGATATAGTTTTTAGATTTTGTATGATTGCTGTCTGCATTGATCTGATTGAAGTCGTCTCTACCCTCTTGCATTGAATCACAAATCACCAAATGATTGATATGACTGAATTCATTGATGGCCACTTTCACTTGTTGTTGTATCTCTTGTTTTGCAAGAAGAGATTGTTCTTCTGTTCTACTGTATATTTTACCTTCAATTGTAAAATGTCCAACAGACATCTCGATTCCAACCAAATAGATATGAAATGTTTCTATGAATCTTTGGTATTTCATTTGATAACATTGACGATGCTCTTATTTTCTGAACGACATATAGCTGGTTTTGTTGGAGAATTAGAATTTAAGAGTAACGGTAATTATTAATATATTCTATAGTTTAATATTATTTATTAAAAACAATTTTTAGATCCATTCATCAATAGAATTATTTCATATTTCAACACAGTATGTATCATTTCAATGGAGTAGGAAGCCTTTGATGATTTTGACATCTTTTCCAAAAGAAATAACGCTCGATCAATCTTTGCCTCTACAAGGTGGAATAGGTTAGTAAGCAGTTCTTAAGAGATAGTTTGATTGTGTTAATGCGATTTGTAGATGTGTACATACCTTGTTGCTGAGGTGCTGCTGTATTTGAAGAAAGATAAGAAGAAGAGACAGAAGGAATGTGTATGAATGGGTAGGTAATCGTGAAGTAATAATATGTTTGGTAGAGTAATGAAAGAAGGGATGAGCGAGAGAGAGAATGTGAGAAGGCAGAAGAGGAGAAGTGTATGAAGAAAGATAAGTAGAAGAAGAAAGTAATATTTGTAAGAATATGTAGTGGATAAGCGTGAGAGGGTGTGTATGAATAGGTTGTAAGAAACGATTGAAGTAATATGATTGGTAGAGAGTAATGAGAGGTGTGAGAGTTGTGAACAAGGAGAGGGAGAAGAAAAGAGAGAGGTGTAAAGACAAGAACATGAGAAATAGGTAATGCAGTATAGTAATGAGGGGAGTGAGAGGCGAGAAGAAAGAGAAGGAGAAGAAGAAAGTGTAAATATAATACAAGACAAGATAAGAAGAGAGTGAAAGATAAAAAGAAAAAAAAGAGAATGAAAAGGGTAGAAAAAGAAGTGATAGAAGGTAATATGTTAGTTAGAGAGTTCGGAAGGATATTTAGGTTTGATGGGTAATAGTGTTTTGTAGATGTATGTATGTATGTATGTATGTATGTGTGTGTATGTAGGAAACGTGTGTAGGAAACGAGTGTAGGAAACGATTGAAGTAATATGATTGGTAGGGTAATGAGCGGTGTGAGAGGCGAGAAGAAAGAGAAGGAGAAGAAGATAGTGTAAATATAGTACAAGACAAGATAACAAAAGGGAGAAGGAGAATATGAGGAGTGGGCTGGTTAGTATCATAGGTGGTTGGTTTGTAGACTTGAAGGTAGATGTACTTACCTTGCAGTGGTTGAGTGGTGGCGACATAGATTCGCTGAAGATTCCTATCGACTGGAGTCTCAACATCAAGTTGAATGGTCTTGGCTGCATCAGAGAACAAATCGATAGAACCGTCACCTACAGCGAGTTGTTTGGAACCTCTGATGACAGGGATGAGACGATTATAGTTGGCGGTGTTCTCGAAGGTGAGTTCGTCTTTCTTGTTACTAAACTCTACCCAACAAGTGAACGGTGGGTGTTGTTGTTGCGACATTATGAAAGCAGCAAAGAATAATATATAGATGGATAAAGTAAAGGAGAATGAATCGAAAGAAATAAAATAGCTACTGATAAGGATGAAAGTGTATGAGTAACAATGAAAGATGAAAAGATAGTATATGTTGTGATAGAAAGTGATAATGATGTAGTTTGAGTATTGAAGATGAACATAAGAGCTTACTTGTTTTGGATACTTGTACAAAGTTTTCACCTATCTCAGCCAATCATTCTCTTTTATCTTTGTATTTCTTGCTACACACACAAATATTGATTGTTTTAAATAAATTTTTAATATCTGATTTTTGTGTGCATTGGGAAAAAAAAAAATGAAAAATGAAAAGTTTTTTTTGGTTAGAGATTTAATGATGTTCAAAGTAACCTGTAACAGTATTAATTTATATAAATCTCTTTTAAATTGCAATAGAAATATAACAGTGTTAGGTAGTAATATCAGATTATTTAGTACAGCTAATAAGAATAGTAACAAAATGTCAAATTCACTCGAACATATCTTATTTATGCAACTCAAAGAAGACATGACCGAACAACAATACAACGGTCTTGTCAACCATATCGCTAAGATGCAAGAGAATATCCCAGGTGTTATCACTATTAACTTTGGAAAGAATTTATGTAAAGACAGAAGCGGTGGTATGTTTGTTTAACTTTTGTTCTTTTCAATATCAGCATCTACTCTTTTCTCTATGAGTATTAACTTTTAATTAATATCTCTTTTTTAAAAAAAAGGATACAACTATGGTTACAGAGTATTATTACGTGATCCAGCTGATCTCCAAGTATATGACCCACATCCCCTCCATGCTGAATTCAAGAATCTTCTCAATGAAGTTCGTACTTCACCACCCATTGTTTCAGATTTCTTAGTACCACGTCAATAAATAAATCGATATATATTTAAAAAAAATAATTGTTTATATATAAACGATTTGTACTAAAAAAATATGATTTTATTTGAATAAATAAACAGGTGCACTGTTAAGAGTTGTAATATTCGGGTGATGCTAAATCTTCTATTATTATTATTATATTATTAATTATATTTTAGAGAGTGGAACAAGTACAATTACAGTCAGTTACAGGACATTCATTATGATCTTTGAACCAATCGGAAATATGTTGTGCGTGACCACCGTGACGACATGACTGACACCATGTGAACCAGTCATCGAACGACTCGGCACCAGCTGTCCAAAACTCACGGTTGGTCGGCTTCTTAAAGTCGATACCGGGAACCATGCAGCTAAGTGGCAACATACACAGACTGCATCTTGGTAGCGCTTGCTTGCAGTGTGGACAACATGGAACTTTGGCTCTGGCGTTTACCTTTGGATTGCGACCTGCCATCGAACCGCTGCTGACCGACTCAAACGAGAAAGACTGCTGGCAGTAACCGCACTTGGCGTAGATCTGTGTGGCTGGCTGCTCCGACCACGATATTCTCTGGATATCAAGCATGGCACGCTCATGCCAGCACTCCCAATTGTCTAGCAATTCACTGTAGATCGAAACCCACTTGGCGACACGCTTGTCTCTAAAGTATTTCGGCACGACAAGACTGGCGGCCAAACAAGCGGTTTGAATATCGCTGGTACGGTCAATGTAGTGCTGCAACAAGTCCACGCCTTTCACTGTGAGACCGGTCAAGACAATACCCTGGAGATTACCCTGCTCCACCATTTGTTGAGTGCAACGCTCGGTGAACAACAGCAAGTCTTGCGGATCCAGATAGCGACAGGCAAAAGCAATCTTTGATGGCAGTGGCACCACCGATTCCTCGAGGATCGGAACCAACTCACGTGACTCGCTAACACTCAGGAAGTCCAAACACAACTTGAGATAGGGATTGCTAAAACTCTTGGCAGTGTATTTGCAAGCGTCTTTCCAGATGGCGTTGGAATTGGTGCCGTCTCCGAAACCGGCGAGTGCCACAGTGAACAAACGTAGTGCAATCTCACGTTCTTTGGCGACAGGAGTGCCTTGGATGGCGAGTGCCGAACATCCATTATTCAAAATCTGCATTGCACGCTTGATCTCTAAATGGAAAACTGCAAGAGCGGCAGCTCGTTCAAACTCACCCAAACGCTCCAACTGCAAAAGAGTATTCTCCAGTGGATGTGAAGGTGAGAATCCCCAACCACAAATTAAAGAACATACATTTCTCTGTGATGACTTGAATATAATAAATCCATTTTGTACAGCTTCAATTGATGGTGCAACGAAATCTAGATTAAAATTAGATTTTAAACTTATTAATATAATTATAAAGAATATTTATATTGTGATGGTTGGATGCGGTTACTTACACTTTTGATCATGTAAAATATTAAAAATACCAATATATTCATTCTCTTTTGGTGGTTCTGATTGATCGGTGGTGGTTACACCTGCTGGTGGTTTGATTATATGTGATTTCTTTTGAATGGTTTGTAGTAATTGTGGTATTTTCTGTGCCCACAACCAAAGAGAATTGATATCTCTATCGTTGAATTTGTTTGATATATTTACGTTATCGTCTACCAACGCAGAGTAACCTGCGATAGCTCTCTCTTTCATCAATAATGAAATATCTCTATTATATCTACCATCATTTCTTAAACTAAAATAATAATAATAATAATAATAATAATTAATCAACAAGTTAATTAGTTAGTTATAATAACAATAATAATAATAAAACTATACATACTGTGAATATTTTTCATTTGATAAATTTGGTTCTATTGTGGTGTTTTTTGATGGACCTTCAATGAGATGCATTCCAAATGAAAAACATAGATCACCGTGTGGTGACCATGTAATCGGTATGTTCTCATTCAAACTAACGACATCGACCACACCTTGATATGAAACAGTGAGCATTCTACATTCATTTCTTGGATGCCATGAGAATGATGAAACTATATCTGATGAATGATGTGCTTTATAATTTATAAACAATCAATTAAATTAGTTATCTAAACTTTATATATGATATATTTATATGTTTGTTTGTAATAATAATAACTTACTCTTGGTTGGTTTAGAATTATAATGAATAGTTTGTTCTGATGATGATGAAGAGGTGGTTGATTTACGATCGGGTCGAGGTGATTTCGTTTGCTCGATGGGTGCTTTGATGTCGTAGAGTTTGACGGTTGACTTTTCACGTCCGCTTGTGGCGAGGATACCAGATCTCGTTGGACACCACTCAATCTGTTGAACCGCTTTGTAGTTGGTGTTGATCGAGATGATAGCTTCATCGAATTTTCTCATATCCCAAATCTTGACGACGGAATCCTCTGACATTGTCGCCAGTCGGTTGTTGTCGAACGGGTCAACGCTGATGCCGTTCACCGACTTTTGGTGAGCGGTGACCGACTGCGATATATTAGAGTCACGTGTATCATAGATTCTCAACCATTTCGAACCAGTACCAATGATGAGACAGAACGGATTGTTTGGAATCCAAGCGAGTGAAAATGTTGCTTCCGATATTGTAAACTCTGAGATTGGTTGATAGATTGCCTCCGTCGGTTCAGAAGGTTGTGTATTGAAACTATTCTCTGATACCTGTGCTCTGTTTGTTTTGTTTTTTGTAAGTATTAATAACCAATGTAAAGATGATCATCTTGATTGTGATTTGATTTGATTGATTTGATACATTACAATTCATGTGGAGCATCCACTACAATACTTCCAGATGCAGTGTGTGTATTCGATCTATTCAGATAGTTGATATCCCAAACAAGAGTGGATGCATCACCTCTGATCTTATCTAAACCAACCGCTATATGTGTTCTATTAATTGGATTCCATGCAATTGAATTACAAGGTCTGAGATGAATCATTGATATATATATAGATATATAGATGAATAATTATTAGATATTAATCAATCAACTCTGCTATTAAATGATTGAATCATTGATAGTTACCTTGTATGTTTCGGTACGAATTCTTTTAGTTTTCTATTGACACTTGAGAAACTAGTTAACAGGGTCTTACCTGTGACAAGTCCACATGCTAAAAGATTTGGATCCGATGGATCTGGACTCCATGCCATACACTAATTTTTCGATACACTTTTTAGTCAATTACAATCTATTGTTTTAATGATAGATAGATAGAAAGTAGCGGATTGTTTTACCTTTAAATATTGAACATCTGTATTTACACTAATTAAATCTATTGACTTTTTATCTTGTGGTATCCAATCTAGATTTTGCATGAAATGGAATGATGATGATGATGATTAATAAAAAAGATTAAACAACTATCATAGTGTTTGCGCATTGTTAGTTGTTTAATAACCTACCATCTGGAGGATAATCTATATCGAATGACAATGGTAGATTCGATTTACTTAATGCATTACCACCACTGCCTGTTTGCTAATATTATTATTAGAAAAAAGTAGTAAATATTACGTTGTTTCATTACAAAGTTAAATCTTATTCTTATTTTTTATTACTTTTTGTCTTAATTCATATAATCTGATATCACTCGATCCAACAATGAATGTATTTGTAATATGTGGATTCCATGATATATATCTCTTTCTGTTTCCACCAGATGATTGTGAATTCATATCTTTTCTATCTTATTATTATTATTATTATCAATCACTAATATATATATATATTTATATAATCACACCAAACCTATACAATAAACATTAAATATATATATATCAAAATATGATAGTTCTTGATGATTGATTAAATTTTTTTAAAAAGGTAAAAGATTTTTTTTTTTTTTAATTTTTTTTAAAGTTTTTTTTTTTTTGTCGTCAATGAGCAAAAAAATGATCATGTCTTTTGGGTTAAGTTTTGGGGGTGGTTCATTCGGTGATTAAAAAGCTTTGAAAAAAAGAGATACTTAGTTTAGTTATTCAAAAAAGATTTATTTAATTTCATTTTATAATTATTCAAAATTGTAATTGATTCTAGAGAAATTATTTCTAAATACATTTCAAATAAATAATAATAACAATAAAATTAAGAAAAATAAATAAGTTTTGCAAATAGTTTGATAGATGCTTATCATTCCACTATTGTATGGTGATTCTGAAGTGGTCGATAGTATTATAGGTGATTGGTAGACTATACTCAATCCACTCATTACAGTTGAACTGATACCATTCAATTGAAGTTGCAAATAAGCAGATGTTCCACTTCTGGTGCAATACAGGTCACACTGGTACTGTTCAATCTCGTTGCATTTGAACATTGAGTGATAAGATTAGATTTTGGATCATACACATTCACAGTGATATTCTCATTTCCTTGGATGTTGGAAGTCATATATTGACCACTGATTGTTACAATTCCACCTTGTGTTGGTGGTGACGTTATTGATGTGATGTATGGTTGTATTGTTATCTTAAATGGAAAGGTTGGTGATGTGTTGAATTTGGTCAGTGTGTTTCCATTGTATATACCAGATGGTGTGTTTGTTGGAAATTTAAATGTTATCATCGAGTCGGAAATTGAGATCGGTGACATTGGAGTACTACCATTGAAATGTAATATTATTGATGTTGTATCATTACCAAATGATGAACCGATAATAATTGTATTTCCGTTATCTTGTGATACTTCTTGGATATTTGAAAGATCGACAGAGAATAATATATCACTATTGGAATGCTTTCCATTAATGTTAACAACCACTGATAAATTATATTTCTGTGAACCACTTGGAATTGCTGGCAATGAACATTCAATAAATGAATTTGTTTGGTCATTCAGTGTCAATACTGTACATGTATAACCTCCAACAAGGATGGAAACCTGTGAAATAGTTACACTTGGTTTGAAAAGATTCAATCTATATCCATAAATTGAGATTGTTCCACCAGTTGATGAAGTAGAGGTTACTGATGTTACAACTGGATCTAAACAAAAATAATATGAATGATTAATAGTTATTCAATAGAAATCATTATAATATAAGATATGTTTTTAATGAATACATACATAGTTGTTGAGTATAGGTTGCTGAATTTGGATTTGGAGAACCAACATTCAAATTATATTGGAAATCACCAGAGAATGAATAGTTTTGAGGATTCACATTTGATATAATAACAGTATTATCAACTAAATCGGTTGGTTGTAAATTAACACCATTAGAAATCATAGCCAAAGAAATTCCATTTACACCGAAATTGGTTCCAGTCATTGTGATTTGATTAGCATCTCTATTAAATACAACTGATGAGATTGTTGGTGCTATATGAAATTATTGTTAAATTAGATTGTTTTCTTCTTAAAATACTAAACTAAAAACACTTACCTTGGAATGAAAAATTTTTTTGAATAAAAATAGCGGGGTACAAAGATTCAGTTGAAATTCCTCTTACATAAAAAAAAACTGGAATATTTTGACCAGAGATTAAAGAGGTAATGTTCTGACCAATATTGAAATGTATTTCTGTTCCTGCAGTATTAGTATCACTTTCATCAACACAGTATTTATTAAAACAAATCTGTGAGCTTCCGGGTGGAGATGAAACAAGTGATAAACCTTTTACTGTAATGCCTCCTTGAGTTGGAGTCGAAGAAATATTATCTATATATACGGGATTCCAAGCTAATGCATTGAAATTTCTACAATCTGCAGTCTCACATACTTTAAAAGTATCTACTTTGTTAATAATATCGGGTGTGTAGTTCAAAAAAGATGTAGTCGGGTTGAGTATTGTCAAATTTTTTTTTACAGCACTGCTGACCAACATAAAGTAATTCCCATTCCTATATGCTCCACTTCCCAAATTAAAAGTCACTCCATTTGGTCCATATTCAAGTGGTTTTAAATGGAGACCTAAAATATATTATTTTATTATTAATAATTTTAATATTTCAAAATTATTTATAAAAATCGATTGATTTTTATTTACCTTTAATTTTTCCAATATTAAATAAAATTACAAATAATATTAAAAACTCTTGTATTCTAATGTATTTAGTCATGATTAAACTTTTTATTATATGGTATCAAAAAAAAAATAGATTAAATTATATCTGATTGTTTTTGATTTTTTTGGTTTATTATTCAAATTTATATTTTTCATTTTATTGATTTAAATACACTTATTAATTGTTTTTGAAGCTAATTTTTTTTAACCTAATTTAAATTTAATATTTACTACACTCTATATATTTTATAATAACAAGTTGGTTACCAAGAATATAGACTTTATTAATAAATTTCTTAAAGAACTATTTCATTTAATTTATTTTATTGAAGTGGTTAAAAATTAGCTATTTTAAAATCAAATTTTCTCAGCAGTAAAAGTTTTAAAAAAAATTTAGTTATCCACCCTTAACACACTATACCATCTTTCGATTGAGGATAAATCATAATGCTGTCACAATATAATTGGAGTTTATTGTTATCCAATAGTTTGATTTGGTTGGTTTCAATATTGATTAGATGTAACCCTATTTATTAGAACATATTGAGATTTCTATTGAAATTGGTATGATTGGGGGTTTTGTGGTTGATATGGTTGTTGGAATTGTGCTCCTTTGTTGTTTTTGATAAGTGAAATTTCATCACTATTGATGTTACATTGCTCGTTTTTGTGGATTTCTTTGAATCTAAGGTAGACGAGAACATTGTTGGCAATGCATAGTAAGATAGTTGCAAGACCAAAGAACCAGCCTGCACCTGGTCCCCAAGATGCACTATAACCATTTCCTACCTTTCCAATGAATTTTCTACAGGAGTTGCAAATACTATAATTAGTGATACTATTAATAAATATAACTAAAAAGACAGTGAATATTTCAAATAATGCCATCAGAAGTGAGAATATTCTATTAACTTTCAATGCCTTCTTATTGTACTTGTTATAAGATAAAACAAAGGATACTACACTGATAACATAACATATAAGACCAACATATTGACCAACTCCAATACCAACAAAGAATTTATCGGTATCTTTTTTTAGATTTATATAATAAACTTTTCTACTGTAATTTTCATTAAAATACTAAGTAAAAATTGAAAAAGATCAGTACAAGATCTAAAAATAAAAACAAAGAATGTATACCTTTTCCCTGTATAAATCAAAAAAATATTCATCATTTCCATAAGTTCCATTTGCGATATAATAATACCAATCACATGATAAAGTACCAATTAATGTGAATACCAATACTATATTAATGACTGCCAAAGAATAAAAAAAATTACTTTCCTGTGACATTATAAAAATAATACAAAATTGTTTGATAAAAAAAAAATAATTGCTAGATAGAGTTTTGTAATATATAATAAAAAAATAAATCTTTTGGTTCTTTAATAAGAAGGATTAATTGTTAAATTTGTAAAGTGAACTGTTAATTAATCTTTGGTGATTAATCCCTCAGAACACCCAAATCATGCCAACTATTTTGGGGTTTTTAAATAAAAAATTATAATCAGACCTTTTTTTTTGAATTAACTAATGTGTGTTATTATTTAGGACTGTGAGAGCTCCGAGAGTTTTCGGATCTCTCATCCACTATTTTTTCTTTGTTTTATTTTCGAAGAAATAAACCCCACCCCATTAATTATTTAACAGCTTGATCAAAATAATAATAAAAAAAAATCAGATATTTGCCCAGGCTATTCTAATGATACTTTAAAAAAGCAACATAATTTAAATTTTCAAAGTTTGAGTGATGCAAATAAACCTTAGTCAACCCGCCAAAATTTTGTTTATTTTTTTTTAAATTCTCTGTTTGAATATTTTTTTATTATTTAAATATTATATTTATTTATATTTATATATGACCCATCTCACTATGGGTGAAGAATTTGAAAAAAAAAAAATTTTCGAAACTGATAAAAGGTGCAACGTCGCACCTTTCATTTCATTTTGAACGTTACTTTGTTCACATTACAAATAATTTGAACAGATAAAATGATAAATAACATTAGTAATAGTAATTTTAATAACAATATTACTAGTTTTATTAATTATACTTTAATTTTATTGAGTAATGCTACACACATTAATTACTATTTGTTACATACTATAACAGCCGCATTATTTTAACTTCAGTCTTGATTGTAAACTATATATAGAGGTACAAATAGTAATAAATCACTATAATCTCACTTGACTGATAAAGAAGTCAAGAGCTTTGATTTATTATATTTAATAATCCTCATAGTAATGTTTTCTTTATTTATTGTCCTATCTACCATTTATAAAAGAAAGTTGGATGATGCAGAAGAAGATGAATATATAGAACTCAGATGAAAGCAATGAAAATCGCCTAAAGTAACTCAAATGGTTTTGTAAGATCATGTTAAACTAAAGGAAAAGGTAAACAAACAACTAGAGACACAAGTAATACCAAATCCAACAAAAAGGCAATCAGTTCCTTAGTTAAATCAAGTTTAGATCCAGATATGGTTAGAACTCAAATATCAAACCGACAAAAAGAGATATTAATGCAGCAATTACCAAAAGTATCAACAACTAAACCAACAACAGAATCAGCAACTCAATCAGCAAACTGGAGGTGCTACTAGTTTACATGATTCATTAAGAAGAATTCTACAAGCTTCGGCATCGTTATATGGTGAATCTTTTTGGCTAGATGATGTTGCCATTAACTACATAATATCTAGTTGGCAAAGTGAAGAAATTATGCTTTTAGACTCTTTATTGATTAAAAATATACAAACTTTCAGCGATCATTTTATGGAAATAAAGAGTATAGCACTTATTCCAGAATCAACTATCCAAATGATTTCACCAAAGTGAAATATATTTTATTTCCAATATTCTACCGCCAACATTGGACACTTGCCATTTACTCTGTTACCACTGACAACAAAATTAAAAGATCATAATATGACTCAATCAAAAGGAATACCTCAGACAATGTTTTAAGATTGGACCCTATTACTTATTTGGTAGTGGTGTTGTTGGTATGGTCACCAAAAGCTGCATTGATTGTGGAGTTGCAACTGGAGGTAGTAAATGAGCTTATATTGTGTTAGTCGAATGTGTGTACATTGACTTGAGCTGTAATTAAGTGTAGATATGATTCGACAAGATGTAGCGTGTCACCAGATAACTGTTTGGGCAGAGCTCCCTTCATCCAGAGTGCTTGATGAATGAATGTGCTGGAGCTAATCATGAAAACCAATACCATGCAACAGTTTCATATTTACTTGACCGTTATCAATGATCTGCCTTCTACTCTGTACCTCCAACTGCATCATTCTGAATGACTTACAATTTTGCCTTACACTTGCTCTTGGTCATCTTAAATTCTATGAATATGTTCTCCCAATCAACCATCTAGGAGTTGATTGAATTCAAGATGAGTTCCTTAAGTTGGAGGACAGTGTAGGGGGTCGAGCACTTCTGTATTTGGTAATCATTTGGTCATATTGTCATTATTTCATTGAGTGTTCTACTACTCGTAAAATTCTTAAAAAAAAAATGTTTTAAATTTTGTAAAAATAAGATCAAGATTTCTTTCGAATAATAATTTATTATTGAAATAAGATAATAATAACTATAGTTTATTTATTATTATGAAAGTTGTAAATATTTTAAGAGTGACTTTTTGATTAGAACTAAGCCTTTTGGAACTCAATGAGTGATGGGCTGAATGATTGTGGAGTCTTTTGAACGTTACCAATCTTGACACCGGCTTCTCTTGCAATCTTTTCAAACTCTTTGAGGCTTCTCTCTCTGCCATTCATCAATTGGAACATCTTGATGTCAAGCCATACGCCGACACCTTGTTGCTCATTTTTCTCGTTGCCAAGTACAATGTCATACACATAGAGCTTCGATCCTTGCTTCATTGAGTTAGCGACATTCTTGAGGACCTTAACAGCTTGATCGTCAGTCCAATTGTGAAGAATCGATTTCATAATGTAGATGTCAGCCTCTGGAATCTTGTCGGTAAAGAAGTCACCTGGATGGTCTTTGATTCTTTGGTCACGCTCTGGACAACCTCCTTGCTTATTGCACTCGACAGTGCAGTGCTGCTCGAAATTGATTGCATTCTTGATATTCTTGTTGGACTTGAGAATATGAGTCAAGAATGCGCCTTGTCCTCCTCCGATATCACAGATGGTCTCACACTTGGAAAAGTCACCAATTCCAACGATATTGGATGCCAAGCAGTTGGTATAGGTGGTCATTGCGGTGTTGTAGATTTTCTCTTCATCGCGATGCTCCTTGAAGTACTCCCATACCGATGGCTTTCCAAAGAGTTTGTTGGAGTCCGATTTTCCATTGCGAATGGTCGAAGTCAGGTCTCTCCAACTGTTGAAAGAGAGTGGGCCACCATGCAACAAAACCAAGTCACGATATCGCTGATCACGAAGCTTCTCAGAGAGTTCGGTATGTTGGAAAACACGGTCATCTGTCTCTTTAAAGATCTCCAGGGTAGTGAGAGCACGCATCAAACGATACAAAGAGTCAGGACAACAGCCAATTTCTTTGGCTAACTTGTCAACTGGCTCTGGTTTGTTTTCTAGTTGGTTGGCAACATCCAATTCACAGACGGTATAGATGGCACGTGATTTCTCCAATCCATCGCAAATCTGGCTTAAGAACATAACTGGACCACTATCAACCTTTCCAGAACCAACTTGTCCTCCTTGAGTTTCTTTACCTCTACTTTGAGTTTCAATCATTCTATAATTAATTATTTATAACTTATTATTATTTTATAACTCTTGGAAAGTTAATATTAAAAGTATAGAAAATTCCAATATTTATATGTTTCTGATCACCATCATTATATTTTTTCTCTGAATGAATCTATAAAGTAATAAGATAAAGTAAATAATATTATTTTTCAAAATAGGTAAAAGTTTAGAAGAAAGTACTTGGTTATTAGATAGTAGATCATTTTTATTATCAAATTATATTCCAATCCAATGGTTTTTGTAATAATAAAAATTTTATTTAATTTCTTGATGGAATTGGTTTTGTTTTTTTTTGTTAATATTGTTTTTTTTCCAATAAATGATAATTTAATGTGTTTGTTCATAAATATATGCATCAAGATAATTAATATATCTATCGAATTCATGATTCATTATTTGAGTTAAATCCTCAATCATTAATTCAGTCTGAGCGATCTTTGTAATGTGTAGATATCTTGAGTTTCCAACTGCTTTTTGGAGCCATTGAGTGAACAATGCACCCAAACTATCACCCAAATTACTAACAAAATCTTGAACTAAAAAGAAAATGGTTAGATGGTATATTAATTTTGAAAAGATTTAGCTTCTTCTTACCCAATGGACTATTAGATACACCTCCTAACCAAGTTCCTAGTTTATTAAAAATATTGATTGTCAATTGAGTCGTTGAAACAGTAAGTCCGGTATTACGGTCTATTTTAAGAACATTGTAAAGCAGATCGTTTTTGTCTTCCGAATCTGCTCTAAGAGCTTTTAAAGAACGTGAAAGTCTTTGAAGTTTAGGAATCTCCAACAGTTCACCCTACAAATATGTTTATATTTGAAATATTAGATTTTTAAAAATTGCAAATAATTTTTTAATTTACTAAATACCTTTATCTCACAAACTAACAAAACTAATAAAAAAATAGAAACTAATTTGGTATTCATTTTTTTTTTTTTTAGAATAATTTTATGATAATGCTTTATGATTAATCATATGTAATTTAATTTATTAAATATCAACACAAACAAAATTTTTAATTTAATCATTCATTGTTTAATATAATTGATATTCATTTATAAATGATCAACTGTCTGATCAAATAGGTTGTTTACAATGATGGAAATACACATTCTATTTTATTTTTAATTTTTTTTTTAACTTTGATGGACAAGTACACTGTGTGGGGTGTACATACGTATAACAATTTCAACATAAAATATTAGTATCGAACATTTTCTTACAGTAACCCCTTTGCAAAAAAGATTTCTACATTTTTTTGAACTAAAAATGATGACAATTATATGATTAAGAACATTTTTCTTTTTATACATACCAAAATTGTTATGAACATCACCACCTACCTATTCCTTAACTCATTTTATCATTGGTTCCAACCCAATAAAAAAATATTGCTTTGATATTAATTAATTGCTCCTAGTAGCAGCAGCAAAAATAAAACAAACAAGTAGTTCATCATCAAACAAACAAATAGCACTACACATTGATTGTTGAGAGTTTTTTTTTTTTTTTTTTCTGTACAATATATCTTTCTTTTTTATTATTAAAGATGTAATTAATATTTCATCTCAAAAATTTCAAACCTTTTTTGATTTATATAATTTGAACAACACATATGTTATTGCCCAAACTATGAAATCTTTTATATTTAAAGGTAATCTTTATGAGAGTATACCATGATTGGTATGGACAAATAAATATCATTCGATATTCTATTCACCAACCAAACAAAATGGTAGAAAAAAAAAAATTAAAAAAAAAAAAAATTAAAAAAACAATATAACACAAATAGCAATGTAGGCTAAACATTGTATTGTTTATGTTGTTTTTAATAATGTTGTATTATAATAATATTACATAATTACTTTTGTTTGGTTGTGTTTGTTGTTATTTGATTTTTGAATCATCATTAACTACAATCGAAACAAAACAAAAGCAAAAATATAATTATTATATTTGTAAAATATACATTATGCGAAAGAGGAAAAGTATGATACGATCCTGTTTCCAATAGATTATGGTTACAAGGTGGTGAGAGTGAGTGAATGATGAGAGTGTTCAAGGCAAGTGCACCCCGAAAGCTAACATCTAATTCTGACACCTTGGAAGCTATTTGAGCGTGATCGTGGCGCGGAAACTTTGATTCTCTGTGTTTTGTTTTTGTGGTGTTCTTCACTGATGTAGTCACTGATGGTCTGTGCTGGCATAGGTGGCATCAGCTTTGGTTTACGAATCATTGTGATTCTCTTTCCACTTGAATTAGTGTAACCTTTTAGTTGTCAAGGTAATAAAAAGTAGTGTTAATAAGTTTGTTTGTTTGTTTCAACTGATGAAATCAAAAGTGTAGGTGATCAGACTTACTCTTTGTCAAGACAGAATAGTATGAACCAATTCCATGTAAAAGTAAACGATGATGTGAGGATTCCAGTTCAACCTCGGTGGTTTGAATGTATGGATTCGAGATAAACTGAATCATCTGGTCCTCTGCAGTGGCAATGAATGAACTATGTTGGATGAATGGCTTCTTGAAAGCATCACGAATATTCTTTTGAAGCATAGTGAAAGATTGATTGATTGGTAATGTCTTTGGATTCTCTCTGAATCTTTTACCTTTTCTATCCTCTGTTGTTAATAATAATCAGAGAAAAATACAAAGTTTAGATAAATGTTTGTTTGATAACAATGATATTATTAATAATAGATATCTTACTTTCAGAAGGCAAACAATCCTTTAACATTTCTACTTGAACATCGTAGGAGATGTCTCTGTATGGCTCCCACTCATATTTCATTTCACGATCTTGGTAGATGAGCTTCTCGTTACGCTCGTATATATTGTGATCCATTTCGGCTTCGAATCTATCTTTAAGAATACCTCCATCCTTTAGGAACTTGGTGTTCATATATCTATTGTATCTCTTTGTTCCAGGTTTACCAGGAGACTGAATGAATAAAGTAAATAAAAAAAATAAAAAAAAGACAAGTAAAAAAATGTTAATAAACAAATATTTGTTTGCTTGTTTGTTTATAATAAAGTAAATTAGTTACCTCTCTAAAAGCAAGAGAATCACGATTGCTTCTGAATTTCTTTTTCTTTGGATACTTTGATTTGACACCAGAGGTAGGTGCACCGTTGTTCGATGCAATGTTTTGTTCAGTGATGATGAGTCTTTCCCAAAGGATTTCAGAGATCTTCTTTTCAGCCATATTTTGATTGTTTGTTGATGATAAAGTAACTAGTGAAGTAATGGTTGTTGGTTTGGTTTGGTTTTTAAAATAAATAAATAAAAAAAGAGAAAAGTAAAGGAAAAGTTGTGAAAGCTAAGAAAAAATGTTAATATTTTATAAAATATTTACAGGTAATAAATTAAATATTGTAAAGATAAGTGTATGAAATGAATAATGAAATGTGATAATGAATGTATTAATAAATTTGAAATTGAAATTGAAAGATTAAATTTATGTTTTTAATCTTTCTTTTTCTTCCTTTATAACTAAGTTGCTGCTTTGCTGATGTTGCACTATAAATAAATTAAAATTTGCTAAAGTTTGTTGTTATTGTTGTATTTTTGTAATTTTTGTAGCGCCAATATTGTTAATGTTATTGTCATTTTAGGTTAGATATAATGTGTTGTTTTTTTGTTTTGTTTTGTTTTGTTTATTTTTAATTTTAGGGAAAAATGTGGTGCCCTGGGTGGTTGTTTAATAATATTATAATGATTTGATAATGATAATGATGATGTTTAATTTAAATATTACGATATTGTAGTACTGTGTAGAAGTGTTTATGTTGCGTTTGGTGTTTGAGTGGTGAATAGTGTATAGATTTAATAAAATACACTTAAGATTAAGTATTTTATGTAATACTTCAAAAATAATAGATACTAACTTCAGATAATTAAATAAATAAATTGTTTTATACCAAGTTGATTTCTGATGAGACTAATGTGATGTTTTTTTGATAATAGGTATTTTGATATGTTGGCAAAACTGAAAAAAAATAAAAACTGAAAAATAATTTTTTGCAAAAAATTTGAGAAACTGAGAAATTTTTATTAAAAATGGTAAAAACAAATTAATTTATATTAAATCTAAGACTTTAACAATCTTGAGTCCTGAAGTATTACTGTTTTTAACCATTTTTTTTAAATATTTATATTTGATTTATTTTATATATTTGTTTTATCATATTAATTTTTAAATTCATTATTAAAGATATTTTTTTTTTTAACTTCTTTAATAATTATTTAATTTTATTTCAAAGAATAAAGAAAAAAAAAAAAAAAGGAGGTGGTCTTGGGCCGATTGGGGAAATAATATTAAACAATTTATTTGATTTTTTTTTTTTTAGATTCAAATTAGAAAAAAAAAAAAAGAAAATATATGAATGTATTTTATATAAATCATATATTGCTTTTTTGGAAATTTGGGTTGCTGGTTGTCTTTTTGCATTTCTGTTGTCTTTTATTGTTGTTGTTGTTGAGGAGGAGTGTGAGGGAAGGAGGGAGTTATTATTAATTAATTATATATTATAAGATGAGAGAGACCACCAACGCTCCACCTCTGTTGTTACTGCGGCGCGATTTCCAATAATACTGTATTCAATTGAATAGCGGATCACCTGAATGTCTACTACTACTATTAGTACTGAGAGAATCTGCTGATCTGAATGCAAATCGAAATATGAATTCCTTGAGAAGAAGCGGCAGCCAATTAGATTGGTTGTTGAAGACCAGGAATCAATGCCATTGGAGTTGCATGATGATGGTTTGGCGTATTTGTTTTTAATGTGTGTGTGTTTATGATGAATATACTATATTTACAAAAAATATTGAGTTTGTGATATATATAATTATTTATGGTGTGAAATTTTTGTTGTTTTTTTAGTTTTATAGTTTTTTTTTATTGTTTTTTAAAAGTTTTATAATTTTTTTTTAATATTTTTTTTTTTATTATTAGATTAACAAATAAATTCTCTATCTCTAAATGGGTGGTTGATATATATAGTATTTAGAGATACGAAAGATTAAAAGATGTCAAGTGAAATGTTAAGTGAATTTTGTAGTTTGTTTGTGTTTTGAATGAACAATGTTTTTTTTTTTATAAGTATATAAAAAATAATAATGATAACAGTTATATAAAATTAAAAAGTAAAGATGAAAAAAAAAAACAATCAATCAGTTGTTTTCTTTCTAGAGGTTTTGATTGATTGGAACAAGATATATTTAGAGATTATTGAATATAATAGGTAGCGTGAGACTATTTGTTGTTCAAACCTTTCTGTGTTTATCGTGTTCCATTACCCATCGCAATGGATTTGCATTTGTGTTTGGACCGCCCATCATTGAATTTGAGTTTTGTGGCGACATATATTGTGGTGGGTGCTTCATGTACATCATGTTCTTTGGTGGCTGCTGTTGGTATTGAGGTGGCTGCGAGAGATACGATTGATTTTGCATTGCCAACTGTTGACCCAAAGACTCTGGGATATTCAATTTTGGAAGTGTGAAAAAGTCTTGATGCATCGTCGAAAACATTGGTCCCGATGGCATGTATCCCATTGAAGTTGGTCCCATCTGAGAGTTGGTGTACCACGAATTGGTTGGTTCCACTGAGATTTCACGTGCGCCATTGCTTGGCATGTGTGTTTGGTGTGAGGTTTGATATGAAAGTGTTGGTTGATGCATGTATGCACCTGGCGATGTTTCATGTTGTGGGTGACCAAGATCTTCGTCGTCGTGTCCACCGAATAAATATGAGGTCAATGGAGCAGAGAAACTAGCTGGTGTGAGAAGTTGGTTGATTGAGAAATTTGTGGTTTGTTGTTGTGGCGAAGAGTGTTGTTGTGAGTGTGAAGAGTGTTGAGAATGTTGAGAATGTTGAGAGTGTTGCGAGTGTTGTGAGTGTGGAGAGTGTGGAGAGTATTGCATCATCTTTTGCTGATGTTGTTGTTGTTGTTGCTGTTGTTGTTGTTGTTGTTGTAAACTTTGTGGTTGATGTGTAATTTGTTGTTGTGGTTGTGGTGGAGATTGTTGTGATTGTTGTGGTGGTTGTGTCTGTGAGGCCGGTTGTGATTGTTGGTGTGGTTGGCTGATGTGCTCAGTTGAATTGGGTGATTCGTCCAACTTGATTTTCTTTACTTGTTTCGAACTATCGTCGGAACTACTAAGGACGGTTGTGTTTCTCTTTTGTGAACCGTTGGCCAAGATACTTGGATTCTTCATGATCAATGTCTTCTTGCTCTTTAAAATAGTGATTTCTTGTTTGACGCACTCCTCGGCTTCAGATGTGTTGTTCTGTAGGGTTGCTTCCAAGTTCTCAATCATCTTGTTCAAGCTCTTGATCTTTCTGTGTGGCCATCTTGGGATACCATTTCTTCTACAGATCTTCTTTAGCATTGTGGCGCATATTCCAAGCTCTTTGGCCACATCATTGATTGGTAAGTGAAAATATTTTGAGAGTTGTTCAAACCCGATATTAGATGTTTGAGGCATTTTAAATTATAGTTTAATGTGTATGAAAAAAAAATAATTGAATTTCTAGATTTGGTAAAAAAATACTTGTTAGTAATCCTAGGAAGAGCTGTATTGTTGTAGTTATGAAGTGACTTACTTTAAATTTAATAATTAAGGATGGATAGGGTATGTATGTACTTTGAAAAACAAAATAATAATAATTGGACAGTTTAGATACAAAGGCAATTCAGTGTTGATGGTATAATAGTAATATTAGGTAGGTGGTAATATTAATATTATTAATGCAGGAATTAATAATAGTAGTACAGGTAGTAATAGTTAACTTAGCTACTGATTAGTCAAAAGGGATATATAATTCCTATTTTTTTTAAAAAAGAAAATTTTTTAGATATAGTTAGTATTCATCCAAATGTTGGACAGGTAAAATTTTAGAAAGTTGTGTGTGGTTAGGAACTGTGTGTGAAAATATTTTAATAAAAAATTAAAAATTTAATAAAAATCGGTATCGAATTTATTAAATTTGGAATGGACTCGTGAATTATTACTGATGATGGTGGGGTATTAAATCGAAATATCGATTTTAAAAAATTAAAAAACAATTTAATTAATTATTATTATTGTTGTTTAAGTATTATATGTTGTTGTTGATATGGTATGATTAATTAATTAATAATATTAATATTATTATTATCTATCTATCTAAATTTCTAATAGGTATTGTTTTGTTTTTTTTTTTTTATATTAAGGATAAGGTATATACCTTTTTTGGAAATATTATTATTAAAGTAATATTATTACTAGTGAGTAGTGGGTGGGTAATTAATATTATTTATATATTGTTTGTATATTATTTATAATAAACTATATAAATAATAGTTAAGAGATTAGATACTTTTAGAAAAGAAACAACTATATTCTAATGATTCTGACGGTCAACAACTACAATAATTGTCTAGGACAGACGAAAGTTGTTGATTTGTTGATAAAAATAGAATAGATACCAAAGAAGGAAATGATTTGCTTTTGGATTGGACAATACCTTTTGATGGAAACAAACAACAAAATTAATTAAAAAAAAATATTAAAAATAGAATATAAATTAAAATAGAATATAAATATTTTAATTTTAAAAATATTAAAGATATTTTATAGCTGGACAGTCAACAAACCAAGAGTTAATGTGTAGCTGGAATTGTGGTATTAGGAATTATATTGTTGTTGTTGTTTTGTTAGGAAATAGAATAGTTTGACAATTGACAAGTAGAGGGAAACTAAATTATATAAATGAAATGATATTTTACTTTTTGTTTGATAATGGATAAATGGTAATCAAAGTGTCGGTTGGCTGTCAACCCGTAATTCCGATTCTCGGTAACAACTATTATAAACAACACAAACAACTTAGAATGTTTTTTGAATAAACTGATGACGAATTGATGTTTGGTTTTTGCAAATTATAAAATTTGTTTGATTTTGTAAGAGACTGATTGTTGTTTATTTAGTTGATTGTTTGAATCAAATAAAATAAATGAATAATTCATTAAATACAAATGTATTATATTATATTATATAAAACAAAACCACTTTTTCATTAGAATATAAAAATTATTACACAACACACAACACATACACCTTGATTTTATATCTCCATCTCTACCAGTTTTAATATAATCACATTAATAATATAAATGTTACTTTTACAAAGTGATTGTTGTTTGTTTGATTGATTGACCACATATCTTATAACCAACAGCAAACCAGAATTAACTCTGGAAACAACAGACAACACATTATCAATCAATCAATCAATTAATTACACACACATATATAGAGGTATAATATAATATTAATTCTATATATCTATTAGTACAAGAGTGGAAATACAGACACATCATACAATACAATATGATAATTAAAAATTGACCGTGTGATATGATACAATCACAAATATATGATTGATAATACAAATCTGGAATCGACTGTGATTTTGATTTAAATCTAGTGCATGTTGGCAAGTGAGAGGGTAGAGTGCGTAAGGCACTACAAAATCAGAACGAAACCCATTCAACACAATGTGCATGGATGTTGTTTGAGAGCAGTGTCTACCCGACACCAAGTGATCAAGTGTTGAGAGTGAGTGAGAAGCATATGATGGATGGTCTGGAGTAGAAAATAAAATAAAATAAAAAAATAATAATTCTATTTGGAAATTGGAAATGTGATTGATTGTGGTGTGTGGGTGTGTGGCGATGATGAAGAGTCTAGAATGAATGGGTATGCAACAACAACAACAAACAACAAAACTAAAGACTAGTACTACTCTACTTTTTGAATAATTTTTGAAAAAATTATTATTATTATCTTTTTTATTGATGATTGTTGTTTGTTGAGTCACAATACTTACTAAAATATGAAATAACTAAAACCTTTTGGTAAGGATAAATATATATTATAAATTAATAAAATAACAACAACAAACAAATATTAAAATGAATGACTTTACTTGTTTTTGGGGACATCACATAAACAAAAACAACAACAACTACTCCTACAAGAAAGAGTTGCAATGCAAAATAAAACAAGCAAATACTAACCAGTGGCTACAAGATTGCTACTATTGTTGCTGGTGTAATAATTGGATACGTGCTGAAATAGATATAGACACAATCACACAACACACACACAGAAGAAGAAAAAGAAAAAAAAAACCTTTTACATTTATGTCGGCTAAAACTGAACAAATATTACTGTGTGCTTGTGTGATTTGTGTTAGCGGTAACAGAATAGGAGGTGATAAAATAAATTTATATGTTTATAATAGTCGAGTGGTATGTGTGTGTGGGTGGGTGGTGTGTGTGTTTAATGTGTGTTTAAATATTTCTAATTTTCAATGATACCCTAACACCACAAACAAGAAAATACATATTGATATTGAAATAACCTATTCAAAAATCAAACACACACACAACATACAATATAAACAAACATCAAACTAATTTATATATTCTATTATTAAGTTTGCTGAAAAGAATAATCAGGGTGGTAAATAAAATAAACTGCCCCTATATATTATAGTATTGCTTATGATTTTATGGCATGATGATGAGTGTGTTGCAGCAAAGTTATATGTTTTCAATTTAAATAAACTTTAGATAGAGGGTGGTAAATTTTAATTAAAAGGGGGGATGAATCATTAGATTTATATTTATAGTGTAGAGCATGTGAAGCAAAGCACATGGTTATATAGAGTATCTGTATTGTTATTGTCATTATTCTTATTACTATCAAAAAAAAAAAAAAAAAAAAAAATTAAATTGTTGCATTGTTTGTTTGTTTGTTGTTGTTTTTTTTTGTACGACTCACTACTCCTCTTTCTTTTGAATAAATCTTATACATACATATGGTATGCATGGGTGACTATATTCTGTATTATATGTTTTATATTATTATTATGATCATCTACATTTACGTTGGAGATAATCTTGTATGAAATGAATAAAGAGGGGGGAGGGTATTTGTGACATGTCATCACACTACAAGCTTAAATTCTTAAAAGTATTAATAAATAAAACAAAAAAAACAAAAACAACAATAACAACAACAAAAGTGGTATGGTATGATTATTATTATGTATGTTTGTTATTTGATGGTTGTGTTGACTGTTTGTAATTATTTGTTGTAAATCATAACACAATGTATGTGTTTTTGTTTGGCTGTTGTTTGTTTTGTTTTAAAAGAATTTCTAAAAATCACAGATGGTAATTAATGAGCGGAAACCATATCATCGTAGTGGGTGAGAGGTCGTACTGACCAGTGATGAAGTGAGTGGAATTACCTTTTCTTTTTTTCACTAGTGGTTGTGTGTTTACTGTTTCAAGGTACAGAGGGTTTGACAATATTGGCTGTTGTAGTTGTAAACGGATATTTCTCTATTCTATTCTATTTAAAAGACCGGAATGAAGTGGGAAGGGGGGTATATATATATTTATGCTACTGTGAATTGTTATTATTGTTATTATTGTTATTATTGTTATTACTACTGCTACTACTACTACTATAATTATAATTAATTATTGTTGTTTTTGTTGTTGTTGGTTGGTGTTTGATGGGATTTGTATCTTTTTGTATCCGGATAGATCAAACCTTTTGACTGTTTGTGCGGATGTTGTAAATATAGTGGTGTTGTGTCTGTATGTAAATAAATCTGTTGGTTCTCTTGAGTGACAAAAATATAATCTGTTGGTTAGATAAACGTTCACTTTTAGGTGTATATTGATTTGTCAAAAATCTTTTCTCCACTTATTATAACAACTAAATCACAATTATTGCTTGTGCCGAATCGGGTATATTATTTCTAGCCAATCACAAGCTGTACACATCATCAATAACCCAACACCTAATTAATTAGAGTGGTAACGAGCTAGATGAGGTGATGCTGGGTGGTGGGTAAATGAATTGATGTTGGTGGTGGTGTTGTTACGGTTCTTTTCATTATGATAATGAAAGAGTAAAATCATTAAAAAAGATATAACTCTTATATGATGATATGATAGAATAATGCTTATATTGTATAGAATGTGGAATGGAATTGTCGAATTTGATTCAACAAGTAATAAAGCAAGCCAAACAGTCAACGAATGGATGGATATTTTAAAATAACCAGTCAAACATTTTATGGTTTTTCTTGGCATATCGGTGTTGAATGGTTGAGTTATTGTGTAGTAAGAGAGTAACTCTTTCCAAATTTCCAATCATATTAATTCACTCACAAAGTGATTATTTTAGTATTGTAAGGTATTGTATTGTAAATGGAGAGTTACAAGCCAATAATTAATTTGATCCATAGCATATTAAATTAATTTACTATGTGATTTGTTATTATTATACGGAAATACATTTTTATATGGATACGATTTCATTGGTTATTGTTGTATCCTCTCGTAAATAATAATAAATAATAAGATGTTTACTATTTCTATTGGTATAATATTGTAAAGTCTCATCACTTTGTTTTTTCGATTTTTATTATCGATATTACAAAGCCAATCACTTTTATTATTTATAGTTACTAATATGATAATTAAGAAATACATGTATCTGTGTGAAGAGAGCGACGATTTAAAATTGTAATTACATCGATGTACAGAAAAGGTGAATGGATGGGTATATGAATTAGTAAAAATATAGCATACCAATGAATTAGTTCAAATTGAATTTGATTACTCTTTTTAGTTGTTGCGATTGATTTGTTGCTTTGGTCAGCCAATTAATTTAAGAAAATTAAAGTAATTCGCTGATTATAATTGTAAATGATTTACTATTGAAGATCTGAATATTGTTTGCAAGCACGCGATGTAGTGAGTGGTCAATGAAATTCCTGATTGAACCAAATACAACCGTATACGACAATATACACAGAGATAAATTTGCTATTGCGGAGTGGTTATTTAGTAAATATAATTAATTAAAGATTGTTATGGAGGTGGTATTGGTGGTGGTTTCTTTCTATTATTTCGTTGAAGAGATTTAATCATATTCAATCGTATTATTAAAAAAATGTAGTGAAGGCAAGGCTTCTCAATTTTTATTGTGGTGGTGGTGAATTGTTGTAATGGTTATTGTTTTGGGAACTGGTTTAATAGATTGGTGTCGGTCTACTAAAGAGATGAAATACACTTTTAAATTATATAATTTAAAAATGTACAGATCTGATGGTAGATGAGGACGGGTGCGATAAGGTGGTTGTGAAAACAAGTGGAAACAGAGTGCCTGCAATGACGAGGTTGTTCTTGAAATAATAATAGGAATGAAATAATGATTAAAGACGGTTTTCTTTGTGATTTTGAAAATAAAGATAAACCTTTTGGTTTTTAAGGGAGCACACCCAAATAATTAATATTAAATATTTTTTTTTAAACTTTTAGAAAAATAAAAACAAAAAAAAAATAACAAAATCAAAAAAACTTGGTACTATATTGATAATGAATTATTATTGTTCAATTTTGGTTTGGTGTGATTTTGCAAAAAAAATATTTTGTGGTTCGCCCAGATTTAAATAAATTTCAATAGTAAAACAAGAGTCATGGCTATGATATGTGTTTGGTCCCGAAATTGTGAATTTTTTTGTTTTTCAATCTGATTTTGGTTTTGGCTATCAAAAAAAAAAAAAAGCATCTGGTGTGGAATTATGATTTTTTTAAAGTGGAAAGAAAATGACTTTTGAATATTGTGTAGGCTGCAGTACTCCATCTACATTGTTTGGTGAGTGAAAGCCACCCACAAAACACACAATGAGATTTTAATGTTGAAGTCATCTGACTTTCCACAAAATGACTCCATATAGAGATAAAAAAAAAAACAAAAACAAAAACAAAAAAAGATATTATTGTAAATTACAAGAATACAATTGTTGAATAAGGTAATAAGATTTCGATACATATGAAAATGATGATGTAGAACGATGATAATGATGATGTCAATGATGATATGTTATTTACTATTTGATCTGAGTGGTATTTTAGACTACAAAAAATTAATTATACACTACCTGTTAAATTTTACTTTGAATTCTAAAAGATAAAGGAAAGAAAAAAAATAATTAAGGATTAATATATATATAAAAAGTAACGTATTGTATATATATTTTAAATTTGAATAGGTTATTTAAAATTCGACTGAAAGATTATTATAACTTTCTCAATTAAAATCTAGATGGAAAATGGTCTTTTGAGGAACAAGTGTTGCCCTTGAGGAAGATTCAAATTTAAATTAAAATTTTATAAATTTATAATTTTAAAAAGATAAGAAACAATCGACAAGATGGAAGATCCATCAAAAATGTCAAACAAGAGTCGAACCACAAGTCAATGATATTGATATTTCTCGGTATAATTTCAGTTGGTTTGTTGGTTGGTTAATAGGTTTGATGTTGTGATTGTTGTCGATGGAGTGATGTTTATTACTATTTAAATTAAAATATAAATATATTTTCTGTTATGTGTCTCTTGGTAGATTTATCCTGTTTTCTTTAGGTTGTGATTTTTACTTTATATTAATGTTTTGAGAGACTCTGTATTTTTGGAACACCAAATGAAAAATGTTGTTTTTTTTTTTGTTTTTAATTTGGTGCAGCTTGGAATGCCAAATAAAAGTGGAGATATGTGATGTGTATTAACAACAGGTCTGTTGCGAATCCAAGAATAACAATTTGTATATGAGAACAATGCGCACTGAGAATTAATGAAAGATGTATGAATAGATGATCTTTTGGTGTTGAAAAGTGGTGTGTGGTTTGGAATGAATGAAATGATGTGGGGAATTTCTTAATCCAGTGATATGTGTTTAGAAATTGAGTGGCTGCCTCACAACACACCCACATTAACTTATCGTTAAAAAAGAGTTAGGTTTTTTGTGCTTAAATGTTTTTTTTCCTTTTTGAAAAACGAAGAGACAAAAATAAGTCATATTATTTTTGGTCAGTTGCAAAAACAGAAAAAACAAAGGGGCCTCCGCCTGCGATTCACCACCAAAAAATCAAATTGAACAAAAAAAAAAAAGTTTTTGCAACCTTGACAATGAAAAACATCAACCATTCGAAAATTTGAATCGCATGTTTAATAAGACTATTGATGTGGTGTTAAGACAAATTTACCAAATCGAATAAATGAGAGACAAGTGGGGTGGTGCAGACCTCAAGTTTCTATGATTTTTTTATGATTTTTAGAACTTAGGAACCAAGATACTTTTAAATTAAAAGATTTTTGTTTTTTTCACAAGTTTAAATTAGATATTTTGAGTTTTGTTGTTTAGAATAAAATTTAAAAAATTGTATAAAATTTTATAAGTAATGATGGAGTTTGACTGGTCTTTTAGTTTTAAAATGAGGTTGAAGCTCATGTGTAATTTCGTACTGTGTAAGCAAATATATTTAATGCAATTGCCGATTACACTGAAAAATGCATCCTCAGAGGTTGTCGTCATTCGGTTTTACAACAATTAAACTACTTTTTGTAGTCTTAGTCTGCAAATTAACCAAATGTCAGAATGAAGATATTTAGCGGAACAATAAAATTTTAAAACTTAGATTAAAACACAATAAAATTAAATATCTTTTGGGATAAAAAATATAATTTTACAAGATGTAGAAAGATGTGTTGATTGGGATTATGTACCAATAATGGGCATTCCCAAGATGTAAATTTAAAAATACACTGAGTGCAATGAGATTTTTGTGAAAAAAATAAACAAAAAACAAAGTGCAAATGAAAAAGAAAACGAATTGAAAAAAAAGCTTACGAAATATCTACTAACCTTTTTGACGATCGGTCACCAGTGATTTCAGTTGAATTTTCTGTGACAAAAAGAACAAACTCTTCTTTATTGAATACTTGTGTGAAAACTATAGTTAAATTTCAAATAAAACAATGGAGTAAGTCGAAAATATTCTTTTTTCATCTAATATCAAATAGATATTTTTTATTCGGTTTTAACTTGATTTGGTGGAATTTTGGGAATTCAGAGTTAAATTGGTGATTGGTTGGTGAAGAGTGGTAAGAGATTAAAATAAATTTTTTAATTTTTTAATTTTTTATCATATAGTTTGTTCCAATAATAACCAAAGGATGTGATGTGAAATGTTCATTGTTGAAAAGTGAAACCAGTCGATTGATAAATAAATACGTACGTACAACTAAACTTTTAAAAATTATAACTTTAATCTTTCTTTCTTTTAAGAAATGGATAGTGTTGGTTGATTTCCAGAGAAATCGGAATGAAAATGTTTAAAAGAGGTAACGTGTAAGAAATAAACAAATGATTTTAGGGTGTTGTTTTTGACTGTTTAGAATGACACGGTTGGTTAATCTTATATATGACAAGGCAAACTTGATCATTTTTAATTAATTAAATAATTTTTTTTTTTATTTAATTTTATAAAAACTAAAATACACATGGGACTTGTCATCTGAAAATCTATTTGATTGGTATGTGGTTGGTGGGTAAGATTGTGGTATTTTTATTTACAATTGGTTCTGATGACAGATTAATTGAATATTTGATTTAATATTCAATCATATGATTTTCTTTTTAAAATTAATTGATAGTTGATTGTTGGTTTGTCAACAAACTAGAGATTTAAACTTAAATCTTCAAATCAAAAAATTACAATCAATATTAACATTAATGGAATATAAATTAAAAAGTTAACTTTCCAACCAATACATATAAATTAAAAATAACTATTTTATTGGTCAATTTACTAAAATTGTTTTTTTTTATTGAAGTTATTTTTTTCACATCCAATGAAATTAAAGTTATAATTTGTTTTTTTTTTTTTTTCAATCGCCAATAATCATTTTACAATGATAAATAAATATTTAATGGTATGATTTGAAAGAAGCTTATTAAATACTTACAATATAGTTTATTTATATATTTTTGAGTGAATATATGGGTTCTATAGGTGTATTGTTATCGTTTGGTTTTTAAGTTTTTTTTTTGTGTAGCGGGGAGATAAGGTTTTTAATAAAAGAGTTTTATATATATTAAAATGACAATGTTGAGTTTTAAAAAGACTCTAGAATGACTGTTTGATTTGTAGAACTCAATTATAGAGTTGAAATTAAAATTAATTAAAAAAATATACTAAATTAAGATTTATATATAAAGAGAGTAAAATGTGGATTCGAAATACTATTATTATGTAGTTGCTATTGTTTTATTTATTATTATTTTTTGTTGTTAATATTTATTTTTACCTAGGTAAAACCACTGTTAATAGAGGTGGATGTTATACTGTTCTGTTCTGTTGTTGATGTTATTGTTGTTTTCAAGATCACAACAAACACTGAAATACAAATGTGATAGTAGTGTAGTGTTTGCTATTCTGAATGTTTCTCATCATGATGGATAATGGTAAAAGTATTATCATATAGTAGTGTAGAGAGTAGCATTTTAACTTATCAACACATGAAATGTATTTTTGGAGTAGCAAAGCAACTATAACTTTTAAGGAAATAATCTTAGGTGTATGATTCATTTTCAAAAGAAAGTTGTGTGTGATTATTCAAATTTGAAACAATCTTGATCTTATTGATTATGATTGTTGTTTCTTTCTGTTGTTACTTTTTTTTTGTGTGTTCAAATTAATAGTTTTAATCGATCATTTGTGGTTACTTTGTTGTTTGTTTTAAAAAAATAAAGAGTAAAATGTGGATATATGATGTATAAAGTGTGTGGTGTGTTTGAGTTGAAAGTGTTTTAGCTGTGTGTGTGTTAATTACTTAAGTTGGTTGTGATGTTATTTTTATAAAAAAGTAATTAATAACTTAAGATTTGATCATCATCATTTAATAATTTATAATAATTTATAATAATTATAGTAATAATAATAATAATAATAATAGTTTGTTTGATTGTTTATTTAAATTTATTTTTTGAAAAACGTGATAGAGCATCTCTTGTCTTTGATGGTGCAAGGATTTCAGTTTCTCTCTTTTCTTTACGATACTTCTTGGCTTCGTCCCATTTCTTGAGTTTCGATGGATCGATTTGTACACGATTCTTGTCGACCTGCTTCTTGAACTCACGACGGAACTTGTTCTCCTCGGTGCTGGCGTTCGAGTGGATCGTACCGACGAGGTCTGGGTTCAGTGAGATCATATCGGATGGGATCTTCTCGAGCAGCTGGTGTACCTCTGCCTCTCTCTTCATTCGCTTGTTGGCGAATGGATCGGCCTCCATCGAGTCGTACTGCGCCTGACCGGCACCTGGCACCAAAATCGAGCTGTAACCGCGCTCGTGGCCGATTCCCAGGACGTCTTCGAACGGACAGAACTTGAGAGTTTTCGCTGGCGATTGTAGGCGCGGAGTGAGATACGGTTCTTTGATGGAGAGATCGAATGGGTTCTTCCAGAGCACCACTTCCTGGCCGTTGGCAATCGCCAGGACGTTGGTGTCGGACAGCGACATCGAGGTGGGGATATTCTTGACTTTGAACGAGTGCAACTCCTCGTAGGTCTTACGCAGGTCAAAGATCTTGACGATTCTATCGAGACCGGCGGTGATCATGTAGTTACCAGAGAGACTGGTGGTCATGGCGGTGATCGATGTCTTGTGCGCGAGAATCTTTACCACCGGTTCCTTTGACTTTGGAATCCAGAGATCGACGTTACCATTGGTGTAACCGAGATTGATAACGGCATTCTGACGGTTCTGACACATCGCAGACAATGGGTACTTGAAAGAGTGTCTGGCAACCACCGAACCAATCGATATGTCCTCGTACACCAGACTACCACGATTGCCTGCACTCACCAACAAGAAGTGATACGGTAGGAATGTCAGATACTTTGGATCGGGATGACTATTTAACTGATGCAACTGTACTCCTTGTGAATTATAAATATATGTATATTTCTTTTGTGCAACAGCAAACATTGATTCATTATGTAAGAAACTAATTATAAATTATAAATTAGTATATATTGTTATTGTTGATTGTTGCTATTGTTATTATTATTATTATTGCTAAATATTAAACTGTAGTTATTACATACCAAGCATCTCTTGCAGGTTGTGATAAATGAGTTTCCATTAACTTTTTACCGGATTGCCAATCGATGACAGCGACATGACCTTTCTCACCGGCATTCAAAAGATAACGACCTTCTCTTGTGAAATCAATGGAGTAGGGACCGTGCTCCATTGTCAAATCAAACACCTTTACTTTTGATTGCATATCGACTGCCTTAACAATGTCACTCTGTTTTAAATCATATGTATTTTCATTTTCATCAGCTTCAATAAATCTATATTGTTTTGAAAAAAATAAAGTTAGTATCGATATTTATACTTATAAATCATTAATCATCTTATATATATATATATATATTTACCCAGATTCAGATTGTATTAAAATTTCAGCTTTCATTGCAGAGATCGCTGCTTCTTTTTTATATTTAGATTGTCTTTCAACTCTATTACGTAATACTGGATTTTTAATACCCTATTATATTAATTTTATTGATAAAAAGTAAGTAATGCATGCAAGTATATAGATAGATAGATGTTAAAAGTTGTTGATTAAACTTACTGTAGCAGCAACGACTTCACCCTTCATATATTTTCTTGCACCAGTTGGTATTCTATTTTGTTTTGACTTGATATCATTACCATTATTATTACTATTATTGTTGTTGTTATTTGATTCTTCTTGATCTGATTCATTTTCACTGTCATCATCTTCTTGTTTAATGTTTTTTGATGTTTGTTGTTGTTCTAAATCAAACTCTGAATTCTTTCTCTTGTTGTTTAAATATTTAACGATATCGTTATCATCATCTTCATCTTCGTCTTCATCTTCTTGATCACCACCATCTTTATCAGCATTATCATCTTGATTACTATATTGATTTGTATTCTTCCAGTGTTTATCATTTACATTATCATCTGCTGCTTCTTCTTGACCATCATCATCTTCACTGTCATATGATTGATCATCATCTTCCTCCTCTTCCTCCTCTTCTTGTTTTCTTTGTTTTGCTAAATCTTCAATTAACTTTTTCCTATTCTTCTCTTCTATACTACTGCTATTATTTGATTTTTTATTATTTGTTTTAGCATTATTATTATTTTTTTTATTTAAAGTAGGTCCCATTTTTTTAGATAACTATCTATATCTATTAACTTTTAAATAAATAAAATGAAAAAATAAAAAAATAAAATGAAAAAAATAAAAATAAATAAATATTATATTTTTAATCAATCGTTCGTTTTTCAAATTTGGTCCAAAATAAAAAAATTAATTTTTCTATTTTTTTTATTTTTTTATATTTTATTTATTTATTTTCAATCAGACAATCAATCAATAACATAATTATCATTGTTTGTTATATTATTATTGCTATTAAAAGAATATAAAAAATATGTCAGATAGAACTTCTTTTAAGAAAAAGAAATCAAAAGTTATCTTTAGGTTAACTGGTGATGAGAAAGATAGAAAGAAAGAAATCACTTTTAATGATCATGATAGAAGGTATGTTGTTTTTGTTGTTGATAATATCAAAACATATATATATTTATAATACTAATATTTATATTATTATTAAATAGTGATTATTTAACAGGTTTTCATAGAAGAAAAGTTGCAAGAAGAGAGTTTGCAGAGAAGAGAATTGCAGAGAAGGAAAAGGAGGAGATTCGTGAACAAAAGAAACTTGCAAAACTACAGAGAGAATCATATCGTGAATCGATTATCAATGCAAAGATGTTGGGTGAAGGAAAGACCTCGCTAGCACAACAGTTGGAAGAGGAAGCAGAGGATGATGAAGATGACGAAGAAGAATCGACTACCACCACCGCCGCCACCACCACCAAATCTAAATCATCACTAAAATATAAAACATCTTCAAATGTAGAATCATCGACACAACAATTTAAGAACGATACAAATATAATTACTGCAACAATTGAACCTATTTCGTTTGATAATGAAGATGGTGAAGATGATGAAGGTGCAGAGGAAGATGATGATGAGGATGAAGATGAAGATGAGGAAGATAAATCAACAGCAACTGGAAATAAAGATAAATTCAAAGTAAAAAAGAAAGAGAATAAATTTAAAGATAAGAAAAAGAAGGATCAGATCACCTCTGATAAGCTGACTGTGCTCGATGCTGCAAAGAAAATATTTTTGGATGATAAAGGTCGTAAGGTTATGATGAAGAAAGAGAAAGGTAAACTTATTCCCGTTGTATTGACAGAGGCTGCCCAAGAGAGAATGGAAAAGGGTTGGGAATTACCACGTCAACTTAGAGAGAAGCCAAAGAAGTCATGGTCATTAACAGAAGCAAGAAAATCAAGAAAGAGAACAAGGAAAGATAAAAAATAAATAATTTATAAATTATCAATTATTATTATTATTATAATATTATTAAATAGTTTCTTTTATTATTATTATTTATTATTTCTTTATTCCATTTCACTATTTGGTTGTTGGAAATTAAATGAAAAACCAAAGGTTGTTGTTGAATTCAAATTGGAATTGGAATCTGGTTCTGAAATCGATGATGATGATGATGGTTTAATTAGAGAATCCCATGCTGATGATTTCTTCTTTTTCATGGCTGTTGGGTTTGGTTGTGGTTGTTGTTTTTGTAATTTAAGTTAGTCAAGTTTTTCATAATGTTTCAATACCCAATCAATTTATTCTCGTCTCCACCTGATGATTATTTTATTTATTTTTATTTCTATTTTATTACAAAAAAACCACAAACAATTATTTATTAACATAACAATCAATCAATCATTTTTTATTTATTTTATTTCTATTAAATATTAACTTAAATATAATATACCTACAAAATCAGATTTAGTTGATTCAAAAAAATAATTTCCCTTTGGACAAATACCATAAGGATGTGGGTTATATACTTCTTAAATATTACCAAGTATTACCATATTTAAGATATATACGTTTATTTATTTATAGATATCTGATTGATCAACCAATCAATAATCATATGAAAACTCCCACTTAAAAAAAATGACCAACATCCTTTACAACTAGTTTTGTTCGTTTTTTTTTTTTTAAAAATAAATTTTAATTTAATTTTTTTTTTTTTAAGATTTGAATAAATAGATAGATAGGTTGTAGTTATAATATAAAGAAATAAACAAACAGAGTAATGGGTAAATCATCAAAAGATAAAAGAGATATTTATTATAGAAAAGCAAAGGAAGAAGGATGGAGAGCTAGATCTGCATTCAAGTTGTTACAAATCGACGACGATCATAATATATTTGGTGGTGTGAAGCGAGTGGTAGATTTGTGTGCAGCACCAGGCAGTTGGAGTCAAGTACTTAGCAGAAGAATCTATGGCGATGGCAGTGATCCAGATGTTAAGATCGTTGCCGTCGACATCCAAGAGATGGCACCACTCAAAGGTGTCCTCCAAATCAAGGGTGACATCACCAAGCTCACCACCGTCAACCAAATCATTTCACATTTCGACGGTTCTCTCGCTGATCTAGTTGTATCCGATGGTGCACCAGATGGTAAGTTTGTTTGTTAATTAATTCGATATTATATATATATGGCTAATAATAATGTTTACAAACATCTAATTAACTTTGTTACAAATAAAACAACAACCTCATTATAGTTACTGGATTACATGATATAGATTTCTATGGTCAAGCACAACTTATATTGTCGGCATTCAATATTACAACACATGTATTATGTAGAGGTGGTACTTTTGTTGCAAAAATGTTCAAGGGTAACGATATGACATTGATGTACAATCAGATGAAGTTGTTCTTTGAGAAGGTTTCATTTGTAAAACCAAAGAGCAGTCGTGATTCTTCACTTGAAAATTTTATACTCTGTCAAAACTATCAACCACCCACCGACTTTACACCCACGATGATTGACCCAATGAAAGATAATTTATTCCGTAAGTTGTTTTGTTTTTTTTTTTTTTTGATCAAATTCTTTAATTAATTCCACTTCAATCAATATCTAGAAAATAATAACAATAATAACAATCAAAATAATAATAATAATAATAATAATAATAATATTTCAAAATCAAATAATTTAAATCAATCAATTTTAAGATTTGTAGCTTGTGGTGATTTGGATTTACTTTCGAATGAATATGATTTATCATGATAAAAAAGAAATAATAATAAAAATAAAAAAATATAACAAAACAAAAGAAAGAAAAGATAACTAACTGTTCAATAATGTATTGTTGGTGAAGTTTGCTTTTGTCACCAGGTTGATTGATTCCGATAAAATTTATAAATGGATTAAGGGTATCACAAATTCTTGTATTTTTAAAAACAAAAACAAATCAAACCCCCCAACTAGTTGATTTTTATTGAAAAAAAACAAAAACCATTTATTTTTAGTTGCATTTTTAAACACGAAACAGTTTTAATCTGTTTTTTTTTATTCCATCTCCTTTATTACTATTCATATATTTTATTTATTTATTTATAATAAACTTAGTACAAAAGTGTATATAAAAACAAAAAATAAAAAAGATCTAAATTAACTTGAACAAACAATTGTTTGTTTTTTCGTATTTATTTAAAAATATTGTAACATTAATAATAATATAACAATACAAACTATTATAGTTTTCTATTTTTTTATTTTTTTTTGTTTAATAAATATATAAAATCATTCGTTTTATTTTGTACAAAAATATATTATTATTGTAAAGTGAGTTAGTTATTACACACTTCTCTCTCCTTAACATTATCAAAACTTTTTAACCACACAATCTCAAAATAATAATAATAATAATAATCAAAACAATAATAATAATAATAAATATCATTTGATTTTAAATTAAAGAGGGAATAGTGAGAATAATCATATTTTTTCAATCACCATCATAATAATCAATTTTGAAATTTAACGATAAACACAGATAAATAAATAGATAGATAGAGTAATAGTAATCATACAAATCAAATAATCATATTATATATTTATATATAAAACTGTAACATAATATTTTTATTATTATTATTATTATAACTTTTTCGAAAAAGTTTATAATTCTTATTTCCTTGATTATCAGTTATTATATATATTTTCAAAAAATAAACAAAAAGTTATTATTTATTGATTTAAATATTAAAAGTTGAAGTGAATAATAATAGTAGTATTAGTAATAGTAGAAGTAGTAATAATTGAATAGAATAGAATAGAGTTGTATTGTTAACATTATATATATATATTGTAAAGATGGATCCATTGTCTATGCTTGCAGCAGAAGAAGAAGCAAAGATACTTCAAGCACAGAAAGCAAGAGAGGCAGCAGAGGTAGCAGCAGCAAAAACATCTAAAACCAAGATTAGAAATCATTTCGAAGAGGAAGAGAGTCGTTTGGAATCAATCACAAGAATACACTTGCATGATCCTACAATCGACATCAATTCAAACATCAAAGAAATCGAAATCAAAGATCGTAACACAATCTCAAAGAAGAAATGGGTAAATTCATTTTGTGTCGTTAATTTCGATCTTGAAATAGGTCAAAGTAATATCATAATATCACAATATCAATATCATTTCATCATCATCATCATCATCATCATCATTCTAATCTAAACATCATTACAATTCGTATATTATAGCATTAGATTATAGTTATCCAAAAGTAATGTTAAGAGATGAAGAGATTACAAATTTATGTTTCTTGTCATTTCCAGATTCGAATTCACATCTTCAAGGCGACATTATATATTCATTCAAACTGAAGTATTTGAACAAAGAGGATTCAACTTATCATTTTCAATATGGCTATGTGTTCTTTAGACAGGAGAAAGATCCAAGCATTCCACGTGGATATCTGCAGAAATCAGTGGTGTTACTGAGTGACGAACCATTCGTAGGATTGTTTAAAAAAGTAATAGAAGTGGTCGGTCCGCTCTACTTTCAGTATGGAAACACACTGCTCGAGGTTGCCCATCAAAACATGGCTGCTTGGCCCGAGTTGAAACTCGGTCAGACCTACGAGCTGCCGATTCTCGGCTCGATCTTCACGTTCCACGTGCCGTACACTACGAGTGCACCGCACATCATCGACCCGATTCTCAAGCAGAATCTGGCGGCCACCAAGTCGCTCGACAAGAGCCAGGTGTCAGTGAGCAACTTGCAATCGATCGATCTCTACACCTGCTTCAAAAGTTTCTCTGCCAAGCTCTGGATGCTCTGGGAGATGGTGCTACTCGGACATCCAATCATTGTAATGTCGCCGACACCGCCAATCTCGTCCGATGCGGTGCTGGCGTTGGTCAGCTTGATTTCGCCCCTCAACTACTGCGGTGACTTCCGTCCGTACTTCACCATCCACGATCCCGACTTTCAGAAATACACAGCAACCACCGCACAGCCAAATTCAAGCGATGACACCAACAACATTCCGGCATCGATAATCGGTGTTACCAATCCATTCTTCTTGAAGGCATTAAGTCATTGGCCAACAATCATTAATATTGGTACAGTACATAGGTAATTAATTAATCAATCAACATAACTATTATTTTTGTTAATGACATCTTACTAATTGTTTAATTATAAATCTTTAGATTGGGTATGAATCATCAACAACAACAACAAAAAAAGAAAACTTTATCACTAATGTCAAGAGATTCAGGTAGCAAACAGATGACAGACAAAGAGAAAATAACAACAGAATACAAACCATATACTTCACCAGACAAGAATTTAGTTAAAAAGATTACAGATAGTGGCGAATTGCCATCACATAACGAAACGCTTAGAAAATACTTTTTACAATTGACATTAAGCTTTTTGATACCACTAGAGCGATACTTTTCTTCTTTATTACCTTTAGCAAAGTAAATATTATAAACATTTTTTTTGGCATCAATATTAATTTTTTATTTAACAATAACTCTAACCAATTATTATTATTATTAATAAATAGAACTATATCAGTATTTCAACGACCACCAAGATTAAAGAATTTCGATAATCAAGAGTTTCTTGACAAGTTGGCAGAGACTGACGAAACCTATATTCTTGACAGCAAGAGCAAAGAGATCGAGTTGTACAAAGAATTTTTAGAATCAGTCAACTTTAAGAATTGGTTGGAGGAGAAGAGAAAGGAAGCAATTAGACATCTCAATACACTCTATAGAAAAGCAATCTTGGATGCCGACGTTCACGCACTGCTTAAAAACAAAACTCCTTCAACTGCACTAGATCTACACAAAAGAGTTAAAGATCAATTGGTAAGAAATAGTTTAAATACTGAAAGAAAGAAAAAACAAAGAAAATATTTTACTTATTATTATTATTAATTTTTAATTTATTAGATTTTAGAAGAGAATCTATTCCAAGCACCCGATGACATCAAACAAAAACTAAGAGCACATCTAGATTTAATTAATCTATATTTTAATAATATTTCATAACAATATAATGTAACTTAACTTCTTCTCTACCCATATTATCTATATAATATAAAATATTATTTTTGAAAATACCTACAAACCAAATTATATGATGTAATCATCCCAGTTGGTGAATTGATCAGATTATTTCGAGCTCGTGATATATCGTTATTTTTTTATTCATTGAAAATTTTGATTGATGGGCACCAAATTATAATATCTAAAAAAATATCAGAATGTCATAAGATATTATTATTGTTTCTTTACAATTTATAAACATGATGTTAAATAATTCTTAATGTAAAGAAATTGTTTAAAATTTATTATTATTATTATGATTTGTTAATCTTAATATTTTAAAAACAAATATGTATTTAAATTATTTATTTATTTTATTTATTATTTATAATGTTGTATTTTACTCAAATGCTCAATTCTTACCGAATGGATTTCCAATAAAGGTATTGTCGAATGACAGTCTGTGGAACACTCCGATCCCAGCTGGATATCCTTTGGATAGTCAGTCGAGTGCTATGATCACTAAGCTAGGTCAAGGATTAACACAGGCCAACTACGCACAAGCATTTGCCTTTCATTACTTCCAATACACTGCACCGATCTATATCGTAGATTCGTCGGTAGTCACCATCAATAGAATCACCGTTTTCAACCCTGATGGTGAAGTCTATCACCCAACTGTTGACCCATTGGCAACCGGAAGAATTACAAATCTCCCAATTCCAACAACATGTCTTCCAGATCCAGGTCTAGACGGTCACATGATTGTCTACGACAAATCACAAACTAGATTCCTCGAATTCTCAAGATTCAAATGGATAAACTCTACATTTGCTTCTGCAACCAGACACGACAATTTCCTATGGAATGCTCTAGGAACTTCTTTACCATTTAATTCAGGTAAGTAAATATTACAATATTTATTATTAATAAACAACAAGTATAAATATTAATTATTATATTAATATTATTCAATATTAAAGGTGGATATCCATGGTGGATGAAAGGTGTTCGTGGTTCAGGTGCACCTTTTATTGCCGGTCTCATTAGATATGATGAATTGATCACAAGAGGTGAGTTGAATCATGCTCTGGCTATTGCCGGACCGACCAACCGTCAAAAGAAAACCAACAAGCCCTATACCTACGAAGCATGTTCACCGGTTGCCGCTAGAAACGACGGTGCACTCATTGCTGATGATGGTTTGCTCGAGGGCCAACGTATCCGATTGAATCCAAACTATGACATTTCCAATTTCGGTCCGAAAGCAAAGTTGGTTGCCCAGGCTCTCAAAACCTACGGTGGCTACATAGTTGATAATTCACCAGACTTTGGACTATTTTTGGAGAGAACACCGGGATCTACATCTTCTAATTCGCCATGGTTGTCTTATTGGGCAAATGACCTCATTAGCATCACTCAAATTCCACTCAATCAACTTCAAGTTTTAAATTGTTCAAACATTGCAACAAAATAAAATAAAAAAATGCTGATTCAAACAACAACAATTATTCTCTCATTCATTTCATTGGGAGGAATAAAAAAATTTCTTTCTGTGATTGTATTAATAAATCTATTGATAATAATAATTGGAGAGTATATTTCCATTTTAAAATTATATAGATCTTTTTAATTTAAATTAATTATTTTGTTTACTCTTTTATTCTTTAATAACCAAATAATATAAAAACAGATAAACCATGGGCTTATTCATTTATATATATATTTAAATCAACAAAGAGATAAATATATTCTTAGATTATTATTGGTTCAATAAATTAAGTTAGTTACCAAACAAGTTATAATAAACAATTATTAGATTGAAAATCTTATAAACATTCAACATATATAATATGTCATATTTATATATTGCAATAACAGTGTTGGCCGTTGTAGGTCTCATTACAGTCGGAGTCTTGGGAACATTTGCCAAAGGATTCGTAAAGCCAGCTGGTGCACCACCCTCTTAAATGATCACCATATAGTGTTAGCTAGCATTCAGATATGACTCTAACTTGTATATTTTCAACAAATAACTTAAACAAAACAACTTCAAAAAAAAAACAACTCCTCAACTACTACAACAACAAATAAACTAATAAATAAATAATAAACCATATAACAATAACAAATTTTGGTAATAAATAAAAAGAATTTTTTTCTTTCTTAATCAGATACTTACAATTATTTTGATTGCAAAAAAAAAATTTAAAAAAAAATCAACAAAATAAAAAAATAAAATAAAAAGCAAACAAAACAGTTTTGTGTTACTCAATTTGAAATCAATTCAATTCATCTTATTTAGTCTATTGAAATTACAAAAAGATAACAAAATAAATCTTAATAATAAAAAGAAACAACATTATTACACACTAACTTTATCAAGTTAAACAAAATAAAAATTAAAAAAACAAAAACAAAAAGGTGAGTAAAAAAAGTAATAGTTATAAAATAGATCTAGTAGTAATAATTTTGAAAAACAATTTTTACTTACTTTTAATAATATATTTAAAACTTTTTATTAATAATAATACTACTTATAATATTAGACAATAAGTGTTTATATTTATTACATATATATATATCTTTAATAGGAGGAACTTTAATCGATTTTAAGTTAAATAGGTAGTTGACACACACAGAGCTAAAAGAGTTAGTTATTGAGAGAGCGGAAAAAAAAGAGATATAGTTTTTTTTTGAAAAAACAAACAAAAGATAGAAAGAAAGAGAGAGATGTCGGGATATATGCAACAGAACAACAATGGATATACGGCACCTATAATATCGACTGCCTCACAATCGTTCAACTCTATAGCGTCTTGGAAACAGAGTATCGTCAACCAATTGAACCAGAGAAACACTGTACAGACAAATGCATTCTCTGAGATCATAAAGGTGTACAACGATCTTATGAAGCGTGAACGTCAACTACAAGAGAGAAACACCATCTACGAGAAAGAGATCCTTGCACTAAGAAACGAAAAGAGAGGTGAAAAAGGTGCATCTACTTCATCTTCATCAAGGTAAAATTAAAAGATAACATAACATAACAAAAACAAACATTAAACATTAAACAAAAACAAACACTAACTTAACCTCCTGCTACTACTTGTTAATATTGTTAACGATAAACTAGTGGATCTGTTAGTAATAGAGGTAAAACGATTGAGGAATTGGAGAATAAGATATACAAGTTACAAGAGGATTTGACACTGAGTTACAAGACCAGTGCTGACAATGCTAGTAGTTTGTTGTCGCTCAACGATAAGAATAAGGATCTGCAGAATGAGATGGTCTCGAAAGAGATCGAGTTGGAGCGTGTCAGGAGTATGTTGACATCGAGTGAGGATAGCTACAAGAGGTTGGAGGCCATCATCGAGGAGAAGACAACCGTAACACAGATCCTCAAGGACGAACTATCTGCACTCCAGAGTGAGTTCCTTCACAACGAGAGCAAAGTAATCAAGCTTGAACAGGAAAACAGTGAACTACTGGAGCGTTGGATCAGAAAGAAGAACGAAGAAGCAAGTAAAATGAATGAAGCAAACGATTTCTATCATAAGATGGTAGAACAAAGAGAACAAGTAAGTCGGAAAAAGATAAACGACAAAGCAAACAACAAACAACAAACTAGTCAATCGTTTAATATATATATATATTAACTTTTACTTTTTTATTTTTATTTTTAGTTTGTACATATAAAGAATGATGATATAAATATTAATAATATATCGACAATGGATGTAGATGCTGAAATACAAAATGGAAGAAATTTATTAGATAAACAATTGTATGTAGAGAATGAATAATGATAATGACTATGAAATGATGAGTTTTATTGTTAACACAATTCAATTCAATTTCGGAATGTTTTAGGAATATGACATCATCGCTATTACCAAGTAAATCTAGGAAGAAGTTTGCAGCACATCAATCAGAGGTATATTGTTTGGCGTTCAATTCGAACGGTCAGATGTTTGCCTCTGGAAGTAGCGATAAATCAGTTAAACTCTGGGATGCACTATCATGTACACACAAAACAACACTACTAGGTGCATCACAATCGATCATGTCTGTCAATTTCTCACCGAACGACGAACATATACTTGGTACAAGTAATGATAACTCTGCCAGACTTTGGAATGTCGAATTAGGTAGACCAAGAGTATGTTATATTTAATAGTTATTAAACTTGATTATCGTTGTTTGTAGTTTGTTAATTAACTAATCTTCATCTAAATATAATATATATATTAAAGCATACTCTGACGGGACATATAGGTAAAGTTTATACAGGTAAATTCATGTTGGGATCGGATAAAGTGGTAACTGGAAGTCACGATAGAACTATAAAGTTGTGGGATCTTCAGAAGGGTTATTGCAATCGTACGATATTTTGTTTTAGCAGTTGCAATGATTTGGTTACCCTGAATACAGGTTCGTTGATTGCCAGTGGACACGTCGATCACAGTGTCCGTTTCTGGGACTGCAATAGTGGTGAGTCGGTGCGTGTGCTCGAGGCCATCCACGAGGGACAGATCACATCGATCTGTCAGTCACTCGATCCCAACCTGATACTCACCAACTCGCGTGATCATACCCTGAAGATCATCGACGTTCGTACCTACCTCACTCTAAAGACATTCAAAGACCAAGACTATCGCAACGGACTCAATTGGTCACGTGCTTCCTGGTCGCCCGACGGAAAATATGTCGCCGCTGGATCCATCGATGGATCTATTTGCGTGTGGAACGCATTATCAGGTAAAACTGAAAAGATTATATCAAAAGTACATAACATGTATGTATTAGATGCATATTGATTTGTGGTTTGATTTGATTATTAATACTTTATTCATTCATTTAAATTAGTGGATCATCTATATGTTGTTGTGCATGGAGTCCATTGGGATATTCTTTTATTTCTGGTGATAAAGATAAGAATATTGTACAATGGGAATAGTTTAATTAATTTATCATCAATCATATATAATAGTAATAGTAATATTAATAATAATAATAATAACATCTACAATCATCGAACTTAACATTGTCAACTTCCACCATACACTCTCTTCAAACAACCAATCAATCATCATTCCACCTTTTTCTTTTATAATAATAATAATTTTGTTGTTTATTTTTTTTTCAAATATCGTTTCTTTTTTTTTTCTTTTTTTATAACAAACTCCCCGTCAACAAATAATTAATCATTTCATTGGTTCTACAAAAATGATAACTTTCGTAAAACTCAATCAAATTACAAAAAAAAATAATAATAATATTAATAGTACTTTATTTTTAGAATAAACAATAATTATAATAATAATATAATTTCCAACTACTTAAAATTTAAATGAATGAAAAATGACCGTTGACTATGGCAAAACAAGTTAAAGTTTGTCCATTCCCAACTCCAAAAGACACTGGTCTTCATTCCCAAGGGTGTTTCTAGATAAAACGTTCCCTAATTCCCCAACTCCCACACCTCATATATATCATTTCAATGCAAACAAAATCCAACCATCTCCAATCCAAAAAAGCAACTTGTCATTTTTCAAATTTACAAAAAAACAAAAAAATAAACAACAAAAAAATATATCTTTTTTTCAAAAAACAACTACTTTATTGTAAGATTCTTTTCTTTACTTAATTTTAATCTAATTTAAATATCAAATCTAATTATAAAGATCTAAAATAAATTAAATTGGAAAACTCTAACAAAAACTAATTTAAAAAATCAAAAGAAAAATAAAGTTTTTATGCTAACTTATCGAAAGCTTGGGAATTTCACTGGGAAAACCAACTGTATTCATGAAAGTTAGTATGGTGGTCTGGTTTTTTTTTAAAATCAACGTCACCAATTTTCAAACCTGTTTAAATGTCTCATTTCTTTGGGATTGTTTTTTTGCATGATAGAATGACATTCACAAATCATAGACCCCATCCCCTCAATCTCAACACCTTTTTTTAAAATTTTTTAAACTTAAATTAATTGTTTTTTAGTTTTTTTTTTTTGTAATTTGTTTAAATTTTTTTTTTACCCCACCTCATTTCTTTCAAACATACCCCACACATTAAACAACCATTTTCCTAAAAACACAATTTAATTTTACCTTTTTATCACAAATTACATTTAAATATTTTCAATATTGTTGTTTTTTTTTTTTCTTGTTGTTTTATCTCTATTTTCATTTTTATTTTCATACATACCCTCCCTCGACAATAGAGTGAATATAACAACATAACACTGCAAATTCATTACAATTTTTCAACATCAACAATTAACAAAAATAACAACAACAACAAGAAAAACAATAGTGATATAACATTAAAGTTGTAATAATAGTTGAATAGATATTGAAAAATACGAAAATACGTATATTGAACAAAAGAAAAAAAAAAAAACAAAAACAAAACCAATAACATATTTATAAATTTAAAAAAAATACCTTTTTAGATTAAATTAAGCAAATATTAAAGTAAATTATTTTCTTTATATATATATATTTATCTATTATTGTAATACATTTTCAGTAAATAATAATTAATATTCATATTAGTAACATTAATAATTAATTAAAAGTTAATATAATTCTTTTGAAAAGTAGTTGGCAACTCCCTCAAGGAATTCCTTTAATATCTTTTTTTTTTTTTTCTCGATACCAAAAATAATATATTTCCAGTTTTTTATTTTGTTTCGCAAAAATCAACAGCGCTGGTACCTTTTAGTCTGTGTCACCAGCAATTTAAGCTCAATTTTTAAAAATAGATATTCTGCAAAACAAATTTCAACTTTTTCTATTTTTTTTTTGTTTTGCGACCATTTAGAACAAAAAATCACCAATTCATAGTAGTAGTAAATAAATAGAATTTTGTTATTGTAAATCATTAAAATAAATTTATATCTATTTATAATATACAGTATTTTTATATAAATATATATTCATTTCACAAGACAGTAGTCAATAACTTTTATAAATTAGTACTTTATCTCTTTTTTGTTAGAGTGCAGACTCTGCACAAACAACAAAATAAACAAAAAGATCACTCTTAAAGTAGTATATCACTACTCTTAAGTTTATCATTTTTTGATTTTGTTAATCATTTTATATATATCTTATAGAATCATACAAAATCAGAGAAATTCAAACTTTCTCAACAACAAACAACAACGCACTTGAATAAATCTATTGTTTATTTTATCAATTTCATACACCTACAACAAACAACAACTTTATTTATATATATACACACACACAAATAATAAATAAAAAATGTTTAATCCAATAGCAACATCGTTGTCGGTGATCGAACAAATTCAACCGGCACAGAATCCTCAGAATATCCAGATGAAAAAGAGTAATAAGAGTTTGATATCGGGCGACATTGACAACTACTCGAAATCATTCTTTTCGACACCTTTCCAACAATCTTATATAGTAGAGTCACCGGTGACCAACCCACAAGCACACAGCATAAATAGTAGAGACGACGGTGTATATTCACCGCAGATGGTTGGCGATGCTGAGTTGCCTCCTCCCTATCCGAGCAGCGTTGCCACCGCCGATGACTATAGCGCGGTTGGCATCAACTACAGTGTATCACCACAATATCCACACTCACCATCGACATCAAACATCAAGGAATTCACATACTACAAGGTCAACGATCTGAGCAGCGAGAGTCTTAGCAGTGTTCGTGAACAAACCTTTGAAAATTCAACAACCACCAAACAACGACTGAAATTCGTTGGAAACTGGCTCATTCACCAGGCTAAAACCAGCACCTATCAGACTTGGATCAAGCTGGTACTACTGGTGCTCATCATTGTCGGCGTTTGTCTCGCCATTTTTGTATTTAAACTTCAAAAGCATCTCGATGTCCTACAGGAATTTGTCAACAAATTCGGTGTTGCATTGGGTGGTCTTGTATATATGGGTGTATTTATTTTATTAATTATATTTTTAGTACCAGTTACTATACCGACTATTCGTATGTTTCTTATTAGCTTTGTTTACTATTCAATCGAGAAACTAACATGTTTTTTTTTATTTTATTTAGTTGGTGGAATATTATTTAAACAATGGTTCGGTATGCTTTTTGTGTGGACTTCATCGATGATCGGTGCCACCATTGCATTCTTATTGGGAAGATATGTATTTAGAAAGTCAATTGCTAAAAAAGTAAATTTCAAAAACATTCGATAAAACATTTAATCTATATATATTAACTTAATAATCATCATATAGATTGAGAATAACAAAAAGTTGGTGGCTATCGATCAAGCTATTGGACAAGAGGGTTGGAAGATTGTTTTACTATTGAGATTGACACCGATCGTACCTGAAAGTCTATTGAATTATGCACTTGCCGTTACCAATGTTAAATTGAGTCATTATTTAATTTGTTCTGGTATTGGATTGTTACCTGGTGTTTCATTGTAAGTGTGTGATGTTATTATTAACATTCAGTTTAGCACAATTGTTGTTTCTTTAAGAAAATAATATTCATTTCTTTGTATTTTTTTTTTCATTCTTTTAGTTTCATTTATATGGGAACGATGATAGGAAACATATCAGACATTGGTAAGAAACCACTGGAGAAGAGTCAAATCATTATGTATGTCATCTCTGGTGTTGTCATGATTGTCACCATCACATTCATCACCATCATTGTAAGAAGAGCTGTAAATAAGAAATTAGACTTTGAAGAATCCAGAGGTATTCTCGACGAAGAGATCAAACTCCAAAACCAAGAGGCTCTCGAGGAAGAAGAAGCTTTCGACGAATATGAACCTCCATCATTTGTTAAGCCATAAATATATATTTAATAATAGAAGGTGTCTTATCTTTTAACACCTTTAAAGAAAAATGATAAAACTATAATAATAATAATCTCTATATATTTATATATAATTTAGATGTTAACAAACAACTACTACAACAACAACCAAAAAGTAACAACACTAAAATATCTCCAGTATTATTTATTTATTATAAATTCGATAGATTAAAGTATGATTCAGCATTTCATCTTCGACGATTGTATCCATGGAAAATAATAAAGTTTATGTAACTAACTACACATGTATATTTGTGTATTTCGCAGTGTGTAAATTGTATCACATTAAAGAAAAACAAAAAACAATAACTAGTTAAATTTACATTTATTTATGATTTATTTATATATATTTTTAATATCTGATGATTTGTTTTATAAAATATCTAACTATCACCGTACAATGGATTAACTCCACCTGTTGGAGCTTCTTCATATAATGGATTCTGGTTGGAAACAGACATCTTTTGAGTTTGTTGATTCTTCCAGTAGTCGTAACCTTTCTTTCCTCCGAATGCAGCCAGTGCTATTGCTGCAGCACCTCCTATTACGATTCCTGCAATTGCAGCGGCACCAATTGCAACTCCAGCTTTGACTGCGATCGATTGACAGGCAAAAGGCAGTGGGTCGTACGATCTGTATTCACATTTCTGTTTCTCTTCGTCACACCATCCCTTCTGGCATTTGGAATCGTCGGGAATACAAGCTCTCGGAATCTCTATGCAACCGGCTTGAGAATCACATACGCCAATCTTGCAGAATGACTTTGGTTGTTTGCACTCCACCGGTTTAGTCATACACTTACCGTGATGACAATATCCAATGTTACAAATATCGACTTGTGGACAAACCATTGGGGTGTGAATACATGTTCCGTTGGTGGAGGAACAGCTGTCGATGGTGCATGCATCTTGGTCGTCACACAACTTTGGAGCGTGAACACACGAACCTGAGAGACAACCATCGGCAGTACATTCATTCGAATCGTCGCAGTTCATTTGCACACCTACACACTCACCGGTCAGTCGGTTGCATACATAGTTCTGACAAGGATCGGTATTGTTGCATTTGTTGGGTGTGAATGTCATTTCACCTGTCTTTGGATCACATTTATCGATTGTGCAGGCATTGCCATCACTCACCAACTTTGGAGTAACCTCACAACTTCCATTGGCATTACAAATGAATGTATCACACTTGGTTGCAGCTGGACATGCACAAGCAGTACAATTTGCAATCGCACTATTTACACATTTACCATCTGATCCGCAAGAATCTGAAGTACATGGATTATTATCATCACAATCTAGAAAATAACAAATAGTCAATAAAAAAATTAATAGATGGCGCCAAAAATGATTGTTAAATTATTTTTTAACTTTTTCTAGTTACCTTTTTTAATATGAGTACAACCAACAATTGGGTCACATGAATCAGCAGTGCATGGATTATTATCATTACAGTCGGTTTTAACTTCAATACAGCTGTCGTTGGAGCATTTGTTTTGAGTACATTGATCACTGCTACCACACACCTTATCTTTGTATTGACATCCGAAATCTTTATTGCACTCCGCTATCTTACATGGAATGCTACGACAGACAAGTGGACTACGCTGGCAAGTACCGTTTGTTGAATGACTACAGCTTGCCATCTCACATTTGTTGGAAGGTGTGCAATCGATGGCTTTGTGAATGCAATGGTTTCTCCAGTTATCGTGCTTCAGAGCGTCGTTGCTATAGTCAGTTGGACAGAGATCGAGAGTACATGGATTTCCATCGTCACAGTCTCTTGGTGCATCACAACAGCTGGTACCAGTTCCTTGACAAGCACCACAATAATCTTTGTAGGCACAGTAAAACTCAAGTTCAGTTTCAATTTCAATCTCTGAACGATCGGTATGACGTTCACAATAGAAGAAATCAAACTTGCAACGATCACCCTTCTTTATTCCAAGAGTGGAAAAGTCAACACTGGCATTCTCCATCTGATGAATACCTCCAAGATCGACAATAAGCTGTCCGTTTACATAGACCCAGACATCGTCGTCACCCTTGAAGGTGAACACTTCATTACCCTTGTAGTCGAAACTTGCACTTGCATGCAAACAGAAATGGAAGTTGTGATACTGACCATTGTATGCTTGTTGTGGATCCCAAGATATCTTTGACCACTGGTCGGTGTATCGGAGATATTGATAGCTTCCGTTTGGTAATTTTATTTCATCCCAACCTTTGTTGTCGATGGGGAAGAAATAGTCGTCCATTAGAATGTAGCGACTCTCATCGGTGTTGGATCGGGTCAAAGTAAGCTTGGTGTTGATTGGTATATTGATACCGGGTGTATTGACAAACCAGCTATTAAAGGTAGAGGCATTGTTAATGGCACCTTCGAGAGGACGACCAACGAAAGCAGGTAGACCATTCACCAGGGTCTTGGAAACAAGTCCTCTGGTAATCTCACCATGACTCAATGGATATTCGAAATCAGGATTTAAACTTGGATGGTGATCATATATTGTAACTTCCAATTGTTTTATATTATCATTTGATTGAACTATAAAAAAGATAAGAAGAAATTTAACTTATTAATAAGTTACATGGAGGATATCAAAATGGTATAGTATTTAATAGTTTACCTTTTATTACTATAAATATTAATATAAATAATATATATTTATTTTTGGATATAAATTTAAATTTCATAGTTTATAAAATAGGAAATAGATATATTTAGATATGGAGAGGTTAAAGAGTGAAAAGACTTTTTAGATATTGAAATTGGTTTATAATCCAGGAAAAGAAGAAACCAATATTCGAGATTTATTTGTTTGATCCCAAATTCAGGTTATCGTATATATAGAGATAATATTTTTAGATTCACTTATAGTCGCACTTTTGTCCGACCATACTATACTAAGCAAAGCAATCCGTTCCAATCAATGTCAATCCAATGACATTCTCCATATGGAGAGTGAGTGGTAGATGTGGTGAACAATGAACAAACTATTCAATCACATCTCGTTGCGATTGATTATGGTAATTAAAATTGGTCATCTTTCATTAATCACCCATTAGTTTGTATTTATATTATAAAAAGCAATCTTGGATGGGTCAATATTTAATTGATTTCCTTTTAATAGTAGTATTTCTAAATTAGAGTATATCATTTTGGTGGTGTTTAAAAAAACCGTATATTACTAAATATATTGAATTCATTGGAATTCTCTTTTTTCGTGAATGTCCAATATCAATACCCCCACACATCACATTCATCACAAGTAGATCTTAGGAAAAATCAATTGGTTTAAATCAGCAACCACTAATAATTTTTACCACCACCACAATCACGAAAATAAAATAATTGTTATAAATATCAACATGTTTATTAAGTGTGTTCAATCAAATCAAATAACACTTGATTTATATTTAGTTACAAATTCGTTGTTTGACATTGTTGTTTTAGTAGCAATGACATGATATTATTTATTTGTTTTATTTTCAATGCACAATGATTAATTTTAAATAGAAGAACCCTCTCAATTCACTTTGAGATAACTATTAATTTGAAATCATACCTTTAGGTTTGGCATTATATTCAAATAATAATATAAATTACAAAAAATAAACAAAAGGTTATCATCAATATTATTTTACGACTATAATAAAAATAATGATGATATCATTAATAAATATGATAACATAGTTATACATATCTTTGTATGACATGTAACATTGTACTATTTTTGGTAAATTGGATCTCTAGATTATTGCTTTGCACCTCAAAATATAATTATTATTATTGTTAAATTTATAATATTATTAGTTATTTTAATAGACAAAAGACTGAAATAATATAATACTAGGTAAATATATTTCTATTTAATTCTTTAGTATGTGTGAGTATGTAATCCACTGTTTAGCTATCTAACTAAACATACATATATTGTGATTGTATGATCACTTGGATATCAACCTTTTCTATTCTCATAAGGCCATTGACTAGATATCTGAAGATTGCTTTTGTAATACTTCAAGTATGATTGTGGTTAGATGTCTACGATTCTAATTCAACCTATAATCATTAGAACAGACGAGATAGATTGACTTTAGAGTGATTGCTATCTAAACAGATTGATACTCTTTTTTTTTTTTTTTTTTTTTAATATTGCACCTTCAACTCAACGAAGTTGTTCAATTCTAAGAAAAGAACTTTAATATCGTTCTTACCATTATTTTAAGAGAATCAAATTCTAACAACAGTTAAAAACTATGATTCTTTATTGAATTATTATTATTTACTTATTCTTAAAATGTTTAACTTTCAACTTGATTGGTTTGCAAAACTATCTCGTATGTATTTGTTAAGAGAATCCCAAAGTACCAACACAACCAATATTGATTTTCATTAAATTTATATGAATAACATCATCAAATAAAGAACATTATAATAAGTTTAGAAAACCAAAAACAAAAAAAAAAAAAAAAGATTTTTTGTGAAGTTACAAAAAAATTTTTTGTAGGAAAATTGTATGAGTTGGTATGAAAACATACCATCCGTTTGACCATCGATTAGGTTTAGCATAATGAAACTAATATATATTGGGCAATTTCATTTTGATTGGATTGGTTGTTTTTGATTTGTTTTGCTTTGGTTTGTTTTGTTTTGTTTTTAATCTAACTACAAGCTGCAGCACGCTTGGAGTCAAATGGAATAATATTATTAATATCTCTTTCATTCCTGATCACTATCAGTGGAGATATGAATGACCTACTTGCTATAAAATGTCATCAACACTCAACACAACTACATTGAATTTCAAATCATTAATTTACCTATATTCAAACAAATGATAAAATCAATTGTATTATTATGTATGTATCTTTTTTTTTTTATCTTAAAGTTATATTATAACTAATATTGGTAAAATATTAAACAATTTCTTTCTTTTGCTCATTTATTTATTTTTAGTTATATTTATTGGTTTGTGTAAATCACAAACACCTCCAGCATGTGCAACAACCATTTCGGGATCAGCTTATGTTGTTCCACCAGGCTACTGTGCGTGGGAGTACGCTACTGGTCTAAGCAAACCAAGACAACTCTATGTTGCTAGTAATGGTGATGTCTTGGTATCAGACAACGGTGTTATCACTGTATTATATGATACAAATAACAATGGTGTTATTAACACTGGTGAAAAGGCAACTTTAGGTATGATTGTTTAAACATTCATATTGGTTTATTTATTAATTACTTTTATTTTTTTATAGCAACTGCTAGTGGTTTGAATCATGGTGTAACAGTATATGGTGGATATCTCTATGCTACAAGTGCATCCACTGTCTATCGTTGGAAGTATACACCAGGTAATAGAACCAGTCTCGGTACTGCACAAGTAGTTCTCAATGGTATGCCAACCGCCGGTCACTCAACTAGAACTGTCGCAATGGTTGATAATCTAAAGTTTTATCTTAGGTAAGAATAAATGATCATCATCATATCCATTAATTGTTTGTTAAAACAATAGATAACTAATTATTATTTTTAAATTGTAGTATCGGAAGTAATGCTAATGTAGATCCAAATTCAGCAAGAGCTAGAGTATACTATTGTGATGCTAGCACTGCCACTCTACCTATTACCTTGGCTAGCTGTGTCGTTCATGCCGATGGTTGCAGAAATGAAGTCGGTTTGAGATTCGATCCAACCGGAAGATTGTGGGGTGTAGAAAATGGTATCGATAACTTGCAAAGAACCGATTTGGTACCAGATGCTCATATTACCAATCCATGTGAAGAAGTCAACCTTTTTGATTCACCGGGTTCAGTAAGTAACAACTTTTATAATTCATTACAATAGCTAACTATTCAATTATAATTGTTAATTGTTTACTAATTAGTTCTATGGTTATCCGAGATGTTGGAGTGAAGGATATCTTCCACCTGCAAAATCAAAGGGTGTAGGTGCCAATTTTGGTATGACTTCTGCTGAGTAAGTAGATACTACTAGTATTAAGATAACAATATTACCAAAAATAGAAAGTTAACCATTTATTATTATTATTATGTTAGTGATACATGGTGTTTCAATCAAGCCAATGTAGTACGTCCAAAGTATTGTATGCCAGCTCACACCGCACCATTAGATTTGTTCTTTTGGAGTTCAACTACATTCCAACCACCATATGACAAAGGATTGTTCGTTGCATTGCACGGATCGTGGAATCGTCAACCATCGACCGGTTATCAAGTGGTACACATTGTCACCGATGTCAATCATAACCCAGTGAATGCAACTCTCACCAAGTTCTTTGGTGGTGTTCCAACTTCCACTGGTGACTCGTGGTCATTCCGTCCTGTTTCACTCGGTCGTTTAGCTCCATGCGGTGCTGGTGTTGCCGAATGTCTCTTGGTCTCTAATGATGGTTCCGATTCAATCGTTGCCATTCGTTACAACGGACCATAGACAGATAAACAGATAGATTGATTGTATAAAAAAATCGTTTTAAAAACAATAAAATAAAAATAATTGTTAATAAATGAATGAATTTAAATAAGCGCTTTATATTATATTTACTTGGGATGTATTATATTCGTCGAAAAGGTAGGTCTTTACTCTGGCACCATATCGAGAATGAGAACGTCTTTCTAAGAAATCTATTTCCTTGAGAAGAGTTGGACTACATTGGACACCTTTTACATTTTGGACATAGTTTTTGGTACCTGACCTTAAACTAAACAAAAAAAAAAAATAAATAAAATAAAAAAATTAAGTTATTTATAGTAATGATATCAATATTCCACCTAGGTGATCATGTTATCATTATGAGGAGGTACACATCCTTACTCATCCTTAGATTGACATATTCAGTTTGATTTGATTCCATTGTATTGTTTCTTCTTTTTCAATATAAGAGGATAATATCTTTAAGAGATTAATGGTCCAGATCAATTATCTCTACTTTATCTCCCATTTTCTTCATCATTTTGGGAAAGGGAGGAGAGAAGAAGAGAGAAACAGAGATCTTTCTATCGAGAATGAGACCAACCACTTGGTTTGAGACCTACCATCCACTTGCTCATAGACCATCCATTCTTAATACTAGCTCCTCAATCGTTTAGATACTCCACCTCCATGATTGTTTCCCTCTGCTGATCTCTTATGAGATATCCATATGGATTTGGTCTAGTCTTTGGTGCTCTAACTGCTCCACCTGTCCTTGCTGAATATTCTCTCTTCAAGTCTCTAAGTTCATGGAGATATATCTCCTGTACTCCTTCTTTACTTCAGGAGTAAGACTCTTTATCTTGCTCGACTTTGTTGATCTTGGTCTTCCAGTATCAATTCTGTACTTCTCACTCGCATCTGCAATTGCTCTCTTCCATCCATCTTTTACATATCCACGATCTCCAGGTTCTGATCATACAACTCCATATCTACTTGGGTCTTCACTTCTCAATCGTTGAGCATACTTGATTCTATCTCTTGATGTCATTTTATATACTTGTATAATAAAATGTCTGGATCTGACAAAGTGATAATATTCAGAGATGTCCATTTATACACCATTGTACTTTATCGAAGATGACGTGAGAGAGAAGATCGTTGAAGTGGATACCGAGATCCAGTTGTGATATCTTTGACTATGACCTACCCAATTACGTCTCTCTGTCATAACTCCAGATCTTAATCTTCCAGACCATGTCATCGATTGTACATTCATGTAAGGTATCTTCAAATGATTTTGTTTCAACAATGATCTATGTGATGTCTCGATGAGATCATTCCTCTTTGATGTCAATCTCCAACTAATCGATGAGAATACCAACTTTCCATCATTACCAGTATCCTCTGGTCTGATTGGGTTTGCTCTTGGATATACACTGATAAGGATGTCTTTATCAATACTTTGTGGATTGATATGTTGGAGAAGTGATAATGTCAATGGAAGTGAGATAGATACTGGATCTTGACCTCATTAATTGGTTGTGGATTAGAATAGGAGTTAATATCGAGGTTCAATGCATTGAATGCACTCAATTCCTTCATTTGATTGGAAGAGTACTATACAACCAATCGGATGACAATGTTTGAACTAGATTTGGATCTCCATTTACACCAATCTCTATACGATCAATGAGATATGGACCAATTACAGGTGTAACTGGATAAGTAGGATCTGTATTTGATATCTCTAACTCTAAGAATGCAGTCTCTATCTGATAGCAATAGTTTGGTGATAATCTAAACAAGATCGGGTTGTTAGTGAATGGACCAGGTGCAATGAAACAGGATCTAATTGCCATCTTACTTGATGTGATGTCTCTGCTATATTTGACTCTGGATGGTGAATCAATGTCTTCTTTCCAAGTACAGTTGTATGGTATAGCTCTGGATGTTGTTTAATTGAATGATGACTTAATTTAGATAATGTTTGTTGTGTGCTCATTGTTGTTATACTTCTTCTTTTATGTATCTGTTTGGAAAAAAGAAAATTGAAGAATGATTGGGAAATTGTATGATTCTTTCAGACCCCCCTCCAACTGTAGTTTCGATTGACATCATTCACTTGTTTCCAATGAGATAACATACATCAAGGTGGCATAATGAGGGAGTTACATATTCCAAGATACCTACCTTGCCAATCTTTCATTTATTAAGTCAGCCAACTATTATTTCCTCATTTTCATTTCTTCATTTTCAATTAACCAATTCAATCATCAGTATTCTCATCAACTTAATAATCTATAATATAACAATAACTAAAATAATTATAATAATAATCATAATAGCAATCAATTTGAAGAATTATGAAGAAGTAAAAACTGTAAAAAAAAAAAAAAAAGAAAAATTTGATGGTTTACACCATCCCAATATAAAACTGAATAAATCAATTTTTATATCAGCATGAACATCATTATAATGCATTTGCATAAAATGACTAACCTATTATTTACTTTACGTAGTCACCGCATGGTCAACCAAGCATTCCATCGAGTGGATAGCTTTCAATAAAGCAAATACTCCATCTCCCAATGAAAAGACTGCCAATACATCAGAATATGATATTAGAACAGGACAACAACTCCTGTACATTGCCAAGGACAAGGACGACTTCGCAGACTATTGCAGTGACAAACGATTTGGCAAAATTTTGTGGACCGAAATTCAAGAACGAATTAAAGACAAAAATAAAGGTAATCTACAAATCGCATTATCACAATCAAACTATCTTAAGAACGGCTTACTAACCTATTACTTTACTCTCTTCTTATCTTGTCTTGTATTATATTTACACTTTCTTCTTCTCCTTCTCTTTCTTCTCGCCTCTCACACCGCTCATTACTAACAAATTAATTAATTTATAGCATCACATAGACTAAATAAAATAAATAAAATGAGTGCAACAAATAATCACTCAATGGCAAAACTGTTAATGGAAAAAAATGATTTGTATATTTTCTTATACTGAAAGCTATTTAACAAGTAACGATCGCGAATCCAGAATTTCTTTTGGTAGTGCTCATTCCGTTTTCAAGCTATGCTTTCCTAACAAAAAAGAATTCAAAGATTCTGTGTTGGAAGAGGTGTTTGTCAATTTTGAACAAAACTCGCACGCAAGATTAGAATTTTAAACTATAGAGAAAGAATAAGACAGATTTATGGTTCAAGACGACAGCAGGTTCAACAAACCACACAAACAACTAGTGATGTTGTAAATGAAATAGATGAATATAATGGAAATGACGAAGCGATTGCTAATATAATTTTGTCAAGTAGATTACTATCAGATGATATATCACAAAGCGATGTATGTGATGATCAAGACACCATCGATGGAGTTTCCACAATAGAAGAGAATGATGATGTTTCACACCAAGATTGTTTCGTAATTGTCATGGGCACCACACAAATCAGTGTGTGAAAAAAGTTTTTCACTTTTGAAACGTCCATTTTGATCATAGTAAAAATTCAAGGTGTGCTTCTGTAGTTATCATTTTTTTACAATTTGTCGAGATTTTTACACATTAATTTCAAAAATTCTAAAAAAAAAAATTTATTTTGATAACTTTAACAAAAAAAAAAAATGATCAAACAATAGTTATTTAATTTGAGATAGTCAACAGTAACAATAACAGTAACAATAACAGTAACAATAACAGTAACAATAACAATAAAAATTAACTTCACTTATAGCAATAACAATATTAATTATAATAATAATAATAACAATAATTACTATAACAATAGTTTTTTTAATTTAAACAATCCATTTATTAGTTATTTTGGAGAGTCAAGATATGGAGATCGAATATCTTTCTCAGCAGATATTGCTACAAAACCAACAAACACTACAAATGCAACCAACGAACCAACAACAACAATATCAACATAAACAGCGAGCAACAACTCCAATTACAGCAACTACAACCACAGCAACAACAACAACGAACTTCTGAAATACAACAAAGACAAACAACACAAAGAGAGAGAAGAATTATCGATCCATCTGATGTTCGCCCATCGTTATTCGAAAAAGGACAAAAAGGTCTTTGTTAAATCAAATAGTATGACATTCCAGTGTATATTTAATTGATGTTTAGAACCTTCAGATAATTGTTCTGTGAAAAATAGTTTGAATAAGATGTAATGATCCTCCTCTATCATATCGTAGTGGTTAAGATGATTCCTTGTCCAAAGTAAGATTCCAAGATAACACATCTATTGAAATTAATTTTACATAATGTAAAACCTTGGAGGATACCTATATCGAACCACCTATTTTTTTTTTTTTTGTTAGTTCACATTCTAAACATCAATTAAATATGAATTAATTGACTTCATTTAAAAAAAATTCACAATTAATTAAGTAAAAAAAATATCATTTTTTTCTTGAATACCCCAAATATTTATGACTTGTTTATTTTGAGTTTTTATTGATACACTTCATTTCATTTTATTTCTATTCAGCTCACAACAATTACTATTTCTTCATCTTCAATACTCAAACTACATCATTATCACTTTCTATCACAACATATACTATCTTTTCATCTTTCATTGTTACTCATACACTTTCATCCTTATCAGTATCTATTTTATTTCTTTCGATTCATTCTCATTTACCTTATCCATCTATATATTATTCTTTGCTGCTTTCATAATGTCGCAACAACAACACCCACCGTTCACTTGTTGGGTAGAGTTTAGTAACAAGAAAGACGAACTCACCTTCGAGAACACCGCCAACTATAATCGTCTCATCCCTGTCATCAGAGGTTCCAAACAACTCGCTGTAGGTGACGGTTCTATCGATTTGTTCTCTGATGCAGCCAAGACCATTCAACTTGATGTTGAGACTCCAGTCGATAGGAATCTTCAGCGAATCTATGTCGCCACCACTCAACCACAGCAAGGCAAGTACATCTACCTTCAAGTCTACAAACCAACCACCTATGATACTAACCAGCCCACTCCTCATATTCTCCTTCTACCTTTTGTTATCTTGTCTTGTACTATATTTACACTTTCTTCTTCTCCTTCTCTTTCTTCTCGCCTCTCACACCGCTCATTACCCTACCAATCATATTACTTCAATCGTTCCTACACTCGTTTCCTACACACGTTTCCTACATACACACACATACATATACATACATACATACATACATACATACATCTACAAAACACTATTACCCATCAAACCTAAATATCCTTCCGAACTCTCTATAACTTCTTTTTCTGAAAAATGTTAGTCCACAATAGAATGACATTAGATATGCACTTAGATGCCAATCACATCTATATAATTAAAAATATTAATAAACCATAAAAAAAAATCTGAAAAAAAAAGATCAAAAAAGGGTGCTAATTTTTTGTGATTAATATTAAAATTGTTGATGGTTTTGAAATAAACAATATGATAAATAAATTAAGTTATTATGTATTAAAGATAATACTATCACATTTAGAATCAAATGTTGATAGAGTTTGTTTTGCATTGTCGTGCAATAGATTATATAAAGAGAGAAAGCATTATTTATACTTCAACTCTGATTTACTATATTTCAGAATAACACATCAGAATCATTTATATAAATATAAAACATGTAAAAGTGTAATGAGAGATTTTAGAGATCAAGCAGTACAATCACTTGAAGCAACTGATGATTATATGATTAGAACAATCACAAAATCAGATGAAGATAAAAGATCTGATAAATCAATACCATATGGTAAGTTTATACTTATTGTATTACAATTTAAATCACTTTGTTACTAACTATTGTTAATTAGATATAGATACAGATGTTCTAAAAATACTTTACGATATACCATTGACACCTTTATGTCTACCAAGCAATCTAAGAGTATTGGATTTAGGTGATTCATTCAATCAATTTATACCACCACATACACTACCCTATACACTACATACATTAAATTTCAGTAGATGGTTCAATCAGAAACTGGTTGCCTCTACTATCCCAGTGAATGTCAAGAGGATAACTTTCGGTGCAAATTTCGATCAGATGATCGATATTGATGTATTACCAGATGGTCTTGAATATTTAGAGTTTGGTTTGGAATATAACCAACCGATAGCCAATGGCGTGTTACCACACCAGCTGAAACAATTGAAGTTCAATTCATTCCGACAGGATCTCGAAACAGTTTCAATACCCAACTCTGTTACAACACTCAAGTTTGGAAAGTATTTCGATCAACCATTAATCAATACACTGCTGCCGGATTCGTTGACCGATCTAACCATTGGACCCAATTATAAACAACCATTCAATATCGATTCGTTTCCAAGTTCACTGAAAAAATTAACATTGTTTCAGCGCGTCATTGGTGGAACTTTACAAGACTCCATTGTAAATCTACAACTCGTTAGTCAGGAGTACGACGTTGATTATATGGATGATTATCCACTTGTCTTTCCTCGAAATCTAGTTAGATTGAGAGCTTGGAACGCTGGTGTTAGACTTACCAAAAGATTACAAGATACATTACCACAGACACTCGAGCATTTAACAATTAATTATATAAGCTATGAATTCTTTGATTTACTCCCAAAGACTCTAAAGTACCTAAGAGCAAAGATGGCCGGTGACATGCCATATCCAGAGCAAAACCAATTGCCACCGTCGATTGAAACACTGCATCTCTATCAGTGGCAACCAACCGAGTTACTACATTGGAAATCAATTCCTGAGAAGATAAAAACTATCACGCTGCCTGTAAAACACAACATATCGATTCCATTCAATGTAGATATTGCCCTATATGGTTACACCCTACGAAGATTAGACAAAAGTAACTATTTGTTTCTCAGGAACAATCTTCAAGGTGGTTTCATATCAAAGAGAGCATTACAAGCCAAATTTAATACAATGTCAAGTTATGCAAGGTTTATGCTCGATGTTTCGAATTAAACAAAAATCATAAATAATAAAAAAAAATTTAAATAAATAAAAATTAATCCAAGTGATAATGAATTATGAGAGATCTTTGATCTATTGTGAATGATTGGGGATAAAAATCAAAAATCGGACCATTTTATTATTATTTGTTTAATAATTATAATAATAATAATTATAATTATTAAACAAATAATAATAAAATGCAACTTGTTTTGAGTGTTAACAAATTGAAATCTGTTTATTTATTTCCAAATTCAATTTGAATATTATACAATTATATTATTGTTTATTATTTTAAATATCTATAAATTATAGATTATTGTTATAAAACCTTGAAAGTCCACTATTTTTTTTTTTAAAAAAATGTTTAATTTAAAAACTGACCAACAAAGAGAGAGCACAGAAAGAGAGAGGGACCAAAGAGAAAAAATAGAAATAGAGCAAGTGGGAAATTGTATCTCTAAACGATTGGAAAAAGAAAGAATAGAAAGAATGAATATGGAAATTGAAATCAATAGACAAAAGATGGAGATTCAAAACCTATCAAATCAATTGGCAAAAGAAAGACAAGAAAGGGAGCATATCGATAATGAGAGACAGAAACTAAAGGAATTAGTATAAGAGTTGAAAATGATTGAACAAAATAGAATGAAGAAGGAAAAGAAAGAAAAGACCGAGAGAAAAACGAGAGTGAAAGAAGGAAGAACCTGACAAGGAGAGTGGTGAAATCGAATTAAAGAGGAAAGAGCTGATCGAAATCATTGAAAAAGCAAAACGTCCAGAGGATATCTTTAAAATCAACCAGTCATCGAGTGAATCCAGAGAAGCTCAACTCGTCAAACGATACAGGAATATCTCTAAAGTGATTCATCCCGATAAATGTAAAGGAATACCAGAGATTTATCTCGTCAAGGCAACTGAGGCTTATAAGATCTTGAATGGTGAACTTTTACTCACTTTAAAAATTAAAACAGTTAAACATGTTTTACATAAAGCCTTTGCAAAAAGAGGGTAAAAATAAACAATCTTGATTAAGAAAAAAATAAAAGTTCATTTTTAGATCATAATTTTCATCTTTGATTTTTATCTGAAAAAAATTCTTTTTTTTTTTTGGATTTTTATTGTTTTTTTTTTTTTTTTTTTTTTTTTTTTTTTGGGACTTCACAACTTATAAATTAACATAAAATTGATAGATTGAATCCAACTCATTTAAAACCAAATAAACCCAAACTCACACATCAAAACAACCATTTAAATACTACTGTGTTTCAATTGTTGTTGAAGATATAAATAATCATTTCATTAATTTAAGATTCAATTGTTAATATTAATTATTAATAATAAATAATATAAATAAATCTCTATCTCTCTCTCTATATATATATATAAATAAAAATGACAGAATACAAATTAGTTATTGTTGGTGGTGGTGGTGTTGGTAAATCTGCTTTGACCATTCAGTTGATTCAGAATCACTTTATCGATGAATACGATCCAACCATTGAAGATTCCTATAGAAAGCAAGTCACTATCGATGAAGAGACCTGTTTGCTCGATATCTTGGATACTGCCGGTCAAGAAGAGTACTCGGCAATGCGTGATCAATACATGAGAACAGGTCAAGGTTTCCTCTGTGTCTATGCCATCACCTCGCGTTCATCATTCGACGAGATAGCAGCATTCCGTGAGCAGATCCTGCGTGTCAAAGATAAGGATAGAGTACCAATGATCGTTGTCGGTAACAAGTGTGATTTGGAGTCCGAACGTCAAGTGACCACCGGTGAAGGACAAGACTTGGCCAAGTCATTCGGAAGTCCATTCCTCGAGACCTCTGCCAAGATTCGTGTCAATGTCGAAGAGTCATTCTACACCTTGGTTCGTGAGATCCGAAAGGATTTGAAGGGTACCACCAAGCCAGAGAAAGCTCAAAAGAAGAAATCACTCATCAAATCATGTTCTCTCCTCTAAACCAACCCGAATCAACTAAATATAACTAACAATCAACCAAACAAAATTCGATATTATAATCAAAAAAAAAAAAAAAAAACCTGTATTTTTAAAATATCAAATATTCAAACGACTCCTTGACCAAAGTGACAAGAAAGCGAAATATCTATATTCAATTTAATTGAATATTTAATTGCCTCAACAACTATAATACAAAATGTGTAAAATAAAATCTGTACAAAATCTAAAATAATTTTTTGTTCACCAAGTTATACTATTTTTTTATATTTATCAATAGTTGATATAATAATAAACTATTTTCAATACTTGATTTAAAGGTTTAAAAAATTGTGGTAATATAATTAAAATTACAAGAAGTTTGGACTTTTTTTCATTTTAAGACTTTTAAATTTATAAGAATTCAAATGAGGGAACAGACGAAAAGATATAAAAGAAACGACATGTCGTTTCAATCTTCATTTAACAAATAATTAATTAATCAAGTAATCAAGTAATCAATCAATTTTTTTTTTTTTAATATGTTTAAAATTAATATTTTATTTTTAATGGTATTGTGTATTTTGGTGGTGAAATCGCAAAGCAATGTTTGCAACACTTGTTTCAATGGCGGATTTTGCAATTATGGATTTTGTGCGTGTCCCGCCGGTTTCTTTGGTACCCAGTGTGAAAACCGATATTTAAGACCCACCGATATCAGCATTATGCTTCCAAATCAGTTAAGCTTTAACTTTACTCACTCCTTGAATCAAATGGATTTTGAAATTATTTCTATTCAGGAGAAAGATGTTTTCGGCAATGTTGTTAAGGAATCTTTTTATGGTGAATGGTATCTTTCAGGAAATACCTTTACAACAACAATTAATCAAACCACTCAAATTTCCATTAGTATGACATTCTCTCAATATCCACAACTATATTCATTTGCTGGACTCCTTATTCCATTTGGAAATGGAACTGTTGCCTTAGAAGTTGGTGTTTCCAATTGGACTTTCTCTAGTGCTCTTAACTCTTTGAATGTAAATTTCAATCAATACTCACTCTGGTCAGACACTTATGACACCTGCTTGGGTACTTCCGTTCCAACTAAATATAGCACTATGTTTAATGGATCAATGCTACCAAATACCTTGATGGAAACCCCGGAAGCTTATCTTTTTATCGAGACCATTAATGCTGGAGTCGTTGATGGAAGAGTTGTCCAATATGGTATCACACAAACCAACAATCAAACTTGGAGTTTGGTAATCCCTTTTTTCATTAATAACTCACAATCACTAATAATGGCAGCCGGTTATGAGAAGTATCGTGATTGTGGTAGTACTACAGCATCACTAACAACAACAACAACAACATCATCATCATCAGCTATAACAGGTATGATAACATCATTACCAATAACATCATCACCAACAACATTACCCGTAACATCATATACAACCTACTCTACAACCGTACAACCAACAACTACATTCACCACTTATTATCCGACTACAACAACATCAACAGGAGGATCAGGTGAACCTAGTAATAATGTTACCACTAGTACCACGACATCGTCAGATGATTACTCCACAACAACCATAACCACCACATTCAGACAGGACAATGACTTGACTGTTATTACCGAAACCAAAACCGTTTCCGATAGTTCAATGACCGAAACAACTACAGTGACATCAGTTCTCAGAAGATATGGTCCATCGACAGTAACAACAACTATTACAGCAACCATAGGTTCACAGACAACCACCAACACTATTGTAGAGAGAAGAAATCTAAGACTAAACATCAACCAAGATAATTTTGAGATTATCGATGATGGTATAGCAGAACCCTCTAGCTCTTCTACAATTCAGATTCTCTCTCTTTCATCTATTGTTTCTTTTATTGTTATACTATTGTAAATTTTCAATTCTGTAGTTTTGTAAATAAATAAAGGTTTATTTTAATAATTCGAAATTATTTTTTTTTTGACATAAAAAAAATTTAAATAGATTGTGGGCGATGTTCGGAATTTTATGTGAATTGAATCCAACATAGGAAGAAAATTTATGGTGTCATCTTCTTGACCTATTCAATTAGGTAGCTACTCTTTTCAATGTATCTTTTGCCGTTCTAGTACGTTGTGGAATTGGTTTTTGTGAAACAGAACCAGGTCAATGTAGAAAGTATAATGGATGTGTAAACAATAGAGGATGTGTTTACTCTGATAAAGTTTGTACTACTCCAGACGTATGTTCAGTTTCAACCGGTTGCAATGCTACCATAGATCAATGTATTTTTGCACCAACTGTCTGTGATGATAGTATAGCATGTACTGACAACTCATGTGATCCAGTTAACGGATGCACATACACTCCAAACAATTCATTATGTGAAGACAATAATCCATGCACAATTAATGTTTGTACCAGCACTGGATGTCAAACAACTCAAGTTTCCTGTCCACCTGCCAAATTTTTAGATCTCCTTGGTTTGGGATTACTTTGCTATCCACAAATTTGTAGTGCTTCTACCGGTGGTTGTATCCGTGATCCAAACGCTGCTCCATTACCAAATTTATTATGTCTTTAAAAAAACAATTAAAATAAAATAAAAATTTTAAAATCTATAGATCCCACTTTATCACGAGATTTATATAAATTAATACTGTTACTTTGAACATCATTAAATCTCTACCCAAAAAAACTTTTCATTTTTGATTTTTTTTCCCATTGAATACAAAAATCAGATATTAAAATTTTATTTAAAACAATCAATATTTTCATTTGATTTACAATGTTTCAATTTCACTAGAAAGATCATTTATACTATTTACAACATGATTAAACTAAAAAAGAATGATAGTTCCTTTTCTACTTAACAAAACTACATGTCATGTATTCACTTCTGCGAAGTGCTTATGGATTATTTAAATGATTAATTGATTTGTATATTATAATAAAAATCTATCACTTTTCTCTATTAGTAAATAAACTGATAGGAGTTAAGAAAATCAAAAAATCCAATTTTGGTGAAATTCTGTGGGAAATGTGTCAACTGAAAAAAGCACCACTGATCGATTCTTTTAAATAACAATCAATTTCCTTTTTCAATTTTTTATTTATATAATGAAAACAAAAACTTGTTTTATACATAGAACTCATCTATAATGATTGTGAAACCAAAATTTTATTTTAAAGTGAAATTTTTTAAATCCTAATTTTAGGTACAGAATAAACTATTTGTTTTGTTTTTTTTGTGATTTAAAATTGTTTTTTTATTATTTACAAAAATTTATATTAGAATTTAATATAATTAATCAAAATTTAATCTTCATATTTCAAAAAATTAAAAATAAATAAATATCTCTTCAAAAAAATGAAACCAAATATTTATTTCTCAACTCTACTTTATATATTTATTCTTCTCATAAGTTCTTCATATCAAACAGAAGTATATTATACCAAGACAGATGCCATTTTAACCGATCCCAATTTTGATTATCATATAATTGATACTGTAAAGATTACCTCTACAGTCATAAATCCAACAGATTATGAAGTTTTGAATAATACTGCTTTCAGAATTTCAATAACTCCTGACAATCTAAAAAGATTGGGAGAATGGATTACTTTATATTCTAATAATGACCCAACACAACAAGTTAGATGGATACCATTTATTTTATCATCGATCAGTAGTGTTCCAACAGAAGGAGGTATTCTTACAATAAATGGATATTTTATTAATAATAAAGTTATTTTTTTTTTTATCGGTCAATTCCAAACAACTCCTACCAATGCAACAATAGATTCAGCTCTAATTCTCATGCCACAATTAAACGATTCATCTTCAATTTATAATATAAATTCTAAAATTACAGTTGGTTCATATATGTTTCCTAGTTTTTTATGGAGTGTTAAAGGTAAATAAAAATATTTTTAATAAAATTATTGGTTTAAGAGTCTTTAAACTAAATAATTTTTATTTAGATCCGACTATTTCCTCTGTATCTTTGAATAATAGATTAATCATTAATGGTAGTAGTTTTGGTCCAAATAAAGATTGGATAAGATGTAATGTTGCTGGATATCATACACCTTCTGTTCTTCCAATTGTTGAGTTTACCAAACATACTGGTGTAATTTTAGATATTTCTTCATTGGCAAATGAATTCAAATTTGCTGGATTGAAACTATTAACATTGACTGTTAATGATCCATTTAGTAATATTTCTAGATCTACAACATATAACATCCCAATTGGTAAGTTTTCTGTTTTTATTCTTTCAAATTAAATATTAAACTAATTTTCATTACTCAGTACCAATAATTACTAAAACAACATCTACATCAAGTGATCTGGGTGGACCTGTTACAATTTCAGGTGATTTATTCAATTCAGTTAATTCTTTTGGTTTTAAAACAATCAAATCTATTCAAATTGGATCACAATCATGTTTGAATCCTGTTGATCTATTCGTCAATAGTGGCTCATTCATTTGTCAACTTGGACCAATTTCAAAGATGTCAAACATTGAACAATTCACAAATATTCCAATTTTAGTTACAATTGATGGAGCAACATCAATCAATTCAAATATAATATTTAATTATGATGCTCCATCAATTTCAAATATCTATCAAAATGGAAGTAAAATATATTTTGAAGGTGAACTCTTGGGATATTCATCTCAAATTTCAAAAACATTGATCTTTGTTTCCAACACAACAATGATAAACAATTCATTTGTACCTTCACAAATCGATATTGTACCACCTGAAACCAACACATCATCAGTTAAAAGAGAATGGATTGTTCAACTTTTAATTCCAAATAATTTCAAATCAGGATTATACAATTTTTTTATCAGCAATCATAACAATCAATTGAAATCCAAAACTACCCAACTTGAAATTAAACCAGATATCGGAGAAATATCTACACCACAAACCAAAGGTGATACTCTTACTATTCTTGGTGCTCTTTTTGGAAATCCAATATCAATTAAATTCACAAACAGACCAGATATCAAAAATACATCGAATCCAATATTGATTGATTCATCAACTATTATTGTGAATATCTCTGCAGGATCTGGTCAGAATATTGGTTTACAATTGAATGTTAATGGTGTTATTACTTCTAAATCATTCAGATATCATCGTATGTATTTAATATTAATCAATAATAGTTTACGATATTAATATTAATATTTTTATTATTTATTTGATAGAACCTACAATAAAAAGTGTAACACCAATTACAACACTTGGAGGTGTAATAACGATTACTGGATCGAATTATGATATTAATAACACAACTGTATCGATATCTAATTCAATAAGATGTAGTAATACCACGATTGTAAATGATACAACAATATATTGTCATGTAAAATTGAATGATACCGATACTTTGAATGTTGGAGAGAATCTAAATGTCACTATTAATGTCAATACTCAGATTGTTTACAGTTCAACATTAAACATTACATCGATTACTGGTGGAAAAGAAACAAATATTCTATCGATTGTACTTCCAATATCTATTTTCACGTGTCTATTTATTTTGATTACAATCTCTATCATCACTGTAAAATATATTAAGAAACAAAGACAAAGTAAAGCTATCAAAAAATTCAACAATTAAGAATTAATTCCAATACTTTTAATAAAGAATGTACTTCTATAATTACATTATATAATTAACACTTAAAATAAAGATTATATATTGAATGAGAGTGAGTTGTATAAAGAAAGAAACAGAGATCAATTATTAAATTAAAAAAACCAAATTTTTTGTAAAAAAAAAAGACATCACAAACAAATTGTGTTATTCGAACTATTTTTGTTACACATTTATTTTTTATCATTGAAAAAAATTTAACATATTTGAAGGATCAAAATCAAATCATAAATATGGTATATCATGAAAATGATAGTGGTGTGGTGAATGATAATGTAAAGGTGTGTGTCAGAGCAAGAGGTTTACTTGGAAGTAATGAAGTGGGAAGGAATACATGTTTAACTGCTCTACCATCACAAAATGCGATTATGATCAATGCCAAACCAGACCCAAAGCTGTTTGCTTTCGACTATGTTGCAGATGAACATACCACACAAGAACAACTGTTTGATAGCGTTGCAAGACCATTGGTAGATTCTTTCATCGGTGGTTACAACGCTTGTATCTTTGCATACGGTCAGACTGGCAGTGGTAAATCCTACACTATCATGGGTGGTGGCGATGTAAATCAATCCGATCAAAATGGTTTAATACCAAGAACATTTCAACATTTATTTACAACTTTAAATAATAATCAATCATCATCTATAAATAATAGCTATGAAGATGATAGTAATGATAATAATAACAATGAAGAAGACAATAGATTACAAAGTTATAAATGTACATTATCATTCTTGGAGATTTACAATGAACAGATCATGGATTTGTTCGTCGATACCTCACCGAATCTCTCTATAAGAGAGGATATCAAGAAAGGCATCTATGTGGAGGGTCTACGCGAGATAGAGATCACCGACACTCAAACCGCAATGGAATTACTAGAGATTGGTATAGCAAACAGACACGTTGCAGAGACTGCTATGAATTCAAATTCATCACGTTCACATTCTGTTTTAACTATTAATTTAGAATCAACTGTTTGTATTGTATTTATAATGAATATAAGGTAGTAGTTAACTAACCTTTTACACAAATATAATAATAATTAATAGAAACAAACAAAAGATGGATTGACAAAGAATAAATATTCAAGATTGAGTTTAATTGATCTTGCAGGTTCTGAGAGACAAAAGAGTACCGAAGCGGCAGGTACGAGATTGAAAGAAGCTGGAAGTATAAATAAATCATTATCTTGTCTTGGCAATGTAATTCGTTCTCTTGTTGACTTGGCCAATGGAAAACCAAGACATGTACAATATCGTGATTCAAAGTTAACATTTCTACTCAAGGTAAATCTATATTCTTAATAATTATCATTTTCATTATATCAAACTAATTTGTTATTGATATTGCTGATAAACCTAGGATTCATTAGGTGGAAATAGTAAAACATATATTATTGCAACAGTTTCACCTAGTGAGTTGTATTACGGTGAATCATTGTCGACTCTTCAATTCGCTCAGAGAGCAAAGAACATTAGGAATATGGCGATTGTCAATGAAGAAGCATCTGGTAATGTTACATTGTTACAAATGGAGATTAGAAAGCTAAAGGAAGAGTTGTTCAGATGGAGAAATGCTGCTACTGCTGCTGGCGGTGGTGGTGACATTCACAAAGTTGGTGGCAGTATCATACCGATTCCATTGGAATCACAGGTTCTGACTGTCGATCCACAGTTGCAACCGTACGAGATGAGAATACACCATTTGGAAGTGTTGCTCTCACGTTCGTTGGAGCGAGAGGAATCGGCGTTGCTGCAACTCCAAAAGACGGAGCAGGCACGACGCTCTCTGAAGTTGCTCTGTGAGAAGAAAGATCATTTCTTGCAGTCGAACAAATTTGTTTTGAAGTTGAGAGAGTCGCACATCTCGAGATTGGAGGGCAAGCAGGGTGGTGTGTTGTACTCCACCGTGGAAGAGGAGTTGCGTGAAGAGATTGTCGAGCTCAGACAACAGGTACGACTACATCCTGAACTGACGCGTTACGTCGTTGAGAACCTGGAGCTACGCGACATTCTCAAGTCCTACGAGATGTCATTTAGCGAAGGTAAAGACAGCTACGAAGATCAGATTGCCAACCTCAAACAACAGATCAATGAATTGATATCGGAGGTAAGAAATCTAATGAATGAGAAATATGATAGGCTATTAAGAGATGAACAAGATGGTGAATATTATAATAATAATAATGATCTACAACAACAACAACAAGAAGAAGAAGAAGAGATACAACAACAAGAACAACAACAACAACAACAACAAAGATATGAATATCAATCACCTTATAAAAGTATAAATACACCTTCTACACCACAATATTTAGAGAGACAGAGAATTCAAGAGACATTGGATAGCCAGACAAGACAATGGGAACAAGAGAAGAAAGAAATGCAACAACAATATCAAAGTTTACATGCACACAATATTCAGTTAGAATCAGAGATACAGACTTTAAGAGAATCAAATGAATCTAGCCAAAAAGAACTATTGAATATTCATATTGAACATGATAAAGAGTTTAAGAAAATGAAAGAATCAAATGATCATGTAATTAAAGTATGTATTTTAATTTTTTACAAGTATATTAAGACTAATTAATCAAATAATAATATAAATATAAATATAATATTATAGATGATGAAAACAGCATACTCTGGTCAATTAAATGAAAAGAATACAAATAATAATAATAATATGATTAAAGAGTTGACTGATGGTTTAACAAAGTTGGAATTGGAGAATAATGAGATGAAGAATTCAAGGATCAAATTACTCTCAGAGTTATTCGAGAAGAATGAAGAGATTAATCAGTTAAGATTGGATTTAGAATCGGTTAGATTATCTTCTCAAAAGATGACTGAAGTATTCATATCGACACCACTTAGAGAACAACAAACACCACAAAAACGACAACAATCAGAAGAGGATGAGGATAAACAACCAATTAAATTTAATTTACCAGAAGAACTATTAACAAATCCCAATAACAATAATAATAATAATAATAATGAACAACAAATAGATCAATTAAATCAACAATTAAATGAATTGAGAGAACAATTAGAAAAGAAAGATAGATTAATACAATCTGTAAGTAATAATATCAAATAGATCTATAGATATAATTAAATACTAATATAACTATTTATTATAGTTTGAAGAAGAGAATAATGAATTACAAGAAGTAAACGATATGTTATCTGTTGAAGTTGACAAGTTAAATCTATTAGTACCATCAACTAATAATGATAGTAGTAACAACAACAATACCAATAATAATAATAATATAGATGAAAAGATAAGAATATGTGTACAAAAGAAAGAAGAAGAAATTGATAAATTGAATAATGATAAATTACAAATGGAGAAAGAGATTAAATATTTGGTATGATTCAAACTACCTTTATATAATAATGTTTATTACTTTACTAACAAACTTTTTTATATTTGAAAATAGGGTAATAAGATTAATAATCAAATGATAGATTTTAAAGAGATGTCAGCTTCATATAAACAACAATTATTGGATCTTTCGGCTCGATACGAAGTCAATGTTCAACAGTTGGCTAGCAATGAATTACAATATACAGAGTTGTACAATTCTCTGGAGACTGCTATCATCAACACAAAATCAAAGATGCTGCAACAATTCGAAGACCAACAAGAGAAACTATCGATGGAGATCAGAGATGAATACAATCAGAATATTAAAATACTTAAATCTGAAATATTGCAACTACAGGTCAAGTTACTCGCACCACCAACACCAACACAACATTGGATAGATAAATACAATACACTTAAAGATGATTATGATGATATGGTAATTATAATAATTATATTACAATATACATATTATACTCATAAAAATAATACTAATTAAAATACATATATATTAAATATAGATGGATAAATTAGAAGAATATCAATTTAGAATAACATTATTAAATCAAGATAACGCTAATCTCAATACAAAGCTAAAGAGATTCAGAGTGGAACCAGACTATATCGATGAGTCTGAAGTCATTGTGATATCGAGTGACGATGAAGATGTAGATTACACACCCAAACCAACAGCAGAGGTGGAGGAGGAATTTGATTATAGTAAGATAGAAATCAAAAAGAATCCATATGAAAAAGAAGATGAAGAAGAACAAGCAAAAGATGACGGCAGCAACAACAACAACAACAGTTTAAATGATATCTCTAGAATCACAGGTGATTCATTTAATAACAGTAAAGAAAGATCGTCATTGAATTTAAATGATTTGGATAATACGTTAAATAGCAACAATACAACCTACTATAGTTTAAATAATAGTAATAATATATCAACCACTGGAAACAACACTAGCAATAATATAAATAATACATCACAACAAGCAATATCCAACAACTTGCATATCATCTCACAAATAAGTGAACTAGAAAAATCATTCCACAATGCCACAAGATTAGACAATGACAATGAAGATGAAGATTATGATGAATAATCAATTGATTAATAAATAAATAGATAAATTAAAGATTTACTATTGAAAAACGGAAGAATTTTCTGAAAATATATATTATAATGATATTTGTTTAAATTAAGTTAAAGTTGCCAATTTAAATCCTCAACAACAATCAGATGACTCACCACCATTTTTTTTAAATTTTTAAAACTTTTTTTTTTTTTTTTTTTTTTCATGCTGTTGTTCAAAGATAAAATAATTACTTATTACCTGTACTTATATTAATTAAATATTTAGATATTCAGAATAAAATATAATTATAATATAGTTTATAGTAGTTTGTTCATTTTTTTTTGTATAATAATAATTTATGTAAATTTAAACTATTTTTTAAAAAATAAATAAAAAAATATATATATATAGATATAGATATAGATATAGTATAGATAATATAAAAAGAAATATAGATAGATAGATAGATTGGTTTTAAAAAATGAGAATTTCACTTAGATATGGGCTGATTACTACGGCATTAACCATAGGTATTATATACCATGCATTCAGTAAATATAAACAATTCTATCCAGCCGGTGTATATCTTGCCACTGCAAAGCATTCTCTTTTGATCTTTGCCAATATGTTGGTGGTGATGGCATACTTTCTTGGTAAATTAGTTGTTTATATCTATTTAGATCGTGTACAAGAACGTGAAGCAGAGGTATCTATCAATCATTCCAATTGTTTCAACATGTTTATTCATTATTAACGATCGATTATTATTATTTTAGTACTTAAATGATAGATTGAAATCATCGATTACAGATACAATTCTGGCGCTTACTATATTCCGAGATCATTTCAATGCACAATTTATATTCCTATTTCTATTGTTATTATTCTTCCAAGTTTTCCATTGGTTAACAAAAAATCGTGTAGAATATGTATGTCTTATAATCAATGATATTTAACAAACACCAACTATGACTGACTTTTTTTAATTATAGATTGAACATACACCATATAACTTCATTAATCACATAAGATTGGTTGCATTGTTACTGCTGTTGTTGATTGGTGATATGTTATTCATTTACTTTGCTGCGTCATCACTTATTAAAGATGGTCCGAATGTTATGTTATTATTTGGTTTAGAGGTATGTTTAAAAATTGTAAATTGTGAATCAAATTTTTATTGATTATTAATAATCGTTTATGAAATAATTGTATATATTATATATTTAGTTTGGATTATTACTTGTTACTGTTTTATCTACATTGATTACATTATTTATAAATATAGAGGGTATCAAGAGAGAAGGTCGATGGGATAACAAGGGTCTCTACATCTTATATCTCGAATTCGCAACAGAGACATGCAAAGCCATCCTTTATTTAGTGTTCTTTGGTGTCACTCTTGTTTACTATGGTAAGTTGAATAAATTATTTGTTTCTAATTCAAATCTCATCGTGACCTAACTTATCAATCATTCATTGTATTGTAGGTCTACCAATTCATATTATCAGACAGATATTCATTTCATTGAGAACATCAGTAAGAAGATTCAACGATATCAAGAAATATAGAAACATTACCAATGAGAGATTCCCAGATGCCACTGAAGCAGAGCTGAACAACACCGATAGAATATGCATTGTTTGCAGAGAGGATATGACAGTCGGTAAGAAGTTGCCATGTGGTCACATCTTGCATATGAGTTGTTTGCGTTCTTGGTTGGAGAGACAGCAATCCTGTCCAATCTGCAGAGCAGATGTACTTATTGACCCTGTTGCTGCTGCCGCTGCTGCTGCCCAACCACAGCCACAGCCACAACCACAACCACAACAACAACAACAAGTCCCAGTTGCTGCTGCACAACAAGTCCCAGCACAACCCGCTCCAGCCGTTGCCGCTAACAACAATCATGCACATGCGCAGCCACAACAACAACAACAACAACAACAACCACTTGGACAACATATGCATAATCTACAGGAGTTACTTCAAAGATTCAGACAGATTGAGATGCAACAACAACAACAAGGACATGCTCAAATTCATATTAGACAAATACCTGTACAAAATAATGTACAACAAGTTCATGTTCAAACTCAACCACAAACACAAACACAAACACAAAATGATACAACTATTCCACAACAAGGAGAGCAACAACAACAACATCAACATCAACAATATAATCCAATTGAGCATTTACATTTCATTCAACAACATCTTATTTATCTCCAACAACAAACCAATATTCTATCTGCTCAATTACAATTGCATTATAGAAATTTTACAACTGTCGACCAACAACAACAACAGCAACCACAAAATAATAACGATATAATAACACCAAGTTCAGAAAAGTCTACAACAACCGAGGTTGAATCGACCACTACCGACAACTTGGAAAATGAGACCAAAGAAGCTGAAGAGGAGATACAAGTATCTGACAGTAAAGATAATATTGAAAGTGAGTCACCAAACGAAAAAGATGTCTCGATTCAAATCAGCAGTGAGCAAAACGTAGAAGAAAATGATGATAATCTGGAAGATGACTTTAAGAAACAACTAAAGAGAAGAGCAATGTCTCATAGAGATAGGAATAATTCGGAATCTCAAAGAGATTATTATTAAAATAATAAAATATAGATTTTATTCAATCATCCCGGTTTTTTGGGACACTAACATAATTGCAAACCGATTTATAAATCAATATTTGGAAATTATTATTATTATTTAATCAAAGACAAGATAACACCACAATAATGGAAAAAAAATTTATCATATTTTGGCAAAAGATCTTCTTTGTTTTTTACAAAAATTTTCTTTATTAATTCCAAAAAAGGCTAAAGTGATTAGGAAATTTTCGTTTAGATGAATCATTTTATATTTTTGATTAATTAAAAACAAACACATTCAAACAATGAAGATAACTTTACATCTTCAAGCCTGCACAAAGAAATTTGAAAATCTAGAGTTTGATGATCAAAGTACAGTGAAGCAACTGATCAAGCATTTGTCTAATCTTGGTTTTGCTCCAAATTTTGATAGAGAACAAAAAAGTGATGTCTGTATAGTCATTCAAGACACAGATGTTGTGCTCGATAGCAGTTGCAATGATACGCTTCAACAATCGAATATCAGAAATGGCGAACACCTTTATGTCTCAGAGAAATCAGACTACCGCCCAGATGGAAGTTGCATACTAAATTTCAGACAGATGAATGGCGATATAACAACTCTTGAAAATATATCATATTCTCAATCGATGAAATCAGTTACCAAACTACTGGCAGAAAAGTTAAATCAGCCAGAGAAAAACATTCGATTGATATTTGCTGGTAAAATAATGGATATCTATCGAACTGTTTCAAATTCATCACTTCAAACTCAATCTACAATACATCTAGTTCTAAGAGTACCCAAGACTCCGACATCATAACCAATGGAAAAAAAAAAAAAAGAAACTGTTGTTATTTGTATAATAAATAAAATTTATTTTCTAAAATAAATGGTTTATGTTGTATTCTATTCTATTGTAGTCTATTATTACGATTTGAGGTTATGGTGGTAATTTTGTGCCATAGCAAAACTTTAAATCTGGCTCTATATATTCACGTTGATGTATTAGTGATCTAGATGATGTCCGACAAGTCATGGTACACAGTTCGAATTGATTTCTCAAGTAATTCGAACTGATTCCTTTATCTAACATTCTACCGAGTACCTCTTCCAAAATTGGCACTTTATCGCTACCCATGCAACATGATACACAAAGTTCGTATTCATTACAACAATGAAACTTGTTTGAACATCCATAACATGAGAATCTTTTAAATATATCGCTATTATATTGATTAATTTTATTATTATTATTATTATCTGTACTATTATTATTATTACTATTATTATTATTATTATTTACTATACAACATCCATTTTTATCAACTTCGGATCTTAGACAATTAAAACCTTGATCGTCAGCTATAAATTTGGTTCCTTGAACGGTATTTCTACATTTAATTCTTTGACTATCTGAACTAGATAGTTTATCGGGTGAAGGTGAAGTGTTGGGGGTGGCGGTTTGTTGATCTGTGGCTGTTGCTGTTGCTGCTGCTGAAGCGCTCTGCTCATCTGAAGAAGATGTGGTAGTCGGCTGTGTAGATATGTCATTTAGGCCTCGAGTGTCGGCGTTTGTTGTTGAAGTCAGCCGAGGTGTGGTGATAGAATGGTCTGTCGGACCCCATTTGAAATCTATTGTCAAAGAAGGCTTGATACTACGATGCGTTGAACTACGTTCTCTAAAGTTGAGGTTGAGTGTCGGTGCCTGGTCGAGCTGCAGTATACTCAGTAGAATAATAGTTGCCGTCAGAAACACCAATGCCAATAATCCAACCTTTATTGACAATCTCATCTAATATCACCCAACTACTACTATGATCTAAACTCTAATCTTTTGGCTACTCTATTAACTACTTTTAGTAGTTATTTAAATACCTAACTACTACTCTTTAACTACTCTATTAACTACTTTTAGTAGTTATCTAAGGGTTTACCTATACTTTTTCTTTTATTTTATTTTATTTTATTTTATTTTATTTTATTTTATTTTATTTTCTTTTCTTTTCTTTTTTAATTAAATACTATTCTATATAATCTAATCAAATCTTTTTATTATTATAAAACTTAAACTTTCTTATAATTGAACTTTAAATAATTACAATCCTATTGTTGTTTTAACTGACGTCAAAGAAAAATAAAAAAAATAAAAAAAATAATTTGAAATATTTTTAATATCTATGTGTGTTTTATGTTGTGTTTGTTTTGTCGGTGTGGCATAAAAAAGCTGGCTATTTTTCAAAAAATAATTTATATTAATGTTTTTTTATTTATATTTATTGTATTGTCAGTACAGTGATATCGTTTGAGGTATCTGCAATGTAAATGGATGTAGATCTATTGCTTGTTGTTAACCAATTGACTATCGAGTGGTGTTGTGTCCATGCTTTTATTCTCTTTTCTTGATCCTCTTCTGCATCTTCTTTTTCTGCTTCTTCTGCTTTTTGTGTTGTTGATTGTTTATTGTTTTTACTTTTATTTGAAGTCTGTTGTTGCTGTTGTTGTTGATCTTTCTTCTTTTCTATATCCCATAGTATTATATTTGAATCATTACCTGCTGATAACAATAGATGACTATTGCTGTTATCTAGACTACCTGCACTGCCACTGAATCTTGGGAAATGAACCTGTGAGAGTGGAGCACTATGTGCAGAGTCCAACAGTAGATGTGTAGAAAACGATGAAATATCGTTGATTGCGATATCACCACTGCCAAGACCGATCGCCATCAGCTTGCCGTCATGAGAAAGATCCAGACTATGAACAAAAGGTGGGTTCAATATTTGTCTCTGTTGTTTCTCCTTTTGTTTTGCACTCAGAACATGTGATGCTTGCTGGAACGATTCTCTTCTAATCAACTTTGCTTTCAAGTAATCCCATTGAATAACACAATAATCATAAGAACCTGATATCACTTTAATGTTATATTTTTGTTATTTACAAGTTTAGTTAGTTAGTTAGTAAGATTGTACAATCATACTATAAAGTAAGACAACAATCATAACATATCATTTCTCTTTCTCTACTCTCTCTTTAGTATATCTACTTACATTCATTCTTTGAATTTGGTCTAAATAATGCATTTGAACAAACGTTTGTATGTTTCTTTAGTGTTTCACATAGTTTATTCTTTTGGATATCTATGATTTTGATTGCACCAGAGTCGTCACACGATGCCATATATTGAAATTTAGAATCGAATGTTATTTGATTGATCTCCTCTGTGTTGAATTGTAGTTGATTGACACTCTCCTTCAATATCAAAGAGTCGTTTCTCAAATCGAAACATGTAATCTTATTGGAATGTGCACAATATATCAAGTTTTCTTTATCGAAAGCAATACTATTGACCTGAATAAGAATGAATCACAAAGATAGCAATAAAATTGGTAAGTAATTAGCTAATTATAATAAACTAAAGCAAAGCAGATGAATATTTATAATTATGATCATACATACAGGTTCACCATTAAAGTTATTTATACATTTAATAACGGAACCTCTATCTATGTCCCATAGTCTAACTGTACAGTCATCGGAAGACGATGCAAGTATTGGTTTGTTGAGATGAGTAGTAACAAATACGACACTATCCTTATGACCTTTAAACTTTTGTTCTACTAATTTCAGTGATGATGATGATCGATGCTGTTGACTTGTACTATCACCTGTAGTGGTAGTAGAAGTTGTTGTTGTTGTTGTAGTCACATTATTTTCCATCTTTTCATAAAGAATGAAATTGGCTACTATTCGTTCGTTCAAAGAAAATAAAAAAAAAAAAATGGTGATGATAAAAAACAAAAAAAACAAAAGTATTTTAATAGTTTCCAATTTATTTACTATCTAATATGATGCATCAAAGATTCAATTCGACGATAGGTATCTTCAATAGAAATATTCATATCTTTAATTGCCTCCAACATCTTGTCATGTCTTAGATCTAAAAAGGTTTCAATTAAATCTCCATCAATAAAGTTTTTAGATGGGATAGTCATATGTTCAGTACTAAATGATCTCCAACTATTATGAATAATTAATTATTATGTTAGTAAAGCTTGTTGTATTTCAAATTATTATTTCTTTTTTTGTTGTTGTAAACACTTACTTTTCAAATGGTAATCCACCAACACCATGAACAACTCTATTCAAACCTTTCTGTAGTTTCTCAAAGAATTCATAGTCGTCCTTGGAGATGGATACTATCACACCGATAGCACCACTCACCGTACCAAAGAGAATGGTCGGGAGCTTTGGTGAATCCATGTCTGGCGAGGTAACGAGTGAACCGTGCTTGAATTTGTTGATTGTCTCACCGAGATGGAACTGTCCAACGGTGTCCAAGAGTTCATTGTCGATTTCGCTGCTGGCCTCTGCATTCTTTTGCACGACAATCAGATTGTAAGAGTTGTCACCACCAATGAAGGTTTCGTCATCGATCATCTCGATTCTCGACAACCAGATTGGCAGTGGATTTCTAGCCAACTCTTTGATGGCTCCCTGTTGGTCTTCGACGAGCAGTGTCATTGATTTCATGAGATCGGCAACCAAGACAAAGTGACCACGACTCACCATCGAGTGGCTGAGAGTGTGTCCGCTGTACGACTCTGCTTTTGTGAGTTTATTGGTATCGACACCCCAATTGAATGCCTGGACACGCTTATTGATACCCGCCAACAGTCTGCCGTTGAATGGCAACAAGCAGTAGACACAGGCTGGCAACGCAACCTCGTCCAACAAAATCAAACGGTTATCCTCGATTCTGAACACCAAAATTCTACCCTTTGATTGTTGACTCTCCACTTCATTGTGGAAAGCAGTACCCACTACAACATATAGGGCATCGTCATTCTTGAATCTACAGGTGACAATTGACCATCCGAATTCGAAACTCTTTAAAGCATACTTGGAGGTGGTTTCAAATGTCTGTTCATTGAGCAATTTTACATAGTTGGTAAGTGGAACACCATTATTATTGTTATTGTTGAAGTTGTCATTGTCATTGTTGTTGTTATTACCATCGTTTCTTTGGATTGTAATGACTGCATAACTGTGATATTCCTCGACATAGGTGATTCTTCTGGCCATCTCACCAAGTGGGACATTTCTGATGTGAAGTTTTTGAATTTCGTCGATTGTACCGATGACCAATGAACTCTCTGTGGCAATGGCAATGCTATCGCGGAATGCCTCGGAATTGAAAGAACAAACGTGAGATACAACCTTCATATTGATTGCACTATACAACAGTTTCTTATTATTACTGTAGATTACAGTTGGACGATCCGATGAAGCAAAAACATTTGTACTATTTTTTAATTTAAAACTAGAATTATTATATAAATTTTAAGTTTGTTAATAAATAGTTTTCGAAGAATTATTAAAATAATTATAAGATTTACCTATTTAAAAGGATTGGTGTTGTTCCTAATGATAGTTTCTTTCTCTCTTGTAGTAAATTCTCGACAACATCGAATGTAAAGTTGAAAAGATGACCGTCACCAAGTGAACACAGTAGATAATTGGTTCCCTCGAATGTAATAAATAAGATTGATCTTGGTAGAATTTCACCACCCAGCGTCTCCTTGCAGACTTCATTTAGATTTGGGAGTTGCAAAATACGAACACTAATATCAGTCCACAATCCAACTGCACAAACCGGTGAAGAAGTGAATCCATCCAACAATGAAATATCGAGACATGAAATTTCATATTGTAATTGTGCTTCCCTTTGTTTTTTTTTTTTTGTTAGTTAATTATATTTCCAGAGAAGAATTGTTAACAATAACAACTTACTTTTTAATAATTAATTTAGAATCACTGATCTCTAGATAAGTTAAATTGCTACCCTGTGATATTAATATTTGACTACCATTGCAAGAGGCAAGATTGATTGATCCTTTCTCTGGAGTATATTGATCTAAACGCATCAAACTCGAAGAATCTACCAAGTAGATACCAGAGGTTGCAATTTGAATGAAATGGTTGTTCTCTGTTGTGTTTCCACAGTAGAGTGTAGTTGCATTGCTGTCGAATCCAGCGATTTCCGTCTCTTCAATTTCCTCGCCCGAAAAAGTTAGTACTTTCGTCGAGTTGATAAATGATACAATGAGATGACGATGCAGACTGGATGGATTCGAGTTGTTGGAGAGTGACCACAGACCTCTAATTCCCGGGAGTTCAATCGATGCCTGCTCGGCAATGCCAATACCGTTTCTAATGATTCGGAGCGATCCATCTTGGAAGGTTCCAGAGCAGGTTACCAGCTGTCCCTGTCCTTGCTTCTCGACGTCGACCACACAAAAGTCGGTTATCGGTCCGAGATTGGTGAACTGGTCGATCACCGAGATGTAGGAACCAGTGTTAGGATCGATGTGAGAGTTTAGACGAATCAGCTGACTGTCGCCCGACGAACTACCGACGTAGACGACACCGCTGTCCAAGTAGGAGAGCGACGACGCAATGCTAGTTTCACCAAGCGGCTCCCATTTCATATTGAGAGCAGTCTGTTTCGATGAATCCAGTGTGATGTGCAACAGATACAAACTTCCACAGTCGTCGGCCAACAGGAATCGATCGCGATCGATCTGCTCGTACGCAACGATGTGTGTGTGGTCGATGGAGATGGTAACGGGCTGACTGTTACCCTTCAAGTTCATGTAGGTGATCGCCATCTCACCGACGATCAACATTGCACCGTTGTCGAGTGGCACCAGCATCGTTGAGTTCTCCTCGACCGAGTCTTGTGAGGCGCCTTCAATGAGTTCCTTGGTGACGACGTCGATCGAGTAGGTGACGATGTGTCGGGCGTCACGCGTGTCCTTAAAGAGTAAGGCGAGTGTTGGCTTTGCGCATTGTTTGAGAAACACCATATCGACGATCTGTAGCTGTTCTATTCTCATACTGAATGACTCTCGTACCGGTTGTCCATGTTCCAGTGGTACCACTCTAAACAAACCCTCGTACAAATGCATACCGATCATTCTGCATTCAGGGTCGACAATACCGATCTGTCCAGCTTCTGCCGGTCTTCCAATGGTTCCCTCTGCATCGCCAGTTGCAATAGTAACCAACTCTCTACTCTCACTGTTGAATGCCAAAATACAATATTTATACTTTTCTGTCAAAATGAATAATCTATCTTGTTTATCACCCTATTATAATATTGATAAGTAGATATTAATATCTATCTCTATAGCTATTTATTAACTAATTAAATGTAAAAACACTTACGGTTGCAGTCAATATTCTCATGTCAGATATTCTACCGTATATATTTACATCTAGCACTGGTGATAATCCTTCAGGAGTCAATGTAAATATCTCCAACTTTGTTCCTTTACTGCAATAGATTTGAAATAAGAATAAGAACATAATAACAGAATAAAACAATATGTGATTGTGATATATACCTTATAATTAAATTTCTTTCATTTGGAGATGTAAAGCAACCAGTTACAGAATGATAAACTGCAGTTGGTTTCTGAACAGTCGATACAAAATTATACATTTTTAATCTATTATTTCGAATGTATTATATATCTATCTAATAAATAAATAATCGTTCTATCTAATAGATGTTATTATTGATATTAACAATTGATTATTCTATCTATCTGTAATCTCTTAATTCAGTTAAAAACTTAAATGAACTTCCAAATTTTTTGACAAAATTTTTTATTTATTAAATTTTTCAAATTTTACTTGGAACAGTTCAACATTAATGTTTCTTTATATTTAAGATTAAAAAAAATATCTCTTACAAAAATTTTTGTAAGAGATATTTGATTTTGGATATGCTGTAAAATGTATATTTAATTTTATTGTATTCTAGCTAATGCATCAACTGGTCCAACTTTTTTAATAGTATCTTTACTAATTGGACAACCATAATCGGATCTCATGATGATATCAGATAGCTTGTATGGTTCTGTACGGAGTGGAACGACATTGAGAAGTGCTCTACGGATTTGCAAGATTGTGTTGACAAACAATGATTGAACAAATGTTGGTTTGGTGAGTCCAAGCTTTCTTTGAAAGGTTGCTCCCATTTGGTAGATAACGACACTTACTGCAGTTCGGATGATAGATTGTGGGATGAAATAATACCATTGACAGACCAGTTTGGTGATGGCTTCAGTCAAAGCGATTCCATCTTCGGTGATACGTGCTGATCTTTCGTCTTCAGTGTACTTGTCCACGATCTTATAGCAGTCCTCCAGGTTCTTTGGAAGATCTTTTATCTCCATTCTCTCTCCGACACGACGATAGAACTCCCAGATTGCTTGCTTCTCCTTCTCTTCGATACTTCTCCAACCATAGTCATTGGCGAATTGGATAGAGTCGATAACCAGACAGGCTATTACAAAGACGAAATCCACATTTCTGGTCTTGGCAGAGTGAAGACCATGAATCTTGTTTAGTTGTTCATATGATGCTTTACCTTACGGTACTGTCAAGTCCATAACTAAAATTAATTGTAAAATGTAAAATTATTAATATCAAATACCATCTACTTATATTTTCAATTTTTCAAATCATTTTACTTACTCCATCCAAATGTGCATCAATAAATCAGTGTCACATGCTCTCTTATCAGTATCATTAACAATACCACCAGTTTTGGCATATACTCCTGCAATGGTTGGACTGCAGAATGTTCTATAGGAAACAAAATTCTAGATTTGAAAATATGAGTATGCTTAATTTTAATCTTGATAAAAAAGAAATTGAACTTACCAAAACCAAAAACATTTCAAATGGAAAATCATATCCAACAACGAATTTTATAATTTCATCAACATCACCATCCTTTTTCGGGTCAAATGTTTGCAATTTATTTTTCCAACTGGCATATTTTTCGATTCTCTTGGTGTAATTGGAATAGCAATAGAATACAAATATTGAGAGAATGGTAATGGTAAACAACATTTTCTATAACTTTAATGATTCACTAATTATTTTATTTTTTATTAGTTTTAAGAAGTCAATTTGAAATGAAAATAAAGTAATGGAAATACAAATTTATACTTTCTTTGTGAGAAAAATGCAATTATAAATAGGGATTATAATTTAAAATTGATGCATTTCAGCAACGTTTCACTCACTTTCATCAAACAATGTCTATTTTTAAAATTTTAGTTAAAAAATAAAATTTGATTCAAAGAGTTAAATCAAGAGATGTTTTCCATACCACCTTTAATGCCAACCAGAAATATCGCAAAGGGTGAACTCATGACTCTTTTATTAGAGAGATTGTTTTAGGTTTATTGTAAACAAATTGTTTTGAAGAAGATTCTGTTTGTAGATTACTTTAAACAAAAAATAATATAAAGATAAAGTTAGCTATTAAAAGTATAAAATAAACATACTAGATATTATTGAATATTATTGATTTGTTTTTAAATTATTACCTTTTTTTGTTAACTTGCTGGGGGTATTTAGAAGAGTCAAAAGAACATCTTCCCTCTCAAAAATCAATTCTAAAAAAAACAAAAATAGAGTACTTTCCATCCCAACTACTACCACATTGGCTTCTCTTAATCTCTCAGTTTCTAAAATCACTTTTTCTTTGACAACTCTTGCTGTAACCACAATGGATCTTTCTCCCATTCTGTCATTTGATCTTTCTTTATATATTTTGGATAGCGTGTTCATGGCATGCCATCTTCAATTTCGACTCTCTTCTACTGTAGAACATGTGGAGAATCTTAACACTCGCTATTGCCTCATCTCTAACTAACTGCTCATATCTCCCATTGGGAAGTCATATATCTGTCGTAGAATCGCTGTATATGGTAATGTCAATCATCTCCTCGATTATACCTTTCTTGAAGACTTTCATAAACAACTTCTTGGACGATTTTAATCTATTAGTTCTATTCCTATCTCCGCTATTGCTTTTGTTTAGTCTTCCTCATGACCTTATTAGATTTCTTAAGATTAACTACTAATCCTAATGATCTTTTATTTTTCACTCATTTTATATATTATATTATTTATTTGTGTTCTGTGAGTATAAAGAAAAGTAATCGACCGATATCGGTCGCTAATGAGCGATTCATTTTAAAATGATTGACTGAAAAAAAAACAGACAAAAAATTTGAAAAAAAAAAAAGGTTTAAACAACTGTAATAAAAATTTAAATGTCTTTCATTTAAAGTGCCTTTAAAGGCAAATAGAATTCATAGTTTTGTATAAAAATAAATATTTAAAAAAGATTTTAAAGAATAAACTTGAAGGATCCTTATTGTTTTAAGAACTTTAAATAATTTTATTGTATTCTAGCTAATACGTCAACTGGTCCAACTTTTTTAATAGTATCTTTACTAATTGGACAACCATAATCGGATTTCATAATTGAATCAGAAAGCTTGAATGGTTCGGTACGGAGTGGAACGACATTGAGAAGTGCTCTACGGATTTGCAAGATTGTGTTGACAAACAATGATTGAACAAATGTTGGTTTGGTGAGTCCAAGCTTTCTTTGGAAGGTTGCTCCCATTTGGTAGAGAATGACACTGACAGCCATACGGAGGATTGGTTGTGGGATGAAATAATACCATTGACAGACCAGTTTGGTGATGGCTTCAGTCAAAGCGACTCCATCTTCGGTGATACGTGCTGATCTTTCGTCTTCAGTGTACTTTTCGACCATCTGATAGCAATCATCCAAGCTCTTTGGAAGATCTTTTATCTCCATTCTCTCTCCGACACGACGATAGAACTCCCAGATTGCTTGTTTCTCCTTCTCTTCAATACTTCTCCAACCATAGTCTCTGGTGAATTGGATAGCGTCGATAACCAAACAGCTCAAGACAAAGACGAAATCCACATTTCTGGTCTTGGCAGAGTGAAGACCATGGATCTTGTTTAGTTGTTCATATGATGCTTTACCTTCGGTACTGTCAAGTCCATAACTAAAATTAATTGTAAAATGTAAAATTATTAATATCATATACCATCTACTTATATTTTCAATTTTTCAAATCATTTTACTTACTCCATCCAAATGTGCATCAATAAATCAGTGTCACATGCTCTCTTATCAGTAGTATTAGCAATAACACCAGTTTTGGCATATACTCCTGCAATGGTTGGACTGCAAAATGTTCTATAGAAACAAAAATTCTAGTAAAGATATTTTTAGTAAGTTTTATTTTTAATCTTGATAAAATAGAAATTGAACTTACCAAAGACAAAAACATTTCAAATGGAAAATCATATCCAACAACGAATTTTATAATTTCATCAACATCACCATCCTTTTTCAGGTCAAGTGTTTGCAATTTATTTTTCCAACTGGCATACTTTTCGATTCTCTTGGTGTAATTGGAATAGCAATAGAATCCAACTATTGAAAGAATTGCAATGGTAAATAACAACATCTTTCTAAAGACTTTAATGATTCACTAATTATTTTATTTTTTATTAGTATTAAGAAGTCAATTTGAAATGAAAATAAAGTATGAGGTAATTCAATTTTAAATTGATGTATTTCAACAACTAAATCGAGGAACAATACAATGTCTATTTTAAAAATAAATTTTTAAAAATAAAATAAATTTGATTCAAGCAGTGTTAAATCAAGAGGTGTTTATTCACCACCTTGAGTGTGCAACCCAAAATATCGCAAAGGGGTGAACTTGACTCTTTTAATAGTGAGAAGTTGTTTTAGATCTATTGTTATTGTAATTTGTTTGATGAAGAGGGAGTGAAATGTTTTTGTAACTTTTTGAATCAAATCAAGATTCATGTTTGTAGATGTTAATAGATTTAATATCTAAACAAAAAAAATAAAACTAACTATTAACTATTCAATAACAATAAAATAAACATAGAAGATATTATTTGTTTTTAAATTATTACCTTTTTTGATAACTTGTTTGGGTTTTGTAGAAGAATAAATCATTGTTTATCATGAGGTTAAGTTTATTGATCAAAAGCACATCTTCCCTCTCTGAAATCAGTTTTATCCAAATATTTTTACCAAAAAAAACAACAAAATTGTGTCATTAAATTTTAGAATCTTTGCACATACTTATAATCATTCCTATTGAAACAACACAAAATTCGCAAAACAAAAATAGCTATTGAGAAAAATAAAAATGATTCATTCATTGTTAAACCCAATAGCCACAAATTGATAGGCTGGCTCATAATCACCAAAGTTTGAGATCACTCATTTTTGTGTTTTTTTCAAAAAAAAATCTCAATTTCACCGACGAATGCAAATTTGAGTTTTGTTCAATGATCAAATAAACAAAAAAGAGACTTTTTTTTTTATTATTAAAAAACTATACATTTTTTCTTTTATTTCAAAAATAATCATATTTTTAAATATAAATTATTTCTATAAATTTAAGTTATTTTTTTTTTTGTTTTGTTTTTGTTTTGTTATTACTTTTTTGTTTTTGTTATAATTTTTTTTTTGTTGATTATTTATATTTTTTTTTGTTATTATTATATTTTTTTTTTGTTTGATTGGTGATTAATTTAAATATTGGTAGTTACTGCTACCATTAAACTTGAAAGTCCCAAATTTGGCACACAGTCATCTTCTGGAGCTTCGTTGGCGGTGATAGCGGATGGTTTTGGACTTTTATTAAAAGAGGTGGCGGAAGCGTTGGAGGTGATGGCGGATGATGATTTGTCTAAATCGTGGTGATTATTGTTACTGCATATATTTGAAATTCTTTTGATTTCTTTTTCAATCATTGATTGAACTGTGCTTGGGTCGTCAGATTGATTGATGATGGTGAGGTTGGAGCAAATCAATTGAAGTTGTTGTTTCAACAGTGAAATTTCTTCTTCTTTTATCAAGAGAAGTGATGATGGCGATGAAACAGTCGGTGGTGAGGTTGGCGCAGATGTATTACCACCAGTGTTGGCGAGATTCGATGATGATGATGATAGTGTGAAACTGGCAGAGGTTTCGGCTACGGAGGACGATCTGGTGGTTGGCTGTTGTTGGTCACGCACCATCGGGAGAAGCAACTTGGACGATGATTCGACGGCAGTTGAAGAGAGAAGAAGCAAACTCATTGATGATTGATCGTCATCATAGTGTTTGATCTCTTCGACATCATCTTCAATGTTGACTTCGACGTCAGAGTCATCGATCTTGAGCGAGCTTTCGTCCAACATTGAAATGATTGGCAATGTTGGGATGGGTGCTTGGTTGACAACCAAGGTTGGGATGATGGTGGCGTTGTTGTTGTTGGTGTTATTGGTAGAACCATGTTGGGTAGATAGGCCTGGGATCAAGTGATCTACCTTTTGCTTCTTCTTCAGTCTTGGTGTGGAGATGGACTTGGAGGAAGAGATTGGAGCGGCTACCTGTGAATTCAATGCAAGATTGATTGGAGGTGTTGGAATTGTCTTGTTGGTATTGGTTTCTTTGTTTTTATTCAACTGAGACGATAATTGGTGGAAATTCTCATGAATCTTCTTGTCGATGGAGCTAGTGGTGGACGATAATGGTGATATTGGGACGGTGACAGTGGCGTTGGCGGTGGTGGTGGCGGTGGCGGTGGCGGAAGGAGCAGGTGAAGAAACAACACTTGAATTGTTACTGTTATTACTATTGTTATTGTTGTTCTTTGATGAGTGGTCTTTATCGGCCTCACTATAAGAACGCTTTCTCTTTGAGATTACTTTTTTGGATTTGATTTCTTCCCATGGGTCAGTGATTTGTTTCATACGCCAATATCCGTTTTGCTTATAGGTGTCCATACCACTCTCGAATAGATTCTTGGAGTGAGATAACATGTCTTGAATTTGTTTATGCCAATTGTCAGATCCTATATTTATTTGATGAGAACAAAAAAGAGAGGAAGAAGAGAGAGCGAGAGAGAGAAAAGAAAATTGGTAAATAATCAAGTGATATTTGGAATAGTTAGACTTATTGACTTTTTCATCATTGTTATTATTATATAAAATAAAAAAAAAAAGAAAAGAAAAAGAAACAATATTACAATATTATAATATTGTTTGTTTTGTCTTTTTGTTTTTTTCTTTTAGCAATTATATAATTAACTAGAAAGTGCCATTATTATACAAGCTCTCTTGCACGCGTAAGACACGATCAAACAACAATTATGAATCAGATGTGTGATCAATGCATACTCTTTTTGTCTAGACATAATAAATGCCAATGTGCAGTCATGAAGCCGTACACGTCAGTCTTGAGATTGAGAAAAGGTTTCGATGTGATCTCGTTCTGCAAGCAGTAGAATACGATTCGCATGATACAAGCCCAGGTGGGTGATTGGTTGTTGACGAATGGCGATCCACGCTTACACAAAAGACACTCTTTGAAAGTGCAGTTGTTCTGGATCGGACTGTTGGATGCGCTTGGGCTATTATGAGATAATGGAAGTTGGTGGTCGGTGTTGCTGTTTGGCTTCTCAGTGTCGCTGCTGCTGGATGGCGAAAGTGGAGCTTGGATCGGAAGGGGCGAGTTGGGTGCCGACAGTGGTGAGTTGGGCGAGGTCGAGGACGATGATGCCGACGATAACGAGGGAATCAAGTTCTTCATGCCAATGAGGATTTGGGCTGAGAGTACATCCTTTGCCTGTCTCTTTGGGGACGGCGAATTGGTGATGTTGTTCGATTTCACAGTGGTGGTGGTGTGAAGGTGTGGTGAGCTTGGTGGAGCTTGCTCGACAACCATCATGGTCGGGGATGATGGGATCTGTTGTTGTTGTTGTATTGGTGAGAGTGATCTTGGTGATTGCGATGTTGATGACGATGCTGCACTGCTTAGTGACAATGATGATGGTGCAGATCCAACAGCATCCAATTTCAATGAGATCAACTTATCTACTGAACTACAGTTTGAGGTAGCCATAATTATTATTATAATAATAAATATATAAATATATATTAAATTATAAAAAATATCGAATTAAAAAAAAAAAAAATCAAAATCAAATCAATGCCAATGCCAAAACCTAAATTAAAATCGTAGATTATGTTTTGATTGTATTGTTTGTTTGATTGTTTGATTGTTTTGTTTGTTTTTTTTTTAATATGTTTTAATTAAAGAGGTGAGTGATGTATGGAGATGAAAAGATGAGAGAGGGGGGAAGATAGAGGGAATGGAAAAGAGTTTGCTATAATTTCAAATTTGATGGAATGATAAATGATAATGGTGTCCAACCAAATTAGGAAATTATACAAACTTTATAAAAGTTTAATAAAGAAGCAATGATTGCTAGATTATTAGATAGATTGGTTTTAAGTGTTGTTGATAATATAAAAATAAATTATTTAAAAATAAAAAAATTTAATACAAAAAAAGAAAAAGAGGAGCAAAAGCAATTTTGATTTATATGTTAAAAAAAAATGGTGGGTTGTTGTTGGGTGGGAAATATCAATTTTGCTTTGTTTAGAACTAAATTAAAAATTTAATATAAATATGATTTGACCGTCCAGTTGTAATTGTTTGATTAACTATGTGTGTGCTGCTTCCGTGTTTTTGTTTTAGAGATATTGTTTGTGTTTTGTATACAAAAATAATATATATAAAACTTGTATTAAACTTTTTCTAAATAAAAATAAATATAATAATAATAATTATAACTTTTTTTTTAATTTGTTTTTTTAATTGTTTTTAATTTATTATGAAGAGTTGGTTGTTAAGTTGTTGAGTTGTTATGTTTTAAAAAATATAAATAATATGATATATATGTACAAAAAAAAAAAAAAAGAAATTGATTGTTAAAGAAAGATATAGAAAGATATAGATAGAAAAAAAAAGTTATTTAATTATTTATTATACAAAAAAGAATAGATAGATAGAAAATAATAATATTTTTGTTATTTTATTATAGTTGTTGTTATTTGGTATTAAAAAAGAAAAAGTTTAACAAATACACAAACAATATTAAAAAACAAAAGACACAAATTCAACACTGATACTTTAGAAGAACATTTATAGACGATAATGATTGTGTTCAAACTAGAGTGATTCAAGTGATGATATGAGTGATCTTCAACAAAATATTAATTTATAAAAGCTAAAGTGATTGAATAGTGAATATTTTTAACTAATTTTTGATCTTTGCTCAAGAAAAGCAAATGATAAACTATAACTATTTTAATTAATTAAAAATATATAATAACTATAAAATGATTATTATTTTGTTTGATTTGCTATTTATATATATATTTTTTTGTTTCTTCTATTCTAAAAGTTTTAAAACTACTATATAATTTAATTAAAGTTGTTGTTGTTGGAAGCTAAATGAGTGTAATGAATTGTGTCAATAGGTAGGCTTGACTTGCTAAGTTTTTATATTATATTATATTATAGTTGTTTGTTATTGTTGTTGTTGACCTTTAATAGAAAAGTGTAAGTTAGTTGGTTGCTATGTTTAATTAAAAATATAATGAAAACTATTGAGAGTGTGAGTTGTTTTTTTAACGAGTCGAGTTGTTGACAAAAAAAATAAAATAAAAACAAAATTAAAAAAAAAATTTCATTTTAAATTATCAAAAAAAAAATAGAAAAAATGATTTTTTTTATTTACTTTTTCAGTTTTTTTTTATTTTTCTTTTTTTGGGGTGTTTCAAGGTTCTAACTGCATGATCAATCAATTAAAACAATATATAAAAAAAAATGTTTTAAATTTAGAGAACAACTAAAATATCATTACTTTTTTAAATTTTTTTAATTTTGACCAATTATTTTTGTTCTGTTTTTGTCGTTCGTCTGGTATGGATGGTGATGAGATACATGATCGGCAGTTACCTTGCTCTTTCTTAAAAAAATCAAAAAAAATTATTTATTTAATGATTCAGCACCAGTTAGCATTTTGATATTACAATAGTACTTAAAAAATTTTCAATATTTATAAAGGATTGTGTAAAAACAAACCATTGAATTTTGCCTGGTTTTGACAATTTTTTAAAATTTTTTTTTTTTTTGAAATTAAGGCGCCAGTGAAAGTCCAAGTGAAATATTTTTTCTTTAAAGACTTTTTTGACAAAGTGCATTGTCCGATTATTATTAGCACAATAAAGAAGATCATCAATGATTTTAGAACAAATGGAGTAGAAAAAGTCTTATTCTTTCCATTTTATGGAGTGTACACTTAATGGTATATTAAATTAAAAAAATAGCTATTTAAAATTGTGAAAAGAATAAAAAAAACAAAAGTTAATCAAATTAAATCAAAATAGTTATTTCCACACATTCCTATACTTGTTTGATTTAACCAACAAGTTTTTAATCTTTTTTAAGATTTAATTATTTTATTAAATATTTTTGAGTTTAATTGCTTTAGGTAGCTCCAGAGCATCACTCATAGTAAAGTTTTATTTGATTTAGATGGATGGGTTTATAGTCAGAAACTGATTTGGTAAAAAAAGATAAAAACACCCCGATCACCAATCAAAAAAATTTCAAAAAAAAAAACAAGTTTATATCTACAAATACATTGTGGTAGACTGGTCAAAAAATATTTTTGTATCAATTTGAGGATTCAACACACCTCAATTATCTTAAATTGTACAATTTTAATCAAAAAATTGGATTCTAAAAAAGTTTATATCTATTACAAAATATATTTGTAACAACAAAATAATTGTTGTTTTTGTTTTATCTATTATTTAAAAACAATTAGATATAATTTATTTAATCTATTGTTTTTTGATACCATATAATATAAAGTTAAATCATGACTAAATACTTTAGAATACAAGAATTTTTAATATTATTTGTAATTTTATTTAATATTGGAAAAATTACAGGTAAATAAAAATCAATCGATTTTTTTAAATAATTTTGAAATATTAAAATTATTAATAATAAAATAATATATTTTAGGTCAACTCGATTTAAAAACAATTGAATATGGACCAGATGGTGTGACTTTTAATTTGGGAAGTGGAGCATATAGCAATGGGAATTACTTTATGTTGGTCAGCAGTGCTGTGAAAAAAAATTTTACAATACTCAACCCGACTACTGCTTTTTTGAACTACACACCCGATATTATTAATAAAGCAGATAATTTTAAAGTATGTGACACCTCAGATTGTAGACTTTCCAATGCATTACCCTGGAATCCGATATATATAGATACAATTTCTTCGACTCCAACTCAAGGAGGTATCATTACAGTAAAAGGTTTATCACTTGTTTCTTCTCCACCCGGAAGCTCACAGATTTGTTTTAATAAGATATACTGTGTTGATGAAAGTGATACTAATACTGCTGGAACAGAAATACATTTCAATATCGGTAATAACATTACTTCTTTAATCTCTGGTCAAAATATTCCAGTTTGTTTCTTTGTAAGAGGATCTTCAACTCTTTCTTCTTCATCCTCTATTTTTATTCAAAAATATTTTTCATTCCAAGGTAAGTGTTTTTAGTTTTAGTATTTTAAGAAGAAAACAATAAAAACAATCTAATTTAACAATAATTTCATATAGCACCAACAATCTCATCAGTTGTATTTAATAGAGATGCTAATCAAATTACAATGACTGGAACAAATTTCGGTGTAAATGGAATTCCTTTGGCTTTGATTTCTAATGGTGGAAATTTACAACCAACCCGTTTAGTTGATAACACTGTTATTATATCAAATGTGAATGCTCAAAACTATTCATTCTCTGGTGATTACCAATATTTTTTGAATGTTGGTAGTCCAAATCCAAATTCAGCAACCTATACTCAACAACTATGTAAGTATTTATTCCAAAAAAAAAAAAAAACAACAATTTTTATCATAATCTTTTAATTTGAAATACTTACTTTTCTTATTCTCTTTATTTAGTACCGGTAGTAACATCGGTTACCTCTACTTCATCAACTGGTGGAACCATTTCAATCTATGGATATAGACTTAATCTTTTCAAACCAAATGCAACTATTTCACAAGTTACAATCACTGTGGGAACATATACATGTACAGTGTTGACATTGAATGACCCAACCAATTCTTTTATTGCTTGCTCAATGCCAGCAATTCCAAGTGGTTCAAAGAATTATAATTTGTCAGTGGTTGTTAACATTGATGGAAAGAACTCCAATAGTGATATATTATTCTCTGCCGATCTTCCGAATGTCCAAGAAGTATCACAAGACGGTGGAAATACAATTATTATCGGTTCATCATTTGGTAATGATACAAAATCAATTGTCTTACATTTCAATGGTAGTACTCCAATGTCACCGATCTCCGTTTCCGACTCGATGTTAACATTTAAATTTCCACCAAACACACCATCCGGTACATACACTGTAAACACACTGACCAAATTCAATACTTCACCAACAATTCCATTTAAGATAACAATACAACCCTATCTCACCTCAAATAACATCACCACCAACACAAGGTGGAATTGTAACAATCAGTGGTCAATATATGACTTCAAACATCCAAGGAAATGAGAATATCACTGTGAATGTGTATAGTGATCCCAATTCAAGTATTTCTACGCCATGTGCAAATGTAACCAGGTTGAGCAATACCAGTGTAACTTGTGTTGCACCAGCTGGAAGTGGATCATCTGCATATATACAACTTCAATTGAATAGTATCGGTGCAACTGTATTGAGTGGGTTGAGTATGGTCTACCAAGCACCTAGACTAGTATCCGCAACGGCAATATCACCATACGGCGGGTCTATAAGCATCTCTGGAGCTAATCTTGGTTTTGTCGGTATCGATTTAAATCTTATCACAGTAGAAATCGATAATACTCGTGATTGTAAAACATCAGCTGTAATCAACAGCACCAATATAGTATGCCAATTGAACAGTGGCCAATTCAACCTTCCACCACCAATCAACTACTTAAATCTTACAGTGACAGTGAATGGACAAACAAGTTTCAACTCCACTATATTTAAATTGGATAGTAAGTATTATTTATCAGTTATAATAGAAAAAGCAAAGATAACCAACTCTTTTTATTTTCTTATTGAATAGACACGGATTATTATGAGCTATTAAATAGAGTTTTATCAACAGATTATTCAGAGATAGAATATCGTAAGCAGAAACTATATGGAATCATTTTCCCTGCCTGTTTATTAGTACCTGTTTTAATATGGTCGACCGTAAAGTTATGTTATCATCAAATATCTTATAAACAAAACTAATAAAACATAGAGTGGAAATGTATCTCATATAAAGTAACCGACTAATGATGTATGATCGATCAAAAAAAAAAACAGTTTTTAAAACCACAATGAAAATTTACTTAAATGATATGTGCTGATTCATCACCATTTCATAAAGGCAATATCAAAAATAAAGAAATATTTATTTATACAATTTTGAACAGTGAATAGATGAATGTTATTTTAACTTATTTATATAATCTATTTAGTACAAATATATTTAAATTTAACATATTCATTAATCAGTATCTAAAGAAGAAACAAATACTGCAGTGTCAATCACAGATGGAGTTATTCAATGATTTAAAATTCATTGAAATACAACATACCAATAGTGAGAAGATTATCATTGGTTATAGAACAAATATTATCAGAAATAATAATAATAATAATTATATTGAAGAAAATGATACAATAAGTAGTATTACAAATAACAATGATAATAATAGTATTAATGATGATGATGATAATAATATACCTATTGTAATGTTACATGGAATGATGAGTGCAAGTTTAACATGGTTACAAACTATTGAATCAATATTAAATACAATCGAAAAGAATAACAAGAAGAATAAGAGTACAGATATAAAGAGGAAACTGTTTTTAGTGCCAGATTTACGTGGACATTGTAAGAGTAGTAGATCTACAGATTACAATCTACTTTCAATGGCAAATGATATAGTACTTCTTTTGGATGCTCTTAACATCGGTGTCATAGACTTGGTCGGTCATTCACTAGGTGGTCACCTCTCATTGATAATAGCATCGAAATATCCAAACAGAGTTAGACGTTTAATAGTTGAAGATGCACCAGGTCATTATTTTAATAATATCAATAATAGCAATAATAATAGTAGTAGTAATAATAATAATAATGAAAATGATAATAATTTAACAAAACCATTAAAATTAATATCAATGTCAATGTTAAAATCAATTGTTCTGGCATTGTGGAGAGGATTCGATTATAAGATGACATCGGTTATCTTTCAACAGTTGAGATCTACCTCTGAAGATTGGTGGAAGACTATCAGTGATATCAGTGCATCGACATTGATCATCGGTGCATCAGATTCACACATACCAAAAGTACAACTAGATAGGATGGCACAGCTAATACCAAGCGCAAAACTGGACATTGTCATCGGTGGACATCACATACACAGAGATCAACCTGATGTTTTCAACTCATTAGCTATACCTTTTCTACTTTTTAATAATAACAACAACAACAATAATAATAATAATAATAATAATGATAAACAAGACAATCAACAAAACATTGAACAACAACATATTCCAAATATTGGATTTACTCAAAATACTGATATTCCAATACCAATACAAATACAAACAGCATTGTCGCCAGTATCGCAAGAATTAGAACAAATAACAACAATAGCAACAGGTCCTCCAACACCAATGCATATACCAATAAATGTAACAACAGCTCAATAAGTAACATACTATAATAAAACCCTGTAATATACATATTAAAGAAAAAAAAAAAACAGAGTTATTTCAATTCCATACTTTAACAATATTAAAATTTTTCGATCAAAATGATTTATATTAGATTACATCTTCATTTGCATGTTGAAAACAATCAACCTTTTTGTAGATTTCGAAATTAAAAAAAAAAACAATATGTGATTCGATTGATGCATCAACACTTTCTGATGATTATTATTTTGTAGTCAAAAACAATGCATAAAAACCAAATTAAATTAAATTATTGGTTTTGTTTTTTTGTTTTTTTTTATTTAATTTTTGTTTTACTTCAAAAAAACATATTTAATTAACAAAACAAACAATTATATATATAACATATAATCATATACATAAAAAAAAAAAAAAGATAGCAAAACAACATAATCAAATCAAAGAGTTACTTACTAGTAAAAGAAATAATTGTTCGACGTTCAAAATTATTTAACAAACTAGTTAATCAATCAAATAATTCTTCTCTCTATATATATTCACTTCACATTTATAAACTTTTACAATATTATATTATTAGTACTTTATTATTATCTATGCCATACCCCAATCCAACAATACAGATTTAATAATAATAATAGGTTTCGGTGTTTTTCTCATATTTTTTTTTTTTGTTAATTTGTGACTTTCAAAACTCGTCTTTTCGAACTTTGCAGATTCGTTAGTTATTTATTTATTTATTAGTTATTTTAGTTAGTTTATTTATCTTTCTATCTATCTATCTATCTATCCTATCATTTTTAGAAAACTTTAGTATTATTATCCATTGGACACAAACTTACCACCTTGTTACTTTACAAAAAAAAAAAAAAGTTAAATAATTTATTATTTTTTCAAAAACAAAAAAAAAAAAACTTAAACATAAAACCAACTTATTTTTATTGTTAAAAGGGTAACAAGGTGTTTTGTTGTTGGTTTTTGACACAGTTAATTAATTAGCACATCTTAAGATCATTCGTTTCGTTTCGTTTCGTTTCGTTTCATTTCATTGTTGTTTCAATCATTTGATGATCATCAGATCTGAAAATTGATTATTATCCTATCACCAAACAACAACAACATTCAAGTGGAGCTTGAAAGTTGCACACAACGAGCACAACTAAGCTGTGGCGTTCGAACGTAGTGGTTCAAGCTTTAGTGGTGGGTTGAGTGAATGAGTGAAGAGGTTAAATAGACAATAATAATAATAGATAGCAGCAAATACACAACAATAAATAACATTTTCGTTTTTTTATTTTTATTTTCAATAATCAAGCATATAATCACCATATATAGTATCAATATAAAAGTAATATATATCATAAACTAACTAGTATAAGAAAAAGAAAAAAAGAACAAACAAAACAAACAATGAAACCAACTACAACTTCACCTTCATCTTCACCACCTCTGACCAAATTTAACAAAAATCTAGGTAAGTCAAATCAAACTACTTTTTTTTTGAAGAATCATGTAATCATAAACAACATCCAAAAGATCAAGTGTTGACCACCCCTAAATATATTTGTATATACTTGGAAATTCTATTTTATTTTTATTTAGTTTTTTTTGATGAAGATTTGTGGTGGTTTTTTTTTTTTGATGTTGTTTATAATAAAATAACTAACGTTCTTAACCTTTTTTTTTTTTCTTTTTGAATCATTAACTTTGATACAAACCTACATACATAATATTATTAGTGCTGTTCGACCATATGATGTCAATAAGCAGTGGAAACAATAGCGGAAACTACACTTCTTCTTCGTTGTCTACTCCTTATAACTACCATGTTACTGAACTCCACCATGAGCGCACCACAGAGAACTACAGTCCCTTTACTTTCAACAGCAACTCTGAATATCAATTACATTTAAAACAACAGCAACAACAACAATTGTATCAGAAACAACTGCAGCAACAACAACAGCAACAACTCCAACAACAATATTATCAACTACAACAACTCCAACAGCAACAGCAACAACTCCAACAACAATCACAATCACCATCACATCCTTTAAAAAGACAACCTTCACTGCCAATCTTTACAAGTTCATCATCGTCGTCAGCGTCGTCCTCGGCTTCTTCATCATTTTCAACATCATCAAAAACACCCACAAGAAATATACCAATCCAACTACAACAACAATCACTTTCATCACAACCTGTATCTTCATCAGCATCATCATCATCATCAGCAAAAAATAGTAATAGCAAACGATCGTCTTCGACAACAACAACACCCAAATCTAAACTGACACACTCAAAGAGTGTATGTTCATTAAGCAACACAGCCAATAACACACCGATTCATCTGAACAGCAATATCTATTCAACATCAATGTCAGCTCCACCGTTCATTCCAACTACTAACCAAGCACCGTTACAATCGTCGTCATCCGCTCCGTCCTCTCGTCAGAAAATAAGAAAAGCACCGTCTTTTAGTGGATATCCTAACCACAACAGTTCTGAAACCACCAAAGTTTTCGATTATAAATTTATTGTAAGCATTTCATTGATCAAGATAAAACTAAACCAAACTAACAGAAAAACTCGCACTTTTAGATGGAGCAATCAAATGCCAAAGAACCTTGTAATGTTGTTGCACTAGAGTTACCAAATTCCAAAATACAAAAAGTGAATAGTAATAGATTTGAACTATTCGATAAATTAAATTATCTTGATTTAAATAATAACATTGTACAGTATGTATTCATATTCATTATAGTAATTAATCATCGATTCACTTACCAACTTACTTTTACCACCTACTTTGCTATCTAATCATAATCAAGATTCAATTCACTATCCATTTTCCCAAATCTTAATGAGTTATATCTCTCGAATAATTTCATTCAAAATCTTGATCATAATGGATTCTTTAATTTAACTGTTTGTATTAATTATTTTATTAATCTATCAATCTTTTATCATTTCTCATAAATATTTAATGAGAATTTTGAAATTTGAATATTGATAAATAATCATTATTATTGTTATTGTTTTAATATGATTGAATAACAACGACGACAAGAGATTCTAACCATATAATATGTTTATGTATTTATTTAATTAGAAATTAGATTTATCACATAATCTTATTGATTCAAATCATGTTTCCGGTTTGATGAAAATTCCAAAGCTAGTTTGTCTGAATCTTTCGTTTAATAATATCAAAACACTTCCTGAATCGCTGGCAGAGTTTGTCTCACTGGAAACTCTTAATCTCGAATACAATCATTTGGGTCAAAAAAATACAATGGAATCATTATCAACCATTCCAAAGTAATATCAAAAACAACCTTGTATTTTAATAACAAAATGTAAAAGCATTTACTAACAATCTACTATCAAACTATTAAAAAACAAAACAAAACAGTCTAAGATTATTGAATCTAAGTGGAAATCAATGGGATAGAATACTTCCAATCAATGGATGTTTCAAATCGCTGGTTGAGTTATCATTGTGCAACAACACCATTTCGAACCTACTGAACATTGGCAATATCTACCACACTGCATATCCACTGCTCACTCGTGTACAACTCTGGGGTAACCCGCTAAAGTCGACGTCCATCAATTTTCAAGTGTCCAAAACGATTCAGTTGATAACCGATCCTCCTGTACAACAACAATCCTACCAACAGCCATCTCCACCCCGTCCAAGTTCAAACTTGTTATCAAACAGTCAGATTATAATGTTATTGAAGCAACATCAACAGCAACAACAACTCAAACAGCAGCAACAGCAACAACAACAAATGATGAATACGTTCACCTATCCACCAAAAGATAAGAAAAAACAACCAACTTCACCTACACCAATGTTCAATAGCAACAGCAGCAACAACAATAGTCATTTGAGTTTATCAACAGGAAAGATCTCGTCGTCTACATCGTATGCGTCGTTGCAACAACACTTACCTTACACAGTTGATAGTAACAACAATGGCAACAATAATAATAGCAGCTACTATTATCATTCACCAAAACTAAACGCATCAGAGCCAATCTTTTATCGCCACCAATACCACTCAGACTCTGAGTTTGGATATGAACCATTTACGCCATACAAACCACCTAATCCACAACAACAACAACAACAACAACAACAACAACAACCAAACACAAGTTTCGAACAGCCAATATTTTATTTAAATCAACAGCAACAACACACTGATATTGGAGATAATGATAGTCATTACAATGACATCGTTAGTAATCATATCGAACACAATATTTTGAATAACACAACAATTATTACCCCAACCAAGAATAATCAAACGAACAACAACAATAATAACAACTTATCAAATGAATTAAACAACAGTAGCAATTATAATAATAGTATAGATGAATTTGTACAAACATCACTTTCACAGTTGCAATTAAACCAACAGTCACAACAAGAAGAAGAACAAGACATCACACAGCTAGGTTTATACAATCAAGATCTTGAGGAAGAAGATTTCATCAATGAACAAGAGGAAATGGAGTTCTACAAGAATGTTGCGGAGCCATCATACTTTAAAAACAATGTTACCAATGAATTGATACTTCACATTAACAATAATTGATTAATGTTAGATCATAATTTTATAAGCCAACTACAAAATAAATTTTGTGATCAAAACATTTGTTCATAAGATAGTAAATATTCCTGAATTGTATGTTTTATTACTATTGTAATTTCATATGACAAAATTCACTTTAACAATACAACAAGAAACAATCTACTGCTTTTGAATTATAGCATCATGAGTCATAATAATAATACTGTTTCTTTTTTATTGAGGTTGTATTCTTTAGAGGTACCTCTTTATTTTGATTGCATTTAGATGACCATGACAGTACTTACACAAAGAGTTGACTGTAAAATTTTAAATAATTTTTATGAAATAATACTAATTTCAGAGTTAACCACACACAAATCAACATCACACCAAAATGTTTTATCATTTTCCAAAAAAGGGAACTTCTAGCTGTAATATATTGAAGAGATTTTTCATACGTTGTTTATTAGAGCAGACAACTTAAAACATACTTTTGTAACAATGATACTACAAAATTTCTTACTTAGTGGTGATACTAATTTTATTTTTTGAACTTATCCAAGCTTGACAAGATGGTGATAGCTTAGTTCTAAAAATTCACTCTATTGAGCAAATATATTAATTTATTAAGTGTGAGTTATAATTACTATTTGTTAGAATGTACATGTGATCTCATATCACTATACTAGGGCAAATAAAAATACTTATTGATCTATTTTTTTAAACCAGAATAGATAAAATCTATTGTAAAAATTGTCCATTTGACAATTAATGTCTCTTTATCATCTTAAAATTTTGTCCTCATATTTTTAAAAGAATCAAATGTTTTAAAAGTATAAATGATACAGTGTTACAAATAACCTTGAAGTAAAATTTAAAATGTGTTGGGTGTGTAACTTCATAATAGAGAAAAATTAATCTTAATCAACTTACCACTTTTCAATTTATTATTAATTCATTTCAATTTTTTTTATTATATATTTATGTTTTTTATTTTTGCATATGTATGATCATTGTTGGATCATAAATTTAATCAACTTAAATTTACTCTTATTTATTAAATTATAAATTATTGTTAAAAAACTTTTAATTTATTTCACAGTACAAAATTTCTATAAAAATATAAATGTCATCTCCTCGACTACCAGTATACCTTCTAAGGTTCACTCGAATTTACAATGAAATGAATGGAATTTTATATGAACCAGAATGCAAATATTCCTTACTTAGAGTAGTTGTGTACAGATGGTTTTTGGATCTCGATCCAAATTACACAAACAATAATCTCTCGATCATGCAACATATAGAAGAGATTTTAGATAATATTCTATCTCTTTTAGTGACCATGAGAGTTGAACCATCTCTATTGCGTATAGTAATATTTTATACCGACAAATTCCTTAGAGGAGCAACAATCATGTACGACCAGCTATTTAGCGTGTTACTAATAAGCACCATTGTTACTATGAAATTCTGGACAGAGAACCTTCATATCAAAAATTATATGTTTGCCCAAATTTTTAACAGATACAAACTTAAAGATATCAATATGATGGAGATATGTTTTCTAAATGCAATCGGATACGACCTTGCAGTCACAGAGAAAAATATCAGTCAGTACTTGAAATCATTTATAGATAATAAATTATGGCCAACACTATCTGCCTACAACCATAATATCAAAATAAATTCACCAGTTACAACACCAACAGTTTCATCACCAACCTCCTCAATCTTAAGTAACAATGCTCAATAACAAGATCCTCTTCCTTTTTAAATAGAAATTTAAAATTTTAAATAGAATTTCAAATAAAATTTTTTGTTAATGTTCTCTAATAATAAAATATTTCTTTCTTTTGTTTAATAATTTTTTAACCCCATTTTTATGCTTCGTAGTGTGTGGGGATTTTTTTTGAATGAGATCAATGATCAGATAAAAATTTTAATTAATAGTATTATTCATACCAATAACAAAATATTTGTTTCTTTAATAAAAGAACTTACTATTTTAACAGAAATTTATTATAACTGTTCGTCAATTACATACATAATTAAAAGATTGATTAATATGTCTGGAGTACGCCCCAACAACAACAATAATTTGAGTGGAGGGGAGGAAGATGAAATCTGGGAGAATGTATGCTATTTCCTTGGAAATTTGTTGGTTATCTCTTATATTTACTTTTTTTTTCTTAGGTATATGATAAACTTACGGATTTACAGACACTTCTTTATAGATGTACGAGAAATCAAGCAACTGCCAATCCCCAAGAAATCATTCAAAAACTAGTCCTTATAGCTCGATATGTTCAAGATGTAAGTTAGGTAACGAGTGTAAAACCAATAATAATTATATTAACAACTATCAACATTGTTTAAAAAAAAAAAAGGAGTATGATTTGCCAAATCAAATACCAGACTACCCACAGAATCCATTTGCCAACACTTCTTGAGGTTGGTAGATTGTTTTTTATTAATCATCACTAAAATTCAATAGTTCTCAGCAGTGTGAATTTGTATCTTTATTATGGTAATCTTTAAAGGAATCACCCTTTTCTAAATTTAATTTCATCTTGTAATTTTATTTTTGTGTTAAGCAAATAATTGCTTGCTTGATAATGTTTTTTCACAAACAACATATCAAGCAAATTATTTCTAAATACATTTCAAATAAATAATAATAACAATAAAATCAAGAAAAATAGATAAGTTTTGCAATTAGTTCGATAGATGCTTATCATTCCACTATTGTATGGTGATTCTGAAGTGGTCGATAGTATTTTAGGTGATTGGTAGACCATACTCAATCCACTCATTACAGTTGAACTGATACCATTCAATTGAAGTTGCAAATAAGCGGATGTTCCACTTCCTTCTGGTGCAATACAGGTCACACTGGTGCTGTTCAATCTCGTTGCATTTGAACATGGAGTGTTAAGATTAGATTTGGTATCATAAATAGTCACAGTGATATTCTCATTTCCTTGGATGTTGGAAGTCATATATTGACCACTGATTGTTACAATTCCACCTTGTGTTGGTGGTGATGTTATTGATGTGATGTATGGTTGTATTGTTATCTTAAATGGAACAGTTGGTGATGTGTTGAATTTGGTCAGTGTGTTTCCATTGTATAATCCAGATGGTGTGTTTGTTGGAAATTTAAATGTTAACATCGAGTTGGAACCAGAGATCGGTGACATTGGAGTACTACCATTGAAATGTAATATTATTGATTTTGTATCATTATCAAATGATGAACCAATAATAATTGTATTTCCGCTATCTTGTGATACTTCTTTGACATTTGAAAGATCAGCAGAGAATAATATATCACTATTGGAGTTCTTTCCATCAATGTTAACAACCACTGATAAATTATAATTCTTTGAGCCACTTGGAATTGCTGGCATTGAACATTCAATAAATGAATTTTTTGGATCGTTCAATGTCAATACTGTACATGTATAACCTCCAACAAGGATTGATACTTGTGAAATAGTTGCATTTGGTTTGAAAAGATTCAATCTATATCCATAAATTGAAATGGTTCCACCAGATGATGAAGTAGAGGTTACTGATGTTACAACTGGATCTAAACAATAATAATATGAATGATTAATAATTATTCAATAGATAACATTATAATATAAGATATGTTTTTAATGAATACATACATAGTTGTTGAGTATAGGTTGCTGAAATTGGATTTGGACTACCAACATTCAAAACATATTGGTAATCACCAGAGAATGAATAGTTTTGAGCATTCACATTTGAAACAATAACAGTATTATTAATTAAATGAGTTGGTTGTAAATTTCCACCATTCGAAGTCAATGTTAATGGAATTCCATTTACTCCAAAATTGGTTCCAGTCATTGTAATTTGATTGTTATCTTTATTAAATTCAACCAATGAAATTGTTGGTGCTATTAAATTAATGTTTAAGTTACATTAGATTTATTTTAATATAATTTCCTAATATACTAAAGCTAAACAACTTACTTTGGAATGAAAAATATTTTTGATTAAAAAAATAAGTTGTCGTAGTAAGAGTTGGATTTCCACTTATTTGGAGATAAATTGGAATATTTTGACCAGAGATTAAAGAGATAATATTCTGATCGGCATTGAAATGTATTTCAGTTCCATCTGCATTAGTATCACTTTCATTTAGAGAGTACCTGTCATGAAAATAGATCTCTGCGCTTCCTGGTGGTGATGATAGAAGTGATATACCTTTTACTGTAATGATACCTCCTTGAGTTGGGATAGAAGAAATATTAGTTATATAAGCGGGAATCCAAGATTGAGCGGTGAAAGATCCACAATTTGGTGAGTCACATATTTGGAATCTATCAACTTTGTTAATAATATCAGATGTATAGGGCACAATAGCTGTGGTAGAGTTGAGAATAGTCATCGTTTTTTTTATATTGCTGTTAACTTTCTTTTCCTATACTTCACCAGAAGCTTTATTTTATTTTATTTTTTTTTTGGAAAAATAAATGGTAATTAAATATAGTTGATTTTTAATCAGTTTAGGAATAGTAAAAATATTAATTAAATAATATTTAGGACTGCTTTATTTACAGTCAGTGCAAAATGGACCAGACGGAGTGACTTTTACATTGAAAAGCGGATCATTTAGTAATGGCAATTACCTCCACTTGGTTAATACAAATAAATTTTTTTTTAAATTTAAAACTCATCTTATTAAATTGTACAATTTTGAACAACCATTAGCTAAAGAAATTTTTTTATCAAATAGAATTTTATTTATATTTAACAAAAGAGTTTTATTTGTCAAGAATTAAAAACAAATTATTATTTTTCAATTTATTTTTTCAGTTTCTATATATCAAATAAGAGAATGATCAATTATAAAAGGATACAATTTTTTTTAATATTTTACAAGAATTTTTTGAAATCCCCGCCCCCACAAGAAGTGTGGCTGATTCTAAGTCTGTATGCTAAATGTGGTATATTAAATCATAGATAATTCATATAATTGCTTTGAAACACTTAAATCTTAGGTATTCCAATGTAATAATAGTAACATCTCAAATAGGTCACAATTCGTGTCATCTTCTTTGGAGCATGTTATTACTCCGATTATTTGATTAACATTAATAGCATCAATATGTAATACAAGTGATGAATTATAGAATGTATTTGTGGTATTAGTAGTAGTTTTGGAGTTCTTAGACGATCTGCCTTTTTTCTTAGCGGGTTGATTAGGAGCAGCGGCAGAGTTCGAACATGTTACAGCAGTCTTTCTATTGTGCTCTTTGAGAGAATAAACCCGCAGACTTGGTTATCCTCTCAACTATTACTGTCACTTTGGCACAAGTGCGAGTTGTATGTTAGGATAATTTAAAATAAAACTTCGAAAGATTTTATAATATATTTATTAAAGTTTAGTTTACAATGAGTTACCACAACTACCCCAGAAGATTAGTGGTGGGTGTTTTGTTTCACAGCTCCATCAGACTGATAGTTAGTTCAGTCTTTATAGTTGTAAATAAAGTGTAAGTAGTACATTATTTGTGTAAAGAGATGGCATTTTCCTATATCTTACTAAGAAATAGTAATTTTTCACATCAGATGACAGGGAACAGTAATCTAGATAATGGAATGACAGCACGTTCCGAATACAGAAGTGTTCAGCTCTCAGTTGTAGCAATCTAGAGATAATGTAGGTGCTTGATGATGAGAAGAACCATCTATGATACCTATATGAACATATTGATGATAGTAACTGGGGTTCCACATACCATTTTATGACAGAATAAATCAATGCATTTCTTGACCTGCTGGGAGGTAAGTGTGTGGTTGTGCAAGGTCAACTACAACTAAAATTAGGAGCAACAAATAAAACTAAAATACTCATAGTTAGTATCAATTAATATAAATTTAAAAAAGATATTTAATAAGTTGTTTGGAAAATTTAATTTTATTTTGATTGTTTTTTTTCAGATGTTGACATTAATCGGAAGAAAATTTCTATTTGTTTCTCTGTAATGGCGAGTTTGTAATCGATTCCAATGAGGAAGCGGCGTTCCATTACATTAATATCTTTAACTTCGAATCGGAAAATGTCAGCAAACATACTATTTCTCATTGGAATGCTCTCTGACCAGAACTTTATGGTTACGATGGTGCTAGTTAGCAATAAGTTGAATAATTGACTGTGCATGATTCCAGTTCGACGAAGGAATTTGTTGGCATTACAGATTATATGACTTAATAGTGAGGATGGAGCTTTCATAAACTCTAAAATACCCAGAATCGTATCTAAAATATCTTCAATATCTTCCATTAATTTGCTTAAGAGAATATTCTTTGTGTAATTTGGATCGTAATACAACAGCCATTGGTATATATTATGTCCAAGTAATTTATATTCAGCTGAAGATTTTTGTTTTCCTTTGATATTAAAGTAAATCTTTTTAAAGAGTTGTTGGTTTAATGTTAATGATTTAAGAGAAATTGAAGTCATTTTTATATGTTATAAAGATAAGGAAATCTGGAATTTAAAATTATTAATACAATTAATTTTTAAAGTACAATATTTATATATCGAAAAATTAATTAATTGGATATATTTATTCTGAATTTTAATAACTAGTACAAATTTTGATTGATAATGTATCAAAAATAATAGTGATTATTTATATATAAATGCTCAAGTTTAATTAATTATTTGTTCATTAAACACCATTTTTTAAATTAAACTTCAAGGTTATTTGTGTTATTCCGTAAAACAGTTTTAAATTTACGTTTTTAATAGTTTGATAGCATAATTTTAAGAGGATGAATAGGCAAATCGAAAATTTTACCATAAAGATGTTACTATTCCTTTATAAAAAATACATTAAATGTTGTTAACCCTAGTTTTTAGTGATTTTAACCAATTAATACTCTTCATTGTTTATGATTAAAATTTGATCACTTGTTATTTTCTAACAAATTGTAACATGTGATCAAATTTTAAACCCACCCTAATTATTATTTTCGCAAACATTTCTTTTTTAATGTAGAGCAATAACACATTTTTTTTATGAATAATAAAAAAATGATTACAGTGAATTAAATCAATTTTTAGAATTCAGCGATCACAATCTTGTCAAGCTTGGCTATGTTAAATAGAGTGTAAATTTGTAGTATCATTGTCACTAAACGTGTTATAAGTTCTCTGCTCTATTAAAACAACGTATGAAAAATCTCTTCAATATATTACAGTTTCAAGTTCCTTTTTTGGTGTTTTATTATCTTATCATTAAGATAAATATTTTTATGTGATGTTGATTTGTGTGTGTGGTGGCTAAATTAAAAATAAAATTTTTTATTGTTTCAGAGTTAACCACAAACTCTTTGTTTTTTTAATGATATTGGGGCAAAAATGCCATCATGATAGAATAAATTTTAATAAATTAAAACAAAATGTGTGAATCATAGGTGTTCGTTATCCATACTAACTTCTTGGTATCGTCCACAACAAAAAAATAATTAATATGAGACGTGCAACCTCCTTATCATTAACTTTTAATGAAAAATTTGATGACAGTATAATCGTTGCTATCAATATATATATGAACTACACTAATCATCCATACATATTGATAGCAACGATTGTAATGGTATTCTCATAAATTACAAATCGGAACTACAATTAAAAATAAAAATATAATATTAACAAATAAAATAAATTAAACTTAATTGATAACAAATATAATACTAAGATATTATTCGCATAAACAAATTTACTTTTGACATTTTGAATTCTCTATCTTAAGCTTGATCAAATTCATATCGTTCAATTTCTCTAGTGCTACTGATGAGAGTTGTTGCCATTTTTGAGGACGAACTGGTCAGGTTACGATGGAATGTGGACTACGACCTGATTTGACGCCAACAATGAGACGATCGCCACCATGTGATTCGAATACCTCTATGAATGAATAGTCTGAGCGAAGTTGTTCTTTAAACTCTGTTTCGTTGTGAGTAAAATGTCATATTGGCTGGAGACGCTGATAAACAGGAAAACGCGATAACCTTGTTGATTCCGTATGTAAATAGTATCTTCTCATTCAACGAACTGCTCACCATTTAGATTGAAAGGTTATTCATGATCTATCTTATCAACATTTTAATTATGTAATTCTCTGTAATAATCTTGTTAAAACTATTGATTTTAAACTTTCTTAACTTTGATTTTTTTGATAAGTAAAGATTTAATAATAGAAATAATATTATTCGTGCATTTTGGCTTTTTGTGAATTTAAAGTAACTTTTTGAAATAAAAATCATTTTAAAAAAATATCTGAAAAATTTTAATATTGATTTTTTATTTTTTTTAATTCCATTTGGAATTGTAGAATGAACTATCATTTCTTGGCAATCATTAGTCATTAATATTTTTATATTTATTATAGTAATATATTATTTTTATTTATCTTTTTTTTGTTGTTTTATTTATTTTTTTTTTGAAAAATAAAATAAAATAAAAAAATATGTATATTAGTGGTGTTAACAATGATGTGGAAAATATAAATATAAATGGAAACGACAACGGTGAATCAGTGACGATGGTGGAAAACAACGATATATATCAACACACAGAGCTATCGTTGAGATACGGATTCCTCGGTGAGGAAGAGGAAACAAAGATTATCAGATTGATATGCAATCATCTATCGCTTGGTCAGTTTGAGTTGGCGCGTGCACTCATCCTACAGATTCAACAACCGCAGTCATCAAACATCAGCATAACAACAGCAACAACAACAACGAACAAAGATGCCAGTGGTAATGGTAGTGGCATAGAATCGATCAATGTTTTATCATCTTCTTCATCAACAACTCTTACAAATAATAACAACAACAGCAATATTACAGCTGCTACAACAACAACGACTGCATCTACAGCATCGATGATTCGCAAGGTTTCATCGATATTACATCATACAATAAAGAACGGTCCACCTTCCACCTGGCTAACTTCCGACTCTATTCCATCGTCCTCACATATCTCTTGGTTATGTGCAATAGAATTCTATCAATTAAACAAAGTATGATATATCTTTTATCTATCTATCTATTACTATAACATTACAATTAACTAACAAGCTTTTTAAATAATTAAAAAAACTTTAAAAGGATGGATTTGTACAAAGTATAAGTGAAAGAATATTGATGTTGTTAGAGTTTGCTATATTGTTGTACTCCACTTTGATATCGGATCAGATGTTGCATACCAATGAATATCGGTCGGTTTTACCTATCATTCAGGAACTTAGAGAATACCATTTCGTTTTGATGAATCAAACGAGTGGGAATAACAACAATAATAACAATAGTAATAGTAATAGCAATAGTAATACTGGTGCTGGAATGATTAATATGCTATCGAGTAGGCTATCGTCGAATACACTTGCATTACTCAAGAGAACATTGGTTAGCAATGGTGAACTCGCCAAGTACCTACTGAAGCAGTTGACCGATCCTTTCATCAGTCTCGACAACGGTGGTCTGTCACTATTAAAGTCTGTGTATCCAGTGTCATCGCAACTCGAGTCAGTCACAGCCGAGATAATCTCACATCTAATTCAAGTCGGTCAATATACAGAAGCATACAATCTATTAAAAGTAATAGATTTTAATGATGATAATAGTAATAATAATAATAATAATAATAGTAATAATAGTAGTCAAAGTAAAGAAGATATAGAAAGTTCAAAATCAACAGTTTTAACAAGATTATTACAGAGAATTGCTCATTTGAATGTTGACAAGATAGATTATGAACAACCTGCCAATCTTAATGGTGATCGTTTGTTGCTCGAGAAGATACCGTTCACTCAGAGAACCGATCCTTCAATCTTGGATTTCACTAAATCAACAACGTTGTCGCGTCTACCTGTTTACCAATCGTTGCTGGCCAACAGGACATTGTACCCATTACAACGATACACAGAGTTTGAAGAGCAACTGTTACAACTCGATTCAAACTCTTCATTCTCAGAGGTTTTCGAATCATTAAGACAATATCAACAATTAAAACAACAACAACCACAACAGCAACAGCAACAACAGCAACAACAACAACAACAAACAACAAATCAAGATTTCGAAGTAAATAAGAATCTAGATGATTTCTGGTATTGGTATTACCATTTCCTTAGAGTTAATGACCGTCATTTCCTAGAGTATGCACTGACCAGTGCTATACAACTGGTGAAGGAGAAGAGATTCGACGATGCAATGTTGGTTGTTAAACCATTCGGTCGTTTGTTACCGATGGTTGTTTTGATGTGTTGGGATCACTTCTCACAGGATATAATGTCGCGAAAGGCACTGAATCAGCTCATGGCAAGTGTGAAGCGTGAGCAAATGGATGACACTCTGCTGCATGCCAACGACCAGCTAGCATACCTAGTGGAGATGTCAGAGTGGTGCTGTGGAAAGATGATCGCTGTTCCAAACTCACCGGGTGGCAACCGTCTCATTGTTGGCGACAGTCAGTTCGATGTCCACAACCGTGACTTGACCGGGTCGTCCTCAAAGATGGTCGAGGAAATATCGAATGCCGTTATCAACCAATTGAATCAACACTCATTCATCTACGTCATCAAAGATTGTCTGCCATTCATAACATCGAATGACATTCTCCAGCTTGTGGAATCCGATCCAGACTATCCACAGTCCAACAAATCCAATGCCAACAACATCGATCAACAACAACAACAACTCTCATCGGTAGCATTGGAGAAATTGAACGATATGAACTTGATAAGAGGTTACTACTTGATGAAGAGTATACTGCGGTTCTTCCAGTATCGAACACGTGAGTCTGCCATCGACCAGAGTGAATTCGACTTGGTAATGGAGGATGTCTTCCAGCTGTTCAGAGGTATCTCTGACTCTACCGTATCGATTGGATTGGTTGAAGCGATTTACCTTTCGATATTCCTTTCGAATCACGATTTGAAACAGGATCAGATGACACCGTCACTCGCCAACAGCACACTGCTCGGAATCGACGATAGTATCAACATTGCCGATGCCATGCAACGCGAACGACAACTCGAAGACTACAATAACCTGAAGAAACATCTGGCATCTGGACAGAACCAAACAGCCATCGACGAACTGACAGATACACTCAATTCCTTTGACAACAGCTACAACAGTCAATTCGAATCAAAAGTCGATCACAAATCATACTACATCACATCGCCTATGATGACATCGCTCATCGATACACTCATAAAGATCATTGCCTACATTACAAACGTCAATGATAATCATAAGGAATCGGTAAAAGAACGAATTCAAATATTATCTTCGAATCTAGATAATTTGAAACATCGTGTTTCCATTGCCAATTGGGTGATGTCAAAAGTAAGTTTATTTATATATTTCCATCCATCTTTTTTATATTTTACTTATATTTTATAAATTGTAGATTCCAAATATGTCATTTATGCGATTAATTTTGATGCCAGTTCAATCGTTACTATCAATATGTATGAGAACAAACTATCCAAGTCTTCAAAAGATTCTAGACTATTACCAAACACCAAAGGATATTAAAGTGGATGTAGCACAATACCAATCGATTCCAAATCTCATTGAAGTACTCTCAGGTTTGAATCAGTCAACTGCTGATGTATCCAGTCATTTAGATACAGTAACGAGCGGAGATCATAAAGGTATATCAAAGGATGTCCTGTTCACTGTTTTGTGTGATGTAGTACTCGGTTCTAAACTTAAAGACAGTCTTATCACCAAAGTATTGAATATCGCTCAATCGATTACAACACCTAAACAACCAGACACTCACCTTCAGTATATTGAATGGATATTGGCACTTCACCAACAATATACCGACCACTCACTACTCCAGATCATAACGAATGTTCATGACAGTGGAACCAGTGGACTACCTACACAAGAAAGAATAGAACTCATCAAGAAAAAGAGAGTGCTAGTCAACTCACTCAATCATCTAATCCAATCGGTCTACGAGCCAGCCAAAAACAATGTAAATGACAATCAATCAAAGATGGAAAGTGTATCAAAGATCATCGAAAATAGTTCGGTTATTACTTCTAGTGGTGGCAATGGTAATGCTAGTGGTAGTGGTAGTCTACTGGCAATTACCTTTAAATACTTGTTGTCAATCAATGGAATTATGGAGGAATTAAGTGAAAGTAAATTGGATCCAACAAACATTGGCAGCAGGAAGTATGCTAATTTACTATCGACCATTGAAACAAGTCCATCAAAGATAATGGAAAAGATTATATTCCAAGAGCAAAACTATGAGAAGGCAGAAAAGATGGCTCGGTTCCTTCAGATTGACTTGGCTGATTTTATCATTTCCTCGATTTCACATACCGCACCAAAGAGTCCACCCAATGCACTGTTCTCTTCGACCACTCCTGAGGCATCGATTATCGATTCACCAATTTACTATGTCAATAAGACACATCCTTCGTTGGTAACACAACAACTACCGGCTATTGCCGATATCAACGGTGGATTGCAATCATCCAACAACAATGTACTCTCTATGAATCTGGTAAGATATCTTGGTCAGTCTTCGAAGCTGTTGTCTTGTATCGCCTGTATGCTAAAGTCACCGGACACTAGCATAGTCGATTCCATCGAACCATTCCTCCTCTATGCAACGGAGGAATCTACTGCACTTCCCAACAATGTTCTATTGAATTGGATTAAAGAGATATTGAGAGCACACACCTTTTACTACCGTCATTTTGGAGGTCAGCGACCAGTCCCTTCTTTCCTGCCGCGCGACGAGTATGACAACGTAGAACTGGAAGATCGCTCAGAACTGACAAGCAAATTGTCACCTCCTATGGAGGAAATGCCAAGTTTCAACATGATTCAAAACTCGGAATCGATTCATCAACAACAGACATTCTTCTTTAAGATTCTACAGCACTTCGTGTCGAACGGCCGTTTGATTGAAGCATTGAATATCGCTGATGAATTCCTCGAGGAGGGTGCACCCGATTGGTTGTTGAAGCTGATGGTCATGAAAGATAAAACACAAGGCTATATCTATTTGAGAAGAATGAAAGACAAGGAGAAAGCAATCAATTTGGTGCTGGAGCTGTATCATAATTGGGAGGTCGATGTTGCCATTGATATGCTGGTGATTTCACGTGCCAACGTTGCAGAATCCAGTCAAGCCAATGAGATATCACATCTTCACCAGTGTCTACTTATATACCAGGCTATTCTGAATGTTGATCGTGGATCACGATGGAGATCGTGGCAAGAAGTCAAAGACTTGTGTCGTCGTGATCCCACAAAGATGGTTCGTTCTCTTCTCGAATCGAAACACTACGAACTGGCGCGTCAAATCAGAGATCTCTTCTCCGTGAGTAACATTCGCAATGAAATCGAAGAGAGTTACCTATTCTATTTGTTAGTGGAGAAGGACGACGCCAGCTTGGCACTTCAAACACTCTCGACACTTGGCGAAGAGTCTATCCCCATTGCAGAGGCTGTGCTTCTCAAACTTCGAGATGTATCACTCAAGTTGTTCCTCGTTCAATTCCTGCTGTCCAACATGAGATTGTCTTTGTCCGACGAGAAACTGGCAGAGTTGACCAAACAAGAGACTGGATACAAGGTTCTCTTGGTGTTACCAACCGATCTACAAAAGGAATATGAACATTATGTTCACCACCCCAATCTAATTCTGGAAATGTTGGTTATGAATGAAAAGATTCCTTTGGTATCGAAATTACTCTCGGAAATCAAGGAACTGAAGAACGACGATCTGCTTGCCTACTATGCCAGAAAAGCTTTGTCGTTCGGTAGATACATGGCAAAGAATGAGCTGTTGGTTGTTGACGATTACCTTCAGTCCAGTGAATATCTCGATAGTCTACCAACTGAGAAATCACACAAACTCGCATTCGGTAATGAATCACCAAAGAATGCCATCAAGATTGGCTCACCGAATCAAATGAAAGAAAAGTTGAAATCACAGAAATGGGTATTGACTGGCATCGACCAAGTAAAAGATGAAAAGGTGCGACACAATCATTTCTTTGTACGTTCACCCAGCATAAGTTTGGCAAAATCACTTTTCGATCTCTGTGAATCGAAAAAGAAAGTCTACACCACATGTTTGGATCTTTACAGCTACTTGTCCGAGTTGCTCTCTTCTTCCTACTCTGACGATAATCTTTTGATTATCAACTTGATTCAACAATTGCTGATGTACACGAAACTACAGTTGTTGCGTGATCCAAAGAGTGGAGGACCTACGTTTGTAGCGGTTTGCGATACTCTGCTTGGCAAGGTGGAGTTGTTCCAGTCACTTGTCATTTCCAAATGCTCGGGATCCATGTCGTTGGCTGACTTGTCCGACATGCAAAAAGCGCGACAACTACGCGATAAACTGATACAAGAGGATCGTCTAAAGCTGGCGATTGATGTGGCGACCAAGTGCAATATTCCAGCGGATCCAGCTTGGGTTGCTTGGGGTATCACACTGATACAACTCGGTCAATACAATGAAGCACGTGAAAAATTCAAATACTGTTTGTCTTCGAGTGGCGATCGTCGTGTAATGTCACCGTCTACAACACTCTCACCCGACAATGTTGACAGTAGTGTTGTACTCAGTCAGATTATCCAGTTGTTGGAAACACCGGCGACAGCCAATCATTCCAATCTTCGTAGTTTGTTCAATCAGCTGAACAGTATTCCACTGGCCAACCAGAAAGCGCCACCCAAAATAGATGACCAACTTTTCTACTCTTTACTTCAGCCATCTGTCAATCCAAACAATGGAGCACTACCAGAAGGAACACCGAAATCACTTGCCTCCAGTAGTGGTATTAACAAGTTGAAACAATCGATCGGTAGTCCATCGAGTCCAGTCAACAAATCGATGGGAATCGATCCTGCCCGATTGGAAGAAGCCATCTACTATTTAAAGAAATATGGAAACGGTAGAATGCATGTCAATTTCCTAATGAAACATGGATTGCTGGAGCTGTCACTGAGAAGTGTGTTGTCTGAGAACTTTTCATCATCGATATTCTTTGACGAGATTGTCATGAGTTCAATCGCCAGTTCATCTCTACCGGAACTCTTTTCGATTATCAAATCGATCGATCCTGCACTCCACTCTTTCTACGAACACCTGATGGCTTGTTGCAAGATCATGAACGAGAAGAAGTGGTATATCATGTTGTTTGAATTCCAGTTGTATATGGGTGACAATATACGTGCCGCTCTCACACAGATCAAGATCTTCATGGAGACTGCCGATCCATCCTCCCCATCACGTCTTCAACATTTGGAACAAGCATTGCACTACTTCCATCTTGGACAATCTCAAAAAGGTGCAGTACTCCCAGAACTGGAAATCAACAAGTACATACAGAAATTGCAAACCCAAATCGATGTGTCCAAGTTCCTCTATGCGCAGAAAGGTCTGTCACCAACAGTTCACAAACTCAGTATGTTTGGATCTGCCAAGGAAAAGAATGAATTGGCAGAGCTAGTAACCATCTACAACAACTTTGAACTAGGATTCAAGCTGGCGATGGAATACAAGCTGTCACTGCCAACCGTCTACACCAATGCACTCTCAGCCATGGCAAGAAAGAAGAACTACTCCAAGATCGAAGAGGTGCTCAACAATCTTCGAAACTTTATCGATCCATCCGACTGGGACAGTATTGCAATGTCGGTGATTGAAATTCTCTGTTTGGAAATGAAGGAACTCAAGACCGCAGAGAAATTCATCTCCAAGCTTCACTCTGCTCGTAACAGCGTTAGAGTCTGCATCATGTGCAATAAACTCAAATCAGCATATCTCAAGGCAGTTCAAATGCAAGAGAAAGACCTCATCACAATGGTAATGGATGAAGCTCACAGAACCAATCAACTAGTTATTTACAAATGGTGTCAAGAAGTACTAAGTGGTTCACAACCAAAAACAAACTAAAAATTATTAAAACAAAAATAAAAATATGTATGTATTTTTTTTTGTAGTTCTAGAGTAGTTGAATCGATGGTTTTGGGTAGTAGGTTGAAAGTATACAAATTATTATCATCAGATATTGAAAATAGTTTTCCCTCTTAGAAGTTTAAATTATTTAATAATTATAATTATTTTATTGCAAAATTAAACAATGTAATCTGTTTGTAGTATAAATTAAGTATTTTTATTTATTTTTATCTAAAGATAGATAATTCAATTGGTATTCAAAGTTTGGAACTTACTACTTAAACAAATTCTACATAAACAGTAGAATTAAAATTAATATGAAGAATGAAGTTCGATTATTTTCCTTTTATGGTTAACTTTCAATGCATTTTTTTTTTTGAATTTTGGCGGGTTGTTCCATTAAATTAAAAAATAAAAAAAACATATCAGTAAAGTTGATATTTAAGCTTTTGTAAAATAAAATATCTATTTATATCTATATGCTTCATCGATAAATTTTAATTAAACAAACACTTCATTGATAAACAAAAAACAAAAAATGTAAAAATAACTTTTACCACAATTATTTGTAAGATTAAGTTCAATATCTCATTGATATATATTACATACATATACGATATCAGTCTATTTTTGTACAAAAATGGAACAACCCGTATTTAAATTATACCGCTTAATTAAGATATCATGAACATCATATTTATCTCTTTTTTTTTTGTTTTTTTTTTTCTGTATTATCATTGTTCGACTCTTTAATCAGTTAAACATTGAATAAAAATAATAATAATAATAAAATATCTATATTTATATATTATTATATCTATAATATCTAAATGTATAATGAAGATCAAAAATTTAATACAACTAGATTACCTTGGATTCTACATTTGAAAATATTAAAATATTTATATAGTTCAAAAGATGATATTATATGCAAACAATCAAGTTCATGGAGAGTATCTCTATCGCTAGTTTGCTGGAAATATCATTCATTCATCTCCAAACACTTTTTTAATAACCTAGATTTATCATTGGAAAATGAAGATCTAACCGAAATCATTTCACATATTAACAGCAGATATTGTATCATTAAATTTGTTAATAATCTAAAATGTTCAGATCAACTATTATTTAATTTGTTTCAAATGAATCCATCATTTTTTGATTCAATGTACAGTCTTGATTTACAAATTACATCTCCAATGAATCAAGATTTTATCTATTTATTAATAACAATCTTCAAGTCATTATATCACTTTAAATACACAATCACCAACAACAACAGTACAAACAATAATATTTTATATAATCAATTAGTATTTGATTCTTTAAATAAAAATAAAGAACTATACTCATTTAAATACCAATTGAATAATATAGTAGTACAACCAGTTCAACAAGATAATAATATTTCCAATATATTGTCAATTTCACCTTGTATTTCATTTTTAAAGAATCATACAAATCTAACAAAGATTGATATTAAACAAATCCAAATTGATACAGAATTCCATTCGTTTGTAGAGCTATTGCCATCCTTCAAAAGTCTATCCAAACTTGTTGTCTCTTTCAAGGTCAATGCGGAATTGGTAAAAAACTTTTTTATCAGTTTGAAAACCATCAATCTTTCCAGTTTGGTTATAGAACAAGGTGTTGGTGACAATCCAGTTCATCTCAATGCTTTGGTAGCCTACCTCACCGGAAATACTTCGCTCTCCCATCTGTCTTTGCCATCAGAGATAACCGATGGTTCCATCCTTAACGTTTTATTGACCAACAGCAATGAGAGTAAATGTAAAATCAAAAAGTTAAAGCTGTCACCACTAATCTTTGGAAATATCGAACAGAATCAATCAGTTTCACTCTGTCTGGATAAACTGTCAATTCGATCGATTTGGAGTAGCTATTCATTTTTAGACCGACTCGATCCAACCAGATGCGATATTAAAAAGATTGATATGTGTTCATGTTTTAGCAACACCTCGAAATCACCTACTTTTTTAAACCAGAACACAACTGTTTTGACCAAAGATATGATACCATATATCACAGCCAACAACAAGATCAGAGATCTACAATTCAACTATGATCCACAATTTATTGAAGCATTAAAAGAAAACAGTTCAATCAACACAATTACAATTCAATTAATATCAAACACAAGCAACGAACTTTATAATAATATTAATAATATTTTTACAAATATTGATAGAAATCAATCTATAAAATCAGTACAAATAATAGTCACACAACAACAACAAAGTATAAATAATCACCAAATAACATTGGATCCTTTGAAGATCCAAGAAATTGCACTGGTCAATGGTAGTAGTAATCAATTTAAAATGATTAGTCATGATCATAGAGATAAATTATTCTTCCAAAGACATATTTAATAAAGATAAAAAAATAAATAAATCTATATATTTTTTGAAATATTCGAAAATGTGTGAACTTTATATTTTTTATTACGTTACAATATTGATTTCATAACAAATAAGAGATAAGTGGTGAGTGGTGAAATGTTTGCAGAAAAACATTATTTATATGAATAACTTATTTTTCAATATATATATTTCAAAATAAAATATTTATGATATCTAATTTATTTTTAGATTTTAAAAGAAATAAATGAGAAGATCATCTTTATCAGTTGTTTCAAATAAAATAAGTCCTTATTTAGAATCGATCAAATCTAAAAGAAGCAATAGTTTTTCATATGCGAAATTGGATAACACTTTTTGTGAGATACAAAATCAATTGGAAGATGAAGAAGATGAAATAGAATTATCTCCAAAACCATATATTAATATGCTTTCTGGATTGAATAAAAATATAGATAGTAATAATAATATAGATAAAGAGTCAAAACATTCAGATGAAATGAATAGAGATAATAATAATAATAATAATAGTAATAATAGTTTAAAAAAAAATAATTATAATTATTTTATAGATATGAAAATGAATGAAAATGATGATGATGAGTCGTTGGAATCTGACGATGACAATGAATGTACATCGGAGGCAATCTTTAAAAAAGGTGATTTCCTTTTGAAATCGGTAGAGAACACTCCCATTCCACCGAGGAATGGCAAAATGGATAGTAGACTTGCAAAGATATTGATGGACAAGAATCTTAGATCGTCTCTGAAAGACAGTAAGATATTCGATATGGAGGTGCTGCCTATGACTGACCAGATTACCAATATCGAGGGAATCACCGAGCCGTGCAACTTGCTGACCGACAGCCAACACGAGTTGCTGTTGTATTTCTACCGGTTCCTGAAAATCCATATCCCACAAACGCACAAACGAAAGCAAAACTCTATCTACTTTACCAAGAATGAAAAGATTCGCCACTATATATTTGGTGTGGAGCTGACCGAGTGGATTCTGCTGGCGCGTAACCAACCTACCAATAGACGAGATGCACTGATCATTGCCGATGCCCTGTTAGTTCTCCAACTCATTATCAAAGTACGAAGAATACATACACTCCAAAGGTTTAGAAGGCTACCAACCACACACCAACGTTTGATATTTAAAGACGACAAGACGAGATACTTTTTTATTTCAGAGGCATTGATTTCCGACAAACAAAAGTATTGTGAATTCCTCTGGAAACGTTATACCAACTACCGATATATTCCAAATACCACTAGATATATAAACAAGATATTTCAATATCAGAAACAGCCAGAGATTATAGTTTCCGATGTTCCTCTCATCGCCGAAACATTGGAACAAGAATTCCAGGAGCCAGCAACCAACTCTTCTTCCTCGGATTCATCTTCATCTTCGGAATACTCAATGAATCCAGATGCATCGCCAGTGGGATTGGTTGACAGAGTGTTTCATTACAGTAAACATGTTCCAGTGAATTTGAAACAATACAACCCATCGCCTCTGGAGAAAAGGAGGTTAAAGACCGATCTTGGAGTGATCCATGTGGAAACATTGAAAACTATTCCAGAGGATGTCACTGTGAAAAGCGGTGTTCCTCCACTGGAATTGATAAGTCACAACTATAAATCGGTGGAACTAGATGTAACCAGCTTGAAATGGACGAAATACATTCCTCTGGTTACGTTTGCTATATCGTTGGCAACCTCGGCACTCGCGATCCAGTGGCGTACAATGAACACCTTGTTTTCAACACCGGCATGGCTATACAAGATCTTTGTATCTATGTCCTCTGCTATATTAGCGCTTGCAATGACCATCGAAGTGATCAGTATAATCGTACATCCCGCCAAGATTGTCAATGATTTCAAGAACACCATTCAGGTGACCTATTGGTGTATCATAGCAATGTCGCTCTTCCAGATTGCCGATATTTGTATTGAATTTTCCAGACCGTTGGCAGTCGTTTTATTCTGGATATCGTTTGCCTTTCAGTGTTGTGCCAGTGTGCTGTTTGTTATCCAATTGGTGTTGGCACAGCGATCCAAGATACCGCTGAGGATGACACCGACGTTTCTGTTCAACGGCACCGGATTTCTGCTGTGTGGATACACCGCGCAAGGACTGGGCTATCATCGAATGGGTTGGGCAACGTGGACAATCGGAACGATCTACGGAATGATCATCCAGGTGGCGCTTCTCATCTCCTACAAACTGTTTGGTTTGCTGCCACCGGAACACATCCCTTCACAGACCATCTTCATTGCGTATCCATCGATTGCATTCTCGGCAATGGTTCAAGTGCGCCAGGGACTAACCGTTCCAATGAGATTGATGTACGCACTCATCTTTATCAACATGGCGATAGTCATAGTGATTTGGATAATGATGAAAAAGACGTTCAGGAGTGCAAGAATCCCGATTTTTCATCTTGGATGGTGGGCTTTTTGTTTCCCTATGATTTCATTCGGATCCGCTGCACTGAACTACTATAAATACACAAGATTTCTATCATGCAAGATCGTTGCACTGATAATAGTTTCGATATCGGACTTTCTTTATGTGATGGTCGCTTGTTTAACACTCTATCATCTAGCAAGAAGAAATCTATTTATTTCATCAAGATATAAACTACCAGTTTAAAAATATATATTTAAGAAAATAAAATAAATAAAATTCAATGAATAATAATAATGAAAGCAATACAAATTAACTAAACAAACAGGTCAAAACTTTTTATTGATCAAAATTAAAAATAATTAACTTTTTAAAAAAAAAAAAAACTAATCACAAACTTTTTTTTTTTTATTCAATAATTAACTTGTTATTTATATTTATAGTTTACATTTTTTATTAATATAGTTTATAGATAGTTTTATAGATAGATAGTATCTAAAGATTAGATATAGTGTTATAAACTATTATTATTTGAAAAATGGAAAAATCAAATAACTTGACGTTGGAAGGAAGTCTAACATGGAGTAATGATATGTTCAGTCCGGAACTACAAGCTGCCATCAATGATATCATTCCAAGTCAAGATCCAATCGATAGACATGATTTCAATCCTGTAAAATATATTAATGATAACTTTACAAATGGTATGTATATATATAATAAAATATTAAAAATAATAATAATTGTTAGAATGTTTATCTTTATTAATATGGTTTTTTTATTTAATATAATAATAGAACAATCACTTGTACATATTGATGCACATATGAATAAGCTTAGATTAAAGATTCACAAGATTGATGAAGAGATTGTACAGGAGGTTAGAATGCAGAGCAGCACCGGTAGCAAAGGAAAAGAAGATCTAGAGAATGCTAAACGATCCATTAATGAATTGCTAACAAAGATTGCAGATATCAAGACAAAAGCAATCAAATCAGAACAGATGGTAACTGAGATCTGCAAGGATATCAAATCATTGGATTTCGCAAAGAAGAATCTTACTGCTGCCATCACAACATTAAAGAGATTACATATGATGGGTATGTTGTTGTTTGTAACTATTATTATTAATATTAATTAACATAACAAATAATAATAATAATAATAATAATAACAATTAGTTATGGGTGTTGAACAACTTAATGAAATGGTTGAGAAGAAACAATATGCAACTGTAGCAAGATTGTTGGAAGCAACTGCAGAGTTTGCTCAAGGATTCAAAGACTATAGAGATTCACCAAAGATTGCTTCACTCAACAGAGAACTCGAGAGAATTAGATCAAGTGTAAAAGAGAAGATTTATGAAGATTTCAAGAGGTATGTTACTATTATTTTTAGTTATAACTAATCTATGTTCTAATATTGTTTTGTTTTATTTTATTAATAACTATATATATATATATAATTATAGTTATGTACCAAGTAATCAAGTTGATGGTGAGAATAAGTGGGCTAGTGCATGTTTGGTTATAGATGCACTGGGTGGAGAGACAAAGAAGGATTTCATGAGATGGCTGTGTGATATTCATTTACAAGCATACAAACGTGCATTCTCATCACACGAAGAACATTCACAACTCAAGGATATCAAACGTAGATTCAAATGGTTGGTCAAAGAACTTAATACATTCAAAGAGGAGTATACCGGTATCTTCCCACCCGAATGGAAGATGGAAGAGAATATTGCCTATGAATTCTGTTGTATTACAAAGTATGTAATAGTAAACTTATCTTTACTTTTCATCTTTTAAATATTAACGATTGACTAACTCAACTCTTTTACCATACTTTACTTATTATTATTATTATTATCTATAATCTAGATTGGCAGTACAAGATATTCTAATGAAAACAAAGAATGAGTTGGATATCAATGTATTGTTGAATGCATTGAATAAGACTTTGGAGTTTGAAAAGGAGATGGTCAATGCTTTCGCACAATCGGCAGTCTATAGGAACTCGGCGAATGTATCACCGATTCAATCACCACAGGATCCAGACATGGTGGTTGACGATGAGGATCGCGGTGATAACTCGGTGGCAGCAATCAACAGACGTTGGAACCAGAGACGTCAGAAATTGGATGATAATGAATCTGGAAATGCTAATGGCGGTGCAGGTGCCAACAACAACAACAACAACAACAACAACGGCTCGCCAAAGGTACAACCACAGGACAAGGGTTACGAAAGATTCAAGGGAATCATTTCATCGAGCTTCGATCCATACATGGATCTATACATTCAAGAGGAGGACAAAAAGATGGATGAAGCAATCACCAGACTCGTCAGTGAAGAGAAATGGGCACTCGAGGAGGATGCCACCAACAAAGTACTTTCCAGTGGAACCGATCTTGTACAATACTTTAGAAAAGCAATGGAGAGATGCTCAATACTCAGTAGAGGTGAACCATTCTCTTCACTCTATGGTCTATTTAAGAAGTATCTTATTAAATATGCTGCAATATTATCATCAAAGATTTCAAGGTAAGTGTTTATTTTAAAACAAAAACTATCAATTATCGATATATTAACAATGTTAACATTATCAATCTAGTGATGTTGGTAGACCACATGAACATCAAGAAGATGTTGTTATTTGTTTGATTATCAATACATCAGAGTACTTTAGTAAGACTATTCCACAGATTTCGGACAAGTTCAAAAAGTTGATCATTGAACGATACAAGGAGATGATCGATTTCAACAATGAGAAGAACGAGTATTCCGGTGTCATTGGAAAGGGTGTAAAGTCACTGGTGTACGGTATCGAAGCTAAACTCGAACCACACTTACATACTATGACCAAATTGGATTGGGGTGACAAAGACGTAAAGATCAGTGATCATTCGCCATACGTCGAATCAATCAATTCTATCATCAATGAAAGTGCCAAGTTGGAAGCAGAGTTACTATCGACCAATCACTACAAATATTTCTGTGATCTATTTGCAGCGTAAGTTTTTTTTGTTTAAAACAAACATTATCTCAAATCAATTTGTATCTAACTAGCTTATCTTATATTATTTGATAATAATAGATCATTCATTTTAAGAATAACACAGAATATATACAAATGTCATCGTATTTCAGATACAGGTGCACATGCATTGCTGTTGGATATCTCTACGATCAAGAAGTGTTTGCTCGATCTACCCACTAAGATTCCCGACGGTAGCAGTAATCGTTTTACAAAGTTTGTCAACACCGAATTTGGAAAGGCAGAAGCTATTCTCAAGGTTATAGGATCCGATGAGAAGTCAATCGTCGAAACCTACAATAGCTTCAGTGATAGATTCGGTGGTTCCGATGCCGATTTCCAAAAGATTCTAGATTTGAAGGGTGTCAAAGTCGGTGATAAAACAGAGTTGGTTGAGAAATACTTTAATAGAATTGGTAACACCGTATCAAATTTCTTGAAAAAACAATAAAACTATCTAATAAATATATCTTTTATATTTTGTCAATGCCCAAAAGAAAAAAAAAGTCAAAATTTGACTTTTAATTTTTAATTATCTTTTTCATTGCAACAGATCTGTTATTTGATTATAATTATAATGATATGACAACACCTACTCCTTTTATTATTAATAGAGAAGGTAGTAGTGAAAGTAAAAGTAATGGAAATCAACCATTAGGAAGAAGAAGATTTTTAAATAATAGTAATAATAACAATAATAATGATAGAAATGACAGAAATCAAGATTTAAATGATGATGTTGAGAATACTCAACCAAAACATCATGGTAATACAATCAGAAGAACTTTTAGAAATAAAAATATAAATAACAGTAATAATAATAATAGTGTTAGATTTAATAGAGATTCATCTACAACTTCAAATAATAATAACAATAGATATAGTAATAATAATAATAATAATGGTGTTAAAAGTAGGCTGAAAAGAACTACAGAAAGACAAAATGATTCACATTTAATTCAACAAAGTACAGCCGTCAATCAATGGAGTGTTTCCCCAAACTTGGCTGGTCAATCTAAGTTAAACACTTCAACTTCTACTACAAATGTAACAACAACATCAACAACAACAACTACTACAACAACTACTGAAGCAATTCAAAAAGAAAAAGAATTACCTGTATTATTAACAATGGAGAGATACAAAGAGTTGGTTCAAAAGTATAATATGGAATCAGATTCTGATGATTATGATTCAGATGAAGACAATTGTCTTAATGACTCTGATGACGAACAGCAACAACAACAGTACGATAAGATATTTCAAAGTTATAGAGGTAGTAATAATAATGTTGGAGCATCATCAGCTGTGGTAATAGCGGTAGACGAGAACGCCAAGGAAATGAATATCAGACAGCTAATAAAAGAAACATCGAGAGGTATATCTACTTGTTTGGTTTGTTTGGAGAGAGTGAAACCGGTTGATTCAATCTGGCAGTGTCAACAATGCTATTGTTTACTCCACTTGAATTGCACTCAGAGTTGGTCACGTGAGCGACTGTTGATAAGTGCAGCATCGGAGGCATGTCAGTCGAATCGTGCACAACCACATTGGCTATGTCCAAACTGTCGGTATCTCTATCATAAGCAACATTCACCCGATCGCTACCTCTGTTTCTGTGGCAAGACAACGGATCCCCCTGTTGACCCTTGGCAGACCGCTCACTCCTGCGGTGAGATCTGTCAACGAAAACTCAATGGCTGTGAACACAGTTGTCTACTACTTTGTCATCCCGGTGCATGTCTGCCTTGTTCGAGAACCATTCAATCGAAATGCTACTGTGGTCGTGAGAATAAAGTACAGCGATGCAAAGACGGTCAATTCTACAGCTGTGAGAATCAATGTTCAAAGAGATTGAGTTGTTCTCACCTCTGTGAATCCATATGTCATAAAGGTGATCATCCACCATGTGAAAAAAGTAAGTTTTCAACATTCAATATTGAAAGAGAAAGAGTTATAGATTACTTACTTACTTTTACTTTTTATTTTGTTAGCATCTATTAAACAATGTAGATGTAAAAGAACGAGTATAGAAACAAAATGTTCATCAGAGAATATTTGTGATTCCGTTTGTAATAAGTTGTTGACTTGTAATAAGCATAGATGTACCAAAGTATGTTGTGATGGTTGTGACCCATGTCCTTTGGCTGCACCTAGGGTTTGTGGATGTGGATCAAAGCAATTCAAACTGGATTGCAATGTACCGACACCAAAGTCTTGTGGTGGTACCTGCAATAAGTTGTTAGCATGTGGACATAGATGTTACAACCGTTGTCATACAGGTGATTGTACCAGTTGCAATCAAGTGGCTACTAAAAAGTGTAATTGCGGTAGTCTTGTAAAGGATATGCCATGCTCCAAAGAATTGATTTGTACAAACAAGTGTAATAACATAAGAAACTGTGGACGTCACAGATGTAGAAAGCGTTGTTGTCTCGGAACAGATTGTCCTCCTTGTGAGGAAGAATGTGTAAGTAATAGCAAAACAGATGTAAAACATCTAATCTATCGATTATTAATCTTTTTTTTGTTGTTAACTATTTATTAGGGTGAGAAACTTGGCTGTGGTAATCATCGATGTAAAGCTACTTGTCACCAAGGTAAATGTTTACCATGTAATCTAACTGTTAGGATATATTGTCCTTGTAAATGTACTTTTATCGATGTGGTGTGTGGTACGGAAAAGAAGATACAACCACCACGTTGCAAGAAACTCTGTGCTCATCCAACTACGTGCCATCACTCCAAGAGAAGACGTCATGCTTGTCACTTTGGTGCGTGTAAACCATGTGATAGAATCTGTGGAGCTCAGCTACTTGGATGCACTCATCGTTGTCCAAACGACTGTCACGATCCAATACCAAGTATCAACTATCGTGTGAAGCCGCTGTTGGAGTACAAGGGTCAGACTATTCAAACGATTCCCAAGGAAAAGGCTGTGCAATTCCCACAAGCTCTTCCACTGTCCGAAGTTCGATGTCCACCGTGTCTGGTGCCAATGGAGAGATCTTGCATAGGACAGCATGAGGCTAAGCATATAATATGTTCTGGCGATTTGACCTACAGTTGTACGAGTGAATGTAAGAATCTATTGGAATGTGGTAATCATTTCTGTCGCGGTGCGTGCCACAAGGTTACCATAAGAAGACAACTTATCACCGAGGACGGACAACAGATTGTAGAAGAAAGTTACGAAGAAGAAGAGGAAGATAATGATGAAGCAGAGAATGAACTCACCTTCCAAGATACCTGTCAAGTTTGTGAGCTTCCATGTCAAAACGAGAGACCAAAAGGCTGTGCTCATAAATGCGATCTTTTATGCCATTTGAATGACTGTCCGAAATGTAAAAAAAACGTTAGAGTTTTATGCCATTGTCAGAGCAATACACTGCTCATTCCATGTTTCGAGTATTTAGAATCAGAGAAGTTGGAGAGAGATATATTTTCTTGTGGTAATGTTTGTCGAAAGTTTTTAGAGAACTGTAACCATTCATGTTTGGATACATGTCACCAAGGATCATGCTCTTCTTGTAAAGCAAGGTAAATATTGTTATTGTAGCAACGGATCCACTTTTGAATTCATATACTAAAAATATTTCATTCGAATTATTAGTTTAAATGTTTATTGTCAGTGCAAAACAAGAAAAGAAAGATGGACATGTACACAAGCAAAACAGAAACGTTTGGAGAATAATATAAAGAATGTTAATTTTGATAAACTATTGGAGTGCAACGAGAGTTGTCCACCCAAAGTTAAGCAGGAAAAGAAAGAAGAAGTGGTAGATCAACAATTGGATTCAAAGAAACAGCCAACTCTTACCAAAGAACAAAAGAGAATTAAATATCTCGAAAAGAAAGAAGAGCAAGAAAAGAAGTGGAAACAAGAAGAATTGGAATTAAACAAAAAGACATTCGCTGATAGATTAATGGAGCCAAAGATGATATTTAGAATAACAATTACAATTCTAATTTTATCATTTATCACATTACTTGTAGTTAAAACGAAACTATAATAATATAAATAAATAAAAAACAAAAAATATATTGAAAAAAAATGGTTATTAAATTTATTTCCGGGAAAAGCTAACCTCTCGAAGAACTGTTGGAATTATTACGTTGATGGTGGTAGTTTGATTTTCTATTATGTACAGGTGTTGATGATGTATCTTCAACTTTAATTATACATTCAACAGCGAAATGATCAGAGAGTCTGGTCTGTGGAGTAGCACCCATCGGAAGGATTGAGGATTCCAAACAATTGAGACGTAGCAATTGGTTGCGACCATCGTCATCACCAAAGTTGGGCGATAAATTGAAACTAAATATATAATCGGTTCTCTCTTTTGAGGTTGGCTTACTCACTAGCTGATTGAGAGATTGGTGAATTGTGTATCCAGGCAGATGTGGATTAGTCTGGCGATAGAGATCATTCATCTGTCCTAGAATCTTCTTCATCGATTCATATTCATCGGTTGGTTTCAAATAGATTTTAATACGGTTGTTGTCTTCATTTTCGTTGATTATGTTTGTCGTGCCACCACTGCTAATCTTTAGTTTCTCCAGGTTTGAAATGTAGCTGATGTCGCTGTTGTTACTGTCGACACCCCAGTAGGAAGTAAGTGGCGGTAGAATTAACTCTTCAATATCGCTGTCTAATATGAGTGGTGCTGGTATATTCGATTTGAAACGTGATCCTTTTATCAGTTGATAGATTGCCTTGGTTTGTAGCGTGATTTCCAAAGCCATCTTTAAGCTCGTTAGAAGCTGTAGGTTGATAACATGATTACGAAGATCGACAAAGTCAAACTCCTCGAGTTCGGTGAGTGCTGAGCTGAATTCCGATCGCAGTCTATTCTTTAGTGTGGTAGTCCAATAGGTTGTCGATGCCTTTGTATCATAGTGGAACACCATATTTAGTGTCTCGAGCACAATCGTTCTATATGTACATTCGTCACCCTCAAACTGTGCTTCCAACTGATTGTGTCTCTGTGCCAACTGATCAACAATATCTTTCTTTAGAATATAGGAGATCATCTCTGTCAGGAGCAGTGATTTCATACGAGGATTCAATAGCTGTGATCTGAGAATACCTGTATATCTAATTGGAATGTTATTATTGGTGAGATGCTCCATCAGCTTATAACTAAAGGTTTCTGTTATCTCGCGATTATTGATCTTTCGAGCGAGCTCCGGTATCACCTGTGAAAGAATGACACTGCCTTCGTCAGAAATGACCTGTTCGGTTTCACCAATGATATTCATATCACCAAGGAATACCAGTGCATTCTTAATGTTATTACTGCTGTTTGATCCACCACTGGAATTGCTACTGTTCGATGTTGCACGCGCAAATTCAGTGGAGATAAAGTCTCGAATCGATTGAAGCTGTAGGGTTCGAACGGTTTGTGCTTTCTTTAGCTTGTCGTCACCAGCCACCATTTGCCATGCCAAGGTATTGTCTGGATTCGACTGGAGATGTGCGTTAAATACATAGAGAACACTGTTCTCTTTGACCGCAGAGATGTCGAGCTTCACACCCTGCACACCCTTACACGAGTGTACATCGAGCCCGATACCTTCGTTGAACTGACGGAAGTCACTCCACAGTATTGGAAAAGTGGTCGCAAAATATAGTCCACTATCTTCGCCGACCTTGTCCAGTAAATAGGAATAGAACGGTTTAAACACACGAGTTAGTCGTTCTTTTGCACCAGAGTTGAAGACAGCCTGAAGACAAACGATATCGTATCGCTCCGGTAGATTAATCAATATCTTTGCAATCATTTCACAACGATCTTCGACACCTGGAAGCATACCAACGTTCAGTGTTATAATCCTAATATTATCGTCGCCTACAACAATATTGTGGGAACTGTGATTTCCTTGGAGCTGTTGCTGTTGCGGAAGACTACTCCTCAGGTCCTTGCTGCTGATAGAATTTGTCTTGTCATTGATAGTGAACACTACACTCGAGATGGTTCCTGGAATAACTTGCTTTTCGATTAGGAAATTCGGTGGACAATGATAGCTGAATGTATTCTCACCGATGAAAGGATTATTGAATGTTAGCTTGACATCGCCTTTCAGTCCGTTCGAGTAGTAATGAACAGCACCCGAGGTTCCGGCACAGATTCCACTCGATGTACCAAACTCAATGGTGGCACCGGGTGCAATTCCTTCGGGTGGAATGACAGCCCACGATCCCTGCTCCAAAGCATGATCACGACGAATCAACAACCGACTAGTCTTGTTGACTATCGTAACAAACTGACCACGAGTCGCTCTTAGCACTGTGTTCTTCCATGATTCATTCGGGTTGTTGTTGCTAGAGGGTGGCGAGCCTGTAATCGAAGAGAAGAACGAGAGTGTCGATGTAAGTGGAAGCGGTAATGGAATCTTTGATGAACTGTTGGATGGCGACGGTGATGACGGTAACGACGCGGAAAGCGACGACGACAATATGTTGTTGCCAGATGATGAAGACGACAACGAAGACGAAGAAGAACCTATCATTTGTGGTGAGAGTGACTGTTGCAATTGATTGTAATGCTCGCGATCATTGCTATTGGCGTTTGGTGAGCTGGTGGGAGATGGTGAATTGCTAGCGAGTGCAGTCGTTGGATTTCTAAGTATCTTGAATTGAGTGCGACCTCGTACCATTGTCTTTACCTCTGAGTGGAACTGACGGTTCACCTCTTCAAAGCCAAGTGTATACTTGGTCTCGAGAGGCAGCTGCGAGTTTATAACACAGCTATGTGACTTTGGTGACCAGTATGGAGTGTGCCACTCGATGTTCACATAGAGAAACGGTTCCCACATATGATGATTGATCATCTGTTGCACCGATTGTATTAGATGGTTCTGTATGGGTGGCACAGACGATGGTAATACCAAATAGACAACCGAACCTTTTGATCCAGTAAAGTAAGCATTACTTTCAGATGCAAATTCTACTTTTGAATTTGGTGCTATTATCTCTTATAATAATAATAATAATATGATTAATAGTTATTATTAGTTAACTACTGGTTTAATAATTATAGATATTAATATATACATACCAGGTGGAAATACTCTTAATACACCTTGATGTACTTTTACAGATATTCTTTGTAATATATAATCAGTTTCATTTGATATAGAAATAACTGTGGATCTAAATGCTTTATAAAGTTCTTTCTTCCAATCTGAAGAATGAATATGTCCACTCATTCTTCTTTTACTTCTTCTTGACCTTCCACCACTTTTATTTCCACTTAAACTATCTAAACTCTCGTTTTACAAGCTAAACTAAACTAATATTTATCTATAATTAATTTGTCTGTTTAAGAACAATAAAGATTGAAGATTAAATAAATGAAAAAAATAAACTTTTTTTATTTTTTTTTTATTTTATTTCAAAAAAAAATGGATATTATTTTTCGATTAATTATTTGATTAAAATGATAAAATTAATCTTTAGATCTTTTGTTAAATATTTGTTTCTTCAAAATAACTTTTTTAGATTTATTTTCAATGTTTATTGATATCTTATTCTTTTTTTTTGGATTCCATTGTAATAGCTAGAATAATTTAGTACAACATAATCTAACCTTACTCATCAATGATTTAATAAGCTTGGTAATATCAATGATTGCATGGTATACCTTCTGTTTAATTAGAATGTATTTAGTTTAGTATACACTTGTTTATAAAGATGTTCGAGAACTGTTGTAAAAGATTCCTAACTAGAGATAGTGACATTTGGTGAAAAAAAGAGTATGATGGTTCGTTTATTATTATTTTGGTATATTATCTATAATGCGCTATAAGTTGAATCTTTGTTTGGTTGACTGGTGGTGAGGAGGGGTTTATGTATAAAAGCAGATCGATCTACGTTCATGAAAATAGAAATCATTACATTGGCCAAGCACAAGAGCATTGTGCTCAGTGAAAGCCAGAGTCCGCTGATCGGCTTCCACGATACCGATGATTTGTATTGACCGCTCAAACTGTGGCAGTAAAACTGATTGGTACAATCAAAGAAGTTGTCTTTCTTAAAGTTACTGGTGATACTAAAGAAACAGAGGAATCCAATGAATTGCAGTGCAAACAACACCACCGAGTAGTACATCGACATCTTTCTTGGTCGATCGGTATTTCTTGTCTTGTAGAACAGTTTGAAATGTCCGTAGTAGATCATCAACAGTGGAATGATAGAGAGAATCTCAAATGCTGCCACTGCACCAAATGTATGTCTAATACTCAGTCCACTGTATTTAATACCGGTTTGATCATCTCCGCTGCTTGAACTCGCTGGATTATCATAGTTCTAAGATAATGAAATGAATGTATATTGTTAAAAAAACAAAATAAAAATAAAAATAAAAATAAAAATAAAAACCAAAACATACATACATTAATTGTATAACTAAATAATCCAAAATATAGATCGGAATCAGGTGTTCCTATGGTATACCAATTCGAACATATTGCTGCTATGATCAATGGTGAAAAGAGAATTGTCAAGAAAATATGGGCTAGATATAACTTTTGTTTTAAAGGATCTAGAATTGCAATATTTTGTAAAATAGACATTTGTTTATTTTTCAATAAATAAAATACACTGTAATGATCAATTAAAAAATCAAAAGTCTAAATTCTTTAATCAGGATGTCAAACAAAAAAAAAAAGAAAAAAAGCAAAATTTTAACCAGGACCGAGATTTTTTTAAAAAGGTTTCAGTCGACAAAAAAGATATTTTTTTGGCATACATGTATGAGCGAATAATAATTGCAATAGATATTAGTTAACAAAATATATCACTTATTTGATTTGCTATTTAATATAAATAATATATCGTACTCTATTCATTCTCTTACCAACATTGCCAATGTAGGTACCAAGTTTAGACAACTTCGACTATACATATAGAGGGCTTGTTTACTTGATTCTTGTGATTTCAGTGAACTTAATCAATTTTTAGAATTCTGTTGTGACTATTGTAATGTTTGTGTATCTCAAACAAAGTTATGCTATATAGAATAATATAATAAATTTTATTTATTGATCCATTCTTACATTTAACAATATTAAATTTTTAGGAATTGATATTCTTAATTGTTGAATTTGGAAACAGCTCTTCTTTTTCTTTCTTTCTTAATATATTTTATAGTAATGATAGATATTGTGATTAAAATAAATAGAGCTGAGATAATAGTTATTGGAAGTACAATGGGTAGAATATTTTTTTTTTTTCCTTCAAGAATAGTAAGAGTATCATTTTTGGTTGGTGGTTTGGTTATTTCTCCGATATCTGACTTAATAGTAAGTTGAACAGTGTTGGATATCAATTGATTGTTATGATTGCTGATGAAAAAATTGTATAATCCTGATTTGAAATTATTTGGAATTAAAAGTTGAACAATCCATTCTCTTTTAACTGATGATGTGTTGGTTTCAGGTGGTACAATATCGATTTGTGAAGGTACAAATGAATTGTTTATCATTGTAGTGTTGGAAACAAAGATCAATGTTTTGAAATTTGAGATGAATATCCCAAGAGTTCACCTTCAAAATATATTTTACTTCCATTTTGATAGATATTTGAAATTGATGGAACATCATAATTAAATAATATATTTGAATTGATTGATGTTGCTCCATCAATTGTAACTAAAATTGGAATATTTGTGAATTGTTCAGTGTTTGACATCTTTGAAATTGGTCCAAGTTGGCAAATGAAAGAATTACTATTTAAATAGACATCAGAAACATTCAAACATGATTGTGATCCAATTTGAATAGTTTTGATTGTTTTAAAACCAAAAGAATTAACTGAATTGAATAAATCACCTGAAATTGTAACACGTCCACCAAGAACACTTGATGTTGATGTTGTATTATTTATTATTGGTACTGAGTGATGAAAATTAGTTTAATATTTAATTTGAAAGAATAAAAACAAAAAACCTACCAATTGGGATGTTATATGTTGTAGATCTAGAAATATTACTAAATGGATCATTGACAGTCAATGTTAATAGTTTCAATCCAGCAAATTTGAATTCATTTGCCAATGAAGAAATATCTAAAAATACACCAGTATTGTTGGGTAAACTCAACAATTGAAAGAACAGAAGGTGTATTATATCCAGCAACATTACATCTGATCCAATCTTTATTTGGACCAAAGCTACTACCATTAATGATTAATCTATTATTCAAAGTTACTGAGGAAATAGTCGGATCTAAATAAAAATTATTTAGTTTAAAGACACTTATACCAATAATTTTATTAAAATATTTTTATTTACCTTTAACATTCCATAAGAAACTAGGAAACGTATATGTACCAACTGTAATTAGAGATTCTATATTATAAATTGAAGATGAATCGTTTAATTGTGGTATGAGAAATAGAGCTGAATCTATTGTTGCATTGGTAGGAGTTGTTTGGAATTGACCGATATTAAAAAAAATAACTTTTTCATTTAAAAAATATCCATTTATTGTAATTATTCCTCCTTCTGTTGGAACACTACTGATCGATGATACAATAAATGGTAACCATTTAAATTGTTGTTTTACACTATTCTTAGAATATAAAGAAATAAATTCTCCGAATCTTTTTAGATTGTCTGGGGTTATTGAAATTCTGAATGCAGTATTATTCAAAACTTCATAATCTGTTGGATTTATGACTGTAGAGGTAATCATTACAGTATCAATTATATGATAATCGAAATTGGGATCGGTTAGAATGGCATCTGTCTTGGTATAATATACTTCTGTTTGATATGAAGAACCAATGAGTAAAATAAATATATAAAGTAGAGTTGAGTAAATATTTGGTTTCATTTTTGAAGAAATATTTATTTATTTTTTAATTTTTTGAAATATGAAGATTAAATTTTGATTAATAATAATAAATTCTAATATACATTTTTGCAAATGATAAAAAAACAATTTTAAATCACCAAAAAAAAACAAAACAAATAGTTTATTCTGTACCTAAAATTAGGTTTTAAAAAATTGTATGTAAAATTTAAACTTTGATATAATAAAATATTTTAACTGAATAATTGTAAAATAAAATTATGATTTTTTATAAATTTTTATCTTAAAATAGGTTTTATTATTAAAATTAGCCTTTACACTTCCAATAGAATAGTGTATAAAACAAGTTTGTGTTTTCATTATATAAATAAAAACAATGATTAAGGAAATTTTCATCTTGAAAATAACAAAAAAGAAATATCAAAATTTACACGGATTATTAATTTAAAAAAGTTAAAATAAAATTTTGATTTCACAATCAGTAAAGAAGATGAGTTCTATGTATCTGATTCTATTTTAGACAATGTATCTACCTCTATATTTGAATTTATTAAATTCATTTAAATGGGGTGTGATTAGTTTAAAAGTGTGGTTTAACTTTTTTTTTTAACACAATATTTGATTAAACACAAAGGCTCATTTTTATTTTTTTAATTCAATAAATTTTATTGAATTTCAATAACTAAAGTTCTATATAATAACTAAAGGATAACTAATTTAATACTAAAAGTAATGCTAATGATGATAAAATATAACAATGATCTTTATTTGGTTTGTTTATTTGATAAATACATATTTTAATTGTTTTAATTTGATTATACTTTATATATATTAAAGTTCTTTAATAAGATCTTTAGCATTATCCATGTTCTTTGAGTATTGCCATGTAGCTTTGTCTAAAGGATAACCAAGCCATTTGATTTGATACTGCTTCTTCTTTCTGTACATTCGATCTCCAATGATATGTTCTATTTCAAACTCTTCTTCATTGTCAATAGATATCTGGTTCTACACCTTTAAGTAATGATTCATTGTCTTTGTAATCCTGAACGGTCCACGATTCTTATTATTAATTGATCCTGTGTTTGTGTTCCAATCAACTTCCAAATTGATAAATTCATCTTTGACAAACATCCAATCTCCAATCTGATAAGTTGGTTTGTTCTTGATGGTTCCATCTGCTTCCAACATATCTAATTGTTTATCCAACAAACTGTCTTTGACCATCTCTCTGATCCATTCTCTATTTGATGTATTATTGTTTCTAAACATGTTAATTGGCGATACAGGAATGTATCCAAGCACTACTCCGAAAGGTGATAGTTTGATTGTTGAATTATAAGTTGAATTGATCGCGAATTGAATATTCTTAATCTCTTCATCCCACTTGTCTTTGAACTCCAACGATAGCTTCCTAAGCATAGATCTGATTCTCCTGTTCGTGCGCTCACTCTGGTCATCTGATTGCGGATGTCTCTGTACGGAATCTCTCAATTTTGATCCACCTTCTTCAAGAGTTCTAACCACACCTCACTTGTAAAGCGAGTATCACGATCCACACCAACTCCTTCTGCTATCTCCAACGGTTGTATGTTAACCTTCGTTTTCAATTCCACTAGATTCTGTTGACATTCCACACAATGCTCACAGTATTCCTTCACCTTGTCATATAGATTTCGAGCATAGTAATTCGACTTCAACCTAACCCACGTTCTTAAAGTATCTCCGTGACCACAGTAAGTACTTCCATGAGCTTCCGTTATTACTTCTTTAAAATGCTTTTCATCTACCAAAAGTAATCTTTCATTGAATTCTTATCCAAAATAAAAATTAATCCATTACTTTCTCTCCATGATTCCTTGTGACGTAAATTTACCAATTCCACATCCTTAATTGACTTAAAACTGTTCTTAATCTCATCCAAGTAACTGAAATCCAAAGGTATCTGGTAACACTGAAGTCCAGACAGCACATCTGCTCCCACGTTGTTCTTTCCTTTAATGTGATTGATTTCATAGTTGAATTGCGATAACACTTCCTATGCCTTGAGCTGATCCTTCGTCAAGATTGCTTGATCTTTCAAATACAAGAGATTGAAATGATCTGTGTATATATTTAACTTTGGTCCCAACAAAATACCTGAATGCTTCTTCAAAAAGTAAATACCAGTAAATACCTTTACGGGTCTTGAATGCTGTATACAGCTTCCTTGACTCTGAATCCATCTTCACTTGAAAGTAACCTTTGACTACATCTCCGATACTAAAATATTTACATCCTCTCAAACTATTGATTACTTCATCTACTGGAATCTTGTACTCTAATTCTACTGTCGCATCATTTAACTTCTTAAAATGATTTACTAATCTATCAAACATTATTCTTATAAACTGCAAATATTGGCGATTCTACTACTTGATCTAAAAACTCTTCTGGTACTTTCTCTACTATTCCTAAACTCTTCTAACTCGTCTACTTACATCTGTATATCCATCTCTTCCTTGTAAGATCGTCCCAACTGATGTTGTTTCTTCACCACAGCATCTTTCTTCAACACAATCTTATGAATGATGTCATTATCTCTTTCCATGATTACGGTTTCTCTACTATAACATCACTAAAGATTTCTACGATCCTCTTCTCCAATCCCTCTAAATCTTCTTTAACTCTCTTACTTGCACTAATATCTCTTTCTCATTATTATTATTTACTTTACTATCTATTACTATTTCTCTATCTATTTTCTGATTTACTACTACTATCTCTACTCCATTGAACTCTAAATACCACTTCTTATTTCTTATTTCTATCTTCATCTCTAGCTCTTGAAGTATATCTGATCCGAAAATGATCTCGATATCTTCTTCTATATATTATGTTTAGTTCTACATTATATGTTTTTTTATTTATTATTATTTCTGCTGATACGGCTTTATTTTTTATTTTATTTTTATCTTCTAATGGAATTTTAATTATTTTATTTATATTTATTATTAACCACTTAAAAAGTGAAAAATGCTCAAATAAAAAAAATAAAAACTCATAATTAAAAATTAAAATTTATAACAAAAAGCTCATGGTTTATGAGAATTGACTAACAATTTATTTTATTTAGAATATCAAGTTGATTTCTTTGTTGTTTTGGTTGATTTCTTTAGTTTTTTTGGTAGTCTCTTAGTTGTCTTGGTTGGTTTCTTAGCAGTAGTCTTATTTTTGGTTGTAACAGAGGAGCTTGTTGGTTCTTCATTTTGTTTATAAATGAATACCTTTTGACCATTTTCCCACATGAAGTTATTTGATTCTTTTGGCTGATTCTTATCATCATCTTTTGCAAGTGGTGTGTCTAATCGCTCTTTCGATGCCATGAAAATAGTCTGATGTGCATAATCCCATTGTCGTTCTGGTGGATCCAAAGCTTTAACTTTGTTATCCAGAGTGACTCTCCAACTGTGAATTGGCGATTTCTCCAACGATAAATCACCGATTGTACGATATTTACCACCTCTAACATTAGCTTTCAACTGATTGAATAGATATTCAATAGAATTCAAGAAAGGGGAAAATCTGGGATTCGGTATAGATCTATGTCTCTTGTATTTATCAGTTGAGAGTAATGACAGAGCATCTTTGTAGATACCTTCATTGTCTCCAATGAATGTAAATGATTGATTGGGGTACTCTTTATCTAATTTCTGTAACAAAGTGCGAAAGAAGTATCTGAATGCATCGTTAGTGAAATGGCCAAACTGAGATCTTGCCATTAATATTTTCCTTCCAGTTACAGCACAAACCACTCCAATCGTTTCTGCTCTGCCACCTCTAGTTGTTGGTTTCTTGTTTGTAAATGGGATTCCATTAACATAGTCAATCTTTTCCTCTATTCTTATCCTAATTACACATCTTTATCACTCTCAGATAGTGCTTTTTAAGGTACATAAGTATTTAATAATATCCTAATAATAGATTTGTTCTATACAACTTGGTAATTATTTCTTTTTTATCTTTGTAATCATTCAACACAGCAGTATTAGAATATTTGGGTAATTAAACATATTATTGTTAGATCTAAAAAAGGTTACTTTAACGACTGAACTAATAGGTTGATAAATAAAATCATTTGTTGTTGTTAATATATAGATTCTGTTGGTTTTAGTGGTTTGCAACCATTAAAGAGTTTTCCCTATTCTTAAAGAATCATTCTTTCTCTTTTCGGTAAACTTGAATATTAATTTGTTTGGGTAACCTTCTTGAAAAGTAATACTGTGTAGATCGATTACCATCACTATCGACATAAACATAAATATAGCTTTGAATTGTTAATATTCAATCTTAGAGTCTATGTAAAAAAATGATCAATCTAAGACAATTTCAATTCAAAATTTCATAATTTAAACTAAATATTAAGTATAACAAATTAAAAAAATAATATTTTTCCTGATAGGTATCACCAACGATTTCCAATCACAACAATATACCAATTGTGTTCTTAGATGGTTATGTGAAACCCAAGAAATTTATGACCATATATTAAACTAATCTTGACAATAACATTTATACCTATGTATTTTTTATTTTGGAACAAAAAACAAAAATTAAATAAAATTGTCCAATTAAAAAAATAAAAATGAGCCTTTGTGTTTAATCAAATATTGGGTGTTAAAAAGTTTTAAAAAAAGTTAAACCACACTTTTAAACTAATCACACCCCATATATATGAATTGAATAAATTCAAATATAGAGGTAGATACACTGTAAAATTTCTAAAATAGAATCAGATACAAAGAACTCATCTTCTTTACTGATTGTGAAATCAAAATTTATTTTAGTGTGAAATTTTTTAAAACCTAATTTTAGGTACAGAATAAACTATTTGTTTTGTTTTTTTTTGTGATTTAAATATAATTATTCTTTTTTTATCATTTACAAATTTTATAATAGAATTTAATTTTATAAAATCAAAGTATAATCTTCATATTTAAAAATTTTTTTAATATAAATAAATATTTCTTCAAAAATGAAACCAAATATTTATTTCTCAACTCTACTTTATATATTTATTCTTCTCATAAGTTCTTCATATCAAACAGAAGTATATTATACCAAGACAGATGCCATTCTAACCGATCCCAATTTCGATTATCATATAATTGATAATGTGGAGATAACCTCTACAGTCATAAATCCAACAGATTATGAAGTTTTGAATAATACTGCATTCAGAATTTCAATAACCCCTGACAATCTAAAAAGAATGGGAGAATTAATTACTTTATCCTCTAAGAATAGTGTAAAACAACAATTTAAATGGTTACCATTTATTGTATCATCGATCAGTAGTGTTCCAACAGAAGGAGGAATAATTACAATAAATGGATATTTTTTAAACGTAAACATTATTTTTTTAATATCGGTCAATTCCAAATTACTCCTACCAATGCAACAATAGATTCAGCTCAATTTCTCATACCAGAGTTTAACGACTCATCTTCAATTTATAATATAAATTCAATAATAACAGTTAGTAAAAATGCGTTTCCTAGTTTTTTATGGAGTGTTAAAGGTAAATAAAAATATTTTATAAAACTTTTGGTAAAAGAGTCTTTAAACTAAATAATTTTTATTTAGATCCGACTATTTCCTCAGTAACTTTGAATAATAGATTAATCATTAATGGTAGTAGCTTTGGTCCAAATAAAGATTGGATCAGATGTAATGTTGCTGGATATAATACACCTTCTGTTCTTTCAATTGTTGAGTTTACCAAACATACTGGTGTAATTTTAGATATTTCTTCATTGGCAAATGAATTCAAATTTGCTGGATTGAAACTATTAACATTGACTGTCAATGATCCATTTAGTAATATTTCTAGATCTACAACATATAACATCCCAATTGGTAGGTTTTTTTGTTTTTATTCTTTCAAATTAAATATTAAACTAATTTTCATTTCTCAGTACCAATAATTAGAAAAACAACATCAACATCAAGTGTTCTTGGTGGACCTGTTACAATTTCAGGTGATTTATTCAATTCAGTTAATTCTTTTGGTTCTAAAACAATCAAAACTATTCAAATTGGATCACAATCATGTTTGAATCCTGTTGATCTATTCGCCAATAGTGGCTCATTCATTTGTCAACTTGGACCAATTTCAAAGATGTCAAACACTGAACAATTCACAAATATTCCAATTTTAGTTACAATTGATGGAGCAACATCAATCAATTCAAATATATTATTTAATTATGATGTTCCATCAATTTCAAATATCTATCAAAATGGAAGTAAAATATATTTTGAAGGTGAACTCTTGGGATATTCATCTCAAATTTCAAAAACATTGATCTTTGTTTCCAACACTACAATGATAAACAATTCATTTGTACCTTCACAAATCGATATTGTACCACCTGAAACCAACACATCATCAGTTAAAAGAGAATGGATTGTTCAATTTTTAATTCCAAATAGTTTCAAATCAGGATTATACAATTTTTTCATCAGCAATCATAACAATCAATTGATATCCAACACTAACCAACTTGAAATTAAACCAGATATCGGAGAAATATCTACACCACAAACCAAAGGTGATACTCTTACTATTCTTGGTGCTCTATTTGGAAATCCAATATCAATTAAATTCACAAACAGACCAGATATCAAAAATACATCGAATCCAATATTGATTGATTCAACAACTATTATTGTGAATATCTCTGCTGGATCTGGTCAGAATATCGATTTACAATTGAATGTTAATGGTGTTATTACTTCTAAATCATTCAGATATCATGGTTTGTAATTAAAATAATCTATAATAGTTTACAATATTATTAATATTGATTTTGATTTAATTTATAGAACCTACAATATCAAGTATAACACCAATTACAACACTTGGAGGTGTAATAACGATTACTGGATCCAATTATGATGTTAATACTACATCTGTAATTATATGTAATACAATACCATGTAGTAATACCAATATTGTAAACGATACAACAATATATTGCACTGTAAAATTGAATGATGCGGATACTCTGAATTCTGGAGAGAATCTAAATGTTACTGTTAGTGTCAATACTCAGATTGTAATTAGTTCAACATTAAACATTACATCCATCACTGGAGGAAGATCATCTAATGCACTTCTGATTGCACTACCAATAGGTATTATCACCGTCCTATTTGTTGTAGTTACAACCACTGTCCTCACAGTATCATATATTAGAAAAGAAAGACGTAGAAGAGCAGTAATGAAGTTCATTAATTCATAAACTTTTATCCTTTAAATACAAATATTGTATAGATAATTTTGTTTCAATAAAGTCAATATGTTAAAAGTAATAATTGTTGTTATAGCAAATAATAAAAAACGGTAAAATATATCTTCCAACTTGGTACAATAGATTGTTCAAAATAAAGACTATGAATATAATACAGAATGTTGATAGGTTGTCTAATTTTGTTGAGGTAGATAAACTTTAGGAATCAAATATATATATATATATGGGAAATAGAAATAGTATATGAATGAGACAAGAGAACAAGAAAGAAGATGGGACTTGTTATTTCTCAAAAGAAATATAAGTAAGAGAATAGAATAGATAAGAAGACTTACAGAACGTTATCTTTTAAATTCCTAAGCAAATAATTAATAGCTTGCAGACTATAGACGGTATACTGTTATAAAATATACTTTTAAATATAAGTACATATAAATTTGATAAGTATTTAAAAAAACAATAATGGACTAAAAAAAAAAAAAGTTTTGAAAAGATTAATTTGATCAAAATAAATTTATTTTTTAATTGATTTCATACATACATCAATTATTGTTAATGTGTATTATTGAACACTATTTTTAAGTATTGTTGTAGTGGTTGATGAGATTTTTATTTGCAACTAGGAAAATTGATGTTTGTATAAATTTATTATATTTGGCACTATGAATTAATAAGATTGTTGATTTAATTGCAACGGTGAAAGTGATTTTTATACAAATTCATCTATACTATTATTTTTAGAACCAAATTTATCGCCACCAATACCATTCAGACTCTGAATTTGGAAATGAACCATTTACGCCATACAAACCACCTATTCCACAATTATAACAACAAGTTAGAGCAACCATTAACAACTCTGATAATGATCTTCATTACAATGAGATCGTTAATAATTATTATGAGAAATACAAAAACTAAAACCAACTAATGTTTAGGTAGGTTCGAAATGAAGTTGTTGCATAATGATAGCTCAACCAACGGTTTGAAACATTTATTGGTTGGAAGTATTCTATAGACTTTCTAGATTCAACAATCTTTGACTGTTTTGTTTGAATAATCTGATAGATTGATTGTTAGTAATTGCTTTTACATTTTGTTATTAGTTTGTTTGTGATATTACTTTAATGCTTCCATTGTTTTTGTTTTTTTTGATCAATAATATTGTGTGATAAATCTAATTTATATAATACATAGTCATAAATATATCTCTCTTACAACATTGTTGGAATGTTTTTAATCAAAATTTTTTTTTTTTTTTTTATGATCATTTAATCAATTTTTTTTGTGCTATTTTTTAACTATCTTTTTACAATAATTCTAGATATTTAGAACTGTTCTACCAAACTTAGCACATACTTGTTGTGAATTAGAACCACTCCTATCTGCAGGCTACAAGGCAATCGGAAGTTAAAGCTATATTCAAGAGAAACTCAAATATTTGCTCCGTAACTGGGCTAGTTTCTCCATAACTTTGTTACAATGCATTTCTCACTATAGCTCCGTTGCTATGCATGTCATTCTACAGCTCTGTTACTATGCATGTCACACCATAGCTCCGTTGCTATGCATGTCATTCTACAGCCCCGTCACTATTTTGAAGTCTTTCAAAATCTTTGGTGATATTCCAAATAAAAGTAAATGCATTAAATCCTCAGAAACAGAAGCATCCTTGTCAGGTCTCTTTTACCGGGTTTAAATTGGCAAAGAACTAATAGAAAATTTTACTTTACAGATTTCAGATCTATGAGCACAAAAAAATTGTTAACATAAATTATTTAAAATAATTTTGAACCACTGTTTTTTGTGATTCAAACCAATAAAATGAATGTCTTGTGGCTCTATGCTCCAAATATTAAACTCCCCCAAAATACACTCTTTCTCACAACACTAACAACACAGTTCTGTGAAATGAAAATCTCTACAATATTTTAAAGTTCAAGTATACCTTTTTGGTGTTTTATATCTTATCATTAAGATTAATATTTTTGTGTGTTGCTGGTTTGTGGTTAACTCTTAAAAAATTAGAATTATTTATACTTTACCACTACCAATTTAATAACTCTAATAAAAAAATTTTATTTTTAATATGAGAAACATATAATAACATTGTCAAAAAGGAAATTAAACTGATTCTTCGGATAGTGTGGTTGATGATCTTCTATTTTTAATTTTTAACCTAAGTTTATTTAAATATATATGATTGGGTGTGTGGTTGTAATTGTTTTTTTTTTGAATACCCTATATATTTGCTTTATAAATTGTTTTTTATAAATTAATAAAACATATTATATCTTTAGACAAATTAATTAATCATTTTTTTTTAAAGAAAATTTAAAATTTGGTATGTTCTCTTCCTATTTATTAAACCATTGCTTACAAGTGATTTTTAACTAATTGTACAAATCTTCTTTTCATTCTCTTTGTCATTCTTAAACTTTTTTTATTTACCATTTTTATGTATCTCAAAAACAAAATTTACAGGTTCAAAAACAGTAAATATATATATAAATAAAGATGAATTACAATGATGACAATCTTGAAGGTAGTGGCAACCAAATTGAAGTTGATATTCATGCTGAAATTGATATATTGAATACTGGAGGTGGTGTTGGAGATCAACTAGGATGTAGAGTGGAGCTTGGTGGTGTAAGTGGAAATGCAAGAAGTAGTAGTGCTGACTACCAATCACCTCCCATTGTCACTGAAGATAATGAGGATACCGACACCGATACCGAGTATGAAAGTCAGAGTCACAGCGATGATTCAGAACTTCTTGAAATTGAAATGGAAGACTACGAATTTACCTGCTCACACTCTGGATGCACAACCAGAGGACTCGAAGAAGACATTCTAGAACATACCTTAGAAATGCATTCGGAATGCGTTATCGATTGTTTTGGATGTCGATTGACGAGAGATATCAACAGCCGCAACCAGATATACCTCGAAATCAATTACACGCCAGGTCCCGATAATCATTACCCATTGCACACACCATATAACTCTGAATAATGATGCATTTAATTGAAATAAATTTATATCAAATTCTTTAATATTACTGAATTTATTTATATAATTTGTTAATAATAATCTTCTTAATTTTAGCACAAATCTATTTCAAACTTTATATATTTATTAGTATTATAATAATACGAATGATATATAGTAATAAATAATAAATATTCTATAAAAATTTGTTTTTATCTACATAGAATATTTAAGGTTTTGAAATTAAAATGTTTAATTTTGTTTTAGATGACGCTTCATAAAACATTAAAAATTTTGATGTTTTTTATTTTTTAGAATGGATGCTTTATTCTGATTCAAAGATTTAACTAAAGAGGAGAAAACAAAAGTTAGTGATAAAATATAACAATGTTGAATAATCTCTTATATATTTGAAAATTTGAAGATGAAGAAGATATCAAACTATTATGTACAAAGTTAACTTTATTTTATTAGTTCTTATTTTTAAACAAATCATTATTTACTATTAAAATTAATTAATAGTTATGTTGTAAATTAATAGATGTTGGTACTCTTTGACACACTATTGTTTACTTTTACTGGCTGCTATTGTTATTATTATTGCTATTATTATTGTTATTATTGCTATTGTTAATATAATTATTATAATTATTGCTATTATTAAAATAGTTATAATTATTATAGCTATAACTATTACTATAGCTACTATAAGTATTATTATTACCATTAGAGTGATAACTATAATTATTATTATTATTATTATTATTAATGACATCAATAAAGCTATAACTATTATTATTATATCTATATCTATAATAATAATTATTATTACTATAACTATAGATACTATTATTATAGCTATAGTTACTATTATTATAGCTATAATTATTATTATTATCTCTATCCATATAATTAACAGATTCTAACGAGTTATTATGTATTTCAGTGCTACTGCCTCTTGTAATTGGAGGTTGAGAGTAAGCATTTGAGAAAGGGGAAGAAGGTGGGATAGAGGCATTACTGAATGTAGTGGTGGTGTCTCTTGGAAAAGATGTTAGTTGTTGGTTGATTATACTTGGAGAGTTAGCTGGAGACAGAGACAACGTTTCATCAGAACTTGGAGAACAAGATGGTTGACCTTTCGTTGTTTGCTTATTTTTGTTCGCTCGTTTGATTTCATTTTGTTCACGCAGTCCACAGCGGTTGCAAACGCGTTCACCTTTTGCGTTTAATCTCCACTCTGGCGTGTAAGTGATTCTACACACCACGCAGACCACATTTTCTACATCGATTTTTGAACGCTTGTGTCGTTTATGCTTACCCTTGGTTGTTTTTGACTCTGGTGGAGACCGATTATAATGGACAGGTGTGAGACTACTACTGGATGAAACAACCATCGTTTGACTGCATTTGCTCGCTAAGAATGATTCCAAATTAGCTTGTTCTTTGTAGGGATCAAGGATATGTGAATTAAATAGATCATTAAATGCATTATCGATTTTCCTATTTTTAAAAAACAATTTGGGTTTTATTAATAAACATATATTTATTTATTTTGTAACATATGATAGAATTTATTACTTACAAATAATCATTTCTGAATTCAGATTGTTTTAGCTGGGAGAAAAAAAAATTACTACTTTTTTTGTTTTTTTAAAATTGCTCAAAAAAATAATTACCTTATTTTTTTGATTTTCAGGGAATAGATCGATCAACCTTTTACAAAGCAAGATAATCAATTTTAAAGACTTAATTGGACGTATTTTGTCAATTCCATTCGTTTGGATTTCCTTTTGTATCTGTTGTTTGACAGATATCAACTAATTATATTGAGTAAAAATAGAATCAAAAAGTTAGAAACATTATAAAGGCTGTTAATAAAGTTAAATACTTAACCTTTTCAAGGTATGTATCATCTCTGCCCAAGTATTTGTTAACTTCCCGTGTGAGATCAAGAAAGTCCATATTAGAATTGTGAGAATTCATTACTAATACTATAATAGTTTATATACAAATGGATAGTGATATATATTTGTAGTTTGTTTTGTTATAAATAAGTAAATCTAATATATAAAAGTACTAAAACATAAATTTAAATCACTTTAAATAGCTTCTCTTTGTTATGCAAAGCTTAACAATGTTCATATTAATATTTGCTATGATTCATTAAAACAAAAAAAAACAAAAAAGGATTGCTTCTCATTGATTAATGGGTGAAAACAAAAATGATTGACAACCCTATTTGATCAAAAAAAAGTGATTTTAGTTAAAATTGTAGTGCTTTTTTATTTCATGTTATAAATATTTAACCCTTTTAAAAACAACACATAGTCTTTCATCTTACTGATCATTGGATGGGGGGTATGAAAATATTAAATATATCAGTGAGTTAGTTTACAAAAAATAAAATTCAGTGCGTAATATTAGAATCTGGGTTGAATGATACTCACTATGTGCGAATAAAAACTATCATAAATAATCACCTCATTCAAAGCAACACAAGAACTAAATTGAAATAACAGTTCAGTCTTTAATAAATTAATATTTAACAATGTAATTGTAGTGTATGCTCTTTTAGAACAATATATGAATGGAATTACCACCTATTGTAACTTCTTTGTTTTTAATACGTATGATAATGAAAAGAGCACATCGATTCAATCAATGTTCACATTTCAATTAGCACTTAATAACACCTATACTAATTGGTGGCTATTTGAGGAATGAGGATTGTTTAATTTGAACATTGAGTGTGATAAAATTTATAGTGGTACAATAAATAGTGCTAGTTAAATTAAAATTTTAAGTTATGTGTATTTTTTCCAATAATTTTCTATTACTCATTTTCTTTAATTGATTCTGGTCACAAAAAAAAACTTAGATGGTGATCCGTTCATTATTGTATGAACTTTCATGTTGTTGTAGTTTATAATAAATTTATTGATTCAAATTGTGCGTCTCGCAAATAAAACATATATAACTCATTAAACACCTTTATTTACAATATTGTCAGTTTTAATTATTGACTCTCTTTCCAATATATCTCGTTCATTTACAACAAATTGCCTTTTTTAAATGTTTCTTTATCTTTATTAAAATCCCATATGTTTTTGAACAATTTATATATTGATCGAACAAAATAAGTGTATGAAAAATAATTTATATTCAAAAACTCAAAGTTAATATGGAATCACTCCATATTTAGTAGGTGGTTTCACTGTGGTTGAGATTAGTTGATAGATGAAATCATCCCAGCTTGGATGGTAGAAAGAGATCTTTTTCTTATACCATAGTAACTTCACTGTTGTTTTTATTTGTATTGTTATATACTCAATTGATTAGATTCACAGTTTGATAGCAAAAACAACATATTAAACATAAATGAACAAACACCATTAAAATTTATATATGTGATCCAAATTAAATTACACATCATTTACAAAAGTGGTAAGCAAATTAATTATGAAAATTAATTAAAAAAAAAAAATTAATAATCACTTTAAATTTAGAAAAGTTACACTCATTAATTTCAAATCAAAATTAAATTCTTAAATTAAAATCTAAATACTGACAGAACAATGCCACCTTTGAAGAGGCGTCATGTTTTCAAACCCAAGGTATCTATTATTTTATAGAAATACAAATACTATTATTTGATCTAAATCAAACGAATTATTAAATATAATTGTTTTTAGAGAAAATTTATTGTGATGGTAATCAAAACAAATACAAACCCAAACGGAGAAGAAGCTACTCCAGATCAGTGCCGTATCGCAATAATAGTAATTGGAAATAATATTAGAAATAGAATACGTACCTAACATCTATAAATAAATTTTTAATTTCACTTTTTATATTTTTAATTGTTTTTTTTTTTTTTTTTTTTAAAAATACAATTTTTTTTTGACTGATGACAAAAAATATCATTATTTATTTTTATAATAATAATAATAATCAAGGTCAATGAGAAGATAATTTAAAGCTAAATGCACGTTAAAATATATTCCGACTTGATGTATTCTTCCATAGGCAAGAAGAGAACCTCCTTATATAAAATGTATTTAAAAGCATAATTATCAATGGTGTAACGAATCAAAAAAAAAAAAAAAAAAGATCTGGATATTAAAATTGTGATCATTTTTTCATTTTTTTATTATTTAAAATCAAATATTAAAACAATGTATAACTAAAGAAGATTTTGATAATAACGTAATGTATGCTATCTCTGATATAGCCTAATTGTCAAATACAACACCGTATACTTTTTTTTTTTTTTTTTTTTTTTTAAAATATAGGACTGGCTTGTTAGTTTTGCTGTCAGAATCTAGAGACATTTGGATATGAAGAGCTAGAAAGCATTATTGACGGTGTCGCCATCATGTCAAATTCATTCGTTCTCGAACACCCATTTAAAAAGTCGGTACCAGTTTAGGCATTTATTGTATGAGGGCAAGAACTCCCATGGTTGCGAGTGACATTCGACTATTCCACGTCCTAGATATCTTGTATGCATCACCACCTAGCACAAATCTATTTCATCATAAGATGATTCAACGTTATCATTACCAGAGACTGTATTACCTTTAACAATATAAGATTCGCTACCGCTTTCATTTTTCCACCAACCACAATCTCACCAATCCATTGGCAATTCAACTGCCAACCAAGTCACCACTCAGTCGCCAATACAGTCGCCATCGATTACGTTGGTGACTGCCAACGCAACTGCTAATCCAGTTGCCAGCACGCCAGCAACCATAATCAAGTACATGTAGTAAATCTCGAGTGTTTGACATCCCACAAAATATTAAAAGAATTAAATGTTTAATTTATTCTAATTTTTTACTCAATATTACAAGACATTCAATGAGGAACGCCCACAATCAACAATTTAATTTGTAACAACCAATTAAATAAAATATAATCTCACTAAAAAAGGAAGTTCAACACACAACAAATAAACAAACCACTGCTCTCTATCAAGATTAATTTTGAACATGAGGGAACTAACAAATAAATTAGTAAACTTGTTAATCAATGAGGTGATAGATTGTAGTAAATACATATTATAAATTGCTTAAATGAGGTGGTTCCCAGACAATGCATGTTGTTAATGTTGTTTTTTGATGATCTCTGTATTGCTCAGTGCCCATTAATCAATGCTCAGTGCCCATTAATAAAATATTGTTTTTTTTAAATTACTGATTTTTCATGTGTTTAATTCCATGGAATTGAAACATGTGTGTTTTTTTTGATCAATCAAGAGACTCTTCCCATTTTTTTTTATCTGTTCTTTTTTTTATTTTAATTAAAATGTAAACCAACAATAAAAACTTGTTTTTTTGACATTTCATTTTCTCTTCATTTCTTTTCATTTGAATGAAGCCACTTTCAATATAATAAACTAAAATATAACAAATTATTAAATATGAATGAGAAAATGTATAGTATTAATTTAAAAAATATTCTAAAATCAAGAAGAATATAATAAATTCCCAATATATGTACATTAACCTAACCTTGCAACCTATACTAATAGCTCCACTTCTTCAGATCAAGAAAAGCTATTAATCCAAATTTTTAGTTATATAAATGGTTTGCAAAATCTTTTTGAATTATCATCTACTCTAAGTGAATTGGCCTCTGATGATCAGTCTGATCTAGACTCATCAACTACAACTACTACAACTACCACAACCACAACCACCTCAACTACAACTACTACTTCCTCTACTACTGCTACACCTACATATACCTTTCCATCCCCTCCCCCAGCAGAAACCAACCCAAATATATATATACCAAACCTGCCACCACCAGCTAAAAAAGAAAGGTCGTCCACCAGGTGTCAAAGTAAGTATTATTTTTAATTAAAATTTATAAAAAATCTTTATTAATTATTGTTATAGCCTTCTTCATGCAGTGGTTGTGGAAAAAAGGAAACGCCAGAATGGCGTAAAGGACCCCAAGGTCAACCATTCTGCAATGCGTGTGGCCTTAAATATATTAAAAAAAAAAATAAAGAGAAACAATCAAAAGATCTTCACAATTTAGATAAATTACTCAACCCCCAAGATCAAAAGAAAGACTATGACGATGATAATAATAACAATAACAATAACGACTCAAGTCAGAGTGACTCAAATAAAAGGAAAAGGTAGAAATCGAAGGATATCACAACGATTTTTTTTTTTTTTGCTCCAAATGTGAAATTAATCTAAGACTCTACTACTTTAAAATTATCTTGTTTTTTTTACACTTTTTTAAATTGCAATTAAAAATTTCATATTAATTTTTGATTTTTTTTATTTTTTAATTTTTCTATCAGATTCTTTATTAGTTCTTTATTGATAGAATTGATCTGTAATGTGCATTCTATCTTGTTCAAACAACTTTTTGTTATCTGAACTCGATCGATTCCTTGGGTACCAAGTAAATACATGTCTTCTAATGACCAAGCAACCTCTCTTTGCTTGACATGGGTTTCTTGCAGTGTTTACAAGTATATTACAAGTACAATCAGTAAATAAACTTGCACCCACCAATATTTAATAAAATATGTTTTTTTTTTTTTTATCACTGAACTTTTTGTTACAATATAAAGATAAGATTCTATTTTTTTTATTGTAATCACTCTAGTCTGCTTTCAATTTTTGATTAACAGAAAAAATTTCACATTTGGAGCTGAAACAATTGGTCATAGATTGTTTATTGTTTAAACTGGTAATAGTCACTATAAAGTAATAATTTGTCAAATATGTGAATTCTATGCGTGGATGAGGCATACAGGTTGGAATAGATAAGAGCGAACCAAACTAAAGACAATAAACTAAAGATAGAGAAAAATAAGTCTAAGAAAAGGAAAGCCAAAGAGTTAGAAACAATATTATTAGATGCTCAAGAAAAATATGTTAATAGTGACTTATCTCCTTTTGAAAAAAGGTCAGTTCGATTTTCAAGTGCAGTCTTGCATTTTGTCCTTCTCTTTACGAGAATAAATTTAAAATCCAGGGTGGAGAAGCACGAATAGACAAACCATCATTACCAGTCAGGTTGTCATTTCCAAGAGGGTGGGATTCACACTTGTGAGAAACCATCCAGAAGTGGCAAAGAGAAAACCAAATATTTTCGAAACAGTATCTAGTTCTTCTTGGTCAGGTTGATGGTTCCTATTTTGTTTTAGAAAAAAAAGTAAATTTAAAATAAAATAAAAAAAAAAATTAGAATTAAAAAATTTAAGTGCTTGTTAGAGAATTTTTAATAAAAGAAAAAGAAAATTTAAAAGAGATTAGTAAAAAAACAATAAGAAAACATTAATAGGTTTTTATCGCTAAATAAACTTTTAATATTTTTTGTCAAGTATTCTGAACTATAGTTACTTATGAACTTAGAAATGAGTTTTGCTAAAAAAATGAGAGTGGTGTAAAAAATTATTTCATTTATTGGGGTGGAGTCAAATGAAGTTAAAACACTAGTGAGTTAATTAGTACAAAAGATGTTATTGTGGGTATACTTTAACATCTTGAGGCAATATTACTCATATTAATTTTTTTTTTTAAAGCTAATAATAAAAAAACATACTATTTAAAAAGGAAAATAAATACAGTTAACAATTAGATGACCTAGACAATACTTTTCTAAATCAAATATACCTGTGATAAAATATAAATTATTTTTATTATTAAAAATTATAAATTTTATAAATTAGGGGTAACCCCAAAACATCTTCACCAAAAATCTTACACTTTCTTTTTCTATCAAATTTCATACTACTTGGTTAGTTTAAATCAACACTTGAGTTAAACAATCTATAAACATAAATTTAAAATCAGTCATTCGATTTATGTGAGAAATACAGAATTTATTTCTTTCAGTTATTGATTGCTTTTTTATTCTCCTATATGTTATTTCATTTTATAGGTTGGGTTTTTGTTTGCATAGTTTGTTTGAATTTTGTGTGCGTTTTGCGAAAATAGTGCTCAAATTCAACTGTAAGCAAAATTTTTTCATTTTTTGGGGAGGGATAAAATGAAATTACATTCATCTTTTTATGATAATTCTGTTTTTATTAAAGTTGTAATACATATTATCTCTACTACGGTTGTCACAATAAACTCCTTGTTTGAAAGGGTTAGTGAATGATAAAAAAAAATTTTTTATAAATAAAATAAGAGAATTATTTAAAGCAAAGAAAAAGAGAATTCCATAATATTTGTTTTACATAAAAACAAAAAAAAAACATATTGTTTTTTAAATTCTATAGTAGAATATTTTATAATCAATATATTTATATATTTTATTCTTATTTATCTAAATAATAAATCAAAGTTAAAATGAATGTTTGTCAAAAACATCAATTTGGAGACAATCTAGCTTGCTTAGATTGCAATATTTTTTTTTGCTTCAAATGTGATTCGAATCATTTTGAACACAATATCCAGTATATGGTACATATGAAAGCCTATTTGGATAGTGAAAAAAAAACAAAAAGATACTTCTCGAGGAGAGTTGGTAATATTCTATCAGACATCCAAACCCAAAACGAGAGTTTATCTTTTTTTGTTAATAGAGTATGTCACTTTGTAGAAACAGGAAGACAAGTGGACCTAAATGAAATGTGGCAATTTTATGTTCAGGAAATGAAGAGACTAGAATCAATGAAAGAGCATTTATTCTATGCCAATCAAGATATAATTGATATTCAAGAAGACTTCATTGCATTGGATCGTTTATATTCTCTGTTGATCACACATCACAGGGATTATATGGAGAAGATCTTAGCAGAAGAAGAGGAGGAAAGAAAACAAAAACAACAAAGAAAACTATTTAAAAAAAATATGTTATTATAAATAAATAACCAACAAGATTATTTTTGTTTCTAAGCTGTTGTTTAAATGAATCAAATTAAACGAATTTTAATTTTTATTCTTCTTGTTTTTTTTCTCTTTAAATACATATTGGACTATTGCTATACATAAATAAAAATAGCAGTAGAATAGATAAGTTATATTAAATTTATTCAGTATTTTATAAACAAGTAAATGCAGCTTTATAAGTATATTGTCTTTTGCGATCAATAATGTAATCATCACACGATCAATAGTAATATTCATCATTTTTATTAATCATATATCACCAAACAATACAGGTACTCCTTTATTAAAAGAAACTTAGGTTAATATCATGTTGTAGGTGGTTGTTGTTTTTGTTTTAGTTTTTGTTGTTGTTGTTGTTGTTGCTATACTTGACTTTCGAACTTGTATCTATTGTTTTGATAATCTTTTTAATTAGATGATTTTCATTTAAAGAACTAAACTAAATAGTATCTATTCATGAATACATATCAATTGTAACTTATTTTATGAAGATAGAATACTTTGAGCTCAGATTAAGAAGAACATCTTGATCTATTATAATTAACTTTAGTATACTCAATATAGTTGATAGTTGACAGTCATTCTTAAATGAATATCTAATCCATTGTTATTCTACTTGTATTCCATTCGCTAGAGCTCTATAGCTCATTTGTTGCTAGAGAAGATAACCGATCATTCAATCCTGGACTTCACAATATCAACAAAGTTATCGCGTTTATCTTTTTACAAATCGCAAGAACATCTTACCATATGTTTTTACAGGCCAATTTAATCAAAATACTAACAGTTAAACGAGTATAAAAAGAAAGAATGAACAAAGTTGATACTATCTGATAATAAAGTGGTAAGTCTTGTCGATTTGATTTGAATTTAAACAAACTAAATCATTAAATAGATAAAGTAATACAAAATCTGGAGCAAATTTAGCACATAATTTAGTAAATGTATTGACGTAGAAGAGCTTCTATGACTATCAAAAAAATCATTTGAACCATTGAGCATATGTGGAAAAAATCATTTATCTCTTTGGTCAAATTTGATTTGGTATGAGTGTACTCATCCTGTAGATAAAACCACTGAAGGCATAAAGAATCAACATAACAATGACATGCTCAATCAATTAAAAGTTTATTTATCTATTAATATCAATAAATTACACATATTCAGAATTTTAAAATGAATTGTTTTCTTCATCCTCGCCAATCAACCCCAAGTGATTATTATTAATAAAAATAAATTTTAAAAAAAGAAACTCTTTATTATTTATAAACAATCTTTCTAAAAGTTTAATAGAACAATAAATTACAAAAAAATAAAAAAAAATTATCTAGAAAATCATATCATTTTATTATGGTAAAGTTCATTTATTTATTATTAACTATTTTGTATATCATTATCAATAAATAAAAAGAGTTCTTTGATAGTTAAACATTTTTATCTTGATGATCAAAGTGATACCTAATTAGGTGTGTTACCAATTATTAAGTTGGGGTACTTTTTTTGATGTTAAAAACTTTTATTTTAGATTCTTTCAATAGGAAAGTTGTTAAAAAACAAAGAAATCATTTAAAATTTAATAGTATTTTGTTGAAGAATTCATTTTTGTTTAATTTTAACCAGTGAAATTTTTGAGAGTCTATTAAAAATAAAACAGATATCAATACAAGTTGCCAATTCTGTTTTTTAATGGAATTTCTTAAGATTGTCATTACCAATAATAAAAATTAATAAATTGCACTTAAAATAAGATTTGATACAACACTAAGGTTTGGTTTAATTTGTTAAATATGTTTTATATACTGAGACCCACCATTTTTCTATTCTTAGTATTTAATTGATTATGATCATAGTAATTATGCACTTTAACAGTTAAACTAACATCTTTTTGATATCACAACTAAATTGATCTTAGTGGTTTAGTGTTAAACCATTGTTAAAATTATTGAAAAATATACATATAACTTAACAATTTAAATTATCACTGCAATTTTATATTAAGTTCAATGATTGGTGTTCAAATTAAATCACCCACAATGAATTTAATTCATTTTTCAAAAATAATAGTCGAATTATTATAAATAGTAGAGTTCCAATATGTGAAATAAATGTATATAATAATTTATAACAAACATCATCTTATGGCTAAAGATAAAAAATATTCTAAAACTAAAAAACTAAAACCAGTTTCGGAACCAAAGAAAAGAGGGCGCCCTGCTGATGGCGAAGTATGTATTTATTTTTAAAGAATTTTCATTTTTTTTTAAAAACTAATTTGTTTTTTAGTTTAAAATTTGTTCAAATTGTGGAAAGCTCAATACTTGTGAATGGAGAAGAGGAAAAGACCGCGCAATTTTATGCAATGCCTGTGGTCTAAGGTACATTAGTGCCAGACGAAGAGAGGCCAAGTCAAGAGCAAGACACTCTTTGGATAACGTGATGAACTCCAGCAATGAGAATATTGGATTCTCACAAAGAGGATGGATAATTTATAATGTTTATCAATAAAAAAATGTTTACTTATTTTCTTCTTTCTTTTGAAATATATTTATTTACTTTATTGATAATATCTGATTTGAACAGGATAAAAAATGATCCTCCCAAGATTACAATGCTTTCAGCTTGAAACTCTCAGTACATATATATGGAAAAAAAACAAATTTTATAGTTTTTTAGCAACTGAAAATTTTGATCAAAAAAATGATCCAATCTCTCATTCCTTTTTTAGAAAGTTTTAAATTAGATGCTTAGAAAAGAACGAGACTTTCTCACAGATTTATTTATTTCAATTCTTTTAAAAGAGCATAATTATTTATTCCAATTTTAAATGATGTGTCCTATTGAGTTTCGTATTCACTCACTTTAAGAAATGATATCGAATTAAACCTAAAACAAGTGATGCTCTTTTGATCATTAATAATCGGAACCATTTTTTTTAAATGATAAAAGGTAAGAAAATTATTAATTTATTAAATAAAGTAATTAATATTTAAACTAGATAACATCAAATTTTTTAATTGAAGAAACAAATTAAATTAATTAATTAACAATAATATTTATTGTTTTTAATTAAAATTCTATTCTAAAAGGGAAAGGATCTTTTTATTGGGCAGTGTTACTTACAACTGCAGAGGTTGGTGATGAAACTGTTGGCGTTGTTACTTGTGATTTCTTTTTGATATTTTTGTTGTAGGCTGATATAGTTGACCATAATTTATTGTCTAGAAATGATTTCAAGAAAATTTTGATTTCCTTTTGTGTAATAAAAAGGTCGTATTGGATCGCATTAAGAAAACAGATCTCCATCATATTGATATCTTTAAGTTTGTATGTTTTAAAAATTTCGACAAATATAGAATTTTTGATTTGAAGGTTCTCTGTCCAGAATTTGAGAGTTATGATGGTACTTATGAGTAACACGCTGAATAGCTGGTCGTACATGATTGTTGCTCCACGAAGGAATCTGTCAGTATAAAATATTACAGTAGACAATAAAGATGGTTGAGCTCCCGTCACCTCTAAAAGAGCTAGAATATTATCTAAAATCTCTTCTATATGTTGAATGATTGAGGGATTATTGTGTGTGAAGTTTGGATCGAGATCCAAAAACCATCGATATACAAGAACTCGAAGTAAAGAATATTTACATTCAGATTCATATGAACTTCCTTGAATTTCATTGTATATCCGATTAAACTTTAGATGGTACCCAGATTGTTGAATGATAGATGACATAATATAAATATTAAATGGTTTTTTTTTGTATAATTTTTAGAAAAACAAAACAAATTTGTTTAATTTTTGTTTGTGAATGGAATTTTAAGTGAACAATGATCATATAATATATATAAATAAAAAAAAATAAAAAAATATAACATGTTTACATGTAAATGAAATAATAATAAATTCAAATGTGGTATGTTGATTCAGTTTATTTTTCATTAATATGAAGTTACACACCTAACACATTTTTAAAATATACTTCAAGGTTATTTGTAAACACTGTAGCAAAGAAGATTTAACTTTTTTTTTTTTGTTTGAATGCGTTGTTTGTGTTAAGTTGAGAAAACAGCTGCACAATTAACTCTAGAGCTGCTCATCTGAGTTGTGTATACCACAACAACTCTTGGTCGACAACTAGAGTAGATTGATTCTTTGTAAGGTATCACCATTGAATAATCAAAATGCTTGGAGAGGAGACACTAGTAACCGAGCTTTGGTATTGACATGCATAGTAACCGAGCTATAGAATGACTTGCAAAGTTACGGAGCTATAGAATTACATGCATAGTGACTGGGCTCTGTGGTGAGATGCAAGTAACGAACCTATCGAGAAACCAGCATAGTGACTGAGTAAATTTAGATATGTTTGTCTTAAAGTGATTAATTATGTATTTAATGATTCTATTTAGTAGTGTTTTTGCTATGTTATCGTATGGTCTATACTATTTTGTTGTTTTTGAATGAGTATACATTTATACTACAACTCATACTCTAAAATACATATCCTTGTAAGTATCCCAGTCTTCTCTGCTGTCATAAAAATAGATGTCCATCTATATTCACGTTCAAAATACTTAAAAAAGAGTAGTGTGCTAATCGATATACAACTAACACAGCTCCGTCAGCAGGAGTCTCAAACCGCTATACAGTTCTCGGACCTGTTGTTAAAAAGCTTTGATAATAGATTAACATAAAATGTCTACAGATAAACTACGGAAACAAAAAAGTAGTAATAAATAAATAAAATGAAAAAAATTATTAGATAAGAAATTATGCCTGATGATAACTTTTGAATAGAGAACAGAAATACTTTCATATTTAGGTTGACTATCGCTAGAACTCAAAGAGAACAGCCTAACAAAAGTTATAAGAGATCACAATATTAATCTTATAAATATTAATATTTATTTTTATTAAAAATAACAATAATGTTCTTAATAAAATAAAAATTTAAATTAAATAAAAAAAAATGAAGTTTTGTTTGCACAACCAACCAACTTTTTTTTGATTTAATTTTTAATTTCATTTTTATTTCAATCATTGATTAAAAAGATTGTACAATCAACATCAGTATCTTTAATCATGTAAGTGCTTTAGATATCAAATATCAATTTAAATATAAATAATGAAATTAAAAGTTTATTTGTTTATGTCAATGAATTTCGTTTGTATTTCTGATTACTATTATTGAGACACTTAATTGTTTTGGGGCAGTTTCTTCTCCATTCGGTTTTTTATTAATTCTTACGACGATAACAATCAATTTTCTCTAAAATCAAAATTAATAATTATACAAATAGTATTTTAATTTCGATAAAATAATAGATACCTTGGGATTAGGAAAACGACGCCTCTTCAAAGGTGGCATTTGTTGTAAGTAATATAGATTTATTTTAAAAGTTAATTTGAGTAATAATTTATTTGGATTGAAATAAATGGTTGTAATTTTAGATTCTTAATTTAAAGTGAATTATTTTTAATCAATTTTCAAAATCAATCAACTTAAACTTACCACTTTTTTTAAATTGTGTGTGATTTAATTGGAACTCACAAATGGTTTTTTAAATAGTGTTTAACTACTTTATTTTTTTTTTGTGACCCTAGTCATATGAAAAAAAGAGTGATTTAATGTTATTCACTATAAATAATAATATAACAATACTAAATCAACAAACATTAGTGAAGTTACTATGGTATGATAACAGATATATGTGTAATTTCATTTTATCCCTCCCAAAAAATGAAAAAATTTTTAGCTTTTGTGTGCATTTTGCGAGAATACAAAAAAAGCTGTGCAAAAAATAACCCAACCTATAAAATGAAAAAACACATATAGTAAATTTAATCAAATGATTAATATCATTAGATGGGGATCTATATTACACAAGATCAAAAGTTTCCCCCAAATTCAAATTCGTATTGCTTTATTGATCTGAGTCAGTTTGTTTAAACTGAAACCTTGATAATAAATAAATATTTGATGAAGATGATTAATACAAACATTGAAATAATGATTCTAAATAAATTCACCCTAAGATGGATTTGGTAGTGGTCTTTGAGTTATATGATGTTAGAAATAATAAAACATTTAAATAAATTCTAGAAAAATTAATATTTAATCTTTATTTTAATAATTTCATTTCTTAATTTTGTGTATTATAACAAACCTCTCTATTGGTGTTTAAAAAATATTTTGAACAACACAATGACTTTCAAATTTAAAAAAGGAAACTCATAGATACAATAACACAATAAAATATAAACATCATGTGGGTTTTTGTTAATTATTTATTGCCATGATCATCTATATAAAAAGATAAATAAAACTGAGCAAAAAAAAGATATATTACCAATTAAACATTTTCAAGGTATCATTTTATTATAATAATAAATAAATCACTTTAGTAAACTCTAGAAAGGTGTAAAAAAACATTATTTAATTATAAATAACTATTATTAAAATAAATATTGATATAGTTATTATAAACAATATTTATTAGAAACAAAGTAAAACTAGTAAAATACAATATTAAAATCTTAATAATTTTAGATTTAATAAAACAATGGAAATTAGTAAATTATTAAATCCAGAGAGGGGTGCTTCTACAATCTCAACAATAAATAGAAATATTGGTGTCGATCGGAATCAGTTTGTTATCAATGGAGAGAATCAATATATTGGTATGGTCACTATTCCACAAGAGTTCAGACCAGATTGTTTTTGTAATAATTGTCTAAATAAAAAATAGAGCTACTGAAAGACCTTTCAAAGAGTCAAAATCTACCGTTGAAAAATAAAATTTAAAATAAAATATAATATTATCTTATTTATTGAATAACTATTTCTTAACTCATTATCTATTATGGGAGAGCTGGTTTAAGTGATAATAAATAACATTATCCGATCTCCCTATATATATTCGTGAATGTTTGTTTGGACACCTAAATCTATTTTTTTTAAAAAGTCTGCTTCTTGTCTTTCGCCTATTGATCATCGAAATAAGCAAAACCAAAAAATTAAACTATTCCCAACATGTTTGTTTTGTGTTGCAAATATTGACAAAAAAAAGTTTTTTTTTTTAAATTTAAATCCTTTAAATTCAATTTTTGCATATCTTTTTTTGTTTATTTTTATTTTTTTATGAATTGTAATTATTAATAAAAAGTAATAGATTATATATGAAAAGTTAATTATATTTTATGTTTATTGAAGATTTTTTATTATGAAGTTGAATTACCAGATGTAAGATAAGGATCTATCTACACATAATCTTACAATCATCATTGTAATTATCGTTAGTCAAGTTTGTTTGTAAATTGGCAGGTATTCCTTGTCTAACCAAGTTTTAGAAAGTGTAGATGGCCTCACTCTTGTTTAGCTACTATAGGTGCGTTGTCTGAACTTGTCGAGTTTGGGAATATACCTCAGTAAATTAAGCAGGTCTGAAGCACTTGAGTTTGGTACGAGTGTAGCAGGTAGGCTCTAGAGCAATTGTAGCAGGTATTTTTTTTTTTTTGGTCTTCCACGCTTCTCAAGTTTTTGAAGAGTGGCCATATCCAAACAAAGAAGCGTGTAGTTATCGTCAATAGTCGTCTAATAGTAGATTCAAACAGAAACCTCTCTTAAAACCTTCATAATGACTTGCAATAGCTCCAGTAGCAACCGTGCTTAGGCACAGACGCTCTGGATTTCATAAAGGAATGACATTCGCAAGTCATATTAAACGTCATAAGGTAATCCAACAAATACCAGGTTTATTCAGTGACTAGTATCAGGCCCAACACCGAGAATGCAACAAGTTGATCATGAACTGTAGACATCAACTTTACCAACCATAGCCTCAGTGCTTGTTTATAGTTATTTAAAGTGTATGTACTATATTGTGTATAGATGGTATTGTCTATATCTTTTTAACTCAATGAAATAAGATTTATTGACCGATGAGTTTGGAATTCACCTCAGTTGAATCTAACACCGAGACTAGGGATTGGTAGCATTGAATGGACACCTTGTGATCGTAGTGAGTGAATGATAGATAACAAGTGCTAAAAAAAAGTACAAACAATGAAATTTTTTTAAAGATTTCAAACAATCCTACTCATTAGAATCACTAATACACAAAAAAAAACCTATAAAATGAAATAACACAATGAAATTACAATTTACTTACTTTTACTAGTAGCTATCTAGACACTCCAAAGAAATCAAATTGGGGTTTTGCAAAACATTTTTGCGTTTAAAAATATAAAAAAAGAAATAAATAAACAAAAAAAAATATTATATAATAAAATAAAGTAAAGTGTTCATTATTTCAACAAAATCAAATCAATAACCATGAGAGTACTACTCTTTGTTTAGATTGGGTTTAAAAAAGAAATGATTGTGCACAAATAAATAATTTGGTAGAATAAAATTTTTTTCATTTTTGCAGGGTTAACCCACATATCCTCACACTTAAATTTAGTGAGTAACCACTCATATGAACTGCCATCATTATCAATAAATTAAATGTGCAGCTTATTGTTTTTTTTTACTCTTATAATGTTAATTAAGCTTTTAAAAGAGTCAATAAATGTTGTTGTATATTCAGTTTTGTCATTTAAAATTAAAATAAAATAATATAAATATATTAAACTTTCAAAAAAAAAAACAATAACAACATATACATGTTTATCTATTTCTTTTATTTAATAAATATTAAAATAATTCAACAATTAGAATTATTCAAAAAAAAAAACATAATGGGAAGAATCGATTTGAAAAAACTGATCCCAGGATTTGAACATCTTGAATTAGGTATTTTCACAAATCATCAATAAAAAACAATTAATTGTTTTAAAAAATAATTAATTTTTTTATTTTTTTATTTTTCAAAATTTTAAACAGAGCCAACAGAACACACACAACCAACACAACAATCATCAAAGTACGAAGATGATCGATTCTATTATGCCCAACCATCATTCGAAAAGAATATTTCACATGATATTGTATTCCTCTTATCACCTACTTCAAATGATAATATAATAATATTAAATAATTATAATAACAATTATAATCAAAATTATATACGTTATAATATAAATGATAATGGCGATACCTTTATCAATATAAATGATTATATCTCTATAAATGTGTATGAAGAAGAGGAAGTTAGGATATATTCACATAAAACAATGTTGGTAAATGGTTCAGACTACTTTAAAATGTTACTCAAAGATGTTTCTCTAGACATAACTGAAATAGAGATTGTCATTCCCAACGTGTCAGTAAATGTCTTTTTCCAAGTCTTAATTTTTCTTTACACTTCAGAGCTGGCAATTGAAAACGATACACTCAATGAAATATTTTTGATTTGTAACGAGCTCCAGCTGGAAGATGCCAAAGATATCTGTATAGATTTTATCAGATATATGGAAAATAAAGTATTGGAATGTTTTTTATTTAATGTAAGTAGCTTTGACAATTATAAACAACTATGATACACAATAACCAAAACAATTTCTATTGTTTCTTTTAGAAAAAAAAAACAATATGTCCTGAACTATATAGTTATATTGTTGATCAAGCAGTTGCAAACTCTACCTACTTTTTGCAGGTGAACAGAGTGCATAAATTATCAAAAGATGTACTTTTTCCTCATCCTAAAGAGTGATGGTGTATATTTGAAAGAGATAGAGATATTCAATTCGGTTTTGCTGTGGATTCGTGCCAATGTCAAAGGTGTCACAATTGAGAGAATTGTTGGTGGTGTTAGAGGTAATTCAGAGAATAACAAAAATAACAACAATGGAAAGATTTTAGCAAAATTAGAAGAGATTTTCCAATTGATTCGTTTTCCACTAATGAGTTACGAGGAGTTAGTTTCTGATGTCGAACCATATCAAATTATACCAGACCGATTGCTATTGGAAGCTTATCGATACAAGTCAGTGCTTGCACACTCAAAATTACCTCAAACCTCTATCATTATCAGCAAGCATCGATTGCAAAACAGTAACATCACAACTCATACAATTCAATAAGAAAGTTAAATATGAAAATAAACATATCAGATCAAATTGTTTTTAAATCACTCTAATCATTAGACTAACAACTTAGCTAATATAGAGAATTTTTTATTTGATTCTTATATATATATTTGTGTTCTTCACCATCTTGTAAACAAGTGAATTCTTTGAATTAATGGAAATTGATAGATTTTAATTACTAAAGTTACTCAACACACTTTAGTTTAATATAAAAAAAAACCCTAATTAATACAATAGATTTGATTTTGGAATAAAAAAAAATTTAAAAATAAAAAAGTGTTTCATACTGGAAAGTTATTTATAATAACCTACAATTAGGATTTATATATGATCCAATAAAATATTTGATGGTGGGGTTTAAAAGTAACCCCATCTGGCCCATATTTCACAGAATGAAGTTTAAGTTGACCTAAAATATAAAATTTTATTATTATTTTATTGAACCTAAATTTATTAAACTATATAAAAGAATAAATTTTTATAACATAAAAAAAAACCATCTTTTAATTCAACAAAATTAAAATTATTTAAACTTTTCTGTTACACTAAAAATAAAATATAATGATTAAAATACAAAATATTGTAGTTTTAGTAATTTTATTGTTTTTTGGAGAAATTAATGGTAAATAATAACAACATTAATTAAAAAACTTAGAATCTATTAATAATAAATATATAGGTCTCACTAATCTTCAGTCAGTTCAATATGGGCCAGATGGGGTTACTTTTAAATTGAGTAGTGGAACATTTACTAGTAATAGTTATTCCTTGAAATTGAAGGGGCCTCCTGTAATACAAAAAACAATAAATATTGTCAACCCTACCACAGCTTTTTTGAACTACACAGCTGATATTATTAACAAAGTTGATAAATTCCAAATGTGTGACCGACAAAATTGCGTACTTCCCAACTTTATGGAGTGGAATCCCGTATATATAACTAATATTTCTTCGATTCCAACTCAAGGAGGTATCATTACAGTAAAAGGTGTATCACTTCTATCATCACCACCAGGAATTACTCAGATCTATTTTAATACCAGTGTATTTCTATTTGAAAGTAATACAAATTCAGAAGGAACTGATATCAATTTCAATGTTGGTCAAAACATTACCTCTTTATTCTCTGGTCAAAATATTCCAATTTCTTTCATAATAAGAGAAACCCAAACACTCTCTTTTTCTCCATATATTTATGATACTATTTTTTTTTCATTTCAAGGTAAGTAGTTTAGTTTAAAATAATAATATAAAGTTCATTACCTAACAATAATTTAAACAGGACCAACAATTTCATCAGTTGTATATAATAGAGAGACCAATCAAATTACGATGACCGGAACAAATTTTGGAGTAAATGGAATTCCTTTGACATTGACTTCGAATGGTGGAAATTTACAGCCTACCCTTTTAATTGATAATACTGTTATTGTTTCAAATGTGAATGCTCAAAACTATTCATTCTCTGGTGATTTCCAATATGTTTTGAATGTTGGTTCTCCAAATCCAAATTCAGCAACCTATACTCAACAACTATGTATGTATTTATTTTATAATAATTCTTTCTTATTGAAATATTAATAATTCTAATAATAACTCTTTAGATCCAGTTGTAACATCAGTAACCTCTACTTCATCATCTGGTGGAACCATTTCAATTTATGGATATAGATTGAATCTTTTCAAACCAAAAGAAACTATTTCACAAGTTTCAATCCTTGTTGGAGGTTATTCATGTACTGTATTGACATTGAATGATCCAAAAAATTCATTTATTGAATGTTCAATGCCAGCAATTCCAAGTGGTTCAAATAATTATAATTTATCAGTGGTTGTTAACATTAATGGAAAGCATTCCAATAGTGATATATTATTCTCTGCCGATCTTTCAAATGTCCAAGAAGTATCACAAGATGGTGGAAATACAATTATTATCGGTTCATCATTTGGTAATGATACAAAATCAATTGTCCTACATTTCAATGGTAGTACTCCAATGTCACCGATCTCCGTTTCCAACTCGATGTTAACATTTAAATTTCGAACAAACACACCATCTGGTATATACAGTGGAAACACACTGACTAAATTCAACACATCACCAACTGTTCCATTTAAGATAACAATTCAACCATACATCACATCAATAACATCACCACCAACACAAGGTGGAATTGTAACAATCAGTGGTCAATATATGACTTCCAACATCCAAGGAAATGAGAATATCACTGTGATTATTTATGATACCAAATCTAATCTTAACACTCCATGTTCCAATGCAACGAGATTGAACAGTACCAGTGTGACCTGTATTGCACCACAAAGAAGTGGGACATCCGCTTATTTGCAACTTCAATTGAATGGTATCAGTTCAACAGTAATGAGTGGATTGAATATGGTCTACCAATCACCTAAAATAATATCTACAACTTCAGAATCACCATACAATAGTGGAATGATAAGCATCTATCAAACTAATTGTAAATTTTATCTATTTTTCTTAATTTTATTGTTATTATTATTTATTTAACGTGTATTATAAATAATATCTTGCTTGATAATGATGTTTATGAAAATAATACTCCTATAATTATCTTTTTTATAATCATTTAATTAATAAAATTATAATTATCTTTAATATATTTTGTTTGTTTATTTTCAATCTTTTATTTTTAATTTTATTTTATTTTAATTTATTTTTTCAATCTGTTTGCAATAAACAATAAAATAAAATAGCCAGGTGCTGTGTTAGTTTATAGTTGTAAATAATGTAGTGTATTGAGTGTTGGTAATAAATAATCTAATATCTTACTAACAGTTCTATTTATCAACATACATATGACAGGCAACAGTAATCTTATAGATCGAATAATTGCAACAATGAGGTGAATATAAGCTCACTTTGTTCTATGGTTAAGTTCTATCCACAATATCAGAATTGAGATTTGCCACTTGTTAACTATTTGTGATTGTGCTTACAAGTGATAGAACACTCAATGAAATAATGACAATATGAGTGGATGCCAACCGAATGATTGCCAAATACAGAAATACCGAGATGATGCAGTTTGGAGGTAAAATGTAGAAAGCAGATCATTGATATCAGTCAAGAAAATATGAAAATTTTGATAGTATTTGTTTCATGATAAGCTCCAACCATCGATGGAAGTTGAGCAATTCTTATGCTGGAACAATATTGCCTTACAGCTTTCCACGGTCTGCCCAAACAGTTTGGTGACACGCTACATGTAGTCTGATGCATATCTATCTTGATTTCGGCTCAAGTCAATGTACCCACACATTCGACTATGCTTAACGTATATTCTATCAGCCTCTTGGGGACTCGTAGTTGTTGGCATTGTTAACAAATATAATGGTATATTCTCGACAAAGCTGACATCAACTAGATCATGAGTTGTCAAAAAAAAAAAGGAGTTCGTCCGTCACACTGCTACAAATTAGAATCAAAAGACACAATTGAAATTACCATCAATGACTTCGATTTTAGTAGACAACAAGAAGTCATTATTATACAGTTAACTGCAATAATTTATTTTGGATCTATCTATTTAGGTCTAGTTTTTTATAATAGATCAGGTAGTCCATCTATTTAAAAAGATGGATGACTTATAAGCTGAACAATATTAGAATAGGATTTTAACTCAGGTCTGTCAGAATAATCCGAAGATTGCAGTGAATGCTCCAAATAAAATGACACACCAATGCTGACTTATTTGATTTCCAAAGATGTTACTATATAATATTGGTATAACTCTGATTCACAACTTCAACAACAGCATTCACACTAAACTAATCTTTTGAATCCAACACAGTGGTTGATACTAAATCTGTATGTTCAAAGTGGTTTGTTTAAATCATAGATAATTCTTATAATTACATTGCAACACACTAATTATTAAATCTTAAAAAATAACCACTTAACTTTTTTTTATTATAATTTTAATCATTTAATGATACTTTATTTTTATTAATAACATGATAAGTTTTGAATAACAATAAATATAATAGGGGGGTGATTCATATGAAGATCCACCACCAAAAAACATTATTATCAAAAATTTACAATGTGTGGTAAATGTAATTTAAAATTAGCTTGAAAAATTCCTAGTTTTGACAAAAAAAACATTACAATCACGTGTTTTATTTATTAAGTGTATTGTTTTTTATCTTCCAAACTTATCAAAATTTTATATCAATTAGAATAATATTTATATTTAACAAAAGAGTATTATTTATCAAGAATTAAAAAAATTATTATTTTTCAATTTATTTTTTCTGTTTCTATATATATCAAATAAAAGAATGATTAATTATAAAAGGATACAATTTTTTTTAATATTTTATATAATTTTATTTTTTGGAAAAATAAATGGTAATTAAATATAGTTGATTTTTAATCAGTTTAGGAATAGTAAAAATATTAATTAAATAATATCATAGGATACCTTGATTTACAGTCAGTGCAAAATGGACCAGACGGAGTGACTTTTACATTGAAAAGCGGATCATTTAGTAATGGCAATTACCTCCACTTGGTTAGAAGCAATATAAAAAAAACGATGACTATTCTCAACCCTACTACAGCTATTGTGCCCTATACATCTGATATTATTAACATAGTTGATAGTTTCCAAACATGTGACTCACCAGATTGTGGATCTTTCCTTCCTCTAACTTGGTATCCTCCATATATTGCCAATATTTCTTCTATCCCAACTCAAGGAGGTATCATTACTGTAAAAGGTATATCACTTCTATCATCACCACCAGGAAGTTCAAAGATCTATTTTCATGACAGGTACTCTCTAAATGAAAGTGATACTAATGCAGATGGAACTGAAATACATTTCAATGCCGATCAGAGCATTATCTCTTTAATCTCTGGTCAAAATATTCCAATTTATCTCCAAATAAGTGGATTTCGAACTCTTACTACGACGACTTATTTTTTTAATCAAAAATATTTTTCATTCCAAAGTAAGTTGTTTAGCTTTAATATATTAGGAAATTATATATAAAAACAAATCTAATGTAAATTAAACATTAATTTAATAGCACCAACAATTTCATTGGTTGAATTTAACAAAGATACCAATCAAATTACAATGACTGGAACAAATTTTGGAGTAAATGGAATTCCATTAACATTGACTTCGAATGGTGGTAATTTACAACCAACTCATTTAATTAATAATACTGTTATTGTTTCAAATGTGAATGCTCAAAACTACTCATTCTCTGGTGATTACCAATATGTTTTGAATGTTGGTTCTCCAAATCCAAATTCAGCAACCTATACTCAACAACTATGTATGTATTAATAAAAAACATATCTTTTATTATAATGTTTTTTATTGAATAATTATTAATCATTCATATTATTATTGTTTAGATCCAGTTGTAACATCAGTAACCTCTACCTCATCATCTGGTGGAACCATTTCAATTTATGGATATAGATTGAATCTTTTCAAACCAAATGCAACTATTTCACAAGTATCAATCATTGTTGGAGGTTATACATGTACTGTATTGACATTGAATGATCCAACAAATTCATTTATTGCATGTTCAATGCCAGCAATTCCAAGTGGTTCAAAGAATTATAATTTATCAGTGGTCGTTAGCATTGATGGAAAGAACTCCAATAGTGATATATTATTCTCTGCTGATCTTCCAAGTGTCCAAGAAGTATCACAGGATAGTGGAAACACTATTATTATCGGTTCATCATTTGGTAATGATACAAAATCAATTGTTTTACATTTCAATGGTAGTACTCCAATGTCACCGATCTCCGTTTCCGACTCGATGTTAACATTTAAATTTCCACCAAACACACCATCTGGTGTATACAATGGAAACACACTGACCAAATTCAACACATCACCAACTGTTCCATTTAAGATAACAATACAACCATACATCACATCAATAACATCACCACCAACACAAGGTGGAATTGTAACAATCAGTGGTCAATATATGACTTCCAACATCCAAGGAAATGAGAATATCACTGTGATTATTAATGATCCCAATTCAAACCTAAACACTCCATGTTCCAATGCAACGAGATTGAATATTACCAGTGTGACCTGTATTGCACCACAAGGAAGTGGGACATCCGTTTATTTGCAACTTCAATTGAATGGTATCAGTGCAACCGTCTTGAGTGGATTGAGTATGGTCTACCAAGCACCAAAAGTATTGTCAGCCACTTCAGTATCACCATACGGTGGAGCGATAAGCATCTTTGGAACCAATCTTGGTTTTACCAATATCGATTTAAAACTAATCACTGTCAGCATCGATAATTCTCGTGATTGTAAAGCCACACAAGTAATCGACAATACTAATATAGTATGTCAATTGAAGAGTGGTCAATTCAACCTTCCACCACCAATCAACTACTTAAATCTTACAGTAACAGTGAATGGACAAACAAGTTTTAATTCAACTGTATTTAAACTAGATAGTAAGTATTATCGTAATAAGTTAAATTAATAAGATATATCCAGAACTATATAACTAATCATTGTTATTTCCTCATATAGACACAGTGTATTATGAACTATTAAATAGAGTTTTAGCAACCGATTATTCAGAGATTGAATATCGCAAACAGAAACTCTATGGAATCATTTTCCCTGCATGTTTATTAGTACCTGTATTAATATGGTCCACTGTAAAGTTATGTCATCATCAAATCTCTTATAAACAAAACTAAATTCTATTAAATGTATTACTAAAGTAATTCACCTTTTTATCTGTTGATCAACTTAATAAAATTCAAAAATGTTTTTTTTTAACGAAATAATTCAACAACAAAAAAAACTTTTAGTATTGTTGTTCATAATATATTAATGAGTATAACAATCAAAGTTCATAACATGTCAAAAAAAAAAGCAACAACTATTACATATATATATATATCAAAGATTCCTCTTACCATTAAAATATAACAATTATTTTTAAAATTCAAACCTAATTAAAGAGAAATAAATTAAATAAAGTTACCAGGGATGAAAAAAGAATTCTGTAGACTTTTCTTCTATTGAGTGATGATCAAAATTAACTTTTTTTTATTTTGCAAAAAAAAAAATCAAAAGATATTTGAATCATTAATAATTATTGTTTGTTGTTAGTTTTATTATTTTTGTTTTTTTTTGTTGATTGCTGATTATTGATTGAGAGCTATTTGCAAATGTACTATTATGGAATAGTACATATTTAAAATAAATAAGAAGATGGTTGGTGGCGATGTGATCACCAACAACAAGAGATGTAAAGAGAGAATCGATGATAGGCACAACATCGATTTCACAAAAAAAGTATCGATAATGCAAAACTTCTATTCTCCAGTGATGAAACCATGGTTTAATATCTGTAGATGTCAATTCGAAGAGCATTTTTGTAAGTTTAAAATATAGAGATATATTACAAATAAAAAGAAACAATTATACTTACTTTTTTTTTTAAAATTTCTTTATCTCTTTAGGAATAATTGTATTGATATATTCTTTACTATATGTTTTTTGTTGGTCTGGCTGTTGGATTGAATGGGTTTGTTTTTATGGTCCTACTGACAGATCCCTAGTGACTTTAATTTGAGATAGTTGAACCTGGGAGTGATCGTGTTAGCCTGATGATTCTCACTTGTATCAGATTCCTCAAGTTGTATATGTGGGAACAACCATTCATCGATCGAGGTGATCCAATTCAAAGAACCAACTCAAAGAGAGTATCGGTACCATACATCTAAATCGAGGTGCATACAACAGATAGTTACTCAAGTAAGATAATAACATCAACACACAAACACTATAAAGATAAATAGAAAACAAACAACTGGGAGTTTATATTTTCAGGGTAGTACCAAATGGAATCGTATTGCTAGCCAAGTTCTCAGTTTGTGTCGCGTGGTGGTTCAGTTAGATGCCACAATTGCATTTACAGGTCTCACTATTTCATCAATACGTCCATTAAAGATGCTTCTGGAGTCCAGGCACCGTTGAAAGTAGTTGCTTCGTCCAAGAGAATCGAAGTATTCCTCCCAACCACCGAGATTCAACGGCATATGATCACTCACATCGGCACCAGTCCAGATATTAGAACTGTAGATGGCGAATTCACAGGGATGATGTCTAGTAGTAGCTAGAAACAGAATAAAGATGAATCAGGTGAACAAATTACAGCTTTCAAAGAGGTAGAGTCAATTGGTGTTATGGAAGATCATTCCAATTCGCCAAAGCTTCTCCTTTCGTTTTGAGCCGGCTGGCAAACTTACAATGATCTATGGAAAAGTTGGAGCAGGCAAGACCCTGGTTAGTGCACTGATAGGAGAGATCTACAAAACAAAAGCAAGTGTTTTCACTACACGAAAGATGGGTTTCATATCACAATCACTTTGCTGATTGGCGCTTCGCTTCGAGACAATATTTTGTTTGGTGAAGAATTCGATGCCGGTCGTCATATCCGCGTGTGTTGGACGTGTGCTTGGCTACCGATTTGACTCAGTTCCCTGCCAAAGACTAAGACAGAGGTTGGAGAGCGTGGACTTTATCTTTCAGGTAGTCAAAAGTTAGAATTGCACTTGCACGAGTGAATCTGGTAAAATAGAAAGCGGTGGCGCATCTAATATTGTTAAAGGTGATACAGTCTCTGGTAATGATGGACGAAGCATTTACAGGCGAGCCAATCTAGATTGGCTAGGTGGTGATGTATACAAGATATCTGGTTGACTCTAGGACGTGGAATAGTAGATTGTTGCTGGAGAACAACAATGGTAGCTCGTACTCTTATACAATAAATGCCTAAACTGATCGAACCAGAGTACCAACTTTTTAAATGGGAGACAAATAAAATGTTGAAATACGTGAATATTTACCTAAACTGCATATATTGAGATGTATTTATTTAATTAGAAATTAGATTTATCACATAATCTTATACAATGGAATCATTTGAACTATTCCTGTGTAATAAACATCACCTATTGAAAATTTGTGTTAAAGAAAAGATAATATTTAGTGGAAAAAGTATTTTATTTTATTTCAGAGTTAACCACGCTATCAAAATCACACTACCCAAAAAGGTATATTTGAACTCTAAAAATTTGAAGAAATTTTAATAGAACAGAGAACGTAATAACACTCAGTTTGGTAACATCTATTCTAATTCCTTTTTTTTAACATTGTCAAAGAATTCTAAAAATTTGTTTTAGTTTATTCACAATGATCATTTTTTTGTTTATTCATTCGAAACCCTATTAAAAATGTGGGTATACATTATGATTAAAAGAGAAAAGCTGAGAAAAAAATAATAATTAGTTGTGGTTAATTTAGTTGGTAGAATGATATGTGATCATAAAGAAAAAATATGATTACCATATGATTGGTTTATAACAAAAAAAATAATAGTGGGTATACCAGTTGAGATGATTTTATTGTTGCCAATCACATGTTAAATTGATTTTACTTAAATTATTAGGGGATTCCATACAGTATTTTTAAAATTCATTTTGTACTAGAAACTATTGAAGGTGTATCAAATTTCAATAGTTTCTACTACGAAACACTGTGTGGTAATCAAGAATTTTTATACAACTACTTTCATTTTAAAAGTATTACAATTATCTAAACTTATTCATAAAATGTGGTAACTTGAATTTATTTTCCTTTTCAGTCATATCTGGTAGTTATTGCACTTCTTAATTTTAAAATGTTGTTGTCGAGTTTTAAACACTTTGTGTTACTCAAACAAAAGAAAATAAAATTGGGTAGATCATGGTATATATATTTTGGTTTATATTTAATGAGTTGTATACTTATTCAACACCTTTATCTTGAGGAGTATATGAAAATTCACACTCATCAATCACTATTACTTTTCGTTCTCAAAGTAAATGTATCACCATTTTTATATATATATTAATATGAGAGAATATATGGTTTTTTTAAAGTATATCTAAAATTTGTTAAAACTCTCACCTCTACATAAATCTTTAAGAGTTAACCACTTTATCAATATCACACTAAAATAAAAATATAATATATAAAGACCTAAAAAGGAATACTTGAATTATTTATCATACACTCACAGAATTTTTTTTTTTTCACTGTGATTTGTTTTTTATTTAAGCAAACCAAAAATCATAATCATAGAAGCTATCACTTTGTTTAATTAATTATTTTTTTCTAAAAATTTCTAATTTCCTTATTTTTTAATTTGTTTTTATTAAATATAACTTCATAAATTTTTATACATTTATTTATCGTTTTATTTTCAAATCTATAAAAAAATGAATCATTTTAAATCCTCAAGACAAATGTATAACCAATTATGGTTCAGAAAAATAAAAAATAGAGTTTATGGAGTACATAAAAAGAAATGGTCATATTTTTTATATGTCAATAGTCTATACAAGTATTTGTTGGATTACGATCCAGATTATACGGAGAATAGTTTTTATGTACAGACATTGGAGTCTATTAAAGAAATAATCGAAAATATTCTAGTCGTTTTGGAGATGTTTAATGTTCCAGCACACTATTTATTTTTGGTTATGTACTTCTCCAATAAATTTGTATATCGTGCTGGAATTACTTATAACCAAATTTTCAACCTGATGATCACTAGCACCATCATAACTCTCAATGATTTGAGAGAGGACTCTACCATTGATATATCTATAATTTCAGATATTTTCAATATACCTGTTGAAGATATCAATATAATGGAGAATATTTTCCTCACTGAACTAGATTTCGACCTTGGCTGGACAATGGAAGAATTGGAGCTTTACAACATTCAAATAGATGATCCCACATCGATTCTCAAACAATCATTGCCACCTCAATTAACCAACAACAATATCAATATGAAATCACAAGAAACAACACCACCTGCTTCACTAGTAACCTCTGCAGTAGAAAGCAACTCTTCTGAAACCCAAGATGTATTGTCATCCGACATGGGAGCACCGTCCAACTCCAATCTGAAATGGCGCTTCCGAGATTTGCCAAAAAAATTAATGAACAAACTCAAATCTAAATAAAGAATTTTGATAAATAAATGGTTGTTAAATGTGAGATGTTTTATTGTTTATTAATAAAGAGCTCTTTTTTACTTTCTTTTATCTCAAAACAACTTATTCTCTCCACAGGGGGTCTGGAATGTGATGATTTATGGTGTAGGAACATTTTTTATTTTATTTTTTTGGAATGTTGTTTTGTGTTTTTGAGTTGGGTTGGAGTTGATGTGTACCACAATCAACTATGGTGCAACTTGCATAGTAACGGAGCTATGGTCGACATGCATGGTAACGGAGCTATGGAGAAACTAGCATAGTAACTGGGCTGTGGTGTGACATGCATAGCAGTAACGGAGCTATGGTGGCACGCATAGTGACGGAGCAAATCTTCTTGATATGTTTGTTTTAAAGTGATTAATTATGTATTTAATTGTTCTATTTATTGTTTTTGCTATGTTATTGTATGCTTTGTTGTTTTTGATCTGTTATTGTTTAAATCATAAAGATTGTTGTATTGAATTTATCTTTTTTATAATCTGAATTAACTCATACTCTAAACTACATTATTTTTGCAAGTGTAACCAGTCTTCTCTGCTTGGCCATTTATATTCGTTCATTGTTCACAAAGCTTTAAAAAGGAGTGATTTGTTAATCTATATACGACTAAAAAAAGCTCCGGTCATCAGGTGGTCGCAAACCGATATACGGCTTTTGATCCTGATGTTAAAAAGCTTTGATAATAGATTAACGTTTTAAATGTCTACAGATAAACTAAGTAACATTAATACTACAACTCTCATACTCTAAACTACATATATTTGCAAGTTTGCTCCAGTCTTCAGTGCTAGGACATTAATATTTGTTCATCAATCACAATGCCTTAAAAGGAGGTTAAGTGTTAATCGAAAACTAACAATTCTCTGTCAGCAGGGTGCCTCCGCTGCATGTTACTACAGCTTTTGGTCTTGTTGTTCAAAGCTTTTATAATAAATTAACGTCTAAAAATGTCTACAGATAAAGAAAGTAAAAGAAGAACAAATTAAAATTTTAAAAAAAAAATTCGCCATTCGAACATACTTTAAATTTTTTTTTGCTGTTTTTGCTACCTCAATAATAACGTTACAGGAAAGAGCTAGTTTGTTTTTAAGAACAATTTTAGTCTAAATTAAATTTAATTAAGTCTAATAATATAAATAGATTAAAAGAACAGAGTACAAAATAAAAGAACCTGAAAACAGTCAGGACAATATTAATATTGTTTTTTATTATTTACAACCTTTTCATCTATCTTTGCAGTTGCTAAAGTTAAATCTGGTACAGTACCAAAAATAAATACACTTCAGAACTATCTTATAATTTCGAAGCATGCAAGCTTATAATATTTTTGTGTCCTCAATTTTTGAAAGTACTGCAACTCATCACAATCTTCTTATAGTTTATCTCTTAATTCAGAGTATATGCTTAGTCTATTCTTGTTTGACATTTTAATTTATATGTATTGTTCTTACTAATAAAAGTTAGAATCTCAATTAGATTACATAATCATTTGTCAAGACTAACTCTACCAATGGAGGGACATCATCGACTTCAAAACTAAATTCACTTACGCAATCAAGTGTATAATCTTTGCTTTTGATGATTAGTTGCATCAGTAAAAGCAAAGATATTAAACCATTATATACTGCCTAAACTATTCCTTTGTTTTACAAACCATGTATAGCAATATTCATCATATCACCAAACATTAGTGATTAAAGAAACTTAGGTTTAATATGTTATTGAAATTGTTATTTAATACTGTGCCAAAGGATTTTGTGTATGTAACATTTGAAGTTTAATTTAATTTTTTAGGGTTAAATTTTGTGCTTTGTCATTTTTTTAAATCATCTTTAAAGAGGAGGAGAAGTGGGTGATTTTAATTTTTTTTTGATTTGAAGTTTAATAACAAAACACTACATTACAAATATTAATTTTTTTATTTTACATAAAAAAAGTTTGTACATTTTATTTCATTATTTTAATGCTATTTTTTTGAAAAAAATTAAAAATAAAAACCTTTGTACAATCAAGAATTTACTCCCTCTCAAAAACTAAGAATGGTTAGTTTGCTTATTAAAACAAATTGCTTTAGATCACTAAATTTTTTTTCCCTCTTTTCTAGGCATGCCATTCTTCGACAACAACCACTATTTCTTCTACACCAGTTTGGTCCGTCCTAACAGATCCCAAAAACAATATTGAACCGATACACCCTCCAGAAATAACGCACCTGAAGAAGTATGAATATTTTTTAATTTATTGTTTAAAAATATTAAATACTTATTAATATCTATTAACAAACATATTTATTTATAAATAGCCTTGTAGAATCAATAGGATAAATTCTACTCCAGAATGTCATATTGGTCCTACAGGAAAACCGGTATGCAAGGCCTGTGCCCTCAAGATTATCAAACAAAAGAGAAGAAGTCGGTATCAAAATATAGTAAATCAATTTGATTGTTTAAATTTTACTATTTTTTTGTAAAAGATATATTTTTGGGGAAATAAATAGATTTTAAAATTTATAGATCTATTTAAACTGTTTCTTTAGAAAGTACCACCATCAACATTGTACAGTTAGATATATTTCTCTATACCTAGTTAGCGGGTGTTCCAGAGAATTCAACAATCTACAATTGAAAAATTGATTAAATTAGTTCAAAAGATATTACTTTTCCTAAAAAAATTTAGTTTTGTAGGAACAATAACATTAATTAATAAAATACCTTAATTCTATAATAATATATTTAATTTGGTAGTTTCTCATTGATCAGTTGAATATTATTTTTGTTCAACATTTAATGAAGAAAACTTTTTAGTTGAGAATTCATTCATTGATTAAGCTTGGAATCATCTCAGTAGAATACATCCCTCCTATCATTCGATTTATATTTCTACTTATAAAACTTATAAAACTACAAAATAAGTTCAGAATGTATCCCATCGGTTATGAATCAATCTATTGAAACACTCTATAATAAATAAAAGTATATTTTTTAAATGTGGTTCCTTTGTTGTTATGCACTTGAAATTATTTTTGATGTTGTTTATATCAAAACATCTTTTTCCATCTTTTCCAACATCATTCTTTTTAAATATATTGAATGGATGTTTTTTTGTTACTGAACTATAACCATGTTCATAGTTCCATTTCATTTTTTTTATTCATATAAATTTGATCTTCACAAAGAACTTAATCATTTTTTACAATTTTTAAAAAACAGAAGTGACTACAGTAACAACAAAAAAAACAGATGAAACATCACCTCAACTATAATAATATATTTTAAAAAAAGATAAATAATCGGTGGCAGTATAAATAAATTTTATATTATTTCAGAATTAACAACGCTATCAAAATCACACTACCCAAAAAGGTATATTTGAACTCTAAAAATTTGAAGAAATTTTCATTGAACAAAGAATTGAAAACACTCAGTTTGGAAACCCCTATACTTAATATAACACAAATTACCTTGTTTTTTAACTTTGCAAAAGAACTTTAAAATTTGTTTTAATTATTCGCAGTGATCATTTATTTATTCATTCAGTTGATTGCAATCTTAGAGAGAAATGTTTGAGGAAAAATTTGTTTTTCTCTCAATAGACACATTCACTCACTTCAATATTATTTGGTCTTAAAATTTGATCTTCATACAAAGAACTGAATCATTTTTTAAAATTTATAAAAAGAAGTGCCTACAGTAACAACAAAAAAACACATATGAAACATTACTCCACCTATAATAAATTTGAGTTTAAAAAATTAGTGGTAAAAAGATAAAAAATTGGTGGTAACAGTATAAATAAATTTTATATTATTTCAGAGTTAACCACGCTATCAAAATCACACTACCCAAAAAGGTATATTTGAACTCTAAAAATTTAAAGAAATTTTTACAGAGAAGAGAACGTAATAACAATCAGTGTGGTAACATCTGTTCTAATTCCTTTTTTTTAACATTGTCAAAGAATTCTAAAAATTTGTTTTAGTTTATTCACAATGATCATTTTTTTGTTTATTCATTCGAAACCCTATTAAAAATGTGGGTATACATTATGATTAAAGAGAAAAGCTGAGAAAAAAATAATAATTAGTTGTGGTTAATTTAGTTGGTAGAATGATATGAATTCATAAAGAAAAAATATGATTACCATATTTTTGGTTTATATGACAAAAATATAGTGTTCTCAGTGTAATTATTTACTTTGAAGTTTAATTGCAATCTTGGTGTTTAATGAAAAAATATTTCTTCTATTGATCATAAGTATATAAATACTAACAATTTCACTCATATATGATTCATTAAAATATTGTATTTGTTATTATTATTTTGGATACATAATTCGATTATAAAATTTATATTTAATATTATTTCTATTCATTTTTTATAATATAAAATTCTTTTCCGATATAATAATATGTCTTCTGTCAATCAAAGAAAAAGATTAGGATATCAAAAAATGTTCAAAACCATTTATGATAAAATCTATGGAGTACAAAAATCTACTAGGGAGTATTATGTTCTGGCTCACAGAGTGTACGAGTGGTTGTTGGTTCACGATCCAAACTATACAAAAGACTATAACTATGAGACTGTATTGGAAGCTATACAAACAATATTTGAATTCATTCTTGGTCTCTTGGATATGTTCGAAGCGCCACCTTCTCTGTTGCGTACAGTGATCTACTATTCAGAAAAATATGTATCCAAAGTTGGAATAATTCATAACGAAATATTCAATTTGATACTAATGAGCACCATTGTATCTCTCAAATTCTGGCCAGAGAATATCTATGTAGAAAATATCATTTTCGCAGATATTTTCGAAATCCCTAATAAAGATATCAATATAATGGAGCGTAATTTCCTGACTGGAGTTAACTACCACCTGAATATCAAGGAGGAAGACGTCAATTCTTTTTTGTCTTCAATCGACTATGAATCAAAATCATTGACGAAGAAATTAACCAAAATAACAACATCATCGTACCCAAATCCAACACGACATTTAGTATCTTCATACAAAAAAGCACCACCCAGCTCCAATCTGAAATGGCACTTCCTCAGTGATTGGCGCAAAAAACAAATGATCAAACGTAAACAAATTGGATACTTTTTCAAATATAATAAATAAATTGAAGATAAATTGATTTATATTAATATTTATATTTTTATTAACATAGAATGCTCTTTTCCACTTTCTTTTTCAATGTTACTTTTTAAAGACTGTCACTTTTGTGTATTAGAAGCATACACCAATTTGTTTTTGTTAATATATGATTTGAGCTGAATAATAAAAGAAAAATTATACCAATTAAACATTTTCAAGGTTTAATTTTAAGAAAACAAATAATTACTACTTGATATTCATCCACCTTGTCGATGAGTTGAATCTTAAACATTATTAATATTCTTTGGTGTGACAACGAACCAAAGACATCTGTTGAACTCGACAGAGTTGACGGAATCGATTTTGGTATATTTATAGGAATTTAAAGAGTGCTCCAATATTGTAAAATCCTCCTCCAGCAACAACAAAAGTTGGTCGTCGGTCAAGTGAAGTGCGTTTTTTGACGTATTATGATAGTAGAGTGGACCATTGTTGATCCATATACCAGATGGTTTTAATAGCATCTTACAGTACTTGACTAGATGAACGATATCAGGCACTACATCAACAAAAAAACTTGTACATATACAGTCTAATGACGAAGGAACCTTGAACTTTCGGAAGAAGTTTCCATGTTCAAATTGAAGATTGATTCCATTCATATCTATTTTAACATCTGGTATTTTAATTTCTTTCATCTTATACAAAATAAATTATTAATATTTATAATAATTTATAAACATAAATGGTAAATGTAAAAAATATTTTAAATCTTGTATTATTATACTTACAATTGATTGAGTATCACTTAAAAGTATTATTGGAATGAATAAAAGGTTTGAATGAAAGTGTATTGATTTCTAAAGGTTCATCTCTTAATTTTAGATTGACAGTAGTTAATAAAAATTGATTTTTATGATAGGTATTATAATAACAATATTATTAATATTTACTTTATAAAAATAGATTTAAGAGCAACTATTAAGAACATTGACATTTCATTCTGTACAGTTTCAAAGCCTAATTTCGCTATTTCATAAGCTAAACGACCCATACCACCACCTGGACATACAATCTTTATCTTATTTCTAGACTTTTCATCTGGGTACAATCTCTTAAGACTCTTTAAAAATGGTATATAGCATTCTCTTTGAGAAATTCCCTAAATAATATTAAGCATAGTTAAAATGTAATAAGTTGTATGGTGTTAAAAAAAATAAATTTAATTTGTAGATCATTTTAAAATTATATAAACTTACGTCAGCTGACCAATCTCTAATAAGTAATAATAAAAGATTATACAATTTATAAATGATGTCTTTTGTTGTCCAGATATTTGAGTTTGGGCTATCTGAGGTATCAGTAGACGTTTTGATGACTGCTGTTGTTGATACATCTGTAGGTGCTGTTGAGGTGATAGTTGTCTCCTGTACTACTTGTTGATCATCCTCTGATAATGGTGACGATTCGTCTTCACTCGATGATTGATTATCATCTCTTGACCTAGGATGATAATAGCCTCTATCATATCTCATACATATCCATTTCAGAAACTGTTTATTAACTTCCACAGAATCATTGATTAACTTTATCTATAAATATAATTGTTGTGTTAATCGAATTTATACTTAATGAATGTTTAAAGAGAATTGAACTTTGAACTTGATTCATTACTCTCTCTCTCTTACCTACCAAGTTGTTTGAATTAGGATCACACTTCCCGTCTATTCGAATGAATTTCGAGTAGTGTTGATCGTAGACCAAGAAAAGCTCTAGTATTTCCTTCTCTATAATAAAATTGATAACAGGATTGTCATCTTCATCATCGCTTTCCTCCCAATCCGAAGTTGTGGAGTCTACAGAATCTTCACTGTAATCATCGACATACAACATAACAGGAATTGACATCTTAGATCAATGCATTCACATTGACCATAGTTGAACTGTTAATGGTTTTTTGAAATTACAAAGCAACAGATTTAATTTTTTTTCTGCCAGGCAAAATTTAAAACAGATAGGAAATTGAGAAAAAAAAAAAAAAAAAAAAAATTTTTTTGCAAGGTTTTAACTAAATACTTCGAAATTCATTTTTTCCTTTTTTTTAAATGGTCGATTATTCAATTTTTATTATTACATTATTTATTTTATTACCTTAATTCATTTGTGCTACTTAACTTAGAGGGTTTAGAAGTTAACTCCTCTACTTAAATGCTTCACTACGATTAGTAGCTCTTGTACAGAATCCAACTTAGTTGGCCTCGCTGTACAAGAAGTCTTTTAGTAAGAAACTCACGCTATTGCTTGACCTCATCTTATTAAGAGTAATGGGCTATCGATCAGAAATGCAACAACACGTTAAGCCCAGTAAAAGTGATTGGGATCTACTTAACCAGATATTTAGTTTAGAATATGAATTAATAGACAACAATTCTGATCAATCTAAATTAGATAAACTAGTATCTAAAAAGAATCAACAGATAATCCACTTACATATTATTCAAATAAGTTTAATATCAACCCACGTTTGGTTTCAATTAGCATAATCATACCAAAAAGTTCCAAAATTTTCTTTAATTGTATTGTAAGTCATTTGTATAATAACTATAAACAATAAATTAAATTAGTCAATCTAATAATTAAAATTTAACTTTTCTATAGAAAAGACCTATCGACCAAATTGACAGTTTGAAATTAACCAACCTTTGTGAACAACTCATCAACAACCTTGCTTTGAAACGCATACAGCAAATAAGAGACACAGGCAAACACCAACAAATAGCAACCCAGCAACAACAACAACAAATTACAAATATACAATCACCTTCTCAATCATCTACACCATCATCAACACTATCCTCTTCAACATCATTACACTCATCGAATAACTATATAGTTAGAGCATCACCCAGTAAGTAACTTATATAAATATATATTACAAACATTATCTAATGATATTCATTATTATTATTATTATCGTCAACTATAGTAGAACCAATCTCTGCACAAGATGACCCACTTCTCAAAAATAATACCACTAGTGGTACAATATATAACATCGCTTTATCCGATATTAGCAGAAACCAGGAAGTTATCATCAGTTCAGCTCAATTATCAACACAACAAAACAACTACCAAATCATTATCTATATCAATTCAATATCTTTTGTGAATAATAATATAGATAAGATCAATGACCTTCAGACCAAGCTCAACCAGTCAGAGATTGAGATCAATCGATTACAATCAATTATTATGGATATGGTGCAACATTTTATAGATAAGAGAGAACAATCTGACCGGGCCCTATAGGAATACAAGATGAAATGTAGATTATTAGAATGTGAAATTGCCAATCACCAAAAGACTCTCGATGTATACCGTACCGATTATGACCAATTAAAAGAAATGATCGAAACAGAAGAGCTTACTACCAACTATTCTTCGTCCACTTCTTCATAAAACCCACCATCACATTTCAAACAACTAAAGTTCCAAGAACTACAATGTAACTTGTCTACAACAACAAATAAAAAAGCTATCAATAATAATAATAGTAATCATAATCAGATGGAGATAGACTTTGATAAAAAACAAATAGCTGAAGTATATATTTTATAAATAATATATAAATTTCAATTTTATTAATCTTTATTTATTTAATTCAAACTAAATAGGATTTACAAAAGAGATATCGATAGACAGGCTATTAATATTATTTTCACAACCAGTTTAATATTGTTGCTCAGATACAATCACATATAGATAGATCACATCGACATCCAACGTTATTCTTCATCCATTTAACATTATATAACAACAACAACAGCAAAAACAAAATTCGCAACACATCCTGTATTCACGATGGAGATTATCAAGTTTTTGTTGTCAAACTTACCAACTTCTATCTGGAAATTTATTTAATGTAGCTGCTCTCAATATCTCCTATAACATAGTATGTTTGAATCTAATATCTTATCTATCTATATATCATACATGAACTAACTTTTTAAACTAAAAATAGGATGGATTGTACAAAGTATAAGGATACCAGAAAAGAAAAAAAAATGATCATTTAAACTTATTTATAATAGTATGTGCTATTCAATTATTCCCTAGAAGAGATTAAGAAATAAAATAAGTATTTTTGTTTAGTTTGAAATATAATATAATCATAAACAATTATCAACGTGCGCAGGTTCTTGTGGATTCAGTAAAAAACATCTATAACTTCGAACAAGGTTCAGTAACAACCGAACCATAGACAAACTGTTTAATGGAGTGATGGTTGGTTACTGGATCTGCACTTCAACATTCCAGGTCTATAAATGTATTTAAAATGTATAATAAAAAAATTTATTTTGTTAAAGTTAAACGGTTATTCATATGCAATTAAAAATTATATACATGATACAAGTATAGAATGAATGTAAAGAATAAAGAGATGAGTTTAAATACTGGGTGTCATGAGCCACGACTCTTGGTTTTACTGTGGACAGTACAGAAACTGGAGATTTGGATAGGTTTCCTCCACCTCGTTGTTGTCAATATGATTCTCTGAAGGTTTGTAGATCTTCTTGGCATAAGTTAAAAAAGGTCCGATAGCATATTTTGTAATGGGTCGGTATTTCGATTTAACTATGGCATATCCACTAGCTTTATTGATGTTTGTATCTCTATTCAAGTCAAGGAATCTGAAATGGTTGTGAAAGATGATTCTTTTGATCTTTTTTGATTTCGACGCAACATTGATTGTGGTCGACAAATCAGATCCTATATCAAGAGTTTCGATGGTATTATTGTTTTCCAGTAATAGACTGACCCATTGATGCTTGTCAGAGGTATACAGAGTACGCACCTTGCATTGAGGTGAACACAACAGTTTCAACAACATTTTGATAGTTTCGAACTGAACAAACCATACAATGAGTTTGGTGATATAGTTGAGTTGATTTTGAATAAAATTTATTTCTGATTTTCCGATTATAACGACACTAAGAGTTTCAAGCTGGGTGTTATTACTCAGGATATTATAGTTTCGGTCGAATAACACCTGCAATTTCAACTTGCGAATAGAATTTCTGATACTATCAGGTGGCATTCGAATTTTGTACACTCTTATGTTTGAAATGTCAAGTGATGTAAGATTTGGTAGTACCTTTAACAATTCAAATACTTTTATATTGTTGATCTTGATTTGATTGAGTGATAGTGATTCTAAATTCGGCATATAGTTAATTAGCATATTACAATGTTTAATTTTGAAATACTGCTCTTCATTGTGAATTAAATTGAACTTTCTAACACTGTTAAAGATCAATCCTAATTCAACGGGTGAAAAGGTTGATTTATAAGTAGTTGTAAATTGATTGAAAGTTTCGAGTGGTATTGTTAAATTTGTTATATTTTTGACTACTGAAAAAGGATTGATTATAGAGTTCATGAGTTCATATGCTATACTTTGACTAGAACCAGGCTTTAAAAGTGATAATCGATTGAACATTGATGATATCTGGTGGAATATCTGTTTGGAAACCATGGCAATAGAGAGAACCCATCGGTATTTAAAACAAGTATTATGAGTGCCCAAATCGATATCATTATGCCAGACAAAACGTATAATTTGAAAGATGATCAAAGTTGGCAATAGATATTGAACAGTACCACGATGATAGTTTTCCATTGGGTTGTTTTTAAGTTTTGATTCTACAAATGCGATATGTTGTTGATATTTGGTGATATCTTTAATAAGCAAATCTTTTCTAAAATAAGTATGTTTCAATGAAAATGTTTTCATTACATTGACAAGCTCTTTTGTTGTCATTTTTTCAAGTTCATCTTGATTATATATTCTATATTTGCTAATTATCTCTTTTATTGTCATCTCTTTTTATTAGTATATTAATAAAAATAAAGAGCAAAAAAAATAAAGAAAAGTTTTTGTTTTGTTTTTTTATTCTTCAGAGAGAAATGCTACCATATCATATTCTAATCAACCCATTCCCACTATTTTAAACAATCCTTCTCATTAGAATCACTAATTATGTTATTTCATTTTATAAGTTGGGTTTTTTTTGTATTCTCGCATTATTTTTGCAAAATGCACACAAAAGCAATGCAAATGTTAAATTTAAATTTTTTTTCATTTTTTGGGAGGGATAAAATGAAATTACACACATCCTTATACTCCTAAATTTTGCCCACAATCCATATTAATATTTTTTTGATTTAATTTTTATTTATATTTTTCATCATATATAATGGTAAATATTATTTTAGTTCCATTGATTGTGAATAAAGTATAATTGTAATTTATAAGATAATCTGTTAGAGCACCACTATTATTTTTAGCTCCTTTGCTAACAATTGGTGAATGAATTTAACAAACCCCATTTAAAATTGTTTGGAATTTAAACAAACATAAAAAATGAAAATAAAAGAAAAAATTAAAATGGTGTTTGTTAAATAAATTTTTTCCCCCCCCATCCACGGCACTTTAACAAGATAATAAACATATTACACTTCAATTGACTACCAACTTCTATCTCAACCATACCAATGAGCATCCACAACACAACTATCATGCCAATATAATAGAGCTTGGTGACGAAGTTTCCACTCCGCTCTCAAAAAAGCAAGGTTCACTTCATTCAGCGATACCACTGTAGTCCAGTTTGATAACTAGCTCTAAATCAAAACTGAAAAGCACTAGATCGCCGGATCAATGTGCCATCATTTATGCAAACACTTAATAAGCGAGGCATTACAAGCATATGAACAATATCAATTTACATCGAAATAGACAACAACAATATGTACATACAATTACAAACAATTATCTATTATTAAAATTAGCAACGACAACCAACAACATACTCACCATAGTTTTGAAGATGATATGAAAAGTTTGAAAAAGAATGTAGAAAAGAACTCTATGGTATGACAACTCGTATAAAAATATAAATAATAATAAATAAATCAATAAAACTTCAAACTAAAATTTATTTATATTTTAAAAAGTATCCAATTTGTATACCTTTGAACTTTAGTTTTTTGCGCCAATCACTGAGGAAGCGCCATTTCATATTGAAGCTGGGTGGTAATTTTTCGCTGGATGACATTGTATGTTGTATTTGAGTTGTATACGATGGTGGTATTACTTGTGGTGTTATTACTTCTGGTGTAGTTACTTGTGATATCATATTGAAATTATTGTTGTTGGTTAATTGAGGTGGCAATGATTTTTGGAGAATGGATTTGATGTTGATTGAAGACAATAAAACTTGGACATCTTCCACTATGATTTTAAATTGGTATTCGATTGTAGTGAGGAAATGAAGCTCCATCATATTTAAATCTCGAAGTGGGATTCGGAAAATATCAGCTACTATATAATTCTCGACTTGGAAGCTCTCTGACCAGAACTTTAGAGTAACTATGGTGCTTACTAACAATAAGTTGAAAATTTCGTTATAAGTGATTCCAGCCATTGACACATAGTGATTTGCGTAATAGTATACAGTGCATAGATGAGAGGGTATAGTATCGAACATAACCAATAAACCAAATATTTTTTCAAAGGATCCCGTTATTGTCTCCAATACACTCTGGAAGTGTAAATTTTGTATAGAGTTTGGGTCGTGATCCAACAACCAATCGTATACACCATGGGCTAGTAGAAAGTACTCCCATTTTCCCTTATGTATTCCTTTTATTTTACGGCATATGGTTTTGAACCTTAGTTGGTATTCAGATCTTTGAAATTGAATAAGAAAAGACATTTTAAATATAAATTTTATAAAGATTTATATTATTTAAAAACAGGAATTTTATTTATGAATTAATTTAAATATAGTTAAATATAAAGGATAAAATATATTTTAGAATTATTATTAAATATATATTTAATAAATAACAAATGATTAATGAATCAAATAGAGAGAAATTTTTAATATTTATAATTATCCTTTATGATATGAAATTTTATTATTATTTGTTGATTCAACACCAATTTTTTTTTAAAATTAAACTTCAAGGTTATTAGTTAATATTTTGTGATTTATACCAAGAATATGGTAATCATTTTTTTTTTATAGTCACATCACATTTTACCTACTAATTTCTCTCAAAATTTTTTCCTCAAACATTTCTCTTTTTATGATTGCAATCAACTGAATGAATAAATTAATGATCACTGCGAATTAAAACAAATTTTTAGAGTTCTTTGGCAATGTTAAAAAAAAAGGTAATTTCTGTTATATTAAGGATAGGTGTTACCAAACTGAATGTTATCAATTCTTTGTTCAATGAATTTTTCTACAATTTTATACAGTTCAAATATACCTTTTTGAGTAGTGTGATTTTGATAGCGTTGTTAACTCTGAAAAAATATAAAATTTATTTATACTGTTACCACCAATTTTTTAAAATATATTATTCTAGTTGAGGTGATGTTTTATTATTCTCATATTTATTTAACAACTCAATAATATTTTATAAAATAAAAACTTTTGTGTTGAGCATTAAAAAGTAAAAATGATCAAATTCTTTGTGTGAGGAGTTAAAATTTTTATTTGATCAAAACAAATGGTTGGAAAAATATAGGTTCATGATTATTATCAATACTCTTTTCTTCAGTATTGTTAGGGTTTATCTAAGGGTAATTTGTAGTGTATATAGTAACAACAAATCAACACCAACATCTATTCAAATTATATTACTAAAAAGGTAACAAGATGATAAAAGAAGTTTTGATATGAACAATATCATTGTTTGGAATCAAAATAATTTCAAGAGCTTGCAATAACAACAAAGAAAAAAATATTTAAAACATTTAAATTAGCAACACATAAAAATAAATTTAATTTTATACATATGGTGCTTCAATAGTATAATACATATCTCATTGGATAAATTGATCAGTAACATGTTTTGGGGTTTCAATAGAAATGATAGGAGTGATGATTTTCTAATTCATTTCTTAGTATATACTAAGAAATCATATATAATCTCATTATGTAGCTACCATGTGGTAGAATTGGAAAATAGGCACTCCTATTATTATGTGTAATAGGTGATAAATTAGATGCCTTCTACAACAATACAGATAATCAATTATATATAGCTTGAACAATGATTGAAATCTCAACTAATAATTGAATGATACTGAGGAAGATTCCAGAAGGTTCAACAAAACTTCTCTATACTGACTAATTTATTTACTCTTTGGTTCACTTTCAAGATGAATCAAAAAGAAAGTAATAAAAAAAGGTATATTAATTGTTTTATTTTATAAAAAAACTCACAGTCTATTCTATCATAGGAAATATTGTTTGTCGCACTCTTTCTTGCTTTGTTTTTCGATCTATTAAAATATAGACAAATCTTGCAACAACTCGTGGTCTGGTAGGTGACACAAACAAATGTGCAGACCATTCCACCATCTACGAGTTACCCCAAGAGACTAGATAGAATATACGTTAAACATTCTATAGTATCCGGTGGTTGATCAATTTTGCTTCGCCTATCTCCTACTTCTCGTAGAAGGTCTCCCTAGTAGTTCAAAGTAATGCATTGTTGATATGACCGCCAAAAGCTGCACTACTTGTTGCGTTGGCTCACATGTTTTTCTCTATTAATTTATAAAACGTACTCCACTGTTCATCAGAGTCATGTATGCAGCCATTAATTGGTATGGTGGGTATTGACTTAAGCAGCAAACAAGAGTAGATATGCTTCTGACTACATGTAGCGTGTCACCAGATAACTGGTTGGGCAGACAATGAGCAGTTTGAAGGAAGTTTACCAACGGTCAACTTATTTCATTGAGTTAATATGATATATTAATACTACAAACCAATATATTACATACCTGGAGTGTTAAGATTTGGTTGGATCATACAGATTCACAATGATCTCGGTGATAGAAGCCGTATCATTGACCATTGATTATCAAAATCCCATCTTTTGAGGAGTTTAAAGATCATTGAATGTTAACTTTTGGGTCGAGACCATCAGGAGAAAAGCTGTGCAAGAGAATCGTCAGTATAGTCTTAGGTGTCTGACTGTGTGGAATCGAGACGTCTTTGTTACTGTTAACATATAGATTGACGCAGTTACTACAATGAGTAAGATCTTCTCCGAGAAAAAGTCGGCACGAGTATAACCTTAATTAAAATTAATCTACACTACTTTTTTATCATTTATTAAAAATAAATCTACTATAATAATTTCATCCTATTAGTTTCTTTTTCATATTAATTGAGCACCAGAGCTCGATATATTATTTTTTGATTTAATTATTAATTCTTGTCATCATACCATTGTAATTTCACTTTTGTTTTTATTTTAAAGAAATAATTTTATAATCATATTACAAGATACCACAGTACTTAAACAATAAATTTATTTAACAAACACCATTTAAAAAAAGTGTCTTCCATCACACATCATTTAAAAAATGGGTGAAAGTTTAATTGATTTCCAAACAAAACTTGTTAGGCTCTTGCTTGTAACCATAAATCGAATAAAATAAAAAACCACTAAGATCACATTAACCCCACTAATTTTTAATTATTTCATTTTTATTAAAATTAATGCGCAGGCGAAAGTTGTTGGGAGCCAGTTTGTTTTGTGATAGAAAAACTTAATTAATTCAAATTTTACTTTCAGTGCACCAGTGTCTCAATAATAGTAATTGGAACCAAAATGAAATACATTGAAATCGATAAACAAACTTATATTATAGGTGATTAAAAAAGAAATTAATCTACAATAAACAATAAAATTTATATATAATATAATTCTTAAGTCTTTTTAAATTTGTTGTAACAAAATCAGTAATACTTTTGAATGACAGATGAAATTTTAAAAAAAAAATTATTAAATGAATGTTTGAACTTGTTTATGATTGGTTCTTTTCAATTTCAAAATTGGTTTAATTCGATGTGGTATCACTAATTATTTTATACTACATTCATGGCCCACATTCTAATTAAAATTCATTTTAGACATTGAGATAAAAATGAGATATAAAAACTTTATACAATATACAAATATTTTTTACGATTAATAATTATAAAAACAGGTTACTATTGTTAAACACACCACACAATCATATTGTGTTAAAATGATTGAGCATTAAACATATTAGTATATGTGGTTTTTACCACCAAGTTTGAATTCAAAATGTGATTGAATTAAACCAGTATATATATATATATATATAATAAAATTATTGATGGTGTTAGTGAGTTTATATGAATTTATAAATCTTTGTATTTTAAGCCTAATATATACAATTAAATCTCAAGATAATCTCATTTAACATTACCATTTAATATTAAAATATAAAAGCATACTAATTTCAATAGAAACAATGAAATAAGAACAAGAACAGAACATCAAAAGTAATCAAATACTTTAATATAATTTAAAATTTCTACAATATTATAAGATAATTTATCTTTACTTTTAAACTAAAAAATACAAATAATAATGGTAATTACCATTGGAATCATTATTTTTTATTTATAGATTTCTAATTAAGTTTAATTTTCATTAGTTAAAAAATAAAATTGTTCCACCTTTAAATTTAAGTTTGCTTGGAAATGTTAAACCTGCTCTAGATAATAATAACATTAATAATAATAATATTAATAGAATGGTTGATGAAAACCAAGCCATAGCACCTCCTACTCCAAGAAACTCCGATAATGAATTTTTTCAAACATTTGCAAATAAACTATTGATTTGAAAGGTGTTGGGATTTCCAAAAACCTTGCTTAATAATTATTAATTTGTTTTGGTTATGTTATTGTTTTTTGTAAGAGTATGATACAACATTGTTCGTTGGTGCTATCACCTTAGCTAAGCATATTGTTTTGTTGTGGTTATGTTGATGATTATTATGATAGCATACGAGATTAGTATAATATCAACAAAACTTACATACGATATCGCGACTACTATCGATCATTACTTCTTTGATTGTTCTGTCGTTAATGATAACAATTGGTTAATAAAGGTCAAAAATTCCTATACTAAATAATATGGTTACAATTAACTTTATGTATTTAATCATACACAGTCGCCACCCAAGTTCCATGCAAGATCATATATTTATATTGTGTACTTACGTTTTAAGAACAAATAGCAAGGACAGCAAATTTAATCTTGGTTATACGGTGAAATTGGGTATCATTCGCGAAATGAGGGTAGATATCTAATTATCTGGATGGATAAGAGAGTATGAATTAAAAATAATTATAACAAATCTTAATGTAAAATATATTTGATAGGAAGAGAAAGAACAATATAAGCAGAAGCAAAGAAGCAAGACAATAAACAAGATAAGAAACAATTTAAGAAGAAAGAAAAGCTTGAAGTGAGAAGGAATGAAAGAAACACATCGCAAAAAAATAAAATAAAATATTTAATATTGTTCTTACTTACTGTTTTCAAGTTCTTTTACTTTTCATCTTTAATCTATACATATACATATACCTAAAACATTTGCATCTGATCTGATGATCAAATTTGCAAATGAACAAATGATCACTATTAAAAGTGCTAAAAACAATGGATTTTTGTTGTGAAGCTTAAAAGAAATATTTAACTTAATTTATTTTTTATTATTAAAAATTGTTTATATTAAAAAATTTTATTTTTACAGATGATATTACTATTTGAGAATAATACTTTGATTTCATCAACTTATAATTGGGAATTTTATAGACCTATTTTTAGAGGGTGATTTTTGTCGAGAGAAGTGTACAAAAAAGCCAAAAAATGACCAATTCTCAAGAAGTTCAATTGAATTGTTGTTCGATCTTTCTCGATTTCTTCGAAGATATAATGAAGTAGATAGATTCTGTCCCTTTCTTTGATAATGTAGTGATATAATTCAAGTACATTGATAACTTCTCCCATTTGGTGACGTCGTTGTTTTTCAGCTACATATGATTTTAAATTCCCCAATCCAGTTTGAATTTCAGCGTAGACTATACGAGCTTTTTTGAAATAGTGTTCATTGATACAATTGTTGTTTTCCAAATAGATTCTTAATTTATCTACTGGTTGAAAGTAATGATTTCTATGTAAAGATGTACATTTTATACATAAAAAACTATTACAATTCAAACATAGAATATTCTCCTCTATTTTATGAAAAACACAAGATTTCATTGTTGTTAATATTTTTTATTTTTTTTTAAATAGAAATAAATTGTTAATGTTGAAATTAAATAATTTTTATTTATTTTTTATTTGAGATTTGATAATATTACGAATTAAATAGTAATTTTTTGATTGCTTTTTAGTGAGAAGTTAAAAAATTATTCCATTATTACTTAAAATAAAACAAAAGCTCAAAGTAGAGCATTGAATATTTATTAAAAAATGGGTGTGTTTTTTTATTATTATATATTTTGATATGATAACAAAATACCTACAGTATTCATACTTCAAAAAATACCACCAAAAATGAATATAAGTGATACATTTTTTCTAGATGATACATAACACAAAAACAACTACTCCCATACGATTAAATACTTCTAGTTCATTTTTAAATTAATACCTTGTCCAACCAATGTGATGGTATTTTCGGCAATTTGACTCAAATTTAAGATTAAATGATTTAGATTTCATATGAAAATCTAAAATAAATCATTGATAATATTATAAATTTTATTAAAAATTAAAGAGTGATTAAAATCAATTTTTCCATGAGATGATACAAAGTTTTATTTGAGATCAGTGATTTAAATTTTTTTCATTTCTCTATGCAAAACTAAAATAGGAAAGTGTTGAAAAGAGGTTCATATATATATTCATACCTCTTTCATATTCAACATATATGAGGAATATTTAAAGAAGATGAAGAGACATAATTGTAAAATAAAAACAATTTCATATATTCAGTGGTTTAAAATAATTTTATTGTTTTAAAATACCCCACTCTTTATTTTATGTTTTGAATCAATATAACCATTTTTAATAAATCCAGTTTTTATAATGACAATAATATGAAATGATGGGTATTAATAAATTAATATCTCTAAACTTTGAGGTATTTATTAAGATTTCTGCTCTTATGATTATGAATAAATCTCTACAACATGTTACAGTTAAAGTTTCCTTTTTTGGAATTATGAATATATTATTGATAATCATGTGGTTAACTCTGAAGAAAATTTTTTTTAATTTTCAACTAATCTTTGTATAATTATTGTGATTGAGAAAATATGTTATAAACAAAAAAAGAAAATGTGATAGTAAACATTTTCTTTTATATTAAAAAGTACCCCTTTTTTGAATATCATCTCTTCTCTTTTCTTAAATAATATGTGAGGATTCTCATTAAAAATTTTATTTACTCTTAGTAAAAATGTATTCTATTAATTTAATATGAAATCCATCAGTTTTTGGGATGGGAAATTGAAGGTAAGGGTAGGTTATGTAGGTTATTTTTAGAACAACACATTTAAAACATTAAAATTCACAACACATTTAAATATGAATAAAAAATTTATAGGTGTTTCAATATAATGATACCTATTTTAATAAATTGATTGTTATTTTGAAGTTTAATTATTACCATAGGTAAGAGATGATTTTCGATTTCCATAGTATTTTCAAAATCAAAAATATGATAAACACTCAAATTCTTTTTCAAAAGATTATAAATCATATTGAAATCCATTCATATGCTAACCTATTCAAAACAAAACAAAAAAAACAAATTAAACACAATAAAATCGCAAGTGTGTAAATAAGATTCGAACACCATTCCTCTGATTATAGGTGTTGTTCGAATAAATACCTATAACAGCATTACAGGCATATAGATCAGTGATATCCATCTTTGAACTCTGATTGAATTCTACTATAAATTAAACAATGTTTCATTCATTTTTTTGGAGAAAAACATTTAGTATTATATTATTTTTTTAATACAAATCTTATTCTTTGTAAATAAAACATGGATATCAAGTATTTTCTAAATAATCACGATCATAGTCAAAACAATTTGATATCAAACTGTTTTTATCATACCATGCTGGTCTGTCCAACCTCAATAAACAACCCTTTGCCAATAAAAAGAAGAAGAGGACGTCCACTCAAGGAAGAAAAAAACATAGAACATGTGCCAGATGCGGAACATCAAATACTTCTGAGTGGAGAAAGCCCAACAATGAGTTTCTATGTAATGCCTGTGGCATTAAAATAGCTAAACAACTGGTCAAAATGAGGTTAGGTCAAAAAAGAATTCATGTTTCCTTAATAAATAATTTTAGAAATTATCCAATTGGTTCAACTATAGAATAAATAATAAAATTAAATATAATAATTTAATAAATTATATTCATTTTTTAAATCTTAAATAATTAATCATATTGTTTACTTTGCGATAACCTTCATCTTTGTAAGTTCAGCAGGTCGACAGCGAGTGCGCACTATTATATCTTTATTATTGTTATAATTTCATTTCTTTTATATTGCAGGTTACCCTCAACTTGTGAACTTGATCCCATTGCAATCAACTACTGAATATTCAACAAAAAAATATATTAAAACCAGAATGGTTTAATTTAATATTAAATTTTGGGTGGAATGCCAATAATTTTTTTTGATTTTTTTATTTTTTAATTTTTTCCATCAGATTCTTTATTTGTTCATTGTTAAACTTGATACACTTGTCTTGGGCTCGTTTGTTGTTCTCGGCAGCAATCTCAAGAGCATGACAGAGTGAGTTAGCTAGAGCGGTATTCCACAACTCTCCAGTATGAGCAGTAATCTTATCCTTTGGCAACAGAATGTCCTATGGAGTGACAGGTCTGCGGTTAAACATGAGTTGGAATGGAGTACATAGAGTACTTGCATGGACTGAGATACGATACGCAAACAGAGCCGAACATATGAATTCATTCCAGGATGGATTATCCATAACATAGCATTTCATCATGGCTACAAGCGTTTTGTTGAATCTTTCGACAAAACCATCGGTCTGTGGGTGATACGAGGCAGTATAAACTTTTAAGATTCTGAAAATCTCGTTGATCCTCTTCACCACCACGGACAAGAACGTACCGCAGTCAGACAACAGCTTTTCAGGCATACCGGCAAATGACTTCACGATAGATGTACCCAGCAAAAGTAACAGCAGAGTAATCCGGCAAAGCAATGCTTCTGGCCACTTGGTAAAATGATCGGTGATAACTAAGATATACTTATTTCCATCCGGAGTTATAGGAAACGTACCCATAAGATCTACACCAATCAATTCAAACGGACGACTAACTTCCAACGACATAGCAGTATCAGGTCTCTTTTGATATCTTGGACCTTTGAAGACAGCACATGTAATAAACGCTTCAAATCCGAGATGATCGTCAACCAATAAAACTTGTATTTGATTTTCTCTAGCGTTTTGATAAAACCAAGGTGACCTCCAGTAAGCAAATCATCGCGATAGTAGGACATGACCTTATGACGTAACGACAGTGGAACCCAAATACGACTGGTGAGTACCCTTGAGCTGAACGGGTTTACTTTTGAATGATCGTAATTGAAATAGAGAATATCATCTTCCAAAGAGTAGAGCGGAAGATCAGCAGGAGCCTTCAATTCGGTACCTTCCAACGCCTTACGTATTTTAATACAAAAGTCATCCTTGCTCGGTTTTAATAATGTCTAATGTTAAACCATAGTCGTTTAACTTTTGTTCCTCCAAAGCGCAAACTTCCATAGAGCCACTACCATCCAGAGCTGAACCATCCAAACCAGAACCAGAACCAAACAGACCAGAACCAATACCATCCAGACCAGAACCATCCAGAGCCGATTCATCCAAACACCCAGTGGAAGTTGATAGTCATAACTCATCTCTATCTACAGGAAAACGGGACAATCCATCGGCAAAGTCATTATGTTTACCAGCTCTATAACGAATGACATAGTTGAATCCTTGCAAGAACATACTCCAACGTAAGATACGAGCGTTCTTTGGAGACTTGTCATTTAATACCTTCAAAGCTTGGTTGTCAGTGACGGCAATAAAGAAAGCAGATGTGTCTGAAATGTTTCACACTGTCTACCAAACCCAGACATTCTAATTCACCAGAATGATAGTTCTTCTCAGCAGCTGTAAGCTTACGACTGTATGCGATAACCAACATTCCATTCTGAAATAACGCACAACCGATACCAACACCACTTGCATCGGTTTCCAACACAAAATCTTTAAGATCGGGTATTTTAAGAATACCACCATCTTTCATACGGTCAATGATAGTTTTGACGCATTCTTACAACCCTCTGACCACTCTCACCGAGTGTCCTTATTTAATAATCTGTGTAGAGGTGCAGCAATAGATGCAAAATTTAATGAATTTTCTATTATAATTAAGAATACTGCAATTGGTTAATATTTGTTGGTTGTGGTAGGTTTATAATTATAATACTATTTGTAAAAAAATTGACAATGCGATCATCATTTTTGTTTTGTTTTTTGAATAAAAAAAAGTTTGTGGCACTGCACTTGACAAATTTAGTAAAATACACAAAACAAAACACACCAATGTATTCCTTTAACATAACAAAAATGCCGGAGTATTTTTCAGACCGTTTCTGAAAGGCATAACATTGAATTCGTAGACACCACGATGCGTTGTGAAAGCAGTCAACCACAGCGATCTTCTTCTCGGACTGGAATCTAGTGGTAACCCGCAGCGCAAGCAAATACACTAAACACAGAAGCATGTTGCAGCAGAGTAGATGTCATCCACGTGAGGAAACGGATACACAAGAGGACGCGTTAAGTTGTTCAATTTTTTTGTAGTTGACACAAAAACGAACTTCCCATCTGGTTTAGGAATGAGAACCACCGACCATCTTTTACCAAGTCAATAGAACATTCCATACCAGTGATCTTACCAGGTTGCTCCAACTTATTGACGAACAGAGATTCATATTTACCACGTTCCGAGTATTCCAACAACCATTCTTGCATCTTCTCTTCAACGGATTTATCACCAAAACGGAAACATTTACGTTCGATACGGATTCTTCTGAGCTTCAGTCGATTCTATGACACAACAATCGATTTTGGAATGCAGCACTTCAGCGTACGGATCAGCTTCCTTCCAGACAGATTTAACACAAGTAACTGGAAACATATACATGTAGAGAATACTTTTCTCGAGGACTAAGAACACAATTTTACCAACGATATGTAATCTGGTCAAATTCGCAGAATGATTCTGAGTGCTTCAAAAGTTGTGTTTTAAGTCTGCTACTTAATGTTGTAAGTATAAAATGGAATTAATGATTGGTCTGAACTGTCTTTTTTTTTTTTTTTTTTAAATAAAATAAAATAAAATTTATTTAATAATAATAAAAATAGGAATTCTAAAGGTTTAATCTTTCAGAATTAAATCTATACATAAATGTAGTAGTAGGGGCCTAATGATTTTTTTTTTTGGTTTTTTTTTTTTTTAATCAATCCATTGACTTAACAACCGCAGTGATTATGACAGATAACATTTCCATGGCAATCAATATATCCGAGATAGATGAGATCGTTGACGGTATCAACCCAATCTGGAACTCCAAGAGTGGCGGCTTTATTTCCACCTTGTCTTGATCCAGCACCACCTTGAGCATTAACAGTAATATTGGAGATTGATGAAGTGGAGGCTGTTAAATTGGCAAGTGATTTGTTATGAACTTTTTTTTTTTTTTTTTTGTTGATGTATTCGCATATCTTGGAGAATACTCAAATGGATTTTATTGATTGGTTTGAGATGGTTTGGAATGGTTAATTGCTTAGTATTGAGATGGTTTTAGATAGATGCACGACAGAATTTAGAAGCGTTATGAACTGCTATAACAAAAATTGGAAACATATGTAAAGGTGACATAGCTCAGTGGTAGAGTAGAGGACTGCAAATCCTTTGGTCGACGGTTCAATCCCGCCTGTTACCTTTAAAAAACATATTTTCATTAACAATGTCCGGATGCGGTAAGACCCATGAGGAAGTCAAGAAACTCGATAACATACTGTCTTGGTACCTGTGGTTCAATCCCGCCTGTAAATCCTATTTTGGCGGTACTCCTCTCCACGATAACAACCTACTATCTAATGAATCTATCATTAATGAATATATACAGCACTTATCAGTTATGAAATTAATTATAAATAACAGTATCAGTAACTTACAATCCAAACTTAAATAACCAATAACCAATCAAATGTCAGCCAACTACTATTATTTCCTCTTCTTCATTTCTTCATTTTCAAATTAACCAATTCAATCATCTGTATTCTCATCAGCTTAACAATCTATTAATATCAATAACTAAAATAATTATAATAACAATCAAAATAGCAATCAATTGCAGAATTATGAAAAAGTAAAAACTGTAAAAAAAAAAAAAAAAAAAGAAAAGCTTGATGGTTTGCACCATCCCTATATAAAACTTCGTGCCACCACTTTATACTGTTTGTTCATCAACACGCAGCTACTGTTAGATCTATTCTATCCTAATACTACTCAACTTATTAATTAATAATAACTATAAACAATAATAATAATAATATTTTATTGGCTATTTCTCACGGCCTGTGTGAGAATGTATAAATAATGATGCGCAACACGTGTGGATATCAACAGATTCCACCTATTGATCATCAAACATGGCATTCCGCCACTTACTGATGGTCAGTTCCTACTATCTCTACACAGTACCACCAACCAAATTCGATTACATATCTTTCAAAAGTATCATCACCTATGTATCGCTTATCAAACACCAGCGTCGACCAAACACTGTCTTCTGGTTTTCTTTCGTTCGCTTCCTGGCTTGGCTTACAACAAAAACAAAGAATGTGGGTTAGAGCATTATAGGAAGCACAGTTCACATAAAACTTAATAAATCAAATATACTTCTTAAAAAAAAAATACCGCCACATATCGCCACTAACACAACTGAACAATCTGTCGCTAATGTTATGACTAAATTTTCAATCAATAATTTAGTGATTACATCTGACCACCTGGCCATCAATATTGTGAAAAATTGTTTTATCTTTTTCTCTCATCAAAATTTAATTATGATACAAAACTGTTTAGGTTGTTGTCTAATATTTTTTTATAAATAAAAGTTTGAAGAGATGATCAAACAAAATATATAAAAGATAATTTTATTTTTATTAATTAAATTATTATATAATGATAGGATTTGCTTCAATTGAGTTATTCATTTGTTTTTCACAAACAACATTATCAAGCAAGCAAATTATTTCTAAATACATTTCAAATAAATAATATTAACAATAAAATTAAGAAAAATAGATAAATTTTGCAATTGGTTTGATAGATGCTTATCATTCCACTACTGTATGGTGATTCTGAAGTGGTCGATAGTATTTTAGGTGATTGGTAGACCATACTCAATCCACTCATTACTGTTGAACTGATACCATTCAATTGAAGTTCTAAATTAACGGATGTTCCACTTCCTTGTGGTGCAATACAAGTCACACTGGTACTGTTCAATCTCGTTGCATTTGAACATAGAGTGTTAAGATTAGATTTGGGATAATAAATAATCACAGTGATATTCTCATTTCCTTGGATGTTTGAAGTCATATATTGACCACTGATTGTTACAATTCCACCTTGTGTTGGTGGTGATGTTATTGATGTGATGTATGGTTGAATTGTTATCTTAAATGGAATGGTTGTTGATGTGTTGAATTTGGTCAGTGTGTTTCCATTGTATAATCCAGATGGTGTGTTTGTTGGAAATTTAAAAGTTAACATCGAGTCGGAAACGGAGATCGGTGACATTGGAGTACTACCATTGAAATGTAATACAATTGATTTTGTATCATTACCAAATGATGAACCGATAATTATTGTATTTCCACCGTCTTGTGATACTTCTTGGACATTTGAAAGATCGGCAGAGAATAATATATCACTATTGGAGTGCTTTCCATTAATGTTAACAACCACTGATAAATTATAATTCTTTGAACCACTTGTAATTGCTGGCATTAAACATTCAATAAATGAATTTGTTGGATCATTCAATGTCAATACTGTACATGTATAACCTCCAACAAGGATTGATACTTGTGAAATAGTTGCATTTGGTTTGAAAAGATTCAATATATATCCATAAATTGAAATGGTTCCACCAGATGATGAAGTAGAGGTTACTGATGTTACAACTGGATCTAAAGAGTTATTATTAGAATTATTAATATTTAAATAAGAATAATTCTTATATAATAAATACGTACATATTTGTTGAGTATAGGTTGCTGAGTTTGGATTTGGAGAACCAACATTCAAAACATATTGGAAATCACCAGAGAATGAATAGTTTTGAGCATTTACTTTTGAAACAATAACAGTATTATCAATTAAATGAGTTGGTTGTAAATTTCCACCATTCGAAGTTAATGTCAATGGAATTCCATTTACTCCAAAATTTGTTCCAGTCATTGTAATTTGATTGGTCTCTCTATTAAATACAACTGATGAAATTGTTGGTCCTGTTTAAATTATTGTTAGGTAATGAACATTTTATTATTATTTTAAACTAAACTACTTACCTTGAAATGAAAAAAAAATAGTTTTATATACATATATATTATATGAGAGTATGTTAGTTCCTCTTATTCTGAAAGAAATTGGAATATTTTGACCAGAGAATAAAGAGGTAATGTTTTGACCAACATTGAAATTGATTTCGGTTCCTGCTGAATTTGTATTACTTTCATAAAGAAATATACTTTTATTAAAATAGATCTCTGAACACCCTGGTTGTGTTGGTAGAAGTGATACACCTTTTACTGTAATGATACCTCCTTGAGTTGGAATCGAAGAAATATTAGTTATATATACTGGATTCCAAAGTATTTCGTTGGGAAATAAGCAACTTTGTAGGTCACAAATTTGGAATTTATCAACTTTGTTAATAATATCAGCTGTGTAGTTCAAAAAAGCTGTGGTAGGGTTGAAAATATCCATTGTTTTTTGTATTACAGGGGGCCCTATCAATTTAAAGGAATAACTATTACTAGTAAATGTTCCACTACTCAATTTAACAGTAACCCCATCTGGCCCATATTGAACTGACTGAAGTTCAGTTTGACCTAAATATTATTATTATTAATAGATTCTAAGTTTTTTTAATTAATGTTGTTTTTATTTACCATTAATTTCTCCAAAAAACAATAAAATTACTAATACTACAATATTTTGTATTTTAATCATTATATTTTATTTTTAGTGTAACAGAAAAGTTTAAATAATTTTAATTTTGTTGAATTAAAAAATGTTTTTGTTTTTGTCTAATAAAAATTTATTATTCTTTTATATAGTTTATTAATTGAAAAATTTTACAAAATAAATTGTTTTTGATTTATTTGGTTTAATATATTTATTTTTCATTTTATTATTCCACCATTAAATATTTTATTGGATCTTATATAAATCCTATTTTTAGATTATTATAAATAACTTTCCAGTATGAAACACTTTTTTTATTTTTAAAATTTTTTTATTCAAATATAAAACAGTCAATAGTATTAATTAGGGTTTTTTATAATTAAACTAAAGTGTGTTGAGTAACTTTAGTAATTAAAATCTATCAATTTCCAATTAATTCAAAGAACTCACTTGTTTAAAAGATGGTGAAGAACACAAATATATATATATATATATATAAGAATCAAATAAAAAATTCTCTATATTAGCTAAGTTGTTAGTCTAATAATTAGAGAGATTTAAAAACAATTTGATCTGATATGTTTATTTTCATATTTAACTTTCTTATTGAATTATATGAGTTGTGATGTTACTGTTTTGCAATCGATGCTTGCTGATAATGATAGAGGTTTGAGGTAATTTTGAGTGTGCAGGCACTGACTTGTATCGATAAGCTTCCAATAGCAATCGGTCTGGTATAATTTGATATGGTTCGACATCAGAAACTAACTCCTCGTAACTCATTAGTGGAAAACGAATCAATTGGAAAATCTCTTCTAATTTTGCTAAAACCTTTTCATTGTTGTTATTTTTGTTATTCTCTGAATTACCTCTAACACCACCAACAATTCTCTCAATTGTGACACCTTTGACATTGGCACGAATCCACAGCAAAACCGAATTGAATATCTCTATCTCTTTCAAATATACACCATCACTCTTTAGGATGAGGAAAAGTACATCTTTTGATAATTTATGCACTCTGTTCACCTGCAAAAAGTAGGTAGAGTTTGCAACAGCTTGATCAACAATATAACTATATAGTTCAGGACATATTGTTTTTTTTTCTAAAAGAAACAATAGAAATTGTTTAGGTTATTGTGTATCATAGTTGTTTATAATTGTCAAAGCTACTTACATTAAATAAAAAACATTCCAATACTTTATTTTCCATATATCTGATAAAATCTATACAGATATCTTTGGCATCTTCCAGCTGGAGCTCGTTACAAATCAAAAATATTTCATTGAGTGTATCGTTTTCAATTGCCAGCTCTGAAGTGTAAAGAAACATTAAGACTTGGAAAAAGACATTGACTGACACGTTGGGAATGACAATCTCTATTTCAGTTATGTCTAGAGAAACATCTTTGAGTAACATTTTAAAGTAGTCTGAACCATTTACCAACATTATAATTGTATTTTCCCAAATTATCAATAAAAAACAATCAATTTGTTTTAAAATAAATAATTAAATTTTTTTATTTTTTTTTTTTCAAAATTTTAAACAGAGCCAACAGAACACACACAACCAACACAACAACCATCAAAGTACGAAGATGATCGATTCTATTATGCCCAACCATCATTTGAAAAGAATCTTTCACATGATATTGTATTCCTCTTATCACCTACTTCAAATGATAATAAAATAATAATCCAAATTTGAATTTGGGGAAACTTTTGATATGGTGTAATATAGATGATATTAATCATTTGATTAAATTTACTATATGTGTTATTTCATTTTATAGCTTGGGTTTTTAATATATATCCGCTATCATACCATAGTAACTTCACTAATGTTTGTTGATTTAGTATTGTTATATTATTATTAAGAGCGAATAACATTAAATCACTCTTTTTTCATTTGACTAGAGTCACCAAAAAAAAAATAAAGTAGTTAAACACCATTTAAAAAACCATTTGTGTTCCAATTAAATCACACACAATTTAAAAAAAAGTGGTAAGTTTAAGTTGATTGATTTTGAAATTGATTAAAAATAATTCACTTAAATTTAAGAATCTAAAATTACAACCATTTATTTCAATCCAAATAAATTATTACTCAAATTAACTTTTAAAATAAATCTATATTACTTACAACAAATGACACCTTTGAAGAGGCGTCGTTTTCCTAATCCCAAGGTATCTATTATTTTATCGAAATTAAAATACTATTTGTATAATTATTAATTGTTGATTTTAGAGAAAATTGATTGTTATCGTCGTAAGAATTAATAAAAAACCGAATGGAGAAGAAATTGCCCCAAAACAATTAAGTGTCTCAATAATAGTAATCAGAAGGAATATAAACGAAATTCATTGACATAAACAAATAAACTTTTAATTTCATTATTTATTTTTAAATTGGTATTTGATATCTAAATACTTAAATGATTAAAGATACTGATGTTGATTGTACAATCAATCTTTGAAATTAATAGTATCATACTATGAATCATAGTTGTATATCGATTAGCACACTACTCCTTTTAGCTCCGTAACTATGCAAATCGATATCATTATGCAACACATTGGCAATTCAGTTGATCACCGATACACCTGTACGACAAAAATCCTACCAACAGTAATCTCCACGCCGTCCAAGTGCAAACTGGTTATTAAACAATAATATTATAAAACAACAACTATAATAGCAGCTACTATCATTCACCAAACTAAACGAATCAGAACCAATATTTATCGCCACCAATACCATTCAGACTCTGAATTTGGAAATGAACTATAAAAGTTTAAAAATAAAGAGGTATTCTTAGTTTTTTTGGATAAAATTAAACCATTAGAAATTCGCTTCCAAAGGCAATATTCCAAAGTTAAATCAATCAATAATGGGTAAGACCAGATAAATAAAATCACACATTAGGTAATGTTCAATCTATTTTAAATTCGATATCAAATTAACTACATCTTTAATAATAATTATTTTTATTTTTTAATTAAAGATAATCTTGATACACATGATGGACAAACATGACTTTCTTGTTCACTTTGATGTCTCCAACAACGTGGACATTTGTGTTTGTCACTCTTTCTAATGGTGATATCAACCAGACCCAATTGACCATTGAAGCTGATAACACTCGATTGTTCACAATTAAAGTCACCTCCATCACCTAAAACGGAAATACGTGAAGTACTTGGCTGTTCTGGCTCTTTTATATCGACGGATTGATCATGTACAAGCTCAACCTTTGATACACAAAAGATATCTTCAAGCTGACTTTGATTCGACTTTAAATGATCATAGAAAGGACTGCTAACTTTAAGTGTAATCATTGTTTCGTCTGGACGACCGATGATTCCTTTGTCTCTGACCTCTTGGAGTAGTCTATTGAATAGATCACGCACTGTAATGATACAACCCCATTGATCGAGCAGTTGAGCATTGTTCCATTCGGGTTTGACACGTGTCCAGCCTTGAGTGAACACCGATTCGGTTGGCTCTCTGTATTTGTATTGGTGCTTGTAGATGTCCTCACAAGTATGAATGGCAATCGGTGCGATTATCTTATTGACAACATCCAACATCTCAAACAACACAGTTTGTGAACTTCTTCTCAAGTTATTGTCAGGTGCCTCCACATATAATCTCTGCTTGATAATATCGAAATAGAAAGCAGAGATCTCGTGACAAAAATTGATAACCTCTTGAGTAACCTTTTGGAAATGGAATTGATCATAATATTTAGTTGCATTCTCACTTAAAACATATACTTTATGTAATGCATATTTATCAATCTATAATAAAAAAAAAAAAAAACAATTAAAATTAAAATTGGTAATTATGCAATTATTATAATTAATTATTTACCTCTGAAAGTTGATGATATGGAACTGAATGTTTCTCTGGTTGGAAATCAAAGTTTGCACCCAACATGTATCTAACAGTATTTCTTATCTTTTTTACATTATCCAATACTTTGGTCAAGATGGTCGGTCCTACAGAGATGTCTTTGGTATAGTCAGAGGTTGCAATCCACATTCTCAACATGTCGACTCCATAAGCTGGATTCTCAGTCTTGTTGTTACCACCGTGAATGATAAGTGATGGAGCAATTGTATTTCCAAGTGATTTCGATTGTTTGTTGCCTTTTTCATCGAGTAAGAATCCATGTGTCACCACATTCTTGTAGGGAGCAATGCCTCTGGCACAAATCGATGTCAACAATGAAGATTGGAACCAACCACGATGTTGATCACTTCCCTCCAAGTAGATATCGGCACTCTCGTCCATCGACATGACTCCACGAGCTACCAGTACACCTCTCCACGAGGTTCCAGAATCGAACCAAACATCCATCGTATCCATACCTTTCTCATAGAGATGTGCTTTGTCGGCCATGCTCGATGGCAGCAGTTCAGCAGTCTCCATTGAAAACCAGCAATCCGATCCATGTTTCTTAAACAACTCCAACACATGACTCATTGTTTCTTGATTGACAAAGTGATCTCCGCTCGACTTTTCATAGAATACAGGTATTGGTACACCCCAGTAACGTTGTCTTGAAATACACCAATCATTTCGTTTTCCAACCATCGATGACAAACGATTGCTTCCACTTGGTGGCACCATATTAATATTTTCAATCGATTTGACAGCCAAACTCTGGACTCCACTCAAATCGACAAACCATTGTCTTGTAGTACGAATAATGGTTGGTTTTTTTGTTCTCCAATCGTATGGATACTTGTGAACGTAGTTCTCGCTGTGAACTACCGAATTCAATGATTTCAACTCTTCGATTACCGCATCATTTCCAGCGCCCAACACTTCAAGACCTGCAAAACGTCCGACCTGCTCAGTGAAACAACCGTTGTCGTCGACAGGCGAGATAGGTTCGATTTTGTGTTGTTGACAAATGGCGAAATCCTCAACACCATGGCCGGGTGCAGTGTGAACCAATCCAGTACCACTTCCAGTGACAACGTGCTCACCCAACAGAATTGGTGAATCTCTTCCATACATTGGATGAGCGGTTACCGTACCAAACAAATCGGCTCCCTTTATAGCCTCGGCTCCCTCGACAATTGGCAATGGCAATTTGAATTGTTCACGAAGACTCTCTAGACGTTCGCGCGAAATCAAATATCTCTCATTGTCTCTACCCTCTACCACAACATAGTCCAAGCCAGCATTGACACAGATAGCCAGATTCGCTGGAATAGTCCAAGGTGTTGTCGTCCAGATGACTGCATTCAACTTTCCATTGTCAAAACGTTGCAAACCAGAAGAAACCTTTTTCATTGCAAACTTTAGAAATATCGATTTGCTGACGTGCTGCTCGTTGTACTCCAACTCGGCATCGGCCAACGCTGTCTTGGAGGACGGTGACCAATGAACAGGCTTGACACCGCGATAGATGTATCCCTTTAGGAACATCTCGTAGAAAGTCTCCAACTGCGATACCTCATAGCCTGGTTCCATCGTACGATAATGATTGTCCCAGTCACCAACGATTCCCCATGCCTTGAATGAATCCAACTGCTTCTTCAACTCCTTCTTTGCAAAGTCGGTCGCCACCTTTCTGACATCCTTTGGCTTCAACAGTGAACGATCCTTCTTGAACGACTCGAACGCTTTCACCTCAATAGGCAAACCATGACAATCCCAACCCGGAATATAATTCACCTTGTAACCCCTCAAGATCTTATATCGATTAACAAAATCCTTCAAAGTCTTGTTCAAAGCGTGTCCCAAATGTAAATCTCCATTTGCATAAGGTGGACCATCATGAAATATCCATTTCTCACCTGTATTATTATTTTCCTATATAGGAAAGAAATAGAGATGATAGATCATCAATTTTTAGTTATGTATTGTTTTCTATTTATTCATTTCACTTACTTGCCATTTATATAATTCCGATACATCTTTGAGTAATGTATGTTCACGAGTTGCTGCATTTGCTTTCATAGAGAATGAAGTCTTTGGAAGATTCAACGTGTCAGAATAGGAGTGATTGTTATCCTTCTGAGTGGTCGTAGATGTACAGTAATTGTAAACATTTCCACTACACAATCTATTGATTGGACCACCACTACTGACCAAACTATTATATAGATTTGAAGATTTATAATACTTTGGTAGATTATACATCTGTTTTTCGATACAAACAAATCAATCTATAATAATAAAGATTGATTGTTTTTTACTTTTTACTAAAACTTTAAAAAAAAATGTAGAATGTGATTGATTACAACATCATGTTTAGTTTATGAAAAAAAAAAAAATATCAAAAATATCAATGAAAAAAAAAAAAAAACGACAAAAACATCCATTTTGGTTTAAATAATCACATTCAAGTTGTTTTTTTAAAAAAAAAAATTGTTACAAATCATAATTATTATTTATCTTCAATTTACTCTTTTTTTTTTTTTTTGTTTTTTTTATATATAGAGTAAATCTTGTTTTAGAATAAAATTTATGTTTAGTTTTTATTAAATATCTCAGATAAATATAAAAATCTTGAAAAAAATGATCATGTTTGTCGCCATAGCTATGATTCATCGAACATAGAGTAAAAGTATACTACAATTAAAATCTAAAAAATTATGTTTGTTTATTGGAAAATCGTTTAATTCAACTTACTTTATTTTTAAATTACATATTATTTATTCTTTTATTGCGAAATATTTATTTTTTATCTTTGTTAGTTAAAATGATCGTCATCAATAAAAATAAACAAAAATGATCATAATGGTAAAAGTTACATCACTATAACACTAGACAAACATCTCTCACACACTTACTTGAGTATCTGTCAGTTTTATGATAATGATCAATTTCTCATATCCTTTTTTGTCATTGTATATCGATGTAGTATTGTTGTTGTTATTATTATTATTGTTATTGTTATCATTATTATTATTGGATGTCTTTACTTTACTTTTGTTTTGTCCAATCTATTTTGTTACAAATCATTTTAATGTTATATCACATTATAATTTCTTCACATATAAATCTTGCAAGATTTGATTTCATTACAGTAGCAACAAATGACCAATTCATTTGAATTACAATTAATGACTACCAATCTGTTTTGGATCTCGATTAATATGATTCATCAAATCATATGAATAGTATTTACTTTAATTTTTTTAGTGATAATTGAACATGATCAATTGCTAAACCTGAAGATTAAAGGTATTAGTGTCTCACTATAACATCAACATTAAACATAAAAATATATAAAAACCACACACACTTGAACAAACACAACAGAATAGAGTCGATAACAACAAAATAGATTCTATAACCACTAAAACAACACCAAAGACAAATAAACCTACTATGTCATATTAATTATGCCAATATTAAAATGCTAACAAATTAATTAAATAAGTTAATATTGTTTTTTTATCTTTCCAACAACATAATAATAAAATATTGTTTGTATGTTTTTTTTGTTGTTTTAGTGTCTATGTGCTTTGTTGTTATTGCTACTGATTATGATATTGTTGACATAATCAAAATCATGAAACCAACAACAATAATAAAAAAATTATAACAATAAATATATTTTGTGAAGCAAATAAAAAAAATTTATTTACATCTGACACCCACCAACATATAAAATGACTGTTATATATATATATATTTACCACACACACAATCATCACAAATCTCAATCATCCATAATACACACTCACTCACTCACACCCACAAACACCTAATATATAAAATAATAATGATATAATAATAACAATGGAAAGGAAAGGAAAGAAAAGAAAAGAAGATAAAGAAGATAAAAAACAATCAAAAATACTAAAAAAGAAAAGAAAAGAAAGAACTACTACCAACAAACTTCTTTTTTTTTTTTTTTTAGTAATTATATTATTAAGTATTTATTAAAAATAACTTGTTGCTATGGATTTAGATAATAAAAAGAACGTTTAATCATTTATAATATTATTTATTTATTATTTAAAATTAGATTTATATATTTTTTATTTTTATAAACACAGGATATATTGGATATGGAGAATTTTTTATGGTTAAACAATAAAAATAGCAATAATAATAATAACAACAACAATAGTAATAATATTGCATGCGACGGTATTAATTCCAAAGAGTATGGAGGTGCTTCATCTTCGATAGGCTTCGACTACTCTCAGCAATATTGCTTTGGAGAATCGTGTTATAAAAGTAAAACACCAAAGAGCAATCACTTTTCAGAGTCAAATAAGAAGAAATATTTAGTATGTCATCGATGTAAGAAAATAGCAAATGACCAATGGTACAATGGTCCGCTCGACGGTGAACTAATTTGTAAAGGTTGTTTTTACAAAATGTACAATCATATTCTTGAGCCTCAACAACAACAACAACAACAACTGCAGCAAAAACAGCTACAACAACAACAACATCAACAACAACAACAACAACAACAACAAATAGTATCAACCAATAACAATAACAACTATCAATTTCAACATTTTTCAGTTTCTAAATTAAGTGGAAACTACTAAACTTTTTCAGTTTCTTAAGTCAAAAATACAAATCCCTCCTCCCTTTTCTCACTTATTCGAAAATTATTTATTAATAATAATAAAATACAATAGGAAAAAAAAAAATTATCATATAATTTATTTTAATTTTATTTATTTAAATTTAAATTTTAATTTGATTTTACTTTTAATTCCATTTCATCAAGAAGTGATTGAAGTTTTTTATAGGTATCTGTTTCTTTAAAGGAGAGTTCAACTTTTTTCATTATTCCATTGATTTTGAGTTTGGCAGAGTAGATGTTGGTCGAGTTGACTGGTTCCTGTCCAAGGTAGAGTCTAATCAATACTTCCAGGTAGGCAACGACACGATCGAATTTCTCTTTGTCGATATCCCAACCGGTGAGTGCGCTCTCAATGCAACGAACAGCACGCTGCTGCAAGTCGATCGATTTCTCGATGTTTCCAAGTCGTTTGTGATAGTCGGCGTAGATTCGCCAGACATCGGAATTGTTTGTCAGCTTCGATGTGATCTTTCCAAACATCTCACTGATTGGCTTCTCTATACGACGACCATTGATTCCAGTACGGTCGGGACTGTCGTCCACCACAAAGTTTGCCAGCACCTGGAGCACTCCAAGATCGACCTTTTTGTTGTTCAACTCGAAAATCTGGAGAATACACTGGATCGCCGATTGATAGTCTTTCATCACCATACAGACATGTTGGAAATTCTCCCACATCTTCCAGTTTTCACGACGATGTTTCAGTCCCTCTTGAAGCGCAACATAAGCACGATCCATTTTCTTTTGGATCATGTAGACGGCCGCCAGATTACCGTAGGCTTCTGCTTCCTCTGGTTCGAGTGCAATGCATCTGCTGAATGCGTTGGTAGCAATGTCCCACTTCTCCAAACGCATCGCTGCGCAACCAAGAGAGAACCAACTGTTTGGGAACAGAGGATTGATTGTGAGGGCGACTTGATAGCAATCGATTGCTTCCTGCCATTGTGCTCTGGCCAAGTAGTGATGAGCCAACGAACGTTGTGCTCTGGAGTATCTCTTTCTCGATAGTTCCCAACCCTTCAAGTAGAGCTCTGGATCCTCTTTGATGTCACCGAGTACACACCACAACTCGGGAGTTGGATCTACCTCGAGACGCGATCTTACCAACTCTTCGGATCTGGCATTCTTACCCATGAACTGAAGACACTTGATTGCATCGGCCCACATCTCCAAACGCTCGAAAATGTCATAGGCAGTGGCGACGGCACCGACCGAGACGAAACGCTCACCGACTTCACGTTCTAAATCCCAACGCGAAGGGTAGTCTGTGATATATAGATATTGTAAACGGAGTGCTGTCGATGCACTCTCGGTGGTCTTATCATTGTATTGCTCAACCAATGCTTGGATTTGGAGGGCAGCACGTTCAGCAGTTTTCGAGGAGTTGGCTTCGAGACGCGATTTCATCAAGAGTCCCATCGAGTGAACGATCCAAGAGTTTGGATATTCCAATGCTTTATGCACGTAGGGTGTCATCTCTTCATTGGCTCCATTCGCTCCATTCTTTGCTTTCAAAGCGAGTGCATTCACCAGAAGAATCGCTTGATCGACAATTCTCAGGTTGGAAACATCCATCTTGTGTTCTGTGATCTTTGGTCTCGAGAGTAAAGTTGGATCGTCATTGGTAACCTCTCTTTGGAATTTGAAATTGTCATCATTAATATCGATAGGTTTATCATCTACATCCATTGAATTGTTTTCTTCTGATGGTGATTCTGTTGCTGTTGCTGTTGATTTGGGTGTTGTTTGGTTGGTTTCACGGTGTTTGGTGACGTCGACAATGAGCTGTGCAGTATCGAATGTCTGGAAACGAGTACGTCTACCGAGTGCACCGGTGAGTGTTGCTGTTAGCTGTGAGATATTGGCGGCTTGCTCTATGGATTCCAAGAGTTTGGCGGTTTGTTTAAAGTGAAGGAAACACAGAGATTGCTCCAGTTTGGCAGTGGCGGCCAAGTCGATAGCGGTGTCGTTGTCGAGGTCGACATCTACGTAGAAACGACAGACAATCTGGAAACGTTCGCTAATCGCCGACTTTAGTGTTGGTGTAATGTTATCGAGTGATCGTTGATGATAGATCATAGCACGAACCGACCACCAACAACTAGAGCGACAGCCATCCGCCAAGAACTGATAGTTGTCGACCAAGCAGAGACGTGCAAGATACAACAACTGTGGATGTGCAACCTTTGTGTAGATAGTCTCACCGTCCAACTCGAGCATCTGCTTGATCTCCTTGAATCGCTTCTCACCACCGAGTAACTGTGGTACCTGATGTTCTGGACCACCAGTCCAATTGATCTGAACATACAAATTCAAAAATGTGATACCACACATCAACAAAATCATTTGATTCTCTTGATTCTCTTCTAATTCTTCAATCTTTTGATTTATATTAAAGAAATAATCTGATTATATATATATTTAATATTAAATTATTAATATTTACTAATTTGATTTGATTTGATTCTATTGATTTAGTTATGCCTACCTTCAACTGTAATTGATTCATCATTCAATAAAGTATCGTATTCAAATAGATCTTTAATGAATTCCGATGATTCGATAGATGACCATAGATTTCCATTGACAATGTTGTATGCGAATCTGATGATATCTTTTTGCAGACCATCGAATTGATCTATATCGCAATGTAATTGATTGATCTTTTCATGATTATATTCCAATACCCATTGATCTAAATTTTCTAGATTTATATTTTTACCCATTTTTTTATCTGATAATGAAAATATATAAAGAATAGAATAAGTGTGTAGTATCAAATATTTAATACTAGTGAAATAAATAAAACAAAAAATAAATTTGATTTCTCTTGAGAAATGATGTTGTTTTATCGATTCTATTCTCACGTGTGAGTTAATATTCATTTAGATTTCGCATCAATTTCAAAAAAGAGGGAAGAGATTGATTCGTTCGTTTTTTTTTTTTTAATTTTTAATTTTTTTTTTTAATCACAATTATTTTTATTATTTAATTTAAATAAGTAACTTAATAGTGGTATTCATGTTTATTTTGTTTTCTTTGATAATTCTTGAGCGATATCCTCTTTCTTTGGATAATAACTTCTGTTGACATATTTATAGACGATTTCGGGTGTCAATGCAACTACGACAACGAGAACGATGATCAGGTAGAAAGAAGCTGATTGATAGAGAGCAGCCAACAATTCATATTTGTAGAAATCAGTGATGTGTAGTCCGAAACCACTGGCCATCAGAGTCCAGACAAAGTAAGAGGCGACACTGAATATCAATGCACACGCCGTCAAGTATGTATAGGTAAGTGTTTCCACCATCACTTTGACGTTGACAGTTATCACCATGCAAGTGAATATTAATACACCTTGATAGTAGTAGTCGATTGTCATTCCATTCGAATAGATATCACCGAGACGTGTCATGAAAACCGGTATGAAGAAGATGCACACCGACTGATAGAAAGCCCAGCCCAAATTGATGATGAACGACAGCAGGTTGTATTGTTCCAGCTTCTGTCCGTCTTGGTAGAGCTCTGGGAATTTCGAGATTTGGTCACTGCCTGTCGAGCGATTGAATATACCGAGGGCGATCGCTGGGAACAGTGTAAAGAGGAACGAATACATGGCGATCGTTGTCGGATCAAAGACGGTGGTGGCCGAATACCGGTGGTAAATGGCAAACCAAAATTGAATCATTGCCAAAACCACCGATTTGTTAATGATATACATAATGAGCGAGGTTACACGTTGATAGGAATTTCTTCCGTGGAACAAAAGTAGACGCTCCAGGAGACGGAATTCACTGATCGAATAGTCAGAGGTTCTGGCAGCATGGATACCTTCTTGACCGATAATACCAACACCGATGTGTGCGTTCTCAATCATACCGATATCGTTGGCACCATCTCCGATTGCCAGTGTCACCTTTTGTGTGTTTGACTTGACGAGGTCGACAACGAACGATTTCTGTTGTGGCGACAGACGGAATCCAATGGCGACACGACATCTCTCTGCCAACTTTAGGAATTGAAGTTTTGTCGATTGACTGGCAACCAAGTATTCGAGATTGGCTCCAGAAAATACAAGAGCAATATCCTTCTTTCCTTCTAGTTTTCTCTGATTGGCAACTCCAAGGAATTCGTTTAGAGTCGCTACACACTCCACCTCTGTATTCTCAGCGAGTACAAGAATCTCCATAGATTCCTCATCGATCAATTGACAAGCCGATCCAACATTCATAGCAGTCAACAACTTATCACCTGTCAACACCCAAATCTTGATACCTGCCGAACGAAGTGTGTGAATAGTTTCGGGGACTCCTGGTTGCAATCTGTCCTCGATGGCGGTGGCACCGAGCAATGTTAACGATTGTTCCATTTCGACCTCTAGCGATTGCATCGCACCGAGATCGTTGGAGGAACGAGCAGCACGGTACTCATTGACCCAACGGAACATCATGTCCTCGCTCAGTTGACGTTGTCCAACGCAGAGTGTACGAAATCCTTCCTTTCCAAACACTTCCAAGTGCGAAATCGTTGAATCTGCATGCTTTTGTCTGGGTGCCAAACGCATGAAAATCTCTTCGTCCGCTCCTTTCATGTAGAGTATCGACTGTTTGGTGACTGGATTTCTAACGATCACTGACATTCTACGACGCGAAGAAGTGAAACCGATGATCTCGACAATCTGGAAATCATGAGGGTTTCCCATCAACGTTACATTCACATAGTTACTGGATCTACGATTCAATGTTAATCCAGCTTCCTTGGCAGCTCTAATGATTGCCAATTCATCCATGGACGATCCCTTGTAGAATCTATCACCGGAATCATCTTGCTCCGTTGACACCGTATGACAAGTCAACAACGCCATAAAGAAATCCAATTTCTCTGTATATCTATCGTCTAATTTCTTGGCTGGTTCACTACCACCTCCTTGTACTTCGCCATTTCCGAAAATCATTTGACCTGAGGAATCTCCACTCTCTAGTGCCGACATCTCTTCAACACACTCCTCCATCGTACTGATCTGTCCAGCGATTGTACACTTTTTGAAAATCATTTGATTTTGTGTGAGTGTTCCAGTTTTGTCCGAGAAAATATAGGCGACTTGACCAAGTTCATCGACGAGTGCCGCCGACTTTGGGAAGAGACGTGAACCATCCAAGTCATTGTTGATAAACATCAAATTGAACATCTTTACAAAATCAATGGTAATGTAGAGAGTTACACAGATGACACCGCTGTAGAGAATCAACGAAGTGAGGAAAAGAATACCGATATATGCAGCGGAAAAGTCAAATAGATACCAAGCTCCATTATCCACCTGAATTTTGAAAATCACAGTAGAGATTGCTGCCAAAATAATCGCGAGTGACAGCAACATGAAAAAATTATGGTTGGTCATTCTCTCGACACGACCAAGCTTGGTCTTCTTACTCTTGATTCCGTGTGGAACTAGAGTATCTTTACCAGTGAAAATAACAACACCATACACCCATTTGGTATTGGAGAGCTTTGAGCTTTTAAGTACGAGATTGGTGTATCCAACTGGTTCGGCGACACGGTCATGATGGATTTGTCCTTTGAATTGTGCTGGCTTGACTCCGGTTCCGGAGCACGATATTTTCGCTTCCAACTCGGCGAGTGAACGCGGTTCCTTGAGATTCGAGGTGAATTCCAATGGATTCTTGGTAGAGAACTTTGTCTCACCATCGGACTCGTAGTATTCAACCATCGAAATATTCTCCTCGTCTGAAGTTGCCAAAAGAATCATATCGGCTGGAACCACCTCATTATTTGTCACACGAATAATATCACCAGGCTTCAACTTGTAGGCTTTGCAGTCTACAAAGTTGCTACCTTTCAAAATAGTGACAGTCTTTCCATTGACTTCACGATCCAAATGTCTCTGCTGTTGAAAAGTCGTGAACATCTGAAATACAAAAGTAATGACAAGTACAACCAACAATGGTCCTAATGTTGTAAATTGACCAATTGGAGTAAGACCAGGAATGAACTAAAAATAATTTCAAAATAATTAGATTGGTAATTATTCCCTTTTTTGTTTTTTTTTTAATAATAAAAATAATAATTTCTATAAAATGATAATTTTATGATTATATTAAATTAACATACCTGTAGAATCATAATTAAAAATAAATAAAGATATCCCAATCTGAATGTATGATGAAGGAAAAACTTTTTCAAAAAATATGGTACTGAGTAGGACGATACTGCAATTCTATTATTTGGGAATTGGAATGCACGATTTTCCAATTCATCATTGATATAAATATATCTACCTATATTATTATTTACTTCTGCCATGGTTTTTCGTTTAATAATAATACATAAAAGAATATAAAAAAAATAAAAACTATATTATATATGATCGAATTTAAATTATTATTTATTTATATTAAAATAATAATAATTTGTTTATATATATTTATTATTATTACTATTATAAATGTTATTTTATTTGTTATTTATTTAAAAAAAAAAAAAGAAAAACTAGTTTTGAATTAAAAATAACTATAATAAATAATTAAAATACAATTTTTAACAACAAAATTATAATTGATTTATAAATAACATGTGATGAACAATATATGTGTTTTTAAATCAGAGAATCAATCAATCATACTGTTTATTTTCATAAAGCACTTCTGCCACATTAAAATAACACACAACCATTAATCAAAACACACACATACACACACACACATTTATAAATTTTATAACAAATTTTTAATCAAATTTTTTTGAAAGGTGTATTTATATTTCAGGTGTACCAATTAAATTGGCAAATAAAAACAAAACCAACAATAAAATATTGTTAAGTTAAATAACACACCACCTGCAAAAAAAAAAAAAAAAAAAAGGGTAAACAATTTAACACACCACCCACACACCAACAACATCACAATCACATTTTAATAAATCTAGAATACATACACAAACCAATAATAGATTGGTATAAAAATAAAATGAATGACTTTTTGTTAAATACATTTAAACAAACTTCTTGAGACTATGTTGTTGTTGTTGTTGCTGTTGATCATCTTAAGAAGAATGTGGGCAAAGTTTGTTGTTTAATATAACAAGCAATCTCAATAATTAGATTTTATAATAAATTTGATTGTTATGCTATAATCTAATTCCAAACAACAATTGTAGTTATAAATTTTCAGGTGAGGACTAAGGAGTGTTGTTTAAAAGTCTAATTTTAAACCATATTTTCATGAAAACAATAAACAACCTATTAACTTAAATTATAATCTATTGCTATTTTTCATAAAAACCAACACAATGGTTGATTATTTTCAAAAATAGACTATTTGGTGTAATATTGTTTTAATTCGCAACTTCTTTACTTAATAGAGTTCATACAAATAAACTTATGTTAATGATCTAGCGAATTGTACACGATCTGTTATACGATTTGGATTGAAATTTTGTGTATATCAAACCTTGTTCATATGTTTGATCAAATTTACTTTTATGATAATTATAATATGTACATGCTTTTGATTAACTTTTATTATTTTATGTATTTTTGTTTTTTGTTTTTTTCTTGATAATCCAGGTGATAGATTTGATAAATTTAACATTCATTGAGTGCTTTGCTTTGTATTGTTTCCAAAGTTGACATTTGCTTCCGGTCTTATTACAACAAAGAACACTAGATAGATTGCAACACCTATCACCACCATTACTACCAGTGAAATGGGACCTTTCTGGTCATCGAAAGGACCTTGAGTTTTCGTGCGAATTGCATGTCCTCTTCTTCTAAATTGAACGGTTGAATACAACATAAACATAATTGCAATGCCCCAGAGAAACAAACCCGTGCCAAGAGAAACACCCTCAGTACCAAAGAAAGTAATAATAGCAGTCCCAATTGCACCCAGTGAAAAAGTAAGTCCGATCCATCCGAGAAACGTTCGTTCATTCGAGAAGAACGATTTGGCATCTTCGGATTCCTCTTTGATTCTTCGTTCCTCCGGTGTCATCTCACGCCATTTCTTGTTGTTTTTCTTGTTCTTTTTCTTCTTTTTCTTCTCGCGCATCTCCATTAGCTCGAGAGCATTGTTATAGTCGTCGTCCATTCCACTTCCACTGCCACTGGAAGTATCGTGATGCATCATCTTCATCGAATCGGAACCACTTCCACTACCACCGCCCGTTCCAACGACATTTCCACCGATTGCATTGAGTACTCTATTGGTTGTGAATTCCGTTGCTTGTGTAGGTGACTTTTTCTTGTTCTTCATCATCATGGATGAACTCATTTGCGGTGATAGATGTGTCTGTCTAACCGGACTATTTGTATTTGAATCGAATCTTTCTTCTTCAGAAGACATTCCTAATAATGTCTTATTCTCATCTTTATTATGACTCATTATTATTATCTAATAATTAATATATACATATACAAATTGAAAAAATTAAAAAAAAAATACAAATAGAAATAAATAAAAAGTTGTAAAATTATTTATTGGTTTAATTTTATTTTTTAATGAATCTAGTTATTATATTAGAAATAATTTAGTTTTTTTTTTTTTTTTTTTTCAATTAATAAGGTATGTGGGAAAGATTGAATTTAACACACACAAATATAAAAAATTCCATTCAACATAACCAAAAAACAATAATTATCAATTTATGATTGATCAATTTTATCTATCATTATAATAGTAACTTAAAAAAAAAAAGGAAAAAGAACAAATATATATTTTAGTTTGAACTAAGTTGAAGTTTGTAATATAAAAAGGATTACAATGAAGTTGATAAAATTCTAAATCAAATGAAAATCGATTGTTTAACCACAGAAAATAATTAAATTATGATTTCGATGATGAGTGGGATAAATTAAATTGTCTTACTTTTCCAACTTAAAAGAAAAGTAAATTTTTGCATTGAAAAACAACTAATTTAAATTAAATTTTCATTTTAATGTGATTATTTTCATTATTCAGTTGTTTAAATACAAAAAAAAAAAAAAATTATTATTTTAATATATTTTTGTTTGTATATGTATATTATTTAAAATAAAAGATGTCCTTTCAACAACATCAATTCTATAGTAGTAATAGTAGTGGTGGTGGTGGTGGTGTTGGTGGTAGTAGTAGTAGCGGTATTGGAAATCAAGATTGGAAACAACAGGTATCTAATATCGATCTGTTGCATTGTGCTTCAACAAAGGATGTTAAGACATTGATAAACTTTACGAAATCTATTAGTAATGTCAGATTTGAAGATGAATTATATTCGAGTGTCATCAACAATCAGTTTCATCTGAGTAATCATCAGAGATACCTCGGGCATCCACAGCAATTCAAGTTGCTTCTTCTAGAGACATTCGATATCGATCTGCCCAAACTACTGAGACTCCTCCAGTTCTCTTCATCTACATTCCAAAGCCTGGCAAGTCAGCTAGACACTGACAATCAGGGCCTGACACACCAAATCAACCAACTCAAAGCGAGAACACTCCATCAAATCGATGAAATCGATCAACTTACCAAAGAGAAATCTGATCTCTACTATAAACTCGAGAAACTAAAGTACCAACAACAATATTCTACCAATTTTAATAACAATAATAGTGATAATAATAACAATATTAATGATAATGGTCCATTTTTAAGTAATACAACTAATTTTAATAAAATTAATAATAGTAGTAGTAATAATAGTAATAATAGTAATAATAGTAATAGTAATAATAATAATAATAATAATATTAATAATAACTATAACAATGGTAATAGTTACAATAAGTTGGTAGACTATGAAAAGTCAAATTTAAATGGAAATAATAATAATAGTAATAATAATAATAATATTAGTAATAAGAATTTAGAAGAATATCTAGTATCTTTAGTTACTCAGCTAATGAATGAAAATAAACAACAAATTAATAATAGTAATAATGAGAACCATATTCAAATAGATCAATTAAAAGATCAGTTGAAAGAGATAAGACAACAATATCAATTACAATCACAGCTATTGAAACAAATGGAGCAGAAACTACAGAGTTTACAAGATACAAAAAATAGTAAAAATAATGAAAATCAAGAATATATTAAAACACTTATTACCAAACAACTCCAAGGCTATGAGAAACAGTTGATTTCACTTCACACAGAGATCAGCTCAACCAAAGAAATGGTAGTGAAACTGGACCCAAGAAAACATTATGAAAAAGAAAAGAAACACTATTTACACATGAGACAGAGAGTTGAAGATGGTAACTAACTAACTAACAAGAAGTAATCAATCATTTTAAAACCAACGGTAATCACTAACTTTGTCTTTACAATTTATATTAACAGTGAAAAGTAGAATGGAGAAATTAGAGAATTCTTGGGTTGCGTTTGTTGCTAGTGAAGAACAATTTGCACTCAATACCAACAACTATGTAAATAATGTAAACAGAATAGAAAATGAAACTCAACAAGATAAAGTCAAAGATGACAATAATAATAATAGTAATAACAATCAAACAGAAGCGGAATCAGTAAAACAGAGTGATGATGCACAAAATATATTGGAAGGTGAAGTGGAAGTGAATATCAATGTAAATTTAGATCGTACTGCATCTTTAGTTAAAAGCCAGCAACAACAACAACAACAACAACAACAACAACAACAACAACAACAACAACAACAACAACAACAACAACAACAACAACAACAACAACAACAACAACAACAACAACAACAACAACAACAACAACAACAACAACAACAACAACAACAACAACAACAACAACAACAGCAACAGCAACAACTACTGATACAACAACAGCAACAAGAACAACTTATACAACAACAACAACTGCAACAAGAACATAACCATAATAGTCAACAAGTGGTAAATATAATTAATAATGATAATTATAATGTTATTGCTACAGATAAAGTTGTTCATTTTGATAATTCAGTTGATAATATTATAATTAACCGAGCTATTACCCCACCTATTACATTTTTTGATTATGGAAAGAATGACTATCAAGAAGCAAAAGAAGAAGAGGATGGCGGTATTGAAGAACATAAAGATGTAGAACAATTACAACTCTTACAGCAACAACAGCAGCAACAACAACAACAACAACAACAACAACAACAACAACAACAACAACAACAACAACAACAACAACAACAACAACAACAACAACAACAACAACAACAAGAGATGGATGCAGTCGTTGAATATACCGGTAATAAAGATAATGCTGGCGATGAGCCTAGGCAAGATATCTTTACTCAAAAATATGAGGATGGTACAAGATCAAGATTAATCATTGAAGAACTAAAGAAATACTTGGAGAATGTAAAACAAAAAGATCATAATTGTAAGTTTTTGAAAGATTGCTATTAGCTGTAATATTGATTGTTTACTAATCTTTTTTTTTTTTTTTTTGAATATAGATGTTACCTTTGGTGATAAACCATATCGATTATTGAGCCATTTCGAACATAATGAAGACTCCATCGAGGCAGAGAAGGTCCATATCATTCAGAAATTAGATGAAATATTGACGCAGCGGGAGATCGATGCTAATGGAATTACCAATGAAGATCTCGATATCTACTTGGAGCAGCTGGAGGAAGAGAAGAAGAATGACGATAACTACATGGATCAAGCAGAGATGAGAGATCATCTCGATATTGCAACTAACGGTGTCATTCAAGATAATATCAACTTTATCCTTGCCATGGGCAAACACTACCGCTTTGACAACTCCAGTCATCGTAGATCGTTTATAAATCAAAACAGCAACCTCACAGTCCAAGACATCTTGGGAAACGTTAACTACCAAGACACCAGTGGTAGTATCGTCGATCTCAATAACAGTATTACAAAGAGTCGCATCGATAGTCTGAGCAACAGCGTTGGTAACAGTCCTAGGAGTAATCTCGAGAGTAACGGTGGTGTTGGTGCTGGTTCTGAGAGTATAAACAATAGTCTTGAAAATACTTTGAATGGTACTTTGAATGGTACTTTGAATAGTACTTTAAATAGGAATAATAGAACTAATAATAGTAGTGATAACAATAGCAGTAATAATGATGATAATAAGAATAATCATAGTGATGAGAATTACAATAATATCAGTTTAAATTCTACTACAAGAAAGTTTACAGATAGCAAAGATATATTGAACAAAACCAATAATCTCAAAGATTTAATTCAAGACTTTAATGCATCAAAGAATAAAAAATAATATCATGTAGATTAGCTTACTAGTATTGTTTGTTTAATAAAATAAACTATTTGTTTTTTTTTATATACTGTTGTCTATTCTTATTTATTTATTCTTTTCTGTGAATTTATTAAAGCTTGTTAAGAATATACAAACTGGTAGATAATTGAATATCTTTGATTGAAAGTAATGAATTGATATTAAATTAGCTATCAATAGTATTGATTTTGTAATAAAGTCTGTAAATGGCTCTAATTTCATATTGCATATTAAAAACAATACATATATTGTTTGGAATATCATTATTAATTGAAAGATAAATAAAAGACCTTCTTGATCGAAATGAATAGTCTTTGATGTTGTTGATGATTCAATTATATCATTATCATTATTATTATTATTATTATTAGATTGTATTTGTTGGTGTTGTTGTTGTTGTTGTTTAACTTTCTTTTTCTTCTTTTTCTTTGTTAAAACTTCATCTGAGTATAATTGCTCATTTTCATCATTATCTTCTTGTTTCAACTCTTCTTTATTATTATTATTATTATTATTATTCGGTTGTTGTTTATCTGTCATGTTAATTTTATCATTATTACTATTACTATTACTAATACTGTTGATTTTCTCTTTATTATTATTATATTTTAAAGAGAAAGAAGTAGAAGCTGATGAAGAATAGTTGATGGTTTGATATAAAAAGTAAAATATGATTACTAAGGAGAAATGTGAACCTAACGATAAAAGATGTAATATGAAGATCCTACTATCTAATGACATTGGACTTGAGAGTGGATGAATCGGTACATTCTGAAGATAACTTCTGACCACCATCCAGAGCAATGAAATCACAATAAATATGAACAACCATGGAATATCGGTTAGATAACTGAATATACTATTATACTCATTCAATATCTCTTTCTTATATAATGAAGATATATCGATCACTATTATTTTGCATTTAAAGAGTAAATTGTTGATGGGTTAACACAAATTTTATGAATTGATAATTCATTCAAATCGATTGGATACTACTTACTTTGTTGCTGTTGTTGTTGATGTTTTTCTTTTAAATTATATTGTTGTTGTATTGATTTGATGGACTTGGATGTATAGTAGATTACTTGGAGTGTATAGATTAAAATTGTGAATGTAATGATTGAGAGTAACCTAATGAATCGATGGTTGAACAATAGAGTATAATTGATTTGAATCGGTTGTCCCAGTTCAATCTGTTTGGTGATCGATATATCAACTATGTTATTGCTTGATTTGGCAATGCTCTCGATACTCTGTATGGAGGTTGATGTTATATCTTCATCCAACAGATACTCTATCCATCGTAGTACATTGGTAACCTCCAACACCGACCACAATAAGACAATGACACCAACAGCACCAAACATCTTTTCCAATTCTCTGATAATCATTCTCTTATTATTATATGTAACCAATTGTTTTAGTTGTTGTTCTTTGCTATTTTCATCATTATTACTATTATCGCTAACACTACTACTACTACTACTACGATTATTATTACTATTATTATTTACTAATTTAATATAGATAAAGTAGATTGCCAATATAATCAATACAATCAAAAGGCTTGAAGATAATTCATTTCCATTTTGATATCTAAATGGATAAACATCAAGATATCTCAATGTACTTGACATCTTACCTCTACCTCAACAGAAGATCACTAACAAATATACAATTACAATTACAATAATGATTTTAGTTTCTAGTTCGCTCTAAAAAAAGAAATGATTTGAAAAAAAAAAAAAAGTATTTAAAAAAAAATCTTGAAAAGTTTTTAATTAATTCAAAATGTAGTGATCAAAAAAATTTTTTTTTTTGAACATTCACAATCGTAAAGTAGATACATTATAATATACAAATACATTGCTATTTTCACCAATTATCACGTAAAGATATCACCAGTACTAGTTTCGTAATGAATAAAATAGGGGCAATAAAAATAATAGATTTAGAGTAATATCTCTCGGTGTCAATATAACTAAAACAAATAAAAACAACCCCTTTTTTTTATTTTATTTTATTTTTATGTGTCTTATGTAACTCTTGCAGTGACTTGTTGAAGATGATTTACTTATACTTTTTGTTGACGGACTATTGTCTTCTTCTACACTGTCAGCATCGACATACAAGGCAATAACTAATATAATAATCTCATCTTTAAATCCTACAAGCATATTGATTTGAAGTGCTTTTTTTTTTTTGGAACAGATAACCTGATCACACATGTTTGAACTATGATCATCACCCAACATTCGAAAATTTCGAATGACATATTTATTAATTCATACTAAATATACCTTAGCACACATAATGAATTTATTTAGTAAAGAATTTAATTTACAATTTGTTTTGATGAACATATAGAGCAAAGGGGAATAAAATTGTATTATTTAACAAATTATATTATAATTATAATTACTATTTAATATTAAATTGTTTTTATTAATATTATTATATATTTTAAGTAAAGAAATGGAAGATTGTATCTATCATAACTTGGAACAAAAAATGGTTTGCTTAAATTGCAATACTTTTTTTTGTATTGAGTGCACATCTCAACATAGAAATCATTGCATACATCATGTTGACTCAATTAGAGAATTTTTAGAAAACAACCATTTAATCAATAATTACTATTTGAGGAAAGCTAATGCTCTTCATACAGAAGTTTTGACAGGAATGGATAATTTAAGAGATTTAATCACTGAAAACTTACATCTTAGAGAAATGGGCCATGTTATCAATGAAGTAGAATTATCGATCTATGTTGCCAATGAAAGGGCGAGATTCCATCGAATGCTAAAATCCTGTGAAGATATAGAACAAGATAGGATTGAGGCTCAATTAAACTGCTTGAGAGTGGGTCATTTTTTCACTCTTTTATACAATAACCCTGAAAATCACTTTAACATGGACATTTAATTAAAAAAAATTAAATAAAATTTCCCAATAAATCAATTTTTTAAATAAAATTTTACATTCCACTTATATAAATTATGGAACTACAAAAAACATGTATATAAACAAACCAAATGATTAAAATATTCCAAAATACTTTTATTAAAATATAATCTAAAGTTTACATTGATTGTTCAAGAATTGGTTTGATATCGATTTTGGACAAGTAATTTTCTATTTCTTCCTGGGTGATAATGAGATTGTAGTTGATTCCAGTGAGAAAACGACGCTCCATTATATTAATATCTTGAACTGGGAAATTGAATATGTCTGCAAAGATACTATTATAGATTGGCGGGCCCTCAGACCAGAATTTGAGGGTTACTATGGTACTCGTCATTAACAAGTTGAAAAGTTGATTAAACATTATTCCAGCTCTACAAAAAAATTTATTCGCATACAAGACTACAGAGTATAGAAGGGTTGGAGGAGCATTCATCATCTTCAAAATACCTAGAACAATTTTAAAAATCTCATTTATATCTTTCAATTGTGTTGAGGTGAGAAAATTGTAAGAGTAGTTTGGATCGTCATTTGAAAACCATTTTTTATACACAAAAGCTAAGAACAACATATTCCTTTTTCAATATTTGTTTTACATCTGTATGATTGTAAAAATAATTGAAAATTTTTTGGTATTCTATTTTTTTATTATTTGATATACAAGACATATCTGAATTTATGTTTTTAGTTATTAATATTCTTGGTGTTTTTTATATTTATCATAATTGTTTTAATGAAATGATAAAAAAATAATCAATATAAAGAAATATTAAACAAGAGTGGTCAAATGAAGCATTTATTAAATAAACAACATTTTTTAAAATTAAACTTCAATTTTTAAATATTTAAAAAGTACAGTTTAATAAATATGAAAGGAATTTTTAAAAAAAAAAATGAAGGGTTTAAAATTGTAAAGAACAAATAGAAAATTTCACCATACAGATTTTAATCTATTCAGGTTTAGTTATAAGATCTTAAAAAAATTTGTTTCAATAAATAACCAAGTTTTAGTGATTTAACTAAAAATGATATCAAAGACTTTGTTTCAAAGTCTAACTGAAAATTTACAAATAAACACATGCCCAAAATTAAACTATTTGATTTTTTTCAGAACACTGATCTCAAAAATTTAAAAATAGTGTGATGTGATTAATATCATGTGATTGGTTTGTGTTTCACAATTATTTTCATTGATTTATGCACCCTAAACAATCAGAAGACCAATCAAAAAAACTTTAATTTTTTTTTGAAGTTCAATGAAAACTCTATTTTTTTTTTTTTTATTGGGGAAGCACAATGTGAATTTTGATGATCATTTTTACTTGGTTAATATCATTAACGGGTAAAACTGTTGTTAAAAAAATTTTTTTTTATTTAAATTATTCTTTTTTTATCTTTTCTTTTTGTTTTAAAACAATACAACTTAGTTTAGTTCTTATATTTTTATAAACAATACATCATATTGATAGTTTCGCCCGTCAGAATCTAACCTGTTGGATATATAATGAAGCTAGAAATCATTGGTCAATATTGATGTTGTGTACATCGACACCAATCCAATCTAGTTGCCAGAAAATGAATCGATATATAGATGCCCCGCTTTCTTTTTTACGACACTCACATCAACCCATTCTGAATAGAAACTCGAAGCCCAAGTGTCAACCTCAAGTAGGAACTAGATTCAACCCCTATCGACTATCTGATATATTCCAATATCAAACAAGGGAAGCTCACATTAGACCCACTCAAATTGTCAGATTCTACACCATTTAATGAATGTAGATGACCAGATTTTCAACTCTAGAATGCCAAGTGATCTCCTATCAAATAGATGACAATATTGGATTAGGTAATGATATGTTTCCTTTCATTGCAATCATCCCTCAATCATACAGAAAGATCGTTTATATTAATAGTTTACACTCTTACAACAATATTCGTTAACTAACTACTAAAATAGGTATCGTATAAAGAGACCAGAAAAGAAAAATTAAAAATTGAACTCATTTGGAGTTAATAATAGTATCATTTAAACTAATTAAAATAGTAAATGTTATTCAATTTATATCTGTAAATTAACATTAATATTCTAAATGTTATTTTTTGATCGGTGTTTATTCTTCAACTTGTTTTTTGAAAATTTTGGATTTGGTTTGTATTGAAAACATCTTCTCATATCAATAGTTTACAACACCTTTCAAATCAATAGTTTATTTGCAAATGTTTGAAAAAATTCATTTTCCGAATTTCTAGGTCTTGGAGTAGGAGGTGCTAAGGCTTGTTTTTCATCAACATTTCTATTATTATTATTATTATTAATATTATTATTATTTAGAGCAGGTTTAACATTTCCAAGCAAACTTAAATTTAAAGGTGGAACAATTTTATTTTTTAACTAATGAAAATTAAACTTAATTAGAAATCTATAAATAAAAATAATTGCTCCCCTTATAATTTACCATTATTTGTATTTTTGGTTTAAAAGTAAAGATAAATAATCTTATAATGAAAAAGAAATTTTAAATTATTTTTTAAGCTTATTACTAAATTATTTTTACCTTATGTATTTTAAGCCTAATATATACAATTAAATCTCTAGATAATCTCATTTAACCTTATCATTTAATATTAAAATACAAACTTACTAATTTCAATATAAACAATGAAATACAAATATTAATAGAATTCAAAAAAATTCACTAACATCATTAATATTAATGTACAAAATTTGGTCATTAAAAAAACCACTTATATACTAATAGTTTGATATCTCATTTTTATCTCAATGTCTATATTGATTTTAATTTTTGTGGTAGGTGTGATCGTGGTGTATATATAGTAAATAATACTTTGTGAAACCACGTCGAATTAAGCCAATCGATTTTTATAAAATTCAAAAAGACCCAATCAAATTCGCTAAAATTTTTCTCTATGAGCATTGTTTATCTTTTTTTTTTGTCAATTTTTTTTTCTTCATTTAACCATTGTTTAATTGTTTACTTCTCCAATAGTCTTTTTAATTTTCATTCTATCGCTCTCTTTCAATGAAAGTGATCCATAGCTCCATAAATCTGAAATCAGCATCATTTGTATTCCTAATCTCTTTCAATATGGTAAGTAGAATGTTTATTAATAAATAATATCCATTGTAAAGTTATAGTCATTATCAAATCTCTTATAAACAAAACTAATTCAATTAAAAGTATATCTAAAGTGATACACCTTTTTATGAAAATTAACTAAAGATATCTTGACAACTCATGGTTGCCCAGGGTGACTAGCTAATGTTGTCTGAACTTATCAACTCAATTTACAAATACATTCAGATTGATGAATTCATAATGGCTAATAATGGACAGTGATGCAAGTTTTAGAAAATGAATAGAGAAAAACAATGAGAGGCATAATTTTTACTTTCCAATTATATTCATAATTTATTATAGAGTTGTTTAAAGAACATAGTAAAATAATATTATGTTTGGTATTGAAATAATGTTGGTGTTACTAAAGTGTGATAAATTAAATTACTAAGTTATATAACTACCAAAAATCTCTTCAAAATTTTAAGGTTGAAGTATATTATTGGTGTTTTTATTCATTTGTATATTAGAACAAAATTTTCCCTCAATTAAACAATATGATGTTATATGTGGTTAACAATAAAAAATAATACCAATTGTTTTTACTTTACTTCAAATTTATTTTATTTGGGATATAATCTCAATCGAATGGTTATAAATATTTATATAATGCATATATGGATGGTTAACGAAAGAATTTGTGGAGAAATAAATTTGATTACATTTTATTTTTGTATTTATAGAGTAGTGGAATTTGATCACTAGGCTGTTAACATGGTAGAGAGTAAATTGAAACATGATCATACTCACTCCTCTTATTTCACCAATCGTGGTTGATCGATTGCCGGCGATGATGCAACGTAGTCTTCTACTACTAAAAACTAGAGTAACTAGAAGAAACATCTCGCATCTGTACATAATCAGCTACACACATTGAGTGTTTACAAAAAAGGGTACAAATTTGATATGTCAGAGGATGATGTATACCCTTATTAATTTTATTTTTCAAAGGGTACAAGTGTTCCTTTATCATTCCTTCTTTTTTGGATTACTTTCAAAATTATTGTTTTCGTTGTACTACCCTTATGATGTATAGAAATAAGAGATAAATTTTATAAAAAAACAAAAACAAAAACACCAATTCATTCAAATACAATAACAATTGGTATTGTTAATAGGAGCCTCTTTTATATCGTAATATGATAGTTTTGTGGGATTATTGTTGATAAGTGTTTCACCAATGAATATAAATACTTTAAGTTGTTAAAATTTGGAGGAATAAAAATAACCCCTTTGTAGCTATCTTTACACACCAAAGAAATTAATACCAATTTTTGCCAAAACAATTTAGAGTTTATATTATTGTGATAAGTGTGTTTTCATTCTCAATATTCCAAAAAATGAATCGATAACCATGATAGTACTACACTTAAATTTGGGTTTAAAATAAAAACAAAAATATAAAGAAAAAAAAACAAATTTGATTGAATTATTTCCCACACACATATCTATATATAATAAATTTTTCAGAGTTACCCACACTTATATAATAAACATCACACTAAAATGATTTATCTTAAGGGAGTAAACCCTCATATGAACTGCTGTGATGAACAATTAATTAAATGTGTTTGTGATTGTTTTTTTTATCTCTTTTACTGTTAACAAAGTTTTTTAAAAGGGTCAATAAATGTTGTGTGTTTTCATATTTTTTCAATTACAATTAAAAAATAAAATAATTATAAATTATATTACACATCAAAAACAATCAAAAACATATTTTTTTATCTAATTATATATTTCTTTTTTTTTTCAATTAAAATAGTAAAGTAAAATTAATTCTATAATTACAATTTTTAAATATATAGAATGGATTTGAAAAAAATTGATTCCTGGTTTCGAAAATCTTGAATTAGGTATTAATCTCAAATTATCAATTAAACAATCAATTAAATTAATTTTCTTTTTTTTTTTAAACAGAGCCAACAGAAAACACACAACCAACACAATCATCAAAGTATGAAGATGATCGATTCTATTATGCCCAACCATCATTCGAAAAGAACTTTTCACATGATATTGTATTCTTTTTATCACCACCATCACCTACGTCAACTGATAATATAATAATATTAAATAATAATAACAATTATAATCAAAATAATATTCGTTATAATATAAATGATAATGGCGATAGCTTTATCAATATAAATGATTATATCACTTTAAATGAATCTTTTGAAAAGGAAGTTAGGATATATTCACATAAAACAATGATATTAAATGGTTCAGACTACTTTAAAAAGTTACTTAACGAAGTCTCCGTAGACACAACAGAAATAGAGATTGCCATCCCCAACGTGTCAGTAAATGTCTTTTTCCAAGTCTTAATGTTTCTTTACACTTCAACTCTGACAATTGAAATCGATACTCTCAATGAGATTTTTTTGGTTTGTGACGAGTTCCAGCTGGAAAATGCCAAAGAAATCTGTATAGATTTTGTCAGATCTATAGAAAATAAAGTATTGGAAAATTTTTTATTTGATGTAAGTAAATTTGACCTTTATATTACTTTGACTAAACAATAAACTAATAAATTTTTTAAATATTATATCTTTCTTTCTTTCATTTAGCAAAAAAAAACAATATGTCCTGAACTATATAGCTATATTGTTGATCAAGCTGTTGAAAACTCTACCTACTTTTTGCAGGTGAACAGAGTGCATAAATTATCAAAAGATGTACTTTTCCTCATCCTAAAGAGTGATGGTGTATATTTGAAAGAGATAGAGATATTCAATTCGGTTTTGGTGTGGATTCGTGCCAATATCGAAGGTGTCAAAATTGAAAGAATTGTCGATAGTGATATTTACGGTACATCAGAGAATAACAACAATAACTACAATAATAACAATAAAATAGTTAGAACACAATTGGAGGAGATTTTCCAATTTATTCGTTTCCCACTGATGAGCTACGAGGATTTAATTTCTGGCGTCGAACCATATCATATTATACCAGACCGATTGCTATTGGAAGCTTATCGATACATTTCAATGAAAGCACACTCAAAATTACCTCGATCCTCTATAATTATCAGCAACCATCGATTGAAAAATCGTAACATTACAACTCTTCAACCAGGTATCGATGTCTTCAGTATAGTTTGTCGAAGCCACAAGTGTTGCTCATCTGTTTTGTGGCCCATCAACAACTTTAAATCCATTAGGACTCATAAGCATGTCTCCAATACCTTTACAATGTTCGGACTCCAATGGAAACTGTGGGCCTATCCAGCAGGTGAAACTAAACACCCAGGTTCTATCTCGGTCTATCTAGAAGCGGTCAGAGTCTGTGGGAAGGAATCATTTGATTTCCTAAGAAAGATAACATTCTTTTTCTCTTTGGTCAACCAACATAATATATCATACTCGAAACATTACCCATCTTCACCCAACATATTGTTCAATAACCACAGGAGTGTTTGGGGAATTGGTTTGATCGATTTGAATTCACTCTATAACCCAGAATTAGGTTATTTAGATAATGGTACCGTTTGTATTGAACTCCATATTTTAAAATGTTATTCCATAAAAAGATAAACATGAAAATAAACATATCAAACTTTTTTTTAATCACTCCAATAACAATATTCCTTTATTATTTAATTAATTTAATTTGTTCAGTGATTGATCAATTTGATGATAAACATTGATTGATTCTATGCCATTCCCAATGGGTATCTATGTTTGTTGTTATTATGTTGATTATTATCATTACTCGAGTAATGTTTTGTTGTAACTGGTTGAAAGCAATGCTTGTTGGTGGTATTCTAAACATTGGAACAAGTCTAGATTGTCAGAACAATCAGTTGCAATGGCATGCTGAGGTATATATGACGGCAACGGAACCGCTCGACTACCGGTTGAATACTGATATATATGTATGTTGATGTTGCTACTGAGCTGTTTGGTGTTGAACCACAACAAACAGATCACTCGACTGCATACTCTTGTTTACTTAATTGCTCATATTGTATGAACCGATTCTGTTTGAATATGGTACCATTGGTTGCACTGACTTTCTGGTTTCGGTTTCGTTTGTTTGATTATTGATAGCATACTACATCCAAAGTGTCATGACAAAGAATTCTTAGAGAAAAAAAGTCAAACTGATCTGATATTGTTGTATGTGACACCAGAAACTCAAGCCAGCCAGAGAATGGCAGTAAGTTACATCTTCTATAATCGTTTTAACAATCGGCTATCAACTATATATGAGAAACCATTGTGCTATAAACGTTCTTTGTAATCTGACGTACAGGTATTAGGTTTTTTATAAGTTACAATTGGTAAGTAGACATTATTTAATATAGTTCTAAAGAAAATCATCAAATATAAGAGATTATCAAAACAATTTATCACAAATAGTTACAATATAAAAGAAAAATAACAGCAACAACAACAAAAAAACAATATGTTGTACAATCACCAATAACATGATGCTCAACATAAGTTTCTTTTAATCTGTATTGTTTGGGGATATAGACGGTGAGTGGTTTGATCAAACATTCAAAAATACAATACTGATAAGCATTTACTTGGTTTATTCTAAATATCGAATAAATATGTAATATTACTAATCTATTCTACTCTGTATATATATATGTATATATGAAGTGAAGTAATTGTCAAATATTTCAGAAAAACATAACAAGAACGGTATTTACGATGATCGAATCGACACTTACAAAAAGATTGCTGCTATTACATGTACTATTTAATAAGAAGAAAGAAAAAAAAAACTAACAAATGGGTAAATTGTTAGGCGCAGAAAAAGTGAAGATCAAAAAATAGAAGCGAGATTTAACTTGTATAATTATTAAAAATGTTTATTTGTTTAATAAAATTAAATATTGAATTATTTATTATTCTTCTTCTTCTTCTTGATATTCTTTAGTTAGTTGGGTTTTTTGCATGTAGTCACTGCAATGAGTCATCAAAAGATTATATAAACGAGTAGATTTCATGTAGTTTTCTTCGACCTCTCTTTTATCCTCCTCAGCATCTACTAATTCTATTTCTAGTAACCTAATTTTTTCTTTTTCCATTTCATAGTCACTGTCTTTGATTTTTGATTCTCCATTCTCCATTTTCTGTCTGAGATTCTCTCTTTTGGTATTGATTTTATCTTGAATGCACATAGCTCTATATGAAAACCTTTTTATCACCTCTACTACACTATCCATGTAAGGTTTCATATCTATTAAATAATGAATAAGATGTTCTTCATGATTTGAATCACAGTTAATACAGAAAAATGTTTCACAATAGATACAAGCAAAGTTGTCATCAAATTGATGTTGTTTACATAAATCCATTTTTAACTATTATTAAATTCAAATGTAAAGAAATAGTGTATAATAATTATATATTGATGTTTTAATGAAATTATATAAATATTCTTAGTTATTATAATACCAACAAACAATAACTATTTTTTTGTTAAACAATAATATGGATATCTACTTTGCTTCTTTAATATTTATAATCTCCTGTTCTCTCATTCTCTCATATTATTCGTTCCAAAAAAAAAAAAATGTTTATTAATAAATTATTTCATTTTAACCATACACGAAGACTTTATATTGAAAAAACAACAACTATAATTTAATGTGATGACCATAGTAAATTTTTAATGTTGGTGTACTAAAATGTTGTTAAATTAAATTATAAAGTTATATACGAATCTCTTCAAAGTATTAAGGGTTGAAGAATATCAATGGTGATTTAGTTTTATGTAAATTTTGTCTCTTTATTAACAATGTGATGTTTTATGTGGTTAACCATAAAAAGAAAATATATATTGTTTTTACTTTACTACCATTATATTTTATTTTGATTATCACACACAATCAATTTTTAAATAAATAAATAAATCAGTGTGGGCACAATCATTTTTAAAAAGGTATCACTTGTATGAAATTGTATTGGAATTTAAAGTTGTACAATATATTGTCTTGTTGTTTTCTTATTGTGGTTGAAGTGTTTTTTAGGTAAAGTGATTTCTATTTCAATTTAATTCGTGATGATTAGATGATAATGAAAATTGTGTATCTGAAAAATTAAAACATATATAACTCCTTTAACATCCTGCATTCCTATTACAAATTTTATATAGTTCAACTTATTGACAATTGAAACACTTTCTATTAAAAAGAAAATAGTATTGGCAATATTGTCAATCAATTTCGACTCTCCTCCCAATATTTCTGCTCGTTCAAATTCTTGAAAACCTTGGAATATTTAAATGTTACTTTATCTTTTTTAATACCCCCACCTAAGTTTTTCAACAGTTACACCTTAAATAAAATGAATACATCTAATGTTATATCGTAAAATACTATCAGTTCCTATTTAGGTAGTTTCTAGTTGATTTAGATTATTCAAAAAAAACCAAAAAAACCAAAAAATTGTAAAAGTGATTAGAAACAATGAAATCATCCCTGTTGGGATGGTAGATCGAAGAATGCAAAAGAGTTGTTATTAATACCATAGCAATTTAACTTCACTATGATAATCATTGATTAGAGTAACCTCTTATTACCAAAACATACTACTGTACTAAAAACAATAGATTTATTTAAAAAACACTTTTTAACATTGTTTTTAAATTAAATCACACATTAAAATAAAAAAAAAAATTAGTTAAAAAATAAAACTAAACTGCTACATTGGCAATCTTTTATGCTGTAACCATTGAACTATTTTGGATTTTGATCGTTCTCTCATATTAATTAAAATAAAATGACATTCATTGCATACTTTCTATTTAATCAAAAAAAAACAATTTATTAAACAATATTTGAAGAATGATCATTTACATTTGACAAATCCATTAGATAATAATACTTTTTAATATCAAAGAGGAATTCCTTGACATTGTTCATCTTTCCACGATTGTAAGCATTGTAGTTGATATTAGTCTGGCTGAATTGACCATCTTTGTTCGCTTCGAAACTCTTGTTTTCTCCTCCGTGTGAGTGGCCATGTGAATGGGCGTTGGTCATTTCTCTACGCTCAATGATTTGCTCGTAGGTTGTCTTGTTGAAAACGATAGTGAGAAGTTGCGAAAGACCGAGCTTACCAATCCAAGATGCTACAATTGGTCCGTATATCAAAAAGAAAAAGGTAACTGTGTAGTTGGAGTAGAAATATTTAATCCAATCGAGACGACCATCACTCCAAGCTGGACCATTCACATCCAAAGCGAAATAGTTCATGGTAATGACGAAACCAGAAAGTACCAATGTCACATAATTAAATACCAAAGCAATAAATAAACTTTGATTGTTGGCAGCAACGCAATTATTAATCCATATACAATGATGATCGAATCTGGCATTACATTGATTACATGATGGACAATGTTTTGATCTAATTGGTCTGTTAATCTAATATTATTTGAAAAATTATTAATATAAAATAAAAATATTAATATTACTATAATTTATACATACTAAACAAGTTGGACAAATTAAAGGTAATGGTTTTCTTTGTTCGAGAGCGGTCATGAATTCTTTGGTTGATGATTCTTGGCTGTGGTAACGACTTACTGCTCCGGCATCCATGAATACCAACTTTATAAAGTAAACAAAGAAGAACCACATTTGAATATTGATAAGGATGTGTGGTACCATGTTGGTAGAATATGTGGCTGGTGCCAAAACAAAAATATATAGAATATACCAAATTACATTGGAAAAGTATAAAATGGTTGGATTGAATGGATTATTGTTTTCTGGAATCCAATATTTAGAGGTGAGTGTATAGAATGAGAAATATCCAATGATACCGATGAGTGGTGCTGCCAAAACAAATGGTAAAGTACACAAAAGTACGATTGGAACCAACAAAGTCATACAACCTGCTGTAATCCAAAAATAATTATATTGTTTCTAAAGTAAAAAATAAATAATAATAATTGATTTGTTAATACAATAATGACTTGATATTTATAAAAATAAAACTTACAATCGAAGTAAATTTCTCATCTTGATCTTTTGATTCCAAGAAATCCATGATTTCCTGTAGTCCTTTTGATTTAGCGAGGTCATAACACATATTGGCATCCTTGTCGGTGGTGAATCTGTCAGCTTTCAAGTTGCACAACATCGATACAACTGCTTTGTGTCCCTTATGACATGCCCAGTGAAGTGCTGTACGTCCTTGGTCATCGATAGAGTTGATATCTATTCCTTTGAAAACAAAGAATCTCGCCAGGTTGGCATGTCCTTGATAGGCAGCCCAGTGAAGTGCTGTATGACCTGCGAAATCCGTAGAGTGTAAGTTCACTCCACACTCTAGAATCAGACGAATCGAATGAATCTGGTTGTATTGCGAAGCGTGGAGCAGTGAGTTGTATCCACGCTTGTCTACTTTGTGTGGATCGGCACCGGCATCTATCAAACGGTGTACTATGGTTGGCTCTGTGGAGATACATGCCCAATGAAGTGCTGTCTGTCCCTCGGTGTGATTCTCAATGTCGACCGATGCGCCATTGTCAAGGAGATACTGCACGAACACCAATTGTTTCTTCAGCACTGCGTAGTGGAGTGCGGTGTTTCCAGCGATGTCTACCATGTTGAGGAATGATTTCGTTGAAATTCCGGATTTCTCAATCATTCCTTGGTAGTCTTTGATGTTTCCTTGTTGAGCGACCTCCATTGCAATGAGAACGGTTGAATATGGCAGTGGTCCACTCCAAGGGTGTTCGGCAGCCTTCAACTGCTGTGTAGAGTATCTCTCAAGCAGCAACATATATTGTTCTCTCAACATGGGTGGCGAACTCTCGAGAATCGATGGTGTAACGATCTGAAGGTATGGAACCACCTCTGGAATACCACCAAATACATGTTGATGTGGTTTCTCTTCTTCCTCTTCATGGTGGTGTCCACCGCCATGAGAATGACCATGATCATTACCACCACCGCCACCATGAGAATGGCCATGATCATTACCACCACCGCCACCATGAGAATGACCATGTCCTCCACCATTTCCACCATGTGAATGTCCATGACCACCACTACCACTAGCATGCTTATTATCGAAATCTGAAAAACCTCCACCGAGTCCTCCACTTGGTGGGTTATATTGCATTGGTATCATTATTTTTATTTATCTTTAAAATTTATAAAATGATACCTTGTTTTTTTTTATTATTATAATTTTGGTAAAATAAAAAAAAATTAATAAAGATATAAAAAAAAAATAGTAAAGAAAAAAAGTATAGTAATAGATAACTATAAAACTATAATAATATCAATGGTTTAGAATTTCTCTTGATTAAGATGATTTCGATGAGGGAATTAATTGTACAAAAACGTCAGCAAGGAGTGATACAATCAAGTTTGATTTTTTTTTAGAAATTAACTGAAAAAAAAATTATAATTTTTAAAAAATAAAATAAAATACTTTTTACCCCATTTCTTTGATATTCAAAATTGTCTCAAACAGATAAAGATTCAAAATAAAAAATCACTTTTTTTTTTTTTTCGTTTTTTTGTTTTGTATAAACCCTGCAAATGAAATTTTCTTTTTTGGCAATGAATGTGGTGTTAAGGGGGTATAAATATTTATGTTTTTTTGATTTTTTTTTTAATATTAGATTTAATGAAATTTTTTATAAAAAAGCCCATTTTTATTTATTTAAGAATCACTTAATTTAATTTAGATAAATATTTTATCTTTTAATATTCAAATATAGATAGAATGATTTCACTGATAAATCAATCATTGAAATCAATTAAGAAATTAAATGTTACAAATTTAATTTATTTAAATAATAGTTGTAATAATAATAATAATAATAATAACAAGAATAGAAATTATTGTAATAATAATAATAATAAAAGTAGAAATATTGGTGAAGATGATATAGTTGTTGAATCAACTACTACTACAACGACAACGACAATCAAACAAAATGTACATTTGGGACCAAGTTATACATATCTTTGGAACAGTGGTCAAATTGGATCTCTAAAGAATACAGAGTCATTCAATATATCACCATCGACATCTGTATCGACCACACCAAACAACACTCAAACACATCATTCCGTATTAAATCTATCACTTGATCAATTAATTAATATGTATAATGTATGTAATTTTTATAAGTGGTATATAATATCACAATGACAATGCAAAATCTAATAACTATTCTTTTTTTTTTTTTTACTATTTTTTAGAATAGACATTTTATAGATTTAAGTTATGTTCCTACTTTGGATCCACAGGATGTATTCATAAATAGTGAATTAAAGCTGAGTGAAATTCAAGTGTTTGGTTTCGATTATGACTATACACTTGCCAACTACAGTGACCAGGTTCAGCATTTGATCTACGAGTTGTCGATCAACTACTTGGTAGACGAACTAAAGTATCCGACAGCATTAAAAGACCTAAAGTATGACGCCAGTTTTGCAATCAGAGGTCTTCACTACGATATGAAGACTGGTCTACTCATGAAGTTGGATTTCCTTAATAACATACAGGCCGGTGCTGTCTATTACGGAAGAAGATCTTTGAGTAAAGAAGATACCATATCTGTTTATGGTTCAATGCAAGTAAGTATTTATAATTAATTATTTATTTATTTATTACTATTATTACTACTCAAGTTTAAACACAGTCTGTTAACATATCTTTTTTCCGATTATCTTAGTTAAGAAAACAGTATTGTGAAAATAATTTAAAGACTATGAGTGATATTTTTTGTTTACCAGAGGCATGTCTAATTAGTGATATCACCCAATTCCTTAATGACAATAACTTTTCTTTTGAACCAAGAATCATCTATGACGACATCACCAAAGCAGTATCGAAAGTACATCTCAGTGGAAGTCTACACAATAGAATCATCAATGATTTTCCACTCTATCTAAACAAACATCCATTGCTAGGTAAGTAATAAATATCAATGAATCTACAAAATATATTTTAAAATTAATAACCTTTAATTAACAAATATATCCTATTAGGTGATTTCCTATTAAAGTTGAAATCTGCTAACAAAAAGGTAAGTAATAAAGAAAAGATAAATTCATTGATGGATATTTTAAAATTAACAAATCTTTTATTTGATAATATTTAATTATAGTTATTTTTATTAACAAATAATTCATTCTTTTTCGCTAATCGTGGTATGCAATATTTGTTGAATGATCAACTCGGTGGAAAATACCATGATTGGACAGAGCTGTTCGATGTAATCATTACACAGTGTGACAAGCCAACATTCTTTGGCCGTGGTCGTCAATTTAGATCGTTCGATATCAACTCGGATGAGAGATACGATTGGAGTAATATCACAGAGTTCAAGCCTGGAAAGGTGTATGTAGGTGGTAGTCTAAATCAGTTTACCAGCATCAGCAAGTGGAAGGGAAGAAGTGTAATGTATTTTGGAGATCATCTTTTCAGTGATCTCGTTGAACCATCCACAAGAGAAGGTTGGCGAACCGGTGTCATCATCAAAGAATTGGAGACTGAAGTAGAAATTCAAAACTCTCCAAAATACAGAGAGAATCTTGCTCAATTATTACAGGTATTTATATATATATATATTTTTTAAACTATTATTCTTTTTATATTAATTTATACTTATTTTTATAGATCGAGGATACAATGAGAAAATGTCAATTCTTTAGTGGAAGAGAGAAAGATGTATTTTTAGAGGCATTAAAAACTGAAAGATATTCCAAGAGATTGGCATTGAAAGAACCTTTCAATCCAAATTTTGGTAGTCTATTTAGAACTCATACAAATGCAACCATGTTTGCTTATTCTTTACATCGTCATGCCGATATCTACACCTCAAAGATTGAAAATTTAATTTCATATCCATTGGACTATGTATTCTACCCAAGTCGTAATTATTTACCTCACGAATTCAAACTAAATTAATATAAAAAATGTTGTTGTTAGAATATTAATACCAATAATTGACGGAAAGCATTGGTAAAAAGACAATTCTATTGTTAATAAAATAAAACATTGATTTGTTTTTGGAAAAAAGACAAAAATAACAAATTTATTTATTATTTTATTTTTAACATTGGGAATAGGCAGGATTATAACAACCACCGGTTCGATGACAATAGATTGTTCCTTGATAACAAACAACTCCATATTGACAACTAGAGAATGCTGGGTTGTAGCATACTCCATTACAATTGAATAGACCAGCCATACAATCATTGGCTTGCTCTACATTTTCCAATTCATTTTCATTTCCAAAGCATACACCAATTAAAAGAATACAAAAGATGATAGAAAATATTAATTTCATTTTTATATAATAATGAACATTTGTGATTATTAGAGTTATGATATATTGGTTTCTAAATTACAATTTTACAACTTAATTTAATTAATTAATTAATTATACAGGTTCTAACTTGAACTTTCAAAATACGTTTTTCATCCTGATTGAAGAATAAAATAAAAAGAATCTAAAATCTTGAGTATAAAAGTATTAAATTAGTTGTAAAAATAAATAGAAATTTTGATTGGTTTAAATAAATCTGTATTTTTTTTAGTTGTAAAAACGTAATTTGATAATCTTAATAAGATGATTATAAAAAGTTCATAGAATTTCTTACTTGATTCATAATTTATTCTTTAATGGTAAAAAAAGAAGTTCTATAAATTCTATTTTCAATCCATTTTACTAACTCATTATTTGTTTTTTAAATATAAAAAATATTCAAGAAAATGAAAACAATTATCTTTTTAGTTTGCCTATTTTTTATTGGTGTTTGTTTAGCTGAAGAAGAAGCAGTTGCTGTAGTTTGTTCTGGTAATCAAAGAGTGAGTATCAATATTTTTTTTTACTTATAAATTTTTTACTTTTAAATTTTTTAACATTTTTAAATTAAATTATTAAAAAGGCTTGTGGAGCTTATTCATGTTATGATCCTACTTCTCAACAATGTTACGCTGGAGGACTAGTATGTGGCTTTTTCCAAAGAGCGTAAGTATTTAAAAACAATTTTTCTATAGATAAATATAAATCTCATTTTACATATTAATAATTTTAAAATAGATGTGGAAATAGATGCTACGATCCTCAATCTCAACAATGTTACCCTGGAGGACTTGTTTGTGGCTTTTTCCAAAGAGCGTAAGTATTTAAAAGACTTTTTTTTTCATAAACTGTCTATATTAATTAAAAATATGTAAAATAGTTGTAGAAATCAATGCTATGACCCCTTCACTCAAACATGCAATTAATTGGTTAAGAATATTTAAAATGAATTATTCTCAATATAAAAATAAAATAAATATGTTTATTCTATTCTGAAAAAAATACTACATAATTGAAAATGTACCTGATTTTAGAACAGTCTAAAAATTTTTATTTTGTGAGCGGGTTAAATGAGTATATATGATTCCTAATTTAAAAATATATATTTAAAAAATCTGGAATATCTTTTCAATATTGAAAAAAGAGGAATTGTATAGATTATAAAAAAATTAAATTAATGGAAATTTAAAAAACGACTCTTTGAGCTTAAAATATTAATTAATTCTATATATTTGTATTTATTTTGGAATAAAAACAATTGATTGAAGTTGTATTCCTTTGCCGGTAGCCACGAAATAAAAAGTGTTATTTGTCTCACCGGGCTGTAATTGAATTTCGTAGGCAGTGTCTGGGAAGACGCTTTGGTCTCTGACATTTGCTTTGATGGTGAAGGTTGCCAATGCCGGATCTTTTGCATCTGGTCCTCTTTTCAATGAAAGTTTTCCTTCGTTTGGTTGATTGGAGTGAACTCGTAAAAATATTGTGAATTTCTTGTTGGCTTTGTAGTCACTATCGAAAATAAAAGATAGATAACCCTTGTCGAATACGGTGACAGCATGGACACCTGGCATGACAAAGTCCTTGAAGAGGAGAGCGTTTTTATACTTCATTGATTTCTGAGCATCTATAACGGTTGCTACATTCCTCAAAATCAAATTGTTACTGTAGACATCCATTGGAACAAAGGCAACTTGAAAGGCATCAAGAGCAGATTGCCCGTCGACACCAATCTTTTTGTTCTCACTCCATCCAATCATATCACCGATTTTGTGTGAATCCATTTGCCAATAGACGCTGTTTAATTGACCTCCATTATTATAATAAGTATTACAATAAGTTTGTCCTGGTCTATCGAAGCATGGAACAGCCATGAAATTAACTTCACCAGCTCGATGAGTTGTATTATCATAGACTATAAATAAAAGAAAGAGAAAACATTAACGGTCTGATTATATATAAAAAGGAAGTTATTTCATGACTTACTTTCAATTAATTGGGGGAATACATCCCAAACTACTAATACACCAGAGGGTCTGTAGACAGTACGTTGAATATCAATGGAAACGTAACCTCCAGATGGAGGTGATGGATTGCCAACAGAAAGACCAACACGTTTCTTGTCGGGCTGTGTTTCATCCACGTAGGTAGGTTGAATACTCCAAATCCATTCGTACAATTTATAGCCAATCTTAACACTGGCAATTTCACCACGGTATCTCTCACGCTCAAGATAGTCCGCCATTTCAATGAGACGCGCGAGTGTTGGATCGTAGTAGGATCCGTCGAAAGAAGGTGTTTTTTGACGGTCAATTGGCTGTCCAAGCACATCAGAGTACAAATATCTGACACGTTCACCATAGGCAGTGGTGGGGAACAGAGTTGAGTTAAAAGTCCACCATATAGCAGCGTAGTCCATTACTTGTGGAATCATAGTACGACGATAACGGTTAATCTTGTTCAGAGTGGAGGTATCACGGTCTGCTTCGGGAGTTGCATCCATAATCTTATCATAACCAGATTTATAGGTATCCTTTACATATTGGAGATACGATCCCATACGTTCATCATAGTAACGCTTGAACTTGTCGAGTTGGCCCTGTGAGAAACCCCAAGTAACACCGTTTCTCTGTAGATCTACTTGCGCCATAAAGTAAAGAGTGGTAGCCAAAGCAAATACTGGAAGTTCAGAGAGTTCCCAACCCTTCTTTCTCAGTCCACCATTTGGATCGAGACGTCCACGAAGATCTTTTTCCAATGTCGTGAAATCGGTACGAACCGCTTCGGAATTGACTTCTGATGGATCTTCATTGAAAACTACTACAGAGTCCTTGAAGGAAACAATGGAGGCATTGATGATCGTGTATTCGGCCCAAATAATAGATTGGTCGTATACTTCAATCTTTTGGTCGACTATCTCCTTCACCATTTGAATGTAGGCACGAGTGATAGCATCGTTTTTATCTTCGGAATTGTTTTCGATAAAGGCAGACCAGATTGAATCGATAAATACTGCAGCAACGGCAGTTACTGGATCGAACGCCAGGAAACCTACGACCATCGCTTTAAAAAATTCGGTCAGACCAATACCTATGGTATGTTAATTTATAATTAAATAAAAGAGCTCATTAGTTAATTTTATCTTTGCCATCACGTTTTTCCGATATTCAAACATACCATTTCCTTCGCTATCTCGGAAAGGTGTAGAGACTGGCGAGATATATTCATTGATGAAATCAAGATTGTTCTTTAAAAACATTCTCTTATCTGCTTCCAAAGCTAGAGGTCTCTGTGGTTTCTTTTTCTTTTTAGGTTTTTTAGCTGCTGCATCCTACATTATAGTAAAATAAACAAATAGAAAAGTTAATAAAGATTATATTCTGTATTTTCTTAAAAAGTTTGTTTAAAAACTTACAGCAACATCAATAAATAATTGTGCACATATCAACACAAGAAAGAATAAAGCAAATGCTTTTCTATTCATTCTATATTATATTATAATATTTTAGTTATTATTTCTATTTACTAAATTATAAAATAACAAATTTGAAATAAAATAGTAATGTTGTTGATTTTTGATTAGGTAAGAAGAAGGTAGAAAGAACATAAACTAAAAAATATCTGTGAATGAATTAGGACAGATCATGGTTTGTTAGATGACGATCGTGTTACTACTTTGCAAAAGTATGAGATGATATCACAATCGATTGTGTTTTATGACTAGTTAAGAAAATATTTAGCTGAAGGGCAACTAAAATAATCTTGTGATTTAGATTTGCAAGTGAGTGATGCTGATGCTAGTCACAATCAAGACATTGGACCCATCAGTTCGCGATGTTTAATCGATAGAACAACCGAAGTTGCTCTATTCGAATTAGATATAATTTGATTTCATTTGCAGAGTTGAACAAATAAAAGAACTATAAAATGAATCTGCTAACTAAACAAATTTGATAAACATTTTTTTGTAAAAAAATTTTAGAGTTTTTAGTGAGTTGATCAGGATACTAATCAAAATAAAAAACGAAAGGTTAAATTAATTAAAGGGTTGTGTTTTGAAAAATCTGTGCCACAATTTTTATTTTTAGATTTGTGCAGCTGAATGATGGGCTGTGAAATGATTCTGATCGTACGATTTTGAGTAGTGTTCGAATCCTATAAAACAATCGCTTTGCAGATTTCAAGGTACCTTGAAATATTTGAGTATCCGCTTATCATCATCTGCAAATACAAAACAAAAAAATCCAACAAAATATATATGCACTAAATTTTTCAAGATCCATCATAATGATCAAGCTATAATTCTATTTAGATTCATTTATTTATTGTGATTATAAATTATCAAATATTTGTCCCCTTCTAACTTTTAAAATCAAATAAAATTCATTATCAATAACAAAAATAAAGATGAAATATTTTTATTTAATATTTATTTTATTTATTACATTATTTATAAATTATAATGATGCTGCTGTAAGTAATTAATTAACAAATGGACAAAATTAATAATATTCATATTAATTTTTAAATTTAATTTATAAAGAGTAAATTCCAAGTACCATCAAAAAGAGTGTATATGAATACTCAGAACAATTGGTTCAATAATATTTTATTGAATGGAAAAATTGAAGTTCCAAAAGAATCTGACGATATCACTTTGATGGAATACTACAGAATGCTTTCGGTTAGTTTGTATTCCAGAAATGAAAACGTTTTATCTGTCATTCTCGATGAGATTTGGCATTCAGTTTTTATCAATGAAACTGCGCCATATGGAAATGGTGTATCGTTGCCATTCTTATCCATGATGAGAGATCTCATTGATGAAACTACCACTCTCTACGATACAACCAATACCCGTGCCAAGTTTGATTTAATCTATCAATATACCACCGAGTTCCGTACTGCCATTGACAACTTCAAGTTGAATCCACGTGCTCTTGGTGCCGTCCGTGAATCATTCGAACAACTCGAGGAGCTTTTCACGACACAACTTACCGACGGCGTAGGATTCCGTAAGCCAGCCAAGCAACTCCAACAAATTCCAATATTCACTCTTACTGCTACCAGTCATTTATTCATGCTGTCAGAGGTCATTCGTTATGGACAGAGTTGGGGATACACAGACACCGAGCTGCTTGCCTACCAATCAAAATTAGACCTTAAACTAAGAGAGTATCTCGAGTATGTCAGTGATACCTATGACGTAGGAGCTTCAGCACTCTTTGAAGGTGTCGATCCAGAGGATATGAATGCCGACGACTATGAGGTATTTATTCAATTCAAAAATGTATACATTCAAACTGTATCCGATTTTGCAATGAACTGGTGGATGATGGATTCAAAATTAAAGAGTGGAACATACGCTGAAAGAGTTCGTTACCTCTTCTCTGATATCGTTGGATTCAATGTTGATCCAGATGTATCGGATTTCAATGGATATTACAATCCGACTTTCGATAGAGTCTTGGAGATGGCAGAATCCGCTGATATCAATCGTTTCAGAGGTATTTTGAATTCCGCTGTATTTGAATATCAAGACCAACAATTTATCTTGTCTGTAAAATCGTTGTTCACAGACCCAGCCGACTATACATCTCAGGTAGTTTCCGATGTTCTTGGAGATTCGCCATTCCCAACGACCGAGATGAAGACCATCAATTTCAAGCCAACCTTTGGAACGCAATCCTTCAGTTACAGCCAAGATGCATTCCCAAGAATGATTTCCTTTATTGACAAAAAAAAATGCTCAAGCACCCAAGTTTGGAGCACTCGATTTGAAATCCAAGTGTAATTCCACCAGCGCCAAAGTATGTACCAATTATTATATTTCCAACCGTGGATCGCTTTTCAATGCAACCGAGCAATTTGGAAACCACAAGATCGGTAACATCTTTGGTTGGAATCTCAACACCCGTGCTCTCAGCTATCCAGTTCCCGATGCACTGACCGTTGCTTTCTTACCATCGGAAGTATTCGCCAACAACCTCATTGTCAAATCCATCGCGACGGTTGTCAATGCCCAAAAGTATTTGAGTCAAGACGGTACTGCTTTTCTCTCTGCTGATTACAATAATTTACCAGGCAGCCACGTAATGATGCTCGACAACCAGACATCGATCACCTACCGATTGGACTCTGCTTACAGTACACCAACTACATTCTCGCTTTCACTGCACTGTATACTCGCCGATAAAAGACCAGCTAGCATCACCATGTTAGATCACACCCAAACTCCAGTGGCAACATACGCACTCAGCTACACACCATTCCCACAGATTCTCTCAGCCAATCCATCGTACAACATCACCTTACATCCAGGTGAACTAAACAATGATTTCACCTTTATCGTAAATGGTGGTCAAGTTGCTTTACAATCTTTAGTTTTAACTCCACTCTAAAAACATTGACATAAAATAAACGATTTTCTTTAAATATTTTTTAACATAATAATGGAAAATAAAAATTAAAGTTTGGTGTTAATGTGATTGATTGAATGACACAATTTAATTGCATAATTGGTGGATACCTACTTTTTTTTTTTTTTGATCAGATCAATTTTTTTTTTCTTTTAAATACCTTTTCTGGATAAACTTAAAAATAATTAGGATATGTTTCATCAACCACAACAACAATCACATCATCATCATCATCATACACAACAGCAACAACATCATCATCATCAACATGGTAATCAAACATCACCGTTGATGGGTGGTGGTGGTTCAGGTAACCAGTCGAATCCACTGTCAGCTCTTCAACCACAAGACAATGTAAATACGTACGAGTGTAGTTTGCACGGTATTCTGACGACGCCTGTCAATCTGTTTGTTCAGCGAGTCAAAGGAATGATGCGTGCCGACCACAAGTTCTCCTATAAGGAGACTGTCTATCGATCGACCGTGGTATCGAGCGGACCGATGTGGGCAGAGAACTCTATCCTTCCATCAGAGATACACATTAGAACAGAGAAACCAAAGTCAACACGATCACCTAACCAGATGCAATCTACAACCAACGCGAAAGACAAGATGAGTGCACGTTATGTCGGTGTGCCACAAATCAAAGATAAAATCAACGCAGTCATTAGAAATGTTGTAGACATCAGTGTATCCGACAAATTCATACAGCTCATCGAGAACATGGGTTATGTCAAAGACTATGAATACTATGTCGATGGTTTCTGCTATAGTACTTATTATGTATCGTTGTATATCGTACAACATTCAAGGTCATTACCTGTAAGTCTATGAAAATCAAATTATAACTATCTAACTATCGAATTTTAATTAAAACTAATTACATTATGTTGCGTTACCTTATAAAACAATTAAAGGATGGATCACAAGGAGAATCATTAACAAAGAACAGTATGGTTGAATTACAATGTCTATCAGGTGAAGAAGGTTTTAGTCAAGCTGCTGATTATTTGAATACTTATGCTGAATATTTATATCCGTTTGTATTAATCATTCAATGATTACTTTATTTATATATACTAACAATACTTACTGTAATACTGTTTAACCTATAGTTATGTTGAACTAATAAAATTCGATCTAAGAAAACAACAGGCACTTCCTCCTGGATCATCACATCATATATAATAAAACAATAAACAATGTATATAAACTTAAACAATAATAATAATAGTAATAATAATAATCATAAAGACAATTACAAAAGTAATCAATTGATTGATTTATAGGTTAGGTTATAACTTGGTAGATTTAGACTTTTGCTTTATTAATTCAGATGCTCGTTTTCTTTCTTTTTCCTCTCTTGCCAAACGTTCAGCTCTTAATTCTTCAATTGATTTATTCTTTTTCTTTGTATTATCATTTGATTTAACTTCTTTACTTTGATTATTATTATTATTATTATTACTATTTTTATCTGTACCACTTGGTTTATGACCTGTTACTTTATTTATAAATGTCGATGGATCTTCTTTCGAAAGTGTCCAACTTTCTCTTTTCCTATTGATTATCAAAAAAACAATAACATAGTTAGTTTATAAATTTATAAACATATGATAATATTAAATATAGTTACAGTTTCTTTCTATGTTTATTTGTGTTAAGTTCGGCAGGATTATCAATGTCTTCCAGTGGTTGCTCCCATCGAGCAGTCTTTTTTGAGAATTCCAATGATCCTTCTCCCAATGGTGATTTATAAATGACATTCTCTTCTTTTTTCTTTATATTATAATTATTATTATTTACATCTTTTTTCATATTATTATTATTATTATTAGTACTATTATTAACGATATCCTTAAACAATTCAAATCTTTGAATTGGTTGTTCAATTGTTGTTGAGGATTGTGTTATTGTTGTTGTTCCATTGTTTATGTCATCGTTAATAATATCTCGGGCAACTTGATTATTATCATTATCAAGACTATCATTGTCTGTTTGATCATTTTCAAATAGCACGGCTTTCTTACTCTTTAAAATCTCTATTCTACGTTCCTGTTGTATTTCTATTTCACGTTTCCTCTTTTGTTCATCTTTGATTCTGAGTTCCTCTTTGTCTCGTTCTACTCTTGCTCTATTCTTTGCATTCCAAACATTCCAACTTTTTTGCGGTAACAAATTCATGATTATCCACTGCTGATGCTGCTATCGATCTCTCCCCTCTACCAAAAACAGTCCAATTAATTACTTGATAGATATCAACCAACTACCACCAAAAATTTATATTTATTTTTTGTAAAAAAATAAAACTAATAAACACACACACAAACAAACACACAAATTTGATATTTATCTACTAATACAAGTTAAGATATATTATAATTGCAATTATATTAATTAAATAATTATATATATACTATTTATATTGGTATTATATTACATTTTTTTTGATATTTTAATATTAAATCTTTTTTTTTATTTTTTCAAAAAAATAAATTAAATTTGATATTTTTTAATTTTTAATTGCTTTCTATTGATAAAATTCTATCTATCTAATTGTAATAAATATTTTTGTTTTAAAATAGAATTTTATTGATAATCATAATAGTATAGAATAGTATATTATTATTAGTTAAAAGCTATTAAACATGTTGGTAGATGAAGATGATAAATTAAATGACGAGAAGATGCGAGGCATTGCAAGAAAACTGTGGATTGCCGGATTCTTCTTTTTGCCTTGGGTATGGATGATCAATATACTATTCTTCTTACCACATAGAAAAGTATTATCACCTGCTATCATTTGGTGTAAGTTTATAAAAACAAAATTAAATAAATAAATAGATTCTACTACTTTAACCAGTATAGAGAACCTGTTTATAAATATATCATTACAAATATTAACATAGATATTCAACGATTATTATTATTATTATTATTATTATTATTTTAGATCTTAAATATTCATTGATAGGATTCTTTGTATATACAGGTATATTTATGACATGGATGGGTATCTATCTTGTAAATAGAAATAAATGGGGTGCATTCGGTGACAGTATCTCAATTACAGTTCCATTTGGTTAATTTCAATTGGATATTTATTAAGATAGAATAGAATAGAATAGAATAGATAATAATATAGTAGTATTAGTTTGTAATATATTTATAAAATGTCATGTCAGCATCTCTCAAACTCCAATGAATTCACCTTTACCTAAAGACAGTACAAAAGAACTTCTTTTGTAACAACAAACAAACAAACCAAACCAACCAACCAAGCAAAACAAACAATCAAACAACAATATCTTTAAAATTGAAGCGATGAATGACATGAATCAATATTTTTAATATTAAATTAATAATAATTAAATCAATAAAAGTTAATTTAACATTATCATTAAAAAATACAAACAAACAATGATTTTTTTGAATTTTCTCTGTGGAAATCATATTCTTACATGCACTAAATTGATCAAACTACTAATTTATATAATATCTTTGTTTCGAAAATGATGAAGAATGACAACAACTTTAATGTCATGCTGTTGTCAACTCTATTATTGTAGTATGAAAGTTGAGTTGTTGTATTTATTTACTATTATTTTACTTTTATATTGCTGTCTATCTATCTATCTATATTAACATTCTTTTCCAACCTTTGGTTCATAATCTTGAACTCTTCTGATGGCTTCTCTAACCTTGGCAGCTCTTACATCGGCATCTTTAGAATAATCGGTTGATTCTTGTACTTTATACTATAATATCATTATGATTTTAGATTGCTATTAATAATTTATTCTTATTTTGCAAACATATATTTTTGTTTCTCTATTCTATCCACATTATTTAATCTATGTTTATCTATTGCTATGATTTGTCGATTTCTACTCTATTCAACCACCACAGTGTATATATATTATTGGTATTGTAATAATAGCTAAAGTTTGATCATCATTATTGTATTCTAAATCAAAGAATAACAAAAACAAATGGTTTCTACAATCCTCTCTATGTATATCTATATACTATGTATATCAAATTAAGTTGATAGGTGAAAGGAAATGAACATACTTCTTTAAGGTTATGCAAACACTCGAAATAATCGTGTCTGTATGGTTCGCATAATTCGATTGATTTCTCTGTTACACAAGTAGCAAAATCAGAGAAGATTGGGAAACAACGTCCTGAACTACCGTATGCACCGTATCCTGATGACATCTTAATATCTTTTGAATATAAATAATAAATAAAATTAAAAAAAAAAAAATAGAGTAATTGATTAAAAAAAATATTCACTGAGTGTCGATCATTGCAAAACTAATCATTTTTTTTTTCAAAAATCATATTTTTTGGTTATTGTTGATCATTAATATAATTATATTACATTACATGTTTCAATTTTGATGATCATCATTGTTTTATTTATTTAAATTATAAAATGTATTCTAAAAAAAAATTAAAAATGTTAAACTTATAGTTAATAAAAAATTACAATTCTAATAGAGGAATCTTTATTATTTTTGGATATATTTGATATCAATTAACTCGTCTAGTGACCACCTATCTTTATATCTTTGTTTTATAACAAGAGGTGTCGATTTCAAAAAGATATTAAAATGTTTACCGTTTTTTAAAAAAAAAAATTTTCTTCTTTTTAAAAAAAATTATTAAAAATTTAAAATCTTATTTTTACAATGATAGTGTTATTATTATTTAATAATTTTAATACCAATAGACTCGTATAGTTTTTATCTATCTTTATATCTTTGTTTTGTTTCCTAATGTCTTGATTTCAAAAAGATATTACACTAACCTTGGTAAGAAAAAAAAATTTTAAAGAAAAAAAATTATATTTTAATGATAGATAAGCGGTAATGAATAAAATGTTATTTATTATTAAATATTATATAAATTAAATATATATTATATATTTTAAGCTGAACATTGTTGACAGCTTAAGCATTGTGGAGCTGGGGTGTGGGTGATGGTACCGGTGCATGGGTCACAGACATCGAGGGTACAGAAATTGTTGTCGTTGATTTCATCTCTGAATTTTGGTTGACAGACACCATCCTTGGTACAGAATGACTTCATACATTTGTTTGGAATCTCACCACAACCACAGTCACAGATGTCACCTGGGATTTCGGTGTTGAAACACTCACCGCTGGTGGCATTGCATGATGTCAAGATACATGGGTTGGTGCTTGGCTTGCATTTGTCTTCGGACTTGCAACCATTTCCGCTGGCATCGCACGAGTAGATCTTGCATGGGTTGACGAAACCATCCAATTCGATGGCACAGTCTTCAGCGGACTTTGGAATACAGGTTCCGTTGGCGCATTGGTTTTGGACGTTGCAAACATTGTCGTTACAGGTCGATTGGTATTGGCATCCAGTGGTGGAGTTGCAACCCAAGCTGATCAAACATTCGTCGGATCTGTCGGCACATTGAAGTGGGACACAGGTACCGTTGGAACATTGGTCACGTGCATTACAGATGTCGCTGTTGCAGACTGATTCGTATTGGCATCCCTTGGTGGAGTCACAACCCAAGCTGACCAAACATTCGTCGGATCTATCTGGGCATTGAACTGGAACACAGGTACCGTTGGCGCATTGATCACGAACGAAACAAATGTCGTTGTTACATGATGACTCGTATTGACATCCGGTAGTGGAGTTACATCCCAAACTGACCAAACATTCGTCGGATCTGTCGGCACATTGGACTGGAACACAGGTACCGTTGGCGCATTGGTCCTTAACGTTACAGATATCGTCGTTACAGGTTGATTCGTATTGACATCCAGTTGCGGAATTGCAACCCAAACTGACCAAACATTCATTGGATCTGTCGGCACAGGTGACTGGAACACAGGTACCATTTGAGCATTGGTCCTTAACGTTACAGATGTCAGAGTTACAGGCTGGTTCGTATTGGCATCCCTTGGTGGAGTCGCAACCCAAACTGACTAAGCATTCGTCGGATCTGTCTGGACATGTGACTGGAACACAGGTACCGTTGGAACATTGGTCCTTAACGTTACAGATGTTATCGTTACAGGTTGATTCGTATTGACATCCAGTGGTGGAGTTACATCCCAAACTGGCTAAACATTCATTGGATCTGTCGGCACATTGAACTGGGACACATTTACCGTTGGCACATTGGTCCTTGACGTTACAGATGTCCTTGTTACAGGTTGATTCGTATTGACATCCCTTGGTGGAGTCACAACCCAAGCTAGCCAAACATTCATTGGATCTATCGGTACAGGTGACTGGAACACATTTACCGTTGGCACATTGGTCCTTGACGTTACAGATGTTATCGTTACAGAACTGACGGTATTGACATCCAACGGTGGAGTTGCAACCAAGAGTGTTCAAACACTCGTTTGTTCTGTTCAAGCATTGAACTGGAGTTGGGTCAAAGTTACCGGTGGCTGGGTTACAGACACGGTTGATACAGATATCGACTGGATTTGGATCGGTCTTGGCTTTGTGACCACAGTTGTTGGCGATTGGACCAACGATGGTGGCATTTGGTGCTGGACAGGTATCGATAGTACAGGCATTGTTATCGTTACAGGTGGTCAATGGATTACAACATGAGCTACCATCACCTTGGCAGACACCACAGAAATCTTTCCATGGACAAACAAACAACAAGTTGGTTTCGATCTTAATGGTACTTCCGACTGTTTGTATGATTTAAATTAATTAGATACGCATTCTTAAATAAATGATACTTTTTTTTAATTTACATACCTCTTTGACGCTCACAGAAGAACAAATCAAAGTTATAGTTTTGTCCAATAGTCAAACCAAGAGTTCTGGTGTCGACTGAACCTGCAGCTGGAGTGTGAACACCACCAAGGTCAATAGCCAATTTATTGTTAATGAATACCCAAACATCATCATCACCCTATTTAAATTTTCAAAAATTAATATAACAATTTTGTATAGATCTACTAATTTATAATAACTTACAACAAAGTTGAATACTTCAAATCCTTTGTAGGTGAAAAGAGTGCTCATTCTCATACAGAAATGGTAGTTGTGATAGACACCATTGTTATTGTAAATTCTCTTGGCTGGATCAACATCAAATCCTTTTCCATCAACTATTTAATTTAATTTTTAAGTAAAGTTAATATAATATAAAAAAACAAAAGCAAATATATTAAAAACTTACTTGGGAAGAAATTTTGGTTGTTGTAGACATAGATTTGTCTGGCAGTATCATAGGTAAATACCAAGTCCAAGTTGAGTGGGGAGTTCAAACCTGGAAGAGCAGCATTTTGTTGTGGAGCAAAGAAATATTTGAACAAGGCTGGATTCTTCATGCAACCTTGGGCGTTTTTGGCATCTGTTTATAATAAAGAGAAATTTCATTAATATTAAATTATTAATTTTACAACAATCAATATTTATAAAAATACCAGTGGCAACCAATGAAACCAATTCTGGAACACGAGAGGTAACATTCAAGTTTGGCTTGATCATTCCTGGGATGACACCACCATTACAGTTGGTTTCAAAATTGTTATTGTATTGTGGGAATTGATCATAAACTTGAACGGTGAAGGTCAAAGTTGATGGGTCTAAATTTTTAATGAAAAGAAAAGTAATAAAAAAAAAAAAAAGAATAGAATAAATTAGTATTTGAATAGAATTTTTATATTATATTTATATTTTATACATACTTTGTGAATAAATCACTGAAATAAATATTGAAAGTAATAAAACATATAGGATATTCATTTTTTTTTATTTATTTGTTTGGTCGATTTAAATAAATATTCGTATTTGTTGGTATATACGATTTTGTTGAAAATCATACCTTCTGAAGGTTCCTTTTATAGTTATTTTCACACTCTGTGTTTTCAATATATTACTAGTTTTTTGTTAATTTCAATAAAAAAAAACAATATCCAAAATAAGACTTATCGGGGGAAAACGAGTGGTGGTTTCATTAGAGTTCAAAATGATATTTCTGCAAACAACTTTAAAAAGTTGCCTCACTTTCAATTTATTTTAAAAATTAATGATTATTGGAACAAAAAGACTTCAGGCAGCTTTGTTGTGGAGTTTGATCAGTTCTGATTTTGGGTGGTGTGGTTCCCAAATGTGTGTGGAAATTTACAATTTTTTTTCAAAAAATCATTCAAATGTCGATTAAACAAAATTTTGAATCAATCACCTTTTTGAAGATATGAATATAAACAATGTTGATTGAAATTTGCAGTATTTTAAGTTTTGATTTGTTTTTTTTAAATAGCAAATTTTGGTGTACCAGAGTTGATAGTAAACAATGATTTGCATTTTAAGTGTTTTTTTTTTTGCACTCTTTGTGTTGTTGCAAATCATTGATTCGAATAAGATGATCATCACCACCGTTGTTTATTTTGTAGGTAAATTTACGTGTTGTGGTTGGTTTCGTTTAATACAATCACAGGATTGGTTGATTCTAACCACCATCTCAGATTCTAAAAACTGATTGGTCAGATCTTATCCAGAAAAAACTAAACTACGATCATATATGAAAGAGAATAAACAATGAACTACTGACTTATTGATTCATGGAATCAATCAATGTAAAACAAAAAGACATGTCTTGCAAGTATCTATTTGATTTAAAATGAGTATACACTACTATTGGGTATTAGTGTTGTTGTTGTTGATTTTAGTTTAAATACTATACAGATAAATGATGGGTTCTATTAATTAACTGTTATTATGTTTGTTCCCTTTATTGTTGTTTTGCAAAAAAATAAATATATAAAAACGAAAAGTAAAAATCTACCCACATTCAAAGATTCCCACAATCATATTTCACACTATTCAAGACCAAGAGATCCCTTTTGGGGGAAACTTAAACACAGCGCCAGAGAAAATAATTTTCTAATAATATTTTAGTTTGCTAAATAAATAAAGGTTACATAATGATATTATTACTACAATCAATCTCTGTAGTTAGTTAAATATTCTTTATATTTTCTTTAGTACTATTCTTAGGGTACTCTTTGATTAATTAAATGCTTCATCGTTTTTTGTACTATCTTGTGTATTAATAATAATGAACATTCAAAACATAAACCGCTAAATTTATTCTATCAAAATGATTGAATCAGCAACATGAGTGTCCTTTCTCCTTTAAAAAGGATTAAAAAAAAAAAATTTCTAATCAAAAATAAGGGTGTAGGAAAAAAGGCTATTTTAAAAGATAATGAATAGTTTAACAAACTTTATTTAGAGTATTATCTTTGAATGAAACTGATTTATAAATTTGAAGAACAAAGAAATAAAACTATTAAAATATTCATTTTAAGTATAGTAATACTACATTCTTAATATAATTATTTAAAGATATATGGAATGTAACTAAAAGTTAGTTATTTTCTACGGGAAATAAATGATCTTTTAGTTGGAGTTGTTGTGGTTGTGGTAGTTGTTCTTCTCGATCTCTTTTTGGATGATGGCACGCTTCTACGACGATTGGTAAAGTAGGTGGATACTTGTTCAAGTGAGCGTCCAGTGAGTTTTGCCAACTCACGCTTCTGTTCAATGCTTGGTGTTGAATTGTGATATCTTGCGAATTGCAACTTTTGTGCGATGGTCATGGTCTCTCTTCTTCTCAATTTAGGCTTACCGGTGACATAGTCGGTGGTAACACTCTGAATCGACTCTACCAAATTGCTAAGATAGTCCAGTCCCTCTCGTTTGATACGCTCGACTGCATCAAACAACAACCGATTGTTCTTGATCCAATGTGTTGCTGGCAATCCAAGTTGATTCTTCTCAATGAAATATGGTTCATCTCGAAGCGCAGCAGCAGCAGGAGCAGCAACACGTTTCACTTTTTTTTCTTCTTTTTGTTCTTCGTCTTCCTCTTCATGTTCTTCTTTTACTTCTACTTCTTGTTCTTCATCTTTTTCTATTTTAGGTGGTTTCTCTGGTAGGTATCCTTTGTTGATTCCAACACGCTCCAAGTATTCGTTGACTCTCAGACCTTTTAATTTTTCTTTTAAAGATTGGAGTGATGGATTTAATTCATTTTCAATTTCAGCATCAATGTCAATTACAAGTACGCCTTCTTCTTCTTCTTCTTCTTCCTGCTGCTCTTCTTCCTGCTCTTCTTCTTCTTCTGACCAATCTTGCATATAAGCATCCTCTGGTGCGGTCTCATCTTCAACTTCTACTTTTACAACAACATCTTCATCGCATTCTTCGGATTTGACCACTGAAATGTCTTCAGCATCCATTTCTTGATAATCTTCATCGATTTCCAATTGATCCATTGAAGGTGGTTCCAGCTGTTCTTCGGACTGTTCATCTTCAGCATGATTTAAAAACTCCAACTTTTTCAGGTCTCTATTCTCGAGTTCTTTGTCAAAGTCAGGGATCTCTTCACAGTCATCACCAAAAAAGCATGCATATTCAGCATCAGCTAGAGCACTACAGCTGGAAACCGATAAGAATGGTGATTCTTGTTGATAGAGGTGGTCACAGTTGTTGTTGTTGTTGTTGTTATATTTCGCAAAGAAATTATAATTATTATAATTATTAATATTATTATTATTATTATCATTATTATTATTGTCATCACCACCATATAAATTGGTGGTTGAAATTGCATATTGAAATGGTATATGTGTATACATATGTTATTTATATATTTGTTTATTGTAATTGCAATCTAAACTTCTACAAGCTAAAAAGATAACATTGATCATAATTATTGCTGCCATATTATAAAAGTAGTTTTTGATATGTGTAAAATTTAACCAACACAATAAAAATATAAATAAATAAATAAATAATAATAAATAAACTTAAGTTTAGACTTTTGATTGACAAATTTTGAAATCAATCATTTTTTTTGTGGTTTAGACCTCATTTCGATCTAAAACTAGCGAAACCAAAAAAATTTCCTCAAAAAAAAAAAATTGAAAATTAGATTTTATTGGAAAAAAATCCCCAAATTTGTGTGCAAAAAAAACAAAATTTTAGAAGTGTGTTTAAATATAATTATATTAAGTTTTAATTTTAATTCATTTGTCAATCAAATTATTTCCTTTTATATATTTATATTTATTTATTAATTTATTTGTTTTAGAAATCAACAACAAAAGAAGAAAATGAGCGATCAACAATATAGCTCACCAAAGAAAAATAATTCAGATTTAAGTTTGATGATTGCCGATCCCGATCATTTCAAGAAACAAGTTCCCACTTCCTCATTGGATGTAGACAATGACAACCACGATAATGATATACTTTTAAAGAAAACAATTAAAAACAACATTAGTAAAGCATCACCAAACTCCTCACAGTCAAAACATCAATCAACACCACCACACAAAACTTCATCATTGTCGTCAGTTGCCTCAGCTTCACCCTCAGCTTCACCACTGACAGCTCAATTCCTTGCCAATCAAAATATAGTTGAAAGTTCTTTTGATTATTATAATAATAATAATAATAATCATCATCATCAATCACCAAACTCACAAGAAGAAAATAATAACAATAACAATAATAATAAAACAATCAACAAAAATAAACAAACATCAAAATCAGTTCATTTCAATGAAGAAGAACAAGTAGTTGAAAATAACAATGGAGATGAAGATGATTATGAAGATGATTTAATCTTGGATGAACAGTTTCTAGATGTTTCCAATTTGAAGACACCTACATTTATGGTGTCAGCTGACACCCAAGAGTTGCTATTTACCTTTGATAGCTTTGGCACCGACGAAGAGAGCTCTCAGAGTGGCGTGGAAAATCATCACACCATGACATTGTCACTCGACCAGCTACTGGAACAGTTTGACAATGAAGAGATATCGCTATCCAATGGAAACAATGCAGATTCCAACGTTGACTCTCAGACTGAGGAATACCAGTCGTTATCACTGCCGATTTGGGATGCGGTCACCTCTCAAGATCCAAGGCTGCTCTTCTACTTACGCGGTGGCAAGAAATTGCGCAGAAAGAGAGGTGTCTCCATTCCAAACGCCAGAAAGCATCAACCAGAAGTGACCATCGACGATATGATGAAGCAAGGTTACCTAAGAATCGGTGATCGTCTCTCGTACACCATCGGTGGTCAGACACACGTTGCCCTGCTTCTCAAGGATGGCTACATTGAATATGGACAGCCATTGACACGTCTTCCATCGGTTCACAACTGGATCATCACAGTCCTGTCGAATCTCGCACCAAACAAGCGTTACCATTGGTTCTCCCCTTGGGACTCTATCTTTGTTCGTGGTAAATCACTCAACTTTATCAGAAAATCCTTTGCCAATGAAAACCTGAGAGCTTCAAGAAATTTCAAAGAACCACAACAACATCAACTACAAAGAGTCGTGGTAGAGACAACCAACAACAACAACAACTCCAAGAAAAGATCAATTGAATCGACAAGAGATGAAAACAAGAAATTAGAGGACAATAATAATAACAGTAACAATAATAATAGCCAATCAAATAAGGTTCAAAAATCAAATGAATCATCTAATGTCAAGTCCAATTCAACTCCACCTACTCCACCACCACCAACGACGACAACAACAACAACTGTATCGACTAGTCAATTTGCCAAACCAGCTTCACCTTCTTCTTCACCTTCACCTTCACCAAGTAAATCAAGACTGTATATTTCTCCATCAAAGCCAGCTGCAGTTGAAGATCACGAACAAACACAACCAATGGATTTAGACTCGACCATTAAAATGCCAGACATCGATTATGAACAAACACAAGATATGACAAATGGTATGCTATTCTCTCATAATTTTATAATTATCTATCAATATGCTAATATAAAATATTATAGATATAGATCCAAATATTTCATTTGATTCAAGTGCTACTTTAACAAGCAACAGTGACCTTCCTTTGAAATACACATCTCGTAACAACGAAGTAGTAGAGAGTCCATCAAAATCTGACTCAGTAGTTTCCGCAGCGGATGTCAACGAAAATCAAGAAATGGATGTTCAACAAGAAGATCTACAGAAATCACAACAATCTCAATCTTCACAACAACCTTTTTCACAACACTCCATTATCTCACAGAGCTCTGACGAATCTTCACTTCCATCACAACTACCGAGTTCATTAACACCAGACAAACATCATTCACAACCATTATCCCAAGTAAAAGATGCTTCACAACAACAACAACAACAAACTTTGAAGCAACAACCAAAGCTAAACTCCAAAGATTTGTCTCAACCATTACCTCACCAATCCCAATCAACACCGCTTTCACAAGAAAAGCCATCTTCACAACCTATCCAACAACAGAAATCATCTCAGTCTAATCTTGTTGCTCCAAACAATACACCATCATCTCAACAACAACAGCCACGTTCTCCACAAAAACAACAAACCATAGTTGTTAGCCACAATACTCCACCTAAATCAGCTTCATCCCAGCCATCCCAACCATCTCAACTATCTCAACCATCACCACAACAAACGTCAGTTCCATCATTACAACCAATTGTTGTAATGGCAGATTCACAACCAAGACAACCATCACAAGTGGTAAGCAAAGCATCGCTTGGCAGTTCCTTCCAGTTCTCTCAGCCAATTCATATGATGACAGCAACAAACTCATTGGTTTCACCAACACACCACCAACCTTCATTCAAATCCAATCCACCATCACAACAATCTTCCTCCAACAACTTGTCAGCCAAACAAAACATTGATAATAACAATCCATCACAATCCTCGTCATCCTCCTCTTCATCATCCTCATCATCATCGCAACAATCAAACTATAGTATTGCACCATATCAACTTCCAGCATCACAAACCAAGAAACCAGTGATTCTAGGTACCAATCTAACCAGCCAGATGCAAGTGCATATTGTAACTCTCACCAATTCTCTCGGAGGTCAGTTTGTGCGTGAGTTTAACAACGATGTCACTCATATTGTTTGTGCCAGTGACGACCAAAACATCACAAAACGTACCATCAAGTACGAACTCGGCATTGCCAAGGGCATTTGGATAGTCAACTTCGATTGGATCATCAATTCATTGCTGGACAGTCGCTGGATCGACGAAGAACCCTACGAGATAGCTGGTGACACCGAAGGAGCTGGCTCACCATACAAATCACGTCAGCAACTCCTCTTCAATAGCAAGCGTTTGTTCTACGGCTACCAGGTGTACTTGGCCGGTGAATTCGAGACACCATCACGCCAGGAACTCTCACAGATTCTCTGGGAGAGTGGTGCTGTCGTGTTGGACAACATTCCACCTGCACCAACCAACGCACGTGAACTTCTCCACTCGAAATCCATTGTCATCTGTCATCCGAACCATGTCGCCACGCAACAACAAGCAATCAAAATCTACTTGGAAACCAAACATCATCCCATCAACTTCCGTTGGATCTTTGACTCACTCAGCAACTATCAAATTCAATCACGTGAGAAATATATTATCAATCTCTCGAAATCCATGACACTCGATCAACTGGCAACTCAACAATCAGTTGCCTTTTAAAAACAAATCAAAATCAAAAAAAAGCAAGCAATCAATCAAGTGTATTAATATAATTAATTAATAATAATAAAATTGTAAAAATAACAACAGTCAATCAATGAAGCGCGCCAACTTCAACTTGAAAAATTCAAATTTTTGTAACAATCTTTTTTTTTTTTTTGTTTTTTTTTTTTTTCATCATTGATCCGTTAAAAATTTGATTTTTTATGATCATCACCAAACAATTAATATATAATTAAAAAAAAAGATAATAATAGTTGTTGATAAAACACACTGTTCATAGTTTGTTTATACAAAAAAGAAAATTTTTTTTTTTTTTTTTTTTTGACAAAACAATCTATTATTTTTCATTTGCTTAATTAGTACTAGTTAATAATTAATATTGATTGCAAACATATATATTATAGTCAATCAATCTTCATTTCATTTCAAAGTAATTTTTTTTTTTTAGTTCAATTTCGACAAAGTTAGATTAAAAAAAAAAAAGTTTAATAATAAGATACAAAAAAAAGAAGAAGAAATAGAATATAGATAGAAGAATATCATAGGATTTTTTTTTGTTTTTTTTTGCAGGAAGAAAAAATGAGTATTTATACATATGCCGAGAATGGCAACAAGAAGGAATTGGCACAGCTCATCAATGATGGCGTCGATATCAATAAACCTGGAACATCGAATCGTTCGGCACTGCATCACGCCGCCATGAATGGACACACAGAGATCGTTGCTATGCTTCTTGGCAAGGGTGCCACTGTCAATTGCCAGACGAATCGCGGTGCCACCCCGCTCCACTATGCCTCGCGATCCGACCGCATCGAGTGTGTATCGCTGTTGCTCGACCACGGCGCCGACGTCAACCAGGTCGACTCTACCAACTCGACACCGCTGCACTCGGCCATCGTCTACAAGTCCGACAAGACTGCGCTGGCGCTCATCAACAACTACGGTGCCGACATCAACGCGCAGAACAACGACGGCTCTACACCACTCCACTTGGCAGCGCAACGTGGATATCGCGAGATCATTGTTGCACTCCTCGAGAAGGGTGCAAAAGTAGAGGTTCGCGACCACAACGGTGATACTCCATTCTCATTGATTCCACTCACCGACACCATCGATATTATCTCTTCGTCTGCAAAGAATACACTAGCTAATGATATATCATCTTTGATGTATAATAGTAGCAGTAGCAGTAGCAGTAGTAGTGGTAGTAATACAAGTACAACAGAGACAACAACAACAACAACTACTACAGCAACAGAAACAGCAGAAGCAACAGCAACAACAACTACAACTACAGCAGAACCAAATGGTGAATCTAAAATGAATATAGATCAAGTTAAGAGTGAAGATGAGACGGCCGTTAGTAATAGTGGACTTTTTAGCGATGTTACATTCATAGTTGAATCCAATAAGATACCAGCACACAGATGTATATTATCAGTTCGATCGGAACACTTTAAGAGATTACTACTAAAGCATAAATCAGAGAAAGAATTAGAGATAAAAGATATATCTTTTAAAGTATTCCAATCCATTTTAGATTGGTAATGTATAATTAAGTCGTATTAGTTAATATATATATATATTTACTAATACATATCTTTATTATTATTAATAATATTAGGGTATACAATGAATCAGTATCAACATTTAAAGTAAAAGAAATTGTAGATTTATCATTTGCAACACAATTGTTGATCGCTGCAATCAAATATAACATTAAAGCATTGGTGCAGTTGTGCGAGCAATACTTGATCGAGACTGTCACCTCGACATCGATCAGTTCCATCTGGCAGGATTTGAGGTCGACAGAGATCAAGTCGAACTGCCCAGAGTTGGCCAAGCGTTGCGCACATCTGCTGTGTAAGAATTGGAATGTAGTAGGTATCATCAAAGCGATTGCTGACATGCCACGCGTCGATATGATCGAGATGGTCAACCTGCTTCCGATCCAGCCATTGCAAGAGCCTGCCGCCGCCGCCGCTGCTCCTGCCGCCAACGCAACTGCCGCCAGTAGTAGCAGCACCAGCAGCTCTAGCAGTAGCAGCACTAGCAATGCCAGTAGCACACCCAAAGGAAAGACAACCTCAAGAACACGCGCACCCACCACACCCTCATCGACTGCCACACCCACCAAATCATCGACCACCACACCAACACGATCATCGACCTCCTCATCTAAAGTTCCAAGCTCACCACCCACCGGTGACTCCATGGACAAGAAGAACCTTGAAATCTGTAAAAACATCAACTCGCAAATCCACAGAAAGAAAATGGCGGAAATCTTCCACTTTGCTGTCGATCCAATTGCACTCAACATTCCACATTACTTTGATGTAATCAAACATCCAATGGATCTGAGTTTAATTCAAGTAAGTTGTTATATCGATTATTATAAATAGTGTACACACGCGCGCGCTCGATCATATTCTAATGTTTCTTCTAAAAACATTGTTGTAACAGAGTAAATTAGACGGTGGTTTATATAAATCTATTAAGGATTTCGCGGCAGATATGAGATTGATGTTTGATAATGCAATGTTGTTCAACGAGGAGGGTTCACTTATTTATAGAAATACAAAGAAATTGATGGCAGAGTTTAATAAGATATATTGGGATCACTTCCCATTCGAAAAGTCTGCCACTCCAGCAGCTGCTGCCGCTGCACCGACAACCTCGGCCTCTACCAGCAGCACCCCAGCCAAAGCACCGGCACCATCGCCAGCCGAAGCAACAGAGTCGAGCGACAAGAAGAGAAAGTCGATGGAGCCATCAAAGGCAGCACCATCCACCTCTTCAAATACACCGAGTGGCGAGTCGTCTTCGAAATCCTCTACTTCCTCTTCGTCGGCATCGGCAAACAACGAGTCGGCCAGCAGCAAAACCAATGCTTCGTCCAATAACAACGACGTTAAGATGACAGACACTTCACCGTCACTCAAGAAATACACTGACAAAGAAAGAAAGAACCTAATGGAGATGATCAACGATTTGAACGAAGATCAACTCACCAAGATTCTCGAAATCATCGAACCAAAAGCAATCAAAAAGAGTGATGAAGGTGTTGAAATCGATATGTACGAAGTTGGTGATGCAAATTTAGCTCAACTAGAAGAATTCATTTTCTCTTGTTTAAGTAAGTAGTAGTGATAGATAATAATGAATGACAACCAAACCAACTAACAAACAAACTAAACAAACTCAAATTTACAGAGAGACAAAAAGTATAAACAAAAAGCAAAAAAGCAAAACAAAAGAATCAATCATTAAATTCATAATACACAACCTTTAATAATCCCAAACATTATCACAAATCAATAGTAAACTATGAAACAATCTTAAATATCACACCTTATTTAAAAAAAAAAAAAAAAAAAAAAAAAGAAAGAAAAAACCTAATCATATAAAAGTTAAACTTAAATAAATGTCTATATTAAATAATTTTATTTAAATATAAATACAGTTGTAATTAATATCTATATTATTTGGTATATTGCGTTGAAAGATGGTTGTTGAATGACTTTAACATGTATCTAATTCTGTCAAATCATTTAACTGTTACTTTTGTCTCTTTTGTTTTATTACTTTTTTTTTTATACATTTCTTTTGTTTTTTTTTTTGTTTTTTTTTGTTAATTTTTTGTTTGTATTGCAAGATACACAACTTTATACTTGCAAAATATAAAATTGGGTATAGCTTGCAATTACTGGTATTATATTAAAAGGTATTATTATTTGTTATTATTGTTATTATTATTATTATGTTAAAAGGTATTATTATTTTCTATTATTATCCAAATACAAACAAAAAGAATGAAATGATATTAATCCTCAACGAGGTATGGGAAAAGTTGACAAAATGTTGGTATCTTCTTATTAAACTCTGTAGATTTAGATGCCAATATTCTTTTTTCATCGTTTGTTGTGATGATACTTCCTAAAGTTGAATCATTATCGACCATAAATGATAAAAGTCCAATTAAAATACTTGAAACTGACCAGGATGGTGACCATGATTCTGGATGATCTATTGTTGATTCAGATGTTTAATTTGTTTATTTCGATTAATTAGATACTATAATTATAAATTAAAAAAAGTATACTTACAATCACTTATAGATAGACATAATCTTGTATCAGTTTGGAATCTACCTGAAGGTGTTGTCATAATAATCGATGGTGGTGATAGAGGATAATTATATTTGAAAATTAATTTGCCATAGTATAAACCACTTTCATATACTGTATTCTCTGGTCCCAAAATAACATAATGCCACTCCAAGATATTCTCTGGATGAGGACAAACCACTATATTCTCAACTGGATTCTTATTTATCTCTAAAAATTCTTTACGTAATCGACTCTGATGAGAGAGAGAGAGAGAGTAAATGATGATCATCATTAGTATATAATCTTAGATTAACTATGGTTGATAGATTGATTGTTCATCATCATCATTATTGATAGTTTACTGTTTATGTTGTTATTGTTGTTGTTGTTTATAGATGATGATTGTTGTGTAAATGATTGAATACTTACAATACATTCTTTTGTTGGAGGATGTTGAATCTCTTTATTTACAGTTGACATGATTGACAATTATGTGATTTGAATTTATATTTTTATATGATGATTAATATTTATTAAAAAAAAAAAGTTTTTGTTTTGGGTAATTGTTAAAATTAATTAAAAAAAATTAAAAAAAAAGGTTAAATTTTTTTAAAGTTTTCTTCAAAAAAAAAAAAAAAAAAAAAAAAAGAGATTTGCACCGTTTTGTACTTGTTTGCAAAGCAAGAGATACTGATTATAATTAATAAATATTTAAATGAATAAATAAATAACAATTAAATTAAATGAATATACAAAGTAATGATTATATATATAAATATTTAAATCAACAATACCAAAAAAAACTGCCAACTTGGAATGAAAAGAAAAATATTAAAGAAAAAAAAGAAGAAAGAAAGGCAAACTAAAAAACCTGTACAAAAATATAAATAATAACTACTACTTTAGTTAAAAAATAAGAATGATAAATAAACTATGTGGGGCACTTAATAATATAATGTCGAATAATAATTATATTATTGTTGTTCACTATCTATCTATCAATCTAAAATAATAATAATTATCAAATTATTTATTATCTTTATTTTGGTTGTTTTTATTGATTTATTGAAGAATGGTTATGATAGAGCAAAGTTACTGGTGTTGAATTAATAATTCAATAGAAGGAATTGAGTTGATGTCAATAAAATTATTAATTGTGTGTACTAATAAATACAGATAAAAATATTACAAATAGAAATAAAAAAAAACAATAATCACATAAAACTGAGAAAACAACGATAACAAAACTGAGCAGTTTTTTTTTTTTTTTTAATCAAATCATTGATAAAAAATGTGGTAAAACAAAAAATTGGTTGATCAATTTTTAAAAACTAATTAAAATTTTAAATATTTTTTAATCACTGGGTAACAAATCGTCTTACAAAAAAGGATTTTTTCTTTATAACTTTGATTTCTAATTTTTATTTATTAAGTTGTTTTTACAAATGTGGAGAAATTGCAGATGAAGATGTTGATGAACCTGATGGTAATTGATCGATCATTAGATTGTTTCTCGATTGAATGGCAGAGGGCGTCGATATCCTGACATATTTTAAGGCATTACACAAAAGTTTTCCACCGTCAGAGTTCTTTGGCCAGCTGTCGGTTACTGATGCCGATGACGGTGGGTAAAAGTTGAGCGATACTATCTTGCCTTTCATTTTGTCGTTGCACAGCTCGGCTACAAGTGGTCTTCCATTCTCCCATGTCGCAATGAGAACGGAATGCTTTGAGAGTGGACCGTCGCTGTGTGACGATTGCTGACCACCGTGGAAATTGGTGACGTCTTCCATAATGGGATGTCCTTCGTAGACTACTCGTCCCATTCTCAGTTGGTACGTTCTGTTTGTCACTCCACCGGCTATCGGGTCGTACTGATCCTTCATCCAGCGTCCCTCCAGCCGGTTTCCACCGCCACAATGCGAGTAGGTTCCGAGGACGACACCGCCTCCAGCATCGACAAAGTCGGCAAGTCTGTCACCGACGTGAGTCTGATGAAATCCACAGTAACTGAAAAAGAGAATGGCGTCATAGTTTAGGAGCTCAGGGAGCTTTCGGAAGCCGTTGACATTTGCCGTGTCGACATTGACCAATCCATTTGCTCTAAGCTGCTCTTGTACATCGAGTAGACGCTCACCATAGAGCTCTGCTCCAACCACTAAATATTTATCACGACTGTTTTCAACATAGAATTGCTTCCAAGATCTTGGATCATTGGCCATACGACATTTGAATTTCGGAGTGTGTCCAAATTTCTTTATACATTTCTGTCGCCAAAAAAATTCATCTTGACAATTATTGAAAATGGTCTTTGAGACATATTGAAAGTGTGTAAATATATCTTTACTATCCATACTATCGATAATTAAATAGAATACTTCCTATATAGGTATTAAAAATTTAAAATTAATAATTATTGAAAATAGATTGATTATTTACACCCAAACTGGTTTCCTATTTAATTCCTTACAATCGGTAATAAATCCAGTGAAACTGGTTTATTTATTCTATCAATCTCTAAACAAATATAATCAAAAATTATTTCATCCTCTTCCATTATCTCCCTTCAAAAAAAGATTAAAATCACCAGAAAGATTTCTTTTTTCTACTCCCTCTATAATCTGTTATTTTCTAATAAATAAAGTAACTGACTATATAAAAAAAAAAACTAACTTTTGTTATATAAATGAATAGTTTCTAAAAATAAAGTAATATTATAAATATAATGATACAAATAATGAGATTTGTTTTGGAATTTAAATGTTAAATAGTAAAAAAAAATCAGTTTATCCTTTGCAAATTTGATTAAATTTAAAAAAAGACGTTTGGACTAAAAATCTAACCAAAAAAAAAAAAAAAAAAATTCGTTGGTCCTTTTTTTTTACCGAGATGTAATTTTTTTGAATGATTGATGGTTATCAATCATAAATAAAACCAATATTTATAGTTTTAAATTGTTTGTATTGTTTATAAAAAATAAATAAAAAGTTAGTCAATTTTTTGGATCATTAAAAATGATTTATTGTGTGTACATCAAACAAATTAGTAACTTTATCTAAATAACAAATGTGTTTCGGTTATCACTTTGTTTTGTAAATATAATAATATTATGATTTTAATTGTATTTTCTGTTGATAACATCGAATTCCATCTCTATGATGTCACTAATTCCTGCTTTGACCTTTTGACCTGGTTTGATTGGACCTACTCCTGATGGTGTTCCTGTCAGAATGATATCACCTTCCTCCAAGGTCATTATCTGACTGACGAATTCAATCAATTCTGGAATTCTATACGATGAAATTTAATAGTATGAAGGTAGGTAAGTCACTTACTATTCATTATAATGAAATAGAGTTTTGTAGTAGTAGTTACCCAACAATCATTTTATCGGTGGTATCCTTTTGTTTGGTGACACCATCGACGGTCAACCACAATTCGATATTCGATGGGTTGGCGATCTTCTCCTTGGGAATAAAGTCAGAGACTGGACAGAATGTGTCGAATCCCTTGGCGATTGTCCAGCACTGTTGGAGTGTCTTGGCCTTCGATTGGAGGTCACGTGCAGTCAGGTCAAGAGCAAGAGTGTATCCAACGACGTGATCCATAGCATTGGCTACCTTGATATCACGTCCACGCTTGCCAATGATGACACCCAACTCTACCTCGTGATGAACATCTGTGGTCTGACGTGGAATCTCAATGGGTGATCCTACACGTACCAAACTGGACATTGGCTTCAAAAAGAAGAATGGTTCAGCTGGTACCTCATTACCCAACTCCTTTGCATGTGCTGCATAGTTACGAGCAACAGCGACAATCTTTGAACCTTTTTCCCAGAATCTATTCATATTTTATATCTATAAATATTTATTTTTAATTATAATTGCAATATCAATGAAAGAAAATAAATAAATGTCAAAATCTGATCATCTCTTTTACAGAAGAGAAAAAAATCATTTTTTGATTTTTTTTGCAATTTATTCATTAATTATTAATTTGTTGATATTCAATCAATCAAACGTGTCACACAACATATTACAAGACTTGTTTTGTACAAATACACAAATTAGTGTTGGGATTCTTTAGAATCGAAATGATACAAAAAAAAAAGATTTTTGTTTTTTTTTTATAAAACATAATATTTTTTATTTTATAAAGTATATATTGTTTAATCATTTCAGTCACTTTGATTCTTATCACTAGGAATCTGAATTAAATAGATTTAAATAAAAATGATGTTAGTATTAAATTTAAGTTTGAAATATTTTAATAGTAGTTATAAAATTTTTGTAATAATATAATAATAATAATAAATATATAAAGAAATCAGTGAGTAAAATTATCCACATTACTTCAGAGTAGCAAATATTTACATCAATTCATCATTCAAAATATAAATATAATAAATATAATAAAGAGATAATTAACTTACCAATCGAACCAACAAAACTAAAAAAAAAAAAATGAGCTGCAGACCTTATTTAAAGATGATGAGCGAGAAAAAATCGACTGAAAATTTTGTTACGCAATTATGTTTGAAATATTTTTTGGTTTTTAATAAAATCAAATTATGTTTCTTTTTGGCACAATTTTTTAAATCCTAATAAATTTATCTATAAACATCAGATAATTATTTAGACATTTAATATTTATAATTTGAACCTTCTTTGATTTTTTATAATATAAATAAAATACATCATTTACTATTATTTTTTTTTGGATGTTCTAAAGCAAAATTTATTGGTTGGGGCTTAAAAGAGCATTAACAAAAAAAAAAAAAAAACAAAAAGTAAAAAAAAATTTATTTTTATATTTTAATTAATAATAATTGATTGGTGATTCATTATGAAGAATGATGTTAATCAAACTTTTAATATAAATTGTCTATTTTTTTTTGCTTATTATCATTGTTCGACTCTTTTTTTAATTTAATTTTATTTTAGAAACAACAAAACAAAATAATAATAATAGCTCGACTGTTCATAGTAAACAACACACCAATCATATTCAATTCATAAAGTAACACAGATAAGAATATTATTATGTTCTATACATATTTTTATTTTTAGGTTTAGAGAAGAAGAAGAAGAAGAAAAAGTTTTTGTAGTCATTCAAATCATATCATAATTAATACAACAGAGTAGATACAGTAGAGTTATGAAACATCCAATCATTTCATTTTTGATAAATGTAACGGTAACTTGGTTGATATTCTTTACTTTTCTAAAGATATTACAAGTAAGTTCAACTTATTGATATATACACATTATTGATGAGCCCAAATTTTCTGATTGATATCCAATTTTATTCTTTTTTTGTTTAATCTCTCTATTCTCTCACCATCATGCTTTAGATCAAATATGGACAGAGACTTTTAGATTTTTTGAGTTCGATATCGGTTCATGTTGAGTTGTTCTCTATAAATTGGTCGACCACTAAATTCAACACATCACTGAGAAAGGTAGCATTGCGATTCGAACGATTCTGGAATTACTTTTATAGAGTCGGTAATACCATTGTACTTATTTTACTTCCTTTGGCATTCTTGGGACTTTGTTATAATTTATTTGTTTTACTCCTTAATAGATCGAATGAGAATGCAATCATAACACCAATCGTAAGTTTCGATCATCAACAACACCGCGGCCACTTCATACTAACAATAATTAAATTAGGTTCCTGGTGTAAACTTTCCATTATCACATCTTTGGTATTTAATTTTAGCATTGGTTATCAGTGCAACCATACATGAACTTGGTCATGCATTATGTACATTAAAGTATGTCACATCAACATATTATTTTTTTGACTTTAAAAAAAATAGTTGATTACTAATTATTATATCTTATACAATTCAATCGTAATCTTCAGTTTAAAGAATAGGATTAATGATTATGGAATTTATATATTTTTCATATTTCCAAGTGCATATGTCACCATTAATTTAGTAAGTTTGAAAAAAACAATTGATGACATTAGATTGGAATGTTAATAGTAATGTAATATATTGATTAAAATTGGTTTTTTATATTGTACTATATAGGAGGATATAGAAAGAAAATCACATTGGAAAAAGCTCAGAGTTTTCAGTGCAGGTGTTTGGCATAATATTATACTGAGCTTTATTATATTCCTTTTGATGCCGGCTACACCATATTTGTTATCACCATTGTATCATTATTCGAATAAGGAACTCTATGTTTCCTATGTACCTAAGGAATCTCCATTGGCCGGATCAGTTGCAGTTGGCACCAGAATACTGGAAGTTGGAGATTGTACAGTCACAAACACCACATCCTACTTCCAGTGTATCGATAAATCATGGAATGAACCGAATTCTTATTGTTTGAATCTTCAATTTAAAGAATGTTTAAATCAAACACAAAATGTAAATATCAATATCAATATCAATATCAATATCAATATCAATTAAATATTGATTCATTAGCGATCAACAGCCAACTAACTAAACTAACTAATCCTAATTGACATTTTATTTCGCTTTGTTTATATTTAGGTTAGATCATGTATAGATCTAGATCAACTTTTTAATATGGTACCATGCAATAGTTCTACACCATGTAGGTCTAAAGATAAAGAGTGTGTTAATCTCGCACCATCTAGGTTATTTAAAATTAAACTATCGACCAGAGACTATGTCACTGCAGATGGCACACCAGAGGAACTCTTGTTTGTCGGAACAGCTCAAGAGCTTTGGGATTCATGTATGTAGTTTTTTAAATTACTAAAGCAGGTTGATGTTTGATATCTATATTTTTATTTATTAACTTTATTGTCAATTTCAATTTAGTTGCAACCAATCATTATAAAGCAAGATGGACATGGTATCCAGATATTTATTATTTCGTTGAAACACTTACCATGTTTACTGTAGCTATTTCACTGGGTTTGGCAATGATGAATATGTTACCGATAGGTGGATTCGATGGCAGCTATATCATGTTATCGATTCTACATTTAGTACTATCGTATCATTATCCTCACAATTCGAAAGAGAAGAACGACATCTTGAAGAACAAACTCTACAGATATTTCTCAATCTTTACAACCATCCTATTGGTATTGAATCTATCGATATCATTTTACTATATAATATTCGGACCTGGTGGTCAGCCAGTAGGATAAAATACATAAACATAGAAACAACAATCATAACTTACAGAGAGAACTATATCGTCATTAAAAAATCAATCAATCGAAAGTAAAAAAAGAAACACAAAAATCCTTTTAATAATGAATATCATCGATTTAATTAAAAAAAAGTTGATTTTCAAACTACTATTACTATATAGGTATATACAAAGTTGATTCTGATTGTTGTTTTAATGTTCTTGTTGTTTTGTTACATTTGTAAAATTTTTTTGTTTTTTTTTTTTTTTGTTTCTGGTTGATTTAAAAATTTTTAATTTGATTTGATATTAGTCTTCAACGACTGTTCCTTTATAGGTGTACTTGAACTTGCTCTCTCCACCATAAGCCATCAATAGTTGATCTGCTGGAATGTAGTCGATAAGCTGTCTTGTCTTGACAAAGCTAATCTTTGATACGGTGTATGGGTCGAGCCAATGCTTAATGATATTCCAAACACCCATAAACACCCAAGGTGCATTTAATATTAAACATCTAGCCAATGATTCTGGATAGTATTTCTGAAACATATCAACCATAAACTTAACAAGAGGATAATCCTATATAAAGATAACAAAATAAGCATTAATATTGATATATTTAGTTGGAGGAGTAATTATATATTTTGTCATTGTGTGTAATTACCATATTTTTAGTGCTGAAGCTTGACATATCAAAAATTAAAGTACAGGTTTCGATGCCTGGTGGAAGTAAGGCTTTACCTGTTTCCATGACATACACGCAATATCGTTGTGCCTCCTCCAAGTCTCGTTGACTAGAGTCGTGCTTTCTTGTTCTTACTATGCAAACGGGTCGTCCTTCTTTGTCAGAGCCATGGAAGAAACTCTTTCCTGCTTTCATTTCATTGTCCACGGTTTCCTCTGTAATTGCATCAACACCTGTATTTTGGAATGTTGCTCTAAACAATAGAGCATTAAATAACATAGTATATGCATCATTGAGATTCCATTTTCGAGCTCTGCAGAATCTAGATTGTATTTTTTTAAAAGATAAATACAAAAACAAAAGTGTTAGACTTTTTGATCCTTCAAGATGCATTTGAATCTTAAGACTTACCTCAAAATCATGGAGTCATCCAACTTTGCTTTCTCTTCCAACACTATACTATCATTATTTTCTTTTAGTTTTCTTTTTATTTCCAATAGGAATTTCTCCTGATCTGGAGAAAGATCACCTACGAATCCACTCATATTTATTCTAAAATCTATTTAGTTTTCTGTTTTTTTTTTTTTGAAATTAATAAACTATAATAATCTTTAATAAATAAAGGAAAAACAAAAAAAAAAAAGAAATTGAATTAAACAAATTATATGAGTAAACAAAGAGTATTTTAGTGGCAAATAGGTATGTATGTTGGTGAAGAGATAGTATTTGTTTTTTTTATTTATTTATAATTTCGAATGAAGATGTAGTGGAATAAAACCACCTATGCATTATTTTAAATTAAAATTATTTCTTATCATATATTGTGTGTGTTTTATTTGGTCTACCATTATTTTAAAATTTTAATAAACACATCTTAAACAACGCATTCATTATCTTCAATTCCTATTGATAATAGTGTAATAGAATGATATTATTGTATCTCTATAGAGATTATATCAATAAACAACATGAATGAACTACCATCTATCTATCTAATTAATCAATCAACCACATAACCATATAATCTGTCGCAAATTAATTAATGAAGTGTTTTATTACAAAACAAACCAAATTATAATTAAAATCTACCTGAACCTTTTTTTTATTTTTTTTTATTTTACTGTTTTGTGTGTATGTGTGAGAATACGAGTTGTGTGTGCGTGTTGGTTTTAATAACATTTAGATTGGATGATCTAACTTATTATTAAGATATATGTATGTTGCTGATGATTTAAAACATTAAATAGATAAGCAGATTGATAAACAGATAAATAGATAAGCAGATAGATTACTGGGTTGAATGCTTGACAGATAGTATGTAAAGGTGACGGTGAGAGAGTGAGATATGATACCTGATACCTACACTACTTGAAACTATTGCAAATTTAAGGGTATAAAGAGTGTTACTGTCTGTCTCTTTTTACCACACTTTATTTAAATATGTATGAATTATTAATTTTTTAAAAAAAAAAAATGTTATTATTTTTTTTTATTTTATTTTTTTGTGATATTTATATATGTTATTTTTATTTATTGTTATATAGTAAAGTATATTATTTTTAAATTGTTTATTATTGTAATAATTTATTGGTGAAGATGTGACCTTTTAATTAAAAAATAAATTAATTTTGTTTTTTTTTTTGTTTTTTAAAAAATATTAAAAAAAATGAAAAAAATGGGAACTGTTGTGACGCTGTTTGTTATAGAGGTGTCAATGCTAACCTGTTATATTATAATGATGATTGTTATATCGACAATAAATAACTTACATTCGAAAACCACTATGGTCAATATCAGATGTCAATAATAGCAATAAAAAAAAATGATTTCTTTTTGTGAAGTTGTTATCTTTAGAGTGCTGTGGTAAATTTAGTTGAACGTTTTTCTCTTAAACCTGGGAAGTTGCACACCCCCACAACCCTAAGTGTACCTTCACAAGATCTTTGAAAAAATTGGAATTAAAAAAAAATTAATTTTTTTTTTGATTAAATTTTTAATTAATATTTTTTGTTTTTTTTTTTGGAGGAAGCCTTTATTCCAAACCGAATCAAGAAGATAAAGATTGCCCCTTTGAGTTTTGACATTAATGACATGGGCAGTTGCACTCTAACATCAACTGACAAAGCCTGTTGAAAATTGTTGATTTCAAAGACTATCATTCCTTATGTTGTTTTAAGGTTTAGATCTTTAATGTTTAGTCCTCTTTTGGATCAAATATAGTTGTTCAATGGTTTTCAATGGTAGGTGTCTGTTAGCGAGGTTGGTTGATTTAATTTAATAAGAACGCAAACCTTTTGTTTCTGGGAAAATACCATATGGAATTCCTACAGATTGTCTCGCTATATCGATCGAAAAAAACATTATAAAAAATAATTTTTTAAAAAAAAGATATAATATATAGATATATATGAAAGTATTGCTAGCTACTAAAATTAGCTAATTTTATTTAGTAGTAGTTGTTTTTTAGTTAAACTTTTTTTAATTGTACTTATATAATCTTAAAAAGCATGTCTGTAAGAAGAGTTTTAGCTTGTTCGTAAAAAGTAAAAGATAGAGATGCGGCAGCACCAGCCTTTATCATTGATGGAACTCCGCCTTTGTAGAATGCTCGCCAGCCTTCATTTTTAAACATATCGGAAATGCATTGCTTCAGAGTGATACCGCCCGGTGCAACTTGCATTCGTTTCTTCACCACATCGAATGGTAGTACTATAAATTTAGAGATGGCACCTGAGGAACCACCACTCAGCAATTGAATGATAGGGTCTTTCGACAGTTCTCTTGGTGTACGTATTGAATTGTTGTTGTTGTTGTTGTTGTTTTTTGCGTGTTGATGTTGTTCTTTTGCAATGGCGATGTGAATATAAAGATTTTTGAGCCATTCATACGATGCAAATTGAAGTGATATCTGTGGAATGATTTGGAGCACAGACGATGTTATACCCTTGTAGAATCCAATGTAGCCTTTGGTGTGATAGATCTGTCTGACGCACTGTGGAATGGTTACGTGTTGGTGTTGCGCCACGATGTTGGTTCGCAGAGTGTCGAAAGGATAGGAGATGGCAGTGGCGATCGAACCTGCGGTGGCGCCTGCCAGCAGCGATATGTAGGTCGGTGGTTTGTAGTGTTGATTGCTGTTTTGGTGTGCCAGATAATTCTCTTGGTCGAGACTATGTACAAATGAATTATAGAGACTGAATTGTGCGGTGGCGTAGCTGATCCAGAGGAACTCGGCACTGAGGTTACCTTTCCAGAGTGCACGTATTCCTTCTTCACGTGTTATCTTGCCAAGCGTATTGAAAACACCTCTATACTGAGGTGGTGAAGTCGAAGTTGCGCTACCACCACTCTTTTGGAGTTGCAGACGAATCTTTATAACATCGAGCGGAGCAACAATCATACGAGTGGTTGCACCCGATATTGAACCTGCAAACATATCTATCCATTTATCATTCTTAACATCATGACTACTACTTAAAATAACCATTCTATTGTACAATATATTATATTTTAAAAATGAAATGAATGAATAATTCTATTTATAAAAATTAAAATAAAAATGAGGTGTAAGAAACACAAAAAAAAAAATGAAATTTGGTGATCGATTCTATATTAGGTTATGACACAATGCGATCATTTAAGATGTTCTTTTAACCACTAGTTAAAATAAATAAAATAGTAATATTACATTTATTAATCATTATTTTTTCTATTTTATTAAAGCTAAAAACATTGATTCTCTAACATTTCGACAAGGGAAGTGATTTACTTTTTTTTATATAACCTATTCATTTAAATATTTTTTTTGCAAAGACCTTTAAATCTTGAAATATATTTATTATTCATGTTTATTAGTTAGAAAGTTGCTCTAATCTTTTTTTGACCATATTATTTTGTTTTTTGAATCTATGTTTCTTTCTCAAATAGATGACAGAGCCAACCACGACAGCACAAGCGAAAACACCACAACTTACAGCAATGGCAACGATAACACCTGTTGATAATCCTTTCTTTTTGCAAGTCATACTTGGTCCGTCATAGTTGGTATCGATCAGTGTTGAAAAATCTGGGTCTATAACAGCGTTGATTTCATAGAAGGGAATGATGATACCGATCTTTGACGAGACAGAGTTGTAGGAATCATCGGTAGTATCATCTTCGATTATAACATTCTTTGAGGGAACTACATTGCCGTCGACCAGTGCACGATCCAAGAATCTACCGTACAACGAATTGTCATTGATGTTCATCTTTACCCATTGTACATTGTCATTCGATTCCTCACCTATCGATTTCGAAGAGCAAGCACCCGAGTCTGACGATGTCACTTTTGCTTCCATTACAATCTGCATCATTGAAAGTCGGTCAACAAAATCGAAATGATCGACATTGATTGAGAATTTGATTGTGAACGGTACAACATTGATAACACCACCGGCAAAAGTAATGTTTGTTGCTACCTTGTAGAAATCGATTGTTGTATTAACCATTGTTTTTCTACCATTCAAATAGGAGTAGTAGTAGTAAGATGTCTTTTCATCGTTGGATTGCACTGAACTGAGATTCCATTGACCAAATGTGAAGTTGTTGATTGGTGCGAATTCGGAATTCAGCTCCAATACCGATACAACACTGATCTTTGCTGTGATTAACTGGTCTGGAGAGTCTGGAGTTGTAACATTGACTTGAACCGATGGATTTTCGGCTGGTGGTGGAGTTGGTGTTGGTACAACTCTTGATGAGCAAGATGGACCATACCATGGTGAATTGCATTTACATCCAGTCGATAGACATTCTCCTTGATTATTACAAACTGGGTCACCTGGACACAACTTTGGATTTGGTGTCGATGTTGGATTTGGTGTCGATGTTGGATTTGGTGTCGATGTTGGCATTGGAGGTTTCAACCTTCTTATGAACGGATAGATATCCATGATGTCAGAGGTCAGCCCATTGACAATAATCTTGGCTTGAATATAGTTAGCTCGGAAAGGTGATAGTATTACTTTCATGACGGTTGCAGATTTGAATTTGGTTGAGTGTTGTATCCATCCACTTCCATTTCTATAGTCAAATAATAATGAATAGGTTGTATATTCATCTCCAAGATTATGACCACTAATAGAGAAAAATCCACCATTCTGTGTAATCTGAGAGCAGCTTTCGAGAATTGGATCAACAAAAGTCTGGGTTCGAATAATGGAATAATCAAATCCGGCATCCTTTAGATTTTGAGTAGAGTATCCTCTCAAATTCAAATAGTTATCCATAATACCATAGATTGAAACAATTAGATTGTTTTGACCGAATCCCCATGGTAGAATTGTTTCGGCAGTATAGAATGCCAAAGTGGATGTATAGTTGATAAACTCTGATTTGATTTTGATTTGTTGATCGACATCGGTTAGGATATAGATATATGGAGTGTGTCTTGTAGAGATTCCGGAACCAACATCCGAGATTGAGAAAATTGCTTGGAATTGTCTGTTGTTTGATCCTACATCTATTGACTTGTTAAATGAAAGTGATTCCAATTTAGGAAGATCTCCGTCGAATGCGGTATTGCAAAAAATTGAAATATTCAAGTGTCTCTCGTACTCTGTTCCCAAAATATCATTGATGCTATTTAATGGGTCCGACGAAACAACTATATCGACCTCTGGGAATTGGTCCCATTGATTCATATATGTAATAATAAAGGTTTGGCTTCGGCAGTTGTTTGCATCTATTTCAAAAGTAACTTGATACACACCATTGAATTTATCACCATCAACTCTATTTGTCTCGTTATAATTGATAACTCTAATCTCCATATCCTTATCAGATAAATATTGGATTGTTCCATTTATGAATCCATTAGGATAGTCAGTTACTGTAATATTCCATCCAAGAGTGAATGTTGATACTCCATTGATGCTCTTTGAATTTTGGAATGATTTCAAGGCAGTTATTCTAGGTTTTAAATTGTCAGAAACTAATTAAAATAATAAAGAGAATAAGTAAAAATATATTATACAATTTAAACTATTTTTAGATTTACCTGAATCTGTGACAAATAGAGTAGCGTTTGGACCAAGGTAAGAGGAAACCTCTGTGAGAAGGTACTTTGCAAAAGGACTTACTATATAGTAAGCCTGTGCACCAGGTAGACAATTGGTCATAATAAACTCAATTCTGTACATATCTTTCTGTGAAACATAATCACCATAGAACAATCCATACTCTTGTTTTGCTGATAGCTTAAGATATTGATTGGTTTCCAAGATTGGTCTTGCTTGAGGATCATTATTTGTAAATCTGATCCAAAGAACATTAACAACATCTCCACCATCAGACATATCAATATTATTCTTTTCGAATTGAATATATGTGATATTATTAAGATCGAAATTGACTAAAATAATAAAAAATAATTATTAATATTAATCATAGTTTTTATAATAGACGATAACACTTACATGCTCCTTCTAGATAGGGGATCTTGTCAAAGTTTGTATTATAAATATCGTCACTTAAAAGATCAGTTATAAAAGGTGTATATGTTTCATAGCTAAAGGTAAATTGTAATGTTTTATATAATTGTTCTCCAATTTGAATTCCTTTAAGTTCATTTTCATAAATTCCATTATATTGATCTCCAGACACCAACTTTATTTACAGTTAATAAAATTGAAATAAATATCAACATAAAGATACATACATTATTTTTCATAAAGTTTCCTCCTTTTGCTGCAATTCTAGTCAAACCAATTGGACAACTGATATTTATACGGAAGAGAGCTGAATAAGGACTACTAATGATAATCTCCAAGGAGTGGAAATCGAAATTGACGACATAGGGACTTGATGCTATGGATAAAAATAGAAAATATTTTTTTTGTTACTATAAATAATTGTAAAAAATAAAGAAACTACAACTTACTGTCAGGTGCAATGGAAGTATAATTATTGTTGTTTATATAATTTACCGCATATGTTCCGACAAATGATTTTTGGGAAATAGAGGTGAACCCAGCATTGGTGGAACTTAAATAAGCAAAAGGATAGTCAGCTCCAGAATTTATGGATGATTTCATCCTTTGTGATAAGGTGTAGAAAGGAAAGGTACCAAAGTTTTCGAATAGATATGAGTTTGTCTGTGTATCAACACTATATGTCATACCTGCACTATTAGTATAGTATTCTGTTTATTTAAAAAATTAATATTATATTGATTTAAACAATCCAATTAGGTAACTAACTTACGTGGATAATTATAAACAATGGCTGTTTGAGTTCCTAAGTATGTGCAATTAGAATCACAATAGAATTGGTTCACAGCAATGCCACCTGGGAAAGTTGGTATCCAAGTAGAATATACTCTGTGTGTTTTATTGGATGAAACTAATATATAGGAGATTGCTACTGGGTAACCAACATATGCATTTACAGGTATAGAATCCATATTCTCAAAAGATACACTGTACTCCCATAATGGAGAGTAGTATAAAAAGTTTTGATTATAACCATAATTAGCAGCTGGATAAATTGCATTATCAACCAATTTGGTTGTTCTTAAAACTATATTTAAAAATAAACAAAATTAACAAAGAAAGAAGAATTAAAATAAAATGTTTTTAAAACATACGATTCTTTGGGAATATATTTTTCACTCTAGCTATTGGCCCTGGACCCACAGGAGTTGAATAAGGACCAGCACTTGTTAAAGTCAATTGTATATCAAAATAATCTGGGTAAACAGCATTGACTGCTCCAACCATTCTTATATATAATAATACCCATGATCTTGCTTCTGTTATTTGTGCAGTACTGGCACATGTAATAAGTCCAGGAAAATTGGTAGTGCAGGTAAAAGACGGATAGTTATTTAAAACCAATGAGTCAGTGATATTCAACTTGAGGGCCAAGGAAATTGCTCCCATCATCGGAACAAAAGTAGGTGTTCCTATATATAAATAACTTAAACTTTCATTTGAATAAACTTAACATTATTGAAAAGAATTAGATTAGTTACAATAGTAAAAGTAAAATCTATTGGTTCCTAAATACCTTCACAATTTTGGTTTTGATTTAACATGAAATAGGCCGGTGGAAAAGTTGGGTCTGAATCACGGGTTATATTGATAACGATAATATTCATTCCTGGTGGCGTTTCATAGATTATATTGAATATTTGATGATAAGGATCGAAACTACTTCCATTTCCAAAAGCAAAGGGAAATACTTTGATCTTTAAATTTGGGGATTTGAAATCATTGGAATTCAATTGTGAATCATAGTATAACTCGATTGTGTATTTGAAAAAACAAGTATTTATTCCTGCATATTGTTCTGCTTGATGTTCATTCTTTAACAATTGTACTGCACCACCATTTATATCTATTATTCAAAAATTTTATTTTAATATTTTAACTTTTTTTTTTAAAAAAATAAAATTTCCACGAAATCAATGATCAGTGATATACTTACATCCTATACTACTAAAAATTATAAGTACTAAAACCAATAATTTCATTTTAAAATAAAAAAAACCCAAATAAAAATACTTTGAGAAATCCTTTAACTTTTTCTTTTTTATAGATAAGTTTACAATATTTTATTATTATAAATAATAATACTTCATGTGGCCCACCAAATTGTCGAAAAAAGGTCGCCAAAAGATTTTTTTTTTTTGTAAATAAATTTTAAAAAAAAATCGTGATCTACAAGAAAAGATGTCTCCTATCATTGATGAGAGCTATGCTCCTAAAAAGTTGGAAAGGTCAGAAAAAAATTTGTTTTTATAAAAAAATAAAATAAAAAAAATATCTGGTGATTCAAAATTTTGGAGCATGTCAAAAAAATAAAATATCTATTCCAAGTTTTATCTCGATCAGTCTTAGGCTACATTCCTCCCGATCCAGAAGGTTTGAAGATACAATCACAATTATAATTTTTTTATTTTAAATAGATGGTGAATAAATCGATTTATTCATTTGCATTACATCTTTTTCAACTTTGAATTCCTGAAAAGAAAAATGTTAGTTTATATGTATTCTATTAAAACAAATATGTTTGTAAACTTGTTTATACATACTTCATTTAATTTATTCAAAAAATTCTTTGTTACTTCATTTAACTTTTCGGGGTTAATACCAGAGAATCTGAAACATTTAAAAGATTCTTGTCCTTGTTGATTCAATTCTCTTACATTTACCAACCAAACATTCTTTCCTTCTGATCCAAAAGTTTTAACATCTTTTAATAAAAATTCTTCAATTATTTCCTATTAAAAAAATGGATACCTTAGTAAGTAAAGAAATTTGAATTATTAGTTTAATAGATATCTTACTCTATTAGATTCGTTATATATTTCGATTCCAAAATCATTTAATTTTAGAACAACTTTTTGACCATGATATTTCACATTGAACCAATGTTCTCTTGTGGTTGTAAGAATTTGTTCTTCTTCACCACAACATAAATTTCTATTATTGGTTTTATATTTCTTTTTATTAGAAAATAAATTCTTTTGATTTCGCAAAGCATTCGATATTGAATCTAACATTTTATATATATTAATATAGGATTTTAGAATATAAATAATGATTAAGTAATTTGTAAAAGTTAAAGAATAAAATAAATATATTGAAATGAAATGGAGAATATATTTATATTGAATTACAATATAGTAAAATTGAATTTAAATGAATGAATACAAAAATATATTTAAATACATATATGTACAAAATCATCTACTTAAATGAAGATGAAACGTCGGAATATTAGTGTATTAAAATGTTGGGATTGGTCAACAATCTATTTGATAACAAAAACATAATAATTAATTTTATTATTATCTTAAATATACATAACTTTATATATATATATGATGTATTGTATTAATATATTCATAATAATAATATCTAACTTTTAAATAAAATTTTTATTTATAAATATTTGTTTTTCACTAATGATAATGTGGTGAAGTGTTGATGTGGTAGGGTTAAATAAATTATAGATTGATTTATATTAAAAAGGAAATGAAATTATCAAATAATGTGCATACATTGGTATCCACTATCAAACAATAAATGATTTACCTACAACTATACTCATACACTTTAGTATTCATCATTATCCGATTTAAATACCCACTATCAAAACAATTTTAATCATAATTTGTTTGACACCACCACTCACACAAGAGTGTAAAAAATAAAACAATACAAACTATCTTTAATAACAACAATAAATAAATTATATAATTATTTTCAACATCGATGTGTAAACACGTTTAAATGGGGTATTTATAAACATGTATAATTAAATGATTATTTTAAATATATATTTGTGATGGGTATGAATAAGATGTCATTATGTTATTGTTTAGTACACACAGCGTGGGATAGTTTTTATTTATGCTAATAACAATTCAACAGTTAACTTTTTTTTTATCTTTCAATTCATTTAAACAAATAGGAATTGTACTGTGTGTTGAAAATCAAATTTTGATTAGTAAATATTAGTAAAGTTGATTATAAAAGTACTAGTTTAGTTGGAACTAGTACAAAAGAGTTCAATCATAATACTTACAATATCTTGTTGTTGTTGTTGTTGCTGTTGTTGTTGATGTTGTGGATGATGAAGTTGTTGTTGTTGTTGTTGTTGAAGAATATTCGATGTATTGTTATTGGTAGTTGTTGTGGTAGTTGGTGGAAACACGGCATTGGAAAATAAACCTAGTGAATCTGAATAGGTAAAGAAAGATGATTCGTCCATTGCAGTGTTGATGTTATTGTTGATGTTGTTATTGCTATTGCTATGAAAGATCGATGTTAAATTATTACTATTGTTATTGTTGCTAGTGTTGATGTTGATGTTGTTATTTGGTAACGATATCGAAGGAAGTGATGATGCTTGGAAGTAGTTAGCGGATGAAGTTGATGTTGATGATCCATTCGATGAACTTGGATGATTGAAGTAACTGCTACTACTGCTGCTGCTGTTGAATCCACTTATGGGTGGAGTTACAATACGTTGTTTATCATTGAATATGCTTGTCTTTAGTGGACGGTTATCCCATGGTACTTGTTCATCGTACTGTGTATTCAACATCTGTGACAATGAGTGCAGAGAGTTGGGAGAGATCGAGCTTAGACCACTGCTGCTGTTGCTGCTGTAACTGTTCGAGTCGACTTCAATAGCAGAACTGTTGGTTGGTGATCCAATAGAACCGATTCTAGAGATACCGGGTGTCGGAGAGTAGCTTTGGTAGAGATTGGCTTGCAGTGCACTTGGCGAGATATTACCAGCGCTGTTGCTGAGGATTGGCGATTTCGATGGAGTAACAACCGGGTTGTTACTAGCCATAGAAGTCTGCTGTTGTTGTTGTTGTTGTTGCTGCTGTTGTTGAGTATTGTAGATTCGCGTGAGTATAAGCGGCGATCCTGGGAACGAAGATATGGTAATACCGTTCTCTAGATCGATGAGTGATTCAAACTGAACCAAGAATGTGCTGAATTCACGATCAAACATTAATTGTTGAATCTTTGGTAGCATCTGATCGTTATAGGCAATTCTACAACTTGTTCCAAGGTAGTTGTAAATATCGAGAGCACTCTTCATGTAGCCGGTTCTACACAGCAGAGTAAGCTCAGGTTTAAAGTTGATTTGTTGAAGATAGGCAATAACACTTGACGAAGCATTTGCAGAAGGATCTACAAAGTTCTGGCCGCTGGTCGTCGGTGATACATTCATGGGTGACTTTGGTTGAGCCAACGTTTGGAAATCTGTACCTTGATAGCCTTGTAGTAGTTGTTGCTGTTGTAATGTCAATTGTTGTTGTAATTGTTGTTGCTGTTGCTGTTGTCTATACAACAATTGTTGTTGATACTCTATTTGTTGTTGTTGTTGTAATAGATGCTGTTGTTGTTGAAGTTGTTGTATCTGCTGAGCCTGTAGTTGTAGATATTGCTGAGATAGTTTACTTGTATCTGAACTTGTTTTTTGTTGTTGTTGTTGTTGTTGTTGTTGTTGTTGTTGTTGTTGTTGTTGTTGTTGTTGTGATTGAATAACAGTTGGTTGTACTTGTACATTACTACTGTTCTTACTACTGATAGTGCCAATATTATTATTATTACCAATGATAGGTGGAGATGGTGTACTAACATTTGTAGCAACATTTGTTCTGTTAAGACCATGTTGTGATACTTGTGCATAGGATACACCATTTTTGATAGGATTCAGCATTAAAGTAGGTGTTGAGGTAGGTGTTGATACAGGTACTTGTTGTCCTTCGATTTCCTCACCAACAACAAAAGAAGCTGAGTGTAGTTGCTCTTGTTGTTGTCGTTGCTGTTGCTGTGGTTGTCTTTGCTGTTGTTGCTGTTGCTGTTGTTGCTGTTGCTGTTGTTGCTGTTGCTGTTGTTGCTGCTGCTGCTGCTGTAGTTGTTGCTGTTGTTGCTGTTGCTGTTGTTGTTGTTGTTGTTGTTGTTGACGAAATTGTTTTTGAGCTTGAACTACATTCAAACCAGCAACAACAGCTTCTTTTGTAAGTGATTCCTTAATCTTTGGTTTCTCCACAACAGTACTATTACTATTATTATTACCAGTAGCATCTTGATTCTGATTCTGATTCTGATTAGGTGATTTAGCAACTGTAATTACAGGTGTAGTAGTTGATTTGATATTCAATTTCGATTTCTTCTCTTTTATACTCTGTTGTTTTTGATGTTCTTTCCATTGCTACAAAAAAAAAAAAATAAGAAAGAATTTCACATAGTTGTTAATTAAAATGTATAACCAACCAAATAATAATAATAATAAGTTGGAATCAATTGCAGTTTGTTTACTTACTAAATTCTCATAATAAATTTGTGATCCAATATCAACACATTCATCACCAACCATTTCAATCAAAAAGTCATCGACAACCTCATTGATAACACGATTCAATAGGTCTTCGTTTTGTTTTTGCTGTTGTTGTTGTAGCAGCTGTTGTTTCTCGAGTTTCGCTTGTTGTTCTTTCGCTTCACGCTCCTTCTCTTTGGCAAGTTCACGCTCGCGTTTCTGTTGTTCTTTGAGTCGCTCTTTCTCTTTCTCTGCCTCTTTGGCACGCTTCTTCTTTTCGTCGGCAGTGCTCTTCTTTGAGACTTTCATCGACAACTCCTCGACAACCTCATCTATAATGATATCGGCGATCTCCTCTAACAACAACAGCTCCTCTGCCTCTTGTTGTTCCTTCTCTTTGGCGGCCGCTATCAAATCGGCTTCCGAAACCATTGAACTCTGAATCTTTGCAATGATATCATTGAATATCGATTGTTCTTTCTTCATTCTAGCTTCTTCTGTCTCACCTTTATTCGATTGTACTTGATCTTTTATCTTTTTTGCCTAAAATTTATTAATACTATTAGCTACTATGTTTAAACATTGCAATAAACATGATATTATATCCTATTTACATTATTTGTTGTTATATTATCATAAGTTGATTTAGGTGTACCAAACAATGAACGTGATAGCTCAACAAGTTCATCTCTTGAGAATTGTGAAGGTAGTGTTGTCTTTGGTCGCAATTTCGCTTTCTTTGATTTCTTTGACTTTTTCGATTTACCATGTGGTTTGCCACCGGTAGTGTTGTCTTTGCTGGCATCCTTTAGTGGCGGCAATGTCGGTGCCAACACACTGGGATACTCCAACATCGATTCGTAGCTAACAGCAGGCTTTGTTGGATGTATTGAGTACAACGTATCAGAATACATCAATTTCGTAAAGAAATTACCTAAATAATTAGTTTCATCATCTATAGTTGTTATTGTTGTTGTTGTTGTAGTTGTTGTTGTTTTTAGATTTATATTTTGATTTTAATTTTGATTAGATCATTAGATTGTTGGAACATTATATTGAATTGTTTTGATATAGTTTACCAGCTGATAACAATGAAACCATTTGCAATATCATTGGTTTGTGTTCGGTACGCATATGCTCTATCATTTCTTTCTCACTGTTGAATCTGTGTGAATCGATCTGACACTTGTATGAACCATTCGTAAGTTTCAGAGTATTCTCTCTAAAGAAATCGGTGAATATATAATCGAATGCACTGATTACATTGCTTTCTTCATTCTTTATAATAGGTATATCATATTCCAAACAATCGAAACAATCTAAAGAAACAATAGAGATAGATAGATAGATAGATAGAGAATGTTAGATAATAATCAAACACATTCATCTTTGATTATCAAATTTATATGATACTGTACTTGTCGATTGATTCGTTAGTTTGGTGAATGCAAAAGGTACGTCGGGTGTTCTCTGACCTAAACCATAGCAATAATCACGCTTCTCGTAGTTTGGTGGTGGTATTTGCTGCTGTTGTTGCGCTGCTACCTGTTGTTGTTGAAAAAAGTCTTGATTCAACTTGTTGATCGCTGGCGATGGTGATGTAAACTGCGAGTAGTTCTGTGTATTCTTTAGATATAGATTCCTAAAGAATTGATTCTCATCAAGATTATTATATATATCAAAATTCATTATCTATCTATATGATCTATCTATCTATCTATTAATATTAATATAAAATTATAATATAAACAGGTTTTCATGAAAAAAACTAAAAAAATCAAACTAAAAAGTAAATTTAAAATTTATTTTAAAAAAAAAAAAAAAAAAAGATAATAATTCACCAAGTCAATCTCCAAATTTTATTTTTCTTTTTAATTATGTTTGTTTTTGTTTTGTTGAGATTGATATAAACTATGGTAACCGCTGATTTCCATAGCAATAACAATACAACAACTAAAAGTGATCCTCAGAGATAACGTTTACATACGATGTAAGAGTTCTTCTGTGGCACGCTCACCGCGTGATAGCGAAAACTCTAGTGTATTTTTGTATAATTTGCGACAAATCCTACAACTAAAATTTTGGCTTCATTTTGAAATAACAAAATAGCTTAAAACAACCTCTCTTATATAATATTCAATCACATTCTTTTTTTATGGTTATAAAAAAACAACACACCTATTGTTGTATTCTTTATTATCAATTACAATGGATTATCACACCATTCTCAACTTTTTCACATCTCCAAAAATCAAAATTTCAAGTCTATTCAGCAGCACAATGGTACCGCGGTTTTTATTGCAACTAGTAATTCATTAAAATGTATGTCAACGAAAGACCATGCAGGGGAAATGATATCTTTTCTATTTTCCACTCCTTTGGTTGGGACCACGATATCAATACTGATGGAGGGGTCATGGCAGGCTCTCAGTATTATTGGATGGAGTTGGAGTTATTTTTCTCTCCTTTGTTGAGTGGACTGCTTTTAAATATAAGAGCGTCAAAAAGTAAAAAGTGGAAAGGATTTTGTGGGGGTGAAAAGTTAAAATTTCATCTTTTAGGAAATAAATACTATGAAATGCTAAATATAAAAACTGGAAATAATTATCCGACTTTAACTCAAGTGGTAGAGTGTTTGACTGTAGTAAGAATCACAAAAGATATCAAAAGGTTGCTAGTTCGAGTCTGGCAAGTCGGATCTTTTAAATTTCGAAACCCCGGATGCAGTAAGTCTCAAAAATTTGAAAAAAAAAACCTTCTAGAGCTGCACAACCATGGTTACCTGGTGGAATCTAGCTTTGGAACATCCAACTTCGTAATGATGCGCAACACGTGTGGATATTCAACAGATTCCTACTGTCTTCCTCTGATTCTTCAAAAGTTTGTTATTATACCAGTTGGCTATCTCAAATCCAATGCAGATCTATCAGTGTAGCAAAGACTATCACCTCGCCATATCTCAACCTATGCTACACTCTATGGCACCGATTGGCAGTTCATCTTAAGCATCTGGACAACAAAATCAGATCTGCTAAACCTATTCTGATTGATGGTCTACCACCCAGTCTGAAGCAAATCTACGATCACCTATTGATTATCAAACATGACATTCTACCACTAACTGATGGTCAGTTCGAACTATCTCTACCACCAACCAAATTCGACTACATCTTACGACAGTATCTTCACCTATGTATCGCTTATCAAACACCAGCTTGGACGAAACACTGTCTTCCGGTTCTTCTCTCATTCGCTTCTTAGCTTGGCAACAAAAACAAAGAATGTGAACTGTGCTTCAGATACTGCTCTGACCCATATTTCCATACATTCTTTAATTGTCGAGCATTTATGCTCAATCAATCTTAACACCATTCTTTAATCCTTAAAGCTTTCAGGTGGTCAAAGATTCGATTGGACTATGGAAGATGCATATCTGTTGGTAAGAAGAATGGAAAATATCACTACTCTCGTTTCACTTGTCTTTCATCAAATCTGAATCTCATCTCCAAGAAAACAACCTACTATCTAACGAATCTATCATAAATGAATATATACAGCACATTTCAGTAATGAAATTAATTATAAATAACAGTATCAGTAACTTATAATCCAAACTTAAATAACCTGTAACCACTCAAATGTCAGCCAACTATTATTTCCTCTTCTTCATTTCTTCATCTTCAATTTACCAAATCAATCATCAATATTCTCATCAACTTAATAATCTATAAAATAACAATAACTAAAATAATTATAATAATAATCAAAATAGCAATCAATTGGCAAAATTATGGAAAAGTAAAAACAGTAAAAAAAAAAAAAAAAAAAAAAACCTTCTCGACTCTTCTTTGCAACAATTTTCACAAAACATGCATCACTTACATACAGTTACTATCTGTACACAGTCTTATCTATTAGATTAGTTAAACTGCGGTTACTCTTTCTCTCTATCTCATATTCCTTTCCATTCTCTTTCATGTATCTTTTCCTCAAGTCACACCTAGTCCGTTTCGCTGATGACTATGTAGTTATTACTGAACTCAACATCAGTGAAAGCGATTCCCTTTCCTCACTCAAACAAAATTGTTCTCTGCTCCAGCGGTATGGGTACAGGTGTAGCAATCATCAAACCCAAAGGCGCTGACCTAGATTACAAAGAAATCTTTTCAGATCCAGGAGGTCGTATTCTCTTTGTTACAATCAACCACTCACACTACTCATTCAATGTTCTTGGAATCTATGCTCCTGCAGACCGTAAGCGGAGAAATGGATTCTCTAGACAACTCTCTCTATATCTCAGCTCGAAACCAACACCATCGATCTGATGTCTGATGATTTCAACTGTCTCTCCCTTCTTTCCTTCCTTTTCTAAAGCAAATGACGGAGCTGTGTCACACTCTAGAAAGTCTAGCTTCCGTAAACTCACTTGTAGATACCGGTTTGTTAGCTGATACTCCCACTTTCAGCTGTACCAATCACCCGCTCCCTATTTCCCATTCTCCTAGACGGTTGGATCGTATCTAAGTCGCATCCACAATGATAGGTAGTAACTCCGCTGTCGCCACCTATTTCCATAATCACTGCCCAATCTCTGTCGACATCAATCTCTCATTTCAAGAGCGAGATCCAGAGTGCGCCTTTATCTTAAGAAATCTTTAAATCATACTCTCAACACATGTGATCCGGCATCTCAGAAGCATAAAGATGCACTGAACAAGATCAACGATTTATTCACTGAAGAAAAGCTCTTTAACAGTATTATATTGAATGATTTATCTATCTACAGGGAATGCCCATCGACAGTGCTCACCAACACTCTTAAAAAAAGATCAAAGAACTCACTGAATCAATCAAAAGATCTGACGGAGTGGTCACCACTTCTCCTGATGAGATCAGAGATGGAATACTCATAAGAAACTATGGAAAGAAGATGATGTATCAATATTAGATTCGATGTATTTAGGATATCTATTCTGTTAGTGAATTTAATTGATATGATTTCAAAATATAGTAATAATAGTAAGAGAATCGCCTTTGGTTTATGGTTTACAGACATCGGGATTATTTACAATTTGAATAGATTTTCAATTGATTGTTATAAATATTGATGAAAAAATTAAATAATCTGGATTTAAATTATTTGGAATTCTAATTTGAACAATCCATTGTCAATTTAAACTTTTTTTATTAATAAAAAGTTTACTCTCTGTACCTTAAATTAGGATTTTACAAATTCATTATTTTGGACAAAAAAATCTATGTGATATTAATACTATCACAAAATGAACTATGATTTTGTGATTTGAACAATACTATTGTTTTTTTTATTTTAAGTTGAAAAAAAATATTGTCTATAATGAATTTAATTACATTGAGTGTGTGGGCAAAGGTGGAGTGGGTGTTGTAATCCCACATTTTATTGTTACGAATTTGGTCAATAAATTTAACCACCAACACTTTACTTTATCTGTTTAAACACCAATTTTTTTTTTTCTCATATTAATTTGGTTCTTTTTTTTAAAAAACCTCGAAAAATAGCTATCAAAAGTGTTGAGAAATGAAAGTAAAATTGATTGCTATTGGGTTTTAAATTTGTTTAATGTTCCTGGATTATACAAAAAATTAAACATCATATGAAAATAACAGGGGTTTGTTAAGATCAATTTTATTGTTAAATACTACTTTTACTCGTTGAAAAAGATGGCAATAGAATTTTTGATTAAAAACAGGTTAATACATTCACAACAATATATTTAGACCTGTATTATCAAATAGTGAAAAAATATAAAAATAAAAATAATATTCTCTAATCAATATTAAGAAGGGTGATAATGGAATATACATCAACTCCTTTTTTGGCAAATATTCAAAACTACTACTATATGATAGTAAAAAAAAATTGTTTAAATAATATGTAAGTATGAAAAAAACACAAATAAAAAAAAGAAACTAGCATTTACCAAAATAAAATTCATTAGTTGTTGTTTATTTTTTTAGGATAAACAAATTAATTTGCAATTTTGCACACTATACCAAATGAAAATATTTAACATTCAATAATAATTGATCTCACTACCATATTTATTTATATGATGATAACAGTACTTTGTATATGAAATGAAAATGATTGCCAAAAATAAATGTGTTTAAAAAAACAAAAAACCTATAAAAAAATGAATAGGTTTGAATGTGGTAATTTCCTACATTTTTGTTGTTTGTAAAAAGTTTATAAAACATCTTCATTATAAACCATCACACCTTAAATTCAATGATTGTCTAGTCAATTACAAAACTACACCTGTGGTTTTCCAGTTTCCAAGTAAAAAAATATAAGCAAATACATGAAACAATTGAGAATAAAAAATCAAATATGATCATAATAATCATTTTATAGAACAACAAAATTCGTAAAAATAATATTTAAAATAACTTTATCTATCTATTTAATCTTTTTATTTTTTCAAAAATGATAAACAAATTATTTAATCAGGTTTTCAATAATTGTATATTAAAAAAACAAATTTTTAATGAAGTTTATGAAATAAATAGAAAACAAACAATTATATACATTGATGTTGTTTATCGATGGGAAGATTTAATAGACACTCCACATGTATTGGCGGGTCATAATTATTTCCCTCTCTTAAGAGAATGTTTGGAATCCAAAGAACATGGTTTGGGGTCACCAGAAATATCGATAGTATTTGAATGTGCAATTCGTGGAAACAGTGACTTGGAGATACTAGACTATTTAATAAACTACTTTATTATTGACAAGCAAAGTTCTTATACGCTTAACTCTCTATTTATCGAAGCTACTGAGTATGGTCGGTGCGAGGTACTGTCATATCTATTAAATACCTACAAAGAACATCAATTTGATTTTGGTAGTTCAATGGTCAATGCTCCTCTTGGAAACAGTATGGAGGTGTTGGAATTCTGTGTTAAAAAGTTCAATGGTTCTCCAGAAGGAAAAGATTATGTTTGTAGTTACGAAGATGGTCAAGAGATCAGTGTATTTGATAATACAGTGGTTGTCGGAAATATAGAGATGTTTCAATACCTTTTGGAGACTAGAGAACAAGATTTAAAATTTGGAAATCTTTTCCAAAGATCAATTGAAGCTGGTCATGTACATATGGTGGAGTATCTGATCTTCAATTATAAAGCAGAATTTGACAAAGTATCAGATCAACTACTTGATTGTGCTATTTCAAACCGTCAGCTCCCTGTTGCTAAATTATTGTTCAGCTATGGGTTAAGAGACTGTAGCTTTGGATCAATGGATAGGGCAATAGGTGAAAAAATTGATGATATGGTCATATGGATGTTCAAAAATTTGACACAAAAATGTTCATCATATGCATTTGATAATGCAGCTAGTAATGGATGGTTGGAATCGATGAAGTTTCTCCATGAGAATGGTGTTGAATGTACCACCGAAGCTATGGATTTTGCAGCATCGAATGGACACCTAGACTGTGTAAAGTGGTTACACTTCAATCGTAGCGAAGGATCAACTACTTTTGCAATGAATGAAGCTTGCAACAATCACCACCTAGACGTTATCGAATGGCTGCACTATAATAGAAGTGAAGGTTGTACAACTTATGCAATGGATGCAGCAGCTAAGATGGGATTCCTCGATGTTGTAAAATGGTTGCATGTAAATAGGTCAGAAGGATGTACCAACATTGCAATAGATTATTCGGTTGCTCACGGGCATTTCGATGTTGTAAAATGGCTCCTTGAAAATAGGTTAGAAGGTTTTACCCAACAGACATTGAACTTTTTAGTTTATTATGACCGACCTGAAATGATTCCGCTATTCCAACTTCATTACTTACAACAACAACCACTACCACACCAACAACAATGATCTTTGTTTGAATCACTTTGACTATAAAATTTAAATCACATTTTTAATAAAGTAATATGATCATTTGGTAATATTAATTAGTCTTTTCACTTCATTTATAAATGAACTTTGTTAATATATTTATTTTAGTTTAAATTTTTATGTTTATATAAAGATAAATGATAATATTGGCGGTGTGATCTACGGGCATGTATGATCAAGCTTGATCTCTACGATACTTTCAACAGTCACTCAATCTTTAAGTGACCATTAACTCACCTATTCCAATGTTCACAAGTAATAATAACAACAATAATAGTCAAGAGTTTGTCAATAAGAAAGATATCATCGCCTTCATCATAAAGTCATGACGGTTCACGAATTTTTAATTTAATTTTGTGCTTTTTTTTTTTTTTTTGATCACACTCATTAACATATAAAAACACTTGTAATCATTTGTTATGATTGCTTGTTCATTGTATGTAATTATATATATCTAGCTTTTAGTACTATTTAGAAGGTATATGAAAGATTTTGTAAAATAATTAATATTAATAAGGATCTCTATAAAAAAAGATAATAAATTTTTGGGTATGTAATCAATCTTCCGATCTATTCAAGAATCAATGCATACAATAATTGTTCTCTTTCTTTCTTTCAATCTTCTTTCTTGTTCATTTCTCTTTGTCTCATTGAATTCTATTTTTATACTATATATGTAAATTTTGATTACTAAAGTGTATCATACCAAAAAAAACTTTTCAGGGTTCAAAAACAAAAAAAAAAAATACAATTATTTGTAAAGAAAGATAAATTTAGATAATATAATGATGTACTATGATGATGATGACAGTTTTGAAGATAGTGACAACCAAAGCGAAACAATAGAAGCCGATTCTCAAGCTGAACTTGATTTATTGAATACTGGAGGAGGTGGTGGTGGTGTTGGAGATCAACTGACACAGGATCTTTCAATGGGAGTAGTGCTTAGTGGTGACAGTGGAATTGAATTTAGTAGCAGTGGTGGCGGTGGTGGCGGTGGTGGAGACAATCAATCACCTTCGATAGTATCCGAAATGAATGAGTACACCGACAGTGACTATGACAGTCAGAGTGTAGGTAGCTTAGACAGCTATGATTCGGAAATCGATAGTGTAGACACCTCACATCGCTGCCCACACTCTGTGTGCACAACTAATGACTTCTTTGAAGATATCATACAACATGCACTAGAAAAACATACCTCCTGTGCAGCCAATTGTCTAGGTTGTCGTCTCGTAAATGATATCAACCGTCGCAATGAAATCTACCTTGAAAGGAATTATACTCCAGGTCTCAACAATTTTTTCCCACATCACCCACCCAACAATAATAATAATAATAATAATAATAACAATAATAATAATGATGATGATGATGATGATGATGATGGTGATATATGTGTATAATAATAATAATAATAAGAATAATGGTTAACATTCATTCATTCATTACCAATAGTAAATTCAAGATTCTCAAAAAGAGAAGTTTTTCTCAAAGAGAGAGAGACACTAAGTCAAAACAGTTACAAACATGGTCAAATTCTCTTTCTAATTTCGAACACACCCGGAATTTATCCCAACTTTGTTGTCCGTGTGTATGCCAAATAAGTTACTCCATTACAATTACAATTCTCAAGCTGGTCATGTTTTAGGTCGCGCGCCCTGTATATTACATTCCTAATCAATATTATTTCCAATCGACCAAGTTGGAATGTAAATAAAGTCAATATTTTAGTACTTCAAATTCTATTATTAAATAATTTAATATTTTTCATTGACAACAAAACTATCTGACTTTAAAAAGTTACAGACAAAAAAAAAAAAAAAGTCAACAAAGACTGATTTTCTGTTTGTTCAATCTAAAAGGGTGATATCAACCACAAACAAAAAATGGCAATTAAATAATGGTTAAAAGTATTAAAACAATTAAACTTGGTGTGCAAATCAATCAATGCTGCTATTAAGAAATAAAAAAGTTATTTTTGTTTTTTTTTTTTAAAAAAAAATGTTTTATATTTATATATATTATATGCTACAACTTGAGCATGTTTAAAATATTGATTTTGACTTGACTGTTATAGTTGTGCTTATTTGGTTGTTTTGATTGTCTGTACTGATGTAGTTGAGTTTATAATCGAATAAAGAAAAATAAAATACGCAATAATTAGGTTGTTATGTATTTATAAAAAATTTACTAGGTTTTGTTTAAAGAGTTTATTGTCTTCTTGAATACCATCCCAAAAATGCCAAAAGAAGAACAAAGAACATAGCAATACCAATCAAGAGAGCGATGGTGTCACCAGCATTCCAACTACCAGCAGCAACACTTGATACAAAAGAGGCAATCAAACCAGAGATTAAAACTTGCTTGTTATTCATTTTATTGTTGTTTGTGATCTAAAATATATAATTGAATTGAATTCATACGTGTTAAAATAATGATATTAATAAATGTGTAAAAAAGATAGATATTAAATTTTAAATCTAAATAATAATAATATTAGATAGATAATCTGAAAGAGAGTATTCTAATTTAACTATCTTTCAGATTATTCAATATTAAATTGAATTGCATTGAATTGATCATTTACCGTTTATTTATTTATATATTGGAAAAAAAAGATATTGATTGAAATGTGATTATATATTATTAACAAATAAATGTTAAGTTTGTTGTTGTTTTTGATTATTAAAAATAAATAAATATTACAGAGAAAGTGTGTTGTGTGCTAACTAAAGTAAAACTTAGTAATAATGAATTTTTAAAAAGAAAAAGAAGGTTTTTTTTTGTATTTTTTTTTTTTTTTTTTTGTATTTTTTCAACGAGCAACAAATGTTGGCTCATTACATTAAAGAGAATGCAAAATTTTTTTAATTTTTTTTGTGTAAAATAAAAAAATCTGTATTTTTCTTTGCCTTTTTCTTGACAAATATAATTTTGGAAAATGAGGATTGTCGGATGATTATTTCTGTGGAATAAGTCAAAATAAAATTCTTTTTTTTTTATTAGCATGGTCAGAAAATAAACATTCATTTTAAATTTCTTTAATTGTTGTTGGTTTTCAAAAATAATTAAAATAATTATATACATTGAGAAATGAAAATGATCAATTAATATTATTAATATGGTCAAAAAAAAAAAAAAAAAAAAAAGTTTGTATAAAAAGTAACTAAAATAATAAAATAATTAGTTATTCATAGGCTTTGGATTTAAACAATTACTACTTTATATATATAAAAAGATCACAATTAAACAATTTTTTTTTTTTGTTGCAAAAAACAATTCAATTAGCCTTTTTAAATTGGTGTTATTGAATTGATCAAAGAATTGTAGAGGCCAATAAAGCAATCGATTTGAATGGAGGGAAGATGTGCAGCATCTTGTTGTGTTTTTTGATCAAAACACCCTACAAACCGTCAAATACACAAAATCAAAAATTAAATCGTAATTGAAAGATTGATTATGTGTGGTTTTTTGTTTTTTTTTTTTTCCAATCAAAACAAGCAAACATTATTAACACACAACATACAAATCTGTATATTATTATTGTTATTACTATAATCATTCATTCTCACACTTTTACATAATTTATGTATCTCTAATACGATAACAACTTATACAATTTCACAAATATATATTTTTTTATTTTATATTTAAAAAATTATATATTATTTTATTATTGATTGATTGATATTCACAATTTAAGAGAGAGAAAGAGAATTTGATCAATTAAATAATAATCAATAACAACACATCATACATCACATACATATTCAGCTGTTTAAAATTAGTTTAATCAAGAAAAAGTGTTTAAAAAAAACTATAAATATATAAACATACTATCTATCTATTTATTTATTTATTTATTAAATTTGTTATTATTAATTATTATTATTGATTTGAATTCCCAATAATAATTTTGTATCATTATATAAATATATCATTTTTGTATTTGAAAAGTTTGTAGTAGTTAAAAAAAAGTAGTAAAAAAAGCAAAAGAAAGAAAAAGAAAAACTAAACTATGGTTGGTAAAAATAAAGAGAATCTATTGAAATGGTGCCAAGAGATTACAGAGGGATATCCTGAGAAGGTCAGTCAGGTAAATGATTTTTCAAAGTCATGGAAAGATGGCACAGCCTTTGTAGTTGTGTTGAATAAGGTGTATCCCAATGCTTTCAGTGTGGACGATGTGCTAGCCAAGTCGGTAACAGAGAGACTGTCGTTTGTCTTTGATTTCGCAGAGGACAAAGGTATTGTCGGTCGTCTACTGGAACCGTCGGATTTCACCACGGATGGAGTCGATCCCGAGAAGATCACAGTCGAGACATATATATCGTGTATCTATCATTATCACAAGAAGAAGTTGGGTGAGGATGAAATGGATGCCAAGCTAAAGTCGTTGTTGGCCAACATTGACAATGTCGATAGTCTTTTGGCGTCTGCAGCTTCGATATCGACATCGTCGTCGTCATCATCATCTACTGACACTACTAACGGCGAAGAGAATGGAGCAAACGGTGCCAACTCTACAGCGACTTGGTCGTTGCAGTCAATGGACAAAGAGATAGAGGCACTGAATCTCAAAATGAAAAGTTGGACGGAATCACAAAAAGTGGTGGAAAAACGAAGAAATGAAAGTGCACAGTCAAAAGAAATACTCAATAATCTTGAGAAAGTAATGTCAAACATTGAACAAGAGTTATTAGAGAATGAGAATTCAAGTGTAAGTATTAACAAACTGATATCAAGTTGAAAGAGAGACATGATGTTTAATTTTTTTTTTTTTGGTTTCTAGAAAAAATTTAGAGAGGAAATTGAAAAAAGAGAAGCAGATTTAAAGAATAAGATTGAAAAAGAAAAGGAACAGTATGATAGTCATATTCAAGAGTTACAAAGAAAGATTGATTTGGCAAAGGCAAACACCAAGGAACAAGAGGAATTGAAGAAGCGATTGGAAACACAAAAGAAGGCAAAAGACGATTTGTTGAGAAAGAGAAAGGAGATTGAAGAGGAGACCGCTCAGTTGAGACAGAGATTGCTCGACGAAGAGAATGCCAAGAAGGTGTTGCAGAACTCTATGAAGAAGGTGGAAGAAGAGAAAGCAATTGCCAAGGTCAAGCATCAAGATGAATTGAAAAAGTTGAGAGAGGAACTGATGAATGCAAATGCCAAGCAGGAGATGATGGAGTTAGAGTTGCGAACAGAGACGTCGCTAAAGAATGAATTGGTTACAAAGCAACGATTCATGCAGGCCAATGTCGATGATATCAATCGATCGATCGATTCAGAGTTGAAAGAGAAAGCAGAGATCACCAAGACCAAGGAGAAGCTAACCAGTTCGTTGAAGAAAGCGATCATGTCGTTGGAGGAAGAGACCAAGGTTTACAATCTTCGAGACAAGTCAAAGAAGGAGATGGATGCCGAGAAGACAAAGTTGAGAGCAGAGCGTGAAGCGGAACAGATTGCAAAGCTGCAGGCAGAAAAGGAGAAGCGTATTGTACAGAACGAATTGAATGACAAGAATGAGGAGATCGATGTTGAGATGGTCAAAGTGAGAGATGCCAAGTTTTTAAATAGAGATTTGGAGAGAAAGATCGTTGAGACAACCGATGAAATCGATGACGAGAGAAATAGAATGGAGAAACTGCTCAGCTATCAAGATGAGAAGTTTGGAAAGAATCAAGATTCACTGGCAAAGAAGCATAAGAATGTGTTGAAGAAGATTGAGGATACCAAACATCAGATGGAGAAGAAGAAGAATCAAGCTGCTGAATCAAAGCTAAAGGAACAGGAGAAGCGAAGAGAAATGGAGTCGGAAAAGTCAATGCTCACCGACAAGGATGCAGAGTTGGGCGATCGATTGGCCGAAGAGAGAAAGGAGCGTAAACAAGCGATGAAAGCAAATCGTACACTTGAAGAGCAGTTGAATCGTGCACGTCAATTCTTGGACTTGGAATCAAAGAGTAGATCTTCAAAGGAGAAGTTCAAACAGAAATTGGAGAACGACACCAAACAACTGCAGTCAACTATTGGTGAGGAGGAAAAGAAGAAGTTGTCACTGCAAGAGAAGAAGCAATCGCTTCAAAAAGACAATGAACATCTCAGTAAGAAGCTGAGTCACACCAAGAAACAAACGGTCGAGCTTGAGGAGGCTAAACAGTCACGTAAACAAAAGTCATTGCAGATCGATAGCGATATTGTGGAGGTGAACGCTCAGCGCGCAGAAGCAGAGACCAATCTGGATATCAAGTTGCAAAAACTGGCTGAGGAGACACAGGAGGAGATGAAAGAGCGATTGAAACAGATGGAAGACAAGTCGTTGGAATTGAACAACAAGACTTTCTTGACACAACAGAAACTTAAGCAGCGAATCGAGTCGATCGCAGAGATGGAGGCAAGGAAAGAGGAGGAAGAGAGATCGTTGCGTGAAGTCAATCAGAAGCTGGACGAACTGTCACTGGAGAAGGAAGCAAACGATATCAAGAGAAAGATGCTAGAGGAGAACGTCAAGAAGATGTCGGCAATGACCGATGTCGAGAGGAAGGAGAAGGAGGAGAAGTCGCAGTCGCTCGAGGAGATGCAGGCCGAGATTGCCAAGCTGCAGAGTCAGCATATTCAAGACGAGAATGACTCACTGCTATATGAGAGACAAGCACAGTTGTTGGCATCGGAGTTGGCAGCACAAGAATCGGCACTCAAGGAGAAAGAAGACGAGCTAGAACTAGAGAAAGCAGAGTCAGAGCGAATCCTCAAGAAAGAACTAAGAAAACTTGAGAAACAACGTAGACTAGAGGAGAAGGAACTCAAAGACGATTTGATGGGCGAACACAAAGACAATCTTCAACAAATAGAAAACAAATTCAACAGACAAAAGAAATTACTCTTGGAAGAATATAATGATTTAGGTTTAGAATTGAATCAAATGAGAAATTCATTAAGAGATACAAGTGTATAAAATTAATTAGATCATATTTAGTAGTAAAATAAATAAAATAAAAAAACATATTAAAAAACATATATATTTATTTTTTTATAGTTAGAAACGGAATTAAAAAGATAATAGAAAACATAAGGAATTGGAATTGCTTTAATATAGATCTATAGATCCAATGTGATATTTAGTATTAATTTAAAATCAATCAATAAATTTTGGTTGTTTTTTTGTGAAAAAAGATTGATTTCAATAATTCATGAGGAATAGATAAATTTAATAAATCAAAATCAAATTGTTAATAACAATAAAACATAGACTCACAATTGCCATTTAAAAAACAAATCCATTCTCTTAATTGTTTGGTACAATCAATCGAAAACCATCAAACTAGATCATCAGGTTAATATTGTGCCAACAATTCAGTCGACTTTTTAACACTAATATTAGTAGGGATGACAAATAACCTTACTTTTTTTATCTTTTCTCAATCAGAATTCAATGATTTTCTCTCAAGAAGGTTTGTGGTTTACAAAATTAGTTCTTTTTTTTTTTAAGAATGGTATGAATTTTTTTGGGAATATATAAAAATCTATCATATTATTATTGTTATTTGTATTTTTTTGAAAAACAACGGCTATTTAGGATACACTCCCAATCTTTAATTAAAGAAATACTTTTCCTTTTTTTCCAACTTCCAATTTCCTAGTATTTATTTGTAAATAAAAAAACAAACAAATAATCAATTCAATCTATCCATTTTAAATTTGTTCTTTTAAATTCATTAATAACTTCTTATATATAAACAAAATGAAAAAATCATTTTCTAAATATAATATTTTTAATAAAAAGATTAATAAATCACTTTTACAGATAATAAGTCGAAGACCTGTAGAAAAGAACAAGAATATTAAAAGCCAGGAAGATTCACAAGACAATGAAAATCCAATGGTGTGGAGAGTTCATAAAAGTGACCCATTCTATGGAACTTCGAGCAAACCGATCATGATCTCAAAAGTTCCGTTTAATGAAGCAAAATCTTTAAAGAGGAATAGCCAAGAACTTCCTGCTGAAAAAGAAACAAAGATAATTCTTCCACAATCCCAACAATAACAACCATTATTCTGTTCTACTATGTAATATAAATGTTGTAATATTACATCGAGTACCATTACTTAATCTATCGTATATAATAAAATTGTTTATTAATAATATTTAAATCTCTAAAAAAAGACTAATTATTCGAGATACTATTTAATCTTTTCTAAATAAACCAGATTAATCTATCCCAGTGGGTTGATGGTCCAGTCAAACCATCGCATCTGATTTTAAAAATGAAAATAAATAATATTAATAAAAAAATTCAAAAGATCTTTTGACTTTTGGTGGTTTCAATTACTCAGCAACATTCGTGTCTTCTGTTCTCAATCTTGTTGGTAAAGAGTTCGCACAAAAACTTTTAATTTTAATTTATTTTAATTTTTGTTTTTTTTCTCAATTTTTTTCTTCGCCTTTTGAACATTAATAATAATAATTTTTTCATCTTTTTTTTAACATTCATCAAATCAATTTATATTATATCTATCTATATTTATACACACATTATTATTTTAGTATAAACAAATTAAAAAAACAATAAATTTAAATTTTTATATATTATTGGAAAACTGATTAAAAACAACGACAACAATATATAAATATTTTATTTTTTATTCTTTTTAAATATATACAAATCAATCTGTTTTCTTCGTTCTGAGAAAGCAATCAAATCAAAAACTTTAACTTACTTACAATTTAACAAAATTAAAGATTAATTTACTAAATTAACTTAATTTCTTTTTTTTTTTTTTTTTTTTTTTTCTCTCTCTCAATCTTCTAATTTGGCTTAATTCAAATAAACATTATTTAAAATAGATTATATCTATAGAAAATAATTTTTATCTTTATTAATTCCTTTTGTTTTCTATTTTTGTAAATATTTAAATTTTATTTTATTTTTGTTCGTTCGCTTCGTTTTATTAACATCACACAAGTCTCACACATTTTTCAATTTTTTTTAAATAATTAATTTAATTTTTTTGTATATAACTTAAAAGTTAATTTTGTAACATATATTTTTAATTAATCGACTATTTATATTATACTATACGATTTTTATATTTCTTTCTAAACAAAAATGATGTCCGTTGAAAGTTCACCTGTAAATGTATGTTTTGAATGAATTCTCTGTGATTATTCATTGATACCCATTAATTATCCCAAAAAACTCACAATTTTTTTTTTTTTTATACTTTCTTTTGAAAATATTTTATAGACACCATCTTTAAATTGGGCTGATATTGAAGTGGAAGATAATCCATATATTTATGAACAAGACGACGATGCCTTTGTTCCAACTTCATCGACCACCACTTCAAGCTCTGGCTCTTCTAGCAAATCATCCAACAACAACTCAAAGAAAAAGAACAAGAACAAATCGAAATCAAAGTCTGACAAGTCAGCTGCCAAGAAACAACAGAAACCACAGTCACCTTCAAAGCAATCGCCACCAACTCAACCACAATCCACTGACAAATCATTGCCATCGCCATTCTCTGGAAAATCATTACCACAACAATCGAAACCAGCCGACTCCAAACCAACCACCACTTCAACTACTTCAACAACTTCCACATCCAAACCACAATCGCCTGCTTCTTCTTCAAAACAAACAAAATCGACATCTTCCACTTCATCTTCAACCTCAAAAGGTCCAAAGTGCGAAATTTTATTTACAGAGATCACCTTGACTGAGGTGGAAGGTGGTGAGCAACAGTTGGTAGATCAACAAAAGGAGGAGATTGAAATGTTTTTCGCAATTTTTGGTCCAATTGAATCAATTGAATCAAACTGGTCTGAGAGAAGCGCTCTTGTTGTCTACCAGCACCCAGCCGACGCTAAGAATGCTTTGACCCAATTTAAATCGGTATCGAAACTCGAAGACCATTTGTCTGCATTGCAAGCACGTCGTCCCAAACTTCTTATCAATTTGAAGAATATTTGGAATATTAAGGCAGTCGCCAAGACCCCAGCAGCATCATCGAGCTCCGCTGCCACCACCAAAACAAAGCCAAGCGCCACAGCACCTTCCACCACCAAAACACCAGCATACCCACCACCACCAGCACCAGCCAGACACCACCTTTTCAGCAACGGACATCACCACCAACGCTCACCACGCGGTGAATGGAGACCTGCTGGATTCTCAAGGAGTCAGCAACAACAACAACAACAATCTCAACAAACTCAATCAGCCTGGTGATAAAGTTGTTGGTGTTTATCAATTTTTTTATTTATTCATTTATTGTTTTATTTTTTTTTGTGATACTAAAAAATAAATAAAATTATTAATTTTCAAAAAAAAAAAGGTAAAAAAAGCGTAAAAAGACAAATAATTTTCATAAAAGAAAGCAAATGTGTGATGCTTAACATCGAAATCCCAACAATTTGAAGATTCTGTGGTGATTTTTTCAAGAAAACTTTTAAAATTTTATAATTTTATTTGGAAATATCTGGAAAAGTATGTTTTTTGAACATTATTTTTCTGTTTTTTGGTACAAAAAAATAATCGAAACAAAATTCATTTGCAGAATCCAATTTTAATTAATTTTTTTTTTAATTTAATTTTTGTTTTTTATCGATGAACAACCTCCAGTCTATGAAAGTTTGTTTTTTTTTTTTGTTTTTACAGGTGTTGTTTTTTTTTTTTGGTATTAGATTATTAGATTTATATCACTTGTGTGTTATAACAAATATTTTGTTACTCGTCACAAATACAAACAATCTATTCATACATATATTACCTAACATATATACATATACAAATACAACTATAGACTTTTATAGTTGTAAATTTAAATAAATTAATTTTTTAATTTTTTTATTATCTTAAAAGTTTTACAAAACATTTAAGGATTAATATTTTTTATATGAAATTAATTTAATTGTATTGTTTAATTATCACATCATAGTTAATTTTAAATATAATATTGTCTTTTTTAATTTATATTAAAAACAAATTGCCTGGTAAAATATGTCTTCTATAAATCAATTGGTCGATGACGATCTTAAGAAAGACATAAACCAAGCTATTTCACATGTAAAGATATATCTCAGACAACGTTTCAATGAAGGACGTACACAGTTAAATAATCAAATAAAACAACATCAACAACTAAAAGAAAAAGAATTTGAACAACAACAATTAAAAGATAAACAGTTAAATTACGATAGTAATAGTGATAATGATAAAAATAATATTTCAGAAAATAATAATAGCAATATAGATAACAAAGAAAATAATAATAATAGTAATAATATTACAACTGATAGTTTCGAAAATGTTCCAAAGAAAACCAAATTTTGTTGTGAACATGTAGATAATATTCCAGAGTATTTAAAAAGAGATTATATTATCTATGGTTATAGAGTTAATTTTTCGATCCCACTGGCTATAAAGTCGATCTTTATTCCTTACCATAACGAATTTTGTAATATACATTCTCATCTGTGGCCGGCCGTTTACTTTATTTATTTGGCACTGGACACCCTATTTTTCAATGGTGTCGAAACAAATGGTGGTAATGGTAATAATAGTTTCCAATTCTACGACAAATTGGTATTTGCTTTGTTCTTATTCAGTGGTATTAGTACATTTGTGTGCTCGGTGCTCTGGCATTCTTTGGGCTGTGTCTCCTACTCGACATGGAAACAGCTACTTCTCTGTGATTACATGGGTATCATCTTCCTGATAGTCGGGTCATTCTATCCACCGCTGTACTATTCTTTCCGTTGCATTCCCAACCTTATGATCGGTTACATGACGACTATAACCGTTTTAGGCGCAGGTCTTTCGCTTTTCATTTTCGTGCCGGCACTCTCTCATTACAACAGAATGCGAACACTCTTTTTCACACTGACCGCATTCTTTGGTATCATTCCAGCGAGTCATGCACTCTATTTATTCGAATGGGACGTTGGTATTCTGTTTTTCTACCGAATCAATGTGATGTTTGCTCTCTTTGGTATCGGTTTGATTTTCTACATCGCAAGAATTCCGGAGCGTTGGATGCCAGGCATCTTTGACAGTGTATCTGGTTTTGGTAGTCACGCAATTTGGCATCTCTTTACTTTTTTGGCGCCACTCTACCACTATCATACATGTAAATTAACTTTTTCAGCTGCCATTGGTCAATGTGGTCTCTAATTTATTATTACTATTGATGTGCTCGAGCACAGCCCAACAAAATAAATTAAATTAAATTAAATTAAATTTTCACTATTTTTAACTTTACTTTACAAAAAAAAACAATTGGCTTTTTTTGGATGTGGTATTCCCAAGAGTTTAATTTGATTGTTTATTGTTTTTTATTTCTTACTATTTGTTTGTTTATTAGTTATTACAGTTATTAGAGTTCATCTTGGAGAATCCGATGTGGAAGACATCCATTGTTCAGGATCATTAGAAGACCACTCATTTCATCCATTACAATAGTTTTTATAAATAACCTATTTAGTATAGGAGATCATACCATAAGGACAATATAGTTGACCAACAAATTGCAATACTAGTAGACCTCCTATATACCCGTTTGACTTCCTCAATCCCAGCGGTAATGGTCAAGAGAAAGATAGACATCATTAAGGATACCATTGTTTGCAATACCATCATTAAGAAGAATAAAGAATGGCTACTTCCACCAAATGACGAACCATTTTCCAAATAGCACTGTAGTTTATCCTTACGTATAGATGCTACCTCAAGATTGGATGGAAAATGCAAAAAAATAATGTTTTCTAGCCGCTGCACAAAGTGCTCTGTATGATACTCATCGGATTCTCCAAGTTGAACTCAATAATAAAAACCACAAAACCAATAAATTCATTCAATTTAAACAATTAAAATATCTTATTAAAATGTTTTTATTTGATTTGCATTACTCTTTAATTAAAAAAATTAAAATTATTTTTAAATTAATTTGATTATCAAAAAACGAAAAAAAAAATTAACAAAAAAAAAAAACGAAAGATTACATTTTATTAATTTTATATCTATCTTACAACAACAACAACAATAACAATCAATGCCAAAGATAACACATGATAGATCACTACATAGTAGTGCACCAAGACCATCAAATAAAAAAGATGTATTTGCAAAGGTATTAAATATTTTATTAGCTTTGATCTTATTATTATTATTAGGTTCAGTTTACTAATTAACACAATTGTATTATAAAAAAAAATTAGTCAGAGAAAGAGTCATCGTTTGTAAATGTACCAAAGGCACAGCTAGATTTAAATATTTTACAGAGCAATATCAAACCACTGAGTGGATTACCTTTGAAATTGAATATTCCTGAATCGGAGGATATGATAGATAGACGTCCACAACCACTTGCAAAGAAAGAGAAAAGAAAACAAAAGAAAGAAGCATTTTTAAAGAGTAATATCAAAAGTTTATCATTTACTATTATTATATATATCAGGTTTATAATAATTACTAAATCAAACGTTTTAATTTTTAACTATAAAATTTAGAGTTGGAACCTTTTGCAAAGAAATCAACATCAACAACAGAATCAAACAAATCTACATCAAATGAAAACAGACATAATAACAATAACAATAACAATAGTAATAAATCATCGTTGAATTCCTCCGAGGATTTGATGGCAGCACTACTAAGTGAATTGAGTGATGACGACGACGATGAAAACAAACCAAAGAATATGGGAAACAGCGGTACCTCTACAATGACCACAAGAAAGAAAAAGAAGATTGCGTATGTTAATTGATCAACACATTTGAAAGACAATCTCTATTACATTGATGATAGTATTGACTTGTTATTAATAATCATATTTATTATAACTATTAGTTTAAAGGAAATTGAACAATATAAGAATGTTTTAGCGCATCCATCATACCAATCGGATCCTTTCGCAACACTCAAAGAACACCTTTCGAATTCAGTTCAAATACAAAACGAGAAGATGGCAGAGCAAAATAAACTTAGAAACAAACAAAACGATATCATGAAGAAACAACCACTGAAAAAGAAAGATAAGAAATCAAGTAAAAAGAATCCATACTACGATGCTGGAAATAAAATGGATTTGAATTAAATTAATTAAAAAGAAAATACAAGATAGATGATAAATAGTTACAGATTTACTGTTATTTATTTATATTTTATATATATATATACACAGGTTAAATATCACACACCAATCACATACTTTATGAGAATGAATTAGATGATGATGATGATGATAATGGTTAAGTTGTTGTTGTTGTTGTTGTAAATGACTTTATACATTCCGATCGATATCCATCGTCACGATACACGATTGGGAAGAACGATTCTTCGAGTCTCGATGAACCAAAGATTTTGTATCTTCCATAGATGTAGCCAGCTTGTACTTGCTCATTGAATTGACTTTCCGATGAGATATAGTGGAGTGCCATACTGACACGTTCGACTGTCGGCGATGGATTGGTTGCTGAGCCGTGCCACATCATTCCATGATGTACGCTGCACGAGCCAGCGCTGAAATCACACGACACTCTCTCGTAGCTATCGGACAAGTTCACCTTCTTGGCAGCCTCGTTTAGCTTTGCGAGATAGTCGTCCGGTGCATGAAATCCAGCATCGCTATGGCTGTGTGTAACCGGCCATCTATGAGATCCTTTCACATACTCCAGTGTGCCATTGTGCATACTGACATTGGTTAGAGCAACCCAGATAGTGACAACTTCACTTGGTGTGAAGAAATTGAAATAAGGTTGATCTTGATGAAATCCAATTGGTTTACCTGTAGTTGGTTTCCACTATATATATTGTATTGTATTGTTAGAAATAGAATAATGACTAACTATAGTTAGTTATTATAGTACAAACAAATATATCATCTTGTGCCAATCTTGCACCCCTCCAACCCATTAGTTTAGCGGCAATTGCACCCATTTTCTCATGTAAAGCAATCGTGGCAAACGATCTATCACATTTCCAAGCATTAACCATCTCTCTAGTGATATCATCTCTTGATAAACCTATATAATAATTGATTGATAAATCAATAAAGTTTTAGGTTAAAATTGTATTTATCAATCAACTATTATTTAATCTTTACAGCTTCTTCTAATTACCTTTTCTCCAATACCATTCATCTGGGTAGATGCCTGTTTCGAATTTACCATCGAATAGAGGTGCCACTCTGCTATGTAGATTCTTTACTTCATCACCACTTATAACATCTTTAATAAACACAAAACCATCCTCATGAAACTGTCTATACTCAGAATCGCCTATATTCTCTTTACTTATAAAATATCTATCACTTTTATTCATCATCTTTTAATTTGATTTTTAAGTGAATCAATGAAATGAAATAAAATTTAATTTGAAATTTTTTTCTATCTTCTTTTGCTTTATCGGGTACTTTAGGTATCGAAATTTCAATGTTTTACTTGAAAGTATTTAAAATAATTTTTGGATAAATAAAAATGATCATATTTATTTATTTCTCATTCTTAAAAACATATAAAACTACTATTTTTTATGATGAGAGGTTTTGTTGCTTGGAAAAACATTTACACAGAATTTAGCATCAATAGCGGATCCAACAACTCCAGTTATGGATGCTGATCACACAACTTGAATTGATTTAAGAAAATTTGGTGATATATGGTATGGCAATCCTTAGCATGTAACAGGTTACCAGCAGAATTTCTTCTTACTTGTTTGAAAATTTAAATCATTGAACTAATCAATATTGGGTAAGGGTAGGGGTGTTGAGTTTAAAGTGTAAGCGGATATAATATAAAATTTAAAGAATAACAAATAAATCAAAAAAGATAATAAAATTAAATAGATAAAGAAAAAAATAAACGAGTGAGCTTTGAGTCATTGTTACCACTCTTTTTGTTAATTTTCAAGTAAAGTTACCTTTAAATTCATTGTTTCGCTTTGAAATGGTTATATTTTTTTGTACCAACAATTCTCCCAAATCTGTATCTTAGTTCCGAAAAAAAAAGAAGCCAAAGTTAACACCATTGATTTTAGTAGAGAAAAATTTGTTTGTCACTTGAAAGGTTACAATTAATTGGGGGAGATGAACATCTTGCACGATAAAATTTAATAATTAATTGCTTTTTTCTTTGAATCAAAACAATATTTATGAATATTTTTAGAAATTTGTTTTTTATTTGGCAGTTGGGCAGATTCTATATGTTAAGTTGAAGCCCGAATCGTCATCAAGGATGTGTTAATTTTTTGCGCTTACACCTTTTTGCACACGAGTGGATCATAGATGTATGGGTTTGATTAAAAAAAAACGTGCGGACAAGATGATTTTGGTTTTTTCAGTGCATAGAAATTTTTTTTTTTTACAACTTTGACCCATTTTGCAAAAATAATCCCTTATTTATCGGATAAATGAGAAACAAAAGCTTGATCAAAAATTAGATGCAATTGTTTTTTTTTATAAATATCTTTGGTGGGAGACAAAATTTTTTTAATTTTTTGAAAATGAAAAGATATTAATTCATATTATGACAACAAGATGAATGAAAAAGTTTGATAGAATTCTTGATCAATCAATCAAAACTCTCTAATCATTATTTATTAAATATGTATAATTATAAATATTATTTTTTTATATTTTTATATTTATAAATTTATTTGTTTGCACGAATGGCATACTATTTTTTAATCCTGAAACCAATCATTTTTATGAAACAGTAGTTGGCTCGGATTCTTCTTATACAAACGCTAAAGTTGATTGCGAATCTAGAACTAAAAATTCTCTAAAGGGGTAAGTATAGTGGAAATGAATTGTTATTTAATTAAAAATCATATCAGTTCATTTTACTAATTAGATTAAAACATAGATATTTATTTACCGTAAATACAAGACAAGAGTTTGAATTCATTGCAACTTCTGATCCAGATTTTGTTAGTCAAAACAGTTTTTGGATTGCTGCAGCATCTTCATCTGATGATAGAAAGTAATTATATTTAAAATTTTAGAAAAACTATTATTATATCAGTAATATTCACTTGAGAATTAGTACATTTAAATATTCTAGTGGTCCAGAGGCGGGAATGGTTTTTTATGAAGCTCAAAATGAAAGAGTGTGTATAAACTTTTTTTATGATAAAATAATAATCAATGAATAATATACTAATAATTCTTTGTCTTAGTGCTCAGGATATTGTTTATGGGGAAATGGTGAGCCATATTACTCAACTTCCCTTGAATACTATGTTCACTATGATAAAAATAGAAAATCTTGGAATAATAATGAAAACAGTTTCATTAGACTTCCATATGTCTGTGAATATGGAAATTTGGATGGTAAGAATATATTCAATTTCAATCTTTTTATCTCTCCAATGAAGATCTCGATGATTATTAATTATATTTCTTTAATTCAGATATAATCCCCTTATCCGCCCCTACCACAGGAGGTCAAGTTGTATTTACAATTCCAATAAGTATTACATTTTATGATAACGATATATTCAAAATCAATATGACCAAGCTTTCCAACCCTTCGATTGTAATGAGTTGCACCAATCCCGTACCAAGTTATTCTAAAGGAACTGTAGTTTGCGATGTTCCTGCAGGAACAGGTATTTGGAACGTAACACTTACTAAGAATGACGTTCAATATGCTTCCAGCTTATATTCATATCAAAGACCTTTGGTTCAATTTATTATACCTGACTTTGTTAAAAATGAAGTTCTTATCTATGGTCTAAACTTTGGAAATGAAATGTATGCCAAACCATCATTTACTTTCAAAGACTCACGATCGAATTGTACAAACGTTGTAAAGATGTACGATGGCTCCTATAAGTGCACTCTACCATCTCTAACTTCTTTTGATATACTATTACCTCTGACAGTGGAAGTTGATAAGTTAAATTCAACTTTCTTTAAAGTACCAACTTGTAAGTGTTACCTTAAACTACCTATAACAATTCAATTTTATTAATTAATTATAAACTTTTAAAAGCATATGAAAGCGGAAGATTTATTAGTTATTGGCATACACTAAGTACATATGATGAAGCAGTACAAATTACAAGAAATATGTCAATTAACGGAATATACAGTACCCTTACCTATTTTAATACCAAGGCTGAACAGGATTTTACAGCTATAGTATTTCCATATACCAATATGGATATCCCCGATCTTGGTGTCTGGACTTCACTTTACTGCAATAGTACTTTATCTATTGTCAGTTTGTATGGTGCAGACGTTGGTAAGGAATTGTTTCCATACTCTCAATATGCCCCTACCTTTAACTTGGCTGCTCCTTATATTTTTGTTTATTCGTTTGGTAATCAGACTCTACTCCCAACTTTGCAGCCCAACCGAAATACCGAACACAATTTCATATATGAGTACTATGTAAAGGCACCAAATTACGCTGCAAATCTGACTCACACTCTAGGAACTCAAGGTGGATTGGTTAATGTGTATCTTCAGGAATTGATGACTCCAGGATACAGATATTTCACTCTCAATGGCCAATCGTACCCGATTACAAGTAACCCCGAAAATCCAGTCTACAGTATTCAGATTCCTGCTGGTTACGGAGGACCTTATCCTTTGGTTGTCGGTGTCGTATCGTCATTGGGAAATGTAACCACCACCTCAACATCTAATTATGTAGCGTATCTAACACCCAACCTCAATTCCATAAGTCCGTCTTCAGTTCCAACATCAGGAGGTATCGTAGTACTTACAGGTAGCAATCTATACAACAATGAATCCATGATCAGAGTATATTTCAACGGTGTATCATTGCCTGTTACATTTAAAACTCCTCATACACAAGTTGCAGTAGTCATCCCTCCAGGAGCTGGTTTTAGTACAACCTATATTCGATTTAATGGCATTAATACAGGCAGTGTCCCATTTGGATACACCGCTCCTTTAATTACAAATTCTTCAACTATCTTTGCCATTGGTGGACCTATAACAATTACTGGAGAGAATTTTTATATTGATCCAGCACTTATATTCGTGTGGATTGATGGTGTTAATTGTGATAGCGTTAAGATCTTGGAAGTAGATCAAACAATTAGTTGTATTTCCAGACCAACCAACAAGAACATTGTAGACATTGTAGTTGCAGCTAACTACTCCTCTAGTGCACCATTCAGCAAAGCTGTCAGTGAACCTAAAAATCCACTAGTTTTAGTTGCTTCTCAGGGTCAAAAGAATAGACAGACCTTGATTACCATCTTTGGAAACTATTTCTTTGGAGATAACCTTACTATTACCATTGGAGGGGAGAAATGTGACCAACCAACTTTCATTAATAGTACCACACTGACTTGTTTATTCGCTGGAAATGCTCCACAGCCTGATATCTACCAACCCTTGTTTGTGAACGTTACATCCAATGATCTCTCTGGGGGTGCTTTTGTATTCAACTACAAGCAAGATAAAGCATGTGAAATCGTATGTAAGCACGGTACTTGTGATACGGAAACAGGTACTTGTCGTTGTGAAGCTGGTTGGACAGATATGGGTTGCGGAACACCAACTACGCCAGGTGGCAAACCAACTGAAAACAATGGTACAACAGTCAACCCTGCCAACGTTAATTTCACATCTGCCATAACTCATCTTAGAGAGGTTGGACCAACTGGTTTAATAATAAAAACCGTACCGTTGTCAACTATCATCTGGGCAAGAAACAATGTTACCGGGGAATATACAGGTACTTTCAAAAACGAGACTGTTGTCATTAGAATGAATGTTACCATCTATGAAAACCCAACGGTAGTCAATTTCGCAGGGCAAGACATATATATCCAATCGAATTCCAGCAAGTTTGTGGTCCATCTCACCAATTGGACATTTAGTGAGCGACTAAACGACCTTCAAGTCATCTTTTTGTCAAAGACTGATGAATCCATTGAAAATGGTTGTAAAAGAATCCAAACGGAATCTACCTCTGTTGACGATCAATATCAAATTGTTGCTGGTGATTCAGTTCTACAAGCCAAGTTTGCAAGCTACCTATTTATTGACAACCGTATCGTTAGATCAAGAAGATTTGTTTTGGGAGAAGAAGACCCAATTGTTGTAGAGAACAAAAAACCTGGAGTGTATGCTCTTGCCACGGCGGTGGTAATCTCATACTTTGAAAAAGATGCAACTTTTGACCCATCTTTCAACTCACTGCTAACATCCAATTATGGATCCGGTGAATGTAAAGACGACAATTGGAAGATGATAGTCATTATCGTTTGCACTGTGGTCCCAGGTGTGGCAATAATTGCGGCACTTTCAATCTATCTCAGAAAGAGATACAAGAAAAAACAATACCTTAAAGATATGAATAGGAAATTAAAAGCATTAAATTAATATTATTGTATTTTTATTTAAAACTAAATATATTTGTAATTTAAGTAATTTTTTTAAGTTTATCTATTCTTTACTTTTCAATTAAGTTTAGAGAAATGGCTTCAATATTAAACTGCAACAGATTTATTTATTGGTAATATTTAACTTTTAACAGAATCAATCTCACTAAATATGAATCGATAGGTGATAATAATAGATTTATTGATTTAAAATTATTAGTATTTTCGAATTTTTGTATTCTAAAGTTAAGTTTTTTTTCAAAGGTTAAAATTAAAAATTATATCTTAAACTAGTACCAATAGAACCTGTTGTGGAAACATCATTTCCTGTGATACCACCTGTTATTGTAAAAGTGTTATCATTGTTTATTTCCCCACCAGTTGTTGAGATCGAATTACCAGTTGTAGTTGAGCTAAATTGATAGATAATTCCAAAAGATAAAATAATATAGAAATAGTATATAGTAAAAAAACATTAAAATTGTATTTTTATTTAAAAGTTAATAATAGCTGCTCCACGTGTTTGCCTTTCAAACTGATCACCTTTAAAAATTTTTGTCCATTCATTTTCCTCAATTGAATACTTATAGTTCTTATGAATTGTTCCACCCATATAATAGATATTGTGTTCGTAATCCGATACTTTATGAAATACCATTGAAGTGTATACATGTTCATTCCTTGGCATACTTTGAAGCCTATTGAATTGTTTGAATTCTATATTGTACCTTATAAAACTACCATCTTGCGCTAGGATATAAGCATTTCCATTACCATCGGTACATCCTGATTTAGAGCTACTAAATAAGAATTTTAATTCATACTCTTCGATTGATTTAGTGTGTGGACAGAATCTGATCATTACATTCTTGTTACTTGGGAATGTATAGATCATCTCTTTGTAATAGATTGATAACACATGAAAAATATGATTTTTCAACACTCCAAATCTTTCGAATTCGTTATTAAGAATGTCATAACGGTCAATTCTTGAGGTTTGATCTGGATTCTGACCCTCCAAAATATAAATGTACTGTAGACCATCATAACAAATAGAAGTTCCAAAACCACCTCTTATACCTTTCATATCTGCTTTTTCAATTTTTTTGGTTCGAATTGAAAAACGGAAGAAAAAGTTGATAGTGTAGCCACCGAATATATATATGTATTCTCCAATGGTAAGACAAGCACTGAATGTCATGTACAAACAATCAAATATTGGAACCTCTTCAGATGTACCCAGAGAAAGGTTGAAAATTGTTGCTGTTTTATTCTTGTGAGGTGAAAATAGATAGGTGTATGATGGTTCTGAAGAAGTTTGATTATTGTTTTCGTTATTAATTATATTCAGTTGAATTGATTTGCCAATTGATTTTTTTAAAATTGAAAAATCATATATTCCAACTTCCAAGTCCAATATAACATTGGAATTGAAAGAGTCTTCAGTTGATTTAAAGATACTATTGTGTTGAACCAATAAATCTAATTTTAGATCATCATTACTATTATATTGGGGTCGTCTAATATTAAAAACATTATTGTTTGGATGATCTTTATGATTAAATATTGTGAAAATATTTGATTGATAAAATGATTGGAAGTTTTCGGAATCCACAATAGATTTCATGATCTCTTGGGTTTGGAAGCATTTGGTTTGGTCTACAAGATTATTGGAAACGTCATCGGCAAAGCTATAATATTCATCAGAGTCTTCAGAACCTTCTGAGTCTTGGGAATCTTCTGATAGGCTCAATTGTAGGGGTTGGGGCTGTTTGTAATTATTGATATTCAAGATGTTGATTAATTGGACTAACTCTTTCAACAACATCTCCACTTTTGGCTCGATTGGATCCGTAACATGATTGAGGTTTCTTTTCAACCTTTGCTCTTCCAATATTAGTGCTTGGTGGAGAGATTCAAAAAAATTGTGGATTTTAGTATAGACCAAATTTGAGGAGTGGTCAAGTGTGGAAAGAATTTTGAGTTGATCCCACAACTGAATAATCTTATTTTGTATTACTGAACTACTAGAATATTGATTTTCAATATTAATGATATTATTATTTTTGTTGTTATTGTTATTATTGTTATTGTCATTATTGTTATTGTTAATATCTCTATCTATTTTAAAACTACTCTTTGATGAGGTTAGATTTAATTTTAAATCAGAGACATGTTCAAATTGAAAGGAATGAAGTGGATAATGCCTGGTGTGCGCTGTAACACATTGCGAACAAAATAATTTATTACAAGCAAAACAAATAAATTTAAAAATTTCATTGTGGTCTGTACACAACACTTGATTTGTGATTAATAAACTAAACATCTTAGTTTGAGGAAGAAAAGGATTGAGGTTATATAAACTGTTTAGGTGAATATAAAATATATAAGAGGTTATAAATTACCTCTATTTTATCAATCGGTGAGTATACTTATTTTATTTTGTAAACATTTATTAAAAATTAAATAAATTTTAATTATTTATTTATAAATAAAAATTGTCTAACATATTTAAGTCTTTCTCGATATATCAAAATATGATGAATCTTCTTTGGTGTGTTGTTTTTTTTCCTTAATAGTATAAATACATATTTCTTTAAGTGTTAAAGTTTTTTTTCTTTTATGTGAACATCAATAAAATATATTTTTTACTTAATCGTTTTTGGTAAGTGGAAGTAGATTTAAAAAAACCTCTAATCATTACTCGGAAGATATAATATGAGTAACATAGTGTGTTATCAATTCAGAGTAATATAAAAACAAACCATTTCAATAGATTATATATATATAGAACGATTGGTGGTAACTGAGAATTAAAAAAAAAATCAAATTAGTGTGGTAATCAACCCGCATTTATCTTTATGTTTTTCAATATATAGCAATACAAATTGATCATCAATCTTTTGAATAATAATAAATTTAATGGTTTTTGTTTTTTTTTAATTACTTCTTTTTTTCTTTTTTTTTTCAGTGTTTTGGAATGTTATGTTGTTATAAAAGTTTTTTGTTTTCTTTAAGAAATGTCTTTTTAATTTCCAAGTGGCTCATAACCACCGATAGGAGCTGGCTGAGCTTTCTTTGGAGCAAATGAACCCAAAGCGGTATCTTTATGTGACTTTAAGAATCTTGGTAAACCATCAGGACCCTTTGTCCATTGCAAAATATTGATGAATTGTGGGTGCTCTGCCAAAAAGTCTGGGAATGTCTTCTTTGCTGCTGCAGTATCGTTTGGTTGCACCAAATAATGCTTAATACGATGTGGTACCTCCATTCCAATGTAAGCGATACCGAATTGACCCGGATTTCTTTCACTAAATCTAATGATAAATGTACCTGGATCTTGATTGGTAAGAGCATCATTTACCTCTTGTCTTCCCATATAACCATAGATAATACTTTTTTTAATAAAAAAAAAAACAATTAATATTTGAATTGTGTAATTTAGTTTAAAACAAAAAAAAAACAAACTTACCCTTCTTGCCATAAGGTAGAAATATGTCTTTGATATCTGAGAGTTTGCATAGATTTTCCGAACCAATTCCAGAACCTATCGAAATCTTGTTGGTGAATGATTGAACGATTTGCGAAAAAGTGTTGTTGAATATATTTAAAATCAAATTGGGACAGTGGACGCTTTGGTCTGACTTGATCTTGTTTTGTAGCAATCAGGAAATGTCTCTGTAATGTATTTATAAATTGTGCCCATGAAATTTCAAGCTATAAATAATAATAATAATAGAAGAGTGAGTTTAGTATGTTAGTTATTTGTATGATCACTAATAAGTTATTGTAGTTGAAAATTTACTTGTCCATCAAAAGCATCTTTCTTTAATAATACACCGGCACTACCTTCCCATTGGCATTCGTTTGTGATGACTACGAATGGGTTGGATGAATCACTCTCTACAGCTGTTGTTACACTATCCATATCACGGACGTTGACACCGAATTTCAAATTTACAGAACTCTTTCTTGTACCAGCCAAGAACTTCAGGGGGAAGTGAGCGGTGAGCGTTGCTGGATAAATTGGTTGAGAATCCATCTCTAGCTGTTGTTGTGGATTATTCTTATTTGTTGGGTGATTGTCGCACATCAAAGTTGCCTTTACAGGTCCATTAATATGGAAGTTCGATCTTGCACCAGTCAGGATTTGAACAACCAACTGATTCTCACTCAACTGTTTACCTTTTGTAATGACAACTGGGAATGGTTGTGTTTTCATTACCAAAGCAATACTAAATAAATAATAAAAAAATAGTTATTAGTAAGTAATCTTTTTTTAAAATTATTATTATTATTATTATTAATATAGTTTAAACTTACTTTGGTTTAGTTGGTTGATTTGTTGGGTTTAATACACTTTGTATTTCGTGGTGCAGCAGAGTGAGTTGTTTGAATTGAATCTGTAGATCTTGTCTGAGAGCAAAGAGCTTTGCGAGATCGGTTGGATCCAAGATCATACCCTTCTTTGTGGCATCGAGAGCAGACATCTCTGTGTTCATCTGTGAGGAGAGAGTTACTTGTTGCTGACTGAGTGCCTGTAGACTGTGAATGGTTTGTTCGTCTAGTGGTTGTGTAATGCGATTCAAAAGTATCGATTGATCATGTATCATCTTTACCAAGTTGGTCTCTTGCTCAGAGAGTAACTTGTAGATGGTGTCGAGAATTGGCTGTGGCGAGCTAATAGCTGTTGAAGGTGCTTGTTGTTGTTGCTGTTGCTGTGGTTGTTGGTGCATCTGTTGTTGATGTGGTTGCATCTGTTGCGGTTGTTGATGATGCATCTGTTGTTGCGGTTGTTGATACTGTTGTTGCTGATACTGTTGTTGTTGTGGTTGTTGTGGGTAGTGTTGTTGTGGTATCTGCTGTGGAGACTGTGGAGGGATTTGCTGGGGAATTCCACCGCTCGATTGACGACCGTTGAAAGGCGACGATGGTGACATCAATGGCGACGATGGTGACTGGGGGATGTGAAGCGGACTGCCACCATTGCTGTGTTGAAGATACTGCGATTGCGAAGGTATACTTCCACCTCGTGGAGTACCTCTATAGTCTATCTGCTGAGGTGAATGCATCTGTTGATAGTACTGTTGTTGTTGACTGGCATGGTCAATTGCACCCATACCAAATCCATTTCCATTATTATTATTATATTGTAAATTATTCAACGTAGTATTTATACTTTCATTTAATACTCTATTACTAAAATTATTATTGAAAAGAAAATAAATATAAAAAAAAAATAAGAAAATAATAATAAAAGATAAATGTTTAAATTGTTAGATTTTGTTTGTTTAAAGGTTAACATTGTTTGTTTGTTTGTTTGTTTGTTGATTAATTAATAACTTACTCTGCACCTTCAAAGAGATTCTTTGTAGTTAGATTCGAACTATCAAAATCTTCAAAATCTGTATCCATTTGAAAATCTGATGACATCTTTGACTATGACTATTACTTGTTATATTATATTATACAACAACAACAACAATGAATATGACGTGATTACTATTTAATTAAAAGTGTGATTGATTGGATTTAGGAAGAAATTTTTTAAAAGAAAACAAAAAAAAAAGAGTGATTTAAATTGAATTATGTACAAGTAAAAAAAATAAATAAAAATAAAATAAAAAAAACTAAACAAAAACAAAAATTTTTTTGTACCAAAAAAAAATCTATCTATCAAACTAACTATCAAACAAACAATCTATTTATAAATAAATTTGTGATATTATTATTATTTATACTACTATATATATATAAATATATTATTCAAAGATTTTTATTTATTTTTTTTTGAACTACAACACAAAGTTTATTATATTTTTTTTATTATTAACTAATATTATTATTGTGATTTTGATTGTGAATAATATTTTATTTTCAAAAAAAATTATAAACTTTAAATTAAATCGATTAAACTAGTTTGTTAATAATATCTTTTAGATTTACTTTATAGTTATTACTATTTTTTTTTTGAAAATTTCTTTCTATTTTATATTACAATGGTTGCTCCTTGATTTAAAAAAAAAAAAACCAAAAAATAAAAAAATTTAAATAAAATCAAAAAATAAAAAAAAAAAAGATTAATTTGATTTGTTTTTTTCTATTCTGTTTGGAACCTTTAATTTTTTATAATAAAAATGTTAATATTCAATTTAAATTGATGTTGTTTAGTTTGTTCATTTGTATAATTATTAATATTGTATAAATATTTATGTGTTAGAGGTGCAAGTGCAAGTGTGTGTTAGGTGTTAGAGAGTTTAATGTGTGTGTGTGTGTGTGTGTGTTGTGTGTATATATCATAATTATATATGGTGTGTGTTTTCTGATGTGTTAGTGATTTGATTTGATTTGATTGATTGATCCTTGTGATGTTTAGAAAAAATAAAATAAACAACATATATAATGTTTTTTAATATAGAGAATGATTGAGATTTACGTGAGATGTAACATCATGTTTATCTATCACTACACAATTATTAATTCAATCAAAATATTAACATCAGAGGAAAAGAAAATAAACTGTGAAACCACTCATTAAATTTATTTCCAAAGTAAGAAATGAATTTCTTTACAAATTTAAATGTAACATTCTTTTTTATCTTACAATTGCAAAGACGGTGAAGAAATGAAATTGGATCAAAACTTTCTCAAACCATCAACACCTATATACAGGGAATTAATTCATTAATCTTTTATCAAACAACATTTAATTGTTTATCATCTTTAGTTTTTTTTTTTTATACATTAATAATTCTATTTTATTTATTTTATTACAATTAAATATATTTCTAATGCTCTGCAGCTTGTAGTAATACATCTTCAAGTCCAGATTGACAAATACCCCAATCGCTAATAAAGTATTTCGATTTGTTCTCTTGGATCGATTTGAAGAGATACGACATCTTAATGGCATGTCTGGGAACTGCATAGGTTCTAGTAGTTGATATTTCATGAATCAATTTCACATCTGGAATGATTTGGGTGAGGAATTCATGAATAGTTGATGGTCCTGTTGTTGTAATTGATAAAGTATGACCTGCACCATATCTTGTTTTCAACTATAAATAAATAATATTAATATTTGATTGTTTGAACATGTTTTTTTTTTTTTTTTTTAAGTACTTACATCACCACTTCTACCAATACATTTCATCAAACCTTTATCAATGATACAAACTCTATCGCAGAGTATTTCAGCTTCCTCCATGTTGTGAGTTGTCAAAATGATAGCACACTTTGATTTGTAACTGGAAATGACATCCCAAACGATTCTACGTGAGAATGGATCGACTCCTGTTGTTGGTTCATCAAGCAAGATTGCAGTTGGACTTCCGATGAGTGAGATCGCCAGGGAAAGACGACGTTTCATTCCACCAGAGTATTCACGAACAGGCTTGTCTTGGGCTTCGGTCAACATCACCTCAGCCAATGATTTGTCGACAATGTCATCCAGCATCTTACCCTCTAGATTCTTCATTCTACCAAAGAACAAGAGGTGTTCACGACCACTCATTTCCGACCAAAGAACATCATCTTGTGGACAAACTCCCAAAGATTGTTGTGCACGTGACAAACTCTTTACAATATCGTGTCCAGCAATCAGAGCATTTCCAGAGGTTGGAGAGTAGAGTCCTGAGAGAATAGCAAGAGTAGTTGTTTTACCTGCACCATTTGGACCAAGGATACCGAAACATTGACCCTTTTCAACAGAGATTGTCAAGTTATCTACTGCAACAGTTGTTTTCTTTCCAACTTTGAATTTCTTGTATAGATTCATCAAACGGATGGAAGCAGTATTCTCACGGGAATAGGTATAGCGGATTTCATCCAAGACATCTGGTGGAACCATATCTACGTTCAAGGTACTGTCGTCACCTCCATTTGTAGCAGTTGGAATACCATTGGAAGTAATGAGATTACCACTCATCTTGGAGCGCCAGAAAGATGGCTGGAAAAAGAAAAGTGGATGATATTTTACACCATATGCCGATGGAATAACCATCTCTAAATATTGATGTAACAATCCATACAGCAAGAACTCGGCAAACAGCATTCCAAAGAGTGATGGCATTTGGTGGTGAGCAAAGATATCGGTCCAAGTCAAACCTGGTGCATTACCAATGTAGGCCAAGGAAATATAGGAGACGGCACGGTGGAATGCAACGTGTGGAATGAGACCTGTGAGTACAAAAGTTACCAGAGAGGTGTTTGGATTCATAATGAATGCATTGTTCAACAAATTGGAACTTAAGGCAGTGAAAATAATATAAATAAATGAAACTACTGTAGCGGTATAGACGGATGAAAAGAACACACTAATAAAAAAGGCAAAGGCGATTTGTGTCAATCCAAACAAAATAAATAATACAAAATAAATTGTAAAACTTGTTTGAGTAAAGAATCTAAATTCTAATAAATAAAAATTAGTATATTTAAATATTTGAATCCATTCTAAATTAAGTAGCTTACTCAAAATATAAGCAAATGCAATTGCTACAAAAACAATAACCATATACAATGTAAAGTTAAATAAATATTGAACTAACCAGTAGATTCTCATTCTGAGTCCTGCCATTTTCATAGATTCTCTTAATCTATGTTCCTTTTCATATACTACATTGGCAACAAACAATACCATACAGAAAGACATCATAAATAAGTACCAGAAATCTAAAAGAAAATAAAAGTATATAATATTAGTATTTTTTTTTTTTAAAAAAAGGTTAAGATTTATCTTACTTTCTTGTGGTTGAATCATATCTCTTCTTTCTTGGTATGCAGTGTATGGGAATGTCTTTACACCTGTCAGCAATATATTGTTGCTTCCAGTAAATGATTGAAATAAAGCGTTGTTCATGATATTAATTAGTGATGAACTACAGGTAGTATCATTGGAGTATGAAACAAGATTGGCGCTAAGATCCCCACCAGGTGTTATTTGTAGCTCTCTGAAATCATAACCCAACAAGAATTTGTTGTCGGTACGGCCTTGTTTGTAGGAAACTTCATCCATGTCATGTTGATTTGGATAGTTATAGAATGTAAATGCTTCAGTTGGAATACTTCCAAGTGATGAATACTATATTAAAAATAAATAATTAAATTAAAATTATAATTAATGTAAATATTAAAAATAAAACTTACATAAGGAGTTGGTGAAATTTGATTTTTAGTTGTGAATAACTCTAAGAAACCAGAATTATTTTGGCAGCAGGATCCTAGATCTACTTTTACATCTGTACTATCATATATATATGGTACGGAATAATTAATTAATGGTGGGAAAATAAAAGGCAAAGGTAAACTAATAGGATTTGAATTGTCTTGATATTTAATAGATGGTGTGGCTAACTGTACAATAGACATAATACTAATCTAAAAAATATTAAAAATAAAATAAATAAATTTTAAAAATTAATAAAATAAAGATTTTTATAATTTTTCTTTGATTGCATCTGCTTACCATTAAAACTGGTACTAATGCCTGAATAATATTTGTTTTATATTGTCTTTTCTATTTTTTTAATTTTATTAGTATAATTATAATGAAATAATTAATTATAATTAAAACTTACTTGATATGCAATATTTTTCTTAATTAATGCTTTAAATTGTTTAATAAAACTATAACCATGATTTTTGGCGTTATCATCATCGTATGATGGCTGGTCATCTTTATATTTATCTCCTTCATTGGAGTCTTTAGTTGGGTAATCGTAATCTAAAGTTTCGGAAAACTTTACATTTATTTTTTCTAAATAGTCATTATTTATAAGTGATGAGGGCGACATGGTTGAAGTAGATGTTGTAGTGGTTGTTGTTGTTGTTGAAGAAGTTAATGTTTCAATGGAATTTGTATGAGATAATACTTGATCCATCTCCACTGGATCCTTATTAATATTTTCATTTTCAATTGGCTCCATCTTTTTGTTTTTTTTTACAAATAATAAAAAATAATAGTAATATATATAAAATAAAATTAATTATCTATATATAAATATTAAAATAAATATATATGTATATTTTATTATATTGGAGAAAAAAAATTGAATAATATTTTTCTTTGGTGATTTTAAAAATATAGCAAGTCCTTTCTTCACCATTGATTTCAATCCTCCGGCTTTAAACTGAGAATCTTCATTATAACACATCATATTTACTTTAAATTGATGGTGATCATTTTTGTTTTGTTGTTTTTTGATTTCTTTTGATGAGTTGAGAAAAAAGGGTATTAATATGAGGTTTGGCCCTTAAATTAAACTTCGATTACTTTTCTCTTCTAAATCCTATTCTATTTTACTTTGATTACTTTTATTTTAAACATTGTAGAAGGAAGGTGGGTGGTATGTGATCACAATTGTTGCTCGATTTCTTTTTATTTTGCAGAGTAAGTTCATCAATTTCCAAAAGTAGTTTCGAAAGGAGGTGCCTAACAATGAGTGTTGTGTTATGATAAAAAAGAAAAAATAATAACAGTAATCAAAGTAAATCAATTTAAAAAAAAAAAAAAGAAATCAAAAAAATTCTCACTTCGATTACTTTTTTTTTGAGTAATTTTGAACCTCTCAATAGAACCGGTAAAATAATTACAGACATCTTTTTAATTCCGAAATGAGGAATAGGGTGAAAAAAAAAAAAGAAATCAAAGCTTATTTTTTGGAACCCTGTGTGTGAAAGTTGTAAACCCAATAAAAAGCCCACTCCAAGAAACAACAGAATCATGATTACTTTAATTTACTAAATTTATTAAATGTTGTTGTCATTATTAACCATCATAACACAACCATGACTAAATTAAGATCTTGTTTTATTTATTTAATTTATTCAAAGATACTTACTTCCTCTTTACCCACACAAAACAAAATAAAGATATCTATATTTGTAACCTTAAGTTTAAGTTTATTTTTATCAATAACAATTATATTCTTTAATTATTGATTACCACTAGGGTGAAGGAATGGATACCGTGTTCATTGTTAACTATGGAGATAGATAGATAGATAGATAGAATGTGTGTGTAATGACAATGAAGTTGATAACTTTTTAAATCATTGTTGTTTGTGGAGTAGTACGATCGTTGTTGGAATTGGAAAGATGTTAAATTTTACATAGTATTTATTATAACCGTATCTCTGCTCTCTTATAAAACAGAGTTATTTATAAATTGTGAGTAGTATGGTAGTGGTGTAGTGGCAGTGGGTGGTGAGATAAAAATAAATAAAGTGTTTAATTACAGTAAAATTTTTTGGTGTAGGTTTGTTTGTTTGTCTGTCTGTTTGTTTGTTTTTGTTTAAGCTGTAAAATGATTCAGTATGGATTGTGGTGTTTGTGAAGAACCCTTCTGAAGGAACTTTCTACGGTATTGTTCACCTTTTTCACGATTTACTTTGTGTCCATTGCCAAAGAAGTTCTTCCAGATCTTTTCACTGTTGTACTTTGAGAGTAGGTAGCAGTAATACGACGATCCGTAGAAATAGAGATGAGAGAATCCCGACAAGAAGGAATCACCAACATCTCCGGCAATCTTTAGATTCTTTTGTTGTAAAATCGACATAATCTCCGATGGTGTCTTGATATTTGGGTGTTTTCCATGTAGAATCAAATCAAACATTGCCAATGATATCTTTTAATAGACAAAAAGAATATTAGTTTTTAGCTAATTAATATTTGAATAATATTTTTACGTACCAATTTCTGAGTTTCTATTCCTTTGAAAATATCTTTGGTTTCTTTGTAGGCGTTGATCATTTCACTGGAGAGAGTTCTTCCCGATGAATAGTGGTTGGCAAATTGTCTGAGAATTTTGTGATCCCATGTAAAGTGTTCCATGAGTGTGCTAGGAATCTCTACGAAATCGACAGGTCCACGTGTTCCACAGAGATGTTGGAAGTCACCTCTCGACAGTACCGTATGCAGACTGTGTCCAAATTCATGGAACATCACCTCCAGATCGCAATGGTGCAGCAGAGAGCGGAATTGGTTGGTTTGATTCTTTGATCCAAACGAACATACTAGCGCTACTTTTGGCACGTTATAATCCTCCATCATTGGGACGTCACCCGTAACCAAATTGAAATTGCGTTTACGATAGCCCAGTTCCATCACATAGTTGACACCCAACGATGCTTTGTTTGGTCGTTGCCATAAATCCATATAAATATATCCTATGATTCCTTCATCTCTACTTAGAAGCGCTAATTTTATAACATCTTTATTCCATGACTCTCCTGGTCTCATTTCAATCTAATAGAATATATATAAAAGATTAATATATAAATCGTCAAACAAGGAGTATAAATAGACGACATTACCTGTTTTAATTTCAAACCAAATAATTGATGAACAACTCTACTCATTCCTTCTAATACGTTCTCCAATGAGAAGTATTCAGAAAGTTCTGCAGAGGTTGGTGCATTCAAATCTTGTACTGATTTGTTTCTAATTAAATTCGAATAGTACTCGTAATCCCATTGGAACACAGGATCTCCTGTCAACTCTGTTTTACATTTGAAACTATACAACATATTCAATTCTGAATCTGATAAATCTCTTGTTTCATTTGATAATTGCTGTATAGGATTATAAAGAATGATTATTAATATCTTTGGAATTGATGAGATATTATTTATAAAGATGATCATAGTTACTTTTAAAAATGTCATTGCTTTCTCTGGTGTTTCTATTAGTTTTGAAGAGAGTGTGTATTCCGAGTAGGTATTATATCCCAATACTTTAGCAAGTTGGTCACGTGTTCCGACCATCTTCTCGAGGTTGAAAAGCAGTTCTTTCGATACTCCGTGACGACTGTTGAAATAGACGGTTTTCCTAAGTGTTGGATCCTCTACATACTTTAAGATACCGTCGGCCAAGTTTGGATTGGAATCGACGATCACATTATCACCACGACCTCTCTGTAGATACTGTGTGTATTCGCGCGGTAAGCTAGCCAGTGCCTGTCGATTGGTCACAAATGCCTGCGACTGGTTGGTGCTATTGTTGGTCTGTGTCCACGGCGAGTTCAGCTCCTGAATGAACGCCGATCCGGTTGCCGCGATCTGACACTTCAGGTCGATGGCAGCACGTCGCTGTGTCTCTGAGAGATGGATTCCATTGATTTCCGACTCGGACATCATCTCGACGACAAACTCACGGTGTGCCGGCGGCAACCTTGGGAATTCACGGTGTTGGTATATCGACTTTAGACAGTTGTAGATGGCGGGGTTTGCGTTTAGTTTGTGGACGTAGTGCGCCATCTGATTGTAGAATTTGTCGGCGGCGAATGCGTGTGGTGTCTCGGGCATGACGCTGCGACACAGCTCGGCAGGATCCATCAATGCGCACAAGTCAATCGAGATTGAATCTAATATGTACAGCTTCTCGATCAGTTGGATGACGTCGTCGTGGTGCGAGACCGGTCTCTCCAGGAGACGCGATACACTCGCTTCCAATCGCTCTAAACACTTGTTATAGAGAGTCTCCCAGCCTGCGGGAGTACTCAGCTCGTTGATACCAAACAAGCCGGTTGGTGACTGACTCTCTGCCGCCAACACATTGCCCACCAAATTAAAATTATATTGATATTGGCCATGAGCATGACCATGCTGAAAATGTGGATGTCCATGAGAATGACCATGTCCATTTCCAAAATTCATTTGACTAAATTGTTGTTGAATCTGTTGTAATTTAAGATTCCGCAGATATTGTTCTTGTGAATGTTGTTGAAAATGTTGATTTTGTTGTTGTTGTTTGTTGTTGTTGTACTTGTTGTTGCTGTTGAAATCTTTGTTGTTGGTGTTCTTGTTGTCTTTGTTGTATTATATGTTGAAGTTGTTGTTGTTGCTGTTGTTGTTGTTGAAGTTGCTGACTATGTTGCTGCTGTTGTTGATTCTGTTGTTGTTGTTGTTGATGTTGATGTTGTTGAACATGCTGTTGATTCTGTTGTTGATGTTTATTATAAGTTGGCCCTTTGTTTCTGTTTAGCAGAGGTGGTGTAGAAGAGCTTGTAATGTTTCGCACACCTCCCAAGCCAACATTGATGAGATTATCATTATTCTGTTGCTGTCTGCTACTCTTATGAAAGCCACTGCCGACACTAACAAGATACCGACTGAAGGCTTTATTTAGAAACATTTCTTTATTTAACCTTTAAACTCTCACTCTCTCACTCTCGCCTATCTATCGATCAAACAATCTAAAAAAAACAAAGATAAAATGATAAAGCAATATGAATGATAGAGAATGTAATGTAACACATTAAAAAAAGAGAACTTTAAAAAAACTTTTTCAAATTCATTCACCACAATTGTGTGAAAAAAAAAAAAACAAACAAAATCCACTTTTTTTTTTTTTTTTTTTTTTTTTTTAAACTTGGACAACACTTAATTAGTTGTGTGGAGGAAAACAAACAAGATCGTAATTGGTTGGTTGGTTAGTTGGTTGTTTGATTTATATTATAAATATAATTTAACAACAACAACAAATTTTGATGATGATGATAGTTATTTTTATTTTAATTGGGTTTTGGGTTGATTTTTTTAAAGTAAAACTTTATGAATGGTCAATGAAAGTTCACGAATGAAAGTTACAAATGATTGACCTTGGCTATTGTCTTCTTCTACAAGATAGTCAGAGAATTTGCGTGCCTCTTGGTCTAAACTGCCTTTGGTGTAGATAATCTCTGGAACAATCAATCTGTCTTGTTTGCTGTTGACTATGGTCTGTCTGATGAGACTGTCGGGTGGTGGCGGGAATACGTGCTGCTCCGACACCGACGTACTGTAGTATACGATCATCTTGTCGTAGGTATCCATCAAATAGATGTGTGAAATCGATACTTTGATGCTGTTCATAGAGAGTGCAACGTATTTCGATGCCAGATTGTTGGGTGCGCCGTACGTGTAGAGCACCGGGTAGATGGCACGGTGCAACAGTCTCGGTTCCAACGCCTGTAGCAAACACTGACTGAATATCCACTCGTCGGAACTGGTGAGAAGCGTAGATTCTTCGTTGCCCTTGGAGAGAGTGCGCAACAGCTGCGACTTTAGCAGTGCGAAAACATAGCGTGGAAGTGGACGAAGTTGTGGCACGTGACTGAATGTCATATCGACATTCTTCTGTATCGAATTCAAGATAACGACGTTCTCATTGTAGAGCGCAATGATATTGGTGATCCAATCGAGTAGCAGCATTCGCGACTCTACAATACCCTTCTCGAGCGACTCTCTGATAATCTTGTGAGTCAAAAGTGTAATCGTTGTTTCCAAGTCGATCGAATGGAACAACTCCACCGGTGTACTTGCAACCTGTAACAGTGCTGTATAAATCTGCAATCTCTTCTTTATCACCCTTATATTTCCACTTGTAGATGATGATTCATCAACATTCTCACCCCCACCAACACCATTATTATTATTATTGCTATTGGAATTTAAAGGTTCCAAATAAGAATATGAAAAAGCAATTTGAATATATGGTTTTCTTCCACTAGAAATGAAAAGCAAATATTATTATAATTAGTCTATATATCAAATATATGTATATATTAATAAATATTTTTAAAATAGTTACAATTCAAATGTAGAAGGATCGGTAAATTTAAAATCGAAACCAAATGAGGTGAATGTTGAGCATGATTCAATGTGATAGAGATTCTCATAGTTTTTCGATGGTATTATATTGCCAAAGCAATTGTCGACGGCATAGTTCTTGCTGGTTCTTATACGAAGCAGTCCGTGGAATCCCCAGCCATTGGAGATCAGCTTGTAGATATCTTGTGGCAGTGAGCATTTTGGACCGATCTGAGTGTATCTATAGAGATTTCCACCGGTCGACGTCGTCAAAAACTTGATAGAGTCCAAACCGAAATACTTGGCACCAATGCAATACATATCGAAATGCACACCCAACAGAGTGGCACGCTCTGCCTGTCTCTGATAGAACATAGTCGATGGTTTCAAAAACGATGCTTCCTGATAGCTCGAGTACAACGATTCTAATGTAGTGAATTCTTTCTCGACAGTGCCATCGCCAAACACTGGATTTCCACATAAAAACAATCCAACTTTTACTGTTATTTGTTAGAGGTCGTTAATATCGTCGAACGAGTTAATCAAATTGGTTGTCGCTGTTCTTCTTCTTCTTCTCTTACCATTAAATTTAATATTATCAAATGTTAGATAATCTAATAACATATTGATAGTTGGTCCAAGTGCTCTGATTGCTCCTTTCTTATTTACAGTCGATTCTATTTGAGGTAATATATTGATAGCATTCAAAATATTGGTTTCAAATTTCGATTTCTAAATATAATAATAATAAACATGATATTAGTATATAATGTTTTTTTTTGAGTAATTATTTGAAAATAGACCAACAGACATACATTAACTAAAAAACTTGTAAGTGGTAATATATCATCGAATACAATGTCATCGTTACTCGATGATATGACATCGATGTATTTCAAAGATGGAACGGTCGTGTTGAAATTGAATATTCCAATCTTTTGAGAGTATATAATCATTCCAAAGAGACAGTTGTCAGGAAGTGCATGTACCAACGCTTCGAGACCATCGTGTATCGTATTGATCTGATCTTCACTGCCAGAGTGATCAACCACCGCTATATAGATTGGATTATTTGCAAACTCTTTATATTCCTCTAGCTGTTGTAATTGTAATAATTGTTGATCTATAACACCAACATCACTATTATTATCATTGCTATTATTATTATTATTATCTATTATATCTTCTAATACTAAATTGTTATATTGTAACTCTGGTACTTGATCAGGATGACTGTATGCCAGATTGAGATAGCGATCAGTCTCTAACTTGTTGGTGGTATCACATAGTACACACTTGTAAGTGTTGTTTGGTTCTCTCACGATGTAAGGATTGACATAGGCAAAACATTTCTTACATCTATCGATATCGAATTTATTACCATGACATTGTTCTATATTTCTAAATGGTTGAACTACACATCCCTTGTTTTTTGTTTGTGAATAAAGTAAAGTTAATACTAATAGTACTATATTGTTTAATTTATGAGAAAGAATCAATTCTAATCACTACCTACCCAAATTGCACCACTTGCATCTTTAACTGAAGCTGTATATATAGAAAAAAGAGATCAAACACCAAATTAATAAATTATAGAAAATGAATAGTAATAGCTAAATAAATACAAACGAATATAAGGGAATTTCTGACTTGAGAATTTAACATTCATCTTCTCCAAACAAATATATTTAATTAAAGCATGCTAATTTTAATCACATGAAAAAAAAAAAAAAAGTTTGAAGTGGTGTAAGAGAAAAAATTTGACTTTTAATTAATGATCCAATAATGTTTAATTGTGCATTATATATTTATAATTATATAATAGTTAACGATTTGCAATTGTTTACTTTATTTATTATTTCTTAAACGAATTTTGATTCGATATCTACAACTTTGAGTTTATCGGTATCAAAGAGTTGTTTGAGACTTTCTACTTTGGTTGGATCCGATACAATGCCAACGTATGAGTAGTTGTCATCAAAGAGTTGACGGAAATATTTCATTGATACCAATAGATCTTCTTCAGTGACATCTGCCAATATATCCAAAAGTAATTTATAACCTTCAATTGGCCATTTTCTAATATAAACACTCCATAATTGCTATATTATTGTTTGTTATTTAAAATGGTATGAGTAATACAGTTGTTATATGTTTTTGTTGAGTTCTATATATATATTTACCTGAATCATTGCAGAAGTAATATCCTTTTCTTTTTTAGCGATATCGAATACCAGAGTTGATCGAGCAGTTTGAACCCAATCTTTTCTAAAGGTACCGCTCTCTACGATGTCGAGAACGATTTTCTTTGCCTCTTTGAGTGCACTCTCAATGTTGGCTGCCTTGATGCAGTTAAACTGGAGAACACATTTCTCACGATCTATGTCCAGACTGAAGCTGTAGCAAATGCCGGCGCCTCTGAGTCCCTTGAAGAATGGTCCTTCGAATTGATCGAAATAGGTGCAGAGGAACATGAGCGAAGCGAATTCCTTGGTGAGGAAAGTCTGCACTGTAAAGTCAGTGTGACTGACACGGGTGTAATAGGAGGACGACGATCCTTTGATGGTAAGCAGCTCTGCAGTTCCATTGCCGCCATTGGATATCTGCCGGCATTGCTCCGAAAGAATGGTTGTAATCATCGGTAGTTTCTCAGCTGTGTTGCTAGCGGCTGCGTCGGCAAATGTGTCCACCCATATCTTCTTGGGATTCGGAAGATTCTGGATGTTGGCACCGACTTGACAGCTTATGGCATTGGATTTCGTTACAAACTGGCGAATTCTCTCGAGATCGTCAATCACCGACTGAGCGGTGGCGTCATCTTCCAGTCGAGCAATGACGTCTTCGAGGAAGACTTGTTGGCGACGTACGTTGTTCGCCGCTTCATTGGAGCGGGTGTGATCCACCTCGAAATAGGATCGTAGAGAATTCAACATCTTTTGGGCATTGTCCATCTCCTCTGGTATCTCATCGAGCAACTGATTGGCAACGATATCGATACGTTCCTTTACGAATTTGACATTGTAGAGGATGTCGTGAATTAGAGCAACCGCTTTCTCATAGTTTTCAATGGTGATCTGGAATTCAAAATACAACATCTGTGCGAAACCTGAATAGCGAACACCCGAATTGAAACCCATTGTTACAGCATTGGAAAAGAACACCTGTTTGTACATCAAATCCATCGATTCATGATCGATTTCAACACCGTTAACAACCACCGGCGATAACTCCATAAGATCTGCATACAATGGTAGATAACCTCTCAATTCGTCAGGTAACTCATATGTATTCAACATTAGTATTGCACTTACAAATGCAGTATCACCATCTATTATTATAAAACAAAAGAGATTTCATATTAGAAATAATGTTTTTCCATAATGGCATGCTTGTTTACTTACTTGAAAATAACATATCAAATGGTACCTTTTCTGAACATTTAGATTGGATGTATTCATTGATTTTCTTATGTTGATCGTCGTTTACCAATGGTTTATCATTGAGAATCGATTGTACTGGAATGAATTGAATAGACTTTGTAGATGGTACTTTAATTGAATCTGTATGTGAGTGTTTGGAGTGGTGGATATGTTAGTATATATGTATTAAATGTAAAGTTCAATTTGTAATCTTTGATTTTACCAAAGAGATGTTGATCAACTTGTACGGTGTTGACAGCTTGACAACGATCGAGTTCTTTTGCGAGTTCCGCCAGTTTCTCTTGTCCGAGTTGTTCAATTTGTGCTTGTGTACGGTCGTTGTCCTCTTTGGTAAGACGATCACCTTCCTCCAGCGATGGCAATCCAATGATCTCAACGAATGGCTGGTCGATAAAGTATGTCTTTAGCAAATCGATCCAATACGACTGATCCTTGGCTGCCAACACTTCGTACAGCTCCGTATTCAAACTATCAACCAAATCCTGTGGACTATCGAAATAGAGGAGATCAGTAATGAATGGTTGGCTTAGCAATTCCTCTAGATCCGTTTCCAACTGTGAGAGGAATTTCAATTTGCTCAACTGAATCTGTGTTCTTATCTTTTCCAAATCAATCGATTTATTCTCTACCAAATCGGTCAACACCTCCATCATCTTTGTTCTAACTTGACGAATCTTATCCAAATCACAATTCTGGAAGTAAATTAACTTTAGAGAAAAACAATATAGTTAATAAATGAACTGTCCAACAATATTAATCATTATGATTTCTTACTGCTAAATTTGTTTTATAATGATAGATATAATTGCTAACTGAAGCGGCATAGGCATCTTTGATATCGATCATCTGCTGCATGATTGGTGCTGACGATCCATCCATTAGATACTCTAATAATATCTCCATGGCTGTGGTAGTGGTATGATCGTTGGCGTTTGCACTCTTGAATGTAATATGTACGTCACCTTTGGTGTCATCTTCGGATTTGAAGAAAATCTCTTTGGTTATCGATTTGTCAAAGAGTATTGACTCGGTTTGCCATGGTCTCTCCAAGGGTGTGTAGGAATCACCACGCTTTCTCATGATCTTTTGCTCGACTGACTCCAACGCCTCAAAGATCTGCTCAGCATCGACATTTCCAGCGATGAAAACACCGGTGTTCTCCGGACGATAGTAGTCACGATGATACTTACGCACGGTCTCCACGTTGAGACTACGAAGATCTTCGAGACGACCACCGGTTTCATACTTGTAACCTGAGTCATTCTTGAAGAGATACTTTGTCGACTCAAAGTCAATCACCTGGAATCTCTCGTTCTCACGTGCCTGCATCTCCGAGTAGACGACACCGGCATCCTTACCTTCGCCATCGATGTGATGAACCTCTGTGTGGAATGCCTCGTCGGTAATCGTTGGATAGAGGATGTGATCCATAAAGATTGGCAGTGCCTGGAGGAATCCTTCGGAGCCGGCAGTCGAGAGAGTGTAGGAGGTGTGGTCTGTGGAAGTCCAGGCATTGGTGCCATTGGCGAACGACTTTGAAGCAATCAAATCGAGAAAACCTTTGTACGGGTAGTCTTCAGATCCCAAGAAGATAAGATGTTCCAGAGTGTGTGGACAACCGTCGTGCGAGTGTGTCTCTGTCGCCAAGAAGATCTGACAATGAACCAATGGATTCGGTGCCTTCACATTATAAACTGTCAAACCAGTTCTCTTTGATCTCCACTTTTCAACCACCAAATGATTTAACTTTGTTGATACCAACAATTCATAATTATCTTTAAACATTTTTATTTATATAAATAATATATATGTGTGTGTAAAAAAAAATACTGTTTAAAATGGAAATTTAACTAACACACATCACATGAATTTCAATTATTTTCATTAAAAAAAAATAGGCGCTTTTTTTACTAACTTTTTGTTTATTATTTTTTTTTTTTTTTAAATTATTTGCAGTATTTTAATACATCATACTTTTTTAGTTACGGTTGTAGGTGGATGCTGACAGAGTTTTTGTTGTTGTTGTTGCTGTTGTTGTTGATGATGATGATGTATATTGATTCCACTTTTGTGTACAGGTGTTCTTTTGATCAAAGCAAATTCTAAAATAAAGAATACTGGTTGGTAATGAATAAATATTCATAATTGATTTAATTTTACTTACTATCAGTGTTATTTGCAAGTGGTGACTTTTGTGGAATCTGTTGTGTAAATGTTTTTGAAGATGGAGTTTTATAGGCGTTGAAAGCTAAACTGGTGGTTCTATGACTGTTGTCCAAAGGTAATAATTGTGGTGATTTGTTGCTATTCAGAGGTATTGAGAATCTGTTCTTTACAATGTTGTTATTGTTGTTGTTGTTGTTAAGACTGTTAATATTGTTGTTGCTGTTGTAAATTGATGGTAATGTATTTGATATTGTTGATCTTGCAGGTGATAAATAAGGCATTTGCATTGGAAATGGACCTATGTTGATGTTGGAATTGGTGGTGGTGGTGGTGACACCAGTTGTGTTGGTGTTACTACTGAGATCACCGGTAAAGTGACTGCTGTTAGTACTGTTATCCAACTTTCTCTTGAGATGCTCATATAATTCCTCTAATTTTCTCTTTTGCCTTGTCTTTTCAGCGAGTTTCTCTTGCAGTTCGATTATCTCCTTCTTGTTATTATCCGTCTCTCGTTTGAGAATATCTGTTTGTTTACGATATTGATCGATCCTAGAATTGAAATCCTCCGTTTGTTTTAAGAACGTAGATTTCAGCTTTTGAAATTGCTCATGATAGTAGTCGACCTTTTTGCCTTCGTTGTCTCTGTACAACCCAGTTTGAAAAGTCCAGAAATCTATTGCTTTCTCTGCAATCTTTAATACTTTAATACTATACTTGTCAATAAATATATATATATAATCTTAAATCATCTTTTAGTATTTATATTTACTTTCATTTGGTGATAATCCAAATATTTGAATCTAAAAATTATGTAAGAAACTGTTAATATGAATGAATAGATAGATAAATAGATAGATAGAAAGAAGGATGATTTAATATATATCAATTCAATTCAAATCAATATCAAATGTGTATGTATATATGTTATCTATACAGTTTTCTCAATTGTAGACTCTATTATAATTCCATATATAGAACCACTAAAAATTTATTGAAAAGTATCTTATTTAGTATAATACTTTAGTGGTTTAAAATCAACTAAAGACGTTAAGATACCGATTTACTAAAGATGTTTCGCATATTGGACAAACTCGATCATTTGTAAACTGTTTATTTGCACAATGTTCACAGAATGCATGTTGACAAGCAGTGATATAACATTGATCTTGAAATATAAACTCTTTCCAACAACTATTACAATGAATCATATTTGATTGATGAAGTACTGAATTGTTATCTACATATATTTTATTATCTATTAATCTATCAATATATCTAATTTATATAAATGGTTAATTGTGTGTTCAGTCATTCATATATCTTTTGTTTTTTTTTTTTTGTTTTGATAAAATAATAAAAAATTATAATAAAAAAAAAATAATAAATAATACATTTTTTGTTATTTTTATTCATCTTGATCTTCATCGTCGGATATCTCTGGAAGATCTTCAATGTCATCGTTAATAAATAGACTTTTATCGATATGTGAAGCTAGATCTGAATCTTTTTGTGAAATATTGCTTGTTGCTGTTGTTGTTGTTGAAGTTGTTGTTGTTGTAGTAGAAGAAATATCATAGCTTTTAACAGTATCAATAGGTTTCTTAACCAATCCCAATTCTTCTAATCTCTTCTTGTGTTCATCTGAATTCTTATCAATCTTATTCGTTTTGTTTTCTTTAACTTTTGTTTCAATTTGAACTATAGTTTAATATTATTAATAAAAGTAAAGTTTGTTAGTTTTTTTTAAATACAACTTAGTTTGTATTATTAATAGATATTGATATTTACTTAGTTGTTCAAGTATTGCGTTGGTAGATTCTGCTTTCTCTGCTGCTATTTTCTTGCATAGCTCTTTGTGTTCTGGCCAGTGACCGACTTGACAGTCACGTGAGCAGTACGAAACAGAGGTGCAACTTCCGCACAGTGAGAGTTTCAATACGTTCTTTGATGTACATACTGGACTGGCACACTTTGATGTCAAAGCTAGTTTTGGACCTGTCTCTTCAGTACCCTTCAACTTGAGTGCAATCTCTTGTTGACGTAACTGCCATGCTGGGAGTTCTGCCGATTTTGAAGCAGAGATATCTGCCTTCATCCTTTGTGTGAATTTGTTGGCTGCATTATTCGATGCATCTTTTCTAATACCCAACTTTGCTTTCTTTGTCTTTCCTCTCTTTGTTGTGTATACTGATGCCATTCTATTCTATATTTTAATAAATACTCTATCTAACAAACTAACAAACAACTGAAAATTAATTTTTTCAAAACGAAGATTTAATAAATAAAAATAAATTAAGTGTCGTTTTTTCTAGTTTTTTTTATTTTATTTTTATATCAATCAAAGTCTATGAAAATATTCAATTAATTAAATAATAAAGAATAAAGTAAAGTAAATGATATCAATCATATTTGTTGCAATTTATATTTTATTTTTTTTATTGAATAATTTGTTAACTATTAAATCATTCATTTACAACTGTTGGTATTAAATTTATACTATATTTATTTTTATTTTTGAAAAACAAAGTTAAATTAATAAAGATTGTTTTTTTATAATAATTTTAATGGATATATATATATATTACTTACAATATCAGTGGTTTTTTTATTATTAAATCATTTTGTTCATTATTATTAAAGTTAAAATCATTATTACTTATTTCTTTTGATGAAAGTGGACGAATATCATAAAAACATAAAGAATCATTTGTTTCGAGAACTTTTAATTCAAAATGATGCCATATCCACTCTTTTGGTTTATCTATTGTATGTGAAGTCGAAGATAACGGTAAAGTATTATTTTCAATTTGTGGATTATATAGTGTCATATCTTTATTTTTATATTAATATAAATATATAATTTTTATCGAAATAGTAAGATAGATATCTCTAGTTAATTTGTATGAATGAATGAATGAGTGAACGAGTGAGTGAATGAAGATTTAAAATGAATGAATGAAGATTTAAAATGAATTTGTTAATTTCTCGAGTAAAAAGACATCATTTCAACAGCATTGATTCTTTATAGAACTATATGATCAAAATTTAGAAAAGATATACCTTTGGAAAACTAAAAAGAAAAACTCTAACTGAACAATACTATAAATATATTTATATATAATCAAAAATCAACACCAAGAGTGAAAAATTATAGTTTATAAAATTAATTGGGAATTTCATAATCATAAATGGTCAAATGATAACCACCAAAAGAGTAACGGATGGTTAATTATTATTTAAAAAAATTACAAAAATTGAAAAAAAAAATTAAAAAAAAAAAATGAAAAAAAGAAAATAATCCAAAAAAGTTGCTATAAAAGGAAAAAATTAATTAATGTGCAACTACTACTTTAATTAAAGTATCAAGTACAATGTCCTTAAATTGAAATTGAAATCAAATCAAAATATATATTGAAAAAAAAATAAATAAGATCTATGTGTATTTTATTGATATGGTAATAGTACAAACAGATATAAAGGTTTTTATTTTTATTGCACATTTTTTTTTGGAAAGATCTTTCTTTTTTTTTTTTTTAAAAAATTAATTAATGGTTAGCTAGATTACAAATGTTTTAGAGTAGGATCGATCATTCATTGGTTGAAGATTGTTGTACACCTGGTGGAAGTTTGGGTTTAAGTCTTTTGGGAGGAATCATCGGTGGTGCGCCTACGGGTGGAGGTGTAGAAGGTGGAGGTGTTGTTGGTTGAGCCAAATTAAGACTACTACCACCACTACTGTTTGAGGGTGTTCTATTATGATTTGAGGGATGAGGTGGTGGTCTTGAGGGTGGTGCTGCGAAAAATGGAGGTGATGAAGTTGATTGTTGTTGATGTAGTAGTGGACTTACATGTGGTGGTTTTGTATGTGGTGGAGGTGTAGTAATTGGTGGAGCTGGTTGTTGTTGAGGTGTTGTTTCTGTTTGGCTAATGCTTTCAGTGGATATCGATTTTGGAATTGGTGGTGGATGGGGTTTGGATGTTGGAGGAGTGGGTGGTAATGGTTGTCTTGTGATGGTTCCACTCAGATTCAGACTACTTCCACTGTTACTACCAGTACTACTATTCGACGGAGTTCTTTGGTGATTTGTTGGTGGTGGTGGTGGATTGGTAGCAGCTGCTGGTGATGGTGGAAGTGGCAATCGGCTTGCAGACTTTGAGATTGGATTAGGTGGTTGTGTAGGTGGAGGTGGTTTATTAAAGGGAGTAGGTGGTTTCTGTAGAGGAACAGGTGTTGGACTTGGTTGTGGAGGTGGTGGAGTTGAAGGTGGCGGAGTAGACATTGGCTGTGGTGGTGGAGCTGTTGGTTGTGGAGCAGAAGTTGATGATGGAGGTGGAGGTGATGGAGTATATGATGGCAATCTACTATGTGATTTGTAGATTGGAGGTGTGACTGGTAACGCTGTTGTTGAGGTTGATGGTGAAGCAGGCAAACTCGATTCACTTGACCTTAGAGTCGCGAATGGGATTCTGGATTTCGATGGTACCGATGGTTTTCTCTTGATGGTTGGGGCAAATGGTGTGGTGATTGGTGGAAGCTGCAGTGGATATTGCTTCTCCTTATGATAGACTTCAAGGATATTTCTCATTTGGGTGTTGATTGGCGAATCCGATGGTACAGCAAAGATATAAGTGTTGATCAAGTAGAGTGAAGAATAGAGATTGTTGACCAAATCCGTTTCATTTTCGAATCCAAACATCGAGGTTCTAGAGGAACTTTCGAATCCACCGGTATATGGTTTGACAAAGTCAAACACAACGATCGGTAGACCTTGTGGAAGGTTATCGATGATGAATGGAATGAGATTCTGTGATTGTTCACGAGTGGCAGCAGACGAAGATCGCTGACAGACTTCGATGATCAATGTGATAAATTCGGTGAGATAGTTTGGATGGAGTCCAGACGCTGCCTTTGGAATGTTGTGAATCATTTCACTGATAAACTCGAGAAGGAATGCTGCATCTTTCTCACGGCTAGATTCCATAAGTGAGCGAACCAGTCCGGTGACGGAACGCATTAAATTCGATAGAAACTCTGGATTGCCATCTTGGAATATTCTGACAAACTCTGTGATCAGCAGTTTTATGAATTCAACAGGTGAGCATGGTGGTTGACTGGTGGTTTTCGCTACGTGGTGATAGTGTTCGTAGAGCAGATCAAAGTGTTGAGACAGTTGATTTGGTGGACTGTCAAACAGGTAGTCTAAAAAGTCGAGAGTGAGCGAATCACCAGGTGACATTGCGGCCATACACGACGCAGTCAACAGCACAGTGGAGATGATCGAGCTCGGTTGTAAACGCTTGCTACTCTCTGAGAATGTGATACACTCTTTGGCGAACCACAACGTTAGTAGTGCAGTTTGTGGATGTCCAATTCCACGATTGACAACTTGGTCTGTCTTCATGCCTGCTCCGAGAATATCAATCATTTCCTCGGTGATTTTCGATCGTAGTGTAGGTGTTGGACTGAGAGCATGTATGGTTCTATTGAGGAGAGTTAGCGCAGCGTTGAACTGCGATAGATAGCTGGTATGCAGTAGAATCGATCCCAAACGAATGATGATTGAATAGGATGTATCCGATGCAATGCATCGCTGATTGTTGGCAATGACAGAGCTCAGTACAGTGATAGTACGATGCATCTTATCAATGTCACCCATGATACAAGATTTCCAAAGACCGCAACACAAACCGAGCAAACCGTCCATACCGTCTTTCTTTGTTCCAATGGTCGTACGAATTCCTTCGTACCAATCGAATGCCGATATCGAAATGGCATGGTCATTCGAACGAATTGCACAGTGAAGCACTAACAACTCCCAAATCTCAACGATAGAATCTCCGAGGGCAGACTGCATCAGCCTGATAATAGTAGTACGTTCTTTCATACCCCATTCATTCCAATCGGATTTGATAATCTCCTCTGCTTCCTTTTTCAGTTCATCATCGAGAATCGGTTGTCTAATAACCAGCGACATCAATAGATTATCAAGAATTCTCTTTCCAATTGGATAGTGACTATGCTGTCTAGTCAAACTTGTTGAAATTCTAAAGTTTGGAATATTGGTGCTAAGTCTGTTGTTGCCACTTGCAGGAATGGCCGGCAGTGTGATCGATACCTCATTGGTATTGCTATCGGCAACAGTTGTAGTTGTGATAGCCAAAGATTGCTGACTGCTATTACTAGAGTTTGAGAGATTAGCTGTTGCAGTGGTGGCAGTTGTTGTCTTTACAGTTGGACCGTAGACTAACAGCGCATTGACCAACAGAGTCGGTACCAGCTTTGGTACGGCAAGGACATCTTGCATTTGGAACTCGAATGTCATGTCCTCAAGGAAAAACATATAGGCAGCTTCTGTGTCAGTGTTGTGCTGACTGTCGTGATGATCCTTTGGTTTGTCAACACTATTGTTGCTATTGAGGAAATCTTGGACAAACTGGACGGGTGAGGGTGGCAGTGGATGGAAGTGTCGGAGTGACTTCATCAGATACTCCATCACAACAATCCAATGTGGAGTGGAGCGTCTCGATATCATAGTAATAATCATCTTGCACGCATTTCTAGTCTCCATTTGCAATTTGTCAACGTGATACTTCTCTTTGAGGAAATCAATAATTCTCTTATAAACATTGTAGGTTGCCTGTTGGCCAGCACTATCTCCACTGGCTGCCAACTCTGACCACAACACCTCCAATGTCGAATGAGTATTGGTTATCACCTTTGATTGTATAGTTATATCCAGCAGTGATTCCAACAATATCTCCACACTCTTTGGTCCATTCAATGTATCCTCTCCACCGGTCATTACCCAGTAGAAATTTCTAGTCCATGGTGCCAACAACTTTGTAAATAAAAATACAATGAGATTAATATAAAGTAAAACAAACATTAATATTCATAATAATCTTAATAATACATACTGGGAGTATAAGTTGTTTATGAAGTAAAGGTAGATGTTGATAAGATGATTGTGCTTCTTTGAAGAGGAGTGGTGTCATCCATTGATATTTAGAGGACATCGAGTTGGAATAGAGTAACGCGGATCTGTCATACATGTAGTTGAGTATCGATTCGTTAATGGTCGATTGGAAGTGTGCTGTGAGAAGCACTGTCTCTTCACCTTGTACTGAGGTGAGTTGGTTCGATAGTTGACATGCAAGTTGTCGTGCTTCGTGATGAGTCGATATCATGTGTAGGAGGATGAGATGTACTAATCTCTCTGGTTCACAGTTATGTGGCCACTCAGTGTTGTACTCTGTGAAATTGATGACCAGCGCTCTCAAGAACGATAGCGATGCCACGGGGTATCTCTCACTATCGAACGATCGCTCCATATACTCATTCAAATACTTGACGGAGCGTCGCAAGAACAATGCCAGAGTATTGGCTATCGACTGATGAAGATGATGTCCATAGTCCAAACAACGAATGAGGAAATTAACAACATCACCTCTGAAATCATCCAAACAACCTTCAGCAATCAACAAATTGAATGCTTTCATTATATTCAATTCCAATTCACTCTCAATTGGATCTTGATTTTTCATTCTATTATCTAACAACCTGTGAATGTATTTGGAATTGACATATTAATATATATATAGATTGTTAATAAAATGATTGTTATTGTAGTTGTTGTTACATACGCTTGTAAACATTGGAATAATAATTTTGTATAGGCAGGTTTGATAAGTGATATTTCACCTTTTGGAATGGAACTCTTACTATCGAGATTTAAGAATACAATAAAGAGTTTGGCACAGTAATTCTTTATGGTGGAATTGAGTGATTGGAATATCTGGTTATTGGTAATCCAAAAGTAGGTTACCTCACGAAGTGCTGTTCGAATCGATGTAATTCCATCGTATTCACCAACTGACAACTTGGCAGCCAACTGACTAATATAGATGATTACATGCTCCTGGATGTAGAATACCTCTTTCTTTTTCTTCTTGAGATCGCGTCCACGCTCCTGTTCGATGAATCTAAAGACGGTGTCGTAGCACGACGGGTCAAGGTGGAGCGAGAGCTCTGAAATGGTGGCAGCCATCTCTTCGGAGCTCTTACCCTCACGCTCCTGGAAGTAGCCATTCATCACCTCTGTCAGCAGTTGATCCTCTATCGCTGTCAACTCTGGCTGTTCACTGTTGAGTCGCAGTGAGAGCAGCAGGAATGCCAAATTGTTTTTCCAGCCTACTGGCTGTGACTTTGGATGCCAACGCTTTCTCAGACGTGTCCACGCCCAGTTGACACTGTTTTGAAGATTTCCATTGTGAACCTGCAAGAAGTACGCTAGATCCTGGTTCAACGTTGGAATCAGTGTAGTCAAACAACCAAAGGTAGTTGACTCCTTTATATCTTGCAAACAATCGGGTTGTTTCTCGAGGAACACTTGATGTGGAAGATAGTCTGCCAGATAGGGAAGTGGTGCTTGTTGATCGATCTCTCTGAATACCTGATGGCCTGTTAGCTTGATTAAATCGATGACCTGTGCCCATAGAGGTTGTACCTGACTGGCCAATAAGAACAGTGCAACACCCTCAAGTGTCTCTCTTAGATTCCGCCAGGTGGCAGTGTCGATCTGTGCAGACATCTTTCTCTCGCCATTCGGATAGTAGTGCAGATTGATGAATTCCTCCGTTACCATTGAGATATTCTTTACGACTTTGGTCAATCCCAGTGTTTCACCAAAGTAATTGGTGATATAGGTGAGCATCTGGAAGAGAATGGCAGGGAAACTGAGTTGTGGTTGATTCGCCAAGTACTTGATGATGCCAACGGTTGACATTGTTGCGATTTCACTATCGGAATGCCATGTCCACTTGGTTATCTTGTCGGCAATGTCTTTGTGTGTCTCTGGCGAGCAGAGTGTCGGGAAACAAAGTATGATGTATCTGAGAGCGGTGGTATCACCGTCGTAGCTCGAAAACAGATGATCCAGTGTCTGCCAGAGTGTTCTGTCGTAGGCACGCATCGCCTCTGGGAATTCATGATTCAACGACGCCAACATCCTCAGAACAACCGCCTTGCATTCCAAGCTGTATTCCGACGGTTTTCCAGGCATTGGTTGTGCAAGAATCGCTAGAATATGCTTGTGTACAACGATCGACATGCTGAATCTGCCCATAGAGAGTAACACCTCGAGGAGTAGCACTAGTTCGCCAGCGGCCAAGCTGGATTTACGCGGTAACAATACCGGTAGTATGGAGCTGACTTGTGCTTGATAGAATGTTGCTTTCGCCTCTGATCCATAGAGTGTTTTCACTCCGATAAAGTAGGTAATCAACGACTCTAGATAGTGACGACGTGTCTTTACTTCTTTCATTGAATTGCCAATCAGTGTAAGTAGATCTGTTCCACGAGTCGACATAAACTCTTCGCTTATCGATGCCATCACAGCCAGTGTTCTGATACACAGCTGTTTCAACTTTGATTTCTTTGTCCATTTCAAAACGATATCGTACATCTTTTGCACGACCGGCCAGAATGTAGGTGGAACATTTGCAATCGATGATTGTCCAAACATCTTGGGGAATGTGCGGATAATGGTGAAGCAAATCGATTGTTGGAAGACGGCACGCGATGCTTTCTCCATCTCCAACAAGATCTTTGAGAAATACTGTGTGGTAGCGTCGATTTGGTTGGCGCGATAGAATCCAAACTCCACGAATTTAGCAGCTCTCTGAAAGGTTGAGTACTCACGGTAAAAGTCGTCGGACTTGGCCGACTGGAGTCGCGTGACAAACAGCTGTGCAATGACGTCGGGCGCCACCCTCGAAATCACTTGCAGACAGCTGGCAGCACGATAACGAATCGTCGGTGAGAATGTGAATTGCAGTAGATTGAAAAAGAATGTGATGGTTTTCGGTGGGAGTGTGGCGAGTTGTGACGATCGACTGCCGACAGCGACCGCTTCTCTGGCTGGCGCGTGTGACGACAGAATCAAGTAGAGTGTATTCAACAGATGATAGAGAGGAGTGTCGTCGGCCACCTGCCGATAGCTATTGAACGGACGGAGAGCGTCGAATATCGACGATGTCTTCTGGTTGGAGAGCAACCCTATCGCTTCGCTGTTGATGAGAGAATCGCTGGTGGCCGCTGGCACCACCGTCTCCAAGTCGGATTCGACGTCGTCCTTTGCATACGATGGCAAGTCGAGCTTTCCTTTCTTCTCGGTCTGCGACACCATGTTGTAGGGGTCGTCAAGGTAGGTGTCGCACATCTTGATCAACACCTCACACACGGAATGCAACGAATCCGAGCTGATCTTGACGAGGACGTTCGACATCACTTCGAGCTGGTGCGTCACCTGACTGCCAGTCATGGCAGAGACACGCTCCACTTGTGGAATTGAAACGAGCAGACCCTGACGCAGAGTAACCTTTTGGTCGCCAACCTTTTTCTTGAGCAGCAGCAACTCTAGCTGCTTGTAGAGTTCACGCAGAACATTCTGTTGGACCGCTTGCTGACTTTGTTCCACTGCATACATAGTACTCGATCTATTATCTCTTGTCTGTCCATTATTATTATTATTGTTGTTGTTGTTGCTGCTGTTGATGTTCAAAGAGGAAGAAGAGGAGGAGGAAGTAGTGGAATTAGCATCCCATGTTGACATGTTGAAATATGAAAATCAACCCTTTTTTTTTTTGTTTTTTTGATTTGTTCTGTTTTTATAATTTCCTCTAATTTATATATTTTTTAAAATGAACAAATCCTATATTATTATACAAAAATATTCTACTTCTTATTATTACAAAACAACAATTAAATTGAAAATTATATTTCAGATGGTTTTTAAAAAAACATGTTAAATCTATGCTTTTTTTGCAAAAACTATTTTTTTTTTTTATTTATTTTTTATTTTGAGGTTTTCAAATAAATAGGGAATCTGCGTTGATCGTGTCATAAGTTTTTATGGGCATTTTGGCTCTGGTATTTTTCTAAATAGAAAAAAAGAAAATTATAATTATATTTTAAAATTCTATTTTGAAAAGTATTTATTTATTTTCGATCTATTTGAAAATGAATTATACAATTTGAAATCTGATTGCAAACACAAATAAAATTCATTGGGAATTTGTTTCAATTAATAACACAAAATCACAGTTTAAGTTTTTGCAAAATTCTTACTTTTTTCTCTCAATAGAACACAGAGTCTTTGATTGTTGCGATTGAAGGTCGATTATTAATTAACTTTTGTTGAACAGGTATAGTTTTTGATCATTGTTGTTATTATTAAAAAGAAATAAAAATGACGCGGAAAGAGTTAATAGAGCAAAATAATGTACTTTTAAAACCAAAACATGTTTGTAATGGTGTTGTTTCGAGTGCTGTTGATAGAGGTCTACTAGACACAGATATAGAACCAGTAGAAATATTCATAAAGAGAACGGAACTATTTAAATATATTTTGGGTGTCAAGAACATTAGAGAGATTATTTTGGACTATGTTCATTTCGATCACTCATTGTTTAGATGTAGATTCAGAGTTCAGTCTGTGAGCGATCCCAATTGGCTGGTAAAAGTCAACCAGTTTCAGGTGCTCCGTTCGAAGCTCTCAGTAGCGACAAACAGCTCCACGATGTTGCGAACCAAGCTAATTCAGCTTTGGGCACCGGATACACTGTTGAAATTGGCAGAGTCCACAACGACACACGATATTCTCAGGCTGCTCGTCTCAATGTTGGAAAGTGACAGTGAAACCGCCGATGGCCAACACGTTCGATGTTTCTTCACCACTCAGGTAATGGAGAAGCTGATCAGCGCTGGTGCTAGCTTCGATCTGATCGTTTCAATCGCCCGGCTATTTCCAAACACTGTAAACAACTCGATCCTAGATGCCGCTGCATCTCACAATCAATTCCAATGCTTCATTGCGTTTCTGGAGATGTTTCCTGGCGAGTTGAAACCAACTTTCAATACATTCAACTGTGCTATTGTGAGCAATGATCTGGATATTCTCGAATTCCTCTTGGTCAACCAAGATCGATATCCCATTAAACTTTTCTTGGCTGTTGGCAATGCGATCACCTATAAAAAGCCAAAGGTAGTAGAGCTGTTGTTGAAGCACAAGGTGGAGGTGAACGATCGCTCTGTTCAGGCTGCAATCGATTCTGGAAATCCCCAACTCGTAGAGGCATTACATACTCATTGCAATCAACAGATAACATCGGAACGAGCATTAATATCGGCTGCCAAGACCGGAAATACCAATCTCATTAAACTACTCTATCGTAAAGATCTGGTAAAGAATGATATTCAATCTATATTATACTCTGTAGTGAGTAGTACCAATATCGAGGGTTTCGAATTCTTTCTCCATGATATCTCCAAGAATACAAAGTGTCTAAAGAGTTTATGGCATGCCGTCACATCTAATCCATACGATCCTACAATTGGATGTTCATTGGAGCAGTACCATAACAAACAGTTGGAAATGATGAAGTATCTCAAGAAACATAAATATATTAGAACGTTTGGTTTCGATACATCAAGTGGAAATCCATTCATTCTTAAATACCTGTTGGATAACAATCATTTGAATCTTACTGCTCTTGAAATCGAGACTATACTTGACAATGCAATTGAACATAGCAATCTACCAATGATCCAATATCTCTACGAAGAAAGTAGAGTGAGTGTAAAGATTCTACAGGGACCAAGCTACTATTCCATTCTCTCAACTAGAGTCAGCAAATCGAAAGCACATCAAAAGGAGTACTACCGACACACAAGCGAAGCAAAGGATTTGGAAATCTTTAAATATCTAATGAAGTCAAAACTCAATGTAAACAGTCAAGATCTCTTCAACCTATCGATGCTTTACAAGTCATTCTTGCTCTTTCTCAATTATGAATTTTGGAGTCGCGGTTCATCGACCTTTGGTTTACAGTGGAATCAATTAGTTCCAGCCACCCATTATAACCTCAAGGAATTGGTGCAGAAATTGATACCCAAACAAAAACCTTATATCAAAGCTGCACAAATGAAAGCCATATCGATGGGTCATCTCGAGATTTTCACTATACTTTTCAATGATGGTGGTGGTTTGGCTGTGACATTCAAGAGTATAGCGGAATATTTCAAGTCTGATAATATCAAACTTTTGGATTTCCTTTATGTCCAATGTCGTCAGGAATTCCAAGAGTACGTAAAGAGTGAGAAATCTTTGAAATTGAATGATCCAGTTACTTCAGAGTATCTGCTTGCAAGATTCAACCCACAATCTCATTCCACATCAATAGATTCCGAGGCAATCGCTGATATCAGTCAAGTTCTATTTATGGAATCAGAGTATGTCGCCAGTATCTATGATATGGTAGAACCACCCAGATTCTCACAGTATGCTATCGATCATGCGGTGGACAGAGGATACATGGCACAAATATTCTATATCTTTGAAAAGTACAATGTTCAAATCAGATTCCCCCAGGTTTCCATGTTGATAAGTGCATCGGAATATGGATATGTCGAACTATTGAAATATTTGTGTACGAGAATTGCCATACCCGTAGAGAAAAGATTCTATCAAAAAATCGAGAAATACAACAGAAGCACTGGTAAATCATTTGAAATTTTTCATCAACTTTTATTGAATCTAAAGGATCAACAAATAGACAATCTCGGTGGACCTGAAAAGGATATCTATGGTAATGTTATGAAGAATTTCTTTGATAAAACTTTTTACTGTGTTAGAAAATAGATAATAATAACATAATGTATATATTTTTAAACAATAATATTATTTTTTAGCGATTTTATAAAAATAAATTTCATAATTATTTGTATTACTAGTTAATTAATAACTACAATAGAAGTCATACCGTTATTAAAATTTTTATAAAAATCGATGAAAAAAAAACGAATCAGATGTCGTTTTTTTTTTTTTTTATAAAAGGTGATTATGATTATCTGATTCTGATTTATTTTTTCACTCATATTTTATAAAATGTTTGGTACAATATTACAATCTACAAGAATATTCAGTAATAGAAATATATCTTTTGTAAATCAACCAATCGTTCAAAATGCTTTGAGATCAGGTAGGTAAATCATTTACATTGCTTATTAATACAATCATTGTTATAAGTTTAAAATCTGAATCTAATGAACATTTAAAATAGGTGTTAGTAGATTATATTCGACTAATAATAATAATAATGGAGAAAATGTTGTCAAATTAAGAAATGTACTTAAACAATTCTATCAGTTGGTACATCCAGATACACTTGCAAACTACCCAAGTGAAAAGGTAAGTTAAACTTTTTTCAACAAACAGCTATTAGAAGTACTTCTACTTACTTATTAAATCATAATAATACAAATCTAAAAAAAACAATAGAAAGTAAATTCACATAATATGAAAATCATTATGGGTGTCATTGATCAATACAAGAAACGTCCAGTACCAGATCCAAGTACTAAACCTGTGGCTCATCCACTGACTTTCTTTATGATCGACAAGTATGCAGAGACCAGACCAAATGAATTGGCACCTTTGAAGCGTGTAGATATAGAGGTGATTGAGAACTCTCGTAATCCAAATCAAGTACCAGACCAACTGTCGAAATTGTTTGGAATGTGTCACCTCCCAACCAAATTCATCACGGAAATCGACCAAGTCGATAACTTTAAGCAACCAAAGATTAATGGTTCCATCAAAGACTACTTATTGGACAATCGTTACGCCGCCAAACAAATGTTGGTCGACTCTGAGAAACAAAAGCGTGACGTCGAGAACACTCTCAGAAAGTTGCGTCGTGAACTCGCCGTTCAACTCCAGATGAACGTCAACCCAGCGGAAACCAGCTTTTCATTCCAAGAGAATCTCAATGCACTCCAGGAGTTCACCGATGCCTACTTGGCAGTGGCAGCTGAAGTACCAGAGAAACACAGACGTCTCTTCAAATCGCTCCAATTCAACTTGAACTATGCAGAGATCAACTACACCTCCAACGAGCCAGTGGTCTATTTGGATCGTGGATCACCGGAGACTTGGGCAGGTTACTTGAGACGTTTGGATTTCAACGAAATCGAAGATCAAGTTCGTCAAGAGAAAGAAGAGAATCAGAAAAAGGTGGCATCATTCACCAAACAAAAGAAAGAATTCGATACTAACGCTAAAGAGCTAGAGAAATTGCTTAGAGTCAGAACTGTTACCTGGCAATACCACGACGATCCAAACGACGATCCAAATCACTACCTTGGTTTACACGATCAAATGGATCTCTGTCAAAGTTTTACAGGAATGCTATTAAAGAACAAATTAGCAATTCAAAAGATTATGAAACATGGGTAAGTAATATTAATAACATTTGTTAAAAGATTGATGAGAAAGCACTACTAACATTGTTAATGTTAATATCTTTTTTTAGTAATTACAAGTTCAGTAGATTAACAGTAGGTGTTGCACCAAACTTGAGAAAATCAAAGTTTTACATTGAAATGGATGGTAGTTTGAAGGTTTCAACCAGATGCAGCTTTGAAGATTTCATGGAGATTTTGATAGATCAATACGATAATGCTATTAAAGTACAAAAAGAGAGTGAGAAGATCGAACAGATGCGTGATTACGTTCAGGTCAGACTTGGTTTGAGAGAATTAACCACTCTCAACGCATTCATTTATAGTGAGGGTTATGAAAAAGTATTCAAGGCCTATCAGAAACTCTACGAGCAATCCGAGAAACTGAGGAACTTGGAATTGAACGGTCTTTCGATTATCATTGCAGATTACTATTCAATCTCTAGAACCGGTGAGATTTATATTAAACATGACTTTAGTGTCGAAGATTTCATTGCAGCCTTGTCAGCTCCAACATCAGAATTACAACAAGAACCAGAACAACAACAATTGGATTTAAATAACATTTTAATGAATGATCAACAAGCACAACAAACACAACAACAACAACCAATGAATTAAATTTAAATAAACAAATTATTATTTTTGATATATAAACAAACAATGAATGATATTATTTCTTTTTATTCTTGTTTTTACTCTTTGGAGGAGGAGCACCAACAACAAGAGAAGCATCTTTCATTTCATTGTTTTCGCTGATTGTTTTTTGTGCCTCGATAAAGAATCGTAGATCACGTAGTTCTTCCGATAGCTCTCTGATGGTTGCATCTTTCTCTTCATCTTTCTGTTTATATTTATCTTGATTATCCTTCATGGCGTTATTGATCTGTCTGAGGAATTTTGATTCTCTATCGACTTCATCGCACTTTTGTTTCAGCTTATTGCATTTGGTTTGCCACTTGGCATTCAGCTTCTCGATTTCCTCTTTGAAAATAATCGAGTGTTGTATGTTGTCTTTTTCGATTTTCAGTATTTGTTGTTCAAAGTATGCGCGTTGTTGTTCCAGTTGTGAAGTCAGCAGGAAGTTATACTCGACAGCGATCGACTCTATCTTCTCCTCCTTCAAATGTGAACCGGAACGGTTGTCAGAGTTGGAGTGGGGATTGGGGAATTCCAAGACTTTGCCATCCGATCGATTCTGTATCAGACGATGAACGTAACCATCGCCAGCATAGTCCCATACACGCTGTGTCTCCAACTCCAACGCATAGGTATGCATTGTCTCTTCGTAGTGTTGATTGGCGTGTGAGTTGACGTATCGCGAGCAACCAACATTTCCACAGATAATGCAAATCCACAGTGATTCGGTGGTTGCGCAACTCGAACAAACATTGTTTGATTCCACCTCTGGAATCTGCACGTATCGACACACCGGACAAGTATTATCGCTTCGCCACTTTGAGAGACAGTCGCAGTGGAATGTATGGTGACAGAGCACCGTAACGACGCCGGTTGCCGACGAATCCAATCGCTCCAGACACACTGGACAAGTCGGCAACTCGATCAAAGACGAAGAAGAGGTGGCTGCTGTTGGAGTGATTAAAAATCCATTCGACGGCGACTGATATTCCACCTTGGATACAAATAGCAATATACATGTTTCAGGCTCCATCGAAGTAAACTTCTTTCCACTGTACAATTGATAGAATTCATCGGATGCCGATTGATCTACAAAACTTAACAACACCATATATCGATTGGGTGATGCATCTCTAATGATCTTCATATCACAGACTGTCTCTGATGTCTGTGAGAAAAAGTGAATTAAATCTGGTATAGACATATATGATGGTACTGATTCTACACAAATTAAATTACTTCTACAACTCTAGAAAAAAAAAAAAAAAAACATTGTTAGTTATATACTTTGATACAATCTTTATAGCTAAATATCTCTATTACATACAGGTAAATTACATAATGATGATGTTTGGTTTTGTTTTGCTAAATCGGAATCAACAAACAAATGAATGATACCCTCTGTTACTTCTATTAATGGATTACCAGAAAAGAATGGTATATACTTTGAATTACTATTTATCTTTACATTATTATTATTTGTATCTATATTATTGTTATTATTGTTATTATTGTTATTATCAATGATGGTAGTCGGTATCAAAATTCTTGATTTACTGAGCGATGGTAATGGAGGCGGTGGTGAACCTCCATTGTCTTTTGAAGGTGTGGTATGAGGTGAATTTGATTTAGATGAAGATGTTGTTGTTGTTGTTGTAGTCGATGGTGGTGTAGAAGGATTCGATTGTGGTGATGAAACATCCAATCCACCAACTGTACTTCCACTTTGAAAACTATTGACATTAACTTTGAAATCGGAAGCTATATTATACATATTTTTAACTTCAACTATTAAACTATACATAATAATAAATAAATATATATAAATTATAACATTAAAACTAAAATTAAAATAGAACAACAACAATGTTCATTAGTTCAATTAATTAAATTAAATGAAAAAAAAAAAAAAAAGAAAAATCATAAAAAATTGGAATTAATTTAAATATTTTAAAATGTGAATGAATAAATATTTTATATTATATTATTATTATTATGATTGTAATAATCTTTAATCGGATGATTTTGTTAGATATTTCAATGATGATCCTACTATATATAATGATCCTGTTATGAGTACTTTGAATCTCTTGTTTGGTTGAGCTTGTGAAATTTGTTGGATGTGTTCGATGGCACACGAGGTATCATTGGTGATACTAATGTTTGTTGGGTCGACTTGACATTGTTTGGCGATGCAGTTGGTAACTGTTTGTTCCCAATCTTGTGTGTTGAATTGCTTTCCATCCGCAGAGATAATTGGTACAAATGCATAGTTGAATGATGGTGTACCATCCAATCGTATCGATTTTGAAAATGGTTCTAAAAAGAGGTTTGGATCACGACCACCCGTACTATTGTAAACTAATATATAACCTGTGTTGTTGTTGTTGTTGTTGTTGCTACCGTTGTTATTATCTTCTACAGTAGAGTTGTTTGTTGTCGATGTTGTCTTTTGACTCCACCAATGTGAGCATATCTCTGCACTCTCAGGAGTGTGAGCACCATCGAGGAAGAAATCGACGTTGGGCAAGTCGAGACTGACAAAATGCTGTGCACGACCTGGCCATCTTACCGTCGCCAATCCACGTGCGAACGACTCTGGTAGCGGGAGAAAGAGTTCCGGTCGATAGTTGTTGAGCTTGGCATCGTATTGTCGCCACTGCTGCTGATTCTCAGAGAATAGCGATTGTCGTTGGCTGTCGCTGACAGTCGGACTGTTCATCAGCCAGACAATGCAAAGTGCAATGGCAATCGATGAATTTTGTTTCTGATGCTCACCTTCCAGGGCGATTTTAGCGTTGAGCAAGTAACTCTCGTAGTTGGGTGTGACGACGAGTGGCGACGACTTAATTTGTTGCGCGTAGGACGCGACCACCTCCATGGCGTCGGCGCGCTGCTCCACGGTAAATGCCGGACACTCAGGCTTCATGATTCCCGCCTTCTCATAGGCAATCTCTGGAAGTGTATCACCGAGCACGTTCATATGGTCAAAGCCAAGCGCTGTGATTCCGGTGACTGCAGGTCGCGGGAACACGTTGGTACTGTCGGCGCGACCACCGATGCCGACCTCCAAGATCTTGCAGTCCAACTTCAACTCTTGAAAGATTCTCATGGCAACCAGTGTTATATACTTGAAAAACGGTGGGAAGATCATTCCCTGTTGCGCAGAGAATATATCCCAACACGCGAAAACATGCTTGGCAAACAACTCCTTCGAAACCATCTCGCCATTGATCTTGATTCTCTCACGTGGACTAATAAGATGTGGTGATGTAAACATTCCAGTGGTGAATCCACTGTTTCTTATGATCGATTCCACCATTGAACATGTTGAACCCTTACCCTTTGTACCTGCAACATGTATAACTGTTCTATCATCTAACTATAATATCAATAATAATTAATAAACATTGAAACATTCAATCAACTCGATATTCTAACCAACATACATTTATATTTACAAGTTGACAAAGTTCAGTCATTTCATCCATCAAAAGATGAGTGGTATCTATTTTGTTTACTTTTCGTGTTTGTGACCATGATTGTATGGTACTGACATTCGATTGCAATGAATAGAGTGCATTTAGAGAATCTTCATAGTCTCTTTTTGTTGGTTGATACATTGCTTGAATTCCCGGTGATCCAATCATTCTGCTCTTTGTCTCTTGGATATTGTTAATTTTACTTTTATTATTGTTATTGTTATTGCTACTACTATTATTATTATTATTATTATTTATATAACTGATATTATTACTACTACTACTAAAACTATTATATAAAAACAAACAATTTTTTTTTACGATTGTTGGAGTAGAAATAGAGTTTGTAAAACAAGTGTGATTTTTAAGTTTGATACTTTTAATTATATGATTACGTGTTTTTAATAATAACATTATAAAAATGTTACAATTACCACTTCAATTTCACTTGTTATAACATATATAGATAAATTTGTTCACAAATTTATTAATTAATTTGATTCGTTCTTTAGGTAATGCAGGGGTATTTACATTGATCAAAAATTATTTTTTTAAAATATTTGTAAAAATAAAACGGGTTCGATTGTTTCCAACGTCGAAGATTATAATATCCTATTTAATGTTGAAAATGTATAGTAGTATATCAATAGTTTATTATCATTATTTTTTTTTTAATGGAGAATATATTGATTGATTAACTTTTATTAAATACTAGTCAAATGAAGATTATTAAGAATGTATAAAATTTATTCCAACTCATATGCTTATCTTGGAGTAGGTAATTTTAAAATGGCTGACAAAAATAAAGGTATTTTTAGAGGACAGAAAAAAGAAATATGTATATGATGGATAGAAAAGAAAAACAAATAAGATATGTAATTTCCAAAACAACACATATACATAATTATAAACTTATATCCTTTTTGATGAAGATGAATAAAAATAATTTATTTATTTGTTTTGTTTTTTTTTTGTTTTGTTTTGTTTTGTTTTGTTTAAATACAATTATTAGTTATATATTTAACATTGTACTTTGTATGGAGCGAAATAAAATCCATAATTACAACCTGCATAATTGATTTTGATACAATTGTCATCGTAACAAGAGAATACAGTTGGAACGTTGTTGTTACAATAGTATTTGGAGGTACTTGTGGAATATCCGTTGGTGAAGTATTCGGTGTAAGTTGGTCCGACGCAGAGTTTCTCGCTTGTGTACGAATAGACGAATTGGAGGGCATCGTTTGGCATGTTGTTGGTTTTCAGTCAGAGAGTCGAGTTGAAGGTTGGACCGTAAAAGAAATTGAAAGTTGAGATTTCATCCCAGGTGAAAGTGAAATTTTCAATCAAGGTAGTGCAGTCATCTAAGAGCTGTAACATTGTTACAGAGTTGGAGTTGGGATCTTCTTGGTGGAATAAAATATTGATACCGTTCATATCCAAACAGGTATCCATTGGAAAAGTGTATCCAACTCCATAGGGAGTGTCGGTGTTTGTTGTATCATTGGATCCGTAGGGAGTGATATAAATATAGGATAATGTTGTTTGGGTTGATAAACCAACCAAAAAAGCTAATCCAATAATTACTAAAATAATATTATTTATTCTGTTCATTGATTTTTGTTTTTTTTTCTAAAGGTAAACAATTTATTTATTATTTATAGAAATTTAACAAAGAAAAAGGATAAGAAAGTTAAACTTAAATATGTTTGAAAATCCTGATATTTTGGATAGGATCTTTTGAAACTGGTTACCAAAGAATAAAATAGAAAATTTTTGGAATAGTCTTTGGTATATGAGCGGTGTTTTAACATTTATTTTTACAAAACCGAGTTTTCATTCTATATTTAAAATCAACTTTTTATCATATTTCTTAGATAACCAGTATCATTGAAGTCAATTTAGTAAATTCAAAGTTTAGAAAAACGATTACTTTTCATTTAAGAATAAACTTGGAAAAAAAGTGATCATTATTCCGGTATAAAAAATCTATTAAAATATCTTATCAAAAATAGCAAATGGTACTCAAGATCTTATGAAAAAAAATGTTTTGATTGATTTTATAGTAATTTCATGAGGAGAAAAAAAATTGGATGATTCCATATTAAATCAATTAAATTATAACTCTAAAAATTTAACTTAAGGAATTTGTACTATTCACAAACAAATGATAGATATTCTCAATGTTTTTTGTTTTTGAAACTCGATATGACGAATAATATGTTACAAATTTTTAACTAATGACTTTGTTTTTTGTATTCTTTCCTCCTCTTGTTGCTTCTTTATTTATTTACTAGATAAAAAATAACCTAAATTGTTTAAAATAAATTTTTGACATAATAAATTATTTGTATGTTACATGTTAAAAGACCTCTATTTGTAAATTGAGATCTATAATTTGTGTGAGAAGGCTACATGCTATGGAGATATTTCGTTAACGTGATGTTCTAGACGACTCATTTGGCCGCATAGCAAAAATGAAACCAATGAAACCACAGAATGTGAATTTTGTTAAAATTGTTCAAGATTGTCTATTACATATTCAAATAAATTAATCAAACAACATTTATTTAGTATATATTCATTTATTTAATACATAATTGACCCATCCATATAAATATTTAACAAGAATTCTACAAAAATAATGTTGGCTCCATTTAATTTTATTTATTATGTTATCCAATTATTAAAATTGGTGAGGATTATGATTGGGTTGTATTTGATGGAGGAGTACTAGTAGCAGCAGCAGCCGATTTCTTTCTGGGTGCTTTTGGTTTAGAAGGATCGGCTGGTGCTTTTTTACTTCTTGATTTCGTTGGTTTGCTCGGTGCTTCTGGTTTTACTTCGGTTTGATTAACACCTGCTTCACCGTTGTTGTTGGTTGTTGTTGTGTTAGTAGTATCATTTACATTGGTGGTGGGGGTGGTGTTGGAAGTTGTCTCGGATGTCGGTGTATTTGAATCACTTGTCTTTCTCTTGGTGCCTGGCTTGGGACCTTTCTTTTTCGGAGCTTCCTTTGGTTTCGGTTCCTTTGGTGCTCTACCTTTGGATGCAGGTTTGAGCGAAGGGATATCACTAGGAGAGAATGGTTTACTGACTTGCTCAGGTTCATCCAATGGCTTGGTTCTTCGCTTTCCAGTGAGCGGATCGATTTCTCTACGAAGTTTCTCCTCGACTTCATCGTCATCCAACAAGAATGACATTACCTCTGTTGGTCTCATTTCATTCTCAAACTTACCACCAGCAATTACAATTGATTGAATCTATAATAATTGATTTTTTGTTGAAATTAATATTTGTAATTGATATCAAAAGATTGTGAATTAACTTACTTGATGTTTCTGTTTGGCTCTCTTTATAACTTTCTCTTCGACAGTTCCTTTGGTGATTAATCTGTAAACGGTTACAGGCTTCAATTGACCCAAACGATGGCATCTATCCATAGCCTGCTCGTCCATAGTTGGATTCCAGTCACTGTCAAAGAAGATTACGGTATCGGCAGAGGTCAAATTAATACCGATACCACATGCTCTTGTACTCAATAGGAAAACGAATATAGAAGGATCCGTTTGGAAATCATCTACAAGATCTCTTCTATCCTCAAGCTTTGAAGAACCATCCAATCTTAAATATTTGTATTTTCTGAAAATAACAAAATCCTTTTTAAAAATAATAATTAGTAAACGTTTGATTCTTTGTGATTTCCAAAGTCCAACTAATTCACTACTTACTTCTAATATATTTATCATTTTTGTCATTTGACAATAAATTAAAACTCTATGACCTTCTTTCTTGAGTTGCTTCAACAGTTTATCAAGAACTTGAAGTTTACCACTGTCATTGAGTGACTTGGAGAATGATGGTACCCAAATCGATGAGGAACCAAAGATGTTATTGAGTCCACCAAACAAACCACCTTGATTTCTAAAGGAATCCAATACTTGGCTTGTCGACTGGATCTGCGAAACAACGTTGGATGGGTGCTGAGTTTGTTGTACAGAGCTATCGGGTACGCAGCTGAATCCAAACAACATTGATTTGGTCTGATCTGGTACTCTCAGAGTATCGGATTGTTTGAGACGGAATGAGCGGTCCGGACACTCTATTTCGATGGGTGCCGCAATCGCCTTTGGGAAAAGACGGTAGATCGATTGGATAATGGCGCGGCTCTGATAGCATCGGTCGTTGGGACTGAGTATCAATTCCTGGACACCGGATCTTCTGGCAACGGCAGGTGTGAATCTGCCAGAGAACGATGGCTCCAACAACATACATTTCAAGTGTAGCGATAGGTTATCTTTCTCCTTGAAGGTATCATATACATATTCAAAGAGTGGGAATTCTGACTGTTGCTGCGATTGATGTTGAATGTACATATCGACGAGTGACGACGATCCATGTTGTTGAGACAATTCACCAGGTGACAAATTAATAAATCTACTGAATGAATACAGAGAGTCGTTGCTGTTGTTGTTGTCGGATTTCAATGAACGATTGATAATGTCAGCTGTGAATATCGATAGTTTCGATCGGAGCAATTGACTACGACCGGAATCGGATCCATAGCTGTCAAGAAGCAGTGGTGTTCCCTCTCGGAACAATTGCTTTGGTAGATAGTAGGTGATAGGATTGTGATTGGCAACACTGAGTACTTTGGCAAACTGTGGAGTATGCTCACTGTAGACTGGCATCAAGTCGGGCTGTGCCTTTTGGAATTGGTAGGGTGAGCGACACTCACTACGCTCAAAGAGTTCTGGGTGATTGCAAACCTTACGGAATTGCATGACCAAATTCATTAGGTGTTTCATTCCACTCTCTGAGAAAGTGTTGTCGAGCAACTCAGAGATGGTGATCTTGGAACGCACACCTTGATACAACTTCTTCTGGCGAACGGTGAGCGAACACGAAACTTCAATCTCTTTCTTGGGAGGCATTTCATTCTCGACGTCTTTCTTGATACGACGCAACATGAACGGTTTGAGAATGAGATGCAGCCGATTCAGCTGGTGTTCGTCCAGTCCGCCCTGAGTGAGCGCGTGGTTCTCAATGTCCTTGGAGAACCACTCGGCAAACTCCTCGTGAGAGTCAAACAGAGTTGGCATAATGAAATGAAGAAGTGCCCACAGCTCTGCCATGCTATTTTGAATGGGTGTTCCAGTTAGGAGTAGACGATTTCTACAGTTGAAGGACATCAGTGTTTTCCAACGGTTGGACGACGACGACTTGATGGCATGCGCTTCATCCAACACCATATATTGCCAACGTATACGATGAAAGTATTTCTCATCGAGCACCATAACATTGTAGCTGGTCACCAACACATGGAATGGCGAGTTTTGACTGTATAGCTTCTTTGGATTCCAGTACTTACGAATGGTCTGTCGCTGCTTCTGGTTTCCCCAGTAGGGAAGCACCTTGAAATTTGGCACAAACTTGTTGAACTCGTTCTTCCAGTTGTGGAGAGTCGACTTGGGTGTGACAATTAAGAAAGGTCCCCAAATGTTCTTCTCCTCTGCGAGATGAGCAAGTACAGCAATCGATTGAATTGTCTTTCCAAGACCCATTTCATCGGCCAAGATTCCATTGATACCCTGATCGTACAAATTGACAATCCAACTCATACCTTTCAATTGGTATGGTTTGAGTTCTGCATTCAAGATAGTCGGTTGTTTCAATGAATGTATATCGGCAACTGCCTGAACATTGATAGAAGATGACATGTCGACATCACCAAGAGTTGGAGATGCTGTTGTTGTTGTTGCAGTTGGTTCCAACTCTGATTCCAATTTCAACTTCTCAATATCCTGGTCAAATGTTTGTGTTTTTTGTAACTGTTGTTCAATTGCCATCTTTGATATCTTCAATGCTTCTTCCTTCAGTCTTGTCTCTTCAAGTCTATCCTCCTCATTCATATCGTCGTCGGAATCATCATAGTCAGAGTCGTCAGAATCATCTTTGTTCAGATCGGAAATAGCTTTGCCCATTGTTGGAACGGACGATCCACTGCTGTCGAGTTTCTTGCTCATGAAATGACTGTATAGCTCGGTTTGAGTGATAAGGAAATTAAGCTTTCTCTGTTGTCGCTTTGCTTCACGCGCTTCTTCGTCTCGCTTGCGTTGCAGTGCCTCTTCCTTCTCGGCACGCTTCTTTGCTTCACGCTCGTCCTTTTCATATTTCTTCCAGTAGCTAGCCATCTCCTTGACCAACTTTTTCGAACGCAGCTGAATATCCTTCACAGATTTCTGTGGTCGCGATGCATAGCGCTTCTTAATCTCGATCTTCATCAGACTCGCCAAACTCTTGCAGTTGGCAATTCCATTCGTATGATTGGCAACATACTTCTTTTGAGCAGGAATTAAATCCTTCTTGATGAGAGCGGCCCACTTGCCATCAAAGCCTGGCTCCAGTTGCTTGATATATCCAAACTTACAACCAAGAGACTCTGCTTTCTTTCTCTTGATCTCCTCGTCAATCAGTCTCTGCTTCTCCTTCTCTATCTCGCGTTCTCTCTCACGCTCTCTTTCCCTTTCCCTTTCTCTCTCTTTTTCTCTTTCTCTTTCCCTTTCCCTTTCTCTTTCTTTTTCTCTTTCTCTTTCACGATCTCTTTCTTTTGTCTCTCTATCTCTTTCTCCTCTATCTCTACTCTCTTTTTCCCTACTACTAGTTCCACTTTCTTTAGTATCTCTAACATCTCTACTGCTACTACTACCACTACTCTCTTTCTCATTTGTCTTTCTAGATTTCTTCTTTCTCCTTTTCTCATTCTCTAAAAACTCTTCGAATTCATCATCATAGAGATCCTTTTCATTGATGACAGGATTGAAGTTGCTGCTGCTACCGCTGGATTCCTTCTTTGTCTTCTTTGACTTGGTCGACGATGATGATGAAGATTGAAGAGAAGCGGCAAGACCAGAGCTTGAACCAGTTAGTATAGAGGTAGACGATGTCGATGATCTCAAAGTATCCATTATCATCTTTTCCTTGTCTTTGGAGCTGTAGTTGCCATCAAACTTTCTTCTCTTTTGTCGCTTCTTTGTATCACTCTCCATCTCCTTGTCAATCTTTGACATCAGTTTCTTTTTCAACTTTTCTTTCTCCTCACCCTCTGAATCAATATATTTATCCATATCCTTGAAATACTCCTAAAACAATCAATCAAACAAACATTTGAATTAATAAAGATACTTTAAATAATAATGAACTATACCAAAAACATACTTCTGAAATTGCTTTTCTTTTGGTTGATTTCTCTTTTGCATATGTCTTTAACATCTTTTGATAATCACTATTAGAAATCTCTGTATCTGAATCTTGAAATGGTATATTATTGTTGTTGTTGTTGTTATTGTTACTATATTCATTGATTTGTGATAAAGAACTATTGTTATTGTTATTATTATTATTATTGTTACTACTGTTATACTTTCTAATACTACTAGAACTACTACTATTACTATTACTATTACTACTATTATTAGTTGTAGTAGAAGTATTACTAATTTGTTCATTCGAATATAACATCGATGATGATAATGGTAAAGATTTTGAATATGAAGAGGAAGATGATGATGATGATGATGATGTTGTTGCTGATGTATTTTGATTGGATGATGATACTTTATAAGTACCACTATTATTTAATGATAAAGGTGGTATTATTGTTTGTGAACTGTTGGTTAGAGAGAGATGATGGGTATCGTTATCATCATGCTCACTCAATAAGTCGAGTATTTCTTGTTTATGTTTCTTGGAGACACGTTTCTTTGCATTGGTGAAAGCCGTTGATTTAAGAGATGGCGATGACCTTGGTGAAGACGTCGATACTCCTGTTGTCGATTTCCTCAGAGCTGAACCAACGCCACTACTACTACTGGTGCTGGTAGCACTGTTTGTTCCACTAAAAACATTCATAACCGACGCTGAAGAGGATATTGCCGATGTCAATGATGAATTTGAGAAATTACTATATGGATTTTGTTGCTGTTGTTGTTGCTGCCTATGTTTTATTTGTTGTTGTTGCTGTTGTTCATATTCATATTGCTGTTGTTGTTGCTGTTGTTTTTGTTGATGTTTGTTGTTATTCTGTTGTTGTTGTTGTTGTTGTTGCTGCTGATAAAGCTGTTTCTGAGATTGCATATAGTGTCTATCATTTTGTTGTTCATATTGTGGTTGTTCCGGTTTGAAAATAGATGAATAGTAGTTGGCTAATGGCTGTGGTTGTGATCTACTGCTTTTACTACTACTACTTTGACTGTTACCACCGGACAAACTGTTGTCCAAACTCTGAAATGTTGGTATAGAATCGGAACTATTCAATATATTCATTAATGATGCATTCTTTAATGGTTGTTGTGTTTGTCGTTCTGGTGATCGAGATATATTATATTGTTGTTTCGAAGAATAACTGCTACTACTGTTACTACTACTACTATTTGTATTACTAAATCTATTGTATGATGATATACTTTGATGATGTGATTGTTGATGTTGTGTTTGTCGTACTGGTGATTTTGATCTTGATCTAGATCTCGATCTTTGTTGTTGGTGGTGATGTTGTTGATGTCCGGATGCGGTACTACTGGTGATATAATCAGTGTTTCTATTGTAACCCATAATTGTGGATTTAGGATGTGCAGCTGACAAAGTAGAGGTTGTAGTGGGACTGTATAACGATGGAATGCTATTGGATGAAGTTCTACTGTAGGAGGTGTATGATGATGATGACTGTGGTGGTGGTGATCTCGAAGGTGATCTATATGGCGATGGCGAAGAATACTCGTAGTCATCACCTCTATTATTATATTCTCTCAACTTGATACTAGATGATCCATTTGAATAGGAATTACTATTACTACTACCACTACTTCTTTGATGTTGTGGTGGTTGTTGTTGTTGTTGGCGATGACGATCACCATTATTACTACTACTACTGGTTGTAGTACTACTACGATGTTGTTGTTGTTGTTGATTTTGTTGTTGATTCCGACTATATTGATCTTCACCGATTGGCTTCATTTGATAGGATGACTTTGCAATGGAACCGGAATGAATCGATCTTGCATGTGTAAAAGGTGAAGGAACTTTCAGTGGGTTGAACAATACTTCTTCGTCCTCTCTGTAATCTTCAAACTCCTCATCATCGTCATTATCATGCTCACTGTAAATCGGAGGTTGATAATGACTTGTCCGATTTCCTCTATTTGAATCCTGTCCAAAATTCATAACTAACAAACAAATATTATTATCTCTATCTAACTATATCTAATATCTATTATCTATATCTATATTAATTATATCTACTATAATATCTTTATATATATATATTATAACAATATGATAAAAATATATATTTTTTAAATATTTAAAGAATAATAAAAAAAAAAATTGTATATATAATATATATTGAAATTAAAAAAAAATCAAATTTAATAAATAATCTTTGAACTGACTGTTTTAATAACTATTTTATTACTCTTGCTTGCTTGCGGATTTTGAAATCAAATTTTAATTAAAATTAAAACCAAATCGGATTATATCAAAATTAAAAATGAAAAAAAATAAACAAAAAATAAAACAAAAATAAACAAAAAAAAAAAAAAGGTTTAATTCATTTAATCTATTGAAATCAAATATTTATTTTGAATTCATGTCATTAAATTTTTAGGGGTTTTTCATCAAAATCAACTTTATTTTTTTTGGCATTATTTCTTCTCAAAAACTCCAAATAAAAAAAAAAAAAAATGTGTGTAATTTTACGACAATTATATAAGATAAATTGTTGATTGTTTGTTTGATTTTAGTTATTTGATGGTTTGATTTTATTTTTTTTGGTGGTTTACTATATTTATCAATTTGGCTGGCTGCCTTGGTTACCAATATTTTTTGTTTTGTTTTGTTTTTTTTTTTTTTGGTTCCAATCCAGTTAGTCTTATTTATTTTTTAGCAGCATAAAAATCTTGTGGTTTGATTTTCTTTACACCACTTACACCGGTTCCCTGTACAGAAATAATAATAATAATAAAGAATAAAAATAAAAAAAAGGTTAATAAGACAAGAACAACATTATCACTATCATCATCATTATTAATATGATAATAATATTTACATTGACCCATGGATGAGCTAAACATTGTTCAATTGTATATCGTCTCTCTGGAATCTTCTCGATGAGATGTGAAACCAAATCTTTGGCCTCATCTGAAACTTCGAATCCCTCTGGCCATCCATAATCAACATTTCTAATCTTTTCATATAAAATAGCATTGTTTCTATCCCAGAACGGGAAGCAACCTGTTAATCTATAATTTTCAATCAATCAATTGTTGATAAGTGAATGCTTTGAGCAAATGAATATTATTATTACTGTTGTGACAACAAAACTTACAATACATATGTAATTACACCGACACTCCATAAATCACAAGCTTTATCATACGGTTTACACTCTAGGACTTCGGGAGCGACGTACTCTGGCGAACCACAACAGGTCTCCAGACGATCGCCCTCACCGAAAATCTTTGATAAACCAAAGTCTGCCACTCTGATGTCGTCACCCTCTTTGCCAGAGCAAAGAAGGTTCTGAGGTTTCAGATCTCTATGGGCGATACCATTCTCATGTAAATGTCCAACCGCCGACACAATCTGTTTGATAATCTTTGCTGCATCCTGTTCTGAATATTCTCCTCTCTGTACAATCTTTTCGAATAATTCTCCACCAGTTACTCTAAATTAAAATTGATAATAATAATAATAATGATCATTATTGTTAAAACACACACAAACATCCATATAATTAATCATTATCTCATTATAACAATTGATACATACAACTCTAATACTAAATGTAATTGTTTCTTTGTTTCGTATACTTCATATAATTTCAAGATATTTGGATGATCACCAAGTTTCTTCATGATCTCTATTTCTCGCATGAGTAGTTTGTTTTTGATGAATTTTGTGTTGATTGATTTGATTGCTACTTTTTCACCGGTGACTTGGTGTGTTGCCATACGCACCACTGAGAATGCACCACGACCAATCTCATCACCCAATACGTATGGACATCCAGTCATATCGAGCTCACTATCGCTCTCATCATCCGAATATATATCCATTTCATCATCTGACTCATGTTCTTTGGTATTATTATTATTATTATTATTATTATGATGATCTGTATCCATTTTCCTATATCTCTAATTGTTTTGTTGTTTGAAAAAAAAAATAACTAAAAAAAAAAAAAAAATTAACTTTTAAAGTTAAAATAAAAATACTCTTTTAAATATATATATATATTGGATTATGTATAAATATTCGTGCTTCACAAAATAAAAAATGTTGATGATAATGATTTTGTTTGACTTCTTCTTCTTCTTCTTCTTCTGATTGTCTATATATGTATATATGTATGTACTATTGATGATATTTTCGAAAAAATATATTATATAATTATTTTGTTGTTTTATTTTTATTACAGATTAAAATTTAAATATGTTTTATTTTGTTTTGTTTTGTTTTATTTTATTTTATCTATTATTGATAATTATTAATTAATTTTACAATGTAAGTGATGTGTATGTATGTTTATATCAAAAATGATTGATTACTAAGGGAGAGACAAATAAGTAAGAAAAGTAGTAAAGTAGAGTAGAGTTGAGTAAAGTAAAGTAGTAAAGGTAGACGAAAAGAGGAAATATGAAGAAATTGGAAAAAAGAAGAAAGGAAGTGAGCAAAGCGAAGATGGTTGTTGATGAAGAGAAGTGATGATGATGATACTGGTTGGTGAGCTTATGTATACTAGAATTTAAATGATATAATTAATTGAAATTAAAAAAAAGTTTTTTTTTTTTTTTTTTTACAGACAAATAATTATGAGAGGTTTTTTTTTTTGTTTTCTTAAAGATTGATTTTTTATTTTCCACTCCAAATTGGGTGGTTGACACTCACACAAAAATAAACAAAATTTTTTTAATCAAATTTATTACTATTACAACAAGAGTGGAGTGTTTATTTGTTATGTGATTAATTTAAACTTACATATAATTTATTTATTTTTATTTTTTAATATATTAATATGATTATTGATTGTTAATATTATTATTACTACTACTATTTACAAAATGATAATATTGATTATAATATATATTCTATTTGAACTTTGGTATTAGAAACAATCTATCAGTACTACAACACAACTATTACTATTATTAATCTGAAAAATATAAAAATGCAATGCTGTTTGTTTTAATTATTCTGTTTAGTCTATAAATTTTTTTTTTCTTTGTCTTGAAATTAACCAATGCCGGTTGGTGTCTTTTTTTTTGTTTTTTTGTTTTATTTTTGTTTTTAGCACAAAATTTAGTTTTTTGTTTTGTTTTGTCTTGTTTTGATTTGATTTGATTTAACTCTTTTACAATAAATAAATAAATTAATTGATATATTAATATATATTGAATGAATTCAATGTTGTGAAAAAATATAATTATTTTTTTTTTTTTTAGATAAATTTAATATTGATTTTTGTTTAAATTTTTTTTTTTTTTTTAATCAGTTGATAAGTTTATTGATTGATTGTTTAGAATCTCAGCACCAATTGGGAAGAACACCCATTTTTAGATTTTTCATATTTTTGGTTTTTGTTTTGTTTTCAATGTTTTTGCAAACTCCTTTTTTTTATTCGATTTTTATTTTTACCCAAATTCGAGAAGTTTTTTGATCTAAAACAAAGATATGAGAGATTGTTGTGATGTTTGACTCCTTTGAGTTGATTGATGAGAATAAATTGTTATGATCACAAATTGATACCACTTATACCAAATAGATCGAGCTTAAAATCTATTTTTTTTTTCTATCGATGCGATGCGATACGATTCGATGAGATGAACGAAAACTCCACATATCTAACTCTGAGAGGAGTTTAGATCTTGGTACAATATTAAACAAGATCTACTTTTCAGAATCAATCAACCAATCTATCTATCTATCTATCAATTCATTAATCTTTATTCAATGATGTTGTATTATTTATCATTCTACAAAAATAGTTTAATGTGAAAAATGTGAAGTTGCATCGATCAGTGGTCCCCATTATCATATTTATGATAACAAAAACTAAAGTATGATAGTCAAACAATTCAGAGAAAAAATTAAAGATAGATCTATTGTGTTTTTCTTATTGTTATTTACAAATATGTACAGTGTTGGTTTGATTTATTTATTTCTTGATTGTCAGAGTGGAGAATCGAGATACTAAATCAGGTTGAGAATCATTGGTCATGGCGGTATGGTCTGGTCTTGGAGTCAATGGAGCTGTTTGAATACAACTACTTCTTGGTGGCCCACCTGTATGATTTACAATATGAAGGTCTAATGCAAACCTTACTTTCTTTTCCTAAATAAAAGTAAAAAAAAAAAGAGTATTAATATTGTCCAATCTTTTATTTTCTTTTCTTAAACAACTTACTATCATTTTATTATGTTTAAGAAAACCAAAGTTTCCTATTGCTATATATTTACAAAGTTTCTATTAAATAATATAAAATGTCTAAATAATAAATTAACCATTCAATTTAAATGGATAGTGAAATTGAAATTGAATTATTGACAACGGATTTTATTGATCCATGTGGAGAGAGAGAATTATATAATAAATAAATAAATAAATAAAAGCAATAAAAAAAAAAAACAATACTATATTATTATTTGTTCAAATCATATGTGTTTAGCTTTGAAAGAGTGAATCGTATAATGTGAAAGATTTTTTATAAATGTCTAGTGAAAAAAGTTTATTGATATTTATTTTATATTATTGTATTATTATGTTTTTCATTGTGTATTAGTATGACAGATTATAAATTGTGTTGTTTATTTTTTAGGTAACATGATGAGGGGGAAAAATAAAATTAAAAAAATAATTAAAAATAGTTTTTCAAATCAACACACTAGTTTAATAAATTAAAATAGTGGTTGAAATATATGTGTGTGTGTTTTTTTTTTGATTGTGATTAAAAGTGTGTTGAGTTGTTTATGCTTTTTTTTTTTTTTTTGTTTAATTTGCACCAGCAAATTAGTCAATAAATTCAAAACCAATACAAAATGACACATGGAATTTTAAATTAAATTAAAATGTTTAATTTTAATGTTGATTGATTTGCTCATTTTCTTAAAAAAACATATATTTTTTTATAATATTTCATAATTGTAATAAATTAAAAGAAAAGTAAAAATAAAACAATGGAAATCAATTATAATTTATTATCACCTCCATCTCTACAATTAAATAATACAAATGAACGTAGAACATCTTCAATAAATAATAGTGTGGTTGGTCCAATTAGATCACATCAAAACAATCATATCAATAATCACAACAATAGAAATTCCTATTTATATTTATCCTCATATATTCCATATGGAATGATAAATTCTGGGCTTATTGCAACTAGTCCATCGTCATCATCCTCCTCCTCCTCCTCTTTGGGAATCAAAAAATATAGTTCGCTGAGATCCACTAGCGGCCAATCTAGTGAAGTGACAACTCCAGAGATGTGTTCACAGAAATACAATGATCTCTTCAGTGTTGTGCATTGTAGAACTGAGGAATTCGAAAGAATCAAAACATCTCTGAGTAGCATGGCTATCAAGATCAAAAGCAATGACCTCTGGCAAGATGACATCGATGATGACAATCTCATTTCATTGGCTTCAATGTATTGCAAAGGAAAATGGAAAACCATTGGAAAATCACTATTGAAAAACAAAAGATATAATAGAGGATAAAAAAAAAAAACAAAAACAAAAACAAAACAAAAAACAAGAACAAGAAATAATACATAATATAACAATTTGATAAGAAAGAAACAATATCTAATCTATGAAATTCCTGTACATATCTACTACTACTTTTAAAAATTTCACAAACATAATAAAATTATTATTATTATTATTTATTATTATATTATAATATACTTTTTTGACTTGACAATAATTTATCCATTAAATTATTTTTATGGAAAGAATGAGATGAATTTGATCAAATACAAAGTTGTATTAAAAAAAAAAAAAAAAACAAAAAAAGTTGAGATTAAGTTAAACTAAACCATCACCAAAAAACCGATAACAAATATTTACATCGCTATATAATTATATTATTATTATTATTATTAATCATTGGCAATAATTACCAATGTTCTCGTGTATAACATTTTTCTTTGGTTGGTTCATTAAATAATATTTCCTCTGGATTGTAACCATTGATTTTCTTTGTTTCCGGTAATATTTCACAAACAATCTTTAATGAGTCCCACTTCGTTAATTGATGAATAGATAAAGTTAATAAGAATGTAATCGATTGATTGTTTGCTATTGAAGAACATACCATTTGTTCATCATATGAATCGGTTCCTTCCCATACTTGTTTTGGATGATTCATGTGTACGATCCAACATTCCGGTAGTACAACAAACTTGAATCCCTTGACAGCCATTCCAAATACCTGTGAGTTCTTGTCGAAACCGTATCCCTTGAGTCGCTCATCGAATGGTTCGGCATCGATCTTTCTGTACACCAAATAGGGTTCGTAGACCCATTGATATTTCGCTTCGTATGTATCCTTCTCTTTGTACCATCTTGTGTAGTTTGATGGTGTATGACATTTTGGACAAACATTCAAATCTAATAATAGTATAATATCAAACTGCAGTGTAAATAATTCGTTTTGTTTCTTTTTCTTTCTCTTTCTACAATGTATTGTATGTTTCTGTTTCATTATTTCAAAAAACTTACTTGTTGGTACGATTGTCTTCTTTTTGATTTCTTTGAGTAAATCGAGTTTATCATCGGGTATTTTGAATCTATCGAGTGAACTTGCAAACGATGGAATAACAAACGCTGTCAATTCATCTCTTGGTACTTTATATGTATGTTGACTATGTTTGAAAGTATGTATGTATGTATTAGCTAAATAATCTAATCTATCGAAATCGAAACTCTAGAGTTTGTTACATACACTATATTCTTATAAAGTGAAATGGGTGGAATGAAATCTGCATCCATCAACAATACCCAATCTGTTTCTGCATGCTTTATAGATAGATTTCTAAGTGTATTAATTGGATATCTTGTCTATAAATAGATAGTATAGATAAGTATAGTTATGTATTAACAAATAGATCTATATTTGAATTGATAACATGTTATAAGTTGTAATGTATATAAACATACATTATTTGCATATAGTAGATGAATGTCAACGAATTGTGTTACAGAGTAACTACCTCTGATGAGATTAGCAATCGCTTCAATCTCTGTATCGTTCTGAATGTAGACCGCTGCTGAGATGGGTGCACGCCATTTGTCTGCCATCCAAGCAAGTCTCTCCAATCTATCGACTGAAACCTGTGTAACTATAGTAACATCATATATCTCTGTCTACAAAGGTCACACATAAAACAACCACAAAATAAATAGGTTTGTTAGTTTAGTTTAGTTTCTTGATAATCAACAAAAACATTGTTAAAATGTTTACAATTTTAACTCAAAAACATCAACAATAACAAAACAACAACAACAACAACAACAACATACATCTTGACGATTATAATAATAAGGTTCAGTTCTAAAAGTTGCACCTAAACCGAAACCGAGTTTTCTTCCTCTACTAGAACCCTTGGCTCCATCCAAGTTCGATATGATCATATAGAATGACATACAAATGATCAGTAGACCAATGATGACATTTCGTGTCTTCATAGAAGCTACATTCCTCGGTAGTCTAATCCTATTCATAACCATTTCTTCTTTCTAGTACTCCAAAATGATAATAAATGAATTTGTAATAATGATTTATAATTTTATTTATTTTTGTATGAATTTTTTGAACTTTTTTATCAAGATTTTTCCTTTTATTTTTTTATCAATTTTTCATTCGATTTTTATATATCCAAAATTATTGGAGTTGTAACTCCAGATAAAAAAGATTCCGATTGTGAATTGGTTTTTAAATTAAAATAATCCAAAGTTATATCTATTTTTATTTTATTTTATTTTTTCAATACAAATAATTTTTTTTTTAAAATGTGTGGTCGGAATAGATAAATATTCAACAAACACTAAGTGAAGTGAAAAAAAAATATTTAAATTTGACCTCCAGTCACTACAAATAAAGTCAAGATCATAAATAATATGATGGTTTAAACATAATTTATTAATTTTTTTTGTTTAATGATGTTTTTATTTATTTTATTTAAATTTATCATTTGTTTTTACATTTATTTTTTTCCTAATTAATCTATATTACTTACATCTAATTTTGTATTTGTATTATTTACATAAATAATTTTGTTTTTTTTTAATACACAGTTTGAAAATAAATATTAATTTGTTACCTTTTTTTTTAATGTTTGGATTGTTAATCAATCTATTTAAATTTTGATATGAAACATTTAAATAATATAAGAAGAGACAAGCCTTGGCAAGTTTGATATTAGTATTTTAAATAGTATACCTAATGATCATTTGAATATTAAGTCGACAAACTAAATTAAGTCGACAATTAATCAAACTCTATTCGTATACAAATATTACGACTACTATTATTAGATAGAAGACATAAAAATAAATAGTATAATCTTTTCTTATAATAGATTTATTAGAACCCATTGAAAAAAGAGAACTGTTACTTTTGATTGTGATTTGGTTGGATTGTATGGCGTTACCTGGACATACAGAAACGTTAGATTGTTAGTTTAAGAAAAAAATAATTAAATTTTGTTTGAATTTAATCATTTTAAAAAGATTTAATAAAAAAGTTCAAACATTAATACATATATTTAAATATAAATAATAAATAACAACAACAAATTGAATAATGACATGATGTTTAAATATATAATAAATTGATTGATTGATTGATTTGTTGTTAATTTATAAGCTCGATAGAAAAGAACAAGTGCAATAAAGTTGTGGTTGGAAGGTGATATTGATATGTAACAAAGGAAAGGTTGATTTGATATTGGACAATGACAATTGATTTGTGGGTGAAATGGTATGTGAATAGTGTTGGAGTTGATTGATTTAATAAAAAAAAGTTAAAAAGTATTGTTGTATTTTAGAAGGATGGACGTTGGCTTGAAGATTTGATACTTGGCACTTGGTGCGGAGAGTAGTTAGTTGGAGTGGATGGTGCTGAGAGAATGGAGGCACCTTGGAAACCAATCTTCTTGGTATGGGCAAACTGTAGGAATTGACCGATTAACTTTGATTGGTCAATTTCATTGTTGAAAGTGTTGTTATTATTGTTGTTGTATGAATTTGTTGGTTTACTATTAAGTATATGTGAAAATTGGAAATTACTATTGTTTATAGATTGATTATTGTTTTCGGCCGAATAATTATTATTATTGTTGTTGTTGTTGTCTTTGGAGTTGACATTGTTATTACTATCACGAATTTCAATGAGTCTCGACGCGTAGGAGGTGAGCTCAGTAAGCTCTAGAAGGTGTTCACTCGAGTTTGAACGTGAGAGAGCAGGAGATGGTGCTGTGGAAATCGATGGTACGCTTCCGTTGCTGTTACGCTTGCTGAAGGAACGTGGACGCTCAGTGGTAAAGTCACTTTGGGTAACACGCTCTTGGAGTTGCAAAAACATTTGTTGTTGCTTCAGTTGGTCGTATATTGAATTGTTGGTGCTGTTGTTGCTTGAATTTAAAATATTGTATTGTCCAATGTGCATGGGTGAAGAGGGTGTAGATGAATGATTGATAAATTCCGAGGAGGAAGAGATGAAACGTGGTGACTCGACCGGTGAGAAAGGTGGCGACGAAATGGGTGACATTGGTGTGAAAAATGAGGAGGATGGGGATGTGACATTGTGTTTTTGGCTGTGACATTGAGGTGTTTGTTGTTGGTGTTGATGTTGATGTGGATGCTGGTGTGAGTGTGAGTGACCACAGGTGGTTTGTGGTGATTTTAATTGTGGGGTGATGCTACCACTGGAGTGGAGCTGTTGTTGTTGTTGCTGTGGAACAACACCTTGTTCATTATAGTGCTTTGGACAGAGAATGAGACCAGTCTTTCTTGTCTCTTTGGATTTGGTGAGCATCTTGACGACTGGTGGCATACATATGACATGGTAGGCAGTTGGACAACGGAAACAGTGGACTGACTGTTTGCCATCGCCAGAGACACCGCATGACTCACAGTAGTGAAGTGGACAGTTGAAACGTGGTGACTTGGTATTGACAACCTTGGTCAACTTGAACTCTGAGATGCATTTGTTGTGGTAGAACTTTCCACATTGGTGTACTTTACACTTGGTGAGATTCATATTGATGATACCACGCTCCTTACAGGCAAAACATATATTTTGGTTCTTGGAGCAGTCTGAACACTCCCAACGTGAGGTTGGCATTGAATCGAGACCGATACAATCGATGTGGAATGAACGGAGGCATGGACCGTCGCACATCAAGAGATTGTCGGACTTCTCACAGACTGTGCAGATGGCTTCGTTCTTTCTTGGCTTTTTAGCTTTGGCATCGGCGTCGTGTGTGACATTGTTGTTAATCTTTGGACTGGCAACGATTTGGTCTGGAACCTTTAATTTCTTGGAGGCATCATCTGGTAAACCATCGGCCAATCTCTTCTTATTGGATTTAACAGAGTAGTCTTGGTGATCATTCGAGTAGACGGTGACAACTTGGTCGGCCATATTTGGGAATGGGATATTGGTGTTGTGGTGGTTGTTGGATTGCATTTGGGCAATGGATGGCAAAATAATGTTCTCTGGTTGCATCTTTGAGGTTGTTTTAGAAAATTATATGGAAATGGGAAAACACAGAGGATTATTTCGTTCTGGGAGGAAATAGAATCGAAAATCTTGGAAGATAAAAAGTTAGAAAAAGTGAGCTTAATATTTATAGGAAATGGAATGTTCTTACCAATATAGAAAGTAATGGACTTTGGTAGTAGATTACTTGTTTTAATGAGGAACTAACGCTTAGAAACTTTTTATTTTTGAAAAAAAAAAAAAGAACAAAAGTCAAACTTGTTTGGAAAGTAGCGGGCAGACGGAAAGGAATATTTTATAACTTTTTAAAAAAAGAAAGTTTTTGTAAGAATGAATTGTATAAGAATATTGTTATATTTATAGAGAGGAGCAGATTTGAACAGTTGGAAAATTAATTGAAAAATGAAACTGATTAAACTACTTTTTGAATTGGTGCAAATGATTTCTGAAACATAGATTGGATTGATTGGAATTTTAGTTTGAGATTGGTAGGGGAGAGAGTACCAAGGACTTTTTTTTATAGTTTCCAAAATATATATAAATAAAAATGAAAACAAAAAATAAGATTCAACTCTTCTTATTTTTGAATGGTTGGATGGTTTGAAGATGGATAGTTTGATGAAATGAATTGAGTTGACTCAATTTAGAAATGCCGATGCTGTTAGAATTAATGAATTGTGACAGTGAGGAGATTTGAGAACGTTGTAGAAAAAGAATAAATTAAACAACAACAAACAAATAAAACATTCAAAAAAAATAAAAAAAACAAAAAAAGAGGGTAAACTTTAGTAGTATGTTGTTGAATTACTTGTAATGGATAAATAGTAGTAGTAGTGAAGTAGTCTATTGTAATGCAATATATTTTAGTAGTACCAGTGGAATTGGGTTTAATGGTGGCGGGTAAAAAAATAGTAGAGTAGGTCTATTGTTACTACTAAATTAATGTTCTATTGTTGGATTGAGATTGTTGTTGTTGGAATGTGTTGAATTTTGTTTGTTGTTTGTTGTTGATGTTGTTGTTATTGACCAATGTATTTATATAATTATATTATTTATGTATTTATATGACTTAAGTATTACAGTAACTCAGTAGGGGTTTGTTGTTTTTGCAAATTTGGAATTGATGACTTTCGAAAATGGTGGGTGACAATAAAGCGGAGGAGGTGTAGTTGAAAGCTGTCAAAATCAAGTTTCCTTTTAGGAATGTTGTTTGATGTTGTTTTGTTTTTATTTTATTTGTTGATTTATGTGTTTTTGTTGTTTTTTTTTTTTTTTTTTTAAGTTGGCAGTGTGCGATCAATAGATATATATTAAAAAAAGTGTGTGTGTTGCGATGATGATCAGATGAATTTTTTATTTTTAACAATGTATATATTAATTAAGAATGAATAATGGTGGTGGTGTGGTATTAAATTGGATTGGTATGAGAAAAAATGATGAATGTAATGGTGTGTTTAATTGAATGGAATGGTTAAACAAAGATAATTATTTGTAAAGGTGTATTGTAATTGTTTTTTTTTTACGAGAGGAAGTAATTCTTTATTTTTTTTTATGATGATAGTATGTAATATAATAAATCGAATAAAGATTAAAGTAATTATTTGAGAGATAGAGAAAAGATAAAAGGTAAATACCAAAACTAACGACAATCTGGATTGTTGTATAAATATTGATGAATCATTGTTTTTGAATGTTTAATTAATCATCAATAAAACGATTGGATGGAAATTTTAAAACAAAAATTCATCTCACTTCTGAAAGCGAGTTTAAAAATATATGAACATTAAAATAATGGGCATATTAAGCTGTGTGTGTTGATTTTTGATTTTTAGTAAACGACTATATTGTCGGTTTTTTGATTAAAAGTAGAATGATGGGCTGTTGCATAGGTGAAAGATATCAATTGATGAGTGACACACCGATGATGTTACAGTGATCTACAAGTGGTCTTCGGTAAATAGAAATTATTTTTACAAAAAAAAAAAAAAAAAAAAACAAAACAATAAAACTGTGTCATAATAAAAATTAAAAGAAAAACAGAGAAGAGACCAGCACTTATTATATTGGGACTGGGTAAGATACCTACAATGGTGTGAAATTGAATTGTTTACAGTGCAAGAGAACGTGGAATGGAGCTATCGATTGCCTGATTTGTTGGTTGATTGGTAATTGTTTTTAGTTTACGTTTTCAAAAAAAAAAAAAAAAACAAATTAAAAGTTGTGCAGTAAGTTGTAGTTGTCGATTTGTAAATTAATCCAATGGTATTAAAAATAAATAAATAATAAATAGGTTGTTGTTGCAAAAATAAGCAAATGAACGGGATGAGAAGAGAATTAAAAATAAAAATAAAAAAGAAAAAGAGGTGTTAATTGTTCAATTATGATATTAATAATCAAATCGTAATCGTATTCGTAATGTAAGGTTGTGGTATTGGTAATGTTAAGATAAGTAATGTTATTAGTGTGTGTGTGATGTTGAGTGTGCGTGTGCGTATTTGTTGTGTGTATATATGTTTGTTGGTTAATTTGTAATGCTTGAAGATTGGTGTATTTATATTCAAAAGAAAAGTCTCTGGATTCGAATCAACACTGAAGGTTCCTGTTGGGATAATCACAATAAACTAATTTAAAAAAACAAAATAATATTAGTAATACTTTTTATCAAACAAATCTCAAAGTTGTAGTTGTTCTGCAAATTAAGTGAATGGAAATTGAGTGGTTGTTGGCTTGCTCTCATGTTGTAGGGGGGTCTACCGCCACTCTAATCCCAGACTAAACAATCATGTAATCGAAATTCATCAAATACAATTGTTCAAATGAAAAATCTAAACCTCACCCACCAACACACACATGAGACGAGATACCTTGACAAAAATGATCAAAAACCAACAACATCATATCCCCACGCTACCAACTCTTCTTTAAAATCCCAATAGTGAGTGATGAGTCAAAGTCTGTGCAAAAACAAAAAAAAAAAGTTTTCTCATCAAAAATTGTGAAAATGGTGATCATTTTTCTTCAGAACCACATCATCTTTTATTGTTTTTAGTTTTTTTACAAAAGGTCAGAATCATGCGAGAGTGGGTCAATTTTTTTGTTTTTTCGAAGCGCCCAATAACTTACCTCGAGTACCTTCGAACATTGTGAAATTTTTAGACATTGTTTAGAGATGCCGAAAATAAATCCATTCGGGTCAATTTTCATTTTTTTTTTTTTTTTTTTTAAGGTAGAATGATACCAGCAGTAATATAGGTCCATAAACGAATAAAATTTGCAAAACTACATTAATTTTCTTTTTTTATTTAAATATCTATAAATCATTATAACGACTAGCATCATATCAAAGATAGGTAAAAACAAAACAAAAAAACAAAACAAAATCTTTTATTAAAACTTAAACCCTTGCAAAATGATATCTGAATCTCAATTGCAGTGAGTTGCCTCGAGAAATGGGTAAATGGGTGAAATGAAGTGCCCATATAATATAAAATGGGTTAGTTTATTTTTAAATGTTTTGCTTATAATACAATTGTTTTTGGTTTCTTTTTATTGAGAGAATCAAATCATGATTGATTTTAGAAAATATAAAATATTAATAAAAAACAAGAAGATTCATTATTGGTACCATCTGAAACTCATTCTGGATTTATTTTATTGCCCCATCCTGAACTGTTCACACTAAAACAACCACAAAGCAACAACACCTACAAAATAATTTCTAACCAATAACAAAAAAGTGGGTTTTGATATTGTAGGAGATACTTTTGTTTTTTTTGATATTTATTTCAACTGTTCATCTAAGAATTTAATTATAAACCCGAGAATTCTTTCTTTTTACCCGAACGAAACAACTTCATAACACTTCGCAATTCACCTCATTTTCAAGAATCACTAACTATTAAAATAGGATGGAATGTCGACAAGCACAAACAAATGAATATCTATTTATAAATAAATTTTTTATTATAAATTACAATACAATTGTATAAATTGGTGATGAGGGGGTTTTTTGTTGTTGTTTTGTCGTTGCTGAGGGTTTTGTTGAAGTTGATTAATTATTATTGTTGGGGTATATTAATTTTTATTACAATATTAATTTTATTAATTTATATATTATTGATTCGGATAACCAATAAAAAAATAAAAATTCTTGGTATCCTTTGGATGAAAGTTTGGAGGCGCCAGTCGACAAAATGGCTGTTATGATAATAATATTATTATTTTAAAATGGTACAAAATTCTTGAGTAGATTATCTTTTCTGATGTCTTGATTCTTGAATCTTTCTAATAGTATTTGCTTTCCTCTGTCTGCACAGTGCATAAATGAATGTTGTAAAAGCATCTCTGGAACTGGACGAACGAATGGATCATTATTCAAACAAAGATCCACAAAATCAACAAACTCTTGAGACTATTTAAAATAAATATTTTGGTCAATAAAACAAAAATATTAAGCATTATTAATTAGTTATTATTAATAAACTTACGAATTTAGCTGGATTTTGTAATTTATAACCCAATGTAGCGGTATAGAACATTGATTTCAATGAGGTATCTTTTCCATAGGGAACGGTTCCTTCTGCCAGTTCGACCATCAGACAACCCAAACTGAAAATATCGACTTGAGTATCGTATGGTTCTCTCTTGATGATCTCTGGCGCAATTCTACCCATGGTTCCACACATTCTTGTACGTCCACGACCAAGACTGCAGGTGGTCGCCAGTCCAAAGTCAGCGATCTTCACCTTTCCACGTCTGGTCAGCAGGATATTACGTGATTTGATATCTCTGTGAATGATTCCCTTTGAGCGCAGGTAGATCAAACCTTCCAGTAGTTGTTTGGTGATGTAAGCAATCAGTTGTTCCTCAAGAGGATTCGGTAGTTGTTGTGTCTGGTTGTTTTTCCAGTCTTCATGGAGCAGATCACGCACCGTTCCACCATCGCAGTACTCCATGATGATCCATAGATGACCTTTGCATAGGTACGATTCGAAATAGGAAACGATATTGGGATGGTCGCAGTAGCTGTGGATATAGAGTTCAGGGATGATTGGACTGCCACGCTTGGTTCGCTCCATCAACACTTTGATGGCTACTTGTTTATTGTCCGACCGACGAATCGCATAGAATACATTACCAAATGCACCGGTACCAAGTTTGATCTTGTCTTTAAAGAGAGTGAGAGGATTGCCATTTGCAAAGATGGACTCGTCGCAACGTGGTAATGGCTCTGGATTTGGCATCTCTCTTTGCATCGGTGGAATGTAGCGTGATACCGTTATCTTTTGGAGGTCATCTGGCTCGCCTGTGATCAACGACACAATAGCACGTCTTGTTGGTCTTGTCGAGGGTAATGTAAATGTCCAATTCTTATCTATACTCTTATCGATATTCCTACTGCTATTGTTATTATTGCTGCTGTTGTTGTTGTTATGATTACTGCCACTGGTACTTGATTCACCTGACAAATTGAGTTGTGATGCCGATCTATATTGTTTGAGTTCCTTGCTTTGTGAGCGAGTTAGAGAGGTGAATTTGGTAGGAGTTTGACTGTTGTATGGAACAATAAGAGTGGATTGACTCTTGGCTCTGTGGAGTGAGGGAATGAGTGGTTCGACTTTGGTGACCAAGACTTCTTCGGGTTCGTCATTCTGATTGACCGAGTTCATACGCTTCTTATTGGTGAGAGCTTTCGTTTTCTTGTTGGATCGATAGTAGTTGGGTGGAATCGGTTGGTTTGGAATGGTATCTTTCGTCAGGAAGAATATGGAGTTCCAAGCGATTTCAAAGTTCTTCATGATCTCCTCTTCGCACAATCCAGACATACGTACGTATGCTTGTAGTTTGGGTGGCATCGACTTCAGTGTTCTCTGCTGTGAGAGCAGTGACTCAGCATCGTCACGCTGCGAAACAAAGCTCTCCACTTTGACAAGATGATCCTTGAGATTGTTGATGATGGGACGGTCTTGCAGCTCGGGTGAACGTACCAACACCGACAGACTATTCAATGCTTTATATTGGATGGCTTGTCTAGAGTTGAGACAGAGTGAAACGATTCCTTCGAGTGAGGGTGTGACATCGATGAGTATCAATCTCGAGAAGTTCGAGAGATATTCATCGACCGAGTGAAGATCGTCTTCCTCCTTCTCAACGGATTCCTCCTCCATCAGTTTGATGGCGAGTTGGATGTCGAGTGCACGCGCCCAATTCTCAATGGTTCGCTCCTGTTGTAGGATGGTGAGTGACTCTTCAGAGTTGGCGAATGCAGAGTCTGAGAGACACTGGCGGTACAGCTCGCAAGCGTTTGTTACCAACGCGAAAATGGCTCCGCGAGCACCGCCAAACTGGTTGAGTGTGACACCGTGACGCAGATACGCCGTTGCCAGGTGGTAGGTGGTGATGGGTGAGTGATAGATATGCTTACTGTAGCCCAGCGATTGTACGGACTGAGAATGCAAGACCTTCCAAAGTTCTTCTATTTGAATATTCTCCTCGTTTGACCACTCTGACATCAGGAACTGACACTTCATTCTACGCGAGTATCTACTCAATGCAATACCCCACTTTCTGAGCGCGATCGCCATTTGTTTTGTTGTTTTCTGATATTTCAACTTGACTTCATCGTCGATCGGTTGTATCTGCTGAATAGCTTGAAGTTGTTTTTGAAGTAATACAATACACTTTAATAATGTTCAAAGAGAAATGTGATATTATTAGTAACAGATACTAAAATTTAGTAGGCAGGGAAATGGAAGTTTCTCAATTTCTGAAAAACTCCACACAAATATTTTACTTACTTTATGAAACTTTTCACAGGTTGCTTTATACATTGGTAATTCAAGATAAGTACATAGGATAAATAGACAGTCACCCCATCTCATCCAAAGAGATGGATCGGACCATGGCGAGGATGGATCCTCAATGGGTGGAGGTGGTGGTGCAGGTGGCAATGAGACTGACCGCAACATTCTCTGAAGTGAATTGACACTGCCACCATTGTTGGTACCACCAATGGTAGATTGCTTGTTGTTTGTCGAGATGATAGTCGATGCTGAGAGATTGCCATTGGAGACAGTCACTGACGGATCTCTTTTGGTCGGCTGTTGTGGCAGTGGTTTATTAGGTGGTTGGTGTTTCAGTCCAATGTTAAACTTGCTTGCACCACTACCTGTCTTTCCATTCGATTGATTATCCATTGGATTGTTGCTGCCATTCATTCCGGTGACATTGAAATTCAACAGAGAGGTGAGCGAGATGTTCGGGGTGGTGTAGCCACCCGTTGATATTTGCAGTGCGTGTTGGTACTTGGAGCACGCGTCAAACAGCGGTTCCTTTAGGAGATAGGTCTGCAGACTGTCGGTGAACGGTGTGTTTGGTGGTTGTTGTGTCGATTGCGAAGGAATGGGGATGACATCTTCATTCCAATCGAGCAGACACAGATCCAGTGATTTTCCACCGAGTTGCTCACGTATCTTTTTGTGAATGAGATTTCCCCATTTGATGAGTGTCTGATAGTCCTTTGGATTCTGTTCGATCATCAATCGATACTTGTACTCCAGACCAATCTCCAAAAGACAACGAGAAGCACCACTCGCACCGTTAGCTCCACCCACACTATTCTCGCGACTATTCGTATCGGAGTTTGATTGGTCATCAGAGTTGATCGATAGCTTTCTAGCTTGTTCCTGTTCAATCAACATCTTTATATTGTTATTAACAATCACTTTACTCTCACTCAATGATTCATAATCATTCTCTTCAACTACTTGTTGTTGTTCTTGTTGTTCTTGTTGTTCAATAATAACTGGAGTAGGTGTTGGTGTTGGTGTTGAAGTTGAAGTTGGGGTTGGTGATGAAATAAAAGGAGTTAAAGCGGGTGGAGGTGTAGAAGATACTGTCATTGAAATTGGTTGTTCTTGTAGCTGTTTGTTTTGTTTTGGAGTGACAGTGGACGATGTCAATGGAGGTGTAGGTAACTGCTTGGTTGTAGATTCAATAGAGTCGACCAACTCTGATTGTGATAGCACCGAAGTTGATACAATCGGTGAAGATATTATCTTTGGTTGTAAATGTCCGAAATTCGATGGTGACGGTGACGCTGCAACACTGGGTGTAGATGAAAGTCTTTCCTTTGTAAATACAATTGGTGGTTGTTGTTGTTGTTGCTTATTATTTTGTGGAACATTAATCTCTTTTTGTTGTTGTTGTTGTTGTTGTTGTTGTTGTTGTTGTTGTTGTTGTTGTTGTTGTTGTTTATTTGGTGGTGGATCATTTGTCAGACTTTGAATCAACATTTGTAAATCATCCAAATCGGCAGAAGCTGGTTTAGATTTATTTCTAAAACTACCCTTTGGTGTATAAGTTGGTGATGTATTGGGTGGTGTTGTATTTGGTGGTGTTCTATTATTATTATTACTATTACTATTATTATTATTATTATTACTATTTTGATTTTGATGAAAACTATGTCGATGTAGTAGATCATCACCTATTTTACTTGAACTCTGTGTCATTTTGATTTCCAATCTTGATAACTCCTCCAACTCTCTATCAATAGATGTATTCAGACCTTTAGAATTATTACTATTGACATTTAGTAACTTGTTTGTATTTGTAGTTGTAGTTGTTGTAGTAGTAGTTGTTGATGTTATTTTTATTATTTATATTAACCTTATTTCTATTTCTATTATTACTATTATTACCACTATTATTACTACTACTACTATTGTTGTTATTACCACTACCACTACCACCATTTACAGTAGTAGGAATAGGTAGTTTACCATGACTATTGCTATATTTATTGTATTCATAATGATCTTGAAGATCGTCGTCATCGTCGATATCATCGTCGATCATCTCATCCTCGTAGTAGTCCTCCTCGTAATAGTCGTAGTCGTCGTCGTCGTTGTTGCCAAGCTCCATATCGAGTTCCTCTTCGATATCTTCATCGTCGAGATTCGAATAGGCGTGGGTGATCACCTGATGATCTGAATAGCTCTGTAGTTGCAGTGCCGAGTCGAGATCAAAGACATCGCTTGCCTTTGGTAGGTCGGCATTGTATTTCTTTGAGTAACGCTCTCTGATGGTGCCCTTGGTGTCTCTATGCGCAAACTGCTCGGACATGGCACGAATCGATTCGTTGACCTCCTCTTCGAATGTCGGTGCATTCTCAGTGCCATTGGCAACAACTCCATTTTCAGAAATCATCTTTTCAACGTTATTCTCTCACACACTTTTCTTTTTTTTCTTTTTTTTTTTTTTTTGTTAGTTTGGCTGGCTGTTGTTGTTGTTTTATGTTTTCTTATTTTTACTCTCTCTCTCTCTAATATTTAATCTATTATTATTTAATGTAATCTATCTATCTAATTAATTTTAAATAAAACTATATTAGAACATTATTATATTAAAATATGTTATTAATATATATATTGATGATGATTATGAATATGATGATGATGATGATTTTTGATTTTTATTATTTTAGTGTTGAATTTTAAATAGAATAATTATAAAACAAATGATTTGATTGATTGATTGAATGTTAAAAAAACAATTTCAGGTCTTAATAAATTTAAAAAAAAATCTGAACCATGTAAAAATGGGTGTTATTTGTGTGGTCACATCACTATCAAAAAAAAATATCATTTTGTTTTTCGATTATGAATAATGTTGTATTAATTACCTTTGTAAATATTAAATTGTAAAAAAAAGAAAATCAATTCTCTAAAACATGAAATTGGCAAGAGGTCTTTGGTTGTTGAAACACTAACACTTGAATAAATAAGAATCTAGTTATTCTATTATTACTATTAGCTAGTTACTCTTTACTTTCTAAAGTGCACCACTATTCTTTTCTCTCCAAACAATAAAACAAAGAGATCTTTTTTTTATTATTCTTTATTATGTATAGTTATAATATTAGCAAAAAAAGATCTCTTTGTTTAAAAAACCAAAGATTTACCAAAAAAATCCATAAAAAAAAAAAAAAAAAAATTTAATAAAAAGAATACAAAAAAAAACAAAAAATAAAATACAAGACAAAAAAAAAAAAACTCCTAAATGGTTTCTATCCGATGATGATGTTTGCATAAAAAATCTGCAGTTTTGTGGTTTTGTTATCCCACGAAAATGATGAGAGCAAGGTTTTGGCTAAGTTTTGAGAAAAAATAAAAATAAGTTTTTTTTTTAATTATTATAAAAAAAAAAAAAAACAAGTAATTAATATTGGTTTATTTACTTTTTTTTTTTTGAGTCTCTATATGTATTTTTATATTTATGTAAAATAAGATCATCATTTAAACTTGTTTTCTTTCTTTCTTTTTTTTTTTTGTAGAACTTAAGTTGGTAGATATTTAGTCATGAATTTTCTTGCTTGATTAAGTTCTACTTTATCTTAATGGTCTTCTGCATGTTGGACAAGTATTATGACTTTCAAACCATTTCTTTATTTCATCCTCACAGTATTGATGTGAACAAGGTAAATGAATCAATTTATCACCTTCTTTGAATTGTTCCAAACAAATCTAAATGAACCAATGAATAGTTAGTTTTTGAAACATCATTTAGAGAATTATGATGATGATTAATAGTGGCTACTACTTACTCCACAAATATTGTTTTCGGTCTGTGTAGCTTTTGAAAAGAGTTGTCGCTTGAGTTTGGCGATTTCATCGGGTGGAATACCTCTTGGAACGTCTTGGAGTTCAGAGAGTTCTTCATAGGTTTGTGGGTGATGATGATGATTATGATTGTGATGATTCTCCAGTATATATTCGTCAGAGTCGACGTCGTAGACTGTGGTTGGTGGTGGGAAAGACGATCGATGATGATGGTGGTGATGATGATGGTGATGGTGAAGCTGTTGCTGCTGCTGCTGCAGTTGTTGTTGTTGATTCAAATATTGATGGTTACGCAAGTTCTGTGCTGCCAGTGACTGTAGATACTGTGCATTGTGTTGTGGTGCACTGCTGTGATTACCAAGTACACTCTGGTTGTGAATGTGCATGTGAATCTCCAATACTGGTGTTGCCGATGAAAATGTTTGATGTGTTTGAGTGTGACTCTGTTGGAGTGGTACTTGTTGTCGATTAATTTGCTGCTGCTGCTGTTGTTGTTGCTGATGATGATGTTGTTGTTGTTGCTGATGAGGATGAGAATGAGGATGCGCATGTATATTTGTTGTCGTTCGATGCGGTTGTGGAGGTTGTTGATATTGATGTTGTTGATGTGATTGTTGATGTTGATGAAGATGTGATTGCATTGTAGATGATTGTTGTTGTTGCTGCTGTGAATGTGTTGGTAAATTTGGAGGTTGTTGTTGTTGTTGTGGACGATAAATATGTGGATATTGTTGTTGTTGCTGCTGCTGCTGTTGTTGTTGTTGTTGCTGCTGTTGTTGCTGCTGTTGTTGCTGTTGTTGTTGCTGCTGCAAGATATGCTGTTGTTGTTGTTGCTGCTGTTGTTGAAACTCAGGAATATTTAGCTGATTCATGTGATTCAGTTGATTGATATGATTGATTTGGTTGAGTTGGTTCAAGATCTGTAGTCTCTCAAAGTTTTGTAGTTGGAATGCAGCATGCTGAGTGTGAGCATTGATATGCTCTTGCATAAAGGATCTATGTACATTGGACAGTTGGCTGTCAAGGCCGTTATGATGGTGATGATGATGATGAAGGTGATGATGGTGGTGATGATGGTGATGCTGCTGTTGTTGTCTAGATCCTGTTGAACTCTGTTGCTGCTGTTGTTGATGGTCGTCTCTACCGCTGCTCATTTTATGTATGTTTGTTGAAATTAAAAATGGAAAAAATAATACAAAATTGAATATTATGTGTAAAAGGCGTGAAAAGTTAAGGTTAGGGATAAGGATAAGGTCAAACTCAAGTTCAAAGTCGAGATCGAGGTTAGTTTAAGGCTTTGGCAAGATTGTTTGTGTGTATGTGTGTAGTTGGTAGAATTACACAGCAGCAGAAGATGTTGGAACAATTGATTGATCAAATTTGGTCTATATATTTTACAATCAACAAGTCGACTACCAACTGAGAGAAGAGGAGAAAGAGAAAGAGATTGTTCAAACGTTTTGATTATTAATATTACTGTAAAAGAACAAACATATGTAATAAAATAAATGTTTTATGTGAATGTAGTATGTATATATATATATGTATATTAGGTATATAATAAAAGAATATTAATTTTAACAAATGTAAATAAAAAATAAATTAAAAAAAAAAAAAAAAAAAACTTTGTTTAGATGTTTATATATAATTGTTGGTTACGAAAAGTGATTTATTTGTTTGTACAAGTATGTATGATTATTATATTATATTATTTGTATATTGTGATAGTTTGTTAGCTCTTCTCTCTCTCCCTGTAAGTGTATATCTATATATATATGATGATTTTAGTATTATTACTGGTTATTACTACTGTTTTTTTATTAAACTTTCATTTAATCTGAAAAAGAAAAACAATTTCAATATATATAAATAATGTTTTGGTGTACAAATATGACAATTGACTGATTGATTGATTGATTTACTAAAAAATAAAAAAAAAAGGTATATACAAACAAAATAAAAAAAAAAACGATATTTATTATAAAAATTAATTGTGCGTTGAAAAAATTATGTGTATCCATTTATTGTTTTTTTTTTAATTTTTTAATTTTTTAATTTTTTAATTTTCTAAGGAACTTCGAAATTCTGTTTCCAGAAGAAAATTAAATAAATAAATTTGTTTAAGAAGTAATAATAGTTCTCTATGTTTTCTAAATTTGTCTAGAAACGGAGGTTGATTTAATATAACATATTCTAATATTTTGGATAATTTATTATATATATTTAAAACTTTATCAATTGGAATTTGAAACTGCAGAATATGAATCATATTCTCTAATTTTATTGAACTCTTTGAAGTTAAAAAATACCCAAATATCATTTAATATTTGTATTAATAGAATAATGAATGAGAATTAATATTGAGAAATAAATAAAATCGTATTATTATTTTTCATCAAAGACCAAATTCCGGGAATATTGATACTTGTAATGTCGATATAATTTATTTTAAAATAATTTCAAATACTGATAATACAATGTTAGCCACATCAAATAAATTTTTTTTTTTCAATTCAAATTTGAATTATCCAAAGTATTTTATTTTTTTTTCAGTTTTTCAAAACATCATCATGATATTTTCCTGGTTGCAATCTACCTAATATATATAACCTCAATATGAGCAACCAACCACCACAACAACAACAACCACCAAGGGTTAATGTTGCTAATAACCTTTTTAATAATAGTAGATCCGATCAAAGTTTGGGATTGAATCTAAGTGGTAATAGCATTGGTAGTGGAGGTACAAGTGGTTCACCCAATACACTATCGTCTACTACACCTTTAAATTTCACATCTGCACCTACTTCTCCATTTAATAATAATACTAATAATAACAGTAATAGTAATATACCAAGATCATCTTCTTTCAATCAAATACCTGTACAACAACATCAACAACAACAACAACATCAGCAACCATTAACACCTCTTAGAACACCATTGTCAAGTTCAACTGCATCGTCGTCATCACAAGCAACACTGTTGAGTAGTCAGTCATCACCTATCGACATTATGAATTCACCGCTTGGCGCACCATCGCCACTGCATAGCACACCTTCACAAGCATCATTCTCGACAACACCAATTGTACAAATAGGATCACACCAACAGCCACTACAACCAACTGTAACATCACCACTTCATCAACCACCACAATCAATGCAATCACAACAACAACAACACCAGCAACAACAACAACAACAACAACAAGGTTTAGTTGGTGATGAAATAACATTAAAAAGATTAATGGTAAATAACTTAAACTTATTCTAACTAATATGTTAATTAACAACCAAACTCTTTTAGAAAATAGGCAATTGGAATAATGTATTCAAAGTTGCAGATATGTGTATTTCAAATACAAACAATCCACAATCTATATTACAATATAAAGTATGTTTTAATTACAATGATTATGATTTAGTTAGATTGTATAATATTAATAATGAACATATTTGTAAATAGTTATGCAGAGTGATTGCACATGTAAAGATGAAAAACTTTAAGGTTGCATACGATGAGATTCAAGGAATTGGTGACATACGTGATTTAGTCAATTGCTATGAAGCATATCCACAGTTGTTCCCCAATCGCAAAGGTACAATGGTACCGTTCTCACTGAGAATCATCAAGGCAGAGTTGGCATGTCACCTCGGTGTAGAGAAGTATCAGTTGGATGCACTCTATGCACTGCTTGCTATTTGTAAACGTGAGATCACCAATTTAGAGCAACAACAACTGCAATTGCAACAACAGCAACAACAACAGCAGCATATGACTGCTTCAACCATTGCTACTGCTGCTACAACCGCTGATACCGAGCAACAACATACTCTCTCACCAGAGCAACAGAGTATCTATCTCTCGCAACTGGATGGACTGACAGCTTCCACCACCTCCACATCTCTCCTAACACCAACACTCTCGCCAACACTCCATGCCTCTTCGTCATCACCCAACATCAACTCACTCATGTTGAACGGTGGAATTCCATCTGAATCTGAAGTATTTGAAAATAGTAATGATAATAATGCAGGTATGTTAAAGATTATTATTGATCTGCTAAATATATTTATTGATGTACTAATAATTGGTTTTATTTCATGTTGGCTTAGTTTCAATTTGGAGGTTGAGAGAACGTAGAATTATATTTTCAATTATAACATTTATCATTCAAAAGAATAAGGATTATTTGTTGGCTATTAAGATATTGGAGGATTTAATTCATAGACAACAAGCAGACCAATGGATTTTGTCGGCATTGGGTAGAATTCATTTGCAAATGGGTAGTATCCACAATGCCGATTTGATATTCAAGATTGCGGATCGTCTGATTCCGGAACCAGAGATTTCCGTTGTCTCTTGGATGAATCGTGGATTGCTTGCTGTTGCTAGTGATCAGTATCCTCGTGCCATCGAGTGTTTCGAGAGTGTCTTGAAGTTGGATCCAACCAACGTTGCTGCGGCCAACAACAAATGTATATCGATGCTCTACACCTGCGATCTAAGTGGTGCCGTTGCAACACTAGAACAACTCATGCAAAAGGAGAAAGAGAAATCTATCGATGAAACACTGATCTTCAACATCTGTTCACTCTATGAACTCTCCTCAGAGCGCTCCAGTGAAAAGAAGAAAGCAATCATGGGTGACATCGCCAGACGCGCACCCGACAACTTTGATTTCAAGGTTTTCAAAATAACACAACCTCAAACAAACTAACTTTTTTTAAATATGAATAGTAAACAAAACAATAAACATACAATATATATAAAAAAATATATATTTATAAATATTTCCTATTTATTTTTCTTTGATTCATTCATCATGAAGTTCTTAAAATCATTTGATTTTGTTGCTTGTTTGATGAATGAATCTAAATCCAAGTTATCGTTGTCATTCTCCAAATCTAGATCTTCACCTTCAAAATTCAAATTCTCTAATTCTCTGAGCAGGTGATTTAGACCCATTTCGTCAAACTCTTTGTCGTCATCCATCACATCACCTTCCAAAGTCTGTTTCTTTGTGAGGTATTGTTGTGGATCTATATTCTTTGCCAACTCCTCTGGGTTGAATCTATATTGTTGTGCCTTTGACATCAACTCTCTGAATACCTCTGGATCTTGTTTAACTTCATACTCTGCATCTTCTATTTCTTCCTCGTACTCATCCTCGTCATAATCATTCTCTTCTTGTCGTTCTCTTATCATTTCATTGTAAAGTTCTTGATCTCTTTCTAAATCTGTAAGTGAACGATTGAATAGCTCTGATACTTTAGTGCTGTTTGCTTTTTTCGAAGTCATCATTCCCAGTAGCGGTGCAATATTCCTAAAGTTTTCGTCCAACTCTTTCTGTTCTTCACCACTCATGTTTCTAACCATATTCATCAGCTTTCCAAGCGATTCCTCCATGACCTCTTCGTCTTCATCCATTTCATGCTCGGCCAGCTCCTCAGAGAGATACTTTCCCATCTTGTGCATCGATGCCTGACTGATTGGTTCACCTTGCTCGTCGGTCGGTGTAACGATCTCTCCATTCTCCCAAAGCACCTGATCCATAACATCGGCTGGTCGATTCTTTATTCTTCTATCTCTATCTATGATTCTTTCGTTCTCAATCTCTGCCACCTTGTTCGAACCTTCCGTCAGAATTCTATCAAACTTATTGATCAATCTATTGATTGGAACGTCGTCTGGCAACAAGTTGGTGGCTTGATCGAATTCTCTACTGTATTTCTTTTGCAAATATCGCTCTTTGTCATCCATCGACAATTTGAATCCCGACATTCTTTCAATCTCATGAATCTCATCGTCATTCTCATTGTCCAACTCTTCGTCATCAATGTCCAAGTCGTCGTCTTGCAATTGATCGAATTCATCCTCTCCAAATCTCTGTTTTTCTACTTCAGCCAATTCCGACAGCTTGCTGACAGTCTGTGAAATTCCAGGTTCGTCAGGTTCCACCTCTGTATCGTCCATTGATGTTCTTCTATTCGCTCTCGATGTATCTGCAGCGGCAAACAAAACATCTTCAATACCAAAATCCTTTTCTCTGTACATCGATGTTTCCGGTAAATCGTAGTTATACTCCTCGCCTGCTTCCAGTGCTCGTTCCGCTGCCTCCATCTCCTCTTGGTTTCCTTCGTGCTGCTCAATGAATCCAGGGAACTTCTGCTCTACAGTCTCAATGATTTTATCCATCATTCCTTCATCTAGCTTCTCGTAGACCGATTTGAGTTGATCTGTTACACCAAGTGCATCGGTAAGGACATTGCCATATTGATCTGTCATCTTATCAAGCTCCATTGTTCGACCGGTCTCATTGAGAATCTCCACCATCAAAACACCACAATCCACATTCACCGGATGATCCAATGGATACAACTTTGATAATATCCTATTGGCATTGCGAATGAATGGCTCTGCTTCTTCGTGCCGTGAATGGAATGCGAGATACTCGGCATGATTGAAATAGGCAATTCCTAGCATCTCGTCTTTCAACCACATTGTTTTGAGTGTTTCATCTTTGGGAGATGCTCTGACCTGTTCACGCCAGTCAATCTCCAGCAGATCAATAGCTTGTTTACTACGAAGAACGGCTTCGTCCATATTCTCAAGACGAGAGTTCGCTTCACCCATATTCAAGATGAGAGCAGCGTATTCACGCAGACTAAAATGATGTTGATGATCGAGACCACCACCAAATAGATTACGAATGTACAACAATGCTTTATTGTATGATTCGAGTGCCTCTTTCCACTTTTCCTCCGATTGATGCTGGAAACCGATAGACGACAATGCCTTTGCCAACTTACTGAATTTCTCTATCTCCTCTTCGGAGAACTCCTTCTGATTGGCGATAATCAAAAAGTCCAATGTTGCAGATGTCTCGTATGGTGGTAGTCTAGGTTTAAATGGTTTAATGTCATTTGGTTTAACGAAATTCACATTGAGATTTTCACCGATTTGTTTGTTTTCCAATGGATTCTCCATTTTGACACTACCATCGACATTATAACTATGATTTTGCTTTCTTCCATCATTCTTAAAAGATGAATAACTTCTAATACCAAATGATATATTATCTATATTTTTATTTATATAACTATTGTTTTTACTACTACTACTCCAATTATTACAACTATATCTATTTACTATATTTGTATAAAGGTAAGTTATATACAAAAAAAATAACTAAAAAGAATGAATATTCATACCTTTATATACTCCATGACTATTTATACCATTATTTGATATAATATTAACTCTTAGATTTGAGATATATTTATTAGTTAATCTAATAAAGTTACTCATTTCTTGAATTGTAGTAAATTTAAATTAAAAAAAAAAAAAAACGAGTCCTTTAAAAAAAAAAAAAAAACTTCTTTTTTGAGATAACCAACTGATTGATCAATTTATGATTATTAATTTTTATGTATTTATATTTTATTTAAATAATAATTTTAATTTAGATTTTTCTATGTAGATACCATTTAGGTGATACTTCATATATTTCACTACATTGAATGATATTACCATAGAGATCTAGGAATTGGTTATAATATCCACGCTTTTCATCGACTGACAATGTCTTTAGCCATCGGTTTTTAATATCATCGTTGGTTCTCTTGGCGAGATGTTGGGTGTAGTCCATCCAGGAGTGATGGTACTTTGGATAGTTGGAGATAATGATGAGATCTTCGTAGATGGTCCATGGTATACCACGCTCACCATTGATTCTTGGCTCCAGAACAGAGACATATCGATTTCTACATTGCTTATTCGATCTGGTACCGAGTAGAGATGAAATTTTCATCCAGTCACATCCTATTCTATTGTAGAGCTCTATCAGCAACTCATCTTCTTCTTCTGTCCAATCTCCTTTTGACCAATGCAGAGTATTGATACACAGAGACTTAAATGTTTTACGTAGGTATTTTCTTTTAGGCGAATTCTTTGGACTTCTTTTAGTGCTAACATTTGAATTTTCATTCCTGATAGGTGGGCTATTACATTCGGATAATGGTGGTGAAGATGGCGAAGGCGATGGTGATGGTGATGATGATGGATCAGCCATTTCCCAAACAATCCCAGTAGAATTTATTAAAGAACAACTATTGATGATTTCATTTGTAACACTAATACAATGAATATCATTTAATAGTAGTTCTTGTGTATTATTTATTAATAAATTAGAATCTGGTTTGTTGAATAATATATTTTCGACATCAGAAATGGTTTGGAGAAATGGCATCATCAACAACTCACTGTCATCTGGAAATGGAAAAATATCAATCCCATTGGAAACCAACAAATTACTACTATCATGATGGGAATCCCAGATATGTTCGTAATCCATTGGCAGAATAGAGTCGTAAATGTCAAGGTGGAAATCATCGAAATTAGAATCTGAAGATTGTTCTAGCGGGGACGACGACAATTCACTGGAATCATCAAATTGTGATATGGTCGGAGCATAAGGAAACATGAAATCACCTAATAATATAGTTGTAGAGTTGGGATTGATATCTGCCATGTTTGTTTTTGGGGAGTTTAGAAATAAATAGAATAAACAAATACTTAGGAACTATCTGTCAAAATCATAGGTGTTTACTTGGTTGAAGTTAAAAAGCAAAACCAATAAATTAAAAAAAAAAAAAAAAAAAAGGGTAGTTCCAACTCACCAATTGTATTCCAGACCAAAAACATCCTATCCTTCATTTTACTGCAAGGTAAGGAGAATTGTTTAGTTGAAAAGTGGTAGTTTGTCAATCGAACATTATAATCGTTAACCCTAGTTCTAGTTCTTATTTGTTACTTCCATGTTCAACACATCGACATCAACAACAACGACAACCAACACCAATCAACCAAAAACACAATCATAATATATCACCATCACCATCATCACCAAGCATAAATCAATCAATCAACCAACTAACCAACCAATCATGAAACAACTCTCAAAAAAAAAAAAAGTAATAATAATAATAAAACCAATCAACCAAACCAAAACATTATGGAAATTTGAACAAAAAAACAAAAGGAAACAAAACAATAACATGTTTTGTTTCTCAAACTCTTTACTTTTAAAATTAAAATTGTGGTGTTTTGATTTGTTACCCACTCATTTTCTCTCTTTCTTTCTTTTATTTCTGATCTTACTTTTTTTATACATTGTGATTGACAAACAAACAGCACCACACTCACTCACATATTGTGTAGAATCTATATGCTCTCTGCTACCTCTATCTCTCTAGCTTCTGCTCTACTCTATCTTTACCTTGTCACCAAAGTATAGTTTTTTTTGTTAAATTCTAAAGATAAAGTAAAAATAGAATAGTCAATTGTCTCCTTATTGCATACCTAAATTTGATAATCAATCAAAAGAAAAACAGAGCATGTGTGGTAATTATAATCAAACAAATTTATATTACTTAACAAATAATCATAGCCAATCAAAAAAACTATTTTTCCACCCTTTTGTTTTTTTTTGATCACAATAGGATCATAAGTAGATGGGGGTATCAATTTAATATAATTTGATTGATAAATTTACTGAAACAAATGTTCAAGATTTGATTTCAATCAATGGTTTTTTAGCGATTTTAATATAGATTGATCGTTAACTATATTAGTAGACACCAAAAAAAAAAAAAAAAAAAGAATAACATAAAGAACAGAAACAAAAGAAAATAATAGGTGTATTAAAATAATAAACCCTTTATAGTCGTCGTCGTCGTCGTCGTCGTTGTTGTTGTTGTTGTTGCATTGCTCAATATTAAGAGAACTTTACAACTTTTGAACGGTCTATCTATATCTTAACACTCAGACATTCCAAACAAGCTATAGTACTGTTTATTCGATTTAGAATAGTTTTGTTTTTCAATCAAATTTAATAACTATTCTATTAGTTTAGTAGTTCAATTTCAGCTACACCTCTAGATATTTGAAACAGCATGATTATCTTTATTTGATCAAAAGAGAGCGATGTACATACAACTATAGTTAACTTTTTTCACTATTATTATTATTATATTATTGTTGTTGTCAGAGTAGTTGTATTAGTAGTGTAATAGTAGACGTAGTTGCTACTACAACTCTTTATTTTAGTGTTCAAACTCTAATTACCATTGCCATTAGATAACAACTATATAGAGAGATATATATGGTATTGTTAATATAGTTTTGTTTGTTGTTATTGGGTTCCATTTTATTTGTTAATAATTGCAAACAACAACCAATATTGGTTTAAATTTAAAGTTGTCATTATCAACTTCTGTCTTGTTTTTTTTTTTTTATCTTATTCATAACAATAATAAAAATAGTTTAATTTATTTTGTCCAAGTTCTTACAGCGTTGTCTCCAAAGCAAACACATTCATTTTACAACCTAGATTTTTTAAACTTGAATCAATCTATATTAATCTCTTTTCAACATACACAATAAAAGAAAAAGAGGTGTTCATTTAGTATCATTTCATTACAGTTAATTTCATTTGAAACCCCAATTTTGGTAAATTTAATGTCTGCTGTGTTGTTATATGATTTTTTATTTATTTGTTTTGGTGTGATTGGCAATGTGACGTTGTTGATGACAATAATAATAATAAGTTCTTCAAATAAAATGAGATATACACAATGATTACTGTGTAGTGCACACACTCTTTGAATTCATATGTTTGGTGATGTACCCAATAATCATTGATCTCACCACTTTAATTTGTAACAAATATACTACTAAAGAGAGAATATAATTTCATACATAACCGAATTGTCAATGGAACTCTTTGCTATGCCCAATATATGATAAATCATTTTCGATTCAGTTTGTTATTATAATACCTTTTATAGTTAATAAGATTATGTTTTGTTTTTGTTTAATAACACTGATTTATTTATTAGATAAATCAGATTACTTTCTATGTTTATTACTATTTAAATATATAAATATTGTATATTTGATTGTCTTAATTCCAATCTTTATGAAAGAATGGAATCAGTTTTGGTTTGGTTCTAAGTTTCTTTGAGTACCTGATACCTTCATCATCTTCATCATCATCTTCTTCTTGGAAACCTCTATATGGAACGGATTCAAATAGTAGAGTATTCTTTATAGACATAGTATTAACCTCGATTTCTTGTTGGTTTTGATAATGATTGGTGTTAGTTTGGATCGGTTGAAGATGTTGGTGGTGTTGTTGTGAATGAGTTTGTTGGTAGTTATTAAAAAGCTGTTGGTGGTTCGGTGTTGTTGAATAATTGTAACTGGGGAGAGTGTATACATCTTGTCTTTGATTTGGAACATAGCTATTCTGATAGATATTTGGATGTGAAAACATTATATAATTATTATCTCTTGATTGGTTTGGGCTTGGTGGTTGACTATAATAGACATATTGAGGATTGGTCTGAATATGAAGGTGATTATCTGATTTGGTGAGTCGGTGTTGTTGGAATTCAACTTGGTTATATTTAGGTTTTTGAATATCACGCTGAATGTATGAAGGAACTGAACGATTATGAAAATCATTCTGGTGAGTAGGTAGTTGGTGTTGATTTCCTTGAAAGGAATGATGTGATGGTTGAAGTAATTTTAAAACAGAATGTTGTTGTTGTTGTTGTTGTTGTTGTGGTTGTTGTGGTTTTTGTTGTTGTGGTTGTGGTTGTGGTTGTTGTTGTGGTGGTTGATGTGGTTGATTGGGAAAACTATATTGACTCTGAGGAACATATGAAGCATTCTCACTTTGTAGTCTTTTTAGAATACTTGGCATATATTGATCATTTTGATACTGGTGAAATTGTCTTTTATATTGAGGATTGACATGAATAGTACTACTATTCTGATTGTGAATATTATTTTCTTTTTGAAAAAGAATTTTAGTCGATGGTTGAACCCGAACAGGATGTTGATTATGAATGGTTTTTAAAGGAGGAAGTTGATTATTTTCGGTAGGAGTTATTGGTGTTGGTTTTTTAATTATGGGGTTGGAAGGAACGGTATGAATGGTTTCCTTGATTGGAAGTTTACTATGTATAATAGTTTTTGTTAAAGTTGATGTTGATGTTGATATTGGTTTTTGGAATAATAAATTGGTAGTTGTAATTTGTGGAGCTGTTTGATTTGTTGATGAATCGGAATCACCTGATTCCTCCTGCTTACTATTATTACTACTACTACTACTACTACTACTATAGGAATTGTTTTTACTACTATTTTTAACATTATTAACTTGTATTTGATTATTTTTTTCAAGTAGGGAATCATAATAATTATGACTCATAAAAGTGGAATCGTTTAGCGGAGAACCTTCTTCTACTTCGTGGAACAGAGATTCGGAGTTGGGCTCCAAACAATTGCGAATCAAGGTCATGCCATAGGGTTGAACGAATGGTTTGAACTTGTCGGTGGACCAACATGCCAAACGATCTTTGGAGACGATAACCAACAGCATCTGGGCACCGGTAAGTTTGCTTAGCTCTTCAAACTTCTTGCTAATACCACGCTTTCTCTTACACTTGGTTACCTTCCGACGGTTTCTGTCTTCAATATATTTGATCTCAGTGGAACGACGAATTTTCTCTTTATTTTTTCCTGGTGAAGATCCTCCCGATTCATCTGACGAATCATCTCTAACATCCATCTCTTCACTTCCCGTCTCTCAAAACTACAAAATAAAAGTTAACAAAGTATTTGAAAAACATAAAAATAAAAATTTTATTTTTATCTTTTTTTTTTTTTAATAAATAAATAAATATATTACAAATAAATAAATAAATATAGATATATTGTTGTTATTACTATTTTATTTGAAAGATGAATCAACATATGAATCAAAAAGTAGAGTGATTGATTCAAGTTGAGAGAGATCTATCTATTCCATTCTCCTCATTTATAAATCCCAAGGTGAGAGAGATTTCGAAAAATAAATAACAAAAATTAAATAAACAATGCAACGTCTGTATGGTTTTGAGGGATGTTTGTTTTGCCTGCAAAATTTATAAAATCAAAAAAAAAAAGACCATCGTAATGAGGGATTTGAATTTATTGTGTAGAATCAAGAAAGGAAAATTATTTTTGTTTTAAATCGTCGAAATATACTTTTTAGGAAAATAAAAATCTTGTTTCTTTTGTTGAATTCATTCGTCTACGTTTTAAAAAAAAAAACCTTTGATCAAATCAAAAGGTATTTTGTTATAAAACTAAAAATCAAAGCTTTGTTTTTCTGGAGATTGAGTCCGAGACGAAATTCGAGACCAATGAGTGGGTGCACTTTTTTGTCTCGCGCAATCAGATCCAAGCTCTTATATCATTATACACACCACCAAGAAGTTTCTATTTTTGTTGGTTTTTGATGAATGAGTGAATGAACGCTTTCTGTTAATAATTTTTTTTAAATTAGTGATCATTTGCAGATGTGCAACATCGAAAAACTGACATAGATATATAATAAAAATTAAAAAAACAAAAAAAAGTAAAAAGAAAAAAAAATTAAAATTAAAATAAAAATGAAAAAAGATTAAATATAAATCACTTACTGAAAGAGGAATCAAACAACAATGAAATGAAGTTCATTTCTATATCATTGGCGATGTTTAAACAAAAAAAGATTTTGTTTGTTTCACGATTTCTGTTTTTGTGTGTGGTCAAAAAACAACAGTTGGTTGTTGTTTTTTTCAGCTCATTAAAAAAACTAAGATTAATTTTTAAAAACAAAAATAAAATAAAAAAACAACCCAAACTGTTTATATTTATATTAAAATAAATTTCGCAAGTTAATAGTAACTTTATAGCTATAATTATATACAAAATTTAAATAGATAGATATTTAGATTATTATTTATATTGTGTTTGTTATCTTTTTTAAAAGTATTTTTTTTTGTTTTGTATTGTTTAGTTTAGATCCAACATTCAAACAAAAATGATTGTATTTTCAGAGGATGACGATAAATTCCTAGATCAATATCATAGGTGTGCATATACACCCCCAACCATCTCAAATACCAATCATAATGTGAATGTTGATCTTGCATCGTCTGAGAGTAAAAGAGATATAGTACCTCTATCTATATATGATCAAGATGATAATGACGATAGCAACAACAACAACAACAATATAGATATTATAGATATTACCAACATGAATGGCAGTACTCGTAAGAATTCAAAGAGTAACGGTAGTAGTAGCAATAGCAGTGGCAATAATAATTCAACTTCAACTACCTCACCTTCCAAAAAGATAAATATTCCAAAAACAAAAAAGAGATCTCAATCAAGTGCTAGTAAATTTAATACTTTTAATAATAATAACAATAATAACAATAGTAATAGCAATAATAATAATAATAATATTAGTAATATTGAGAATAATAATTTAAATGATATAATTAAAAAGAATAAACAAAGAGATTGGTTCGAAAGCGAGTCATCCCATGACGATCACAATCAAATCACAGTATTGATCTCACCTATTCGCAATTACTATCAGCCTGGTGACACTTTAGATGTGGTGGTCAACGTCAACGTAAAGCGATTGCAGTGTTTGAATGCTACCTTTGAGGGATATTCGTCATGCCAAGTACCGCCAAGACATGGACAAGAAGACAAGACACCCAACCTACTGAAATCAAAGATTGCTGCAACAAACTTTTATCTATACCCAACTGAAGATGACATTCCGCTGAATTTATCAAGTAAATCAATTAATAACAATACTTATCGTAGCAATAGTTATAATAATATTATAAATGTAAATAATCAAATGTCTACTTCCACTTCAACAACTTCCACTTCAACTACGACAACAACAACAACATCGACAACAACCACCGCACAATCAATATCAAATCCATCATCTACAACCTCTTCACCTTTCTCATTAGATAAGCAACAGCATCAACAACAACAACAACAACCACTAGATCAACAGAGCAACAATACAATTAGTTCATCAACAGCTAATCTAAGTACTATCGATAAGGAGCTGTTGAGGAATGTGTCGGACGATATGATTATCTCTAATCTTGGAAAATCAACATCGTTTTCATCACTCTACATTTCAGACTTGGTCGATGATGAGTGGTTCGATATGGACCAGCAGGCTCTCTCGCAGAGAGATAATCTCTCGATGAATGTGAGCAGTGAAGAACTACAGGATCTAGAGGATATCGACAGTTCGCTGGTAGAACCACCACAAGTACAGGCATGTGCCGACCACTTGGTACTCTCAAAGAAGAAACACAAGTTCACCTTTCAACTGAAGATTCCACAGAGCTTGCCACCATCGTTTGCCTTTAGTAAGCAATCGAAAAACGGAATATTCTACCGTATTCATCTCTCTGGTCTCGGTCAGATGCACCACAAATTCAATCGAACGGAGCACTCACTGATCAAAGGTTTCGAAACATCGATTCCACTCTCCATTTGGAATCCAAAGTGTGATTATCTTCCCCGTCAACTCTTGCAAGCAGACAACCTCTTTTGCTCATCCGAAACCTATCAGTCGACAAAGAACAATGTACATATAAAAGCAAGATTACTAATTAAAAACTTTTGTGTTATTGATTCTGCCGTAAGTACCTACCAACAAACAAACCAACATATCAAAAGAAAAGAAAAACAAAGAATTTAATTACTAATTACTTTATTGTAATTGTTAGATTTCAATATTCGTATCAATTGATAATCAATCGAATCAAATGATTAAAGGTTTCAATATGGATCTAGTCAATATACAACAAATATATAAAAAGTCATCGGATAACTTGACCAGTGAAAATCATATTATCAATAGCAATGTTGTTCAGGGCATCAAATATAAGAATGCGACAGAGTATCAGATTCAGCCACAGAGTAAACTAAAACGAAACATAACATTCTACTTGCCAAACAACATAATTCCATCGGTGTCACTTGATAACCTATCAAACTCCTATATCATTAGAATAACTACCTACACCAAAAAGCAAACTTCGTCCTATCAGTGCGTTTTGGATCTACCTTTATTGATCATACCGTCATCTCCTTCATAAATGATTTAGTCATTAGGTTTTTTGTTTTAGTTATACTTTAATAATATTAATAAAGTTTATGATGATAATTTAATAGTTAGTCTTAAATAAATCGACGTTTGTGGAAATACAAATAATTTAAATAGGGAGGGATTTTGTCTTCATTAGATTAGTTACGAATGTCGAACTGTTCGACGATTTGAACTACATTCTTGATGTGTTTGATTCTATCTTCGTGGCTAACAGATTTGACTTTTTCGATGAATTGGGTTGTAACTGACTTGTATTCCTCAGACTTTGGGCACATGTGATACTTTGCACACAATTCAGTACCGCTCTCACCATCGAAAAGACCCTCTGTATTGTTATTAGTAATAAAAGCTGTTAATAAAATATTAAAATTCTATTATTATCGAATAATACAAACTTGTGATAACTGGAGCAGCAATTAACATAAACAAATCACATTCTTTAGTCATATTTGATGGTACAACAGTGCAAATCTTTTTCAATTCAGCTTCAACTTGTTTTTGAGTGTAGTTTTCATCTAACATTGAAAAAAAACAATAAGTAATGAATAATAAGAATGAAAAGACTAATAGCTGGTTATGTGCTTTAATACTTACGCTTAATGAGATATTCGGTTGCATTGACTGTCAAGGCGCAAAGTTCGCACTCTACTGTAGCGTTGGTAGATTCCTTTGCTAATCCAGAGATCTGAATCGATACTGAATTTACATAGGTCAAAGCAAGAACAGATAATAAAGTAATAATTAAGAATTTATTCATTTTTTTAGTATGAGTAAAAAGTGTGTGAAAAATTATTGAAAAAAAAAAGGATTGCAAAGAATCTTAATCAAATCAAATCCGACTTGTTTACAAAAATTTAAATAAAAATATTTAAAAATAAAATAATTAAAGATATTTTTTTTTTGCATTTGATTGAATCGATTTTTCTTATCAAAAATCAAAGCTACACAAAAGATTTTTCTATTTTTAATAATGTACAATATATATATATTTATTAATTTTTAATTATTATTATTATTATTTTTTTTTAATCCAATATCAATTTGGATTCATAAATTCTTTTAAGTTTTGAAACTGCTCTTGCCAAGTAAATAGATTCCAAAAGTTGTTTCTCTCTTTCCACACGTATCTTTAGTAGTTCGATACTGACAAAGATCTCCTGTAGTGATTTGTCCATCGATTTCAAAAAGATACCGACACGAGTGGTAGGTGGTGTCGTCTTCTTTGGCGTGGTGGGTGGAACGTCATCGCCAACCACTTCGCACAGTACTTTGCGCAGCTCTATCACTTTTCGACACTCATCGTACTTGTCGGCAATCTGATCCTCTTGTGAGATGCTCAGTAACTCCTGACACTGAACATCCATATACTTGTTCAGGTCGGCGAGAACCAACAACATTCTCTCCTTTAGATATCGAACTTTACTCTCTTTCTCCTCTTCGTCCAAATCCAATTCATCGTCGCCACCTATAGCCACATGATTTTCACTCTCCTCTGGTATCGATGAATGATTGTCATTGGTGCCATTCGCTTCGCTATTTGTTTGACTATTACTACATGCTTCATTATGATTATTATTATTTGATTGACTATTATTACAATTGTTGTTTTCACAGTTTTGACTGTTGCTGCCGTTGCTATCTCCACTTTTGTTGGAGGAAGATGTTGACGATATTGAGGATCCTGAAGATGTCAGTCCAACTTCGCCAATCTTCAACTCTATGCTTTTTCTTAGTAGTCCCTCGAGTGGAGGAAGATTGACAGCCTTTGAGTTCTTTCTTGGGATGATTGGGGAGGAGTGAGGTGAGAGCGGGTTTTCAATCGATTGGGGAATAGGAAACAGTGAAACAAGTTGCTTCAAAACGTGAATGATATGAGAGAATACAGGACGCTCTGTTGGCGTGTATTTAATACAATCAATAATCAGCTCTGTGTAGAGTCCTGGTATCGACTCTGGAATCAACTCTCTCGCCAAATCCTCTGAAATTTCAAATGCATTCTGTGGTCCTCTTTCGATATATTTCGAAATCTTCTTTCTCGTTGCCATCTCCAACATCACAACACCAAATGAAAATATATCTGCAGATTCATCGTAATCCATACCCAAAATAACTTCCTACAAAAAATAATAAAACCAAAAGAAGAAGAAGAGTTAAAACATATTTAATGGAATCATTTGATAAACAAACTTACTGGTGCCATAAAATCATCAGTTCCACAGATCGATAAATGTCTATTCTTATTTTTTACAATACGTGCGAAACCAAAATCACAAACTTTTCCTCTGATCGGTGAACTTGTGTCATCAATAAGAATATTCTTTGATTTTAAATCTCTAAACAATATATTTCTACTATGAAGATATGCCACTGGAAAAAGTAAAATAAAAATAACCAATTAATAAGTGATCATCAACACAAAACATTAAAAGACTAAACTTACTGGCCAGAGCGATATCCAATGATAATTTAAATCTTAGGGACAATGGAAATTGTTTGGCACTATCTTTTATCTTTTCATGTAAATTTCCACCGGGAACAAATTCTGTGACGATCCAAGTCTGATTTGAAATCATTGCTGGCAAAACATTTTCATTTTCATAGTAGACACCAATAAACTGTACAATATTTGGATGTTGAATATTTCTATAGAAATAAAATAAAATAAATGGTAAGTATAAATTCTTTTCTTTTAAAAGAAAATATAACTTACTTTAATACAGCAATTTCACGTTTCAAATATTTTTGAAGATCTCTATTATGTTCACCAGGACGTATCTTTTTGATTGCAACCTGTGAGTTGAAATAGCTTCCTCTATAGACCATTCCATAGGAACCAGCACCAATCTGTTCCGCTATTTTTAATACTTTTACATCGATATCTGTTGTTTCCTCTGATTCAATTAAACCTTCATCTTCTTCAATCATTCTTTATTTCTCCAATTATTATTATTTTATATTTTCAACGGTTTTTTTTTTTTTCAAGTTTGTTTCAATTCCAACCAGATTTAAATCTAAAAGTAATATATATAATTGTTTTCAATTAGATGATGAACTAGTTTCTCTTTCTTATAAATCTTTGAATTAAATGATGAATTTATTATTGTTTTCTTTCAATTGTTTTAATTTGTTTATAAAATGAAGAAATATGATTTTTGACGTTTATATAACTTCAACTTCAAATAATCAATTGATTGGCTGAATGGAGAATTGAAGTTGTTGTTCAAATTATTTCAATTACTATGCATGTAGTGTAGTACCTTTTGTGTAAAATTATTATTATTATTGTTATTCTTATTCTTCGTGTTGTTGATGTTGTTGTTGTTATTATTTATTATTTTTTAGTTATTTGAAGGTGAAGGTGTTTAGTTTTTTTGTTTTTATCCAATTTTATTTTATTTTATTTGGTGTTACGTTTTTGTTTATTTATTTTGTTTGGATTTGATTTGATTTATCATAGGTGTGTGTTTGTTTGTTATTTGTGTGTGTGTGTGGTTTTGGTATCATGATTCTACTGTGTGGTGGTGGTGATGATCAATCACCAATTATAAATAGATGATCATCTATGTTACTATTGCAAAGCACACAACAAAACATGAAACAATTATTGTAAAAAACAAATAATATAACAAGTAAATTATTGTAAAAAGAACACGATATGACAACTAAGTTTGAATTGACCACTTACCAAAATAATCTTTAAATTTATCTAATCCTACAAATAAATAATAATAATAACAAATAATAAATAATAAATATTAATTAATATTACAAAACAAAATTGATTTATAAATTGTCAAAAAAACAAAAAACAAAAAACAAAAACGAATCTTTCTAAGTTTGATTAGATCTCCAACTGATTATCATAAAAAATAAAATAAAGTTGGGCAAAAATAGTTTATTTTTTATTTTATTTTTTTGACAATCTTGTTTTTAATGTCAAAAATTCTTTTAAAATTTGACGAAAAACTAATTGAAATTGGACATTACACGACCAAAGACAAAGACGAATTTAATAATATTAATAAATTAAAAATCAATTTATCTTTTATATACTTTTGGAAAAAATTAATTTATTTGATTGATTTTGTAATTTGATTTATTATTATTTATTCTTTTTTTTTACTTCCATATCCATATCTTCATCTTCTTCGTCATCGTCTTCATCATCCCAATCTTCACCTTCGTCGTCAAACTCCTCGTTGTCTTGATCGTTGAGTGTCATCTCATCCAAAAGATCCTCCAAATCGACTTCGTTCTCATCGTCGGACTCACCGAGTTCCTCTCTCTGTTTCTTACGGGCGGCATAGATTTCGGCGGCACCCTCTTTCTTGTAGAGATTGATCTTGGAACGCATCTCTGGATCGTTTTCGATTTCCTGGTAGAACATCTCTTGGTCACGCTCGGCAGCTTCGATATCGTTCTTCTTTTGTGGTTCACCCTTCTCCATGTCGATACGCTTGGTGTGCCAGTGACGTTGCAAATTGAGATAGGTCTTCTTTACTAAAATGATTTCTGGAACGGTTTGTTTGCTCTTGATATTGGCAAATTCATTGTCATTCATGTTGGCTGTCGATACATCGAATCCCAACGCCAAATCACCTGCATTAAACAAATGTCCCAAATGTGTTCTAATAAAGAAGGTTGTATCGTTTCTACCGAAATCTGATGATCTTGCAACTTGAATATCTGCCAAAGCAAACTACAAGTTTGTTAAAAAGATAATTAGTTAGTTAGTTAGTTTGATGTTTTAATCTTCTTAGAGGTATAACAATCTTACCTTTCCTCTTCTTTCACCAGTCAAAGTAACATCTAAAACTACCAATTCAACCAATTGTTTATGTGTTGCCAACGCTCTGAATGGATGATTCCAAAATAGCAGTGGACTGATTTCTCCCATTTGCAAAGTATTTGGATCTATAACATGAATTAAATTTGATACTTTATAAATCAAAACAACTGGACTGTAAATATTATACAATTAATTAATCAAATTCGAAGTTAGTTTGCTAGTTAGTAAAAGTTGATGACTATTGATGTTATTTATATATAGATTAACTTACCCCATTCCACCTAATGCATGCATAACTTTTGGAGAGAGACAAACGAGATCATCTTTTGAGAGTGGAACGATTTCCACGGAGAAAGAGTGTTTATAGTTGGCGTTGTTGTTTTGTTCGTCTGTGGAGATGAGTTGTTCGGAACGCTTCGACTTTAGCGGTACGAACGATGAGATGAACTCTACGAATTTCAAACCTTGATTCTTGTTGGAGAAGTAAAAGTCGAGACCGTCGGTACGCTCACGAATATTGAGTGTCTGTGAGTGAGCGTTGTGTTTCAAGATGATCTGTTCCAAGAAGAGGAAGGTACGCTTGTGATCGACCTTCTGACGCAGCTGTACCACCGAGTTCCAGGTGTCTTTGGCCTCGAACTTCTGACACTTGTTACACTGCTGACCCTGTACGACAAACTCGACGATGAACACCTGCTGCAAGATGGCACTGGAGAACACCTCCTTCTGGATGGTGAGCTTCACCTTGAGACGACGCGAATGCGGCTCCGTCCAGACCCAACCGGCATCGACGAGTTTCACCTGATTCAGACCCTTGATACGCTTGATACAGAGAGTGAGTAACTCACGTGACTCCAACTCGCACATCGCCCAATGATTGGGTGGCTGTAAATAACGATTGCATCCACGACACCATTGAATAATCAACTGTTTTGGAATACCCTCTGTAATATCTACTTGACTACGAATACAGTTTACACACATATTCGATGGATTCGAAGGAATCACAACACCACAAAGACAACATAATCTAAACATTATAATTCATTGATTCAATTAATATTCATAATCCTTTTTTTCGAAAGCAACTAGATATATTCCTGCACTGGGATAACATACATATGTGAAACAGAATGAACTGGTGTAAACTCCATTTTTATAATCTATATATTGTTATTTTTTTATTATATTTATATATTATTTATATACTATTTATATTATTTATTGATATTTAATTAAAATTAAACTAAAAAATCAATCTATTGAGTTTTATAGTCTATTTGTATTATAAAAAAATAAATAAAATAAAAAAGAAGAATATTTATTAAAAAGAATAGAAAAAAAAAATCGTTCGGTTCCTTCACAAATTTCATCAATTTTTTGCAATTTTTTTTTTTTTTAAAGATTGAAAAAAATAAATTAAATCAAATATCAATAAAATTAGTTAGTTCTATTCTTTTTGAATATCATTCTATTCTTTTAACACACACACACAACATTCTTTTTCTTTTTTTTTTTTCTTTTTTTAATTAAATTAAGTTTTTAATTTTTTTTAAAAAGTAAAAATAACAATAATAATTTTATGTATTTGTTTTGTTTTTTGTTTTTGTTTTTTAATTTTAAAGTGATTGTTTACCAACTTTAAAAGCGATGCAAGTGGTATGATCCATTTTACCTGGGTAGGCTTTGAGATCGTCGGGAAGTGGCTTGTGGGGATAGGCCACCATAAACTCTCGACTCGATCTGGTTGTCTCTACACAATGTTCGATCAGTTTCTCTACGATGTTCTTTGGGTGAATCGGTTCGTCTGGCGTCGGTCTAAGTTTCTTCTTGAGGAATTCCTGCATGTATTTGCTCTTGCTGTCCTGTGCTTTCTCGACGTCCATGTCTGACCAGTGGTCGTGTGGCATACCACACTCACGAGGCGACACTCCAATGGTGTGTGGATCGAGATTGTCGTGGACACCATCGGACAACAAGATGATAATGTCGTTCTCTTGACATGGTAAAAAGTGGAGACAAAGATTACGCAGATCGGGATGGCCGTTTGCTACGTACGGACCGAGACGACCACCTGGATCCTTGGGATCGTCGACGTTGCCACGATTGTTCTTGGTGATATCTGTGAATTTCTTGTTGGTGTGATTGTAGTGGAATGCCTTGCAGTCACCGACACTCGCGCAAATGAATCCCCACTTGGAGGGTGCGGGTTCGCGTGCCGCTGAATTCTTTGACAAATCCTTTGCATTCGGAACGGATCTAGAAAGGAAATTGGTGAAATTGTTGTTGTTATTTGATTCGGATGAGATTGGTGGTGATGGAGGTGATGAGTTGGATGATGAGGAAATTGGTGAGTGACTGGATGTCGGGTGATTAAAGACTGATGAAGCGAGTGAAGATGTGGAGACAGATGATGCCAGAGTGTTGTTATTGGATGGTGGTGATGCGTATGGTGTTGTTTGTGAGGACGGGTGAGATTGGAGTGGAGGTGATGCGGTGGTGGTAGTGGCGGTGTCGTTGCCACCAACCAATTCCACCATGACACCTCCCAGGAGAGTAGTGGTTCCCGCTTCCCAAATATCTGATTTTCCTTCGATAATCTTGTTGTGTGCAAAGTTAAACGCAGAGAGGATATGATTTCCAGCGTCTTGAACGGTTTGAATCTCACTGGAGAGTGCCTTGCTGATAAAGTCGACGAACGAGGTCGATGCCTTGAGGGCGGCTTCCTGTGGACGCACTCCCCAGTTGCAACCATCGGCAATGGCAGCGATAACACGATTGGCTTGCATCTGTATACTAAAGTGGTCGCATATTGGGTCACCCTCACGCTTTGGATGACCTGGGAGATGCGGATAGGTAGAAACGGTTCTCGCATAAAAGTTGTTGTTGAAACACGAGTGGATCGAGGATTCCAACTGGTCTGGCATCGGTCCATTCACAGTAAAGATAAACGAATCATTTCTTGGATCGGCAATCAAAAACTTTGGGAATTTATTCTCGACACTGCCAATAACGACAGGCGCCAAATCGATGCCTTTGAGCAATCCCATATAGTTACTGATTGAACGTTGTAGAGAGATCGGTGATTCATCGAATGATGAATTCGGATAGGCGACAGATTGAATGGTTGGTGATACAATTTGTTTATCGTTTGCTGAAGTTGATGCCGATGCTTGTGATGCAACCGATGTGGTTGAAGCTGTTGTTGGATTAGCTGTTGTTTTATTCAAAAGTTGCTTGAGAAGATTGGTTTGTTGTTGTGCCAACGACAGCTGTTCAATTAGTCCAGCTTCCAATTTCTCAGAGACAGATAGTGCTTCGACCACCTCTGTATCTTCCTCTTGTTGTGATTTTTGTTTCGATTCTGGAATGGCTGGAAGTTTCTTTGTGTATGGCTGTGGAGTGAATGACGATTGATCCTCAGTATCAGCGTCGACCTCTGCTGCACCACTTTCAGCAACACTATCTGGATTGGCCAAAAGATAAAGAATTTGACTGTAACCTGGATGTGCCACACTGTTGTCACCACTCGATGTAATAAGATTCAGTGTTTGGTCCAACAATTTCAAACCCAACAACATATTGGGTGGAGCCAACTGATTCTTCTCTCTCAATAGTCTCTGATATACTTTAGTTGCATTCTCAATTGATTTATGTAATCTAAGATTAATAATTGGATTGGTGTTAGTTGTTAGTTGTTTGTTTTTTTTTTTTCTATATCTTTTTGGAATAGCAATGATAATAATATTATTATTATTATGTGAGCTTGTCATATTACGTACTTTGCAATTGGATCAGCTGATGCTGTATCTTTTTGAGCTGAATCTTGTCTGAGTTGGTTCCACTGTTGTTCATCGACGGACCTTCTTGGTGAGATCTCCGATGGCTTCAAACGAAACTGTTGGTCGTTATCGGCAAAACCCGGAGCAATATGGTCGAATACACCACGATTCCAAAGCATCTGGCCATACTCTGTGGCTTTACTACGTGAGATGGGCATGCTTGTAATCAACCAATCGACTATATCACATGCTCTAATCTGATCGTCACCACTCAACTTTGGAATGATTCCACTAGTTGGGTCTCTGAGTTTGCTCTCTAAAATTTCGACCTACAAACAAACAAAATAATAAAATTGTTAACAATCCAAAAAATTCAATAGACTCTTTGTTATTAAATTATTTCACAACTTACTTCATCTTCTTTTAATAATACATTCATAATTTAAAAATTAATCCTTAATATAGATATCAAAAAAAAAATAACCTACAAGTACTAAGATTGATTTGTGAATAATAATATAATTGTACTGAATTTGTATGGTTTTAGTAATTGATTAATGGGTTGTGTTGATTGGATATTGACTAAGTTTAGTTAGTGAATTTGATTTGATTTGATTTGGTTTGGTTTGGTTTGATTTGATTTGGTTGAACAGCAATCAAAAGTATGTTACTGTGAGTTTTATGTGTGTGATTGTGTTGTGTGTTTGTTTTTATGTTTGTATCTTTATAAATTATCTTTTTTTAATAATTTTAAAAATATTACAAAATGATAATTTCTTTTTTTTTGATTTTTTTATTTTAGTTTGGGTGGATTTTTATTAAAAAGTGTGATAATTGTGGGTGGTGCCGCCACTTTTTGCACGATGGGTGTGTATCAATAAAAACAAAAAAACCAAAAAAAAAAAGTTATATTTTTTTTGATTCTTGCTTCAATCGATTTAATAACCTCCTCGTTATTGATATTTTTTTTTTTTTTTTTTTAGATAGCAGAAAAAAAAGGGTTTATTTTTATTTTTGTTGTTTTTGCTCCAACTCTTGATCAACTTTTTTAAAGAATTCCAAATTGAGATTATCGAGTTCGTCGTCAGTGACCGCCATGATACCACGAACTTCGCTAATCCAGTGCATCAACATTCTCTCGATACCACCTTTGAGAGTGGCTTGTGAGCTTGAACACGAAGAGCATGTACCTTGCAGCTTCACCAACACAATGCCATCTTTGAATCCCAAGTACTGGATGTTTCCACCGTCGTCCAACAGAGTCGGTCTAACACGTGTCTCAATGAGTTCCTTGATCATTGCAACGGTTTCGTCGTCCTCCGGCAAAATCAATGTATCGCTATTCTCATTGGTTGGTGTCTCTGACAGCAATGGTTTATCGCTATGATAGAAATCAATGATTGCTCCAAACACCTCTAGATAGATAGATATTCATGTATAAATATTGTTGTTATATTTGTTAGTTTGATTGTTGATGAATTCCTCATTTTCCAACATTATAATTTATTTAAATATTACATACGTGGTTTCAAAATAGCCCATTCATGTTCGGGAAACTTATTTACAGAGATGAAATCTGGTCCGTAGAATACACGATTTACACCATCCAATTTGAAGATTGCATTGGCGAGTGGAGATATTTGTGAGGATTTGAAATCTGGAAAATCGATAGTTTTACCTGGTGGCATCACTTCAATTCCAGGCACAAACTTTAAACTGTCGGGATTGGGTGTATTCTCTGTCTGTATAAATAATCTATTGGTATTTGAAGATAAATCTACATTATCATCTTTATATATTCATTAAACATTAACATTTATTGTCAATTAAATAGTTAAACTAATTTATAAATAATATTCTCTATCGTATTATTATTTGTTGTAGTAGTATAATAAATACCTTTTCTAAATAACTCTTTAAGATCTTCATTTGTAACATTTGCCTCTTCTTTTGAATTTGAAGTTGAATATCTATTTTGAGGTGCTCTAAATGCAATGATTGTCGATCTGTTGTTGAATAATGATGTGTATGATGATTGACTGTTGTTGAAACTCAGTGACGATATTGGTTGTTGTCTACTTCCATTGTTTCTACCAATAGTATTTAAAGTACTATTGAAAAGTCTATTTAACTTTGTAATTCTGTTCATTTTCAATAAATAAACAACAATGATAATTATAAACAAATAGTAATAAAACAGTAAAAAAATATCATATGACTTTAGTAAAAAAAAAAAAAAAAACAAATTTCAAATTTAAAAAAAACGAACAAGGTTCTTTGCAGTTCTAAATTCGAACAGATAATTGTTTTGTAATAGGAGTACTGTCTTTATGATTTCCGATACTAATTATTATAATTATAATAATAGTAGAGGTTATCAAATATTTATAATTTTGTAAATTATAATATATCTCTATTATTTTATTGATGTAGGTTTGAATATTGATTTATAAAAAAACGGATAACTTCTTTAAGTACAAATTTGTTCCTCATTTTATATTATTATCAAGATCTTAATAGAACAGAATAAATAATAATTAACATATGAACTAAAATAAAAAATAAAAAAAAAACTTTTTTTTAAAAGAATATTAATTTTTGATTTTTAATTAATACAGTTTCAGTTTATATATACATATACATATTTATTTTATAAAGATGTTTTTATTTAATTTTAATAATGGTGATCCTAATAGACCATCTTTCTTTGAGATGTTTGCACAACATCAGATGATGCCATCATTCAAACCCGCTCTTAAATATATATTCACTGTATGTAGTTAGATTAGTTGTAACATCTGATGGTTCGTTTATCATTGATCATTGATCATTCATTAACACACTGTCTATCATTTATATATATACACATATTTCATTTACATATTGCAGGTATTATCACAGAGAAATTCAAAGTTTGAAATCATTGTTAAATATCATGATGAATTCTTCTATTCAATGTTATTATTGCTAGAGTATCATTATCTAAAGTACTATGGTATGTCTTATGTGTTATGTTTATTACTAGTACTGTGTAATTTAATTGAATAGCTGAATGTTTATGCTTATTGTTTATTTAATTATAATTAGAGGGATCATTCTCTGAGAACTTTTATAATCTAAAGAGATCGGTAAAAGTATCGAAAAAGAATGAACCAATTCTTCAGAGACTATGGGATCCGTCGACTGCAGATCTACAGACAAATCAAACACCAGCACCAACACCAAAGAAAGATGAAAGCACTGTCAAACAACTTCGAAGACAAACTCTGCTCAATCTTATCTCAAAGGGTTCGAAAGAGAAAGAAACGAAACCAATGACCGCCAAAGATCAACGTATCTCTATACTCTATCTAGTGATACTACCGTACATTAAAACAAAGTTAGATGAATTCTACAAGAAAGAGTCAGATCCTATCAATTCACTTGGTTTATTAAATGAAGATAATGTATGTAAATCAATCACTACTCATAAAGTTAACACTAACAAACTAATATTTACGTTTGCAATTAAAAAAACAAAAAAAAAAAGGAAACAACATCCATTTATTAAACAACTAAGAAAGTTGTTTGTAAAGATTTATCCAACAATCAGTGCTCTTTATGAAGCATCGTTTTTTATATATCAACTTTTGTATCTCTATGAATATACTGATTTCTACACACCATTCTTACATCTACAGAGAATTGTATTAAAGAGATTGACTCATCAAGATATTGTATGTTATTATCAACAACAATCAATTATGTTTAATATAAAGTATTAATACATTGATTGTTATTATTATTTATTTCTTAAAGGAAAATCATTCGAATGCAGTAACAACAAGAAGAAATGAAAGATTAGCTATCGTTAGAAATTGGCCATTGCCATATATCGTAACACCGATAGTAAAGATATTGGATTCCATATTAGATTATACCAAGTTTATATTGCCAGCATCGGTGTTCCTCTTCAAGTCACTCGAGTGGTGGTACAGCGAGAATAGAGCATCGCCACCATCATTACCAGTACCGCCACCTCCCTCACAACCAAAGCGAGCGCCAAACGGTCTAGCCATTCCCGACGACAAGACACAATGCCCGCTTTGCCTCAAAGAGAGAACTAATCCAACCATCTGTGGAAGTGGTTTTGTATTCTGTTATCCCTGTATATTTAGTTATGTCCAACAACATCAGAAGTGTCCAATTACATTTATTCCTGCAACCACAGAGCATTTAAGAAAGATTTACGAAACAACATAATAGTAAACAACATAACCAACAAATAATAATATAATAAGTTTAATATAAATAAAGTAATCTGCTTTGTTGTTTAAGATTAAATGCTTTTCTTTTAAATTTTTGCAAAATGTTCAAAAACAAATATTTGAAAATCACATTTTGAGCAGCTTTGAAATCAAATCATCTTTAATTAATCACTTTTGGTATATCTATCGATCTGTATAATATTTATAAATATAAAAAGATGTCGAGTGAGCAAGTGTTACCATTAGAGTTGATCGAAAAGTGTATAGGTTCTAGAATTTGGATTTGTATGAAAAACGATAAAGAATTTGTTGGTACTCTATTAGGTTTCGATACATATGTTAGTAAGTATATGAACGTTATTCTATATATATTGATGATAGGTTTAAATCAATAAACTAATGAATCTATCTCTCTACCTCTAAATAAAATAAACTTTTAGATATATTTTTAAAGGATGTTACTGAATAGTATGTTTGAACAACAACAATATAATTAGGTTATTCGATCAGTACATTAATACTAACATAATAATATATTTCGTTAATTAGTGAATTTACACCAGAAGGAATTAAACCAATAAAATTAGAAACTATTTTGTTAAATGGTAATCATGTTTGTTTGGTAAGTTAAAGTCGTCGACTATAGACAATCAAATCAAATCAAATCATCTTTTGTATGCAACATACATTATTGATATTAACACACACTATATTATTATATTTATAGTTAGTACCAGGTGGTGAAGGACCATTGAAGAAATAAACAAGCAAATAAATTAAAAGAAAAAAGAAAAGAATAGAATAGTATATTTATAAATAATATCATTTTCTTTGTTTGTTTGTTTGTTTGTTTTTTGTAGTATTTATATATCTGTTTATTAAAACTTAAGGTGCACCGTATAGGTTAATCTTTAATGATATAGATACAATATCTCTTCATTCTCTGACCATTAGACCAAAGCTTGTTGAAATATGAATAACCATAGTCTTCGTCGAGCTGACAGATGTAATCTTCTTTGACTGGTTTGTAGATCTTTGCTAGTTTACGTGATTTCTTGAGGAGTTGAACAACAGAGTCGGCATAGCCTTGGTCGTCCGTTACGATGGTGAGTGTACCGTCTTTCTTGAGAGTACGATGAATGTCGACGAGGAAATCGTGATTGATGAGACGCCATGCACCTGGCCACACCGGTGGATTTGGATAGTTGATGTAGACCTCATCGAGAGAATCACTCGGTACCGAGTTCTTCAGCACCGAGTTGGCTTCACCCGCCAGAATATATAGATTATCGATCGAGTCGAGTATCAATTTCGACCAGATCTGGAAGACACGATCGTATCTTATCTCGACAGAGAGCCAGTCAGCATCGAGATCCTGTGCGGCACGCTTCGAAATCCAATGACCGTGACCCGAACATATCTCCATCTTTACTTGACGTGGTGATTCCTGATCTCTTGAATCCTTGAACAACTTATCCAAAAACCATTTATTCTCTTCCAACTCTTTGTTCTCTTCGTATAGATTCTTAAATGTAACCGGTGAGAAATTGACACGCTTAGATTGTTCCATTGGTAAACATTTTAATTTCCCTATTTGTTATATAGAATCAAGATGATTAATTAATCGATATATATCTATTGTTTTAATGATTATTTACATACTTTGTTGTTTTGATAGTTGTTGTAGACAACTTCTAACTCTTTCGGATTCTTCATTGATTTCATGACGATTGATTCTCTCGAATAGAGATGCAGATACTTTGTTGTGTTCCGAACGTTTACCTTGACTCTTGTGATGAGATTGTGATGCCGTTGCAATTGCCCTTGGTGCTTTCGACAAAATATCGTCGATGATTCCCAATGCTTTAACGGTACTCTTTAGATCACCTGCCAACAATGCTGCTAGTGCCAGTCTTGAGAAAACAACAGGTGATATCTCATTTTCAAATCTAGATTAACATTTAAAGATAGATTGGTTTTTTTAATGTATTGATCAAAAAAGAAATAAGATAAGAGTTTGTTAAGTAACTTACTGTTCATATTTATCACCTAATAACTTCCAGATTTCCGGAATCATTAAATGTTCTGCGTAGATTTTAACTAGATATTCAATGGTGGAACTGTCTTCCATGTTTGACTTTAACATGTCGGTGTACAGTCGATTGGCAATGGCAATGTCACCACTACGAATACAAGCTCTGAGAATGGAATTGTAAGATCTTGCATTGAGTGCTATATTTTGTTGCTTCATCTGATCGATCATCGCCTCTGCCGCCGACATGTTTGTCTCACAAAGTGCTTTGATATAGGTTGTATAGACAACTTCGTTGGCACCATTCTTTGTATTCAATGCATCGTTAAACACTTCCTTTGCCATATCATACTCCTGACATCGAACACATGCATTCAACATTACACCATAGGTAATATGATCGGGTGTAGCTCCAATCTTTTTCAGATAATTATAGTTACTTCTAATATTCTGGAAATCTTTCTTCTCTGATAACTATTATAATAACATTTTAACAAACTTTATATATTAGAATTCAAACATTATATTTTCAATCTCAAAATATCATCTATTTAACATACAAATACCAATTGTTGTGTAATCTTTGTGATTACTTTTCTATTGTTTCTAACTGTTGGTTGTTTTGGTGTAGTTGCTGCTGTGGTAGTTGTAGTGGTTGTTGTTGATTCCTCTTCATCCTCATCTTCTTCTTCTTCTTCTTCTCCATCTTCTTGCCCACCTTCTTTAATATCGTCTTTCTTTTTATCTTTACTATCATTTGAAGTGACCTCTGATTTCTTTGATTCAGCCTGTTCATTTCCTTCACTATCTTGTTGTTGCTTTGAACCATTTTCACTATTATTATCTAATTTAACTTTCTTCTTCTCTCTTGTATTATCATTTGAATTATCCAATATCTTATTCTTTTTTACTGATTCCTGTTCTGTTTTGTTATTACTTTGATTTGTCTCTGTCGATTTCTTCTTTTCAGTGTTGTTTTCTTTTTTTGGTGTAGCAGTTGTTGGTTTGTTATTTGTAGTTGTATTTTTGTTTGAATTTGTGTTTGTAGCAGCTGTTGTTGTTGTTGTTGTTGTTGTTGATGTTGATGTTGATGTTGTAGTAACAAGTTTCTTATCTAGATTCAACTGCGCGACAACCTTTGAAACAACAGGCTTTGGTGCCTCATAAATTTCAACTTGAATCTTATTCTCACCAATCAGTTTATTATGCAATGAATTCTTATACTAAAATAATAATAATAAGAGTCAATATATTATATTTTCTTTTTTGTAACATATTATAATATTGTAAAGTATAGTTACATGAACTAATTGAGTAATATCATTGATGTTTAGAAATGCAATGGTTGATTCCGCTGGTAATTCTAAACCTGGTGGCATTGTAATTGGTATTGTGATTGTAACAGCAGGTGAATTATGACATAACTTTTTCAACCTATCAATAACATCTGTTTTACTTAATGCTTTTGGTACATTCTTAATGATCAACCTTTTACTCATCTCTCTATCTCTACTTTCTTCTTTGAATATTAATATTACACAGATAAACAAATTAAATATCAAAAAAAGTTTCGTTTCGTTTTTTTTTGTTTGTGTGGTTTTTTTTTGGTTTGGGATAAATCAGATGTTAGTCAATAAATAGAACTAAACAATTTAATTTGGTTTCAATGTTTTTTATTATAATATAAGTAAATAAATTAAGAGATTTAATTAGATCTCTTATTTAATATTAAATAATATTGGTATTATTACTATTACTGTTACTATTGTTGTTGTTGTATTATGTTACTATTGTTGGCAGGTGTTGTTGAGTTGGTTTTATATTGATTGATTGATTGATTAGATTGGTTGATTGATTGATTGATGATGATTATGAATAAATTAATTTATAAAAATATTATTTTTTTTTGTAGTTTTGTAGCTATTTTAATCATTGTTTGCAGGGAGTGGGTTTATACATTTGTTCCACTGATCTTGATTTGCTAAAAACTCAGCTTCCAATGACTCCAATCTCTTAATAATCTCGCCACAATTTGGTCTCTTTTCAAAAGCAGCATCCCAACACTCTCTGATCAGCTGGGCAAATTTAGGTGGACATTCCGCTGGAATGGTTGGTCTCAAAGCTTTCTTTGATGTTTGAATAATAATCTGGAAGTCATGTTGTAGATTCTATAATGATGATGATAATAAAGAAGTGTTTAGTATTCATACTAGTTGTCAAAAAAAAAAAAATGAACAACATACTGTGTATTCAGAAAAAGGTCTTTCATATCGCCCATGAACACATCTTGTTACCAACTCCCAAAGAATCATACCGATCGAATAGACATCTGATTTAATTGAAAATTGTTCTCCAAAATAGATCTCTGGTGCACAGTATGCCATTGTACCTCTCATCTTTGCCAGTGTTTCCATATTACTACCAGTGTTGAATCTACTCAAACCGAAATCACAAACTTTAATCTCCCATTTATCATTAACCTATATAATCGATTCGATTATTAATAACTGTAATGTTTGTTGATCTATATATAGCTAAATGTAACATACCAATAAATTTAGTGACTTTAAATCTCTGTGGACAATCTGTGGATTCCAACTATGAAGGCAATCTAAACCTCTAGCAGTCTCCAAAGCAAATCTAAATGTTTTCTCCCATCTAATATCCAACTTTTCATTATTCATAACATGATACAGACTACCATTCGAACAGTTCTCCATAACCATACATGGTTTTGGTTCCAATACTGCACCATAAAAATGTACAACATGTTTTGATCTTATAGCACTATATATAGATAGATTATAGTTTAAATATTATTAGTTAGAATGATGATTGATACTTTTGCTTTTGTGTTTTGTTTTGTGTTTTAGTTAATTACCTCATAATTTGGAATTCCTTTTTGAATTCTTGAATTTCTTTGTCCTCTGTCATCGATTTTAGAACTTTGATAGCAACTTCTTTTCCTTTGTATAAACCTTTATAGACCTTACCGGAGCTACCTGCTCCGAGCTTCTCTGTATATTCAATTTCACCGTCCGATATAATATTGATATCGGTAATGTGTTTCAATTGATGAAGTGAATCTCTCAGTCCACTGTAGTCTGTGTTATCATTTGCAAAGTCTGGATCGTCATCAAAGAGATGAGTGTGACTCAACGTTGTCGTAGTTGATGTTGTTGGTGTTGAAGGTGGTGGAGTATCTGGATGTTGTTCTAAATTACCATATAACAATAACAACAACAGCAACAAACAACAAACAAACAACAACAACAATATTTAAAAAAAAAGAAGAAGTAGAAAGAAAAGAAAAAGTAAAAAGTATTTAAAAAAAAAAGATTATTAGTTATATAATAATAACAAAATGTTAATCGATTTGATTTGTAAATTACCTTTTAATAATGCTGTTGCCTTTAGAATCTTTAGACGATGACCGGCAGCTGTAATTTTCATCTTGTCCAAGATGGACTCGTTCATGTCACCGAGAACATCGATAAACATCTCCTCCTGTACAAATGCCATTTTGTATTGTTCGATACCGTTTTCGACGAGCCAGGCAAAGAGATCTTCGTACTTTTTGATACGTGCAGCCATCTCTTTGTGACCTTCGCTCACGGCCAGCTCGTGTGGAGTCTTCTTCTCGTTCTTGTGTGCACCGACGATGCTGACGTCGGCACCAGCCTTGAGCAGCACCGCCACAAGATCGTCACGACCGAGACGCACGGCATAGTGGAGCGGCGACTCCTGGTAGTTGTTGAGAAGGTTGACGTCGGCGTTTGCCTTCAACAGCTGATTGACCATCATGAGACGCACCGAGTTGTTAAAGATCGCTTTGTGTAGCGGTGTCTCACCGTTGTTGTTCTGTGCATTCACATTGACGTGCTTCGAGAGGAATATCTGGAAGGGCTCCTGACAGTTGGGCGAACGGAACTTCTGGCAGTAGTAGTGGAGCGGTGTGTTCTTGTCGTCATTGCAGACGTCGACGTTGATTCCCTCGAATTGCAGCAGTTTCATCAGGATACGATCCTCCGATGCTACCGCTTGGTGGAGTGCTGTGTAACCGTTCTTGTCGCGTGTGTTGATATCGGTCTTGCTATCCTTGAACGCCGTCAACAACATATCCAATATATCATCGAGATTTGAACGGATCGCCGCTGTCAAAGGTGATTGTCCATAGTGATCAAAAGTGGTCAACATACGCGACACTCTTGTCTTATTATTCTTTAGCAAACGTTTTACCTTTGCAATATCTTTTTGCTCGACAGCATATAATAAATCATGATCTGACATTTTTTATTAACTATCTATCTATTCTATTTTTATCTTATCTTATCTTATCTTCTTCTTCTTCTAATTCTTTCTTTTTTTTTTTAATTTATTTTAACTTTACTTTTTATGATATTGTTCTGCTTTCAAGCTTTGAGGCTATGATATATTTAAATTTACTCCAACTTTTAAAAGTTGGTAGGTGTTGTTGCAGTTGTTTATTAACTATTAATACTACTACTACTAACTTGTTGATTAACTTGTTTTTTAAAATAAACTACAACAAAAAGAGAAGCAGAAACAGCAACAATAATATCAATGATAAGAACAAAGCAAGAATTAGGATTTAATAATATTGTTAGCTGGTTGGCTGGCTGACTGTTGTTTTAAAAAAAAAAAAACTTTAATATTATTGTTGTTGCTGTGTTTTGATCACTAATAATGTGTATAATAGTATAATATATTTATTTATAGTGATATTAATTATACATACGGGTGAGTGAGTGAGTGAGTGATTGAGTTAAGTGAGTGAGTGATAGGGTGATAGGTGTCAAATTTTGACTATTATTATTATTATTACTATTATTTAAGGATTAGAGGTTTTTGTTTTTTTTTATTTGAGGATATTTGTGTGTTGTGTGTGTTGTGTGTGTGAGCGTGATGTTGGGTGAAGAACAAATTATATAAGAAAGAAAGAATTATGAAATTATATATTTATTGTGATTGATGATGGTAAAAATATTAAAAATACCCCTTTTTAGTTCAAAAAAAAAAAAATAAAAAAAAAATCTTTGTTCAAAAAAATATTTATAAATTTGTTTTTTTGTTGATCACTCATCAATCGCAAAACCAAACCAAGATATAAATAATTAAAATAACTTCTTAATTATGATTGTTATGAATTTTAAATCTAAAGTAAACAATTTATGTAAAATTTAATTTAATATTTATAAACAAATCTTTCAAAATTTTTTTTTTTTTCATTTTTGATTCTATTTTTTGTTTAAAAATAATATCAAAATAAATAAATAAAATATGTTGTGCTGAAACATGTTTATTTATAATAATACATAGTATCATATGATTTTTAATATCCTTCCAAAAAATTTGAGATTAAAATTCAAAGGTTGTGGATGAACCAACCACCACACACTTAAGTGATTGAGCAATCAAAAATTGAGAAGCGAAATAATTTTACAAATTCATGTCATTTATAAATGAATAGATTATTATCATTTAAATCAATATATAGAAATAACAATAATAATAATAATGTATATACGTTTGCATTTAAAAGATATTTTTTAAGTTCTTCATCTGATTTCGATAGTATTACTAGATTTTCAAATGAAAATAATAATAAAAGTAATAGGAACAACAACAATGATCACAATATAGTTAAATCAAAAGAGTTATCAAAAGAATTCAAAGGAAAGTTTAACAATAAGAGAAAGTCAAAACAACACGTTCAAGCTTTATATCATCTTGTGAAAGCACCTGATCAAAATATTCAATGGAAATCGTAAGTATACTTGAAAAAGGTAGCAAATTGGATAAATCACGTGATTATCAATTACTAATTGAATTCAATTAGTAATATAGTTGAGTTTATTGATTCTCTGAGAAGTTTGAATCAAATTGATGAGTTGGCTGCAAATGTAAATCATGTCAATTGGAAGAGTGTACAACCCGAAGTTAGGGAGGTGGTTGCAAACAAACTGAGGGAAGTTCTTGAAAAACTATTGGATCTGGAATCTTCTTCTTCTTCATTTCCCTCAAAGACTGGAAGAGTATTCCGTAGTGGACCACATCACCTACATCAACATCAACAACAACAACAACGTAACATTCAACATCTTAGTTCAAACGAAGAGAATATCAATGCGATTGCAACTAGTTTGGTATCACTCTACTTGGTCGGAGGTTTCAAAGAGGAAGCAGAGGAGATCGTTCGTCTTTCACCAAGTCTCGATATCTATGTGTTGATGCTACTCGAGCGTCTGAGAACGTCGGGACCGGCAGCTGCACTGCGCTACTACACAACGACACCACCACTTTCCAACTTTGAGAAATCACCGAAATTCGCAGAGTTCATGCACGATCTAAAGTCGAATCATTGGACACTGAACACCTACTATCTTGGTCTACAGCAATTCCTCTCCAACACCTACTCACAGCTCATTCATTCTCAGAGTTTCGACAAGATATTGTCACACTATTCCTCGGATCAGCTGTCGGCATTCATTGTCTTGGTTGAACTATTCAAACAGCAAGTTGTATCACAAAAACAACAAGATGAAAAACAACAACAACAACAAATTCAACATTATAACGATTTAATTAATAATATAGAGATATCTATTGATACTCAATTACAACCATCGGTCGTTTCAAACGTACTTTCGTCGGTGGTATTACACTTTCTTCATTTGGATCGATATGAGTTGGCGCTAAAGTGGTTCGCAAGAAGAGTTCGTTATTCATTGACACCGGACAGCGACTCCATCTTTCATTTCATCCATTATCACGAAAGCAGGAAGAGTAATACAGATAGGAAGCTACTTGCCTATTGGGACAGCATGAGATTTGACTATGGATTCCTAAAGAAGTTGGATAGTCAAGCAAGACTAGACTACAATCGTCGATTCATCTATTACTTACAACAAGGTGTAAAGATGACAAAACAAACATCATCATCATCATCATCAATTCAACAACAAGAACTTTCACTTCCACGTGAGCCTACAGATTCAGAGTTGGAGTTAGACAAAGAACTGGCTAGTTCTGGTACCAACAACAACAACAATGACAATGACAAAAGTAGCAGCAGTAACAACAATAATAATAATAACAATAACAACATTAGATTCGATAACATCTGTAGAGTTGTCTATAATTGTATCAAACAGTCACCGGACAATATACCTAGTGGCACAAGATTGTTGGAAGCATTGTGCTTGCTGAGGGAGTTACGTCCAAGCTATTTCCTACATTTCCAGTCGGGACTACCAAAATCGATACGTCCACTCGCATTCCACTCCAACGATTATTCCAAGTTGAAAACCTACCTTTCAGAGACTATAAAGTATCTGGACAATAATGATCCTCTTATGTACAGTGGCAATACGATGATATTGAATTACTTGGTTGTTGGTATTGCACAGTGCAAGCAGTTCGACTTGCTCCTCTCGCTCCTAACAAAGATGGTCTCACAGAATACACTTCTCTTTGACTGGGCAATCGAGTCGTCGTTCAGTGCACTCATCGCCAACAATCTCTATCCCGAGCAACTCGTCAGCCAAATGGAACCGATCTACATGCAAGGCGGAGCATTCACATCGATTCAAAATTGTAAATTGAATTCATATATCAACAAACTCGAACAGCAAATGATTCATATTAGCAATGACGACGACAACAACAACAACAATCTCAACACTTCCATTGAGTCAATCATCAAGTATACCAGTAAAATACATCAACCAAACTTATTGACACATTCAATAGTTTTGAAATTATCACAATTAATATTACAACAATCTCAACAACAAGAGCAGCAGTCAAATAACACAGAAAAGATGATGCAACATCTATTCAAATATCTACCAAGTGGAACTTTCCAAATGAGACATATATCGATTATCGAATGTCTTTTGGATATTGCTGATAGAGATGAAAAGAAGAGAGACGATATTAGAGTAATGCTAAAGTCACACATCGATAGATACTATGAAAGCTATCTAGAGAAAGAGAATTTAGATTTACTTTTGGTATTCGCATTGTCAAAGGCTATTGAAGATCCTCACAAGATGGTGGCTATATTCAAAGTGCTGCCAGTTGCCAAAGGTTACCAACGAGAGTTAATCGAAACAATCAAACGACACAATCAAACCGTACAAGACGCAGCACTCCACAAAAGATTGAGTCAAAAAGATATCTTTTATTTCTCACACAATCCAAAGACTACACTTACAGAAGAAGCATCAAGTTTTATCAATCACAAAATCTTAAACAAATAATAATAAAAATAAAAACAATTTTATTTTATTTGCAAATATCATTTTTAAAAAAAACGAAAGATAAGAAAAAAAGGATTTATAGTTTTATTGATTTGATGTCAATCTATATATAACATGTTAAATCATTAAACGACAATGAAAAAACTATTGATATCTAATTCAAATAAACATTGTTTTTATAACTTTAATTTATTTAATTATCAAAGTTTAAGTTTACAAAGTCATTTAAATCATAACTATAATTATAGTTTTAGTTTTAGTAATTATAGTTCAGATAATAATAATAGTAGTAGTAATAATAATGATAATAATGAAAGTAACAATGTTAAATTAGATAAAAATATAAATAGTAATAATAATAATAAGAGTGGTGGATATCGTGTAGTTAAACCAAAAAACTTATACCAAAATAATAAATATAGTGGAAACTACAACAACAATAAATTTAACGGTTACCAACAAACAAACAAACCGAATCAAATAGATCATACACATTTTCAATCGAAACCTAAACCAACTAGACAACCACAATCACAATCACAGCTAAACACATCTTTTAATTCAAAACAAAATTCGATTTCAACAGAACAACAACCACAATCACAATCACAATCACAACCTCCAAATGATATTTCAAAGTACAATGACATAATCACCAAACTATGTGATTCTAAAGATATAATGAAAACATGGAGGAAATATGAAGGTGAAATACCTCAATTCTATAAAGCAGCGGTACTTTTTAATACATTGAATATCAAGCAATCTCATCATGTCGATCGTATTGTGGTTGATGCGTTGATGTCAAAGGAGTACTCATCGATTACACCCAGTAACCCTGTTCCACTGTTGCTCGATCTCATTCTTCTCATGACATTGCCAGAGTGCAATGCCTATGACAGCGATGGAACAAAGAGAGGACATCAATTCATCAATCAGCACCTACTCGAAAGAATATACACAATGGAGAATCAGAGAATGAGAGACGAACTCTTTAAATATCTGATTACCAGTAGTCTTCAACTGGGTCGTTACGAACTGGCGCTGCGTTGGTATGCACGTGTCATCCATGCACCGCAAGCCGACATCGTCAGACCGATCTGTGTATTCAAATTCATGCTGTATCACCAGCTGCGAATCGAGCGACTCATGGCAAAGGGTGAATCTGCATCGTTGGAGATCGAGGAGATGACACTCTCCTTCTGGAATCTCAAGGTACAATCGAGACAGATATATCGCGAGGCATTCGAGGAGTACAAAGCAACTGAGAGCACTCTCAAAAGTAGAACATTCATTGAGCTACCGACGACATCCGATCAACCATCGAAACCCGATCAACTACTGGACAAAGCGGTATCAACGAGGAATATGCCAAACATAAAGAATCTGCTGCTCGACTACTACCTTAAATTCGATATTATCCCACCTGGAACGCTGTTGATCGATTCAGTGATGTTCCTCACCGACATGAATAATCACGATGCCTACCGAGAGTTCCTACGCAATATTCCCGAGAGTGCACGCGACCACCAAGCGATACTCTTCCACCCGGCTCCATACGTGCAGTCCTCACTGACCGATCCGAATAAACGACTCGAACTCCTCAGACATCTCCAACCACAACTGTACATCCAAAACGCACGTATCATCCTCTCGATTATCATTGACCTCTTCAACGCACAGGAAGATCACAAAGCGATCTTATTCTTCTTGAAATCCGCCAGAAAGCCATCGGTATTCCCATTCATTGCGAAAAAGATGCAGATACTAAAGAAGTTTTGTCAACTCGATGAAGATCTCTATGCACAGATGAGCTTGATCGACCAGTGGGTCGAGTACTGGAGGACAACGGAATCGGGTGTGCCAAACGAAATGAAGATTCTGCAAGCATCGCATTTGCTGCAAGCCAACAAGCTGGAACAAGCAGTGGAAATACTCAGTAGAATTCCAAAGGATATCGCCAGCTATCGTCTCATTCCAAAGCTGCTGGAAGTCAATATCGAAGCAATATTACGTCCACTTGCACAGAGCACAGAGAATCAGATTCACATCGAGGATATCGAATCTGAAGAACTCTACAGTAAACTGCAGTTTCCAACCAAAGACAGAAGCACCTACTTTGACAAAGTTATGTTCTCTACCGCTCTCTTCAGAGTGTTGAATCGACTCAACATAAGTCCATGGTTGATTTTGGAGTATGTCGATAAGAATCCAGAGTTGTTTGGTAATACCCAAAAGTTACCATCACCATTGCTCTATCAGATGGTAAAGAGACAGTCTTCGTCGCCACAGTTAAAGTTACTCATTCAATACTCAGACATCAAGTCCTACCATGAACCACTGAGAAATCTACTCGGTCGATTGATCAGCTTCAACATTGTCGAAATCAACTTGGCATTCTCAAACTTCCCAAAGAAAAGAATAGAACCAGAGCTTGTTATCAGTCCAGAGAATTTACAGTTTATTGAACAATATCATAAACAAACATCAGTAAATTAAATAAAAAGAAAAATTTATAAAAAAATTATTGTTTGTTTGATGCATATGAAACTTTATTTTTGAATGACACTCTGCTAGACTCTACAAGTGGGTAAAAAGGAATTCAATGGTGGATAAATTAATTCGAAACAAAAACAATGTAGTTTGGAACTAATTTATCCACCATTGAATCATTGTCAGTAGCATTAGAAGCTTGCACGAGTTCAGTCAAAAGTCTTTCGATCCTTCCTATTCTTTCCTCTAAACCGGTGATCTGACTTGCATGTTGCTAAGAGTAGTCTTAAGATTGCTCACAAGCACAGAGTTGAATTGATTATTATCCACGAAGTGATCTGATATGATGAAGAGAAACTAAGAATTGGATAAATGTAACACATTTATCCACTACATCATCCTTGTGGTGTGTTTCCTTAGCATATGAGTTGAGAAGTAAAAATAACTTGACTTCTCCATCGTGAATATATATACCAACTACACTGTAATGATAATATATATGATCCAATTATGAATCACAAGATGAATGATTTGTTTATTGAGTTGTGTGCGCTTGTATTGGGTAGTCGGTTAGCAGTGATCGGTTGATTGGAACTACTGATTCCAATACCTCCAACAACATCTATATTATTTAATTTTTATTTGTTTTGAAAGGATTTAAAAATTGGTTAGTTCATTGATTTAAAAATTGAATTTTTTTATAAGTTTGAATCATACTGCATCAGTTTCAAAATATAGAACATACTATTATTTATATATAGAAAAAAATGTTTATAAAAAGATAAAATTAAAGATAATATAGTGAACAAATTTCAAATATATAGAAAATTATAAAAAAAACAATCAATTTTTAGAGACATGTTTTTTTTTTGTTGTGGAGATATAACAACAATATTGATTTTTTTTATTCTATTTTTTGAACCACATTGAAGTTAATATGTTATGAATATAAACTTCCTTTACTAAATGAAGTTTATTTAGTAAATACTAATAAACCACAATCATTTCTCTTTGACCCATCGCTGATAAGTATAGATTGCCATCTATCCTTCTCTATTGAATATATAAAGTTATGTGTCAAACCATTCAGTAGGTAGATATGTCGTTGATTCTTCATTGGATTCTCATGATACAAGAGATTGTTGAGAGGATTGATTTCGAGTGATCGTAATACTTTCACCTGGTTGGTACTCTCTACATTGAACATGATAAATCGGGTGGATGACAGTAGATAGATGTTACCAGATTGGTCGCTACACAATTTACATTCACTACTATCGATACAATTCGGTATGTCCTTGTACTCAATCGATTTGCTATCGGGATCGAATATAACCATTCTCTTTTGCGAGTTGATAACCGAATGAATCTTATTTTTATAGAAAAACGATAGAGTAATATGTTCAGTGTTCGGTATGGTAAAATATGTTTGAAACTGGTGTGTCATTGTATTGTAACGTGAAACTAATGTATCGTTTCTTTGGTGACTGTCAAAGAGGTAGATATGAGCATGTCCGTCGTAGCAAACTGAAACATAGTTACATGGCTCGATACCGATCATCTCTTTGTAGAGATCTACTCTTTTACTCTCGATGGAGAATCGTTGGTATAGGTTACACATCGATGGACCACCGAAACTATAGATATAATCACCTACCTTTACGGTGGAGTTGACATACCAAGAGTCTCTGATCTTACTATCTAGATAAACAACTTCAAACTTTTGGCAATCGTCTTCATTGGTAATATCTATCAGTGAAAGACGGTCGTCTTTATCACTTGCAAGTATAAAGCTTGATATTGTATCGATTTCACCACATGTTTCAAGTGTAGTCAAGTCGAACGACCTTTGAATATCTTTTATCAAACTTTGAATGATCTTTTCATTTCTATTGAATCTATATTGCTTGTTTGAACATTGATGTAATGATACATCTTGATTACTACTTTGAGAATTGTATTGAATGATCGAGTGCAGTATTGAATAATCTTGAGATAGTAATTCCGAATTGAATAGTGTTTGATTGTTTCGCTTGATGAAATCATTTAAATCTCTTGATTGTTCAATCGATTCAATGATATTATTAATTTGATATTTATCAGTTGTATCTTGTGTTTCATTATTACTTTGGTCAAAACTAATATATTCTTGTTGTTGTTGTTGTTGAACAATAATACTATTGGCTATCTGAACTAATGATTGTAAATGTTGAATATTCTTATTTAAATAGTGTTCCAGAGTATCTTTATCATTGATGATTGGTTTCTTTAATTTGTGCTCTTCAATGACTAGATATTCGTGTAACCGGTTGAACTCTTTTGAGATATCATTCTCTATTTGTTGGAACTGACAATATTTATTTACAGATGATCTAATATTATTCCAAATCGATGTAATATCATTTTGAATTTTACAACTATTATTATTACTACCGTTATTATTATTATTATTATCAACTTGATTAAATTTACTATAGAATGATTTAATTTGATCTATATCTTCAATTTTTGAATGATTGTGATGTAATGGTTTACACTCTGAACATAACAAGACATTACATTGATAACATATTAACTTTAGAATCTGACCACTATGATCAATACAATATTGAACCGTATCACTATTATTGTTATTATCTAATTTTTGTTTTTTGTGTAGATGATCTTTGTTATTCATTTTGTGAATTTTTTTAAAATTTAATTGGAATTATATGAAAAATTTTATATGACAGCTGACTTGGAGAAAAAAAAAAAATCGTCACGATTTTAAAAAATCAAAACAAAGTCCGTTCAAAAGATCTTTATTTGTCCAAGGATGAATTTATAATCATCAACGATTATATCCAGTTAGTCTTTCCATTCGAACGTGCCACCATGGAGCTAGCAACCAGTAATTCTTCGTCCTATGAACTACTGATTGAGTCGGTCAATACCCTAAAGGAAAAGCTAGACAAATATGCCCCCAAGACAGAGCATGGAAAAACCTTAAAAGAAGCCCTTCAACTGTCATTGAAAGATAGATTAGATGAATATGCCAATTTAGATTTGGCATCAATTGCAAGTTTCTTTTCACCATATCATCAGTTCGGATTTAGCTCTTTAGAAACTTTAAAACAACAAACAATAATTTCTATTATAAGAGAAGAATTAGGAGCACTATCTAAAAAAATAGAAGTGGCTCCATCACCCATCAAAACTAGAAAACACAAACATGGTGCAGATCCCATTGACTATATGACTGTTCATGAAATGGATACAGTCGAAAAGAATGAAGTGAAAGAAATAGATAGATACATAAATGCAGTAAAATTAAACAATGAATCAGTTGATACTTTAGAGTGGTGGTCAAATAATCGACAGAGATTCCCAAATCTTGTTCAACTCGCCAAGAAATATCTCTGTATTTCAACAACATCAGTACCATCAGAGAGTACTTTTTCAAAAGCAGGATATATATTTGACGACAAAAGAACAAATATGTCTTTTAAACTATTCACAAATTTAGTATTCTTGTACTCAAATAAAGATGCATGATTATTGTTGTTTAAACAATCAATTTTGCTAGTTGATCTATCTCTGGTTTTAATAGCATGTATCTCTCCGCCATCTTTAAAACTGTTCCCCATCTTGTTGGACAACTTAAAAGCAATTTAGTTGGTTTGGGTTTTCTATTATTATTATTATTATTATTATTATTAGCTCTTATGATGTCTCTAAGTTGATTACTAAGTTGTGGGGAGTATTTTATCTTATTTGAAATTGCTTTAATCTTTCTTAAGGCTGAAGTAAGATTGATTTCTTTTGGCTGAGTTATGGTTATTTTGCTGTTTACAACTGAGCTTGAATGAATATCTCCAACACTATTATTTAGTTCTAATTGCATTGATAAATCTTCTACTGATCCACGATTAGATGTATTTACTTGTCTATTTTTGGTTGCTGTTGCTGTTGCTTTTGTTGATGGTTTGATCTTTTGTTTCTTTTTAGGTCCTTCAGTGGTAGCTTCAGTCGCAGCTTCATTGGTAACTACATTGCTCAATTCAATAGACAACTCTTCTACTGATTTCGGTTTATCAAGCTTAATACAATCTGTTACAACTAGTTGTAATGTGTGTGAAAAACATCTTAATCTCTTTGTTAGTAATAGTTTGCAAAAATAAGATTAGCTATTTACCTAATGTGTATAATGTCATTTTCAATTTCTCTCATCGCCGATACAATATTTCTGGCATTGTCAGTGGTCACCGAAAATGTCTTTGGCAATAGGTTGTTTGGTGAGTTGAAGCCAATTGTTTCGTTGATGGTCTCCAGGATATTATCACGGGTGTGTGCTTCATTAGTCGGAACCAAATCATACAAATAGCTCTTAAATTTGAATTGTTCATCTATAAAATGAACAGTGAATGATGTAAAATTATCTTGCATGCTATTTGTCCATGAGTCTGTTGTAAATGATATATGAATGGCTGTATCTAATTGTTTCTTAAGATCTTCTCTCTTTTTAACAGCTCGCTGATTTATCAAATCCTTAATAGATTTTGATTTAGGTGGAGTATATCTAAGTAACTTTAATAGCTTAATAAGCCGTGGACTCTCCACAATGTTGATTGGCAAATTATCACTAACTATTAAATCTACCAAGGCGTCGGTTACTTCTTGGCTATTATATTCTGGGCTTATGTTAGAGTTGAGTAGATCTTGGGATATGTTCATTATGTTATTTTTAATATTTATGATTAATAATATATTGAAAGTGTGGTGGGTTTGTTGTAAAAAAAAAAACAACAACCAAAGTTAAGTTTCTGTTAAGACCTTTTTTTTTTTTTTTTTTTTTAAAATAGATTCTATAATCGATAAAAGAAAGACAGTATTAATAATAATATTAATATCACAATCTATATTAAAATATTCAATTGAAATTGAAAAGAAATCAATTGATAAAAGTAATTATTTTATTTGTTGTCTTAAAAAATAGATTGTTATTTAGTAGTAGAAGTGTCGAATAGAAATAAAAGAGTAGAATTAGATTGAAATTGATTATATGAGTGGAAGTCTCTCCTCTGGAATTTGCTTTTCACTGTAATATGATTTATCGATCTTTGATTCTTCGTAGATTGGCTCGCAATATGGAGTTTCTTCACCACTCAAAAGTATGTCGTCGGTTGATTTGCTGCGGATGGCAGTCTCTTCGTCATTCTTTAGCTGGATGATCAATACCTCCGGTGAGTCCAACTCCCAGGTGTCCTTCTCGTGGATCTTGTTGACAACGAAGAACTGGAGTACCAGTGTCAACATGGTGAAAGCAAAGCAGAGGACACCCATCAGGAATGCACTGGTTCCACAGGTGATGTCACTTCCCCAGCTCTGATTGAGGAGCAGTGTGATGGTGTTGGGGAATCCGGTTGGAACAAACTGGTTGATTCCCGTTACGAATAGCCACGAACCGTAGAACGAGGTGGATGCGAGGATGCAGACGACCGGCGCCATGGCGAAAACCATTGGGATAACGAGGAACATGAAGCCAATCATGAGGGTCTGTGTTTGCGAGGTTCCGTAGAGTCCGACGATGGCGTTGGCCATCCAGGTCGATGTGATCAGTCCGATGATGGTGCATGGGAATCGCTTGTACTTGAGACAGGTGAACGACAGAACCAACGATGTCAAAAACGATGCGACAATGTGAACTGGCACACTCAATGGCAGCACCAATGACAACCAGTAGATTGCAATGGCACCCATTATAGAACCAAAGAAACTCATAACGATATCGATGCATCTATAACCAAACACACTCACCAAGAATCCACCTGCCATACATCCAAATCCAATTAATTCTTCTGTTGGAATTCCGAAAAACATTTTTTAATTTATATTATTTATATATATAAATATATATTATATACTAATTTAATAACTTTTTTAGTTATATATTATATTTGTATAAAATTGATTGATTGATTGAATTGATTAATTTATAAATATAACATAAAAAAGAGAGAGAGAAACTTGATCAATCAATGGTAAATAAAATAAGGAGAAGAAAGAAGAACAACAACAAATATATACAATAAATTTAATTTAATTTTATTTTTATTTTATTTAGTCAGTCAGTCATTTATTTATTCCCTCTTCACTCATACATTTATAGCAGTCAGTCAATTTTATATGTATCACATATATATGAAATTTTGTAATAAGTGTTTGTCAATGTGAGTTAGTGAGAGTGGAGTGAATGTTGTTTTTTTTGAGTGTGAGTGTGGGTGTGTGCATTACTACTACTACATTTATGATCAACATAGTCAATTGTATACAATATAGCGTATTTATGTTATGACAACTAAATGTGTATATTTTAATTTTTGTTACCATTTAGCCAACCCAAAGGAACTTAATAAATCAACACCCTTCAAAGAGTCTATCCTCTTCAAACAACAAACTACTTTTATTTAATTTAACCATATGATATATTTGTAAAAACAATAATAACATTAACACACCCAACACACAACAAACAACCACACACTATGTGCTATACAAAACCAAACAAATCTAATCTTTATGTTAATTTTGAGAACTTAGAGAGAAGTGTGTGAATGTTGATTGTTAAATTTTAATCATATGCTCTTTTTATATGATATCAAATAATAAATAATGTTTGATTTTAAATTTAGAAAAGAAATTAATTAATATAAAACAGTTAAAGTGTTTTTTTTTTTTTTGAAGTTCTTGTTTTTCAATAAACAACAATGAGCACCAATATCAACAACAACAATAATAATAATGATAGTCACAATGAAGAGTTAATGCAAAACATTGCATTAAAAATAGAGCAACGTGAGGAAATAAGAGCAATAGAGAAGAGAAAAAACAAAGAACTTAAAGAACAAAGACAACTCGATCTTACAACCACAGATAAAGTAAAAGAAACTTTAAATGATATAAACACATTGTATAAAGGTATTTCTATTTGATTGATTGTTTTCATTCATCTCGAAACTATATATCTCTAACTCTATTTAAAGATTGTAATGATAGATTAGATAGACTTGTCAGCTCAGGTTCAAGCTCAAACAATGACAAACAGAACGATAGTAGTATACAAAATGAACTACAAGAGATAACAGCAATGATCACTGAAATGAAAGATATCTTTCAAGAGAATTCAATTATATTACCACCTTTTGAATTAAAGAATATCACATCGGTAAGTATATAGATCAAAAGATTATTGGCAATTCAAACAACTCTAATCGACAATAAACTATAGACGCTATCAAAGTTAGATTCAAAACTACAAGAAACAAAGAACAAAGTATTACCAAAACAGAAATTTTTATTTGTAAAGAAAAAGAAAGCAGAGGCAACCACAACAAAATCATCATCCACATCAAAACAAACCGAATTAATAGTGGTAACAACAAAAACCTCACCATCTCAAAACAATGTAGTAGAAAAAGACAGCAGTAGTGGTATTGCCGAATCAACTCCAATTTGTAAGTTTATCATTCATTTAATAATCAATCAAAAATGAATATTCATTTGTTTTTATTTTATTTTGTTGTTCAACTTTTAAAGTAAACTTTGAGACAATTAGATACCACAAGAATAGAGATATAAACTTCCCTGTAGATATAGAAAAGTCAGTAGCAATACACGCAACAACTATAAATGATCTATCGATTTCACACCTCGATCAATGTAGAGTGACAATTAATAAAGTTCTTACATCTTTAAAGATTGACAATGTGTCATCAGCAGCGGTATCATTGTCAAATCAGAGTGAAAGTGAAAGTGAAAGCGTCATCAATGCCAAAGTAGAGATTGACGGTTCAATATTCATCGATGCTTGTACCAACGTAAAGTTCTACCTGAAATCAAGACAAGTAAGTTAATATTATTTTCAAATAACAACAATGTTGTAAACAAATTAAATTTGTTTTGTGCATTTTACAAAAAAAAAAAGGTCCAAAAGTATTAATCTTTTATTATCTTTTTTTTTTTTTTTGAACACCTTTGATGTAAATTAATTTTCAGATTAGAATCCACAACTGTCGTGGCTGCCAGTTTTATATCAACACAAAAAGTCATCCCATTGTGGAGAGTTGCAAGGATATTGGATTTGCACCATACTCTCAGGATTCGACCGATATCGATAATCAATTTTGGTGTAAAGTGAACGACTTTGACTGGCTGCAATCAAAGCAATCCCCAAATTGGCATATAATTCCCATTGAAAATAGAAATTATTAAAAAAAAAATCATTAGATCTGGATCAAACCGCATTTGCTGTGGCTCTATGGTTTTATTCTTTTTTTGGGTAATTGCTTAGTTAGTTTAATCATTAATAGAGTGTGTTGAACCACTTTTAACCATCAATCATCCATTTAATTTAATTTAATACATCAATTAAGCAAACAAATAAATTAAATTAAATTAAACTGGACTATTTGGTGCAAATATTGTAGATACAACAAAATATCTATTCGATTCATTGATTTATTAAATTTGATCACAAACTTTGTCAATAACAACTCAATCAAAACCAAGTAAACACACTCATATATCTCAAATTTACCAATAAGCAATTTTTATTTGATGAAGATTCGAATCGCAAATTCCACACTTTGTAGAGTTTCTGTTTCAATCAAAAACAACAAAAACCACATTTCTGATGAGTATTGTCAGATTTTGGCCCTTAATCTAAAAATTTGGATTTTTTTAAAAAAATTGATTTTATTTTTTTGTATACCTCATCCTATGATGTTACATTCAAAAACCCACTACAAATATCAGATTATTCAGCACCAATGTTTGCAGAAATTGCTTTTAAGTTTTTTGAAATCGATTGATATTCCCCCACCTCACACATTTTCTCTTACTTAAAATACTACCCAATCCAATTTTTTTTTGATTTGCTATGCCGTTTTTTGCAAAAGAATTAAAAAATCATGAAAAAAATGAATCATTTGTCTTCGTTCTCTCTTATTTTATTGTCTATTAATATTTATTTTTTTGTCTTTTTTGTATCAAAAAGGGAATCTATCAAAAAAAAAAAAAAGTTAAGAAAAAATCATATTTTTTTTTTTATAAACACATCAAAGTTCTGCAGACATCCAGTGTAGCCCACAAACCATCGCTGCTACTGCAAAATCGAACAAAAACCAAAATCATTTTATTATCATTTTCTTCTTCTGTCAATACTTTGAATTCTTATCAAACAAACACCAAACTAAACTAGTCTAACCCATACCATATGGAACAACAAATCTTATAAAACAAAAAATATCAATAATAAACAAGTATTTTTGTGCAATCAGGTGAACATCCTCTCATTCTCACCAAAACATTACCAATCACCAAAAAAAAACAAAAGACAAATAAGAGACCAACAACAACAAATTCTTTTCATTTGTTTTTAGTTCCTCAAATAATCAAACCGACAATTGTATTATTATCACTACCTCATAATCAAGACAAAACAAAACAATGACTCTCAACAAATTAATTTTTATTGTAGCCATATTTTCACTATATTTCATCAGTGCTGTACCAGCAGGTATGTTTATAACAATTTCTCAATTCTTATTAAACTTTGACGACGACTTACATTACATTTGTAAAAATTTATAATTTATAGCATCATATAGAAATGCAATGTATTTTGGTAATTTTTCAAATAGCACTTTGAGTCCACCAATCAACACCAGTCTCACTGGTGGTAATGTCACCCTCACCGGTAATGTCACCCTTGTTTTCGCACCGAATGGACTCAACAACTCAACAGATTATTATTATGAGATCACTTTGTACGTCAACGGTGCCTCCTCCACCGATCGATATGCTGTCGAATGGCACGGTAGAGCACCAGCCGGTGTAAACAATCCGAATCCATCTCTCAGAGTCACCAGATTGGTCAGTCCAACGATTATAAACGGAACTCTTGTCAGTACCACCCACGTCTCCATCGGTACCGATACTGTCGCCAATTTCGGTGACCCACTGCAACTCGACTACTCTGAGACCAACACCACCTACGTCCTCTTGAAGGTCGGACTCAACTATGTATTGCGTGCACAACTCTCCTTTGATTCGTACTTGCCAGATAACACTACCAACAACTCAACTACCGGTTCTACAACTACCGGTACCACAACTACCGGTGCCACAACCACAACCGGATCGACCACCTCAACCACCACTGGATCGACATCGAACAGCACCACCGCAAGCAGCACCACTGCAGGATCAACTTCGAACAGCACCACCTCATCGAGTGAACCATCTTCAGCCATCACTCAAATCAAACAATATTCCACCTTTTTAATGGTAATCATCATTTTCACATTGGGACTCTTACTATAAGACCTTAGTTTTTTTCTTCATAAACCCCTGATATCAATATTAAATTTATTTATTTAAAAAAATGCGCATCCTTTTTTTGTTTTTACTTTTAAATTATAATATAATAATACAATCATCCAATAGATAGTATCATCAAAAATTATTGTAATAAATTATAAACTTAAGCTAATAATAAGCATGTTTTGTTTCTGGTTTTTCAATCATTTGCAAATTTTTTTGAGCACCACTAAATTGTGTTAAAATGACCACAAGTTCACCAAAAAGGATCAAGTGGTTTATGAAGTTGTTGATTAACACACAACCAATTTAATCACTTAAACAATCATTCATTTGTGTTGTTTTTTATTTTAAAAGTATATTTATTTATTTAGATAATTTTTATTATTATTATTATTATTTAACTTTATAGTTTGGAAGGTTTCAATAAAAATATTTATAAACAACAATGTCATTTGGTGGAAGTATGTTTGAATGATCATTTAGATTATTGGTTTGATTTTAGAGATTGTAAAGAATTGTGTCTAATTATCAACTGTTTGCTATTATGTAGATAAAGATAGTTCACAACTGCAACAGTTTGTTGTCGGTGGTCTCGGAGGTATGGGTGCCGCCATTGTCACACATCCAATCGATTCACTAAAAGTTAGAATGCAACTTCAAGGTGAGATGGAACATACAATCAAGCCATCTGCTACTACCCCAGGTTCAACAACTACAACAACTACAGCAACAACATTTAAACCAGAGAAAGGTTCATTTAGAATGCTTAAACATATTCATGAAACTGAAGGAATCTTTACATTATACAAAGGGTAATTATTAATCGCCCAGCTCGATCTCTACTATCATAGCCTAATATTTACTGACATTACCATTATCATCATCATTATTATTATCATTAATAAACAATAGATTATCAGCATCTCTATTAAGACAAGCTACATATACAACAACTAGATTCGGACTTTATGGTGTATTTAAAAATGCATTCCATATAGATAATAGTATGTGATCCACTAATAATAATAATAATAATAGGAAACTAAATAATGCTAACACATTTCTTTAACTTTAATAGAATCATCACCATTTCATATGAAAGTTATGGTTGCAATGTTGGCTGGTGCTGGTGGAGCTGTATGTAATAACTATAGCTATTGGATAGATAGTCAACGTAGATTATTGATGATTGATGATTAATTAATATGTTGAATCAAAATATTAGATTGTAGGTACACCAGCAGATGTAATTATGGTTAGAATGCAAGCAGATGGTAAGCTACCAGCTGATCAAAGAAGAAACTACAAAGGTGTATTCAATGGTTTATATAGAATTACAAAGGAGGAAGGTTTATTCAGTCTGTGGAAGGGTTGCAGTCCCAACTTGGTCAGAGCAATGTTTATGACCGCCGGTCAAATCGCATCGTACGATCAAGCCAAACAAATGATGTTGGCATCCGGTTACTTCCAAGATGATTTCAATACTCATTTAACGTAATCTATCAATAGATTTGTGCTTTTTTGATCATAATATGATAATAATAACTAACATGTTTACATATATAGTGCAAGTACTATTTCAGCATTTGTAGCATCATTGGTAACGAGTCCACTGGATGTAGTTAAAACAAGAATCATGAATTCAAAGAAAACGGTTGGATCGGAGAAACCACTGTATAAGGGTACAATCGATTGTTTTTATAAGGTATGCATATATAGATAAACATTGCTATTTGAAGAATGATAAATCAACAAACAACAAATTATTAATAATATCAACAATATTTAGACATTTAAGTCAGAGGGTGTTGCGGCATTCTACAAAGGATTCGGACCATACTTTATGAGATTGGGACCACACACAATTCTAACTTTTCTCATTGTCGAACAACTCACCAAGTTTTGGAGAAAGAGTGAGAATTATTTAAAAAAATAAATTAAATTAAATAATAATAATAATAAACATATATATATATGAATAAATCATTCGTTATATATACATATTTAATAAACAGTTCAAATTTGTAAATTATTTATTATTCATAATTGTAAAATGCGAAATGCAAAAAAAAAAACGAAAATAAATGCACGTGCAGAAATTTTAAAACAAAAACACTTGATAAGTCAGAGTCTCGATAAATCATTTTTTTCAATATTTTAAAAAAAATTGAAAAATTGAAAAAAAAAAATAAAAAAAAAATAAACTTTTTTTTAACTAAAAATTTTAAGACACTAAAACAAACTCAACAACATTTTTGATAGCCCTTTTTTCTTTTATCGTCGTAGTCAAAATGGTAAGAAAAGATTGATTTTATTATAATTTAATTGATTCTATATTATTATTTTATATTATAATATTATAATTATTTAGATTAGTAGTTTAGTAGTATGATTAGGTTTAGTTAGTTAGTAGTTATTTAGTTATTTTTTGAAAAATCTTGATAATGTAGAGTAGAATTTAAATCTTGATAATAGAGGAAAATCAATCACATTTTAGAAAATAAATAAATAAAACAGGGCAACAATCATTTAGAAACAGATATGAAAAAACAGATCAAATAATATAGGTTTTACAACAGCTGCATTACTTGTTTCTAGATCTGATAATAATATTAGCTTAGATCATTATAAATAAGAATTAGTGAAAATAATAATAATAATAATCGTCTAGAAAGTAACAATAACATTTAGATTCTACCTACTACATTATCATCATCATTATCATATTTTCTAAAGAAATATAAGAAATCTTTGTCGAAAACTATAAACTACATAATAATACTACTACTACTACTACTACTACTACTACTATCACTATTATTATAATATTTTATAAATTTATATTAGTTTCAATTATTATTATTATTTATGTTGAGATATGGTTTCTAATTAAATAATCTTTAAATTAGTCTTCCGCCGCCGCCACCCCAGCTCAACCAACCGAAAAGGTCCAACTCGCCAGAGTCACTGAAGTCATCTGCCGTACTGGTTCCCGTGGTGCTGTCACCCAAGTCCGTGTCGAATTCTTGAACACCGAGAAGCCACGTTCCCTCTTGAGAAACGTCAAGGGTGCCGTCAGACTTAATGATATCCTTTGTTTGCTCGTATGTTATTTTTATATTTTCATTATTACTATTATTATCATTTTACTAATTACTCAATCAACCACCACTACTTTACTTTACCCAATTCAAACAGGAAACCGAACGTGAAGCCAGAAGACTTCGTTAAATTAACTTTTGACTACAACATATTAATTAAACAAAGCACCATTTCGTAATATAAGAAATCTTGGTTCATTTATCTTTTTTTCTTCTTTTATTTTTATTTGAAACCTACCTTGTTTTTATTATTATTATTATTGCTATTATTTATTTATTTTTCATTTTGTATCTTTATTTTATTTATTTTATTATAATTTTAATTGTTGTAGATAATGATAATCAATTCAATCAACTTTACATTTCGTTGTTGTATGTCAGAAATAACGTTATTTTTTGAATGAGGTGTTAATAATGAAAAACATCCAAAGTTTGAATCATAATAGATTAATCATTATTGTTGTTGTGCAGTTTATGCAAAGCTTTATTCAGAAATATAATTGGAATCATGTCAATCATGATGATAATGCCAATCTAAACAACAATAATAATAATAATAATATTGAGGGAAAGCAAGGTAACTATGACAGAAACAAACATCGACTTGCGGGTAATGATGCAATATTTAGTAGTATGTATCTAGATAGATATTTATTGATTAAATATTAACATAGTTGTTCAAACACTTTACAGATATAATAGCATGTGTGGCTGTTGGTGATATTATGAGATCACTGCTTGGTCCTAGAAGTAGAGATAAACTACTGGTTAATCAATTTGGTGAGATTATCATAACAAATGATGGTGTAACCGTAATGAAATCAATGGTAATAATAATATAATATCGTAATCAAATGATATAGATAATTAATTATATATATATTATCATCTTAGAATTTAGAACATCCGGCAGCAAAGATGATGGTCGAACTAAGTAGTTCAATGGATGATCAGAATGGAGATGGAACTACATCTGTTGTATTGTTGGCTTCACTTTTACTAAGGAAATCACTTTCATTGATACAGGGCAGTGCTAATTCATCATCAACATCAACCAACAACAATCTCTTTATGATCACAAGTCCTATGCACCCAATAAGAATCATACATTCATTTATGAAATCATCAAAGATCGCATTACAATCAATCAACGACATCTCGACAGTAGTTGATATTGACAGTGATCGAGGTAGAGACATATTGCTAAACACTGCCAAGACCACTTTAAATTCAAAATTGATATCACATTTATCACCAACTTTGGCAAAGTAAGTAGCAGAATCTACATAATGATCAATGATTTAACGAATATTCATATCATATCATATCATAGTTTATCTGTAGATGCAATACTGATGGCGAAGAAGAGGTATGGAGATTCAATGACAACACAATCTATCAATATATTCGGTGTTACCGGTGGACTTCAGAGTGAATCCATCATTACTCAATCAATGATTTTCAACTATACATTTCTAAATCAGTTGTTTGATCCACCAACAAAGCAACAATCTCATAAATTAGCATTATTAAATATATCATTTACAAAGGTAAACAAGTTAATCTATTGTTTTGTTTCTTGATGTTGTATTATACTAATAATACAGTTTTCTCTATTCATAAATAAATAAATAATAGCCAAGATTAATGTCATCGACAACAGAATTTGAATATAATAGTGATCATTTCAATATGACTAATCTTGTTCAAGAGGAAGAGAGTGCAATCAAATCGGTAGTAGTCGCACTCAAGAGAGCATCCGTTACCATTGTTGTTATGGCCGAGCAACTCGACAGTCAATCATCACTCTCTAATCTAGCACTATCCTATTTCTCTAAAGCAAAGATATCCGTACTGAAGCCTTTATCAAGATCTGAACTAAATGTAAAGTTAAACGATCAATCAACATCATATTCATTTAAGATTATTAACAACAAACTATCTTTCTATCAATTATATATAACAGACATTCTCTGAAAGAATTGGTTGTAGATATATATTTAGTGATCTACAACAGTTAAAGGATAAGAATATCAATGATAGATTAGTAACATTTAAGAGTATCAGTCAGAGGAAGATTGCCAATGAATATCTTTTGTTTTTTGAACCACCAGATGTTGATGATGTATCATCACAGAATAAGAATAGTGCACCAACGATTATCTTGATGGGTTCGACGTCGATCGAGTTGGAAGAGTCGAAACGTGCATTGCATGATGCTCTCTGTGTACTTAGAAATTTGGTTAGAGATCGATCGGTTGTTCCTGGTGGTGGAGCATGTGAAGCTCATGCAGCTATGAACATCAGAATGCACGCCAAACAATTGTCATCTCCACAAGAAGCTTGTGCGATGATGGCTTTTGCCGATGCACTCGAAGAGATACCGGAAACACTCTGTTTTAACGCCGGTCTAAATCACCTGCAATCACTGAGATCTCTGAAATCCAGTCATCTTTCCAATCCTGACAATAATAAATTCAACGGTATCAATTTGAAATCCGGAGAAATTACCAACATGTTTGAATGCGGTGTATTAGAGACAACTTCAAATAAGATTTCTCAAATATCGTAAGTAAAAAATATTCCATATCAAACTACCAATCAAATTACTAATTACTTTTTGATATTATCTCCACTACTATAATTCATTCTACTAGTATGGCAAATGAAATTGTAACATCAATATTGAAAATAGATGAAACCATTTATTATAAGAAATAAATAAATAAATAAATCAATATTGTTATAATTATTAATTATTCATACATATTTATATAATCTTTTTTATTTGTTGTTGTTGTTCAATTGAAAAAAGATATTCTTCTAGAAGATGTATGGAATGAAAATATAAGGTACACGACGACAATATTCTTTCCAGTCGTCACCATATTTCTCGGCGCAAGCGTGGTGATCACGATGACATCTGTGGAGTTCCAAGATGGTAAAGTAGGCAAAGTAGAAGAATGGAGCTGGACTGTCGAATTGACATGGCAAACACCAGGCAAATGCAATGATGATGTCACCGGTGTAGTTCAAATGACGACCGATTCCCCAGAATCCAGAGACCAACAACTTGGTACCACGCTTGGTGAGAATGTACTCTGGACGCTTACCCCAGATCGGAGCTTCCGGATTACGACGGAAAGCATGCTTCTGTGAGTTGACCCAACGGAACAAATAGAATCCGAATGCCTTGACGGCGAGCACCAACAACGCATACTGGAAAGAGATGTTCAGCGGCGAACCGTTGGCATCTACGTGTCTCAAGATGTAGTAGCTTTGAAGACAGTAGGTGAATGGCACCCAAGCAAGATCACCATAGACCAACATGAATCCGAATTTCTCAGTGACAATATCCATTGTGGTGAGAATTGCCTCCTCGTGGAAGTGGAAGTCAGCAACATACCAGAAATGGAACACACAAACCATAGCAGTCGACAATGGAATGTAACCAAATGTTTCATATTGCTTAACGGCAATCGAAAGATTATTCAAAACCCAAAGTGAAAGACCTGGACGACTCTATTGATAATTCAAATAGAAAAATAAATAAGTATTATTGTTATTATTATTTCTTTCAATAAAGTATTACTTACTTCACAGAATAATTTCAAGTCGAATGAACCAATACGTGGATTACGAGCAAATCCCATCCAGAAATCATAGAAAAAGTGACCGGACATACGTTCTTCTTCGTCCTTTAGCTTGGCTTGGATCTTGAGGAAAACGGTAAAGACGTAGGCAAAGAGGTTGATGGTGCTGAGAATGCTACCAAAGTTGTCGTAGAGGATGGTTGCTTTGATGAATCCAGAATAAACTAATGCGAAAGCAGCTAACATGGTAATCCAAAAGCATCTCCATCCATTGAGAACGTATGGCAATCTCTTTCCACCGGGAAGTGGTGTACCGAGCACGTTACGTCCTGGCACCAAAGCTTGGAGGACGACCTGGAAGAGGAACCAGCACGCGTAGATTGTGAACGATTTCTGAGTTGGTATGGCGTGTGTCATAACCTTCTCGTAGAGGGTGGCTCCGACCTCTTGGAAGCCGGCCAACGACAATTCGCGTGGCAACAAGAGGTAACCTTGGTTAAACTCCATCGATACCCATAACCAGTAGACCAATACTGGCAAGAGGAAAATAAGGAATGCAGTACCAATGGCTCCACCGAATTCATTAGCGGGTTGAATCTTCTTGAGATCTTCGACTTCCTTCAATTGAGCAGCAGTCATCTGTGAATTATTCTCTTGTTGTGGTTGTTGTTCACCACCAACAGAGGTTTTTGTTGTTCTCTTAACTGTAGACATTCTTGATTGGATATCTATTTTATTTTCTTTTGTTCGTTTATTACCTTTGAAACAAAAAAAATAATAATAAATATATAATTAAAAATGTTGTACAAAAAAAAAAAATAGTGATCAAAAAAAAATCTAAAAAGCCATCTTGCTTGAAGCTACCAGATGGATCACTTCACTTTAGTGACCAAAAAAATAAAATAAAATAAAATAAAATAAAATCAAAAAGGTTACTTTTATAAAATTAAAAAAATCTTTTTTATTAATGATTGATAATATACAAAACCAAGTAATACTAATCTCTTTAATCTTTGTTAGATTCTAGAATCTATTGAAACACTCTCAAACAAAAAAGAAAAACGACCGTTGGAAAGAAGTTCGTAAAAAAAATATTTTTTCAAAAAATTCAAAAAGTACTAGTACTCTTATTTTATTATGATTTTTTTTTACTGACTAGTATCATATTTATATCTTTTCATTATAATTATATACATTGATAGCTATCAATATAGTATAAAAACAACTAAAAAAGTAAAACATCAAAACAATAAACACAACAAACCAATAAAATATATATAAATAAAGATGTCTGGAATTGCATTGGCAAGATTAACAGAAGAGAGAAAGAATTGGAGAAAGGATCATCCTTTTGTATGTATGAATGACTTTATTTTTGACGCTTGACTCTATTGATCAATAGAAATCATTGTTATGCTTGATTGATCGATCAAATGAATAGATAGCATTTTATACTAATTTTGAATTAATGTATCAATCAATCAATCAACACAAACAAACAAACAATATCATTTAAATGTATACGACAATAGGGATTTTATGCTAGACCAAAGAATAATGCAGATGGATCAGCAAATTTGTTTATGTGGGAATGTGGAATTCCAGGTGTTACAGGTGTATGTGTACAAACAAACTTTATAGCAAACTTACACTGCAATTAGATTTGTTAGACATGTTTAGTAATATTTATAAATTCTATTATGAACTAAATTATAGACATTGTGGGAAGGTGGTGTATATCCTTTGACGATGGAGTTCTCAGAGGACTACCCAAGCAAACCACCAAAATGTAGATTCCCAAAAGATTTCTTCCACCCAAATATATATCCATCAGGTACCGTTTGTTTAAGTATAGTCAACGAAGATGGCAATTGGAAACCTTCGATTTCAGTTAAACAGATTCTACTGGGAATACAAGAACTGCTAAACGAACCAAACCCAAAGAGTCCCGCTCAACAATTAGCAATTACATTATTTATGTAAGTACCTAAATAATTATATAATCAATATCAATATCAATATCAATCAGAACATAGAATGAAATGACTTTTCAAACATAATAATTACAAAGTTTCGATATTGATTCTAACTTTTCTTTTGATATTTTTCTTTGTTATTTTTAGACACGATATGGAAGAATACAAAAAGAAAGTTAGAGAACAAACCAAACAATATCCTCCACCCAACTAAAAAACAAATTGCAAAAATATAGAAATAAACTATCAGTAGATAATCGATAACTTATTAATATTTATAAATTATCTTTGATATATAAATATTTGAAAATCTTTATACATTTTTAATTTATAAACGATGGCGAGTATGGTTTTTTTTTTTGTAAAACTTCCCTGACGGACGACCAACTTTTGTTGCTACTGGATTACAATATTGGAACACTCTTTCAATTCCTATAAATATAACAAAAATCGAATATTCCACCAACTCTCTGGTCCAGTTCAATAGATGTCTTTGTTTCATTGTCACACCAAAAAATATCAGCACTACCGTGTCATTACTAAAGAACAAAAACCACCCGCTCAGCATCAATAACAACAACATCATCGATGCCAACTGAAAAGAAATCTCTCTTCAATCACAAAAAGATCAAGAGCATCGGCATCAACATGAAAAGCAACAAAAAGTAGAACATCAATATCAAGAGAAAGAAAAGGGAATTAGAATAAACCACAGATGATGAATATCAGGACTATCAAGATGATCTTGTAACAACGGTACCGTATTTACGAAATCTGTCAATCGTATTTTAGTTAGTTTAATGAAATGGTCCTCCTTCAATGAATGAACATGAAAATAACAACCATTGTCAAACAGTTTTATCAAAAAAAAAAAAAAAAAAAATAGAAGTAATTTTATTAAAAAATAATTTTAAAATAAAGAAAAATAGATGTAAATTAAAGTAACATTGTTTATTTTATCTATTATAATACGAATAAACTAAATTCAAAGGAAATACACCATCACCAAGAATGAAATTGCTGTAAGAGAACTGAATAGATCATTTATGTATCTCCACCACCACCACCAACACCCCAAGTCACACACTATAACAAACAAGGTTATAAAATTAAATCAAAAAAAAAAAAAACCAAATTTGCACAAAAATGTTAAATTTTCATATAATTTTTGGTTTTTTTTCCATCATGTATATTTTTTTTTTGGGTAATTTTTGTCGTGTGACAATAACCCATTATACCCCTCCATTTTTCTTTATAAATAACTTATTCATATTTTTTTTTTTGAAATTCAAATACCTTCAGTTGTCATTACTGTAATCACATCTTATCTCATTACATCACATAACACAATCACTCTATTTAATATCATATTTTTAGATAATTATTTAAATAATCATCAATTTAATCAAAGAATCAAATAATTAATTCATTTTATTTTATTTGTTGGAAATTAAATAACAAATTATCATCAATAATAATATAAATAAAAAAAGATAAATATAAATAAATTAATAAAATTTTATTATGGAGTCTTGGATAGTTGCTCAAAAAAAGGTAAAAAAAAATAAATGGGATTTATTTTGTTATAATTTTAAAAAAAAAAAGAAAGAAAGATTAATAAATTAAAATTAAAAATATTGTATTGTTAACATTTATTTATCTAGGTATTTACAAATTGGTGTAATATATATCTTGGATTGAGACAACTCTCTATAAAAGAGATTGATAAAGAGTTTAAAGATGGATTGTTGTTGGCTCATCTTCTTGAGATTCTCAGTGGCAAGAATGTATTGGTTAGCAAGTGTTCCAAGCTAAAGAATCGTGTGCATCTCATCAATAATATCAACTTTAGTTTGAAGTTTATCAGTGATGAGGGTATCAAGTTGGTGGGTTGCGGCGCCGAAGATATCACCGATGAGAATCTCAAGTTGATCATGGGTCTCATTTGGACACTGATCAAAACCTATCAGATCCAGACGATTCAACAGAACACCACCGCCAATGCCAACCTCAACTCCAGTACCAACAGTGTGGGCTCACCCTACAAATCTAAACAAACGGCAAACGAAGCATTGTTAAATTGGACACGTCAAGAACTTAAAGATTATTCAAATATCCATATCACTGATTTTACAAACAGGTAAAGTAGCATTTGCTTTGCTAGCAAACTTGACTTAATAGTTAATAGCTACCAATTGAATTGTTACTAACTATTTTTTAATAGTTTTAAAGATGGTATCGTATTTTGTTCGTTGGTTCATAAATTAATACCAGAGGCAATCGATATTTCAAGTCTTCAAGCTGATCAAGCAATGTCTAATTTACAGTTGGCTTTCGACACTGCAAAGAAAGAGTTGAATATCCCCGCTATTCTTGAGGCCAAGGATATTATTGAATCACCGGATGAGCTGTGTATTATGACGTATCTCTCGTTGTTCCCCAAAGTCTACCAGAAGTTCAATGATCCAAACATCGCCAATAAGAGATTCTCTGTTTCTTGGTTGACACCTTCCGCACCTATCAATATGAGTGGTAGCAATAGTTCTGGTAATCTACTCAGCAACGGTGGTGGAAGTAGCGGTAATCTGATGAATCCAATCTCTCAGAGCGATAGCAGTAGTTCTAGCAGTTTAATTCAAGATTCAGTCAACTCATCATCGTTCACCAATGATACACTGAGTGAATCGAGTGGATCTGAGAGATCGGATTTAGAGGATTCGAAATCAGATCATAGCAGCAGTAGTGGCGGTCATGAAAAAGATGACAAAGTCGATAAAGAGAACGCTGAAAAGCTCAACAAGTTGAGTGAAGAGCTCGATAGTTTAAAGAAGATTATTGGTGATCTGGAGAAACAACTGGTCGATAAACAACATAATATCGAAACAATCGAAGATCAATCAAAGAAAACAACCAATCATTTACAGATACTACTCAATGGTTATTCCGATCAGAATGAATTGGTAGAGTTGATTCAGCATATCGAAAGTGGCAGTCCCAACTACAGTTTGATTAGTTCACTTAGCAAGCTGATGTTGGAGCGAACCGACAAGATCAAATCGCTGCAATCAGAGATTGAATCAATCAATCAAGATCTGACAAAGAACAAGAGTAGCTACGACGATGTTAGCAAGGAGTTGGACGAACTCCGACAGTTTAAGAATCAATGTCAGTGTACTACTTTGGTGGTTGTTTTGCAACAAAAGATTAAGGATCTGGAGAGTGATTTCCAATCGAAAGAGTCAGCACATCACGAAGCGCTCGGTACTGTTGAGAAGGATCTGGAACAGGCACAGCAAAAGATTGAACAGTTGAATGGCTGCATCGAGGAAGAAAGAGAAAAGTCACTGGTGTCTTTGGATCAATTGCGTGAGTCACATCGAAATGCTAATAATGATCTTCAACTCGAGATTGAAAAGAAAACCAATGAAATCAGTGAGAAGGATGAGAGAATCAAAGTACTTCAATCGGATATCGAAAGTGTAACAAATAATCTCAATGAGCAATCTTCAAAGTCGATTAAACAGTTGGAGGATTCGAATCAAGCGTTGATTGAAGAGAGAAAGGCATTGCTGGCAGAGAAACAAATGTTGGAGAGCGAGAAGGAAGAGAGAAGCAAAGTACATCAATCGGATATCGAAAGTGTAACAAAGAATCTTAATGAGCAGATGGATTCAAATCAAGCGTTGATTGAAGAGAAAAAAGCATTGCTGGCAGAGAAACAAATGTTGGAGAGCGAGAAGGAAGTACTTCAATCGGATATTGAAATTTTGAAAAAGGATCGAGATGAACAGATTAGCCAAGCAAAGGAACAGTCTTCAAAGTCAATTAAGGAGTTAGAAGATTCAAACCAGGCATTGATTGAGGAGAAGAAGGCATTGTTGGTAGAGAAGGAGGTTTTGGACAGCGAGAAAGAAGAGACAATCAGAGTACTTCAATCGAATATTGACAGTTTAACTAAGAATCTAAACGATCAGGTCAATCAATCAAAGGAGCAGAGTTCATTAGAAGATTCAAACCAAACACTGTTAGAGGAGAATAGAGCGTTGCGTGCAGTGAAGCAAATGATGGACAAAGATACAGAGGAGAAAGTCAGAGAACTGAATGATCAGATTAATCAAACAAAGGAACAGTCTTCAAAGTCTATTAAGCAATTGGAGGATTCAAATCAGGCATTGGAAGAGCAGAATAAAACATTGTTGGCAAAGAAGCAAGAGTTGGATCATGAAAAGCAAGAGTTGGTTAATGAGAAGAGTAAATTGGACAACTCTGTCAAGCAGTTGTCGGAAGAGGTCGATAGATTGAATAGAGAGAAGCTTTCAATAGAGGAAAAGGCAAATGATTCACTCAACTCCCAAGTAGAGTCAACCACCAAGAAGTTGTCAGAGGAGAGATTGATATTCATTGATCAGTTGGAGAGTCTAAAGGTGGAGAAAGATCAAGTTATCTCTAGTTATCAATTGCAGATCAATGATCTCAACAAACATGTAGAATCAAAAGAGAATGATCTGAAGGAGTTGAAGGAGAGTTGGGACAACGAGAAGCAGTCGTTTTTGGAGGAAATCAATAGGTTGAAAGAAGAGGTAGAGTCACTTGACACAATCTCTTCTGAAAAGTCGAGAGTAATTGAAACGATCAATCAAGAGAAACAGCAATTGGTATCAGGGCAAAATGATAATCATCAGCAACAGGTAAACGAGAAGGATGATCAAATTATCAAGTTGTTGGAAGATATCAAGAGACTGGAAGAGTCGCTTCTCAGCAACAACAAAGCAAAGGATTCTACAATCGAGAAACTGACGAAGGATAATGAAGAGAAGAGCCAGGCGTTTGAAGAGAGAGATGGCTATTCGAAATCGTTGGAATCACAGTTGATAGAGTCGAATGAGAAGATAAGAACACTTACAGAGAACACTGCTACTCTCGAGCAGAAAAGCAAAGATTTGGAGATGGTAAAGTCAGACTTGGAAAAGATGAGGGAGGCCTCAGTGGAATCGGAACAAAGTTTGGCAAACACCAAGAAGTTGTATGTAGAACTTCAGGCTGGCTCCAAGACACAATTGGATCGAAAGAATAACGTAATTCAAGAGTATGAGTTTAGGGAGAAGCAGATGACAGAGAAGCATCGCGCAAGAGAATCAGATCTGACACAACAACTCAAAGAGAGAAATGAGTGCTTCGATGAGAAGCTCAACGACTGCAATACACTCTTGGAGAAGAGAAATCAATTGGAAGACACTGTTGACGAACAGGACAAGATCATCAAGGATCTGAAAAAGGTTGTTTCTCACTTGGAGGAGCAGTTGGAGAAGTCGTTGGGTTCACTGAAACGAGAGAATACCAAGTATCAAGAGACATTTGAAGATGGAATCAAGAACTTTGCCAATATAGCTGACAAGATGACATTGGTTACAAAGCGATTCGAAGAGAGCGAGGAAATGGTCAGTCAAACACACAGCGCCAGAGAGAAAGAGTTGGAGACTGCTCTTCGAAATATTGTTTCTTTGAAGCAAATGTTGGATGACGAACGTGCCAAGACCAGTAAACTTGAGGAATCCTATCAATCTTTGCAATCCAACTCAATACCAAAGCAACAACATGACAGTGAGATGCAACAACAAAAGAAATCAATGTCAGATATTCATTCAAACCAAATCAACAAATTGAAACAAGAATATCAAGAACAAAACAAAAAACAATTGCAACAGCAACAACAACAACAACAACAACAATCATCATCGTCTGATACAACTGATCCTTTGGATGAATCAATTACCAATGAAGTTAGAAATCACCCATATTCTCAACTTCAAAAAGTATATAAATTGGCAAACAAACAGTATTTTGTCAATTCCAACATTGTCAATATAATATCAAAAGACAAGAAATTATATGGTAAGCATTAAGATAATTTATAATTCATTCTAAAGAATTTCTACTAATTAAATTTGCTTTCCAATTCAATAGCAAAATTTGATGAAAAGAAAATAGTTTTATTACAGGAATTATTTATAACTCCAACGTCCAAAGAATCGAAACTTCCATGGGGATTGATCATAGGTGGAATTGTTTTAGCCATTGGTATTTTACGCTACTTACCAATAACTCGTACTGCTTTCTCATAATCACAAATTAAATGAAATGAAATCAAATGAATTGAAATTATAATAAACTTTTGTATATATTTTACTAAAAATACAATAATAACATAAATATTAAATTTATGTATTTTTCTTTTTATTTTAATTATATTATTTTAATATTCGGTCTGACATTCATTTGATAAATTTGATCTAACTACAGATTCGATAAAGTGATCGGTTGCACAATGTAAATGATAGGCTTTTTGTGATTTGAAATATAGTTGACGTTTATTCTTGAGGTAAACTTCCCATATGATGAGATTTTGTTGTAATTTAATATGATCTATACTACTCCATTCGATTTCTTCAAGAACTTCCTTTTCATTTCCAGTAATTAATTTTATTCCATCGACGTTTATACATATAATTCTTTGTTGTGGCCCTAGAGGTGCAAGTTTTTTTCGTCTTATTTCGTCAGAATTTACATTATCTTTATTGTTATTCAAATATGGAGCGGAAGCATCTATCATTAATTGCTCCACATAGAATCTAGTTTCAGCCATTTCATTAAGATGTAATTTATCAAGTGTAATTTGTGAAGACGATGATTTTCTCTTGAAAAATTTAGATAAATTTACCATTTTATTATTATTATTTATTAAAATTATATAAATATATAAATATAAAGTATTATTACTACTAAAAAAGATAGTTTACAAAAATTTAATTAAATATAGTTTTGTTTTAAATAATAATTTACTTAAAATTTGCTATTTTATATTTTTTAAATTATTGTTTGTTGTTACTATTGATTTTAAATATTATCATGGAATGATACTATTAAATGGTCGACTGTTGTTTTTACCATTAAAATGTTTGATATTAAAATTAACAACTTGATAACTAATAAACTTTTCAAATCTATATACTCCTCTTTTTTTAGGCAGTTGAACCAAATCCAAATAAACAATCCAATCCATCCGTCAATCAATATCTCATTTACTCTAATATTGATGAATCAAGTTTCATACAAATCATTCATTCATTCATTCTTTCATTCTATCAATCAATCAAATAAATCAAACAACTCACCCCTTTGGATTTGGATTTGATTTGATTTGATCCATCAATTTTAAAATAATAACAATCATAATAATAAAAATAAAATAATAGTGTCTGAAAGATAGAATTAACATTTTGGATGTTTGAATGTGTGCTAACCAAAACTGAATTAAAACAAACCACACCAGAAAATCACAAATCCATCACAACTATCATACACACCTTTTTGAATGAAACGAATGATATTTGTGTGTATATATACAGTACTAACTGATCTTAATGTATATAAATAGCAGTAAAAACTAAATGTAGATAGTGTCAAGAATAACATTCGAAAAAAAGTAGTGATTAAAAATAACAACTTACAAAGGAGTTTTCTGTAATTCTTTGAGAAAAAAGATATTTTTAAAAAGGCAATACGACCCGATTTTTTTATCTGTTTGTATATTTAGTCCGTACGAATTAAAACATTTCTAAACTTAATAGAAAAATAGAAATAATATTGGATAAATTTTTGTAAGAGCCATCGCTATCGATCAAAATGATTAAAAGTACAAATAGTTTTTTAAAGATACTTATTTGTCAATTATAACAAATGTTATATAGTTTTCTGAAACTATAAACTCTGATTATTCTAAATTATATATATTATGTATAAATGAAATTTCATTAAAGAATAAGAAAAATTAAACAACTTAAAACAAAATTTCAATATAATATACAATTGCAAAAAAAAATAAAAAATTGAAATTTTATTTGAATGGGATTTCAAAAAACAAGATATTTTTGGTCATTTTGACCAGTTTTAATATTTTTTTGTATTTTGAAATTTTTTTGATCTTAATTAATTTTTATTATTTTTTTAATTTTTTTAGGTCTTTGAAGCTTAATCTCTCTTTTTTTGATTAACAATAATATTATTTTTATTCAACATTTTTTTAACCCCAATTTTTAAAAATTCCCTGTAAATTTTAACATTGATATATATTTTTATTACTATCGATATTTGTGTAAGTAACAATTGTTTTAAAAATAAAATTATTGTCTCTCTCTATTCCTCTCTTTGTTTTTCTTTTATTTCAAACAATAGATATCTCTTTCATATTATTTTTTTTTTCAATGTTAAATTGACTTTTTTATTTTATTTTATTTATTAATTAATTTTCAATTACAATTAAATTTTAATTTAGAAAAGATTCTATATATATATATATTTTTTGTTTGTTTTTTTTTTTAACTTTGTCATAATATATAGATAATATTCATATAAATATAAAATAATGGGAGGACCAAACGCAAATGGAGATGTATCTGCAGTGAATGATATCGAAGGTATTTTAGCACTCAATCCAACAGTAAATAAATTCGCTACATTCAAGCCAACCGTTATCTCAAAGAAGGACAAAGAGCATTGGAAGAAGAATGAACAATGTAAGACTGCCTGCGAGTTGAAGAACGATTTCTCAGATGTCAAGCCAACCACTCTGACTGAGCGTGGTGCACTCTTTGAGGCACAACGTTGTCTGAAGTGTGTGGATGCACCCTGCCAAAAGTCATGTCCAACCCAACTCGATGTCAAGTCATTCATCTCGAGTATCGCCACCAAGAACTACTACGGTGCCGCCAAGGCAATCTTCTCTGACAATCCATTGGGTTTGAGTTGTGGTATGGTCTGTCCAGTGTCCAATCTCTGTGAGGGTGGTTGCAATCTTGCTTCCACCGAGGAGGGTGCCATCAAGATCGGTGGTCTACAGCAGTTCGCCACTGACGTCTTCAAGAAGATGAATATTCCACAGATTCGTGATCCATCGTTGACTCCAATCGATCAACTTCCAGAGTCGTACCGTGCACGTATTGCTTTGGTTGGTTGTGGTCCAACTTCGATTTCCTGTGCCACTTTCTTGGCACGTCTTGGTTACACCGATGTTACAATCTTTGAGAAGGAGCAATACGTAGGTGGTCTCAGCTCTGCTGAGATTCCACAATATCGTTTGCCATTCGATGTCGTTGCATTCGAGGTCAAGATGATGACCGATCTCGGTGTCAAGGTTGTCTATGGAAAGCGTCTTGGCGCTGACTTTACTGTAGAGTCACTCAAAGCTGAGGGTTATGAGGCTGTATACTTGGGTATTGGTATGCCAGAGGCAAAGGTAGATCGTGTCTTTGAGGGATTGACTGTCGGTGAGGGATTCTACACCTCGAAGGACTATCTCCCATTGGTCTCCAAGGGATCAAAGCCAGGAATGTGTGGTTGTTCCGCCAAGCTTCCAGAGCTCAGAGGACGTGTCGTTGTTTTGGGTGCAGGTGATACCGCATTCGATTGTGCTACCTCTGCTTTCCGTTGTGGAGCATCGAGAGTAACCGTTTGTTTCCGTCGTGGTTTCAGCGATATGCGTGCAGTTCCAGAGGAAGTCGACATTGCCAAGGACGAACGTTGTGAGTTCCTCCCATTCGTGCTTCCAAAGCAAGTCATTAAGCGTGATGGAAAGATCGTTGCACTCGAATTCTACAAGACCGAGAAGGGTGACGATGGACAATATGCTGTCGACGAAGATCAATTCTTCCGTGTCAAGTGTGATTACATTATCTCTGCTTTCGGTAGTCAGATCGGTGAGGTTGCCGACGCTTGTAAGCCACTCACCTTTAACAAATGGGGATTGGCAGATATCGATACTCTCTCTATGCAATCAAAGGCACAGGAATGGCTGTTCTGTGGTGGAGATTTGGTTGGTAACGGTACAACTGTAGAGGCTGTCAACGATGGTAAGACAGCATCGTGGAACATTCACAAATACCTCCAATCACTCCACGGTATTCCAATCCCAGATCAACCACAGCTTCCAAATTTCTTTACACCAATCGATCTAGTCGATATCTCGTCTGATTTCTGTGGTATTAAATTTGAGAATCCATTCGGTTTGGCATCGGCTACTCCATGTACATCTGCAGCTATGATCCGTCGTTCATTCGAACAAGGTTGGGGTTTCGCTGTCACCAAGACATTCTCATTGGACAAGGATCTCGTCACCAATGTATCGCCACGTATCGTTAGAGGAACTACCAGTGGTCACCACTTTGGTCCAGGTCAAGGTGCATTCTTGAATATCGAGTTGATCAGTGAGAAGACTTGCCACTACTGGTGCAAGGCTGTCACTGAATTGAAGCGTGACTTCCCATCCAAGGTTGTAATTGCCTCGATTATGTGTGGATTCAACAAGGAAGATTGGCAAGAGCTTGCCAAGATGGCTGAGGCTTCCGGTGCCGATGCATTGGAGCTCAATCTTTCATGTCCACACGGTATGGGTGAGCGTGGTATGGGTCTTGCATGCGGTCAAAACCCAGACCTCGTTCTTCACATTTGTAAGTGGGTACGTGAGGCCATCAAGATTCCATTCTTTGCCAAGCTTACTCCAAACGTAACCGAAGTCAAAGAGATTGCTCTCGCTGCCTACAATGGTGGAGCCACCGGTGTCACTGCCATTAACACTGTCTCTGGTTTGATGAGTTTGAAGGGTGATGCCTCGCCATGGCCAGCCATCGGAAAGGAAAAGAGAACTACCTATGGTGGTGTCTCTGGTAATGCCACTCGTCCAATGGCACTGAGAGCAGTCAGCTCGATTCGTCGTACTCTTCCAGACTTCCCGATCATGGCAACTGGAGGTGCCGACTCTGCCGATACCTGCATTCAATTCCTCCACTGCGGTGCCGGTGTCATTCAAATTTGTTCCGCTGTACAAAATCAAGATTTCACAGTCGTTCAAGACTATATTACCGGTCTCAAGGCATACCTCTACATGCAATCGCGTGAGGATCTCGCACAATGGGATGGTCAATCACCACCACTCACACTCACACCCTATGCCCAGAGAAAGAAATACGATAACCTTCCAAGATTCGGAAACTACCTCAAGGACAGAATCAAGATGGAAGTCGAAGACAATCAAAAGAAGGACATCCTTAAGGAGCCCGCCCAACCAGTTGCTGGTGCATCAACCGAGGTGCCATCAGTCAGAGATCAAATCAATCGTGCCATTCCAAGAATCGGTGTATACAATGATTTGAACAACAAAGAACAAGTAGTCGCTCTCGTCGATGAAGACCTCTGTATCAACTGTGGTAAATGTTACATGACATGTAATGACAGTGGTTACCAAGCCATCAAATTCGATGCAAAGACTCATATTCCACATGTAACCGATTTGTGTACCGGTTGTAATCTATGTCTTTCCGTTTGTCCTATCATCGATTGTATTACTATGGTTCCAAGAAAGATCCCATATATTCCTCAACGTGGAATACCAGCAATTCAAACAAATTAAGTAATAGTAAAAAAAAATAAAAAAAGGAAACGATATATGTAAAAAAAAAAAAAAAATTATTATTTTAAAAAAGGGATTAATTATTATTATTTATTTATTAAATTATTTATTATGCTAACTTGTTACAGCTGTGTAGATATTATTAGCACTATTCTTTGTTTTCTTATTATTCTTATTATTCTTGTTGTTATTGTTGTTGTTTTGCTTTCTTTGAGTTTTCTTTCTCTTGTTATCTTTCTTAAGATTCTTGTCGTCTGGGTTTGGACCTGATGGCGCAACCAATTTAACAGCTTGTCCTTTTGCTGATAGTTCATCAAATAATTCAGTATTGTTCAATGTTGGAACTATTGTCTCTAATGATGGATTTGTAATTGGGATAACTAATAATGAAAATAAAAACCAAGTAGCTGTTAGATATCTAAAAGAATTTATATATAGATGTGTTTTGATATTTATCAACTTACGATTATTATTATCTTGGGCATGTTTAATTAATTCATACCAATCTGGATTTATACATAATGATTTCGAATTTCCAATGATTAACAAGGAAGATCTTGGTCTGGTAAGAGCTACGTTCATACGACGGACGTCAGCAAGGAAACCTATTCCTGCACCTTTCTCAGCGGGTGCTCTTACACATGAGAATATAATAATCTCTCTTTCTCTACCTTGGAAACCATCAACTGTATCAATGCTGATACCAGAGTAGTTTTTAAAGTACTCTCTCAACGAGAGTACCTGTTGACGATATGGTGAGATGATACCAATTCTGCCTGAAAATAGTTCATCTGGGTACGTCTTGAGGAGTAACTGATAGAGTTGCAGTGCCATTCTACACTCATCTTCGTTGAAGACCGATCCACCGCCTGGCTTGGTTTCAACAGAGAACGAGAGGTCGTAGAAAATCAATGGACCAAAGAATGGATTGGCGTGATAGTTGGTGGCACGCGATGGAATATTTGGACCGTCCTCGAGCAAGTCGTTGTAGAAATGTTTCGATGGGAATGCACGAATCGAAGAATGCATACGGTATTGAGTGGTGAGCATATGTGGTGTTCTCTTCTCCTGTAATCTCTGGAAAAGCGATTGGTCGTACTTTTGTTTGATTGCGATCGGCGAGATGATGGTAGCTGGCAACTGCTTTGGATCACCGACCAAAACAATCTTTTTACACTTGTGTTGCATTGGCACCAAAGTCGATGTCTCCACGGCTTGTGCAGCCTCGTCAATAATTACAATATCGAATCCATTCATCTTCATCAAAATCGAGGAACCACTGAACGAAAGGGTTGTCGCAATGATCTCTGCATCCTCCAAAACCAGAGTTCTAATTGAGTTTGTATCTAAACTTGATTTTGGTGAGGTGGTGGCGACAGCGGTTGAAGCGGACGACGATGGAATCGCCGAGTTTGAATTCATCAACTGTTGTCTGCAACGAACCATATACTCGAGAGTGACTGGCTCGACATCCTGATGTGAACCAGGACCTACACGAACCAAGTTTGGTCTATAGGACTTTCCTTCGTGATTCAAAAGACCGTCTCTGATCAGACGAGTAACGATTTCATCGACAGCACCATTACTTGGCGCGCACAACAAGATTCTCTTCTTTCTAGCGATATTCTTGGTAGTACCGGTCTCTCTAAGTTTTCTCCAGAGATCTCTCTTTCTTCTTTCTTCTTTCTCTTCAAAGCTGTAATCAATCAAAGTATAATCATCTCTAATATTCTTAAATCCATTCTTTAACCATGGTTGTGAGCTATAAAATGAAATATAATCAGTAAAATGAATAATTTGATTGTTTGAATTTGAAATCATATGATAATTACATTTCCCAACTTTCAAGTTTTTCAAACTCATATAGCTCTCTGTGAACTAACGATTCTTTCTCTTCGATGACATGCTTTGGTACTTCGGTACTGTGAAGTAAAACACTCAATAAACCAACGATTACATGTGTTTTACCTGTACCTGGTGGACCTTGAATCAATGTAATATTCGATCCAGAGAGAGCTGATGTCAAAGCACCAAACTGTGATGGATTATAAGATGATTCAAACTTTTCTTTTAATGCTGGTGGAATTTTCATTGGTACACCTGGTTCCTAATAAAATGATAGATTGTTACAATTATTAGTATTTGAAAAGTAATGATGATGATGATCATGATCATGATCATCATTGTTTGTTGTTAAATACATACTTCATCATCTGCCAACAATAGAGTTTTCATAAATGAAGTTTTAGCTGTTGTGTAGAGTGCAAGATACTCTCTCTGAAGAGTTGAACAATTGCAAAGCTTGGTTGTCCACCAATTCATTTCGTAACGAAGCAAAAGATTCATTTGTCTGCCTCTCTCACCGGGGATGTTGGTCAAACAGAATCTCACTTTGATTCCACCCATTTCAAATTGCTCGACGGTTCCAACCAGATGAAGATAACGATTGGCGTCGGTGACTTCAATTTTTGACGGTGGAATCACCTTTTTCTTCTTCTTCTCGGTGGTATAGACCTTGTCTGGATCTTCGCCGGCCGCTGCCGATGCGCCAGTGGACGAAGCGCCATTAGCACGATCGACAACATTACTTGGATCTTCGTCGTCTGTTATCTCTTCATTCTCATCGCCACCGAAAAGAATCATTGGATGATGCAGCGAAATCATCATCAAGTCGTTCTCATGGAATTGATACATCTCATTCTCCTTGGTCATGACCAATCCGACGTCCAAAAAGTCGGAATTCTCTGAAATGTAACGAACTCTACTAAAAACCGGTTCATTCTCAACATCGTTCTTCTCGCCACCCTCCTCAATCGATCGCTCCAACTGTGCTCTACATTCCTCCAAGAGTAACGGTTCGAATGTATCAATATAATCGTGTCTATCTAAAAACTCTACTTTTACTGGTTTCAACAGTTTCTCCTATAGTTTTGATTTGAAAAAAAGTGTGATTGATTGATTGATTGATTGATTAATAATTGATCATCATCATCATTATTATCAAGATTATTATATATTTACATTTGCTCTCAAATTTGATACATCCCAAGCTAGAATCTTTCTATAGAACTGAGCAATGATTTGATCATTGCTCATTTTATCTAATGGATCGACACTGAGTTCTTCATCTTTATCATTGTTTTTATCTTTATCTGACATAACTAGTTTTAGTTTGTCAGTCTCAATCTACTCTATCTTCTCTACTTTGATGACTGAATTAGATTGTCTTGATATGATTGATTATCTTTATTCTTTATTCTTTATTTTTGTTTTAACAACTATTTCTTTTAAAATTTATTTTGTTTTGTTTTTTTGTAATGTAAAAACTATTTTTGTTATTTTGATATTTATATTCTATATGATTCTATGTATATATGTATATTACTTTACTAATATTATAAAAGTAAAGTTTAACCTAAGATAAAAATAATGATTTTTATTAATAATTGAAAATATATTTAAATTATTATGTTTAAAAAAATTTTTTAAAAAGGGGCTTTAAATCGAGACACACATCAAAACAGTTTTTACAAAAATTTTCATTTTTTTTTATTTTAATTTTCTCAAACTTTTTGTGAACCAACCAATTATCTCTTTCAAAATTACTTTGTTTGGTAATTAACCAAAGAATGACATTTTAATTTTAATTTCAATTTTTAGATTTCATAACCATCTTCATTTGGATCATTCCATTGATCGATTGATAAAGACAATCCAAATAAAATAAAATAAAATAGGACTCTATTAGTTTTGGTGTTAGATAATTTGTGGTGTTGATATATTTATTCATTTTATTTAGTGATTGATTCACGGTGCTGATATAATATTATATTATCTCCACTCCCTTTCCCCTATAAATCATGATTTATTTCCATTGATTATTTCCAAAACTGAATGCTTCCCAATTTCTCTTTCGAAAAGTGTCAATGTTTGTCGGTGCTGCAATTGTGATGTTGTCTTTTTATTTCAATAGGCATTCTTTTGACGGTCGGTTCCAGTTTTGCACAAGAATTCTTCTAAAAAGTGTATTTTTTTTTTTTCGCTTTAACAAAAAAAAAAAATCTTTTTAATCATTTAAATTAAAATATATGTTATCTTTCTTTTTATCAGATGTCATTAAAGAGAAAGGATTTAAATGTCAATAAGCTCGAATCAGCTGAAAAAGATGAAAAAGATCAACAAGTAGACAACAATGTTGATGATTTAGATTCAGGTAGTGTCAAGCAAGTTTTGAAGAAAAAGAAAAGCAATGATATCATTGATAAAAATACTAGTACTGCTGCTGCTACTAGTAGTAAGAATGAGTCATCGATATTAAATCTAATAGATAGCAATCGGAATAATAATAAAGATGTACAGACACCAAAGAAAGCAGCATCTTCAATCTTTCATAATTTCACACCTTTGAAATCAACGATATCAGCGGTATCACCTTTCAAGAATGATTTCATAGGTATACTCTCAACAAAGAAACAACAAACCAACAACAACAGCAACAACAACAATAATAATAATCAACCAAAGAGTATCAATAAATCAATGCTGTTCAAACCGAGTGTTGCCAACATCTTTATACCCGAGTCACCAATGAACATCAAACTTAAACCAACTCAAAAGATAAGATCACTTAAACAATCATCCAATGATCTACTATCGAAATTCAAACAACAAGAAGATACTGATATGAATGATGATTCAGAGGAGCAAGAACAACATCAACAACAAAACAACTTGACAAAGAAGATTAATGGTAGAAAAAATCTATCTGTATCATCACCTAATATAATATTTAACTTTGGAAATAATAGTAATAATAATGAAGAAAAAGAAGATGAAGGAGTACAAGATAATAATAGTAATAATAAAAGTGAACAGCAGTTATTAGATGAAATGATAAATAATATGGAAATGAAATCAATAGATAACATAGAGAAGAGTCAAGTTAATAAGTTATTATACAATCAGGTACCAGAGTCTATACATTGCAATGAATTACCTCTCGATCAGAGTTTAAAAACACAGATTACAATCACATCACCAACCATCGATTTCAGAATGTACAACGATTCACTCACCGATTCATCAATGCTATCAAGATTAATTGGTTGTAAACAGTCAAATCAACAAAATTCACAATCCAACATCAATAATAATAATGATATTAGTAGTAGTAGTAATAGTGATAATAGTAAATTAGAAACATTCTTATCATCTTTAATACATTATATATCACCTTCAAATACATTACCATGGGATACTCAGAATGAAATCGTTTCAAAAGATCCATTCAAAATGAAATGGGTAGAGGATCGTTGGAAAGAATGGTAATTACTTAATCTTTATTTATATATATGTACATCATCTTTTTATTTTATTAACATTTTGTTTTATCTATAAAAATAATAATAATAATAGGGAATTAAGTTTTGATTCACTTTTCAATTCATATTTAGTTGGATCGGTTGATAATTTCTATTTGATACACGGTGAATGGTCTTGTTTGTTTATGTATTTGGATGGTGTACACTATGCCAAGATCAATCCAACGAGCAAGAAGATGAGAGATTTGTTGAGTGATGATGGAATTGAATGGACTACACCATACCTACAGTCTAACCAGGTAGAGGAAGAGAGGATATCTGTAGAGTTACTTCAGGAGCTGAAAGAACTCTCAAAGAAAAACAAGTCGAGCAAAACGGTCACAAAGAAACTCGATCCATCATACTACCAGACACCACGTTCCTCTACGATTGCGCTTGTCACCGGAATGGAAGATATCGTTAAACTCGGTCATTTCTTCAAGTCAAAACTTATTTGGTCAAATAAATTACACGCCAAACTTAATGATACCAATGGAAATGGAAATAACAACAATAACAATAATAATAACTCTGTTAATCATTCAACAACATTGTCGAGATCTGTGCAATTGAATACATTGTTCACCCCAAGGAAAATCAACAAACAAATATCACAACAACAGTTGCAAAACGATGAAGATCTGACTGCCAATGAATCACAATACTATCTATTGAGCAAAGATGTACCGATTCTACTATCTAAGCAACCGTTCAACGGTGGAACTCTTAGACTCAATAGAATTCTCTCGAATGAAATCTATACGAAACTGACAGTGTCCTCCTCACAGCCAGGATCGAACGATGGCGAAAAAGGTTATAAACTGGAAATCGATGGTCCACTCACACCCGATAGCTGTAAGAATCTATTGGAGTTGATGACCACTCACAAGCAACCGTATCAATGCCAACAGTATACAAATGAAACAACCTATGGATTTAACAATAACTCGCTACAATTGGGTCGTAATGTTATTCGACAACTTCAATATAATCCAGTTAAAGTTGAACAAAAAAAGAAATCTAAATCTACAACATCAACAACAACAACAACAACAAATTGTTTTACAATAAATCCAGTTGGTTAAATATATAATGAATCAATTCATAAGATTGATTTGATTACTTTTATTATTAATATTATCTAAATTATAAATTCTATATTTGTTTTTGTCAGTTTGTTACTCTGAAAATAGTTACTACTCTCGAAATGTTTTGTCTGCATAATGGACAAATCTTGAGTTTACCAGAGCATTTGGAACAGCAACTAAGATGTCCACATTCTAAAAATACTGTATTAATTGGGTTGTCCATACAAACTACACATAGATCTTTGTCACTCAATCCGCCTTCGACTACCTCTTTTGTTTTATGATGATGATGATGATGGTGTTCTTTCTCTTTCTTTTTCTTTTTCTTTATTTGTGCAACTGGAGAACTCGATCCAGCCGATGTGCTTGCAGGTGATGATTTAACTGGTGATCTCGAAAGGAATGCCTCGCTGATGAAATTGGCATTCGGTGAGCTCGAAAGTACAACAGTGCCATCTGCTTGTTCGTCCATCGGTGGACTACTACTTCCATTGTTGAAGTTGATGGTCGGTATCTTGTCGCCACTGCTCTCGCTGCTGAGCTGACTGTTGGTACTTCCATTGCTATTGTTACTTCCATCTCTTTGGTGTCGTGATTTAACATTGAGATGCTGGTCCGGTCTTAAAAGTTGTTGATTTTGTACATTGTTGTTGTTGTTGTTGATTGTTGAGCTAGTAGTCGTAGTAGTAGTAGTAGTAGTTGTTATTGGAGGGGGGATGCTAGTCAATGGTTCATTGTTTGGCTGACCCTCTGGAGATTGAATCATAGGGGAATGAGGAGGGAATAATGAAGCGTCGACAGGTCCAATGGCATACTTTAGCTTCGACGAAAAACTAATGACAAACTCTGTGAGATTACTAAATACATCGGGTGGTTGAAGTAGAGTCAGTCCATTGGAGACTGGATAGAGCAGGCAGTGTCTAATGTTACAGGAATTCTCGACAAATGTTACAGCAAAGGCACCTGGATATGTCTTGCTGAATCTAATGATATAGTGACCAGCTGATTTCTTATCCAAGAATCTGGTTGCCTCCACACCAGAAATGAATCCACTCATTGTCCTATTATTATATTTAAATGAATATGAATTAGATTTGAATGCTATAATATAAGTATTGAATTCTGTTCTGAGGGTGTGATATTTACTTTGCTTCGATTGTCTCGATTACATTGTTTAGTGATTTCGATAATGGACCAAACCATTTCAAAAACGTTGAGAATTTATATGTACTAACAAAGCTATCCTGTGTGAAATCTATTATGTGCTTGAGATTAACTTCATAGTCCGATGCTTTAACATTCAAGAATGTTTGTAATTTCTCAAAAAAGTGTGACCATTGAATAAATATAATCTATATACAATACAACATCCATAAATAATTAAGGTTATTATAGATTTTAGATGGTTTTTTTACATACATTCTTTCCAAATCTTTTCTTCCACATTTCTTGTGCTTCTGCTGATAATAATTGAAGTGAATTTGATTCTTCATTATTACTTAATGTTGAATGTTGATTGTCATTACTATTACTATTATTACTATTGTTGTTGTTTTTATTGGTTGTATCATTGTTGTCAGCCACTGGAAAGAGAGCAAGATGCTGGTCAACCGATTGCTTCACTAGTGAATCGTTCTTCAGTATGGTTGCAATGATTTGTGACAGCTGATCTCTAGACAGCGATTTACTGTGTTGTAATGACTTCATCTCGGTTAATGAACTAAGCAGCTGATTCAAGAGTGTATGAATTCTGCTGATACTGATCTGATAGCATACATCTCTATTGCCTATTGTGATCTGATTGATTTGCTTTTGATACTCTGCTTCCTCCAGATTGATAACTATCGACTTGTAAAGCTGTAACGATGTCTTTATAAACAGATAGGTATTGTTCAACTCTGAGAACTCACTATCACTTAAAAGATTCGATCTAAACTCTACCAATAGTTTACCAATAGATTCAATCATATTTAAACATATTGTAATTAAATTTTCAACCAACTCTTTACTAATATTATCATTACTAGAACTGCTGTTGCTATTGTTGCTGTTGTTGTTGTTACTATTAGTTTGTTGTCTTACTTCTTTAAAAGTAGATGGTATTGTTAAAAAAGAAGGTATATTATTAGCATTGTTATTGCTATTATTATTAATGTTAATATTCTGAGTAATTGAATTACTATTATTAATTCTACTTGTATTGTTTGTGCTAATGTTATTGTTATTGTTATTGCTACCGTTGCTGTTGTTATTGTTATTGTTGGTAATTATATTGTTTCTACCACTATTGTTGTTGGTAGAATGGTGTACTGACTTCATTTCTAGCCTTTACTTTACTGATGTTTTATTTATATCAGCATTATTTATAGAATAGATAGAAATATAGATCGATTGACAAGTTTGATAAAAGAATCGATTTAACAAATCATCAATATTAATTAACTAACTAATCTATTATTATTATATTAACTTTAAAAAAACTAAATTTAGTTGAATGTAATCTTGAAATTTAATTAATTTAAATTTAAAAAAAAATAAAATAAAAAAACTAAATTTAAAAAAACAAAATAAAAAAAAGAATTGAGAAAAACAAACAAATAGACAAAAAAATATAGAATTTTAATGAAATAATATTCTTTGTTTTTTTGTTCTGTTGTTGTGTTCTGTTAGCAATCGATTCGAAAAGCTATCTATGTTCTCACACGAAATTGTGGTGGTCCTAGTAAAACAAAACAATCTACATTTCATTGGTGGGGGGTTTTTCTGTTCAAACACTATTGCAAAATCTCTAGGGAGAGTTTGAAATGATAATAAAATTTCAAAATTTTCACAAAATTGTGATTGATTTTATTGTTCCTTCCAAAATTTTTCCATGTTTTATGATGTTTGAGCATTAGCAATTATGCTATAACTGGAAATTTATATGAATATTTATAATGTTTAGAGAATAAACTTAAGAATCTTTCAATTTTTCAAAGATAAAATTTGATTTTGTTTTTTATCTCAATTTCTTATTTCTATTTTTACAAACATCTTTCTAAAGTACAATTGGTTATTGTCATATCAGCCATCATTTAACCATTAAAACCCATTTTTATGATAAAAATATTAAAATCTTCTTTTTGGAAGATTTTTCTCTTAAATAAAAAAAAATAAGACATTTAAATGTTCATTACAAAACAAAGATAGATTGATTCTAAAACTAAACAGTATTGAATATTCATATGTACCAACTAGATCTATATATTTTATTTTATTTTTTATTTATTTTTTGTAAAATATGTATGAACTTCAACATTTGGTATATTACAATGCAAAATCATATTCAATTAATAAGTTTAGTGTTATTGTTGTTGTTTATTCACTGTCCATCTTTTTATCTTTAATATTAATATACACCCTTAATGGTGTTTATTAGCATACTATGGATATTTGTAATTGTAGATCTCTATAGATTATAAAAATAAATTAAACATTTCATTCATCATACAAGTATTTTGAAAGCAATGACAGATCTTGTAAAAAAAAAAAAAAAAATATTTAATTAAAGGGTACAATTCGTTACTCTTGTATCGATATGGATTGAGGGGTAGTAATATCATTGTTATTCACTTCCCTAAAATATGAGAATTTTTTTGTTTTTTTTTTTTAATTTTTGAAACCCAAATGTGGTAAAAAATATCTTAATATAAAGAGGTGTATACAATGTAACACTATTACCATGTTTTTTTGAGAATAAGTACAAAGAGTGGGGGTGTGTTATTACTATTCATGAAATGAGAAAACGACTATGTTTTTTTTTTTCATACAAGCAAAAAAAAAGAGATTAAAAATGAATTTTATTTAATTATAAGATATTGTTATTGTTTTGATTTTGGGAGTGTTGCGTTTTGGTGATACTCCATTTTTGTAGACAGTAGTTTTTGAAAAACACCAACACATTTCACACAACAACAGTAGTATTCTATTTATTTAAATTTATTTATTTATCTCTATATTTATATGTAACTATCGTTTATTTCTTCCAATCTTTCCATTCAAACATTTTTGTTACTGAATAGTAGTATTACTAATACAATAACAATTTTTTTATTCAATAATATTACTTTCCTTACTTACCATTAAATTGAACAAACAAACTGTTTATTGTTGTACTACTATTCTATTCCTAAACACTATATTAAAATTTAATAAATACATTCAATACCAAAGTGTTAATATTTGTTTTTAAAAAACAAACAATTTCACCTTTTTTTTGCATTTTAATAATTTATTTATTTATTTTTAGTACTACCTCTGTCAGTACTAGTTCATATATAAAATATCATATTTATCTCCAGCAATAAAATAATAGGAATAGAATTTCTGTAAATCAATCAATATATTTTAATCATATCTATTAATATTGGTTTACCAAAATATCTTATCGCTTGTCTCATCCCACCCACCCCTTAAATATCCATTCAACAATTGAAATCAATTACTATCAGCAATTATTTTTCATTCTAATATCAATCAAATAATTTATTACTACTTTCATTCAAATCCAATTAAATATTATTAATATTTTTTATTATTATTATTTCATTTCTTTGCCATTTATCTTTATCTATATAGAAATAAAGCTAAACTAATGAATATTACTTAATATATATTGGATATTTATTTTATTGTATTTATTTATATTTTAAAAATTCTACACTTGTATTTATTATTATAATATTGCAAATTGCACTTTGTGAACCTTCTATTTGTTCATATTTTATGTTAAACCATATATTGTATATACTGTAAAAAAAAAAAAAACCAAGAAATGTTAATTGAATGCAGATTTTGTTTGGAGGAATTGGAAGTTCTTGAAGTTCCTAAGATCAACCACAACAACAACAAGAAAGGAGAGTCCTCTTCGGATGAAGAGGATTCAAATGGTGCAGAATTGTTTCCCTCCAGTCCAGAGTCAACAAAGAAATCATCGTCGGATTTCGGTGGATATCTAGAGTTGACACCAGTTTATCAGTCAAAGAGAAAGAGAAAGGATATTGGAAACAGATTGGTACGTCCCTGTGCATGTAAGGGAACTCAAGAGCATGTTCATGTCAAGTGTCTGTGCGAATGGATAGGAAAATGCAATAAATGGTACTGCACCATCTGTCAGCGTGTATATAACCTGTCACCGTCGCAGCTGCACTATTGTGTCATCAAACTGCAACGAAAGGGTGCGCTCAAGAATCTTCCACCTATCTACTCACACTCGGATTTCTCGAGATCTAGTTATTTCGCGCTGTTGGTGTTCATGGGTACTCTGAGCATGCTCATGCTACCATCAACGATACCGCAGCATACAATACGGACAACAACCACAACCACAACTACAACCACCACTTCGTCTTCGGGATACTCTTCGTCTTCCTACACTGTTTCCACCTCTAGCTATTCATCGTCTCACTTCAACTCCAATCCAACTACGTCAGCGCCTCTCATAACGATTTACCCAACACTTCACTCCAATTGGGAATCAAGCTTTCCCTATTACAACTCACAGCTCTCCACATTTTTCTCATCGTGCAAAGTAGTTACACACCAGCCATTCCCAATAAACTACAACAACCACATACTGAATCAAAAGTTTTCCTCTTTAATTTGCGAACCTTCATTTACACTGCCAGGTCTAAGGAATGAGTACAAACAACCGATTCCTTTTATGCTTAGAAACCTAAAGAAATCCTATCCTAAAGAGATATTCGGTGAACTAATGGATTCATTTTGTAGTTTATTCCCTATTTGTTCAGTGGGAGAATCAACATCTCTCTAGATAACCAAAAAAAAAAAACAAAATATTAATATAGTAAAGATAAAAAAAAAAAAACTAGTTTAAACAAATGGAAATATTATCTAGAAAATATATATAGAATAAAAAATAATATATATAAATAAACTATTAGTTTATTATTATAAACATTACATATATGATATAAATATATTTACGAAATTATTTTATTTATGAGTTGTTTGTAAAACTACATATATTCTTCTTCTTTATGGTTTGAGTGCTACCAATTCATTCTCTTCGTGCATCTCCTTTACAATATCGTATCCACCAACCAAACTACCGTTAATATATAATTGTGGGTAGGTCTTCCAGTTTGAATATTCCTTGAGACCCTCACGTACCGCTGGGTCAGCCAAGATGTTGAATGAACCAAATGAAAATCCGTCTTTGTTGAGAATTGCAACTGTCTTTGAACTGAATCCACATTGTGGTGCTTCTGGTGTACCTTTCATAAACAACATCACTGGTTGTTGATTGACCAATGAATGTAATCTCTCTTTCAATTTCTTCTTTTCCTCTTCCTCTTGTTCCTTGATACGACCCAAAACCTCTGCAGATGGTGTAGCAGCGGCTGCACCTGAATCCTTTCCATCGTCTGCTTTAGCGTGATGCTGTAACGACTTCATTGTCAAAGCCGATGGATCGGCACCAACCAACGAATCTACAACTGTCTTCTCTTTAACAAAGAAGAATGATGGTACAGATTTAATGTCATACTTTAATGATATATCAGTTGTTTTCTCTGCTTCAATCTATAGGTACATTATATACATTAATATATATATTAATTATTAACAATGTTAAGTAAAAGTAATAATATATTTATATTTAATATCTATACCTTTACAAACTTTAACTTTGGACATTGTGTAGCTAATTGATCGACTATTGAGTTCATAGACAAACATGGCTTTGACCAATCTGCCCAAAAATCTAAAACTACAAATCTATTATTTGAAAGTACTTCATTTAATTGATCTAATGTTGTAATTGTAATCGACATCTTTAAAGAATTTATGTAATCTATATATCTTGCAATGCTAACAAAAGATTAAAAGTTGACAAAAAATTTTTTAAATTAAACTTTAAAAAAAAAAAAAAAAAAACAAATTTTAATTAGTTTTCATTTTCAGAACATAATTCTATCGAATGAATGATAGATATATTCGTCACAAAATTATTCTTTATTATTTTTTTTGTAAAAACGATTGTAAAAAACTTAAAAATAAATATATTTCCATCCAATCTTTATATATATTAGTGATAGAGATAGAAATAATTGATAAAATTTAAATTATTTGATTATAATTTTTTTTAAAAATAAATTATTATTATATAAGAAAAATAGTAAATCTAAATGGCAACATTTCTTATTTTGGTTATCATAAGTTCATCTTGTCCTATTATTAGAGGTGATGATACCGATTTGGCGCGACCACGTACAATCTCGGAAGGTGATCCAACCACCAATACATTTGCATCGATACTGATGCTTGAAACTGATACCAAACGATCGGATGGTTTGGCGATGTTCTCTCCAATCATTGAAACAAATTTCTTGGCAATCTTATCGTCATTCATAAAATATAATGTTGGTTCGAATAATTCACATTCACTAAGACATAATCTATTATTGTATCTTAACTATTATTGATTTGTTAGTTAATATATTTAGAATTAGAAATATAAAATAACAACAATCTGTAATTAACACTTACCATATCTATTCTTGTATATAATATCTTTCCTTTCTTTCCAACATAATCCATAATTGATTGAGCAATATCTATTTCATCCTGTGTTAAATTCTTATTCTTTTCATAGGTACCACCATAGTTCTCTTGTACTCTAAAGTCGTCTTTCGATGGATGCTTGACAATGGAATGTGAAAACTTCTTGTTGAAAAAGATGAAAGAAGTTTCACCATCTGATTGAATCGTTTCAACAAATGGCTGTATTATCATATCAGAGACCTTGACTAGATTCGAAAACTCCTGTTGATAGTCAGACCAATTGTCGAGAGTGAATTGATAGGTACCATAGCTACTTGCACCAACACATGGTTTCAACACGAATTTATATTGATTCTTGTTAAACTTTTTCAATTGAATTCCCTCCTGTGCATATTGAAGCAGTGACTTGGGAATGGAGGTACTCTCAACGAAAAGACTTGGAACAATTGAAACACCGGCCTGCTCTAGCTCCTTGAGATAGTTCTTATTCCAATTCCAACGGATAATATTGAAATCATTTAGCACTTGAATTCCAAGCAATTCAATCTTCTTCATCCATCTCTTGAAAAGTTCAAACTTGTGGACATAGTCCCATACCGAACGAATGATCAATAGATCAAATGATTGCCATTGAACTTCATTGTCGTCCCAAATGCAGTATTCACACTCATACTGGTTGATTGCATTTTTGACCATGATGTGATCGTCCTCATCGAGATTTGGGAATGCTGTACTAGTTACAAAACCGATTCGTTTTACTCTACCGCCAGAGTGAGAGTTGGAAAAGTAATTTTTAGAATTAATTGTCATTTTATTCGTTGACTTCACAAATGTGTGAAAAGTTGAACTTTTATTATTTGCTATTGTTAATGAAATTGATTAATTAAGTTGTTAAAAAAAAATAAATAAAATATATTAAAATTAAATAAATAAATAAATAAATATCAACTATAAACTACAAATATTGGAATTTGAAAACAATTAATTTTAAAAAACAAAATATTAAAGTATTAATTGTTGATGGTTTGTAAAAGCAACTGGCTGTTTAAAAACAAAGAGTTCTATAGATAACTAACCAAATTCAGTACTCAATTATCTGGTTTGTATCAAGTTGGATATATAAGACTACTGCAGAAATAAGATTATTAAAATTAGATATAAAAAGTTGTAGAATATTGGGGTGATTGGTGTGTTATGTGAGTTTTTCCAATTGTCTTTATGATATGATATGATATGATATGATACAGTGTGTTTAAAAAGACAAAATAATAAATATTTTGATTGTTTTATTTTATTTGATTAGGATTTAATTGTTTAGTTATTTCATTAATAATATGGTGGTTATGTTTGATTATAATAAAGAGAATGAGAGAGTGATAGAGTGATCAAAGTAAAGAAAAATAAATAAAAATTAAATCTTATTATATTAATTTGGTATAGAAGGAATAAGAATATTTAAATATTGATGATGATGTAAATATTTACATAAATATAATTGAAATGAAATGGTTGTTTAATACTCAATTCGACCCTACCTCTTTATATATATGGATTTCTTTTCATTTTATTGATATAAAGATTTATATATGATTTTTTTTTTTGATTAAAAGAAAAAAAAAAGAAAGGTCGTACATTTGATATGTGGTGATTGATATCTATTTTATATTAATCAAATCAATGATGGTGAGATTGATATGGATATCCACCATCCCAAATCAATTAGAAAAGATTGAAAGTAGTTGTGTCCTTTGGAGAACACAATGTTTCTTTTAAATTCATTTTTTAAACTTAACTTGTGAGTGATTTATTTAAACTTTGATTGACATTCCAATCTGAAATACATATAAATTACCATATCAGTTCTTAATAGTGATTTTATCGTTGTCATTAATGAATTATTAAATTTAATGTATTAATATTAATACAATCTCCATGGAGGATGAATTAACAGGAGAGAAGTAAAGTAGTCGCTCTTTTAGGCAGTCTATCAAGGAAGGGTAGGTAATGTGTTAACCACATTTATAATATAATAATAACAATAATAAATATGAATGATTTTTGTTAAAAAAAAAAAACAAAAACAATTTAATTGTATGATTTTGAAAACGAAAAGACTAATAAAAAAAAAGTGGGGATATTGAATAGAAGCATTTTTATCTGTATCTTGATCAATCATTTTAAAACACAAAAAAAATTTTTGATTTGAAAATTTAAAGTAAAAAGAAATTTGTTATGTGTACTATATCCTGTTTGTACGTGATTTTTGCTTATTAAAAGTACTAATGGATTTATATAAAGACAAACAAATCTTATCTATATTTTATCTTTAAATCTCAATAATGTTTGTTTTTTTTTTTTTTTTCAATCTCTTGCTTCTTTAAGTTATGTGCTAAAGTTTGAGGGTTTTTCTTAATTTTTTTTGTAATCATCATACAGATATTTTTTTTTTAATCTTATTCCTCATTTTTGGGACCAATCGCATCATTTGCAAACTAATGACTTTTTATTTTTTGTGTAATCGCTATTATCTTATCTAGATTTGTTTGAAATGAGTTTGGTCCAATGAGCATACAGAGTCAATCAAGTATTCTCTTATTATTAGAATAAAAAGTTTTGTTTTATGGTGATTGATTATTATGAGACTACTTAAGCATGCACTTACGTTATTCAACTTCTTTATGAAAAGTATTTGTGCTCTATACCATCCTACTCAGTACATATTTACTCTCAGACTTATTAGCCTTTCTTTAGGTATCTCTTTATTACTACTTTTTCTTTTATTGATTATTGTTAGTTTTTGATATGAGTCTTTTTTTTTTTTTTTTTTGCAAAAAATCGACTGATGTTTCCAAAAGATACTGATACCAAAAAATGATTATATTAAGTTATAGTTTGATTTAAACCAGAAGTGACCGACATAAATGTTGCACAGGACTCTGCTGGAGTCAAACCTAGTGGTTCTAACTCTTTCTTTGAGATGTTATAGAGAAATCCTTTGGAACAGGTCGATAGGTTTGACTCTAGTAAAGTATTCTGCAACAAAAACAGCAAGAAAAGTGTTAATTAATTGTAGAATTAAAAATTACATTAATACACAATTAATTGTATTACTTGTTCACTGTTTCCAATCATTAATAATGATCAACATTTTGTTATGAAAAAAAAAAATAAAACAATCAAAAATACTATTTATTTTAAATACATGAGCTTGGTAATACTACAATCGTTATTAATCAATTTGTAGCATTGCGCAATAACATGATTTTCCTCTCTATATTAATCAAAAAAAACGTTCTAATTTCATTATGGACAAGAATGAATGTAATCTTCTATTTGTAGCTTTCTACAATCTTTCGGCAAATCTCGTTGAATAACTCGGTGACATTGTAACCAGTTTGTGCAGAGGTCTCAAAGAATATGATATCTCCACCCAACTCTGAAATATATTTACTGACTTCATCGACTTGAACCTCACGGTTTGGTAAATCGACCTTGTTACCTGCAAATGCCATAATGAGATTTGGTGATGCTTGCTTTTGTAATTCAGAAACCCATCTCTTTAATGTTTCAAATGTATTCTAAAATATTAATAATGATAAAATAAGTAAATGAATACTACTCAATTGACAAAGGGTTTGTTTTTTCTTTTCTTGTTACTACTACTAACTTTTTTAGTGATATCATATACTATAACTGCAGCCGATGCACCTCTGTAGTACATTGGTGTTAAACTTCTGTATCTTTCTTGACCAGCTGTATCCCAAATCTCAAGTTTGACATTGGTTCCATTCTCCAATACCATATTTTTAACTAAAAATGCTGCACTATAATCGATAATAATAATAATAATTGATTTTAAATAATAATAAAAAAACGAAATAATCGATTAGCATATATACTAATGAAAAAAAGAAAGATAATATCAATTATTGAACATACCCAATAGTTGGATCTGTTGGTCCAATTTCATTTCTAACTAAACGTGATGCGATACATGTCTTTCCTATATGTTCATATTGATTTTACAAATATATTGTTTTCGTTAGTTTCAATACGATGGTTGTGGCGTCTATATATATATATATATATTCATGTTAATAACAACACACCTGTGAATACTTCTCCCAACAAAACCAATTTTACACCTTTGTCCAACTTTGCTCTGTTGTCTGTACTATTTGATTCGATAATGACCGCTATAATAATAATAATAATCATAATATATATATTAATAAAGAGTTACATTCATCACAATAGCCATCATTACATACAGGCACGATCGTCATTTGTTTTTCCCTCACCACCACAACATCCTCCCGATTTCTTTTGTGACATTTCTTATGTAAATACTGATATAAATAAAATAAAAAGAAAAATAAATAAATCAAATAATGATACTATTTTACTGTTACTACTGCTGCTGCTGCTATGAGAATTGCTGCTTTATATTATTAATTATTGAATAATAAATAAACTAACTAATAAAAATAAAAACTGTGTCTATAAATAAATATATGAATGAATGTTGTTTATGTTGTACTACTACTTGGTTGTACTGATATGTATGCTGTTGCTTGTTGTTGTTGTTGATTGATTTTCTATACAATAAATAAATAAAACTTTTAAAAAACTAATAATAAAAATATAACTTTATATAATTTTATGTCAATGGTATTGAATTGAATTGAATTGTTTGTCTTTTTTATTTTTATTATTATTATTTAATCAATTTTTAATCAAACCACGCTCTCTATTCTATTTTATTTTATTTATTGCTCTTTTTTTTACTCTCTGAGAAAATTAAATAATTAATTATATACAAATATGTTTATTTTTTGTTATGAATGAAACGATGTTGTTAACGCAATAAAAAAATTGTAGCAAAAAAAAAAAAATAGAATTTTCAAATTATATAAAAAAAATATCTATAATAAAAAAAAAAAACTAAAAAAGTGGGTTATTATTGGTTTTTTTTGTAAACAGCTTGAAAAGAATATAACATTGATTGTAATTTTCAATGATCGGAATGTTGACACTGGGCATTACATCTATTATATCGTGCACACTATTTTTAAATGATCTAAAGCAAAGTTTTAATTTATTGTTTGATTAATAGTAAATAAAATAAATATACATTAATTCGTACGAATTGAAGAAATCTTCTTTCTGTGTCAATGAATGAATGATCGTCACTGTCAAAATAATTGAACTTATTTTAGATTAAATTTAATAAAAGTAAAACTAATTATCTAAAATTAAAGTTATATTTATTTATTGTTTTTTTTTGTTTTTATATTTTAAATAGTTTTGTTAATTTATATTAATAATTAAATTATATAATATAAAACTAATGGTTGTATATTATTATCATTATTATAGTCGATGTAATGTCATATGTTGAGTCATTGCCATAGTGAAATGCAATTTGTTCATGTTTTCTTTCTTTTTTTTTTTGATAGACCTATTTACAATAATTTTGTTACTTTTGTCATATTAGTAGTATTGTTGCTCTTGTTGTGCTGGTGCTGGGGTGGATGGTTGTCTTAAATCAGATCCAGCTAATAATAATAATAAAACAAAGTGTTAGCTTTTTATATAATTATCTAATCAACGTTGTTACATACGTTTTAGTGCATTTGGATGAGCATTCTTTACAATCCATGGATGTTTAATTACATCTGTCAATGACATTCTATCGTTTGGATCGGTATGTAATAACTAATATTTTATAAAAAGAAAATGATGTCCATGGTTAGCGTTAGTGAATAATCTATTTAGATTGCGCAATCTATAAATAAAATATTTTAAAACTTACACCACTAATTAAATGTCTTGCTTCTCTTGAGAAATGATCTGGGAAAATAACTTGATTACCACGAATATTTGAAAAGATCTCTTCCTCTCCGTTGGCTCTAAATGGTGAACTTTTAAATAGAAATAAAATCAATAAGAGATTCAATATATAGTTATTCAATAATACTTACTATCCGGCCAAAAACTCATAAATAAGAATACCCAAACTCCAAATATCAACGGATTGATCGTAGTCTTGTTTGTTTACCAATTCTGGTGGGATATATTCTGGGGTACCACAATAAGTGTTTCTTCTACGGTCCGGTGCGTGCACAGACCATCCAAAGTCTGCAATCTTGATCTCACCGTTGATACCGATCAAGAGATTCTCTGGTTTGATATCACGATGAATAACATGCTTCGAGTGACAATATCTCAATGCATCTGCAATTTGTAAGGTATACTAGAAAAATAATAATAGTAATAATAATTATCATCATTTGAAATTAGTTAGTTTATGGAGAGTTAATAATAATAATAATAATAATTTCTATACAATACAGTTGCAGCAATATTTTCTGGGTATCTTCCAACTCTTTGTAATTCCTTGAAACATTCACCACCCTTTGCAAATTCAATGATGAGATATACACGTTTGTCGTCATAGAAATAACCGTACAGTCTTAAAATATTTGGATGTCTATATTATTATTGGTAAATTTAAACAATAATTAATATTAGTACTATTACAATCAATCAATTGGTATGATTATTATTTGTATTATAATTTACCTTAAATGAGATTGAATCTCAATTTCTCTTCTCAATTGATGTTCAATCTTTGAGCTTTGAAGTTGACTCTTGAACAACACTTTGAGTGCAACAATGAATTTACTCTTTTTCTCTCTTGCTAAATAGACATTACCGAATCTACCTTTTCCAAGTGGTTTTCCAATATCAAAGTCATCGATCACCCATTTCTTTTTACTTTTTTTAGAAATTAGTTAAAAATTATTTTTGTGTTGGATTGATAGTATCAAATAGATATTGTTACTTACTCATCTGCTGCTGCTGATGAAGGTACTACTTGTGGTTTGGGTATAACCATCGATTGTGGTGCAGCTGTACTACTGACAGTGGTCTGCTTAACTGGGGCAGGTGCTTTCTGTGGTATGTTGGTGATCGAACTTGGAGCCAATACTTTGGATGTTGTAACACTGATGCTGGTTGCAGATGGCTTTGAAGCACCTGGTTTCGATGGGTATGCAATCTTTGAGATACCACCGATTCCACTACTAGCTCCAGTGTAGATATTCTCTTTATTCAAAGCAGTTCCACTCTTTGGAATTGTGCCTGATGTTGTTGTTGTTGTTTTATACATATTTTTTATTTAAATTATTTAAATAATAATTAATAAATAAATAATGAATAAATAAAACTGATTATATATTATATCAAAAAAAAAAAGAAAAGAAGAAAAAAAGAGAAATTAAATTATAAAGAAGAGAAACATGCAGTGCAAAAAAATAATTAACCGTTAAAAAATAAAATGGTTCAAACTCACCCGCCACTTTAAAAATTTAAATTTAAATTTGAATTTTTTGTTTCACATTGAAAATAATAGTGATAGCTTAGCTTTAAATTTAAAGCATTTTTTTTTTGTTTAAATCATGTTAACTAACTATTGTCTCTTTTATTATGATCTTCACGATCCATTTCTTCTAAAAATAATCTATTAAATTGAATTATTATTCAATGTTAGTAAATATGAAGGTTGATCAGCAAATTGAATGTTTAAAAAGATATACATACCGCCTTGATGCTTCCAACATCATTTTTTTACGTAACATTAAACTATTTTGTCTTGCCTCTGGAGAGGATTTAAATGAATCCGCAAATTTATCAGCTGGTTTACTAAAATGTGTTGGATTTGAGGAGGATGATGATTTACTATCAATAGTGTTTTCATTATCTTTGTTTTCAATATTATTATTATTATTGTTGCTGCTGCTGCTATTTGATTGTGTACAAGTATTTATATTATTTTCTTCATTGAGATTCTTACTATCTGTAGAATCACTATTTAATATATTATTATTATTATTATTATTGTTGTTGTTTGTTATTGAATTTAAACTATTATTATTATTTTCATTATTACTATTATTATTATTATTATTATCTATATTTTTATTATCTTCTAATTCATTTATATTGGTTGTTGTTGTTGAGGAGGATGGAGATGATGATACGTCAGATTGTGATGGGGGTGGTGCTCTTATTCTTTCTTCCAAGATATTGTTAATTGTTTCTTGTACACTGTTTGTTAGAGATAGATCGGTTATGATATATTCCAATGGTATCTGTGGGAACATCTCTCTGATACCCTCAGCATCAGAGTTTACTGCCAACGATTGTTCCTGTTGATCCGATTGTAACTCCATAAGTGATCTTCTACATGTTGGACATGAAGTCTGTTGTTCTAACCAAGATCTTAAACATGAACTATCGTGACACATAGATATTCGGATTATATCAATATAATGTTTAATTTCAATATATTAACAATTAAAAAGGGTACTTACTGATGGAAAATATGACCACACGGTAACTTTTTAGCAGTATCCATTTTGTCTCTGCAGATTGCACAGTCATCGTTGTATCGAACTAGCTCCTCTTCGGTTGCATTCAAATACTTATTCTCCATGTCCTCTACTAGTTTACAATAGTTTCTATAACCTATAATCTTTCTCTTGAGTTCTGTGAATACTCCTTTGAAATAACTAAACAATACTAGATCCAACAATGTTGGCATTCCTTGTATAATAACAATATGTATTAAATGAACTAGTAATTTGATAATAAATATATATATATATATAGTTTGTTAGATGCTATATCACTTTAACAAATATTAATCATGTTATTGACTCTACTTACAACATGTTCCAGCAAGAATAATAGAATCGGTAGCAAACTCTGCAAAATAAACGTATTGTCCTCTCATCTCCCAGACACCTGTATGTGACATATCGAATAGATGTATAGAGTATTTAACTAAAGTTTGTATAGTTTCAAAAAAGATCGTAAAGAACTATTGAAATGTAAATGTTAATTGAAAAAAGATTAGGTTAGTTAGTTCGTTAGTTAGAATATCGTTGTTATTATTATTATTATTATTATTTATGAGTTATAAAGTAATTACATACTTCAAAATTTAGAATTAATATATTGGAGAGACCAGAGTTAAAGAATCGCGTGGTGGATATATAGAAACAACATAGATCCGATAATAATATCGATACAAGTAGAAATAATAGTTTAAAATGTATCTTTGCGTGAGTATTTGGTGAGAATGTATTTAACTAAAATGAAAAAAAGAAAGATATTTAGTTAGTTGGTTATGTAACCAACAAAGTTTAAACTTTGAATTGATCGATACATACATATTCGAATCTATCTCTTGATAATAATGAAAATAATTTAAGAAAACATTGAATACCAAACCAAAATCCCCATTCCAATGTCGATATTAACTCGTGATCTTTGACTGCGAATATAAAGAATTTAGTGACTACATAGAGAAAGAATCTTTCTCTAAAATTCTATATAGAGTCAATGACGATAATGAATGATGATAATTAATAATTATTAGTGCACTGTGTGTAGTTTACCAATATGGTAGTATTCAAAAGGAATGTGTGATGTGTGATGTGATGACTTACTCGCTCTTCGATTTCACGTAGTTTTCCAAAGAAGAAATATTGAACGACTTTTCCAAAGAGAAGGAACACTGTGAAGATAGTGTTGACTGCAACCGCTAGGTTGACATGTGACTTGGCAATCTCGCGAATCGTTGAATCAACTACATACGTACTGTTGAATAGGTATGCCGCTGACAGATCGTGCTCTGTGAGGAATGTAGTAGCGGTCGTCGTGAGGTCGGTCGTTTCACCAATATCAACTCCACTATCACCACTCCCATTCAAAAAATGTGGAATACGAAGTGCGATCGTAACTATACTCAACGTAATATAGGTTTCGATCAACACCATATTATTTTATTGTATTAATCAATCCAATATCTATCTATCTTTCTCTGCTCTGTATGTTGTCAGTTATATTATTATTATTATTATTATTATTGTATATATATATATGTTATTATTAAGTTGAAAAAGTTGTTCTCTATTCTATTTTATTCTATCGATATATATAAATGGTTGACTGACTGAATATTTGTTGTTGGGTAGTTAGATTTGTTTTGTTCACTCCAATTAATTAATTACAATACAAAATATATTTATTTATTTATTTTATTATATAACTAACTAACATAAAAACACAAAATAAAAATAACTTTGAATACAATTTTAGATAATTGAATTGTTGATTACATAGAGTTGAATATTAATTCTTTTATTAAGTTTTAACTAACTTTGTTGTTGTCTTGGGAAAACACACCACTCATTTATTTTTGAAGTTAATAATTTTTTAATTAAAATTTTTGTGTTTTTTTTTAACTTAAAAAAAAAATTAAGTTGTTTTGTTTGGCTGACCAGAGCTCTGTTAGTATTAGTCTTCATAAGTGGCACAGGTCGCACAACAAATGCCATGCTCTCTATCGGGTGGAATAGTTTGAATATCACAACTTATAGGCAAACATGTTACACCATTACAATTAGGTCTACATTCACTGCAACACTTTTTATTTTTGAGATTGATTTAAATAATTAATTAGACAAACATAATATAAGAATATTGTTTTCGTTTTAGTTTTAGTTTTATTTTTAAATTTTTAAATAATAATAAAGACTTACTTGTCCTTTTTTTTGAGCAGGAATATAAATATGACCTTTACTTTCACAAACTGATTGTGGTATCGCCAGAGGACATCTTATTGTTGTACAAATATCGATGCAGCGATCACAACAAATACCTTTTGATACATTCCTCAATTGCACAGTCAAACCTTGATTAAGACACTCCTCTTGATCAAACGGAACACAATCTACTAAATCACAGTTGATCTCATGACTACTGCCATGACCACATCCATTTCCATTTTCATTGGCAATCGATATATTTGTGCAAAATATCAAAAATAATAATAATCCTATTAATAATAATACTCTAATTTGCATTTTCATATTAGGTTTTCCAAAAAAAAAAGATAAAAATAAATTCAATCAAAAAAAAAAACAATGTATTGATATTAATACTTATTGATCAAAAGTAATTTTAACTTTTACTTTTGTTGAAATACATATATAAATATAACATAACATATTTGGGTTATATGATGAGTATGTAATTTTTGGGTCCGAATAATCATCAAAAAAAATTTAACACAACTTTCCATTCTTCATAAACTGAAAAAAGACGAGAAGTTGGGGGGGTTATAATCTTACAAGGAATAAAAGACCACCTCACTCTGCAAAAAAAAAAATAAAATGATTCATCTGATTTTTGCACAAAAAAACTGATCTTTTTTTTTTTTTTTTTTTATATATTCCTCTTATTTTTATTGTAAATTTGAATATTAATTAATTAGAATAAATCTCTGAGAGATGGCTTCTAATATTTCGACAACTACTACATCATCATCTACCAATCAACAACAACTACAACAACAACAATTACCACCGACCATAATGACTACACCTGCGCCAACACAAACCAATACTACTGCTTCTTCTACTTCACAACAACAGCCACAACAACCAGTTGAAAATCTAATTCTGTTGGTTCATGGTATTGGTAAACATGAGGAGAAATGGCAAGATAAAATTACGAAAATCAATGTAATGTTTCAGAATGTATGTAATTCCGCTGGACTCACCACAAGAAACACAAAGTTTGTAGGTGTAGAATGGCATTCGGCACTTCACTCAAAGACCGACACACTCATTGGCAAAGTGACACCTCCTTCCATCCCAGTTGTTCATTCACTCGTTAATCATACAATTCTCGATATTCTATTTTGGGCATCACCAACTTACAGGTATGATTGACTCTACATCAAAACTCTATATAATAACAACACAATAGCTAATCATCTTTTCTTATCAATATATATATATAAAATTTTAGTCAAACTATATATTCAGAAGTAGGTGAACAATTAAATGAAAAGTATAGAGAATTCATTAAAGCCAATCCAAACTTTAAAGGAAAAGTACATATTCTTGCACATTCACTTGGAAGTGTGATAGCATTCGATATTCTATGTCATCAGAAGCGTAATAGCGAATCACTCGATATCATCGACAATATCAATAGGCTGGGAAATGTGTTGTACTGGAGAAAGACGAAGCAACCAAACGGTGCAAATCAATCGACAGAGGAACTCGACGATGCCAGTAGTGATATTTCATCGCCTGGAGATTCACTACTGCCACATCTTACATTCCCACAGTTGGATTTCGACGTTCACAATCTATTTAGCATTGGTTCGCCACTCGGTGTCCTCTATACAATTCGTGGACACACCCAACTCTCCATTCCAAAATGTATAAATTTCTTTAATATTATCGATCAATCCGATCCTGTTGTAAGTTAGCTATTATTATCATCATCATCTAATAATCATATCAAAGACAAACACAACTTAACATTGTTAATGTTCATTATTGTTATTGTTATTATTATTATTATTATTATTATTTTTAGGCATATTTAGTTGAACCATTGATTGATGATGGATTTTGTAAACTTCCACCGGTGGTATTACCACATTTGATTGCAAAGAAATCAACCATTTCAATTCCAACTAATTTACAATCAAAGTTCTCAAGTTTCAAAGTGAAAGCGTTGAATATCATTGGAAAGACACCACCAGCATCACCATCACCTGCAACATCACCTTCATTCGGTGCAACCGTTCCCTCTATCAATTCAACTGCACCACTTCCAATGTTGGAAGATTCATTTGTACCCGATAGTCCTGCAAGAAAATCAAGTAGTGGATCATCTACTACAACTACAACCACCACTGCCAATACTACTACAACAACAACTGCATCTACCAAATCAAATAATAATAGTCCAACAAATACAACAGAAGATACCTCTGATGATGATCCAGATGTACAGATATTCTATGAATTGGAGGACAGCAACAAAGTAGTTATAAATGTAGCGATGCCAACCTCTACAACTAGTTCGACTTCTACTTCAACAACACCACCAATAACAACAACAACTACTACAACCACAGAAGAACAACCAAATACAAATAGTCAATCAAACAATCTATTCTTTGGAGGAAATAGATATGATTACAAAATCAAACCAGGTCTCTTTAATATTTCAGAGTATCAAGATGTTCCATTTGCACACAAGGGTTACTGGAGTAACAAAGATGTAATTTTCTTTATCGCTCAACGTTTAGAGCAATTCAAATAGAAATAAAAATGGAATCATAATTATTTATTCTATAGTTAGCTAGACTGTAATGTTATTGTATAGTATATAATATTAGAAGGGATATGTTATTTTTTTATTAGATATAAAATATTATCGATATTTATTTTCTAAATGCGGTAACCTAGTAAATAAACAATCAATTAAAGTATTAGTAAAAATATATAAATGATCAATATTATTATTATTATTATTATTATCTGTTAATTAATATACTTACACCAGCACAACTTAAGATTAAAAGGGCACCGATGATAGTCAACCAATCTGGTTTTTCGTTGAGGAAAATCAATTCCCAGAGGAATGTAAATATGATTTGTGTATAGTTCATAGATGCAGCTTTGGCAGCCTTCTCCAATTGAATACCTCTATTCACAAGAGATTGAGCAATCAATGCAATGACACCGAGAGTTGAAAGGAGCAGCCATTCATGACCCGATGGCCAAACAAACTTTTGGAAGAGAATCGATGCCGGTAGAGTAACTGCCGACGCAACTGCAGAAAAGTAAGCTACCAACACAAATGGATTAGTTCCTGGTCCAATCTTTCTCACCGCAACGAAAGAGAGTGCAGAGAAAAACGATCCACCAATTCCAATTAAAATATATAACAATCTATGACCTTCCGATGGTACATTTGGATCACTATGTGATAGAAGGAAATATTAATATACAAACAACAACAAAATAAATTGATAGAAATTAATTAACATACTGTGCCATTGAACCAAAAATAAAAGCAGGTTTGGAAATGATTCCTACACCAACAAGACTTAGAACTGCACAGATCGCATCGAATTTACCCCATTTCTCTTTGAGGACTACAGCAGCCAACGCAGCTGTGATGACGGGACTGGTAAAACTGATACAGACAGCCTCTGAGAGTGGCAATACTGTAATTGTGAAAAAGTAGGCAGCCAGCGATACTGTACCGGATAGACCACGAATCGTTAGGAACAGTCGCTTTGGCTTGTCACCTAGTGGGTTCACTCGGAGTGATCCCAACACCAGTAGACATCCGATCAAACCGAATGCACTACGAATGAATGCAATCTCTAACGATTGTATACCTTTTTTCGAAATGATATTGACGAGCAGTGCCATTATACTGAAGAAAAATGAACTTGCCACCATGAAAATCAAACCCAATTTGGCTTTGATGTGAAAGAGTAACTTCTCTTTGAGAGTCTGAGGCATTGCCTCTACCTCTTCGGCCATCTCCAACTCGATCTCCTCGAGATTATCTAGTTCGGTGCCGTCCGGTGACATCGTAATCACTTCGGTGCCGTCCTCTTGGATCGTCTTGATCGGTGTCATCATGATGGCGCCGGACGCGTGGTGAGTGGGCGGTGGTGGACCGATATCGGAGGACGCTGCCAACACCATGTGATCCATACTGTAGGTGAGAACATTGGCATTGCTATTTCTCAGCATTCTCGAGGAACTCAGAAGAGAACTCTTTTTCAGTGCATTGGACGATCCCAGTTTGAAGGTGGTTTCTTGTAGTCCGCCTGGCAGTGATTGTACTGTGGTGCTAGTACTGTTGCCAGCGTTAGTTGAGACAGAGGAAACCGATGAACTTGATGCATTCAATGATAATTTATCATCGAATCCCGAAGCAGTCTTTAATAAAAGACGTTCTTTATCGTTGTGTTTCGATGAGTTGATACTGTTGCTGCTACTTGCAATCAGTCCATCGTCGTCATCGTCATCCGAATCAATGGGCATATTAGCGCCATTCAACAAGATAGCACCACCCTTATTTTTCTTTCCAAAATCGGTTGGTGTTGAAATTGAGGACTTTAAAGGTGATTTTTGATTGATGACAAGAGGACCTTTATCATCGCCTGCTGAACTATTTATTTTCATATATAAAGAGTTTGAACTATCTGACATCACTGTTGATGATGTTGAGGTTGTGGTGGTTGTTGTTGTAGACATTCTTGATAAATTTATATAAATAATATATAATATTGATAATATGCTCTAAATGTATAACTATAATCTGATTTTTTTTGTTGTATAAAATTAGATAGATATTTTGAAATTTATTTATATCGATATAAATAAATGAACCAAAAAGAAAATAGAATAAAAATAAGATATAATAATTATTATGTGTGCGTGTGTGTGTGAGAGTTGCGTAGTGGAATGAATTGTATGTGTGTGAACTGGTGAATTTGGGTTGATGGATGACAGGTACAGAAATAATGGTGTGGGGTGGTATTAATTAATAAGATATGATTTTTATTGGATACAATTTAATCCTATGTGTGTAAGTAGGGTAAATAAATAATATGAAAAAAGAGGTTTTTATAATAATAATAAATAGGAAAGTAAAGCAAAGTAAAGTAAAGAAAAGGAAAATAGAATTAGAAAAGATAGAGAGAATAGAAGAGAAAGGATAGTATGTTATTACAAAAATATAATAATAAATATTATAGATTAGTTTTTTTTAGAGATCTATTATATTTTGATAAGGATTAAGTTGAAGAATTATTCATTTGAATGTCGTTTTATTATTATTATTGTTGTTGTTTGAGCAAGCAACACAATTAAAATAGATCAAAAAATAAAATAAAATAAATCATTAAATCATATTAAAAATAATTAATCTTTAATAATGTGATAGATTATTCCTTTTGTGTAAATCAACACTCCAATGAATCTTTGGCAGTTAATATGACATAGGTAGCTTTATTTTATGAAAAAAAAATGAACGAAAAATAGTTTTTATTCCAAAAAAAAAAAAAAAAAGGAACAATGGGTTTCAAACTTTTTGCACCACCTACAAAACATAAGGATCCTGGGTAAAACAAAAAGGAGTGAATCAATCATTCGGTGGTGATGGTGAAAAGTGTGAAAAAAAACAAGAGTGTTTGGTGAAAAAGGGGAAAACCACGTGGTTTAAACTGTTGTGTTCTGCATAATTCATCATTTTTTTTTATTTCAATTTTTGTATACTTTCTATAGATGTATAGTAAAAATATCTAATAAATCGAATTAATTAGTTAATGAACAAAGAATTTATTTAGATTTTAAAAAAAAAACAAATGTATCCGATTGATTGAAAACAACATTCAGAGTTATTAATAACTTTGAAAAAATATTAAGAAAAAAAAAAACAAGATAATTTATTTTATTTTATAGTTCAAAGTCTCTAATTAATTAAATAGTTCCTATTTAGGGGACTTAATTTAATAAAAAATCTATTAATATAACTTGGTTCGTTATTAGTTTAAATTTTTTAAACTCAAAATAAAAAAAAATATTCAAGACCACCAGATTTTTTTTATTTGCCTTTTTTGTCAAATCTATTTCAAAATGGTAATGGTCATAATATTTCAAACCTAATTGATATTCTTTTAGGGATATTGAAGTAAAGTTTATCCTCACAACATTTTGTACTTATTAAATATATTTTTAAAAATTAATATTTTTTTTAAATTTTCTTTTTTAGTAATAATAAAAAAATCAACTCCTCTTTTTGAAGAGATCAATAGAATTCACCTAAATCGATTAGAACAAATAACAAGTAATAACAATACTAATAATAATAGTACTTTAAATCAAATAATAGATTATTAAAATTGAATTAATTAAAATAGTAAATAAATTATAAATTATATAGTTTAGTTTGTATATTAAATAAATAATAAGAAAAATGCAAAAAATTCAATAGAAATTATGTTTATCCAAATTTAACAGATTCAACTGGAAGTCTCAATGAATTGCCTTATACTTTTCTTGATGAAAGAAGAATCTGTGACTTGTTGGATAGCGAAGAGCCATATTGGGCTTCGAAACGTAACAGAAAGTTGGTAACCATCAAGGGAAATGAAACCATCATCAATGCGATGGAGATCATGGCAAAGAATCAAATTCTATCACTTCCAGTCGTTGAACCAGAGAATGAAAAAGAGTTCATGGGATTCATTGATATGGTTGATATCATTCATTCCATTTTGTGTTATTATACAACAAATGAAAATACAAAGAATTGTGAAAGTAAGTTTAATGTTAAATAATTAAAAATTATTGAACATCAATATATTTATTTTATTTTATTGCACAAAAACAAAGAGGAATGTCCACAATGGGATAAATGGTGTAAAGATGTAAAATCTCAAAAGAAGAAGTGTGTAGATTTTGAAAATCTACCTGTAGACTCAATAATAAGTATGATATCAAGAAACATAAATTAATTATTATTTTTGTTCAAAATATTAATATAATTTATTTTATTTTTTTAGATCAATCAAAATATGATAATTTTATTCCAGTCGATTTCAGAGGTACTCTTCGCCAATTGATTTCAGAGGTGTTCCAAAAGGATATTCATAGAGTCATTGTATTCAATGATGATGCCGATGGAATTGGAATTCTCAGCCAGACTGATATGATCAAGTATTTTTTGGAAAATTTAGATTCCCTCGGAGAATGTGTTCACAAATCTGTTGATGAACTCAAACTCATTGATAACAAAGTTATCTCCATGCATGAGAATGGTATTTCAATCCATGCCTTCTACCTTATGCTTTTCCATGCTGTCCCGGGCATTGCTATTGTCAATGAAAATAACGATTTGGTATCCTCTATTAGTTTGTCTGATTTAAGAGTATGTATTTATCTTTTTAAAATCAACTATTCTATTTAATTAATAAAAATTTATTATTATTTAGGGATTAAATGCTGATTCATATCCGAATCTTTTGAAACCAACTGGAGAGTTCCTGAACAATAAGAAGACAATAACCTGTACCAAAGAAACATCGTTGGAGGTGTTAATGTTGACTATGTTTGAACACAAGATACATAGAGTCTGGGTGGTTGACTCGAAAGAGTCTAAAAAATGTATAGGTGTGATTACAATGGTTGACATTATGAAATACTTTGCTACCTACTATGGAGCTAAACTTGCCACCAAATAATTCAATTAATAATTATAAATAAAATTAAATATGTTAAAATATCGATATGTAAATTATATATATTTGCTTTGTACATAATTTATAAATAAAATATTATTTATTTATCTATTTAGAATCATCGGCTGTGACATTCTCCTTTTGTTGTTGATCTTTTTCTTTTTGTTGTTTTAAATTTCTAACAACTCTTGACAGTAAACCAACACCGCCACCTCCTCCACTTCTATTTTTCTTTCCGTTCACCTTGGGCTGTGGTTTATCTGGTGATATACATTGAAATTGATTGGTATCTATAGTTTTATTGTTTGTCTTATTATTATTATTACTATTATTATTTGTTGGTTGTTGTTGTTGTTGTTCATTGTTATTATTAACATCTAAATCAAAATCTATTTCCTCTTCAATTTCAGTTTTATCAGAGCTACCACCATCGACATTCACACTCTCCTGAGTGTTAATGTTGTTATTTCCTTTCTCTATTAACTTTGGGTTCAATAAGAGGTGAAATGCAATTTCAAGTTGTCCATTGTCATTGAATATCTCATCCTCCATCATTGCCAAATCTTTATGTTCATCGCAAACTCTGATATAAACAATGTCATCATTTATATGTTCAACGATTCCTTCCTAAATATATATGATTAAATAAAGTCCGTTAGTTTGTTAATGAGAACTATTAACTTATGATTTTTGTTAAAAAAAAAAAAGATAATTACAATGAAATCTGATATCTTTAAACTATAATCGACATATATATGCTTTTGAAATGCTATTCTATCACCTACAGTAGGGAATTGTGTGATTGTCGAAAATCCACTATAATCTTTAGCTTCTACATCCTCTTTAAAGTAATCGTTGTAGTGTATAAAATAACTATTATTTGTTAAAACATCTGTTGCTGCTGTAAAGTTTCTTTGTTTCTAAAGTTAAATTATAGTTAGTCAACATGTTCATCTCTTCTTTAGTTTAAACTTTATCTATTATCAACATGTTGTTTTATATTTACTCTTTCTGGTGTTTTATTAAGAATAGGTTGAATTTGTGTTGATTGACTATTGTTGTTGCTATTATTATTAGATTGTTTTGACTTTTCTACTTTTTTATCTTCCCTTTCCCCTTCTTTCTCATCTTCAGATGATGACGACGATGATGATGACGATTCCGACGACGATTCCGACGACGAACTTGATTCACCATCAGATTGTGAACGATTCATTTCCGATCTTTCTGATTCTGACTCTGACTCTGACTCTGACTCCTCATCGGATGATGACGATGATGATTCTTTTGTTGCTTGTTTTTTTTTTATTACCAATCCTTTAATATTCTTTTTATTTATTATTATCTTTTTATGTTTGTTATTGCTGTTGTTGTTATTGTTATTTTTCTCATTATCAGAGTTTGAAGAGTTTGATTCTGATTCTGAGCCTGAATCACTATTATCGCTACTATTAGATGAACTACTTGAAGTATCATCAGTGTCATGATTTTTCTTGCTATTGTTGTTGTTGTCTTTTACATTGTTTCTCGATTTAGACTGTACTATATCTTTCTTTACTCTTTTCAGTCTACTACTTTTCGATGGGCTACCATTGCTATTACTACTATTACTACTTCCAACTTTTGAATTGATTTCTAATTTTCTCTTTAAACTTTGTACTTTTTTAATATTTACACTAAATATTTAGTTAGCTCAATAAGTAAGTGTTTTAAACTGATCGGAAAATAATAAAGAATACAAACTCTAATGTTTCTACACCATTCAATACTTTAATATCTTCTTCAGGTAGTATAATAAAACCGTCGTCGATTGAGAATAGAAATATGTCACTGGGGATATTGAACCTTTTCGATACGAGATCGTACAACTGCTTTACAGGACCGTTTATGAATGGTATATATAATAATACTTTGTTATGATCTACAATTGAACTTAGATCGTCATTAAAATTTATCTTTAATTTCATTTCTGTTTATCATATATACGAAGAGACAATGAAAAGAAACTTTCGTCTCAATCAGTTCATAAAAAAAATCATCTTTGTCAAACACAGACTATTTTTGAAACGAATTTAGAAAAAAAATATGTAGAAGAAAAAAAGAATATTTTTTCTTGTTTGTACAACTTTGAATTCATATCTTTGCTATTAGATCTAATCTTACCAACGATTTAACTTTTACTATTTAATTTAATAAAAATATTCTTTTTTTTTTTTAATATTTTTTTGTTTTTTCATATTTTGTTAAAAAATTTTCCAAAATATCTGTTTTTTTTTTTAAGGGTCAAGCCTTAAAAAATGAAAAATTCTATATTTTTTATGACAAAAATGATCTGTTTAATATGATTGGGTCTCAAGATTTCTTTTAAATTCTTTAAAATTCATTCTAGAAAAATTCGATTAATCGTTATATTTTTGTGGAACTCTAGTTTTTTTTTTTTGATTAAAAAAAGGATAAATTTTTGGAAAATCTTTGATCACAAACCACCCTGATCAAAAACGGGATCATCAACAAAGAGGTCCTTATACACCCACAAAACAAAAAGTTATTTTTGTTTCTGTGATTCCTTTTTTGCATTTAATATTATTGTTGTTATTTATTATTTATTCAGCAATTCGAATCCATCACTGAACATTACTCACATTAGATCAATCAACTTGTTGTAGTTCTTGTTGTTGCTAGTAGAAAGTTGTAATATTCAGATTTATATATATATTGTATTTTAATAGTAATAATAATATTATCTTATATTTAATATATATAGAATGCAAACTACACTTAAACAAAATACTATTTATAATTTTTCATTTCTATTTATTCTACTATCAATCTTTTTGGTTGGTTCTAGATTCACATTGGCAGAGAATGTCAATTGGACAGGTGGATTGCATCCTTTCTACAATGGTGGTGCAAATTGGAATCCTGCTCATGATCCAGCCACTACCGACGATGTCTACATCAACCCCAGTAAATCGTTTGCCTATTCCGCTTCAGATGTTTCAGTGTACTCAATTCAAACAGGTTCGACCGATTTTACTGATCCTGTTCTCCATCTAATGGGTTCACTCTCTGCAACTTTTGTTGATATCTATCCATATTCCACTCTCTACCTTGACAATACCAATCCAAACATTGAAGCACCAATCGCCAGTGTCTATTACACATCTGTTATTGGTGATTTCTTTATGAACGGTCATTACATATACTATTCAAATCAGATGAACGTATATTCCTTTGGATCACTTAGTTTAAGTAGGTAGCAACATTAAATTATTAATTAAATTCGTTTTTTGTCTAACCATCTTTTTTCCTTTAAATATTAGATGCTTCAACTAGTCAATGTTTCATTGGATTGAGTATCGCTCATAGTGGTACAATTTTTAATGAGGCACAAACCTATATTGTTGGTAATTTCTCTACCTATGATTCAGCTTCAATCAAAGGATATCCAGATTCTCTATTGATGTTTTTCGATGTCGCTTTTTATCCACCAGGTGTATGTTGTTGTTTTTAATAGAATTTACTCAAAAAAAAATTCATTATTAACTTTGAATTAAACTTTTTTTTTATTTTTTAGATTAATACGTTCAATGATAATACAACCATAAGCATGCAAGGTTCAACTTTGAGCTTTTGGAAATATACAGTTTTAAACAATAATACAAAGATAGATTTATATGATTCACCATTTAAAATATTTAATTCAAATTTCTTCATGAACGATCAATCCTATATTGATGTTCAAGGTGTTTCACCAATTTTATCCAATGGAACAACATTAATAATGAATGTAAGTATTTTTATTTAAAAAAAAAAAAATTATTTATCATATAATAATATTTAATTTCATCTTTATTTATAAATAGGATAACTCAACAATGAATTTCTATAATCCATCATTTTTTAATCTTGAATACCAAACTGAAGATTCAAGAAATATGATTATCGAAACTAAATTCTCAATGAATCATAATTCGAAATTACATATGAACCATACATTACTATTCCTTCAAGCTTATCTATTTTCATTATCTGTAAGTATTATTTTTTTTTAAAAAACAGTAGTTTTTCTAATATTATTTTTAATTTATAGGATAATGCATATATAGATATGAAAAATGGATCAATGTTGTTAATTTTAAATAATGTGAATCAAATGTATGATCAAAGTCGTATTGATGTCCAAAATTCAACATTCTCTATCTTTACACAAAGTTCTGGTTTAATTCAAAATGTATGTTTAGATATTTTTAATTATTATTAATTTGTTTTTAAAATTCTAATTAACATTTTTTGAAAATCTTTTTAGGATAATTCTAGTATCAATCTATTTGGATATCAATCATATATGATAATTGGTGGTGCTCATATTCTAAAAGATAATTCATATATTACAATGGTGAGCAATGCATTCTTGATTATAGAGGGTAGTTTGATTCAACTTAATAAATCAAATGTAGTTTCTCAGAGTAGTAGAACATCGATCAAAGGAACTTGTATCATCAAAGACGAATCCGTTGCAATTTACACACAATTCTCAGAACTTTATGTAAATGGATCACTATTATTCTTAGATAAATCATATCTATATCTTTATTACTCATTTGTTACCATTCCCGGAACACTCATTATCAATTCCAACATTCTTGCGTATCAATCTAAATTCACTGTAAAAGGTGAATTTGTTTCTGTAAGTTTATTGTAAGCAACCAATTTATTATTAAAATGATTAACCAATTGCTTTTATTTCCCATATAGAATGGTAAAATTGTTTGTGATAAATGTACTATTGAACAATGGGAAGGTTCGTTTAGATCATTTGGTATTGGTGTATATAATAATTCTCAAATATCGATTGTTGGAGATGCTCATGTAAGTACTTTATTTATTAAATCAAAAAATACGTTTTACTAATTTTCTTATTTCATATAAAAATTATAGTTTGGTGAGTTCTTTGTTGCTTTCAACACCAATATTACAGTAACAGGTGGTAATCTTACTATTTATTCTCAATCAGTATTCAATTGCACCAATTGTCATATTCAGATTGTCGATGGTTTCTTCAATTACGATAAAGACTCTTCAGTCAACTTGTTCGAGTCAAACTTGGAGAATATTGGCGGTCTTATTCAATCGATCGGTAATGTTTACGTCTATCCTGGATCAACTATGAGCAATGGTGGTACTCTTAACCTAGAATCTGGTATTTACAAACAAGACCAAAATTCACAAGCTTCGATGGTAAACACTGGTGATATAAACTCAATACCAAATGGTCAAAAGAAAGAGATTACAGTAAGTAAAAATTATATATATATTTGTACAATTTACATAATATTAATTGTTTTTTTTTTCCCAGGTACCACTATTAAATAATGGTAGAATGAATGTTGTTAATGATGATCTATTTGTTTCACAATTAAGACAAAATAGTGGTTCATTAATTATTCAAAAAGGTAGAGTTCAATCGAATGAATCTATTGTCAATGACGGTGGTAATATTCATGGAAATGGAACTATCTTGTCTTCCATTTTAAACTCTGGTAAATTTGGTACACCAAACACCACCAACAATCTACATGTCATTGGTAACTTTGTTCAACTTCAAAATGGTACCATTATCATTACCATCAATTCACTAAAAGATTTTACTCAATGTAAGTATCAAATCAAATACCTTTTCATAATAGTTTTAATTCAAATTAGATATCTAATATTATTATTTTTCTCCAGTTAATATCTCTGAACTTTTCACAATGGGAGGAAATATTATTATTAGAATCAATGAGGACTTTAAACCAAGTACCGAATCAAAGGACAATACCATACCAGTTGTAAACTTTGGTGATGCCAAAGGTAATTTTAGTAATGTTGGATTCAGAACATTCAATCCAAAGACTGGAGAGGAGAGAGATAGTGAGTGTGGTCACAAATTGGCTCAATCAAAACAATCACTTTCAGTTTTAGTTTCAGCCGGTTGCCAAGATAGTTCCTCCAAGAAACTATCAACAGGTGCAATCGTTGGTATCGTAATTGCTTGTATCATAGTAGCTTCACTCGTTGTGGTCTTCTATCACAAACGACAACGTTTATCTCAAGACTTTAGAGCAAAGTCTGGTGTATTCAAATTGAGAAGAGTCACAATACGTTTAAAAGATTAAAATTTTTGCAAAAAAAAAAAACAAAAATAAACAATATTGTTATTCTTTTTTATTTATTAATACTACTGCTACTACTACTATAGTATATTGAACTCACAAAAGTTATTGTGTTCTTTCTTTGATTTAAATAGTAAAATTAATTCACATTGTTTATGATGAGATGAATACAGAGACAGTTTTAAAATTCAACTAATAAAGGTTGTTATCAAAAAAAAAAAAAAAAGTTAGTAAAAATTTTGTGAACTGCATCTGGTCAGTTTCATAAGAGATAAGTTCAATCCTTAATTCTTTTTTGAATTCATATATATATATCAACAGAATTTAGAATTCAAATAAATGAAAAGATTAACAAGAACTTTAATTAGAAATAATTTGATTGGTAGTACCAGACATTTCAACTGTGGAGTTGGTCTTACTGGTGGTGTTGGACATCTTAGTCGCACACCTATTAGAAGCTACTATTTTACAACCAGCACTTCTAGATTACAAGATAACCATAGCAGCAATAATAATGAATATCAAAGCTTAGTATTTGATCAACAACAACAGAAGAGATCATCATCTACATCTTCCTCGAATACCTCTCCACCATCATCTTCATCAACACCAACAACAGGCACACCATTAATTTTTGAATTGGATATGTCGAATTTTGAAAATATAGTTACAAAATCTAAACAACCTGTTGTCTTGGTTTGTTATGCAGAGTAATTATCATATTCTATTATATTATATTCTATTTCAAAAGAATCAATACAATGTTAATATTGATATCTTATTATTATTATTATAAATAAGTTGGAACTCACCTAGCAAACAATTGGTTGCTGCACTTGAAGATCATGCAAGAAAGAATGCTGGTTCATTGGTTATTGGAAAGGTATTTAATATCAATTATCGAATCATTCATTATAAATGAAAGCATTTTATGAGTATAATACTAACTACAGATAAATAACAATCATTAGTTAAATGTAGACAACAATCGTGATATTGCACAATCGTTACAGGTACAAAGTTTACCATCTGTATTTTCATTGTATGGTGGAAAAGTATTGGAACACTTTGCTACCATGCCAACTAAAGAAGTACTAGACAAATTCATTGATAACTTGTTGCTCAACGACGAGTCGAATTCATCTAGAAAGATAATAGATACGGCAGAAAGTTTATTCAACTCTGGTCAATATAAACAGGCATTGGAAGTCTATCAAAGTTTGATTCATCTACAAGGTTGTGAAACAATTGGTTTAAGAGGTAAGATTAAGATTATCATTATAAATATCTATACAAAACTAATGTTAATAACTTTAATTATGAATGATAATTAATTATTATTTTAGGTTTAATAAATTGTGCAATCAAAGAGAATAATATTATTATGTTGAAAGAGTTGATTGAGTATACTGGTAGTTCTGATAAATTCAAATCAGAGATGAATACACCATTGTTGATCCAAGCACAAAGAGTCGTTGAACTATCATCAGAGATGACCAACAACCAAGATGGTGAAACAGTGGAGAGCTTGGTCGAGAAACTGAAACAAGATCCAAACGATCTTGACACAAAATACAAGCTGTCGCTTCTCTATTTCCAAAATGAAAAGACAGAGTTGGCGATGCAACAACTTTTGGACATTATCAAAATCGACAAGCATTATAACGAAGACCAAGCAAAGAATTTATTATTTAGTAAGTTTGTTACATATATTATCATGACCTCTTTATATTAACTTTTAGCAATTCATTTTAGAAATATTTGATTCAATGCCCTCTGATCCACTCGTATTAAAATATAGACAGAGATTCTCAAATATTTGGTTCCTTTAAAATAAAAAAATTTGTTACAAATTACCTGCTGAGTAAAAGGAGATATCTTGATTTCTATTATTTATTGTAACAACTATTCCCTTACAAGAATCTAACTTAGATTCTAATTCTAATACTATGATATATTGAAATAATTAGCACCCTTTCTTATGAAGTCAATCATTTGTGCTAACCTCTTAACTGTAATTTGTATCATGCTGGGATTGAACCCACGACCCTAACTTCAGATGCTACCAAATTGTTACGAGAATTACTTAATACAATTATTTAATATAAAGATAATAAAATAAGACTACTTTATTAGTTTACAAATGTATGATATTTATAGTGTTTGTGATTAGCTAGTATTCTTGGTAGTTTCCATATTCCAAGGTATTTCTTATTCTTGTATTTCTGTAACAAAATTTAAATTCTATGAAGAACAAAAGGAAATTTTCAAACAAAATCTGAAGATTTTTTTCTCCCATTAAAAAAAAGCTTCTGTGGCTCAGTAGGCAGAGCATTCGGCTGTTAACCGAATGGTCGTTGGTTCGATCCCAACCAGGAGCGAAAATAATAAATTTTAATTATTCCGCATGCGGACAGAAAAAAAAAAATCACATTGTTAGAAGGTTGATCTGTGTGATGCTTGTGGAACAATGTTCTTTATTTTGTTTGTTTATTTGATAAATACATATTTTAATTGATTTAAATTGATTATTTTATATATATTAAAGTGTTCTATTTAACACTCTGCTCTACTTAAAGATTTACTTCTTCTTCTTTGATTGGATTTGTTGTGTCTTGTTGTTTTCATATTCTTTAATAAGATCTTTAGCATGATCTATGTTCTTTGAGTATTGCCATGTGGCTTTGTCTAAAGGATAGCCAAGCCATTTGATTTGATACTGCTTCTTCTTTCTGAACATTCGATCTCCAATGATTTGTTCTATTTCAAACTCTTCTTCATTGTCAATGATATCTGGTTCAATACCTTTAACTAATGATTCATTGTCTTTGTTTAGCTTGAACTGTATTAATTGATTAATATTGAAAACTTTGTGTCGCTTTGTTGTGTAATCCAATTCTAGTTCTACGTAGATACCATTATTGAATATCTTTGTGATCTTGAACAATACTCAGAAAGATTCAATTAACTTTATCTTAATTGTTAAAGTATTCTACATTTAAAATCATATAAAGATAAATGTTATTATCTTTATACATTAAAGATCAAATAAAGTTAAAACTTAAATCTTTACAATATTTATTAACTTTGTTTTTAATGTATTTAATGTATTTAATTATACTTATTATTTGAATATTATTCGTATTTGAAAATATAAATGGATATTCAAATTAATTATTTCTTTTTTTTGGACAATATATTAGATTAATGTATTTTCCTATTTTATTCCTACAATGAAATATACACCATTATCTACCAGATATATTCATCCAGATATAGATAAATTGAGAACTGCAAAAGAATAGAAAAAATATGAAATCAAATTCTGAAAATCACAAAACAAGTAAAATTGATCTACTACTAAAAAATATATATCTTTAAAATTTGTAAGATACACAGTAAATTACATCCAAAGCCAAAAAGTGTGGTGAATTGAAGATTTAAAAAAAATTCTAATCTTGTTAATTATATAATTTCCCGATTAGAAAGAATGGTTGCAAACAATAGATTAATATTATTCTATATTAATTTTCAACACGCTGAATACTCTATTACTATAAGGAGTTATCTTATACTTAATTAGGTTTTAATATGTATAATTAATTTCAATGGATATGTCATATGTTGTCTCACTGTGATAATGTAATAAAGTTAAATAAAGAATAAAGAATGAATTATAATATTTAATATCTTTTGTACTTTACAACATTTAAGTTTTAAAATGAGTATATAATAAGTTATAATATTTATCTTTATTTAAAGTTGAAATAAAGTAAAATTTGAATAACTTTATAAGTATTGATCTTGAACGGTCCACGATTCTTATTATTAATTGATCCTGTGTTAGTGTTCCAATCAACTTCTAAATTGATAAATTCATCTTTGACAAATATCCAATCTCCAATCTGATAAGTCGGTTTGTTCTTGATGGTTCCATCTGCTTCCAACATATCTAATTGTTTATCCAACAAACTGTCTTTGACCATCTCTCAGATCCATTCTCTATTCGATGTATTATTGTTTCTAAACATGTTAATTGGCGATACAGGAATGTATCCCAGCACTACTTCGAAAGGTGATAGTTTGATTGTTGAATTATAGGTTGAATTGATCGCGAATTGAATATTCTTAATCTCTTCATCCCACTTGTCTTTGAACTCCAACGATAGCTTCCTGAGCATAGATCTGATTCTCCTGTTAGTGCGCTCGCTCTGGCCATCTGATTGTGGATGTCTCGGTACGGACATTCTTAATTTTGATCCTACTTTCTTAAAGAGTTCTAACCACACTTCACTTGTAAAGCGAGTATCACGATCGCTTACAATTGATAACGGTAATCCAAACAATGAGAACACATGTTGATGAATTAACTTTGCTGTACCCAATGCTGTGATTTCCTTCGTAGTTGGAATGATAGTTGTATATTTCGAAAATCTATCCACCACTACCAAAACATAATCATAACCATTAACGCTCTTTGGTAATTCCATGAAATCCATCGAAATATCCACACCAACTCCTTCTGCTATCTCCAAAGGTTGTATGTTAACCTTCCTTTTCAATTCCACTCGATTCTGTTGACATTCCACGCAATGTTCACAGTAATCCTTCACCTTGTCATATAGATTGCGAGCATAGTAATTCGACTTCAACCTAACCCACGTTCTTAAAGTATCTCCATGACCACAGTAAGTACTTCCATGAGCTTCCGTTATTACTTCTTTAATATGCTTTTCATCTACCAAAAGTAATCTTTCATTGAAATTCTTATCCAAGATAAAAATTAATCCATTACTTTCTCTCCATGATTCCTTGTGACGTAACTTTACTTGACTTATAACTGTTCTTAATCTCGTTCAAGTAACTGAAATCCAATGGTATCTGGTAACACTGAAGTCTAGACAGCACATCTGCTCCCACGTTGTTCTTTCCTTCAATGTGATTGATATCATAGTTGAATTGCGACAACACTTCCAATGCCTTGAGCTGATCCTTCGTCAAGATTGCTTGATCTTTCAAATACAAGAGATTGAAATGATCTGTGTACAGTAAAATTACTATTTTTTTGCCACCTACTATCAAACTAATAGATAGATATATTATATACTCATTTTTAAACTTAAATAAAGTACAAAAGATATTAAATATTATAATTCATTCTTTATTCTTTATTTAACTTTATTACATTTTTACAGTGAGACAACATATGATATATCCATTGAAATTAATTATACATATTAAAACCTAATTAAGTATAAGATTAATAAATCGAAAAATCTATATTTGTTCAACTGTATGAGATATAATATTTAAACTCCTTATAGTAATAGAGTATTCAATGTGTTGAAAATAATATAGAAAAATATTAATCTATTGTTTGCAACCATTCTTTCTAATTAGGTTCCCGATCCCTCTAAAATATCATTTGCATTTACATTCCTAATATATTGTGGGTGAAAGTGGGTAAAAGTCTTGTAAAACAAATTATTCTCTTATTTAATAATGATAACGATTTAATTATTAAAGATAGATTGTATTAAAAGTTAATTATCATTTACGTTATTGGTAGAATTTTTTGAAAATGAACTTGTTGAATTATTACTATCAGATGTATAAATTTCTAAAACTTGGTTAGGCATCCTAATCCTAATTCAAGGTTCACCACTTTAAATTTAAAAAAAAATGTTTTTTTTTCAATTTTGCCAAGGTTACCAATATTAAATTTTCGATCAAAAAAAAAAAAACGATAGACTTAATATAAATCATTATTGAATAATAAAATAATTTTATATTTGTAACTTTTTTTTTCTCGCACTAATTTTTGGAAGGGTTTCTGAATGAAAACCAAAATGCTGTGAAAATTGATTCGATTTGATTAGATGTATTCAAATGAAATATTTTGATTGTGATAGACCAATGAACATTCAGAGTGAAGAGGAGCATGGTGACATTTGCATGATTGACAAGTTGAATCATCACCATTCTCAAGATGTAAACATTTTGATGAAAGAATACATTTTGAAAGTGGGGATACTTCAAATCTTGCAACCTTCAACAAGAATTCAATTAATTGTGGTGAGTATGGAGAGAATAACCAAGGACGATTTAGGGTATTTCCAGGAGCGTTGGTATCTGGTGGACCTCTTGCATTGGTTGTTGCATTTGTATAGTGTCTAGTCATGGCACCGAAGATAGAATTGATCGTCATATAGTAGTTTGAACTAATTACTCTATTATTATCGGTAAGAACTCTACGAATATTACCACTTCTAGTAGTACGGTCAGCTGGACATGCGACAATAATAACATAGGCGAAGTTAAGATTTGTTCTGGCAGCTAGTTGAGCCATGAAAGCACCAGAGTGACAGGTGGTAATTAAGAAGTATACCATGACATTTGTAACTGTTAATGCATTTAATGCATCAATTATTTCTGTACCAGTAATACGACGAGGGCCAGTATTTCCTAGTCGGGTAACTCTCAATCGATATTCACCATTTCTATATCCACCATGACCAGAGATTGTAAGTGAAATGACATCGCCTCCTCGAGTGCGAGCAACAGTATTCCTTAGTTCATTAAGGATATTATTCCTTGTTGGTACACTACTTGGTGGAGCACTGGCATTGGGAATAGCGTTTGGGATATTATCAATCAATAGAGTGTCATTTTTGCGAGTAATTATATTGTTCATGCTGTTTTCTGCATCCCAGTAATTATCAACTGTATTTACTAAAGTTTGTAAAAAATCAGTTGAATTTCTAGCATATTCAGGTCTTTCATTGGCGGTCCCAATATAAGATACACCAATAACTATATTTCGATATGTTCTTGTAGGGTCTGATGTATTGTTATTATTCGTGTCTGGCATTTCATTCATTATAATGCCTCCAACTACAAGTGTAGTTACAGCCATTGTTCCAACCCCAACAAAAATTGCAGTTGAAAGAGGTAACGTAGCAATTGCACCAACAACTAATAATGAACCAGTGACAATCGTTGCAACAATTGACCACCAAGAAGCTAATGAAGTATTATTGCTGATTGGTTCAACAGATGATATCGATGTGATTGAAAGACTACTTGAAAATGATTCCAATGCACCAGAGCAAGCTCCTTTTCGACCAATTACAAGATAATTTGTGAATGAGTTTTGAGAAGCCAAATCCATTTGCGATGCACCTATCATATATAGTGATCTTTTAATTTTATCATTCAATACCATATTGGAAGGAATAATAAGTGCAACCAATGATCCATAAGTTAGATTTGATATGAGTTGGTAAAGTTGATCTCCAGGTGCAGAGACTTGTTCAATGATTTCTTGTTGTTTTTCTTTTTCAATCAATTCAAGATCATGTTGAAATTTTGTTTTTGTGAATGGTAATGAGAATGTTGCAATCTTCACACCATCGACCACTGTTCCAACAGATGTATTATTGACATTGATACCTTGTGCAGAATTTACAGTTATCGATTGATAGTTGAATCCATCACCCAATGTCACTTTAATTGGCAATCTAAAAGTATTTATCACAGGTAGAGGGACTAAAGTATTACCTGAACTTACTAATTGACTCGGATAAATTGATTTTCCAACAATTCCAATAAAACTACAAGATGCTCTATATTGCAAAGGGTAAACACCCAATATTTGACCACCACATTTTGTTTTTAGAGTATTTATCGCTTCTGTTGAAAGTCTGACAGTCCAATCATCCATCGTAGCAATTGCAACAATTCTTCCATTTGCTAAACTGTTCATTAAAGTAATAAATTGTGAAGAGGCATTAGCATCACCATGAGTATCATATGTGGTGATACTTTCGATTAATCCATTATCTTGATTGATAATCATAACATTTAAACCTCTGCTGGCTGTGTATTTTACTTCTTCACCATTTAAAAAGAACTTTGCATAGGTTGTTTCATAAGGGACATTTTCTCCAATCTATAAAGAAATATTAAAATTGAGTTCATCTTTTTAAAAACCTATTTTTTTACTTACACCTCTGGAAACAGCTTTGATTTCAACAAAAGTTCTCATAATCATGAGTTTCGATGCAAATTTAGCAGAAATAGTGACAGGACCATTGTTTGAATGTATTTCAGGTGATGAACCTGGAGCTGCTCCTTTTCTTCCAAATAGAGCATATGAACTGGATGATGTGATTCTATTTGATAGATTTGCACCCAATGTTCTGAAAGCAGTTATCAAATAATCAGGGATTGAAAATGGTGTTTGAAGATTGGACGATGATATCATTACAAAATTACCAGCTGTTATATTTTGTAAAATATAATCAGATGCAGTCTTCATTGACATTTGATTGGTTCCAGGAGTTCCACTTGCAATGATTTGATTGTTACTAAGTACTTTACCAGTATATTCATCCAAAATTGACATTGAAAATCCATTAAATTGTGTTGGTGTCACAATTTGACTTCCATTCACAGCTTGGAAGAAATTTGTTGATCCATATAAAGGATTACATGCTGAAATTGTACATCCAACCATATTAGCATCGTTATTGTAAGCAAAGTATATACCTTGACAAACAGCACTTGATTTTGAACTGAGTTCACTTTGATTCAACCGACTCTTTGAAATCAAGAACCATTTTGATTGACCAAGAGTTGCATTTGTGAATTGATCAATGAAAATACTTCCAATTGATTTGATTGCATCGATGGATCCACTTGAAAGCATCAAAGATTGACCAGTACTTGTTGGTGTTGGACATTTAGGAATAATACAAGTTACGACATTTGTTGGTCGATTTGAAATAAATTGAATAAAATCCAAATTTGCTTGAGTGGTGTTGGTAACTGTGTTGAAGTTTATCGATGACATAACTTCCAAAGTGACTTCATTAAATGTAATCACATTCATACCAATTCCATATTGAAAATTGACTTTATTGGTGCCAATCGATAGAGTTGGTGTACTATCAATTGAAACTGATAGAATCTTGTAATCAAAATGACTTGGTAATTCACTTGAAACAGATTGAGTGGAATTGATATAGGCTTCACTTGCAACACCTGGAGACAAACCTTTGAATCCAATGATTGCCAAACGATTTGAGACTTGACCGGTTATCTCATAGATCTTAATACTTCCAATGGACTCGCATGCTTTGTAAATGGTATCGGAAATATAACTAACTTTGTTTCCATCGATTGCTATACAAGTGATTGTTCCAATTGGAATGGATTCAATAAAGTATGCAAATTGGAGAGCATCATTTTCATTCTGGACTGTGAAGTTTCTATAGTAGAATGGTGGCTCTTGATCATCTTGGTACACCCACACGTCAAATGTTGAAGAATAATAAATAAAATTATTATTATTATATGTAAAATATTGAGGTGATACACTTATTTGGTTCATTTTCTTCTTTAAAAAGAATAGACCAGAACTTACAATATTGAAATCAATCAACCTACAAAACAAGGATTGCTATTTATATTCTCTTAAATCCAAAATAAATTAAAAATAATGATTAATGTTAAGATTTTTTTTTAAAGAGGAATCATATATCGTCATATATGATCTATTCTACTAAAAGTTGAAAGCTGAAGGTTTGGATATTTAACCTGCAAAGTCAATCAAAATGATTCATCTGAATACTAATTTAGTTTCGGTTTTGCATCTGATTTATACATTTTCATATGGCGTCATATATTGCTATACAAAAGAAGAAGTATTCACGATGGAAGATAAAAAGAAGATTTTAATTTTGGGAATTTATAAATTCCTATGGCAGAGGAATCACATCGGAACCAATCGATACCAGTGTAGAATTGAAATATGAAATTTCATTAGAAGATTTATTTATGCACATAAAAATGTTTCATCCCTCATGAGTGAAAAAGGGTAAAAATCACCCCATTTATAATCACTTTTTTTCATGCAAAACAAATCAACAAGTTTCGGCTTATTTTCACCAATCACTTTATTTGACTTTTAACACCCCCCACGTTGTCAGAAATTACCACCTCTTATGATCAAAAACCCACATTTGTTTTATTCCAAATTTGTTTTTTTCGCATCAAATTTTTAGGCCTTTACATTTTTCTTCTGTTTTTCAATTCTTTTTTTATTTTGGGGCCTGATAATTAATTTTTTGTAATTATTTAAATTATCCAAGTTTCGATTAAATTAGTTATTATTTTCCAAACTATCAATATAATTATATTAAAAGTAAGTAAATTACTATATGTAAATAATTATTTGTTTACTAATATTAGATATAAATAATTTAATTTTAGATATGAGTGATTTTATTACTTTAAAATCATCGACCATCGAAAACTCTTCATTTGAAATTGAGGGTACCGAGTTTCTTGATCAATCCTTGGTCAAAACAGGTTTAAATATTTGGTTTTCAGACACTTCAGATAGCTTCCCAAACTATACTTTTAAAACCTTTGGTTACCAAGATGATCTATTGTTCTCTGATCACATAAACTCAATTGAAATGGGATCAATTGTACTGGTAATTGCAATCGGTGCATTCCCAAATCCGCCAAGCGATGCTCTGTTTAGATCTCTTAAAAAGATCGGATCTGGTCAAGTAATATCAATCAATGGAAGTGCCAACTATTGTATCATTGGTGTGAAAGGTGAAGCTGTTGGTGATGCTGTTGAAGCATTTGGAAATGGACAATCCACCAATGTAACTGTTTCGAGAAATGTAAACCCAATGAATATAGATACCAGATATGTATTGATTAAACAATTGACTTCTTCAAGTATTAGTGTAACATTCAACAATACTGATACTTTTGAAAGTGCTATTGCCGATGGTCTCACCGTTTGGACTTTTGGAGAGGATTTAAATATGGATGATGTTCTGATGGATTCTAGTCAAGTTTATTCCACCAACAGTTCTACATCACAATCAGACAGATTAGAAAACTTCATTCAAAGTCAAGAAGATGGAAAATTCATTTTCATTGTCAGTAAAGGTTCAGCAAAGACAAATATTTCAAGTGAACTTGCAAATATTCTTAAATCTCAATTGGGAAGTAAATATATCGATCAATATATTTCATCTTCTACAAATGATAAATGGTTCATTGTTGCAAGAAAGAATTCAAAGTATTCACTTTGTGAATCAACTTCAAAAATTGAACAAACCAATATTGGATCATTCTTTTGGACATTCGATAATCCAAATGAAATCATTGCGAAATCAAAGGTTGATCAAAGAAATGTGATGATATCTGCATCATCTTTCAATCAAGGACTTCCAACAAGTGTTACCAATAGATATTCTTTGATTATCGATGATCAAACAGCTCCAACTCCAACATCTGGAACATCTGGTTTTTTAATGTATATTTTAAGTGAGATTGATAGTTCAATCAAATCATACAAATCATACAACATTAAGAGTACCGATCCCACAACTGCTGTTGCAATGATGACTGATATTCAAAACATTCAAATTGGAGATATCGTTGTAATCATTGCATCTCAACTTGATTCGACTTTTGTGATGACTTCTGAATTGGCACATATGTTTGAAACAGTTGGAGCTCAATATTCACATGATTTGATTGCTTTATCATCTTATGTCATTATTGGAAGAAAAGGATCATCAACTGGTTCTGTTCCTGAATTATTTTCAAAGAATGGACCGGTATCTTTATTTTCAAATTTCTCAAAAGTAATTGTTAAACCATTTATTCATATTGAAGCTATTTCTAAATCTGTATGTATTTATAGCTATTTTATTAAGAATCTTTTTATTATTGATAGAGTTTTATTAATTGTAAACATTTTCTTTTCAGGTAACAGGTGGATATTCTAAGTTTTTAATAAATTCTACAGAAGTTAATGCCAATATTGCAAATGGAATCAATGTCTTGACACTTGATGAGAACAATGGAAATATTATCGATTTCACAACATTCGACACTGTCAATCCATCACCAATGATCAATGGTTTACTTTCTACTAGTGGAACATTTGTAACAGTTAATTCAAGCCCTAGTTATAATTTTAATACTGGTGCATTTTCAGCAGCAGTAAGATTCCAAACCACTTCAATTGGTCCTATTTTATGTAGAAAGCCATTTAATGGTGGAACAAATAATGGTGGATGGACATTAGTTCTTGAAGCAAATGGTGTTATCAATTTTATGACTGATAATGGAGTTGGTTCTTATAGAGTTCAAACAGGTCCAACAAATGTTATTGATGCAGATTGGCATAATATTGTTATTGTTAGAGGTGCAGCTGGTACTTTATCTATTTATTTGGACGGAGTTAAATTACCAGTAACAATTTCAAAAACTATAGAAACTCCTTTAAATGTTGATTCAAATGCATCATTTGTGATTTGTCAAAATACTCAAAAACCAGGAACACAATTCATTGGAACAATCAGTGATGTTTCTCTTTGGAATTCTGATATTTCACAAACAACAATGAAGATTGCTGCTAGTGGTCAATTAACTGGAAATGAACCCAATTTAGTTGGATATTGGAAATTAAATTCAAATCTAAATGATCTTTCCAAAGTCTCAAACACAGGAAATGGTCAAAATATTACATACACTCAAATCGGATCAACTCAATCTGAACTATTTGCATCGAAAATACAAGCATTACAGAATGGAAAAATAGTTGCACTTTCAGTTCTTGGTGCTGCAAATACATATCTTTCAAAGAGAGCAAAAGATACTATGGCATTCTATTTGAATTCTGAAAGTGTTTACACTTATACAAGTGGTAATTCCTTTTGTATGATCAGTACAATCTCACCAAATTCAGATCTTGAATATCTTTTAATCAGTGAATGTTTATCGAATTCAAGTTCTGAAACATCATGTAATGTAAGATTTCCAATCAAATCATTGTTTGATAAAGTTGTTGGATATAGTTTTTGTGTCACATCTTATGGAAATCAAAATACATGTAAGATAATGATTAATGGTAATCATCCCACTGGATCAGTTGGTGAAGGATTAAATGTTGTTACTGTCGACCCAGTGACAGGTTTAATCTCTGAAATTAAGAACTTTAATACTCTTTCTGATCCAACAGCTTGGTCAAACTTCTATCAATTTATTTCAACTCTAAACATTGGAGTTTATATTTGTGTTGGAATCAAATCTTCAATGGGAACACCACTCACCGCCCTCGATAAGAGATATAGGAATATGGCATTCAATATGATTGGTGGATGTGCTTTCCACAACTCAAATATTGGTTCATATTCTTTGATTGGTGCAAAAGGAATAACATCAGGTACTGGAACTGAATCATTCTCTGATGGTGATTCTCAAGTTTGTGTTTCATCTTGGGAACCAAAAACTCCATCAAATCTAAGAGCATCACAATCCATTTCCAATTATAGTTCTATTCATTCTGTTGGTCTATTGGATAAATATTATCTTGTCAACAATCCAGTTAGTATGATTCCAAAATCATATGCAGTTGGTAATGTATATGCAAGAGAACCATCATACAGTCTTTCAAACAATAATTTTGGAAGAGTTGTCAAAGCATTGTTGGTCGCTGTTTCATACAAGAACAGTCCAGCTGGAACCATTCAGAATTCAGAAATTGAAATCAGAGAACATGCCAATGTTTTGATTCGTTGTGGATTGATTCTTCCTGAAAACATCAAAATCTTGAGTGAAAGTAATACTCAACTTTCAAAAGATGGAACATTTGTTCAAGGTCCAAGTTCTCATTGTATTCAAATGGAAATCAATGATTGGTTGTTGAAAAATATTAAAACAGGAGATACAATCTATTTTGTTTATAAAGGAAGATCATTCACCAATACTCCTTTTAACAAACAACCTGGAACTGTTTCCGATTATGGATTATGTTCTTTGAATCAAGATCTCACAGCAACAGACTATTCATTGAATAGATCAACATTTCTTAATTTATTCTCAAATGTTCCGACTGGTGTCAATATTTCAATGCTCCTTGATTGTTCATATGCAGTGGATATTGCATCTAAAACATTTAGTGGTGCTCCAAATTCAATTCAATTCCAGATTGCAGCATTACTTGGAAGTGGATCTGATATCAAGATAAGACAATTACAACAAGATATTAGTTTCTTATCTTCAATATCAAATATTTTGAAGAATAACTTTACAAGTAATAATAACAATAATATTACATATAACAATATCATAAATGGTGTTATCTCAACAAACAAATATCAAACTACACCATTCTTTGTCAATGGATATGCAGTGACTGATGATCAAACATTCTTATCACAAATCAAATCCAATGTATCGGATATCACAATTGGTGAAGATATGGATTCCAATATTTTGAAAATCAAACAATATTCAAAGAATATCGATGGAATTGAATATTTTAGATATTCTGACAGTGAGATCTCAGGTTGGAGTCAAGTTAATGTCACTTTCAATGTTTGGAAAGAACCAATGCATGAATCGATAATTCCATTCTATGAATACAATTTGGATAATTCAAATATATTCTATTATACAACCAATTCTAATCTTTCAGCAGAACAAGGTTGGAATCAAACATCAATTATTGGATATGTATCAAACACCAAAGCATCTGATAAAATTCAACTTTATCAATTCCACAGAGATCAAAAACTAGGTGGAGGTTATTTCTTCAGCACCAATAGAAATGAATCTCCAAATCACTTTATCTTTGATGGTCCAACCGTATTTTTGCCACTAGTTTAAACTACAAAAAAAATAAATTAATCAAAATTTTTAAAAACATAAAAATATAAAATAAAATAAAATAAATTCTACACTACACCCACACAAACTTAGCAATTTTTCAAAAAAATACAAAAGTATTTATTTAAGTTAATTGTTTTATCTTGTAACTAAAATATTTTTTTTCATATAGTTCATTGACTGTTTATACCATTATAAAAGGATCAAGATATTAAATGAATATCTCTAAATTTATTATTGTGATGTTTATTAATTCACTCTTATTGGTTGCTACCAATGCAGTTCTCTTGTTCATCAGGTTCCTCTATTAATGATCCAGCACTAGCAGAAAATGCATATTTAAGTGTAAGTTTGTTGTCCGTCTAAGGATAATAGGGGTAGCAGCCAAGGCAATCCTAGTGCCTATCAAACAATATCAATAATATACACCAGCCAACATGACAACAATAATAACTCAATTATAATTAATTAAATTAATTCGATCAACTAAATAAGTAATTGTTTAAAACAACAGATTCAAATAATAATTAAATTAAATCTGTTTGTTCCAAATTAAGTTATTCAATACTCAGCCTTCAAGCTTCTCAATAATCAATACATTGAGTTTAACGCGACGTAAAAGAATTGATTCAAGGATTCAGATTATTCAATATATTAAATTTATGAAATTAAATAGATAATAAAAGAAATTAAATAAAATTAAAATTAAATTATATAAATCAAGATATTTATATATTCCATATAGTTAACAGATGACTGTTTGAATCGGTCATAGAATGTATAAGGCTGTCCTTGCAAGAGTGTACCTGGTGAGACCGTTATCAATGTCAGTTTAGCCGTACACTTGAGGAAGTCTTCGATGTCTTTTCGTAAGATTCACGGCTGCGATTTCTTTTTTTCCAAATTCCCAAAACTGTAAGGATCAGCAATTTGGGAATCTGAGCATTTTGCAAAAAAAAGTGATTGTTTTTTGGCAGTTTTTACACGACTTTTTTTTCATACATATATTAAATATATTTTATTTCTTCATTTCTCAACTTAAAAAAAGTTGGATCAAAGTCAAGACTCGGTTCTGCAGCCATACCAGAGAAGCTCTTCATTTCGACCTTTGGGTTTTTGGCTTTAGACTTTTCTAGAATATTCCTGACTGTCCTTCCTTCCTCAAAAGCTCTCTAGTACGTGGCTCAAAGAATCCAGCAACATTCCCAATTGTAGAATGGTCGATCTTCGAAATTTTAAAGAGAGATTAATCCAAGATTAATCGAAATCAAAACATCACCATTATTTTTTTTTCAGTTTAATAAAATTCGCAACAAACATGAAATTAATTTAAAATGATGGATTTATTCATTAAATGATACTGTAGTGCAACTGGTTAACATATTATTTAGACTTTTTATTTATTAATAGAGATTTTATATAAATATAAGACGATATCGAAATGTAATCAATTTATTTATAATTTATATAATTTTAATTTATTTAATCCAAGTTCTCTACTTGATTTTTGAAGTTTGAATAAAGGAATGTTGATTGTGCATCGACCAACTGTCTGAACCTAGAGTTTGTAGAGATCAATGCTTTTGGACTATCATATTCTATCAATCTTCCTTTATCCACGACCATAACCTTATCACTATCGATGATAGTGTCGAGTCTATGTGCAATGGTGAGGACAGTTCTGTTGGCAAAGTTGGTTCTAATGGTTTCTTTGATGATGGCATCGGTTTCGTAATCTAGTGATGCAGTTGCTTCGTCCATTAGCACAATAGGTGATTTGCTGAGTAGTGCTCTAGCCAGACACAACAATTGTTTTTGTCCAATTGAAAGTCCATCGCCACCTTGATCCAGTTCGTACTCCAACTTGAGAGGGAATGCTTCGACGACAGGTTTAATATGTACTGCTTCCAACGCTGTCCAAATATCCGGGTCGCTATGTTGATTGAATGGATCGAGGTTCATACGAATGGATCCCGAGAAAATGAATGGATCCTGAGGGATTACCGCCAGACGACCACGTAGATCATCGAGTCCGATCGACTCGATATCGATTCCATCGATGATGATCGATCCCTTTGTAACTGTCGCCATACGGAACAGCGAGAGTCCAATAGTCGATTTACCAGCACCCGTACGTCCAACAATACCTATTTTCTCACCTGCATTGACAGTGCAATTCAATTCACGCAGACTTGGATCCATGTGTGGACGATAGCGAACCTCGACATTTCTAAATTTAATCTCACCTTTGGTTGGCCAGTCTTCAGGTGGTCTGTGATCCTCGATGATTCTGTCACCCTCGTTTGGCGAGTTGATATACTCCATGACACGCTCCACTGAATTCATCTTTACCTCCAACTCTGTGAATTGACGAATTGCCCAATTCAAGATACCGGTGACCGAGATTGCGGATGACACTGCCATACCGGCGACACCAGGTGATTTGGAAGCGGAGATCAGTGAGAAAACCGATGCAGATACTACCATCAGAGAGGTCAGTAACTCAAGGTGCATACCCAACCATCTATTCACTGAGAAACTGTGGTAGAATAGACGCTGATTCAAGTTGATATGTTGGTCAAACAAATCGATGAAACGTTCCTGTTGCTTAAAGATACGGATTGACACTAAACCTGTGAATGATTCTCCCAGACTTCCAAAGATAGGTGATCTAGAGATCGATTCCATACGCTTCAGCTCACGACTGGAACAACGATAGAACTTCTGAATGTAGTAATAGAATCCAACCAAACCGACGAAAGCAAATATGATGTAAGGTGTCAAGTAGATCATCAGGATAATCGATACCAACACACTGGAACCACAATTGAGTACATCGTTGATCGATTCCAATAGATTATTATCGATATCTGAAGTATCCTTGGAGAAACGATTTAGAATACGACCGGATGGATTCTGATCAAAGAAAGAGGTCGGTGAGAAAAACACTGAACCAACAAGACGTTGATGTATTCTCTTGGAGGCTGTCCAGCATAGATTTGAAATACCCAAGAGTCTACAAACTAAGAGCAAAACAAATGTACCAACGAATGCTCCGTAGATTAGCAGATAGAACTTGTTACCAGGATCGGGCTGAATCTTTGCTCCTGTCCATATGACCAACCAATAGTCCGACGATTGCATGATAAGTTGCGAGAAGAAATAGAGTAAGATAATAGTGACATAGAATAGAGTGGATCCTCCAGATTTGAAATATGGAATATAGGTGGAGCTGCCGATTGCACCTTTTCCTCTTTCTTCGACAACAAAAAGCTTTCCTTTTTGTATGATTGGGTCGCTTTCATTTGCATCCATAACTATACATTGGTTATTCTCTAGTTCCACTGTTGATTTGTTGAGTGGATTCTCAACGACTACTGCTGGTGCGCTGCTCGATGTTGGTTGTTGTGGTTGTTGACCTTCTTCCTCCTCCAAATCCAATTGTTTTGTCTTCATAATCGATTCGAAATCGATACCTTTGGCGCTCAACTCTTGATAGGTTCCTTGGATGAGATTACCATTTTCAATCACCACGATGTGATCTGCCGATGGAATGAATTGCAACTGATGTGTCACCAACACTCTTGTCTTGTCACCCATCATCTCTTGAATGCAATGATCAAACAGATGTTTTCCTACCTCTGCATCGACAGCAGAGAGTGGTTCATCCATAACGTAGGCATCGGCATTCGAGTAGAGACAACGAGCCAATGAAATACGTTGACGTTGTCCACCCGACAAATTGATACCGTGCTCACCAATCTCTGTCATATCCTTAGCGGGAAACATTGCAAGATCCTGTTTCAGACAACAAGCTTGAATAACTTTGATATAGCGATCCATATCGAATGGCTGTCCGAATGTAATGTTGTCTCTGAAAGTACCGGAAATGAGCCATGGCATCTGAGGAGTGTATCCAAGATTCTTTGGTGCACTGACAGTTCCAGCGACACGACTAATCTCACCAAGAATTGCAGATATCAAACTTGTCTTACCACAACCGACTCTACCAACGATGACAGTCAACTTTCCTTTGGGCGCAACGAAATTGACGTTGGTCAACACGGAATTGCTGATCTCCTCCATTTCGATTCCAAGCGAAGAGTCGACTCTGAGCAATCCAGAATCATCGGCATCGGCACCAGACTCTTCGGTTTGCAATATTTTAGATCTGGCTTGTTTGCTTGGTGATTTAGCACCGTCGCTATCCACAAAATCCGAAGCAAAAGAATCGTCCCAATTGAACTCACCATTGACAATTCTAATCTCCTGAGTTCCACCTACTCCTACTCCTCCAGAAGAGTTGAACAAAGTTGGTGAACCGGATGGCGATGAACTAGTTAAGTTCTGGCTATTCAACGAAATCTCATTGGCTTGCAGATACTCTTCGATACGACGAGCACTCGATGAAACACGCAAGAACTTCTGAATAGATTCCGGTGCAAACTGTGTTGGATTACGCAACGAAACAAAGATTGAGATGGCAGTGAACGCTGTTGAGGCATCCAGTTGATTTCCCAAGAGCGTATAGAAACTAAAGGTAACCAACAGTACGACACCATTGAGCATGGCATTGTTGGCTTGATCCATTGCCCAGAAAAACAACTTCTTTTTGTTGGTATTCAGCTGGTAGTTACGCTGGTCAGTGATACGATTGACAAACGAATTCTCCCAGTTGTACAACTTTAGGAATCTGATACCACAGATGAACTCACTGATCAAACGAACTCGTTGATCCGAGAATTGAAGAGTACTGAGGAAGTAGTTATTGGCTTTAGTGATAAACAGAGTCGAACACGGCACAGAAAGTCCCATAACAACGAAACCGGCCAATCCCGACGGTCCCAACATCATACACAACAAAATCAACAATAAAACAATTTGAAGTGGATATACAATAATGTCCACATGTGAATTCCCTATGAAAAAAAAAAAAAACATTAATTTAAAAGATCGTTTTAATACTTTTAATATTATATTATTTATTTGATACATACAGAAATACTCCTGGAAGTTTTCAACATCTACTGAAATCAAATTCATGATCTTTCCAGTATATTTTCTCTTTGAGGAGTTGCTAAGTTTCAACATCTTACGAAAGATGGTTGACATCAATGCACCTTTCATCTCAAGACACATCTTCAGACCATACCAATAACCCTGTTGCAATCCCATCGATTGTACACAACTCGAAAAAAACAATGCAATACAAAGCAACCATCCAAAATAACTTGGTAAATCTGTTTCTCCATTTATAAATAAAACAAATCTATACAAATTCAAAACAACAACAAAACAACAAACATGTTAATAATCATTAAAAGTTACAATTACAATTTTTTTTCTGTATTTTGATTAATCTTACGTTCTTAATAGTAAAGGTGTAATAATAGAAGCGGCAATAGATAAAAACTTTAGCAGTGCAATAATCTTGTACCGTGTAGAGTAATTCAAGTATATATGTTTGATGAGTGGATATTTCGCTGTGAAATCGATTCCCTCCATCAGTGGAACGGATTGTGCACACTTGATGCTATCGACTTGCTCTGGGATATCCGTTAATTCCAATGGCTTGCGGTAACCACGCTTCAGAGTGGGTCGCACCCACCAAAATGAAATTCGCGAAAATATATTCGCATGTTGCTCTGGCGATGGATCATTGTATCTATTTCTATCGTAATACTCATTGTAATCGATATCTGATTCTTTCTTTCCTGTAATACCACTACTACTACTGCTGCTATTTAGATTATTTTTTTTACTACTACTACTACTTTCACTATCTATACTATTTTCTATTTCTATAGAACTTGGTTGATCTTTTTGTTGCTCATTTTCATTTGATTCATCAAGCCTAGAATAATTTGGAAACAATTTATTCCTAATATTTTTGAGTAGTCCCATTTATTATAAAATTTTGTAATATATATCTAAGATTATTATTGTTTATTATTTAATGGAACTTAACATTTAATTATTGTTTATTGTAATATTATAATATAATGTAATGTTATAAATTATTATTTTATGAGACAACAATGTTTTAGGCAAATATCAAAAATTTCCTAAAAATCTATACTCGAATGAAATTAAAAGTTGAAAATTGGTTGGTAAATTTGAACTAGTTTAAAGAAATGTCCCGACTCTTTTTTAGTTTTTTTTTTTGTCGATTGGAAAATTTTATTATATATTGAGAAATAAGTGTTAATGAAAATTGAAAGTTTTACTATTACAATAAGTTAGATATTGAATAAGATTATCTGAATGTGGTTATAACAAATTCTGATTTTTTGGTGTTGAAATCACTGATTTTTCTTAAAGATGATCTAACTACATAAATAGGGTATAAAAAAAAGAATCTTATATTGATATTATGATTTGGTGTATGGTGATTGATTTGATTTGATTGGTGAATGTTTTGTGTATTTATGAGATTGAGTAAGTTAAAACAAAGCAAAGTTAACTTATTTTCAAAATAAATATAAATAATTATATGTTATTGTAAAAAGAACAAAAAAAAACAAAATGAAAAATTATCAATCATCGATGAGCTATGTTCCAATACTGTTAATTGGATGTTGTTTAATTTTGATGTTTTATTGCTTCTCGCGAGAACTACAAAAAAAAAAACCAAAAAACAATAGAATGATGTCAAAAACCCTTCCATTTGCACAAATTCTTTTACAAAAATTTATGTATCGGTAAAAATGCAGGTATTTTTTTGGTTACCGTGATAAAAGTAGAGAAAAATCGTAGAATGAATGAGTGAGACATCTTTCCACTTTAGAGTCATTGTTGGAAAAAGGTATATCGATTTCTAAGCAACATCATTACAGTGACAAACCATTTAAAACTAGGAAAATGTTAAGTTTGTCTACGAAGCCATGTAACCAACAAGATTTAAAAGATCAAACTATCTGACTTTATAGTGCAATCAATCAACTTAATCCATATTTAGATAACTTTCTATCAAATGTGGTCATCTTATGTGGTTTGGTCATTTCTAGGAATTTTAACAACAATTTATAACTGTACTATTACAATCTATAACTATGAGTTCAAATAGATAGATAAATATTTATGAACATGTTGTTTTGTTTCAATTTAATTTAAATTTTATTTTTTTTTTATTTATTTTTTGTTATGTTGTTTTATTCTGTCTGATTAGTAAGGTAAGGTTAACGTTTAGATGACTTCTTCTTTGATGAAGATGTCGATGAGGTTGATGAAGACAATCTTGCACTGTCACTTATTGAGAAACCACCGGTGCTTTGACCGAGTGATGCTCCGGTGAGTTGAGGTGTTTGTGGTGTGAAGAGACTGGATGATGTTGATCGTAGCGATGGTGTTTGTGAACCTAGTGGACTGATTGTTGTCGAGAGGCCATTCGTTTGACCAAGTGAGCCGAGCGAACCGAGAGACGATGATTGCGAGCCAAGCGAACCAAGCGAACCAAGCGAACCTAATGACGAGCTAGAGCCAAACGAACCGAGTGAACCGATTGAACTGTTTGTTGTCGGTGTTGCTGAGGTGTTGCCAAAGAGTGATGTACCAGTGGTGGTGGTGGTGGTTGGTGTTGCACCACTGAGAGAAGATGTAGTTTGTGAACCTAGAGAACCAAGCCCACCCACGCCACTACCAAAGAATGATGATGTCAGTGGTTGAGCTGTTGTTGTTGATGTTGGTGTTGTTGTTGCTGACGTCAGAGACAGTGTTGGTTGTGTCGGTGTAGTAGAAGATGAAGGTTGAATGGTGGATGCACCAAACACCGATGATTGAGTAGAATAAGAATAGCTATTGTTGTTGTTATTGTTTGAATTATAAGATGAGTTGTATAGTGAGTTGTTATCTCTATTATTTGAAGAAGAAGATTCAATTGGTTTTCTCTTTGGGAAAGGATTGTAATTATCATTATAGTATTTCTTCTTGAATGCTAGATAATCTCGTTTCAATTTCTCTAGATCGTTAGTAAGACCATCTAATACAACTGCCAAATTTCTCAATACATTTTGATTTGTCTGTAGAGTTGATATAAATGCTATTTTTATGGTTTGTTTGTTTGTTAGTTAAAAGAGATCTCCTATTATTATTATAATTATTATTATTATATATAAATGATCATAGTTACATTCTTGAAAGGTTAAGTTTGTATTATATTTCCTTAAGTTTGATGGTGCAATCGAGTTTATAGTCTGATAGAGTCTATCTATCTTTGTCATAAAGTGTTCTACTATCTCTTCCATTTCACGTGATGGCAATGGCTGTGAATAAGGTGATATGAATCCAATCGATAACATATGATACTGTTCACTTATAGATGTAAGTGGTTTAGCTGATTGCTCTCTTAAGTGTCCAAACGATTGAATATAATGATTGAAATTATTATTTAAACTATCTATTTTCTATATATATATTATCAAATAGTAATTAAAAAAGTAACATTAATATCGATAGCAATCTTTCCATTTATAAATCTATCTAGATCTACACTTACAATATGTATTTGTTGAATAAGTTTTGGTAGTTTATCCAACTTTTCATCGTATGGTGAGAATGACTTCATTATAGAGTTATTATTTATAATCATTTTACTAGTAAATCACATTTAATAGTAGTTAGTATTATACTATGATAATAATATATCTTAACCTTAACAATGTACTTACTGTAATCTTAAACATTCTTGTTTTAGTGCAGGTGATAGATCTGCGTATTTTGTTGATAGATTATATGGTGATGGTTGTTGTATAAGCTGTTGTTGTTGTTGTTGTTGTTGTTGTTGTGGTTGTGGTTGTCCGAATGCCGAACCGAATAGACTGTTTCCACCTAGAGGTTGAGATAATGAACCTAACGAACCTAATGAACCTAGAGAACCAAGAGAACCTTGCGAACCAAGAGATCCCAATGAGCCTTGTGATCCTAGAGATGATCCTAATGAACCCTGAGATCCAAGAGAACCCAGCGATCCCAACGACGAAGTAGCATTACCGCCACCAAACAAACCACTTCCAGTATTGGAAGCGGGTTGTGTTGTATTGCCAAATAGTGAGGTGGTTGGTGTCTGAGCAGAGGTCAATGAAGATCCGAAAAGTGAACTTCCAGTCGCTGGTTGTGTAGTTGCACCGCCGCCACCGCCGCCAAACAATGAACCACCAGTACTAGCAGCGGGCTGACTTGAACCAAACAAACCAGTTGTTCCTGTTCCGCTTTGTTGTGTATTCGTTGCACCTGTCAGAGACGATCCAAACAATGAAGATCCTGTTGTTGCAGCAGGTTGTGCACCACCTCCAAACAATGAGGAACCTGTGGGCGCAGCTCCACCACCGCCAAACAATGATGTTGTTCCAGTTCCAGTACCAAACATCTTCTATACTATTAATATAATATAACTTTAAATATTTATTCTAGATTTAGAAACAATCAAATCAGTAAGCTGATCATCAACAATCAACACACACTTTGTTTTTTTTCCTTTTTTTTTTTTTAAATCGATGATTGCGCCAAAAAAAAAAAAAACAATCAAAATTTTGTTTTATTATTTAAAAGTAACAGGTTTTTCACAAAACAAAGAGATAAATTGATTGTTATTGTTATCGATTCTTCTTAGGGAATAACGATTACCAATGTGAAGAAGATGAATGCTTGGTGGTAAATCATTGATGCTGTTGTTCGTTAGGAAATCATAGCCTGCCTTCACCTCTAGTTTGCTTGGAGTGTCGTTTCCTCGGGTCGGTCGTTGCACTGCTTGCGAGTGAATGATTCCTATCGATTTCTCGATTACCAGAAGCTTCAAAGTAGAGGGTATCACATTCTTGCCGAATCCATGGTGATATCTAGATTGGATCATCAGTGTCTCCAGTTTGCAAGGTAGCGAATTCTGATTGAGAATGGCATCGAACTTTGCTCCCAAGCTCAAAACCTTCAGCGACATTGGGAGAGCGCTTGCATCGATAGTTTGATGGAGATTCTTAAAGTATAGCTTTTCGAGTGATCGCGGTAGATCGCCACGCTTCAACGGTTGATTGAAAGCATTGCCAAACTTGAGAGTCTTTACCGTGTTGGGAATCATGTTGTTGGCTGCCAACGGGAAGTTAAAGTGGTCACCGAGGTTGAGGTGTGTAACACTTGCTGGAATGGCAGCTGCGTCAAAGCTAGTCAAAATCAAGCTATTCAAACTTAGCTTTCGCACGGAAGACGGTATCATTCCAGGCGCTATCACTCCACTGTTGGCATAGTGAGAACTGAATGAAAGATTGGTGATGGTTGTACTCGTAGCGATACTTTCATATAGGCTGAACGGAAGATTCTTTACGGTTTTCAACGATGGTAGATAATCGAGAGAATATCTTCTCATCGGTTGGGAATGCTGAGCATTCACCGTGAAAATCAATGTCTCCAGTCCAACAGGTAGGTTTCCTGGTATGTAGTTTTGATTTTTCGAAAGTGACAACTTTCTTAGTTGAGCGGGAAGTGCTCCAACCTTGAATTCCAGGTTATATTCGACGTCGAATGAAAGTGATCTCAACGAATCTGGAAGAACACCAGGCTCCAGTGTTTGATTAAATGTATAGCCAAAACCAATTTTCTCTATGCCTTTAGGGAATGCACCAATCTCCAACGGTTGATTAAAGTAGGTGCCAAGCTTGATGCTTTTCAAGGTTTTCGGGAGGATATTTGGGGTGAGCGGTGAATTAAAATAATCTGGTAGCTTTAGAGTGACCAAAAATGTCGGTAAACATTCCAAATCGAATGTTGGAACTCTCTCAAAGTAAGTATATTCAATGTGTCTAACATTTGAATCCTTTAGATTGACAATAGAAGAGAGTTCTATTTTACCATTGATGATAACCGATGTTACTTGTTGATTTAGAGTTATTTCTTTATCTTTTTCAATAGTAGAAACTTGAAAGTTGTTTTAATATTAATATTAATATTAATTAATTAATTATTTTTCTAAATTCTAAATTATTATAACATTTTGTTTTAATCATACTGATGTGACTCTCTATTGGTAAACCAGAGGAAAGAACTTGCATCATAATATATAAAGTATTTGAAAAATAAAATTTATAGGATTGATCAATAATCTCTCTATAGGAATTTAAAGAAGTAGTTTTAGGTGTTGCCAAACCTACAGATCTACAATCGAGTACTACCAAACTATTTCTCTCATTGAAAAGCTTCTTACAACTTAGAGTGAAGCATACTCTGTCAAAGTTTGAAATTATTTCATTAAATGAGAGAATATGCTTTAATAGATATTGTGAAAGATTTATTATATTTGTTGACATCTTTTTATATAATTAAAATTGATAATGATAACTGTCTGTCTTTTGGTTTTGTTCACTGCTTTAAACATGTTATGTGTTTTTTGTTGTTGTGGCATTTGCAATGTCATTATTTAAAAAATTTTGTAAAACTCACCATTTTCAGATTTTTTTAAGAAGATCATTATTTATTACTTTTGACAAAGATAATTATTTTTATGAAATAGATAAGCCTATAATAATGTATCTATGTAATAAAAAATCTTTAAATATATATAATAAATTGAAATACACAAGTAGTAGTAGTATTAGCAATAATTGTAATAGATATAATTTTTACTCTACATCAGCATCAGCATCATCGAATCAAAATGAAGTTGATCAAAGTAAATCTATAGATTCAATTAGAAAGACATTTCTTTCTTACTTTGAGAGAAATGATCATCTTCGTGTAGAATCATCTTCTCTCGTTCCACATACAGATTATTCTCTATTGTTTACAAATTCAGGTAAATTAAAAACAATGACATTCTATGTTATATTATTATCGAAGCTATTTATTTAATAATAAAAATGTATACAATTTTAGGTATGGTACAGTTTAAGAATTGTTTTATTGGTTTTGAAAAACCGGTGAAACCACTTTGTACTTCGGTTCAGCGGTGTGTGAGAGCAGGTGGTAAACACAATGATTTGGAAAACGTTGGATACACTGCACGTCATCATACATTCTTTGAGATGTTGGGTAACTTTTCGTTTGGTGGATACTCGCATTTCAAGCGTGATGCTATTCGTCATGCTTGGACACTTCTGACCGTCGATTTCAAGCTGCCAGTGGATAGACTGCTAGTCACTGTGTTGCACGGTGACGAGGAATCGGCCAGCATCTGGAGAGACGATATCGGTTTGCCAAGTGAGAGAATTCTCTACAAGGGTGAAGCAGACAACTTCTGGTCGATGGGAGATGGTGACGGTCCGTGCGGTCCGTGTTCAGAAATCTTTTGGGATCAGGGTCACGAGGTGGATGGCGATAGGTATCTCGAGATTTGGAATCTGGTGTTCATGCAATATCATCGTGATGCATCGCGAAAACTGATTCCTCTCGCTACACCGTGTGTCGATACTGGCATGGGACTGGAGCGTATGGCAACCGTGCTACAGGGTGTCAGTAGTAACTATGAGATCGATTTGTTTGTGCGGCTGATGGAAGCGGTTCGTACATTGAGTTGTCAGAATAGCTCGACTATCACCAACAAGCTGGATTGTCCGAAAGTACAGACGGCGATGCGTGTTGTTGCCGATCATCTGCGAGCGATATCGTTCTTGATTGCCGACGGAGTGATTCCCTTCTACACGGGCAGAGGCTATGTGCTGAGAAAGATTATTCGTCGTGCTCTGTCCTATGGAAAAACACTGGGATTCGACGGTCCTTTCCTCAGCCAACTGTTCCCATTTCTCGCCAAGGAGATGGGTGAAACCTATCCATTACTACACAACCGTGCAACCGAAATAATGAACGTAATCTACAATGAAGAGTTAACTTTTTACAGTGCAATCGAAAGAGGTGCTCCTCATCTCGATGACTTGATTGAATCAAGAAAATTGGATGAATGGTAAATAATAATAATAATTTGACTTGTTTAAACAAGTATGGTCATTTTTATCTTACAGCCTATTAACAAGTATAATTTAATATTTTAATAGGCAAGTTTTCAATATTTTTAATACATATGGATTACCATTGGAAATATCAGAGGTAAAAGCAAAACAAGCAAATATAGAATTATCGATGGAAAAAGTACAAACATATATTGAAGAGATGAAAGAGAAATCGAAATCAACATGGAAAAAAGATAAAAATAATATACCTGAACCAGTTTTGTAAGTAATAGCTGATTCTGTTGTAAGAAGTTAAAATAGAATAGTTTTGATTTTAACACACATATATATTGTCTTTTAGGAAATGGAAGAATGATAGAATAGAACCAGAATTTATTGGATATACAGATACAAAATCAAAAAGTAAAGTTTTAAAGAGTTATTTCAATCCTGAACAAGATAGTGTTGCCTATTTGTCATTGGATAAATGTCCATTCTATGGAAATTCAGGTGGTCAAATTGGTGATACCGGAAAGATCATTGGAAAATCTGGAAACACCTATCGAGTGATCGATTGTATAAAGCCATATGAAAATGGATTGGTCATTCTCTTGGAGATCGATCCCAAGATACATAGATACAATGATCTTTCTATAGATCTCAAGGAAGATTCATTTGTAGATTCAGTAGTCGATCACAACATTCGTCAACAAACAGCTATTCATCATACTGCCACTCATTTACTACAGGCTGCACTCAGAGCCGTTTTGAAATCTAATCAGTCGTCATCGTCTGTTGTTCAAGCAGGTTCCTATGTTGGACCGGATGCTTTGAGATTCGATTTTACATATCCAGCCAAGTTGACCAGAGAGGAAATTCAACAGGTTGAACATTGGATCAATCATATCATTGAGAAAGATGCTATAGTTGAGACTGTGGAGACACCCTATGCCGAAGCCTGCAAGTCCGACGCCATTCAGCTGTTCTCTGAGAAGTATCGTGATGTCGTTCGTGTCGTTGACGTACCGGGATTCTCAAAGGAACTCTGTGGTGGAACACATGTTAAACGTACATCGGAGCTTCAGTGCTTCAAGATTATCAGTGAGAACAGTGTTGCTGCCGGTACTAGAAGAATTGAAGCAATTGCTGGACCCGTTGCTATCAAATGGCTGTCAAACAACAGTGATATTCTCTCTAGCATCTCTAGAAGATTGGAAGTACAAACACCAGCGGTCGAGAAGCAAATCGATCAACTCTTAACGAATCGTAAGGAACAGGAACGACAAATTGCAGATCTCACAATGAAGCTTGCGCTGGCATCGATAAAGAGTGCGAAAGGATCATTCGATGGAAAGCCAATTATTATACATCTTATAGATTGCGATGTATCGGTTGACAAGAAAGGTCTACAAGAGATTGGAAATAGTATGTCGAAACGCGATACAGACAGTGTACATGTAATCATCACATTGGATGGAAAGATTCTAGTTACTCTTGGAAGTGCAAAACTCGACACCAGTGCAGACAAGGTGATCAAAACATTGTTCCAAGTGATTGGAGCTGGTAAAGGTGGTGGTAGTAAACAAATGGCACAAGCATCAATAGGTAACAATATTGATAAATCAACCATTAAAAATGTATATAAATGGGCAAATATTGATGCTTAATAAATTGTCACACAATGATCGTTGCGTATCACTTTTTAAATATATATACATTCATTTTAATTATTTATTAAGTTATAATTATTTTTTTTTGTTTTGTTTTGTTTTTCTTTTTTTTTTATCTCTATCACTTCAGATTAGATATTAAAATAAGTTGTTGTTGATTTGATTTTGATGTTTGATTGGGAAAGAAGAATAATGAAAAAATAATGTTTGGAAAAAAAAAATAACAAAATAAAAGATATAAAAAATAATAATAATAAAATTGTTTGTTTTGACAATCTTTCTCTTAAAAGAAAACAATGGATAAATATCTATGTGTTCGATTCCAAAAGGTAAATATATGTCGGTAACTGTTAATGATGATGCCAATGAATTTAAATCATGGTGGTTGGTGGTTTTGGCATGAGTTGCACCATGAGATTCTTCCATTGGCTAAATTCGTTCTTGTCGATAGAGTAGTAGGATACCGAGGTGTCCTTGTTGTTTGGAGAGATCAGAAGTTCGAGTGTACTGCTTCCAGAGCTAGAGAGTGGAGTGGACAGCGATGGTGTGCCTGGAATCTCAGTGATATCGACTACGTTGTCCATCGATTGGGTTGCCATAAGTACTTGCTTGGTATCGTCGAGGTACTCACGCAACTCACCATTGCTACAGAGCTCACAGTAACGCTTTTCAATCTTTGTGTCGACTTTGATCTTGATCCAACCTTCCTTGAGCACCTTTGCAATCAGACATGGATTGGAATTGGAAGATGCCGATCTAGCTCTGCTGATTGGTACTGATCCAGCAACCTTTGGTGATGGACTTGATGGTGTAATCAACTTTACTTCATTCGGAACTGAAATACTTCTATTTCTTTTTTGTTTATTAAAGTTTCTATATAAAAAGAATCAAGTAATTTATTAATATAATTATCAAAAAGAGTAATAATAATAAACAAATCATTGTTTTTTGTTACCTTTCATCACCAATCTCCAACTTTGAAAGTAAATTAGTATTTTCATTGTTTACTTTGGTTATTCTTTCTTGTTCTCTTGCTATCTTTTGTGAGAGTACAAAGTTCTCTGACTTTAATGCAACCAAGTCCTCTTTATTATGTTCACCTTTGAATATTTAATATTAGTATGTATGACTTGATTAAATAAAAATACTACATACTTGAACCTTCTAATTCTTTAATCTTTTCTCTTAAAACTATTACTTCTCCTTCCAATTTAAGAAGATATTTATGATCATTGATCTCTGATTCTAATCTCTTTTCTAAAACCCTAATTTAAATTAAAAATCAAATCTATCAATAATGTGGTTCTCTAGACTCGTCTAAATAATTAATCTTAACTACTACTTACTTTTTCTCCTTCATTACTTCTTGAATTTGTTTCTGTAATTTATTTACAATGAATTCCTCCTCTGCTTCCAATTGATTCTCTAAATCTATTTTCTCTTTCATAATCTAATTAAACTTGTGTATTAGTATTGAACGTTCACTTAGATATTTATCATCAACTATCTTTAAAACATACTGCGAGCATCTTCTTTTGTAAAGTATTTGTTAAATACTCTTCTTCTTGTTCTACTTTGAGAGCCAACTCTTCTTTCTCTTTCTTTAATTGATGTAAATATTTCATAAACTTGTTGGTAATGTATTCCTCTTCATTCTCTGTTACCAGTTGCTATTGATGAATAAAGATATAATCCCATATCGTTAGAAATATATACATCGATACCGATTCCGCTAATCAAATACATACGATTCTAAGTTGAGCATCTTTCAATTGTTTGACCTCCTCAACGAGTTGTCTGCTTCTTGCTCTTTCAAGAGTGAGTTGTTTGTTAAGATCATCAATGATCTCTTTTGATGACTTTGTCTCCATGATTTTACTACCTGTTTGTTATTACTGTTCTGTTTAAATTTGCTATGTTTGTTAGTTTTTGTTTGCTTTTTTGTTTTTATTTATTTAAAAAGTTAATAAGATATATGGTTTGTCTGGTCTGGTCAAAATTTTGAAAACTAAAACTAAAAAACAACAAAAAAACTAAAAGTGAAAAAATAGAAATTTCTCAATTTTAATTAAAACAGTGAACAATTAATTGTTTTTGTATAAATAAATTGAAATCAATGTATTTGTTTGTTGTTGTTGTTGTTGCTGTTGTTCCTTATTAATTAATTAATAAATATACTTCATATAATATTAAAATTTTATAAAATTAAAATATAAAAAAACACTAAATGAATAACTCATTATAATTCGAATGGTGTATATTTTTATACTATTCATCATGATAGGTGTATACTATAATTATTATATTTTATATATATATATGTTGTTGCTCTTTTTCCTTTCATTTATAAGTGGAAAGAATCATTCCACTTTGAATAGAATTTGTGTAGGTGTGTGAGAGTGTTAGATGAGTGTGTGTGGTGTTTACCTACATTTATTATTATTTTTATATATATATATATATATATGTTGTTTTATTGTTTTTTAATAAAATAAATGAAATCAAGAAAATCCGAGTGAATAGACAGAGAGATGATAATATAATCAGTGCACTGAGTGATTGTCCTGTTTGTTTTAAAAACAAAATGAAATAAAAAAATAAAATAAAATAAAACAAAATAATTTAAAATAAAAACAAAGACAAACAAAAAACAAACACTTTTTGAAATTCAATGAAAAGCTTATGGGTTAATTAATCATAATTATTGTAAACAATTGAGATTTTTAAATTTTAAAGATTATTTTTTTTTGCAAATTAAGTTTAATTAGTTTTGTTTTTTTTGACAACAAGCAATTTAAATAAGATCATCGAATTTTGAACCTGGTGACATTGCTCTTATATCTTGTAGGAATTGAGTGGGACGGAAATATTTTGAGTTCTTTAGGTTTGGGAAACAGTGTTGCACAACGATGGTCATGCCACGATAGAGGTAGTGAAGTTGTTGTAATAGTACATCGAAGGTGCGGTTCTTGGCGAGTGAACTCGATGCAAAGTGTTTGATGCTGTTGTCTTTGATTACAGCGACCGCTGACTTCCAGTTGTTCTCGAATTGCTCGAATATGTGTTCGACTGCCGTCGAGTTGAACGACGGGTTCATCGCCGGGTCGATCTTGACGCTCGACTCGACGAGCGGTGCCCACTCGTTGACAAACGAGATCATACCGCTAAAGTGTTTGAGTGCCAACAGCTGGTCGTCGATATACTTGGCTGTGGCCGACTGGAAGAGCGCGTACAGCTGGCCGAGCGATTGGTCGTCGCCACTGAGACGAGAGTCACGCCACACACTCAGAATCGTACTGTAGTTGTTGATCATGAAAATGACTTGTTCCGGTTTCGAAGCGATCTCATTCGAGAGCTTTCTGAGGAGTTGCAAGCTGTAGTCGCGTAGTTGGGTGAGTGTCTTCTGGACGGACTCGCGGTTACCGTTGAGCTGTTGGAGATGTTGTTTCTTCTTGAGATGCGTCGCCTCCAACGTATCGATCTGGTCGTCTAGCGACTCGAGTTGCTCGACATTGGCAGCGGTCTGATTTTTCTTTTCCTTCATGAGCTGCTGTAGTTTCTGATGTTCTTCCTGTCGTTCATTGTGTTGCTTCTCGATCGCTGACATCTGTTCTTGTAGCTGTGATTGTAGTCGGTTCATCAAACCATTCAAGCCTGTCAGACACATATAGAACTCTGCATAACGCTTGCCAATGAAATGTGAATGTAAAAAGTTGATTGGTTTCAAATCCTTCATTAGAACGCCATTCATCAATGTAATATGCTTGCTGAACACTCTCAGGTATCTATCGGTTGCAACCGGTAACAGTTTATCAAACAACAATTCATTCAAAACTGTAATATTTCTTTCTTGAACCATAACATATTTAAAACTATCAAAAAAAAAAAGGTATGGTTAGATTAGCAACAAAATTTGATAGATATATATATATGTATACAAATGTTGTTTCTTTAGATACATACTAATTTAAAATACCAACTACAATTGAAATACAAACTAAATCATTACTGTTGGTTAAGAAACCTTCTGTTGTTTCCTATATATATATATATTATGATATAATTTAGTTATTAGTTAACAATTATATATCTTGAATTGATTGATATCTGGTTAACTAATATTAGTTAGTTGTTCTCTTACGATTAATAATGAAATAGATCTTGTGAAGATAATGGATATCATATCTTGACCACCAAGGAAAAACTTGTTGATAAATTCAGTCTCGGTTGTCATGATATCCATGAGGAAGAATACAAGTGACCTATAGACTTGTTCGAATGGATATTTGATGGTCGGTGTGTTTGAAGAGGTTGGAATGATAACGGGCACTGCATCCCAGAACGATGCGGATGCCGGTGATTCAATGGCCGACGAATCCAGTATTTCTTTTTTGAGTTGGTCGGTTCTCACCAAACCGTTGCCACTGTCTTTGTCTTTGGCGGCGACGCTGCCGTTGTTGACTACGGCTGGTGCCATCGAGTGGAGTAGCGTCGCCAGGTCGATCGAGTGATGACGACCGGTCTCGTTGTTACCGCCGTTCGTCGCACTGCTAAAGATTGTCTTTAGCTTGGTGCCGACGTCCGACTTGATGGTGGCGTCGTCTTGCATCCTCAACAAGCTATTGGTGTAGTTGCGGTAGTAGTTCGAGTAGTAACGCTCGGAGTTCTCAACGTAGGTGTTTATCACTTCGGTCGCGATGTACTGCGAGTACTTAAAGAGAAACTGGAAGAGATACGACATCTCACCGAGTGAAAGTTGCACTTGGCGACGATCCGACAGCTTCTTGAACGTCGACAAGCTGTCTCTCAGGAACTTTTGAATCTTTTGAATCGACGCCACCGTCAACTTACTCAACTGCGGTTCATTTACAGTGCAGATACTCGGTGCCAACACCTTGTAGTCATCGAACAGCGTTATCTTTTGATCCAACTTTTGTAAACAATTTACATACTCTGTATTGATTTCACCTTTTGTAAGTTGACTAAAAAATGATAATAATAATAACAACGTTGTTGGTGTTTGTTAGTAGTAGATCTAATCATCTATTTGTTGTTGTTGTTGTTTCTTACTTACTTTGAAAAGTTTATATCAATAGTTATTACATCGATGAATTCCATTAGTTTCTCTTTCAATAGCTTTCTATTGTTTACTTTGTAGTTCATCATCATCGATTTCTCTTGGAGTTGATTCATTTCCGATCCGATATTCTTAATGTCGTTGTAAAAGTGATTAAGCATCTGTTCCACCGATTGTAATACACCATCGACAACTGAAATCTGATTATATAATATTAAGAAATCTTCTCTTTCATTGAAATCTATAGACATATAGAAATAGAAAGTATTAATTAAACAGATCTGTTGTTATTGTTGTTGTTGTTGTTGATCTTCTAACATACAATCGGCAACCGTTAATTTATCTAACTGATTCAATTCCGATTCAACGGAATGAGAGTACTCTCTCAGATCCAATCCTTTCTTGAGTGCTTCTTTTACACGATCTTGATCCTCTTGTGATATGGGTTGATCGTCAATCTCTGATCCAAGTATAGTTGTGATGTCGAGATCACCAAGTTCATCTACATCGATTTCATCTCTGCCTTTTTTGAGTGACATCATCAATTGTCTACTCTGCTGTTTCATAAAAGGTGGTGGTTTAAATGGTGTACCCATTCTTTTCTACCTATAATATATATAAATATATATATATATATTAAAAATATATTTAAACAATATTAATATATTGAAAAAAAACTAAACTTTTTTAATCTGATTTTTTTTTGTTTTTTAATTTTTTTTGATGATCTGGTTGTTTTTTTTGATAAATTTTTAATGAAATTGATCAATCGACACTGGTTGTATTGTGCAAATAACCTTCTTCTTTTTTAATGATTATTCAACTTCTATATTTATAGAATATGGATTTGAAATTAGTTTAGTTTATTTACCAATAATCATACATATTTGACAAAGATGATATAAATATATAGTAGAGATAAAAGAAAAGGTGATTTTCTTATAATCATGATACAATTAACTTCACTTTAATAAATTTCACTATATAACAGTCAAATTAGCAATATTAGTATCAACAATAAAGCAAGATGTAGTTTTGGCTGAGAACACAACGAAAACGAAATAGAGGAAGGAAATAAAAGCCCCAGAGACATTAAAACGATGGATATGCCTTGTATGAAAATAGAGTTGAATAGTTGGTGGAAAACCGATTAAAAACAGTTCCCAACATTATCAATCGTGGAGGTGCAATAGTTTAGAGGCGTATTTATATCACCTTTATCAAAATTTAATATGAGACAATCGAAGAGTACAAATTTGATCATTACAACAAATCCGAAAAGATAAAGATTAAATTAAACAAAACAAAACATTTCACATGATTTTAAATCATTAGTCCAACATTCTAAAAAGATATTAAATAAAAAGATAGATGTTTGTAAAAAGAATATTATTTGTTTCAATACTTTAATATTGTTTATCTTGACTGTTTTCAAAGATTTTTGTTAAATTTAAGATAATAATAATACATTTTATTTAAAAAAATAAAAATCTTTGTTAATTAATTATAATTTACATCCAAGGTTGATTATAAAAACCCATATTGTACATTTGTTGCTGTTGTTGATGATGATATTGATTCTGATGGTATTGATTTTGATTGTATGGTTGACGTATATATTGGTTATGGTGTTGATTTTGACCAAAATATACATATGGTTGAATATGAGGTCCATAATCGGTGGCTGATGGACCCATATAAATAGGGTGACCCAAAGTTGAGAGCATTTCACCGATTGATTCTCTTGAGCTACCACCACTACCGAATCTGTAACTGGTTGGGTGTAAAACGAAATTATTTACATCCTTCCATTGGTCATCTTTATTATACTTTTTTATATATTCTCTATGAAATCTTACATCCTCAGGTTCACCGGAATTTTGGGTTTCAACAGCATGCTTAATACTTTCTGGCGGAGCATTGTTTCTTTTCATTTCTTTTATGGTTTCTGGTGCTAAAAAAACAATGATTCTGATTATTATTATACATTTAAATGTAATTTTTTTATATCTAATAAAATAAAAAAGTAAGTGAAATTAAAGTTATATAAAATAGGTGAATTTGTTGATGTAAGTAAATTACAATTGCAATTTTTACAAAAAAAACAAAAAATAAACACTCTCAAAAAATTCCTAAGTCTTTTCTTTGATCCGATGAATACATGTATTGGGCACTTTTTGGTTGGTGGTTATTTATTCCTTCATGTTTTATTTTGGAACAAAATTTTAGTTAAATTTATTCTAAGATCGTAATCTTAAGATTTAAAAAAAAATCTATTAGATTGGTTTGATTGGTAAATGTGCCTGACACCAAATATAGATTATATCACCTACCCACATCTTGTTGGTCATCATTGTCGATCTTACATACCTTGAAATATTGGTACGGATTATTAAAATGCAACTTAATTAATTTAATGATGCTTCTCCTTTCTATGAGTTTGTTTTATTATTTTCTACTACAAAAGAACTAAATTTTTTAGTTGAAATAATATCTCATCTTCAACCACTCTAATAAAATTATGTTATCTTTGTGAAACATGAGACAACAGAAGGGAACAAATATTATAAGATTTTGATCTTTTAAAAATCTAATGTGAAATCAAATTAATTAGGATTCTTGGTCCGATATTGCAAAAAGTTTAGATATTTATGTCCAATTTTTTTTTTTTTTATGAAAGGAATGATTATAGAGTGCCTAAAAACTAATAGTTTTAATGTAAATCACAATTATACTTTTAAAAATAAGAAAAGATAAGATAAGACAGATATGTTTGTTAAAAGAATATTATTTGTTTCAATATTTTTATTATTTTTTGTCTCTGACTGTTTTGTTATATCAAGTCCAGAGTGGATCACTTTTACACCGTTGAAGGGATGTAATCAAACCTATGGCATTGGATATTCTCTACCGGTTGGACAGTGTATAAATTTCGAATTCTCCTATTGGGTGATTGTACAGGTAGAACAGATCAATGGTGAAATAACCGTGAATACCACCAACTACAACGATCCAAATTGCACTGAATACATCAACAGTAACGATTATCAGGTAGATCAATGTCTGCAAATCGATGAGTTCTACATGGATACTACAGGTTCCGTCTCAATAGGACAGAACTTTCCAAACGAAGCTGTTACCTACCAATTCTTTTATGATTCCGACAACGATTGTTCAGGTAACAATTACTATACATTCTTCACCAACAACTTGGAGGTCAACGATATCAAATATCAATGTATCAACGGACAACCTGTCGTCTCCTCGTGTTATTCATCTAGACATTCAGACAAGTGTACAGTAATACCATGGGGAACACAATGTGTTCCAGGTAGTCAAGGTGGTCCAGGTTACTACGGATGTTATATACAATAAAATTTGTAATCTTTAAGAAGAAGATACAACAACAACGGTTATACTTAATTTTATCTTTGGTTTTTAAAAGGATTGAATTTTTGTTTATTTTATATTTATATTATTCTTTTAGATATTTAAATAACCTTTTCTAAAACAGTTTGAATATTCATATTTAAAGTACATGTAGATGATAGTTGTCCATCACTCAATTGTTTTTCAAATTGAGTTTGTGATAATACTAATCTCATTAATAAATCGTTTTCAATATGTACTCTTGTAGACTAGAATGATTGAAAATAAATTAGTTTGTATGTTAATATTAAGATTAGGGTCAATAGCTTGTTTGTTTGTTACTTACATTCTCTTCACAATTGGTTATAACATGTTGATATGATAGATCTTTAGTAAGGAGAAAGGCATTGGAAATAGAGTGTCTCTGACTGCTCTGAGAGTGTTGCGATGAGGTACCGTGATCGTCAACATTAAAGTTTGCAAACTGTTTGAAAGATTCGTAGGTAAGTATCTTTGGATGATCGGTAATGTCTGGATTGGGTAGTTGATCGGTTGACGATGAATTTCCACCAAACAGCTGAATTGGTTTGACTGGTGGCGACATCTCTACGGTCTCCTCTTGTGGCGGGAACTCTGGCAAGTCTTTTCTGGTGATGGTGTTATACTTTTTCGAGAGCAGATTATTGAGGTTCGGATACTCCTGGCTGAGAATGGAGATGGTGCATATCAGCTGCGCCACCTGGTCTTGGTTGATCATGTCGCACGACGCCGACTTGTTCTTCTCACGCTCACGGTATCGCTGTTTCTGTGCGGATTTACTGACGAGGTTGATGCCATCGAATGCCAAGTACCGACAGTTTTGATTCTTGTCACGACGCATACTGATCACCGATTGAACGTATTGGTCGAGTTCCGGTTTGCCATACAACTTTGAGACCATCTGGAGATAACTGGCAATCACAAGATGAACGGAGCGCGACAAACGGAATGGAGTGTGTCGCTGAACTTTCTGCATCTTGAAAACCATCGGGATCGAATATTGAATCTCCTTGTTCTTTCCACGATACAAAAGAATAATAAGCGTTCTAAAGAGCGCGATGACGTTTGCCGGCTGGTTAGTTGCATTGGAGAATCCGTTGAACAGCGAATCTCTGATGAACGATGCATTCTCAGTGAGGAACTCATCGACGCCGTCCTCGGTGACACTCAAACCCTGCGAAGTGACGAGCTTGTCAAACGATTTGTTGGGAAGCAGAATGGTTTGGAGTATCGATTGCACGTGTATTCTGAGCTCTGGCGAGGAATGCTCCGATAGATCCAACAGTTTCTGTACGAGGTCGTTCAGTGGCGAGTGTGGGATGATGTCGGTGAGCGTCTGCGAAACCTGGAGGATGCACTGCACGAGATTGAGAAGGATAACGTTGTAACCGTCGGGCGCGCGTGGTACCTCTCTTATCTTGTTCATAATCTCTGCCATTGTTTCCATCTTGTCGAGCGAGGTGCGGTGGTTGCGACTGACGGCACCGACCGACTCGACAACCAACGACGCCAGCTTGAGTTGTTCGTCGAGGTCGGCAGGTGGTGGCTTGCGGTTTGCATTCTCCAGTGTCTGAACGAGCACTTTCAACAGCTGCGACACAACAATACTGATAACCGACGGATTGGAATCATTGACGATGGCCACTGCAGTCTGAACGATGACCCTAGTCATCAAAGGTGGATGTGGAACATCGAGATGTCTCAGATAGCTCGTCAACATAATAGTAAAGTGTTGTGACTTGATCGATGTTGAAACGGCCAACATACACTCTCTTGGGAAACAATGATCCTGCTGTACATTATCAATCCAAAGTTGTTGGCTATCCAAATAACTATATAGTTACAAACTATTAATAATCGATTATCATATATCATAGTTAGTTTGATTGTTTTATAGCGATCTACATACTTTAATATAGTTTGAACCATTGTATTAACAGTGATGTTATCTACTCTTCTTGCAAGATCTCTAAGACATTCAGTTGCAATTGCTTTAACATTCGATGGTAATGCAGAGTTTACATCATCATTTTCACTTTGTGTATTTCTTCTAGCAAGTGATCTGTTTTGTTTTGTTTTGTTAGTTTGGTTATTATTATGATAAATGAGTTAACATAAGATGATGATGATAACATACGGTGTTGGTACTTGATCTCTGTATTGCATGTTATCCAAAATGGTAGAGATGATCTCACGGTGTGTCGAAATGAAGGTATCCAACTCATCAACCAAATCAAGAATCGAGATGTATGCACTGATTCCACGTAATCCTTCACCTCTGATCTTACGTCTGGCAATTTCATCTCCAGTAGTATTATGTGACATCTTTATGAAATACTTTATGAAACTCTCTACCTCTGGGAATAGAGATGCATCATCTTGTACCTGTGAGAACTTAATAAACTACATTCATTATAAAAGTATTACAATTAACTCTATATTCTTTTTAACTATAATATTATTGTACATACAGTTTCAGTTGCTTCAATCTGTAAATCTGGATATTGCTCTTGTTGCAACAGTAACTCCATCAACTTAGTAGCATTGGTTGCAAACAACACGAGATTCTTTCTACATTGACTGATAAGTTCACGAATGATAATAACACATGCCTTAACAAAACTATAGATTGTTAAATATATATATATATAAGTAATGTTGATAATCTATTGAATGATTGATTTGATAAATAATAAACATACTCTATTCTCTTTCTACTAAGATTCTTCTCTGCCTTTTGTTGAATGTAAGGTCCGACTTTTTGAAGTTGTTCGGGGTTCATCTCACAAAAGTAGACAAGCTTACTGATGTTTGAGAGTTGAAACTCTCCACCTGGCTGAGATGGAAAGATAACCTTTACCACCTTTTTGTATTTACGTGTCTTTCCAAATGCCATCTTCTCAACACTTTAAACTATACGAAACTGACTAATACTAATACTCTCTATTGTTTTACTATACAATCGCTGTTTAACAACAAACTATCTCTTAAATACATAAAACAATGATAATGATACAAAGAAAAATAAAAAAAGATATTTAAAAATTTTGGTTTATGAACTGATAAAAAATGTAATCAATCGGTTTGTTTGAAAAAATTAAAAGACATGCATAAAAAGTTTAATTAAAATGAAAATAATGATCATTGTTCATATCAAAACTCTATTTGTTTTGTTGGTTCACATGTAATATAATCATTATTTTACAATGATTTTTAATATTCATTCACCAAACTTCATTAACTATAATAATAAAATAAAACAATAATAATAAAGTTTGACTTTTTATTTCTTAGAAACTACTTATTACTATAATTAATATGATCGTTTTAAGGAAGTATATTAAAAACTACTGTGTTAATCATTGATATTTTAGCACACTGATAAATTCTTTTAAGAAGTTTGGTCTAACCACAAAAAAATTTTGATTTGGTAAAAATAATTATCACGATTAAACATATACCAAAAAAGGAAAAAGATAATAAGTTATCATGATGATCTACTAATTTCTTAAAACTATAAATACTCAATGGAAATCATTATTTCATTCATCAAATTCAAATTTATCAACAACAATTAAATACAAAACAATTAAATACATTATATATTATTACAATTTTATCGATTGAATATTCCTATTATCAATAAGTTTATCTCTTAAAACAATAATCAAAGAAAAATGAGAATTGCAGCATTTTTATTACTATTAGCAACTGTTGGAATGGTTTCAGCAGGTCCAATCGATTGCAAACCAATGTTAACTCAATATTTCGATGCTTGTCATGCTGGAAAGTGTGTAATGATGGCTGGTGGTGGTCTCTCTTCTGATGGTGTTCATGCCAACTTCAAAGGAAATTTGAAGGTCCAAGATGGTTCAATGCGTCCAATCGATAAAGTCAATATCCTTAGCAGTTCATCGTATGAATGTAATGCAAACAACAGATATCAACCATTCTTGGCTGACAAGGTTGAATCAATTTCAAACTTTAATATCTATCCAAATGCTTCCATTAAAATTGATGATGCCATGTTATCTTTGATTTGTGTTGAAGAACATGGAAATCAATTCTCTTTCAAGATCAGTAATCTTATTTTTTCATTTGTTGTAAGTAATTAATTTTCTATTGAATATTTATTTTAATTTAACAAATAATAATTAATATTTTTAAACTTGTGAATAAAATAATTATTTAGATGTCCATCCGTGATAATTGTGGTCAAATCAATTTCGGAGAGAATTGTCAAACAACCACACCAACACCAACAACAACATCAAGTACCACTGGAACACCATCAACAGTTACATTTGAATTGAAAGTCACAAACTCATGGGTTACTGGTGCTGATACCTTCACTCAATACGATGTTATCATCAAGAACAATGGTGCACAAACAATCAACTCATTGGTTATCTCTCATGAGAACTTTGTACCAACTGATAAGTGGAATATTGAATCACTCCCAAGTGGTGATCTCACCTTACCATCATATGGATCTATCGGTTCTGGTCAAACATTCACCTTTGGTTTCATCACCAAATCTTCAACTCAACCAAAGTTCACTGTCAAATCATCTGCTTAATAGCTCAGCATTCAAGACCCCAAAATTTAATGAATATTATCATGTAATACTTTAGCAATCGTAATATCTCTTAAAAAAAAACAAAAAAAAAAAAAAATATTTTTAAAACAATTTTTAATAATAAATATCAATAATCAACCAAATTACTCTCTTTTTTTTAAAATCTTTGCAATTGTAGTCGACACGATGATCTTGTCAATCATTCAAGATTCAAAAATTTGCAAATTTCAGTATTGTTGTGCTTCAAGTACTTGCCTTCTACCTTTGTTGGTTTATACCAAACCACATTCTTCACACCCACACCCAACGCCAAAAATATTTTTTAAAAAAAATCACCCCTTTTTACAAAAAGACAAAAAACCTTCAGGAACCATATGAACAAAAAAAATCGTTCAACAAGAAATTATTTTTTTGAAAATAATTTCTGAAGAAGCTTTTTTTTTTGACATTTGTAACTAAAAAGGAAAGTTTATTTGATTATCATCATGTCGTTATTGCACATTGCAAAAGTTGATAGAATAACAATTTTTGATTTGTTTAAAAATAAAAATCAAGTTTGACACTTTAAATAGAATAGATCTTGAATATGTTTATACATACTTACTCTCATATTATAAATATTTATAATAGATCCCTTTTTTTTACTTTCATTCATTCACTGTTTTTTTAAAAATAATATCAAAACTGTCTACCTTAATTAGTATTTTACAAGAAAAATTAGAATATTCTAATTCTTTAATTTCAAACACTACTACATTATCATTGTTGTTGACCACTGTTATTTCAATACCATTTTTATATAATTATTTTAAATCATCGTCAAATTTGGAAATGTCTGCTGCACAAAAGAAAAAAGTTGTTATTGTTGGAGGTGGATTCGTTGGATTGCAAATTGCAATGAAGTTGGAATCCAAGTTCGAGGTCGTTTTGATCGAGAAACGTCAAACATTCTTCCATTGCGTTGGTTCAATGAGAAGTATGGTCGAACCAGAGTTTGCCACCCAATGTTTCTTGACATATGACAAGGTTCTCAAGAAGAGTACAATTATCCATTCCTACGCCACAGAGGTGCATCCCGATAGAGTTGTTTTGGACAATGGAGACCAAGTTACTTTCGACTACCTGGTAATTGCAACTGGATCATACAATCTTTCGCCATTCAAAGCACCAAGGGACACTTCAAATATCATTCAATACTACAGATCTATAAGAGACAAAATCAATCAGGCCACCAAAATATTGGTTGTCGGTGGTGGAGCTGTTGGAGTTGAATTGGCTGGTGAAATCGGTACAGACTTTAAAGGCAAGAATGTTACACTTATCAATCGTGGTGATAGATTGGTTTCACAAAAAGTTAATGATAAATTCTCCAAGACAGTTGCCGACAAGCTGAAAAAACTGAAAGTTAATATCATGTTCAATACCTCTATCGATATCCCAAATGAAGTGACCGAGGCCAAAAATCAAGAGTCATACTTCCAATTCCCAGAAGTTGAAATGAAAACCTACCACACTAGCCAAGGTGATGTCGAAGCTGATTTGGTTTTCTGGACGACCGGTAACAAATTGAATAACGAGATGTTGCGTGGTTTCCCTTTGGATGGACAAGGTCAAGTCAGAGTCAATGAATCGTTCCAAGTCGATGGATTCCCAAATGTCTTTGCTGCGGGTGACATATGCAATACATCAGAACTCAAGACATTGGTAAATGCCAAGAAACATATTCCCTTGGTTGCCTCCAACATTGAAGCACTCTCCAAACAAAAAAAACTCGCCACATACAAACCTGAAGAAGGAGTTATGATTGGAGTTAGTATCGGTCGAAAGGACGGTGCTGGATTGATGCCTAATGGAATGATGTTACCATCGTTTGTTATAAAAATGTTGAAATCCAAAAATATGATGGCACCGACAACACAATCTCTGTTAAATAAATCATTTGCAAATATTGGTCAATAATTAAATAATTAAAATAAAATAAAATAATTATTTTTTGGTTTCTGTATAAATTTAAATAAATCATGGATTAATTAATATCGATAACACCAATGTGCACAATTCAGAGGAAATAGTAATTAATATTTCATGAGATAAAAGAGTACAAATCAAAATCAAAATTATAAAAATATTAATTATTATTTATTATAACAATAAGTAATATATTTTATTTTTAATTAATTTGATTTTGGTAATATTCCTAATAACAATGGATAGAGATATGAAAATTCTTTTTCACCTTTTTTGTTGATGGTTTTGGCATAGGAATCCAAAGACATTTTGATGAGTTGCAACGACTCAGTGTCACTGTGTTCATCGAGCCACTGTACATATTTCTGGTATGACCAATTGGTGAGCTGATTCGGGAAAATCATATCCTTTGGACCTTTACCAATGAGGACATGTGAGATAATTATCAAAGGCAGGCTATTCAACTCTGGTAGGGTTTTGAGCGATGCGACACCAGTCAAATCCTTGAAAATAAAATGTCTAAATGTACGTAGCCATTGGTAGCTGATACCGACCTCTTTGATACCTTCGGGAATCAGTGGTGTCACCGATAACTCGAGATGCGTAAGATCGTTGGCCAATCGCAACTTTCCTTTCTCTGACATTGATTTCAGTAGCGATGCATGACGGATGAACATGGTAAAGATCTTGGCGCCAATGTTACGTGTTTGCTGTGAGAGTATCGGACAGGGAGTGAATTTCGAGAGGAAGTAGTTCTGGAAATGGTTGATATAGTATTGAAGATTCTCCATGAAATTGGAGCATGGTCTGCTCGCTGAAATGGCACTGTCGTTCGACCACTCCTCCTGATGCATGGTATTGATGATCTGCTCGACACCATGCAGAAAAGTGTTGACAAGCGGCACGAGAATGTTGACACAGATATTGCTTAGCAGTTGGAGCGATCGTTCTATCTGACTGGAAACCTCCACCACAAAGGTGTGTGAGGAGACCAACGACTGAATGGAATTGAACAGCTGTGTCGTCGAGTTGAACAGTGAGAAATTGACGGCCTGACTGACGGTCGGCTTGTTCTCTGCCGATATCGCTTGGTTGTCGCCGGAATTGCCTTGGACAACGAGTGCATCTATCTTGCCGGCAAACAGATCGATACCGCTACACAACACCTTGGTAACCTTGATGAGAAGCTGCTGGTTATTCTCGATCGCCTCGATCTCTGACCAGACAACCTTTGACAGATCGACAAGCTGCTTCGACGTCGGTACATTGCTAGCGGCCGAAGACATGCCTCTACCCCAAGTGGATTGAGGAAACATCGAATTCAATATTGCCAACATTCTATCTCTGGTTCTCTCGAGGTAGCCTCTCTCAAACATCGCTATCGACTTGAACAACAACTGATGATCCTCCAACGATATTCCTACGACCACACCCTGTTGCAAATCACAATAGTTCATCAATCTCTTTGAGAAATCTTGAAAGTATCTAGATATCTTTGGATATTCAATAATAAATGTATTTTCAATGATACTTGATGCTTTATGTTTATTATAAAAAGTAAAGTGTATAAGTAAATCATTATTTTTAGAGGAATTCATAGGTAGTTGGTTTATATACATACACTTTGCAGCAACTGATAAGTTTGTTTCTAATGATTTTGTAACAGTTCTCCAGAATGATAATGATATATTATAACTTGATGTTGTTGTTGTTGTTGATGTGTTTTGTGTTGTTGTTGTTGTAGTATTAGTAGTATTGTTAGTGGTTGCAGCTTGTTGTATTACATCCATCAATGTTTTGTTGGTAATAGGATCTCTAATCTTGGAGAGTACTCTTTGTAGTTGCCATATTTGAATGCAACTGGTATAGAGTGTACTTGTAACAGATTCTATCTTACTCCAAATGTTTTGATCGGTATTATTATTGTTATTTGTATTGGTAGTAGTAGTAGTAGTAGTAGTATTGGGTGAATGACCATTATTTTTATTAGAATGACTGTGTTGTGTCGATGATGATGATGAAGTACTATTACCACTACTAACCAACTTATTAACATTCAACATTGCTTTGATAGACTTGGTGACTCTTTCGGTGGTTGCGTTAACCACGGAATTGACACGATCCACCAAGATACCAAGATTGTAGAACACCTGCAATGAATTGGCTACTTCACTCTGATTCTGTGTATCCATGCCTTGTAGCAATAGATTACCGGCAGTGGTAACCACTTGTTCTCTACATCGATTCAACCACTCCACCTGTTGATCTACAATAGTGATACCCGATAGATTATTCTCTTTTCTAATTGTATCTATAGATTATTATTGTTTGTTTGTTTGTTTGATGATATATAGTATTTAAATTAGTTTTTAAATTGTTTTTTTTTTAGATGATACTATGTATTGTAATTACAATACCTACCTACCTATTTCATGTATTGATTGAGCAGCTTTAGCCATATCTCTTCCATCTTTAAGATGTATCTTTAGTTTCTTGATGAGTGAAAGATATCTAATGACCACTCGGAGTAGTTCACAAGTATCTTGTACACGTTTCAATTGATTAATCTGACCCTTTATATTCTTGTATGGCTCTGATATCTCTTTTTTCATTCTCATGATCGATTCCTCCAATGACTTTAATCCAACTTTCAACTGTTCAGTTTCATTCTCAAACTCTCTAATATTCGATGCTTGATTAAATAGATATTGATAGTTATTTGTTATCTTTATTTGTATTTAAATTACATTAGTATTTGATTCGATAATAATAATACCAGATAAGCTATTGATTTGATACATACATTATTATTCAACTCTTGAGTTATCTCTTGTTTACCAATGGATAGTTTCTCTAGAGATGTCGATATAGATGATATCTTTAGTACATTACTGGTGTACGATACAACATTGAAGTTATCGTTTAGAAACTGTTGATACTCTGGACTGTCCAACAGAATATTATTCTTATAAGGTGGTGATGATGATGATGTTGATGTTGATGATTGTGTTTGTATTACTCCATTGTCATTATTATTATTATTATTACTATTTACAATGTTAGAATGACTATCTTTATCTTTTCCATTATTAGACATATTAAAATTTCAATCAAATCAAACAATGAACTTCTCTCAAAGAATAAATTAAAGATTACAAAACTAAAATTTAGTAAAACTGATTTGGGTACACACCCATCCCCCCTTTTTAGGAAATAATAATATTTTTATTTTTCAAAGCATTAACATCTTCAATTCATTTCATTTCATTAATTAATATTGTACTTTATAACAATGTTAACTGTTAATAATGATTTTGATTTAAATGTTCAGACAGGAATAATTATGCAAAATAATAACTTTTTACAGAGTGTTTAGAGTTGTAATAACAATTTAAGAAAATATCAAAAAATATTAAATAAAAATAAAGAATATATATATAAAATACAATGATTTTAATGATTCATTGACTGATTTGATTAATAAAATTGATTCAATTGAATATCTATAAATTTGATTTAATAAAACAAAACAAACATTGGAAAAAAAACTGAAAAAAAGGAGGAACCACTCTTTGTTCATAGAATTTTTAACATTTAAAATATTTTAATTTAAATTTATTTAAAATTTTTTAAAATTTCTTTCACTTACAATCACAATCTAATAATAACAACAACAATCAAAATCTTTCACCAATTAACATTAAAATCTATCACTTTGGTTTTTTCAAATAGATTTTACATTTTAATAATATTATCAATCATATTAAAATAGTAAACATTATATAATTTAACCTTTATTTGAAACACAAATCTAATCTATTTCAAAATTTCAACTTTCAACTTTCATTTTTATTATTATTAATACTATTGTTGTTGTTGTTGTTACTGTTGTTGTTTTATATTTATATCTATAGTTATTATCTTATCTTTTAATAAAAATATATTCTATTGTATTATTAATATTAATTATATACACACATATTTACATATATTAAAATAAAATAAATAAAAAAAGAGATAAAAGAGAAAGAGAAAAAGAAAAAGAGGTAGAGAAATGGCAGGTCATTTAGAGAAACAATTCGAACAATGGGCAAATAGTAGTGAAGAGCCAGATGAATATGTTTGGTTACAATCAACAAAGAACACCATTGAGATGTTATTCAAAGGTTTTGAAATCAATATTACATTCCCCTTGGATCTATCCGATATTAAATCATATGTAATTATTATTGCTATTAACAACTAATAACAAAATAAATATTAATATTAATTGTTTTTTTTTAATTTAATTTAATTTCAATTGAAAATTCTTAGAAATTGATTTCCAAAGAGAAATCATGTGAAGTTTGGATCAACAGGCTGAACACCGATCTTCCAAACTTGAAACCAGCTACATTCAAAGATCTATTGGATCTTTCATTAAAGTATTTCAAGAATGTATGTATTCATTCATAAATCTAGTCTTTTTTATTGATTAGTTTGTCTAATTTAATTTCTTGTTGACTTGTCTAGCGAAATGCAAGTCACACCAGTGGTAGTAGCGATGTAAAGATGTCAGATACAGATGTAGATATCGAAGATGAAGGTGAGGAAGAAGGTAATGATGAAGATGACCACAAAGAGGACAACATGGAAGAGGATGAGGAAGTCGAAGATGAGGAGTTTGCCTCTGGTAGTGCAGAGGATGAATTCGATGATGAAGATGATCTGTTTGAAAATGATCATTTCCAAGAAGCGTAAGTTAATCCTTAATATTAAACTATCACTAATAACAAACAAACATACTAATTCAAATTCAAATTAAAACAAATCAAAATCAATATCCTATGATAACATTTAAATAGTTTACAAACATTGAAAATGAAAAAAGAATGGGCAAAGAAAGAACAATTGATTCGTGCACAACTCGGAGAGAAGAAAAAGAAGGATCCAAAGGTCAATTCTATATTCAGTAGTGATGCTGCATTCGGTGTGCTCACCAACGACTTGTTCAGTATCATGAAGAACGTTCACACACTTGGATTCTCTGCACAGCCAATCGATGACAATATTTATTTCTGGAGTGTAAAGATGTTTGGTTTCGACCCAGAGAGTAAAATATATCAACAATTACAACTATTAAAGAAAGAGTTTGATTATGTAAGCTATACTTCATCATCATCATCATAATAGCCATTATCATACACAAATAACTAACATAATACAAAAAACAAAACAAAAACAAAAACAAAAAAAAAAAAAACAGGACTATATAGAATTACAGGTATTATTTACAGAGGACCTCTATCCATTTTATCCACCAACATTAAAAATCATCAGACCAAGATTACAAGGTTTTTTGATTGGAAAAGTAAGTTTTTAATTTCTTTATTATCGGGCTAAATAACAACACACCCACATTTTTTTAATCATTTTATTATTAAAATAATCATTGCTATACCAATGACTGACTTACTAATTAATTAACAAACATAATATAATTATAGATTTCTCATTTAGAAATACTTACTTTAGAGAATTGGAATCCAAGTATGTAATATAAACAATTGTTTAATTATTATTTAAATATTAATTTAAAAATTAAATCTTTAATATTTTAGTTAATGATATGAGAATGGTTTTAAATCATTTGAAAGAAGTTCTAGAGAAATTTGGACATCTCGATGTAAATAACCCATTGAATTCGCTACAGAGCACTGGTTCATACTCGTCCACCGAACATTTCTTGTTGAGATTAGAGATTCTCAGCAACATTGTTCCACGTGCCAACCAGAAATATGGTTTGGTGTCGAATATTGTCAAGCCAGCGGTGGTCATTTCCAAACCAAAGCAATTGGGCGACAAGGCATTCTGGGCCAAGGGTACAGGTTATGGTAGAGGTGCGCAGAACGGTTGGAATGTCGATGCTTACGTCGCTGCACAGAAGGAGCGTGACCAGGAAACCATATCGCTGATCAATGCCATCGAGAAGGAAATCAAGATTAAACCACCACCCTTTGACGTACTCGAAGAGAGTTGTCTACTCCCATTCTTTGAGAGCTACTGTCGTGACATTGTCCCACTGGACATTGAGCGTCACCAAGATCTCTTCCAAGCGATATTCTCACTCATGGACACCATATCAAACCATGAACAATTCATCCCACTATTCTCATTGCTTGCATTCCAAACAAATTCATTGGGTGAACTACTGAATTCCGCTAGTTTACAAATTGAATCTGTCTTTAGAGTATTGGATGAAGCTCAGTAAGTTACTTTTAAAAAAAAAAAAAAAAAAAAACAGACAATGAAAAAAAAAACTATTATTATTAACATATTAATTCAATAATTTTTATTGCTATTAGGAAAAAAGCATTGGTAGCTCAAAATTTAATTATAACTGTAAATAAAAAAGTACAAACTAAATTGAAATCGATGATGGAGGAAATCAAAAAGTTGGAAGTTGGCAGAGGAATCACATCGGAACCAATCGATACCAGTGTAGAATTGAAATATGTAAAAATGTTGAAACCACATCTATTCGATGCAGCTAGTTTCACTTCGACATCGAGTGGTCACAATTCACAAGCTAGAATTCTTCGTATCGCTCAGGAGCAAGGTGGACTCATTTCATCTTTGCCAATCTCGTTTGACTCGACTGTGTTTGTACGTGTCGACGAGAAGAATATCGACTCGATGCAAGCGCTGATCACAGGTCCAGCCGACACACCATACAGTGCGGGTTGCTTCCTCTTCCAGATATCGTTCCCCGCTGCCTATCCACAGTCTCCACCACATGTCGTGCTGTCCACCACCGGTGAGGGAACCGTCCGTTTCAATCCAAACCTCTATAACAACGGAAAGGTGTGTCTCTCACTGCTTGGAACATGGTCGGGTGGCGCCGGTGAGAATTGGAATCCAAACACCTCGACATTGCTGCAGGTGCTCGTTTCGATTCAATCACTGATTCTCGTTCCAGAGCCATTCTTTAATGAACCTGGCTATGAAACTCAGATTGGTTCACAACAGGGTAAGACATCGTCGATGAACTACAATCAGAATATCCGTATTGCCACCATAGAGTGGGCTATGACCGATATGATCAGGAAGTGTCCGGCACACTGGAAGGATATTGTACATGCACACTTTTGGTTCCAAAAACAAAAGATCAAAGCCCAATGCGACAAGTGGCTCGAAGAATGTAAATCAAACAACGACTCTTATTTCAAGCTAGCCAAAGTAGTCAACAATCTTAATACGGAATTATCGAATTTGAAAGAGCCAAAACTATAATTTAATTTTTATTTTTATTTTATTTTTGTTATTATTATTCAAAAAAAAAAAAAGAAAACCAAATAGTTTATCAATTAAATAAATGATAAATATAGAATATATTTCCTTTTTTTTTCTATTTGATATATTTGGAAAAAAAAACAATCAGATATTTTTTTAATTAAAAAATATTATTAATTTTAAAATTATTATTTATTAAATTAAACTATAAAATATTATCTTTTTAATTTCTAACCAAAATTTTAATTTATTGAAAATGTTTTCCAATCGTAAAGGTAAAAAACAAATAAATATATATTATTATCAAAGAATTTATTTTAACTAATTTTTAAATTTAAAAACAGTTTTAAATTTTAAAACAATCAATAGCTCATTGAATTCACCACTTAGATCTATTGAATCAACTCCAATTTCCACCAGTTCACCACTTTTAATAAAAACAAATATTGAAAGTCCAGTACCAATATTAGATATCAAGGATAGTAATAGAGACTCAGTAGATTCTATTCAGCCAAATGGAGAAAAAGAAAATGAATCTCTCATTTTGAATGATACTATAAAGGTTGTAGAAGTTAGAAAAATAGTTTGGGTTCATTACAGTTCTATTTCTTTAAAGATTCAATACAATGATAATACACATTCAAACTATTCAGATTTTTACTTGGAAATTGTCAGACTATTCAATTTGATTCCAAATGCTACAATAGAATTCAGAATCAACTCGATCAGTGGACCTACTGTTGGAATGATGGACTCGATAACCAATGATATGAAAGATATTTATATTGTAGAACCACCAGGTATGTAAGATTTATTTATACAATATTCAATTACTAATAAAAAACAAAAATAAATTATTGTTAAAAGTTAAAATTTATTACAATTTAGTGGTAGAAGAATTTCAACAAGGTGTATCTATAGAAACAATCTCAAGAAGATTCAACCTAGAAAACATCAGCTTGAAAAGAAAAGGATCTAATACAATTGTTGCACCTCCTCTCTTATCAGGTGATTATATTGTAGAACCAGCACCTCAGGTGAAATCAAACATTCAAGATATTTCTATTCAACATGAATTGGATATAATTGAAAAGAGAAAAGACATCAATGGAAGCAGAAAAAGGGCTTTGAAACTATTATTAAATGTTATGTCTATGATGTCGACTGCAAAGACAATGGCAACTTTATTGCCAAAGACATTATATGATTTAATCAAATGAATACATAAATAAATCTGGTGTATATAGTATTACTTTAATCTACATAAATCTTATATTCTATGCTACTTATTTTGAAACAGAGGTCGGAAACTGTTGGTCAATCGGTATGTGTTGATGAGGAAGTGGTGGTGTAACATTCGTTGGTGCCAGTTTTTGTGGCGCATAATTCTGTTGTGGTGGATAATATACATTAGGAGGATAATGTTGATAATTATTATAAGGTGGATAATTTTGTGGAATTTGGTATTGATGATACTGTTGTTGTTGGGGTTGTTGATGATGTTGGTATTGTTGTGGTTGTTGGGGTGGTTGATAAACTGGATTTTGAATTGATTGTATTTTTTGTTGATTTATATCAACTTGTTGTTGTTGATGTTGCTGCTGTTGCTGTTGTGGTTGTTGGGTTTGCTGATAACTATACGTATTAATATTATAATATGACAAATGATGGCTATGAAGTGCAGGAGCTTGGTATTGTAGTTGGTTATGTTGTAGTGATACATTTCCCATACTTTGTGATAATTGTTCAAAAGCTTGATGTTGTTGAACAACATTAATTGGCTCTTTAGAAACTGGTTTAGTAGGTAAAGGCGGTAGAACTTTCGTTGGTGATACTTGATTCGCTGGATTTGGGTTATCAACAGGCAATGAATACGATGGATATGTTACAGATGCGCCATTTGCATTGTTCATTATGAATGATGTCGATGCAACAACCAATGGTTGTTGCTGTGCTTGCAATTGAACATGACTTTCTTGTGGTGTAATTGAGAATGGATAAAGATATTCCTTTGGTATGTCAATAGGTGCCGATGTAATCATTTCCAAATACAATTTGGCACCAACCTTATTATCTTTATCCCTTTCACTTCTCTCTTTATCCATAGAAATTCTAATATCGTGTATCCATTGTTTTCTTAATTCATTTATTGAAACCTAAAAATAAGATATTAGCAAAATATTTATCAATGAAAACTATAATTACACTTACATTTAATGAACCAATATTTATACTTGCACCAACTTTCTTATGATGATAGATTTCAATTAAGAATTTCTTATCGAGGTCTCCTCCACAGAGATCAAAGAATCCAACTCTAAACTTGATTGGTTCCAATCTTGATTCGGAATGAGGTGTCTTTTTAAATATTTCTGAACAAAACAATTCTCTGTATCCAGGTGTCTGGTGATGTGTCTCTGCTGCCTTCTTGTGAATATAACTTGCAATTCCAATGACTGCTGTTGCATCTGCAAATGCAGCAGTTGCGCCACTCTGAACAAACAATCCACCATTTGCAATGATACCAGAGACCGATCCTAACATTTCAATATCTTCCCAGCTTCCATCTTTTTTGAATTTACCTGCATTTATAGGTGATTTTAATACAAAATATATATCTAGAAAAAATAAATATTAATAATTATTTTTAAAAAAAAAAAAACAATTTTTATTTTACTTGTAGTTTTCTTTAATTTCCTAAAAATATGGGAAGCAGAAATATTTATATCAACATAGGTGATATGTGTTACTAAATTTACTGGTGGTTTTGGAACTTGTTGTTGTTGTTGCTCATTAGACTCTACTCCTTTTTTTTTATTCTTTTTATCTTGATCTCTGTGACCCATCTAATAATCTATTTATTATTTTCTAAAAATAAAAATTATTTATTCAATATAGTTATACTATTTATAAATATTACAAGGATCAATGGAATTTAAATTAATGTTTCCTAATTTCATAGAGGTAAACAATATGAATAGGTATTTGGCTTATTTTTTTTTTTATAATGTTTTTTTTTTTTTTTTTTTTCTTGCAGATTTGGTGGTCATACAACCTCTCTTAGGTAATATTGGTGGTTATAATGCAAGAAAATTTGTTTTTTAATATAATTTACAAGATTTTCGTTGGTGGTTGTAAGATGAAACGAAACTTGCAAATGATGTGCCTGATTCAAATAATCATAGATTAGTTTTTTTGATAAGTTAAAAAGTTTCAAAAATTAAATTATTACTTGGTTTATAATTTAAAAGATCAAATCAATAAACAAACACATTTCTAAATATTAGTTTAATTTATGTTTATTTAAATATCTTTTTTTATAAAACATTATTATTTTTAGGATTCTTCAAAAAAAAAAATAAAAAAAAAAATAAACAATTTTGTTAATTGTTTGGTTTTGATTGTAAGGTTTTTTTTTTTTTTGATTGTTGTTTAAACTGGCTTCGGTGATTGTTGAAAAAGGTGAGGTGTGGATTGTTGATGAGCTGTATAACTTGTTTAATCGGAATCGGATGACTCTGACTCGGATTCATTCTTCTTGTTCTCGTCGTAGACCTTCTTTTCCATCTCCCAACGCTTCTTGTCTTCTTGGGCTAACTTTTCGTATCTCTTCTTGTCATCAGCAGAGATGGTCTCCCATCTCTTACCCAACAAGGCACCGATTTCACCGAAAGTGGCCTTTGGATTCTCGGCCTTGATGGTTGGACGGTACTCCTTGGAGAAGAAAATGAATGGTGAGAGGTAACGACGTGGAGCGTTGGCATCCTTCTTCTTCTTCTTGTTCTTCTTTTCCTTCTTTGGTTTCTTGCTCTTGGTATCCTTCTTGGACTTCTTTACCTTGGCCTCCTTCTTGGTCTTCTTAACTTCCTCCTCGGAGGACGAGCTTGATTCGTCTGTGCTGCTCATTGTTTTTATGTGTGTATGTATAAAATAAATATGTCAAAGTTGCAGTTGAGATTTGATGGCAAAAAAAAATTTGTTGCTGGTGTGGCTGTAGTGGAGCGAAAAAAAAAATATTTTGGCGCGGTTGGCAAAACATAAAAAAAACGACGAAATTTAAATTAAGAAAAAAGAAAACATTTTGAAGTTAGTAACGATTCGATTCGATTCAAAAATTAAAGGTGTAAAAGTAACAAAAATAAAATCATAGTTTTAATGACTATTAAATTTTGATTTTATGACCAATCAATTTGATTCAAACAAAACAAAATATAAATAAATATAAATTTGTGGCTACAATAATGCATATGTCAACCTTTAAAATAAGAATATTATGTAAGGAAAAAAAATAGTGAATTTTTGATAAATATGATGATCACAAATAATATGATAATTATTGAGATGAACCAACTAAGAAACTACCACCTTTAAAAACAATAGTTAGTTAGTTTTGAGCGATTGCGGTGGTTGTTCCGCAATTATCATTTGGGTTGATCGGCTGTCATAGTTAGATACAGTCGTGAGAAATAAATAAAAACACAAAAAAAAATAGTGGCAATAGTCGTTGTAATAGGCAGGATAAAAAAAGAAAGTTTTTTTAAAAAAAAAAAATTAAATAAAAAAATATTTTTTCCTATTATAATTTGGTCATATAAATTTATTAAAGAGAGTACATACCAAGTTTTCTATGTGAATACTAATAGAAAATATTTATATGAGAGGGACTGAGAGAGAAATGATATGAGAGAATTGTATGAGAGAATTTTATGAGAGAAGCTTCAACTAGTGTGACTGCGTGGTGAAAGTGAAAAATAAATAAAATAAAAATTAATTTTAATTGAAACTTTTGAAATGAGAAAAAATTAATTAGAAAAATGAAGTAAAAATTCAAAATAATCACCCGTACTGAGGATTTATCCCACCAAAAACCGCTATGTCAAAAGTTTTTGTAATTTAAATTCAAATTTCCAATTAGCTGTTATCTAATAATAATAAATTTCCATCTTTGTGGTGGGGTGATGCCAACTGCACGCTATTCAATTTTGAAAAAAAATGAAAAAATTTTGCAAAACGGATTTTTGATAAATTTTTTGTTTGTGACTGTTAAAAAAAAAAAAAAAAAAATCATAATTGCAAATCTTTTTTTTTTTTTTTTTTGAGATTTGAGACAAAATATATTTTTGAAAATAAATATATATTTATTTTTGAATTTTTTTATCCGTTGAGTCACGTTTTTTTTTTTATTGTATTTAAACAACCATGAATTAATAAATAATTATAATATTTGTTTATTGTTTTTGCATTTACAATTTGGTTTTGCATAATGTTTATGATAAATGACGATTTATCTTTTACTTTTTTTTTTTTTTTTCTTTTGATTGAATCAATTATTATTCTTGATAGTTTACAAAGAATGATACAACACTTCCACCAATGTTGAATGCTATCGCTGGAATGATTACGGCCCATCCAACATCTGGGTTTGCTCTTGTCATCTTAGACGTATAGACAAAATGTTTAAAGTCGGAAAAATTACATTCGCTATCGCTATAGGTGTTTTGACAGTCTTTTAGTTTGGCAGCTGGCAGTCCTGTGAATACCAACATTGCAATCACAGAGAATACCACTGCGCAAATCGACATACCACGAATCATTAGGTTGAAAGGGAACGACGATATTCGATCGAGTGCGCCGGCGAACGACAATCCTATAGTCAACAACAAGATTGTCAGCTGTATCCAAGACAGTATAACGAATGCCACCGACGCTCTATAGATACTTCGTTCATTGGTTTTCTCGGTCATATCCCAACTGGTAATGTAATTCTCCACCAGAACATCGTTTTCGTAGATCATCACTCTCATCTCGTTGAATTTCGACCACATATATCTTTTCGCACCATTTTCATAGTCTGTATAGAAATACCAAAAAGTGGAGAACGAAACAACTAAAAGTATCCATGTCAGTCCAAACAAAGCAAATGATACAATTCTTATTCTAAAAGCATTTGACATTGTTGTTCTACTTATCTAAATAAATAGAAATAAATATTTATTCTTATTGAATCTTTAAAATATTTAAAGATAAATAAAATTTATATATAAATAAAGTGTAGTATTTGTTTTGTTTTGTTTTGTTTTGTTTTTTTTTAGTATAATGTAATTATATATATATTTAATTAGTCAATATATATATTCATAACTTCAATATACATATCATATATTATATACATTAGCAAAACACACAACTTATTCATTTGTTGGATTTTTGTAATCACGAATAATAATAGTCTGATTTTGTGATTGTTTGGTATATTATATTGTTGATTTACCCAGCACTGATAAATAGATAATAAATTCAATCTTTTCACCCCATCATCTTATAAATTCTGTTATCTCTTGTGTATATACATGTACCAAACATATAAATCAATCCAACAGTAAAAATAACCCACACATTTTCGAAATAAAAAATTAAAAATAAATTTTCAAAAATACATCATTTAAATATCATGATTGATACGGTATTTAAAAGTAAACATTTATTGTGATTGGTTTGGTAGATCGAAAGGAGTAGTTATACAATTGATTCGATTTTAAATGTTAAATAGTAATTCGATTAGCTATTACTAAGTTTAGAATTTATATAGTTGCTGCTTTGTTTATATGTTGTCTTGGTAAGTTGATCGTTGTTGTTGTTGTTGTTACTGGATTTGAAGTTATTTCAATCTTTGTTGTTGTTGTTATTGTTATTATTGTTATTGTTTTGTTTTGAAGTTGAGCATAACTTAAGTAAAAGACATTTGATGTGAAAATAATAAATGTGTGGAATAGAATATGATATGTATATATATATATAATGAATGATATACTTGATTATTCAAGTTGTTCTTGATAATCTTTGGATGGTGTAGTGGTAGCTCCACCGGTGGTATTTTGGAATGAAACAAAGAATGAGATTACAACAGAGAATGCATTGAAAAAGGCGGCTACAATTGCAAAACCCCAACCAATGTAGGGTGTCCAATGGAAAGAGTCGTTATTGACACTCTGTCCACCATAGAATGAATCGCAACCGTAGAGATTGCATGGGAAGTATACGGGACCGTTGGATTTGCAGTCGTCGTTGGTCGATTGTGGCAAACGGATAAACGCCAGAACGGCGATCAGAAGGAACAACATCGAAACGATATTCATGAGACGAATCGAGAGGTTCGCACGCAACTTGGTGAATCTGTTGAGACCACCGAGTGCACCGATCAGACCCATCACAAGCACATAGAGCAAAGAGATGAAACTGAGAATCACAAAGGCAATGCAGACACCGTAGATTGCCCTCTCACGATTACGCTTTCCAGATTCATACCACGATTTTGTTTGATCGATACCTCTGGTCTGAGTATTCTCTTTCATAAATGAAATCAATACTTTCAAATCTGCTCCTCCTACTGATGCTTCAACTTTATACCAATAAGCTAAAATAAAATGATATACATTAAAAAATTAATTGTTTTTTTTTTTTCCTAAAAATCAAAGATAATAATCTTAGTTATTATTTTTAATATGTATGCATACTTGAGAAAGATATAATTGTGCAAACTAAGGCTAAAAGAGCAAACAATAATGCTATAGCATGTGCTTTTGTAATGGATACCATGACTGAATATTTATAGATAATATAGTGGATAAAATAGTGTAGAATAAAATCAAAGGAGACAGCATTTGAGGGAAGTAAAAAAACCAAAAAAAAAAAAAAATCAATTTTTTTTTAGAAATCAACGATGCCCAGAAATCTAATCAGATTCAAAAGAAATTGTAGATTTACCAAATAAAGCAAAAATTTTCTAAAAAAAAAAAAAAAAAAACAAATTTTGAAAAAAAAATTTGTTCTCAATTTTGTGTGAACATTTTGTAACAACTCACACACATATATATATTCAACTAGTTAAAATGAAATGCAATAACAACAAAGAGAGAGAAAAAAATTTAAAAAAAAAAAAAACAATTTATATTTTTAATCATGCTTTGTGTGTGGTTGTTCAATTCAAATTCACAAAGATAAGTAAATTTTGCTTATTATCCATTATAATAATATATAAATATATTTACCAAATTGTTTAACATATGATAAATGTTTATATATATAAAGATAAATATAAATAATTTTATGTTTATTTGTATATATAATATATATATATATTAACAGATTAAAGATACTATATTTTCGTTTTATTTCTTTAATATTAAAAATTGTTTTTGAATGAATGATTATTTAAATTATTCATTGTCATAATTTCACTAAAGTAGTATTACATTTGGACATATAAATATCCTTTTAATTATATAATTTGTAAATAGTTGTTTTTTTTTGTTTATTAATATCTATTATATAATAATTGTACATACATTCTTAAAAAAAAATAAATATATAAAAAATGTCATCGGAATTTGAGGGTGAAAATGTATCAGTGCGGTTCATTATCAACACAAAACTTCAGTGTGTACTAAAGTTGAAACCATCCAATACATTTGGTAGTGTAAGTCAGTCGTTCAGAGATCTTAGACCCAAAGAACTGGGTGTGTTGCCAGATAATCCATTGTTTGCCTATATTTACTCGGGCAAGCTATTCAACGACGACAATACAATCAGAGATTTGGGACTGACACAGAGTAAACAGCCATTCAACGTGCAAGTCATAGTAAAAGATGGCGACAAACACAAGCTACAACAAGAGCGTTATTCATCACCAATGATGCAACGTGTTGTTATGCAAGCACAAGAACAACCTCTAACTCAATCACCAATATTAGCTTCTTCATTTGATACAAGGTAATTACCAGTTCTAAATGTTTGTTCAATTCAATACTAACACATAATCTAATTTTAATTTGAATCATCAATGTGCTTTTCTAGTGTATTGCATTTTCATGGTTGTATGTTTGACAGTGAAGAATTTTCACAGATTGAGAATATCTTTCATGTCAAACAAGATGCAAATCATACTATTTCACTTGGATTTCTAGATCATTTTATACACTCTTTTTGGAACTATTTGGTGACGCGGCATCCACACCTGGTGACACACGAAGGAGAAACCATTCAAAATATAACAGTGACGATTGATCCAGTCACAAACACATCGACAACCACATCATCAACGACTATTCACCCATTTCCAACAGAGAAACTCAATAAAATACTCCGATTAGTATTACTCAACAACAACTATGACAGTCGTGGCGAGCGCATAACCACTCTCGATAACAATACTCGTGTCACCAAACAGCAGTTTCGTATCATATTTTTCCTGTTCACCTGTGATTCCCCAGAGGACGAATGTCCCAATGGCACACTCGATGAGTAAGTATTGTATATTATTACAATGGAACTTCGAAAGTTCTTAAACATCGTTATCCCCAAACTTTTTACTAAAACTAGGCAACCAATAAGCGTAAGGCGTGTTGTGGAACAATACCATCCCACTATTTCTAGAACAGCTTTTGACAATGAGAAATTCATGAATCTTTACAACCAAGTTAAATCTTATGGTTGCCAAAACTCTGACAAACTCAGTTGTCGCCTCATTGAACTACTTCTTTATCTACACACTGCCGATGTCATTTTGACTCAAGCCAACGCCACCACCACCAACAATAGTAATAACAGCGGTATTGCAACTGCCATCGGAAACAATCAAACATCTCAACAATAGTAACACATTTTTAATATTAATGTTGATTTATAATGCGTGTCAATAAAAAAAAATGTATTTGTTTATTTAACTGACCACCAACAGTAATATACCCCAAATCACATTGACACTTGGCACAAAATATTAATTTTAAACCGCAATAATTGGAACATCTCTTTCATAATAAGAAAAAAACAAAAATACACTTCAATTGTTAATCATACCACACACCAATCTTAATCAAAAATAAACTTTGGTTGGCTGCTGGTTCACCCCACTTTAAAAATATATATGCTTCAACACACAACACCACCTTCACTCATTTTGATCATTATAATAAAAATGATCAACCACTTGAAGGAGATGGCATTTATATATACATATATATATACCACTGTCAACTTAAACACCTTAAATAAATTCAAAAAATATATAGTTAAATTAATGTTGTTTTATCATGTGATAAGTATCAACTAAAAAAATTAATTAATATGAAATTTTTTAATTGATTGGAATACCCAATTTAATCAATAAAGAACATGTTCCAAAATTTTTAATTTAAATATTTATTCATACCTGTTAATATTAATTCTATTTTTATACATATAAAATAAATCTCAATAATAATTTTTTTTTTATATCTTTATAATCTTTTTCAACTTTTAAAAGAGAGAATGCTATATACCTGTAGAAAATGTCAAACAAGGGTGGAAGGAGAATCAATTAAAGTATTTGGATTTCATTATCATCCAACTTGTTTTGTTTGTTTTGATTGTAAGATTTAAAATTTTAATATTATAGAAAATCAAATTTTTTCTAAAACAAATGTTTCAATCTAGGCAATAAACATTTAGGAGATGTATATTTTGAAATAGACAGACTTCCATATTGCGAGTTGGATTATAAAAAACCAAGACCTGGTCAAGTCACCAATGCACCAAAGATCAATATCAGAAAGTCAACAGGTGTCAGCAGTCCAAAATCAGATTATTCATCCACCTTTGGTAAGAAATCTACCAATCCTGTGGTAACAATTTCCAATACTAGTCCAAGAACACCGACAACATCAAGACCCACCTCAATGATCATTAATAAAGTTGAGTTTGATGACGGTGCTAGCAAAGTTCAAAACCCTACTTTTGAACAAACCAGCCACTCTCCATCTCTAACTGAGACCAAGATATCCTCAGCCATCTTCTATGAACCAGAGATTCAAAATCTGCATGTAACTCAGGTGAATTCTCCTCACACTGAAACCACCATTGGATCTCCAACTCTTTGCTCAATGTCCTCGGATTCCAATATTCCAACTCACATAGAGGTGACCAAAACAATCACTACAACTTACACCATTCCTATTGAGAACAACATTAACCCCAAACCAAACATTGAACAACCAGCTCCAGCTCTTTATCATGTTCAAGTTCAATCTGATGAAAACAAATTCAGTACCCCAATAACCAGTAATCATTGGAATGAACCAGGTTCCACTTTTTCAAAGGATTCAGGTGATTACCTAAGCAATGAATTCAACAGTATTAAATTTGATATTGGGTTTGGAATGCAATCTCCTTCTACTTCAATTAATAACAACAATAATAATCCAAATTTTTATGAAACAACAAAACCAGAGATAAAGTCGAGTATTTGGGTTGACAATGATTCAGATTCAACATCCTCATCTTCATCTTCCTCTTCATGTTCCACTCCACCACCAATGAAACAACAAACTGTTGAAGTATTCATTCCTGCCCCACCTCAGTCCACGATCGAAATAATTGAGATTCCACAACCACAGAGTGCTCCAACCATTGTCTCTCCGACTGCCAGCGGCGGACATATAGATGAAATTCATATCCATCATTATCACCATCATGAACAACCACAACAGAATCAAGAGTCTCTTCATTTACATCAAATTCATAATCAAGAACAACAACAACAACAACAAATATATCAATTCCAACCAAATCCACAGCCACAACCAACACAAATTACAACAACCTATATACCAGAAGCGCAACCAAAGTCTTACAGTGTAGGCTATGTTGACAGTCGTGGTGGAAATGACTCACCCAATACCTCACAACAAAAGCTATCATCAGTGTACACTCAATCAAATGTCTACAAGATTGATAACACTACCAACCACGCGGGAAGCAAGAGCAACTTGTTTGGCGAAGTAACCGGTCCAAAGAATTTCGCCGTTACCTACATCGATGACAAGTCGACTCCACATGACAAACCACCTGTATTCGGATGCCAAAAGTGTAGCAAGGAGATCTATGGTACCACCATCTTCAATGCACAGGGAGACAAGTTCCACCCTCATTGCTTCACTTGCTACATATGTCGTTCACCATTGAACGACGCCTACTTCCAAAACGATACAGGCTACCTCTGTGCCGGTTGTCAAGTAATCTTAAACGAACGTAACAAACAAACAAGACAACAACTAGGTCATTGTAATATTTGTTACAAGAGATTCACTTCTGATGAAAGTAAGTAATTATAAAACCATCTATTATTTTTATTATAAAAAAAAAACATTAATAACTAACTAATGATTAATTAAGGTTTTGTATCGATTGACAATGAGAAATATCATAAACAATGTTTCAAGTGTAGTGTATGTAAGAGTGTGATTACCGGATTGGACTACTCTAGAGACAGAGTTACCTCTTCTATCTCCAACTACTGCTGTTTCAACTGTCTTGATAGTGGACGTGCTGATCGTTGTCCACAATGTCTTGGTGCCATCGTCGGAGGTGCCAGTATCTTTGCTCTTGGAAAGACTTATCATCCACACTGTTTCAAGGTTAGTGTTTCACTATTATAAAAATAATCATATATTATTATTATTTATACAAACTAACAAAAAAAAAAAAAAAAAATCAACATGATCAACAAAATAGTGTTCTAGATGCAAAGTCAATATACCACATGGTACTAAATTCTCAAACGATGACAAACAACCAACATGTGCATCATGTAAACCAAAAAACAATTCACATTCACTCGTTGTTTAAACAACAATAACAACAAGCACATCAAAAAAATCAAAATAAAGATTTACGATTGAGATAAGATAGATGGGATAGAGATATATTATTTAAACCATTAATATAATAAAAGAATAACTGACAAGTCAAAAAGATAAACAATAAATAAAATATTTTAAATTTCAATTAAAAAGTTAAAATTTAACTAATCTTGGATGGATGAAAAGCAAAGAAGAAGTTGAATATATAATAGTGTGTGTGTGTGTGTTTTTTATAATGTCTATAACCTATTGATAATAATCAATTTAATAATAACAACTATTTTCTTCTTCTTGTTGTTGTTTGTTGACTTTCTATTTTTTTAATTTTTTTTTAGAGATCTCACCAATAAAAATAAAAATTTAATAAAAATTTCAAAAAAGTTTTGTCGTTCACACCGTGCTTGCACCAACAACCCACCTTTCGCTCGACACACACCTGCCACAACTCAAGGTATCCATTATCTGTATAGGTTTTTCCCAACTTCAATCCTTTAGAAACAATTATCTCTTTAACTTTTATTAGTTCATCCTTGCTCCTATATCGTTCGACATTGCTCCTGCAACAATAGACGCGTCCTCAAATCACTTGCTCTTTACTCAAAATCACATTGTATATCCCTTATAAACAAACCAACAACAAAAACTAAAAATGTCAGCTGATACTACTACTGCCGCCCCAGTCAACACTGCCCCAGTTGCCTCACCATCCAAATTATTCGTTGGTAACTTGTCATTCAGTCTCAAGGAAACCGATTTGACTGAGAAATTCTCTGTTTATGGATCTGTGTAAGTTCAAAAAAAAAAAAAAAAAAAACAAATATTATTTAGTTATATAGTTATATTACTTTTTACTTTATTACTATCACTATAATATATTATTATAAATAATACATACTTTATTATTGTTCTATATTCCATATATTCTTCTTTATTTTCTTCTTTATTAGTTAGTAGTAAAAAAACAAAAAAAAAGTTTTTTTTTTTTTTTAGAACAAAGACATAATATGTACATTAGATAGTATAGTGAAGACGTTCAGCACTTCAAGAACAACATCATTTGTTATAACGCAACTCAATAGTTATACTATCAACCTATTTAGTCATATCAAGTTTAGATTGAATCAATAGTTATATAAACTCTGAATAAACTAAATGGAAACAAAGCATTTACAAACATTCAAACAAAAATTCTTTATTTGTTTATCAATCAAATTCTAAACTTTAAAGATAGATGTTTTTCATAATGTGTTAAATGAAGAATAAGAAAAGAAAGAAGAAGAAGAAGAAGAAGAAGAAGAAGAAGAAGAAGAAAGAAGAATATTTAAATGTTATATATCAATCACCCCATTCATTATTTATTCATTCACCAAATATAAAATAAAAACAAAACAAAAAGAGAAGAGAATAGTTTTTTATTAATATTCAATATTTTAATAATAATAAATATTTAGTGTTAGCTCAAGAATTATCACAAAGAGAGGATCATCATTGGGATATGGATTCGTCGAAATGGACAGCGAAGCAGCTGCTCAGAAAGCTATTGATGCCCTCAACAAGATTGAGATTGATGGTAGAGCCATCAACGTCGAGTTGACCAAAGAAAGAAGCACTGAGCCACGTCAAGTCAGAACAACCACCAAGAGCACCCGTAAGCCACGTGGAACCCGTAAGCCAAAAACCAACGGTTCCACCGCCGCTACTGAGAGCACCTCGCCAGCCACCTCACCAGCTGCCACCACCCCAGTCACCGCCGACAAGCCAAAGAAGCGTCGTGCCAACAACGCCAGAGACTCAACTGCCACCGGTACCACCGCCACCTCTGAGAGAAAGCCACGTGCCGAAAGAGGAGAGAGAAAGCCAGCCGCCCCAAAGCAACCATCTGACAACACCTTGTACGTCACCAACATCCCATTCTCTGTTGGAAACGACCAATTGTTGGAGATCTTCAAGGAGTACGCACCAAAGGCCGCCCACATCGTCTTCAACACCCGTTTCAACAAGTCCAAGGGATTCGGTTTCGTCGAGTTCAACAACTCTGCTGACCAACAAAAGGCTCTCGCTTTGAACAAAGAAGGAAGTCGAAGGTCGTGAGATCACCGTCAAGATTGCTTTGGTCGGTGCTGATGAAGCTGCCGCTCCAGAGACCACCCCAGCTGCCACCAACTAAACTGTTTTGCCCGAAAAAAAAAAAAAAGTAAAATCACTTTAGTATATTATAAAGCTCAATTCAATTATATATATATAGGACCCAACTTTAAAAAACAAAAAAAACAACTCAAGAAATCTTTAGAAATTAGAATTTAAAATTGATATAAAACTATCTCTTTCATTCTTTTTTTTAATTATTGCTTGGGGAAAAACAATAAAATATTACCTAAATAATACACTTCTTTTGTATAATATTATTAATAACAATCTTTCTATTTGAAATTTGTAATTAATTATACTTTTTATTCATTACATAGTTTACAATTCATTTAATGTATTGATTTGAAAAAAAAAAAAATAAAAAAAAATATTATAGTTAGTGAAGTGCAAAAAAAGAATAATCTTAAATATTTATTGTTATTATTATACCAATTATGGATATTGGATGGATTAATATAAATGATATTACAAAGGTTGAAGATGCAAAGAAGAGTTTGGCAATGTTGATCAGACGCGATCATCAATTAGATGTAGAGTTGAAACAGTACATTCAGATGCGTGATGACATTGAAAGACAGATGGATACATTCGATACCGACATTCCCGATTATCTACATTTGTTACTCTCAAAGTCAGGCCAACTCACCAAGCAGATTTCATCGACATGTAGTCTGGCAGAGCTGCTCTCTTCAAAAGTCAAGAATCTAGATCGTATTCGTGAGAGACTACGTGATACTCTAAAGAAAGTAGATGATATCATTGATTTAAAAGTAAATCTTCAAAAAAGTTCAATATTTATATTAATATATATTAATTAATTGTTATTTATTAATTGTTATTTATTTTTATATTCTATTATAATATAGAATTGTATTGAAGGTGTACAGAGATCTTTAGGAATTGAAGACTATGAAGCAGCTGCCAATCATGTACATAGATATTTGAATATAGATCAATCGGTGTTAGAACAATCGAGTATAGAGATGCTAAATGATGCACAGACAAAGTTGTTGTCGATGATACAACAGAGGTACGACCAAGCATTGACTGCACACAACCAAGCCGATGTTCTACGATTCTGTAAGATATTCATTCAGCTTCATCGAGAGGAAGAAGGTTTAGAAAAGTATTGTGCATTCCTACGTATTGAAGCATCTACTACATTAGATCCGTTAATAGATCAAAGAAAACAACAACAACAACCACCAGCACAACAACAAACACCTAAACAACAACCGATTTCATCAAGTCAAATAATTACAAAAGTATTCCAATTCTATGCGTCTTTGATTGAAGATCATCTAGAGATTGTAAAGAATGAGTTTGGCATTGCGATGTGTCCATTGTTCTTGATGTCTATCACCAAACAGGCTGACTTTTACTCTGCTCGTGTATTTTCAACATTCACTGACCAGTTTAACATTGTTAGGAGTGTATCTGATGTGGTTGCCATCAAAGATCATCATAGTTCATCTTCAACTTCAAGTGGCCGTATAGATCCAAGAGCATTCGCACAAGTACTCGATGAAATAGTGGCAATGAGCAAAGCAACCAAATTCTACGAGAAGTACTTATTGACCAAAGAAAAGATACTAAAGGCTGAGATTAAACAAACAATCGATACGCTCATCGACGAAGAGAATAGCATAGGTAGTATAATTACTACTGATTCGCATCATGATGTTAAAGAACAACAGCAACAACAATCTATACAACAAACATCAAATGATAGTAATAGTAGTAATAACAAAGATAGAATTAAACTTAGTAGTATAGAGCAATTACAAAAGATCAATATAAAGACAACAATGTACTCAACTGATACCAAACAAAAGATGAATGAATTACTTGGTAATTATCTACTATTGGAGGAGTACTTTATGGTTGAGAGTTCACACAAAGCTATTCAACTGGACGAGCACTCTGAAGATTCACTCACTAGCAGCATGGTCGATTACATCTTCTTTGTACTTCAAAAATCATTACAACGTTCAATCGACTCTTATAGCATACAAACACTCAATGTCATTTCAAATAGATTAATTAGAATATTAATTCAAACTCAAGGTGTAAGTTCTATAACTTTTATCTATTCCATAGTAACTTGATAAATAATCATATATATATCTAATCAATTGTTGTTTTTATTTATTAGACATTACAAAAGATGTTTAGAGAACAAATAATGAAAGCAACTATTAAATCAAATAATAATATTGAATATAGAGAATCGATGGTATGTATTAGTTATTAATTTAAGTTGTTTAAATAAGATTTTACTAAACAATTGTTGTATTAATATATAGATTGTATTAAATAACATTGAAACAAGTTCAGAGTATATATTAAAATTAAAGAAAGAGATGGAGTTGAGATGTTTAAAGGTGTTTGTGTTACCTGAGGAGAAGGATCAGGTCGAGCTGCAATCGACAGAGTTTTCAAATGTTGCCAAGTCGTATAGTCGTTTGTTGAATGAGGAACTAGAGCAGATCTTCAAGAGTATTCAACCAAAGCTAAAGAATGCATTGATTCTCAACACTGGCATCAACTATGAGATAGGCCAAGAGGAGTATGACAATAACGACGTCAACGATCCATTCGTGTATCCATTCACCACCGAGATCACCCAGTTCCTTAAGCCATTCGAAGATCATCTGACACAGACCAACTACGACCACTTTGTTCATCTCACGATTGGATTCCTCCTGAAGAAGATCGAGGCCAGTGTATTCACCAAGCGATTCACACTGCTTGGTTCGCTGCAATTCGGTAAGGACATCAGAGCAGTCTCTAACTTTTTCACCAAGATCTGTCGGTCGACCATCAGAGACAAATTTTCAAAATTGAACCAGATCATCTCGTTCCTCACACTAGAGAAACTCGGTGAAGTCGAAGAGTTTTGGAGTGAGAACAGCAGTATGTCATCATGGAAGCTGTCACCCACAGAAGTAAAGAAGATCTTATCCGTTAGAATTGATTTCAATCCTGAGGCAATATCAAGGATTAAATTATAAAACATTTAAAAATAATAATATAGGTAACTTGTAAATCATAAAGTTTTGTATCGATTTTATTAAAAATAAAATAATGTTGAGATCAAAGGTATATGTTTATTCCCATCAAAATAAATAAAATTGTTAATATTCATTTAAAAAGTGATATTAACTATATTGAAAAGGTATATGGTGATTTGAAATGTGAGCGAATAAATTTAGTGTTTTATTTTAAATTCATATCTAAATTTTTTATTTATATTTTTTTGTTTGTTTAAAAAAAGAATAGTATTTACTATTGAAAACTACCTAAATAAAGGTGGCTTTCCTTTTAAGCAGATGATTTGACGGTGAACTTTGGTTGAGTTGAAGATTTGGTGATGAAACCAAAGGTGAATGTTTGACCGGAACCGATAGATCCATATGATGGTAAGGTGAGATCACCACTTGGGAGTGATTCAATATTCCACTTATCAGTTGGTACAAAGTTCTCATGAGAGATAACCAATGAGTTGATTGTTTGTGCACCATTGTTCTTGATGATAACATCGTATTGAGTGAAGGTATCAGCACCAGTAACCCATGAGTTTGTGACTTTCAATTCAAATGTAACTGTTGATGGTGTTCCAGTGGTACTTGATGTTGTTGTTGGTGTTGGTGTGGTTGTTTGACAATTCTCTCCGAAATTGATTTGACCACAATTATCACGGATGGACATCTAAATAATTATTTTATTCACAAGTTTAAAAATATTAATTATTATTTGTTAAATTAAAATAAATATTCAATAGAAAATTAATTACTTACAACAAATGAAAAAATAAGATTACTGATCTTGAAAGAGAATTGATTTCCATGTTCTTCAACACAAATCAAAGATAACATGGCATCATCAATTTTAATGGAAGCATTTGGATAGATATTAAAGTTTGAAATTGATTCAACCTTGTCAGCCAAGAATGGTTGATATCTGTTGTTTGCATTACATTCATACGATGAACTGCTAAGGATATTGACTTTATCGATTGGACGCATTGAACCATCTTGGACCTTCAAATTTCCTTTGAAGTTGGCATGAACACCATCAGCAGAGAGACCACCACCAGCCATCATTACACACTTTCCAGCATGACAAGCATCGAAATATTGAGTTAACATTGGTTTGCAATCGATTGGACCTGCTGAAACCATTCCAACAGTTGCTAATAGTAATAAAAATGCTGCAATTCTCATTTTTCTTTGATTATTGTTTTAAGAGATAAACTTATTGATAATAGGAATATTCAATCGATAAAATTGTAATAATATATAATGTATTTAATTGTTTTATATTTAATTGTTGTTGATATATTTGAATTTGATGAGTGAAATAATGATTTCCTTTGAATATTTATAGTTTTAAGAAAATAGTAGATCATCATGATAACTTATTATCTTTTTCCTTTTTTGGTATATGTTTAATTGTGATAATTATTTTTACAAAATTAAAATATTTTTTGTGGTTAGACCAAACTTCTTAAAAGAATTTATCAGTGTGTTAAAAAACAATGATTAAGACAAAATAGTTTTTAAAATACTTCCTTATACGATTATTAATTATAGTAATATGTAATTTCTAAGAAATAAAAAGTTAACTTGTTTTATATGATTATATTTGTTGTTTTATTTTTATTTTTGGAATAGTTTAACTTACATCACAAATAGGGCACTTTTTGGCTTCGATCACGAGGATGTAAGCTGGCACACATTGCACCAACTATTATAGCCAATTTCTTTAAATTCCAAAAATGTACCAGGTGCATAGATTATTAAGGTCACTGATATTGTAGGGTTGTCTTTTTCTTTTTTTATTTAAAACGTTGAAACGAGGCATACATTTCTGATATAGTTTATGATCTAAGTTTTGTGAAAAAGACATGGTTGAAAGGTTATTGGAGTAAGGGATTTATTTAAGATAGATTCTTCTTAGACATTTCTATTACTTCTACTTCTTCATCTATTGTAAGTTCCTATTTCAATACTTCTTTTATAATCTGAACTTTGGAAATACAATTATACAGTTTGATAAACAGATTCAAGTTCAAGTAGTTTATATTTATTTCATCTACTTATTATACTTTTAAAAAAGAAAAATGATACAAACTTTGAAGAAAGTTATAAGTACTAAATTATAGAAGTTTTTGTAGAAAAATAAAGTGATTTATAATTAGAAAGATTTTGTCATTCTTTTAATCTTATCAAATATTTCTGTATAGTTTAAATTCAAAAGAATCATTTGAGGTCTTTAAAGAAAGTGTAAATATTTTTATCAGTTTAATTAAATTTTACAAAGATTATTGACTAACAAAGAAAAACAGAATAAAGTTTGAGTTTTAAATTAAATTATCAATCCACCAGATATCTAACATATACTGTGAGATAGGGAATATTTATATTTTATTATTTAAGAACCTCTTAATATAATATTTTTGGCAACTTGAATCAACTTAATGTTTTTAAAACAGTTCATTAAGTTTGATTCATTTGTTTAGTCCATTATACCTTACCAACTAATAGATCTGGTTATCTTTCTTGGTTATTTTTATCAAATTGGTTTTTTGTTAATTTTTTGTAAACTGATTAACCTACAAATCTGTATACTAAAGTGTATTTTTTAATATATAGAAGAAGATTGGGAAGCACATCGATTTCTGTAGATCATTTCATTCACTTCTAATATTCATAGCATCTGGAAGGTCTCATACTTTGGTTTTAGGGGATTGATCACTGATATGATTTGGAAGACACTGTTACAGCAAATTACGGTAGATAAATTCTATATCCACTCTCCTTCACCTGCCGAGGAGGTTATCTCGGGGCTTTCAAAGTTTAGATAAACTTTCACTCCAAAAAAAAACACATTTGTTTGACGAAAATCCAACTAAATGGGGAAGTTCGCATGCGGTATAATATCAGAGAAATAAAGCTACTCCTTGTGGGGATCGAACCCACGACCCTGACCGTGTAAAGGTCATGTGATAACCACTACACCAAAAGAGCAACGTGATGATTACAAATTCTGATAGTGCTCTTTTAATTACATTGGTAAACATCTCACACTTCGCATTACACGCTATACACACATACAACAACAAGCAATCACTCACCTCTACATTTTAAATCAACAATCCTCTTCGTTTTTCACCAACACAACCTCTATTCCATTTTATATTTCACTTACAACATTAAGTCGCAGACTTAAATTTCCAAATCTACACAACTTTTGAAGCATTTCATAAAGTTTCAAATTTAAAAAATAAAAATAAAAATAATAAAACCAATAACCACTAATTCTAAATTACAATAACAAAATTATGACCTCTCCATCCACTCCCAATCTAAGCAACACACCAATTACCAATCATCTACTATTGACTAAAGAGCTTGAAGCCATCCTCAACAAATTCCAGGATGTACCGACTGATTCACTCCACCTCTTTATCAAATACTTCCAAGCAAGAGTATTCATCAAAGGCACACATAAAGAAGAAATAGCAAAAGAACTCACCAACCACCTCCTCAAACCAATCCAATACTCCAAATGGATTGTCAAGGAAAACAGCACTCTCATCATCTTCAACCTCCCGTACGAAAATTACCAAGATTTCATGACTTGGCACCACTCGGAACCATCCACTTTAAGGAAGCAAATAGTATACTTCAACGACCACCATGTCCAGATCAACTGGAGAGGTGCACCAGATCAAGAACTCTGGAAATCCGATGAAATAGCAACCAAAATCAAAGCCAAACTTCACAGCAGCAGCTCAAACAAACTCAATTATCATCTAGACTTCCTAATTGATAAAAACATAAACATAGATGACCTCCGCAATGTCCATCTTGAACGTGGAAACATTATCATTAGACCAAACAAACCAAAAATCACTACCAACCCAAGCAACACTACCAAACCACTCAGCACAACCAAACAAAACTACACCACAAACACTAAACCCCTACACCACCAGCTACATCCCAATCAAACCCTTCTGCCCATCAACCAGAAGATCTCTTCGATGACCTATCTCAGCAAGTGAAAGACCTCGATCCAAAGGAAGCAAACCAAGCAGCATCACAACAAATAGATGCATCACAACAAGCTGCATCACAACAACAAGCTGCACCACAACAACAGACAACACCTCAGAAACAAGCAGCAACACAGCAACAAACAACACCACAAACACAGGCAGCACCCCAGAAACAAGCAACACCCCAGAATCAAGCACCACAGCAACAAGCACCACAGCAACAAGCACCACAGCAACAAGCACCACAGCAACAAGCAACACCACAGCAACAAGCACCACAGCAACAAGCACCACAGCAACAAGCAGCATCACATTCCACTCAAAAATCAGACGAACCCATCGACGACCTATCGCAACAAGTGAAGGACCTTGATCCAAAAACTTTTAATTTTAATTCTCAGAAAAACCTTTGGTATTTAATTTAAATAAACAAGGTCTGGTCCGTAAAGTTCCCACCTCATAAACCAAGTCAAAGACTTCTATTACTATTGAAAGACAAAGATCACAATCAGAACCAAGATGTCTATCAACAAATCATATCTGCTCTCCAAACTCAATTAAAACCGGTTTATAAAGTCGAACACGAGAGTACATCCGATATATCTAAGTTAACAACTTGTTTAGTTTGAAATTATCTATTTTCTAAATATTTTAATTAGTATAATAAAAAACAAGTCTAACAAAAGGTAAAGAGTTCCAATTCTAGGATATCTTCCAATGAAGTTCCTATCTGTGCTTCCCACTCGGGACATCGATTCTAAGTTCTGTAAATCTATTTAGTCTACTACATATATAGGGTAGTGGGAACAATCTCTTTGGAATTTCTACAACTCCTATAGAAATTCCAATAATATCCATTTAGAAAATAACTTGATAGTCTCTTTTTGTTGTTTCTATAATCATTCGCTAGTCCAGGTTATTAACTAATTTTCTTAAACCTCCTTCAATATCAGACTGTCAGAAATATAGATCTAACTCGACAACATTCATCTCTTTTTTTTAAAAAACCGATCAGCTAAGACAGTATAGCTAATTACTCAGATTGATGAAATCTTATTTAACAAGTAAAGAATCCCTCTATTGAAATCAATATTGAAAATCAATAGCTTCTCTCTTTCAATAGTATTCTCTGATCATTGAAATCCACCTCCACTATAGTGATTCTTAACAATACTGATAAACTAATTCTCTAATTTTTTTAATTTTTGGTAATAAAATAACTAACTAAATTTGTGAGAGATGGTTTAGTTAGTTGGGATAATTCCAGAGTAGTTGAATCGATTGAATTTAGTTATCCATTTGTCTTTGTATTGTGAAGAGTTTGAATAGTTAACATTTTTAAAGTAGTGGAGTGATTGCTATCAAGTTTGGAGTGCTCTCGTTTGATCAGTTGGTTAAGTTTGTTAGATACTATGATATTCCTTAGTTAAATCAGGTGACATCTTTTTTTGTTATTGAAAGGAGATAGTTGTATTTTTTTTAAATGGAATCGATATGCCTTGAGTTTCAGTAAGAGATGTTTGGAGTTCGTGGGATGGTGGGAACTTTACGGACCAGACCTTGTTTATTTAAATTAAATACCAAGGATTTCTAGAGATTTAAAATTAAAAGAGCAAAATCAGAATTTGAAATCATCACGTTGCTCTTTTGGTGTAGTGGTTATCACATGACCTTTACACGGTCAGGGTCGTGGGTTCGATCCCCACAAGGAGTAGCTTTATTTCTCCGATATTATACCGCTCATCAGACCTAACAGCGATCATCTACCACAACATTTGGAAACATGTCAGTTCAATTCTATTCAGTCAAGATGACAAAATACTCGATTTCTCCAACCAATCTATTATATCCGACTTCGATATCCACAGAAACATTCTAAAATTAATAAACAACACTCCAACACCAGCCAACTAATCAAGTAAATGAAATTAACTCTCTTCCCAACCTGCCAACTAATTAATTAAATCAACCAACAACTAAAAAGAAAAAAAATAGACTACGAAAAAAACTTGATGGTAAATCCATCCTTTTAATACAACTTTTAATAAAACATGTATACCACTTTAGTTATTATAAAAAAAAAAAAAAAAAGATATTATACCGCATGCGAACTTCCCCATTTAGTTGAATTTTCGTTATTTCAAAAGTTTAAAATTCAAACTGGGAATAAGGTTTTCAAAAAAGTGCCCAAGCCTCTTTGGCCAAGATGGTCCATTAGTAAGCCTTAGAGGACTTGGGTCGTGGGATCGATCCCGTGTTTTTACAAAAATTTTCCCGACTTGAAAGGAGCGCGCCACGTACTAATTTAGTATTCAATACTATCTTGGACCCCATGAAGTTGACACCGATAGTAACTAGCAGGCTTATCATAGGTGAACACCGAGTGGTTTACACACGTACCCGCTTAGAATTCTAAGTGGCTTAAATACTCAGTCTGCCAAACCAAATCAATGGGAACATCATCCCTTTCTCAAAATGATGGCCACCTCAGCCGGCCTGTGGCTGAACTGCTCCAACAATAAATAAATAAAAACACGAACTGTAGGGTAATATCAAGCTCTACACCTTGACTATCAGTAATGGTAGTACAAGGATAATTTTAAAAAAAAAAAAAAAAAAAAAAAAATCAAAAAAGTAAATAATTAACTCTAAAATGATTCTTTATACATTGAGAGAGAAAAATATTAATTAAGTTTCCTTTAAAATCAATGTTTATAAATTTACCTATTTGTTTTTCCAGTGTATTTTGAAATGGAAATCATAAAATAAAATATTTAACAAAGATTAAGGTTAAACTAAACATTAAAAAAATCAATTGTCAAACTAATGTTTGTTTTAAATTGTTGAAATATTCTAAAATTAGATTCCAGTCAAAAATTTTAATTACTAACAAAAAACAATATTTTGGTTCGATCTGAAAACACCTTGTTGGTCGAGGTGATAAATTTATTATATTAATTAATAGTTCCAAAAGGTAATGCCTGTTGGTTAAAAAAAAAAAAGTATGATTCGAATCGTGTATGTGTATCGTATAAATATAATACTAAAGTCGATAAGTTGGTAATTGTTGTTTTATAAAGTTGTTGGTTGCTGATGGTTGTTCATTAATATTTTTTTGTATTTTTCTTGTTAGGTTGAGGGGTGGGATTGATTATTATATTGTAGATAAAACAACAAATGAAATTAATCAGTTGATGGGATGATGGTAGATCCAGAGCAACTCCAACCATCGAGGGCTGGACAGTCCATGAGCTCCAAATCCTTAGTAATGCAGAGGGCAACAGTTGAGAGTTGACCGTTTTGGCATTGGAGAAGTGGGGTGTTACCCAAGGAGTTGATGAGGGCATTGGTGATACTGGTGATAGAGTATGACTGAGTGTTGGATGGGACGATACCGTGATCAGCGAGTGACGATGAGATGTTGTAGGCATTGTAAACCTTCAAACCAGCGGCAAAGTAATCGTGAATGTTGGTGATTGGACCGGTCAATGAACAGGTACCGTGCTTTGACCATTCATGAGTCCAGAAATCAGTGTTTGGACCGGTAAGAGATGGCCAGTCATAGTTTAATTGATTCATCAAATCTTGAATTGCACTCGATGAGAATGATGGTCCCTTACAAAAACTTGGATAACTACCGTCGCTATTCTCTGGCCATAAACCATGAATTGTGAAAGCTTCTCTTTCCCTAAAAAGAAAAATATTTATTATTAATATTATTTTGCAATGAATATGATTTATAATAAATTTAATTTTACATACTTTGATGCAATGCAAGTTTGTTGACCACAATAAGAATAAATCCATTGTTGAACAAATAGATAAAAGTCAAATTGACCTGGATTTCCACCTTCGTAGATGGTTACTTTTATTTGTTGAAAAAAAAGAAATGATATTAATAAATATTATTTTTTTTTTTTTTTAAGTATTTGAAATATTCAATTTGAATTACTTACTGCTACGGGAGGTGGCAGAGACGGCTAATAATACAAATAGTAATGAGAGAGCAGCAAAGATCTTCATTTCTCTATTTTTTTTTTATCAATTGAAGATTAAGAATGGAATGATTAGAAATGTTGATTTAATCGTTGTTGTTATTGTTGTTGTTGTTGTTTATGATTATTAAAAATAAAATCGGAATACAACCAGAATTGATTATATTTAGGTTGTTGATTATTGGTAGAGTTTGACGATTACCAAAAAAGCAGTGTGATTATTTTTTTTGATTTACTATTAAATTCTTAAATTCGACAAAGTAATCTTAAATCACATGTGTAAATAGGATTGGTATGTGGAAACAATAAATATAGATGAATGGAATGCAATTTATTATTTTATGATGTTGTTTAATATAAATGCAGACAATGTACAATTGATGTTAATTTAAAGTAGTAGTTTTGTTTGAAATGATATTTGTAGTCTTTTAGCAGCTATTTAATTTGTAAAAAAGAAAAAAGTGATTTGATTTTATTGCTAGAGTGCAGTACAGTGGAGTTGTTGTTATTGTAACAATTAAATTAAAATTAAACACACAATACTAACAAATATTTGTAAAACTGTTCTTTTCTTATTTGTTACTGTAACAACAATATATTTAAATATATAAAAATATATACTATTATTATTATTATTAATAGTAGTAGGTACCAAGTGTACTTGTTATTAAATTAAACAAAAATATTATTATTGATTGATTGTTGTTATTGTTGTTGAGTGATTGAAAATAAATATAAAAGATAAAGTAATAAACTAAATAAACAATAATTCAAATGTAGAATATTAGAAGTATAAGCAGTAGATGTATAAAAGTAGAAGAGGAATTAAAAGTAAAGTAGAATAGTTCTTTAAGAACATATAATTTGTTATAAATATATTTAGATAATTAAAAAAAAAAAGAATGTTGTTTTTGTTTTGTTAAAAGTAAAGTAGCAGCAGCAGTAGTAGGAGTAATAGTAATGTAGTAATTGACATTAAAGTCAAATTGATTGATAATACTAAATTATTTAAGCTTATGAACGAATTATTATATTAAAAATATCTATCTGTTGTTATTGTGTTGGTGTTGTGGAAAGAAGGGAGCAACAATAAGGGAGAGGGTATTGAGTGGTATGAAACTAAAGCCATTTAAAAGAGACTGACTACTGTCACCTCTTCTCAAGTATTTGACTATTAACCTCGAACTAATAGATAGATAGAGATGGTCATTTTTAAAATTATTATTATTATTAATATTATTTGTTGTTGTTGTTGTGTTGCGAGGAGTGTAAGAGTAATATTAGTCATTAACACTCTGTCTCTGTCTCTCACTAACACACACACTCTCTCTCTTCATGTTTGTTATGATTACACTTGTCACTTGGTAAGAGAACAACACATGAGTGCCAACATAATATTAAGTAGTCGTTGGTGTTCTTACGAGTAGTAGGCACCAACAACAACAATAATATGAATAAAAATAATAAATAACAATGTGTATTGTTGATATTATGTTTGATATAAATAATAAAGAAAAAATAATAAACAAACAAAACAACAATTAAATTAATTGGCTGTGACCATTACGACTAACTACTACACTCCTTCACTACTACTACTACTATTACTATTACTACAATGTTGTTGTTTGTTGTTTGTTGCTAAACAACAGAGGCAAACATTAACAAAAAAAAAACAAAAAAAAAACGACTATCATTATTATGAAGATATTATGACTAGTAAAATCTATATAGAAAATTGTATGTCTATTTCCATCTATAGGTCTATATGTATGTTATTTAATTTATCCAAAAGCAAATCAATATATAACTAATGGTATTTCTTGGGTTATTCTCTATAATATACTAATATAGTATCTTATAAAATAATAAAATATATATTATTTTTGTTTTTTTTTTGTTTTTTTTATAATTATCTCTTGAATGATAAGATATTTGTAGTCGTTCTAATTATTATATTGTTTGTTATTGACTGTCTATTTATATTGTGACTTTGACTTGTCATAACAAGCAAGCAAACATTTAGAAAAAAATCATTAAATTACAGACAACCATTTTGTTGGCACTCAATAGAGGTGGTACATTCACTATTAAGCTGAAACAAAAAATGTGTATTTATAAAATTATCCACTATAATTTGAAAATGGCATTACACTTTTGACTTCTCAGCTCTCTCACCTCCTCTCTACTCAACTACCAATCCATCTATATAGATGTCCACTCCACCAGCTTAAGAAAGAACAAAAAAAAAAAAAAACAAAAAAAACATTATGATTATGATTATTATGATTATGATTTGGTTTTAAAGGTAATTGGTTCATCTCTGTATGCAATGGTGTAAGGTGTGTTTGTATTTAGTGTGTTTGGTGACAATAGATAGTGATCAAATTCGATCGATATGCTCATATTGCTCATGTTATTAGAGCTGAACAAGGTTGTTTCAGTTTGCATTATAATAATGAATAATGATTGTCTTTTAATCTGTCAATCATAATAATCCATTATATTTTGACTTTGATGGATTGAATACGATTCGACAAGTGCCACATCCCCCATACTGATTTTTTTTTAAATCGTACAACAATGTTTGGACAAATGTGGGAAAATGAGGGGGGAATAGGATTTGTCATATGTAATATTAAATGTGGTTGGTGTGTGTATGTTTTAGTTAAATGTGTTATTGTTAATGATTGATTAAAATCAGTCGAATGCAACAACAATAAAATAATAGTAAAAACAGATGATATTATATAATTATATCTTTTTGTACACTTCGAAATTTGATAGTCAAATCCGTTCACTGTTGTGAATATTTGAATTTCAAAGAGATATGACTGGATAGGTTTCACTGTTGTCTTAAAATTACAAGACAGATAAAATGAATTATTGATGAGAGTGATTGCTATTGTGTATGATGTGACGATGTATGATGATCATTTAGAAACTAATGGTTCTTCTTTCTCTATTTTCAAAACAACTGAAAAAAAAAAAGTTAACTATTTCTAAAAATGAATGAACGATTGTTACTCTTTAAAATTATGACTAGAAGGAGGTTCTGTAGTTTGGTTCCTTAAACTGTTGTTGTTTGGGTTACTTCTAAAAGTTTGATTGTTTTGGTTAATATTAATACGATTATGATGAAAAATATTAATATTATTATGATTGTAGTTGTTGTTGTTGTTGTTGTGACTCTTTCTTCTTTTTTGTCCAGCAACTAAAAAGTTGACTGTTTCCTTCGCCAGAGTGTTTTAGTTTATATAATAGTATTACTTTAAATAGTAATATATATTAATTAGACTGTTTGATATATTGAAAAGACAAGTGATTTATGGTTGATTGATAAGTTTATCAAGTCTGTTTGATTTTAAAATGAAATGAAATGAATATATATATATATTAATATTAATACTAATTATTGATATTCTGTTGGATTATAATAAAGCTGGCCGTTGATGAATAGAGTGGTTTGGACCGGTAATTGAAACGCTTGTACTGGGAATATACCGTCACAATGTGATGATAGGTATATGGAAAGAGTGAAATGATAGTGGAAAGAGTAAAGAATTGTCAAAAACAATTAAATTGAATTTGTGGCGATAGTGATTTGTCTGGACAACCGAAAACAGCCAGCTTGAGATGACTGACTTATAAACTAAAGAAAGTCAAAAAAGAGGCAGCGATGCTTCCGTTTGATTTGAATAGTTGGATGGATGGTAATTGACCCAATTATTGGTAATACAAGAGTGGTGTAGAGTTTTTGGATTACAACCAATCTAATAATATAATTAGGATTGATTGTAGATGCACTGTGATTTGATCGTAAGAAAATGTATATCGATCACCACGGTAACAAAATATAAATATTTGCGGCAAATAAAAAAAAAAAAGCAATATTGATAACTTTGTTAAAAAGAATAATATTATATTGTGATGCAAAAAAAAAGTATTCAATAAATAGGAACAAAAATAAAATATTTAAAATGATTATTTTAACTTTGTTTAATAACATAAATATAATTAACAATATTTGATTGTTATAATCACAGGTCGTTGTTGAATCCAATTTCAAACACACGCTTAGCTAATACCTGTAAAAAACAAATAATCCATCATCACCATTTTATTGCCAACAAAAGCAAAAGCAAAAAAAAACAATAAAAAACTATAAATGATGATTTTAAAACTCACCTATTATTGTGAATATTGATTATATTTCTTATAGAATATTAACAATTGTTTTAAAATAATAAATAAATAAGAAAAAAGAGTATAATGATTAACTGTAATAATAAAAAAACTTTTTTTAAATATAATATTAAAACAATGTACGCTCAGTTGTTTTCTGTTGTTGGTGATTGTGTTGTGGAACAAAAGTTTGATGATTTAATGATATTTTAGGTGTTAAGTTAATGTGAACTGATTCACCACTATAAAGATCGAATGATTAAAAAAAAAAAAAAAAACAAACATGAAGAGAATGATTGATGGCACACAATACAACATTTTAATATTTCTTCACAAAAAAGCAAGATATAAATAGTTTTTATAAAAAACCACACAAAAACAAATACAGTGTTGAAATTTAACATAACAGTACATAGCAAGTGAGATGTATCTGATCAATGATTTTTTTAATTGATTGTTCCAACTCGATTTAGAAAATATTAATCTACAAGCATGACGACTACTTCAATTATTATCGCTCTTGCTTTTTTTATATCGTCTAACAATAGTGAATGATTGGAAAGATCTAACATAGTTAATTTAAGTTTTGATTGATTGTAGAGTAGTCAATTAATTTAAATTAGTTGTTCTACAAATTGAATGTTATCGAACTGATATCAATCCGTCATTTTGTTTTTTTTTTTTTTTGAATAAACAGATAAATTGTTTTGTTGGTAAGTATTCATTCATTCGCTTTCTTTCTTTCTTTTTATTTAATGTAGTCACAAGATTAATTATGTTGGTAAGTAAAGTAACTGTTTAAAGAGTTAAGTTTTGTAAAATACTATTATAATCGATTGTAACAGATAACCATGATGAATGAATGAATGAAAAGATTGATTGTTACCTTTACAAGTATTGGTTATTATTTGATTGAATATGAGTGTATGTTTGTGATAGTTATTATTATTGTTTGGTTAGGTTTTTTTTGTAAAATGATTGATATGAAAAATAAGATTATGAACCTTTTTTGATTTGAATGGATTCCTTTGGGAGAGATCTCTTCTTCTTATTCTATTGCAGAAAAGTTTAGAATATGTTGCTACTTCAACAGGTTGATAGAATGAATATTGATTAGATATTGAATGTGATTATCTGATAATTATATTTAACAGGCAGGACACAGTGGATATTCTTTTTCTTGTTATTTTTTTTTAACACTGGAAAAATGTTGCTGGTAATTGATTTATTTTCAAAAGACCTTCTTTCGTAATTGAAATGAATCTTTAATGTTTTTGGGTGATTTTTTAATCACCTCTTTTGGTCCCCCTTTTCAGAGAAGGAGGTCCCACCTTTCTTCATCTTATTTCTGGATTTTTTTTAAAATTTTTTTTGTTGATAAAAATAAAAAATCAATTTTTAAAATAAATTTTGCTTGACAAAAAAAATTAGAAAGGTAGTGGGCAAAAGTCTGTGTATTGTAAAAGGCAAAAGAGTGTTCCTCGTGTCAGTTGAGTAAAAAATCTAATAATCTTAATTTTGTCGACCCACAAACCAAATACCAGCAAAACTGTTTTGCAGAACATTAAAATATATATTTGTAAAGTAATGGTTTTTAAGTTATTTATTTTTTTTTAATACAATAATCTCTGTGTTTCTTCTTCTTCTTCCTTTTTTGTTTGTTTTTGTTTTAAAAACAGGGTAGTATTTAATTTTTTACATTAAAGTTGAAGTATTGGCTTGTTTACCATACATTTCCAAAAATGCTTTTTGTCTCTCTGAAAATGTTTCTTTGAGTTGATTCTCTTTTGCAATGACAGACTAAATAAATAGATAATAGTTAAACAATTGATCAGTAAAAATGATAACTGGTTAATTTTATATTTATCAGTGGTCAATTTGATAACTTACTTTATCATAAATTTGATAGACCAATTCATGATCTTTAATATATCTTCTACCTATAACGGTTGGGAACAATCCAACATCGACCAAGAGTGAGAGGAAAAAGTTTTGATGATGGAATGAGTTACTGTAGAAAGAGAGTGAAATGGTTACTTCATTCCAGTTGATATCACCGGTTCCTCTGATGTGTCTGATTTCACTGACTTTGAGTTCAGCTCTTGCCGCCAGCGAGATGATCTTGTGAAGATTTCCTGGGTAGTCCCAGGTGGTCAAGTGGATTGTGAAGCTACGACCGAGTGAACGTAGACCATACTCGTAGACCTGTCTGAGAGTGGACATATCGATGTTTCCACCACAGATGATGACTACGACACGCTCGTCCTTTCTCACCTTGATTTTGTGGTGAATGAGTGCTGCCAGTCCAAGACATCCGGCACCCTCAGACACAGTTCTACTGTTATACATCAAATGCACAATGGTCGAGGCAATTTCATTCTCACTCACCGTTACGTATTCATCGACGAGGTCGTGAAGAACTTGGGTGTGGACACCACCTGGCATCTTGACGTTGGTTCCATCTGCCAGTGAAAGTACCGCTGGTTCAATGTAACGAAGTTGATTGGTCTGTTTGAAATCGGCGAGTGGCGATACATTCTGAGATTGGACACCAATGATTCTGATGTTTGGATTGATCTTCTTGAGGAACAGAGCGATACCGGCAATCATACCACCACCGCCAACATTGACAATGACGGTATCGACATCGGGAACCTTGTCATAGATATCACAACCCATTGTACCTTGTCCTTCGATAACATCGACATCGTTGTATGGACGTACCAATGTCCAGTTTCTCTCTTTACAAATCATCTCTGCAGTGTTGACGGCATCCTCCAGCGATTTACCCTTCTTGATGACTTCAGCACCGTATTGTTTGGTGTGTGACAACTTTGAGTCAGGTGCATACTCTGGACACACAATGGTGCATGGCAGACCGACTTTGGCAGAGATCAAAGCGACACCCTGTGCATGGTTACCGGCAGATGCAGCCACCAAACCGACTGGTTTATACGAACTCTGCTCAATGGCACGCAAAACCATGTTTGATGATCCTCTAATCTTGAAGGATCCAGTCTTTTGAATATTCTCTAGCATCAGAGTAACTTGACATCCACACAATTTCGAATAGGTCGTCGAGTGATAGATGGGAGTGGGTGACATTATATGTTTGATTCTCTGTTGTGCCTCACGAATCGATTCAATGCTGATGTCGGTGATGCTTCTCTTTAGAGGTGGGGTGTTTACCGATGGAATCGACGGTGGAATACTGATGCCGGGTGACGACGATTGTTGTTGAGTGGCGCCATTTGGCGAACCGAGAATCATTGGTGCTTTACTATCGTTCGGTGAGATGATGGTTTGAGGCATAGTCGGTGAGAGTATAGTCAGTTCTCTGTTGGGAGCAGCAATCTTTTTGAGATTCTTGAATCCCTGTGCATCCAACACCTCCAGACAAGACTGTTGTTGCTGGAAGTTACGCGAGTTACACTGAATCAACACTCTCACGTGATATTGCTTGAGTGACTCACATGAACGATCCATATTGATTTCGTGTACCGATACATTGTTTGAACCGATTACATTCAGCACCTTTGAGAGTGCATTGGTATTATCAGGGAGATCCAACTCCACCTCGAAAGTCTGTCCAGCCAAATCCAAACCATAGTTTAGAATCGTTTGGAAATCGATTACATCGACAAAACCACCGGACAGCAACACCACAATCTTTTCATTTTGTTTCAACTTTATGTTTCCAGAGAACATACCACCGAGTGCAATCGAACCCTTTCCATTGGTCATAGTATGTGTGTATTCCAAACACTTTATAAAAGCAATGGCTGCTTGATCCTCTGTTACTGGTACGACTTGATCAACTAACCTATAGAGTAAATAAACAACATAAATATTAATATATAATTGTAATTTGTTATGTTTTGTTTACTTACTTCTTTTCTTTAAGATTCTCTAAAGAGAATTGTTTGAGGAATTGTTGTGATATCTTTTCTTTTGTATTCATGCCAGATAGCGTTTGGGTGATAACTTCGTTTACAAATTCTGTTTGACTGAATGATGATTTCGATGGTCGACATGGATTACGTGATGCATCACCACCCATCGACACCAACATCGTGATAACATCGTCTGGCGTGAATTTACCTTGATCTCTTGCATCGAAAGCATCAAACACATTGGTCAAATCTGATTTATCATGAATCAAAGCCAACCAACCTATTTCAATTCTATCTGGGAATAATGATTGTCTATTGAATTCTTTACCTTCACCATCCATTCTAAAATAATAATAGTATATAAGTTATAAGTATTATTATTATTATACAGATAGCACTAACAATGTTTATAATTATAAAAAAGATGAAACATACCCATAAAGATCTTCAGTCATTTGACAAACAATTACTTTCATTTGTGGTTTGATCATCTTTAAGTATAGAGATAGACCAGATACATAACTCCAACCCACCGTATAAAGACGTAGTGGAATGACTATTGTTTCACGATCTTCACTCTTCTCCATAATCTCCTCGGCAAGAGTAGCAGCACCGATCATCGAATAATGCAAACTGAACTTCAAGTCAATGTATACCATATGTAAATCAGATGCATGCTTTCTTGCTCTTTCATAGCAAGTCGAAATATCACCCTTATGGAAAATAATCTTTGCTCCTCTTTCATGACACATATATAACTAGTAGTGGATATACAATGTTGTTTAATTAGTTAGTTATTAGCTATCAATGTGAAATAGAATAGTCATAACATTTCTGAACACTTACTTGTACTACTTGAAGTAATGATAGTTCACCGGGTGCAACATAGATGATGAATTTGTTTTTCAGATGGAGTGCAGTCAGTACGGTGCCAGAGAGTTGCGTTTGATTCTCGGGACACTTTGGATCCATTACCACTACGAATCCTCCGATCTCACGGTATTCACAACCAAGCTTGTTCGCTTCGTTAAAGTAATTCGAGAGAAGAATCGACAGACAGTTTCTAACGTAGAGATCACCAAACAATTGAAGATTCTCCAGCTTTAGCTGAACGTCACACTTTAGAATCTGTGAGAGCAACTCATAGTGATATTGCGGTGTATGTTTGATGAACTGATGTGTATACTTTGTCATACGATTGACGGTGGCCAAGAAGTCGACTTGACCATCGGTGTTCCTACGGATGACACCCTCACCAATCTCTTCGAATCCTCTCAGAGTATCGAGTGGTGAGTTTACACCGGTTGGATCATCTACTTGCATTGTATCCGATGATGATGATGATGTTGTAGAAGTAGTTGTTGTAGTTGTTGATGTTGATGTTGGTGTTGGATGACTACCATTACTACCATTACTACCATTGCTATTGTTGTTGTTGTTATTGTTTACCTTTGATTTCTTAACAGGTGTACTAATACTGGCGGTCGTATTTGTATTGTTATTCACCGAGGATGGCTCTGGAATCATTTCATCCTTACTCATATTTCTAGAATGTTTCTATTTGAATTTGTCATATGAAGTATAATAACAATATTATTATTATTATATTTATAGTTGTGTTTCGAACAAGATAGATAAACAGAAATTAGAAACTCTGAAATTTCCAAATGTACTGGAAAGCACTTACCTTACTGTTGTTGGTCATGGTTAATGTTGTTTTTGTTTTTTATTATAATTTAATCTAATGATCCAATGAAGTTTTTATGCAAAAGTATCTCAAGAATTAAATTGAAACAGAATAATTCTGTTTTTGTTTAATAGATTAGATTATTAAACTGACTGACTGAAACGTGTGATTGTGATTGTGATTATGATTATGATTATGATTGTTGTTTTATCGGTGTGTTAAATATATATTTATTTTTTGAATATAAAAGTAATTAAATTAAATTATTATTTTGTAATAACTTTATCAATCAAACATTTATTACATTAAAATTATGAAATTTAATTGAATTGATTTTCATTACCAAACTATTTGATATAAAATTTAATTAAAAATAAAAAAAATGAATTCAGATTTTTTTTTTCTTTTTTGACAAAACCCTAAATTTCTTGCATGGGGTTGAGAGTGGAACTTGACCTGTAGCCAATATTCACAAAAATGTGTTTATAATCCCAAATAAACGATTAATGTTAGTAAATAAAACCAGGATCCTGGTCGGATTTATAATAAAGTAACAAAGATTTTTTAAAACATTTCGAAACGACGCATGTATGATCATCATTTAATTGCAATTCGATCGGAATTGAAATGTTCTGGTATTTTAATGATTTCAAAGTACTTACACCCAATTGTACAACAAACAACAACAACAATTGGATGATTTAAGAAAATCTTTACTTTTAACAATAATACAAATATATTTACAACAATGGTTTAATAAAATATGTACAAATGTTTATTTTTTTTAAAGTTAGTTAACCAAGTCTTGATAACTCCCAATCAGATTTTAGATTCTTTTGTAAGTAAATATGAATGAATTCCTCTTGTTGTTGTTGACTATGTTGAGGAATCAATATATCTATATGATCTTGTTGTAATAGTATTTGTTGTTGTTGATGATGATTGAGATTTAATAGTACATTGTTATTCTGTTGCGCAAGTAAAGAGTGAATCATATGATAACATTTAGGTTGTTTTAATGATGATATTCTTTCTATTGTTAATGTTTCTAATTGTGTTTTTCTATGTTGTTGTTGTTGTTGTTTTTGTTCTAACTGTACATTATTACTATTATTACTATTGTTATTTACTATCTTTAAATAAGATAATAACTGAAGTAATGATTCATCTTGACAATATGGATCAATCTTTAATGATAGATTCGATATATAATCACTATTGTTACTATTACTACCACTATCACTAGAGGTATGATTAAACATTAGATCTATTAAATATTTCATTAGCTTACTACAAGATATGACAATTGAGAGTGTGAGTGATTCGAGTGTTTTCGTTGGTAGCTTCGATTGAGAGTGTAGTATCTCGAGGATATCTTGATTGGTACCGTCGAGTTGGGTGCATTTCAGTGTGTGAATCGATCGATTATCGTTTAGTAGCTGCTTAAAACGTAGTGGCTTTCGCATTCGACCGATGTGTACGACCTTGAGAGCGGCATGTCCGAGCAGCGCTCTGATGACATAGCTAGGAAAGTTGATTTTGTAGAAGCTAAAGGTCTGTAGTGTTTTGCAGTTGTTGAGGAACGACTCCAAGTTACGAGAGATCTCCTCTATCACTTTCATTCGGCTTTTAAAGTAGGGTTTGAATGTGAGGTGCTCGAGCTTTGGACAGTTGTCTTTGAGAGCGACCGAGATGTCGCGCAGCAGATGCTCGGTGTAGAGTGAGTCGAGTGTGAGAGCGACCAGATGCTTCGAGCTGGCTATGAATCGAATGAAATGCTCCACCGCTGCCGCTGTCAGAATGTTGATATTCTCGAGGTTGACTCGCTCCACCTTTGTACACTGTTGGTGAAGAGTCGCGAACAACTGAACGATATCGGATTCCGGTAGTGAGATGTCGTGTATGATAAGCTCGCGTAGCGATGCGAATTGTATTGGCAACGGGTTGGAAACGAATGGCGAACTGATCTTGGAGAGGTGTAGTTTCGTTAGTCGGTTGAGTGACATCGGTAGACGTCTGTGGAACAGCCGTTGTGGTTGTTCGGTTGTGTTCAAGTCGATACTACAGCAACTCAGAGATTGGAGTGACGCGATCTTTGAGATTGCAAGTGACAGCTTGTCATTATAGGGTTGCGACAGACCATACAACTTTAGCTTTACCAACGACAAGCCCGGCAGTGATAACAATCGAATTACACTGTCTCTAGAGTATCCGGTCAATGAAAGATTCAAAAGATTACCATAGGAATGTGGTGGTGATGTTGTTTTTGTTGAGTCTTCATAATGTTTTGTTAACAACTCAATGAAATCAATGTTGCTATTAATATTATTACTATTTGATGTTGTTGATGTCGAAGTTAAAGAAATAGATTGAATATTATTATTAATGTTATTTCCATTGTTTAGGAATAGAGGATTGAATAGCTTTAGAGAGGAGAGTGATGTGGAGATACGCGAGATCATTGTAACTAAGTTTTGATAGTCGGCGATGGCAAACTGTCCTGTTGATAGTGACAGTCGAGTGAGAGAGGTGTTGGACATGAGTGAGATGAGGAATGACGGGGTAGAGAGCAGTGACTCTATCGTCAGACTCTGGACACTCCGCAGCGATGCACAGTCAGTTATAACAGGAAGATCTACACCCATCGCTGCCATTAGACCGTGTTGGCTAACACGACTGTATCTGGATATCTCGATATGTCCAAATTGAACACCACCACCATTATTGCCATTGTGGTTGTTATCTTTTAACAATCCATATCTAGATAACTTGACCATTCTCCAGAGATCGAGACCGTCTTGAATAAAGAGCTGCAAATGTCTTGTCAGCTTTGGAACGATGGCATTGCAGAATCTCTTGCAAATGGTTCCATATCGAATGAGTATATTATTTACATTGTGGTAGCTGTCTATGTAGCAGTAGTTTCCAAGAACTCTGGTTTTAAAACCAGCTGCACTCTGGTTACAACACTTGAACTCCAGTGGTTCTAAAACATATTGGAATATATAGACTAGCAAATGATTAGATAGAGAAAGTAAACTGGTAGTAATGGTGGCGGTGGCTGTTGATGTTATATCACTGCTTTCCAAGACAATCTCTCCAACAACAACACTATCACCACCTTTGTCTTCATCTTTATTGTAATCGTCGCTGTTAACAAGTATCATAGTTTATTGAAATTGAAATAATAATAGTAAAGAGAGAAATAACACAAACAAATATTTTAATCAACACAACAACAATAACAACAACAACAATAACTAGTTATTATTATTATTTTTGTACACTAATAATATTATTAACATAAATTTCCTTATTAACTTTGTTGGTATCACATTTTAAGTAAAAAATAAAACTAATAATATTAAAAAAAATTAATTAATTAAAATGTGTTTCACAAGTTGTGAATCTAAATGAGTCACTCAAGCTTGCTATTCGATTCACCCAAACAGTGGTAAATTTTTTTTTTATTTTTTTTATTATTGCAAAGATTTATCATAAAATCTCTGACTGATATTTCACGAATTAATAGATTAATTATCTATCATGTTCAAATGAAAGAAGATGTGTTAAAGTAATTTGATACGGTCGAGTATTAGAAAACTTTAGAGTATTTTCTATCAACATCCAATTAATTTAAAAAATATATATATTTATATTTTGTTTTCAACACTACCATACCATGGTGATATATTATTAAAATTACAAGTTTAAGTTTATTTTATTAATTTTCTTGAATTGCTAATACAATTTAGAACAAAAGTGCAAATGATACAATGATGAATAATAATAGGATGCTGACTTTCAATGAAGATGAATTGTTTGGACCTTCTCCTTCGTTATTATCTGTGATAGTAGAAGAAGTAGTAGAGGTTGGTTGATTAGTCGAGGTTGTAGAGGTAGTTTGAGTAGAAGAGGTAGTTGGTTGAGAGGTAGTAGATTGTGAGGAAGTAATTGTAGGATAAGTACCAGTGGTAGAGGTGGTTGCAGAGCCATCTTGGGTAGTGAAGACAAAGTCGGAACACGAGTAGAATCCCTCACCGACTGGGTCGACACGTTGCCAACGGCTGAGCAAAACTGAGTTGCTGAAACGTGCTGGTAAGGTAATAGTCATATTATAGGCTTTGGTGACCGAACACTTGGGATCGTTGGTGGTGATGGTTGGAACATCGTCGATCTTTGTGATCAATTCAACGTCGTTCCAAGTAATCTTGTTCTTTGACACATCGAATCCTTCCTTGGTGACGTAGAACTCCCAGTAGCTTGGATTGTGTGGTGCGGTTGCACAGTAGGAGAACATAATGTCCTTCGACTTGGTGGAGACACTTGGAACGGAGATGCTGGTGACTGTCCAAGGCGCGGCAATGCTCATTCCACTTTTATCGTTGGGTGCGACAGTCTGGCCAGCCGAACAGAGGTCTGACTTGATAGCGGCAGTCATTGCGGAATAGCCATCGGCATAGTTTGGTATATTGATTGAATACTCGTTGGTTTGGATGAATTGATATTGAGCTGTTGCAGCGCTGTTGGCCTTGTTGTAGACATACTTGAAGGCGGCTCTGCATGCAGGATCGGTAATACCATCACCGTTCTCTGGATAGTAGATGGCATTCTTTGGATTGGAAGAACAGGTGTTCTGTCTAGACAATGGATAGATTGGATAGCCATGTCCATTGACCAAAGCCAACAGTCCAACAAATATTAATAATAATTTAGAGCAATACATAATAGTGAAGAGAAAATAGATAGATTTACACAAATAAATATTTATTGGAAATGATAATGTGAAAACTAGTCGATATTATTTTAAAAATAACTAAACTTAGTTTCTTTAAATAGTGTGGAATTCCACTCCACATGTCATGTTTAAAAGTAAATCAAATAGCGGAATTCGAAACCAAAAACACCCAATAAAAAATATCAGAGCGATTTCTACAGGTAGGGTCACATACCACTTAGTAATCTTTCAAATAAAATGGAGTACTCGATACCCTTAAAACACGATTATTTCAGAGTGGATAAAACACATTAAACTGTTTGATGCTGATGGTGTTAACATTATTGTTCTCAAATCGAGCCAACTTTTTTTTGCAAAAAACAAACAATTCCCATTTTTTTTTGGTTATTTTTGGATGCAATGTAACCAACAAAAAAAACATGTTATATGGTATTGGTCCATCATGATGGGTCTTCTTTGAAACCATTTTTTTAAAATAATTAAAAAATTTTGTTTTGCAAGAGTAATAAATCATGTTTGACATTTGATGCCTATTAAAGATGTTTATGTTAAAAGTGACAGGCATCTTTGCTATATATGATAAGTTTTACATATTTAACAAAACATTGAACTTGAATTAACATTATGAATCGTTTACAATCTATAAAACATATGATATTGTGATATATTTAAACAAAACAATCGATCTTTTTTGTTGACATCATCTTTTTAAAACAAATTTACCTAATATATAAAATTGTGATCTCTTGGCATTAATCCGATTAAAAAAAGATTCTTTTGTAAATAAATAGTAACACTGAAATGTGCTGTGGAACTTCTATAAAGAAAGTCTATTTATTATTTTTTAATTATATATATTAAATTATATAATATTATATAAATCTGTATATAATATATATATATATATATATATTAATGATGAAGGATGAAGGTTTGAACATAGTACAGACCTACAATAACCATTTGTATGAATAAAAAGTATATGACCAATCTTGTCAAACAAAGATAAGGATATTTAATTATTTAAAACAATTAATATTTTGATCTTTAAATTTTATTCTTATTAGAATGAATCAAGTTTTATTAAAATAAATTTTAACTATTAAAAAAATTTAGGTGCAAATTATCTTTTTTTTGATATTTTAATCTTTCCTTTTTAGTAGTATTGTTGTCTGACATGCACAGAACCAGCTTTGACCAAGAAATCCAGAAAGAAATAAGATTGATATATAGTAAAATAGAAAAGAATGAATAGTAATAAAGTTTGGGATCGATCCCAAATAAAAATATCTCAAGACATCACTCCAAACCCCCAGGATAATTATGACAATATAAAACTTTAAATTAAAAAAAATCTTTTAATTTAGAGACTTTATAATCACATCGGCTTTTATTTGTTGGAGCCTAATTTCATTGATAATAATTCAAAAAAAAAATAATATTATTAAATAATAGTTGGTGTCAAACAAGATAGTTTGGTAATAATAGTCAAGTCTTCTAACTCTCCGTTTTATTTCCAAAGTTCAGAGTGCATTCTTTGTTGATCAATGATTTAATCAAGTGGTTTGATCTTAGCTAATCTTTAAAAAAACCAATAAAAAACCTAGTATGTAGTGTGGTGGATCACTAGCAAAAAGACATGTTTTACCAAGTGTACGTTTTTGTTAAAAGGGTTTATGATTTTCGTTGAATGACACAAAACTTTAAAGTTTTGCACACTCACCAATATCAATTTTGCAGTTGTTGATAAAATAAAAGATCGAAGTGATGGTGATGCCTTAAATTTGACACTCTTATTTTTTTGATTTTAGAAAAAAAAAAAAAAAATATCTAAGTTTAAATCTTTTTAATTAAATTGATTAAATTAAAATATTTCCAAATTTATCAGTTATCTTTTAACTATTTATACTGAAATGTCATACTTTAAATTTCAAACCAAATCAAATCAATATTCAATTATCTATTCAATTAAATTCTTTGTATTCTATATCCAACACTTGTTGTAATTATAAATAAATTAAAATGCCACTTCCATTAGCCGCCCGTAAATCTATTAGAGGTAAATAGATAAAATAATTATTTGGAATTTTAAACATATTATTAATATTTTTTTATATATTATTTCAAAAACAATAATAGATAATGAAGAACACTTGACCAATGCCGTTGAGACTATTAAATCAGCTCTCGGAGTTGAATGGACTTTTGAATTTGATTTCGAGACTTTGTTGGCCAAGGTTGAATCCGCCGACTACGTCAAGAACGATCCAGGAAGTTTCTTCTACAAGGATGTTGCCACCAACGTTGCTGAATGTGTCAAGTCATTTGCCACCAAAGATGAAATGGTCAAGGAAGCCTTGATCGAGGCCAACGCCAACTCAAAGGTCATTGTCAGAGTCAATGAGGACAAGAAGAACACCTCCTACTGGAAATACATCTTTGAGAACAACAATTTGGTTTTGTTATTCAGAGCTTCACCAGCCAACATCTCTGATATCACCTACTTTGACTTGCCATCAATTATCCCATCACCAGGTGTCCTCTCATTGAAGGCTCGTCTCAACTTGAAGGAGAACGGAGAGAAGTTCCAAACTGCTTTGGAGGAGATTAAGGAGGCCACCAAGAATGACTGGACCTACGATGAATCGTCCATCGAAACCTGTTACACCACATTCGATTTCGACAAGGACAGAATCGGAGATATCTTTGCTGAGATCATCACCAACATTGCTTACAACATCAAGACCAGATGCAAGGATGAGATGATCTTGGAGGCATTCAACGAAGTCAACACTAACAACAAGATTGTTTTCCGTCACTTGCCAAAGCAAAGCGATTACTGGACTTTCGCCTTTACCTCTGGTGATCTCATTGTATCCTACAAATCAATTTGCAATGTCTCTGATGTCAGCTACTATGATTTCGAGAAGTTGTTGTAAACTCTCAAAATTATACAATCACTCTTCAATAAATAAATTATAATTTAATTATAATAATTTTCAAAATCTATATCTTTGCACAAAGTTTCATAATGATCAGATTAAGTTAGAATAATATAATTTGAATGTATCTCTTTAATTCATCTTTTCTTAAAATTGTTTTAATCTCAAGGATGAAAAGCAATAAAAACTTGTAAAATGAGAATTTCTTTTAAAGATTATTAAATTAAAAATACACCTTTTTATTTATTATTTTAAAGTAAATAGGATCAAATTAGAAAAAAAGATCTATGATTTTCAAATCTATTTTTAAATATTTAATTAATTGAATTGTTAGTTATACTAGATGTATTATAGTTGTAGTGGAACAAAAAATCATTCAAAGGAATTGATCATATTTGATTTTTTTTTTTTTTTTTTTTTTTTTTTTTTTTTTGGCATTTGATAAGTCCTCATCTTGTAGGGAGATTTCCTTTTGCAAACAGAGGAATTCCTTCGCACTAGTGCAAATAAGGAAATTCTCTTCATAGATGCTTACATTGGCACGAATGCAAAAAAAAAACTAAAAAAAACTAAATAATTTTATTTGTTTTGACCTGGTCAAACAAAAAAAAGATGTGGAATGAGGCCAAAGAAAGAAAAGGCAAAAAAACACCACTCATACTGAAAACAAAAAAAATCGGTCGAGTGGTGGGAGGTGATGACATACATCAATCTAAAAAAGGTGAGATGATCCAATTTTTCCCCACCCACAAAACGAATTCAAGCTGAATTTGGTTTCGCCTGTGTTTGTTGTTGATTTATTTTTGTTTTATGGGTGGTACAACGATCAGTTGGTGGAGGGTTCCAGCTCTAAAGTGCTAAAACATATCTTTGCCCACACAACAAAAATGAATTCAATTCGTATCTATCAGTTTACAAACATGTATGACTCTTTTTTTTTTTTTTTTTTTTTTTTTTTGTTGATTTATTTTTGTTCACACTTAGTTGTTCTTTCCAACTCCATATGAATATGAATATCTACAAACCATTGGTTAGTCATACATAACATCTGTTAACACAAGAAACGAAACTGAACTTTGATCTTTTTTATTTTGTTTTTTGTTATTGTTTATTTATAAAATCAAAAGCATATTTTTTTAAATCTATTAAATCTAATAAATATTTTATTTTCTAAATACTATTATACAAGAAAAAAAAAAACTCTGGTCTCCAAGAAAAAAAGTATAATTTAAAGAAAATTTACTACTTACTTTGTAAAAAATTTTAGTCAAACTAAGTTTTTTTATAATTTTATGATATGTCTCAATAACCTTGTAGACCACCACATCAGCAATTCTCACAAAAACCTTGTTTTGTTTCACACCGTCATTCACACCTTTAATATATATCACGTAACCCCCACAACCACTGTGCACATGGGAAAGAACAACATCTCGGCTCTTGAAATTTGACCAACAAAAAAAAAAAAAAAACCTAAGAAGGTTTTTAATTTTTTTTTCAAATCAGTTCATCTTAACTTTTATATCAAATAGATAGAACAAGAGTTCAGTTCAATACACACAATCAAAAATCAATCTGCAATTAATTAAAAAAAAACAACAAAAAAACCCCACTGCGCTTCGTTCATTGCAGATCTCTGTATTTTTCTAGCCATAACGAAAGAACACCAATAGAGAGAGTACTTTCATTCATTCAATACAATACATTGCTTTTTAATTTTAGTTAATTATTTATTTAGTGTCAAGTTTGGTTTTTTTTTTTGTTTAATTAATTCAATTCACTTTTACTTACTTTCTCTTCTGTCTCTGTCATTCTTATAGATATCAAAGATTAAAGATAATAGATAGTGTTGTAAGCAAATATATATAGAATAGTTATAGCTATCATAGTGATACCAATCTATTGTAGAAAACTATTGATATTGTATTGTTGTTGTTGAACATCCTATCATATCTTATATCTATCATACAGTGTGTTTGTTGCATCCATTGAACTGTACAAACAATGTCAATGGGTTCAGCTACAGCTTATGAACAAGATGTCGTCGAGCAGAAACACCATCAACAACAACATTCTCAACAGCAGTACAGCAACAACAACAACAACAATAATAATATAAATAGTGAAAACAATACAAATAACAATGAGTTTTTTACTAATACCAATGGTAGTAATAGCTTGATGATGTTATATGGAAATAGTATTGATAATAATAATAATAATAATGTCAATATTAACAATAATAATAATGATAGTAGTAATATCAATAACTCTGGTGAATATGGAATGAATTCGACAAACACCACACCCAATACTTTCATATCTACTACCACCACCACCAATACCACCACCAACCACACCAACACAAATCTCAACACTAATACCACTACAAACACCAATAGCAGCAACTCCTCTTCACCCAATATAATTTACAATGGAAATAGTAACCTAGGATCTATTACCAACACGACAACACCACTTCCATTACTTCCACTCAGCAACATCAGCAACAACTCAAATACCAACAATAGCACTACCAACAACACCAGCAGCACAAATACCAACACTACCAATATATCTACATCCATCATAAATTTGAACAACATGAACAATGTTGCTGCTGCTGGAAGCGACAATCCTAATGGTAATCTAACATTCGAAACCTCACATATAATGGCATTCAACAATGGCAACATGAAAACTATAAATAATACGTATCAACAACAACAACAACAACAACAAACATTGATAAATCAACAGAATAATATCAATAATAACAATAGTAATAATAATATTAATAATAATAATAGTTTTTCAATTAGTAATAGTTTAAGCGATTCATTCCGACAACAGCAACAGCATCAACAGCAGCAACAGCAACTTTTACAACTTCAAAGACAACAATATATAAATAATAAAACAGATTATAAGGAGTTGGTTAGACAACAAGGCTTGGAATTGATTAGAACATCCGAAGGCATCACTGAGCACTCGAATATAGTAAAGCCAATCATGAATATCTTGGATCCAGTGTCATTGGAGTTATTGAACAGCCACTTACTCGGTGGAAGCAACAATTCATCGTCAACGAGCTCACCAACATTGATGTCTGTACAGCTATCGCCCTTAACAACAACAGCACCAACCAGTGCTGCATCAATCATGTCCACCTCCACCTCTGTTGCCGCCATCAATTCATCGTTGGCCGCAGCAGCAGCAGCCGCATCGATGCACAGCAACAGCAACACCGCAAACACCACCTCAACATTATCACCATCCTCCATAAACATGTCATCATTGCCGATGATACATCAACAACCAAACCAACAACAACCAATACAACAACAAATTCAACAACAGCAACCCATACAGCAACTGCAACAACAGCAGCAACAACCATCACAAGTATTCAACAATACAAATACATTCCAATCAATACCACAACAGCAATTATTACAACAATCACTTCCACCACTACCAATTCAAACAGCCAACAACAATGTAAATATGACTACAAGTGCAGAGGATATTCCAATCAAGAGAAAGAGAGGTAGACCTCCAAAGAATAAGGATGTGGAGACACAACAACAGCTACTACAACTCCAACAACAACAACAAGACGAAAAGTCATTGAAAGCCAAAAGAGCAATCTATCTTTGTAATCGATGTAAATTACCAAAGGTAAGCTATTAATAATTATCATAACAATAGTTATTCTTTACTAACAAAGCATTGTAAATAATTATAGAAAGGACATCAATGTCCAAAACCAGGAGAAGATGGTGACGATGATACCGGTAGTGAATCGGCAATTCTTGATAACGATATAAATAATAATGGTACTCCAAAAAAGAAGAACAAGAAAGATAAATTAGAACAACAAACAACACAGCAACAACAACAACAACAACCACAGATTTTAGCACAACAAACACAACAACAACAACAATATCAACCACTTCAATTTTCACAGCAACAGCATAATCAAGCAATTGGTATAGCTCAAGCGTTGACTTTTAATAATAATATAAATAACAATGGTAATCAAATATTTAATAATAATAATAACAATAATAATATAAATATCAATGGTGGTAGTATGATGGTCGGTCCGAATACAACGACTGTCGTCGAAAATAATAATCCGACTTGGTCATTCGAATCGATCACCGGTGGTATCTTATCGAATCAGAATACGATAATGTACTCATCGACTACACCAAACGGAGAAACAACACCGTTATCCTATCAATCTTTGAATCTACAGCAAATGTCTTCACCTACTACACCCCCTCTTAACTCTATTGGTGTAATCAATCCTTTTGTACAGCAACAACAATTAACAACAACTACTGATACTTCAAACAACCAACTTCAACAACAACAACAACAACTTCTTAATCAAACACCAATAACAACAACAACCACTGCCAATATTATTTTAAATCAATTTAATAATAATAATAGTATTCAACAACAATTTAATAATGATAATAATATGTTACAAACGACTGCAATGATTTCTAATATAAATCAAAGACTTTTGGTACAAGAACAACCGATTGAACAACAACAACAACAACAACAAAATATGCAGTCGATACCACCAGCTTTATCCGTTCCATTTAATAGTACCGTCAAAGAGGATGATGCGGAAGACGAAGAAGAAGACGAAGAAGATGATGATAATGAAGATGAGAGAGACAATAATGATGAACCTGATGATTCTGAAGAAGAAGAAGAAGATGAAGTTGAAGAATCAGAATAAATCAAATATAAATCAAAATCATTTATATAATTTGTTATTATTATTACTTTTAAATTAATTTTTTGATAAAGAAATGTTTTGCACATTTCTAAATTATATCATCATCATCATCATGATACAACTTTTCAATTCCAAACAATCATGATTGTTATATTAATGATCAATCAATAAATAAACATGAAATGCAATGATTTTTATTTGATGATTTTGAATAATCATAATCATAGACAAGTGGTTGTTTGTTGTATATCATTATTATTTAATCATCAATATTTATTTGATAAAATCTTAAACTTTACTATTAAATTTATGTATGTGTTTAGATCTTTATTTTTGTGGTGGGTGAATAATGATAACCCTATTTGTCTTTTGATCCCACACCAACAATCTCTCAGTATCAGAAAAAACCAAATTTAAAAAAAAAGACAAAAAATCAAAAAATCAAAAAGAATTGTTTTTGGTGGTGTGTGCTGTTTAAATTTATTTGCAAGTTGTCATTGTCAATTATTTCTGTCTTTTAATTTAAATCATTATAACTAATACAAACGTTATAAAAAAATAATAAAGAAGAAGAAAACAACAACTACAACAATAAAATAAATAATTAAAAGAAAAGAAAAGAACTACTTTTAAAATATATAAAATAGATAGATATATTTAGTAGTTTTTTTTATTTTTAGATATTTTAATTTTTTTATGTTTATTTAGATTTATTAAAATAACCTATTTTCTTATAATAGAATAGTAGTAGAGCATCAGATTAAATCAGATTAGATTAGATTAGATTGATTTAATTGTTTGGTTTGTTGATTAAGAACGACCATTTATTAATAGAAAATGAGTGGTGGTGTCATCAGTGAAGAAGACTTTAATTTGTTGCAAGAACAATTGATAGAGTTGAAGAGATATAAGTATGAAGCAACTGAAAGAGAGAAAAAGTTACAAACTGGTATGTATAATATCTCGACATAATTAGTAATACTATTATTATTATTATTATTATTATTATTATTATTATTATTATTATTATTATTATTATTATTATTATTATTATTATTATTGTTATCGAGTTCTATGTTATACTAATAGAACAATATTTGCTAATCTTAATAACAGAATTAAAAAGTCAGAAAGATCATATTGAATCACTCGAAAATGAAAATACACCCAAGAAAAAAGGTTTTTCATTGTCGGGAATCATGTCCCAAAAGAACAAGGTTTCAGACTTGACCGAGGAGAACGATTCTTTGAAAAAGTCATTACAACAAATTCAACAAGATCATCAAACTCAAGTATTTATTAAATTTGAATGAAGAGTTTTGGAAAAGATAAGATTGATAAGATAGATGCTAACTAACTGATTGTTAATTATGATATTCTTTTAGAGTGAAGCATTGAAACATAATATTAAAAGTTTATTTGAAACGAATAAACAGTTGGAAGATGAAATTCTCTTGTTGAAGAAGGAGATGCAATCCTATGTGATAAAGGTGGAGGATCAACAATCTACGAACCGTAGGCTGCAAGTGGAGATTGCAGAGTTGATCTGTTCAAAGGAGGACTTGGAGAATAAGGTAGAGGAACTAAAGACAAGTGGTGGTGGTGCTGGTGTTGGTGTCGGTGGTTCGGATGGTCATATGATCATCGGAGAGAACGGTGCTGACAACACAACCGTTGCAACAACACTCGAAGCGAATGGTGCTTTAACTGCTGTCACCGAGTTGATTACTCAACATCAGCAATCGAATCAACAGTTATTCGACAAACAAAACATAATGAATCTATTGGATAACGTTGATCTTTGGTCTATTGAAGATAAGGAAGATATAAAGGTAAGATTGATTTCACTTGTGAAATATACATAGTTGATACAATACTGACTACTCTTATGTCACTCACAACACTCTATAGAATCAAATAAAGTCAAAGATTGATGAGATTTATAATGAGATTCATTTGAAGTTGGATGAACAGCAACAACAGGTACAAGAACAACAACAGCTTCTACAAGTTCAACAACAACAGCAACAAGCACAAGTACAACAACAAGTACAACAGCAACAACAACAAAAGAATAAATCAGTTGTTTTCCATCCACTTGGAGAACCTGTTGTAAATGTTGAAGAGGAGAAAGAAAAGTCAAAGTTGAGAGAGACAATCAAGGGATTGATGGAGCAGATCAAAGAGATCGATTCGAAATCACAGAGACAACAGAATGAAAGTAAGGAGTATCAGCAAAGTATTGAAACTTTGAATACAACCATCAAGGAGTATCAAGAGAAACTGCTTGGTGCAGAAGTCAATCGTGTAAAGATCGAAGAGAAACTAGCTAGTGACATTAAAAAGTTGACTGTTGATATCAACACTCTCAACTCTGATATCGAAACAATGTCAAACAAGAGAAAGGATCTTGAGAATACCATATCAAATCTCAACTCTCAAGTAATGATGGAGAAAGAGACAATCAATCAACTTCAAAATCAATTAAAAGATCAAAAGTATGTAAATAATAATATATAATTGAATATATAAATATTGATTATCAATATTAATATTTGATATTTGTTGATAATTCCTAGGACATTCTATGAATCAAAGGTATCGGATTCCAATGATCAATCGAATATCTTTAAGATGGCAAGAGATGAATATGCTCAGACTTTGAGAACGGTAACGGATGATCTCGCCATCAAGGACAAGTTGATAGAGTCAAAGGGTGAGGAGATTCTTCAGCTGAAGGAAACTATTGCCGGTTTGGAATCGGATTTGGAGAAACGTTCAAGCGAACTCAGAGAAACACTCTCGGCATCAGAGTCAATCAACACTCAAATGAAGAAAGCAGATGAAAAGCTATCGCGTGAGAGAAGCACACTCGATTCACTCACAGAGCGTTACAATAAGTTGAATTCAGAGTTTGAGGAATCCGACAAACATTGCAAGAGTCTGACACAGCAAATCGTGGAAACCAATGAGAAACTTCAGCTGGCAGAGCAAGCCAAACAGGATTTGCAATCGACAAACACAAAGCTCAATGAAGACACTGCGAAACTACAGAGCGATCTTCAAGAGCGTGTCGAGCAACTCGAGAAACTAGAGTCGTCGTTGGACGATGCCAATAAGCGATTGGCAGAGTTTGACGAGTTGAACCAGACCTACAATGAAGCGAGAGAGCAGATCGAAGAGCTCGAGGCATCCAATGCCAATCTTCAGCTAATTGTACCACAGCTCGATAAGCTGAAAGCAGACTACGAGGAGGCATCCGCTAAAGTTTCCAAGCTAGAGACTGCATTGGCAGATGCAGAGACTGAAAAGAAAATAGCTGAAAAGAAAACAAATAAGATGGTTAGTATAGTTTAAACAAAGATTTATCGGAATGTGTTGACTAATATTTATTATTCCTACTTTTTAACTTTTAGATTAAAGATTTGAAATCTGAATTATCAAAGGAGAGAACCTCTGTAAATCTATTATCACAATCATCTGGCAGTATTCCAACCACTCCAAATTCTTCACCACTCATGTCGCAGTCGGCCAATAGTATTTCACTGCCGACTACACCACTGCAGACACCAGGCAGAACCGGACATCTCCGTACAATGTCACAGGGTATTCCACTGTCCAGTTCGTCTGGACAGTCGACACCCAAGTCACTTACACCCAATATTACAATGCTTGGTGCCAGCCACAACAGCAGTGGCGGAAGAGATCTCAACGGCAGTGGAAGCAATAGCGGCGCTACCAGATCCAATAACAACAAGGATGCAAGTATCGACTCGCTAAGAATGGATATCGAGGTGATGGGAAGAAAGCTGGGTGAACTTGGCACAGAGAAATATAAGCTCGAGGAAAAGATTAGAGCCCTCGAGGAGAATGTACTTTTATTGAATCAGGATATCGAAAAGAAGAATAAGGTGGTTCGTTTTTACATTTCAAAGACACAGCTAGGCAAGGCTACCACCAATGACGAGAAATCCAGACGTTTGAAAGGAGGTGCTCTCGGTTCTTTCTGGCGAAACAACGATCCTACGCTTGTTGCTGAAATGGTAGAGAAAATGGAAACCATGTTACAAGAATACATTTTAAAGAATATACAATTATCAGTATGTTACAACAATTGTTATTAATAGTAATATTCATCCAATTTAATTTATTTAACTAACACTCTTATCAATTCAATCAATCAAACAATCTTTAGGATGATGTAGAGATATTAGGAAATGAAGCAAGTAGATTGACATCTGAGAACAAGACAATCAAAATTTTATTAAAAGATAACAATATCCCTATTCCTGAACCTCCACTATCACCAACATATCAGGCATCAAACACAATAGAAAACAATATAAATACAAGTAGATAGATAGATAGTTACATAAATTAATATATAAATAAAAACAAATATGATTAAAAATCATATTAATATTTATATTACCCAATCATTATTTATTTGAAAAATACAAACTTTTTTTTTAATTAAATCGGGTCAACAAGACCAAAAACGCAATAATTATGCAATGAATTAAAAAATATCTTAAACTCATATATATCATAAAGTTATTTTTAAATAGTAGAAATCAAATGCAAATAGTAATATTAAATTAAAAAATGTTATTATCTTTAACAACAACAGTAACTCCAACAATAAATAATAATAATGATAGATTAGTTTATATAATAAAATTAGTTATCAAAGATGTTTATCTGAGGAAAAAGATATTTGGAGAGGTAAAATCGATTCATAGAACTCTGTGTTTTAATTTAGAAAGACAAAAGTATTTCACTTGGTCTACTCTCTATAAATCACCTAGAACGATGGTTTATTTTGGATTTTATGATATGTTGGTTGGAACCGATCGTTTGCTATTGAAACATCACTTGCGTTTAAAGAATGAGAAACAAGGCTACTTTACTAGTATTGCTGCAAGTCAAGGTCATACCAATATCTTAAAGTTACTATATAGTTTAACAACGAGTGATACATTCGATTTCGTATTTGATGGCAATGAAATAGTGTGTGCTGCTCGTTGTGGTCATTTCGATTGTGTTGTTTATCTATACCAGAATGCAAAGCAACTGAAGCAATGTGGAGCTATGGTGGAGGCGTTGTTAAGTGCTGCAAGCAGCGGACATATAGAGATACTTCAATATCTCTTACCAAGATTGGTGTCAAACGGTCAATGTGGAAAATATAATGATTCTTTGGTGGAAATTGCAATTGTAGACAATGATAATCAGATCGTAAAGAAAAGGAAGAATGGTCATATCATCAATAGGAGTGAAGTTGATCCATCTATCTATTTATCACTTATGGAAGCTGCATCAAAAGGTGGACATCTTGACCTTCTGATCTGGTTGGCAAAAGACAGAGAGTCCGATGTCAAAAGCAATGGAAATAGCTTGTCGATAGCCGCTGCAACAAAGGGGCACCTGAGAATATTGGAGTGGTTGCATTCCATTGGAGTGAACAAGTGTAGTTCATCTGCATTGTATGGTGCAGCAATGGAGGGTCACCTGGAGGTGATAAAATGGTTGTTTGACAACGATGCGCTAAGCAATCAGCCAAAGATAAGTAACGCAGTCTCTCAAGCTTTGTGGAACGAACACAATCATATCGCAGATTGGTTGCTTGCAAATAAAAAATTGGATATCATCTCGAGTGGTCTATTAGAGTCTTTGGCCAAGGATGGCAAACTGGAACAATTAAAGCGGTTGGTGGGAGTTGATTATTTTACGTTGACCGCTAAAGCGTTGAATCAAGCTGCTATGAATGGGAATATCAACACGGTCAAGTGGTTGAATGAGGTGATGGTGTGTCCGATATCTGCCAGCGCCATAGATCGCGCAGCCAAGAATGGACACTTGAATGTTATAGAGTATTTGGTGAAGAGTGGAAAAGATAAGTGCACTAGTCTTGCTCTCACTGACGCAGCGCACAACGGACACTTTGAAACAGTGAAGTTCCTACACGAGCAACTACACTGCACTACCAATATTAAAAAGGCTTTTGAAGCAGCGGCATCAGCTGGCCATTTGAAAATCATTGTTTATTTCACAGTGGAAAAGAAACTCCATACCGATTGGCAATTTGTTATTCGTGTAGCAGTCAAAGCTGGATATGTAGATGTAGTAGAGTATATTAGCAATAACAATCTGATAGAGTTTAGCCAATGTATGCACGACAAAGCTGCAAAACACGGACAGTTGCCAATGGTAAAGTGGTTACATCATCACAAAGGATCGATAGGATTCTCAAAGAAAGCTATTAATCTGGCTGCTGCCAATCGTCACTATGACATTGTGCGATTCCTATGTGAGAATCGTACGGAAGGATTCTCAGCAGAGGCAATCTGTTATGTTTGTGGACAAGGCTCGATCGAGATGTTGGAATATCTCATGCCAAGACTTGAGGATCCAAAAGAACTACGACCCAATAATCCATTTGATTTCGCGTGTATCAAAGGTCACCTGGATGTCGTCGAACGGTTGTTCCAATATGGAGATCTAATTGAATGTTCAGCAACTGCTGTCGATACCAGCTCGATCGCTGGACACTTCAAAATACTTATGTATTTAATGGAGCAACGCAATATCCAAGGAACTACCGATGCTTTGGATTTTGCAGCTTCCAATGGATACAAAGAAATCGTAGAATATCTTCATAATCATAAGGCAGCATGCACAAAATCTGCACTAAAAAAAGCTGCTAAAAACAATCACTTTGCTGTTGTACAATTTCTTTGTGAGAACAGAACCGAAGGTAATTACAACCAAGCAATTAAATCAGCAAAGAAAAAGAAAAACGATAAAATGAAATCTTTTTTACAAGAGATGCGAAATAAACATAGAATATGAAAATCAAACAATATCTTTCTTTGGTTTTTTTTTTTTTATTCAAAATTGTTTTTTTTCTATTGTGAATTATGTGTACACAGTTATATTTTAACATAATCATTTGGTATCCAGTTATATTTAACACATTTTTAAAAATCTTGATTCAAATATATATTTTTTTTTTTGAAATTATGTTTTTTGGTATTAATAACTAACAGCTAATAATTAATCAATCAAAATAAATTCATCATGGATGATTATAATTATTTTTAGATTTGTCATAAAAATGTCAAGAGAAAAAAAAACAAAAAAAAAAAAGTAAAAATGAATTTTGCAAAATTCCAAAATAATTAGGTCAAGTCGACTTTACTAAATAGTATAAGGTCAATTCCAAAATATCGTAATTTTAACTGTTTTATCAAATCATCATTTATCGGTAGCAAAGAATGTTCTGTCCACCTAATCTTGAATAATGGTTATTTAATTAAACTATAAAACCATATACTGTTCGTACTTTTTTTTAAACTGTATACTATTGACAACATCTGTACAGATACATTTTTAATTTTAACATTTAATGTTTGGAGAATATCTTGTTAAAGTAGGAAAAACATTTTCTACATTAAAATTTTCAGAGGATCCAATTACTTTATCAAATTTTATGTTATATACTATAGTACCAATCATGGGTCTTGGATTATTTTTTAAACTTAAAAATAACAATAATGTTCAAAAGAAAAGAGTGGTAATCGTTGGAGGTGGTTATGGTGGAGTTATCTTGGCTGGACAGTTGGACAAGAAATATGACGTGGTTATGATAGAGAGAAACAAGTCCTTCTTTCATTACATCTCAGCAATGCGATGCACAACCAATCCTGAACTATCAAAGAAATGTTTCTTTGAATACGATAAAGTAATGAAGCACGGAAAGATCATTCATGCAAGTGTTACAAAAGTACAACCCGATCGTGTTACTATCGAGAATGGAGATGAATTCAATTTTGATTACATGGTTATTGCAACTGGTGCAAACAATATCACCCCATTCAAAGCACCCTCAGATTCATCCAACATCTACCAATATTATCAGGGTCTCAAAGACAAGATTCAGCAGAGCAAAAAGATTCTAATCATTGGTGGAGGTGCAGTTGGTGTCGAGCTAGCAGCAGAGATAGCAACCGATTTCAAAGAAAAACAGATAACATTGGTCAGTCGTTCCAACTATCTTATCTCACCACAATCCACAGAGGTATTCATGACCAAACTCCAAGATAAACTAAAACAGTTGAACATCAACGTCTTGTTGAATACCACCATTGACACACCCGACGACATTTTGGAGGCCAGAAGAAAGCAAGAAATCTTTGACTACCAAGTTAAAAGACAAGTTTATCAATCGAATTCTGGTGAAATAGAGGCAGATCTTGTATTTTGGGCAATTGGAAACAAACTAAACAATGAGTTGCTCAATGAGTTCCCTCTCGATTCCAAGGGCTACCTAAGAGTGAATAAGCATCTTCAGATCGAAGGTTTTGATAATATCTTTGGTATTGGCGACATTACTAATATTCAAGAAAGAAGAACCGTAAGAAACACTATGAATCAATCGGCTACAATTATCAAAAATATCGATGCACTTTCCAACAATAATAAGACCCTTCATGAGTACAAGCCTACTGCATTCTCGGTAGCTCTGGTACTAGGCAGAAACGAAGGTATTGCTATGTTTCCAAATGGTTGGTTTTTACCTGATTGGCTCTGTAGAATGCTAAGCAAGGGTGGTATGGGTATCAACACAACAATCAAACTATTGGGAAAGCCTGCAAATGCCAGTATTGGAAATTAATTTAAATTTTTTTAAAAATTAAATTTTAAATAAATATTTTGAAGGGTATGATACCTATAATATTATTTCATTTTAAAATATCCATTCTTTATTTAATTATTCTTTATATATTTTCTATTCTTTATCTTTTTATCTATTCTTTCTCAAGTTAATACAACCTCACTTTTGGATTTTCGAAAATCCATGCAAACTACACTACCTACACCATTTATTTCTTAACCGATTAAAATCAAAATTCTTTGACTAATTAAATAAACTTTAATTAAAACTTTAACAATTCATTATAGAATATTATGATTTTATTTAAATTGCAATAGTTTGACTTAAAAACCAGCCTTAAATTTAAATTGTTCAAGTTTGTCAAAATCGGAAACCAACAATGAATCTTCAAAGTCTTCATCCATGTCGACTACAATCTCTGATGATGCACTCAGTCTTTGTTTTTTGTTGTTGGTGTCGCTACTCTTTTCCGATGGATCTTTAAACCCTGACAAACTAGTATTGTTTGGATCACTGTCACTTTCTTCATTCTCTTCGTCCAGCAAATCTATATCATTCTTGGTCTTTCTTTTCTTTTTTGTATCGTTATCGCTACTCTTAACGGACGCTCCTCTCTTTTTAGTGGTTGATCTCTGTGGAGCTTTTACTTTTTTTGTTGTCGCTGTTGTTGTTGTTGATGATGTCTTACTCTTCTTTGTGGTTGTCTTCTTTTTCTTTTTATCGTCTTGTTCTTCTTGATCTTGATCGTAGTCATCATTGTCTTCATCTTGATTCTCCTCATCACCTTCTTCTTCCTCCTCCTCCTCATTATTGTCGTCACCTAAGAAATCATCTAAATATGAACTTTCATTATCAAGCTTCGATTCATCGTCTTCACCTGCATTCTTTCTCTGCTCTCTTCTTGCCTGTCTTTCTTTTTTGGCATCGATCTTCTTCTTTCTGAGACTATCTCTGTCCTCCACACTCTGAATAATACTCTCCCAGATGCTGTCATTCTCATGCGGCGTAGATTGCAAGATCTGTTCACCTTTTTCAAACTCTAAAGTGTCACTCTCACCATCGAGAATACGACCCAACACATCTTTCTTGCTTTCAAGCATACTCCAGATACTCTCATCGATTGTATTGATTCCAACGAGATACTGAATGAGCACTGATCTATTCTGTCCGAAACGATGAACTCTAGCTTCCGCTTGCATCAACACACCGGGTGTCCAGTACAACTCTGCAAAAATCGCTACACTCGCCGCTGTCAAAGTCAATCCTGTTCCGGCAGCGGTAATACTGAGAATGGCAACTTTAATCTTTTCGTCAGTCTGGAATATATTGACCAGATTGCTTCTGGCATGAGCAGGAGTGGTACCGTCAATCTTTATATATTCCACCTTTTTCTTCTTGACCAACTGTTCGATTCCATCCATAACTGTTTTGTGATGTGCGAAAATCAGGAACTTGCTATTGTCTTCCAGTTTATCCTCGATAAACTTTGAGATAGCAGCCATCTTTCCGAGACCAGTATCTCTAAACAACTGGGTGTAGAGTGACTTTCGCTTTCCACCCTCAGAGTTGACACCCTTTCGATTGTTGTCCTTCGATGACTCCTCCATCTTTTGACGCGCCGACTTGATATTCTCCATCACAGCTTTGATCTTCTTCATCTCTGACTTTTTCACTTCCACCATGATCTTCTCTCTACGCATCTCTGGCAGCTCCGTTAGAACTTCGTCTTTTTTTCTACGAATCATAATGCGCTCCAAATAGAGATTCAACTCAACCGGATTCGATAGACCAAAGTAGTCACGATGATTGAATCTGTCCATATGTGCAGCACAGTAGCGATCGGTGTAGTCATACCACTTTTGAAAGTTTGGAATGACACAGGTGATCTGTTGATACAGCTCGCAGGGACGAGATATCGCAGGTGTTCCAGTCAGTAGAATCTTTCGCTTGGCGTGCTCCATCAGTCGCATCGTCTCTCTGGTTCGCTTCGCCTTAAAGTCCTAGGAAATGACTTTCATCGGCGACGATCACACGGAATCGCTTCTCCAAGATCGCCTCTACTTTGGTACGCACCAGATCGTAGCTGATGATATTGACCAGACCATTCAATCCACAACGTCCATTCATAACCAGATTGATATCGCCATTCTTGAAGACACCGGGTAGGAACTTCTCGAGTTGCTCCGCCCACACCATGCGAAGAGAGGATGGAGTGATAATGAGCAGCGGCCATTCGCTCCTGTAGTAATATGATAATCCGATTGCCTGTATTGTCTTTCCAAGACCCATTTCATCACCCATAATACAGTTTCCATCTCTTGATATTCCAAACTCGATACCCTTTCGTTGGAAGGGTAACAGTGTATTCAATAGATTGGCTGGCAGTCTTGAGTAATCGGGTTGTACTAGTTTCGGTGGCTGTGAGAATGCCCATAATATATGTCGAGGCAATGGTTTAACTTTTACACCCCCAGTCCTCATTAGCATCTCACAAAATTTATTATGTTGTAACACCGGTATTACCCCACCAATTCTCATCAAATTCTAAATTGATATAATCATTCAAAAAGCAGGAAAGTCAGTAAGTAACCCAATCATCACTTTATCACTAATATGTGTACATACGTTTTGCTCCTTCTATCTGTAAGAATATCCTCTTGATTGCTCCATTCTTTGGATCGATACAAGAGAACTCTGTTTCATTGATTAATTTAAACTCTAAATTGATAGGTATCATTATTCTCTGTTGAAAGTCGATTACATCATTGTTATTGCTATAGCTATTATTGTTATTATTATAGTTGTTGTTTTGAACTGTATTATTACTATTATTATTATTATTATTATTTTTGTTATTCATAACATTGATACTATGGTTATTGATGGTTGACATAAGAGGGTTCAATTTCTTTGGACTAGCATTAAAGTTATTAATCGGTTTAAATAGAGATGAAGATGATGCCATTGTGAATGAATTTTGTGACTGTGTAGAAACTGATATAGATGAATTGTTATTATTATTATTATCATCGAAATCAAAATCGAAATCTATATCATCATTACTACTACTACTACTACTTTTATTACTATTATTATTTACATTGTTTATACTTTGATTACTGTTATTATTACTATTACTACTACTACTATTGCTGCTGCTGCTGCTGCTGCTACTACTACTACTACTACTACCAATAATATTATTATTACTTGAAATACTTTGATTACTGTTATTTATATTTGTAATTATATTTTTATTGATAATATTAGGTTTAAATAGAGGTAATGGCTTTGGTAATGGTTTATTTAATGGTAAAAGCTGTATTGGTTTATTTACAGGTGTAATAGTAGTTGAATTTACTTTATTATTACTGTTATTACTACTATTGTTATTATTATTATTAGTATTTACTAACTTTGTGGTTGTTGTTGTAGACATATTGTTATGATTGTTCACTTGACTACTACTACTACTATTGTTAATATTGAGTGGTAATGTCTTTAGTAGTTTAGGAATTGGTTGTGTTGAAAAAGAAGATCTTGTCTCTTTTCCATTGTTTTCTTGTGTATTCATTTTCCTTCATGTTGCAATTCAAAAAAATAATTAACTTTTTCCTGTAAAAATGAATCTTGTCATTTTAAAAAAAATAAAAAAACAGATGTTTGACAAACAGACTAGTCTTCATTGCAATTAATATAACTTCTTTTAAAAAGTTATATATGAGTATAATATGTTTATTTATCACAAACTTTAAACTTTAGTTTGTAATTGATGAATGATAATTGACAGAAAAATAATAATATTGATATGTATTAATTCGAAATGTCAGTAAATGTCAGTAAATGGGTTGAATCTATCTATCTATTCCTCTTCAAATTGTGAACTGAGCCAATCTAAACCTTCATACAATCCATCACCTTCTTCAGATGTTGCAGAACAACCCTAAAATTGATTGATGATAATAATAATAATAATAATTATAGTAATAAATAGATGAATTGTATTACAATTAGATATATATGGTTGCAAAATATATTAATATGAAGTAATAAATAACTTACCTGTACATGCCAAATGATATGTTTTGGTAAATTGAAAAGTGATAAAGCCAATGTTATTTCTAATGTTGACATTGGTTGTGTATTAATACTGTTATTACTGGTGTGTAAAAGTGGTGGAGTATTTGTAACAGAGTTATTACCTGACAAATTAGAATTACTATTATTGTTGTTATTATTATTGCTACTACTGTTATTATTATTGTTATTATTATTATTAGCATTATCAATCTTATTTGCATAAATTAATACTTTAACTCTTTGTACTCTTCCATCGGTGGAGTCATTCTGTTTGAAACTAAGAATCTTGGCAACGTTACGATCGGTCAACATTCTCCAGAGTTCTTCGCGTACCTGAGACAGTCTGGTACGATCGGTACTGTCGATGATGAATATCAGTGCCTGGGTGTCTTGGATGTAGTGGTGCCACACCGGTACGACTGGCTTGCTGGTGTTGTATCCGATGTCCCAGCAGATAAAGTCACACGACTTGTACTCGACGACCTCGACGTTGTATCCGTTGGTCGGGAGCGTTCTCACGAATTCACCACGTGCAAACTTGTAGAGTAGAGTGGTCTTGCCGACTCCGTCCAGTCCGTACATGAGAATCTTGTATTCCTTGCGAGAGAAGAGCGAGGGCAGCTTCGAGATGGGCTTGAGGAAGAAGCGAATCAGTGGGTTGGGTGAACGCACCGGGACGATGCTGTTACGACGCTTGAAGTAGAGATTGGCGTAGAGCGAGCGTGCACCGCTGTTCAAACGCACCATCGTTGTCAGATCGGAAACTGCAATGCCAAAATCATTCTGAACAAAGAGTGACCACAGTCCCTCTTTCATACCGGTTCTAAAACAAAACTTATTGACTCGTAGCAGCGAAGGCATATTGAGAGCACCAACATTTAAAAATATATAATTGATAATCTCTATTGGGGTATCTAAAAATGTTAACTCTTTTTTCTCAACAACCACTACTAATTTATCAGTAGTATCATTATTACTATTACTATTACTATTATCTATATTGTTATTGATATCTAATTGAGATGTTGATGTTGAAGTTGGTGATGTTAATGTCATTGCAGGTGAGAAATTTGATAGTAGTAAGTCTGGAGTACTACTGTTGCTATCAGTGTTGCTATTGTTAGTATTATTATTAATATTGTTGTTATTGTTGTTTTGAATGTTCGAATTTATGTTATAATGGTTGGTCATTGAGGTGATTCCACTGTTTGTGATTGGCGAGATAGAGATCGGTGTGTTTATATCTACTAATAAATTGCTACTGCTACTACTACTGCTGTTTATTGTCTCTGGTGTAACTGGAATAGATGCAACGCCTCCTCCATCTATTATACTGACAGAATGCTGTTGATAATACAATTGTTGTTGTTGTTGTTGTTGTTGTTTATTCTCATCCAATTTGATAGATGACAAACTATCATTTCCCAGAGAAATATCTGAATCTATTAAACTTCCATAATTAATCTTGTTATTACTATCATTGTTATTATTATTATCATAACTATTAATATTACTATCAACACTATCTCTGTGTTCCTCTTCCATTTGTATCATTTATATAAATTTAATTAAAATTTATGCAAAAATGTATTATTGTTTATTATTGTCGACCTAATAAAAAAAAAAAACAAAAAACAAAAAAAAATATGAATGAAAAAAAACAAGCAAACAAACTATTATTTATTATTATAATAGATATAACTAACTAACTAATTAAATAATCAAAAATAAAAATAATTTATTTGAATATATATATATAATTATTTTTAATTTAAATTTAAAAATTAACAGAATAAAATTATCGTAATTGAATAATATAAAAAGGAAAGATATTTTATTTTTTATTTTGTTTTTTTTGTTTTTTTTGTTTTTTTTTATTTTGTTTTTATCTTATATTTTGAATAGAATAGTTGTGGATTATGTGTATGATTAAAGTTTTTGTAGTGATATTTTAATATTATTTTATTTAAATTTATTTATTTTAAAAAAATAAAATATTTGAACCAAAGAAAAAAAGACAGAGGTGGTGAGTGTGAAATGAACACACAATTATTTTCTTTAATTTTTTTTTTAATCCTGGGTGGTGTTTTTGGGGAACAAAAATTAATAAGCATTGGATCTGTTGTTGATTGGAGTTTTATTTGTTTTATAACAAATCTTCAATTAAATTGGACATTGATCAATTCAAGAAATAAAACAAATAAATATTCTTTTTATTTATAAATTTAAAGAATATTCATTAAATTCAATCATTTAGTAATAAATTTACCAACTAGTTTTTTATCGTTATTTAAATAATAAATATCTTTAAAAAATTTTATTAATATTTTTATTATTCATTTTAAAAGTATAGATTTAAAAATGATAAAATTCGAAAGGATGACTCATTATCTTTTCTTTTGAGTTTAATAAATTAAATTAAATATGAATAATAATAATAAACTTGTAAACTTTTGAAATAAGTATAATACAAAATACAGAGAAAAGGAAATTTACATTTGATGATTTATAAGTTTGAAACTGGTTTTTCCATTCAAGGAAAAATAGCGGTTGGTCTTTAAGATATTCTCTTTATTTATCTATTTATAGATAAACGAATGATATATTTTTTAAAAAATTAAATTATTAAAATTTTATTGTTGTCGTTTTGGTTTTTCGAGTGTCAAGTTCACCAACAACAACAACCACAAATTATTTTAAAATTGGTTTTTTTTTAGAGAAATTCCAGAGGTTACCTTTTTGGTTCAAAGAGAGTACAACTCTTTGTTATTGAAATGGTGTATTTTTCCTATTACTATTAATATGAGTTTTTAAATTAAAAAAACAAACCAAACATCTTTTCATTTTTTTAACATCTAAACACTCCCACACAATATATCTCAATATATACATTTATAAATAAAAAAACACAAACACAACTTCCAATTAAAAAAAACAACAATTTTTTAAAAAATCACAACATCATTGTTACTGCATATACAGATAAAATGTTATGACACAAACCACAAAAGAAAAAAAAAACAAAACATCATTGTTTTAATTAGTTCCTTATTACTTAATCTCACATGTGTTATCAAAATAATATAAATAAATAAATTTTAATTATATAACTGTTGTTTTGCAAACATCCCTTTTTTTTTTTCGTTTTATTAAAATATTTTATATCTTTTACTTTCCTTTTCTTCACCTTTAATAGTACTATTTCTTTACTTTCACAGTGGAAAAATACTTTTTTTTTTTTAATAAATTATTATTTATATAAATACTTACTTTGTTAACTTTTAAAAACCAATAAATTAACTTAAAAATTCACAAAAAATAGATGGTATGCAAATAGTAATAAATATTTTTGTGTATATATAAACTATTTAACTTTTAAGGGTTTCATTTTTGTTTTCATCATTCAACCATCATTCATTTCTTATCACATTTACCCCATTATCTGAATCCTTATTTTCTCAATAAAATAAAACAACAAAATTTATGATTCTTTTTGTTTTTTTAACATTTTAAATTAATTCATTTTTTGCAAAAATCATAAAAACCTATCAATTCATTAAATTGGTGATAACTTAATCAGTAATCATTTAATTAAATAATAGAATTAAGATTCAAGACATATTTATATATATATTTTAAAAAATGGATAACGGTTTTATATTGTATGATAGATATCATGATTACATGTTACTATGTTCGATGTTAATAGTTCTCCTTTCGTTTTTGGTTTGGAGAAATTCATTTTTCTTGTCGCCACTCTTGAGAAATATACAACAGATTCTTAGAGGTGAACAAAGATCAAGTACACCACAATCATCATCATCATCATCATCATCACAACAACAATCACAACAACAACAAACACAATCAAATGATCAAGTACAACAAACAGAACCATTCACAGAAACATTAACTGGTAACGATGTTTTCGATGTCAATATCATTCAATCTGAAACTACCTATCATAGACAATACAAGAAATCAAAGATACATACTGTTTATGATCTAAAGAAATATGTAAGTTATTTTCATTTTGTTTTCAAAAACAAAAAACAAAAGAGAAAAGAGTTGGTTATTAACATAGAATATTGTACATTTTCCAAATTTATTTAGTTTTATCCAAATGATGTAGCAAGTCAAAAAAGAATAATCTTTATTCACAATGGTAGATCAATGATAGACACAGCGAGTCTGAATGGCTACTCATCGTTCAACGACTCGAACACCTCATTCATTCCCACCATCCATTGTATTATAAAGGCACCGCTCGCCTCCGACCAAATCTCAAACGATCCCAACACCGAAAGTGACTCTAGCGATCTGACTTGGATGACCACCAAATCTCTTTACACCCTGACCGGATTGTTCTTGGTGCTTCTCTGGACACTGCAATTTACCAAACCCAAGTTTTTCGATGTCTTCTCGACCATTCTTCTGTTTCTATTTACATTTTGTTGGGGTATTAGTTTTTATTCATCTCTAAAGACTTCGCCAATCATACACAACCGTCATATCCATCCAGGTTACAGAAATCAAGCAATGTAAAATAATAATAATAACAACAACAACCACAACAACAACAACAACAACAACTACAACATTAATCAATCAATTATAAAACGAATCCTTAAAAAAAAATTAATCCGAAAATTTATTTTTGTTTGGGAATCTTATAAGTTAACTTCAAATTTTAATAATAATAATATTACAACTGACAAATATATATTTAAATTAGATAGATATATATAATAACTTTGTAAAGTTCAAAAAAAAAGAGATATTGTTATAAATTTAAATAAAGAATAACAATAATTTGTAAATAATAATAAGATATTAAGATATGATCAACAATAATGATGATAATATATTTGTACGATCACCTTTTATTTTAATTAAACGAATAATCGATTGTTTAGAACCTATTGATCAACTATGTTTAACTTTTGTTTGTAAAAGATGGTATAACAATCAAAAAAGTTATCTATTCTTACCTGTTTTAAATTATACTAAGAGTAACTATAAACATCTTTATTTAATATTTAATTTATTAACAAATTGAATAAATCATTTATAGTAAATACTATACAATTGGTAACTTCATCAACAGAATATCAAGCAAATTCTTTAAAAGATAAAGAACAATGTATATTAATGACTACAAGTATGTAATTACTTTGTATTTGCTTTTTCATTCTTTTCTTACTCTTATAGAGTAAGTATATTAACAAAAAGACTTAGCTCAGCTACATAACAGTTTAAAAATAGATGAATCTGTACTCGATGGTATCAAAGAGATCGAGTTTACTGGTAGTTGCTTTTTAACCGGTGTTGGGTATATACCAGGTTTAGATAGAGTTGATCGATTCTCTTTTTTTAATATTGAATATCCTGTGGTGGACTGTCACTTCCCAAATAACTTGAGAAGCCTATCAATTGGATCCGATAGTATATTTTGGTCATTCGATGAAGGATTACACCTACCAGAGCAACTTGAGTCATTGGAATTGGGATTGGGATGTGAATATCTGCTTGCCAAAGGATTCTTACCGGCATCACTGAAAAAACTGACACTCCACCATCAATATACCGCTCGTATTAGACGTGGTGTACTTCCAAAGTCACTAGAGAGTCTAACCATTCAATGTAAAGAGTATAATCAACCAATTACAAGAGGAACTCTTCCAAACACTTTGAAATATCTATCTCTTTCATCGTATAGTGGTGATTTGTTATTCTATAATGATGAAGATGAAAATGATGACGATAATGATGATGATGATGATGATAGAGATACTTTAATAGATGGATTAAACACTCATATACCAATGATGAATCTTGAGTATCTTGCAATTGGAACGCCATATGGAAAGAACTATTCTAATTTTAAACAGAGATTACCGGATGGTTTGAAAGTGGTAGATCTACTTAGCAATTTTCAACAAGCCATCAACAAAAAATCAATAGCATGCTGGCCAAGTTCCATTGAAACACTTTGCACAACTCGATATCCATCCTTAACAAAGTCTCTAAACATACCGAGCTCAGTAAGAACTCTAAAGATCAATCATTTGGTTCCACCATTAAAAAAGATACACCAGCCCAATAATATCAAATCGATCGCCATCGATAATATGCCCACCGATTCTTTTAATTTCACTTGGCTATCACCTAATATTACATCTATAGCACTGCCAATGAGACTTTGCACACCTGGTAAGCTAGAGTCACTACCAATCACTCTTAGAGATATCACTGTTCTTCAAAATTTCGATCATCAAATTCTCTATCAACTGAGAAGATTGGATTCTACTCAAAAATTCATTATATACACACCATATATTCAATTAAATAAGGGTAGAATCATTCATAATCTATCCATCATCAAAAAATAAACTCGTGTATTATCACAACTTCAGTCTACACTCATTCATTCCCTTGCCATTATATTATAGTTGTTCTTTATTATATTTTTTTTGCAATATGATATTTGATTATTTCATTTGATTCAAATGATGTACCTTTTCCAATTGAATTCTGATATTGAATGAGTTGCTCGACTGAAACATCTATATTCTCTAACAACCAATGTAGATTTCTATGACGATTCAGAGTGATAAGGAATTTGACAAGCTTTTCGACGTCAGTCGATGGAATAGTTGACTTTGTTTGATTAACGAATAACCATCGTATAACTGCTGAACCATCGAGACAATACTGTAGAGCATCGGTGATGGCAGTTTCGGAGCAACACTCCGTTCTGTTTTCATTTAACCATTCGACGATATTTAAGTAATCGCCTCTTATAGCCAAATCCATTGTTTTAGTAGAGAAGCTGTATCGATTGTTCGAACCATTTCTTTCGTGGAGATATTTGACAACATCAAGAAACCCGAGTTTTACTGATACCTCCAATGAATAGTCAGTGCATCGCTCCTCTGTGTTCTCTTCCAACCATCTAATAGAATTCAACTCTCCATTCAGTACAACTTTCTTGATGATTCCAGGTGTAAATCGTTCAGTTCGATTTTCATAAAGCCATATCGCCGTTTGTAGGTGTCCAAGTTTTAGTGATCTGTTCATTGCTTTGACTGTACAACTTCCAGATCGATTATGATGTAAATATTTAATAAGCTGAAGATCATTCTTTATAACCACCAGATCTATTAGATTCTCAGAGCAACCTTCAGTTCTATTCTCATGTAGCCACTTGAGAACTTCGAATTGTGATAAACGACCAGCAGTATTCATTGTTGATCTATGAAATGGAATAGTTGTGTTTGAGTGTATCCATTTTATGATTTCGAGATTTCCACTGGCTGCAGCAGTATCAATCACGTTGATCGAACACTGACATCCCAGTCGGTAAAGTCGAATGAATAAATCCAATGCACCAATACTCTTGGATGATGCTGCCGCTTTCAAGTAGTGTTCTTTTTTCGGTTGAAATAGATATCTGTGATTCTCCAACAGGTATTCAACGATATGAGTGTGTCCATTCTCTATTGCATAAACAAACATATTCGAACCGTTATGACCATCGGGATATTGACTGAACAACCACTCTAACATTTCCAGACGGCCGTATTTCGCCACGCTATCGAATACTTTGGCATAGGCCGGTGCTTTTTCATGTCTATCGTATTGCTCCAATAGGAATTTAAACAGTTTGAAATCACCTGACTTTGGTGCTTTGATTAAAGCTCCTCTTACAATCCATCGATGCTCACTGAACCGCTTGAACAAAAGCATTGCTATATCGATTCTGCCATACTTTGCTGCATGTGCCAATAGGTCAAAGAGTATGGTTTTGCTGATGTTGATTATCGACAGTCTTTGCTCCACTCGGTAGTGATCCAATAGATATTCAAACATCTCCAAGTTGCCACAACTGATTGCACCCTCCAACGGTTTCAAATTAAAACAAAGTGAGTCTTCAATCTTCATATTGTCTAGACAGACTTTCAACAACTGAAAGTACCCATAGGAAGCCAAAGTATGTGGAGTTTGCACTACTTTTTGCCACTTTAAATACGATCTTTTGAAGCTTCTCGATATCAGATTTACATATTGAAATATAATATTTTGTAAAACCTTATTATTGAAAACTAAACAATAAATTAATTTATTCATTTAAAAATGAAATTTTGTGCAAAAGATTAATAATAAAATCGATCGATTATTGTGTGTTTATTCAAAAAAAAAAAGTGGTTGAACAATTAATTTATCATCTGACTCTTGACTTTTGTTTATGAACTTCATAAATGTTAAAAAGTGTTTATTTAATTTCTTTCAATTTATTTTTAATCACACAATTTACCATCTCAAATACCATTGTTTTATATCAATATGAGTTAAAAAAAAAAAAAAAAAAAAAGTTAAAAAAAATAAAAAAATAAAAAAAACAATTTTTTAGAGAACTAATGCAAACTTTGGATACACCAAACTATTTTATTATAAGTGATGATAAAAAAGGCAAAGATGTCAATAATTTAATGACAAAAACAACAACAACAACAACAACTTTAATAAAAACACAAAAAACAACAGGTGCACCTTTATTATTAAATACTACTATCACTGTAACCAATGTAACCAATGAAGCTAATTTAATAATTATACAGGATCGAGTAAATAAAAATAATAATGATAATACTACTAGTAGTAGTTGTAATTGTAGTGGTTGTAGAATAATTACAAACAAGATAGTTGTTGATAATAATAATAATAACAACAACAATAGTAATCAGAATGAAGTTTATATAACATCATATAACACTGGTGTTGAAGGTGGCAAAGGAGGATCGGTACCACTTCACTCAGCTCTAATAATCAAGACAGAATCAAAGAACATTAACATAAACTTCCCAAACATTGTTCTAATACAAGAGATAACATCATTCACCTATAGTTCAACAAAGAATATACTCTATGAAATCATAGGAAATCAACCCGATGTTGGTATTGCACAATTCAACAAAAGAAAGGCAAATCAACTAGCAATACTTTATCACACATCTCACTTTAACCTATTGCTAAAAGTAAAAACCATTCATCGTTTTCAAATAGCAGTATTCAAACTGATTAATACTGACCTTAAATTTGTGGTGATCAATATGCATTTACCGTATGTAACATAAAACATACAATATCGATTCTATATATTGTTGATTCATAAATAATACTAATCTAATCTAATCTATTCTATTCTACTTTACAATATAGTAAAAAAGCAGAGAAATCTGAAAGAGATGAAACACTCTTTGTATTTTCAAAGTTTATGAGTCTACTAAAGAAGAGTGGAGTTGCTGTGGTGTGTGGAGGTGATTTTAACCATGACCAAAGTGAGATAGCCAGTTGGAGGGATACATTCGATTTAGATGATGAACCAATCAGCTTTCTAAACTGTAAAGACGTCAAAACAACAGAGAGTAATTGTATCGATCATATCATTGTCAACAAAGGAAGTATCAGTAGCTCCACCGTTGATGTATTTAAGGTAACCGATAATCAATCAGTTAACCACAAAGCTGTCAGATCAAAACTATATTTCAACACTAATCATAGCAACAACAACAACAATAACAACAACAGTAACAACAATAATAATAATGTAGATATTCAACAATTGTATAGAGATTCGATAAAAGCTTGGGAAGATTTTAGATCGGAGAAAAGAAAAGTTAAAGATGAAGAAAAAACAACCACTACAACTACTACTACAACAACAGCAACAACAACAAATGATGCAGCACCAAAAAAATTTCAACCATTATCATCACGTCTCAAGAAAACTGATGATAGTGGACCAACTGTACAAAATCAAAAACCACAGGTGACTAAACCCAAGTTTGATTCTAATAGCTCCGATCTTGAACTGGCCAAAGAGTTTAAACAGCGTTGGAGTCATAATATTAAATCATTTTTCACAATGCACTTTCCAAATAATCTTAGTGCTTACAGATATTTTCTAGAGTATTCCAATAACAAATTTAAAAATTCTAAATACCACCAAGACTGTCGTGACATGTTAATTCACTATTTGAATGACCTATGTTAAGTCAAGGTCCAAAGAAAATATCTAACAACAATTTAAACTACAACTAGCATTCATTCTACTCGTTTATATTATATGTAAATCTATGTAATGTTTGTTGAATCAATAAAATAAATTTTAAAAATAATCATTATTTTCTTGTTGTTTTTCTTTTTTTCTCCTTAAGATAATAAATAAAATTGAAATATATAAATATTTTTTTTCTCTAACTGGGAATCATTGTAATGTTCAGACATGTAAGTTGCTGGTATTTCTAAATTAATCACTCCAGTTTATTAGTTTTGATTTAACTTATGATGGTAGAGGCTTTCTGATTTAACTCCTCTTTGTTAGGTTGATTGGTTTACCAAATGTATCATGGGAATAGTTGTAGTAGAATAGAGAGTATGTTGGATTTAAGTATACTATACTTCTTTCTTTAGTTGGCACCAATAAAAAAATTTTTAAATTTTAAATTTAGTATTAAAATTTTCTCAGCAACTTTTGCGAAAGTTGAAATATATTTATATTTTATCTTTTCTACTTAGAACTATCAAGAAACTTACTTTACATGTTTACAATGAAATCCCAGGGGCATTCAAACATGCTTTTCCAGCTGCCTTTTGTCGCTTTGTAGATCAGAGCATTACTAAACTTACCAACAACTTCAACAACCGATTCCAAAACATAGACAATAATATCAACAACTTCAACAACCGATTAGAAACATCGACAACAATTTAAGAACAATCACAATATTAGATCAGCAATTATATTTTTCAACAATCAGAATGAATACAAGAGAAAGCAATACAAGGATTACACAAGACTATTGCTGGATTTGGGTACAACAACAGTGATATGCCAAAAACTATCAAGTACACAACTTTGGCTTGAATAATATTGGTAATATACCGGCAAATGTTGATTTTAGAAATAGAGAGCAAGTCTTAAATACCAAAAGTTTCATTGTACCAATATGACAATCTTAGAGATAGATAACACTTCTTTAACACCCAAAAAGTCCTGCAGATTTGACTATATCACGCTTGTCATATTGGTACAATGAAACTTTTGGTATTGAAGAAAAAGACTAGAGAGCTGAAAAGAATAGAAAATAATAATTATTATTATTATTATTGCATCACTTATCACTTATATCCCGTTGGATTGAATCATACACATATTATTAATACACACTGTTAATATTTGCATTAAAAAAAAAACCTTTTCAAAAATTGAAATTCTTTAATTTTTATTATTAAATTTTCTTGTGAATTTCCAAGTTTCACTGATCTAAACAAAAATGCATTTATTTAGCATCTGTTGTATCAAAAAATGACATCAGTACAGCAAGTTACAGATACCACAATGTTGAGCGAAGTAGATATACATAGAATAACCTCTATCTTACAAGATATATCGTTGTTAAGATTGGAGTGTGATTGGGTTAACGATCAAACTGATCTCTCATTCAATTCGATACTAGAGAAAGCTGAATCAAACTTTTTATATATGTAAGTTAATAATTAATTAGTGAATAACATTACAATCACAATTGTAGATCATTGATATTAATTGTTATTTGCTTTGTTTGTTAATAATGTTGTTAATGATCACAGTGAATTACTATGGTCTATTGGTAAAGAACTTTCACCGTACTTTGATTTGCAATGGCCATCCGAAAAGAAATATGAAGATTTGAAGAGTCCTTTGTTCGAGTTACTCAAGAAGATGTCGTTCACCGGTAACTTGCAATATATTTTCAACTGTGATAGCAACCTATCGCAAGGAGAACAACAGGATGTTCTCATCAGAAGCAGATTGTCATTGTTAGAGTTTATGTTCTTCCAACTACAAATGATTCAATTGGATCTCTTTAACAAGGAACAATCGATGGAAGTAGAAGAACAAGATACTACCATGCAACAACAATCATCCGATGAATTACGTGACGATCTTATCAATAAGATTCAAGTATTAAGTGATATCTTCCAAGTTCAATTCAATAACTGGGAGAATTTTGTAGTTATATTAAATACTATTCATACAAAGGTAACTATAACCAACCTCTTACTAGCCAACTAACTATTAAAAGTTTAAATTAATACTAATACTATCGTGTATATATATATATATAGATTGAAACAGTATTAGCAGATTTACCATCAGATTTCATGAGTGAACCATTCTTTAAGAATACTGTATTCACTGACGAAGAAAAGGTTAGTAAAACTATACATTTTAAGTGAAGATGATCTAATTAATACTAATTGAATTAATATATAGAAAACAATTGAAGAACTTAGTTTAATATTGTTTAATGATTATTCAAAGAGATCTGAAGTGTTGTGCAAGAGATTGGATGTAACACTAGAATCATTGTTGTGGTCAGAAAAGGTAGAAACAAAGTTGGATGAACTAAATAGAATCATTAGATACCAAAGAGAGGTTTTTCCAACAATTCACCACTATTCATTCCAGGATCTCATTTGCACACATAGAGACATACTAAAGATCATTAAGACCAGTTTAGATTCCAAGTCGTCTGCACAACTCGTAAAGAATATCATCGTTGGTAACGTACCGGATAGAGGCGGTCGTCCCGGTGACAAAAAGATTGCAATGCCTTCATTCCACAAGAGAGTTGAATACTCCAATCAAAACTACCACAACCGTTCAAAGAAACATAGAAAATAAAATGATTGGAATGCAGTATTCCACTAAATTATTAATATTAATTTTCAGTCGATAAGATTATTTATTATTTGATTAATTAAAGAATGGTTGATCAATTAATTGTATAGATTGAACTGGTTTCTGGAGTAATGTTTCGAAAATTACGATTTCATTTTGACCTACTTGGAGTAAGACCGATGGTATGTACATTGTGTATTGTGGTCCAACATTCCAGTAACGACCTACGTCGAATCCATTGACCCAGAGATTTCCTTTACCCAATCCTTCGAATGATAGATAGGTCTCACCGATATCACTGGCACTAGCAATGTTGAGATATCCACGGTAGAATGTTGGTTGCGATGAATTTCTGTATTGTGAGAGTGGAGTGTACTCCAAACCGTCCAACGATCTCAATGGAAGTAAATAATTGTTCCATGGACCTAAGTATTGGAAGTAGGAAATAACACCGTCGCCCAAACCCTTTTGGTCGTCCATGTAACTACCGTAGTTGATTCTACCTTGATTCTCCAAGAGAATTCTGATGGTGTTGGTATCACCGTCTTGGAATTCCACTTTGATCGAGCTGTTGAATGTACGTTGTAGGAAACCTTGGTAGATGTCGTTCACATAGAAAGTGGCACGGTCGTTGACTGCCATGGCATCGAGTTGATTCGATTGGTAAACGGTATTGATTGTCGTTTCATAGAGGATGAATCCATAGTCCAATCCGGCTTCACTGAATGTCAGTGGTTTTCCCGAGTTGGCAATCACGTTTTGAGCGATGTTGAGATTGGAGAAGAGTGATGCAGCTTCGGTGAACTCGACTGTTCCGTATGCAATATGAGTGTTGTTCGCTGGAATTGGTCCGACTTTACCGCCGGTTGCTTCGGAGATGACCTGACGAATGGCCAAGTATTTGTTGGTGATGTCACCGGCTTCGTTGAGTGGGGAATCATAGTCGTACGATTGGATTGTGATTTCATAGTCGTTTGCACCGCCACTGTTTGCACCATTCATAAATCCAAAGTTGGAACCACCGTAGAACATGTACATGTTGACACTTGCACCAAGCTTGAGAATGGCTGACAATCCGTCGGCGACAGACTTGGTGTCGGCACCAGCTGGACTACTGTCCAACCAGTGAGTTAGCCAACCAGTGTAGTACTCAGAGTTCATGAGTGGACCGGTTGGTTCAAATTTTCTTTGTATTTTGAAATTGGATTCGGGGTCGTCGGTTGGACCAAAGTCAATGGTTTGGTAGACACCCGCAATCTGTGAGCCATAGAGATAGAGATCACCGGATCCATCGGTACTGTAGAAAACGACACCGGATTCTTGACCACGAGCAGTTCCAAAGTATTTTTCATAGAGTGACAAAAGTGTGTTGAGATAGAGCTTGTCCGATCCGTAACTTCCGTATTCATTCTCTACCTGTACCATGATGATTGGTCCACCGTTGGTATAGAGCTGTTCGTTCAACATTGGAAGCAGAACATTGAAATATTGAGTGACATAGGTCAAGTAGGCAGGATCGCTACTACGAATAGCAACGGTTTGATCGATGAAAGCAGGGAATCCACCGTACTCCCATTCTCCACAGATGTATGGCCCAGCACGGACCACCACCAACAAACCTTCCTCCTGAGCGATCTCAAAGAACTGAGTGATGTTGTAGGTGGTAAAGTCGAATTGCATATCGATCGACTGATGAACGTTCCAAGCAATGTAAGTCTGCACGGTGTTCAAACCAGCAGCCTTCATCTTTTGCAGACGATCACGCCAAAGAAGTGGATGTGATCTAAAATAGTGGAAAGAACCGGATATGATCTGGAATGACTCGCCATCCTTTAAGAAACTGTTACCCTCAATATAGAACGATGATGCACTGACCGTAGCCAATGTCAGAGCAATCAAAGTCAAACTAATTGCAATTAAAACTTTTACAATATTATTGTTATTATTATTTGTCATTGTGGATAAATAGTATAAATAAAAACACACTGATTATTTTATTTTATTTTTTTTGTATTGTTTTTGCTCAATACCACCAACACCCATTTAAAAATGAAAATATCTTAATGTAGCCACATTAATTATTGTGGTTAAGAAGTTAACTTTAAATTTCAATTGAAACCATTTTTTTCGGAGATAATTTTTTGCAAACTTTCTAAATTTTTTTTATTAAAAAAAAAAAACTTCATATTTTTTGATCAAAAAAAATTAATTTAATTTTTAATTTAGTTTTTGTTTTGTTGTACAAAAAAAGATATTTTCATTTCTAAAACAAATCCAAAAAAATAATAAATTGAAAAGAAAAAAAATCAACTTCCAATCAAATTTTTGGATGAGGGATGAAAACAAACCAAAAGGTTTATGCAAACCACAGTGAAACAACATATGAATTAATCACAATAATTCCTCACTGTGATTGTTATATCTTTCCTCAATAAACGATGATTGTGTTTGAGAGAGGGTCGACACTCTACCAACAAATCAAAAACAAAAAAAACAAAAAAAAATAAGTAAAAGGAAAAATAAATTACAACTAACACCAAACCTCCTATTACTTTTACAAACTTTTCCTAAACAAACCCCAAATCAGACAACAACCACTGGCATGATGTGAATGATAATTTTTTGATAAATCTCTGCACATCTTGAATATTTTTTTTTTTAAAGAATTAAATTATTAGATTGTGATCAGGTGTTTGACAGTAACCTCATCAAGCAAACTGCAGGTCAATTTAGTTTAGTTCTCCTTTTATCTTAGTTTATTTATATAATATACTAATATCTATATAATTACATATATATATATATATATATAATAATTATTTTACTATATTAAAATTACAATTTATTCACAAATACTACACTTTATTAGTAAATTATAATCGAATAGATCATTTTATTTTAATACTCAACTAAATCAGTAACAACAAATAAATAATATTACTAATTAAAAGTCAACACACCCCTTTGTCACAATTAATTTAAATTGTGTTTTTTTTTATTGTCACTAACAATAATTTCAAATTATTTTTTCAAGTTATTGGTTTTTAGTGCTTAAGTTGTGTGTGCGTTTTTGGTGGTGTGTAAACTTTTATTTATAATTTTTTTTTTTAAATTGGAAAATATTTATAAATATATATGATTTATTATTATTTTTAATTAACTAATTGTTATCTCCTACCTACCTTACTTGCTTAACTTACTTACCTTACTTTTTATATACACATTAACATATAATATTCTCATATATAATTCATTTTATATTTAGTTTTTAATTAATTAGTTTTTATATATATATATAAATCTTAAATAAAAAACAAACAAAAATCTAAGAAAAAAAACTTTGTTTTTTAATTTTCAAATTAAAATTAATTAATTTAAAAAAAAAAAAACAAATGGACCCACTTCCACCACCAAATTCAAGTTCCACATACTACAGTAACAGTGGCACTCCAAATGGCAGTCATTACAACTCTGCATCGTCAACGAATGGCGATGGCGTCAAATATCACGATTCACCTAGCAACAGAAGTCCCGTCAGAGATAGAGAAAGAAGATCAGAGTACACACCTGATAAAACAAACAACAGACTTGCAAATGTAATATCAAAAAACAAAAACAAAAACAGAATCAATCATCTATCTATTTTTTATTTTTCTTGTTTCTTTTTTATTTGGAATTCTTCATTATGCAATCGAATCAAATTGAATCAAATCTATTCTATTCTATTATATTCAATTCAAACAATCAATCAAACAATCAATCAAATAATCGAATAATCAAATAATCAATCAATCATTCAAGATCATTTTATGAATGTAATGGAAATCAAAAAACAACATTTTTTTTTCTTTCTAAATTTCAATGCAAAAAAAAAAAAAAAACTGTAATAACAAGATTAATCAAATTAAACAAATTATAGACTGCTCCACCTGGAAGAGTGTTGGGTGTATTTGGATTGAGTCCACAAACCAGAAGAGAAGATCTTATCAAGGAATTCCAAAGATTCGGTGATGTGGAAAAGGTTAGCTTAATTATGGACAGGAAGACACAACGCTCCAAATGCTTTGCCTTTGTATATTTTTATGAAAAAGACCACGCCATAAAAGCTAAAGTTGAGTGCCAGAATTTGGAGCTCGATGGCAAAATGATCAGGACCGATTACTCTGCTTCGGAACGGGCACATGATCCTACTCCTGGAAAGTACCATGGTGAAAGCAGGTAAAGTTTACATTACAACAATCAACTCAGCTTGAAAAACAAAACATGTATGATAGCAACTAACACAATTCTCTATTAACACTCTATAGATTCTCACCCTACTCTGGAAGAGACAGAGACAGAGATCGTGACTATGACCGATATGATAATAGAGACAGAGATAGAGATCGTGACAGAGATAGTGGCAGAGATAGAGACAGAGGATATGGAAGTAGCAGATCCTATCGTGACGGTGACCGAGATAGAGAGAGAAACAGAGAGACCGGAAGAGACAGAGACAGAGGATACTCAATGAGCAGCAGTAGCTATGGCAATGGAAGTGATGACCAATACAGTAGCAGCAGAAGATATAACAACGATAAATATTCATCATCTTCCTCTTCCTCCTCCTCTTACCGTGATGATAAATACTCATCAACTTCTTCGTCCTATCGTGATGACAAGTCTTACGACAGTGGAAGAAGAGACTACGATGATGCACCAAGAAGTAGTTCCTACAGTGATAGCAGATTAAATGACTATAGTTCTAGGTGAGTTTATAATTATCTTTTTTTACTATTTACATAACATTAATATCTAACCAACCATTTAATTTAACTATCAAATTAATTACCTACAGATAAATCATATATATAATCCAACAACTACAAATACCAGATTATCATCATTCCAAACACTCAAATCAACTATGTTATAATATGCTCCTTAGAGTATCAATCAAGTAGTTGTAAAACTATCCTAGGATATAACTCTTCAAATACAATTTTTCAAACACTAAATCAAATAGATCAAGAATCAAATATTTAAAACTACTACCTTCCTCTTTGAAAATTTATTTTGAAGCAAAAAAGTTGAGCAAAAGAATGAACTTTATTTTGAAAACCAGATTTTTGGTATAAGATATGAAAATGATCTTAACACTCTTGAATAATAGATTGAATGACAATAAATATTGTTTGTTTTTTTTTAAAAAGATTTTTTAAATAAGGTGGTAATTTATTATTGTGACAAAAAGAAAAAGAAAATATTTAACAATATGATGTTTAGTTGGCAGTCTCTGGTTTACGAGCCAAAACGAACAACATTGGTGAGAAGATTTCCTTTCTTCCACCTTCGACCAAGTAGATGGCAGCACCTTGCAACCAAACGTTGACATCATAAGCACCACCTGGGGCAATCTTGACCCACTCGAGAACTTGGCAGAGCTTACCGGTGAGGTAACGACCGACGGCAGTGTGAAGGAAACCGGTGATCGAGAATGAACCAGACAATGGGAGGTACCATGGAAGGTCAGAGGTCTCAGCCAAATCGGTGGCAGTCAAGACTTCGAAACCGGCTTCCTTGAGGGCGGCGACGATAGCGGCTGGTTGTTCCAACTCTGGAAGACCGTTACCGAGTTCGATTTCACGCTTGATCTTACGGTGTTCTTCGTTGTTCTTGTCGTACTTGTTGGTGACGATCCATTCGTAACCACCAAAGAGAGCACCTGGCTTCAAGAGACGGAAGATCTCCTTGTAGCACTCGACCTTGGATGGAGCGTGACAGGTGGCTTCGACTTGGTAGATGGCATCGTATGAGGCATCTGGTTGTGGGACGTGCATGAAATCGGCCTTGATGAAGGAGGTCAAGTGGGAGAGACCGGCTTGTTCATTGAGACGCTTTCCACGTTGGATTTGGTACTCGTTGTTGTTCAAACCGACGACGTGGGCACCAGAGAAACGGGCAATAGTTCTTTGTGGACCACCGACACCGCAACCGACATCGAGGACACGCATACCTGGGAACAATCCGAGTTGATGGGCCAAGTACATTTCGTGACGGGCGATCGAGGCTTCGAATGACTCGAACTTGTGACGGGTGGCAAAATGGAAGGATTGACCCCAACCAAACTCGTAGAAATCGGTGGCCAAATCGTAGAATTGGTTGACCATGCTGGTGTAGTTGTTCTTACGGGCTTCGATCGATTGATCGTCCTTTCCTTCGAAAAGCTTGGTATATTGCTTCAAGGTATCGTCGATCTTCTCACGACCAACGGCATCTTTTTCCTTACGGGCGATAGCCTTCAAACGGGTCAAGTCACCTTCCATAGCTCTTTGTTGAGTATTCATTTTTATATGTGTGTGTGAGTTTGTTATATAAATAAAAAATAATTTATAAATATAGTTTAATTTTGTTTTGTTTTTTTTGGAAAATCCTTTAAATAAGATAAATAAATAATTTAAATGTTTGTAAGTGAAGATTTAGAACTTTGTTAAAAATAAATTATCTCGAGTGATTTTAATGAAGATAATAAATTTAGTTATAAGTTTTGGAAAGAAATAAATCTCGAACAGATAAATAAAGGAGTTGATGACTTGAAAGTTTTGTTGATAAGTTTGAATGAAGATGTTTCTAAGAGGCCAGTCTGCTTTCTTTTTATTCGTGTGGAAGATACCCTTTTGAAAAGAAAAAAAATTAGAATTAAATAAAAAATAAAATCAACAAAAGTAAAAAAAAAAAAAAAAACAAAAAAAACACAGCATCAATGCATTCGATAACATTTAACTAAGTGAAACATTCCCCCCACCTACGATTGATATGTTATCAAGAATTAACTAATCAAACTTTTACAAAAAAAACTAATCAAAGTTCATTTTCATACCCCAACTTCACGTTGATCGTCAGTGAAAAAAGTAACTTCAAAAATCAAAAAAAAATGACAAGATTTTTTTTTAAGTTTTTTTGGGTTCTTTTTGTCTTTCAAAACTAATCACACTATCTTATTCACTGATTTGATTCGAACTGAGGTTGTAAACATGAGGTTGAATGATTTTTTTCATTTTTAAGTAATCAAAAAGTGTTGATAGAGTAATTGATTGCGTGAACTTTTTAATATTTGCAAAAGACCGATTTCTTTTTGCAAAAGTGTGTTGCTGCTTAAGTGAATTACTTGATATCTTTATTTTTATTTTTATCATTTATTTATTGTGATTGATTTTTAGTAATCAATGATCATGCATAATTGTAATTTTAATTTAATTGTCGCTAGCAATCGTCACTTGATTTTTTTTATCTAAAGCCAAGACAAACCAAATAAAGAATATTCCCCAAATGACAGAAATGCTGTTCAATGTCAAAACAGAGATTCATCATCTTACACAAATCTTTTTTCTTTTTCTTTTTTTTTTTTACCAGTAAATTAATAACATTTGATATTATTTCAAGTTAATTAAATTATTTGTATAATAGTTAAAATTATTTATTTATTTATTTGTTATTGTTTGATCTCCTTAGTCCGGCAATGATTGGTTCTCTTGAGTTTTGAGGTGGTTCAACAATTTTACTCTTTTGAATTTCTTCGTAACCAAAATTTTCGATTTCTTCTCTTGCCATTAAACCTCTGTTGTTTTAATATTATTTTTAAGATGCGCAAATGATATATGTCAGAACTAAACAAACAATCGATTCTCTAGATCTATATGTATACATACTTATCCATTCTACATTGTAAATAAAACTTTGATAACTCTGCGCATTGTCTAGATTGATTCTTATTCTCTGCCAGACATTTCAAATATGCATTCATCGGCTCTGTACATTCTTTATCGTGATCCAAAGGGAAACTACCCTTATCGGGTGGTGTTGGTGCTTTCATTGCAGAGTTGTGTGCGAAATTCATTTCTCAATGTTTATAGGTTTATAAATATATTAATGAAATATATCAATATATATAGGTATAGATAAAATAAGTATCTATATGCGACAAAGAATGAATGTAATAGAAAAAAAATATGCAAAAAAATAGATGTTTTTAATTTTATTTTTTTAAAAAAAAATAGAAAAACAACAACTAACAAATGATTTGTCACCTTTTTTATTTTAAAAAAGATCATTTTATAAATTCTTTTTTTGAAAGAAATAAGATATTAATTATAACAAGACATTAACTAAATAAACACAATCATCATTTCGATTTTTTTTTTGATCAAAAAAAAAACACACACTTAAAAATATTTTGATACATCATCATTGTATTTGGTGTTAGTAATAAGATACATATCATAGTATCTTAGAGATAATAGTACTGATTCAATCCAAAGGAGGGAAAACAAATGGTTGTTTTGAAGTTACAAATATTTATTGGAACTAAAAGTTTTTTTTTTCTCCAAAATATTTCTCAATATTAATAAATATATTTTTTTTATTTTTAATTTTTTTAATTTTAAAATTTTTATTTTTTTTTTGATTGTTGTTCAATTTATTATCAATATTATTAATTTCCATATTTGAAATAAAGAGTGATCTCCACACAAAGTTGTTGTTGTTATATTATTTAATTAATTAGTTAGTTAGTTAATTTAGTTAGTTATTAATAGATTTAATTTAGTTTAGTTAATTAACAAACAAAGAAAAGCAATAGAAAGATGTCTGACGATGATGATATGATGTATGACGATGATGAATACTTTGATGACGATGACGATCAGGGTGATGGAAACGACGAAGAGGAAGAAGAAGTAGAAATTGAGAATCAATATTACAATTCAAAGGGTTTGATCGAAGATTCAATACCAGAGGCTATCGCATCCTATGAGAAAGTGGTAGAGTTTGAAAAAGGTGAAAAATCAGAATGGTATGTTGTAGAATTAACTAGATATATAGATAGATTGTTTTAATTTAAACAATCATCATTTATTAAAAAACAAAAATAATCAAATTATTAATCAATATTAATATTGTTATTATTATTATTATTATTATTGCTATTATTATAAAGGGGTTTTAAAGCACTTAAAAAGAATAACAAAGTTAAACTTCCAAATAGAGAAATATGATAAGATGATTGAAAAGTATAAGCAGTTGCTCACCTATACAAAGTCTGCTGTTACCAGTAACAACAGTGAGAGAGGTATCAACTCAATTCTCGATCTCATCTCATCAAACTCAAAGATGGATTTGGATCTTGTTCAACAAGTCTATGATCTAACATTAAAGTCATTATTAGAAGCAAAGAATGAGGTAATTAGCGCGATCAAAATCAATCAATCGACCAATCAATCAATCAATCAATAGCAGCAATTAATAAGTAATAACAACTAATATTTTACTATTTGTTTGCATCTATATATAATAGAGAGTTTGGTTCAGAACCAATTTAAAGTTATCAAAGTTATTGTTTGAGAAGGAAGAGTATGCACGTTTGGCAAAGATTCTCAGAGAGTTACATAAATCATGTGAGTTGGAGGATGGTTCCGACGATCAAAAGAAAGGTTCGCAATTGGTCGATATCTACGCCCTTGAAATTCAAATGTACACTGCCACAAAGAACAATAAGAAATTGAAAGAATTATATAAAAAGGCATTAGAGGTAATGTTTGTTATAGCAACTTTGATTAAGAAATGACAAAAGGATTGATTGATATTAACACTTTATTTAAATACTTTTTGGCAATCAGATTAAATCAGCTATTCCACATCCAAGAATTATGGGTATCATTAGAGAGTGTGGTGGTAAGATGCACATGGCAGAGAAAGAGTGGGAGAAGGCACACTCTGACTTTTTCGAGGCATTCAAAAACTACGATGAAGCCGGTAATCCACGTAGAATCCAATGTCTTAAATACTTGGTTTTGGCCAACATGCTGATGTTGTCATCGATCAATCCATTCGATTCCACCGAGGCCAAGCCATACAAGAACGACCCCGACATTCTTGCCATGACCAACCTCGTAGCTGCCTATGAAAGAAACGATATCCATGCTTTTGAAAAGATTTTAAGAGGTAACTAACAAACTATCTATCTATCTATCTATTTTACACATATACTTACTTTATCTAATCGAAATCATAATCATCTAGATAATCGTAAGACTATTATGGATGATCAATTCATCAGAATGTATATTGAAGATTTGCTAAAGAATATCCGTACTCAAGTATTGTTAAAGTTGTTAGAGCCATACACCAGAATCAGAATTCCATTCATCTCGAAGGAGTTGAATATTCCATCGAACGAAGTCGAATCGCTTTTGGTATCGTTGATCCTCGACAACAAGATTCGTGGTTCCATCGACCAAGTCAATCAACAACTCGAACTCGACACTGCCAAGTCTGCAAGCTACTGGAAATACAGATCCATTCATAAGTGGGCAACTCAAATCGGTTCACTCAATAACACCATTGCCAGTAAATTAGTATCATAAATCATATAGTCACAAAAAAAAAAAAAACAAAATGTCATTATCAAACATACATAACAACAACAACAACAATATCAAAATCAACATTAAAAAAATGATAAATAAATAAAATCTTTCATAAATGTAATGTAATAATAATATTGATAAAAAAGACTTTTTTTAATCATTAATTTATTATTCTACCAGTTTATCATAAAATAAAAGTAAGAAAAGTATTGTATTTAGATGTAATTAATCTTAAGGAAAACAGCACATCTATATTTTAAACAACACTGGTCAACCTATTTATATTAAACATTACTTTTTTTTTTTTTTTTTTTTTTTTGACAGTTTCTTGCTCCCTGAAATAAAAAAACAGGTTGTGTGCCCTTTTTTGAAAAGAAAAAAGAAAAAGAAAATTCGAATTTCCAAATTTAATCAAGATTTTTTTTATTTAAAACGAAAGAATTTCTACAGTTCATTTTATTCTATCGATCAATATTTACTTGTATAAAATTATATAAAATTATTTATTTATTTAATATCTCATAATCACAAAAATTAAAAACTCAACTTTATAAGTTAAAATGTTCAAATCAGTAATTTTCGCTATCTTTGTTATTTTTGTTGCTTTAGCTTACGCTACTCGTATGTATTATTATTTGATCTTTTTCTTACATTGTTTAGAAATAAAAATAAAAATAAATAGTAACACCTGTGTAATTATCTATTATTAAATGATTTATATAGCAAACTTCTCTGGATCATGGACAAGATTCTCTCATGATTTCTCAGGTAATTGTCAAACACTTGCTGTCGAGTTTATCTCTGAGAACAACAGCACATATAGCATTGTCGACTCCAATGGAGCTACTCTTGCTGACAGTTTGCAATTCGAAAGCGACGGTTCATTCCTTGGAAATGCTATCACCGTTTTGAAGAACGGAAAGGTCGTCACCAGTGCATGCAAGGGTGTTCTCTCTAACCCATTCCAACTTCAAATGAATATCTTACCAACTGTCTGGTTCAGTGGATCCCAATTCTACTTCAACCAAATTAGCTGTTAATAATAATAATAATAAATAAAACAATATATACTTTTAAAAAACAAAAACAAGTTTTTAAATCACAACAAAATAACCATAACAAATGTTATTTTCCAATAAAGTGGTGATTTATCCATGTTGTAATATCAACTTATTAGACAATATATCTGTTAGTGTTAATTAATTAAAATTTGTAGTCAGGGATAAGACCCATATTTTGGCACTTTTTTCACACAAAAGCAATCTATTTTTACAAAAAGACACAAAAATTTTTGTGTTCCACAAACTTCGAATGGATGCAACTATGATCAGACCTTCAGAAAAAATGATGTTACACACAAAAATTTACATAACAAAAAAAAAAAAAAGTTATTTTTAATCACACATTTTTATTTTACATTGGTGGTTAACAGTTTGACTCGTGGTTGGCATTGATCAATAACACACCATTTGATCAATTAAATATATGTTAAGGTTAAATATAACAATAATTGTCAGCTATAACCAAAAGTTAATTGATCATTTTATTTGTCAATAAACATACATTATCTTTATTTTTTATATATTTATATAGGTGCATCTAATTTACTATTTAAAAGATAATGTAGTGTTATTTTAATAGATTAGTAATAAAATAAAAATCAAAAATCAAAAATATAATCATAGATATAATATACATATAATATATATAGTTATAGTTAAAAAAGTAAATTAACTTTTAAAAAAATAAAATAATAGAAAAATGGATGGAGCTAGAATGTTACAACGTGTATCAAGTTTCAGTCATGAAGTTAAAAATAAATCTAGATTTCTTTATTATTTAGATCTAGGAAAGGCAGAGGTGAATGGTCACCCCAACTACCAGAGATCAAAACTAGGTGTATTTGGAAGTTTGATTGTCATTATCATCGTTGCATTCTTTATTATCATTACAGTTGCACAGTTTTCAAAAGGTAACAATAGATAATCGGCAATCATAGTACTTTTTCTTTGAAACTGTCAATCAATCAGTTAATCAGTTAATCAGTTAGTTGTTAATCACAGTTTTTTTTAATTATAGGTGTTCCTTCTATTATTTATAATGCCGATAATCCATCTACATATCAACCAATGATGACACCAACGGTTGGAATCGTTCTACAAAAGAATAATAATCCTGTACCTCTAAACTCATCGATGGTAACCGTACTTTTCAGATACATGACAATTACAGAGCAAGACCAATTTCCAAGAAAGATTGAAATAATCAAGGGGGTCAAATGTACATTCTACGATAATCCCTTACCAAGCCAACCCGATAAAATTACTGTATATACAAACGATGCAATATGTCCAGAAAAACCAGTACAAATGACTGGAAGGTAAGGTTATTTCTATTTATATTATTGTTGATTTGTTGTAAATCTAATTAATTTGATTTGTTTGTTCGGAGATAGTTATGAAATGAATACATATCAATATTTAGATATAGGTTTGAGTCGATGTGTATGCAAACCGAATGACACAAACTGTCAATGTGCAACACAGGCTGAATTTGAGAATTTTTATTTTAATGACACTGCAATCAATCTGTTAGTGGTCGAAAACATACCATCATACTCGGTGTTTGCAAAGCGTTTCAACCTCTTCCCGTCGGCACCGGATTTCAGCAAGTCGCCGACCATCAAGAACTACACAAAGTCATTGTTTTGGTACAATTCGAGATTTCTATATCAAAAGGTGGATGTCACCGTCAAGCGTAAAACCATCTACAATGCACCGCGATTCATTTTCGACTATCAGTTTGGTGATTTTTACACTCTTGGCGCAGCAAATGCGAGAACCGTCGATTTGGACCAGAATTCAACGCTGTTGTTCAAAGCCTACATTCGTTTGGATGACTATGAGAACAATGAATTCCGTCAGAGTCAGCCGTTCTTGAATTTAATTGGTTCGTGGGGTGCTCTCTGGACGTTCTTCTCACTGACAATACTCAATCTGATATCACTCTACAATAAGAAGAAATATGAAAGAGAGTCACAACTCAACGAGATGGTTCAGAACGTAATGAAGAATAACTCTCATCAAACTGACATCGAAATGGATGTACACAATAAGCATTTGCCAAAGAATATATTGAATTCCAGCAGCGCTGGCAGTCTAGAGCATTTCGGTTGGAGTCCACAAAACATGAGTAACTACAATAACAGCTCATTCACTTTGACAACCAGCAACGATTTAAATATCTCAACTCCCAATGGCACAATTAATTCACATCACGCACCAAACACACATCATGCACCCAATTCAAATATCACACATAGAATTGAACATCATAATAATAATAATAATGTTAATATTAATTAATATAAGTGAATATATATATTAATAATAATATCATATTGTATAATAAATAGAATGATAATTTAATAATTTATTTTAAATTAAAGTTTTTTTTCTTATTTTATTTTATTTATTTATTCTATTCTATTCTTGAATTATCTAAAGCATAGAGGAATACAGGTCTCTTAAATTTCGATATCGAAAGTTGTAGAGTGAATCTGTCGATGTAAGAATTGATGGATCCAATCATTATTTCACATTGGGCTGCCTCTAGGACCTCCGTAAACATGATAGCCGTTTGTTCTAATCGTTTATCTAATTCCAATTTCTGGATAGGTTCTCTAGTATAGTTGAGATATTGGAATTTCAATGATTTATCTTCAAACTGATTGATGTTTTCCACCAGGTTATTATCTTCTGTCATCAGGAATACATTGGTAATTGAAGAGAATTCTTGTTTAGATTGGACAATCTTGAGTGCATTCAAGTACTTGTTCATCTCCTTTTTGTTTTGAACATACATTGCTATACATTGAGGAGGATGACTGTATAGCTTCATATCATCTTTATAGAGTGCAAAAGAAGTTGAGCGATAGGCTCTTCTTCCATTGTTCGAAAATCTAAATATCCAATTTAGCAATGCCGATTCATATTCGAAATCATTTCCAAATCCAAACTTTTCTCTTACAGCCTTCAAGAGAATATCCGATCCCTCCAATATTTCGTTTTGATTGTAGTAGGTGAATTGATATCTTTCTCTATTTTCATGATCTTCACCATATACTCTAGTATTTGATTTATCCAAAACTGGTGCATATTCAATGTGTGAACATCTAAGAGTTACAATTTATTTAGATAAGTAATTTGAGTTTTATTTGGAAAACAACAATACTAACCTTGAATATTTTAAGAATAAATTCCATTGAGGATCATTTAAGAACTCAGTGGAGTCTAAAAGTAAGTGTCTATTGAAAGCGATGGACAATGAAATGGCAATTGGTAGATGTCTAAGATTCTCCCTAAAAGAATCTGCAAGATTGAAAACCAAAAACTTCTGGGTGTTACATTTGTACGAGAAATCCATATTCTTCTCATGGGATAGGATTTGATTGAAGGGGTCGAGTTTCCAATTTAAACTATCCAAAAGATTATATAGTTTAAAAGTTGGTGTATTGGAGTCGTATTTTTCCAATTTCAACAAAGTTACATATTTCTTGAGATTTCTATTGACAGGATTGAGAATATTCTTTGAAACTTCAAAGACTTTATTCGATTCCAAAAAACTATCTACCACAATTTCCAACTCCTCCAAATAGGTGTCTTTTCCAATAATGATAATGTTTCTATTCACTTTTGGGGCCAGAGCTTTCAGAACCCAAACCAAAACGTATGCTGATTCCTCTCCAGTATATTCCAATAGTACATAGTCCATCATCGGGGAATCATTTGTCAACCTTAATAGCTCTTCTCTCACTTTGAGAGATGACAAACTAGAGTTACTATGATGTGGAATATCATACCAATGTTGTTCAATGATGACATTTTCATGAATGGACGCCTTTGCATTAAGTTCAGCAATATGAAAAGGAAGATTACCGAATTTCGTCTTAAAATGATGAGCAATTGGATATATTACATCATTCTTGACAATAAATTCATTGAATTTATCCTTTTCTATTGGAGGAGTTTCACCATCATTGTTTAACAAGAATTGGAATCTCTTATCTGATCTAGACAACTTATAGAATGAGTTTTCGATTTCTTTCTTAGATTTTCTTTTTAGGCCTTGATACTCTCTTCTCTGGCCAGTTTGGTCAATGTCAGTACTGTTTAGTACCAAATCGATAGTTGAATTTGAAACTCTTGCTATTTTATTAAAAACATCTGTATGAATATTTGGTATTGAATGATAATAAATAGTAATAATAAAAATTAAATTTGAAAGAAAGAATATAGCTAAAAATATAAATTTAATATTAATTCTACCAAATTTCATTTTAATTATTCTTTCTATTAAGATAATAATTGACTATTACTTAAAATTATTATTCATATTGCTTTAAATCAATTTTTTTTATATTAATTAATATTAATTGTAAATAAATTATAAATCTTTAACCCATATTAAATTACCACTATCAAAATATATTATATACATTCACAGCAATGATCACAATATTTTCACCCACACCTCCGAATACTCATCTTAAAGAATTGAACAAAGAAAAGTGTGAAATCATATTGATCACCACCACATTTATTTGAGCATGTTAGAAATTAAGTTAATTTAATTAAGTTGACTTTTTTTTTATTGTACCACAATATGCTTTAAGCTATCAGGTTTTGATAATACTTTTTAGAATTTAACAATAGTTGTTTCTCTGCAATTTGTAGTGATGTTGAGTTAAATAATCTTTGATCGGTTATGCTTGAAAGATTTGCTATTTCCTGTTTGATATCTAAATTGGTAGTTGGGAACAGCTTTAGTCTCTCTTCGATTACAGTGATAATGAACTCTCCAACACGCTTGTTGGATCGAACCATTTGCTTTGCTTCGAGCTTATCGAGTTGTTTGTAGATCATTGAGAGTTTTGTCTTTTTCAACTGTTGGTATTGTGCTGTCTGGAGCATTGCCAAGTAGATCGAGCAGACCAAAGCATCGTCAGCGGCACCACTCGATTCGAATGCATGGTGATCTCTCGACTCTGCCTCGAACAACTGACAGTAGAATGCAAGTCGATCTTTAATCTCGGCCGGTTCCAATCCAGAGTGACTCTCTAGTACTCTGTCGATCAAGTCTGGCTCGACTCTAACGAGATCGCATGGATTATCCAACTCTACGAAACCATATTTACTTAGCAACAATGAATTATCGTGATCTCCATATGTATTGTAGACTTCACATCCTTTACTAACCTCTCTAACCACTCTTATAAACAATGAATCTTTTGGTACTTTTATATTTGCTAAATAATCGAGATCATCCACTTGAACCTGTTCATCATCATCTTCTTCTTCATCCTCCTCATCTTCTTCATGATCATGATTACAATTTTCATCATGTTTATGTCCATGGTGATGATGATCATCTTCTCTTGATCTCTTTCTGTGTTTACAAGATGAAGATGATCCACATTTAGAACAAAGATCATCGTTTTCATCTGACTCAATATGTACATTCTCTCTACCTGTTCTATGATTAAAACTATAAAAATCATGTTTAAATGTAAGTAAAGATGTCAATATTGTTTAATATTGCAATAGTGTTAACAATATTTACATATCTGCTAAAGGCACCATAGAATCACCATGATAAGTATCAATGTTAAAGGCACGTGATGATACCAAACAACTGGCTCTCTTAAAGTTATCTAAACTGAATACATGTTCATTGAATACATCTGGATGATTTGCAATCAACTTTGACTTTATATATTTATTATAGGTAGCATCAACTGTTTCCTATAGGATAAATATATATAAATAGATTAGTATTATTTTAGTCTATAGGAAAGAACATTTCAATAGTAAGGGAATGAATTACCTTGTTCTCATAGACAACGGTCTCAATTGATGTTCCCTTTAGATTTTTGAGATCTGCATCATTCCAAAGAATCGGTAGATCAACACTAAGAGGCAAAGACTTGATATATCCATACCACTTTGATTGACTGCCAATCGATGCTTCGTAGAGTAGAGCTATAGAGGTTGCAGTAGCATCTTTTATTTTATATTTCTTCAAGTATGCTGATATCGATGTGGTATGTGGTGTCAGCAAACACGACTTTGGAATGATTGCCACTAGTAATATATAATTAATGATGATTTTTAGAGTAATTTCATAATTAGTAATATGTTACAGGTATTATTATTATTATTGTGGTGTAAGTCAATTCTATTTCAAATTTTGTATATGTTGAGATAGATAGAGAGAGTGTGTGTTTGTGTGTTGATGATGATGATGATGTTGTTGTTGTTGGTGATAATCTATGAGGTTGTTGTTTGTTTTATATTTTGTAAATTTATTTTTATTTATTTATTATATTATTATATAATGATATCATACCAGTATGATCAATTTTTAAATCTTGTAATGCAATTACACCTAAACCCTCTACAACTTGTTCATGAGGTGTATTTTTGTTGGTAACATCATCGACTGATTGTTTCTGACATACAATCTCAATCAGCTTATGATTTATCTTTACACCATTATCATCTAGCCATTTAACAACAATATCCAATTGCTCTCTTAATGATAATTGATTGTTACTCATCCCTCAACACAATATAATCTATTTATATCTATAATATATATATATATGTTTTTATAGACTTGTATACTTTTTAACACATTATAATAATTGCTTCATTTTTGTAAAAAAAAAACTAAAAATTATAAAACGACAAATGAATTCATTCGTTTTTTAAAAGTGTGTTTTATCAATGTCCAATGTGTTACTGTATAAATATAGATATCTCTTTTTATACTTATATGTGTAAATAGTAACATTTTATTATGTGAAATCTTTTAGTAAAAGTATTGCAATCAAAAATCTAGTTGTAAATATATATATATATAGTAGAGACAAATCATCAGATATTTAATTATTAATAATTAAGTAATATTATTCTTTATTATTTTCATTCTATTAACTTTTTTTTTTATTATTAATAAATTAATTTTTATTATAATTTATTAATTAATATAATAAATTGTTCAAATATTTAATTCGATAAATCGCAGATTAAATGTAGATTATCAAAAGATGAAGTATTTACCCACATTTTTTGCAAAAAAAAAATCAATCTAAGATTCAAATTTACGATAAATGTGATATTGGCAATAATTAATAAAAATATTTGATTTGATTTTTAATCATCGATAATCAGAATGTTTTCTTTTAACTTTTTATTATCAGATAATAAATAAACAATAATCAAAAAAAAAACAATTCTTCAGACTAACTCACACCAAAACATAAACACTGATCAATTAACCACTACCACTTAACTCTCTCACCTCCCCAGAGATACTATTTAATTTATATTTCAACCACCACCTTGATTTTGTGATCGATCATAAAATTATTTCTATAAACAAATAATATTGCTATTATTTATTTTTATTTTTTTTTCATAAATCTCTTATCTATCAATAAAAAACCATATTGCAAAATACACACACACGCTCAGCTTCATCTATACCCTATGTTTTGTTAGTTGCACTACTGTCCATCTACACTTAATTTCTTTCTGCCAGCCATCATCATCACTATTATTTTTATCATCATCAACTCAACCACTGACAACAAGGTTAATTTTATTATAATATTTGATTTGGTTGTTGGTGCTAGTTTGATTGATTCTTTGTTTTATCTACCAAATCGGTTCAATCCCGAATTACTTTATTAATTTGATATTTATCACCATATCATCTCAACAACAATAACATTAATATTCTCTCCATCAAGAAACAATTATAATCAGTAAATCCTAAATCTAAAAATTATAAATAATTTTTAGAAATATTCATTCATTTTCTATCTTTATTTATTTATTTATTTATTTTTCCACTTTGAAATAATAATATTTATAGAAATGTTAAAATATTATCACTCGAGAATTAAATTGGAAAGAATCATTGAGGAGGATAAAGAAAATGATTCACCCACACCGTCAGTCTTAAACTTCAACAATCCAAATTCGAATAACTATGATAAAAACGATAGAAAATATGAAGATTCGACTGAGATGGAAATAGACGAGTCATTAATATTAAATCCTTCCCCTGCTTCTTCAGATGAAGAACAAAATACACCTCCAATTCCATCCAATCCAATAAAACTCAACAACATAAAAAATGATTTGTCATCGAAATCAAAAAATCTTAATATTACCAATAATAACAATAGTAGTAAAGATATCGATTTAAATGGATATTACCAATTAGCACTCGGACTTTTTCCGCTTTGTCCAAGCTTATATAATGTATTTGTTAGATACGAAGAAATAGATATTTCGTTGAATAATATTCTATTGTTAACAAATAGAGTGAAGGTTTTATCAAATCTATTACAAAAGAAAACAACTCTGTCCAGGTACTATTTACAAAAAATACAAATATTATTAAAAAAAAATATTTATATTAATAATTTTATGAAACTATTATTTCAAAGATATGAACTATTAGTAGAGAATCTTGCATATAGAATTGATTTGTTTAAAGTAAATAGTATACAAATTAGTGAAATATGCTCAATATGTCTCGAGGTATCCAAACTTATGTCCTATGTTGATCCGGTTTTTAGGAATCCAATCTCGATGGACGACAATCAGCTCAACAAAATATTAAAGTTAACTTTGGATCATTTGAAATCTATCAAAACCAAGTTATCGCAATTGTTTACAAGAAATGAGTAAGTATAATAATTATTATTTTTGATATTTGTTAAATTTAATATTGACCAAAAACAAAACAAACAGTTGTTCACTTTTAAAAAAAGATATATTTACAAGACCACAATGCTCATTGATGCTTCAACAAAATCTACCAACACCAAATCAATACTATCAGAGCTCCCATCATCATAATCATCATCAACAACAACCATACCTTTATAACAACTATTAATTCGATGATGATCAAGCTAGAATCATATCATATCCCACTGTTTAGAATACACTCCCTCATACAATGTAAATTTATAGACTATCAAGATTCACTTTATTTTTCAATGTAACATCACCATATCTGTTGCATATCTAAAATAAACATATTTAAATTATTTATTATTGAAAAACAACAAAGAAATCTCAATCTAACAATCATCAAGCCGTTGTACATATATATCTATCTATTTTATTTGATTATTTTGTGCTTAAAATTATCCTTTTTAGATGTTTTTTTTTTTTTGTCAAAAAATTTTTTTGACCTTTTTTTTTGATCACTTCACCTTGGGAGGTTTGTTTTTTTTTTATTTATTTATTTATTTCAATTCAATTGAAAGTGTAAGTTAGATAGATATATATATTTATATGTTAAAAAATTAATTATCTAAAGAGAGTTATAATGATAAATCATAAGTTAAAATTAAATAATGTCCTACAATTTTTTTTTTTTTTAAACAATAATAGTCGTTCAAGTGAACTATATATATTATAAAATAACAATTATTTATTACAGATAGATAGATCAAAATGGTTATAGATATTCAAATTCACTATTTATTATGGTGGATTTTTGGTTTTCAAAAAGTCAAAAGCAGCAACAACAACAACATTAATTTATAAGAGTTGTGTACATTAAAGATTCATTGAATAGCGATTAGGAACGAAATGCTGTAACGTTTTACATTATTTAAATATTCAAGTGATATATTATTCGATCGAACTATGCTGAAACCCTTTCAACTACATTTAACAATATTTAACGACAATATAAATGACCACCCCATTTTTAACAACTCCACCATACAAATATTAAAAAAAACAATTTCAAAACTTAATTAAAACTTTATTGTTGTGTTAATTTGTTACCGTTTGGTTTTTTTTGTATGATAATTTCAATTATACTTTTATTCATTTCTATTTGTTGTTAAAATATCATAAACATCATTAGTTTTTTTGCAAAATATTGAATAGGTTATTATTTTTTTATTATTATTATTTTACACTTTTTTAAAACAAATATTAACTCAAAGAAATAACATTTTCAAGATAGATTCTAATTTAAAGACATGGCCGAAACTACATATACATTGGAGGAGATCAAGAAGCACAACTCACTCTCAGACCTCTGGTTGATCTACAATAACGATGTCTATGATGTTACCAAGTTTGTCGAGGATCACCCAGGTGGTGAAGAAGTTTTGAAGGGTACAGCCGGTAAAGACTCCACTCAAGAGTTTGACGATGTCGGACACAGTGATTCCGCCAAGTCAAAGATGAAGCAATTCCGTATTGGTCGTGTCGCCGGTGCTCCACCAAGATCCGAAGAGGTCAAGAAACCAAAGGCCACTAAATCAGCTGCCCCAGTTTCTCAAGTCAGACAACAAAATCAAGGTATGGGTATGAAGGCTCCAATCATCTTCATCATCGTCGCCTTAATTGCCTATTACTTAGCCACCGGTCAATCAACTGCTTAAAAGGTTTTTTTGAAAAAATATATATAAATAAATAATAAAATAAAATAAAATAAAAATCGACTTTATAAATACTCCTTCTTTATCTCAAAAATATATCAATCTTTTTTTTTTTTTTTATTTAAATCATCATTTACTTATTTGATTCTAAGTTTGGTAGTTACATTTTTTTTTAAAACAAAGTTTGTTGTTCTGCTGGTGTGAAATAGCAACATGCTAAGTGCTTCTGAAAAGGAGAGTTACAAAAGCGATTCACACATATGGTAACACTCTCTCCATTTTCAACGAAAATTTGAGCTCTTTAATTTAACGAGATAATTAAACCACACCACTTCCCAAAAACATAAAAAAGTTGCCAAAAAACTATTTGGGTGCACTGAGAAGCTTCATCATGCAAAAAAAAAAACCCAAATGTGATTACCATTGCACCATATAACCTCTTAATGTCTGCAAAAAAAAAAAAACCAAATTTTAATTAAAGAAAAAAAAAAATAGACCACTTTTGGTTTTTTTTTTGCAAAGAATAAACACTTTAATAATAAGAGTAATCAGTATTAGTTAATTAAAGTCAATTTCTTTTAACACAAATAAGTTTAAACAAAAAAAACATTTATTTATTTAATTTTTTTTAAAATTATAATAATTGTATAGATAAAACTGTACAACACTGTATTAATACAAAATCGTAGATAATTAGTATCAATACATATACTATATTATATTATATCATTTCACACACAACCATTATTATCATTATCATTTATCACACACACAAAATATATATGCTACTACCATTGTGGTTAAATAGATCGTAGCAGAGTAGAAAGAAAGGAAGATTAGTAGATTTCCAATCAAATTCCTGAGATAGAGAGAAAAAAAGGAAAAGATCGTCAATCAATCAAACCAACCAGAGCAAAAATAACAGAACAAGAAAAGAAACATCGAAGGAATAATATAACACATCATCGATCAACAAATATACATAAAACATTAGTAGTAGAGTAAAGTAGTAATAGTAATAATATCAATAATAACCATTGATATCAATCAAATCAGCTGATCTCCATCTCTCTTTATATCTATATTTATCATAATAATATTTTCCAAACGAGATACAAGAAAAATACAACAGTAAAAACAATAAATAGCAGGTGCAATAGCAGCAACAACAATATTAATAATAGTGTAAAAGTAGTGATAGATACTTTGATGTGGTTTTCTGGCCAATCAGATCATTACATACCAAAAAATAATAATAATAATAATAGAATAACATAGTAATAGTGGTAACAAAAAACAAATAGTAATTGTATATTATGTGTGGTGATTACTATTTGTTGTTGTGTGCAAAATAGAAAACAAATCCAAATAAATAAGATCTCAGAACTAAAGATAGTGGTAGACAACAATAATAATAATAATAAGACAAGAAAAACAAAAACAACAAACAAACAAATAGACACATCAATTCATCGCAAATTTGTTTGTTCAACATTATTTATATATATATATATATATATTTAACAACAATAAATAAACACAATTAAACAATTAAACAACTATATTAATAGAAACTCTCAAAGTTAGAATTAACAATACAACTTTGGCAACAACATACAAATAATCAGCAAACAAAACAAACTAATAGACATCGCTTACCCACCACCACCAACAACAACACCACCACCACAACACTACAACATTCCACACCCACAATTGTTTTATTTTAATATTTGTATATAATATTATTATTTTATTTTATTTATAATTAGAGCAAAGCTTAGCCAAGTTTAACTAAACAAAAAACAAACAAAACTAAGTTGTTGTTGTTCATTTATTAAACCATTTATTCTTATCTAAAATACAAAATACTTTTTTATTTTAATAGATTCCATATTTTTTTTTTTATTATATATATTTTATACTTTTTGTAATATCATTTTTCCAACAACCTGGAAAACTTGAATTTTAAAATTATTTATTTATAATATCTATACAAAATAATTCGATAATCAAACTACCAATAATAATAAAATAAAATTTAAAATTCAACAAAATATTTAATATATAAAAATGATATATAATCCAAAACGAAACAGATTCAAAGAGTTCTTTACAATCAATTTGATGACAATGTTTAGAAGTATAGGAAGACTGTTTCAAACAAAGAAGAATAGAAATAAACATTCTTCAGAATACCATGAATATGAACCATTCGCATATCATGACTCAAGCTTTTAGTAGCTATGTAATATAATAATAATAATAGAAATATAGATGTTTTTTTCTTTGTTTTTTTTTTTTTTTTCATCATTTTAACCTTTTTTTTTTTATTTGTTTTGTTGTTTATTTCATTCTTAAAATATGGAATTCAAATCAATCAAAACAAAACAAAAAAAAAACAAAAAAATATGATAATAATTATATAAAACTTTACTTTTATATTTATTTAATTATATAACTCCTGCCTGTATATCTTTATCATTAACTTTTTTAAACAAAAAGGTAACTACCATCACTAAACTATTCAAACCTCTGCAAATTCAGCAACTAATTCCAATCTCCTTTGCATCTTAGATTATTTAATTTTTGTTCAGTACAGCATGTTTATTGAATTTAAAATCTTTGAACCGATTCTTCAAAGATCTTCAAACCTTTAATAATAAAAGTTTAAAACTGGTAGACCATTGGTAAACCTCTTAAATGAAGTGATCCAATCTAATTTTTACAAAAAGTCAGATTTTTTTTCTCTTAATTCAACTGTTGGTTAAACGGACACGGTTTAAAGTTTATTGTGAAAACATGATGATACGGATCAACTACGACAAGGTCATCGATCCAAGATTTTAAAACCCATTAAGTTGTTTGTTTACCCTTTTTTTTGTCACGATGTCACTGGACCAGGTGTCATTCTACAAATGAGCAGTGACATACCAAATTTGTTTGAGGTGTTCACAAAATTGAATCAATTTACTTTAGTTTTTCCCACACTCTATTTTATCAAAATAGATCAAATTGTGGGTTGATATTTTTTAATTAATTAATTAATTTGTATTTTTAGACGATTTTCTTTTGCCATTTTATTTTTTTTTTTAAATTAATTTTTAATTTTAATTTAATTTTATTTTCAATCTAAGATTGGTCTAAGAAACTGAGATTTACTATAACCCTTCATTTCATTGTGTTGTCTTGGATCAAAAAAAAAAAAAACGAAGAATATTTAGAGATCGAAAAATACAGTGATTCTTTGTTTATTTATGGGGTTTTCAAACCATTGAAAAGTTGATCAGGTATTAGTTGATGATGAAAGCAGAAAAATTATTTTAAACGAATACACTTTTAAATAGAAAATGCAAATCGTGTTTCTTTTTTATTTGAAAAAATAGTTTAATATTGGTTACCAGAGAAGGGGCTCAACACACATCGACCAGACATCAAATCACAAAAAAAAATGACCTCACATTTGTCAATTGGGTCTTTTTTGTGAACCAAAAGATTTTTTGAAAAAAAATGAAAAAAAAACAATTTTTTTTTTGCCTCTTCGCGTCGAAATAAAATGATAGTGTGGTGATAAAAATGACAACAAATCCATACCCGATGGTGTGGTAAGATCTTGTTGCTGATAGAATGTTGCCAAAGATAGCTTCTTTAGAACTACAACTACTAAAGACAGCATCACTCTGCAAACATTGATTTTTTATTTTGATTCATACCAATGACTGGGTGTGGCACATTTTATTGATCAAAAAAAAAAACTAAAAAACAAAAACAATGTTTGGAAAAATAAAATAAAATAAAATTATTTTAAATATTATAGTTTTATTATATTAAAAATAAATCATCTCCATAATTGAGAATTCCATTACTATATAGATAAATCTGTTTAGTGATGCTCGAATAGTTCGATCACCACCACCAAATAATAATATTAGTAGGAACACCAAACATTCTAACAAACCAAGTGAATTTCGCTCTCTCAGTCTTACTTCCACATTTATTTTAACAAACAACTAAATAATCATTATTAAACCACTCAGCCTCAATACCAAAAAGTATAACAAAATTGCTAAAAACCAATCAACTACAATCACATTGCGAAAAAAAAAAAAAAAAACCCAATTCTAAAAAAAAAACACCTCACAACCTCGAAATTAAACAGGAGAAAAACAACTAATTCCAAAATTGAGTTCAACTTTAACACAATAAATTTCAAAGTTCGATTGTGTTTATTTTTCTATTTTCTTTTAAAACATTTTATAATATTTTTAATTCCTTTAAAAATAATAATAATCATATATTACATCTTGGTCAAACTTCAACAACACCACCACCAATCACCATACTTTCAACCAACGAAAACCAGTTTTATTTTGTTTGTCTGAATGTCATTGCATTTGTGTTTTTCACTTCACACACATTTCAATTACAACACAACCAACATCAATTAATCCAATTCAGTCAGATAAATTTAACCCCAAGCAAACAAACATCAATAATAACAATTAAATAACCACCACATAGATTTATCTATTATTTAATCTTTTCCATCTGTTAATCTATATCAACACCAAATTATAATAAAATCAAACAATCATTCTACAACTTTAATCTATTTTTTTTTTGAATTTCTTTTCAACTAATTGTCTTTTTGTCCCAACCAATCATTTCAACCAATTTAATATTTATTTATAATAAACTATTTATTTATTTATTTTATTTATTTATTTTTTTAAAAATCTGTTTTATTTAAATTATTTATCCAATTGTTTCCATTTTTAAATCAAATATTTATTGTATCGAAGGCATTAAATTATTTATGGTGGATATAAATCTCTGAGGTCGGTTGAAAGGGCCATTGATAAGAAAAAGGATGTTACCGTCTTGGACAACGATTCCAAATAATCAGGATCAACAACAACAACAACAACAACAACAACAACAACAACAGCAGCAGCAGCAAATACAGCAACAACAACAACAAAATCAACATCAAATTCAACGGTCAAATTCATATAATGATTTAATTCAACCTCCTAATATTACACCACCTCAGAATCCACAGAGGACAAGGAATACTGTACATTATCATCCATATCAACAACAACAATCTCCAACTTCAAATGTATCCCAACCATTCCACAGTGTCACGGCAACAGCAACATCATCACCTCCAAACCAACAACAACAAGCACAACATTTATATGGATATCATAATTATAATTACCCTATTTACTCTAGTGTGCCACAGTCTCCTCAATCTGTAATGCATCATCCCTATAATTATCCATATCACAGTTATCTCCACCATGGTAACAATTTAGTTTCTCCGCCACCATCCACGAACGCCACTCCAACCACTCCAACTGCCTCAGGTTCTCCGCCAAACCTTATGTTTCACTCTGCGGTGACTACTCCAATTCAACTGTCTCCGCGTCTCAGTATATCCCCGAATAGCAACGAACACCCACACTCACCTTTATATTATCAGCAACAGCCAACACCTCCACCATCAGCCAGCCACTTCACACAACCACCACCTGTACACATGATTCCACTGTCACCCGAGTCAATAGTTCTACAACACCAAAGAACTCCGCCACCACCTCCACCACCACCATACTCACAACAACAACACCAACAACAAAATCCCAATCAACAAGAGTTTTTTTCTTTACCTATCGTTGAGGGTGGATTTTACAGCATGATTAGCTCATTGTTACCTCTCTGCCAGGATATCGACAAAGAAAGAGGAGTGACAAAGGAGAAGACTAAAATGATGAACGAACTACACGACAAGGTCGAATCAATAATGAAAAAGATAGACCGTATTAAAAAATCTAAATCCAATGAAGCTAGTAATAAAAAAGAAGAGTATGTATAGATGAAAAAAATTTTTATCCAGAAAAACAAAAAAGTTTAGATGCTAATTCCAGTTTGATCAATTATTAATTGTTTTAGATATTTTGACTTACGACCAAGAAGAAATAGAAAGAGTTCCAACAAATATGAGCACAACGACGATAGCACCAAGTGCCAGAGATGTGGCACTGCCGAAACACCAGAGTGGAGAAAAGGCCCCGACGGTCATCGATCTCTTTGTAATGCATGTGGTCTCCACTTTGCAAAAGCTAAAAAGAAAGAAAAAGAGTTAGACCAACAACAGAAAATAGAACAACAACCTCCTCCTCCTGTTGTACTAAATATAAATAATTTATTGAGCAACTCCAACAGTGATGAAGATAAACCAACAACTACAACTACAACCACTACCACCACTACCAGTACAGATAGTCCAAACCACCCCACTTCCATTTCATCATCTGACTCTAGCTCTTTTACAAAACAATCAAAAGAACAAAACACAGACAATTGACCTCCTTCCATCTCCTTTTTTTTTTTTTTTCACCTGTCAAAAAAAAAATCAAAAGACAATTGTTCTTAATAAATTGATAACTTTTTTTTGATACATACATTATAACTTTACATTATAACTACACAAAAATTGAGTAAAAAAGATATTGATTCTTTAATTAAAGGGTAAAAAGAAAAAAATATTAATATTAAAAAATTAAAAATTAAAATTGCAAAGTAAAATCAATGAAACTATCTAAAAGTAAAGTGAAAGGTATAAAATCAACCATCAACCAAATGATTAACCAATGATAATAAAGTATTGTATATCTTTTCAAATTAAGTCCATCATACGGATTAAAAATTTAATAAAAGAGAAAAAAATAATCTAAATTTAACTTGCCACCTTTTCATAGTTCATAAATATATCCCAATCAATTACAATTGTGTGGCACATGCTCATTGATTTATTTGTGGGAACTTGCAGTCATTTTTAGAGTTCGAAGTTTTTTTTTTTGGAGCTTTTTTGATTTAAAAAATGTTCTTTTTATAGATCCACAAAATTTTCAGCCAACTTTTTTACAAAAAAGGTTTAATTTTAATTAAATAATTAATATTTCGTCAAAGCGGTGAGTCGAGCTGCGTGTATCTAACCATCTTCAACCAATGATCAAATTGCAACAAAACCAAAATAAAACAATATTATAATTTTAGCTTAGGCTTAGGTTTAGTCAGACATTATTGATTCAAAAGTGAGGTGTATACACCAGTTTAAATTGTATGAATCTACTTTGGTTGATTCACTGTGTTAACTTTAGTTTACTTTTTGATTAAATAATTATTGATGTAACATCAGACTATTATTGATGATTGATGGATATTTGATATCATCAGCGCATCAGATACCCTGTGATAGGCAAACAAACCCTAAGGTAAACCCAACCCAATGTAATTAAAATAACTAAATCTAGTTCAAATATAGCTTTGAATTAATTTAGTTCTTTTTTAAAGTTGCTGATTCAACAGAGCAGAACATTGAATAATCTCACCATTCATCCGGATTTCTCTCCATCCACAAATAACAAATTCACACTTTAGAAGTATATATGTGCATTTTATATTAATTTGTCAATAATCAATAAAAACAACAACCTTTTCAAGTATTTTGTATTTTAAACCAATATAAATCTATAAATATATATATTCTTGTATCAATACATTTTGTAACTTTTTATTTTCCAACCATTTAACCTATTTATTTATTTATTAAAATATTACTTCATATTTCCACCTACCTCTTTCAAATTATCTATAATTAAAACACAAAAATGACACAATACCAAGAAATTGATCAAAGATTTACTATTAGTTTTATTTTAAATCATCACACCAAACTCTATGGTGATTACAATAACTATAATAATCAATATCAATTACAATCACAAAATGTAAATCAAACTGTTGTCCATTTGAATAAATATATTAAAATATACAATGGCAATGGTGGTGGTGTGTCCAGTGGTAAGGGTATCACCGGAAGCACAGAGTATATTGTTGTCAACAAGACATCCACAAAGAATGACTTCTCGAGTGTTGCCAGTATTCCAAAGAAATACCCAAAGAGAACTTGGTCCAAAGTCGACAAGGAGTATGTAATGAAGATGATAACACCGGAACTTCTCCAGAGCATTTCGAGCAAAGAGAGAATGAAGTTATTCGAGAGAGTCGCCAATACCTTGAACCGCACCGTCATCGCCACACAGGAAATCTACTACAAATCGCTTCGTGTTATGGAGAAAAAACAACAACAACACCAAACATAGTGAAGGTGGTTCATCTTTCCTTCCTTCACTTCCTTCTCCTATAAATGTGAGTAGGATGTAGTGCGGCTGTGGTTTCTTTAGGTGTGTGTGATCATCTCAACCGCTGATCATCTCACCAACTGGCTGTCCACAGACTACTCTGCAGGATGTTAAATGAACATGGTTATAACTACTACAAATGGTTTACTAGTAATTTGTTCATTTACAATAATTGGTAGTATATGTGTGTGTGGTTAGGGGGTAACCCAAATCTCCACTGACTATCAAAGCAAAACAAAAAAAAAAAACGTTAATCACTGAACTGCTGTAATGCAATTAATTAATTTAAATTGCACAATAGTTTTAAGGCATTGGATACTGCATGGATTCGTTTTTGCTTTTGTTACTATTTTTTTTTTGCAACAGAACCAAAAAACAATAAAAAAATAAAAAGACAAAAGATTTTTTTACAAAAAAAAAATAAACTCGACTTTTTCTTAGGTGACAATCGACAAAAAAAAAAACAAAGAAATTGTGAAAAAAAAAGTAGTCTCTGGGCAGACTTAAAAGGGTCCTTAAAAAAAAAAACAACAACAATTTTTTTTTAATATTTTTCTTTCTTTTTTTAATTTTTTTTTTAGAAACGAAAAACATCAACAACATCCACCTACCTATGCCGCTACTAATTACAATAAAAAATTAAAAATAAAATAAAAAAAAACAAAATATTTCTGTTTTTGAATTTTGATTATTATTACAAGCAGAATATCGCAAACATAATAAATTAATAACAAAAGAATAAAATAGTAATAATACAACTTTTAATAATATTAACAATCTTATTAAAATAATAATAATCCTAAACTAAATTCAAAGTTTTTTTCAGTAAAATAGTAATAATCTTTTTTTTCTAAAATTCAAACTTAAATACAAATACCAAGTTTGAATAGTTTAAATCAATAATAATTATTTTTTATTATTATTTTGTTTGTTTCTTCTTTATTTTTTTTTAAAATTTTTTTTTATCTTTAATCTTTAGCACTATGCAGACATACTAGTAGTTTAAGTTCATTTTTAGTTAGATAATAAAAGAGTCAGTCACAGTCAAAAGTAGACAAAAATAAAATAAATAATAATAAAATAAAAAAGACAATAACAATAAGATAACCCGATTGTTTTCAAAGTAAAAGTTTCTTAGTTCAACTTCATAAGAGTATATATATATATAGTGTAATATATTATATAAATAGTATATAATTTAGTAGAAATAAGAAAAATAGATAATCTCATAGTAATTATCTAATAATAATCGTCTGCAGCAGTTGTAAATACTCTTGCTGTGGTTTGTTTACCTGTTGACTGTTCTATTGTTTTAAATAACAAGAAATTATAACGAAAAAAAGGTAGGTTTTTAATTATTTTGTTCAATGCATTGGTTTTACTCAAGTGGTAATAGTAGTAGTAGTAGCAAAGTCGGTAGAAACGATTATAATCGCACACATCACCACCACCACAACATAACACAACTTTTATTTCATTCTTCACACAAATAGTTTAGTTTGAAATAAAGTATATCTATCTTTTCTATCTTCACTTTCTCAATTTCACAAGTGAGTGTGGTAGCATAAATATAGTAACACAACATTAGCACACAGCAAAAGTATAGTATGGTAGAGTTGGAAAAGTAAAAGCAAGAATTGCAAAGAGAAGACAGAAACAACAAGATTCGACAGTCATATTTGATTTATATTATCATTGACTATTTAGAATCAAGAATCATATCAAATGACGATACAAACAATATCTAACTCTTGGTTGTTTGCAACAAACCCCATACTTTTCGCCTTTTTTATATAAATATTTTAATTCAAATTACTGACAATAACATCATCTACCACATACACACACACACAAAACACAACTTTTATTTGTTTTTTTTATTATATGTGTTATATTGTTTTATTTGCTATTTTATTATTATTATTATTATTGTTAAGAGATACAAAACAAATCTAATTATAGTTAATAATGATATTGTTTGGCGGGTGATAGATAAACTCAATTCAAACTCAACCATTATTCTATCTATATATTATCCTCCAATTCACACCCAACCATATAATACTACTTGAATCCTGGTTATTGAATGAATTTGAATGTATTTTTAATATCCTGTTAGAGTTATATTTATTTATTATATAAAAGACAAATCAATATCATTATAGTTATAAATGTTTCATTAATTAATTTGTATAAAAAGTGTAAAGTAATAATAATAATAATAGCATCCATAAATGTGAGTTTATTTGAATTTTAAAGTGAATCATAGAGAACAAAACTATTAAATAATAATAATAATAATCAATAACACGTTGTACACTTGATCAAAGAATAATTTAATTTAAACTTTCATATCATCATATCATCATAACATCATTATTTAAACTTTTGTTTTGATATTTGTGTTGATTACAAGCAGATATAGTGATAGGAATAACAAAAGCAAAGCAAATTATAAATAATTGTTATTTAATTTTAATTATATTTTTTTTATTTTAAAAATTTTTAAAAACACAACTAAAGTATCCTTTAAAAGTCAGCAAATTAATATTAAAGCGACTACTCTTGCAAATAGAGTTCTCAGGTTGCAATAACCAATCGATCAATCCAATTAATCACAATCAATGTATAATCAATCAAAAGTCAATATGAAATAATCATTTCTTATCTGCATATCTACACCCTCGATTGTTAAAGTATTTTATCAGCCACTCACCCACAACAAAAATAAATCACATAATCAATCATCTATTTTACTTTTATAAATATTTTATTAGTATATGTGTTGTATCAACACTATTTTTTTGTTCTATTTTTTTTTTTTTTTTAATTAACACAAAAGACCAACTAATCATCAGTAATCAAACAATTCAAATTGATCACTCACTCACTTTGATAGACAATCACATCAAAATAGCTATATAAATATATATATATATATATATATATATAATATGGACTGTTAAAATATCTAATAATCATCATCATCATCAGTCATAATCATATATCTACAAGTGCACTTAACCTATGTATTTTAGAGAGGTGGTGATATATGATTCAATTGTCTATATGACTATGTCTCTCCTTTTCTACAATTATTCATATCATAGTTTTATTGTTATTTTATTAATTTAATTTTAAAACAGAACATTCCACATTCCATACAATCGCTACTTAAGCAAAATTTGCTCATCTCTCTTTTATTGTTTTAAATCCACTCCACCTCCACTTTCAATCTCTCCTTTACACCACAACACCTTAACCTACTACTACTTACTATTACAACAACACACGTTTCAAAATAGAGTTTTAGAGTTTCTATTTTAAATATTATTGTTTTAAATAATAATAATAGTTTTAATCATAATAAGTTTCTAACTTTTTTTTTTTTTTTTATCCTCTCTTCAAACAATATACTTAGAAAGCAAAATAAAATCAAAAAAAAAAAGAAAACAACAACAAACAACCAACCAACAACATAAAAAATAATAATAATTTTTTAAACTAAAGTTCAACCTCACTCAGCTAAAATAGTTAAATTTGAAATTTAATTGTATTATTTCTATCAATTACTACGATCGATTGGCATTGGAATTAATCACCACACACCAACAAGCATATTAGTAATAATCATCCTCAATCAAAACTCTATTTAATCTCAACTCAACTGAAACGAAACGATTTATCAAAAATATATAATTTTTGTTTTTTTTTATTAGGCATATTTTTTCCCCCTTTTCTCCTCTTCAATCAATCAATCACTCACCTGACTACCTAATTAGTATTCATCATCATCATCATCATTATCAGATTATTCACTATTATAAGCAACAAGCAGCAGCAGTAGCAGTCAATTAATCAAGTTAATTAAGAAAGTTTTAGCACAGAAAGAAAAGCAAGATGATGGAAGAACCAAAACACCCTTCAATTGAAGATCTCTCTTTCGAGGATCTCACATTTGGCGAATCTGCAGATCTTGCATTGAATGAGCAAGACTCTTCAGTCAAGAGAGAACTCCTCTTGCGTAAATCACAAGGTATTGGAGCTACACTTACTACCTCAGCACACACTTCAGCAACAGCCGCTGCCACCAACATTCTTGGTGTAGCTGGCAAAACAAAAGATAAAAGAACAAAGAGCGACAAGTCAGATCGTCATGCAGTATTGATTTCAACCAAGGGCGACAAGATCAATTTGGCTGTCCTCTTGAAACAACTCGAGGAATGTGGACCGGTACGTGCCCACCACTTCCGTGAACGACAAAACTTTGGATTTGTCCAGTTCCTCGATTCGGAATCGGCAGACAACGCCATAGAGATGCTTAGCAACAAGGAAATCGATGGACAAATCATTCAGATAGAGAGAATCAAGCGTATCACACCTGGAAAGGATCCACGTGTCGCCACCGTTGGCTCACCACAATGCTCATCACTTCCAACACAGTTGCCTTCGATGATCGAAAACAAGCCAGACTCGACCTTGGTCTTGAAGAATCTGCCATTCAACTTGCGTCAAGTACAACTTCAAGAGATACTCGAGAACATCAACCCATCCGCTCCACAGTCAGTCAACTTCCACTACGACAGCATCGGTGTGTTCCGTGGAATGGCATTTGTAAAGTACCGTCTTCTCGAAGACGCCATCAAGGTATTCGATGCCTTGAACGGTGCCGATGTACACGGTCGTCGTGTGCGTCTTGAATACAAGCGAAAAGTAAGCAAGTCCAGCGAGATTCCCTCAGAGGTTCTTGAGGACGAAAAGCTCCGAAAAGTATGGGATCAACTACGTGAGTTCAAGGAGGATCCCAATGCAACAGAGATTACATTCTCCACTTTCACAGGAGTACAACGAATGTACATTCACAACATGGCTGAAAAGCTTAAACTCTCACATACATCGGTTGGCGAAGAACCAAACCGTTCCATCATCGTCACCAACAAGAAGCCAATCATAGGCACTCCAGGCAAAGACGACATGATGTCCCAATTCTTGTCGTCGTCGCCCGCCTCCATTGGCGGCCACTTGGCACCACTCTCCACCACCCCGACCAACTCTTACACCTCACTCTCCTCGACTCCGACCTCATCCATGTTTATCAGTAAGCCAATGGAGCTCAGCTCGAGTTTCGGCAATCATTTCCTCCGATCGACACCACCCTCTTCCATCACCGGCAAGACACCATCGCTTCTCATCAACGACGCCAAGATTGCCACTTCATGGGAGAAATCACCAACCAACAGTCTTCTCTCCAACCCATTCACCACCCGTGGCTTTGGTACCATGGTTCGCGATCGTTCCGGATCAGATATTGAGCTATCGACATCACCTGGAAGCAGCCTCTGGCGTAATCCAGCCAACAGTTTAAATAGTTTTAGTAATTTCTCCGCCAGTAACAGTTTTCCAAGTGCAAATGCTGGCAGTCTCAGCAGTCTTTTACAACAACAACAACAACATTTCAATATAAGCAACAGTATAAATATAAATAGTAACAGTCCATTACACAATAACATCAACAACAACAACAACCACAACCACAACAACAGTCTCAACAGTAATAGTAACAGTAATAGTTTAGTTTCATCACCAATACTCCGTCAACCAAAAGGTCCCGATGGTACAAAAGGTTTTTCAGAAGGTTACAAAGCTGGAAGAAAGTTGGTTCCAAGTCCACTCATTTCACCCGTCATACATTCACCCTCCAACTAAAATTAATAATTTATTATATATTTTCTAATAATTATACTATTATAAATTCCTTTCTATCTATCCTTCTATTCTTTTTTTTTTCCCTTTTCCTGTTCATTATTATTATCATTACCATCCAATCTCAAATCCAACAACAACAATTATTTATTATAATATTTATTAATTCTAAATAATTATTATATTATTAACAATGTCAAATCACATCGAATGAATTAATGCAGTTCCATTCAAAATAACCTACAAATCAGTCGCAAACAAAAAAAACAAAAAACAAAAAACAAAACAAATACTTAAAATAATTGAATCCATCCAAAAATACTAATAAAAGCTTAACATGTTAATTTTTTTTTAATTTAAAGCTATTATGTTTTTTATCTCCTGATGAGGAATCATGATTATCTCTTTAAAGACAGTGTCATTTGATCTTGCTCAAAAACATAAAAAAATTGGACAAAAAATCATTTTTTATTTTTTTTTAAAACCTTTTTCAATTTTTAGTAGGTTTGATTTTCCTTTTTTTTTTTTTTTTATCTTAACC